TTAGTACATGGAATTGCCTATTGTAACGATTAATATGTATGTTGCAGTACATATATTTAAATAAAATTAAAATATATAAATATATATATATAATCACAAATTAATTAAATATTCTCTCCGTACCTGATAAATTTAGATACAAAAAATTAAATAAATAAAATTAATAAGTAATTAAAAAATATATTACTAAAAATAATTATTGTATAATAAAAATAATTATATTTTAAAGTTAAAATAACTAAATAGCCTTAAAAAATTATAAATTATGAATTAAAACAAAAAAAAAAGAAAAAATTATAAGGAACATACTAAAATAAAAATAATAATAATTAATAATCTATGTGAGACAGAACCAATACAATAATAACATGTATACTTATGCGGTTTTATTGTGTATCTATCAGAATCGTGCCCTCAGCATGCATGTCATCAATTTTTATGTTATCCATTAAGCTACAATGATGACACATATTTACGAAGACAAAGACGTACATATATATATATATATATATTAGTTTTGTTTACATTATTAATTTTCACTTGTTCGTAACTATTTATTTTTCATAAAAATATAATATTAATTATATTTTTTAATATAAAACATCTAATTAAATATATTAAATATTTATTTTATTTTATTTTTAACTCTCAAAATTCTAAATTTTTTCAAAAACTTGTGTTTAAACGAAACCCTTATTATGTAATTATATTTTGAGAAGTTCCAATATCTGGCTGAGTGAAATTTTGTGCTTCTCTTAACGTTTTTTGGTTTCTTTTCCCTGATTCATATATAATATTTTTAAGTGAAATAATTATTATATGAAAAATTAGATATTATATATCTAACATCAGCGTATATAAATGTGAACCAATTTTATAATGGACAACCCTAAAACACAAATTTTAATTATTTTAAAGTAATAAAATTTGGAATAAAAATATATAAATTAAATACAGTATTTTAAATAGCAGATAAATGTGATGTATTAAAACAAACGTTAAATAATATAACTATTGTGATACAAATTATTATTATTATTATTTCTAATTCGAATGTGAAACCCAAACCGTTTACTAACCTAACGTACGTAAGGTAACCAAAGATTCTAACAAAATATGTGCCAAAAGTTTTAAATATACGTATGATGTAATATAGAATTAGATCGAATAAAATAAACTGATGGGGATGGCGTAGCAGACACGTGCAGGAGACACATCACGTGTTAGTGTTCGACAGCGAATTTCTTGTCGGAAAGCGGAGATGCATTTCCGCTCTGCCTCTGCACTGTTACACCGCTCGCCATTTATTAACAGGTCCAGACCACACCACTCCAATATAATAATAATAATAATAATAATAATCTATTAAGTCACATATATAACATCATGGTCCTTTCCTATGTGGGCGACGACGATACGCACTATTACCAAGTCTGAATTATGACAAAAATATCACTTTCAACTTGCAAGAAACAAACAAATTAAATATACCTAAAAAAAGTCAAAATCGATAAAATTACGACTAGATGTTGCAATTAGTGACACAACCAAACTTCAGAATTCTGAGGGCAGAGTTGTCCAATCAGATTTAGTTTTTTATGATTTGATTTTAATAATTATTTTTTTAATAAAATATTATTTAAATATAAAATTTAAATCAATTTTTCTTAGATCAAACTTAAAGAAATGGACGGTTTGTTTAGGAATATTTAAAATGGAGATAAAAGTATACGTATACATTACTTTCCACTATCACACACACACATATATATATATATATATTGATAATTGATGAAATTAAATTGAAGTGACGGAAATAAAGCATTACAGTTACGAAAATTTATTTCTTGTACAGTACAAATATTAGTTTATTGTTACCACAATATTTGACCATCTCATCTTTTAATGCGTTCAGATCCAATGATTATAAATATATATAATTATGATCTTATCATGGTCCACTTTTTATATCATTCTGGATATGCGTTGCTTTTATTATTTAATTTTACATTTTTTTTATTATTTAATTTTTATGATTTTTAATAAAATATTCTTAAACTAAAATTTTAAATTTTACAAAAAGCACACACATTCCCATCATTTCCAATGGCAGTGTGATTTCATATACTATAATTTTACTTTATTTTATTTTTACGCGCATTGAAGAGTTTTTTTAGAGAATATTTCTATAATTATAAAAGAAGATTATTGTTAATTTGCTACCGTATTTTGAATTTTAAATTTCAATTTAAATAATAGTTTTTACACAAAAAATATAAATACTTAGATATTAAAAAATCTGAAATAGAACTTAAGTAAATAGAACAATATTTTAGATTTGTTTATTTAGTGTTTGATTTTTTATTTATTTATTTTTTTTGAGATGTAAATAATTGTGTAGGAATATAAGAATAATACATCATTTGCCATTTGATTCTATCCTCAATCTCTTTGTAAAATATTATTACTAGCATTACACATATTGCCGGTATTTATTTTAATATATTGATCATATCTATATTATAACTAGACTTAATTTTGTGGTATACACAAATATTAAATAATTTAGTATTGTTTTCTATTATATTTATACTAATATATATAAAAATAATTTTTAAGTTGTTAAATATTTAAAGTATATTATTACTTAAAATATCATATCGATGCATATTTATATCACATTATACAATTATTTTATTTTTTTACTATACAAAACTCAAATACAAAATCCAAATCCCGAATCAAAACACCGTAAAAAAGTTTCTTTTTTTTTACTATTTTTTTTTGTAAAATTGAACAAATTTAACATTTCTACCATTTTAAAAATTTTCTAAAATTTCAGGATGTGTTTGGTTTATGTTTCAAACAGAACAAAATAATATGGACGGAATCTAAATTTTTACTATTTTCAAACCAAAACACAACTTTCAACCTACATTTGTAAGTTGTTTATATATTATAATAATAGTATTATAATTTTTTTAACAAAATGAAAATATTTTAAGGAGACAAGTAAAAGGAAGGAGCACATTTTTAGGAGACAAAGTGAATATTATTTATTTAGAGATATCTATTTTATTTTATTTTTTTAGAAAATCATTTTCCAAGAAATCAATGGAATTTCAATAGATAACTCATATAAAAATGTAGCTTATTATTATTATTATTATTATTATTATTATCATTATTGTCGTCGTCACATAAAGTAATAAAATTCTTATTTTACAAGATATAATAATCTTAAATAATGATACACTATATTGAACTTTAATTTAAGATTTTAACTTTAGCCCATTAATATACATGCAATAAAATAATCTAGAGTATATCTGTCTGTTTGTTGCTCAACACTATACTTAGGGTGTGTTTGTTTGGGGGTTTGGATTTTGAGTTGGGATTTGAATAGTAAAAATTTTGAATTTGAATAGTTGTATGATGTGATATAAATAGGGTTTGATGTGATATTTTGAATATAAAATTGATTTTTAGTATAATATAAAAAATGAAAAATAGGTGTTTGATTTGATGTTTTTTGGGGGAAAAAATTGGATGAATAGTGGAAATCCACCAAAATCCTTCAAACAAACACACCCTTAGTTTATTATACTAATATTTTAAAATATAAACTAAATAAGAATATGAATAAAAAATATTCTTTTCTTCTCAAGTATCGTACTTACATTGTCATTTTTGTACATCATACATTTCATATTACTTTTTTTTAAAAAAAGAACTATACATTGAATTTTATTTAAAATTTAAAATTTATGAATTTATAAATTTTAATTTATAATTATTTTTTATTATATGATAATTATTTTTATAAATATATGTTTAATTATTTACTAATTATATATTTCCTTATCTATCGTAACATGGACACGAAACTAAGACGAAGGAAGTATATCATTAATTAAAAAAAATTCATGTCAATAAATATATCATCTCACAAATATTGGTTAGGGTATAAAATTAAACGTTGAACTAAATTTTCAGTTAATTAAATAAATTCATTCAATACAAATAATATATATCATTTGATATTTGTTCGATCAAGTTTAATTTAATTTTTCATATTTTTTTCGGTTAATTGAACTGAACCAACTATATTTATATATTTTAAATTTTATATTAATAATTATATTATATTCAGTTTGGTCCAGTCTAGTTTGAAATATTTGTAATTAATTAAAACTTTAGTTATTTGTTAATATATCTATTTTTAGATTTGATCGGTTTAAACTATTTGCAAACTGCAAATATTTTTAGATAACTGAACGTTCAGTTAACAACTGTTTCGAATGTTTATTAATTTATTTTGAAATACCAAATACATGCCGTGTTCACTCTTAAATATTGAGTTTATTTGTTGAATATTTTGATTTGAATATTATTTATAATTTCAAATATTTGTTCAATTCAATCTGTATATCTAATATCAGTACATTTATAAATATTCCAACTGTATATACTCTTGAATATAAAAATAATATGAATAATATAAAAATAATGTATTTGTATAGAATAATAATTTATAAAAAAAAAACTAAATATATATTTATCATATATTATATGTTAAAAATTGTATAAAAATATATAATTCTATGAACAAAGCCATTTTTAAAAGAAAACAGACATTAATTTAATAGTGATAAACGGGTGTCTTCTTATTCTAATGATTGTCGTTCCGGATCCGGAGACCAGGCGGATCCACGCCATTGATTAGTGCGGGCCCCACGTGATGAAAGGTTGACATCCGTTCTGGTAGTGAAAGTCCCGGAGCTTCCAGAGTGGAACAATTGCCGGCATAAATGAGTTTCGCCTGCGACAATGCCACTCGTACTTTGTCGACACTTCACCCATGGCCCACCCCCTTGCAGCACGTGGCGTGTGCACGTGACTCCTCGGACCATAAAATCCCCGCGCCAGAGGTGAAAAAAAAATTGCAGCAGTAAAATTAAAAATAAAAAAAATAAAATTCGGTCAGAGTAAAAATCAAACGGTACGGCGCTGTCATTCAGTATATCTATCGATCGAATCTTCTCCACAGACGTCGATCGGATTTATCATCTCTGACTTCGTAGGGTACTTTTCTGGCAATCTTCAGATTAAACTCGATCGAATTTACGAGCTTCGAATCCATACGTAGGTACTTTATCGACGACGGAAATGCAGAGCTACAAGGCATATGTTCCGCAGCAGGTTTCGCTGACGAGCACTGATTTGTACTGCAATTCGCAGTCTCCGTTTTATCTACGGTATCGTTCGTCTTTTTGTTAGGTTTTTTTTAATTTCATTTCATTTTTGGTTGACTGTGTATGAATATATATATATAATATAATTGCGATCGAGCTTGCATGCTATCTGGTTTTTACTTGATTTAGGTTTTTTGATTTGTGATTCATATGTATTTAGAGGAGACGACATAGGTCGGCATGGAGCTCTCGGCGAGTCGACTGGAAACGCCTTTATTCATATAGATGACGTTAATTTAAGTAGAGGTGATTATGATTGTTATGCTTCACTAATTGATCGATCAATAATTGCAGGTGTTCTTAGGAATTTTGCGAAGTGAATTATACTGTTTTAGTGATGATTCATACGTTGCAGGTTCAGATTACAGCAGCTTCAAGGCCAGCAATGTCTCGTCAGTTATGCCTAATAATTTACAGTTTGGTGAATTCACCAATGTAAGTAGTAACTGTATTGAATTATATTGATTTAGCAAATTTCCATAAAAAGGTGAATCAGAATTCAGCGCTGATCTCGGTTTGTTTCCCTTTACAGAGTTTGGGATCAGGTGAAATCGAATCATCTGGAATTATGGGGTTGGGAGCGAGTACTGAATCATTGAGTAATGGACACTTTAAGCACTGGGGAGATTCTCTGCTCGAACACCACCAAAAACTGCCAACAGATACTTCCACAAACGCACCCGATCATACCAAAAGCCAGGTTAGATTTCAATTTTTTAAATAGAACTTAATTTAATCCATACGGTTGATTTTTCACAGTTTTGGTTGCAAATCTTCAGTTTCCTGTAGTTCAGCACAAGAGCTCCATGGCTATGGTTGATTCAATTTCAATGGACTCTTCCAAGGCTGTCAATGAACAGAAGGTTAAATTTCTGTCAACGAATCATTCAGATATTTAAAACAGATTACAATTTCTGTTTCCTTCATATTTTCAGGCGCTTCGCAGGCAAGCACAGAATCGCGAAGCTGCGAGAAAGTGCAGGAAGAAAAGAAAGGTTAATTACTTTAATACTAAGAACCTACATCTCTGTTCATTACGATTTCATTCCACAATGCTCTGGCTACCTTCATATTCATTTAATTTATTTTTTACTTTAGGAATATATTCAACAGCTTGAGGACAGCCGAAAAAGGCTTAATAGGTTAGAGAAGGAGATTAAAAGAACACGCACGCAGGTAGTAAAAGCAATCCATGGTTTTTACTTTCAAGGCATCAGATTTGAGTTTTGTTGATCTTTACTCATTAATGTAGGGAACCTCTGCCGCCTCCGGGACGACATCGGTGGATCGGAGCCATTCAGTAAGCGGCAGCGGTGAGTATATGGTTTTTAAAACTGTGGATGTTGTGAGATGATTGTGTACTAATTCAGCAGAAATCTTGTAGGAGGGTCGGCATTCGATGTCGAATATACGCAGTGGCTAGACGATCACCGGCGACTTATCGATGATCTGAGATCGGCCGTAAACTCCAACGCAAGCGATGCCGAGCTGCAGCTTCTTGTTGATGAAGTGATGCTGCATTACAAAGAAGTCTTCAGGTTGAAGAGCTCCGGCGCAAAAACCGACGTGTTTCACATCCTCTCTGGGATGTGGAAAACTCCGGCGGAGAGGTGTTTCATGTGGCTCGGAGGATTCCGTTCGTCTGAGATTCTTAAGGTAGTTCAGGCAGACATTTATCATTTCATATCCATTACATCTCATATTGTCCCTGTTGTCCTAACCATCTTATCGCAGGTTCTTCGAAACCAAATCGAACATTTAACCGAGAAGCAGAAAGACGACATTAATAGTCTACAAGGATCATCTCTGCAAACAGAGGACGCATTGAACCTGGGAATGGAAGCTTTGCAGCAGTCACTTGTGGAGAAACTTTCGAATAACTCGTCTGGATCGAGCATTTCAGACAATGTCGCCGAGTACATGGAGCAGATGACCGTTGCAATGAGCAAACTCGTCATGATCGGCGACTTCCTCCATCAGGCATACTAATGATAGCCTAATATAGAAACATATATACATATGTTTGTGTGTGTGTGGATTTATTTACGAAGTAGTTATTGATCTATGACAGGCTGATCTTCTGAGGCTTAAAACACTACAACAGCTTCAGCGAATCCTGAGCACGAATCAAGCTGCGCGTGCACTGATTGCCTTCAGCGATTACAATTCGAGGATCCGAGCCTTGAGTTCTCTATGGTTAGCGCGCCCCCGGGATTGACGACAATCGTATGTTTGCAATGTAACTGTAAGAGTAAGACTGTAAGTACATCCTTTTTTTATCCTTAGTGAAGATTATTGTGTCTTTACTTTGCCATAGGCGATCTGCTTATCATGTCTCTTTAGCACTACTTTGACAAAACTTCTGTGATATTTGTGTTTTTGAATTTGCACAAAAATGATCACCAACATTAGTATGTGTGTGTATATATATGTGTATAAATGTTTTAAGAATAATCACTACAACCATCTCCATTAATATTCCACAAATTTACTTACACCAAGCGATGGTAAATATATATATATATATATATATAAATTGATCAGTTAGTTCATCCCTTCCACTCTCTTGTTTGCTCTGTTATTCTTCTTTCCTGCAACCATATATCCAGAAATCAAATTTGTCAATAAAAAGAATGTTTATCATATCATATGTGTGTGTGTATATCTATATATATATATGTCTGTGCTTACTTGATCTGTTTCTTCTTCTTCTAGAGTAGACTGCTTGTGGTATGAAAACACCTGTCCCATTTCCAGTTTTTCTCATGTTGATCATCCAAACAGGTGCTGGTACAGCACATTCCTGTTTACTCACATCCCACTTGTGATAATATCCGGCCGGAAGGCCGGAACACAGGCCCCGATTCCGGGCCTTGAATATCTCATCTACGAGATCTCCATCTCCATCTCTTTCATCTTCATCGTCATCATCGTCAGCTGTTAACTGCATAACCTGTTTTCTAAGCTCATTGTAGAAATCATCATCTCCTTCTTGAAAGTCATCCTCTTTGTGCATTTCTTTATTCAAGTAGCTCTGAAACTCCATGTGTGATTATCTTCTGCTAGTTCTTGGATTGTTTGACAATGGAGGTATTAACTAGGACACACACACACATATATATATATGTATATATATAAGTATGTATGTAAGTGGTCAACGTGGAAAGACAATGGGAAAGAGAGGTCTACAAGTCTTCTCCAAATGGCAGAGAATACATAGAATATGTGCCTGTTTTTGTATGCAGGTGAGTTGTTTTCCCGATTAGATTCATGTTATTGAAATTAAATGAGACTTTAAATACTGAAATTTATATATTAGTGAGAGAGGTCACGTGCGTCCGTTTTCTTCTTCTTCTTCTTCTTCTTATGATGATTATTAGTGGAGTATTATATTTTCCAAGTCAATAAACGCCTTATTTGGGTATAAACCGCGTTTGAGGAATCTAGACAAGTCAGTACTCAAGACAAATGGATACAGTCAAATTGTATCTATATGTTAATTAATGCCTGTGTGATGGGAATACAGAAAGACAGTCTCTCCAACAATACACGAATCATTAATAAATTCTTGAATATTAATTTAACTTGATCGAGTAAGCGCACTAACGTTGTATTTTATTAGAAGCACTATGCAGTTTATATATATATATATATATATTTCTTTGTATTGAAAATTAATAGTATATCATATTGTATGTTTGTTATCATGTATTGTATGCTGTTTGTGCTAAATGGGTTTCAATTGGCACGGAACCGTATCGCTGAACCTGGTTTTTACTTTCTTATTACATTTTTTGTCTCCAACACTTTTGAACTTGTTGTTCCCACTACATAAAAAAACATATAACTCTACAAGTTATGTGAATTAAAAGGGCCTCCATTTGACTGCAAATTTGGTATCTAGTCAAGACTAAAGAAAGCATTACAACATCAAATATTTTACAGAGGTCTCCAAGAGAAGCAATTCCAAATAAATAAAATCAAACCAAATCAAAAGTTTAGCAAGAAATGCAAATAAATATTCTGAAATACAACACACGAAATTTTACAGAGGTCTCGAAGAAATGCAATTCCAAATAGATTAAATAATCTGAAACACAACACACGAAATATAATGTGAACTATGGCAGATGCAAGAAGGTTGACAGGAATGGGAGAAACCAACACTCAACGCACCTGACCTGACATCGATTCTTGTACAATGCATCTTCGACTACTACCTGCTAGTGGCATATTCAGTAAGAACATGAGTTTGTTATATGATCAGCAAGAAGAAGATACAACAGCTCCAAGCTGCATCAAAACTGTTAAAGTCGAGCAGAAGAGAAGTTAGAGAAAGCACTTCAAAACATGTAAAAACTTGTCCTATAATTGAATAAAACAAAGAATCATCAAGAAAGATTAATACGTAAATTACGACTTCATTGCCAGCAAATCAAACAAAAACTATTGGCATGCCATGTGTAGATGAGATTTAAGAGTATTCAATAATGTAGTGTAGTGTGTAGACCTCAACTCAGTAATCAGAAATCAAAAACTTTGCTCACCAGTCATCACTTCATTGCTCCGGAGGATAAATACAGAGCTTAAATCTGGTGCCTCCGTTGTTCTGCCCTTCTTGTTTTTTTCGCTGAATTTTCCGAGCAGATTCAGCTGCTGATCTTGTGGTACAGTAGAGGTCAACTAGTTGGAGGGTTGAAATCTCTGCAAATCCTAGTGGGAGTGCTTCAAGATGGGAGCAATGTTTAAGAAAAAGATGTCGAAGTCTCGGAAAGTGATGAGCAGAAGCATTCCAGGTCTCTAACTTAGTCCTGCCGATATGTAAAACTCTCAAAGCACGAAAACCACCGTCTTCAGGTTGCCACCAGTCTCCCTCGAATGCATTGTCTTTCAGTTTAAGGATCTGGAGGTTATCCAACCTGCCTAGAATAGACATGTGCTTCCAATCGAGTAAGGTATCCGATAATGTAAGCTTTTTCAGCTTCGGAGGAAACTTGTAACTCAGAGGAAGTGTCATAAGTTTCCCCTCAGATGGCGGGCGCGGGAATACATCATTCAACAGCTTTAAATTTTCAAGATGACTCAATTTACCCAAACTATCAAATAGCATACTTCCACTCCTGTTTTCGAGAAGCATAGATACCTGACCGCGAATGCCCAAAACATTCAGATTTGGAACTCTGGCAAACACTTCTTCGCTACAACTTTCAGGGGATATCATCGAAAGTGTTTGCAGGCTACCGATCATCAAGGCATCGTCTTTACTTTTTCTTGATTTGGAAAGAGGGGATGGTAGACTTGTGGATGCATTTGTTTTTACATGCCTCAAATGAATCATCTTCCATATATCTGCCCTAATGTCAAGTGTCCGATGAGATGTCTCAATGACAAAAGTTTGAATGTTCCACAGGCAGGAGAGGGTTGCAGGAATTACCTTAAAATCACTCGAAAGAACAATGTACCTCAAGTGAACAAGTTGGGTAAGATCATTAGGAAAACGACCAAAGATTAAAGACTTAGCGTCCAATACTCTGAGCAGCATAAATGATCCAGGGATGTGTGAGTTGAGCTCAACCGGTAAGATATTTTCTTCAGCCGAGAAACACAAGAACGAACGAACTCGCGGACCATGTGGCTTTGAAGCAATATAGCTCAAGACACGGGTATGTATACAGAGGCGACGATACTTTTCTAAGGCCAGGTTGGTAGATGAATGGGTGCCTTGATCAGAATGCTTTATTTCTTGGAAAAAATTCTCTTCTGCTGCTTCAGTTTTGCAGAATTCATGCAGCATGTCATGAATGCGGCATGTTTTGATCTTACCGTTTGATCTGAATCGTCCAACCATCACTAAATTCCTATTGACAAGATCCTCCAAGTATTCCTCTGCAATATCCTCCAAAGTCATTCCCTGTTGCTCCTGAATGAACCCTTCAGCAATCCACAATCGAACCAATTTCCAAACCGGGATCTCGAAGTCTTCAGGGAACATCCCAAAGTAGATAAAGCATGACTTCAAGTGATAAGGCAAGTGATTGTAACTCAGAGATATAAACTCATTCATTCTTCGGTCCTGGCCCATGGCAATATATGCATCAACCTTATTGGCAACAGTTTCCCACCAGTCTGGACCTTTTTCAAGCAGAATCCCTCCGATTACCACGATTGCAAGGGGTAGGCCACCGCATTCATTGGCTATACGCTTCCCATATTGCACCAATTCCTCGGGGCAGTTCTCTTCACCTAGTGCCTTTCTTTGGAGCAACCTCCAACTTTCATCATTCGTTAGAAAGCGTAAGTCGTGAGGATCCCTATTAGGATTAGCATGCTTTCCAACATTCTTGATTCGACTGGTGATCAATATTCGGCTCCCCTTGTTGTTCTTGGGGAAGGCAACCTTGAGATCAGTCCAAGCTGCCTCAGTCCAAACATCATCCATTACGATTAGATATTTTCCCTTCCCAAGCTCCTCATAAAGTTTTTTAGCCAACATTTCATCGGTCATCTTATTGATAGCATCAGTGATCTGGGTGAAATGACCCAAAATGTTCAGGAACACCTCCTTTCTGCTATACTCTTGAGAAACATATACCCAAGCTCGCCTGTAGAATTCGAATTCAGTTCTAGGGTCACGGTAGACCATTTTGGCCAATGTTGTCTTCCCAAGACCGGGCATCCCAACAATCGAGATAACTTCTAAGCCATCAGATCCTCCTTTGAGAAGTCCAATCACTTTTGTTGCTTCATCTTCAAAACCCACAACATTGTCCTCTTCAACTATGGGAGGCTGTTAAAAATTGGGAAAACAACTTAGCCACAAAAAAATTCAACAAATTAATACAGGTATGCATCAGATCAATTTCAGATCACTCAAACACATTTGTGCAGTTCTCTATCAAACAAAATGCATTTCAACACTATAGATCAAGATGAATTCAGAACTCAATCAAGACTTTGGATTACTTATGAACCTAAACTCATTCGTCAACAAATAATGTTCCAATGTCCTAGAGGTCATAGACAACAATAGAAGAGTCTTATCTTGTATGTTCTTGGCATTAAAAGGTTTCACAGCCTACACTCACAGCTTGCTTACAAAACATTTCGTATATTTACTAGCATAGCATTCAAAAAGTTGTAACAATTAGAACACCGTTGCCATATAGAGCATAAATGTTGAATAAGATTAATGTTTCCATACTAGTATCCAGACAATATCAGCAGGATTCATACAATAAATGCACTACAGCTAAAATGTGGTATGAACTCAAGCTTATATGTCCACATGCCACTCTAACCTCACGAGTAACCTATCCAGAACAAAACTGTGCTTAAATTAACCTAACAATCAGACTCACTGCATACAATTTAAAGCTCTCCATAAAGTAGGGAATAATAACAGAAGCAATCTAATGATTAAACAACAAACCACGGTCATCTATTGAATCATTACCTTTTTCTCTTTGGTGCCTTTGCCAGCTCCATCCGGATCGGTTAGAGCTTCAAATCCAAATTTCTTATTATCGTAAATATCCTTCACCTTCGCCCTAATCTTCTCGATTTTCTTTGCCAGCTGGCGGAGCGTTGCGTTATAATCAAGGATGTGAATCATTTTCTCTATGACCTTCCGAGCCTTGTGGTGTGCTTTTGTAGCAACAAAGGTGTCGATGGCATCCTCAGCTTCGTACACGACGTCTCTGATCTGCTTGACCAGCTCCTTGAGTATCTGATTGCTGCGGCGCTTTTCGGTGGAATCCTTGAGGAAAGCTTTGAACAAGCAGAGGTCGTTGTAGAGGAACTCGACCTGATCCTTGATGTCGAGAATCAAGCTGGCGTTGTAGAGAAGCAGCTGCTTCAAATTCTCCAGCAGAAACTCGACCGCCGCGTCCGCCATTGATCATCGGAACACTTCTTCCTCGCATAATTGGAGCGAGAAATGGCGGAGGAAGCAATTTATGGAAGACTTGGGAGTTGACTACACTCAGCCTCAGCTCCCGCGTTGCTTTTCTTTTTTTTTTTTTTTTTCTTTTTTTTCTTTTTTTTAAACCTCACACAAATGCACCTTCCGGATTGAACCGAGTCATCTCACATCGTTATATAGTTAACTTTTATTTTTTTAATAAAAATTCAATACTTTTTTTTATAAAACCTTACAACAAAATTTAAATAAAAAAAATTAAAATTAAAATAAATCTCAAGTTTTTTAAAAAAAAACATAACCTAAGATATATTACAAATAACTATATAAAAATATTTTAAAATTTAATTAAATTAATTTATATTTATTAAATATATTTAATATTAATAAATTTATTAAAATTAAACTTATCTAACTGTTATAAAACCTACGGTACATAATAAGATTTTATTTAAAAATAATATATTAAATAATAAAAAATATAAATAAACATTTTAATAGTAAAATTATTTATATTTAAAATAATTTATCTAATAACAAATGTCAAAAGATTATTTAAAAATATTTTTTGTTAATTCATTTTAAAATCTTTAATTACATATTTATTTTGTAAGTAAGTACAAAAACAATAAACTAAGGGCCCAGTTTTAGAAGTGGCCGACCCGGGCGGGGCCCAGGGCCGGCGCTGCCGTTATGCACTTTCGGCCGTTGACTTGGGATAATCAGACCTCATAGACTAATCCAAATATTAGACACCAATGGATGGATGGGTAATGAGAATCAAAATACTACACTTGCTCAAGCCTTAATGTTAACCGATACAATTGAAAATACAGTGCTAATAATATGACAACGACCACGACGACGATGAAGTCTAAACATTTGCAAGACTATGGGGAAAAATATGGAACAACAATGGACGAGACTCAGGACAACAAAGATATCTATATATAGATATATATATATATATATAATACTTGAAAACAAACAAAGGAGGATTGGATTATCCATCCAAGATCTATCAGATCACACTAACAGAGAAAATGGCAATCACAAGACAACTACACTTTGCCGTCGTTGCTGTCTAGCTTGACATCACATGATCGATTGATTGCAATGCTTGATTCGCAAAAAAGCGGACGTCGACATCGGGGTCCTCCGCAAGGTCTACCAATGCGGGGCGAATCGTTTTCTCCACTACCTACAGAATGAAGGCATGCCATTGTTAAGTCATCCTAGGATGTATTTGTATATATTATGAGATTTATCGTAAGCCAATATGTGAGGAAGAGAAAGAATGAAAACTCGAGGACTTACAGATTGATCGACAATGGGTATCATGGATTGCAACACCTTGGCCACGTTAAATTTAATGTTGGGTACCCTGCATAATATAGTAGTAGTTCTGTGTTAATGTGGAAACTGTGTAAATTGCTAGTTATGGTGTTGGGGTGGGTGTGGAAAGACGACTCTACCTGTCCTTGGTTGCATTAACAATCACGGGTAATAATTTAGAGCAGGTTATTTCAGCACCCATGACTGGAGCAAGTAGCGAAATTGCGCGAAGAACAGTCATGCGATATAGATAGTGTGGATTGTTTACCATATCCAAAACCTGCGGAAAAAAATTCCGACCACTGGGTAAGCCTATACCAAACATGTCAAAATTGATTATAAAACACAAGGCCTCTCAAATGTTTACCCTTCTATTCACATAAAACAAGTTGACCATTAAAATCCTATAACATTCTGTTGGTAAAGTAACAGCATTGGTAAATCAAAGAAACAGCAAATGGAAGCATTTTTAAATATTCAATCACAAACCTGAGGAACAATGTGTTGCATTGCCCATTCTGGACCAAATTCTTCTGCCAGACGTTTCAAATTGTTAGCTGCAGCATCCCGAATAGAGTGAACCTGCAAATATGTCCGAAAGTTAAAGACATAAGTTGTAAGTCATGCTTATCCAAACATAGGGGGGCAGAGGGAGATGAGGAGCACGAGATGAATACGAGAATTATCCTCATTAACAGTAGAAAATGACAAAAAAGAGAGTGCAAAGAAAACAATTTTAGGTTAAAGTGAAACATGAAACATATTAAAGATCACATCAAAGGCATGGATTTCAATTTTCAAACAGGCAGCTTCTACAGCCCTATTGCTTCCCATCAGATAAATGGAAAGATGATTATAAAACTAAAAATACACATGTTAGCAACTGGTAATATCCAACCTTGTCCTGAAGCCACTGCATGCAAAGGGCACCAAGCTTATCATCGAAAAATCCAACACCCAACTGACTAGCCAGCAAGGGAATATATTCTATGATGGCAAGCCGAACTCTCCAGTGCCTATCCTCTGCCAGCTCAACGATCGCAGGTAACAATGATTGAGAAAGTAAGTCAATTCCAATAACCTGTGTGTACCAAAAAGCATATTAGCTGGAAGAAATTGGACATAAACACAAAAAATGGACCACCACAGACCTGGTTGACTTGATCCAGCTTGCTAATGATATTGAGGCGAACATCAGGAAATTCATCTTTCAAAAGGGAAAGAAATATGGGAAGAAGTTGTTCAATTGTTGCATCCTGTATCAGCCAGAAAATACAATCACAAAACATGTTCAGATCGATAAGCACGTCACTAAGAAGGTAAGAAGAAAAACATGCCATATTTAACAAAAATGTTACAACTTACAATGATATAAAGCAGGTAAATGACAATGAAATGATAAAGATGCATTGGTTGGATAGGAATAAACTATATGATCGATTGAAATTTCACCTTGCATCAGAATCAAAACAAAAGAATCTACTGTTTAAGGATGAAAAGGCATCTAGTACTTTCCTTCTTTTTTTGTTTTATGAGTCATAAAAAGCCTACATTAACCAGATGCAAAAAGTCAATCAAAGAGGAAAAATAATAAACAGTGTCAATTAACAGGATATTGAACCTATGTGAGGTAGCTGAAGCTTAACAAGGAAAATGTCAAGAACCATGCGCTTGATAGGCAAAGAGCTATCAACAATACAATAAGAACACCGCTATAACAAACTCAATTGTGTTGACAGAAAATTTATTAGTATGCAAGCAAGTAAACTAAACAAGCACATGAATAGCAGCCTCTTAGCATTGAAATCATTTCAGACTCCTTATGTAAATATGACTACTAGAATTTGCAAAAAGTGGTCACCTTTCCTAAAACAGGAGCCATTCCCATTATCACTGATGCCAAGGCAGACCTCACATGCTGTGAAGAATCGGAAGATAATTCCTGCAACCAATCACCTCCAATTATGATACAAGCAAAGGAGGTCATTGTAAAATAGATTCCCAACTATACAAAGATCCAGCTTCATTCATGCAGAAAATTGGGGGATACCTTCACACATGGAAGAATGTGCTGAATAGCAAGATCAGGACTAAGAATTCGACAAAATTTTGTTACTTTTCCAGCAGCAGCTATTCTCACTTCAGCTTCATTGTCGCGGAGCAGGCGGACATATGCAGGAACCAAATCCGTCCTTGACACATCAAATGACTCGAATTATGAACAAGGTCAGAGGAAAAAGAAGATACTCTATTTATCAATGCCACTATATTCCATAAAAAAAAATGTTCATGGCAATCATATATTAACACTAGAAAAGTATGTGTGCTTCAGTCAGACACTGGCACCAGTACAAATTACACAAAACCACAAAAGAGAAATTGAATAACAAATAGCATTATCAAATACACAGGGATAAAACTACACATTGTAAAATCTTATGCATTACCAAAAAGACAAAGGGGTGGGAAATATAATGTCATATAAGATATAAAATCAAAAAAGAAGATAAAAACAATACCGAGTGGGTTCAGGGCCCACAGCTTCACATAGCTCATAGAGTTGGTTGGCAACCATGTAACGCACACGCCAAGACTTATCCTGACATACACGAAAACAGAACACATTAAAACAAAGGAGGGTAGGAAAGAAGGGAGCCAATAAAATTTATTATTCTAAGTGATCGCCGTAAGATAAAATTCTAGATATATGCCAATAAAGTCGAAGTTACTTGATATTGCTCTTAAATTGGAAAGCTACAAAAGTACAGCATTTAATTCAGAAAAGATGATCAGATATTCTTTCCACCAACATAGGCCATATCAAACAGCAGAAACCCCGCATAAAAATTGTCAATAAAACAAGTTAAACTGATCCAATGGTAATCACTGGAATGAAATAATAGCAGGTCCAGCATTAATAATTAGGAAAATCAACATTCAACAACATCACAAACGTACCTGTGAGAAGTTAACGATTACAGGGAGAATATGTGCAACACAATCTTGAGGTTCTAATAGCTTTCCAAGAGCAGCAGAGCCCTCAACAGCTAGCAAGCGAACAGAATCCTGATCTGATAAAGAGAATAGCATTAGTTAAACACCAGCCTACCTATCCTGTTACATTTGTCATTGTGTTGATAAACTTTATGTAAGATATTCCACTTAAATTACTTTACTCATTTATCCTGCACATAAATAGGACATGATTTTTTTACCTTTATTTCCTATTTGAAACTTCTATAAGCAGCACATATCCTAACCATAGGTATCTCATTTATCAATTGAGTTAAATTCCAAGAACCATCCAGTTATCAGAAAATTATTAAGTATCCACAAAAGCTGGAGGTTCAAGGTTTTACCATCTTGTGTAAGATCCTCAAACATAGCCATGATATCAGTCTTAAGATGAGCAGCTTCCACAGTGGCTGCAAACTTCCCCAAATTTGTTGCAGCAGCCCTCCTTACCATAGGCATATCATCTTGACACAGTTGGGCATATATTGACCTCAATTCAGTCTTTAATATATCCGGGGCACTTGGGTAAGCAATATGAAAAAGCCCACAAGCTGAAACTCGAGCCGTGAACCACTCACCAGCTGCCAGCCTCTGAAATTGAAAATACAAGTATATGCAAAAACCTAACATGAGAACCTAACGAAGAGGCACAGCTTCCATATCAAAACAGGTAGAGGCAAATTCATGCATTTCCAAAAGAAGGACATTATTGATATCAACATAATTACTTATTTAAACATATTCCACAATAGAACTTCCAGAAAAATCTTTAACCATTTGCAAACTACTTGAAGGAGGAAGAAGCAAGAATCATAAATTTAAACAACAACAAAAGTCACATAGTATAATGCTTCCGAAATTTCCAACTATGGCACAGTATCCTCCTCCCTAGCACAGAAACAGAGAGAAAAAACTGCATTCGCCCCTTGAAAATGAACTGCAAAATGTATCATGCTTGAATATACACATAGGCTGTGGATGGTTATTAGTAAAATGATTTCTCCTCTCATTTCTAAAATTTGTAGCGAGCAAGGCTGAAATGAAGGAAACAAGAACCACACAAAGAAAAACAGAAAGAATTAACAATAATACCAACTCTGACACTTGTTTCACCAATGACATAACCCCTAACGTCATAGCAATCTCAGTAGCAATAACACAAACTAACAAATAGCATAATCTATATCTGACCTTCACAAGAGGAATAAATGAGTCAACCAAATCGCTTTCTCTCATCTGTGATCCTATTCGGCATAATGACTCTACAGCTTTGTCCCTAACACATGTCTCCTCCACGGTACAAAGTGTTTCAAGAGGAGGGAGCAATACATGAGCATGCTCCACCCCTCCAACATATGGAATGAAAACACCCAATTCTTCAGCCATGGCAAGTAGCACCTCATCATCATCGTCATTATTCTCACTCAGAAATGGGATCAACTCTTTTCGAGTCCTTTCCTCCCCAAGCGCCCGCGCTATAGTGGACAGTCTACGTATGGAGTTTAATCGTAGTTGAATGTCATCATTCTTCAGCTCATCTATCAATACTGCTATTGGATACAGTGGCTCGTCCACCATGGACATTGTCACAAATTAATTTTCCTGTAGAGACGATATTGATCAAAACAAATTTCGAAACAGAAATGAATATTATGTAATCTACAAGATAAATAACAGCAAGATTTTCCAAATGCAGAGGAAAAAAAGAAAATGACTATTCATTACAAGAAACCCGCATCCGGATTGACATTCGATCCTACAACACAGTGTAAAATGAAGCAGAATAATTGCTTAGCCCCTTTTAGAAAGGGAAATCTGGTTATCCAAATCCACCAAAGCTCTTCAGACGTTATTAGCAAAGAAGTTTTCTCTGAAACAAACGTTGTTCTCCAATAGCATTTAGAAACAAGTGATGCAAACGTCTCTGCTAGGAAAAACCAGCTCAATTTTCTTTCTAAGATTCCCTAGAGGCTAGAATACCAAATCCTAGCCGCAGTTCAGAAAGGGCAAACGGAGTAAAACTTTCAATTTCAAATTTCAAATTTAATTACAAAACTGCAGAACGAACCACACGTTCAATCAGATGTAAACTACGAGTCAAAACTGCAGAACGAACCACACGTTCAATCAGATGTAAACTACGAGTCTATCATCGATTCAATTAAAATAAACGAACACAGATAAAAACCCAATAGGAAAAATCTAAGATCTGGCAGCGAAACGAATCGAAATCTCAAAACAAGACCAGACCTCAAACACACACAAAAAACGCATAGATTGATGCTATGAAGTTCCACAAAAACGTAGAAACAAGAAAATTGAAGACTCACCAGAGGCTGCGACTGCGAGTTCCGGCCGGCTTCCTCCGATCCAAAGGGTGTTGGAGATTCAAAGAGATCTCTGTAACTCCAGATGCGCTTTCATGTAAATCGCGAAGGCCGATACCTTCCCCTTTCTTTGCTATTATTTTTATTTTTTACTATGCCGAAAAAACGTTGCGACACTAAATGCGACTTTAAGACCTTTGATAAAATCGTCACCGTCTTATGCCAATTTGGGATTTGGCCTTTCTCGGTCACAAAAGTCACGTGACTGACTGCTAATAAAGAGAAATGGATTATACGTTATATTTACACAGTTTTTTTTTTTTTTTTTTTTATGTAATTGATAAATTTGTTTTTAATGGTATTATAGAAATTAAAAGTAGTAAATGAATGAAGGATAAAAAAAATAAAATTTGTGTTTAAAAAAAAAAATATGACAATACTTATTGGACGTCTCAAAATAGAAAAATAGGATTTTTTTATGGATGGAGAATATATAATTAAATGTAATATTCAAAAAAAAATTGACTAAAGGATTTGTTTGGTTACAAATTGGAGATGCTATATAACTTTTTATTCTTTTCATCTTAATTACTCGTTACGGTATCTATGTGATCCATAGTTTACTTTTATTTTTTTATAAGTCAATTACAATATTAGCCATCGGTTAATAAGATCAAATCAATGATAATACATTTTAGTATATAGGAAATTTGAATCTATAACCTCGTAGTTACAAATTCACTTTTACATCGTCAAATTATCTTTTATAGGATAATACATTTTCTAATATAATACTTTGGTTATTTAATTTATTATTAAATATTCTTTTAAAACCAACATGACCATATTCAAAATGAATCTGAATTTTACGTTGTAATAAACAAAGCATGGTAATTTACAATATTTACACCTACATTTTGAAGCAAAACATTATTTTTTACAGTAACGAGAGAGCATTGATCAGTGGCCGGAAGAGGTGCGAAGCAGCCGGAGAAATACAACGGCTTTGGTCCACGGGTTTTGATAGACGCGCGTAAGTGGTCGCCGCCTAGCTGGGTTCGGGTTCTTTGCCGCCGCGGAGTCGTAGTCGTTATCGTAAGTGCAAATTAAAGTTACTTTCTTGTCCAAAACACTTATCATCACTGATTGAGTCTCTCCTGGAGAACAGCCTCAAATTTTAGCAATGTTTTTCAATGTTGCAATAAAGTGTCGAAATATTATGCAATTAACATTAAATAGACAAGGAAATGAATGATACAAAAATTGAATGAATGGGCAAAATAATACATGTATATATTTATGTAAGTGCAATAATTTCAACAATCAATTCAAAGGGAAATTAATCACTAGGCCTAGCAAATAGCAATATGCATAAGTGTACTGCGAATTCATGAGCAATTATTGTCTGAGCAATAATTATACGTGGGAGCTGAGGTCCATGGATCCCCCTGGGAATTGGGAGGATGGCACTTTTTCTGGACTGCTATTTTTTATTTTTTTTTTAATAGAAAAAATGACTTTCTCACCCGAAAATTATTTGCTTTTCTAAGGGGAATCCAATGGGATAAAAGCAACAACTTAGCCCATCATATCCATATTTATTGATTAATAATTAATCAAGATTGTGTAACTAAAGTCAAAATGTAATAAAGATAACCCGTATTCTTGAGGACTCCAGGGAGCCGGAGGACACAGCCTTGTTTGGTGGCATTTGTTTCCCCCAGAGTTGCGGTCCCTGGAGCTCCCAAGAATCACTCCAACATCCCACCGCTAGGGGCTAGTTCTTCTCCCCGTTCTCAGTTTCAGATCAAACCCACAATGTTCGTACCACACTCACATCTATATATCTATGAATCCATATATATATTGTCGGAAACAAACAGAGAATCCAAAGCCCAGAAAGAAAAAGAAAAAAAAAAAAAAAAAAAAGAATAAGAAAAACTGACCATTCATTTTGGACATAATTTCAGCAACTCTTTGCTGGCACCTGGAGCACTTAAAATCTGCCAAGAACACCACTTCTTGAACCTGAATGAATTTTCCATTGGGATTAATTAATTTATGGAAGGGGTGTGGTTTTTGGAAAGAAATTAAATTAAATTTACAGAAACTAATGGAGATTTATCATCAGACAGAACTATTAACAATAATGGGAAGTTAATTCGAGCATCAACTCACAAGAGGAATGGCTAATGATTCGATTGCAGCCAGGGTTGTCCTTCCCGAAACGACGCCGTTTCCTGCGCCCTTCTTCCATTTCCTATTTTCCGACATTCTTCAATTCTTCTTCTTCTTACAATAGAAACATATATGTACATATGAGAGGGTTTTGGAAGAGTGTAAAAAGGCGTCTACCAACAAAGCTATAATTTAATCTCAATGACAAGACGACTATGCCTATCTTTCTTGAGTGAGTCTTGAAATATTGTATGTATATAATAATACATATATATATATATATGTATATGTAAAAGTGTATACGTCTTTCCAAAGCTTGCTGTGTTGGGAAGAATGGGGCCCCAGGGGTATGACACAGAATGGTGATGACGAGTGGGTAAATTCTTGGGCACTCCTGGATCTCGAACCTGGGGAAAATTCTAACCATTTATGATGGAATGAACCGTGTGGATTTACACAGGACTTGAGGTCCCTGGAGTGGATTGCCCACGAGTTGGTGAAAGATACATACTTTGAAGTTGTTCCACAAATTTGACACAACTTTTTATTTCTCCAAATGGAATATTGGGGAGATTGGTTGCAATTATTTATGTAATCATACTATGTAATTATATATCTTATAGGATAAATAATTGTACCTGTAATTGATATAGGTGTAATTTAGGTAAAATTTAAAAAGTATTTTGGTATTAATATAAAATTATTTTTATTAAAATAGAATTGAATTGAAATGGATGAAGCAATTAGGATGTGTTTGCTTTGATTTTGATTTTGTATTTTGATTTAAATAATGATTTGATCATAATATTTTTGTAAGAATAAATTTATTTTTATAGAATATTGTGACAATTGTATATGTAAAATATAAAATGGAATATAACCTACCATCAACTGGTTGATACTGTTTTGATCCTGTCAACTTTTTGGTGTACCATAGTTGTTTATAATTTATTTACCAATGTGATGAGAAGAAGAGGTGCAATGAATGTATAATTTGGATTTGAAGTAATTGAATTAGGCATGTGCAGGGAAACTGTCTATTTTTTATTTTTTTATTTTTTACTGAATAAGGAATAGAAAGACTTTGACTGATCAACAATGTTTGATCAAACCAATTCAAAGGGCTAATACTCATTGCTTGTACGTATTAGTATCATCTTAGGGTGTGTTTGTTTGGGGTTTGGATTTTGAGTTGGGATTTGAATAGTAAAAATTTTGAATTTGAATAATTGTACGATGTAATATAAATAGGTATTGATGTGATATTTTGAATGTAAAATTGATTTTTAGTATTATATAAAAATGAAAAATAGGTGTTTAATTTGATGTTTTTGGGGGAAAAAATGGGATGAATAGTGAAAATCTAATCCAATCCCCCAAACAAACACACCCTTAATATATACTTCATCCGTCCATTTTTTATTGTTCTGAATTATATTTACACGATTTTTTTAGGTGATTGTCTTTTTTATTATAAATGGACAAATTTGTCCTTAAGTGTATGGTAGAGATTAAAAGTAATAAATGAATGAAGGGTAAAAATGTAAAATTTGTGTTTAAAAAAAAAAAGAAAATAGGACAATAGTTGTTGGACGTCCCAAATATGAAAGTAGGACATTAGTTTGTGGACGAAGGGAGTATGTATTTTTGTAACAATATGCATACAGTACAGTATTTAAAAAAGACAGGGTAGTAAGGAATGGTAAAAAAAAAAATGTATATATATGTTCTTTACATTCGTCTTACTTTGAATTGTTTTCTTTAGGATTTTATAGTTACAAATATGTGACAAGTTGAACATTTTAATATAGTATGATAAAATCGAACCATTTCTGATATTAGAATCTATTTCCCATTTTTTTATTATTAATACCTCAATTTGTTTCCAAAAATTTAACACTAAATACTAGTTTTCACATCATATGTATTATTGCTCTTTAAAAATGGTGATCAAATTTGACTGGTTAATTATGTCTACATGTAGAGTTCTGACCAAGTTAAAGATAGGTTTAATTAGATTAATTTATGTGGCCATGTTTTATGTTTCTATCTGACCTCCAAAAACATTAAGACAAATGAATCCCTAACTAAAATTATTATCTATCTACCAATCAAAAAGAAAAAATTAAATAAAATTAAAAATAGCAATGCTAAAAACCGCCGCCGAGGAGGGAGAATGGGTAAGGCAGCGGCGGCGGACTCGCCTCCTCCGCCGCCATCACTCCCAGATAATTCACTCGAATCCGCCGGAATTTTCGCCGGAGGAACAGCCATAATGATCCAACTGTGTGCCAACAAAATGCACCCTGTTATGGTAACTGAACCACTCCGGCGAAGAAATCTCCAGTGACGGCGAGGATTGGTTGCCGTCGGGGGATGACTGGTCATGATGATCGGCGCAGGCGCCGGCGCTGCTGAGGGAGGAGCTGGAGACTGCTCTCCCTGACAGGGAATTGGAGGAAATGTAGTCATCAGGGGAGGTAATAATGAGCTTTCTCTTCTTGTCGGAATTTGGCAGAGTTCTGAGCCTTTCTTTCTCGAGGATAATTCGGGGGAGGATTTCAGGGTCCTCAACAACCTTGGCCAAGAATGTCATCATTTGGTGGGGGCGGCGCTCGGTGGCCTGGAGGCGTCGGTTCATGCTTTCGAGTTCTTGTTCGAGGCTCCTCTGGTCCTGGTTCAGCATGGCGATCTGATCCATGAAGGCCTCGTCGTCGATCGTTGATTCCGGGGAAGGGGTTCGGATGGTGGTGCCGCCCTGTTTTCGCCGCCCGATGTTGCATAGGAGCTGAGTTTGTCCGCGAAGGAACCATTCGTTGGCGAATTCCCATCTGTCGGGATCGACTTTCCGGAAGCCCTGTGAGGAGCAGATCAAAACATTAATGGCAGTTCTTTGAGTTCCTTAAACCAATTGGACAAACAGATCGGGGAGACAATGGTGAAGATTAGTAGATGTAGGTAATGAATTTTGGGGATGATTCATACAATGTGAGAACTAACTTAGTGATAAAATTTGATGTAAAGTTTACTTTACTAGTATAGAAATGTGTGTAGATGATTTGATTCATGTGCTAAAAAAGAGGCACTATTGGAAAGATGTACTAAAATAACTTGGAAGTGTTTAGCTTGTATAGTATAAATGATGGGAAAGGATTATGAAAGCACAAGATTGTTTAGATACATAATCAGATGGCATAAATATAAACTTCATATTATATATAAAAATAAATGATTTGAAAATGTGGATAGTATATATTATGGCTGTGTTCTTATTGTAAAAATATACATATATATATATATATATTACTATAAAAAATATTTATTATTTTTATATTATTAACATAATTTTTTATATTATATATAAAAAATTAAATAAATTAAATATATCTCTTTAAACTATTTTAAGAAGCAAAAACACAGTATCATATTTCCTTGTATCTTTTCTTAAGTACTGCAGTTAATGAAACAGTTTCTTGATTCTATCTTCATCAAGATCACTGTAGCATTAGTAGGCTGCCAATCAATGGTGGCAAAAGCTCGCACATATACGAGCAGCTCGTCAGTACACGTGTGTTTTTCCAAGTCCACATAAAAGCATGGTCTACAAAATTGTGGCTATGAATGTCTACAATTTTAGTATTTTATTTTCTGCGAGTGAATGAATTCCACGCAAGGTCTTTTCTAGGCCTCCATTTCTAGGTTAGATAAACGATTGTGGTCTAATCAAGTTTCAATCATTGGCGTGTCTAGTTTACGGATGCAATTTGTCCCTATCCCATCATCAATCATCGCATTCTACCATTCACACGTTTGTATTTCGAGAAACAACAAAAGGCTAAAAAATATTATCAGTTCTTCAACAGTGCGCTTAATTTCACCAGCACAAAGCTCGGAACAAATGAATCTCTAATTTCAGAGCACAGATTTAAAACAAAAGTTAATGATATCAGGCATGCATCACCCAACCTTAGAACTCCGCTTACTAAAATTTCCACTAAAAAATAGCACCTCAGCAGCATACATGAACCCCTAGCGCATAAGAAATTGGTTGAAATCCTATGCAAAATAATAAAATCCAGGAAAAAAGCACTTGAAACAGAACAACCGATTAAAATCAAATCGAAACTTAATTAAAAACTCACATATGTATTGAGCTGCCGCACGAAGCTTGAAAAATTATGGTGCTTAAAATACGCCGGCAAAATCCTCTCCGAAAAATCCAACGGCTCCAAAACAATAAAACTGTTGTTCTCCTTTCCCCAAGCGATGAGTCCATTTGTCGCCGGATCATTCACCATCTGATACGTTTTCATCACAAACGGCGCAATTACATTAACATTACCATTCGCCTCCATTCCGCACAAAACACATACGCCCGATCCACTGTATATCCCCCGAACTCAAACCGCCTCCGTATCTGAACGCCAACTGGAGAGAAAGAGATTGGGCAGACCAGTGGAGGAGATGAAGAAATTATGCATTCAATTCGGATAGCGAGAGAGGAGCGTGGTTATATATACAAGACGTGACCCGGGATGGGGATGGGGCCCATGGTTGGTTGTCCGGGTCGGGCCATATCAGAGACAACATGTGGTACTCTGGATATTGGGCTGAGTGGATATTTCCATTTGGGCCCCACCCATGTATCTACTTTTACCCTTTATTTTATTTTTTAAAAAAATAAAATAAAAATCTATCTATATCATGTTTCAGAAAGAGACAAGTTATGGTCTCTCTGTTTAGGATATTTTTAAACTTTTTATTATTAATGTATTTTAATTATTTTTGTTGCATATTTATTTAAAGACCCAATTATTTTTAGTATTTCTATAATTATTCTCTTTTAAATATCACATATAATTAGGATTAATTTCCATATTAATAAATAAATAAAATGGTCCCCCACAAGTTTTGGCGGGAAGAACAGTACAGCTCAAGCGAATCATGTTCGGATAACCAATATTATCTACCTTTTTATATATTGGGATTTCTAAAATAATAATAATAATAAAATAATACGTAAATACATAATAAAATTAATTTAATCGATCTGTTTTAACATTGTTTGAATTATTTATTTCTTTGTAAATAATAATAATAATTGAGCAGTTAGATACGATTGGCAGCCAAACGAATGAGAGTAACGCAACGCATCGTGCTTCAATTAATTTAATATCAGTATTTTATTTATTACTGTCGTTATTATTATTTTTTATTTAACTTTGGCCTTTGGGTTCAGGAAAATGGATAGATTGAACAATTTTGTTATGATATAAATAAATGCAATTGTCACTTTCTTAGGCTGTGGTCCAATTACTGTCGGACAACAACGGCTTGGTATAAGCAATTGTGCCCGATCCAGGAATTTTATTAAAAGAATGAAAAAAAAAAAAAAAAGAGTTTGGTATTGGCCAATGGGAATTTTTTGCAATCCTATCCTACTATAATATATATGGGGTATTCAAAATATTTATATATAGTAATGTTGTTTAATGTATTTTATTAAAAATACTTCATTCGTTCCACATACCATGTCCACGTTGCCGTTTATGTCGTTCCATATTCTATATTACTTTCCTTTTTTTTAAACTTTATAATTTATTTTTTTAATTTTAATTAAACTAATTAGTTATCTTAATCTTAATTTATGATTATTTATATTATAACCTTAATTTATAATTATTTTCACTAATACATTCTTAATTATCTACTAATTACACTCCTTCTATAAATACCGCGTCTACAGTGCAACAAACGTGATATATGAGACGGAGAGAGTAATATATTTTTATTAAAAAATGATAAATGACCAATGTAGTACTCCTTCTCTTCTATATATTCATATATTTATATTTTAAAATATTTAATTATGAAGTAATATATTTTTATAATAATTATAGATTTAATTTTTTCTTTTTTTACAAATATATCTATCTTACCATTATATCATTATAATTACAATTAAAAAATGAAAAAATTGTGTTTAGTATTTTAAAATATACATGCAAAATAATTGTTGATACATCATACATGGTCACCTAGCCTATTTTGAGAGAATAAATTTTTTATTTAAGATATTGACTTTGTTTATGCAATACATTTTCAATCATTTGTAACTATTTTTTTTAAAAAAATATCACATTAAATTTTTTTTTTTTTTTTATAAAAAATCAAATCAAATACTAATTTTTTTTACTTTTTTTTTCAAACTTCCATCCGAACAAAGTAATATCCAATACAAGTCGGGAAATAATAGTTAATGATTGATATGATAAAATAACAATCAGTTCATCACTACTTAATAGATTCATGGCATAAACAGTGCATAACGGAGGAGAATTGTGGAGCAGAACTTACTGTGAAAGAGAATATGAACATGACGAGCAGTTCCAATGGAAGTTGCAAGAATTCAATCAGGAAAGGAACTCTGATTCGTCCCACTGAAGAACAGCGGAGTCCAAATTCTGCTCTCGCTTCAGCTTATCCTTAACGAACCAATCGCATATCCTCCCCGCGTTCAGATCCTCGATTCTACAACCTTCTTGCTCCGATATCACTCTCAGAAGGTTCAGCGACGAAATCTGGATTAACAGCGTTATATTCACCCTATTCCATTCAATTCCCCAAATATCCAAACGAAAACCTCACATGACCCCTAGGTTAAAGCATCGACAACACAATTACCGTTAATCGGCATAGAAACCGCTCGTGAGTGCTGAGTCCGGAGATTTCAACTAATCCAGCTTCTTCTAGCGATAAGAAACTCCGCTGCTCGGATTTCTTCTCTCCGCCGTCGCCGCTGCGTAATTTCACGGTAAGCCTTCTGTTTCTGATATTCAACCTTTTGAAATTGGATAAAGGCTTGAACAGAAAATGCGGCTGATAGTTTCCTGCATACGCTACCATCTTCATACTCCCTCTCTTCCCCGAGCTTGTTTGCGAAACGATGAGATGATGATTTGAAGAGGCTGAGAAGACGTATCATTTACAATATCCTTTCCACATTTTTTTGGCTAGCATTATTTATTATTTTATATATTTATTATTGTGGCCCAAATTTCACAATATTATTAGATTCACACATATATATTGCAAAAGAGATCAAAAGTAGGATCCATATGAGTTACCCCCAAAGCACACCACATGTATACATACATATAGTGCAGTGCATAAATAAAATTTTACATGAATTCAACATCAGACACCACATGATAATTACATTTTATCTCCATACAGATAGATAGACAGAGATTATATTGTTACAACAAGTCATGCAAACAAGTTGTTCATATAGCCAAATATGAGTAAACAAGACATCCAAGAGGAAGAAGAACTCCGGTCTCAGTAAAGAAGAAGAGAACAAACTCTGGATGTAGAAAACACAGAAGAAGAAGAAGAGTCCCACTTAAACGATTACTTACTATTATCAGTCGTCGAATTCGTGCTGATGATCCAAGAGGTAGTTCGCAGCCAGTTCTTCGTTCTTGTTGCACGCAAAGAATACCTCCAACACAAGCGCTCGATCGAATCCCATCGCCTCAAGCTGAAGCACGACGTTCAACCATTTTACTGTTAGCCGAGGTTCCGAATTTCTACGGTAAAGAGAAAATGCGACAAAAGTTTTCAGCAGTGCTTACTCTTTCGATGGCTTCCCGCTCCTCGGGTGTGACCGAAATAGACTGCGGCATTGCTCCGGCAAGCTGCTCGAGAATGTTGCTGAAAGACACATTTTTTTTTTTTTTAAGGCAGACATCAGATATCAATATTCACAAATGCACGCTTTACGCGAAGTATTGATTAATACCTTTCCCCGCCTTCAACAGGCTCGTTGATGAGGCGAATGAAATCATCTTGGTGTTCCTGAATCATCCTCACTAATTGAGGGTTTTGCTTACCCAACTCTTGTAACATAGGCTGCCGACGAAAAACAAAAAACACCCGGAAACACATTGCTCAGAAATTTTTGTGCTAGAACGTCGGTTAGATGTTTATAAACATAGAGACGGATTTCCAAGTTATGATAGTATAGAACACCTGCAAGATCTGCGGGTTGGCCTGCACCATTGCTCTCAACGCTTGGAACTGAGGAAGAGGATTATAAAAGTTAGGGTTCGCTGGGCATCGTAACGTGTTTAACTACAAAATCAGAGGCTGGTTTTATTCTACCTGTGGACTGTTACGGAGGAAATCGAGCGTGTTTGCCCCACCACCGCCGCCCCCGCTGCCAGTGTTTGAGCCCACACCACTTGGAAAGCCCTGCAAAACACATTCCATAAAACTAAATGTTTTCCTCGAGGCGACTGGACGTAAAGTCCATGGAATAGTCGATGAGAACCTGAGGAAAAAGGTCCAACGGATTTGCATTAGGACCGCTTGAAGGTACTGCTGCTGGTTGTGGAGCAGGCTGAGGCTGAGCAGGCGGATTAGCAGCCGGGACACTAGGAGCACTACCAGAAGTAGGTGGAGGTTCGGCAGATTCTGGGATCCCCTGTGATACAGAAATAAAAAGGTAAGAATTAAAGAGACAGCACCATGTAACAGTATTGCTGGAACAAGTATGGGAGACTTGGAAGAGAAAGAGTTTAAGGTTGTCTAGAAAAGTATTCGAGAGAAAGGCTAGTGAGATTGATAGATAGTCCAAGAAAATGATTCGGGGCGCATATATACAAACTTACAGAATATAGATATTCAACAGCTCTTTCGGGATTGTTGAAAGCAGCGCGAAGAGCTCGAACAACAGTGTCTCTGTCCCAAGTTCCTCCACCCATATCAAGAATCTGCTGGATTGCTCCTTCAAGGTTGTTTCCAGCAACTAAATTGGATGCAGCTTGACCATACACATCCGACCTGCCCACCAAGAAATAACCACCAATGTTTCACAAAACAATCTAGACATACTAATCGAACATTCCTAGATGAAGATACGTACACATTAGCGCCAGCTGGAGGAGCAGCAGGAGAAGGTGCAGGTGGCGACCTGTGATGCAGAACAAATTATGCAACAAAAACCATTGGAAAGCAATATCATCTCTGCCTAACATGCATGAATCTGAAGGAATCGTGGATTATAAAGGGCAATTTATAACAAGACATATCAGAAGGCATCTAGATGATCTTACACTGCAGGAGGAGGTTGAGGGGTTGTGGGTGCTGGGCGTGACGGAGGTGGGGCACTTGTGTTTGGCGCCTATACGGAATGAGAGTATTAGCCACGGAGAAAATGTGAGCAAGTTTAGCATAATAATTAGAAATTAACAGAAAATTTCATGCTTTGAGCCAGAGACCAATTACTGAAAAATATAGCAAATGGCAGTTGCTTCACAATAACCTAAGTCACGCAATGTATTTAGGTCTCTTAGATGATAAATGCAAAGACACTTTTACAACGAAAGATACCATTCTAATAGGAGGAAATATTTTTATGCATGTAGGCGTCGGAGTCAAAAGTCGAATAAATCAATCAATAGTAACATCTAACTTATAAACTACATTCTTATAACATTACAAGATATAATACTCTCTCTGTTTAAGAGAAAAATATTCGTTTTGCCTTATTTGGTCATCCACCACAAGTGTATCTGTTTCCTTTTTATCTATCTGCCCTAAATAATGCCCCTACAATTTAACATATCTACAACAATAATACTCAATATTTAACATAGGGAGATAAGGGCATTTTTGTCGTTTCATTTAACACAACTACTTTAATCAAAGTGCAAAAAAACAAATGGTTACATTTCTCCTGGAAGGGGGGAGTATCAACTACAAAAAAAGGTAGGCAGTATCTAAAAAAGTCGAGTAAAATGAACAAACCATCAAAAATGTCGGTTGTTTGATCAACTTTAGCCAATTGAAGCAGCAAAAATTGTTTCACATTACCTTTGCAGGAGGTGCACTTGATGTAGTTGAGCCCTCACCTGTCCCCTTATTCTGCAAGATTCAAAATGTTTTTCAGAAAAGAATCATCACATTAAACAGCTATAACGCAGCAATGGGGCACGTTAAGCTTTTCATGAAACTAAATTGATTCCAACCAACACAACCAATTGCAACAAGCAAGACTTTCTCACACCCAAAACTACATCTCGGCATTTTCTTGTTCAATTTACAACATGAGCATCTGTTTTGCTCCATCTAAGAAATGTACCCAAGGCCAAACAATTTGTGCAATCCCAGTATCCTACCAAAAATTGATTCACAGCTATAAGATTCTAAAACTGCATAAGATTTTGGAAACCCAACATTTTGCTTCTCCAGAGAAAAACTCTATGAAATAAAATTCCATCAGTTACTGTTGTATCAATTAGTCATTTAAGCTTTAGTATCTTCAACAGGTCTCATGTACGTTAAATCTACATTTATTCCATGCATCATCTCAGCAACTATAATACTATACTGTATAAGAAGGTGAATTTAAGATATCTCCAAGCATAATAAAAAAGTATATGAAAATAATAAAAAGACTTAGTTTTGTACAATAATTAGAAATGAATAAAGTTCTACCTTGCTCAGCATAACAACAACAAAACTGTTTTCAACAATTTTATTTTCTTCAAGGTTTGTGCCATCTTTAAGTACTTTTCCCTGATGAATAAGCATCAACTGTGAAGCAGGATAGATATCGGCTCCTTGTGTACTTTCTATGACATTCTTCACATCAGCAACCTGCCAGAAAACATATAATTGCAGCTGAAACTATCGTTCTTCTTTGGAAGCACACATAAATCCTGACAAGCTACCTCAATCCTTAAACCAATTCGCAAAGGAACTCATCATTAAGAATGACATCAAAGTAGCTACTCCAGAAAGCTTATAGAAATTCAAATAACAACATGAACAGACACTCTTGCGGCTGCGTAAGATCCTTACACAGTAGCAAGAAAACGAAGCTTTAATACTTCTATGATCAAGATGCATTGATACATTGATTACTTCTCACACTGACTTGCTTTCTTGAGTGGAAACAGTTCCTCTGGTGGCACTAGATGGCTTAGAATGTTATTCAATTGATCAATTTTATTGGTAATACTTATCCATCATCATCATTCATCAACCCTCAAGAAATGAAAGGAATCTAGGCAACAAGAACAGCCTTGACACTGCCATTCACCATACTGTTAACAGTATGAAAAACGAAATTCTGGACATAATAATTATCCAGTTAAGTGAATAACAAAGGAATCTCCAAAACGGACAAAAAAATCATTCGCCATAAATGAATTTATACAACGAACATGAATCTATTCTTGCCCATAGCCCAAGTCAACCAACACCATCGAACTACCCAAAAAACCCCAAAGTTTCATCAATTTATACAAAGAAAATGCATTTCTTGAAACTATTTCAGCTATCCGCAACAGAATCGCACATCAAAAACACCAAGCGCACAAATCCAATACCGAATTTCCGCATCAAAAGCAAAATCCCTAACAAAAATTATTTCAAAAAAAAAATCATAAGACACACTAACCGTATCTTCCGGCTTCACTTCGATTTCGAAGTGGGTTCCCTTGAGAGTCTTCACGCATATCTTCATCTCGATTCTACTGACGAATAATCCCCGAATCAAGGTCGCGAAATCGGATCGGGCGCGAGAGAATCCTGAGGAGAAAGTACCCAACACCCCCGACGGTGCAAGTAAATTATAATTTAATATTATTTTACAAAGGAAAAGGCTCCAAGGGACGCTGTGAACCTGCGGTGACAAGCACGGGCGAAGATTGCAGCGGTGGAAACGGAGCGTGTAGGGCACGACAAGGGCAAGGAGAGTGGAATTTGGTGGATGGATGGAGCTAGATTTTTGTCCGGACAGACTGAGGGATTTAAGTAATGTTTATCTTTCGGGAAATAAAACTGCTCTCCTTTACACATTACTTATTGGGCTGGGCCAATGTTAGCCCAAAAATTCTTTGGGCTTTGGTTCGAAGAAGAAATCTATGAAGTGTTTTATTTATTTATTGAAATTTGGACCATAATATTATATCTGTCACATTATTGCGTTCCAGCAAATCCATTTTTAATGGCTTCGTTTAGGTAACAGAGGTTTAGGAGTGTTATAGTTTTAAATTTTTAAAATAGTAAATATATAATATTTTATCTTTTCACCTCAAATCCATTATTATATATAAATTGAAAAAAAAAAAAAATCGAGCTTAATTGACTTGAATAATGCAGTGACATTTGTTATTTCTTGCCATCAGATTGATTCGGACATACTATATTTAAGTGCAATTCCGTTTTTATAGTTTCACGGTAGTTTTAAATATGGTCATATAATAAAAACTTTTATTTATTTATTTTGAAATTTCACAAAATATATGCTATTTGCAATTTTGATACGTACTCTTTGAATTTTTTATTAGAAATTTGTGAGAAAAATCACAAATTAGTATATACATCGAAGCGAGATAAAATATTATTAGTACTAAAATGCCTCTGCATATTGCGTTTTTACTGGTTAACGAACCATCAATAATAATCAGATTAATTCTAACTAGCCTATTGGCTACTGCCACGTGGATTTTCCGGACCTACAATATTTTCAATTCCAATATCTAAAAGAAAGTTGGAAAAAAAATAATAAAGATATCAACAGTATATTCCGCTTTTTCTATTGGGCCGGCAACGTTTCGGGCCTACGTGAAAATTCGCCCAGCCCAAAGCCCAGATCCGAATGATCAAACAGCCCATCGAGCGCCACGTATTCGCCGTTACCGCCGTCAAAATTGTCCGTCTCAACGAATCCAAACTCGAACGAGTCATAACTCGGCATCTCCCAAAACTCGGAAGCGAACTCGGAAGACTCCGACTCAACTCGGACCAACTCAGTCCCAATCTCTTCCTTATACGACGTCGTTGGGGGAAGCCCTAGCTCATCATCCGAAGCCTCCAGCAAATACCCTAGATCCGGCCGAGATTCGCCGGAATCCGGCGCCAGATCCGCCGCCGACGAAGCATCTCCGACGACCGTGGAAGGAGAAGCTGTAATTTCCTCCTCGAAGCTCTTCATAAACGAGTCGAGATCCTGATTAGCCGCGCCGAAATCGGCATCGTCGTCCAAACAATCCAGAAGCTTCTCCCTCAGCTTCTTCACCTCCTGCGAATCAGTATCAGCCTCGGAAACCTCCGATTCATCCCTTCCACGCTTCCTATGCTTCAAATCTTCCATTAATCTCGCAAAATCACACCTTAATTTATTTAATCCGATCTCCTGGAATTTACAGAGAAGACGAAGAATAATCGAGAGTATTGTGGCTGATGGTTGTGTACTTTGTGTTGGGTGGGAGATTGGAATTTATAGTGGGTGGGAAATGTGAAATGCGGAGAAATGATACGGTGACGGGGTAAAACGTGGGGCCAGATCACGGACGTATCAGCAAGCGCGAATTACTCAGCGGTGACGTGTCAGGCGCTGCTCACCCGCAGTCAGGTTAGCATAATTTCCAAGAAAAATAATGGTCTAGTATAAATGTATCTATCTATATATCTGGTCTGGTGTTCCTTGGGGATTAAATTGGATTTGAATATGGATTTGAAGTCCGGGTCCGTTGGGGCGGGACCCACCTAAGCATAGTCAATCACGACCGCCTCACGATCCCATCTTGTCCCGTTTTTATTTTTATATTTTAATTAAAAAAATGTGTTTGTTCTGTGGTAGTACATGTTTTGCGTTTAAATACTTTTAAAAACTAAACTAAAAACGTTAGGCTCTGTTTGGCCGTCGGCAGAGATGACTTATAAAATATCTGAAATTTCGTAAGATTTGGTAAAATTAAGATTGCAAGAAAAGGGCTTCCAACCACTTTCATTTCTCGAAAAATAATTAATTTAAAATATCCGCAATTGCAGCATCAACAAGGCAAATAGTACACAGTGTTTTAGGTCCAAGATTTTTTTATATTTATTTTTTTTCCAATTATGTCTATAATCAAAGTCAAATAAAAACATAGGCCACATTATTTTCGTCGACCAGGAGGAGATATATGTGTGTGTTTGTCATTTTTTTAAAAATCTTATTTCTATACAAATTAATTAATTCTAAAATGCTTTTTTCTTAAACTACTCTATTTTTTTTTTGTTATAAAATAGTTTCAAGTTTTTATTTATAAATAAAGTGTATATGCATGTGTATGTATATCATTATAACAGTAATAACAGTACAAACACAATTAAATATTTGAAGTAGCAATTAATGTGACAGCTAACAACTACTGCTAAGTTTCGGGGTAAGGAAACAATTGGTCAAATAATTAAGGCAGCATCTTGCTGCAATTATATTATTCTTTTTTTAGTTTTATTTAATAGAGGTCAAGTAGCATAAATATTAATTATCGAGAAATAATAATATCTTCAAATGACATAATTGGGAAGTGTCTGCTCTACACCTAATACCAAGAAAGTTGTGTGTTCTAGGAAATTACCTACCACCATAATTACTATTTTCTGTCCCCTTCGTTTTTAGTCCTCCCACATCTTAAGTCTTTTACTACCAAATAAACATACATATTGTGTGTTTAATTTGATTATAATATGTATGTAATAATAATTAAATAAAAATCTGTGAATAATAATATGACTATTATGTTAATAAAATGATTATGAAATGGATAAAAATAGTAGAGTAGAGGAAAAGATATAAAAAGCACCCTTTGCAATTTTATTTTATTTTATTTTCTGTATAGCCGTTGAGAAAAGTAAAAATAAAAATTATTATTACAACGTTAAAATCACGTGAAGCTGTTACGTCGACTGGTCGGGCGGACAGAGGCGCATCATCCATTTGTCTGGCACGTACAACCAACCAAGCATGTGCGTACAACCACCAATTTATTTCCCATCAACGGTTAGACTACATAGAGCACGGAACAGATCACCAGACCGGACCGGACCGGATCCACCAGACAAGCCGCCAACCGGCCACGTGGTCGTCGTGTCGTGTGCCGGTTCCACCCGATCGCTGCCCACTTTATTTTTATACCGTATCTCTACGTACCTTCGGACACAAGATAACACAAAAGCTTTTTTTCCACTATTATTATTAATATTATTATTTAATTTGGATACAATCCATTCAAAGGAGACAGAAAATTAATTAATAATATAATTTCTAAATGTGGAATATTTTAGCAGTGGTCATTAATTAAATTTTCTCGAGTCTTCCACTAATGAATTGGGCACACCATTCGTATTTATTTATTCGATGTTTCCTAGTGGAGATATGCGATTTTATTTCAATGTGGGAACTAGACTATTATTATTATTATTATTATTATTATTATTATTATTATTATTATTATTAAGAAGTCATAATAAATGTGTGTGGGTGTAATAGATGTTTCTAGAACGATAATTGAGGGATGGGGATAGGGATGGGGAAGGCAAAGGGAAAGAAACCCTTTCATTTTAGGACATCTACTAAACATGTGTTACTAATGTTTTTTCATTTTTTATAATTTTTTTTTATGTGAAATAATTATTTAATTTAGTGATTTATATACAATATAATAATTGATATGAAATATTTTTACATAAAATAATAACATGAATATGTAAATATATTTCCTCCTTAGAATAATAGATCCTTTGGTTTTAGTTGACTTTGATTTAAATTTTAGTTTAAATGATATTTTGATTTGATATTTAATAAAATATAATAATTTTTAAAATTAAGTAATTCTTGTATAATTTTGAAATAGAAAAGATATCCATTCTATATATTTTTAAAATTTCTTAACAATTTATTTATATTTTACTTTGTCCGTTCCAACAAAATATACATTTTTTTAATAACGGTATTATCTACTTAACATTACAAATATCATTTCAATTTATAATATATTATACAAATATCATTAATTGTATATCACACAATACTAATGAGAATAGTTTATTTTTTTTATCTTTATTTATACTATATCCCAATATATATTAATATTTTTAAAATTTGGTTGAAAAAATAAATGGATAGACAGGGGGAGTGAGTATTTATTTGGTTGATAGAGACATAATATTACACAATTGGTAGAATCGGCACCACACGTATGCTTTACTTATCAACGCTCAACGTGCTTCCCCATAAATCATACATTTCTTGTGGTGGTCCAGGACCCGGACCACTCCCACTTACCTCTTCGGCTCTTCCCCATTTTCTACGTCCCTACATTATTATTATTATTATTATTATTATTTATTTTTCTCAGTTTAGATTTTTCTTTTCTTTTTTGACGTCATTATAATATCTTTACTATATTTATATTTGATTAAGTAAGAGTCGTCGTAGATGCTATTTCTTCTGTATTTTTCTCAGTTTTTAAGTTTTGATTTTGATTTTTAAAAAAATATAGTTAAATTTGTTATTTTATTTCGAAAAATTATGTATTAAAAATGAAAAGATAAATAGTATAAAATCGAAAATAAGTCCATGATGAACAAACTTTAGGATGTTGTTGTGCCGGGAGCAATTCAACAAATAGTATGATATTTTATATTTTTAGCCATGTCAACACGCATTATTTTTTAACTTCTTAAAAAATATAATATTATGTAAAAAAAGTTTTCATATTTTTTTTATTTGACTTTATATACAATTTAGATGGTATATGTAATAATATATTTATATTTAAATATATTTTTGTATTATAAACGATAAATTTTATTTACTACAATATAAAAGAGATACTTTTGAGCGAAATAAAAAATAGAAAAAATAGTATTTGGGTTGAGACAATAAAGGCTTTGCTCATTCGGTGTTTTGGGATATATTGATTTTTTACATATAGTATTGAGAATTATGTCAAAAAAATAAAACATATTATTTTAAATTGAATGTTTAATTTGTAAACTTATTTTTAATGATTTTTTGATTTTTTGATTTTTTTTTTTTTACTTTTGACTTTATGTTATATTTTTTTATTATTATTTATGGAAAATCAAAATCTAATTGATTCGGGTGAACAAAGCCAAAATATATTATCTTATAACTAGTAATTTCCCTTTTTGTTTAATATTTTCGACTTGAAACTTAATTTTGTTGTTTATTTTCAATAGATTTGATATGAGAACTTACAACAATAAAATGTCATCTCATGCACAATAAAAGAAAAATACAGACAATACATTAAAATAAAATAAATCATAGATGTTGTATATAATATTAAAATGTATTATATGTTCTATTTTATATATGTGTTGTGTTAATATATAGTATGTATTGAGATCATGTCATAGTAATATTACTATAGTTATGCTATACTTTTTTCTATCCCAACTCGGTTTTTTTTTTTTTTTTCTCTATTTCACTACTAAATATCAATTATTAATTTTATTCTACAATTTTATTTTTTTTTCATAACTATATCATTTTTGGCCTATTATAAAAATACTAATTATATATATATTATTTATCAAAGAAATCCGAAATAAGATATATGTACTTACTCGCATTGCCGTGGAAGGACATGAATCATGATTAATGGTGTGGAAGACATAAGTTGGATTAGTAGGTACTCAACTACAAACTTTTCATGGTTTTATAATTTCATTGACTACCATAAATGAGGTTGCAATGTCACTCTGATTATATTTTATTATTTTATTATTATATATATATAAATATTTTTTTCTCACTATATGTTCTCTATAGTTTTTTTTTCAATTCATCAATATGTGTTATTTAACCAAACAAAATAGTATAATATACATATATAAACTAATTACATCGTTTATTTAATTTTATTGCCATATTTTGGTGAATAGCCTAAATCATAATCACACAACGCTTGCTTTTGTTTGCTTTACAACTTTTATTCTTGATGTGATTTTTATACAATACAATTTTGATATGTATTTAATTTATTTGAAATATTTGTATAAATTTAAAAATAATGACAATAATTTAGAATTTATACATTATATAATTTTTTAAAATAAAAAAGTATCTTAGATGAAATTTGAAAATGGAAATAAACATAAAAAATTGAAAAAACAAAACAAAACAAATACGAGTATTAGAGACAAATATTTCAATAATGATTACTATTAAGGAAAGTAAAAGGCGACTTTACTTTAACCCGTGTGAATATTTTCGGCGTTAATTACGGGATTTGGTAAAAAAGCGTTGTTGCCGTAAACCTTAAGTCGTACTTTGTACAACTCTTAACGCCTCAATCAAGTAGCATTTGGGCGACTTAAATTATTTATTTAAATATTTAAAATCTGGGTTTGGACATCTAACCTAAAAGGCCTATTGGGCCGCTATGATTTTATTTTTTTTCAAAAATTATATATATGTTAAATAAATACTCCTATATTTTTAATTCAATTTGGTTGATTGGAAATCATTACATAAATGGATCATACAATGCTGGGCTCAAGTTGCACGTTATAAAGAAAATGGGTCATATATACAAATGTAATAAATCAAACTACTAATGACGCCTTAACCAGCGTACTTAATTACATGTCAGTGTGATTTTCTCAGTAATTATCCATCCCTAGTTTGTACTTACCTTAAACTACTTCGGATCATCATTCGGGTCCGGTTGGCGGTTAAGATCCAGACCCGATTTCGGCGTCCCTGGTACGGATCTTCCACCGCCCCTTTTCTCGCCTCCTTCGAAATCTCCCTGCTCGAAAGCCGGACTCCACGGCGTCGCCGTCGACGTCGCCGTCGCCGTCGAAGGAGGCTCAGAGCGGCGGACGCCGCCGTCGCGCTCCCGGAAGTAATCGACGGCGACGCGTACTCGCTTCAGTATGGCGAAGAACTCGTCGACTTCTTCGTCCCCGGGCACCGCCGTCTGCTCCTTAACGGCGCCGTCATCTCCGCCACGCCGTTTAACCGATCTGTCGCCGCCCTTCCGTTTTCTGCAGTTCTCCGATTCCATATATGTTGTCGCTCCGGCGAATCATATGAGGGGTGAAGGTTACGACGTCGTATTTAAAAGCGGCGTAGGTAAAAAAAAGCATAACGTGTCGGTTCAGCGGATTGTGTCAAGTCCACGTTGAAATAATTCCGTAAATGGACCAGAAGCAGTATGCCGTAATGGTGACGTCATCAAGTGACATCACCACACTTTTGTTAATCCTGCCAACTATTTTATCGTACTTTTATTATTAAAATAATATTTTTAAATGTACAAATTAATAAATTGCGAAATAAAAAATTAAATGTTAATTAATTTACGTAAAAATTATGATTACTTTACTATTATTTGAAGAGCATATTTAATAAATTACAAAATAAATATATTAATTGTGAACCACCAAAAGAATAAAATGAATGCTGGTAGATGGAGAAAGCATATCTATAAGACACAATTATTTTATTAAATTTAAGGGAAATATCATGGTAACAGCCTGCGTCGTTCAACAACTCACGAACCAATTACCCGTGTTTATGCTGTATTTTTGTATGTCTTTATTATTATTTTTTAATTATTTATTTAGAGATTCTGATTTTTCAATAAAATAACAATTAAATGTAGTAATATCTTATATAATCTACTTGCTAAAAATAATAGTGTAAATTTTTCAGAAAATAATTGAGTTGGTAATTTATTTGTGTAAAGATTATTCAAAGCAGGCATTATTCCTCCTTTTGTAAATTTACATAAATAGTTATTATTATTATTATCTCGACAATATTATTGTTTCTTTTGTTCATTATGCGTGGAATTGATGCTTTAATAATAACATGCACTGTTTGGAAAAGTCGATGATGGATACCTAAATTGGTTTATCAAATTATTATTATTATTATTATTATTATACGACCAAAACCGTTGGTTTTGTTAAATATACCTTTGCTAATATAAAATTAATGAGATTAGATGCTGAGTTTATAGGAAATAGTTTCTATAAAAACAATTTAGAAATATAAACAGATAAATTAAAATAAAGAGCAATAAAAGTTAATTATTTCACGATGAAATTGCAATAATAATTTAAACAGATCCCAAGTCTAATTAAAATTATTTTTTAATTAATTAAATACTACAAGTCAGGCAGAATCCGAAACATCTGTTGCTGGATCCGAGTTAAGATCCAGACCCGCAAACGGACTCCGATCCGGCTTCTCCGGCGCGAAATCCTCCGGCTGGAATAACGGTCTCCACGGCGGTCTCGGCGAAGATGACGGCGTCGACTCACGGCCGTCGTCGGCGTTACGCTTCTCGAAATACTTGAGAGCCACGTGTACCCTCTTCACTCTTTCGAAGAATTCCTCCACCTCCTCGTCCCCCGGCGGCCCCGCCACCTTCCCGCCGTCCGCCGCCGCTTTTCGTCTTTTTCCGTTGGCCGTTTCTCCGTCAGACAGACGCTTAGTCTTCCCCATTTCCATTGGAGGACTTAATCCAGCAAATTAGGAAAGGAGCAGCGACGACGAAGACCTGTGTCCTAAATTCGGAAGACTAATAATAGTGATAATTGTTGTAGTGATTATTAATAATAATATTTGTGCGTTGCTGACGTAAGTGGTTGGTGTTGGGATGACGTCAAATGAATGACTAATGGTGGACATTGTACTGGACACACAGAAATATCTTCCTTTTAAGGCAATTTGACTGATTCTATCTTCTTATATAGTCCTTCTCTTTGTAATAAAGTACTCATTAAAAATATGTGTATATATATAATTAAAAATATATATATATTCTCCCTATCATTTCAATTTTATATTTAAAAATATTTTTTAAAATAAAAATATACTCTGTCCGTTCCAAACATTATACAATATTTTTTTTTGGTATGTCCCAAATATTTTGTAACATTTTCAAAATAGAAAATAATTAATCATCATACCCTACACTTTATTCCCTCACATCATCTAAATAAAAAAATAAAATATACATTTCTTTCTCCATCACAGATAATTTTTAAATTATCCTACTTAATATTACCATATTACCCACCTGTGCCAAAAATAAATATTGCACGTTGTTTGAGAAGGAGGGAGTATATTTTTACTATAAGATAAAAATAATTAATTTTATTATTAATTTTTTTAAAAAAAAAACTCATGTTTGATTAAATAATATAAATTTTAATAATAGAAATATTCGTAATAATCAATATATATATATATATATATAAAGAGAATGTTGTAAAGGTGAATACTTCGCCATTTCTCCGTAGTCCAATATTTAATAGACACAAATATTCGTGACAGTTACAGTGGTTTTGTTGGAAAGAGGAGGCACGTGACAATGGTGTGGGTACTTTGTGGGGCCGGGACGTTTTCTGCGTAAAAATCAAGCATTAAATTTCATGATATAAAAGCATTCACGGGATGTAACACCACCATGTATGTGGACCCATATTCACATTAATTTATTATAAATTACTAATATTGTAGTAATATTCAATTTTTAGAGAAAATACAATTAAATTTATTTCTGTGTAGGCTAAGTGATTTTAGTAAATAAACAAATAATTATTGGGCTAGTTGAGTGGTGGCCCGTTTTCAATATAATGACAAGGCTTCAGCCCATTAGGCCCAAACGTTTCATAGTGTAAAGAGTGGGTGGTGGACCACAAGGCCATGGACCATCCATTTTGACACTTGCGAATTTCAGGACCATCAATGGAAATCAAATGCCCATAAGAAAATAATCACGATGGTGACATCGTCTTCCTAATTATTGGATTATAAATTGTGCTTTTATTTATTTAGGACAAAGGAATTTATATAATATCATTACTTTTCTAGATTTAATAATATTCATATAATTTTTGCAAATTCCATCTAACTAATCAAACTTGTCTAATTTGATAGGCGGTGTGATTTTCAACGCATTAAATTCCAACCCAATTTTCCAAATTGGATCACAAATCATGTGAAAAAAGATTGGAAATTGATCATTGGAAATTTATAATTCTTTACAATACAATGATCCATCTTATTTCGGGTTCATCTATATTCTCCACATTTATTTTTAATTAGGTAGTGGGTTCATATATATTCTCCACACAATACCTAAAGTGTGTTTGTTTGGGGGATTGGATTGGATTTACACTGTTCATCCAATTTTTTCTCCCAAAAAACATCAAATCAAACACCTCTTTTTTATTTTTTATATTATACTAAAAATCAATTTTACATTCAAAACATCACATCAACACCTATTTATATCACATCGTACAACTAATTCAAAACATCACATCAACACCTATTTATATCACATCGTACAACTATTCAAATTCAAAATTTTTACTATTCAAATCCCAACTCAAAATCCAAAACCCCAATAAGAGTATCCATGAGATGTGTATATTTGTGGCATATTGTATAATAAATACACATTCCCATACAAAATAAATAAATACATACACATACATGATACACCCTACCTACTCTACCAATGGAAACTTTACTTTGGACCACTAGTTCTTATCCTTACATCCAACATCTTAACACTTTCACGAATTCAAATATAAAATTAATAAAATAATCACAGAAATTCAATTTTATTTTTTTGGGAACATTTATAATACCCTTGGAATAAAATAATTCAAGCTCTCTCTTTAAGTCTTATTATACAGGTATATGTATGTATCATACAGTTTTAAGATATACAAAAAGTATCCAGTAATAGTCACCACATTATTAAGGCACCATTTTTTTCTGTTCTTAGAAGTATTCAAATAATTAGATTTAAAAGTGACATTTCCTTATTTGTATTGTATTATTATTATATTTATTTTCTATAAATGCATAACAAAACTAAAAAAAAAAAAAGAAAAAAAAAGTCCCGCTAAATATAATTTGATATGTCTTAATCAATCAAGATGCTCATCCACTATTAAAAAAAAAAAAAAAAAAAAAAAAGTCAAATAAGCACTACTGTGAATCCAAATTATGATAAACATTTGACAATATTTTTTTTTTAAAAAAATCACATCAAATACAATTTTTTTTTTTACATAATATCAAATCAAATATTAATTTTTTACTTTTGCAAATTTTCAAAATTTCAAAAATCTCAAAAAAAAAAAAAAAAAAAAAAAAAAAAAAACCCTTATCTTCCAAATAATCCGCGAATCAAAATACTATTATATGCAATGATCTTAACTATCTTCCTTCAATTCTAATATTAGCTATATAGGTGAGGATTAGATTGAATTAATTAGAAAGATGACACCATAGCTGGCGCTGCAATAATTCTTATCCCATCAAGACATCAAACACTAATCCCAAACTTTGTTACACACACACTCTCACACAATCAATTATATATGCTCCCATTAGGAAATGATAACCCCCAAATTAAAATGAATCAATATTTTCAATGAAAACCCTGCAAAATGAAAGCCATGAAAATTGAAATCTGAGCATTGCAGGGAGTAGTGGGCAGTGTCGGGATTAATCATAATAAACAGACAAAAACACCAAAAACCCTTTTTACAAGAGACAACCAATTGAGCCATATATCCTTATAAATTATAATCCTCAATATTACACACACATTCCGACAGAAAACAACAGAAAAAGAAAAAGAGAGTCTGATAGAATTGGGCATTGGGACCCTAAACAAAAATCACTCACTCACATGGAAATGCAAAAGGGGTCTCATCGAAATTTATCATTCCCTCAAACCTCATCCACATCACATGATGCATCCTATCCCTATTCATACATAATTCACAAATATGCCATGAATTCGTGCCACTATAAAAATACCCACCAAAAAAATTCACACCAAACATCACTATTGTCAGCATCATCATCATCGTCCCACCATGCTGCTGCCCCCCTCTTCCCCATTTTCCTCAATTATCAAATTATTGCTCTTTCTAACACTCCTTCATCGTCTTCCTCGAGCTCGAACAGCTCCTGTAAGAATCGGCAATGGCTACCGTCTGATCTCCGTCAGCACCCCATCCAACGGCGCTGTTTTAGCCACGCTCCAAGTTAAGCAGAAGAACAACATCTACGGAGCAGATATTCCACTCCTGCTACTTCACGTCAAGTAAGATTTCATTATTTAATTAAAATATTTAATCTTTAATTAATTAATTTTTTTTTTATAATTTCTTTCAGGCATGAAACGGAGAGCCGTTTAAGGGTTCGCATAACGGACGCAGAAAAGCCCCGATGGGAAGTTCCGTACAATCTTCTTCCTCGAGAAAACCCTCCAAACAAAAAACCACAAACACCACTCGCCATTACAAGAAAAAATACCTCGGAGCTCGCCGGAAAAGAGCTTGTCTTCACCTACACAGCAGACCCATTCACCTTCTCCGTCAGAAGAAAATCCAACGGCGAGATTCTCTTCGACTCGACCGCCGGTCTGGTCTTCAAGGACCAGTACCTCGAGCTGTCCACCAAGCTCCCGAAAGAGGCGTCCCTGTACGGGTTGGGGGAAAATACCCAGCCCCAGGGAATCAAGATCCGACCCGGGGAACCCTACACTCTGTACACCACCGATATCTCCGCCATAAACCTGAATGCGGATCTGTACGGGTCGCACCCGGTTTACATGGACCTGAGGAATACGGGCGGGGCCCATGCAGTCCTGCTGCTCAACAGTAACGCAATGGACGTCTTCTACACGGGGGATTTGCTGACGTACAAAGTTATCGGGGGCATTTTCGACTTTTACTTCTTCGCCGGACCCTCGCCGTTGGATGTCGTCGATCAGTACACCGCCTTGGTTGGCCGGCCCGCGCCTATGCCTTACTGGGCTTTTGGTACTCTTTCATTTCTTTCTTTTTTTGGCATTTAATTTAATTTAACTTTCTTGTGTCAATATGTTTATTTCGTTTCATTTTGTCACGCCCGAATATTCACACAAAAAAACCTTTGCATTAAGAAGATTGAGATAGAATTGAATGACTGACCGCGATTGTAGCCGTGGAGTGGCCTTTAGGGAACAGTGGCAAAATAATTAAAGCAGTAAAGTATGAATTCTTTGAAAGTTTCATTTTAGTATAAATTTTCTATTCAGAGTAGTGTTTAGTGGGAGGGATTAATGATTAGGTGAAATAATATAACAATAATTACTATGACGTGGCGCGTTAAGTTGCAAGTAATATCTGGAGGATATTTCTTTTCTTTGTTTTTTGTGTCTTAAAAAAGAAATTAACTCGTCCTTATCATAGTAATTAAATATAGCAACAAAAGAACACCCTTTTGGCTCTGATGACACAGAGAAGATTCAACAAAATTTAGGTAAAATGGTCAGAAAGCAACAACTGGACCACTGAACACCAACAATTTTCTTGCAACAAATCACCAGCTTAATTAAAACTCCAAACAAGACGACTGTACAGAGAGATACAGATGGAGATGGATCTAGAAGTACAGCTACAGCTACAGTAGTGATGTTAAAAGTAACTTTTTTTTTTTTTTTTACTTTCTTTTACTCTTTGACTAGTGGAAGTGAGTGGAGCCATTTCAACAAAAGCAATAATCAATCATCCATCAGTTAGTGTTGTGTAATAACTTTACAGCCCATCTCCATACAAGAAACAAAAAAGTTTCAAAACTCATCTACACACATAAAAGATACATTATTCAATTCAATTCGATTCAACATTGTGTCTAAATTTGCTGTACATAACATTCGTACGTGCTTTAGGTTTCCATCAATGCCGATGGGGCTACCACAATCTGTCCGTGGTCGAGGACGTGGTCGAGAGCTATAGAATGGCGAAAATACCCCTCGACGTCATATGGAACGATGACGATCACATGGACGGACACAAGGACTTCACTCTCAACCCGACCAACTATCCTCGACCGAAATTGTTAGCCTTCTTGGACAAGATCCATGCCCGAGGAATGAAGTACATTGTCATAATCGACCCCGGGATCGGCGTAAACACGAGCTACGGCGTCTACCAACGAGGCATTCAAAACGACGTATTCATCAAGTATCAGGGGAAGCCTTACTTGGCTCAAGTCTGGCCCGGAGCCGTCAACTTCCCCGACTTCCTCAACCCGAAGACCGTTGAGTGGTGGGGCGACGAAGTTCGACGGTTCCATGAACTCGTCCCCGTCGACGGCCTATGGATCGACATGAACGAGGCGTCGAATTTCTGCACTGGGCTTTGCACGATTCCGGAGGGTCGAATTTGCCCGAATGGAACAGGGCCAGGATGGGTATGCTGCCTCGACTGCAAGAACATCACGAGCACGAGATGGGATGATCCACCGTACAAGGTCAATGCGTCGGGGATCAACGCGCCGATCGGTTACAAGACTATAGCGACGAGCGCGTATCATTACAACGGAGTTTTGGAGTACGACGCGCATAGCATCTACGGATTCTCGCAATCCGTTGCGACTCATAAGGCTCTTCAACGGATCGAGGGGAAGCGCCCGTTTATCCTCTCACGCTCGACGTTCGTAGGATCGGGACGTTACGCTGCGCATTGGACGGGCGACAATAAGGGAACTTGGGAAGATCTTCGATACTCGATCTCCACGATGCTGAATTTCGGGATATTCGGTGTCCCGATGGTCGGATCGGATATATGTGGCTTCTATCCGGCTCCTACCGAAGAACTCTGCAATCGTTGGATCGAGCTCGGCGCATTCTACCCGTTCTCGAGGGATCACGCGAATTTCTACTCTCCAAGACAGGAGCTTTATCAATGGGATTCGGTTGCGATCTCGGCTAGAAATGCGCTCGGCATGCGGTACAAGCTTTTACCGTATTTGTACACGTTGAGCTTCGAGGCGCATACGACGGGCGCGCCGATGGCCCGTCCCCTGTTCTTTACGTTCCCGAAAGATACGTCGTTGTATGAATTGAGCACGCAGTTCTTGCTCGGTAGCAATCTGATGGTGTCTCCGGTGTTGGAGTCGAATCGAACCACCGTCGACGCGGTGTTCCCACCAGGGAGCTGGTACAACATGTTCGATACGACGGCGGTGATTCTATCGAAAGAAACAAAGAAAGTGACGCTCCGCGCGCCGCTGCACGTGATCAATGTGCATTTGTACGAGAACGCCGTGATCCCGATGCAGCGCGGCGGGTTGATCTCGAAGGAGGCGAGGAAGACGCCGTTCACGATCTTCGCAGCGTTCCCGCTCGGCGCGGATGAAGGACGAGCGAAGGGGAATCTTTTCCTCGACGACGACGAACTCCCCGAGATGAAAATTGGAAATGGAAAGTCGACGTATTTGGATTTGTACGCGACAATCGGGAATGGGAGCGTGAAGGTGTGGTCGGAGGTGCAAGAAAGTAAGTTTGCATTGGATAACGGGTGGATCATCGAGAAGGTGACGGTGCTCGGGTTGAAGGGTAACCCGAGCGGTTTAACGATCGAGGTGGACGGAAAGGAGACCCGCAATGCGAGGAGGGTTGAGGTGAGCATGACAGAACATGATGTGTACGAGGAAGAGAGTAGGAGTTATGGTAAGAGTAAGAATGTGATGGTAGAGATTAAGGGACTGGAATTGCTTGTGGGGAAGAAGTTTGCCTTGACATGGAAGATGGGATTAGGAGATAAGGCATGATGTTAACAATTCTTACATCATGTCCTGAGTTGTCTCAAGAATAGTTTGTTATGGAGAATAATTTTGGGTTGTGTGTGGATTAGATTTAAATTGGGCCTTATGTTGGGGAATGAAATGGTTATGGACCACCTAACTTCAACTTGGTGGTCATTTTCATTTCCTTTATGGCCTATAACTTATTTATCAAAAATTTTAAAGTGCTTTTAATGATCAACTCATTTTCAATAATTTTGTTATTCTAAAAGGATCTCTTTCGTATCTAGTAGTATTTGCATGAAAAGAGAATTCTTTAGTATTTGACGAATATTTCTTAACAATATTATTATCATTATTGGGTAGAGGAGAAAGAATCCTTACGCAACTACACTAATAATTTTTTTATTCTTTAGTAAGTGTTGTATCTTAGGAAGAAGAAAAAAAATGTTAATTATGGGTAATGTTAGAAAAAATCATGTTAACTATGGTCTTTATGCTTATAGGTGCTTATATTGCCAATATCAATATGGGTTCTGGTCCAGGGATTTGCATTCGGTCAATTTGATCCGAATTTTAAATTTGGATTGATTTTTTATTTATAAAAATCTAATTCGAAATCAAATTTTATAAATTCAATTAAATTTACGCTAACAAATATAATGTAAATTTTAAATTTAATATTATAAGATATAAGTATAATTAGCAAGTCAGATTAATTGATCATTTGTTTTCTTGCTCCATTTGCATCGGGTAGGGTCGGGTCGCGATGAGCTTGACAAAAAAAATCTTCTTGTTTGGACACGTCATTATCTCAGATTCGGCAATTCCGACGCACGCCGCCCTACTCTTGTGCAAATGTTTACAGAAAGTGTTCAAACAGATGGACGGCTGTGATTTAAAAGGCGGAAAAAATAAGCTTGATTTGCGAAATTAAATTAGAAAATTCGTGACGTGATGAAGGAATCGAGGGCCTATTGCAATTTGCAAATAAGATAATATAATAATAATAATATGAATTATTGTGTGTGAGTGTGAATCCTGATTGTGACTTTGGTTGTTTCCTTAAGTCCCTGCTACTGACTATACTTAGTCTATATTATTTTACGTTGATTTATCTTCCTTGGAAAAGTCAACTTTTCTACATTTCCCCTACTTCAAATTAATTACTTGCTACTTTCTCATATTCTAAATCAATATTTGATCTGATAATTGACATGTTACTTATTTAAATGTTAAATGTAAGAGAGCTAGTGAGGAAGCAAGAGAGTGGGAGAGTAGTCGAGAACACCTGTCAAGCATGGGGACACGTGTCGGAAGGTGATTGGAGAGTTACCAGATTTGTGGCGGGAAAGAAGGGCGGCGGTGGGCCCGGCGTCTGCGTAACGGGCGGGAAGACAAAGCAACCGCCAGCAGACTCTGGCCCAATTCTTACGTCCACATGCATGCCCACCATTATCTTCATTTCTATGTACATACAAACATGGCATGGCATGGCATGGTGCTTCTAGTAAAATATTACTAGTATTTTATAAAAATAAAATAAACTTTTATTAAATATAGATTATATAAAGAAAAAATGTACCTGCTAGTATAAATGAGCAGGCATGTACGGACACGGCGTATTAAAAATGGGCACGCTCGTCACGTGACAGAAACGACGTCGTCGCAGTTCAAAAAAATAAAGAAAAAGAAAAAGAAAAGGGGAGAGTATTGAATTACACACGGCCGCTCGCTTGACATAAAGATACTGGACATGAAAATACTTCTTTCTTGAGAGACTCCTGGAGTTGGAGACCAGATTAATCCACACGGTTGATTACTCCATCAACGGCTTGGATCTCTCCATCGTCTGATTTATTATCTCTAAATTTTGTCACTCAATTTATTTTACATGCATATATATTTATACAGCATCAAATTATATATTTATAATTAAAATATATCATTCCAAAATCTCAAATAGAATTTCAACTTTGTAACTCTATCTCAAAAAATCTAATACTAATAGAGTTACATGTAAATCGGTTTAGGTCCGGATGGAATCAGGTATGACTGATTTGAGTCGAACCGGACAGAAATCCCAATAGTATCAAATCTTACTTTGAATTTATTATATTAGAGTTCCACAAATCCCATAAGATAATTGTTTGTTATTTAATCACAAACATAAATCTTATTGCACGAAGTGTGTATAATACATAACTTACATACATACATGTGCTTGTGTGTGTGTGCGCGCGCGCTTGCAATAAAAATTAAAAGATATGAATGATTTATTTACGTGAAGAATTAACAATCGATGAAATGTTCATAACAATTGTCAAATAAAAGAGAATCAAATGGCACTGCACGGCAGGTGAGGAGCACGTGATCAGCGGTTATTCCTGGCGCACCTGGTGGCCCTGGTGCAGCTGCGCTGGTACGGATTGGCTTGCTGGTGGTCGCGGCAGTTATAGTACGACTGCCCCCGGTTGTTACACGGCACGCTGTTACTCCTCAGCGCGCCGTAGCTGATGTACCCGCCGGCGCCGGTGCCGACGAGCTGCCGGCGCGCCGATTCCGACTCCATCATAAGTTCGTCGCCGTCGAGGTCCAGCGGCAGGCCGTGGCTGGCGACGTCGAATTTCATCCCGAATTGGACGGAATTTGATTGCGCCGCCGCGGACATGGCGGCAGCCGCCAGCGCCACCGCCAGGAGAACAACCTCCGCCCGGAAAGCCATTGCCGTTGGCAATTAGAATTTGGTCGGATGGATCTATCGGATTAATTTGTGTTCGGAAATCGCAGGTTTGGATTTTTTGAGGTCACGTGCAGTGCAGTCGGGTGAATAAGATTCCGTTTGTTGTGGACATAGAGAACGGTCGAGAGTTACTGCCTGACCCGATATTTCTGCCGTTACACTAATTAAAATGCGGATTTGGATTAATATTTGATTTATTCTTTTTATTCTATTTATAGTATTGTCTAATCTGGGAAAAGTTTAGAAATGTGATCCACAAATTAGTTTTATATGAGAATAATTAGGGTGCTTAATTTGAATTAATTAATTACTGATCAAATCTTTACACAAAAATATAACTGATAGCTCATACTAACTATACATTATGTATAGATGTAATGGTAGAACAATTTGGTTAGTGAAGCTTCAAATATATATATATATATTTTTTGTCCATTTCAAATATTCAGCAATATTTTTAAAATATGAAATAATTAAATATATTTAATTTCTATTCTACAATTTTTTACTGCGTATCAATCAAATAAATATATATTTTTTTCTCTCATCGTAACAATTAATTTTTAAACTATCATATTTAATACTATACAACTAAATTCCCTGTGTCAAAAAGAAATGTTATAACCTATTTGAAACAAATGGAGTACTATGTTATACTTAATACTTTATGTAATAAGACCAATAATATTGTATTAAATAAACTATGTACATCTCATAAACTATGTACTGGTATACTTGATCATAAGTGATTGATATATATTTATTAATTATATAATGCCATTGTAATTTATCCTTTTATTTTAATATTGCTTCGATTAGTTAGATTTAATATCATTAAAAAAATTGTAGTTCAACATTAATTTATAATTAACTTTTTTAATAAACCATGTACAGACAAAGCCTTAAATTGTCCAATGTTGTTAGTAAATAGTATTAATTCATTTTTAAGTATTTGTTTCCTACCTAATTCTGGCATGAAGAAAACGTGACACAACTATTTACTACCTTTTTGGTACACATGAATTATATAAGCTCGAGATTATAAATTATAATACTAAAACTTCTATTCGTGCAAATGTTGTTTCATTCCCCATCCCCATCATTGGTAATTCCCAGATAACATATGTTATATGTAAGAAGGTAAATCAGTCAAATATTTTATTACAAATATGAAATATGATAAATAACCAAAGAGGGATTAGGTAAGAATCGAATTGACATAACAGGTAATAAAATCACACTTTGTTTTGATATCTGCAACGGATTACAGAATCTAATTATTGTAATTTGATTTCCTTCATGATAGCAATTATTTTGGAAACCTCTAATATTTCTAAAATTCTATAAAATATTGTGTAAATATGCTAAACGTTACAAGTGTGTAGGATGGATTATATTTCAAGCAACTTAAAATAATACATGAATAATTGCAATAATTTCCCAAATTTAATCCCAGCCACTAATCATGGCAAAAAAATTATTTCAACAGTGGCGTAATTGTAAATTTATACAAATACAGGCCCTCGAGTGCAATCCAGCTGGACGAAAAGTCAACATCGCCACCCCGCAACGTGGAAACCGCGAGGAGCAACCGGGCCCATGATCCAGGCCATCCATCCGACGTGGACCCTACATATTAATGGCGCTGATCCTCGCAGGACTCGAGCTCACAGGACCTGCCACAATACCCCACAATGCTACTGATTCCGGAGCCCACGCGATGCACCCGATACCAAAAGCGGGAGACTAACAAAAACACCCAGGACCCAAACTCCTAAACAAATCTACACCGTTCATTACGCATCCTTAACCGTATAGGACGCAGAGTCCCGAGAGTTCCAAAGAAATATGAAGGATGGGCAATGACATGGATGTCATGCACCATGTATGGCCATGGCATGTCATCATGCATTTAATTTCCTTACCACATACATACCATACAATAGTCTGTACATACACTATATATGCACCTACATACTCTTTTCCTCTCATTCAAACAATTGATAAATAAATAAACATATATATAAAGATTTAAAAAAATAAAAGAGTGTGGAAAAACAACTGCACCAAGTGAAAAAAGAGGGTAAAGTAGTGGAGACTGAAGAAGGAAGAAAAAGGGAAGAGGAAGGAGACAAAATCAAAGAAGGTACAGTGTACATATATTATACATACATACGGAGAGTAGAGCTGACACGTATATACGGAACCATTTCAATAATTTATTTACAGTTTGATGATATTATTGAGGTAATTGATTAATTATTGTACCACCAATTTCGTCTGGAGATTTGCGTCGCGACTGTGAATAGTAATTAAAATTAATGAATTTGAAAAAAAAATTAAATTAAAAAAAAATCTCTATTTCTATTTGATATTTTACTTTTTTGAGGTGATATATGAGAGAGAGAGGGCGAAGTTCTTGTAGTTGAAGGAGTTTGGCCAGTTTTTTTGTTTCAATAGTGGGAAGAAGTTAGAGAGGAGTTTCTTGATAATACCGTAGTAGGGCTGGGAGGGAGTTTTAGCTTTGTCATGTTGTAAATTGGCAAAAAATCGGAGCCATATATATCTAATCTCTTTCCAACACTCAGTTTAATTTGGTCTATCACGAAAATTTAAGAGAATTGTATTTTTATCGCCATATCTGAGTAAGTAGGTGTGTATGTCTACGTGCATCTGATCCGATTCTCTTCTTATTGGGGTGCTTTTTCGTCAAGTGTTGCAGAAGAAGAAGAGGTAGGAGAGGTAGTAGTAGCGGAGACGAAGAGAGTTTTGGTTGCAGAGATTTTATGTCGGCAAGTTCTGATTTGAGTGCTGTGTTTGGGGCTCCGTCGAACATCTCTCTTTCATCAGTTTCGTCTTCTGCTGCTTCTTCTTCTTCTTCTTGTGGTGATCACTGCGTGCGAAAATCCCTCTGCTGTGCACTTCAGCAGAGCACCCGCTGGTTCTTCCCAACCGTTTCGATGCGTTTGAGGCTCAAGAGGTAAAGATTGACAGATCTGTTGTTGACCTGATCTCTCTGTTTGATGTTGATGATGTTTATTTTTGGGGTGCAGGACTTGTTCTGGAGTCGAGTGTTTTGGGGGTTATCACATAAACCGGCTATTGAATCTCTACCTTTTGCTGAGAGGTCCTCGTACCTGACTGAGATTACATTCCTTTCCAAACCTCCGATTTACCTTTAAACATTTTTGTTCACTGATTTTTGTTTTCGAGACTTTGAGTTGAGTTTTGCCATTCCATTTTGTGGGTATTCTTTTTGAGGGGTTTTTCATAGTAGTTTAAGAGTGAGAAAGAGAAGAGAGAGAGAGAGAGGGAACATGCTGGAGACTCAGAAACAACCCATTCCTTCGAGAAAACCAAGAATGAAGCCCGAACCCGTTAGGCCCATGAGAAAAGTGCGATTCATTTGTGACGACCCTGAAGCCACCGACTCTTCCGACGACGAGGGACTCGCTGTAATGAAGAAGACAACCCTGAAGCGCGTGATTCACGAGGTTTGTTTCCCAATAGGAGGAAATGGAGGAGAAGAATCAGAGGGTTCCAACTGTAGCGAGAAGAAGAGGAAGAAGATGTGTCCGCCATTGATGGAGAGCAAGCTCAGCTCCGTCACCGGAAAGTACCGCGGCGTTCGCCAGCGGAAATGGGGGAAATGGGCCGCGGAGATACGCGATCCCATCAAGCATAAACGTGTCTGGTTGGGCACTTACAGCACCGCCGAGGAAGCTTCCAGAGCTTACGAAATGAAACGGTCTGAATTCGAGGCTTTGGCTCTGGCCAACAACCTCGACTCTTCTTTATCCGACAACAAGACCGTTTGTTCTAACGTTGTTTCTAAGGATGTCTCTGAGAACTCCAGCACCACCGCGACGTCATTCGATTCGCCGACCTCTGTTCATGGAGCTGACAATGACAAGGTTTCCTGTGCTGCCCACCACACTGCTGACTCCGACGACGAGGACGACTTAATCGCGCTCGGCCGAATCGGGGGAGAACTCGACTTGGATTTCCAGCTCGACTCCCTCATGATCGACACCGAATTCGACATCCCTTTCGATGATTTCGAGGATCTTCCGATATGCGGGCTGGAAGATGCCGACCATCCGGGTTCCCTGCCGGATTTCAATTTTGACTTCGATGCCTGCATCGATGCCCTCGGTTGGACCGACGATGCGCCAGCGACGGCGGCAATGATGAATGGAGCACCCCTCAATATAGCATGCCCATAAGTTTTGCAGCTAGTTCGTAAGAATCATTACAACTATGTACTTTGGTTACTTATGTTAGAGACAATGAGTTTGGTTGATCGATCGATCTCGACTGTGTTTATCTGTGTGTGTCGGATTTTAAGAGCTTGAAGTGTCTTATTGGGTTTTCTTGTGCTGTTGGAGCCGTCCAAGGAGGCTTCAAGCTTTGTATGGCTTGCTTAAATTGTTTCTTCGTGTGCATTTTCAAGAAAGAGATTCTTGGTCTGTGCATTTTCGATTTGGATTCTCATGTTGGGTAAATTATGGATGGTCTTTTGTTTTGTTTTGTTGATTGATGTTGGGGATTTTGTTGCATATATTATTTTTGACCGGATTTTATTGCATATATTTTTTTATTTCGATGAATATGAGTTGTGGATCTTAACTGGCAATTGGCAATTGGTGGTATTTATTAGTTTGGTATGTTTCAAAAGTGAAGTTGCATTTTGGTGTAGCCAAAACCCAATCAGCATTTTGTCTCACTACGGTTGTACTGTTACTGTGTAGTATAGTGTTCAATGTATATTCTTTGTTTATACAGTAATAGTTTTGCACTTTTTAGGCTAAATTGCACAAAATCCAGTTGTGGTTCATGAAATTGCACCAAATCCCCGTATTTTAAAAAATGTGTCAAATTTTCTTGTAGTTTGTGTTTAACTCCTTCAGCGAGCGATCTTCGATCTTTATTTAATGGTATTTAGAATCTCAATTTCTAAATAGCCAAAAAAATAATAAAAATAAACTCTTCAAACTTGAGAAAAATAAAAAAATAATAAAAATAAATTCTTTAAACTTGAGAAAAATAACCGGAGAATTTGACGTAGTTTTAGAAGTATGGGGATTTGGTGCAATTTCACGAAACTACGAGTGAATTTTGTGCAATTTAACTTTATTTTTATATATAAGAGATTACATTTATTATTATTATTATTATTAAATTACAGAACACTCTAAAAGTCTTTATATAAAAAAAACTTAATGTCTTTTTAAGAAAAATTAGTATTTTATATAATATTTATAAGAGAAAAATATATTTAATGTAACATTTTTATTTAAAGATGATTATTGATGAATAATTTTAAAAATGTCTAAGTAAAGATGAGTTTATATTTTTAGGAGTTAGAATTTTCGATTTAAATAGTTAATTCGATTGTGAATATTTTGGTTATAAAATAATAGTATTAAAAAAAAAATAGTATTTTATCTGAAATTCTTGAGATTTATTTTTTTTTTTTTAAAGAAATAATAAAAAAAGACTGCAATCCCTCAAACGAACATAAGGCATAGTGGTTTTTAATACACGATTCTTCATTAATATACAAATATATATACATAACAAGTTAATAAAAAAAAATTAATAAACACACACAAATGACACATCATTATTCAAATTAAAATTATTATTAATTATTATTATTATTATTGTTGTTGTAGTAGTAAGATTTGAACACGTTTTTACAAAATTCAGCGGAATCCTTTTCTCCACGTTTGACCAATAACAGCAAGTGCAGTTGGTGGATGGGGCAAAGACCAAAACACGATTTCTAATGTCGTCCTCCGACTTTTATTTTATTGCATTTTATATGACAATTAATAATAGTGCCACTCCCATTCACTCGCATCTTAAAATTCAATAAATTTTTCGTTGCCGATTATTTACGAGAATTACAAATTATAGAGTTTGTTGGCCAAACATGCTATCCCTCCCTCCTACACCCTATAGCCTATATAGCATTTATTTATATATTATAATAAAATAAAATAAAACCCCTCCAATGCCATTGGGTACATGGCATCAATTAATTCTTTAATTCAATTTTGCAATAAATATTAGTGTACTACAAAATTTTATAGTATCCATGCCAACATAGAAATAAATAAATAAATAAAACCTTGCCAATCAAGTAAATGACAGTAATTTTTTTTTTTTCAATAAAAATTAAAAATAAATAAATAAAAGGAATGCATGCATGTGAGTAGGTCATGGCATGTTTGCAAAATTTCTATCATCATATTCAATAGTGCGTGGCCCATTATTGACACTTGTTTGTGCCATTTTGTTGCTTCATCTGTAGGCTAAATCAATTGCCTTTTTTCTTTCTTTATATTGAGGGGTCTTCTTTGGAAATATATATATATATATATATATATTTTATATATGTCTGAAATTTCATTATTTTGTGTAATAATTATATTTCTTTAATTTTCCACGCACACATTGGTGTAATTTCTACAATGTAAACTTTTTTATTTCAATGTATGATGTAGCCTATGTTTGGTAATATGTAAGTTTTTAAAGTGCCCAACTTCACATGATTATAATTATGATTGTTAATTTTTCTTTAGACTATTTTCTTTTATTATTTTTCGTCTATTATATATATGAATATATTTGGAAATTAAATCATCGTGTCAAAATTAAGTAGGTGTGATGATTGAACAGGCATGTGAAATTTAGTTAGTTGATTGGCCCCAGAAGAAAACATAAAAATAAAAATAATTTGTGGTAATAAAAAGTCATGTAATTCATTAAGTTTGTGGGGATTAGGACTTCTCGAAGCCATTTTTTCTTTTCTCCAATTAGATAGTAAATGCAATTTTGTTGATTTTTTCTGTGCTTACGTGTCCAGCAAGGATTGGGTGTAATTTAGAAAGCAAATTTAATGGCACAGTATTTTATTTATTTATTTTTAACTTTTATTTTGTATGAACATATTAAAAAAAAAAAGGTATGTCGGTATAGCTTAAGAACAGATGTGCACAAAGGAATCAAAAAGATTCGTAGGCTGAGAATGTCCGTATTGTCGAGTGGGCTTTGCACTTTTTTTTAAGTTTTGAAACGTTGACTTTTTCTACAGCCCAATAACATGTTTCGCATCGTTGACTTTTGAAGAACATCTCTTTCTGCCCCAGTGTAGACATTAATTAAATTGATGTAATGGTGAACTTCAAATTGGGCCGCCAATTATAATAATAGAAGTAATTTATTGGGCCGAAGAAATGCTTATTGGGCTTCTAACTACACAGAGTACAATATTCGGAATGAGGGTATTTCCAGATTATTAGTATTATTTATTTATTACTTCCTCCATCGGTAAAATTATTATGTAGATTTGATTTAATACGAAAACTAAAAATAATATTTAATATTAAAATGGAGTAAATAAAAAGTAATATATATATATATATATTATAGAAATTTTTTTAAAGTAATTGCATATTGATTATTATTTATTAAAGTAAAGATAATAAAATTACGAACGAGTAATTTTTTTTTTTTTTTTTTAAATAAATTGAGAATAAATTTAACATACAATCAAGTAATGAATAATTATATAATTTTTGCTGACGGATGAAACATTATTATTAATTTTTTTTTTTTTTTCTTCAAATTGATACTACTAAGTATATGAGAATATATAGCCCCATAAAGGGTATGGAGTGAACTTATAATTGCAAAAGCCATAGATTCAAAACATAATCAATATTTTTTTTGATTTAGGATATTTGCATTATCATCAATTACTGACGGACGATTCAATGTGTCATTTGAGCTTCTATTTAACTTTAAAATGCTTAAGACATATATAAAATCTGAATAAATAATTTTAATTACAAAAAAATAAAAATAAAATAAAATATAAGTAAAAATAACACAACCAAAACCGAAAATATATATTGTAGATAAAGTATGAGTGAGATGGGAAGATTCGAACAAATAATTACAAGAGATATGGGTATAGATATATATATATATATATATATATGGATTATATTATGGGGAGAATTTTGGAATGAAAAAGCTAAGCCTAAGAGGGTATATAAGGCATCAAATGGATGACGACTCGACATCAAAATAATTATCAATCTCATTTAATTCCAATTCTGTCCTTTTCTGAGGTTCTTGTTTTTTCTTATGTAGTAGTAGTAGTAGTAGTATGAGTATGATGTATCAATCACCTTCAACGCCCCTTTTCATTTTCCAATATATCTACTTTTCATTTATTTATTTATATATTCTTATTATTATAAAAAAAATGTCAAGGTTAACCAATACGATAATGCCACTTATAGATCTAATCCATTCTTAATAGTCCTCCACAATTTCGTAGTGATATTTAACAAAAATATATGTTGGAATCATCTATTTATAATAATACCATAATTCTTGCATGGGAAATTACATAGGCACAAATATTACATAGGCACAAATATTACATGTACCCGAAGATAAGATTGAAAAAACAAATGTCCCATCAATACCAATCATAAAAACTTTTTATTACCGTTACCAACACATATAAATAATACCCTAACATACTATACTATTCATTTTATTAAATCATATACGTATATATGCAAATTCTTGATATATTCGAGAATGATGTCTTGGAGTGACGAAATTAAATAAACTTGGAAGGCATTCAATTAATTATCCATATATATATATATATGGTTATGGGCATGCAGAAACGGACTACAAATATATGTACGTATATATGGGCAATATTTGTTGGTGTTCAATTCACTTCATAGGCTACCTAAGTACGTGCACATGCAAGGACCATATAATAATTTATTCATTTATTTATTTTTAATTATACACTCCTCGACAAATTTGTCACTGACAATATTTTATGGGCACGCCCCTCTTTCATTTGGATATCCCTACCTCTCTAATTTAATTTTTTTACCATACATTTATAAATATAAACATTAATCCTTACCACATATAATATATAATAATACCACTCCGATCCACTTCTTGTTAATAGATAGAGATAATGACAACCTTAATCAAATCAAAGAATAAAGACTGATTTTTCCTGTATATATCTATATATAAATAAATCCAAGTTATAAATTAGTAATAAATCTGATGAATGTCTGGAATTACCAGAGATTTTTACAATGGATTTCTGGAAGCATCGATGTGGGAGATGGGGACCAACAATAACAAGCAGTAGTGGCTCAATTTCAATTCATTATCTAAAAAGATGAAAAGAAAACCCTAGCTAGCTAGCAAAAAGGTCCATTTCAGATTTTGAGAGTAGAGGCAAAAAGGGCCCCACAAATGAGATTGGATCAGACACGCTGACTTTTGGGGCCCACGTGGAAATTTACACGATCAGACTGTCGTCCAATCACAGCTCTCCGTTTTGGATCAAAATTTCTCCTCACCCAATAAGATTATCCTTATGGGCCCCACGTGGGCCCACCACCCTCACCTTCCCCCTCCCAAAAGCTGCCCTAACTTAGCAAAAAGTGCACCCGAGCAGAGCCTTTGTTCAATTAATTTATTCTTTAAAAGTGCCTCTCTAGTGGGTCTATACCAATCATGTTGTCTAGAGTCCGGGATCTCCGCACCAGATTAATCTTGATAAACCAACAGTGTAGATCTTTCTGGTTTTGAAGTCCATGGAGCTGGGAAATAGGAATCATCTAAATCCGAGACTTCTTTGTTCAAATAAATAATTGTAGGAATGACTCACTGACTGACTTTCTACTTCATCTTCCTTTTACTATTATTTTTTAATTATTATTTTAAATTACAAATCCTTCCTCTTTCTTCCTTGAGTTCAGTACCATTTCTGAGTTCCAGACATACATATGCAGCAGGAAATGAAGAAATCGATGGTTTCGGACAAGAAGCTGATTAACGCTGTCGGGGGGAAATCTGCAAGAGCGTGCGATAACTGCATCAAGAAAAGAGCCCGATGGTACTGCGCCGCCGACGATGCTTTTTTGTGCCAATCCTGCGATTCCTCCGTCCACTCCGCCAATCCTTTGGCCCGACGCCATGAAAGGGTTCGTCTCAAGACCTCTAATAATTCCATCAATTCATTCGACGACGACGACGACGACGGCGGCGATGACGACGGCAGAACCACCGCCGCCAGGTTGCAGGTTTCCGTCCCGTCCAGCTGGCACCATGGATTCACCAAGAAAGCTCGGACTCCGAGGAGGCACAAACGCCATGGGAGGAACCTCAGTTCTTCCAATTATAATTGTAATTATAATTATAATTATAATCATAATCATATTCCTCCTCTTCATTTGGTCCCCGAAATCGGATGCGAAGAATATTCCCACGACGAAAACGACGAGCAGCTGCTCTATAGGGTTCCGATCTTCGACCCCTTCGTCGCCGAGCTCTGCAATTCCGCCGCTTCAAATCAGGCGGCGGCGGCGGAAGCGGCGGAAGATGGGCAGACTTGTTTTGAAATTGAGCCCAAAACGACGTCGTATCAGGAGACCAACCATTTACAAGGGTTTCTTCCCTCTGAAATGGATCTTGCCGATTTTGCTGCCGACGTCGAGAGCTTGCTCGGGAAAGGCCTCGAAGACGAATCCTTCGACATGGAAGGATTGGGGATTTTAGATGACGACGGCGGCGGATCGTGCTCGAATCCTTTCAGGGTTAAAATCGAGGATGACGATGAAGATGAAGAAATTCGTCAGATTACAGATGTCGGGATTGATTTCGGAAGGGAATCGATCGAGCTCAATTTCGACAACGATTCCGCAATTCGATTTGACGAAGAAGGAGAAGATCGTAAACACGAGATTATTACAGGTGCAGAAGATCCAATCATCAGTTTCGATTCGACGAAAGCTCCGGAGGGAGATAATTCCGGCGGATTGACTTTTCTCAGTCTCAATTACGACGGCGTTTTATCTTCCTGGGGCGACGTCAAGTCTCCCTGGACCACCGGACGGCGACCGGAGTTAAAATCCGGCGAGTTTTTGCCGACGAATCTGGTATTCTTTATTTAAATTTCGATTTTTAAGAATTAATTAACCAACGTATGCTGACGTACAGACACACACATATGCTGTAAATAACTTCCAGGGCATCAACGGCGGGGGCGCGGCGGCGCAGTACGGAGAGATGGGGATGATGAACGGCGGCGCCGCGGCGGCGGCAATGGTGGACGGCGACAGGGAAGCGAGGGTTTCGAGATACCGGGAGAAGCGGCGGACGCGGCTGTTTGCGAAGAAAATAAGGTACGAGGTACGGAAACTGAATGCGGAGAAGAGGCCACGAATGAAAGGGAGATTCGTTAAGAGAACAAGCCTGGCGGCGGCGGCGGCGGCGGCAGCTTTTCCGTTGTACATGAATAACAACAAATAGGATAAGATAAGAGAAGAGAAGCATTAGTGAACATTAGTCTGCCCACCTGTCTGTCATCGCCATTGATGATATATGATCAAGTTCTGTTCAGACAACATTCTGCAGGCATGTGATATGCTTATATATATATATATATATGTATGTGTCGTGTATATAAATTATTACTAGTATACTACAATAAAATTAAAACTGTCCTCTATGCACATATATAAATATACATATGTATGTCTTATATGTGTAAAGATTTCATCTTTATTAGGAATTTTATCATCTTCTACTACTGTGTATAATTTATAATCCAATTTTATTATATATATGTATGCATTTATTATTCTTTTTGGTAGTTGATTTTATGGTCCATTTAGTTTAGCAATTTTAATTAAGACAATTTAGGGGCTCATATGAGCATATGTGGTCTTTAATTTTGAGCTCATGTTCGAGTAATTTGTAGGGTTTTATTTTCACTCAATTAGACAAATTTTAGTTTAATACTGTTATAATTGCATATCTCGAGCTAATTTTATAGTTAATACTAATTATTTGAACTTTTTTTTATTTTTTATTTTTTGAAGGAATTGGATTAGACCTTGTGTTCATTAGAAGTTTGATATATTTCATTTTTTACTGAATATATTTATGATGTATTATTTTTTACAAAATTTATTATATTCAAATTTTTATTTAAACGGAAATTTAAGATCAAAATACAAAATTGGTGGTTTATTATCATTGCAAAATTAGTTGTCATGTAAATGCATTAAGTTAAGTTCTAACCAATCTATTTTTTTTTTTTTTATTTGAAGGTTCAAATATTTTTAGATGTACAATAAAAAGATTGGGTTTGTTTCTTTACAAATTTTTTTAAACATATTTCTCACCGAAACTTAATATATTCTACACATTTATTATTTTTATATTACTAATACAATTATTTATACTTTACCTAAAAAATATTCTTCCAACCAAAACACAAAACAAACACGCCTAGACCACGCCTCCAAACATTAATACAAAAGTTTAAAAGTTTTATACTTTATCCGTCTCAAACCTTTCGATATTATTTCAAATTTGAAATGTTTAAAACTTTTGTAATTTTTCTTAATTACACACAATTGTTCTTCTTATACTCCTTAAAAAATAATTAATAGCATATATATATAAAAAAAAAAATAAGATTTTTTTTTTATCAAAATTATATTATACCACCTAAAAAACTATATAAAAACTAAAGTAAGGAAACAAAACCGGATGGAGATAGTATTATTATTTTAAATAATTGAATGTACGGAGTTATTCTAGAATATACTGATATACAAATATATTTTTTATTTTGTTTTTACAATTTAACTAAAATAGTTATGGCAAAAATAAAAATAAAAAATCTTTAGTTATGTTCTGGTATTATTAGCATTATTATTAATTAGTTCTCAAATGATGATAATAAATTTACTAAAAATGCAACTTATTACTATTTACAGATATATAGTTTATGTGTTATTAGATGCTGTGTATATGTGCTTTAGAAATATTTACCAGACACTTAGGTGTGTTATTTCAGAGTTTTGCTTTGTTTTTTAATTTTAGTTTTTGTTTCAATAGTAATTTAAATGTCATATTTTTATAGTAAACTAAAATTATTGTATAGTTAAAAAAAATAAAATCAAAATTTAAAACAATGTGGCCTATTGAATATAATCAAAACAAACTTTTTTTTTTTTTCCTCTTGCGTACATGTAATTAGTTTACAATTATTTACTTTTTAAAACTGAGAAGAAATTAATAGTACATAAACTATGAAGCCAAATCCCAACCTTGAGATGATGATTTAGTGCTCGAAATTATTTGGGATTTTTTTATTATAACATATCTGTAATTTTCAATAAAAATTATTATTTATTTTTAAAATATAATACTACATTCAAAATTACTGTTTAAACGTAGTAAAAAAAATACAAAGGCAAAGAAATTAAAACACGATAAAAGGTACTTCATTATAATCTTTAAATTGGCTAAACTATCTTACAAAATGATGTTTATGATATGTATGAACTAACCATGTCCAATATAACTGTTAATCTCTATGTTAAAATCCTTTCTTAAATTAAAATCTTACTAGAGAAGCAAAAAAAAAAAAAAAAAAAAAAAAAAAAACAGAAGAGAAAGAGAGAGACTTCTCTTCAAACTTATAATATTGAATTTTAATTTAATTTAAATATTATTTTTATATAATTTTGCTGAGTTATGATATTGATTATATTTTTATTAGGAATTGTAAAAATTGAATAATAAAAAATTAAAAAATATATGAAGAAAACAACACCTGAATCTTAAATGTGGATTTCCGATTAAATGTTGATGGAGAAAGTGGATCAAATTTTCGTTATTATGATTTTATCAAGTGTAGGTTTTGTTTTGATTTTATTATTTTATTTATTTAAATTTCAAAAAATATAGTAGTATATGTTTATGTGGGTCCAGATATTAAATGGTGGAAATGGCTTCTTCTAATGATTGTACGTTTTGACATATTTATTGTAGGGCCACAGTAAATTACTTAATTATGCAATTTGTCTTACTTATTATCTAACGTCTTACCCACTAGGCCCAGTATTATATAATGAGGCCCACTAATCGTATATGGGCCTTCAAACGAGCTTTAACAATTGTTTATATAAAAATGATTTATATTCACAATATTATACATAAAAATATAAATTACATAAAATAATTGCTTAATTATTTCAAATCACTGCCTTTTATTCAGGTTTTGCTGCGGAGAACTATTCAATATGGTGTCGTTAGTGTATGCTTATTCCCAATCACAAAGTATATGATAAATGTTTAATTTATATGATTAACAAATTAGGCAAGTTGACAGAATAACAATGATAATAATATTATTATCATCATATTATATTATGCATTGGCGTTTCAACTTGTTTGTATCTATATTATATATATCTATATATGTATGTGTATGTTTGGGTGGGATACTTTAGATATATATATATATATGTATCTATATTGATTTAATTGAATATAAAAATGTTTGGGCGTGTGGTGGACACAATGCTCTCCAACTTGGAATTAGGCCATGCCACTCAACTCAACACTAAGTATATATATTTCAATCACAATTAAAATTAATTATTTCATACTTTATCACAAAGGGATATATATATATATATATATAAATATAGTTTATTTACTTGTAAAGTTGGTTTAATAGTATCGATCTTTATAAAATGAATGATTCAATACTCTTTAAAGATGTTAACACTGGTTAATAAGCATCAACAAAATTTGAAAACATATACTATATATATATATAACACAATATAATGTACATGTGTTATAAATAAAACAAGTGAAAGGACTTGTCTTGCCTTTTTATGTTTATCCTAATTTATCAACAATTTCTTATAAAATGAATATATATATATACAGAGAGAGAGAGAGAGAGAGAGAGAGAGTTAATTTATAGATAGATTGATAATACATTATAGTATACATCATCTTCATTTGATTTGGAATATATATATATGGATATCATATCAAATCAGCAATAATCAATTCTCAGCTGCTGATTTATAATAAATTTAATTAAAAGTAACATTGAGATGGAGTGGAAATATATATATATATATATAAATTGATAAACAACATGTCGACAATGAAAATAACATAATAAAATCTAATATTTTAAATCACACACTTAACTCCATGCATGCATCTGTCATATAACACACATAATATATATATATATATTGTATTAAATAAATTCGAAGTGCACTAGTCTAGTCCTCCACTGAAATGATGTACTGATTGGGCCGGGTCCTGTTCAACAGCTCGGTCCAGCCCGGCCCGGATGGAGATGGTCCCACCCAGTTCCCGTGATGGTAAACTTATTATTAGTATTACTCTCTGATTGGATCCAATAATTATTAAACTGATTCTGATGATGATCACCTCTTTTGTTGGGTCCACCCGCCGACTGCCTGATTCTGTTTCGGGTCCTGACCCGGTGGCGAATGTCGCCGCCGCCGCCGGCGAGTGGAGCGCCTCGTAGGACCGCCTCGACGGCGGCCTCGCAGCGGGGCCAGTCGGAGGAGCGCAGCAGGCCCACTGAGCCGTTGATCGGATTAATGATCCTCCCGCAGGCTTCGTGCAGCAGCGACTTGAATATTTCTGCAGACACAGAGATATATATATATATATATATACACACACAATAAATCCCTGATTAATTAATTAAACACAGACGATGATGATGTGATTAAATAATGAATCAAGGACCAGGGCGGAGATGGGCGGGGCCGGAAGTGATGAGATTGAGGAGGCCGGCGCGGCCGTAGAATTTGGAGAGGAAGCGGGTGGCGTTGGCCTGCGACTGCGGAGATCTGATCCACTGAAGGCAAGGCCTGATTGTGCAGTCCCCACTGCAGGCCTGCCGGAGAGCTTTGCACCCATTGCAGCTCCGCCTCCTTCTCTCCTGCATTCTCTCTCTAACCAAATTAATTATGTTATTCACTACCTCTTTTTACATTTACTTCAACAAACTTCGTATCCTCTCTATCTTAACTATATATACATATATATTAGTCCATCCAAGCTTTATAGTATTATATTAAGAGAGAGAGAGAGAGAGACAGTTTTTTGAAATTATAAGATAGAAATGAGCGGTACTGCGAGCACAGTTTGGGCCTTACTGGCCAAATTTAATGGGCTTTAGGCCCAATAAAAACAGTTTGATGCATATTTTAGTATAATTTATTGGCATGGTTTGGTATGGCATACTTTTGTAAGTGTGTGTGTGTGTGTTTCTGTAGGAAGTCCGAAGTTGTTCATCCCGACACTTTCTGTAACTCTGTCCTCATTCTCTCTCAGCCTTCTCTATATATCTCTCTCTGGAAAACATTTAGCTCAAGGGGGAAACGATGAATGGTCTCACGTTGTGGATTATTTGGGCTAATAATCATTTAGCTCAATTATTTTATTTTATTTTATTTTTTCTACAGGTCAGAAGCAGATGCTTTCCAAGAAAATCCAAAATCTGATCTATTTTCTAATAATAATGTCTTGAAGATTAGTGTGTTATGTCCTTTTTACAATCAAAATTGACATTGAATTGTGTGGTAGGAGACGAGTAACATTAACAACTCCGAAGCATGAGAAATTAAAACTACAGATTTAAACACATGTTAAAACTGAGGGGCCATGTCTGCTGGGCACATATGTCAAACTGCCAGTCTTTTAACCTGGTATTCATTATTGCCCAATAAATGCACTTAAACAAAAAACAAAAAAATAAACAAAGAAGAAAATTGGGATGATAAAAAAATATATATAATTGAAGATTTGACAGTGATAATTTAGAGCAGATCATAATTTAGTATTCGCTCCCAAAACATGGCTCTCTATGTTTCGACTAAATTTGCTGCAACTCAGCAGCCAAACAAAATCCAAAGAATCATTCAGTTCATAAGAAACGGATTTTACCAGAAAAAAGAGCATATTGCTGCAGCAGAGTGAGCAACAATGGCGAACCTGAATCTATACATTGCCAACCATGCCGATGGTTGCGGTAGGAAAGTTAAATCTTTTAGCAGGCTGAGTGGTTGCTTTCGTGAAGTACATGTAGTAGTAGACATTGAGAATCATCGTCGCCGCCACGAAAACTGCACCTGCGATGAATATGCCTTTACGCAATGTATCACAGGAAAATTCATCTGCGAAAATCATGTCCCGGTAGATGGTGTGGTAAGCATTCTTCTTCGCGCCAGCAACCAGGCATGCTTCCGCTGTGATGAATGTGGCCCTGTAATGCAAGTATCGAAGAACTTAAGACATAAAAGATAATGGAAGATACATATTTGCTACTCGTTCGACGTCTTGATCAGACAAATGAAGTATACAGGAAGGGCAGGACAATGATTCTCTTACCATGAAGATGTGAAATAAATTATGGTTAGTGCCCGGTTGCTTCCAGGTGTTAAAGGGCTACCGAAACACATACACTTTGTTACTGCCATGACCAGCATTTCACTTGCAAGGAGAAACATGAATGCACCTACTCCATATCCAGTAGCTACATCAGAATGGTAAACACAATATGTTCGACCTGTAACTTCATCTCTACGTAAAATGCCCTGAAACCCAAAGGGACACGAAATGGAAGTCAAGAGATAAGAAGATAAGCTAGAAAAACATGAACAATGGAAGATTTAGAGGAATGCTTTCCACAAGCCATGCAACGAACCCACAAAATTTCAAATTTAATAATTTTTTAGATTTAGTAGTCAAGTATACATCACTATATTTATCCCTTAAATAAGAAGAAACTATAAACCATCGCCAAGAGATGGATGTATCCAAACTTTCCCTCGCAGCTAACTAACCTCTTCATTTTCTAGCCACAGTGTTGATGCAAAAATGGAACATTCACTGCACAATCACAGTGAGTACAACTAGAAAAAAAACCTCAAATCCAGAGGCTATTGCAATATCTCAACAAATATTCATTCTCTTCTCGAACACTTCCAGATATTTCAGCACTATTTTTTCAATTTTGTTATTCGATTTTCTCACATACAGATCAAAACGATTTCTTCAGTTTGCAATGCGATCCTCTGATACATCTCACGATTTATAATTACAGTCATTAAAAAGATAAGATATACAGTAATGGAGTAAGTAAGATACAATAGAAAATCGATAATGTATTAAAAAATCCCAAAGAAGCAAATTGAAAAAAGTTCTACGGCAACTTAAAACAAATCAACAAGCTGCACGGTAATGCACTACACACCAGGATCCAGATTTCAAGACACTAACAACTTATACTATGCCAGAATCAATTCTCGAGCCAATAAAACAATTCAAATATGCAGATGAATATAAAATCACTGTAGCGAAAACCGCACAGATATTCCAATTAATTTTAAGGCTAAAATCACCAAACAAGAACTACAATACACTAAAAAATACACACAACATCGCAAAATCAAATGAAATCACTTCAATTCCAGAAAATAAAGGGGAATAGAGCAGAGCGAGCGAAGAGCGTTTACCTTGCTACGACGTCGTTCAGCAGCTATTGCAAATCCAAATGCAGTTAAACTGAGTACTATAACAAGAAGATGAACAAGCGTCGAACCTTTCCCTTCCATCTCCAGTTCCCAACTCTCCTTGAACGAAAAAATACGGTGGCAGAGGGCGGCCGCCGCTTTGCAGCTCTGCAATTTTATAGTGAAAGAATGAAAAGGAACAAAGGCGGAAAAAATGGGGCATCAGAAAATAAAAAAAAAAGAAAGCGCATTTAAAGGCTTTGTAGAATGGCGAGGTAGCGAATCACAATTCTAACGATTCAGATTGGGATCTGTGGAGCACGCGCTGTATATTGTCCTATTGGAAAAGAAGAGACGTGCGCGCGTGACACACAACTGCTCAGTTTGCAACGGGAGCAGTAGTTCGTTAGTTGGTTCATTAGTCCTTCTATGTTTGAGCTTTTACTTATAAAGTGTGTTGGAATTTTGGGTGTGTCGTTAAAGATTAAAAATATGCCTGTCCACACAAAAATGTCTATTTATTTTTTTCAAATTTATTATAAATTATAAAATTTAAGAATATAATAAACATGTATTAAACGATCAAAAATTCATTCACACCGTACGTTTGTTACGAGAAATTTTTGTTTAAATTTGATGAATTAATGGATAATAGAATATTTTGTAAAAATGAAAATTATATTTTTTTTCAAAAAGTACAAAATTTAATTTTTTTATAAAAGAAATGTACCGCGTTGAAATTATAAAAATAATAATATTATAAAATTAAATTATTAATTTTTTTTTTGTAAATGATAAGAATATGTCCTTATATTATATTGTATGATATATGTATATTGTGCATTTTTTACTAATATTTATTAAAATATATGTCAATAAAAAATATTGGATGAATCAGACTCAATAATAAATTGATAATATAATTATAAATGAAAATGAAAATTGTATTACTAATCAAGAAAAGATACATCTTAAAGGCCGTAAAGATAGATCAGTCAAATTATATTACATATTATTTCGTAAAATTAATTAAAGACAAAAAAAAAAAAAACCTTTAGTATTCATTGCCACTCACTACTCCATGCCATTATAATTAAATTACTCAGTATATATTTAATCTAATTTAGTTTAATTTAATTTGGTTATGGGTTGGGAGGGGTCGCAACGGTAATATGATCTTGAATCCCCCAAATATCAAAATCAAAGTCACATAAAACGTCGTCGTATAGAGCTTGAGTGATTCCTCCTTCCTCCGTTTCCCAGAATTGGCACCAGCTGCAGCTAGTCGCCCACCACATTTCCTCCCCGGCGATTCCGCTACAGAAGCCGGCGGCGGTTTCCCAGTCGGCGAGGTCCTCCTCCGCCGTCGGAAATTGCGCCGCCGGGCAGCGCTCCGCCACCAGCGGCGCCTTCACCTTGGGCTTTAGCTTCTTCGAGGGAGACCGTACTGCTGCCTTTGTGGATCCTCTCTGAAGCCTTTGCCTCTTCATTGTATGTCTTAATTTTCAAATGCACAAATTATATGAAATATGAGATTATTGCATTTATCTGGGAATAATTTACAAAAGTATTTATAGAGAGCGAAGGAGGCCAAAAAAACACAGATATTTATTAATTAAATAGGAGAAAGGGGAGTTTTGGAAATGGGAGGGTGTGCATGGTGATATTGATTCGGGTCGGGTCGGGTCGGGTTTTGGCATGCCGGAAAGGACAACTTTCAGTTCAGGATTCAATGTACGCTCACACCAGGTCAGCCACGTGGATGATTTACACGTGCCACCATCAGCTCACTCCCTATGATCTTCACTTGCCACGTCATTTTCACTATTATTTAAAATAATATTAATACATTAATTATTATTTATTAAAAAATATAAAAAATATAAATTTGTAATACATTAAGTACGTTCGATGGAAAGAAATTGTTCATTTGTTCTATTTATCATTTTTATCCGTTCTAAAACAATAATCTTATTTTTATAATTAATCATATTACTATAAAACTATCTTTAATTTTCATTATAAATACATAATTATCACTGCTTTTTACACTAATACACTCGCAAAAGCAAAAACGTTTTTTACCTATACTTTTTATTCACTACCAGTTCTGGAACGGAGGAAGTATTATATATGTATATATATTACTCCATCCGTTCCACATAATTTGTTCTTATTTTTATTTTCGTCTGTTCTATATAATTTATCTTTTATTTTTTTAGAAAATTGATTATATATTTTAATTATATTTTAAAATTTATAATTTTTTAATTTTAATTAAATTATTTAATTATTTTAATTTTAATTTATATTTTTTTATTTATATATTTTTTAATTATTTATCAATTATATTTTACTATGTACAGGAACATGTCCATCTTATTTAAGAATGGAGGGACTATATATATATTAATGGATAAGTTGCAAGCGTCGCCAAAGTGAAGGACTTACTATTTTGAGACATAGATACATACACACGTACATGGTGTAGCTAACGTAGGAAGGAAGGAAATAGGAAGTAGGAAGCTGCTAGTATGTGCAGTAGTCTCAGGCTCAGATGCACAAACCACAATCATCCTTACTATTTAAGAACAAGTATATGATAAATATATTATATATGTTTAATTTGGTAGCATTAGGCGATGGACTGCGAGGGCAGGCGGATAAAGTACGGTCAGATCAGCTCAGGCCGTCGCCGCCGCCGGCCGGGGCGGCGGAGGGCGGTGGCGGCAGAAGATTAGCGAGCCCAACTACCAAAGTGCGGATTGGGAACACAAATTATAACCTGTGCTGCCCATCGCTGACCTTATCTATATTCCCTTTTCCGAGGTTTCCTTGCATCCCAGGAAATCCTTTCTTATTTTTATTTTATTTTTGGAATATTGAATTTAATTTAAAGCTTTTTATCTTGATAAATATGTATATATATATGAATTTTCTTGTATTCCCACCCCTTTTGTTTTATTTAAATGGGGTTCAGTCCAGAAAGAAATATAGAATCTGGCCCAATCAAGTCGAGAAAGTAAAACCTGAAAAGATTTTAGTGGAAATAGGCATCTTTTATTTATTTTCCTCCATTTCCGCCCAAATGCTTTTAAATTGTTTGCAAAATTCACATTTGACCAATACTAATATTTATATGTAATGAAGATAGATACACATTCTTGAGAATTATTAACCATAATTATAAATATACATTTTAAAAAAAGTAAAATTAACTACAAAATACCGAGGAATTCAAGACTTGTTAGCCACGGCGTGGACCCCAACTCCCACGTCAGAATGAGGGGTGTGGAGTTCGAGTCCCGGGTGTGGCTATAAAAATAATGATTGATTAGTAGTAGTGGTCAAGACCAAATTAGTAAGGAACATGTGGAGGCCCACAAGGCCTTTTTCCATATGGTTTTCGCGTGGTGAATAAGCAAGGTATACATCATCACGATCCTAAGAAATCCATCACCACTCAACCCACACAAGAAAGACAAAAAAACACGACTTTATAACACATTACAACCTTTGATCTATTGATATTTACAGAGGATTTGGGGCTACAAGAACACCACTTAATGCCCACAATTAAAAAAGAAAAGCACACTTCTCTTACAACCCTCAAAAAATTAAATTAAAAAAAAATAAAAACAGTGAACACTACCCACCCATCCCATTTCTCATCTCATCTCTGCACTTACACCATTAACAAAGCAGAGACATACCTCCAAATCACTAAATGTACTTCTTCCTTAAATCATCCATTACTAACATCATCGTACACACACACACCATTGCTCTAATTACAGACATGTTTGGATATGTACACTAAGGACAAAATATGTTCAAAATTAATTCCCTCTTCTTGATCACCAATTAATGATGATGTTTGAATCAATCAAGCCAGGGCAGGGATGCTGCAGCCGCGGCCGCGGTCCCTGTCCAGACAGTCGAACCCCTCGACCCTCACCGTCGGGTTGCACCCGCCCTTACGGGGTGAAGGGCTCGGGTTCGAGATTGGTGTCTGAATCCCTTCCATGAACCGGGAATCTTGAATTAATGGATTAGATGCCCGGCCGGGTGGCGACCCGCAAAAAAATGGGGGCGATGTTGCCACGTGATCGGGTTCGGATTCAGATCCAAATTCGCCCTAAATATCAAAATCAAATGGTTATTACAAATTTACAATGGATTGATGGTAGGACAATTGGCAGGTGAATATTTTTGTTGTAATAATATGTGACACGAGGTTAACTTCATGGCCACAGGCTGATAATTAAACTTGTAGTGGATTGGGTCCTGTGGACCAGAGTTTGATATTTCATTTTCCATAGGACAATTACATGTAAAGAAATTAAAGACACGTTTATTGTCTTTGAGTAAATTAAGAAAGGGCGAAACTTAACCAACCTTTGCCAGGACGATGATGTCCAGAAGTTCATTTCCAGCTTTGGAATCGAACGCCTCTTGTTGATTGCTGTTAATTGGGAAAATACGATAAATTAAAATAAAATACTAAAATATAGGCTGAGATGTCAATAACCGAAAAGACGGGGGTAAAATTGGGAAAACACACATACCTGCTGTGCCATCTTAAGGGCAGGCCGAGCCGCCGCGGTTTAGGGCAGACCACCCTCTCACATCTATCAGCGGCGGCGGCGGCGGCGGCGACGGAGTGATTCATTTGACCTACAGACCTGATTCTCCTGACTTTTCCGAATAAACAGATTAATTAGGTCAAGAAACAAAATTAACCTTTGCAGATCTGTTTCTAACGCCTCACACACACACACAGACGCATCAAATATAAAAATTTGTCCGTTTCATCAGTTTTCCGGTCAGCGCCGGAGCTGTCTCCGCGCCGACAAACAAACATATATAGATCTGTCCGTAGAGAAAACGCGCACACACGCAAAGAGAGCTGAACAAACTATCCTCAGAATTTGGGGAAAATTAACTGAAAATTTAAAGCTCAAAATTAACTGCAGCTTTGTCAAACAAATAAACCGAAACACACAAAAAGGCGAAAATCAATTTCCTCGACTTGGCAAAACCTCTTCAATTCACTCGAAAATTATTATTATTATTATTATTTTAAAAAGTTCGACAAGAGATAGACAACGGTAGTTGAGAGGCGATAAGCCGTACCTTAACGAGATGTAAAAAACTCCGTGGCTCCTCTCGAACAGGAAGGAACTTGTAACAACGAGAAAAGAAGCAAAATCCTTTAAAAAAAATAATATACAAAAAGGAAGAAGGTGAAGAAGAGCGACAAACAGCAGGGGAAAACGGCTAGTTTAAAAAACGCAGGCCCAGAAAGGAGGAGCGTGAGAGCGAAGGTCGCCATGGGCTTTTATACACGTGACATAATTAATTAGGACAAGGCGCATAAATTAATTAATTACGGAAAGTAATTATATTGTGTAATGAGATCATTACTATAGCTTGTGGGGCCTCTCTGATTAAATCAATAACCGTTATTATTAATGACAATGTGTTTTTATTTTGATTCCTTTCATATAATTTTTTTAAAATTTATAATTTATAATTTTTTTATTTTAATTAAATTATTAAATTATTTTAATTTATAATTATTTTTATTAATATATTTCAATTTAATTACTAATTACATTATAACTTAAATTCTGTACCTAACTAAATTAAATGGACAAATTAACTTGGATCGAACAAGTATAATGTATAATTTATTGCAGAAAAATCAGGTGAAAATATCCGGTGGTCCAAAATCGTAAAATTGAAGTGAAGGGGAAAATAATTTTACAGGCTGTAAATTGTGTACAGCTGGAATCTGGGACGATTTAGGTCGGCCATATGTTAGGCGGTAATAAACGCCCCCTACCGTCGGATGACAGTTCACTTATCGTGTGGCCGATCTTAATTCTTACTACAAACCCAGTGATAATTTAGACATGAGACCTAATAAATTAGGATTATTATCTACCTAGCTACAAGTTAGGATTTAGGGGTACCTAGGCACATGTTCAATTTAATTCGAGTCAATCATATTGACTTATAAGAATTTTGAAATTTTTGTACTTTCAAATAATTTTGATTATAACAAAAATAATGTCTTTATTTATAAAGATATTTGCTTTTTAAAAAAATTACCACTATTTATTTGATTTTTTATATTAAAAAAATATCATATCAAATATATATATTTTACTATTTTCATTTTTAAAAATATTTATATAAATGGAGTTTAGGTATTTATATATAATATTGTTCTAAATTGTTTTTTAGTTCTATATTTGGACATTTTTATTATTTCCTTCTATAATTGAGTAAGTTTTAATGGATGTCTATATGGCACACCACTGGTTCGTTGGAGGCCAAGTGTCCACACCTGTTGGATATGATTTTTTTTTTTTATATGAAAATATTTTTATATCACTATTTATTTGATTTTTTTTTACTTAAAAAAATACTATATCAAATATATTGATATAATAAATTTTTATTATTATTTTAATTTTTTTTAAAAAATATTATGTAAATGGAGTACATGTTTTTTAAAATATTTTAACAATTCGACAGATAATATATAGGCCTATTTAAAATAAAATGATGTGTCTTGTCAAATTTAATAATATGGAAAATTAAGATTTGAATAAGTGCCGACCAACAAAAGATATTTGGTGACAGCTACAAAACTAAACACTTGCCTATCATCCTAATATATTTCGTAATTAAATTTTACTTGGTTTTATTATTAGTATTTTTTAGTGTGTTCATGTATCTATTTTTATTTTATTTTATTTTCATATGTGGAATAATTAAATAGTTTCCATTTAATAAATGAATACGAATTTTCTATTCACTGTACGTACATTTATAAACAATACGAGGCAACAATATGTTGAATTAATTGAGCAGGACATATGTGTTTATTGGGCTTTGAATATCTGAAAAAATGTAAATGAACAAAAACCGGGCCCAAGTCAGCCCAATACAATACTTGCTCCTTAAAGATATTAATTTATTTATCTCTTTAATGTTTGTATTATCTTTGTTATCACTTATGAGTTTGTTTAGGCTTATGTAACTTATGTGATTAGAATTGTAATCCAGTATTTAATTAGAGTATAAATTTGTGTGTTTGTTTGGAGGATTGGATTGAATTTACACTATTCATCCAATTTTTTTCCCCAAAAACATCAAATCAAATACTTATTTTTTATTTTTTATATTATACTAAAAATCAATTTTACATTCAAAACATCACATCAACACCTATTTATATCTCATCATACAACTATTCAAATTCAAAATTTTTACTATTCAAATCCCAACTCAAAATCCAAACTCCCAAACAAAGACACCCAAATGTTATGTAGGGTGTGTCTATTAGTATTGTAGTTTTGATTTATTTTTTCACTTATTTATTTATTATTATTTTTTTCAACTTGAGTTGGGGCGAATTTTGTTATTAATATAAAAAATAATCTTTTATATTAAGTACTCTCTCCGTCCCACCATAACAAAGTATTATTTTTTCATTTTAGTCCGTCCTATAACAAAGTATCCATTTCATTTTTTAGTCATTGTACTATCTACCTAACATTACAAATACCCTTACAACTCACAATATATTACACAAATGTCATTACCTTTATATCACAAATACTAACAAGATTATTTTAGTCATTTCAACTTTATTCATACTATATCCCAATATAATACTAATATACCTAAAACTACGCATAAAAAGTAATTGGATACTTATTAATGAGACGGAGGAAGTATTAAATTTGTATAAGAATAAAATATATATTGGTATTATATACTAGGATTGTGTTAAAAAGTTTTTTTTATTGTATTCACATTTCATACACTTCAATCATATTAAAAATAATCACATTACATAATATATAAGACTATGTCAATATAGTGTGTATATATATATATATATATATCGCTTTGATTACTGTGTTAATCCATATTGATTTGAACCAATACATGCTTATAAAGAAAATAATGATAAATATCCGACATAAATGTTAATAAAGTATACAGTACATAGTTTTATTTTAATAGTACATTATATAATTTGATATGACATAATATATGCTTGAATTAATAGATTTTATAGCAAAATACAATATATAACATATACTTCTATATAAAATATATATTATTTATCTTGCAATGAAATACTAATCATTTTAAATTAGTCTGCTGACTTAATTAAATTAGCTTAGTGTTGATTTGAAACAACCTTATTATATATATACATATTATATAATCATTCAAATTTTAAATAAACACACTCTATGTTTGAAATATTTTGTTATTATTTTAAATTTTATGATGTTCTATTTTTTTTCTTTTTAACAGTTTTAAATAGAATTTTATAAATATATTCTAAACAAAAGTTAAGGGCAGAATTGTACTTATAAAAACCGCGTTGAAATAAAAGTATAGATGTAGTACTAACTTACAACACAAGTGATTATTCCCTAAATCAATTCTTTATCATCATTCTACCCTCATTAAACTAAACTTAGGCATTTTTTATTTTTTTTATGCAAAATAAGATATTGTATAATTTATTATTATTATTATTATTATTATTTTAGTGCAAAGAAAATAAACGTGAAACACAGACAGCTTTTCATTAAACAAAAAAGAAAAAAAAATGAAATGCAACTCATTAAATTTAAATTTGGAGCATAAAAAAATTGAACAAGCTATACTAATCATACTAATTAATTAAATCTTAATTAATTTAACAGTAAATTAGTTAATTAATCACAGACCTATATATACATAAAGATAATAGAAATGTATCTATATATAGGCATTGTTATGGAAATGAGAATCAATACAAATATAGAGATTTGTACGTATCAATACATACACATACATATAATGTCGCAGTAGTGTAGCATCAGGTCTATTAGAAGTAGGGCAATATTAAACCTAGGTAGCTTAGCTCAAAGCCAAGAAAAACATCAAGGCCACGTCCCTCTCATTATACAAACCAAGATCACTCTCTCTCTCTCTCTCTCTCTATACTATATGACTATCTCTCTCTCTCATCACTCTTTTTAAAGTCACGAGAGGCTCAGCTGATCTGATCTGTCCATTTGCTGTTGTTTCAATTTACACACACATATATATATATATATATTAATGAAATTTCTAGTGTGAGAAGTTAAAGTGGTGAGTGAGTCGAGTAATCAATCAGCTGTATGTATGTATGTATGTATAGGTTAGGGGTGTCTCCAGAGATGATGGCAGAACCAACTCCGAGAAAACATTCAAGCCCACTTTCTTCATCATCACTCAACAACACCAACAACATCTAATCTAGCTAACCCTATCTCTCTCTCTCTCTCTCTCCCCCTCTCTCTCTCTATATGTGCTATATAACTATATCGATTTATTTTTAGATTTCGATTCTGTCCCAATCTCAACTCATCATCTTCTAACTTAATTTGATTTGCCTCACTCCTTCCCTCGTCTTTCAATTCCTTAATCGCCTCAAATCTTGAATCCTTACCTGTCTGCTCTCATGTATGTTTGTTTCCTCTCCTTCTTGATGTTTTCTTGAAACTAATTAGTATTTATTTTCAATTATTTGTTTTTATTGGTTTAATTAATTTTCAGGAGACCAGGGGGGAATCCATTAGACCTCAATAACTTCCCTGAAGATTACACCACTAGAGATGCAGGCAAACAGCTCTCTGAGGACAGCTCTTCATCAACTGGTAATTAAAAATTTTACTTTCTCCTTTTCATCCTTTTCCTCTCTTTTAATTTTACATTTTGGAGGAAGAAAGGGAATTACAAAACCCTGATTTCCAAAACTTGGGGTAGAAATAGAGAATATGTGCAAGAATTTATAATTTCTTGCTTGCATCTTTTGTCCTGATTAGGGAACCAGAAGGGTTTCAGATTTTGATCCTGGTAAATTTAAACCAGAAGATTATATGATGTTTTTATTTCTGACTACTTCCACATTTTTTTCACTTATCCGATCAGCCTATTTATTAAAAATGGAAAAATCTTTTATTCTTTCTCACTAATAATTTCTGGCTTTTTCCTCCCCCTTTTCCCTTTTACAATCTGTTTAGGGCTATTTTTGTAATGTGAGATTGAAACCCTAGAGACTGAAAAAAAGGAAAAAGAAAATAAATAACAGACATGAAAAAGAAAACAGTGGGGTTGAGGGTTGTGGTGATTGAAAGTGGAATTTTAATAGGCGATTTGGGGGGGAAATTTAGGGTTTTGAATCTGGGCTCAAGATCAGTCTCATCAAAGTTGCTTTAATTGGCATATCTGCAGGCGTCTACAGAAAAAAGAAAAGCAGCTACGGCGGCGGCGGCGGCGGCGGCGGTAAGGATGGAAAAGACGAGGGCGAGAAGGTCTACGAGTGCAGATTTTGTTCCCTCAAGTTCTGCAAATCTCAAGCTCTTGGGGGACACATGAATCGCCATCGCCAAGGCAATGTCTTTTCCGTCCTTTCAAACACATACATACACACATACTCTCTACTTCTACTTCTATATATATATATATATCTATGTATGTATATATATATTTGTGTGTGTGCATTAAACAGCTAACTGCAGGCTTCTCGTTACAGTACATGAATTTTAGCAAAGTTCGTTACATCTGAGTAAATGCTTCCCCAATGGGTTTTCCTTTTTCCATATGAATCTAGGCATTGTCTTGTCAATCCCTGTTCCATTTCTTTTCTTCCCTTTTTTCCTTAAAACAAAAAAATCATTTCAAATCGAATGGTGGTCAGCAGCATCTATTCAAGGTTATATTCTTGATTGAACTTATGGTTTTTTGATGATAAAACTATTTAAAGATTTGGGTAATTTTGTATTACATAAATGCAGAGAGGGAGACTGAAACATTGAACAAGGCTCGAGAACTGGTCTTCACTAATGACTTAGCTCCTGCTGCTCATCTTGGCTATGTCTCAAGGTAGCTGTGTGTGTGTGTCTGTCTTATTTTTTGAATCCCTAATTTATGTTTTATGTTTTTGAGTAAGCAATGTCTGAATTCTTGACAGCTGCCAATCAATTCCCCATGGAGGGTACCAACAAGGATCAATGTACCCTACAAGGATGTATTCGACTTCTCCGATCATTCCTCCTCCTGCTACTAACCCTACACCACCATATGTGTACCATTCCCCGCCTCATATAGTGTCGCAGTATCCGGTTGCAGCGGGGGCAGGGGCTCCGATGAACGACTACTTTGTGGGGCATGCTCTATCAGGGTCGTCCAGCTACGGGTCGGGTCGTAGCGAAGGGAATTACACGTGCATAGGGGCGCCGGTGGGGCAGGGAATGACGAACAGCAATGGTGGGAGGGACATGTCAGTGCTTAATCAGGAAGATGGAGGGTTGAATTGGGGGAGGAGATAGAGAGGGTTGCAAGATCATGGCGGCATTGATGAGTATGATCAATCTCAATGTCATGAGGTGATGATGATCAAGGGTGGTTGGTTAATTAATGATTGAATGCTTTTGTTTTGTTTTCTTAATGCATTATGGTATGATTATGATGATGTTGTTGTTCTTGAGCGAGTGTAAGTGTTGGTTTGTGTTGTTGATTGATGAAGATGAAGAAGACAGCAGTCTCATCTCAGTGGAAGAGGTAGATAGGAGAAATGAATGAATCCTCTCCGAGCTAGCTAGCTAGCTAGCTAGCAACGAAGGAAGAAATCTGGAAACTGACAAATTAATGTTGTCTTGAGGGGTTTTGGTTGATATATAATTATATTATTTATTAATTAATTAATTAGCAGCCTTTTGAGGTGTGTGTCTGTGTCTCTGATCCATCACATTCAAATTCAAGTCCAAGTGTGCATGGTCTTTGCTTAATTTGTCATCTTCTTGTTCTTTTATGACACACATCTCTTCATTTTCTATGGGGCTTTCAACTTCATAAATAAAATAGTGTGTTTGCAGACACAAACCCACATATCTCATTCAATTCAATTGTTTAATAAAATAAAAATAAAATATGATATACATAAAACCAAAAAACAAACAAAAGAAAACCAAATCGTCATCATTTCTCTCCCACCATGCTTCATTCCATAATCTCTCTCATCATGTTAAAAGTCATACCTATCTATCTATCTATCTATCTATTATATATATATATATATATATCGCATCTTAGTATACATATAGTTGCACAAATAATTAACCAGTTGAATTAATTTGAAGAGGTGTCATAGTTTGAGGTATAGATTTGGTGGTAAATTTTAGCTTGAGCATATTGTATGAGCAAAGTCAAGAAACAAACAAATAAATTTTACAAACATTACTTCATTTATTTAATATATAAATATTATGAAATTAGTATGATGTAAATTTATAGACAACTCATGCATCAATAAAAAGCAGCATATGAATAATAATTTCATTATTAACAACTATAACAATGTAATTAAATTACTTAACACCATCCAAATCAACATTTCATAACTAAACATTCAATATATTGTATAACTACAAATATTTATATAAGAACTTGCTTGCTTACACTTTTTTCACACTATTAAAAGAGCAAGTGTGATTATATCTTTGTGGAAAAAAGATATATGCCGAAACCCTAATTAGCTGTCTGATCAATTTATCATTCTTCGTCTGACCCTGGCTATATATTCTTGTGTTTTATTTCTTTAATAAAGCAAAACAAACCTATATTATAATTTAGGTGGGTATCATGTTGTCTTCATAAATATATAATAAATTTTGGAATCGATTAATTAAGAATGCAAGAATTATATTCATGTCTGATTATTTCATCAGAACAGTTCATGAAAAAGTTCAGATGTATGCAAATGTATGTGTATGAATTCATGTCAAAATGTAGGAAATAGAGAAGTGTGTTGATATTAAAGAGTGTGGAGACATTGAACAGATTAGGAATTAGAGAGAGAGAGAGGTGAATGAGACAAATGGGAAAAAGGAGAGTAGTGAGGGAATATTTGCAGATCTGCTGAATGTGGGTGTGATGGGCAGTAGTGATTAAATTGAGGGCAAAAGGCTGCATATGAAATTGAGGCACCCATCCACCCCACCCCACCCCACCTTCAAGTGCAAGAATTGAACACACACACAATGTATACAAATACATACAACACACACACACATGAATACAAATACATACATACATATATATATATATGAGATGTATGATATTACATGGACTGCAATTGGCAGGTCAACTGGATCATTCTATTATCCAACAAGCTGACACAGCACTAGTACTGCTTAAAGCATACCCTACATCCCTTGTATGTATGTGAGTATATATATATATATGTATATATATGCACACACACACATATACATGTTTGTGTGTGCTGGGGTGTGTACTGATGATGATGAGGCAGTCTGTACAAAGTTATTGATTGATTAGGGTTTTTAGCTGCTTTAGTGATTATCAAAGATCTACGATTTTGTCCTCATTTCAGTGCCCTAATCATCACACACATATTTATCGATCTATATGTTATATTATTGCATCCCCACCACAACAAATAGTATTTTACCATTTACCAATTACTATTGTGTGTGTGCCCATCTTTATTAATTATTCCATCTAGCCAAAATTAAAATTGAATCGATCTTTTAATTGGTAATAATGTAATTTGGAATTACATGGATAATTTTCACAACAAGCAGTGTGCTGTGCTGTTGCACTCCAAGAAAACCACAGATCCAACACTATGTATGTATATATATATATATATAATATCTGAGTGAAAATCCAGACAAAGACACACAGTCTGTAACACAAGTAGAGAGAGAGTGTGAGAGAGAGAGATACATATCGATCAGCTGAAATCCCAAGACGACATTGTTATTAGTGAAAGGAAAGAAACAAGACACTCATTGTTTGTGTGTTGTTTTCTAACAGAAGATTTTTACAATATTTACTACACCCTCTTACCAAATCTTATTTGGATCTTCCTAATCATCACACTCTCTCTCTCTCTCTCTCTCACCCTCTCTCTCTATATATGTATAATATGTCCTGGAATCCATAGTGTCTTCATGCTGTATAATATGTCCTGGGATCCATTTGAACTTACATCTGCCGTGACACACACACATCCAAATACATACATACATATATATATATACACACACGCAGGAAAATACAATAATTTTATAGTATATCAGTGGGATTGAGGGGTTCTTGACTTAGAGTTCCATTTCAATATAAGAAGCTGCATCAATCAGAGTTGCCCCATTCTCAGCTGTCTCCTTCACTTTGCAATTACTAATATATATATATATATATAATTAATTCAAAGTGAAAAAAGACATCACTTGTGGTCGATCGAATTAGGGCATGCTTAAACTAATTAAGGTACAATGATTAATAGACAAATCATCCATCAATAGATGGATCGATTATCAGTACTTTGTGATGTCTGATTTGTGGATTTTAGTGGTTGTCTGTCATCCCTCCCACTACTCTTATACATACACACGCATATATATATATATATATGTACATGTATATGTCTTTTCCAAATCATGAAAAATACAAACCATTGACCGCAAAAGCTTGTCTCCCTATATCTTGTGAAACTCTTCTTGCCTTTGTTTTGACTGACGACGATCATCGATCACGACCTCCTCTGTCCCTTTGTGTGCGTGTAAAAATGTGTTCTTCTTACAGAGGAAAGTGCTAACTGTACAACTACAACCCGAGTACTTTATTTCCATTTCTGCCCTTATTGGGCTGAATTAAACTGCCTTTGTTTTATTTGTCTTGGGCCTGTAAAAGTAGGAAGGTCCAGTTTATAACGAGTGGGCTCGTATTGGGCCTAGTTAATTGTTGGATGCTGTGTATATATAATGAAAAATATATTATTTAAAGAGGCGACTGGTGAGCATGGACAGATGTAACTGACTTTTCAGTTGGCGAATAATCACATTTAATACTACTTCAAACACATTAATTAAATCAGAATGATTCTGTACGTACTATGTTTGCTTTTGACTATTTGAAGTGTTTTTGTGTAATATTAATAACTAATCACTTGGTTATATTTAAATTAGATTACGTCATGCATGAAACAAAGAATAATCCACGTGGCAGTTTCTATTTAACTTGTAAATTAGATATATACTAGTAGGGGTTTGTTGTTTTTTTGTTTTTTTTTTAGAGTTGAAACAGTTCTATATTGAATAAACAATAAATACTTTATATGAATTTTTTGAAAAATGAAAATAGAAAAAAAATAAAAAAAATACTATGGCAATTTGATATGAACTTTTTATAATTAAATTCCCGACATGGGTGGTATGTTTGTATTATAAAATATTATGGCAATTTGGATCTTTTGTTACAATATTCGTCTCATCCGCATGGCGTCTCTTCAGTGTTTGAAGTTAATTAATTATAAATATATCAAAGTCAACTTGTTCTTTATTAATAAAAAAAAAAAGTTGAGCAAACACACACACATATATATATATATATATTGTATATTGTTTTTGTTGAAGATTTTGCCCAATTATACAAATAGGTTTCATATATTGAATTACCAAATAAATTAGCTAGTGTGATTGAAAATATACCCAATTGAAAAGACAATCCATACACGTCGACTTGTATATATATGTAATACTAATTTTTATAATTTAGAAATTAAAGATATATATGTGAAATGATCGATCGATATTATGACCATCTTAGTAGTGCTCGAATTCATGATGTGGAAGTTGAACAGCCCAACTTGAAAATGAAACTAAACATGATTCCCAAGATTAATCTCCATACATGTAAGTATATATATGGTCCACATAATCTTGGAAAATCCTACCTTGTCATAATTGGAATTTTATCAATTATAACATAACATTCATTATATATTGTAATTATAGCATCATTATTATTTAAGAGACTTACAGAAATTTAGATTTTTTTTTTTTTTTTTTTGGTTAGAAAATACAAAATTTCAATTTTATATTATAAATATATCAATGTAAAGTTCGACTAATAAGTAGAAGCTACGTGCCAAGATTGTTGTGATCTTATGAAAATTAGTTTTTTTTTTTTTAAATATATATATATATATAAAATGAATAATTCAAAATTCAAAACCGTGTGCTTGAAAATGCAGCTTTGTAACTGAGATTAGTCTTTGTAGAAGAATATTATTACCAATTTGACGATTTATTTCTCCCCAATAAGCAGCAGTCAAATATATATCGCCCCTCCAACGGTTGAATATAATATATATATATATATATGTCGTAATCGCACGTACTATATATATGTAATAAATAGCCACGTAGGCAAGCATCGTGATATATGAGAACCCATTAAGCACATGGAAGTGATATCCATTAAGGAAAAATCAAAAGTAAGATTATTATTATTATTATTATTATTATTATTATTATTATTATATTGACTTGGCTAATAAATTAATTTCAACATGATAATACGATGGATCCATATATAACATGTCCCGAAATGAAATGGAACATTCGATATTACTGCCTACGTGTCACCAACCCTCAATCAAATAATTACAATTAGTACTCACCTACCTACAAATACTACATAATTTTAATTTAATTTTATATTCAATTTAATTTCAAATAATATAAACATGTCAATGTTTGCTCTAAAGATATATATATGGAAAATCAATTACTTGAAGATAATTAAAACCCTAATTTTCTAGGCAACATTAAAGTTGGATCAAGACAGGTTAGATTAAGTATTTTGAATGACCGATCGAATTGAACGGTCTACATTGTAGTACGTACGTGTTGTATTGGCTTTTGGTGCACTTGGATTTATTACCAACACAAAGTATCTGCTTTTCAGTTAATTAATTGATTAATTAGTTCGTCCTTAGGTTGAGTCTCTATTAATTATCTGCTTATTAATCAATCTTGTAATTACCTAAATTAACCCTAATTGACCCATATTGATTACCGCTTAATTATTGTAATGATAGCGTTGGGACACCATGCCTAGGGGATCACATTAGCACATGCTATGTATAATAAAAGAATGTGTTGTTTTTTAATAATAACAAGTATGTTGTATACAAGTATGTCATGTGCTAAAATCTACTGTTGTGTGTGCTTTATGAGCCTATACCATGTGTTGTTAGTTCATGTGTTGTATTTGCATTATATTAACATATACAATATGATGTCTGTATAATACGGTGTATTGCCTGTAGTAATATTGTATGCCGTTGAGACTATAGTATGTATATTTTATTCATGTGTTGTATTTGTATTATATTAATATATACAGTGTATTGTTTATAGTAATATTATATGTTGCATAATAGCACAAGATGTGATGTTCGGCACAGTGCTGATTTTTGCCGCTCTTCGTATATATTATTTGATAATTTCATAATATGTTAGTATTATATATCAATTGTTGAATTTAATTAAATGAAATGGGGAAATAAAAAGGGTAAATATAGTTGCATGGGAACTCATTCGGAAAGAGTCATTTTCCATTTGGAGTGGTTTTAGGTTAGTCCTTCCTATGACTTGTAGCTGGTCTCTCTCTCTCTCTTGTAATGTTTCTTTTTTTCTTTTATGGCAGAGTCAAACCTTTTCTTTGACTGACTGCCACTAGGAGAGAAACTAATTCATCTTGCTCATGGACCACACACTTGCTCTTTTTATTTACCTACACACTTTTACAAATTTTTTTATGCTCATCAAGAACAATCTAATATTTTCTGTCTCATAGATATTATTTTTTATTTTTATCCATCTAAAAAATAAGGATATTATTTTTTTATATTATACATTTATTTTTTTTACTACATATCAATATAATATTAATATTAAAAAATCTAAGTGCAAAAAATAAATAGTGCTCTTGTTGTGGGACAGATGTAATAACATCAGTTCGGCTCTAAGGGTCTCGTTTACTTTTTCCATGTTAATATTTGAATATTAATTACTTCCTCTGTCCCACATACTATGTCTACGTTGTCCTTTATGTCCGTTACTTTAATCTCATTTTAAACTTTTTAATTTATTTTTTTTAATTTTAATTAAACTAATTAGTTATTTTAATCTTAATTTATAATTATTTATATTATAGAATAATTATTTTCACTAATACATTTTTAATTATCTACTAATTACACTCCTCCTAAAATACCGTGTCTACAGTGTAGCAGACATAGTTATGAGACAAATGGAGTATTATATAAAAATTTAATACAAATTAAAAAAAAATAACAAAAATATTTCTTCTATAGTATCTTATAATACTATTATAATGACATTTATATTAAAAATTATACAAATATAATAATATTTTTAATATTAAATAAAATGACGCAAAAAACAAATAAATCTTAGAGTGAGACAGAAGGAGTATATTATTGTAAATCATATATATTTTTATAAAGTATTATAACAATTTTTTTTTAAAAAATAATATTTTAAAAAAATAATATTTTAAAAATAAATAAATTATTATTATCGAAAATAACACAAACTAAAAATTGTTAATTTTAATTTTAAACAAAAATCAAACAAACTTGCGGATATTATTATTTTGTCCATACTTTTTTATTTGTGCTAATTTTGTGAATTGTACTGTATTTATATATATATATATATATATGTGTGTGTGCGCATAAATAAAAGAAGAATTGTAAAAAATTTGGAACTTTTAAATTAAAATTAATAGTAAAATATTTGAGTCATAATAATGTTTGAATACTAAATTATGTACATTACTTTGTTGTCATTCATGGAAATATAAATGATAGTACTATTATTATATTATTTTCAACTTTGGATTATATATTACATTTAATTTTACGCAATATTTTTCATAGATATATAAATTAAATTTGAAAAGTATTATTAAGGTAGTTATGCCAATCATCTAAGGGTGTGTTTGTTTGAGAGATTTGTTTAGATTTCAACTATTCATCCTATTTTTTTCCCCCAAAAATATCAAATCAAACATCTATTTTTTATTTTTTATATTATACTAAAAATCAATTTTACATTCAAAACATCACATCAACACCTATTTATATCACATCATACAACTATTCAAATTCAAAATTTTTACTATTCAAATCCCAACTCAAAATCCAAACCCTCAAACAAACACACCCTAAATGTGCATCGCCCATCCCGACAACGCCCTAGTTGCGTATTTGGTATTATTACACGTCAAACGCACTGCACATGACACTTAACCGTTGAAGCAACTTCAATTAAATATACTTGAATTTAATTTGAAGTACCTAAACTACAATTTTAATCAGCTATAAAAATACCCTTTAATCAACCTTTTGCTTCCAATCATTATGTTTATTATGATACATAAATTTAAAAATATTTTGCTACAGCTATTATTTATTTTTTTAATATTAAAAATCTACATAATTTAACAATGTTGGTTGAATCTCATTTATAAATAAATAAATAATGCATATTTTAACCGTTTAAACTTTTCGTTATGTGCTGAATTTTCTTTTTTCTTCTTATTATTATTACTCCATATTTTATGTGTTGATTAACCTAAAGCTAAATATATACGTGGTTCGCCAGGTCAGCAGTTAACAGCGACCTCTTTTTGTAAGAAAACAATGGAATCATGAACCTTTTGTGGGTGCTCCGTGCACCTCAACCCCGAGGGAATGGAGCCGTTGATGTGTGGCGTGAATGGTGTAGATTTATCTGGTGCTCAAGGCCCGGGACTGAATAAAAAGCAATTGGTGTAGAATGTTTAGCAATATTCGAATGGTGTGCATCCCTCCCACATAATAATTCGATCCATGCATGTGCAAGAAAGAAGTACTCGAAAACATGAAAAATGATTATCATCATCAATCAGCAGAATTCAGAGTACAATTATGTTTGAGGAGAAAGATACAGCACAGTAACCCACCCCCCAAGAAGAATACACACAATTTATTACACTAGTATATATTAACCCCTACACCCCCCTATACATACACATACATACAAACTATATATATATACATACATATATAACAAACCCGCACCAAACGAGCTTGCTAGCTCTATTCTTGCATCGATCGATCATCGTCTACAAATCAATATTCATAATTCCAGATTCCTAATTTTTGTTGTAATGAAAAGATTCTCAGTCGTTCATACAAATAATTCTTATCATCATCACTTTCCTTATAGAGAACACACCAAGACTCTCTTCTTCCTCTCTAATTCTTCCTCAAAAAGGGCATCTTCAAGGTGGGTTCGAATGGCCGCCACCACCACCGCGGCCACGGCGGCCGGAGTCAATCTCCGGCGCCACAAAAAAGTCGTGGTAATAATGGGCCCGACAGGGTGCGGGAAGTCTAAGCTCGCCGTCGAATTGGCTTCCAGATTCTTCCCCTCGTCGGAAATCATTAATTCCGACAAAATCCAGGTGTACCGTGGCCTCGACATCACCACCAACAAAATACCCTTGTCTGAACGCAAGAACGTCCCCCACCATCTCCTCGGCGAGTTCGACTCGCAACCCGAGTTCACTCCGGCCGATTTCCGGTCGTCGGCGGCGTTTGCCATTTCCGACATCCTTTCGCAGGGGAGAGTGCCGTTCGTTGTCGGAGGATCCAACTCGTTCATCTACGCGCTCCTCGTCAAGAAATTCGATCCGACGGTCGACGTTTTCGACGAGCCGTCGGCATTCTGCAACGAGCTCAGATACAAATGCTGCTTCATATGGGTCGACGTCTCCCCGCCGGAGCTGAATCGGTATTTGGTGGAACGCGTCGACGACATGCTCGAATCGGGCATGTTCGAGGAGTTAGCTGATTATTTCTCCGACACGAAGGTCCCGTCGAAACGCTCCGGTCTGAATCGGGCCATTGGAGTGCCGGAGTTCGAGAAGTACTTTAACAGATTTCCTAACCGGAGCATTATTATTCCGGCGGATGACGTGGCAAGGCGGGAGGCGTACGAGGAGGCAGTCAGGTCCATCGAGGACAACACGTGTCGGCTAGCGAAGCGTCAGCTGTGGAAGATCCAACGGCTGAGAGACGCCGCCGGGTGGGACTTGAATAGAGTTGACGCCACGGCGGCGATGGGCGGAGATTCGTCGTCGGAAATATGGGAAAGAGAGGTTGTGGAACCGAGCGTGAAGATTGTGAAGAGGTTCTTGATGGAGTAGGTTTTCCAGCAAATTCCAGCTCTTATTCAACAACCCAAAATCAATTTTTTTTTTTAATTAAAAAAAAAAACAAAAAACCCAAATATCCCATTTTCCCTCCTCCCCTCTCCATCTCTTTCTTTACTTTCTCGCCCAATTATTATTATTATTATTATTTATCTTAATTATATGTATTTCTAATTATAATAACAACCATTTATTTCATATTTTCTATCCTTTTTGCTTGATGTAAAACTTTTTTACCTTATAAATAATTTTAAGGACAATTTTGAGGATCATTTTAATTGCACCAAAATAATTTATTTTCTAAGTACTGGTTTATTTTGGTGATGATTATATTTAGTTATTATATTTGAAATAATATTTGGTATATCTTGTCTCACATTTTTTTGTTTAGAATACTTTATAAATTAATAACACATAAAGAGTGGTTTTGTTTACTTTGACATCATATTAATGTTTTGAGTTTAAGTAGATATTAAATATATAATCTACGCATTTAAAAATAAACACCGGTACAACATAATGAGTAGCACTGTACATCAATATATAATGATTTTTTTAAAAGAATATATTTTATTTCCTCAGTCCTTAATGTGATGACATATTTAAGGGTTTGTTTGTTTGGGGTTTGGATTTTTATTTGGGATTTGAATAGTAAAAATTTTGAATTTAAATATTTGTATGATGTGATATAAATAGGTGTCGATGTAATATTTTGAATTTAAAATTAATTTTTAGTATAATATAAAAAATAGTTTTTAATTTGATATTTTTAGAAGAAAAAAAGAAGATAAATAGTGTAAATTCAATTTCATGCCCCAAACAAACACACCCATATAAGCATGAGAATTCATAAGGGATATAATTAGTAAAAAATTATGAATATATTAGTATAATTAATTACAATATAATATAAATAATTATAAATTAAAATTAAAATAATTAATTAGACTAATAAAAATTTAAAAAATTGTAAATTTTAAGATATAATAAAAATATAAAATAATTTTCTAAAAAAAAATGACATAATATATGGAACAAATAAAAATGGAAAGTGTGACACAATATGTTGGATTGGAGGAAGTATGAAATATTTATTTCTCTCATAAAATATAGTACAACTTATTCTTATTTTCAAAATTGTTTAAAATTACGGTGAAAATAATAATTGTATAATATGATATAAATATATATTGATGTAATTTTTAAATATAAAAGAAATTTTTATTATAATTAAAAAACAAACAATGGATATTTCATTTGATTTTTTTATCTTAAAAAAAAATAAAAAATTGATAGAGTAAAATTTTGACAATATAAAAGGACACACCCTATCATATTTTTACATATTTTTTTTATTAATATTATAAAAAATATATTCACTCCATCCCAACTCGAAGTATCATTTATACAATTTTCATTTATTCCACTCTAAAGTATATTTTCTATTTTAATAAAAATAATTATAAACTAATACTAAAATACTTTTAATTTTTATGTAAATTACAAATATATTGTTACATATATAATTACTTTATACATAAAGTTTTTAACACTTTCATTGATCAATAAAATACTACTATCTCGATTCCACTTTTTTCATCTACTATTTATATTTTCATTCATCCTATGTATCTTTTTTTAAGAAATATTATTATAAATTTTAATCATATTTTAAATTTTATAATTTATAATTTTTTAAAATTTTTATTATACTTTTTAGATATTTTAACCATAATTTATAAATAATTTTATTATACACTAATTGTTATTACTAATATACTCTTATTTCTCAATTATTTGCTAGTTATATTTTAATTAGATTCTCGTATTAACAATAAATTGAACAAAAAAATAGGACAAAAAGAATACTCCTTTCGTCCTAATTCAAAGTACTATTTTTGCAATTTTTGTCTGTTTAATTTAAAAGTATTTATTTTTTATATAGTAAAAATAATTATATAGTAATACCAAAATATCATTAATTTTTACCTAAATTACAAATATATCATTACAAATATAATTATTTCATATATAAAATTAAAGGAAAAAAATATTAAAATTTTTTAAACACTTTCAACCATCAATAAAATATTATTATTTTTTAATTTATTACAAAATTTAAAGAACTCTTGTAAAGTGGGACGAATGAAGTATCATTTTTTTATTTTCAGCAAAACTTTAAAAGTAATCGGTAAGATGGAGCACTATGTATTCATGCATCCTAAAACACGGATGCTGGGAGTTGTGATTTTGTTGTACATATATATATATATATAATACGAGTCCATGGAGTTCAGCTCCAGACGAATCAGAGGACTAGCTTATATGTGATCGACGGTTTGAGGGATACAGATGGCCGGAGTCCCGGGCGCTCAAAAGAATCCTCGTCATTCACTAGCTAGATCCAGTAGAGTGTGGTAGCGGAAGAAGCACCAAACCAATACTTGCTATTACATTTTCCAACGTATGTATGTATGTATGTATGTATCAGTAGTTGTTGTTGCTCATGTGGTCTGCAAATCTGCCCTACAATCTATACTCTATTCTATGCTATGCTATCCTAATTCCTATCCTATCCTACGGTACAATCCTAATTCAATTCCTTTCACATCAAAATAACTGCACCTAATAAATAAATAAATAAATAATTTCATTTACTATATCTCAGCTTCATAAAGTCATGTCAAGCGGTCAATTCGCATCGATAATCGGATAGCTACTCTCCATTTGTTTATTTCTTTTTACTATAAAATATAATCTAATGCACCAATTAAATAATTTATGATTTCTTTAGAGATCAACTCAAATCCAAAAATTTGTCGTCTTAATTAGATTGTTCACTTTTGATCTGCAAATCATATATATCATATTTATCTAATCTTTGGATTTGATCATACCTCAATCTCTAATCATCTGTATAACATATCATATTTATTATTTATTTTTATTTTTATTTGACATTTCATATTTTAATTGTTTATAATAAATTAAAATAGACAAAGTTAAAAGTTTTGTGGACACATTATATATTATTAGGTTGTCCCATTCAGAGGTTGTAGGCTATGACAGAATGAAATATCATTCAACAAATTCTTCTTGGCATTTATTCCTATGCGTAAGTAGCTTAATTTGATGCCACTTTCCCATCCCTATCAATTACCTTTATTGCAAATTTCTCAACTTCAATGTAATTATTACACCATCTCCAACATTCTTTCAATTTTGCAGTAGCTAGAAAAAATGCAGTTGATCTACTGTAATTTTACTCTAATCATAAACTTTAAATTTTCACTCTAAAAAGTATATTTCATATATATTCATCTTTTATATTATTTTATATAATTTTTTATATTTATAAATTACACCCCAACTTTAATTTATTTTTACAATATAACCTAAATATATATAATTACACATTATTTTTAAAAAACTATATAATTATATATCATTTTTTCAAAGGTAAAATTATATCACTTTAAAAAAAAAAAATAATTATACATAATTTTTCAAAAAAATAAAATTACACATATATCCCAAAAAATAACAAAAATACACAAATACCACAAAACACCACACAAACTCCACTCAAAAAATGAAGTGGAGTGTACAGTGTTACTCCAAATATAAAGTAACACTGTAGCTAGCTGCAAAAATGAAGGGAATTTGGGCTCCCCTCCCCCCCCCCCCCAATTTTTGCACAACCACTGCATTTTTTAGTACTACTATTTTTTAAAAGAAAAAGCAAGAAATTAAATCATGAAAAGCTAGAGAATAATAAGTAAAAATCCTTTATCTTGTAAATTTAGTAATCCCTCCGTCCTATGTGATATGAGTGTATTACTGTAGACACGAAAATTTAGGTAAAGTATAATTAGTAAGTAATTAAAAGTGTATTAGTAAAAATAATTATAATTTAGTAAAAATAATTATAAATTAAGATTAAAATAAGTAAATAATTTAATTAAAATTTAAAAAATTATAAAATTTAAAATTTAAAATGCGATTAAAGTGCATAATTATATTTCTAAAAATAGAAAAGACAAGTTATGTAGGACGGACGAAAATAGAAAATATAGACAAATTATGTGGGCCGGAGGGAGTATATATTAACCAATAAATATATGTTTTTTGCCTAATCATATTCCATTATGTTTAATTTTTTCTCAATATCACTTTTGTCTAAAATATAGTCCCTCAATTACACCCATTCATTAGTATTACTCTTATAGTCTTTTAAAATTGTACTTTCTTCTGTCTCAAACAAGGTTCAACATTGCTTTTGGCACGAATTTTTAGGTGAATAGTATTAAGTAAGATAATTTAAAAATTAGGTGATTTGATGAAGAGAGAAATGTATATTTTATTTGGATGATGTGAGAGGATAAAGTGTATGGTAGAAATTAAGTATAATTAATTATTTCCTATTTTAGAAATGTTGCGGAGTGTTTGGGACATACCAAAAAAGAAATACTGCAGGGTGTTTGCGACGGAGGGAGTATTTTTTTATCTAGTTTGTTTCTTAAAAATATTCATATTTTTCTATTTAGTAAAAAAAAAAAAAAATTATTATTTTTTAAATATCTTTTATTATTAAAAACAAAAAATAATAAAAAGTATTAATTGAAAGCCCACGCATTAAAACTCATATGAAAGGGTTTTGATTACAAATTTTGAGGGAGTATATTTTACATAAAAAATAAAAATAAAATAATTGGGCTTTTCGTATAAATTAAAATGGGCCTTAATTCGTTTGGCCCACAATTGTATTTCTTATACTCTCTCTCTCTTTAAATACTTAATATTGTAGTTAACCACCAAATCAAAATTTGAATATTGCATTAAATGAAAATTAGACCATATTCAAAGCGCTTACCATTTATTTTCCCCCGCAATAATGTTATTATCATTTATAGGCACATTCCGATTATTACATTGGGATAATTATATTAATATAAATAAACCAGATGCAGAGTGTGAATCGAAATCAATTTTTTTCTAAAAAAAAATGGAGTTGGGGAAAGCGAAAGCCCTAGTCATCGTCGTCCTCGTCTCGATCTCCGGCGGCGCTCATGGTTGGGGACTTGATGGACATTTTACCATCTGCCGACTTGCTCAGGTATTTCAATTTAATTTATACAAATCGATTAATTAATTAATTAATTAACAATTACAAATATATATAGCCTCGGCTGAGCAAGGCGGCGGCGGATGCGGTGTCGGAACTGCTTCCGGCGGCGGCGGAGAAGGACCTGGCGAGCGTATGCATATGGGCGGATAAGATCAAGTTCCGGTACGGATGGTCGCGACCACTTCATTACATCAATACTCCCGACAACGAATGTACCTACGACTACAAAAGTACGTATTCAATTAATTAATTTGATTTGATAGAATTAATATATTTAAATATTGGAAACAATAATATATATATATATATATATATAACCGGATGGAGACGACGATTACAGGGGACTGCAAAGATGAACATGGCGGAGCAGACAGGTGTGTGGCTGGAGCAATAAAAAACTACACTAGTCAGCTTCTCACCTACGGCACCAAACAAGCTCAACAGTGTACATACATACATACATACCCATTATTTTATTTTTCTGAAATAATCCAGAGCAACGTTGTTAAGCTCAACAATATAATTTATAAATATGTTTTATTGACATATCATATATATATATATATATATATACAGATAATCTCACCGAAGCACTTCTCTTCGTCTCCCATTTTCTGGGAGACGTTCATCAGGTACTTATATATTTTTATTATGTATGTATTAATTATATATAATAATTCCAAGTGCAGCCTTTGCATGTTGGTTTCACTACGGACAAGGGAGCTAACACCATCGGAATCCGTTGGTACCGGACCAAGCAAAATCTTCACCATGTATGTATGTATATATATATATATACTTGTACATAATGAATTACTCATCAAATTATATATATGATGATATAGGTATGGGACACAAACATCATTGAGACAGAAGAGGAAAATTACCATAATTCTAACGTGGAGGATCTCATCCGTGCTATTGATCAAAACATCACGGTACATATATATATATATATATATATATAATATTATAATCGTTTCCGATGCATAAATATATGTAATAATTATATTTGACAGAAAGTGTGGAGCAAAGATGTAAAGGAATGGGAGGCCTGTGACCACACTGCTTGTCCTGACATGTAAGTTAAACAATAGATTATAGTAGCTCCGTCCCCTTACAAATTAATACATATTTCTATTTTGAAAAATAAATATTTTGTTAAATATATATATATATTTTTTTCACAAATATCATTACTTTACATGACATCGTTACTTTTACACAAAAGGGCAAAAATGTCATTACAATATTTTTAACCATTTATTATAATTATGTCATTACAATATTTTTAACCACTTATTATAATTAAAATACTATTATTTCTTAAACACCAAGTAAATGTATACATTATAAGTGGACGGAGGGAGTATATATTATACATTTTGTGTAAATATATATATTTATATATATGTTACACCCTCCGTCTCAAATACCGTGCAATATTTGAGTTCGACATGAGAATTTAGGTGGATAGTATTAAGTAAGGTACTTTGAGACAATTTGAAAATTATGTGATATGATTGGAGAAATAAATGCATATTTATTTATTTATTTGAGTGATGCTGATGGAATAAAGTGAAATATGTATTTATATATATATAAAATAATTAATTATTTTTAAATTTAGAAATATTACAGTAAGTTTGAAACAAACAAAAAAGTAAATGTTGAATTGTCGAAAATTTTAAAAAGTCTAATTGGATGCCTTCCTCAGTTACGCATCTGAAGGCATTAAGGCAGCTTGCGATTGGGCTTACAAGGGAGTCGAAGAAAATTCTACCCTTGCAGGTATATCTCATTTCTTGCATCTCTAATTATTGTAATGAAACATATTATATATACAAATCTATATAATTCCTCGATCTCGAACAACATCTGCAGATGAGTACTTCGAGTCGCGATGGCCAGTTGTGAATCTCCGGCTGGCGCAAGCCGGCGTCCGCTTGGCTGCTACTCTCAATCGCATATTCAAAGGCTAATAATAATATACATACATATATATATATATTTATTTATATATATCACATGTTATTATTGGATACAAGAAGGTTGTAGCCATTGTTGCAAGATAAATTTCAATCCTTACATTCCTACAAAGATTCTATTGTGCAAGTAAATATTAATTTGTTTTGTTTAAGATTGTAGCCATTGTATTCGTAATTGGTCACATAGTAGCCATATCTCATCAAAAGTATGACTATCAAACCTTTTTACTATAATAATTTACTAATGTCACAATTACTATCACAAGAATATTACCCTTCTTTGAATAAATTTAAATTTTGTTCATCATTATCCAAATAGTTAAATCAATATATTTTAAAAAATTAAATCCACATCTTAATTATAAATCAATTATTTAAAAGGAATATATGAATAGTCATATCCTGACCATTGAAATAGTATCCACTTTAATTTTGTTGCGACACAAATTTGGTTAAAAGATTATAGCATCAAAATTTCAATTAAGGGAGACCAATATCCAATTTAGGAACTTTCCTTGTCTTTATTCATCAAATTAAAAGACCAATCTTTTCCCACTATGCAGGCTTTAAGTATCCATCATCACTTAACTATTCGATTCCATTCTTATCCTAAATTTATTTATACACACAAAAATCGAGTTATTACACGATTTTGTTTTGTTTTATATTCTCTTGTGGAAATATATATATGTATATTGAATTGGTCCAAATTTTAACAAAAATTCTCAGTCTCATATATTATACTATATTATGGAAATATATATATATATATATATATATATAGCTCAGAATTGACTTGATTGCAATTTTTTCGAGGGATGTATATAAATTATAAATCTTGTAAAGCAAACAAATAAAATGGGTTATAAATTTATAATCAAGCAAGCCACCATATATAAATAAAATATATATATATATATATATATATAACCGAAGAAATAAGTAGTTATTATTATAATAAGGCACGTGCTTATTACATGTAACACAGACCTAGTCAAGCACGTTTCTTTGCGGAGGAATTCTATAAGGAAGAAACAGGGAAATAACTTAGGCCATTAAAAGACACGAATTGTATTACCATCTTCATCTTAATTATATTTTTAGCATATTCCTTTTCGTAACTTCATTTCCTTGGTGTTTCCTTTCTATTAATAATTAATAATAACAATTTATATTACATGACATTTTGAGATGTACTACATAATATGAAAATCATGAAAATTTATTTTCAAGCTGTTGGTGGAGATGGAATTAACAGGAAGCAATAATATGACGTCATCAATCCAGTCCTCAGCCATATATTACTAGTATTAATTTATATACAGACATAAGAAAGAAAACAAAAAACATTGAATTGATTATCATTTAAAAATAAATAAATAAAAAAAGAGTGGCTGTTTGGGTCCCACATAGGGAGATGCTGATTTTCATACATTGCATGGAGACGACGTCAGAGTCAGCAGCCTCACATCCAAGAAAATTCTATGGTGTGTTCTTTTGGGGATTTTTCCAAATTTTTATTATTCATTCAATTTTTTTTTTCTTAAAAAAATCAAATCAAACACTTATTTTTTACTTTTTATATTATATTAAAAAATAATTTTACATTCAGAATATCACGTCAACACTGTTTATATCACATCATACAACTATTCCAATTTACTGTTCAAATCTCAATTCAAAATTCAAACCCTCAAACAAACACACCAAATATATTACTCCCTTCGTCGTACCTATTATGCCCCTTATGATTTCGGTATTTGTTGATATCCCATGTCGCTTTTCTTTTAAAAAAAAATAATTATATATTTTTAATTATTTTTTAATTATTCATATTCTAAATTCTGTATCAAATATATATATATATATTTATATAAAAATAATCATTTCTCCATCATTATTAATCAAATCAAAAAAACTGGAAGTAATAAAAAGGACAAGATAAGATCTGTCATCAAACTCCCCCAATTGGCTCCACCATTTCCATACCTTTTTTTGAACATCCAAAAATTAATCTCACACTATAAAATCTCCTGCACTGCAAGTCCGTAATCAGTCTCTCTCTCTCTCATCATGACCAAAACCAGAGACAGAAACTCGGAAGAATCTGAGTTGAGAAGAGGGCCATGGACACTCGAAGAAGACACACTCCTTATTCAGTACGTCACCTCCCATGGCGAAGGCCGATGGAATTCTTTAGCCAAAGATGCAGGTCTGATCATTTATTTTATTTGATTATCAAGACAACCTCGTACTATTTATTTACTTCTGCAATAAATTAATTAATAATCGTGTGTTTGTGTAGGGCTGAAGAGGACAGGGAAGAGTTGCAGGCTACGGTGGCTGAATTATTTGAATCCCGACATTAAAAGGGGAAACTTCACCCCACACGAGCAGCTACTCATTCTTGAACTCCATTCCAAATGGGGAAACAGGTCCCGGTCCCTCTTTTATTTTTAATTATTATTTCAAAATTATTGTAATAACAAGAACTAATTAATGTTCGATCAATGGATTCGGATAAGTCCAGGTGGTCGAAAATTGCGAAGCACTTGCCCGGAAGAACAGACAACGAGATCAAGAACTACTGGAGAACACGTGTGCAGAAACAGGCACGTCAGCTACGTGTAGATTCCAACAGTACCAAGTTTCTAGAAGCCGCCAGACTCTTCTGGAAGCCGATGTTGCTCGAAAAGACGACGGCGGACGGCGGCTGTAGTCCATCTATGTCGGCGGCGCCGCCAATCTCCACCGCGGAGCTGCCTCCTCCGCCGCCGTGTCCCAAACCCAGCTCTGTAGAAAAAATGGGATCGATCCAGAGCCAGCTGTACTCGCCCGATTATTGTAATTTAGGAAAATCACAGGCCGAGGAGAAGAATAATAATTACTACTACGTGGGCGATGAAGGCGTGCAAGAACTGGAGCTGATGGAGGCTGCAGACAGTTATCTTCCACTCTACGGCTGCCACGTGGATGGGGCTGATTGGCTGGCAGAGGAGCTAGGGCAAAGCTTTTTGAATAGTGATGAATTGTGGCAATTCAAGAAGGGTGAGGAATTAATAATTGGTGTCTAGAATCTAATATAGAAATAAATCTACATCGATAGATACACTACTCATCTTTAATTACAAAAATCGCCCTTATTTTTGAACTAGGGTCTTGATTATCTCATAAGGGATTTATTGTTATTATTAGTTAATTTAATCTAATCTTCTTCTCCTCTTTTGAAGTACTTTTGTTAAAGTAATAGTCATTAACAAGTTGAGCTGAACTGAACAACATAAAGATATCGCATGGGAACAGTAGAATGACCGTCTCATCTAAAAACGCAACCTATTAAGAAAACACATCATTAATCGAGCCTAACTGAATCGAATACGAACACAAACTCAAACTCAAATACTAAAAAAGTTTAACGAGCCAAGTTAAAAAACTTAACAAACGAACACGAATACTATTCACATACAGTAACGAACGAAACATGAACACTTAAAATTTTATTTAGCGTGACAGTAACAACTCTAATAACTTGTATGGTTAGCTTAATAAAATGAATTTAGACCGTAGTATATTGGAATGTTGATATACAGGGAGAGTAGAATATTACTATAAGATAATCTAGGATTAGAATTAGATTAGCTTAAGGTAAAGAATCAGCGCAGGAAAGAAGCCATAGCCATTACAATCAATATATCTGATCAGGGGTTTAGTTGTCCATCCTTCTGTGGTTCATTCTTGGGAGATCCGGGACCCCAGCACCTCACTGTCAGTGCCATGCCATGCCATGCACACAAATGTAGCTGGAGGTCCCTGGCCCAGCAGGCTCTAGATCAAGAGTTTCTTCTCTTTTGTTGACTGGTTAAAAACTAAATTCTTCAGATAACTAAAAAGATCTGGACAGGAAATTACCAAGTGTAAGATGGAGAAAACCTGAATTGTTTTGTGAAAAACTAAGAAAGAAAAGAAGAATATATATAATTAAGAAAAGGGCCGTGAAGTATAAGTAAAAACAAAGCAATATTCATAGGAGTTTGTCATGCCTTGCTTCAAGATTCTTTCTTTAAGTACTTATTTATGATTAAGGTGACTGACTAGTTGTAGCTTTGAAAAGCTCTGATCTCTGTTCTTACAAACAAAGATGATGAGTTTGTTCTTCACATAAGCTGTTTTCAAGACACCCCGATTTTGAATTGGGATAAATCTGAAATAGCTTAAAGAATCCTAATAAAAAAGGGTTCATATAGTCTACAATCGTTAGGTAACAATGATGATGAATAATAAGTATAGAGACAAAAAGAAAAAACATGAAAGCAATTTCACAATTTAAACAATATGGAGAATAAGAGAATGAAACTGTTTCTACCAAATTTCTAAAGATCACATAACAATCACCTTAAGAACAATTTGATCTTAAGTGGTTGCTGGTATAGACTTCACATAAATGAATCAGAGGCAAGCCTAAAAGCATGCTGAAGAAAGATCGAACTAAACAATATATGAAAATTTTCCGAAGTCATCCCCGGTGCATAGCCAACGAAATCCTATTTCAATAAGATAGACAAACCATGGTGTATAATAATTAGTAAACGAAACAAGAAAAGGGCATAATGAACAAGAACAGAGATGTTAACTTCAAACATAATTAAACATGAATACCATAAAAGCACAATCTTCTGTAAGTGATAAGTGAAACAAAAGCTACCCAAGAGGGTATTTGCATTATGTTAAATATACGTAAAAGGAACAAACTGAAGTATCGACAGTTTGATAAGGCAAAGCAAACAATGCTTGCTCTCTTACAACCATATTTTAAGATAAAATTTCGACTTAGAAACACCAAATTCAGAATGCTGAGCAACAGAACACCAAATTACCACCACTCATCATAATTGAACATCTTCAGCAGCAAAAGAACACAGGCCTCCAGCTTTCAACTCCTCAGAACTGCAAAGCAAACAACAGATTCAGATGCTCATCTTCAACATCAAAAGATTATAAACATTAGTCTAAACAAATACAATACCTCAAAAATCATCGAGTTGGTTTGGGAACTTCGTACATGCTTGGGGTAACTTCAGTAAGATACAAACCTGGAAACAGACCCTGCCCAAATTGAAGAGAAAAAATTAATGGATAGAAAAGTGGTTCTGTAGATTAGAGCATTAGACCATATAACAATTGTCGCCATAAACAAATCGAGCAAAAATGGATTGTGAATTATACTTACATCCAAATTCTTCTGAATCGCCTTAGGCCTCTTCTTCGGTTTGGCCGGCAGGCGGCGATTAAATATGTTGAAGTAATCTTCTTCGATTTCCTTTTTTGAAAGAGACAATGAGAACTTCGGCCTCTTCGATTTCTCGACTCTGCCATTACCTCTGTGATTTGGAGACTTCGCAGCGGAAACTCCTGGGTCGTGCCGCGGAGAATCGACCTTCAAACCCTTGCCATCGGCGATCCCGTTCTCCGACGCCAAACAGGGATCTCGCCTCTTCCGCAAGTTCCACGAACAGTTTCTCTTAGCTCCGCTTGACTCCGCCGCATGATTCGGCAGCTGTGGCGAGAGTTGCGGAGGAACAGAGACCTCGCCTTCCTCGGGTACGTCCTTTAGAGCGTCATTCGCTAGCAGAAAAAACTCGGGGACATTGAAATTGAGTTTCGCTTCCTCCGCCGCACGCTTTGATGCCTCGGTATTGTCGCTCACCATACGTAGCTTTTGGATTCGAATTTTATACGCTTCATCGGAAGCACCAGAGTCCCTGGCGGCGAAGCCACCGCCCACTGCGATTTGCAGATTATTTCCGACATTCCTGCAACGGAGATGACGCTGCTTCGCCCACCGCAATTTGCGCGGCATCGAGAAATTGTGCAGAGCCTCGGATCGATTCGTACCCATAGTAGATATCTCCCTTGAATCACACTTCACAACCGCAACAGGTCCGTCTCGAGAAGAAATAAGTTGCGTGCCCTACGTCTAACAGAACGAATCGAAATCGAGAACAGAATGAATGAATGAATTGGAGAAGAAGATGCGCAGCGAAGAGAAAAGAGTTTAACCTCGATGTGTTGTAGGGAGTTATGGTGTCATACCGGAAAGGAGAAGCTTCGAGGTTTATTTATATGGAGGGAGGGGTATTTTCGTCACTTTTTTAGGGCTGGTAGACACGTGTCGCATCCTTTTGATAGTTTATGTTGATACGACGTCGTAGCGAGTTTTCTTTTTGACATACACAAACTTTGTAGAAAAATATTCTTTTATTTGTAGACATTTGATTAGGATAATATTTTTGGAAGTTAAAAAAAAAAAAATAATAATAAGGATAGTTGATATGATTTGTTGTGAGAAAAAACAAATTAAATTAAAAGATTATCGAAAAATATCAAATAATTTACATGAACATATATAGCATAGATATTTTTTACAAATTCTGAAAATTGAATGATATTGTCAGTATTTCAAAACCGTAACATCTATACAGTAAATGTAATAAATCCTTAATCTAATTCGTTAAATTTTATTTTAAAAGTATTTCATTATTAATTTAAAAAGGAATAGAATTGCGTCTGGCTACCCATTTCCACCGACTATAACGCTAGGGTTCTGATTATCGGCGGTGCAGAGCAGCCGCTGGAAGGTTTTCCGATCGTCCGAGGCCACAATTTTCTCCTCTGGTGTTTCGATTGCGGCAGAAATGGCGAAAGGAAGACCGGAATTTCAAGTGTACAATACGATGACGAAGCAGAAGGAAATTTTTAAGCCTAGAGTCGACGGCAAAGTCGGAATGTACGTTTGCGGCGTCACCTCTTACGATCTGAGCCATATTGGCCACGCGCGTGCGTATGTGGCTTTCGACGTTCTCTACAGGTTTCATTTTCGCGCCTTCTTATTGGATGAAGTTGTTGGTAATTTGATTGTTAATTTTTGTGAGCACAGTGTATTGGATTGCATATATTTTTCTGGAGTTTTGGATATGTGAATTTGATTACTTTGAAGATAAAGGCGCTCATTTTGGTTAATTGTCGATAATAAACAAACGTTGATAGAATCAACAGTATGTGATCGATGATCCTTCAGAATTGGGTTCAAATGTAAAGGTTTTGATTTTCTGTACTCTGAATATTTTTGAATTTGAATTAGAGTGGGATTATTTGTCAGGTAACTGTTAATAGGTAGGAAGTGAAAGCAATCCATTCAAGTTGTTGCCATTGTTGCAGAAGGTGAAAATAAGTTAGGATCTTGAATTTACTACCTTAATGGAGTATAAAAGAACTTCTGAAAGCATTCTGTGTTGACTTGTATCAATCTGTATGGCATGCCAATTATAATTTTTTCTGATTCTGCAAATGTATCTGTTGCTCTAACATTTTTCACCATTACTTTCTCTGTGAAATGTATTTATTGAAATGTAATTCTGCAGATACCTGAAATATTTGGGATATGAGGTTGTTTATGTTCGCAATTTCACTGATGTGGATGATAAGGTGAGAGTCTGCCATTGGCTGGTTCTGTTACGAATATGTGAAAAGATTCACTATATATATTTTTGATTGACTGGAGCAAGAATCCATATTATGATTTGTATGGTGGAAAGGAGGTTTTATATTTTACCTTTCACATTGACAATATAAATAATTCAATATATCATATACTTTGTATTCGCGACATGGATCCTATCATTGAATAATGTATAGGTTTTTGCGGCGATATCAACTTCCTTAGTTATTACTTATATTGAACCTTAAGTTTTGACCTGAATATATAGGATTTTGCAGTAAATGACGAAATCCTAAATCACTAAAGATCACCACTTTATCAGCAGTATAGATTTGTTTACGTGTATTGTTTTCAACTAACTGATACGTTATAGAGGCCTAGTAGCTAGAACGCAATTGTGATTTTTTTATTATTTTTAAACTGCTGTTTTTTTCTTTCAAGAGAGGGCAAATAAATGGTATTCCTTGATTTTGTATTCTGTTAGATCAGCTTTACAAGATTATGATGATCTATGAAATCAGATTATTCGAAGAGCAAATGAAACTGGCGAGGACCCAAAAGCGTTGAGTGCTAGATTCTGCGAAGAGTTTCTTAGTGATATGAGTGATCTCCAATGCCTCCTGCCTGCTCACCAGCCACGTGTTACTGATCATATGGAGCAAATCAAGGACATGATTGCTCAGGTAAATTCTCTTGGATTATTTGAATCCCTTAAAAGCTAGTGTAAATTCTACTCCTGTGTAATCTATTTGGATCTTGTTCTGATAAATCTATGCCTGAAAACAACATTGATTGATATCCCTGCGTTTGACATTCTCCAAATGGGTATATCAGTGGTACTACTATTTCTGGATAGCGGTTCAGTAAATGCAAATATGATAATTATTATTTCCGACATAAAATCTTACCAGGTTGTTGCAGGGATGTTGCAATGGTGGTTATTGACCATTTTCGTGAAGCACAAATCAAAGTTTCTTACTTTTTTACCTCCTTTTGTCATCTCTTACAGTGATATTTCAGTCCCTTACCTTCTCTCTTATTTATTCATTCATTTATTTTGTAGATTATTGATAATGGCTGCGCTTATGCGGTTGATGGTGATGTTTACTTCTCTGTTGACAAATTCCCAAATTATGGTATTTTATCTGGACGGAAACTAGAGGATAATAGAGCTGGGGAACGTGTAGCTGTTGATGACAGAAAACGAAATCCTGCAGATTTTGCCTTGTGGAAGGTAAAAAAAGGAAAAGCCGAAGCTGTATAATTTGAACTTTTATAATTTTGCTTTTCCATACCTCAGTTAAATGCTTTGTTTCCTTTCTCTTTTCTATTCTTCCTGCAGGCTTCAAAGCCTGGTGAGCCACGATGGGATAGTCCCTGGGGCCCCGGAAGACCGGGATGGCATATTGAATGCAGTGCTATGAGTGCTCACTACCTCACGCATACATTCGATATTCATGGTGGTGGGATGGATTTGATATTCCCTCATCATGAAAATGAGATAGCACAGAGTTGTGCTGCTTGCCCTGACAGCAAAATTAATTACTGGATGCATAATGGTTTTGTCACAGCGAACGACGAAAAAATGTCTAAATCGCTTGGGAACTTTTTTACTATCCGTGAGGTATAATTGCAATTGATTGTTGCTCCATGTTCGACATTTAAAGGTAGTCAGTAATTTCTTATCTATACAACGTGTCTCTTTTTGCAGGTTACAAAGTTGTATCACCCACTGGCACTGAGATATTTCTTACTGGGAACTCACTACCGGTCTCCTGTTAATTATTCAATATCACAGATAGAAATTGCATCGGAAGCTGTTTTCTACATCTATCAGGTGAGAAAAAACACATCAATTTCTTCACTGCATGTTCTGATCTTGCTACTGATAATCTTCCTTGTCTGAGCTACTCTGAAAAAATACCCGTGGTTGGAAGCTCCTCGACAATTACACTAAGAAGTGATTATTTATTTATTTATTTATTTTCATAACATAGATGAAGAAGACAAATTTGATAAGTATGATTGGAATAAAAAATCAGAATGTGTGCTTGTCTTAATTTATCTTTCAGGCTTGTGTTACTGTTAATTATGTTGGCTAATTCACCGTAGAAGATTTTTTTGACGTAATAGTTGTCTTCGACAGACATTGCAAGATTGTGAAGAGGCGTTGGTGACATTGAAAGAAGAGATAGGAGCAAGTGGGAAAACAGTCCGAATCATCCCTGCTGCGCAGGAATGCATTGCAAAGCTGCAGGAAGAATTCGAGACAAAATTGGCTGATGATTTGCACACACCAACTATACTGAATTCCTCCCTTCAGGAAGCCTTGAGATTTATGAATAGTTCTGTCAACATGCTCAAGGCAGCAATCTGTTCCCAACAATTTCATCATATGTTAATCCATTCTTATTGTCATTCTAAGATAAATCATTTCTTCTTTTCTTTCAGAAGAAGCAGCAGAAGCAACAGCAATTATCTAATGCCCAGTCCCTGATCGATTTACAGAAAGAAACAAAGCAAGTCTTGGATGTTCTTGGGTTGCTCTCCATTTCCAGTTATGCCGAGGTACCATTGACACTCATCCAAATTACTATATCAGCAAAATTCCATTTGTTTTCCAAGCTACACTGGACTCTCGATTCCCACAGGTTTTGCAACAGCTGAAAGATAAAGCTCTCATAAGGGCAGGAGTAACTGAAGATGAGATATCGCATCAGATTGGAGAAAGAATGTTAGCTAGAAAAGCCAAAGAGTTTGCGAAAAGTGATCAGATCAGGAGCGATCTTGCTGCTAAAGGAATCGCGTTAATGGATGTCGGGAAGGAAACAGTGTGGAGGCCGTGTGTGCCTGTACAACAAGAACAACCAAATGTTGCAGTAGCAACAAACGAAAAACAGCCTGCCCCAACCGAGAATGGTCAGTCATCTGCTGCCCCAGTAAGTACATAGCACTATGCAGCCTGCTTAATATTATCGACTCTATAACTCACATTGGACGAAGTATTCATTATCAATACCTGTAACATTTGGGTCTCCCTCTCATACATGACAAATATTACTTACTATTGTTGGTGGGTCAATGTGAAGTTTTTGGTGCATTGCACCCTTTGAGACTACTAATTAAATGGATAAGAGAGATATTTATGCTTTACAGCCTTGGGCTATTTAATTTACGGTTTTGTCCCTCTGCCGGGATCTGCTGTTATGTTATGTTTGCTACATGCTCAATGTTCTGATGTTTTCTAGCATTATGGGCAGAATGTCACTCTAGAATTTCTTTGTCTACGTAGATACGTATAAGAACATAGATTTGAAGAAGGGACCATCTTTCATTCTTTCTAGTCGAACATAAAAGCATCTTTTGATCAATTCAAGGTAAACATATTCGATATCTTCTATGAATTCACAACTAAAACAGCTTGGTATAGCTTTACATAATTATTGGAAGAGTTTAGATGAATTAAACAAGGTCATAGTAACATTTTAAAGTTTCTCCTCATTACCATAGTTTTACTAACTGCTGCGTCAATAACAAAAAAAATTAACTACTTAGAAGTGGCAAGATACCTGAATTGCCTCCACCATGTGGAATCCATCATGCTTTTTACAGTCATCATCCGAAACCACAAATTCTCGAACCAGGAAGCTATGTTGAACAGTTAGGATCTGGATCAACCTTAATTACTCGGGTGTTGTATGATCCACATAGGGCACACTTGTGGTACAACCAATGAAATGGTGCCCTTCCCTTTCTGTTGCAGTCGTTGCATAGAATGTCCTGCAGGTCCAAAGTCGAGTGTCTCAATCGATATGCTGTAGAAGCAAATGAGAGAGAGGAGACAGGATATATGGAGAGAGTGATTATTCTTACTTGGAATCGATTTCTGTATTCTTCCGGAAGAACTTCAGAAGCCATTAATGCATCAAGCATGCCGAAGTATACCTGGAAGAAGATAGCTTTCTTAGGAATCACAAAACTGAAGGAAGACATCGATATACTTAGCTTGATTTTTACTCTGCTGAACGTCTAGATAGATTATCTTAACACTAATGGCTGATTTCGGTAGAAGAAATTGAGGGTGCAAACAATATATTTCCCCTATTTTGAGACTGATGAAAAAATAGATAAAGGACAAATCTTTTCATTCCCTTAACTTCTAAAAATTTGACGCCTAGCCATAGGGGAACATTTATTAACATTACACTTTTTAAAGAGCTAATAACAAATAAAATCATGTCGGGTACAAAAGCTGGAACTGAAAGGGGTAGAGCCAATACTTACCGACATGTCTCCCATTGATTTGCTGCAAATAGGGCAATTATAGTGCGTACAAGCATATGCCTGATATAGAAGCGAGTGAGAACAAGAAAGGTGTATATATAGAGAGAGAGAGGGGGGGGGGGGGGGGGGGGGGGGGGGGGGGGGGGGGCGCGTGTTTGCAGAAGTGATGATCCCAAATGTGGATAGTTAAACAGACCTGGAAACAAGCAGAATGCATGTAATGGCCACAGGGAAGATCTCTGACTGCTGTGCTTGATGTGAACAAGAAATCACAGCATATAGGGCAGTTAGTTTCGAGACCTTTCTCCCTGCACTTATGGTCCATCAGTTTCTTAGACAAGCAACAATTGCAGGTCATGCAATGGAAGAAATCTATCCCAAGTCCTGTACCAACTCGGCATAAATTGCAGAAAGGACAATGATATACATCCCTGAACGGAAGTTGAAAAAAGAAGTCAGAGGAATGCAAGGAATAGGGCAAATCACATATTCCAAAACCAGCAGTTGTCTCGAAAGATTGAAAAATAGAATTTAAACCAATTTCCTAGGTGTTAATCTACTGATTCAATTCAATTCTTCAATACAAAGTAACAATGCTACTGTTATTATGTAATCAGACTCAGAAAAACCTTGACCATAGTACCCTACGTTACGGGCAAAGAAACACAACATCTTACCTTTCATCATCGAAGAATTTGCAGCTACTGCAATAGTATTTCGCCATGAGGAGTCCATTGCAAGATGGGGTCATACAAACTGGTCCAACAGGCTGTATCTTCAGGCAATTCATGCACATCATTTCAGATGTTGCTTTCCTACAAAATAAATCAAAATTGGTAACACTTAACCCTCCAAAATTCCACTCCAAGGAATCAGATCATCATGCTTTACCTATCCATTGAATGGTCACTGATTTCATCATGGCAGAATCTGCATGCAACCAACTTGCCACAGCAAGCAGCACGAAGTTTGCAGTTTCTTTTGTAATGCTCACATCCAAAGATCTTTTTCTCAGAATCCCGAAATGATGGAGTACACAAGTCCTCCTCGCCTTCAGCAGTGTTATTTCTTGATTGAGAAATTTTCTGTTGAGAAGCTATCCAGCGACTAAGTGGGAATTACAGCAACCATGGTACATCAAATGGACAAAGTTAACAAGATAATATATAAATAAAATAAGAATAATATCAAGAGTTCATCAAATAAGTCAACCTTGTCATTAGATTCTGAAGAAGGTAAGCTTTTCTCCGTGGATCAAGAGTAGAGTCACTAGAGTCCTTCCTTATCTCTGATTCAAGTTCATTTTGGTTCATTCTGAATATATCTTTCCACCCAGGCTTAAATGTATTTTCACTCTGGTCCATGGAATCATGTATATCATATCCTGCAATTGGTCAAATAAAAACCTATGAAGCAAAATCACCTAGCTAAGGAGACCTTATTTTCGACAAAGCACATAAAAAGAACAAGTGGAAATTATTAATGTTTTTCAAGTACCTTGTGGCGTGCTACTTTCTGATGTGGATACCTGTGAAGTTGCAGCAGGTGTCCCTTCCCACCATTCGTTAAGCCACTCCGTAAACATTGTGTTTTTGGTGGCCTGTTTCCACGTGTCCATCATTTCATTTTTCTCTTCCGGAGTAAGTGCAGATGTTACCCAAGGCAACATTGATTGAAGTACCTCTGCTCCAGTTGTGCCAATTATGCGGCCAACAAGTTTGTCCTGTTCCTCCACTGAGAAGTGTCTGTCAAACAATGGCCACAGCTCAACTTCTTCACGCATAATATGATGATCTAATGTCACTTTAATAGATTTGCACATGCTCTGGATCTTTGTCCCAAGCTCGTTATATTTTTTCAAACTACTAGCATTTCTTGAAGACTGAGAAAGACTTTCATGTTGATTTTCAGCTTCATGTTTGGAACTCAAATTTTCATGTAGTTTAGATAGCTCAGCAAGGGCAGAGAAGATATCCTCAAACAACTGTTCTTCCTGCTTGTGGTCCAAAGTGTAAGAATGGCTGACATTATGAAGTGTTTCCTTTGATTCCAGGGCAGGGAATACAATATCATCCTCTGCATTACTATGTGCCTTGTATAAGCCCCATAAAAGTCGAAATCTACCAGTGAACTGTCTGAGGAAATTTTCATCACAGTTGCTAAGTTTCCCAGATGCAACGTCTAGAAATTCCAAATCTTTCCGAATTGCTTTGTGAAACTTGAAAATGTTGTCAATAGGTCGAATGGTAGAGCCACTGACATTGCTGCTAGTTTCTGTTTCCCAGTTGAAAAGACTGGAGCTGAGAGAAGGAGCACTTGAACCAGAAGATAATGATCTCAAAGATTTTGCAGCTGCTAGGGAACTCATTCCTCGATTACTGCTATTGAATCCTAACCCAGGAACACAACAAGACTGGTTTGGCGGAGAAACTTTTAGAGATTCTTCTCCTGAAGTATTGGATGAAGCAGTTTCTTTTGAAGTTGGATTTCTTTCTCCGACTGAATTCACACACTTGCATGCAAAAGTAACTCTTGCATCTAATTCACTTGCGCAGGCAGAAGAATGAAATGGCATTGAAGATTTTTCTGATTCAGGAAGCTCATTTGCAAAACAGCCTCCATTTGCAAAAGAAGATGGACAGATTACTCCAGGACAACCCTTACACGCCCAACCAGAGAACAGAGTTACCAAAGCAGTATCTGATGTTGGAGCTGCAATTTGAAAGAGGTTAGGAAATAATGCTTGCATGCCTATTGCAAAACAATTATTCATGTTTCTAAGAAAACATAGAGAAGTTTGATATTATATTATATACCCGCCATGTGCATGTTATTTAGGAAATGGCGAGCTTCCTCTTGACTCATTGAGCCAACCAACCATGGCAAAACACGTTCAATCAATCTCAGTGGCATCACACACAAGCTCTGATACAGTAGTTCTCGCTGCTGTTTGTGACTGAAATGTTTCCTTGCAAGTGGAAAAACCTATGACATAGTAAAAGATACGTGAAATTTAAATTTTACTTTTTGAGTGCAACAGGTCTTTTGATCAGATTCTGCTGATGATATAAAAATATAAGAGGCAAAACCTGACAACAAGAAAGGATCAGTAAATTGTTCACCTGAACTTCTTCATTATGAAAATGGTTTATCACAGTTTCCATAATATGATCAGCCTCTGAGCATAATCTTGAATAGAATTCTGTAGATGAGTTGGCTCCAGCACTTTCAACGCTCTCTACCAAGCACCTAAATCTGTCAAATTCACTCTCGTCTTCGGCATGCTCCTGAACAAAAGATATCTCTGCATCTACAGCAGGGAATATAACTTTGTCCTCAGCAATGCTGCAGCAGAAGTTTGACATCAACATTCAAAGAGAAAATTTACACACATTGATCCTCAGGGGTTAAGTGGTATAAATCTTGAGGAAAAAATTCTGCCAATTCATTTTTTCTCTTTGGGTCCCACTGTCTACCTAGAAGGTCTAACAAGAAAGGTACAGATGAGGATGAAATTGGAATTTTCATTAATTTCCTTATGAAAATAAAATTACATGTAGAACATAAGCCACGCTAATCACATGCTATAAAATACTAAATTCAGCATGAATTGGATTAATATGGGGGAATCTGCAAATAAACAGTGTGGTTTACCTGTGAAAAATGCAGACTTCAGCTATAAATTGAAGCCGCTTATTAAAGGCAGATAGATCGGAGAAATCTCCATTTGATTTTATACTTCTAGCTGCATCTGCTATATCATGTAATTCCTTTTCAATTGCCCTATGCCAATGCAATATATCATCCAAAGGACAATAAGGAGAAGGCGAAATATCTCTCCCATCACTCTGAGAACTGAAGCAATGTTCTTTCTCCATCAGACCAAAGGAACTGCCAGTGTGTCTAGGATCATTGTCACAATGTTTACGCTTTTTGGACATCCTCACTCCATCCATCCAGGTAAACATAATCTTCATCAGAGAAAGGGAAAAAAGTTAAAACAAGGTTGCAAATTGCTTCATAAATACACTTATAGACAATCCATCTAAGATCTAACCTGCCGGAGCAGCTTTTCATCAGGGATTATCTTCTGCAAGTATTTGCGCATATCTTGCCGCTCATCTAGTGAAATTGATGAGGAAAGCCATGGTAAGAACTCTGCCATCATATTTACAGGAATGCTACAGAAAAATTGCCACGCTAATGATGCCTGCTCCTCAAATGAGAACTTCTCACTGAGCAATGGGAACACCTGCCAGAGAAAAAAATAACATACTGAACCAGAACACACAAGGTATACCTTCCATATAATAGACAATAGAACCATCCTGATCTATTTAAAATGCATTATTATTACATAATAACAAGCTTGTTGCGAATATATTTGTAGCCAAAAATATTATTTGCACCTGCTCCTCTTCTTTGGACATATGCTGACTGATAGATGTTTGAAGGGCTCTCGTGCAAGACGCCAACTCCCTCTTATAGCTTTCTTCAATTTTTGTATTGCTGTCAAGCAATGTGAACAGCTGATCGAAGAGTGCACTTTCCCCCTCATGCTCAAGGGAATAAGTCCTTGCCACATTCTTTACACGGATATCAAGTGCAGGAAAGATAACCTGGCATTATAATTTTGAATTACTCTATTAGTTAAAGTGCATATTCCTCATCATTCTATAAAAATATCAGGTACGTGAAGCACTCAAATGGAATGTAAGAGCACATGAGATCCTATACATTGCTAAATATTTTCTTTTTTCCTTTTGAAACTAAAGTAAAGCAAGAATTAAGTTGAAACTTAAAAGAATAAGTTGTTTCACAATGTTATTGACATAGAGATTAGACTAGCTGAAAGGGTGAAAAAGAAGATTCAGCAAATTACCATGATACTTACTACAAAAATCCTATCGATGCTTTTAAGTATATAAGACAACGTAAACTTATTATAATCCCTTCTAAGTTCTACATATTTATTAAATCAAAGATCCATTATCATTTGTTGGTTTGTCAGGCTCCACCGGAAGATCAATACCCAAAGCTTCATCTTCTATCATCATTTTCCATTTCAAATCTGGCAGTGTTGTCTTTACTATCCTTAATATTGTCAAATTCAAAGCAGTGGCCATCAAGCTTCAGATCAAATTCACAAACACCGCATCCAATGCACATTAATTGCATCTATCATAACATAAGGCCTAGCGTCCTGAAGAACAAACTATCAACACAAACAAGAAATCTGCAGAGGCTAAGTCACTAATCAAACAAAGAAAACCTAAAATCCAAAATTTTTGGCTAGCTTTCGAAAAATGCTCTCCAAACATTTCAACCAAGCTCCACTAAAATTCATAATGAAATACCTTAGTCAAGTTCAAAAGGGAGAAAATACTCCTCCCGGAGCAGACATAATACACGAACCACAAAAAGCATGATGAGCACAAACCTCATCCTCAGCATTACAGTGGTGCCTGTAAATCGAGCGTACGAAAAGGCATTTGTCAATAAACGGCTTAATATCTCCTCCACTCCTATTCGTCGCCAAAGCCATAGCCGATCGATTAAGCCCGTCCAGTTCGTTCCTAATCGCCTTATGGAACAACACAAAAATCCGAATCGGAGACGAAAGGCTGAGCGCCGCAGCCGTGTGTCCAGCCTGATCCACCGGAGCCGCCACCATCGCCGCCGCAATCACCGAAACACCCCCGTCCTGCATCCCCGGCGTCCCCATCTACGCGCACCCAGTCCGTATTCTCGAATTTTTCACTTTCTAGCAATTCATTTCGCATCTCAGTCTCACCATCCGCAACGAGAAAATGCGAAATGAAACGGATAAAATGCGGTACCAACTTATACTGCAACACGTGGCCGGAGGTTCAGGCAAGCTTACGTGGCATCAATGTCCACGTCACCTCGCCACGTCACGCCGGAGGTGACAGCTCACGAGCCTCCGGTGCAATCACGTCCCTTGATCCTACCCCATTAATCAATTCTGACCGTCCGATGGCATCCTCACAAATGCCGTGACTCCGTTCGTACAAAATACATGTAAGAAGCATGATAACACAAAAGTCAAATAACCTACCTAAAAAATCCCAACACAGTTATTAATCAAATACAAATAATTTTGACTGCTTATCTTCACACTGGTCTTAATCAATTCAATCTTGACTTGACTTCCTCCTATATATAAATAAATTTGCAATATTTTATTTCAATGGCCAACTATGAAATTCCATAAACTCCAATATAATATGCTTGAGCGTGTGTTACACCTATGGCTGCCCACGATCTTCAATAAAATATCCATTTAAATAATAATAATAATATAATATAATATACTTTTTAATAAATATCCAGTCCTAAAATCCCCACCATTGGCCGGGAGTGATTTATTTATTGCAGTGCGCAACTTCCATTTTTCGACCATAGATTTTTATTATTATTAATGAATATCGTTTTCCCACTTTATTGGTGATTAGATTGGATTAGGCCACTTTATAATTTTTACGAAATTAAAAAAACAAACCCCATAAAAAGTGGCTTTTTACATTGTGGGTCTGAATTTGAAATTTGTGATTTAACTATCTTGCAAAACTATCTTTATGGGTATACTAATTGCCCCCACCCACTATAATACTAATTATTATTATTATTATTATTATTATTAGAATTTTTTTATTGTAAAAATATATTAGAATTTATATAAGAAAAAAAAAACATTGGAGTTGAAAATTCACAAGTTTTTTAGTGGGTATTATTTTTTTTCTTGAGCAAATGAATTTGAGTTGGTGCAAACGTGAGTCATAAGTCATGTGTTTGCAAAAAAACAGATTGAAGAAGGATATAGTGTTTTTTTAGTGTGGTTCATCTTTGGAGGACAACTTACAAATGCACAATAAGGACAAATATCTTTACTCTTGGGAGCAAAGGGTGTAAATTATTTTGGCTATTTAATTAGGTAGGTAGGATCTTTTTGAAAAAAAGAAAAAAAAAAATGTTAATCTAAATGGTATATTTAATATGTTGTTATATAATTAAGGGAATAAATGAGTTGCTTGAAATATACTATCCTCTATAATAATAATACTAATAATAACAAGATTTTTTTTAAGAAAATAAAAAAGTAATCTAAGGGGGGAAATCAACATTAATTTATTGGACATCCACTCGGATATCATTGACAATTAAAAGATCACCATCGACTAATAATCAATTAAATAAATAAATAGAATTCAAAATTCTTAAAATCGATTCATTGATGAATAAAAATGCCAAAAATAGGAAATAATAATAATAATAATAATAACAATAATAATAATAATAATAATAATTGAATTATTATTTTGGGCTTTGAATTAAGTGGGCTAATGTGGACAGGTAAGAGTGTTTAAGAGATGGCAATGGGAAGTATATAACAAAGAGCTTTTGATTATATTGTTGGAAATTAAAAAAAAATAAAATAAAAAAATAAAAAAAATCATCACTTATTCTGTGATATTTTTCTTTTAATTTTACTATATTAATTTTTTTTATCTATAAATAATTATAAAACATAATATTTTGTACAGAAAATTAATATTAATGTAATATTTTTAGATAAATATATATGAGAAACAATGGAAATAAAAAATACAAATACAGATGGAGCCATCCTCATGTTCTCTCTGTTACCATTTGCATATAAATCTTTAATAAAATTTATTTTGCTATTATAAAAAAAAATGTTTAATATAATATCTTTTTAATATTTATTTGGCATCTCTTACAAATTTCTTTACTTTGTATTTTTCGTGATACGATTTTTCGTAAATATTATAAAAACACACAATATATAATATATATACATTTTATTCAATTATATCAATAATTTAAATAAAATTTTATTTTTTATATTACCGACATAATTCATCGTACCTAACCTAAAATATACATCATTTAAATATATATATATATATAATTGAATAACATTGTTCGAATTTGATTCAACTTATTTTAAATTGATTGTTGGGCATCCCTCAATTAAATAATTATGTATAAAGTTAATTCCATTATATTGAATTTATTCATACGATTTTATTTTATTTTTATTATTTTATGATCTGGTATAATTAGTATACATTTATTGAAATTAGTTTATTGGTAAGCGTTAGCACGCATATGATTTGCTAATCATATTTGTAACCATTGATCTGCAATTTTGGAAAATGAGGAAATAAATGCATATATAGATGGATTTATCAATTTCGAACAATTTTTAAAATAAATATTAGGTTTGTTTGATTCTGATTTAAATAAAATTTTATGAGATAAAATAATATATTTATATCGAAATCATATGAACCGAATAATATTTCTTTTTATTTAAAATAAAAAAGTAAACACACTTTATTAATATTATATAATCCACAATTATGGTAAATATGTATATATACTATTAGTGAGTATATAGAATGCAATTATTTTTCAATGTATAGTTGAAAATTAAATTAAAAAATAAAGAATATACACACACAATTGTCGTTACAATCCTGATAAACATTGACAAATAAAAATTAACTCAGCATTACACATAAAATAAAATTAGTGAAAGAAACAAAAACTCCCCTCCCCACCAAAATAAATAAATAAATAAAATAATCTTCAATTAATTAATTATGTAAGAATTATACATATTATTCAAATTTGTCAAGATATGAACCCTTTTTTTTTTCTGTATTTTATTTATTTATTACTACTATTATTTTTTTTATGTAGGGCGCGTTTGGATGGATGATGTGACTCGTGGGCTACTCCACGGTAACGACTTCATTTTCTTTTATTCCGGAGATGAAACTTTTTTAACGATCCAAACATGCCTTAATCTCATAATTGCATATCTGTTACAACTGAACCTTCAATCCCCACCGTCGATTTCTGGACTAAAGGCTAAATTGCAAACTGCTACTTTGCGTGCATTATTAATTTACATCCATTTTTTGAAAATTAAAATGAAAAAGAATTATTATACCAACGTATCATTAATAAAAACCAAAAGTTGTTGTTATGGTAAAACCCAAAAGTCCAAAAACCAAAACTTTCTTTTTATTGTTAATTGGTTAAATTTTGTTTGTAATTAATTACTGCTTCAAATTTTGGGCACAGCTACAGTTTCACTTACGGAAAGTTCGAAGAAGTCGCATTTATCGAAAACGTCACTCTAAAAACCACGACTTTCATTAAATGCAGAGAAAGACTCATTATATATAGAAAGACTGACGAACTGTGCGTTGAGTTTCTCCATACGGCGGGGAAAAGGTTAGTTTTGTAATTTCATTTGTAAGTGCAATTCTCGAAACTTACAACTGACTGTTTTGCTGCCGGCATTTATTCGGAGCTCCCGGGGCAGAGACGCCGGATTGATTCACGCCCAATGTGGGGTTCTTCTGGTTCTCAGAGTCCGGGTTCTCCCAAGAATTCTACCAATTAATCATTGTTCACGAATTTTGTATTTATATTTTATACTACCCAATTAATTTTGATCTTTCCATTTCAGACCCCAAAATTGGAAGCAACTCAGGATTCTTCCTCCGGCGAAGAAACTCCTGATTCTCCACCACCACCGCCGCCGTCGCCGTCTCCGTCGCCGCCGCCGACATGAAATTGCCGTATCAGAATCCGTTCGCCGTCGCCGGAAAATTGATCAACTCACCATTTCCACTTCTGAACCTCCTCTCCTACCTCTTCGTCTTCGTCACGGGGCTGACGTCGGGAGTAATCATCTGCTTTCATTACAAGAGCTTCTCCTTCAACCTCCATGTCTCCAACGGACAATTCTCCATTTTCTCGTCACCGTCGCTGCTGTCTCCGCCGAACAGAACCACCGTCTCGAAACCGACCGACTTGATCGGGGCATTGCTACAGTCACCCGCGGCGCACGGAATGACCGACGAGGAGCTGACGTGGCGCGCATCGATGGCCCCCAAAATCCGGGAGTATCCATTTAAACGCATCCCCAAAGTGGCCTTCATGTTCCTCACAAGAGGGCCGGTGACTTTAGCGCCGCTCTGGGACAAGTTCTTCAAAGGACACCAAGGATTGTACACAGTTTACGTACACTCCGATCCTTCTTACAATGGCTCCGAGGATGTCGGCTCGGTCTTCCATGGCAGAAGAATTCCTAGTAAGGTCAGTTCAATTTCCTTAATTAATTAATCAATTAATTACTATTCCAAATTCATTCCTTCGTTCAATTCATGTAATAAGGAACATTTGCAGATTTTAAACATGATTCATAAATCATCAAGACATCTAGGTGAATATATAAGAGATTTCAAATTAACGTAGTCGTCAAGCCATTCTGGAGGTGATTAAATGCAAGAATTAATTAAGGTCAGTAGACATTTGATCCAATCCAGATCTCTTTCTACAAATAGAGAAACCTTGCAATGAATGTAGGAAATTAATTCTCAACAGCACCCACCGTGTCAAAAACCTTCAAGATATTATTTTAGTACAGATGTATGTGATGAACAAATCTTTGAATATTTCTGTGGGGAACTAAACACGTGGCGTTGATGTCGACAAGAGGATGGTGAAAGGTTAGAACAAATATTATATATCACTAAGAATGGGGCAACAATTTGCAGAGATCATCCATGATCAAAAAAATAAAAACTGCAGCTGTTCTTTCGTTATATATTACTCAAACCTCTTTCTGCAGCCGACATTGTTTGTATCCAAAGAAACTTCCCTTCTTACCTCCATTCTGTCGGTAGCATCAAATTCCTCCAATGAAAACTAACAAAAGCTTTTGTATATACGCAGGAAGTCGACTGGGGAAACGTCAACATGGTCGAAGCCGAGCTCCGGCTGCTGGCGAACGCTCTCCTCGACATTTCGAACCAACATTTCGTCCTCCTGTCCGAATCTTGCATACCACTATACAATTTTTCGACTATCTACGCCTATTTAATGAACTCGACCCAAAATTACGTCGAGGTTTATGACTTGCCTGGCCCGGTGGGGCGCGGGCGTTACAGCACTAAGATGAGGCCGGTGATCGAACTCAACCAATGGAGGAAAGGATCGCAATGGTTTGCGATCGATAGGGATCTTGCCGTCGAAGTTATTTCAGACAAGGTCTACTTCCCGGTGTTCAAAAACTACTGCAACCGGTCGTGCTACGCTGACGAGCATTACTTGCCCACATTTGTCAACACAAAGTTCGGGTCGAGGAATGCGAACCGGAGTTTGACTTGGGTCGACTGGTCGAAGGGCGGGCCCCACCCGGCAAAGTTTATTCGGACACATATCACTCCCGAGTTCTTGGAGTGGTTGAGGAGCAACAGCAGCTGTGACTACAATGGTGATAAAACTAATGTGTGCTATCTATTTGCAAGAAAATTCACAGCCAATGCTTTGGATAGATTGTTGAGGTTTGCACCTAAGGCAATGCACTTCGACAGGTAGATAAGTAATTATTCTTTTTACATGTACGAGGTTTTTGAATTTGATATGATTAGAATCCCTAGTTAAAGAAAGGGGATTTTTACACTACATGAATGTATAAAGTAAAGGAAAGAAAGACAACAATTTAATTCTTGGTATTCATTGGTATATGTATAGAAAAAATTCGTTGTGGTAGAAATCCCTACTGGTTTTAGACCTTACTACACGTTTGATGTAATAACATAGCACAAGATCCAAACAACTTGATGCTATTCATATTAATGTATTGAAAAAACAGAGAGCAATTCAGGCTAAAAACCAAAAAGAAAAAAAAAAAAGATTGCATGAAAAAATTCAGGTGAAATTGTTCATAACTCCTACGTGGTTTCGAAATTCAGTCTAAAATCTCTTTGTACTTTAAAAATTGTATAATATTCTCTTATACTTTTAAAAACTCTGCATAAAACCCCACTACTACAAGACTTCCCTTGTGTTACGAGGAAATGATTTCCTGTCTATATATTTTGTATTGTAGGGGTTTTATGCAATATTTTTAAAGTATAACGGGATAATATGCAATTTTTAAAGTAAAAGTAGAAATTTATACTAAGTTTTGAAATCATAAACGGATTTTATGCAATATTTTTTAAAGTATAAGAGATGCCACGCAAATTTTAAAGGAAAATAAAAATTTAAGCTGAATTTCGAAACCACGAGTTACAGACAATTTTGCCAAAAATTTATGGACTTTTACCTAACTAATCACTTTTGATCACTCGCTGGCTTTGGATTTATCTTCCGACGCGCCGGGAGATGCCGAAACTGAGTCAACACGTTCGTAGGCTGGTGAAGCCTCCGCCCCGCGAAGCTCCTCGATCATTCTTACAACATAGTTCATGCTCGGCCTCTCGTGCTGCGACGTCTGCGCGCAAGCCATTCCTATCTGCAGCAACCCGACCATCTCCTCCTCGATATCCTTATACCTCATTAGCTCCAAATCGAACACCTCAGCCGTCCACTCTTCTCTTACAACGGACTGCACCCACCTCGGCAGATCAGCTACGCCGCTGCCCGATCCGGGGCTGGTCATGTCGACCATTAGGGGACATTTTCCGGTCAGGAGTTCTAACAGGAGGACCCCGAAGGAGTAGACATCTGATTTTTGGGTTAGCTTCCGACCGTCCAATTCGGCCTCTGGGGCACGGTAGCCGTTGGATTTTTGGACAGGGGATTGGAAAACAGAGAGGCCGAAATCGGACACTCTGGCATTCCCGGCACCGTCGATGAGGATGTTTGTCGATTTAAGGTTGCCGTGGATTAGCCGGAGCGATTTACAGGAGTTGTGGATGAAGGCTATTCCCCGGGCGGCTCCCGCCGCAATCTTTAACCTCGTTGTCCAGTCTAATGGAGTTCTTCCCGGGCCTCGGTTGCCTGCGGAAAGTCAGTCCACAAATGTTCTTCAGACATTGTTATGAAATGCAACCTAGTACACAATAAGGATGATGATTTTTTTACCGTGTAGGAGCCAAAACAGGGTGCCATTGGGGATGTAATCGTAGACCAGAAGCTTCTCGTCGCGGGCGAAATAGTAAGCTGTTAGAGTCACCAAATTGGGGTGTTTGAGCCGACCGAGAACCTCCATTTGCTGCTCGAAATCTTTCTTACCAGTTACTGTTAAATCCTTTAATCTCTTGACGGCGACGACGCTGCCGTCGTCCAAGATTGCTTTGTAAGAAGTCCCCATTCCGCCGCGGCCGAGCATCTCCGCCGACGCTCTTAGCAAATCCTCCAGCTCGAATCTCTTGTCGCCGTCGAAAAACACCATCTTACCCTTCTCGTACTGGGTCGGGTTCGGGTACGGGCTTGACGAGTAAACAATCTTCTCTGCAGCGCTGGAGCTGCTGCTCTTACCGGACATTACTTTGTTCGAATAGCTTCTCCAGATGTAACAGTACAGAAGCAACGAAACGATCCCCAGAACCAGAACATCGCCGATTATAATTCCGACAATTGCCATCGATCCGATTTTACCGCGGTGAGCGGCGCCGGATTTTTCCGGCGTCTTCGTCCCCGCCGGAATTGAGGAAGGGGACGACGTGACGGTCGTCTTCGGGATTAGCGGCGACGCCGGTGCACCCCCGGACCGGACCGGGTCGCTGGAAACCGGCTTGCATTTCTCGAGCGGCGGTCCGCATAAGAACCGGTTTCCCCGAAACGACGACGTATTGAACCCGGATAGAGCGCCGGGTATCTCCCCCGTCAGGGCATTCCCGGAGACGTTGAAATCCTGTAAGCTGGTTAAGTTCAAGTCCGGTATAGTTCCGGTGAACATGTTCTCCTCGAGCCTGAGTGTCAGGAGGCGCGTCAATCGGTTGATTGCCGGCGGTATGTTTCCGGTGAAGTTATTGTGCGAAATGTCGAGGCGGTAGAGCTTCGACAATGCGGCTATGGAGGCCGGAAAGTCGCCGGAGAAACGGTTGTGGGAGATGAAGAGGAGGCGGAGACTGGTGAGGTTGGAGAGATCTGGAATTTCTCCGGCGAGGCCGTTTTCTTTGAGGCTGAGGAGGCGGAGGTGGGTGAGGGGCGGAGGGAATCCGCCGTGGAGATGGAGCTTCTCGAGGACGAGGCGGGTGACCCGGTTGCGGGTACAGGAGACTCCGACCCACGACCCGGAGCAGGGGTCGGAGGAGGAGTTCCAGGAGGCGAGGACCGTGCCGTTCGGATCTGCGGCGGACTTGAACACCAGGAGTGCTCGCTTGTCTGAATTGTTGGCGGCGGCGGCAGCGGCGCAGAGGAAAATGATGACGAGGACGACGGCGGTGGCGGAATTAGGGTTGGGAGGTTTTGTCCCGGCCATTGTTGTATTGAATGTTGAGGTTAGCGAGTGGCGTTGTGGTGAAGGTCAGTCAGACTCACAGACTGAAGAAGGATGAGTGATGGTAAGGGATTTGGAGCTATTAATGTTAGCGCCAATACAATACAATACAATACTGTCACATTAATTTAGTGCCTGTAATTAAAATATTTGGGTTATTTATTTATTTATTTTTTGGTAATAACTACTCAGAATTCTTTACCACGACAGATAATTGAGTTTCATGTAACTTAATGGTTTTCTATATGAATAATTTTAAATTACACTTGGTCTTCAAATACATACGAAACAACTTGGGCTTTGTTTACTGACAGGTTTTATATATATGATTTTATTATTTTAATTTTATTTTTTTTAAAAAATATCAAATCAAACACCTAATTTTTATTTATTTTATTACACTAAAATTTAATTTTACATTCAAAACATTACATCAACACATTTATATCACATCAAACAATTATTTCAATTCAAAATTTTACTGTTCAAAATCAAAACCCAAAACTAAAACTTCGCAGGTACGCACACCCATTGGTTAACCAGTGAAAAGTTACTCGTACGTACACTCAAAGAATATTTTAAATTTTATGCTTTTCTCTAAAGCACGTATTCATTCTTATAATTTGAATATTTTTTAGTTCAAGAAGCACCTAATAAAACTACGTTCCAATTATTTATATTATAATTTAAAAGTAATGTTTAAATCAAAATAAAATACAAATCTTAAAAATATCATAAATATTTACAAAGCGGCGGTGGATCCGGCCGTGGACCACAGTAGGCCCCACGGCTTTATGCGGTGGTCCTCTGGTCCCTTCTCCGGCATTTTCTCAATTTATTGCTAAAAAAAGTGCATAATTTATTGGGGAAATATTATTCAGTACACTGAGTTTGATTTTTTTTTTTTTTAGTTTTTTTTTTTATATTTTCAAAATTAAAAATAATATTAAATGTACAACATGGGCAAAATGTACCACGACAAAGGGTAATCTTGTCCTACCTGTACAAATGGCAACGGCAAACGGTAAGCCGTAAGCGACAAGGAAATATCTTTATCATAGTAATTCATTATGGTTATGTGAAATATACGACCGTTGAGGAGGTGGGGTGGGTCGTAGCTGAATATATGTTTTTATTTTTATTTTTTTTCTCATATAAAAAATATATTTTTTGTTATTTATAACAAAAATACTCGTACAAACTTATTAATTTATAGTATCATTTAATTTTGTACTTATTTTAAATATTGCAATATCATTTACTAACTTAATTATTTTCATCAATTTTATTTTAAAAATTTGTTGGCTCACCTAGCTTATTATTTTCATACAATATACTCACTTTATGTTGCAATCAATATTTTTTTTCAACTAATATAATATTACATTTATTAAATGTCATGTTTAATTTATATAATAATATTTTCTTGATATGTCTACAAAAAATTAGCACACTTACAGTGGACACGAAGGGAATACATTTATGGACTAAATAAATAAATATATATATATATTAATTAATTAATTAATAAACAATACAAAAATTAATTTGAGAGTGTGTAATAAGAATTAAGACATAACAATAAACGTCAATTGAATTTATTATATTCACGTGGAGAAATTAATGCAATAACATGCATGCAGCCTTATGACGTGTTTGACGGTGTTTAAATTCATGAGAAAGAACATAAGAGTATATTGAATAAAAATATATATTCCCTTCGCCCCATAACAAAGTATCCATTTTTTTCATCTTAGTTCGTCTCATAACAAAGTATTCATTTCCTTTTTTGGTAATTGTACTATCTACCTAACATTACAAATACCCTTACAACTTACAATATATTACACTAATGTCATTACCTTTATATTACACGTACTAATAAGGTTATTTTAGTCATTTCTATTTTATTCCTACTATATCTCAATATAATACTAATATTTCTAAAACTACGTACAAAAAACAAATGAATATTTCTTTATGGAACGGAGATAGTATTAAAGTATAACGAATACTAGAGTATATGATAAAATAAAATAATTGTACATTAATAATTTTAGATAAAAGCTAAGAATATTTTATTATTACATTTAATTAACTAAATTAATTAACATGAACAATCTAATATATTAATAAATATGTGCTTCTCGAAACTATTCTATTTGCCAATATTATTCTCAATATACATAATATTTATATTATATTTTTTTTATAAAATTTAATAATTTAATATAAAATATATATTTTTTTATATTATGGTCATGATTTGTTATATTTCATATAAAAATATATATATCAAATTAAAATACTAAAAAAAAACTACTAACAATGAATGGATGTATTTATATTAAATATTAGTAAATATAAATAATATTGTTATTTAATAAATGTAAAAAAAAAAAAGTGAATAATTATAATATTATTGTATGAGTGGAAGTTCCTGAAGAGGCTCCCCTTGTCCCACGAATAAAGTGTCCATCTTTTCATGTCTCCTAATTTTAAAGAAGTAATTATTTACTATATTACATTTTTGTTACTGATTTTTTTTCCTCTTTTTTTTATAAAAGAAGACTCATTATTTTAATCATTGCAATATATACAAAAATTAAATCAATTCAAAATAAATATACTTTAGTAATTAATTGTTAATTTAAACCACAAAAAAGTGTTTCAAAATCATGGAATTTTATAATTAATTAATAAAAGGGCATAATAATAAACATGCAAAATTGTCTTTAGTTGCATAGGAAATTGTAAAATCAGAAGCAAAAAAGGCTGTAATGGGTAGGTTACTTTTAACGTGGGATGAGATATATTGGTCTTATTTACTCTCACATATACCTTTTTATTTTTATTTTTATTTTTAAATAACGCATTTTTATTTTTATTTTATAGTGATATTTTTCAAAAAAATCATATATAATTTTTTTTTTTAATATATATAAAATACTACATTAAATATTCAGGCTTTTATTTAATTTTTATTATTTTTTAAAATTCTAAATTTCCAAAAACATAAATATTTGTGAAATTTTAAATATATATATAAAATACTACATTAAATATTCAGGCTTTTATTTAATTTTTATTATTTTTTAAAATTCTAAATTTCCAAAAACATAAATATTTGTGAAATTTTAAATGTTGTAAACGGAGCCTTAATTTGACATCATAGTTAGAGCTGTTAACGATTCGAGTCAAGCCGAACCGAGCCAAATTTTAAGTGTTCGTTAATGTTCGCGAACAAGGCTCGGGCTCGTTCGTTAAGCTTTCGAGCTTGTTCGTAGTGTTCGAGCTCGCCTCATTAAGAATTTTTTGTTGTTTGAGCTCGTGTTCGTATTCGGCTCGTTTAGGCTCGATTAAACTCGTTCGAGTTCTCGTTTGTCTTATTTTTTAAAAGTTATATATAAATTATAAAAAAATTTTAAAATTATTTTATTTACATATTTTAAATCAATATTTTATTTATTTATAAATTATAATTTTATATGTATATATAATATTTATAATAAATATATTATTTAAACGAACGTTCGCGAACAAAATTCGGATTCGTTTGCTAACCAAATGAGCCTATTTATATTGTTCGGTTTAACTCGTTAATATTTACGAACGAGCTTTAACTAAGCCGAATCGAGCTGAACCGAATTGAATTCACAAAGGAATAGGTTGGTTTAACCGCTCTAATGATAGTTACCTTTACTTAAAAATAAAATGAGACATCGAAATTGCAGCAGGAAAAAGCCTAAGTCTATAATCATTTGGTCAAAAAAGACAAGAGAATATAAACTGAGATTAGATATGAATTTGTTTTGTGTTTAAAACAAGACAGTGTGTCCAAATTATGGCTTTTGTACTTCCTGTCGGAGGACTTTGCATAATTATTTCTTCTAGGTCCCGGGACCCCACCACCGGACCGATCAACTCCGTCCGTTGTCACGGCCCCACAGAGTGGACGGCTTGGATTCATCCGGACTGCCATGGAAAGTGATTAGTGGGCACTAAAGTTTGTGTTTATAAAACATACACAGACACAGATTTTTTCCTTTTTATTTTTTTATTAATTTTTAATGGTTTAAAATGCTAATATTAATTTATGTTGTTGGAGAATTTGACGTTTAGGTTTGATTTATTTATTTATATTTGATTTATGTTATTTATCGACCTTTTTTCGTTTGGAGTTTTAATAAAATATTAACGAGTTTTTTTTTTTTTTTTTTTTTTTTTTATGTATGTTACTTTTAGAACATAAAATAGCGGCTATTGGGCTGCACAAGCCCGAAATAAACTGTACTTTTATAGCCCATTAAGGCCCAATTAAATTTAGTCTGACTTTTTTTTTAATATACCAAAATTGCTTAAAATCTTATGGGCCCAATGTACTGTCCCAAGCCCATTTGTTCATTTTTTATTTTAATTTTCTTTTTAAATTAGTTTAATTTCTAATACATGTTGAGGACTTTTTGAGGGTCTAGGGTTTTACTGCTGCAGGGAACCACCGTTGGGGATTAGGGCAGCGCATACGAATTTTTCATCAGCAGCGAACATCATTTTCCAGAAATGGTGCGCCTTTTAATTTCAGACGTACATCATCTCTAGAATTAGTTTGTTTTTCTGTTGAATAAGTTCGTTTCAATTGATTATTTGAGATGCAAATAATGAAACTCTGTCTGCGTTGGTACTATGTTGCGTAGACTCTGAAATGATGTCAAGATTTTCGTTTATGTTTACTAATTGAGAGTTTCTATTTCTTGTTAGTTGTTAGAGTTAGCTGATGGGATTTCCAGGTTTAGTTATTGGTGAGGGGTTTAGCGGGGTTATGCGATCATCTGTTGTAATTTAGAGCATTTAATGGTTCGGATTTTTTTCATCTAGTGTTGAGAGCTCTATTCTGGTGGAAATTGGATATGATAGTTCAATCGATTGTGGCTTGTTTAGCATATGATATAGAAGACTATTCGGTGGCTTCCCGAATATATGGAAATTTCACACAATTGTAATGGTGTTTGTTTCAGGCCTCTGCAAAGCAAAGGGCACAGGCAAAGAAATCTGCTGCTGCAGAAGATGAGGGCATGGATCCAACGGTATGACTATCAAGTTCTACCTTTTTTCATCAGATGAGCTATTTGTTACTATTCTTATTATACACCCGCTTGAAAGATGATTATTTTTCTCTCTTCTATCTGTTTGGATTGTTTAATTGAATGCTACGGTTTACCTGCAGCAATACTATGAAAACAGGCTAAGGGCTCTTGCCACTCAGAAGGAAGCTGGAAATAATCCTTATCCCCACAAATTTGAAGCTAAGTTGACAATTCCAGAATATGTAAAGCAATATGAAAGTTTAAACAGTGGGGATCATCTTGAAGATGTCGAAGAAAGAATAGCTGGTACTGGAGAATATAACTATGATTTATATTTTGTAGTGTCTCAGACTCTCAGACAATGTTTGTTAATGGTGATATTTCCTTTTGGCAGGTCGGCTCATGAACAAACGATCATCATCATCAAAGCTGTTCTTCTACGATCTGCATGGTGGTGGTGCTAAAGTTCAAGTTATGGCTGATGCAAGGTGATTTATGCCACTGATCTTGCCGAGACTACCTGGAAGCTTAAATATAATATTTGAACAATTTGCATTGCATGTCAGTAATATTGCTAGGGGCTAGATAACTCTTGAGGGGACTAATCTATTCTTTAGTGTGTGTGTGTTGTGCTTTCTTGAATTATCATGCTTTGTAACCATGAAACAATTTTATGGGTGTTTGTGTAGGAAATCAGATCTCGGGGAAGAGGAATTCACTGCATTTCATTCTTCAGTGAAGCGGGGAGACATTGTTGGAATCATTGGGTTCCCAGGTTCACTTCTGTGTTTTATAATGTATATATGTTTGTATGTGTGTTTTGATGAGATGTGATTAGAATTGCATTACCCTTTAAATATGATGTCGAATGGGTAAGTTCTCAGAGAAATTTGAAGTCATAACTCTTGTGATAAAAAATAGGTATCGAAACCTTGTGCTTTCCCTTAATGAAAGTATGTGAGTGTATTTTTCATGCTTGATTGCTTGGCCTGCGAATTAGAACTTTCAGAAATAAATACATAATGGTTTTGGGCAAGGTGTCATGACTTTGTTCTTGATTTTAAATTTTCTATGATCTTGTCTCTTTGCTTTCAAGTTGTCGTACATTTGATCATCCCACACTGAAGTCATATTTGCTTATATTGGAAAATTGGCCTCTTGGTTGAATTTGTTTCTGAGAATTCTTTATTTTGGTAGGTAAAAGTAAGCGTGGGGAGCTTAGTATATTTCCAAAGACATTTGTAGTGCTATCCCACTGTCTTCACATGATGCCACGGCAGAAAATTGGCCCAGGATCAGAAAATGTGAAGGTGAGTTAGGTTTTGTTTGTTAGCACAAACTGGCAAAATTTGCTCTTTTTATTCACTTCTAATTACTTTTGGAAGGTAAATGAAGTTTGGGCTCCGGGAAGCGGAAGGAATCTAGAGTCCTATATATTGAAAGATCAGGTATGACACAGCCTCCATCAATTGTTTGATTTCCTTCACAGTAAGAACCAGTGCATTTGATTTGATATAAATGTTTGCACTGTGGTTCTACGTATCATGCATTTACATGTTACCCATGGATGGTGATTTTTTTTTTTCAAATTTACCTTGTGCTAGAGATGGATGGAACTTTGAAATTGTGTCCATGACATCGTGTGAGAGAGCTTGTATTCAAGCTTGCATCCATATTCTTTCTCTGTAGTTGAAACTTTTTATATTGATAGTGGAAGATGTTTCATGATAGGAAACACGCTATAGGCAGCGATATTTGGATTTGATGCTGAACTCGGAGGTCCGGGAAATATTCAGGACCAGATCAAAAGTTATTTCTTACATCAGGCATTTTCTTGACAAGCTTGAATTTTTGGAGGTATGCATGAGCTCTAAATCTCTTGAAATCATTTGTTTATCCAGAAGGAAGTCCCTAACCTTTTTCCTGGTTCTTTTCCACTCTGTGTATGTTTTTTCTTGTAAGGTTGAAACTCCGATGATGAACATGATTCCAGGGGGAGCTGCAGCTCGGCCATTTGTTACCCATCATAATGAATTAAATATGAGACTTTACATGCGCATTGCTCCAGAACTCTATCTCAAGGAATTGGTGGTTGGTGGCTTAGACCGTGTCTATGAAATTGGGAAACAGTTTAGGAATGAAGGAATTGATCTAACTCACAACCCCGAGTTTACCACTTGCGAATTCTATATGGCATATGCCGACTACAATGACCTGATGAAACTCACTGAAGATATGCTTAGTGGTTGGTTTCTAAAACTTAAATTTACCCCTTCTAGTGAAATATATTCTAATGAATTCCATGCTGACAGGAATGGTGAAGGAACTTACTGGTGGCTATAAAATTAAATATCATGCCAATGGCGCAGATCATGATCCTATTGAGATTGACTTCACTCCTCCCTTCAGGTTCCTGCGCTCTTGCATACTACTCATTGACCTTTTCAGTCTATACTTCTGTGACAGCGAATTCAAGAGTTTGGGTCACTTTGTACCTTTGCAGGCGAATTGATATGATAGATGAGTTAGAGAAGATTGCAAATCTTAGCATACCTAAGGACCTTGCCAGTGAAGAAGCCAATAAATATTTGGCTGCTGCATGTTCCAAATTTGATATCAAATGCCCGCCTCCTCAAACAACTGCCAGATTGTTAGATAAAGTAAGATAACTGTGTGCCTCTATTTTTATTATTATATTTTTTTCGAAGAGCAATTTGTTTGTGATTGCAGAGATGACATGGTTGCTTGTTTCTTACCTTAACATATATATATATATATAAAATATAATATTCCTGATGACAGCTTGTTGGACACTTTCTTGAGGAGACATGCACAAACCCTGCTTTCATCATCAACCATCCAGAGATCATGAGTCCACTAGCCAAGTGGCATCGATCCAAGCCTGGCCTAACAGAACGATTTGAGCTATTTATCAACAAGCATGAAGTAAACGATTATTTGAATTATTATTATCATTATTATTTCATTTGCTTGGTTCTCAAATTCTTCAACAATGATTCTCTCTGGATGAACTGATCATTGCTTTTCTATTTAATCCATCTTTATAGCTTTGCAACGCCTACACCGAGTTGAATGACCCTGTTGTACAACGCCAGCGTTTTTCCGACCAACTGAAGGTATGATATGATAACAAAACCTAGAGATATTATACCATAACATTGTGAAAATGTATGCTTAATGTGTTTATGCACTGGAAATAGGACCGACAATCTGGTGATGATGAAGCAATGGCCCTGGATGAAACATTTTGTACTGCTCTTGAATATGGTCTTCCTCCAACTGGTGGCTGGGGGCTGGGCGTTGATCGATTGACAATGCTGTTGACTGATTCACAGAACATTAAGGTTACCTCAGAAACTTTGTTTTGATATAAGAAGCCCAAGTTTTTAAAATATCCGGGGTAGCCGGTGGCACATCTAACATTCATTCCAGCATTTAATTCTAACATTCCTTGCTGTACAGGAAGTCTTGCTTTTCCCTGCAATGAAACCCCAAGACGAACCTTCAACCAAGGAAAGGTATGGCCATTTCTTGCATTCCCATTATTTGCTATTTCTTTGATGGCTATGGATTTATTTGATTACTGAGATCAATGTAATGGAATTTGTTGCATCCCTATTTAATTTCTTTCAAGTTGATTCCATCAGAAAGTCAAGAAATACGATTGCATCTCATCCAACAACCATATTGTCAAATATATTAGAATTTATTATCATTAAAATCTAACATCTATCCAATGTTATCAATTCCTTTGCCAGCAACAAGAAAGCTCAGGAGGAACCTCCCACCAAAGGTGAGAGATAATATACTATGAAGTATGAATAGTGCTTTATGCAACTTCATTTTTGCATTTTTTTGCTAGTAATAATGTGGTTTTACTATATTACTATGTGCAGAGCTTGAAAAGACCGTACTGTAACAAGGAGAAAGACCACCCTATAAACTTCACTTATTTGTGTCCAAGATATTTATTGTTTCTCTCACCTTCGGACAACTAGGCACAGATCATATATTTTTGTCTATCCAATTCCAACATAAACAAATCTAATTTATATTATTGAATGGATTGGCCAGTTGTCTCTCAGAATCAATATATTTTATCCATCCTAATGTTCACAGTGAAACATACTGGGTGATGTGAGATTGCAGCAAACACGCCCGTGTTGTTTGTGTAGAACACGGGCGTGTTGCAATTATTTTGTTAGTCATTAACCCATATATTTTGGCCATTTTTTTTAATTTTAAAACATGAAATAGGGAAGAGAGAAGAGAGGTGACAATGGACTTTTAAGAAGAAATAAATCAAATAATTAATCATTTCGTATGATCATGTTAATATCTATCTACCTTTAGTTGGAGATTTAACAAAGAACTATAAACAATGCAGTGTTTACATCAAAGAATCAATCACTCCCTAACATTGCACTCTCGTCTCATCATCAAATCATGGCACAAACCATACATTTTATACATTCATATGTATATATATATATATATATATCTGTAATGAAAGCAACAACAGAGTGGTTTCATATTATAGCCTTTGTCTTAAGGCACTTTAACTCGGCTCGGACGCTTCCCTTCCATGGCGTCCTTCTTGTTCCGACAATCGCCACAGAGAAAAGGGCCCTCCCATGGCTTCGAGCTCATCGAAAATATCGAACCCGCATGGACCGATATCCCTTCATTCGGCGCTAGATCAGCCTGGCATACGGCGCATATGAATACGCCGCTCCATTCGTCTTTCCCTTTCCCCAGCCTGCATGTCGAATCACAAAATGATCATCGAACACAACCCCAATATATATATAGATAACATGCGCGCGCGCGACGATATGATACGAACCTTTCAGCAAGCATTGCCGATCCTTCCTCGAACAATTCCTCCACGATCCCCACGGCAGACAGCTTCTTCGTCAATTTCCCGGCACCAGATTTGCAGGGGCATTTCTTCCGAAACAGCAACGTTTGGAGTTTGCTGTATTTCTTTGGCGGAGGCGAACCCAGCGATTCGGTGTTGTTTGGAGGGATTATGTCCACGACGACGCATGTTGTGTCGTCCTTCAGTCCCCGCGTTCTCAGCGCTTCCTATAAATTACCCGTAATATATATAACTAAATAATTAATACGAATCATTTCAATTTTAAATTTTTAAGTGAAATGATCATTTAACAATATACGGTCTAAATTCACCATGTCGACTAGAAAAAATGTTACTACCTTGACTACTAGCTTTGCGGCAAGCTCGGCTGGCAATCCACGGCACGATTTCGCAGCGAGTTCCGACGACAACGCATCCCATATTCCGTCCGATGCAATTATTAACCTCCCACCGGCATTCGATAGCTTTTCAAAAGCACGAAAACGTCAACTAATCCGAGTCGAAATCAAGATAACGATAAATATACATACATACATATACTCCCTCCGTCCAAAAACTATAGTCTTGGTTGTTTTGAATACGGAATTTATTGTGATATGAGTATTATGGAAATAGGACTATTACTTTGGGACGGAAAAAAACAGTAAACAAGACTATTGTATTGGAACTAAGGGAGCATGTGTTCGTATACCTTCACTTGCTTGACGTATGGTACTGGAACGATGAATTCTCCGACATCATTGTCCCCAATGGATCGGGACAGACACAAACCACCCGGCCAACACCTTAGAGGACCAACCTTCATCGAAATCTAACATGATCCAATCGAATTCGAAACTACATGACAAAATTCAAGAAAGCTATACAATCATTTCATACCTCAGTCCCGCCAAAAATGCTAAGCCTCCCGACTTCACCTCCGCTAGCCGTTACACGTTCTCGTCTACAATCCACAACCACAACATTAATCACTCCATTCTGACAAAGGTACAACGTAAAGTGCAATAAATAACAACTCTCACTCCTCGGCATTCTCTTCGAGCCTATGATCGACGGTCAAATCGGAGACGCTGGCGCCCTGCGAGTCGAGCACGCACCGCGAATCTCCGACGCACGCGACGGTGACCGTCCATCCTTCAACGATCACGAATGTTGCCGTTGTCCCTGATGTCTTCCCTTTGCTCTGAAATTCTTTGTCTGTTTTTACGAAGCCGGCTACGAGAGCTCGGGGCAATGCTTGGACCCATTCCTCGCGGGCGAGGCCGCGAGGAATGGCGCCCAAGACATAGTTCAGCAAATGATCACGTGAGAAGATGGCTGCGGCATTGCCGTTGTGGCCGTCGAATATCTGCAAGAACAGAACAATATGGAATTAGTTAAGATTGTGTTATGAAAGACAGGTTGTTGTATGATTGGATATGTTTTCAGACTGCATTTAAAGAAAAAGAACATTATTGTGTACCCCGAAAACAGAGAATGATGTGGATGGATTTCCAGGAACTCTGTGGCAATCAGTTTTCGTTAGAAAGTAATCTTCGCCTTTCCTCGACTGTGCTGCAGACCCGAATCTAACTGTCGGTTTTTCCATTTTCTCATTTTTCATTTCCTGACTTATCAATGCTGCCAAGGGGACAAGGTTTGGATTGTTCATATGCCTCTCCTCCCTCGACCCCATTTCTATGGCTAAGATTTTTTAACTCCTCTGATCTCTCTCTCTCACTCACTCATGTTTTATTACAAATCCACACAAGATTTAGTAATTTCAGACAAATCCCCAGAAGAGTTTCAAGAACAGAAACACCCACAAGGTTGTTCAAAGGGTTCTAACCCTAAAAAACAAATTGTAAGAAGATGAAGACGACGAATGGAGAAGAGGGTTTCGAGAGGAAGAGATAAGATTCGGACAGGAAAAATAGGGAATTGGAATATGGGATTGATTTGATTTGATTACCTCTCGAAAATTTGTGACACGGATTCGGTGTATTGTGGATTTGCGTTTGCCATCACTCCCTTCCTCCCTCCAAATTGCAGATCTGATGGCGACTTGCAAGAAAAGAAACCAGAAAATTAAAAGGGGAAGAGGAATATAATAATAATATTATTAAGATTGGGGAAAATTCCACACGCAAATATAAACCAAACGCGGATTCATGACAGCGAATCAGCTGTAAGGTCCCAATCATCATCCACAGACAAGTTGTGTTTTAATTTGATGCACAAAACAAACATTCTTTCATCATACTACTAATAATCACTCCAGTAAATTTTATTATTATTATTCTTATAATGTGGTACAGATCGACGACAGCCTAACTAAGATTCTTCATTTATTTTTCTTAGCTGTGGCTAAACTTATTCTTTTTTCTTTTTTTCCTCTTAACGAATTTACTATCGATAAATTTGTAAAAAAAAAAAAAAAAAGGACAGGATTTTTAAAATTACAGCGTGGTAAAGCTACTTGGGATTTCTGACCGTTGCGAACTCGAAGGAAGATGAGCTGCGGAGTTCCATGTCAGGCTTGGAGCTGATGCTGTTTTGGCATATTGTTGAGAAGTAGACATTCTTGATTCCCTTGCAATAATTAATGTCAGACTATCAGATTAATTGACACGCAATAAAAGAAAATCAAAGGGAAATACAGTAATTGCAAGAATTGAAAACTCCAAATTCAATGATTTCTAGAGCAGCCATTACCACTACCAGGCCTGTCATGGCAGATAGAAGCACCTGAAATGATAACTGCTGTAATTAAATCCACAACGGCCACCACTTAGCTTGTCTCACTTTCATTACATATTTACATTACATCCACTGGTTGTCCAATTCAGGACAAACCCCCTCCTCGGCGGCGCTTCCGCCATCTCCGGCGACCTCTTCCACCGGCACCACCACATTTCTCTCACAACTCTCCAACATCGTCGCAAAATTCCCTTCCTAATCACACGCAGTCTTATTATTATTATATTATTATTATTATTGGTGCGATTATAGATTGGACAAATTAGAGGTTTTGAAGAGTAGTAGTGATTTTTGAATGGTGATTTTCATCGTCTGAAATGAGCTTGACTTTGATCAGTTATGGTCAAACACTGTTTTATTGCTTTAGGCTCGTTTATCTCCAAAGTTTTTTAGGTTTATTATTATTTATTCATATTATTTTAAATAATTATATTTATTTAAAAATATAAATTAAGAATTTATATTTTATTTATATAATTTATTTTGCAAAATTCTTCAAAAATTTTGAAACTTTCAAAAACTCCTCGACAAAAGTAATTTTTTGCCAAACACTAAATTCATAATCGGGCCGGTTCTGCATAATCGGGCCTTTTAAAATGACAGGTTTTGGGCCGGTTCTGCATATTTGGGCCTTTTAAAATGACTACGAAACACACAACACGCACATTTTTACCATAAAAAGGAATGCAGGTACTTTTTAACCAACATAAAATATATAAATAAATAAACATATATTATATAACATGTGAAATATTAAAGCCTAATGTAATTATTTTCCTACAATTTAATATAATTTATTAAGAAAATAGTAAAATATTTCTTAAGAAAAGAGGCTAATTATTAAATTTATATGTAAAATATTATATGATTAATTATTATTTTGATGTAGTTTAGATTTATTTATTTTTATTAATAGGAACTACTATTTCTTTCGTTTGGTTTGAAAATATTTTATTAGATTTTATATTAAAATAATATTTTATAAAAAAAATATATATATATATATTTTTGTAAAGTATAAAGTCAAATAATAAAATTTAAAAGATTTGTGTTAAAAAACACACATTTACTTAAAATAGGTGAACCGTCTCTACTCGTCTTTTGATGTCAATTTTCAGAATTTATATTAGTATTGACAATTTATTACAACTATTTTAAATCAAAGTGAAGTATGTACTTATCCGATGCATTAATTACGGTCTACCTGAATTAAACTAAATACTGCCTAATTTCCTGCCAAATTAATTAATGCCTTTTTTTTTTCTTTTTTTTTTGCCCGCTAGTTATCAACTTATCATTGAACTCAACTATGTCTGACTGACTTGTAGGATTTAATGAAATTTGTTAGTCAGAATAAAAATATGAATCTAATTTATTGTGATATAAAAATCGTACAAATCTTTTAAATAAAATAACTATTATAAATATAATATATTATTTTTAAATATATTTTAACAAGTGACATATAATAAATTGAAGGTTACGTGACCTTTTACGTGAATGAACTAATAACATGCAATTTGAAATGTTTTCAAAATTCTAAGGCTTATTCATATATATAGACAAATTTAAAACGTCTATATTATTTATTAAAAATATTTTTTTTTTAAAAAAAATCATATTCATTTATTATTTCTATATTTATTTATTCAAACTTGCTCTATTCTCAAAGTTTTCTATAAAAAACCGGAATTGGCATGTAATATGTGTTTGTATATATGAAGAAAAGTACTGGAGTATTTTTTTTTTGTATGAAAATATAGGCAGATTAGATTTTGTATATTAATTTAAATACATTATTTAGTGTGACATCTTATAATAGAAAACAATTTATATTTACAAAAAATAAAAATGAGAATTGCATAAACAAAAAAATTCCAATGCAACATTGTAATAAATTTTATAGTATATAATTACGCAGTGTAGATTTTGTTCCCTTGTCTGATATTGGATCACTCAAAAAGGGTTTTTTTTTTTTTTTCTTTTTTTCTTTACCCAAAAAAAAAAAAAAAAAGAAAGGGAAAGAATTCTTTTAAGTAATTAGCATGTGCAAGGCATTAAAGCTATGCTTGGACATTATTACAAACAACCTAATTAAAAATTATAGTAATTAATAATAAAAGCATATTTCGATCGGACAATTAAAATATGAAAGTGGTACCAAAACGATATTTAATAAAATAAAAATCTTAATAAATATGCTATCATAATTCATAGTTAGTTGGTGTACGCTTACGAGAGTGAGACCCACGCTCCTTGGAGAGCGTGACTCGGAGGACATATTCAGACAATAATAAATGGGCAAACGTGTCGTAAGTCGCGTGGCTCCACGCGACCCTCATCGCCTCGGTGCTGGGGACGCCACGCCCCGTCATTCAGATAAGATAAACAAAGGAATTTCTTATTCAAATCTAGCCATACACGTGTCGAAATCGCACCGGCTTCGCATTTGACTAATCCCACGTTAACCAATCACGTTACTTCTCTGTCAGAACTCAAACAGCTACGCAATCCGATGGTGTCTTGACTAATCCAACTGAAGTCGGCCCATATTTTTCTAACATATATATCAACTCATAATTAGTTTTTTTTTTTTTTTTTTTTTTTTTTTTTTTTTTTTATATTACTCCTTGTGTCTTACATACAATGTCTTTTTTTTTTTTTAATTAATTATATACTTTAATTTTATTTGAATTTTTAAAATTTTTTAAAAATTTTAATTAAATTAATTAGTTATTTTAATTTTAATTTATAATTATTTATATTATAAAATAATTATTTTTACTAATATATTTTAATTATCTACTAATTACATCCTCCTAAAATACTGTGTCTATAGTGTCACACACACCGTATGTGGAACGGAGGTAATATTATATTTTTCTACATATTTCATTAAAAAGAATCAATATATTGTTTATATTTGTTGTTTTTATATTTTTATGTAATTTTTCATTCATATCATTTTCATTTTCAATCATTTTATAAAAGTAAACACTTTTATTATTTAAAAAATAAATAATATTTTTTCTATCCGAATAAATTAAAACATTTGAGTCCGATCGAAAATAATACTCCCTCGGTCCCGTCAGAATGGTGATATTTTTTTTTCACGTAGATTTTTTTATATTAGTATTATATTGGATTATAATAACAAAGACAAAAATACCTCTATTAGTTTAGTGTAATATAAAAATAATATATTGTAAGTTGAAATGATATTTATTATGTAAAATAAGTAGTACATTTACTAAATTAGGAAATTATAACCTTGTTTTTGGACGGACAAAAATAAAAAATAGTAACCTTTCAATGAGACGAAGGAAATATATATATATATATAATATAATAAAACTAATGATATTTTGTTCTAAAAACGTAAATATACATAGAAAGTAATAATTAAATATTAATGTATTGATTTTATTTAAATTAATAATAAAATAAATTTAAAAATTATAATAGATTTTTTTTTCTCTAAAAATATCATATCAAATAATTATTCAAATTTAATTTTTTACTATTTAAAATTTCAAATTCAAAAACTAAAATCCACGGTAAACACACCTAAGGAGCACATGTTTTTTATATTATTATCATTATTTTTTACAAATTTTGATCAAGCATTGCCATGAGCAAGGCCTCTCTTCGGAAGAGGGGTGTATTTTGAACATAATAAAATAACACGTCAATAAAAATAAAAAATTAAATAAAATAAAGTAACACTATAATCTTTATTTTTATTATTGGAAAATTTGGGATGTATAGGTAATAGCCACTCACTTTTATTTTTTATTTTGAAAAAATTCTCCCATCACTTTTCTTTCCCAGCGATATATTTGTCTATTTTTTTTTATCTCCACATATAATAATTATTATTAATAATAAAATATATTTTCTTTTATTATCGATTGCCTCTGTCTCTTTTGCGTGCTTTTTAAAAATATTTAATTTTGTCTCGTTTCGTCGTTCTTCCATTTCTTCTTTCTTATACCCATCGAATTGTCGTTTCCCCTCTTTCTCGGTGCACAGCCTTAATTCATATCAACGTTCTCCGATTGCGGAACAATTTTGATTCCATCTGATAATTCTAAATCACAATTCGTCGGCAACGGCGTGAGGAATTGATCTCGGTTTCAGGCGGCTGCGTTTACGGGTACGCGGGATTAAGATTGACTCCATAATTTTCAGATTATTGGGAGGGGGCTGGTATTACGGGAATAAGGGGTTATTCGCACAAGTTTTGGGGTTTTGTTGGTATATCAATAGGTAATTGTATTTCTAGATTAGGGAGGGTTTTTGGCGCGTTGGGTTTGGTTTGGCAATATGGCTGGGGCGGGATTGCAGTTCAATCGGAGTAGATGCGGTGAAGATTGGTTCTATAGCGCGGCTAGGGCTCGATTGAGTCAGGAATGTTTGCGGAGAGCTCAGAGTGATGTCACGTCGACGCGTTCTCGGAGCCGACTGGAGGAGTCGCCGGCAGAAATTTTGAAGCAGGAAGTTACGACTTCACCGCCGTTTCCGGAACCCTCGCCGTTGTGTAATTTGGAGAGGTTCCTGGAATCAGTCACGCCTTCGGTACCGGCGCAGTACTTATCTAAGGTAACTTTGTTTTGCTTTTTCCGGAACAATTTGATTGTCAATTGATTGGTATTTGTTCACAACCAAAGATAATTGCGGTGAAAAATCCTAATTTGTGGATCTCAGTACTGGAAACAATTTTGCAAGTCTCGTTGATTTAAGTACTTTGGTTTGTTAAATAATTCTCTGTTCTTCATTATCAATCTACATTTTCATTGTCAGATCATATGAACATTGTGAATGTTTTCACTTTTTTGTTTTATGTTTGCTTACTTTGATTAGATTTTGTAACACTGCTGAAATGATAGAGTTTATGTATAGAGCAAAATTTCTTGTTTGAATAAACATGTTTTGAAATGTTACAGACAAACTTGAGAGCTTGGAGAACGAGCAATGTGGATACCCAACCCTTTTTTGTGCTAGGAGACTTGTGGGAATCCTTCAAGGAATGGAGTGCCTATGGTGTTGGAGTTCCCTTGATATTGAATGATCGTGATGGCGTCATTCAATATTATGTTCCGTATTTATCCGGCATTCAGTTATATGTAGATCCATCGAAGAGTACGGAGAGGTTAAGGTATATTACTATTGTGCATTATTGAGAATTTGGTTCATTTTGTGATGCATAGTTAAACAATGGCTAATCAATCTTTGCTTGTGAAGGATTTGGAGTAAAAAATGATAGATTTTCATATTTCATTTCAAGCAAAGTGAGTCATGTCTCGTTTATACTTTATACCACCTGGATTGAAATATTGAATAATTTTTTTATAACATCGTTTTGGCCCTTATTTGTTGGTATTTCATACACTATTTGCACTGTTGTGGCTCATTTGATTTGAAGCTAATCTTTATTACGAAGTATTTTCACGTCAAAGTTATTATACTTTTCAAGACTACAAGTTTACTTATGTGCCATTTCAACTATTTTGCTTTCAGGTTGATACTCTCATCTAATTTCATGTTCTTGTTTTAAACTTTTCCTTTGAGGTTATTGGTTTTTGGTACATCTTTATCGGAACTCCTCTTTAACAACATCCTCTTTTGCCAGCATTACGGAGTTTAAAAATGACTTTTTGCCCACACTGGCTTAACAACACAATATATGAACTTGGAAACATGATGGCCTATGGAGATTAACTTTTATTCTAGATCACAAAACATTAATATCCCGGAGAGCTGGGAATACAACTGGTGTGATCGTAGTTATTATGAATTGACTTTTTGATAATATGTCTATTTTAAATAAAATTTAATGTCTGTCAATATGAGCTTTCCCGTTTTCAAGATTTTCCTACTTTAACTAACTCTGGCCTATTTGCTACATAATCCTCCTAACTGAATGTTTTATTTTTGTCCTTTTGGTAGGCGACCTGGTGAAGAAAGCGATGTTGAATATTTTATGGATTCTTGTAGTGATGGAAGTAGTGATAGCGACCACGAGAGAGGCAGCTTGAATAATTCTCGGGGGCAACTAGGTTATATCAAAACAAGCAACCCTACTCTTAGAGTAGATCAATTGTCGAGACAACAGCATATTGCTTATCAAGAAGGGTTTTCAAGTGACGAAGGTGAATCTGGAAATTCCCGAAGTTGCTTATTGTTTGAATATGTCGAACGAGACCCACCATTTTGCAGGGAACCTCTAGCAAACAAGGTCTGTATTCTCATTTATCTTCAGTCCATGCTCAGTCATATATTTCCTTTAACATTTTCTTTTGATACAATATAATTTATTAAAAAAACTACTTTCTGCATTCTTGGAAACTTCTCAGATTTCTGATCTTGCTGTTCTCTTCCCCGAACTAACGAGGCTTCGGAGCTGTGATCTACTTCCATCCAGTTGGATTTCTGTTGCCTGGTATCATCATCATCATTCCTTAAGAGTTCATACATTTCTTGCATGATAGAAATTTCGAATTGCTTACTTACCGGGAGATAATCATCGTGCAGGTACCCAATTTACAGAATTCCAACAGGTCCAACCCTCAAAGATCTCGATGCTTGCTTTTTAACCTACCATTCGCTACATACACCATTGACTGGTAAGATAAAGAGGTTCTCAGTTCCTGTTAACACACACAGACGACTTATAATTGTGCATCTTGAAAACCATTGTTAGTAGTAATCATCTTAACATACACTTGTTGCTTTGATGAACTCTCCAGAAAATGAAAAACATTCTCCAGCCGTGCCATACCCGATTGAGACAGATGGTGTCCCACAGCTTTGGCTCCCGGCATTTGGGCTGGCTTCCTATAAATACAGGGCTCAACTGTGGACTCCAAACACTGATCGTCTGCGCCAACTGGCAAGCTCCCTCTTTCAAGCTGCAGATAGTTGGCTAAATATGCTCCAGGTCCATCATCCCGATTTTTCCTTCTTCTGCCGGAGGTAATTCTTGATTAATCGATCGGGTAGAACACTTTCATTGCTGGTTTTATTTGTGCTATGCCAGAGTGTGTGTTGGGCATATGATTGGAGCTGCTGCTGCACTGCACCCAAAAGTTGTTAACATGATTTAAAAAGTTCAAACCAAAAAAAAAAAAAAAAAAAAAAAAAATCAGAAAAAGAAATCCCAAAAAAAAGCTTAGATTGAAGATGCAGAATGGCTTGGTGTTAATCAGCATAGCAGCAGATGCTTTATTTATATAGTAGTTCTATCTGTTGTAATGGAGAACTTTTTGACTTTTTTTTTTTAATGTTTATATAGAACAGGGTGGTTTTTGTGCCCTGACTATCCCATTGGAGTTGTATTTATATATTTAAGTATAAGAGACTTTGATGGACAACATAGTAAGTATATGATAACATATCATGTATGTGTGCGTATGTTTGCCGTTTATTTCTGTTTTTATTTTCTGCATTTGGTCACAAAATTCGTTGTTGTAAAAAGTATGACAAATCGAAAGTAAACACAAAATATCTGATAATTATAAACATACAGATAAAACCAATTGTCTGGGGACGGGGGTTTGATGACGTGGATGGGAATGGACTTGGACTTGATCGTGTGGGAAAGGATTGAAGTCAATTCATGGACTCAATTTTTAAATTCAAAAGAAAAAACACCTCAAAACAACAGAGAGATCCTTTTTCCATTCAATCACTTTTAAAATCCTTCAATCTCATTTGATCTTGTATACCACACACCGGGCGAAGGGAGGCCATGGCCATGGCCATGGGAGTTTCGATTCCCATTCTCCTCCTCGTCGCCGTCGTCTCACCTCACCTCGTGCTCGCCGTCGGAGCCGAACGCCGCGGCAGCGAGGTTCGCGTTAATTTCTCCCTGATGTTTTTGTTTTGTTTTTTCTTTTGTGTGTGTAATTAACCTTAACCTTTTTGTTAATCCGTTTGCGAAGGCGAAAGTGTTGCCGAATGAGTACGAGGGGAATACGTACTGCGCGTACGGCTCCAATGCGTCGACGGTGTACGGACTGTCGGCGTTTGAGCTGCTGTAAATTAGCCAAACCCAATTTCACAGCGTTACCAGGTGCTTGTGTTTCGGGAGGGGGATGATGGCGGCAGCTCTACTATCTGTGCTGTTTTTCTTCGTGTTTTCCTGGTAAACATTGCCACGCTAGTTTAATCTCGGCTAATTACTCCATTTTCACCTGTGATGTCGACTTAGGGTTTTTTTCTGTGTTAGGGTTAGATAGATCTACACATATTGTGTGCTTGGCACGATTTGGTGGCGATAGTATCTACTTATTCAATGCCCTAATTACATCTACATCTACATCTACATCTACATCTACATCTACATGCCATGGATTTTTGTTCTCTGAGTTATAGTAGGTCAGCAGAGAGATAATTGATCACTACTATCTCTATAAGTTGAATTCTCTTGTAAACAAAATCTTAGAAAGAGTTGGAGTTTTTGATGGAGAAACTGATTTGGCATGTAGAACTACAAAAGATGTAGTCATTCACTCCACAGTTAATAATATTAATAATATTCAAACGTAAGTATGTCATAGCTCTAACATGAGTGTGCAATGATTGAAATAATATCTTCTATACATATTAGTGTAATCTGGTCAAAAAGAAACTAATAGGGCCTAAATTCAGTTGTTGAGCTGTTCAAAGTTCATTTCTATTTCAATTATTTTATGATTTTGCTTACAATGATAATCCACCATTAAGGTTCATCACTGTCCAAATGGTTTCAACCAAACCAAGGGGGCATGGTTGCTAAGTATTGCCTTTGGATCATATTATGTAATGGGCTTTCCTTAGATGGGCCTGACTGACTACTTATACCCTAAGCAAGACTTCTAGGAAAAATTCACTAATTATGCCATTAACATTTGACAGATAATAAGCCTAGGTGTTTAAATTTGAGAACTTTAGCTACCAAAGATTGGAAAGATTCTGGTGTAAGTAATTGAAAAACGTCTGAAAAGATACAATGTTTAAATCTAATCAGTTGCTGTTATTAAAAGTAAAACTTACATGGTGTCTGGTTGATGTTCCCTTCATAGCCATGCTAAAGCCATTCCTTTCTTTCAACACCCAAGCTACCTTCCTTTCATTACCTGCATCATTAGTACTTCCTAGTGAGTATATAACCATCAAACTGTTTCCCCAAATATTTTCAGTCTTCCTTACCACAGGCAAAATTTATTTGGGATACATCCATCAATCATCCTTCTGTTAAAATGCCAATTTATTCTTCAGATTCTGATGAGGCCCTTCCACCGACCAAAAGATTGTTTGGCCGTGAAAAGCCTCTGCATCACCTTCTTGGAGGAGGAAAAGGTTGAACCCCTCTCCTCTTCTTTCTTTCTTTCTGAAGAATCGAATGTTTTCTTTGCTTCTGTTGGTGGAATGATCGTTGATATCTTCATTCTTACAGCATCTGTCAGGAAGCAAATGATCACACAAAATGGCTTTTCTTTTATCAGAAAGATGACTGAAACTTGATTTATTTGCTGCAGTGGCTGATGTGCTGCTATGGAGGAACAAGAACTTATCGGCTGCAATACTTGTTGGATTCACGGCCATATGGTTCCTGTTTGAAGTTGCTGAGTACAATTTCGTTACTCTCATGTGCCATATTTCAATGATCGCAATGTTGGTCCTGTTTGTCTGGTCCACCGGAGCAGGCCTAATCGACTGGTAAACCTGTAGAATAAGATTTTAGCTTATCATAAGATAATTTAAATGCCAGTTACTCTCTGCTCAACAAAACCTGTGATACAATGTTAAGGAATCCACCTGATCCTCGAGCAATCACAGTCCCAGAATCCACATTCCGATGGCTGTTTGCAAAAATAAACAGATTAGTGGTGAAATTCTATGATGTTTCATCTGGGAAAGATCTGAGGACATTCTTCCTGGTACAGTTTCATTCCCACAATCACAGCAATCATTTAACTTTAAATTCTAGGGCACAGTTGTGTATCCAGTCTTTTAATTTCTCTAATTCTTTCTGAATCAGGCCATCACCTTCCTTTGGATACTCTCGGGAATCGGAAACTATACCAGTTCCCTGAATTTGTTATATACTGGTAAGCACATTGTATCCCTTCTTTCTTTCCCAATCTTCCAAGACTATATGTAACATTCCTTGTTGTCTCTGTCTGTGAAGGGTTTCTATGCATGATAACTCTACCTGTCTTATACGAACGATACGAGGCTGAGGTAGATTATCTTGCAAGCAAAGGGAACCGAGATGTGAAGAAACTGTACAGAAAATTTGACTCAAAATTTCTTAACAAGATTCCAAGGGGCCCTGTTAAAGAAAAGAAGAGATTCTGATTCTCTACCTTGAACCTTAATACACAGAGAGATTGCAGAAGACTTTGTTTGATCTGCCACTTCAACTTGTAAAATGTAACCTTTAACTTCTTTAATCAATTATAAGTAATGCCAATCTACTTATTATCCCATTGTAGTTGTATATATTATAAAAGAGAATTTGGTGGAGAAACATACTATATGATAAGGCTTGCCTGGTATCATGTATTTGTGTGTATGCATTAGATTTATTTTTGTGTTCTTTGTTATATACATTTATTTTTATTTTGGTTTGAACTCACTAAAACAATTGCTTTTTTCTAAATAAAAAGGAATTAATACTTCTTTAGTGCATTCCAGACTGCCAACAATCAAGAATGTCACGTGTCACAGAGTAGTGATAACAATAGGTGTAAATGTGTTTTGATCCGTGTGCATTATATTCAAATAATTTTTTTCTAACATTTAATATACATAGGGTTTCTTTAATTTTGATATCAAATTAATTTTTAATTTAAATAATATTTTAATTTAATAGCTATAATTTTATTTTTAAAAAAATGCTAAAAAAAAAACGCCGTATTTTCAGTAGCAAGTGGTGAAGAAAGAACTTATTATGCAAAAGCCACAATCCCCGCTTCACTTTTTTTTTTTTTTTCTTTTTTTCTCAAAAGCTTTAATTGAAAGAGTGAGAGTGAGAGTGTGAGTGAACAGTACAAATTTCTCAGAGCAAAAAGCAAGCAGATTTGTCAGTAAGAATCCACATTCACACCGGGCGAAGAGAGGCCATGGCCATGGGAGTTTCTATTCCCATTCTCGTCGTCGTCGTCTCAGTTCACCTCATCGCTTTCGTGCTCGCCGTCGGTGCCGAACGCCGCCGCAGCGAGGTTCGCGTTAATTTTCCTATATTTTTTTTGATGTTTTTTTGTAATTAACCTTAACCTTTTTGTTAATCCGTTCGCGAAGGCGAAGGTGTTGCCGGACGAGTACGACGAGAAAACGTACTGCGCGTACGGCTCGGATGCGTCGACGGTCTACGGACTGTCGGCGTTTGGGCTGCTGTTAATTAGCCAAACCCTAGTTCACGGCGTTACCAGGTGCTTGTGTTTCGGGAGGGGGATGATGGGCGGCAGCTATACTACCTGTGCTGTTTTCTTCTTCGTGTTTTCCTGGTAATCATTCCCACACTAGTTTACTCTCGGTTAATTACTCCATTTTCACCTGTGACGTCGACTTAGGGTTGTTTTCTCTGCTCTAGGGTTAGATAGATCTACACACATTGTGTGGTTGGCACGATTTGGCGGTGATAGTATCCACTGATTCAATGCCCTAATTACATCTACATCTACATGCCCTGGACTTTTGTTCTCTGAGTTACAGTAGGTCAGCAGAGTGATAATTGATCACTACAATTTGGAGGGCAGGGATTAGTGTAGTTATAGAAGGAATCTTTGGATTATAAACCTAGAAATATCACAAATAGTTGCAATCTTGAACCTTGTCGGAAATTACCAATGGTGTCCTGTAATTGTGATTCATATGTGAGCTTTTTTCCTCCAGCAAGAGTCTAATTTATCCAAAAAACCATACAAGGCAATTTAACTCAAGGGAGGTAACCGAAACTATAATGCAATGCATGCTTACAATTCGAAACATGATTGAGTGGAGAAAAACTTGTCCAACTTTGATGCTGAAATAGGATATGAAGGGCATCCGACCTGCTAGTTCGATTGCTTAGCTATATTCCTTCCTGATATAGTTGTTTGTTGCCGCATTGATGGAGGATTCCTCATTGGGAGGTTGTTTATTGGTTAGGGGTGTTTCGAATCTGAAGTTAGTTTTGTTTTCTACTAAATATTTCATAGTGCAACAACCAAACACATCCTAATTTTTTTTCCTACCTAAACTGGGAGGGTTATGTTTAGTTGGGAGGAAATGATAAACTCCAAAATGAGTGGAATGCTCGTGTGCGTGCTCGTTTGTTTAGTTTGGCTGTACCTTTCACTCTTTTTCCCCTAAAATTAGAATGAATCAACAGGGTCAGCTTTCTTGCGGCAGAGGCTTGTTTGCTGGCAGGATCAGCAAGGAATGCTTATCACACAAAATATCGAGCTGTTTTCCACGTAGAGCACTTGTCGTGCACCACCCTTCGCAAGGGTGTCTTTGCTGCCGGTGCTGCCCTGACATTAATGTCAATGATCGCTTCCATCTTTTATTACTGGATCCACACTAAGGCCGATACAGGCGGATGGGAAAAACACCACAATGAAGGACTCGGGATGACCTCTTCAAAGTTTTCAGAAAATGAGCACCAGCCGAAGGCCAGTGAAATATGACAAGATCTGATTATTGTTACATGAAGATGTTTAAAAGTTTGTATTGTTGTGTTGTCATCTCAAGCGACAGAGAGACAAATTCCAGATATGTAACTTAGTCACACCAAGGTGTGTAAAGTGTGTTCCTTTCGACTGTAAAAGTATTGTATAAATATATGCGCTTCTTGAATCCAAAGAAATTACCTTAAAAGTTATGGTCTTAATGTTTATTATCCGGTAGTTTTCCATGTCTTGGTGACCTTTGCTTGATCAGATGATATCTGTTCCTTTCCAAATAGGTACCATCTTTTTTACATCAGCAAATATCGTATGTGTGCATACAATTACAACAAGTTCCCTTACATATCTATTCTGTATAGTTTTGCTGATTGGTTTTCATGTAGTAACTGAAGTGGCAAACTACTTGAGTTACTACAGGATTGAAGCCCCTACAAGATATGTCCTGACACGGCCGTGTTGTCGGGATGCCATTGGGGTCAATAAGGTACAACCTCTTAACATCTCAGATTTCTCTATATAGCTATACTAGCAAGTAGCAAACCATTTGATTGTATATGCCTGGTGAACTATGTTGCTAGCCTTACATTATGAAGTAGTAGTGCAGTATTGAAAGTAACTTGGAAGTTTTAGGGTGCATGACCTGATTATTTCCCCGGTTAACCTAGCAACTAATTTTCGCTCTATTGTTCACTTTTATTGTCATTTTCAATATAGCATGCCTGCAAGGGATAATGTGCAATCAAGTTTGAGTAGGAAACGGTAGCCTAAGCCAACTTAGGTATTCGGAAATACTGATTCAAAGATTGTGAACATGTTAATATATCACCCTCACCTCTTACTCTTTGCAAAATAGCATTTTCATTGGCAATAACAACACCATAGCTTACAAGCAGGAAGTAGTAGTAGTAGTAGTCCATGCATTCTATTAACATATTGAAAACTGACACATCATGCATAACCAGGCAGAATATAGATGGAAATATCTAACTTAAAGGAGTTCGGACTTCAGGACAAGAGAATTTAGCATCTGGGAAACGGGGTGCCACAGGTACTGGCCACTTTCTTGGCACCGGGAGTGTTGATGAACTTCTGAAGGTTGGGGTTCTTCATGTACTGGCAAAGACAAGGGCGTTGCTCCCTAATTTTTTTGCAGCACATCTCAGTCGGTTTGGCCGGGGTTGCGATTGCAGCTGCGCAGGGGCTCAGCTCCCCTGGACTGCAAGTCACACCTCTTGCAAACTTAACTTGAGCAGACATTAGAGCAAGTGCCAAGAAAATTGCCAGGTATGTTGCTCTAGAATCCATAGCTCTATCCTAGAATGGAAGGAGGAGATTTGTGGTTGAAATATTGGGTTATCGGTGCTATATATAGAGGGAGATTTAGGGAGGAATATTGCAGTTAATTGCTCACTTTTTGTGAATTTGACTTTTGTGCAATAGTTGAAAGTGAAGTGAGGGGTAAATGGAAAATGGATCCTCACATGGCATGTGAGAGAGAAATGTTTTAGCTAACTTTGTTGGATTTATTATTTTGTTGTGCCGAAAGAATTCTTCGATGGAAAAGCAAGAAAAATGTAACGGAAGGTATTTGACTGTGATCGAGTATAGCAATGACTGAAATTATTTCATCTGTGGAACAAAATAAATTATATATTAATTAATCAACAAATATTAATAAAGTGAGGTCAATAAAGTGATAAGTTGATCACGCCTAAACAATGACCTATAATCCTATTATCATAATAATGTGTCACTTTAATACACATGGCAAATAAAAACATATGTTTATACATTTCAAATATTCACATCAATCTAGAAATAGTAGGATTTGTTTGTGAACAAACAAAATTCAATCAAATTTTAAAATATATTATTGTTTAACTTATTATATACATGAATAGTTTTGCACCAAATATATACCCAAAGACCTGCCTGTTCAATTTTAAGTAATCCCATATAGGCAAAAGTAATTTCCCCCCACTTTTTCACCTTCTCCCCAGCATTTAATTTTCCTTTTCCTTTTCTCCTCATCCATCAGTTTTGTACATACATTCATATGCTCCAAAATAATCAGTGATTATGGTAACATTATTCAAGCATGCATAATCGAGTAAAGCCAATGATTGAGAAGCAATGATAATCAAATTGGGACCCAATAATGATAAAGTAATTCTTTATGGGTGATGGGATTTGATGTAAAAATGGCATGTGCCTCTTTATAATCATCCCTCATCTAAGTAGAGGTGCTCGTACGGTTTGGATCGCCGGTTTTAAACTGATAGTCCGGTTCAAACTAAAGTCGAAATCAAAATTTTCATGATTCAATTTCAATTCCAACGTTTTTTTTTTTTTTTTTTTTTTTTTTTTTTTTTTAAATCGGATCAATTCTAACGTTTTTTTGAATCATGAATTGATAATCGTGGTTTCAAACACGCGAAAAAGAGGGTGAACCGCCTTTCTATATATATATATTAATATGTATATTAACAATATATTTATTCACACTTTATTTTATTTTATTTTATTTTTTTAAAAAAAAAACCGCAAATTGAAAAATACAATACAACCAAACCTATATGCATTTATCATATTTTCATATGATATAATAGGAGTATAGTTTTTACTAAAACATCTTGAATTCAATTTCAACCTACCAACATCAATTGGGTTTATATAATGGGCCTTGTGTAAATATAACATATTGAATTGGTCTCCTATTGTATCAATATGGGCCTCATGCTTAAATGTGGGCCATCAAAAGCCATTTGGTAAACTTATAACCATGGGTCATGAGTTTAAACTCGACACCTCCAAATCTGTCTGTCACACACGGTTCGCCAATTGGCCTTACCTTGTCGGACCTACTTTGCAGGATATTAGATCCGATCGGAAGATATACAGAGCACACTCAATGAGTAGCGGCTGAAGTTCCCACGTCATAAAAAAAAATAAAAAAAAAATAAATAAAAAAACTCTTACTATAATTAGAAAACAAACTGTTACAGGCAAGTTGGGCCTAATTGGCAGGTATTAGATTCGACCGAAGGTTTACCCAGAGTGCATTCAACGAGTAACGTCTGCAAATTCTCACGTTATAAAAAAAAGAAAAAAAATGCATGTATACCTCTTTCTATGATAACATAACAAACAGTAATGCGCTCTTCCAACCTTTTCCCTTGATCTTCCCACAAATTACAATTATTGACTTTAAGGCACCAATAATATATGTATATATATATATATTTAAACTAGCTCTGAAATGAAAAAACACATAAATGCATCATTTGGTAATACTTATGATATCCAAACGTAGATAATATCATAGCTCTACCATGAGTGTGCAGTGATGAAATCTTCTACAAAAAATAGTGTAATCTGGCCAAAAGCCACAAATAGGGGCTAAAAGTCGGTTCTTGAGCTGTTCAAAGTTCATTCAAAACCTCATTTCTGTTTCAACTATTTATGATTATGCTTCAATTATAATCCATCATTAAGGTTCACCACTACCCAAATGGTTTCAACCAAATTAAGGGGCCATAGTTGCTAAGTATTACCTGTCGATCATTATGCAATGGGCTTTCCTTAGATGGGCTGACTGACTACTTATACCTAAGCAAGAACTCTAGGAAAAGTTCACTAATCATGCCATTAACATTTGACAGATAATAAGCCTAGGTGTTTAAATTTGAGAACTTTTGCTACCAAAGAATGGAAAGATTCCGATTAATGTAGATAATTGAAAAAGATCTAAAAGATATAACGATTTAATCTAATCAGCTGCTATTACTATATGTAAAACTTACATGATGCCTGGTTGATGTTCCCTTCATAGCCATGCTAAAGCCATTCCTTTCTTTCAACACCCAAGCCACCTTCCTTTCATTACCTGCATCATTAGTACTTCCTAGTAAGTATATAACCATCAAACTGTTTCCCCAAAAATTTTCATAGTTCCTCACCACAATCAAAATTTATTTGGGAGACATCCTTCTGCTGTTAAAATGCCAATTTATTCTTCGGATTCTAATGACACCCCTCCACCGACCAAAAGATTGTTTGGCCATGAGAAGTCACTGCATCACCTTCTTGGAGGAGGAAAATGTTGAATCCCTCCTCTTCTTTCTACCTGACCACATTCCAATGGCAGTTTGCAAAAATAAACAGATTAGTGGTGAAATTCTATGATGTTTCATCTGGGAAAGATCTTATGACATTCTTTCTGGTGCAGTTTCATTCCCACAATAATCACTGAACTCTAAAATCAATGGCACACTTGTGTATCCAGTATTTTAATATCTCTATTCTTCTCTGAATCAGGCCACTACCTTCCTTTGGATAGGAATTGAAAACTATACTCAGGAATTTGTTATATACTGGTAAGCACATAGTATTCCTTCTTTCTTTCCCAATCTTCCAAGACTATATGCAACATTTCTTGTTGTCTTTGTCTGTGAAGGGTTTCTGTCATAACTATACCTGTCTTATCCGAACGATATGAGGCTGAGGTAGATTATCTTGCAAGCAAAGGGAACCGAGATGTGAAGAAACTGGACAGAAAATTTGACTAAACATTTCTCAACAAGATTCCAAGGTGGTCTGTTAAAGAAAAGAAGAAATTCTGATTCAGGATTCTCGTCTCTACCTTGAACCTTAATTGAGTGGACAGTTGCACATACAGATTAGACTTTCTTTGATCTGGCACTTCAGCTTGTAAAATTTAACCTTTACCTTCTTTAATGAATTATAAGTAATGCCAATGTACATATCTTTGCATCAAGGATTCAGAGTCATTGATCAAATTGTTTCTGCAACCCCTTCTGTTTAAACAATAAGAACAGCTCTAAGGAAAACGTTGTAGTAATCTAAATTGGCAAACACATGAAAAATAAGAAGTGAATTCATCAAATTAAACCCTAGTCAAATTTATTTATTTTTCTGGTGAAAGACATCTAGTGAGTCTATCATGGCATTGTACAAGATCTAAACAATTAGTTATAATCCTGCTCAGATTGTTATCATCTACAAATCTATTTTGAGTTGTTATCTTTTCTTTCACTTTGTTATTTTATCTGTGAGTACATTCAATGTCATGCAGTCAGCAGAGGTGGGTTTTTTTTTTTTTTTTTTTTTTTTTTCTGTTAATAATTTGTGGAAAGTGCCTTAAAGGAGTGTACAAGTCCGCATCATGAGTATCTGGATTATCATCTATTTCCACTCACTTTAATTCCATTCCTTCCATATAATACGTTTATGTGATAGGATAAAATGTTTGGAAATATATTCTTAACATTTAATTGTTCTTTTTTGATTTTGGAAAAACCTTTATCAATACACAAACATCTCCATCCATAATATACAATGTCGATAGTTAGGATTGTTTAAAAACTATGGCTGTGTTCTTGATTCCTACTAGTAAATATACTATACACATATTGCATGATGAAAAGTACAAGATGTTCATAGTTTATACAGACAAAACATGGTGATAGAAGATAGAAACAAACCCAACTTATGTTTGATATCTTAGTTGCTTTGGTGTCGATCCTTGGTATTTGTGAGCCTAACTGCCCTCCAATTGGATTACTGGAAGTGGATAGCTCTACTTCTACTGATTCCCTGGCCGGCAAGATTGGGAATTACCAAATACCTGTGACAATGAACCAACAGATTGAACTTGTGATCCCAATTCCAGGGGTAAATATGTAGCTGATGAAATCAAAGCACCAACTCTTGAGGGTGAGTTAACTGTAAACCGAGAGTTTTTACCAGGAAACGATGGGACTCCCTCAAATTGTCCAGGAGTGGGATCCATAGTAGTCATGGATATTGAGGCTTGCCCTTGAGGCAATTCATTTGTGATTGGCTCAAAATCCCCCAGCTTTGCACAGAAAAAAACATACTTAATGATATGCTCAAGACTGATATATCACTATACGTAAATTCTACTTTAGAGGAATACTCTATATTATCAAACATTCTGCATATAAGTATAGCTTAATCCAGTTACTGCTAAAGCAACAAAAATGGTAAAAATAAAGGAATCATAAACATGGATGTTTTCAGCAGAATAAATATCAATGACTTTTGCACTTGAGCTCCAGTCAAATCAATCAAACCATCAATAAAATATCAAGTTTGTTATCATGTAATTGTAGCAATCAACTATGGTTGGTTCATGCTATATCCAATATATAGAGTTGAGTTTCAACCAAAAAAAAATTATCAAAGCTAAACAGAAGTAGTCAGGAGGAGAAAAGTTCAAACCATAAACTGCAGTGCTAAAATGACCGACATTTGAACCAATAAGCCAATTACTATTTATAAGAAATAACATACTATGATGACTTGCACAACAAAGTTTTTCTCCCCAAACATACTATAATGGCTTGCAGAACAAGGATTAAAGGGCAAGTATGCACTAATAATTGAAAAGAGAGAGCTATGTAAAACCTGATTTATGCCAAAACCAGTTAGAATTGGTTCGTGGCTGCTAGACTCTCCTAGAGTAGGATGACTGAAAAGGGAATGCAACCCTGGAACTAGCACAGATGGAGCCACATAAGGTGAGGCTTGGGTAGGCCATTGCTGTAACCAAAAGAATGGTGATTGGTATCCCATTCCATAGTTGATCCCAGGGCTCTGTCCCGCTAAACCATAGCTTCCATAGTTTCCCATACAAGCAGCACTACGTATAGTTTCCATAGACCACTGTTGCACCTGGTGCATCATAACAACTTAAGCTCTATACTTGAATAGCTCAATACCCTCCGCCAGTTAATTCTACTTCATCAGCAAGGCTCTTGATTAGAATTCCAGACTTTCAAATAAGTGTTTATAACAAAAAATTGGATTTTATTATGACAGAAGACTGAGAATACAACACCAAATCACTTGGATAAAAGGCATAATACTTCAGAAGGATTTTTTTGGAACCCTAAGTTACCTAATTCAACCACGTGAAATCTACACCACAGATTTTCAAATTCAACCATTGTACACCAAGCAGCTTCTTTGCTGCTATTTCCTTCCACAAATCTTTCATGCTTCAAAATGTATACAGATAACGAAACGATAAAAAAAAAACGGATTAAGAAGGGAGGAGATTAATTACTTGCAACTGAGTGCGTAGGGATACGATGCGCCGGGCAGCCTCCTCCAGAAGAGTAGCCTGATCCGACTACACAGCAATAAAAATTTCAATTTAGAATTAAACCTAATCCACGCAATACAAATGCAATTACTGAATTGCAGTTGACAAAACCCGTCGCCATTAACACCATTCCTTGTTGAAGCAAGCAGGACCAATTTCTAAAGTGTAAAACGTATAATCGTCTACATACGCATACAGATCTATACATACACACGTAGACGTATACATTCGTGTATAACCGCGCAGTTCAGTGCATATGCGCTAAGTACATAATGAAAGTATAATAGTTATTATTGTGGTTAAGGAATTTTTATTTATTTTTTTATCTAAGTACATATTAAAAATCGATCTTATATGCATAAATATATTCACCAATAACAGATAATTTTATTTTTTAAAATCAAGTCTTTAGAGTTATTAAAGAATATATATGTATTTTCATTGTCATGTATACAGATATACGTGCATGTATGTTTTCTGTAATAATAAAAAAAATTAATTTTAATCAAATACATTATATAATGATCTAAATTTACAAATAAAATATAAATTTATGTATCTTTTCTCTAATAATAAATTATTTTATTTTTAAATAACTATAACTGATAATAAACTAATCTGCATATTACTGACACTCTATCATGCAAATCTAAAAGTCAAAATTATTTAAATAATTAACTTATATACATATAATTCTAAGTATTATCTTATACTGTACCAAAAATATAAAAAATAAATTTATCTAACAATTAAATTAATTAATTTACATGCATATAGTTCATATTGTTATCAATAAATATTTCACTTTTGATTTTATGTTTTAAAAAAATTGCAAAAATATAACATTATTTTGCACAATAATCTCAAGACTGATTAATTATAAGATCTATATTACATAAAATATAATTAGTAACTCATACGAAACATATATTTAATTATTGTACCTTAGAAAAAGTGTTTGGCAACAACTCTCGAAGACTTTTTATTTTTTCCTTGAAACGATCTCTGCGTCTCTGTACAATTTATATTCATTATTTCTCCAAAATTAGTAAAATAGTAAAAAAAATGAACATTTCAAGTTAGCAAAATATTTGATCTCAATTGAATCAAATATTGGTTATAAATTAAACTTTATCAATTTGAATGAAATGATATTCATATTTTAAATTACAAATTATAATTAATATACAGTTAAGATATGTCTATACATGCATATTATACACAAATCTGCATGCATTTCATTATGTAAGATATTTATATAATTTTTACAATTTTTTAAATATAATTATATAAATCAACTTACCTTCTCACAAGATGCGCGTTGTTTGTTGTTATTTCTTCGATAATATTTTGTTTTCTTGAGTCCTTTGTCATCAAAATTTCTCTGAATGTTTTTTCAAAGAATCAAAATAAGATCAAAACAGTAAATTATAAATTTTCAACTAAAATCCTAGGAACATTCAAATAATCTATTATAAAAATTAATTAATTATTATATTATACAGTTATATTTATACGACTAACAAAAAAAAATCAAATATAAAAACCTCTTGTGTACGCTCATGAACATGTCGAGAATGTTTAGGTTTCTTAGCGAACTTCAACTTCTTCCCCTGGCTCGATTCTTCCGAGGCATAAATATTTAGTTTAAACAGTTCCGAAGTATATGAATAGAATTGATCTACATCAAATATAATATTATAATTTTTTAATTAAAAGTAATTATTAAATCATGAATGATTTAAAGAATAAATTTTACCTGAAATGAAATGGAGAGGAGATAATGCATCAAAAATATCCTCATGATCTTCAAGAGATAGTCCTTCCTTATTGATTTGATCACTAACAGCAGAGTTTGAAGCCATTTATGAGAAGTAAGAAAAAAACAAGCTAGTTGAAACTTCAAGACATGAATGAGCTATTTTTATTGCATTGGGCTGTATTTATAGACATTTGAAATATTTAAATTTATTACTCGCTCCGTCCCATCTATTATGTCCACATTGCTCTGTCTGTCCCACGTTTCATGTCACTTTTCTTTTTTGGAAAATGATTATACACTTTAATCTCATTTTAAACTTTTTAATTTAATTTTTTTAATTTTAATTAAACTAATTAGTTGTCTTAATTTTAATCTATAATTATTTATATTATATGATAATTATTTTCACTAATATATTCTTAATTATCTACTAATTATATTTATCTTAAATTCTATCGTATCTACACTGACCCAGACATTCAATATGAGATGGAGGGAGTAATTATTATATTTTTATTAAATTGCATAATAAATGTCTAAGAAAATATTTAAATTACAATCTCTTAGTTTATAAGAAAATATATATATATTTCGTCTAAACATAATCTATAATTTTCTAGTCTCAATTCAATATACTATTATTTTTAATATTTTTGTTTATCTATTTAAAAGTATTTATTTGCAATTATTAATAAAAATAATTATATCTAAATACCAAAATATATGCAATTTTTACAAAAATATTTATTGTATTTGTACTTTAAAAACAAGAATATCAAAATAATTATATAATAAAATATTAAGTTTGTTCACTTAGTTTTTTTAGATGAAATGATTTTTTTGTGTGATATGGAGAACTAGGGGTGGGTAAAAAAATTGAACCGAACTTTCGAACCGTTGAACCGAACTGAATCGAACCGAATTTTCGGTTAACCGAGCAAATTCGGTTCGAATATAAATACTGCATATTTGATATTTGCTCGATTCGGTTCGGTTTCGGTTTTTGATATTTTCTTCGATTCGGTTAACCGAACCGAATATATTTATATATTTATGTTATTATATTTTAAAATTTATTTTAATAATTATATTCGATTCAGTTTCGGTTCGGTTACGGTTCGGATATTTGCAAATATTTTGATTAAATTAGAATTTTAATTATTTTTTAATTTCGGTTCGGTTCGAATTATTTGCAAATATTGCAATTATTTTCGGTTAATCGAAATTTTCGGTTCGAATACGGTTCACGGTTTCAGGTATTTGTTCAGTTCGGTTCGGATATCAAATACCTGAATATTTATAAATATCCGAACCGTGCCCACCCCTATGGAGAATTATGTTAGTAATATAAAAAAATAATATTTTAGGTTGAATGATTAATATATATATTATCGTGTGTATATTTGTAAATTTTTAATAATATTTATGATGTTCTATTGAAAAATACTGAATAAACAAATCTTTTAATCTAAATATGTAAGTACTTTGAATCGAGTTAAAAAAAGTATATTATTAGTAAGTATAAACTTCACTAATATTAAAAATATCTAAAAAATTTATGTTTATTTATATAAATATTATTATATTAAATTTAAACAACATAGATAAATTTATGTATATATTTACTGTTTTACACACATCAAGTAGTAGTGTTTAAATGTAATTATTTTTAAACAATACATAAAGTTAAACATGTACTTTTTAATGTAACGACAAAGAGTATCATTAATAAATATTAAGATTCTATTATATACACAACTTTTTTTTACTATTAGTTTATGGTACTATTTTTTAAAATACCATATTAAATATTAATTTTTTTTATATAATATTATATTAAATATTATATATTACATATATTTTTTAATTTTAAATTTTAAAACTATAAAAATTTATAATTTTTTTTGATAAAACCAAAATATTTAAAATTATTAAATAATGAGTTGTGGCATGAAATATGAGCGGGAGATATCGGCTTTGCCAACGTGTCATGCTTATATAGCATGAATGTTGACTCATCATAGTTTAAATTTGTTTGATTGTTACAAAAATTAATTTAAAATAAAATTATAGATTGATTTTTTTTATAAGAATAAATAATTATTTTATTAAAAATCTTATAAAATTAATAATATTAATTACAATCAAGCATACAAATTGTGATCATCAGGAGACCCGGCGGACCTAGATGATGATATATTATTTATTTATTTATTTTAATTTTGAATTAGTTTAAAATTTTAATTGAAAGTAGGTTTTAAAAAATACTTATGTTTAATGTTATCTTTTTTATATGTATAGATATATATATTTGTGATATAGGATTTTATAAGAATTAATTTAATTTTTTTTATTATAACACATAATTTAAAAAATTACGAGAACAATTTCAATATTAAAATTTTTTAAGTATTAGATTATATATTTTTATTTAAAATATCATTATACTATATCAAATTAAAAGAATTTGATTAAATTGAAATTAATCAAACTATAAAAACGAAAGTACATATCTAATTGTATTTATCTTTACCGTGTATTCCTAAATATTTGTGGATATAATCATCATTTTAATTTGTATTATTATTATTATTATTATTATTATTATAAAATATTTTTTCTGAAAATGCATCAAGACATTTTCTCAAATGCATGTATATGAAAAAATATTTAACTTAAAAAATATTATACTAGTATATTTTATTTTACTTTTTATTGTTTAGAGTTTTTTCGTTTGGTTTGAGTTATTAATTTTAATTTATATAAATTTTTTATACAATAAATATAAAAATTGCATAATAAAAATTTAAAATCAAATGTAAAATGAAAAAAAATAAAAATTCTTAATTTATATATTAAAAGTAGACCTACATGTATATATGTGTATATATATATATACATTTGTAGTAATTTGGTGGATTATAAAGTTTATGGCAAACGTTTTACAATATAAGTAGAATTATTGATTTTTTGTATTTTTTAAAATTTTAATTTGATGTTAAATAATATTTTTATGTAATATTTTATAAATTTAAATAATATGTTTTTAGGAAATTTGTTGGAATTGAATGATAATAAACAAAAAAAAAAAAAAAATAGTAAAATGAATGTACTCTAAAATTTCATAATATGATATTAGTAAAGAAGTATTTATTAGTTTTTCAATATATATGTATATTTAACTTCTAATTTGCAAATACTTAGATGAATTTTATTTATTTTTTGATATATTGTACAATCTATATATTTTAATTAAATGAATACTTTAGTTATATAATATAAGCAGACAATTATATCAGTTTATCCTAATTATATCAATTTATCCTAATATATATATATATGTTTCTGTATTCTTATGTAATAAGTGTCTTGGAAAAAAATATATTATTTATAATTTTACTTTTTATTATTTAATTATATTGATATGGCAATCATATTAGTTTATTATCATTATTATTAATATTTTACATATGCATTTGTTATATAATAAGTTTTTGATTTGACAAATAAAATATTTTATCTATATTTTGTATTATTTAATTATGTTGATGTAATTAGACAATTATACTAATTTATTATTATTATTAGTTTTTTGTTAACTTTCTTTTGCATTTGTATATATTTATGCATCAAAATAGTTTTTTGTTCATTTTTATTATCCCCATCTATATATTTATGTATTAGGTTAGATAAATATATATATATTTATTTATTTATTTGTACATGTAATCGGTAGCGAGGTAGATGACAACTTTTTTTTTCTATAATATATGAATATTTTGATTAACATTAAATTTAAATTGATATATATATATATTAAAGTTTTACGATACAACATTGAAATTGAAGTGTTTCTTCGAAAAAGATGACTACTTCTTTATATACACCACAAATAATAATAAATAATAATAAAGTTAGCATCTAATTAAACATTAGTATATTTAAATTAAGATGGTGCAAATTCAAATTAAATTAAGTTAGAGTCATCAAATATGTAATAACTCCTTTCATATTCAAAATAATCTGTAAATTGATAGAACTTGATAAGTGAAATATATATTAATTACTTCAGTAATGTACTTAAAGCCGGCGTATTGTATTTTGAAAATTGAATATATGTATTTTTAAAGATATGATCCAAAAAATAAAAATAAAATAAAATTCGATTTATAACATGTGTATTGTACAAATCAATTAATTCTATTTAAAAATACGAATTTAAAACATGTGTATTATTAACACTCTATGACTTCTATAAATTATTTACTTAGAAACTAAACTTTATGAGTTGTTATTGTTGACTTATGAAAAATAAATAAATAAAATAAATCCGGTTAATTAAATAATTGGATTAATTCAAAATCACCATTTACTTACATATACATCTCTTAAAATTGCATCATTTATCATTTTTTGTTTTATTTTATAGAACATTTCTTTTTCCAAACCATTACATTCAATATATATCATTCCATTTATAAAAATTAAATATTTAATGCGATGTTTGTCAGTTTGGAGGAGATAATAAATATTTTAATTTAATATTTTTTTTTTTAAAAAAATTATAGTAAATACATTGTATCGAAATTTTCAAATAGACTTATCTAAATTCTAAACTGATCTGTTTTTTTTTTTTTTTTTTTTTTAAATATATATATATGTATATATACTTTAAATTTTTTCTATGCTTCTTGATCGATATCGGATACATATAAATGGATATGTGTGTTTAATTTGTCACTTGCCTGAATATAGGAAATGTAACATTTAGCGTGACAGGTTAAGGAAGATGAAAGACGAAGGCCGACCGTATATGTCAGTTTATGACAATGGTGCACGTGACCTTAATTGATATTATGTTTGTATTTGCATTTGTACCTACGTATCCATCTCTATCCTTTCCCATATACTACTATTAATTAATTATTTCAGATTCCTCCCTTCCCTCTTCAGACCACAGAATTTCGTGCAATGCATTTACACAAACAAAAACATATGTATACATACATATATAAATAAATTAATAAATTAATTGATTAAGGTTTTTGTCTCTACATTACAGATTCTATACATAGTTTGGGTACGAAGGTGCTAGAAATTTAAATTTAATGAATTAGTGCTACAAAGAAATTATCAATTTTGTAACGAGGTTTTTTCGTTTTTAAATTCATTTTTTTCGTTACTAATGATATTAGAGACGAAATTAGAGATGAAATTACGTAGCTACGTGAACTTTAAGAACAGAATTCCGTTACAAATATATATATTTTTTGTAGTGTAGTAACTATTGTGACAAGTGAATATATATATATATTAATGTAATGAATCCAACATTTCCATTTCTGTTAAGAGACGGCGTGGATCCAAGTGTTATATATGTGACCGTACATTCATTTTATTCTCAATATAGGTTTCCTTCACCTTAAGGTAAACGAAATTAAAAGGGGAAAAAATCAAAAAGTGAAAAATAAATAAATAAATAAATAATACTCTCCTTTATCACAAAAAAGTATTCAAAACCTTTGAATATGTAAATTAGGAAAAATAATGATGTTTTTGAATTAAATTAGACTGAATATAAAGAAATAATGAGAACTATCAGAGACAATAACGTAAATAAATAAATAAAAAATATTTATTTTTAGCAGATAAAATTTTTTTTTTTTACTTTCTCTTTTTACTTTTGTGAATCTGTGTAAATTCTACGTGACAGTTTATTTAATTAATAATTATTTTATTTTTTGAGATTATTTAACTTTACTATATATTATAACATTCATGTAAAAAATTTAGATATTTGATTTGGATGCAAATTTTTAATATGTAAATTTTGTCTTTTACAATAAAAAAAAAATTAAAATAACAGAAATTGTATGATTTTTTTACTTAAAAAAGTAAATAAATTAATTAAAAAATACGAAAAATAAATATATATATTTTTATAATAGAGATAGTATATATTTTCATAAAATGTTGTATTTAAATTACTATTAAAATAAAAAATCATGATTAAACAAGCCTTGCAATTTAATACAGTAGATTGCTTAATTTTAAAATATTTAGTAATAAATTGATAAGAAAAAAATTATAAATTTATATGTAGATAAATATTAATTACATAGTACTTATTATTTATTGCTGGATTGGTTGGAGTAGAAAACCTCTGTACAAAATTTTAACTTAAATTATTTTCCAAATTGACGAGTGGCATTAGTTAATATCTACTTTTACAAATTAAATAAGATGAAGAAATACAAATAAATAAATAAATCTATATTTAATATTTCTTTTAGAACTCTCCACATTGTCAGTAGTTTCGTTTTTTATTTTTATTTTTATTTCTATATATTTATCCAGTTGAAGAAGATAACTATCAAAGCTTTAATTTAAATAAATTTATTGAAAGTAGTATCGAAAATAGATTGTAAATATTTTTGTAATATGGATGGGACGTGGCATTAGCAATAATGCCTAACTTTTTTCCACTAGGAGTAGAACACAATTCCATTTTCTCAAAAGTCGTGGCCTTTGGATAAATCAATAGCCGCCTTTTAAAAATAAAAAATAAAAAATTATTATATATTTTAATATATGTGGCTATTAATTTTAATTGAATTTCCTTGTTATATATAAATCGATGGTAATACGTGAATATTGAAAAATAAATGTATTTTTTTTTACATATTTTTAATATACTAATTTAATTTGTGGCTGTAAATTTTAATTGAATTTTCTTGTATATATATATAAATCGACGAACGATTGTAATACATACATGTATGTGAATATTAAAAAATTAAAAATTTATTTATATATTCTTAATATACGAATTTAAGATGTGGCTGTAATTTTAAGTTAAATTTTCTTGTATATTTATAAACGATGAGCAGTTATAATACATACATGTATCTAAATATTAAAAATAAAAATAAAAATAAAATAAAATTATTTATATACTTTTAATATAAAAATTCAATGTATAGCTCTAATTTTAAGTTAAATTTCCTTGTATATATATAAATTGATGAACGATTGTAATACATACATGTATGTAAATATTAAAAATAAAATAATATCATAGATAAAATATTAACCCATCAATAAGAAGTATAATTTTGAGATATATTTTACTTTTTTTATAGTATTTCTTTTGAAATAATTTATAAATTATGGATTTTTTTTTATTTCAAATTTAATTTTACATTACGAATTAGTATATACTTAAAAAAAATTTAAAATATGTATTTCAATATTTAAATATTATATAGTAATAAGATATATGCAATATTGATATTATTTTGTAAAAAATAAAATTTTATATAATACAAATAATTAAAATATATAGTATATATATATGATTAATATAAATTAATTTTATAAAAGATGAAAGTTTTAAAAATAGATAAAAATATTTGTTATTGCAAATATTAATAAAAATAACTTGTTATATGTTACAATATTTAAAAAAATGAGGATTTTTTTTTTTTTTTTCTCATAAATACTACCAATATTTAAACAAAAAATTATAAAAAATAAAAAATTAGAAGGTGCTTGACATTGACCGGGTTCCACTCATGGATCACTAAAAACTCATTGGTCAACCCACCAACGCTGGATTTCTACTGCCACGTCATCATGGAATTTAGAATAAATTTGACATTGACAGAATTATGTTTTATACTTCATCGAGGAAAAGTAATGATCATTAGTGTTTTTCTAATAATATTTTTTTTTTCGATTAATATTATAAAAATATAAAATATATATTCACAAGCATATAATATATATTATATTCGTTCAAAAATTTAATAATTTAATATATTATATACTATTGTATTTTGAGATCTAAATAAAAAATACAAAACACACTATCTCAATAATACGCCAAACTTATTTATTAAATACTAACAATAGCGGTTATTTAATATAACTAACATTTAACCCGTACATCAAAAAAAATAAATAAAAAAATAGAAAACATAATAGTGGCAATAAATAAATAAATAGAACGAGCCATAATTCACATAATAGTGGCAATAAATAAATAAACAGAATGAGCCATAATTCATAATATAAAAGTGGTGTCCTAATTGTCACTAAGAAGCTAATGTTAATTGCAAAATGGTCGGGCCATGGAACGCCGCCGATGACGCCGTCGCCGCCGTCGGCACAGCAGCATGGTGGGCTGCTTTGCTCAGTCTTATTATGATTGCCGCTGTCGTGTTTTCTTGCGCCGGCGGTGCCTCCGGTCCTGACAAAGCTGCTGCTACCAACCATGTCGACACCTACGGAGGAGCACCCTGTGGCGGTGCTTGCGGCGCCGCATGCGGTGGATGAGGGCTCGCCGGTGGCCGATCCACATCGTATTTATTTTTATTATGTAAGAATTGATCTTTTTAAACTTTTTTTTTTCTTCTATCAAAATTTATTATTTTAAGTATTCATTTTTTTTTTCTTTTTTTTATATTACAAATTCGTTTTTCATATTATATATATAGCATGGTATAAACAAAATTGTTGTAAATTTAATTTTATAGCAAAGTGGATCTTACAAAACCTTCGAGAATAAATAAAACTAAACAATTCAAATAAACTTCGATATTCTAATTTAAATTTTACTGATAAATTAATTTTTATTTGTTAGTGAATATTTAGCGGTGCTGATGAAGAACAAACAATGTTACAAGAAGGTTCATTCTTGCAAGCAATTCTCAGCCTTCTCACATTGTCGAAGAATGTCCTGCCCAAAACCAATTCATAAGAGTATGTGGTTAAACTTTCTCAATCCTATCGTCCAAACCTAATACATTCATTCCCACAATATGCATAATTAATTAGAAGCTTACTTCCACGGCACTTCGCCAACGGTCCTCCATTGTTCGTCACCATTATTCTTGTACAACAATCCGAACTGCGAGTTAGGCTCGAATAATCTCAGACTAGACATTGTTTGTTGTCCTAACAAAATTTATGAAAAATAATAAAAAATGCCGATGATTAAACGCAAGAGTAGATGATATCTAAAAGATTATCTTGGGCGCATTTATATTACCAAACATGTCCTCAAGTCGGCCGGCGAGGCTCAAATAATCCATATAGTCATATATGCATACTTTCCTACCGATCAACATCCCATCCATGTTAACTTTCACGTATGTCCAACGACGCTTGCTTTGAATACCCTCATCGGATTCTTCATCTTCGCCATATCTGCGTTCCTTAATATTATTTCGTCGGCCTAAACGTGCTGTCCTTTCTGGACCAGGCTGCGGTTGATGCCACTCTGCTAGGTCTTCATAATTTCCTGCATTAACCACATCTTCAACATTTTGTTGACACTTTTAAATTCATTACAAAAAAAATAAAAAATAAAAAATTACATCAAACGATCTATTTCCAATTCAAAAAATTTGAAGGTAGAACCAATGTTCTTACCATGAGGAAGCGATGAATAACAAGCGTTGGATTGCAAGACTTTTAAGCTTAGCCCCAAATCAATCATGTTAGAATCTTCTTTTCCAATGAAGTAATTATCATCAACTGCAAAAGATGAGTGGTTTAAAAGGTATCTGGAAGGTTCGTTAGAATCCATAGAAACCGAATGAGATCAGATTCACAACATCAAAATTCACAACACAATATCCAAACAAAATCCCCTTACACATATATATAACACAATAACAATGTAATAATAATAAAAATAATAATAATAATAATAATAATAATGACAATAATAAGTTATCAAGAAACCTTCTGACAGGAAATTAAAATTGGCGACAGAAAACGGTAGAGAGGGCAGGGACAAAGAAGACAGGAAACACTTTATCCCATTGCCCATCATTGCGAATGAAATAACTCTGCCAATGGAAACATGTTATGTAATGTACGTATATGTGTTGGACGACGGGACAATGGAGAATGGTGTCCGAATCCTGCATCCCCAAATTGCAACAGAATAGCCCTAATTTCTCAGCAACACTTCTGACATTGTGTGTCCGAATCCTCCACAGAAACACCACATCTGTCTCACGACATTGCTACAGAATGCAGCCAATTTTGTTCTTCTGCTTCTTGACACTATAGATTTTTGAGGTGTGGATATGGTGTTTCGTTGTTTTTTAGATTGACAAATTGGATTTGTGATGCCACTGTAACTGTCTGTAATTAATTGACGGTAAGAGATGGGCAGCAGCAGTAGTGGCAGCGAATTGTGAATGAAACGCAGGAAAGGATTTAAATTTGATTTTTGTAGTGTGTTTACTGTCCCACATCGGAAGATAAGAAGTAGCCCTGGATTTGAATATTTAGTGCTATACGTAAGGAAGAGGGAGACATTTCTAACAATATATATTTGTATGTGTAATCTTTGTCGGCCTTTTGGTTAGGACCAGGTGTCTTTGTCTTGTCTTTATTAGTAGTTTACTAGTATGTGCAATGTGTGTGGGGACACTTGTCTTCGTAATTTTGAATTGGGTTTTTATTTATAATTGTTTAATTATATATGTATTACTCCATAAATAGATGGATTATGTGCTGATAATAAGATCAAAATGAATGGTATTATATAATTAATTATATATCAGTACATTACACAGCTCACATGCAATTCCTGAATCAGAACAACAAGAGGAATAGCAATTTCAGAAACATAGAGATCACATAAAGGCAGTAACTCATAATGAAGAGAGAATTTGATAAATCCCAGTGAATTTTGAAGAGGATGAACATTACAAATTAACAAAATAGTCGATAACGCCCGGTGTAATTTGAGCCTGATAATTACCTACACCGACGAGATTTTAAACATGGCTATTGAGTCGAGTCGTGTTGGCTCAGAAATTGGACTATACATGGATATATTTGTTCCACAGCCTGCAAGTTTCAGGTAAGTATAGGTGTCAAGCTAGCTAAAGAAATCTCGACGGATGCTGTACAGGAAGTGAAGAAAATAAATGGTATGGTTACCAGACGTCCTCCCACCAAGTCGTAATGAGCATAATGCGGACCATTCGGTTTGCCAAATACTTTGTACGTAGCCACGCCCTCTGGAAAGAGCTTCGCAGTTTCTGATAGACATATTCAAAAAAAAGGAAAAAAAAACAGAACAAAATCAGGAGCCAAGAGTTTAAGAATCGAGAAATTTGTTGAAACTAGGATTGGAAACAAACCAAGTACGGCCTCTGGTGGGCAAATCAAGTCTCGATCTCCAGCAAGAGCTAGGATGGGAATATTGCTTTTATGAAGATGATCCTTGTAGAAAAATGTACCACTCCGATCCCTTAGTCCCCCTTCTCGGAATGCAGTCGTCAGCTGTAATAGTACTTTAGCAGGAATAGTACCTGGCAGTAGACGTTGAAAAATACGTAATCAGAACTATATATAATTACTATATCATTGAAAAATACTCGGGTAGTGTTAGTGTGTGGCTCACAAAAGTTGTTTAGAACAAGTTTCTTCAACAGCTCTGGATGCATCATATCCTGTGCTGATATCATGTCATTTAGAAATGATAGGACATAGGGAGGTCGAGAAGTAAGAGGATAAGCTGCAGACAGTAATGCTCCCAAAGGTACTACAGGGACATTAAGAGCCTGTGCAGGATCAGCCTGCCGGAAAATCAAACAATAATAAGCTACTTAGGGGTAATAGGAATCAAAACAATTGGTGAACCCCATTTCCACTTGGCCTAGAGGAGGATGATCAACAAGAATGCTACTTACAAGGGGTAAAAGCAGTTTGAGTGAAGATTTTGATGATGTGTAGTCAAGCGACGAGGCTAATGTAACAACAGAGGCAAATCCAGGATCTTTTCCTTCCACACCTTTAAAATCAGTACATTACAAAAAGCTTTCAGATGATCATATCAAAAGAAAAGTTTTAAACAAGAAAACCACTACTACAATTGATATAAAAGACCTAGAACCATTCAAAACTAATCCTAATATATCAGTCCTTGCACTAGAGACAAAGTATCGGAGTATATGATTGAAGAAAAACAACCAAACCACTTGAGCATGAAATTCATTCTGCTTACCATACTGATTCTTCGTAGAAGGCACCAACTGTCCGTAGGTTAGATATACTTCAGATTAGTTTTATCAATTCCCAACGTAAGGTAAAACTACCAAAACCTTTTCAAGCTAATGACCAGAGAGACCACTCTTTCTTCTAAGGATGACTAAGGACACACTTATCATTCCAGGGGAGGCAAGACACTGCAAAGTGGCTAGACAACTTGACCATTATATCACTTAGTCCAAGGAGGTGGAATAGAGTGAGATAATGGTAATTTATGTACATTACACACTCATAGGTGAAAAAGGTAAATCTCAAGTTAGTTGTAGCCAAAAATATAAGATTCAAGGAAATAGTTTAATCCGAAGACAAATCAATGAATCCTCATCATTAAGATACAGAAGAACATATAGTTTAAAAAGAATTAAGTTCACATCAAATGAAAAAATAAATAAATGTTAAAGGGAATAATCAACTTACTGTATCGTGATAGCATGGCATACAACAAGATACCACCCATGGAGTGACCAATTGCAAGTAATCGACCATCTTTTGGTTTGCACTGAACCTTTATGAATTCCATCTGCCAAATATGACCAGGGGGTAAAGAAATAGTGTGCTATTAATAGGGATAAAGATATAGGGCAACCTAAACCTAATTTTGACAAGTGTAAAATATAAGACAATGCACCAAAATTGCCAAAGGCATATGTCACCTCACCACAGCAGGAACGTCCTCCAAATAACAATCAAAGTCCCAGTCATATTTGACAATCAACTCCAATTGTTTCTGAAAATCTTCCACAGTTGTTGTTAGGCGCTCGTGCAGATCAAAAAATGGAGGAGAAACAGATCGCTGACCTTCTTCAAAGATCTCTACTAGCTTTTGGCTTAGATCCCTCAACTGACCAGCCACACTGGAGTTTTGTCCTGTTTCAATCAGACTTAAAATTTTTCCCCTTAATTCATTTACCCGTCCGATTATAAAAGAATCTTCCAAGAGCTTTGATATTTGATCAAAAAATTTGTAGAACATAAGATTTGACTGCCTTTCACTAAGAAAGCCAGAAAGTCTTTCTGACAAGAGTGTGAAAGTTTCAGTCAATTCTTGAACAAGCCTTGATTCATCCCATGTAGCCGAAAGATCATTGAGTTTCCCATTAGCCATCACTATCTCAGTTTCCCTAGAAGCATTAGGGGTCATGGTTGATGGCTGATCTGCAAGGAGAGTCCCATTGGTCACACTTTCCATGGCAGCTTCCATTTCTTCAGATATTGCATAAGCTGACTTCTCAATCCCCATACGATCAGATGCTTGAGTGCTCAACCCAGCCCCTCGAACTTCAAGAACCCAAGTATCAAATCCTTGCCCACACATATATCGTGCAAATGAAGACTGCAGAAGCATTTCATTAATAAAGGTCTGTTCAGATGAACTAAAAATGAGTAGATTTTATCAGTTTTCATTACATATCCATGGCTCTCTTCTTACATAGACCATCAAACAAACTGCCCATTCAATCATATCATATCTCCCAAACCATAATACCTTAGAAATGAATACAGACGAAAAGGACTTAAGCTTTTCAGATAGATTAACACAAATACAAATACATAACTTTTAACAAAGAACCAAGGCATAAAAAATTGCATATCTACTTGCACAAATAACATATATAGAAGACAAAAATAAGTAAATTGACAGAACTTGGAATTTGGTTATAGTAAACATATCACCACAACCCACTAAACGCAATCACATAGCTTGGGTATGCTATAGAAGAAGTGCAAAATTTAAACTAACCCCAGGAGCTAGATCATATCCAATGGCATTTGTTCCAACCCCTGACAGCAGCAACAGAGGATGATTTCTTGGGGGAGCCTGCTTAGAAAAAAAACTAGTTGAACTTAAATTTTCCTTTCTGAGAACAATTCACAAGCTTTCTTTTGCTTAACAAACAAAATCCATAAATCTACCACATTACGGATCTAACACCGGAAAATTCTTAAGTCGATTTAGCTTCAAAGTTAATATGATATAGGAATTATATGGTGCTTTCTTGTTGTTTCAATAAAAATAGAAAAAGTATAGATATACAACCTAGATACATAAATTAACCACAATACTCAGCAAATTCGTATAGAAACTTGAAAGAGCTCAATCCAACAAAGGTAGAAAATCCGAAAAGGTACAGTACATAGAAACTTAATTATGCTGACCTCAGGTGAGGGTTTGTAGCGCCAGAGGGCGAGTCGCCAATCGGAGTTGTTAGCAGTGACGTAGTGGAGCTCATCCGCCGTACATATCGGAGGTTTATTAGGAAGCTTCTCGACGAGAGGAGCCTGAGTATCATTCGACGAGAAATCTCCCACTCTCACAGCTCCGGCAGTGATTCGGCGGAAGGCAGCGGCGCGTGGGAAAAAAACGGAACGGTCGTGAAATCGGTGTCGCCGGAAAGTGTCGGCGGCGAAGCGAATCGCCGGATTGATGTTGGATTGAGCTATAGCCATTATCCGATCGTCTCGGAAAGCGCGAAAATGTCCGATTGAAGAATCCAAGAATCCAAGCAGGGGAAGATTGTCGAAGAAAAAGAATTGGGACAAATCAGACACGTCAAACGTCAACTGTCGCCATTTTTATTGAAATTTTGATGACGAAGAGACAGCAGACCATATTTCATTTTGACCAACAAATCACTACTTAGTAATTTTATAGATCCATGAACGGGCCAAACCCGATTATTCCAAATTGGGCTGATTGGATTCGACCCGTATTAATTGTGCCAGTTATAAAAAGCAGAGCCCAATATAGCCCATATTGGGCCGCTGCAAATTCAGTATGGCCCAATTAGGCTCAGTATTGGGCCCTATATATTCGTGAGTGTACCTTCGTCTTCCCTGCGAAACCTCTCCCTCCGTCGCCGGGGAAAACCGCTCTCACAGTTCTACGCTAACCTGCGAATTGATGGGGATTGGTGGCGGAGAAATGGAAGTGGACAGTGTATTTATTGGAGCAGGTTGTAACAGAGTAGTTAACAACGTGTCGTGGGGAGCTTGTGATTTGGTCTCCTTTGGTGCTCAGAACGCTGTGGCTATTTTCTGCCCTAAGGTTTTGCTATAGCTGCTGCTCTGCTCTTTAGGTTCCAGTGATTCGCGTTCTATTTACTTTTTTTTTTTTTTTTTTCTGGCTATTGAATAGACTGCTCAGATTGTTACTACACTTCCGGGGCACAAAGCATATGTGAATTGCACGCATTGGTTGCCGGCGAGCAAGTTTGCGTTTAAAGGTTGTATCCTTAAATGTGATTCTGGTAGTAGTATTGGAATATGTGTATGTATTATGTTTTCGTCTTCTTATATTGGTTTATGGGAATTAGGGGGAAATTAATAAGTAATTCGATTGGAATGCTGGGGTTTACAATAGGGCACCTAGTGGAGTGTTTGTAATTCTTCGTTTTTGTTTTACTTGTTTCAGCTAGGCATTTGGAAAGTCATTATCTGTTGTCTGGAGATGCTGATGGAACCATCATTTTGTGGGAGCTTTCGTTGTTTGATAAGAAGGTGTTTTTCTGAGTTCAATCTCCTTAGTATGGCATTCTATTATGTTTGTTGAAAACACTTCATAATGAATTTTATCTTTTTAAACAAAATTATGGATTAGTATATTATGCAGCCAAACTTTGAAGCAATGATCTAAGTCTTTGATCTTGGTCTGTTATGCTAATTGATCAGTGCAATCAAATGTATACAAATTTCGGATAACAATGGTTTAACGCTTGTGAATACTTTATGGCCTGGTGTCTACCAGGATATTAGGTGGTTGTCGCCGGATGTAATTTTTTCCTCACAAATTTGAAATCTAGAATATTCATGAATTTAATGTCGATTTGTGATATAGGCACATACATTGCACATATCTTGATACCCTGTACTTTACATGCTGTGTGCTGATCCTTGGTCGTGTAATTGCTTGTTATCATTCTTCACTGATATGGTTCTGTAACCAATTATCACTTTTCCTGCAGTGGAAGAATGCACTGGAAGTACCAGAAAAACACAAAAAAGGTGTCACGTGCCTCTCAGCAATTATGATATCTCGTATGGAATTTATGTTTGTATCCTCGTCGTCTGATGGTGTTGTGAATGTGTGGGAACTAATTCTTCCATCCAGCTCCGGTGGTAAGATTCTTGACTTCGGGAAATCCTATTATCATGCTTCTGCACGTTTACACTGATATACATTTATTAAGAATATCAGATTGTTTGGTTTATGTTTGTATTTGGAATATCCCTTACTTCTGCTTCCTTAAAATCGTATTTATATGGCAATAGAAATTTGTCAATGGCTGCTTATGCTTATGTATACAAGAATTCCTTTGGCAATGCTGAAAACATTCTGATTAAAGAATGTATATATATATGACATACATTATTGTTATGTCTTCCATGCAAGGTACTGCTTTACAAACTTTTATGTTATATTTGGGTTTTTTTGTTCTTTTAATGTCTTCCAGATAGTTATATGTGATAAACTTGATTTACATACACTCTACTCTACCTATTCTGAAGTGCGAAAGGCCAAAACTATTGAGTGAGATTGCTTTATTTATATCTGTTACACAATAGTGACTCGAAACACAAGTTAAATTTCTAATATTTCATTTTAATGCCATTCAAATGTTTAGGTGAATGCCAGTTGACATGTGTCGACTCAATTCTTGTTGGTAAAAAACCTATGGTTGCTCTTTCACTTGCGGAATTGCCTGGAAGCGACAGGCATCTAGCATTGGCTATGGGCGGGTTGGATAACAAAATTCACATATACAGCAGCGAGAGATCAGTAAAAGTGTGTCACCTGTGATCATTTAAACTCTGCTCATTTAACCATTGTGCTTCCAATTAAACATTCGTTTTTTTTCATTTTGCAGTTCTCTCCTGCCTGTGAACTTAAAGGGCACACGGATTGGGTTCGTAGTCTTGATTTTTCATTACCTGTGTATACAAATGGTGAAACATCTGTCTTTCTTGTGAGTTCAGCTCAAGACAAAGGGATACGCATATGGAAGATGGCTTTACAAGCGTCTCTAGCTGATAACAGAAAAGAAGAAATCAGCTTGGCTTCTTACATTAAAGGCCCCATATTTTCAGCCGGTTCATCTTCTTATCAGATATCTCTGGAATCCCTCCTCATTGGTCATGAGGATTGGGTGTACTCAGTTGCATGGCAGCCTCCCAAAATCTCAACTATTGCTGGCGACGAATCCCATCAGCCTCTGAGCATTTTATCCGCATCCATGGACAAGACTATGATGGTGTGGCAACCCGAGAAGACTACTGGCATATGGATGAATATGGTTACTGTTGGGGAATTGAGTCATTGTGCTTTGGGATTCTACGGCGGTCAATGGTGCCCAACAGGACGCTCTATTTTAGCTCATGGCTATGGAGGATCTTTTCATCTCTGGAAAAATGTTGGTATCGACTTTGACGATTGGAAACCACAGAAAGTCCCTTCAGGGCACTTTTCAGCAGTGTCAGACATTTCCTGGGCGAGGCAAGGCAACTATATCCTATCTGTTAGTCACGACCAAGTAAGATGATTATTTATTTACTTTGGTTAGTCAAGACAACAGGATCTGTCATTTACATCCTTGTTCATTTCAGACGTCGAGAGTATTTTCCACTTGGTTCGATGACTCGTCTGGGAAAGAAGCCTGGCATGAAATTGCACGCCCTCAAGTTCATGGCCACGATATTAACTGTGTGACATTAATACGAGGAAAAGGGAATCACCGTTTCGTAAGTGGGGCTGAGGAGAAAGTTTCCAGAGTGTTCGAAGCCCCTCTTTCATTTCTAAAGACATTGAATTATGCTACTCGTTCACAGAACTCTAGCAGCGCCGATGAACTGCCCACAACTGTGCAAATTCTTGGTGCAAATATGTCTGCACTAGGCTTATCACAGAAGCCAATCTACGTCCAAGGTGCGCGTTTATTGTTCAAACAGTGACTCGTTTTTTGGTTTTACCTAGAAAGTAAATATTCAATCCAACAAAATAAAAGCCCGTAGACTTGTTTTATCTCTCCTTACAATCTAAACAAAAAAACTCTGCTTTGTTGTTAACTGCATTTCTTTTTGCAGCCTCAGGTGAATCTAAAGAAAGGAGTAACAATGAAGGCATCGATTCACTTGAAACTATTCCAGAAGCAGTTCCAGTTGCGTTGACCGAGCCACCCATCGAGGAGCAGCTGGCATGGCACACATTGTGGCCAGAGTCGCACAAGCTCTACGGGCATGGAAATGAACTATTTTCCATATGCAGCGACCACGACGGAAAGCTAGTTGCTTCATCCTGCAAGGCACTTCCCATTTCCAATACATCTTGCATCGACAGCGTTAACTTATTTTCAGTTAACCCTACCATTTATATATAGTTAATGAGCTTTGAATACTTCAGGCACAATCAGCAAATGTCGCAGAAATATGGCTATGGCAAGTAGGCTCGTGGAAAGCCGTTGGCCGGTTGCACTCCCACACATTAACAGTGACGCAGTTGGAATTCTCCCACGACAACCGTTTCCTTCTGTCCGTCTCCAGGGATCGCCATTTTTCAGTTTTTGCTATTAAACAGACTGGTATGATGAACATTTTCATTTGGTCCTATTCTTATGCATCTGGTAGAGTCCTGATTCCTTCAAAATACTGCTTCCAATCGACCAGGAATGGATGAAATCAGTCACGAGCTGGTCGTCAAGCAAGAAGCCCATAAACGCATAATATGGGCGTGCTCTTGGAACCCATTCAGCAACGAGTTTGCAACCGGTTCAAGAGACAAGACTGTGAAGATCTGGGGACTGGAAAATGGGTCGTCGGTTAAGCTGTTCTCGACTCTTCCGACATTCAAGAGCAGCGTCACTGCACTATCCTGGCTGGGCATCGAAAGACAAAGGAATCACGGGCTCCTTGCGGTGGGAATGGAAAGTGGTCTGATAGAGCTGTGGAGCATTGTCCATTCCAAGAATGAAGATGGTCTTAGTGTAATAAGCTCCGATCTCGCTGTTCGGCTCAATCCTTATTTGTGCCATGCATCTGCCGTGGGACGGTTGAGGTGGAAGACGCCGGAGAAGAGCAACGATGAGGAAGATTCCGTGCAGCTTGCATCTTGTGGAGCTGATCATTGTGTTAGGATATTTCAGGTGAGATTTTGATTTTTCGACTCTTATGTTGTTTTTGTATGAAATTTTGGGGATGCTTTGGGACTTTGGTTATGTATTTTGTTTGATATTTATATGTTGTCGCCTTGTGTAAATTGGAAGTTGGGTTTTGGTTCTGGTCTGATCATATTTCACCAACAATGATGTTATAGATCACATTAATGGCTAAATGGGGCTCACTAGATATGTATGACACAGATATTATCAATTTAAAACATAGATATTTAATGCATAAAACAGTCCAAAATATGGTATTGAATGAAATAGAGGAATGGATATATTTTTCTATATCACACAACTACTTAAACAGGGACACGTCGGCATACTCATTGCAATCACAATAAATGAAAATATGTATATATATATATATGTGAATGTGAATTCAACAAATTTGTCAACTTCAGCTTCTACTTTTTCAATAGATAAAACTAAAACTAAAAAGAGTGACTATAATCTGACCAAGAGAACTGCCCTTTGGCCCAAGTTTGATCATAGAAAAGTGCTCATTGTGTAGCACATTAAGCTGGCAGTCATGCAGACATGCCCTTTACCCTAAGTAAGGGTATGATAATTGCAGGACAATCATATCATCAAAAACTATACTATATTATCAATCATCAACAAATTTGGGGCTTTTTCTTGAAGAACCCAAGAAAAGAACAATGTCAAAAATGTGCCTGCTCTTATGCTAAATCTCTAAAAATGAAATTCACATTTATTGCAGAAAAAGTTAATGAGCATGGATGCAGATATGGCAGAGAGTATCTAGCTATTGCATGGAATACAGTCAGCAACTGATATGAAGTCCTTTAAAAATAGCTTTTAAGCATAGATATAGTCAGAGAAATTTAGTTGGCATAGCATGGGCATTGACAGGGACCACATGCTTTCACAATTTCACCTATGTATGATTCAAAGTTCAAACAACTTGTGTATTCTAATTATGGCTAGTTCTTGGATGTCGACTATCGGGTTCATAGTCTTGCATGTATAATTTGGGAGGAAGAGAAGAATTGATTCAGACAAGCCATCCTATGTGAGCATGTGGCAGATAAGATACAAAAGAGCATGCTTTCAGATAACAATGGAGGCAAAAATACAAAGTGATCCAAGTAGAGACACTCAGTTCTAAGTTTGGGGCACAATCTTGCTCAGTGATTCAACAAGAAGCATTTGGAAATACCGAGTTTCGAAGAATGCAAAAAAAGTATGGACAGGAAATAATTACAATAAGATAAAATTACCCTTTGCCAATTTTAAGGTTGAAGATTTACATTGGAACATCATCAAGCACCTCTCCATTGTTTTTTTTTTTTTTTCATTATAACAGTAATACACACATTTTCTTATTAAAGACAATCATATATATCACAATACAATATAAAAACAATTAAGCAAACATTGTATCAACTTCAAAGGCAAACCAACCAATCCACCAATTGCAAAATTGCACAACCATACTCAGACTGACCTGTTAGGTGTCATGGCTGCGAATTTCCGAATTGCTGCTTGACATTCTCCGTAGAAAACTGTGCAGACCCATCCGGCATCATCATTGCAGGGGCTGTCGCCAGTGTCTGATACTGCGCAGCCAATTGAGGCGGCAAAGGAGTATAGTACATTTGGGGATTTGCTGCATCTGCAAACTCATAAGAATAAGTTGAATGAGGGGCTGATGAAGGAGCCCTCGACTGGGATGGATGACGAATTTGAGTGAATCCGACATATTGATGACCTTGGTGATGTCCTGAAGGGACCTGGACTAGCTGTGAAGCTGCAGTTCTGTATATATCACCGGGCTTTTCAGGGTTCGAGGAAGGAACACTTCTGACTTGATTATAAGCAGGCTGAGGAGCTGCCGAAACAGGAGGCATTTGGGAACTTCTAGAAGGAGCATTTGGAGCTAATTCACCATAACTAGGGTGCTGTGCTGGAGAGTTATAAGATTGGTTCTGTCTTGCAGACAAAAGGTAAATCGGGTATTGTTGATCAAGCATGGGATGGGGTTGGTGGTGCTGCGGCTGCGGCTGCGAATGATACATAGGGTAATAAGAAGCAATTGGGACTGCACCGGCAGGAATGTATTGGTTACCAGTATGAATAAATTGTTGGGGTTGATGCAAGTGGGGGCGGTTTTGTTCATATTGGCCTGAAAACATATAGCCAGATTCTTCAGCCATTTGAACCTTGCTTTTATTTTGATCCACAGTGTTCAGATCAGCCTGATTAGATGGCATCCTAGTGTTGCCAGAATGAACTTGCATAAGAGGTTCTTGATGATAAATAGCTTGTCTCTGCCTGGATAATGGATTTGTTGCACTTCCCTCACTGTGCCAATTAAAGTAATAGCATCACAGTTCTACCATTTTCATAAGCAATCGAATATATTAGTAAGGTAAAGATGTTTGAGCAAGCTCTGTCGTACCTTGAAGCTGAATCTGGAGAAGGCAAATCGAAGGCACTACTTTGTTTCTGCTGATACTGGGGAATCTGCTGGGATTGCAATTGATCGTGTACCTGCTGATGAATATGCTGTAGTTTTCGGGACCCGCTGTGATCCGATCGTTCATCGTCGGAAATAACTCGACTGGCGTAATCGCTTGCAGTGACAACCGGAAATCCTGGAATCGCAGCTCCGGGGGTGAATCCGGCGCCGGAAACCCCTCCAACTTCCTCCTGCTTCGGCGGTTGCGGGAAATTAACATGTCCAGCAACACCAACACTCATCTGCTGAAATTGATCTTCAATTCCCAAGCCGCCGATTTTAGGACTTCCCCCTGCACGAACTCTGATAGGAGGTAAATTAGCTACGAATGGAGAGCTGGAAGCGGATCCAAAGGACGACGTCGTTTCCAGCATTGGAGAATCGGGAACTGATTGCACATCATGAATTGCAACACAATGAACATTAAGGTTTCGATTCCCATTGTTACCACCAATTTTCGACGCCTCTATCTGAGCTTCGACGTCTTTCTCCACGACGGCGACTTTCCCCATGGAATCGTCGTCCAATCCAAGCAGGCAATTTACCGAAGAGGTTTCTGAAAATTCATGATCAGTCGCCGCGACAGATAAGCTGGATTTTCCGTTGAGAGTATCGAAAAACCAGTCCTCCGATTTAATCGACGCAGTCTCCAAGAGAAGCTGCTCAATTCCGGAGAATGATTTCGGAAACAGGAATAATCGGAGGCGACCAGACTTCGCCGCGCCGACTCCATTACTGAGACGGTCGTACTCCTCCACCATGTTCTCGAGATCTTCATCCGTAGAGACGGAGATTAATGAATCTAAATCCTCAGTAGGCAGTTGGTACTTGAGCGAGAACGGTTGGTTCTGGAGGAGGTTTTTCGAGAGCCGTTGGTGCAGGTCGGACAAAGTCGTTTGCCGGTCAATTACAACGATGCGCGTGTCGCCGCCGATGTAGCAGAGCGTCTTGTCGTGCGGACGGGGGACTATGTGGCCGCCATAGCTGCACATGAGGCGGAGCTTCGGTTGTGCCTGGTGCGGGGGCGGTTCAGCGTCCCATGACTCGTTATGGCGGGAGCGCGGCGACGAATCGACGGATGGAGGATAGACCACGGCTGCCGCCGGCGAGACGGGGGTGGGGATCGGCGGAGCAGCGGAGAGTGGTGGGGCCTCCATAGCAGAGAGAGAGAGAGAGGTTGGAAAAAGGTTACAGCCAAGTTGGACCTGACATGCGTTTATACTTTGTTTCTCACTCCAGCTGTTTTCCAATTTTATCTTTTTATTTTTAGATATTATTTATTTAAATAAAATTTTCACCTTACGCTAATAGTAATAAAATTGTTTATTGAGATTCAAATATTCCCAACATATATTCTTCAATTTTTAATAAATATTTTTACGGGGTAGATTATGTTGAAGACGACTGAAATCTTCCTTGGACGAAATAATTTTTAAATGTTTGGATTTAAATAATACCTATATATATATATATATAAATATATTTTTTATTTGGTTAGATTGAGTAGAATTTTAAAGCCAAATATTTGAGGTCCATTCCTACTTAAACTAGGGTAAGAAAAAACTTTTGTGAATATGTGTAAGTATTTATTCCAAATATTGATATGTGAGTCTCACCCTTTTAATGCAAGGGATCAATGGTATATTCATTTTGGGATATAAAAATTAATTAAAAATAAATAAATAACATTAAGTAATTCATCAGAACAAAATAAATCAATAAAAATTAAGCAAAAACCCCTAAGAATCGGTTGCCTAATTTGTCGATATTCATGTCTGTGAAAAATTGGATTAGTATTTTGTAGTAATCATTCAATTGTTATGTTTCAAATGAGATTGCGAGAATATAGAGAATATAGACGACGTATTAATCAAAAATCAATAATACAAAATTTATATTAATATTGACAAATAAAATATATAAAGTAATATGGCAATAATCTACCAAATATATATTATTATTGATCTCATCTTATCAACTATGTCAATACAATATTTATACCTATCAAGGATTAACATACCATTATATATGGTTTCACTTAATAGCTTTAATCAATAATCTAATGGTGGGGGTTACTCGGTGCACAGTTTTGGGTAGCCGCTGCAGGTTCTCATGTCATTAAAAGAAAAAAAACATATAAAATATAAATTTACAGTAACGATGTATAACATATGTATATTAATTGTCATGTGATGAAAGTTTATATTTTCAAGTATGGTCAAAATCGTATGGATTAATCTTAACAGTGTTTTTATACATAACACATGATGAAGAATATTTTGCTGTGTAGGAAATCTAGCGGCGATGCATGGGAGCTGACTCAAAAGTTGTTTTTATTTTATTGGGATTAATTATGAAAACAAAAGAATCTTTGAAAAAAAAAATAAATGTTAATAATATTTTTAATGGTGTTAGTCGTCCTTTTAATGATTTTAATTCAAGAAATACAATAATAATAATAATAATAATCATAATAATAATAATAATAATACATTATATTACGTGGAAGAAACGGTGACACGGAAATGAATCTTTTTGTCCTTAAAATGTTTTTGTCTCTATATGGCTTTTTCATTAGATGAGCTTAGTTCGTAATTAATTACCTAGTAGAAGTACAAAGTTTTAGTTTTGTATTTATTGTTTAAAATTTTGAAAGTGGGGTTTTAATCAGATTTAATATCTTTTATTTATTTTCTTATTTCAGAATCTTAAGTTAAGATTCAGAAATCATAATGTTTAGGATCTAATTTATATTGTATATTATTATATATAATTTCAGACCATAAATTCAAACCCTAAGATCTCAGATCACTTGCCAAACATGAATTGCTTAATTATTTTCCATGTTAAATCATGTAAATGACTGTCTTAATTTATTAAAAATATATATCATTTATTTAGCTATCTACAAATAAAAATCCACCAAAAATTACGCTTAAATGAATATTTAGTATAATGTTATAATGTATATGTATTCAAATTGTCCAAATAGGTTAGCTCATACTTGGCCAGGCTTGCTTGGCCCTAGTTCAGCCCTAGCTTGAATTAAAAATACTTGTTTGTATGGGGATTTGGATTTTGAGTTGGGATTTGAATATTAAAAATTTTGAATTTGAATAGTTGTATGATGTGATATAAATAGGTATTGATGTGATGTTTTGAATGTAAAATTGATTTTTAATATAATATAAAAAATAAAAAATAAATATTTGATTTAATATTTTTGAAAAAAAAAGAATAAATAGTGTAAATCTAATCCAATCTTCCAAATAAACTTACTCATATAATAATAATAATAATAATAATAATAAGCCGGCCTAGTCAAAATATATGTATCAGTTCAGAGTTCAGGCCAGCCCACAGACTCGATTGTGGACTTGTAGTCGGCTGATTTTGGGTTATGATTTTTGTGCTCTGTATAATATATATATATATATTTTTTAAAATGATATAACTAAATAAATACATTCTCTTTTTTTTAAAAAAAAATATTATATTAAGTTATTATTTAAATTCAAAATGACTTACTATATTTTGAGTGTTTCTATAATATAAAATTATAAAAGAACTATTTAATATTAGTAATACATAATCTAGAAACAAAGTTGAAATTGTAAATAAACGGAGCTACCGTTAATTAATGGGGACTTGTTAAATGCAAGCCAAATAAATCAACGGGGTATGATTTTGAAATTTCTTTAGAGTCTTTACACTATTTTAAATTTGAAATTTAAATGATAAAAAAATTAAATTAAAATAAAATAATTGTATAATATAATATAAATAGGTATTGATATAATATAAAATGAAAACCAATAATTATTATTTTTACTATTATTTTGGACACAAGTTGAATTAAATGATACCGTATAAGGCAACAAAAATAAGTAGAAGCAATTTCTTATCTTGTACCCTAAAAATAACCGAAGCCCAAACACGTAAAATAAAAGATGCCGCGTTCTGAGAATGTGAACGAATCAACGGCTGAGATGCAACGACGACCTCGTCTGTATAAATTTTTGAATCACAATGGCGTAGCCGTAGACGTTGAATGCAACTACACCTGCAATTTTGGTTTCCAAGGCATTGGGAGTCGCTGATCGCGGTTTTCAGGTTGCCGTTTGGATCCTTGCTTCCACTCGGCTGGTTCGTCTTACTTGATCGTCTTTCAGGATCCGCGTGCTATTTTCGCTAATTTTGGTTGGAGGTAAGAATTAGAACGAAGTTAACTTTTTTTGTCACCGATTCCGCCATTTATAGCTTTGACTAATTGATAAGTTAGAATCTGGTGAAGGTATACTTCTTTGAGCTATTATCTGCCATTCTACCACTAAATTGATCGTATTAGTAATTGGTTGGAATACTGGTATGGTTTTTAATTGTTCGATCTGGTGGAGTTTCAATTGCTCGTTTGTTATTTTCCCTAATTTGATAAGTGTGCTGATTGATTTATTTGTGATGGATTGTTACTGATACTGCAACTCTCTTAACCCCAGGCCCTGGAACAAGAGTTTGAAGGACTGATTAATTTATTGAAGAAATGGGTTGGAGAAACATGATTTCTTTGTGCCCTACTCCGAATTTCAGGAATATGTTTCAGGTTATTTATTTGTTTGTTTTTATAGAGTTGATATCGTCTCTACTTTTCTCTCCTTTATGATTATGATGTATCTTGCAATCTAGGAGCATCTTAATAGCATCTTTATTAAGATTGTCTCTTTTTCCTTTTTAACAATTGTGAAGTGACTTTATTTCGACGGTACAGTGACTTTTTAGGAAGAAAGTATTTGATTTACTTTTCGTTTTTAAGTACTACCTTTTCTTGATTCTTTAATGGTTAAAGTATGAATCTCCTTTTTTATCTTGAATCTTAAATTGACGTCTCCGCACCCGTGTGAAAATTTTTATATCATGATCTTAACGTCACTTAGGTATTGGGTAGGAATCTGTCCTGAGTCAGCTTAGAACAAACATTTGACATCTTTAAGTTGCACTTTTTATAGGGGTTTAGTATATCAGATTTGGAGCCAAACTATATCCATTTTGTCATCTGAAATTTCGATTCTGAGTTTTCTTGAATCAATTTTGTTGCATGACAATGTGATATGCTCAACTTATACGGGTTATGCTAATATACAGGGTGGACCAAATGAGATCGAGCTGGGATGCCAGCATACAATCAAGTCACATGGTGGACAAGTTGCAAGGACTCACAAGCATGACTGGCTGATACTCATTCTTCTCGTGGTCATTGAAATTATATTGAATGTCATTCACCCATTTCGTCGATTTGTTGGGAAAGGCATGATGACTGATCTTAGATATCCTATGAAGGACAACACAATTCCCATATGGGCAGTCCCTGTAAGCTTTCTCCCCACCCCCTCATAGAGAATTATTGATTAACCATGATGATACTCTCTTGCTGAGCTCACTTTGCATTTCTACTTACTGTTGCTGATATAGTTTTTCTGTGATTTAGATGTATGCTATCTTGCTGCCCATTGCAATTTTTGTTTTGTATTATCTTCGGAGGCGAGATGTGTATGATCTTCACCATAGTATACTTGGTAAGACTTTTGATCGTTCTAGTGTAAAGTACCTTATATGTTGCCTAAGCAGAATCAGTAGCCCATAACATCCTTGTGATTGCAGGACTTCTATTTGCTGTGCTTATAACTGGAGTTCTCACAGATGCGATAAAAGATGCGGTTGGACGACCTCGTCCCGACTTTTTTTGGCGTTGCTTTCCCGATGGACGTGATGTATGCTGTTTTTCTTTTCACTGTGAATCATATGCTTGCAGTTCTTCCACTTTTCTAGAAATATATAGACTGAAGCCTTGTATTAAATGCACTAAATAGTTTGGTTAATATGACGGTGAAACTGATAATGAAAGTGAAATAACTCTACTGTACAGCTTGTTTAACTTACTGTAATCATACTCTTAACAGGAATACGATCGCCTCGGAAATGTGGTGTGCCATGGTAACCCAAAGGACTTAAAGGAAGGATACAAGAGTTTCCCGAGTGGCCATACTTCATGTGAGCCTCTTTCTTCCGAAAATATTAAAGTTTGAACTTTATAGCATTGTAGGAACTGAGGTTGTAGGGGCGATGTGATGATTACGCAATAGGTTTCTACAATATTTTGCAGGGTCATTCGCGGGTCTCAGTTTTCTAGCATTATACTTATCTGGAAAAATCAAGTGCTTCGATCGCAGAGGACATGTGGCAAAACTGTGTATTGTTTTCCTCCCAATTCTCACAGCATGTCTTGTTGGCGTTTCTCGTGTGGACGACTACTGGCACCACTGGCAAGACGTGTTTGCTGGGGGCCTCCTAGGTGTGCTTCTCTTTAACCTTTCGATCGTGTTAAAAAATAATTCTTCTTATACGTGCACCATTTCAGGCACCGTGATCGCTACCTTTTGCTACCTTCAGTTTTTCCCGCCTCCATACAACACAGAAGGTATTCACAAATACTTATGCAATATCATCTCAACCATACGACGTTTATATCTATAATTGATGGGTCGATGGCGATGCAGGTTGGGGATCTTATGCTTATTTCCGTGCAATGGAGGAAATTCGATCGGGGTCTGGTGGTCAGCCCGGGGTTGGAATTCAAGAGCAAGGAATGAATAATCAACAGCCTGTAATAAACAGCAATACAGCAGGAGCTGATCAGAATGTGGACATGGACTCAAGCTTTGATGCCATGGAGTCTGGAAGAAGACAACTTTGAAAATACTGAGATATGGTAACGTTGTTCAACTTTGTTTTATTGCACAGATATATTCTTTGGGTTTGTTTTAGCGTTTTGTACAGATATTCTCTGTACAGTTTATTTGCTTCTGTGAAGACACATACAAACATACATATACATACATGTTTGTTAATATTTTGTAGTTATTTCATAACTATATCTATTTTGCCCTCCATTGTATTCTTCTACAGAAGCTTGTGGATTGTTTGAATGATTTAATTTAATTATAAACTGATTATATACTAGTATTATTTTTATAGTGGTGGGCTATATTGTACTCTGGCCAGCCCATTTTGTTATTATTATTATTTTTTTAATGAAAAGTATGTGTATTGCATAGTTAAAACAAAAAAATTGTTAAAAAGTAGAATCTTCACTGAAAACAAAAGGTTGAATTTAAAAGTTGAGGTTTGTTTGGCGCGTGTTGGAAGATAAGTTTCCATTATACTCTCAATATTATATGAGTCATGTATTATACTCCTTCAACCACATAAAAATAAAGTTATTTTAATCATTTTTAATTTATTTCTATTGTATTTCAATATAAATTAATATTTTTTAAATTATGTACAAAAAGCAAACAAACAGATATTTAAATATGGGACGGAGAGAGTAATTTATATGATTGTGATTGCTATAAACAGTACCTAAAATGAATCATTTTCAAGAAATTGAAGAATTTACAATGGATATTTCAAATTGATTATTATGTATTTGAAAAAATCTATGTATACAGCTTTTATTTCTTATTCAAGTATTTATGAAAGAAAATAACAATTAAATATCATATTTTAATCAAATATATATATATAGTTAAGCTAAAATGAGAATCAAACAAAATATTAAAATAAGGGTGTGTTTGCTTTTAACAGTATCTTTATCAGTAAAATATCTTTGCTTTTTTAAAAATAAAAAAATAAAAAAATATTGTATAAAATTTGAAAAAATATATAAGTATATTAATGGAAATGCGTGTGTTGATTGGGAGTGTGCCCACAAATACAGAATTGAGTGAATATCGTACTAATTGATAACGGAGTTAGCAGTGGTCGCTGTCACGGATAGATACTACAATTGAATGGCTGCACAAGTCACACTCTTCACTTTATAATACATAAAATATTTGTTGTTTCCAATACTTTTAAAAATCAAAGAATGATTAAATATATATATATATATATTTTTATATATTTTATAAAATAATAATAATGATAATATAATATTTTAAATCAAAAAATAAAATTTTATTACATTCTTTTTGTCATTCAAATTTATATTTATTATCTCTTTTCAATTGTCATAAAAATATTTTTATTTTTTAATAAAAAATTACATTATTTTTTGTATTTTCCCTTTTATAAAAAATAAATTATTATTATTTATTTTGATTAAAATTCGTCTTTAAATATTTAAGTATATATCTACATAATGAAGGGAATGACATTTTTGTTATTGAGCCATAGCCAAAACAAATAAGTATGACTACGTTTAACTTATTTAAAAATTTTATATTATTAATTAACAGTATTTCGTTTAAAAAATATTAAATACTTAATATTTTACTATTATTTTTTAATTTTTTTTCCATGACTTTTAAGCTCTAAGAGCATGCGTCTAAATATAGCATGTGTAACATAATTAGTTAAAAAACACTAATAGCTAAATATATTGAGTTTATCTAATTGTAATTTAAAATAGAAAATTTAATAATATTAATTTAAATATTAAATTACAACTAGGGTTGCAATTCGGGTCGGTCTAATTTTTTTTTTTCATGCCGAGCCGGACTGATCCAATTCTAAATCGTGTTGAGGAATTGAACTTATAACCAAACATATACAAACTAAGTTCCGTAACGGATGGCCTGGTGGTGTAGGGGTTGGACTTGTTACTGTGAGGTAGGTTCGGCCGGGGATTTATCCAGTGCGCACTTTCGAGTAGCGGCTGCGGGTTCCCACGTCATAAAAAAAAATATATATATATACAAACTAAAACCTTTATCATTAAGTCATATTATAATTTTTATTTTTATTTCAAACATTAATATATATATATATAAAAATTTATTAAAATTTAAATATTAATTCTAAAAATTGTGTCCGGCAGGAAGGATCTGACTTTCATGAGTTTGGGCACAGCCCAAAAATTTTCTGGCCTACTTTTGGAAGCCCAAGCACGATTTTTTTGATATAGTGATGTTTCTTTTTGCCATTTTTTTCACCCTTTTTCCACGGGTGTGTTTGTTTGGGAGTTTGGATTTTGAGTTGAGATTTGAATAGTAAAAATTTTGAATTTGAATAGTTTTATAATGTGATATAAATAGGTGTTGTTAATGTGATGTTTGGAATGTAAAATTGATTTTTAGTATAATATATAAAAAAAATAGATGTTTGATTTGATATTTTTGAGATAAAAAATAAGGATAGAACAGTGGAAATCTAATCCAATCTCCCAAACAAACAGTGTAGCATATTTTTTGATGTGTTATGTGATCAGTAATTACTAACAAATAAGGTATTTCTTATTATGTAAATAAATCCTTATCAATTTTGACTGCAAAAAAATAAATAAGATACAATTATTGGTCGACATCATTTTGTTAAGCTTTCACTGGGCAATATTTATCTATTATTATTATTATTATTATTATTATTATTATATTTTTATGCTTCGTGGCCTAATAGGAAATCAATCCTTCGCCCTTGCCGAATTTTGGTTAGACAAAAAGTCTTCGCTTCACTATCTTTGAGAGATATTTATAATTTTGAATTTATGTAATGCAAATTCAACATTTAAATAAAATACTGGACGTGTTTAATTTGAATTTTAAATTCAAACTACCATAATATTTTTAATAAACACATTTTTTCACAAAAAAAAATATTATATCAAATACTATTTAATAAAAAATTCAATTTAAAATTAAAACCAAATAAACCCAGTTTGTTATATACAATATTTTATAATTGTGTGATTATTTTTTGAATAATAATAAGTTATTTCATTATAAAAATATATAGTATTCGTAATATAAATTTGTGATGGCAACATGCCGAGGGTTATCATGTTCATTTAATAATATGAATGTATGAGTCCCCTACCATTCTTCCTTCCACATCGTTACTTTATATATATATATATATATAGGTAAATTTTTTGATATGAATTAAAGTAAATTAATATTTTATAGATAGCAGTGTAATAAAATAGTGAAATATCTATTTTTCTATTGACATTAAAGTAAAAGAAAAACCAAAAGTAAAAAAAAAGAAATATTTTAGTATTTAGTTGGTAATAATTTTTTTTTAATTAAAAATTACAATTTTGATTTGTACATACTAAAATAAAAAAAATAAAATAAAATAAGAAGTTTACTATTCAACAGAAAATATAATTTATTAAACAAATACTTCAGCTTATTTTTCATAATATGGTGATTTAATAAATACTAATTTTAGGTGTTTTATATAGCTTGGGAATATTTTTAACATCTATTTTTATTGCAATTTAATTTAGTTACAATTTTATGGCAAGTAGTGTTTCTACAAAAGAAAGAGCTATTATGTCTTAGAGCTGCCTACCCCTACTCTTAATTTTAGGTAATAGATTTTTTTTCCATAAACTTGTGGTTAATTTTGGTTTTAACTGTAAAAAAATCAAATCGAAATAATTATTCATATAATATCTTTGATATAAAATTATTTTTATGTGGAATGCATTAAATTTACAAAGAAAAAAAGCAAAAAATATTTCTTTTTCTAGTTTTTGCATGTATATTAATTCGTTCGTCTAACTTCAAAATATTGACTTAAATTACAAGTGGGAATCCGCAGCCGCTACCCACTGTCCGATGGAAAAGTCACACTAGGCGAACCATGTGTGACAGGTGACCTGAGGCGTCAAAGGTTTTGAACCCATGATCTTACGGTCACAAATCCAACCTCTACACCACCAGGCTATTTTTTATTTTTTAATATAATACAAAACTCCAAAAGACGCTTTTGATTTGGGGCGAAGTGAGTATGATGTAATATTTTATAAAATATACTATTATATTTACTAAAAATTATACAAATTGAATCATATTAATTTTAACTTGTGGCTAGAAAACAAAAATTTAATAATATGAGAATTCAACGCTATTTATCGAATGAGGTCTGAAGCCTCGTTGTCACAAGTTCATTCTATACCACCAAGTTATAATTTGTTTTAATTTTAAAAATATACAAATTGGCCACTAATACATTTGTTATATTTTATATTTATTATCACTGATACATTTTAAATTATTTACTAAATAGGACATAAGGAGTATTTATTTATAATATGTATCTCAAACTAACATGTACAATATTCCATGCATTATGTCACACTTGTCATCATTATACATATACTAAGTATTTTAAAGTAAAAATAATAAATAATAAAAGGATCCTTAATGTTTGAGGTGTACGAAGTTCGTTGTGGTAGGTTGATGTTTTCTCATTTTAGGTGTCGATATTAATTTTTTACCTAATGGTAAAATATAAAATACACACATACATATATGGTTATTGTTATGTTGTACTAGTATTTTTTTTATTTTTTATTATTTTCACTCTTATTTAATGGAGGAATTTATATAAACTGGTGGGGTTGTTGGTTGGGTGAAAAATTATAAAGTAAATGTCAGTAGGGAATTAATGTTACATTTATTGAATAATTCCGTTTATAAGTAAAAATGGAAAGAATCTTCAAGAAATTAAAATTGACAGTGATGCAGATTAGTGGGGGACTGACTACAAGTGGAATAACTTACCTGTCCGACTATTATTATTATTATTAATTACTTCCTCATTTCATATATTATTTTTTTAAAAAAAATAATTATAATTTTTCTTAATTTTAATTACATTAAATAATTATCTTAATTTTAATATATATCATTTATACTACATTTACTGTTATATATTTTAATTATTTATTAATTATGTAATTCCTAAAGTGCCATTTATACATTGCACATGATACTGTAGAGAATATTAAAATTTAAAAGCATAAAAAAGGAAATGAAAACATAAATAATACATCGCTTCATTTTATATCTTAAAAAAGACACAAATGATAAAATAAATAAATAAACAAATAAAGTGATAATTTTTCTCTAAAAATATTCATTCAATAGTTAATTTTTCTTATATTATTAAAAATTAAATATATATTTAAAATATCATATAATTATTTTATTCTAAAATGTTTTTAATGCAAAGCTCAAATTCAAATTCCACGGACATAAATACACCTTGGTCAAATATTTATAGATCAAGTGGTGAGACGTCCCTTTTTTAAGGGTTGGGTTCCAGCTTCGATCCTGGGTGGATGCCTAGCCAAATGTGAATTTTTTTTTTTTTCAAAAATTTTCTAAGTTTTTCTAGATAATAAAAAATTAAATATTTAATTATAGATTTTAAAAGATTTATTATTAATAATAATATAATAATAATTAGTCATATATATACGCTGCCTGCGTGACTGCTTCCTATGTAACGAACTGCTCTGTCTCTCTCACACTCCCTTTCGCTCTCATAATATAATAATACTAATACAGAAAATAGGGCAGATTGGATTTCTCCATTCCCACTCTCATTTTGTCCTTCATTGGTGACAAAAATGGCGATAGACACGAATTAGGAATTAACAAAGATTTGACTGAAAAGGGGAGAAGAATCGAATCAAGAATTTTGAGAACAACGAGAATATGGTGTGGGAGCGTCACCAAAAACTTCCGTCACATGTTCAGGACGACGACAGACACAGATCCAATCACACTGTCGATTCTGGCCACGCCCGTTTGCACGAGCTCGGCTACAAACAGGAGCTCAAGCGCGACCTATCGTAAGTCGTTTCTATCTAACTAACTAACAATCCTTCCTCCTTCAATCACTTTTACCAATTTATTTATTTATCGAACAATTTTAATGCTGTTTACTCGGATCTCAATTCTCATCTCTCTGTGTTCGTTCCCATGGCGGCGGCGGCAGAGTGTTGTCGAACTTCGCCTTCTCCTTTTCAATAATATCAGTTCTGACCGGCGTGACCACGCTCTACAACACCGGACTCACTTTCGGCGGTCCTGTTTCGCTCGTGTATGGATGGATTATCGCCGGCTGCTTCACCATGGTCGTCGGCTGTTCAATGGCGGAAATCTGCTCTTCTTACCCTACCTCCGGCGGTTTGTATTATTGGAGCGCCAGGCTTGCTGGCCCTGACTGGGCGCCCTTCGCCTCCTGGATCACTGGATGGTTCGTACCTTCTTAATTCGATTTATTTCTATATATTTATTTCCATCTTCGTGTTTAATTTCCATTTTCGCAATGGCTTCCTTCTTTAATTGGCTGAGTTAAGATTCTTGCAGCTATGGTGTTGGTAATGAATTAATTGTTTCTTGTTGCATACATAATGTATGATCTGCATTTCTCACTGGTTTCTTGTTGGTAGCAATTTCGTGAGAAAAAACTGTAGTTTCAGTTGCGTACATGATGGTTTCTTTGATTGCGCATAGCTCTAGGTTTTGGAAAATTTTGAAATCATAAATTATTAATTATTTGATACGACTTTCTGACGTTCCATGGAAAAAGAAATAAAAATTGTTCTAATGACCTCATCGCCATGGATCAACCTTTGAATATTCCTTTTCATCATTGAGGAGATGTTTAACTTAATTGTTCTCCTAAATCGATTTGATTATGATCCAATTGCTTTCAAGCATCTTATCTTGTCTGCATATTTTCGGTTGTTCTATAAATGAAGCTCTAAAAGAGTTGCATTCATTCTCTTCTCTGCAGGTTCAATATTGTTGGACAGGTACTTCTAAACACCTGATTTACACTTGAAATCCTATCAAAAAGCACGTGCTAATCACTTGGTCGATAAATTTCACCTGCAGTGGGCTGTTACTACAAGCGTCGATTTCTCGCTAGCTCAGCTGGTTCAGGTGATCATTCTCCTGTCTACGGGAGGGCAGAATGGGGGAGGATACATGGCTTCTAAGTACATTGTTATTGCATTCCATGGAGGAATTTTGCTATTACATGCTTTGCTCAACAGCCTTCCTATTACCTACTTATCGTTCTTCGGACAATTAGCTGCCGCTTGGAATGTCTTAGGTACGATAAAACTCGATTGCTCTCTGTTTTACATTGATTCAGAGCTGCTGATGGTTTTTGTTGGTTTTTCTTACACTTTTAGGTGTCTTTGTTCTTATGATCGCCATTCCCTTGGTCGCGACTGAAAGGGCGAGCCCGGAATTTGTGTTTACTCACTTCAACATGGATAACGACAAGGGAATCGATAACCGGTTGTACATATTCCTTCTCGGACTTCTCATGACTCAGTACACGCTAAGCGGTTACGATGCATCCGCCCATATGGCGAGTTTTCTCTTTTAAATCCTGCTTCGCGCTAGCGCTATTCGTAATTTCTTACAGCGATTTCTTGCAGACAGAGGAGACGAAGGACGCAGACAAGAATGGTCCGAAGGGGATCATAAGTTCCATTGGCATATCGTTGATTGTTGGCTGGGCTTACATTTTAGGCATCACATTCGCAGTCACGGATATCCCGAGCCTTTTGAGCCTAGACAACGACGCGGGTGGGTACGCCATTGCGCAGATATTTTACCAGGCGTTCAAAAGTCGATACGGCAGCGGTGCTGGCGGGATCGTCTGCTTTGGCGTTGTCGCCGTCGCGATATTCTTCTGTGGCATGAGCTCCATCACCAGCAACTCCCGCATGGTGTACGCCTTCTCGCGCGACGGCGCGATGCCCTTTTCGTTGTTGTGGCATAAAGTAAACAAGCGAGAAGTTCCCGTCAATGCCGTCTGGCTATCGGCTGGCATCGCGTTCTGTATGGCCCTAACGGTAATAACTCGCGACCCTTCCATCTAAGGAACTATTTTATAAAGGTCATTTGATTCATGTGAGATGATCATTTAACATAATTATATAATAAAAAAATAATAATTTATTTGAGTCTGGCTATTAGGTGAGATGGTATTTTTATTGTTCCAGTCTAACTTTTTTAAGTAAGATGATAATTTATTATAGTATAAAAGCCGGACGTCATAGGCTCTTATTCCTTTAAGCTTAAATTTTACTAGAGTCGAGATGTACAAGTTAATGATGTATATCTATTTTCTGAATTCAATTTTTAAGTAACAATAATTTATCATGATATCAGTGCTAGGACATCTTGAAATTTTACTTCTTTTTTTTTAATTAAATTTATAAGTAAAATGGTTATTTATTATAGTATCATAGCTAGAACGTAATTTTAGGCGGTGATAATAGCATATTAAAAGACCATTTCACTTAAAAGTTTAAATTTTTAGTTAAATAATTTTTACTGAGCTCTGAACCTCGTTACGTACTATAATAATTCATTCTATGTTTGCAGTCATTGGTAAGTCTCGTGGCGTTTCAAGCGATGGTATCGATAGCAACCATCGGGCTGTACATAGCGTACGCTCTACCGATCTTTTTCCGAGTGACGTTGGCGCGGAAATCCTTTGTTCCAGGTCCATTCAACTTGGGGCGATACGGCGTGGCGGTCGGTTGGACCGCCGTGATCTGGGTGATAACTATATCAGTTCTGTTCTCCTTGCCGGTTTCTTATCCGGTCACCGGCGAGACTTTGAACTACACACCTGTTGCAGTTGGTGGCCTCGTCTTCCTTATAGTTTCTTCTTGGATTGTCCATGGCAGACACTGGTTCAAAGGTCCGGTAACCAATATTCAAACATAGCTCAGCGTAGTTGTAACTGTAGCTTACTGTATTGTTTCCTACTGCAGCCATTAACAGCTTGTGTGTGTCCTACTCAGTTCCAGTCACCCAAATCCACTGTTCAATCTTATTATAACTATCAATATAGTGCCCACAATAATTGACATAATATATATATATATTTTTTTCTCCAAAGTTTCTGTTAGGGATCTTTTGGTTGTTGCATTCTTCTAAAATTCGAAGTGACAAATGAGAAACAAATACCAATCTATTACGGACATTCAAATCAATAGAGTAAATTTGGGGGAAAAAAAGAAAGTTTATTTATTTTTTAAAAAACAATTGAAAATTTGATTTCAATGTGCAAATCTTCTCAAATTTAAATTAAAATTTAACCATAATCCATAATATTATCAATCTTGATTTCTTTCCCTGCCAACGGTAACAATAAATGTAAAGATATTGTATGTAACCATTTCAAAATTCAAAAACTAGTAATTAATTACCAAGTAGAGTTTTTTATTTATATTTTTAAAAATAATACTATTATATATAATTAATGTGGGTGTATTTTATTTTATTTTTTTGTCAAAGTCTATTAAATTTTATTATTTGAACCCTAAATATTATTAAATCAAAATTTTCATAAACCAAATTCAAGAAACACACCCTACGTCTACTGGCTCGTTTAGATTCTTCGTATGATTTTATTTTGATTTAATTTATATAAAGAAAAATAATTGCAGTCATATTCTCTTGACAGTATAAAAGGGCGCCCTCGACTCCTCGTCATAATCGCTTTTTATTTGAAAAAATTCTGACTAGGCCAGATAGCTAGAGGATCTGCTGCATCTCTGTCCTGTATAGACATCACTCTAACGTTTAGCAGCGGCGGGAGTGTGCCGAAGACGAAGGCTGTCGCACTTTTAAATGGTTAGTTCCTTTCTCTCGCTAATAACTAGATTTTATTTTAAGTCAATCTATCCATAAATCTGATATTGAAACGGGATCCTAGGGTTTGATTTTGTAATGAATCCCGTTGTAGGATGATTCGAACGATGAATTCGAACCGCTTTTTGATTACAGTCGCATTCAGCCAGTCGGCGTGATTTGCCTCGACGGTTAGTGCCTATCAATTTGATTATCAATTATCTTGTCGATTTTTACTTCCTTCGCAGTTCTTTTATTTTCCGGTATTTATTTTGTTTTGCGATGGGGAATTGGCAGATGATAACCTGGATGAATCACCGGTAGTTCGCCCTAAAAAGCGGAAACCTTTGGATTCTAAGGTAAAACTCCTTTTTCTTTGGGTTTTCCGTATGATTCGTTTTAAGAGTTTGATGTGAAATATACAAAGCTTAAGGTTTCTGTGCTCTCTTTTTTGCACTTCCCTAATATTAGAAAGAAAAGAAAGACCAGGTTGAGATTGCCAAAGATGTTACTGTTATTGATTGTGATGATGACGAAGAAGAGGATTGGTTGCCACCACCTCCAAAAAAATTGGATAGTTGCATTAATTTTGAGGAGGATTCGACTTTGAAGGCCTTGAGGTATATTAATAATGGAATATAAATGCTTATTCATCCCATATGCATCTGACTTTGGTGAGTAATAGTACTATATAGAACCATTTATAATTATGTGAGTTTGTGGCCACATGAGTCCTATTGCTAATTCGATTTGATGATTGCTGACTATACGTAATATTGTAGCTATCGATCTTATTTATTTGATTGGATCAATGCTTGTTATGTCTTTGGATTTATTCTGTGATAACTCATGCTTGTTGCTTTCTAGTTATATGTAGCGCAGGATCTATTGTGTTTTTGTCGTTTTTGTGAACCTTCTCATGTATGACAAGGTGTTGTAGAAGGAAAAGTGTTTCCTTAGAAGTTTTTGCATGACCATGTGTCGTATACTGTTTGATTGTATCTGATAGGACCATGATAACAGTTCATCTGTAAAACCAGAATAGGAATCTTTTCATCAATTTTGTTTCTAGGCATTTAAGATACCTCTAGAAAATGCTGCGAAGACCTTTTTTAATTGGTTTGCACCGGTTTATATAATTAATGTTGTTTTTTGTTTTACTAATTTTTGGTATGTTTATAAAGAATCAACTTCAACTAATGTGTGAAGCGATTCCAATTTCCACCAGTAGAGGAAAACTTTTGGAAAAAAGATGACATATCTCAGTGCTTGATCAGATGATTATCTGTATTTTGTTACCCTATTGTAGTTAATTACAATTTTATATTGAGATTTGTAGAAAAAACAGTGTGCTTGGTTTGTGTTTAAATAGTTGTTTGATGTGGTGTTTTTTGAGAATAAATACCCTATTTTTATCAGGAATCACGAGTTATGTATAGTAAAGATTGATAAATAAATAAAAGAGAACAGAGCCAATGTTTACCGTTTATGTACCATGATCGAAGTGGTGGATTTCATCCCTCCACCAAGAAAACTAAAAGTTTTCCTTTGAAGTTGACATATATCTTCTTTTCTTAGGTTAAAAAGGCAAGAACTGGCATCTTTTGCACAATCAACCGATGAAGTGATTAGAGCTGTTGAAGAATCTGAAAGAAAGGACTTTAGTGCTTCATTGCAGTCTTCTCCCAAAAGTATTGCCAAGCAACCAGCTCCCGAGAGGGAAAAACTCGTTATATCCATTCAAGACAAGAGTGGGCATAAGCAGTTTCGGGTTTTCATGGTAAGTAATTCTTTAAAATCTCTAAAAACTAAACTTGCTGTTTTTCGCTTTCTTTTATTGTTCTGCAACATGAAATATTTTCACTTAGCAAACTCCAATGAGTGTTTTGAAATGCTCCACTGGATAAGGTGAAAACAAAAAAGTGCAGAAATATTATAACTGCAGTCTTTCTTACTCCCAGAAATGTGTGAGTTGAAGTCTAAATCAATGTGAATACTATTTGCATTTTTTCGCTGCATTTTTAGGATCACAATATATGTTTAATCTTCTATTAGTCTTAATGCAAGTTGAATATTTTGTGGACACATATTTACTTGTGATTTTTCTATGTTCCAGTCTTTTTTGGTTTCGATGACTTTGAAGTGAAATAGCTGTTGAATGCTATATTTTGAATGAAAAATTGATGTTTAATATTGAATAGCGAAAAATGGGTGTAGAAAAAACATAAAGTAAACAAACCTAAAAATTATCGTTGTAGTAGAATACTAGCTAAAAGCTATATGAAGTATCTTGTTTTCCATCTTCACTGGAATGACATCATATAACAATTGTGCAGGATGACACATTCGAGCGGCTGTTCAAGTTGTACGCAGAGAGAATGACGCTGGACATGAATAATCTAGTTTTTTCCTTCGATGGGGATAAAATCAGTCCATCGGCGACTCCTGCTAGCCTAGAAATGGAGGATAACGACATCATTGAAGTGCATGTGAAGGCAAGTTGATCCAGGTAATAACATGTTTCTGGACATCATCTAACTGCAAGTAGCCCTATGTTCTTCAATACCTCCAGAGGACAATACATACATACAGTTCTTGAGCTTTATGGATGAACTTTAATGAGATTACATTTGATACATTTTTGGTCATTTCTGTCCAGCAAATGTAAATCATGAGAAATCTCTTCTCTTATGCTTTGTTGGGGTTTCAAAATAAAATATATATGTATATTTGTTTATTTATTTCAGAATTATTTTCAAATTTAGTAGAGCAGGGCCGGGCCTGGGCCCGTGCTGGTGACTTTCCCACATGCTTTTAAAGTCATAATTAATTCTCCATGTGTCATGGGGTTGTGGTGGGCCCTAACAAGGTCCAAATATGGCTCGTTTTTTTCAACTTCCAGCCCAGTGTACTAAATTATGTCCCAAGCCCAATTTGACCCAACTACCCTATTAAAGTAAAATAATAAAATTAAAAGACAATCCCTGGGAAGTGACAGAGCAGAGCAGGACAGGAGAGGACACATCCCTTCCCTTCTTAGAAATTTTGATGGAAGACAACTTAATATAAAAGTTTCACGTTGTACAGGCAACTCCTTGAATTGGACTAGTGCTTTTATTTGATTATTTATTCACTCTACCAATAAGGCAATATAACCAACTTAATTTTTTAGACACAAATTAAATTCATTCAAGATTGTTCCAAAAAGTCTCCCTCAGGCACACACATGTCTATATATATTAATAATAAATATTTTAGATGAGAGTTGAGTTGAGTTGCCCATGCGGAGGGGGCAATCCTGTAGATGACGTGGCGAGTTGGGATTGGGTGGAGTGGCAAAGTGTATGGATGAGTGGTGGGCACCGTCACATGCTTCAGAAGAGGGATTGGATAGATAACACTACACCAGAGTTTCACATTTGAGCGGGTGACTCATAATATTATTTTATTTATTTATAATTATAATTATTATTATTGCTATAGTGCTGGTGCTGGTGCTGGTGCTGGTGCTGGAGTGGCTGCTGCTACTGCTGCCCACCTCAGCCAAAAAGTGCAATCCCAAAAGATGGATGGAGAAAGCAGATAAAATGCTTTTAAGGCATATAACTAACAGAACAACCAACCTTCTTGCCCTATTTTTTGGCTTATCATTTACTTATTATCATCCCCTACCCCCACCCCTCCATGATTCCTGTGATTATTACTCTACTCAACTCCCTCCTTTTCACCACCCGGAGACCTTTCTTTCTTCCTCCATTCATTCATTCTTCCTTGTTTGGAATTGGACCAGAGCAGAGCGCCTTACCGTTTTGATGTCAGGTGTGTTGTTTCCTTTAATTGTTTTGATTTTGCATGTTCGATAGATGTGACTTTTTGTGTTTGTTGTGTGTCTATCGAGATCTTACTTCCAATTATTGGTGATCTGAGGTTAATTTTACTGCTAGTTAGAATTGCGTGATTTGGTTTAGATCACAAAAATTGCTTGCGAACTCTCTCACACACATGTCAAACAGTAATTAACTTCTTCCTAGCATTGCTGCATGTGTTTTGCTTGATTTAGGGTAATAGTGGTGTTGGATCTTAATTCAGCAAGCATAGGATCGATTCCTCTGCTGCTTTATTTGATTAAGGAAGAAATGCTTTTCAAGTATGAATCGAAGCCATTTTTGACCTTCTAGTTTCATCCAGATCTACTGAGGCTGTGTATCTGCAGTTAGTTAACTTGTATATTTTTTACTTTCAAATCTCCACCTGTAACTCAGATTTATTCAGCTTATAATTACATATAGGTCTGTGAAGTGTGAACTGGAGCTTGAATACATGCCATGGTTGTTAACAATTACCTGTTACTGAGCGACAAACACGAACAGGTTGCTAATGGAGAGGAGGTGTGAGTTCTGCACGTCGTTGTGCTCAATCGTGTATTGTAAAGCAGATGCAGCACACCTCTGCTTGTCCTGTGATTCCAAGGTCCATTCAGCCAATGCTCTTTCCTACAGACATCCGCGCACGCTTGTGTGCGAATCTTGTCGATATTACCCGGCGCTAATTCGCTGCTTCGACCACGCGATGTTCATGTGCCAAAGCTGCGACACCAACCATCACGTAGCTTTCCAGCACCAGAAGAGAGTGATCAGCTGCTATGTAGGCTGCCCTTCTGCCAAGGATTTGGCTGCCCTGTGGGGGCTAGACTGCAACAAATTGGATCGTAAATCTCTAGCTTCCGGGGCTCCCAATTCGAGCATTTCTAGCAATCAAGAAATCAGCTACTTGATCCTGCAACAAATCCAGGACTTGGAAAAGCTCCAGCTATCCGAGGGCATCAACAGTAGTTCATGCTCGGTGCATGTCAAAGAGAGAACCATTGGATTGCCATTCAGACAGAAAACTCTAAACACTTCTCCAATGGAGCAATTCAATGGACAGATCGACTTCCAGAATTCGGACAACGTTATCGAGGTCAAGGCTGAGGAGCCGCTGTCGTCGCCATTCTCCCAATTGGACAGCCTGCAAGGAGGAGATTCATATTGGCAATGCAAAAGCCCACTCCATAACAATGAGGTCCTCTCATGATATGATCTATACTATCTATATCGCCGTTTATGTTTTCTTTAAATCGACCAAAAAACTGTTTGGTTGAATTCTGCAGATTTGGCTTCAAAACATGCAAGATCTTGGCGTTTGTGATGAGGTAAAATGGATGGATGATGGTAATATACCCGACGTGGACTTGACCTTCCGCAATTTCGAAGAACTATTCGGAAGTGAGCACGAGCCAGGCAGAGGCATGGTTGATGATATAAACACGGTCAGAAATCAGCTTCCCGAGCTTTATTAATCCTTTCTTGCATGACGTTCTTAAGGATATCTGTTTTGCAGTTCCATTTCATCTGGCTTCTCACTTTTTGTTTTTGGTTCATATCTCATGACAGAAAGTTCCCGGTCCATCCCCGGTTCGGGTGGAGAAGGTCTCAGCTGAACCGGATGGAATGCAGACAAGCAATTATCCAATGAGGGCATGTTATTCAACGTCATCCTTTTCCGTGTCGAGGATGACAGGCGAAAGCAGCGGTTCTGAGTACAAGGATGATGGTGTCTCCCCGACTTTCCCAACCCAACAACAACGTAACTACCCTCATGACTCGGACAATGCAAATAAAGGCAGTGTCAATGTGGTGATGAGATGCAAAGAGAAGAAGGTGTTGAGGTAATTAATTATTTAATTAGTTTTATTTATTATTTATTCAAATGAGAGAGATTTTTTTTTTGTGTTAGGCATGAGAGGCAAGGCATGATGCATAATAGATTCCCAAGATCCAAATCAGATATCAAGAAAAGGGGTAGAGGTCAGGCTTTGAAGGCAGAAAGCTCTGCAACCGCTAGAAGCTTCTGAACACACTCATGACAACCATTCCTTCATCAATTCATCTGCTTGTTAGTCTGTAAATATTATTATTATTATTATTATTGTCATCCAGCTGAGAATGCTCTTCCACCAAGTTATTCTCTCTTTTTTTCACATTCGTGTCGAGTCCAATTTTGATCTCGGGAGATAGTGTGTTGTGTTGTCCACTGTTATTATTATTACTATTATTAATATTTGTCGCTGTCGTGTATATGTATGTATGTATATTTTGTTTTTAATCTTATCAGTAAATAAAGAGCAGTGCAATTGCGTGGAAATTCCTTAAAGTTGATCAAGGCCGTCGATCGAGCATGGCCCACACAATCAACGGTCCGATTGAGATCCCCTGCAAACCGTGTAGTCAGTGGTGGACCCCACACGCTACGAGATGCGCTTTTCAACGTACCTGTGGTTTCTATAAATACAACCGTCGGGGAAGTGTGGGGAAATCAGAAATTAGGGTTTGAAGGAAGGAAGAAAGAGGAAAGAAGTTGAGAGATGGAAGAGGAATGGGGGACGTGGTAAGATGTAGGATTATCTAATGATTACTTAAGCCTTTGCATCTTACCTATGCCTCCCATTCCACTGCTTTCTCAACTCGATTTTCCCTTTCCCTTTCCCTTTGGCACGAAGATAAGAAGAGAATTGGGAAAACGATGCAGAGGTAAGGGGAATCGTATGGCTTGGGCAGAGAGAGATTCGTTGATTCAGATTTGGTTATCTTCTTCTCCTCTGCTTCTTTCTAATTTCTATATTATTGTCTTTTGTTTCATGTGATTTATTGATTATTATAAGAGCTTTAATTTGTTGCAGACGCAGGAAACGGAAAAGAAGGAACAATCTGCGAAACACCAGTTAGATTCCAACAAAATAAAATAAAATAAAATAAAATTGCATGTATTTCCAGATGAACTCTAATGGATCGATCAATTTTATCTTTTACAAAAAAAAAAAATAATAAAAAAAATAAAGATAAAATTGAGGCACATTAAAACATATTCATTTAAATTTCAATAAAGGAGCCCGTTATAAATTTGTGATTCTAAGACCATTTTTATGACAAAGGCTCAATAATAAATTTAGTGCCGTCACTTTCAACAAGGCCCAAAGTCCATTATGTTTTAATATTAATTAAAATACCCAAGGGCTTCTGACGGCCCACATTTAAGCATGAGGCCCATATTGATACAATAGGAGACCAATTCAACATGTTATATTTACACAAGGCCCATTATACAAACCCAATTGATGTTGGTAGGTTGAAATTGAATTCAAGATGTTTTAGTAGAAAATATACTCCTATATCATATGAAAATATGATAAATGTATATAGGTTTGGTTGTTTTGTGTTTTTCAATTTGCGGTTTTTTTTAAAAATAAAATAAAATAAAATAAAGTGTGAACAAATATATTGTTAATATACATAGTAATATATATATATATATTGTGTATGTATATATTTTATTTTGTATAAGATTAATAAGAATTGCGTGATGAAAACACATATATATATATATATAAAGCAATAGGCTAAATGCAATAATTTGCAAATTACATCAATTAAGTAAATCAAATTAAAAATAAAAAATAAAAAATTGTGTGATTACAGATTTCATTTACAGTAGCAACTTAGTCAAATTTGCAAAAAAAAAAAAAAAAGAAAAAGAAAAAGAAACTTCAATTATAGATTGATTTAGCGTACCAACTTAGGCATTCTTGCAGAAAACTTGGATTATATATTTCATTCATGGTATGGTACCAACTTGGAAAAGTGGTGTTGGGATTAGAGAGTTAGAACTATTCGAGGCAGCCAATGTGGTATAAAAATGCAATTTAATTTGATTATTATATATACATATAAAGATTTTGATTATTATTATTAATACTAAGAGAAAAGAACAATAAATAAGAATAATGGTTTGAATGAAAGTGATAAAAGTGAGTGAGGAGCAGCGCACGCGCCGCTTTGTGTCGCGTGCTGGGCAGACACACTCTCACTTTTCCCAAGTTTTTATTACCTTTTCTGGCTTCTTCCTTTTACCATTTTCGAACACCACACACTTCCACGCCACACCACTCAGACTCGATAATAATAGTAATAATAATAATAATAATAATAATAATAATTTCATGAAGCAGCTCTCAGTCACTGGAAAATACTACTACATTGGGATCATTCACCTAGTCCAAATTGTTACGAGAATGAATTATTTAATTGATTATCGAAATTCATCTTACTCGAATTTTATTTTTAGATGCCGTTCAAACAACTCTTTTATTATTTATATTTTAAAAAATAAAAATAAAAATGTTATCAATTAATAGTCACAGATGCAAACACGCGTTTGCTAAAATTTAAAAAACTTTTGACCAGAAAAATGCATTGTTTTAAAAGTTCTTTTTTAGTACACGGCGCGCACTTTTTCAATAATTGGGCAATTATTAAAAGGAAAAGAAGGATTCATAAGTAGGAAGGTTTTTGTCTGGGTACGATTGTGATTGCATCCAACCCCACCCGACAATACATTACATATCACTCTTTATATATATAAAATAAAAAATAAAAATCATTTCATAAGAGTAATATGTACTATTATCTCAATCATTTGGAATATAATGAATTGATTGATTATATATTAGCCTCTCATATTCTTGTATTTATCATTAATAATTAACTATATACAGTCAAAGATCATTTACATTTACATAATTAAATATATTTTTTACATGTATAATTAAATTGCACACACACACACACACTAGTGTTTGTTTTGTTGTTCCCCACAAACATGCCCTTAATCTTACGTTGACTACAATTTCCACACTTGTCATCACTCCCAATAATCCATAAAAATATATCCAATATCAGTACTACTACTACTACTAATAATAATAATAATGTTATCAATTAATTAATCATATCAAATATATATATATATACATACATATATATCTACATACATAGCTCTTTAAATACCGCTGCTGCTGCATATACTAAAAGGTTATCCCTTGCCCTTGCCCATTTTCTAACTTCTCTTACAGTCTTACTCACACACACACACACATATATATATATATATGATATTTTCTGCGCTTTATTCATACAGAATAATGCGTCGACGTGGCGGTTCCGGCGCACGGTGCCGGCACCGGTGGAGAAGGGTAGAAGTGTAATTGTGAGAGCTTCACAAAAGTGCCCAACACAGCTTTGCAACAAAACTTGAGTTGCATTGCAGGGGAATTGAGGATAACGGTCCGAATCTAATTATTATTATTATTATTATTATTATTATTATTATTATTATTATTATTATTATTATTATTATTATTATTATCATTATATGTCTTTATATATATATATATATAAATTAAGTTTGTGTTTCTTTGTAGTAAGTAATGAGGAGGGCAAACTGCAAGGGGGTGGAGGATGTAAGATATACATACATGCATTGCACTGTAGTAGTAGTAGTAGTAGTAGTAGTAGTAGTAGTAGTTGGAGGGTAGTTTAATTTGGGAATTCTTGCTAGTTCTTATTATGCTGCTGGGCATGCATGCATCTCTAACATCCTATTATTCCTGTAATAATAATTATACTAATAATATCGTTGTTAATTTGTAACATGCACTGTCTTGAATTGTACTTACAGAAATCAATCGCGACTTTTTTATTTCATTGCATAATGGATTTTGCACCTTGACTTCTTATTATATAATCAGGCCCAGACCCATTTAAACAGAAAAGTCCAATAAAGGCCCATTAAGTCCGAAATGTCCCACTAAAAGCCCAAAATAAGTTTGGGCCGGCCCAGTAAAATCAGTCAAATTAAATTATCTGTAAATAGAAAGTTTGCTTTTTGGGTGAAGAGGGAAGAGAAGTGTAAGTGAAGTGGTAGGCACGTGCATGATTTTGCTTCATGGTGAAGGAGGCCTGTGTAAGGTGGGCAGCTGTAATATCATCTCTGCATCACCTGCTGCCACGTTGACAGATATTTCCGTAAATGGACGGTGGTCGTTCTTCCATTCCTCAATTTTACTAAATAAATATATTTATTCGTTAGTGCCTAAACTTGAATTCACCAAATAAAATAAAATAAAATAAAATAAAATCTGCATCGTCGATCATTTTAAAAGCAAATAAATATTTGGTTTTGGACCAAATCGAACAGTTGCGAATGTGAAAAGGACCACACGCAAGGCTGTCATAATCAACAAAAGTTGTAGCCATTTGGAAGACAGATACCTATATTTATAAAATTATTTCAGTACTATTATTTTTTATTTTTAAATTACACCATGTATTTCCAATCAAGCGGTCCGGTAAATTTATTTACACCTAAAGAAAAAACTGTATTATTCCCAGGAACAAAAAAAAAAAAAAAAAGAACTATTATTTTACAACAGGTTGAAAAGAGCACGTCAAAGGGCACTCTCCAAAAACCTCAGAAAATATTCCCACAAAAAAAAAAAAGAAAAAAAAAAAGTCAAAGGTCAAACTTCTAAACCCCCTTTGCTATTAAAAAAAAAAAAAAAAAAAAAAACTGATCAAAACAGTACAGCCTAATTAAAAAGAGCTGCGACGGGACGGTCACGCGCCGCCTCATCGGAACGGAAACCACGCGAGGAGATCCTCCGCCACGCGGCTCTGCGTGAGGCTCATGCGCTCTTCGGAAACGAGCGGCGTCCGGCAGAGCGGGCAGTTGAAGTTGAGGTGGTCGAGCCAGCCGTCGAAGCAATCCTTGTGGAAGGCGTGGCGGCAGAGCAGGCGGCGGACGACGTCCCCCTCGCGCATCGGGTTCAGGCAAACGACGCAGTCGCCGTCCAAATCGGCGTCGGCGGCGGCGCCGGAGCAGGCTCGATTGAGGTTCATCTGTTCGCAGAGGACGATTAGGCCGGCGAGGCCGGAGCCGACGACGTCGTATAGAGCTCCGGCGTGGTTGTGGCGGTGACCATTTGGGGAAAATCCCAAACCGCTGAGGATAGTGAGGAAGAGCGAGTTGAGATAACCTACGCCCCGGGCCATAAGCACCACGGCGCACACTAGCAAGGACTCCGACGACACGTCGGACAGCTGGTTCTCTAGACCCATCACAGGCGATCGAATCTGATTCCGGTCCGGTGGAGAGCAGTGGTAGAGTGTGGATGGCGCAGGTGGAACAACGTTGGACCACAGCCAATCAGAGATAATATGAGTAATAAACACTTATGAGACTGGAAGACTGACTGACGACTGCCTAAGCCTATGCCTATGCCTATGCCTATGTGCAGTTGTAAGAAGGCCATCTGTTTATGCCACGACCTTACCCTTTGCTATATATACACCACACCGCCATCCCTCATCCCCACCCCCCACCCCCCGCCCTTTTTTATATTAACTAATTTTATTTATAAATTAAAACACACAATTACTAGAAAAATAATTTTTTTTTTTTTTTTCATTAAAACAATAGTCTTGCTTTCAAAATAATTATTTGTGACCCCAAGTCTCCAATAAAACCACCTACCATATTTTTATTTTTGTAATCTCCATATGAGTAAGGATAAAATTGTTTTTAACCATTTACTTCATATCTATTTTAATGTTACACTATTATGTTTTTTTTAAAAAAAAATTGTGCTAAAAAATTGTATTAAGACGGGAGAGTAAAATGAGAGTACTTACATTTACTTTACAAATACATTATTATATTTACTATAAATAATGAGAAGCTATGATATTGTTTGGTTGGAGTTACATTGATTTAAAATATAGTGATGATTATTTTTTATTATAATAATTTTTTTTATATATAATATTTGTATGAAAAAAATTATAGGAAATAAATAATTTAAATTTAAATTTGAAATAAAAATAAATAAATCCTAAAATTTATTATCTAATCTTTTTTATACTGATTTTTCGTTTTATAATTGAATAAATTACAAAAGTCTAAACAAAATTATGTTAACTGTTTATATTGCTGCCAAAAATGCAACGCTATTTATGTTTTCTTAATTTGCTACTTTATATATTAAATGTATTGTTATTTAAGGAAATGAAACAATAATCCAAAAAAATAAAATAAAATTGCCATGCGTAAGTGTACCAAGGATCCACCTACACACTACTGCACAGCTTACAAAACACTAACCAAAATTAGAAATGTGCCACGTGTTTGTTTAAATCTTACATGCACAATAATAATAATAATAATAATAATAATGAAAAGAATGTATAATGTAGTATTTAAAAATTGGATCATATATATATATATATATATTATGACCTCAGCTTAAGCCTACGTTTAATTCATATGTATAGATAGATAGAGAGACGTGTGTATGAGTGTGTAATTTCTTCTTCTTTTATTTATTAATTACATAAATTAAATTAAGAAAATTGACGTGGAGGTGTTGAGACCTTAATAATATTGTATGGTGTCGATGAATGTCGTCCGTGTCTTAATTTTGACTAAACATGAAAATAGTGGCTGTGCTGTTTATTTTAATTACAAATTGGAGTTTGATTGAAAGCGTGTTAAGGTAGGGGTAGGGGTAGGGGTAGGGTAGGGGTAGGGGTAGGGGGCGGTGGGGATTAGGGTTAGGGATTTGACATTCACATGACCAAGAAGAAGATATGCTAAGATCACATTGAAGCCAACTTGCATTCATAATATATATTATTTCACATACGTACCAAACTAGCAACTTTTCAATTTAATTTAAATTACTTTAAAAAAAAAAAAAACACTACAATTATTAAAATAATAATAATAATAGTATACAAGAGGGAGGGAGGAATGAAAACAAAATATAAAATATAAAATTAAAATTAAAAGAACCACACATTAAGTCATACTTTAATTTGGTTTGCATTATTTATAAAAAGAACCGTAAAAAAAATCCTCAACTTGATTTAGACATTTCTCCTCCAAGAATAAGAATAATAGTAACAAATAAATAAATATGTATATTACGTCAATTATTATGTAACACAAATTAAATTGATGGACCACTCAATGGTGCCACTTCTGCATTTGCTACATGCCAGCTGCTCCATTTTTATAATTAAATTTCCATATCTTATTCATGCTTGAAATTGAAATTTGGTGTGTTCATTCTTGATGGATTATTATTATTATTATTATAATTGTTATTATTGTAATGTCTTTTTCTAAGCATGTCATTATCATCCATTCAAAATGCCATGGAAATGTACTCTCCTCCCACATAATTTGTCCTTATTTTTTATCTTCGTTCGTCCCACATAACTTGTCCTTTCTATTTTTGAAAATATAATTATGCACTTTAATCGCATTTTAAATTTTAAATTTTATAATTTTCTTAATTTTAATTAAATTATTTACTTATCTTAATCTTAATCTATAATTATTTTTACTAATACACTTATTAATTACTTATTAATTATATTTTACCTAAATTTTCGTGTCTACAGTAATACACTCGTGTTACATGGGACTAAGGGAATAATAGACAGGCAGTCTAATCTATCCCTAGTGGAAATGGTCAGCAATAATGTTGACTTCCACACCAAAAATTCTTTTCCTTATTTCTAAAATTTTGGGTTAAATCCATTGAAGTTAATAATCAGGCAGGGTTCAATATTAAAGAACACCTGCTAGTCAAAAAAGTACTTCCACTGTACCACTCAATTACGTTACATGTTTTTTTTTTTTTTTTCAAAGATCCCGTTCAATTATACCACTTCCCAAAAAAAAAATAATAATTAATAAATTTTAATTATAATTAAATTTTAACAAATTCAAAACAATATGTTTAGTTTTTTAGTTATAAATATTTTGAAATTTTATTTTTAATTACATTTAATTAGAACTGATAAAAATAAATAAGATAAAAAGATATCAAAACTCGAGTCGGACATGATATGAAAATTCGAATTTAGATCGGATATAGCTGAAATTTTTAAAAAATAAAAATAATTTAAAGTTCAATAATTTTTAAAAGTATTCCATAGTCAATCAATTTTAACGATGCATTTAGTTTTAGATTTTAGTTTGCGTAATAAAAAAAATTAATTTGAATAATTTTTTATTTAATATAAATATGTATTAATAAAATGTGTTGAATACGAAATTAATTTTTAATATAATATCGAAATGATAAATAAAATTTTAATTTGGAGTTTTTTAGAAAAAAAAGAATGATAAATAGACTCGAGTGTGTTTGCTTAGAGTTTGTATTCTGAATAATATTTTTTTTTTAAAATTTAAATAGATTATTTGATATAATATAAATTTATATTGAGATAATATTTTGAATTTAAAATTATTTTTTCATATATTATAAAAATTAAAAAAAATAAGAGTTTGATTTGATAGTTTTAGAAAAAAAAAAAATTGAATAATTAAAATCTAACTATATATTTTGTTCGAAGTTTAAATTTTGGATTTGGATTTAAATAGTAATTTTTTTAAAAAAAATTAAATATTTGTTATGTTATAAAAATAGTTATGGATGTGATATTTTTTATTTAAAATTGATTTTTAGTAGTATAAAAAATAGAAAACTTAAAAATTTGTTTGATATTTTTAAAGAAAAAAAAAAATCAATGAATAATCTTAACAATGTGTTGGAATTTTAGATTTTAGGTTTGAGCATTAATAGTAATTTTTTTCAAAAATTTTAAACTCTAATGTGATATTTTTTAAAAAATATATTAATATGATATTTTGATATAAAAAATAATTTTTAATAAATTATAAAAAATAAAAGTTTGATCTGATTTTTTTTGGAGAAAAAATGTGTGAATAAACTCTAACGACGTGGGGTGTTTAAAGTTTGAATATTATTATTAATTTTAAATTTAAATAATTGTTTAATTTTATATAAATATGTATTGATATGATAATTTTAATATGAAATTATTTTTTAAAATAACATAAAAATTGCGACTTTTATTTGATATTTTTTTTTAAAAAAAAATTGGTGAATAGTAAAATTTTTTAGGGAAATCCATACAAATTTTTTTATTTATATTTTAAATAAATAATATATTATTATAAGCAATTTAAATTATTTTTTAAAAAAAATAGTATTATTATAAATATTTATATTAATTATTTATTCCAAAATATTTAATATCTCTACTATATAATTATTTATGCCAAAATATTTAATATCTCTACTTTATTTATAAAATTTTAAATAAATTAACATATTATACTCTATTGCAATTCTCGACTCAATTAAATTAAACACGAATAACTTTCTAATCTTTAAATTTAAAAATTATCTCTAGATGCTTCATAGTGGGATACAGGCAGATAACCTACCTACCTACGTTCCAATAATACTTCTATATATACTTATTAAATTAATATTATTAGTCAATAATTTTCAAACCCCATCACCAATTCTTAAGATATACTGATTAAATAAGATGATTACAAGATTTCGAATCATTGTATTTTATGGCAAGAACATTCCAGACAAGTCTATGCAAGAATTTAAAATAGTGACAAGGGCAATCAATCAATCAAGAATTTCATCCATATTATAAAAGTAAACTATTGATCATTCACCATCCACAAACATAATAAGTTTAACTAAAATCATCACACAAAACATAAATTCGATAAAAATCTGGTTGCATTAAAACAAAAATTGGGAAAATATTCCATGATACAGTAGAAGACCAAACATTTGGTCTACAAGACAGCAGGATAAGGAAAATTTTTTCTCTAACATTTGAGGAAGTTCTTAAGGCTATAAATGCAATGAGAATGGCGCCCAGTGGCGACGGGACACCGGCCGATTTGATGCGATCGGATCCGATCTGAGTACAGCAGCAGCTATGCACTGTTGCCAGTTGCCTTTCGTATTGAGGTGAAGTTGAATCTGCAAATAAAGCCAAATCGCAATTAGCAAAAGAAATAGAGATCGAAACTTGTTTAGTCTGTAGTTAATTCATAAACCTGATAAGGGGTTTCTGAGGTGCAACATTTGCAGATGCCACAGAACTTGGTACCGGCAATTCAAGAGGCTGCATTTGATAGAAAGCAGTTAGAAATCAACTAAAGGCTTTTATAATATGCTAAGATTAGAAGCAAACATTCAAAACTACACGAAATATGTACCAAATAGTTGTAGATATGCATAATGTACGAATAATAGGAGGTAAAAAAGAGCTGAAGTAACTCAAGCAACGCACGAATTCAAGCTAAAAGGAAGTGGGGCGTGATACCTCGAGCTCTTCCAATTCGCAATTCTGTAGAACCCTTGAGCAATTTGTTCCATTTCCTGCTGCATGCCCCGACGAGAAGGAAGGCAACAGCTTAAGTTCTTCAGTCTTGCCATTGGATTGAATTTCATTGGGTCGGGTTTCAATCTTTGGCAGTATGGCTTGTGTGAGGCCATCGAGTATTTCCTCAGAAGCTTGGTGATTGATAGCTTGTGCGGAAGATTGTTCAGCAATGTTCTTCTCTACTGCTAATGAACAGGACAGAGCAGCAGAAGTAGTCGGGACCCCAGCAAATCCTACCCCGGGAATTTCTAGCGTATGGTTGGATATATCATCAGTAGATTCCACATTTGTTACGCTGGCTGTAAGATCAGCTGCAATATGCTTCTTGGGGGCTGTTTCATCCAGTGAACTTGCATCGCTAATGGTTGATGACTCCGTCAAATTAACTGCTCGATTGACTTCATCCCGTCTTCTCTTCTTGATTGTAACGGCATCAGATTGTGCAGAGTTGGAGCTGGGTGATTTGTGAACTGAACGGCTCCCAGAAGCACTTCTAGCAGGAGGACAAGGTCGAACTCCACCCGGGAAGACGAAAAGAGGTAAATCTTTACGTTTGACGTGACATACTTGAATCCACATCGACGGCTTCCAGAATGAGTACCCATATACATCCCGCTTAAATTCCTCAACTGTCATTCTTAGGTCAAATTGTTCTCCTCCTTGAGGATTAGTGCCTTGTTTCCTCCGCAGACCCATAAAATAACAATGGTAAAAAGACTTAGACTTGTCTGAAAATTCACCGGGGTGAGGGTGACACTGAAGAGACCCAGTATCCCTTTCGATCTGGATCACAGGAAGAAAGTGACGAATTAGATTTTCATTATAAAAGATCAAATCACATTGCCAACATAAAATACTTGTCGCAGCCCCCACAAACCTTTAAAGTAAGCAAGCGTATTCTAGACTCGACCCATCCTTTCCAATTCATTAAGTCATCATTATCCTCCGCGGCTATGTCTATCTGTAGATAATTTTTGTATGCTTCAAAGAAAGCAAAAGGCTCAAAAAGTACCGCCCAGCCCATCTTGTTTGCTTCTATTGCCTGCCATTCAATAAATGAAATTAGCACGATCAATGGAAAAAGCAAAATTCGACAAAATTAAATTAAAAGGTTGCTGCATAAAATACCTCGCAGATTTCATTTCCTCTATGAAATTCTTCCGTCATGACCCGCAATGTGCTTGTCGATACATTGTAGCTCGAGTTCATGCATGGATATGCAGGAGTTATAATGGGCATTAGGTGTTGTCGGTCTTTGTAGTTTCTTCTAGGATCCCAGAAAGACAGTCCTAGAGATCCATCTTGAATTGGGCACAACATAACAGGGTTTGGCCACCGCCACAAGTTGTAAACCCTAAAAAAGCGAGACACCAACATGCCAGGCAGAGCATTTGGGTAGAGCTGGCAAATGCGTGCAACAAGGAGCGCCCAATTAATACCACCAAGGAAACCAGTAACCTGTAGATGATTATTTGCAGGTTAAGTAATAGCATACGAATTGCGAATGTATAAAGCAAGATATTGAGTGAGCAAAGAAACAGTAGAAAATTTCTCACATTTGAATAAACTCCTCGTCTTTTTGCCCAGAGTCTCAAGCATCGCAGCGTGGTCCGGAATGTCTACAAGAAAGAAAACCAAATCATTCAAAAAAAACATATATTTCAGCACACTTCTTTCAGCATTCACTTCTTTCGTTCACAAACCTGAATGTTTGGGACCAGGCGCAATATCTGATCAGTTACTCTGCAACCATTTAAGCTACGAACAGTTTGGTCATCCACATTTTGCAGAATGGATTCTTGAGATATATCCAGGTCCTACAAGCACACAAGCAACACCACAAGGTAAAAGATCACAGTTGTTAAAAATTCACGAGACATTATTACAAACTATCAATTTGAAACAACTCTAATCTAGAGCATCCCATCAAAAAACAAACATAAGAACAATGTGAAAGACTTGTGAGCAGAACCACCACATGTGCCCGCTCAAAATAAAGATAAAATAAGTATGCAAAACAGAAAGTGAAACAGAACGCTAAACTTCTGGTCAATAACTCATGCTGTCCCTAATGGAGCTGTTTATGAAAACAGTTGCTACATCAGCCATCAACGAAAATGAGACTAAATCATGTGCTACAGAAGACCCCTAACAAGTTCTATAAGCTAGACATTAATAATTACAAAGACAAAAGGGGCATACTTCAGGAATAACCCAGAGGGCCACATTTGCATACAGCAGGTCTATAGAGACACCATTGAATCTGAACTTCATCACTGGCACATGAGCATCTGGTACAGGATGGAGCTCTTGCACCTCAGGCATCTCTAAAAGCATTCTGTAAAGTTCACCAAAGAAGTCTTCCTGCATAAAGAATAGTTATTAGCTTCTATTCAACAACTATCAAATTAAACAGGGTAAATACATAGATCCCTACATGTCGAGTAGCATGCTTTGGTCCAACACACAAGGTATCAATGTCAGCGCCGGGTCCATGAACCTATATAATAAAAGGAAAAAACACCTTAATTTAAAATGCAGCTTCAGTAATCAAATACAAAAACAAACTAGTACACCCACAATCAAGACATGAAAAAATACAAAATCACTAAAAGTATAAAGTAGCTCCACATTCCTAACTTCAACCACAAATAAAATGGAACAGGTTTTAGCACTAGTAATTGGCAAGTCAGATGATTATACGCAAGAAAGTAGTAAAAGTTACAATGAATATTCTATATCCATCAGCTACAGCCTGAGTATAGTTTCATTCATCATGGCATATAAGCCTGAATGCCCAGCAAAATTTGTTTCTATAGTTACCTTCCATAAGATGGCATTTTCTCAGAGCACTACTGTCATAATTAAGATAGAGCTCAAAAGAAATTTTCATTCATTTATTTAAGTAAAGTTATACTTGCATTTCATCAACAAACACATCAACCAGAAACTCTTATAGATTATAACTTCACTAGTTCACTATTAGGCATGTTGGTTATAAGTCATGCATTCAAGATACACATGGATTTCTAGCTCCAGTCACTGCAAGTATTATGCTGATATAACTTTGCTGTTCCATTATTAGTAGCCAAACTGATTTTCTTCAACTGATTGGCAGTGTAAGTCAAAAAGCCATCTATTCCAACCAGCAGTTTGGTGGGGAGAAACACGCAAGTTATTTTTCAAGGTCCAGGAATTTTAGTAGTAAGTTTAGCATTCAATAGAGGCTTTTACAAGACCAAAACAATTGCAGATACAGATAAAGCATTAATAGACAAATGCCATGATGCAAAGTACTCCACGTCAATTGAAAAAACGAAAACATGAAAGGAAGAGAAAATTGTCATACTCCAAGGCGATAGGATCCAAATGTGAAAATTTTTGCATTTGCCTCATGAACCACCATTTCACTATAACCCTTGGCCCGGCAAATATTCTTCACCCATTGCTTAACAATCTGTGAATAATGCAAGAGTGAGCATTTATACATCAAACACTGTAGCAGGAAAAAAGTTGAAAGTTTGATTGCTCTAGGTGACCTGGTCCAATCTGCCAAGAACTTCTTCCCTTTTTACAGCTTCTTCATGATTTTCGTAAAGTCCTGCATCCGCAAGAAGCTGATAGCCCATATAAAGGTAAGCGCCTCTCATAGATCAGATATAAAAACTTAAAAACTGAAGTAACTCTATCCTTTTAATTGACAAAGTCCCTAATAAATAAGCAACAAAATTTGTAATATGAATTTCAGTTGACACATAGTAATATCCAAGCACTTTCCTCAATTGGTTACAAATTCATAAAGTAGCTCGTCATCTTCAACCGCCTCAGAGACCATCAAAGTGTACTTGGAATATCAAATTTATAATACGTTAAGACATCAAGTTACACTAACGAGGTACTTTACGGGTTTCTTTTAAATTCAAATAGGCATTATACAACTACATGGATTGGACACATCAACTACTCAAGTTGCTCAAGTAGACAAGTTCAAGTTTTTGAAACAAAATTCCAAGTTAGATGAGAAACATAGTGTAGTATCTTTAAACTTATTTAAGCAAAATAACAGCTAACCTAATTACTGTAACTATATGTTTCCACAGATTCATACTTATAACATGCTGAATTTGAAATCACCTCAATTAGGTAAATTTCAGGCGCAAAACCCATCAAATCCATAACTAAAAATTTAATTTTGAAATGTATTATGATCCAATTCCACCATCAGGCAGAAAACTTCAGTGCATAAATATTTCAAACTCACGGTGCTCACCAAATCATCTGATAACAAACATGTTTCAAGCACTGAGCAAATTCAAAGTACCCTAAAAAGAGATATGAATAGCAAACCTTCTCCAACTCATTAGTCCTGACAACATCCAATTCGCTCGGGCCACCAGTTGAAATTGGCTCTGACAATCCAATTCGAGCTCCAGTAGACGAATTACTCGGTGCAGGGCTACCCATCGAAACCCTTTTCTCCAAAAAGAAAGTTCAGTAATTCTTGCACTCTTCAAAGTGAAAAAAAAAAAAAAAAACGGAAAATAACATAAAATTAACAGCAGCAGTCTCTCTTTTGGGTGTTTTTTTTGCGTATTCCTTTTTTGTTTCTTTCAATAACAGTTAACAATCAACTCTCAACAAACGTTAGCTAATATAACTACACCGAGTAATCAATCACATGTAATACACACAAAAGAAAAAAATCGGTACTTCATTTTTTGCTCTTCCTATTTTTCCAATATAATTTCAGAGATGCTACAACGCATTAAAAGTACAAGCAAAATCGGATAAATAAAACCGATAACAATAGGGATGTAAACACAAAACTCTCCCTCTATATCCCCTCTTCTGCAATATTCGTTTTCTCTCTACAAGGTATACTGGAATTAAACCCGAAAACCCCAAAAATTACACCGAACAAGACCCCGATATCCGCAATTAATAATTTTTTTCTCTATTTTGTTCTTGATGAGTGATTGGGTCTCCTCGATGCAGCCGAAATCCCTAAAATTCAACCAAAACAAACCACCCTCCAGTTATTAACAACTCAAAATCGATTTCACATAAAACCAAATACACATAAATAAATAAAGTAAACTTACAGAGAGAAATAGAGGGAGCATCCAGATGGAAGAATCGGGAACGGTGACGACGGAGAGATAGGAAATAGGAAATAAGAAAAGCGGTTTCTCAATAAATCACCTATAACGAGTGGAGACGACGATTTAATAAATAAATAATAATATTGTCGTGATGGTAGACTAGACATCTCCAGCCGGTTCAGGGTTACCAAGCACCGGTTCAAACCGGAGTCACGGTCACATGTATATCGATTTTTTCCCGATCTGTTTCGCTTCCAAAGTACTCCCTCCGTATTTCTACTTCTGAACCGCCGATTCTGATTAAACCGGCGGGGTTCAGCCTTTATGCTTATGTTAGTGTGGGAGATTTTAGGTCTGATTTTTTTTTTGTTTAATTGATATTTTCTTATACTCTCTCTATAAAAACAATAGAAACAAGGTTTCTATTCGTCTCAAAATAATAATTTTATTATCATAAATAATTATAAAGTTATCTTTCACTTTTAAATAAATATGCTTGTTATGGTTGTATTTTTTTTACCCTTCAAATGTCATATTTTTATTATGTCGACTCTATATTCTTCAAAAAATATAATTTATTTATTTTTTTACAAAATATTTTATCATATATTATTTTAATATCAAATTCAAATCAAATATTGTTAAACTCCGTCAAAAGAAATACACCACATATTTAAATTTTTCATAAATTACAAATATACCATTATAAAAAAATTATAAAAGCAAATTTATTATTACAATGACAATATACAATTACATAGTCAAAGAGGTAGAAATATCAAAACATCTTGCATGCTTTTATTCATCAATAAAATAATAATATCTTTGTGCACTCTAATCTGCCTATTTACTTTTTGCATGTTCATTTGTATTAATTATTATATAATAAATAATACATATTAAGGGAAAAATAACAAAAACATTTTTATATACGAATACAATGATATTTGTAAAAAAAAAAAATTATATAAATATATAAATATTTTTAATGTTAAAAACAATGCCATCAAATGTAAATGGGTAGATTGACGGTGAAGGATTGTTATATTATTAGTGGAAAAAACAACAGCAAAATCAAATAAGTAAGAGCCTTACCTATTGTTCATATTTACAAAATTCGACTTCCTGTTTTGATTTCTTTGCCAGCAGAAAGAACTATTTCAATTCAAAATTATACTTTTTAGATTCAAATTCAAAATTCGAAACGCCAACAAAACACAATGTAAGAGTCTTACCTACGACTAACATTCATTGAATCCATGTTCCTTTTCTGGTCTTTTTGCCAGTAGAAATAACTGTTCCAATTTAAAATGTTAGTATTTAAAGTTTAAATCTAAATTTAAATATTCAATTAAGTACTTCATTCGTCTTAATTCAAAGTATTTTATTACCATTTTCACATGATCCATTTTAAAAATATTTATTTTTTATTTTAGAAAAAATATTTGTACACTACTACTAAAATGTCATTAACTTTTACTTAAATGATTAAGTTAAAAGACAAAAATATAAAAAATTCTTACATACTTCAATTTATTAATAAAATATTACTCTCTCCCTCCCAATCAAGGTGCAACATTTGCTTTTGGCACGAGTTTTTAGGTAGGTAGTATTAAACGTGATAATTTAGAAATGAGGTGATGTGATTGAGAGATAAATATATATTTTATTTTTTTATTTGGATGATGTGAGGGGATAAAGTGTGAGGTAGATATTAAGTATAATTAATTATTTCCTATTTTGGTAATATTTCATAGTGTTTATGATATATCAAAAAGGAAATGTTACAAGGTGTTTAAGACGGACAAAACCCAAAAAACCCCCCCAACTATTATGGGCGAGAACAGAAGCTTAGTGGAAAGTGATGCGGTACCGATGGAGTCAATCAAAAGCGATGAACTCGATCAGAAGCGGTGCGGTAACGACGGACAAGCAACTGTTATTTTGGTTTGCGTCTTTTGATTTATGTTCAATTTTCTTATCAAATTTAAGTTGGTTTCTATTATCCCATCCAAGAAGACCCCGAGTTTGAGGGGAGATTGAGATATTTAATTTTATATTTATTAGATTTAGATTTAGATTTTATCGTATCTACTCCCTCCGTCCCAAACAAGATGCAATATTTATTTTTTGGTATGTCTCAAACACCCTGCAACATTTCTAAAATAGGAAATAATTAATTATACTTAATCTCCACTCCACACTTTATCCTCTCACATCATCCAAATAAAAAAATAAAAAATATATATTTCTCTCTACGTCAAATCACCTAATTTCTAAATTATCCTACTTAATACTATCCACCTAAAAATTCGTGCCAAAAACAAATGTTGCACCTTGTTTGGGACTGAGGGAATACAATTTATTCGTTGTCATTCATTCTTGTATTGAACCTTACCGTTGATTATCCATCACGACCTTACTTCCTTCAAATCGTTGGCCAACAAGAACGTGGCGTACGAAGAAGACGAACGAAAGCAAAGAAGATCGAGGAGAAAGAAACTGAGAGAGAGTGTTGTGGCGTGGCAGTTGTGACTGAGCCGCAGCTGTTGTATTTATAGGTAAAAAAGTAGTTACTTTAACCGTCAAAATCAATATTTAATTTATAAATTTTAACATATTAATATTGTATTATAATTTAGCTTTTTATTTTTATTTATAGTTTGTTACTAGCATTTAGCGTTTAAATTCGTGTTAGGCACAGATGATTATATTTAAATTTAGTTATTATATTATTTTTATTTGTTTTTATGAATATTTAAAATAAATCAAAATATATATATATAATTATTATATAATCTAATATATTTATATTTTACTATTTTAGTGATTGTATTTTTTTCTTTTATGAAAAGATTTTTTTATATAGTTTTATTTATACTTTATTTTAAATATTATAAGAAAATCCAAATTATTAATTACTGCAAATATTAAAAATGAAAACAAATTATTTTTTAATTATAACTTTTTTGTTAATAGCTATGGAAAAAATTTGTAAAAGAAAATGATGATGATCATATTAACTAAAAATTAAAAAATAAAAAATACTCTATAAAATAAATTTGAAATATAGATAATTACGATTTTTTACTTAACCAGAGAAAAATTTATATAAAAAGATGTAAAATTCCAATTACGTTTAATCTCATGCAAATTCTAAATTATCTTTTCAAGTGATATGATCTACATAATCTATCAAATATTATTTATAATAAATAATAAATATTTTGCATAAAATCACTAAGTATAATTAATTAATGAACTAATATACAATGCATATATAAATAATAATATCAAACTATCAATACTTATAACTAAAAAATCTATAATTAAAATTTTCAATAATAATTATTTATTGTTAAATTTAAAATAAATGAAATAAATAAATTATATGTAAATATATATTTTTTAGAAAAATTATGTATAATAAAATCATCCTACCAAATTAGCATTTATAGTTAAAGTTTACAATTAAAAATATTAACAAAACTTATCCAAAAATATTTTATTTGAAATTAATTTATATATAAAATTTATTGTAATTTTTAATCTAACAATAACCATTATATCACTAAATATGTTAATATAAAAATAAACAAAAAAATTTATATAAAATTATAAATACAAATATATATTTTTTTTATGAAAATTATATCAAGCTTAAACATCAAAATTATACTTTTAAATAAATTTAAAATAAATATATAAATATATATGAATAAAATAATTCAAAATTTTTAATTACTACACATGCATTATTTTTTAAAAAAATGTTAAAATTATCTAAAAAATATATAAATATATCTAAATATTTTTCATAAAACTATCTAAAAAAATATATAAAAAATACATGCGATTATGAAATAAAAAAAATGCAACAAAACAAAAACAATAAATTTATTTGAGAAATTATTTTTTTATTTTTTATTTTTTTAACGCCGAAAAATGTCAGAATCAAAAAAATAGGACCCACATTTCTTTACTATAGTTATATATATAAGATAAGATAAGAATGATAGGATACGGAAAATAAATAAATAAATAGATTTATTTATTAATTTATAATTCATTTTTTATTGGAACGAAACTGTTGGAACTGATTTCGTAACCGCCTAAATAATGAAGGCCCATGTTTTATTTTGATTTTTAGGCCCAATTCATTTTCTTCTCCGCCCCTTTCCCGCTCTTGGCGTGTTCTTTAGAATTCACTCCCAGAAATCGATCTGAAATTTCATTGTCGAAATTTGGGGTTTTGATTGGGGTTTCCAGGTGGTCTTTTCTCTTTCTTTCTCTGTTTTAATTTGTTTGTATGTGTGTTTTTTATTGTTTATTTAATCTACCTATCTTCATCGTGTGTAGATTTGTAGCCAATCTTGATTTCTTTAGAAGGTGATTTTCTTAATTTGATTAACAATAGATCAGTGGATCCATTTTATTTCTTTGTCTCTATGGGATTTAATTCGTAACTATGGCGGTTTGATTTTGTGCAGTTAGCATTTCGTTGCCGTGTGCCTACATGTTAGATTACGATACTTTGTTTTTAGTTTATTTCGTGAATTTTGTAGAGATTTTGACGAATTCTTCGATTTGAAGTTATCTGTCTGTTTTTGGAGTACTGCAGTTTTGAGTTGCTTCTGATAAGGATTTCCGTGTGCTAATTAGGTTGCTTACATGGCCAATTATTATGACATTGATGATATATTAGCTGAAGAAGAGGTAATATGCTTATTCCTGAGTTTTCATCTTCTAAATCTTTTGAATAATGGTAGATTCTGATTTGTCATTTTTTTTTTCTTCTGGCTGGCAATCTGTCAATTTTAATAGCTTGTTCCATCAGTATTTCAACATGCTGCAAATGGTGTTGGGCTTTTCGATTCAAGTGATGATACAAATAAGGTACGTGTATGTCGTTCTGCTTGTTTATCTACAAGTACTTTGAGCAATGGGATGTGCCTGTTCATTTGATCTCTAACTAAGTTGAGAATATTTCAAAACTGACAGTGGTTTGTATTCTCCGAAATTAGGTGGACGCTGGATCCAGAGTAGAGCTCCCCTTCTGGTTGGTCCGTGAATTGTATTTGAGACAACTTATATCTATAAGGGTTCCTCCATGCTTTGACAGAGAGTAATATACCATCTTTACTGATAGTTTATTCACCGTTCAAATGAACGGACTTATTACCATTTTGTTGCCTTTTCAAATCCAAAACACAACATGGTTGAAACCCAATAATTGATTGCAATCATGACGGAAGAGCAAGAAATATAATTAATACAATTTAAGGGGAAATAGATTTGGTGGTATAATTTTGATTCTTTCTATACTCTGCTGTGAGCTTTTCTTGAAATTCTGTGAAAAATGTATGGTGGTTTGATATATATATACACTTACATAAATATATTAATTTGCATTGTGTTCTTTTGGTTTGCTTCTCTTGTTCTGTTTTTAGATCCAAAACACGGGAAGAAATAGCAGCTGATGCTGCACATGTTGATCTAAGAAGTAGATCCCCATACTTTTATGAAATGGGGTGTAAAATTGCACCACTGTAAGTTCTCTCACGTTTACACAATTACGCTTTATGTTTGGTTTCTTACACCCAGATAATCACAATTTACGGCCATCCTAATTGGAAAAATAAAAGCACAAAGGTGTCGGTTTCACGTGGATGTAGGGACTTCCAAATTTACTTATCCACGCGTGTCCATCCAATAAATTCTCAAAGCACACCAGAGTTTTGTGATTTGTCTAAGAATTGTGTAGATGTATGTATGCCTTTTCCATGGGTTGTTGAAGCTTGTGTCCATCCAAGAATCACGGGTTCTTTGTAAGAATGCTTTTGACAGTCCAACATCAGGCTTTAAGTGTTTATATGTTTAAGTAAGGACAGTATTTATTTATTTTTCATCTGGCTCCAGCTACCATAGTTTCTTGAATTCGATGCTCAAATCCTTTCGTCATGCATGCCATCCTAGGTGTAGCATCTTTCATCATGTGTAAGGTCTGAAAGCAGTAGTTAACCATGTTGAAGTAAAAGTTTTAACAATTTGTGATTGAGTTTTGATTCTTGACATGCTACTATCAGTGTTGGCGACAAGACCATTGGACCGTTCCTTCTAATAGCTTTCCGGACAAGATACAAGGAAGTCTTGATCAAAGCCCATACTCTCACTTCTGCAGCAACTTCCAAGCACTTGGCACTCCTCACAAACGAAGAGGCTAGACGTGAGTTTATCGAATCATTATTATATACGGTTCTGATTTCTATTGGAAACACTATTTTCCTGATGTCTTGTCTTGCAAACTTGTTCTGAAGTGTATGAAGCCGGCCAATCTTCCATAGCCGCATTCAAAAAGTGGCGAACAGGCGGCCCGCGACTCCAGGTTGCTCCTGCTCTTGGTAGGAAGAGGAAAGCAACTTAAATGAAGGTTGAGGAACAAAGGCATGATATGTCCTGGTTAGTTTTGCTAAACCCACACCATAGATTTTCTGTTTGTGTAGCCTCTGGAGTTATTCGTCTGTTCTGTTTTAGGGTTCTTCTGCTTATATTCAACTCCATGGTTGTTTAGTGGTGTGTATCTCTTGGTTGATAATTAGACATGGTATTGTTTGAAAAGGATTCAATTATATGTTTCATTAAATTATATGCACACAACTCTCATCGGAAAGTTACGATTATTTCTTTGATCGTGAGCGTGACCATTTTTTTTCTTTCCATTGGTTTGTATTCAAAGGATAAAACAATCCTGATTTTACAGGGTGTGAATTTATTGTAGTTCTGTTTGTTTGGTTTGAGTTTGAATTGTAACCCGGATCAGGTACTGTGTGTCCTTATCGGGTCTCGGGTCCAAATGTGGATCTTACTCGAACTCGGACCGATCAATATATTACTAATATATTAATTATATATATATATGAAAAAAATTAGTTTTAATATTATAAATTATATTAAAAATATACTTTTAGTTTAATTTATTTATGATTTTATTATAATATTTTTTATTAAAATATATAAATTTTAATATATGTCGGGTCCGTATCGGGTTCGGATTCAATTTTAAGTTAAATTTTAAGAATTGTAAAAAAAGATCGAATCTATCGAGTCTTGTCGGGTATTGTTCGAGTCTGGTTTGAATGTGATCAAGTTCGAGTATAATCAGGTCCGATTTGAATATCAGGTCAAGTCATGTGTGTTCAGGTGACCCACACCCGACCCATTGCCATGCGCATTCGTCTATGTGACTTTTGTTTTAAATACTTAGCATTTAGATTGATATTTTGTTTAAAAAGAAATATTATATTATTATTATATATAAAAGAAACATATGAATAATATTGATTTAACTAGAAATAAAAATAAAACAAACCATAGTTTGCATTAATTATCTTAATTAGATTTGGTCTCTCTTATTCCTTTCACATTTTTTAATTCTGGCATCAATTTTGAATGTAATTGAAAGACTAAATTATACGATTTCATAATACAATATGTATATATATTTTTATAGTCTGAAAAGCCGCAATGAACGTATCCTACAATCTAGGTCCACAAATTAAACTTGACAAGAGAGTTTGAACTATAATATCACGGTTATAAATTCATTCTAATATTTATTTATTTTTTTAATTATTGCTATTGAATGCTACTCTTATTTGACAACCTATGACAACTTAATTTAAAATATTATTTTGTATATTAAATAATACAATTCATTGTACTTTACACAGATAAAATATTTCAAACTAAAATATTAAAGAAATAAATTTATAATTAAATAGAATTTATAAACTATTTAAAATATATAATATTAAATGTTATTTATAATACTATATCAAAAATAAAATAATTCAAAATGATAAGGATAATTAATGCATAAAATTTTCCTCAATAACAATTAATCTCCTATTAGTTTAGTCAATAAATTTGTAAGTAGCTGGAAAAAAAAAAAAAAAATCTGAGAGCGACACGCCCCATATTATGCTTTGAATAAATATTTGTCTCGGGAACTAGAAGGGCAAAAGGGTCATTTTTTCAATCTACTGCCCCCCACAAGTACAGTACAGAGTTGGTGTTTGGTAGATCCGCGCGGTAGTTGTCATTTGCATCGAGGCGGCGGATTCCGACGGCGATTTCGAAGAAAGCTCCTTTTTCTTCTTACTGAAAATAAATCCGCACAGAACTTTCCCAGCGCACCCAAAATCGCTTTCTGCTCCATTTGATCGCAATACAGAAAAGATGGCGTGCGCTAGTATGGTCAAATTGAGCGCCGCGTCCTCATCATGGATCGCTGGGCAGCAGTCCGTCAACCAGCGACCTGGATCGTCGCAGCGTTTCCCCGCTAGACGCGTCTCTGTTATCCGCGCCGGATCATACACCGATGAGCTCGTTAATACCGCGGTATGCTTTTTTTTTTTTTTTTAAATCGATTATTTTTATGTTTAAATGGATTGTTGAACGCGTTAAATTTAAGTTGTGTTTGGCTGCGAACTAGTTTGAGTTTTCTGTGGATAGATGGATGTATGAAAGTGTACTCTGAATCGTGTTGATGCCGATTGATAATAAAAGACAGATTTTAGAGTGTGTGATCTGTTTAGTTTCGATGCTTGTAATTAACTGTAGTTGTCTTGTTGTTGTTTTCCATGCTTGGATGTAGGGATTTTTCTTCTTTTTTTTTTTTTTTTTTTTTTGTGTGTGTGTGTGTCTGCATCTTGAGCTCATGTTGACTTGAAGATTGTATGTCACTTTATACGTGGATATCTCGAAATTTCATTTCCGTTTTAATATGATTTGGATTACGCTGTCTGTATAGTTTATACATATTTCTCTGAGGTATTATCTGACTTGTTTATGTGGCTCTAAGAAATCCGTTGCATCACGAGGGCGAGGGATTCTTGCAATTGATGAATCAAATGCAACGTGTGGGAAGAGGTTGGCTTCGATTGGACTCGACAACACTGAATCCAACAGACAGGCTTACAGACAACTTCTGTTGACCACTCCTGGCCTGGGTGAATACATTTCTGGGGCTATTCTCTTTGAGGAGACACTTTACCAGTCAACCACAGATGGAAAGAAGTTTGTTGATTGCTTGCGTGATGAGAACATTATACCTGGTATCAAAGTTGATAAGGTGAGGTCCTATCCCAGAATGATATAAACACATCAAATGTCTTTTGATATTGTGAACTTTCCTCATAATCTGGGCTGTGATATGTGGTATGATTTCAAACTTTGATTTCTTTGATCTCATATGGCAGGGTTTAGTCCCTCTTCCAGGATCAAACAATGAATCTTGGTGCCAAGGTTTAGATGGATTGGCTTCACGATCTGCTGAATACTATAAGCAGGGGGCTAGATTTGCAAAATGGTATTCTATTTGTTTCCAGGTGTATTTTTAGCATTTCAATGATGTCAATGGTTATCTAAGCTTTTCACCATTTGTTATTATATAACTATTTTAGGAGAACTGTTGTTAGCATTCCCTGTGGTCCTTCTGCTTTGGCTGTCAAGGAGGCAGCTTGGGGCCTTGCACGATATGCTGCTATTTCTCAGGTAACACTATTGTAATGACGACTACATTGTTTGACCATGAAATGCATGAGACTATAACATGTCTTGTGTCTGTTTTTCCCACAGGATAATGGTCTTGTGCCAATAGTAGAACCAGAGATTCTTTTAGATGGCGACCACCCTATTGAAAGGACCCTTGAAGTGGCTGAGAAAGTGTGGGCAGAGGTATTCTACTACCTGGCGGAGAACAATGTTGTCTTTGAGGGAATTCTTCTTAAGCCGAGCATGGTAACTCCGGGTGCTGACCACAAAAACAAAGCTTCCCCAGAGACCATTGCCAAGCATACTCTCACCATGCTTAGAAGAAGAGTGCCTCCTGCAGTTCCAGGGATCATGGTAACAATAAATCATAAATCCCTTGTCCATTACATCAATCATCTCTGGTTCAGAACAATTTATTGACGTACATAGATAGTGATTTCACAGTCTTGCGGATCAATCAAACTGACCTTTTCATTCTGTCGCTTTCTTCCCTTAGTTCTTGTCAGGAGGACAATCTGAAGTGGAGGCAACTTTGAACCTCAATGCAATGAACCAATCTCCCAATCCATGGCACGTATCTTTCTCCTACGCCCGAGCGCTGCAGAACACTGTTCTCAAGACATGGCAAGGACGCCCCGAGAACATAGAATCTGCACAGAAAGCACTTCTGATCCGTGCAAAGGCCAACTCCTTGGCCCAGCTCGGAAAATACTCAGCTGAGGGTGAAAGTGAGGAAGCGAAGAAGGGAATGTTCGTCAAGGGCTACACATACTAAGTCAGTCCAATGGCAACCTAATCAACACCCGAATTTTGATGTACTACTCAAGATCCTTTAATCTCTTATGCCAAGTTGCTGGTCCATAACAGGTTGAATTGCTTAAACCTTGTTTAAAGAACTTAAACTATTTCTTGGTCGAAATTATGTTTACTTAAATTATGTAAGCCACTCTGTAGGGCATAATAATTGGTCTTGACTGAAATTTCCTTACCAAATTTGCCTGTTTTGTCTATGTTGGTTATGTCCCTTTTTTCATTTTAAGCATTGCAGGTTCTCTAGGTATTTATTAATTTTCAACACAACTTTTTTGTCTTATTTTAGTTCTTGCAAGTTGCAATGTGCAATTTTTTTTTTTATCTCTTTTATGTTTTGCCTACATCCAATAGGTCCATCAAGTTTTAGCACTTGTGTTTGGCACATACATCAAATTGAGTAAATTATGATTTAGATGTGATGGTTTGTTATATGAAATTGTTTAATTGTAGAAAAAAAAAAAAAAAAAATGTTATGTGAATATAGCCAATGTGATGAAAATGGCCCTTGCATTATTAGTCCATGTGAAGGCACCTAATTCTTGGGAAAATCAAATCAACAGATTAATAATAGTGTCTTCCTGCCTCATTAAGTAGTTGATAATAAATTTGGTCATATTGGGTTCATTGCTTTGCCTAACACCTCATTTTATTTTAAATTTAATTTTCTTATATATGCTATGCATACATATCATATACGCATAGCCTTTTTTTACACAGCATTTCTTCAAAAACGATCACATGATAAATTGTCTCATAACTATTGTTAAAAATTTTCAAAATTTGCAAAAGATTTTTTTTTTTTTTCTTTTGGTTGTTGTTGTTGTCTAAATGGAGCAATAGTCTTGATATAATCAAGACCAATTAATGAAATACAGTACATTGATAATATTGATTAATAATATAACAGTACTGTGCATGTAGATATACATATGTGATATATATATAATGTGTACATATGCTTTCTGTTTCTGCATATATACATTTTGTATGTATCGCCATTAGCAGAGTCGTTTTCGCTATCATTTAAAGTCACCACTTTAGTTGTTTGACCACAATAATATAATTCAATAAAAAATCTTAATGGAATATCTGTAATATATAATAATAATAATATATATATATATATATATTATGTACATGATGAAAATTGTGTATATGTTTATTTAGGGTTCCACGTGGTCTTCCCTCTGAGAATCTCTCCTCCGCCGCCTGTCGTCTTCTGAAGAAGATGAGTGTAGGTAAGCTGATGGGCTAATCCTGGCCGTCCATTCGACGACTCTGCAGCATCCTGTGGCTCACAGAGGGACTGAACTAGATCAGTGCTCCCACATTCTCTTCTGTATTCCAATACAATACTGGAAAGCGAATGATCTTCCTGTAATTCATCTGGGATTGTCTGAAATTAAATTAGTTACCAATTTCATCAGATTAATATATTGATTTCACGCATATATAACAAACAAACAAACAAACAATAATTAGGAAAAAAAAAAAATTATGTTTATGTAAATGTGTACCTCGAGCATCCACTTGACATATATGATGTTGTTTACATGGTTGTTCATGTCAAGATCACTCCTCTTTGGCTGCATTGCACCAAATTAATTAATATGATTTTAACTATTTTTAAATAATAAAATAAAATAAAATAAAATGATTGTAGAGGTAGGAGTAGGACCTTCAAGTTAGAGAGCTCATAGGTCGCATTGCTATCCAATTTGGGTATCCTTTCAGGGCTTTCTTCTTCTTCCAGTGCTTGCTCCTCAGTGAACCATGGCGAGATTTCTGCTCTCACTTCTTCTGGAACTTTCGAGAGACGTCGACTCGATTGGTTCATCATTACCCACGTGCTGTTAATGTTATACATACACACACATATATATAGAGATAGAGAGAAGTAATCATTACAAACTTTAAGTAGAGAGCTTCAGAGAAAGGATTAATGGGAACTAACCAATATGAACTTCAAGAACACAAATATTTGGGACTAAACTGAATAATAAAATCACTTCTTGAAATTGAATTTATGTAACTTTAATGAAATCAAATTAAATTAAATAGTACCTTGATGCACGTGCGAATACAGTGCCGGTGAAGGGGCTTCGGAGAAGCCAATCTCTTCTCATTCCGTTCTTGCCGGAGGCTCCAACCCACGTGTCTATCTCCACAACTTCACCCCTATCATTCATTTCCACGAGTTTTTAAATTTAACTTTGAGAACTAATAAGGAGATTAAGATTTAATTAAATTTATTGAATTGGTGGAAATGTGTGGTTTTGTGTGCGTATGTTTTGCATGCATGAACTACATAAAAGAATTAATTTTGACAATGATAATTTATATATATATATATATATATTTACCAGATTGGGTATTGATGGAGTTGAAGATGGATTCTTGAAACAACCCAGATGAGATTGTTCCTCACCATCCCATGTGTTGCCCCAAATCCATTGTCACTCAGCAGTCCCGACATCCAAACATGGTTCAGAGCTGTTTCCTGTCATCCATTATCAAACCCTTAATTTTAACAAAAACATATTTTAATCACATATATATATGTATGTATATGTATGGCATGATGATCAGACCTGCAACAAACTGAACAATGTCTGAATAGTGGCGGTCTTATCCGGTCCGACCTCGTACGACCTGATCACGACGGTCTGCCGGTAGACAACTCCGCCGTCGACGATCACGCCCTGCCGATGTGGATCCACTAGCTGCTTCTCCTTGGGGATATTCTGTCGGGATTCTTGCTTCAAATTTGAAGCATGCCCGTTTTGATGATGATGATGGTCGGTGAGGAGATCCATCTTGCTGGGAAAGCTCCGGCCGGCGGCGACGCTGGCATGGACGCAGTTAAGGGCGTGTTTGGCCGGAAACGATAATCTGCGGCCGCCGCCGCCGATGCAGAGCCACGCCGGAGAGGAGGAGAATGCAGCCATGGCGTGGGAATAATATTACTTTAGGTTTGAATTGTTTGTTTGATCGAGATTTTATAGGCAAAAAGAATGGGATTTTTTGAATTTTCCAGACTCCCAAGCTCTAAAGATTGGGGTTTTTTTTGTTACTCTTTGTATATGTGGGAGATTTATGAGGTGGGGTATTAGTTAATTTATTAATTAATGAGCCTCAAATCCAGTGGATTTAGGGGGGTTAGAATTCATTTGTAGAACCTTCCCCCACCCCTCAAAAAATTATCCCCAAAGATTGAATTTCTGTTGTAGATTCACATCATCGAATATATATATATATATATATATATTTCAAATGTGACTAAAAAATTGTTCTTGGGACTTTCAGTCAATTCAACTGTGGATGCATATCCAGATTACTTAGATGGGTTTTGGGTAGATTAAAATATTAGATTAGGTTGGCAGAGAAAATAGTGCTGAAAAATTACTCACTTTAGTTGAAAATCCTAAGAATCAAACAGCCAGTTAGGCCAATTTGTTGTTTTTGTACTGTGGTTACAAACATTTACTGACTTTTTTTATTTCATTTATTATTTATTTTTTAAAAAAAGCAGTGACACGAAAATTGCATTTTAGTTTGGTGGTGTTCGGTCATTTATTGAAGCTTAGTTAATGGCTGCAAAGAGTTGGCTATGTTTTAAAAAATAAAATAATAATAATAAATAGAAACAATTAATTAAAATAATAAGAATTATAACAAGAAGAAGCAGAAGATTGGTATGATTAATGATGGGTTTGTTGTTGGATGTAGTATTTCAAAAAAGAACTGTCTACAACTGAATTTTGTTGCATTTCCAAAGCATGTGAAATGAATAATGAATGATCAAGGGCAGATCAGATCAGATCAGCACATCACATTACATAACATAAGATTGGATTCAATACAGAGTCCCCACATGAATGTACTGACTAACCACTCACTAAGTCTTGTCTGATTAATCTAAATGTGCGTCTTGATCACAACATGATGTCTTGTCACCTCTACCTATTATACAAACAATCAGTCAAAAAGTGGAAGCACCAAGTGAAGATGAACATGGTGCTCAAAACTTATTTCCAGAAATTGCCACAAGATTCATTCATTACCATTGTATTCAGAATTTTCATCTTAATGCTCTCACAAGTAGTTCAAACAGTGTACATACATACATACATATTCAACAAATATAATTATTTTTTTTAGTAGAACTCGGAATTGATTAGGTGATTAACACATTTAGCTGCCCTGAGTTTGAGTTGTTGCATTGGATCTTTCTTTCCTGCCATTCATCCTTCGCGATTCATTAGTTTGTTCAAGATTGCCTGTAAGCATAAAGGAGTCATGTTTCAAGTTAAAATGTTACACTATAATTAATGGAATTGTGATTCCCCAAAACATAGACACAGTATTCACAGAAAGCCAGGGAAAACTGCAGTTGATTAGCATGGATACTATATATATATATATATATATATATATACATGTCCTGAGATAACGCACCGGACAGGAGGGATTGGATTTCAATCCTTGGTGTAGTTCATGCCATGATATTAAAAGCTTCACTGGGCGGAACTCAGCAGATAGCCCATTCCCTCTGTGGTCATCGAAGGAGATTAGTGCACATTCAAGGAGATGCTCAAAAGCCTGGAAAAGGTAAGCAATAAGCTTTAAAATGTGCTGGGAAGTTGGATGCACTGATTGCTATGAGGGGACATCAAGAGTTTTTATGTATTGTCCATACTAACCCTTAAGCATACGTTGCGGGCATAATAGTCTGATGTTTGGAATGTGTCATGTATGCTTTTGTACTCTGCAGTGAATAAAGGTTAAGGTTACCAGACATCCTTGAAGGGCATCGAAAACAATAAAGATTTTGCACACACCTTTCATTATAGTATTGAAGTTGCACATCTCCACTTCTTTAACTTCCAACCTCTTCATGCAAACTAATATATAAAGCTCTAAGACGGATCTGTCTGCAAAAATGAGTTGGATATAATGTTGGAGAATCCTTATAACAAGAAGAGAATACAAAAATTAATAGCAAAACCAAATGTCATTTCTGCCAAATAAATTTATTTGCCAATATCCAATAATGAGTGAGATGTAGCTCCATAATTCTTATGCAAAGAGGGCAATATGTATATATGGAAAAAGGAAAACAGTTGATCTCAATAAATTAAGCATCCGATTACTAGAAAATATAAGACGAGAATAGAGGCAAAGCGCATAGTTACCTTTTAAAGCCTCTAGCTTTGGCTGTCTCTGCATCATTGAAAGTGCTGATTTGAAGTTCTCCAATGATAGGAGGCCGGAATTCAAGTCCATATGACAAAAAGCAGAGAACCTAGTTGCAAACAACCATGGTGTTATCAACAAGGAAGTAACAGTTTCATGCATGAACCGTATCGGCTCAAGAGTATATTGAAGTTGCACTTACAAAAATCTCAGCAAATGGTCAAGACTCGAATCAGGATAACACAGTAAATCCATGATTTCTCTAAATTTATCATCTGCTAGAGTGTTCTGTAAAATGTTAAGGACCTGAGATGACTATTGAATGTAGAAGATCCAAGAATGTATAGATTCTTTCCAATCAAGATCATACTTAGCCAAAAGAAAGAATGGAGCTCACATAACAGGACTCCAATATATTACTGAAAAAAGAGAAGCATAAATATATAATAAATGTTCTTTGTATGTTCCCTGCACAATATGAAACAATTCCATGAAAATTTGCGCCTGTGGCTGTTGATAATAATCTCACAGAAAGGATACATGTATTTTTGCATTGAAAGCAGCTATATATTCATTAGGAAGTCTTGAATCTTCCGGCAATAGTAGAATATGCTCTAAAAGTCTGCACAATCAATGTATTATAATGTGAGTGGATCTCTCTGAGGAACAAGCAGTGGAATAAATAAATAGGAAGAAAATATTTCACCTATTCAATTCTTCCCTTGGTAGAGGAAGGAACAAGAGCTTCCTATGCGAAAAACGAGATCTTACTCTTTTCTCTAACAGTTGATCAGCATCCTACAAATCATTCAACTCAATTAAACAGTGTAAAAGCATGGATGACTGTATAATAGTATAGCATCGCCAATCTGGTTATAGAACGCCTTTAATTAAATCATTAGAAAGCACAATAGAAAATAGAGGCCCTCATATCCACTAAAGCTGTATGTAAGAGTTCTTGTTTCTACTTGCTAACAATGAAGGCTCTTGTGTATAAAGTGACTTGCTGTGAAAGTAAAGCAGGTAGTAATGCCCCAATGTGCAGAAGAAGCAGCAAATTTAGAAATTGAAGACCATACCAGTCGGCAACTCACTCCAACGACAACAGCTTGTGATGTAACAGATTGCATTGCATCGAGCAAACTATAAAGTAATCGCTGTTTTCCCTGCAAGGATGAACAAACATCATAAGTGAATGCTTTAGTAATTGGACAAGAGAATAACCCTATCTTGGTATCTTTTCTTCTTCACTTAATGGTGTTACCTGCGCAAAGAGGTCAAACTCATCTAGCACAAAAACAATAGTTTTATGAGCCAACCCGCACTCCCTAGTCACAAATAGTATAGAGATGTTAAGACTCTTTGAAACAACAAGAAACATCAAGAACAAACAACTTTTCTCTCTGTGAGCGAAGACCAACAGAAAGGTTATGAACTTTACCTCAACATGGATAGCAAGAATTGGGAATTCTCATCAAAAGAAGCCTGTTCAAAATATTAGAAAAACGCTAAAACTAGAGATCATTTTAAGCACAGGAGCCTTGAGCTAGCACTGGTATAATATAGTTACCGTTTTAGAAAACTGTAGTTGATGCTCCAGACACAGTTGCTTGGCTATCTCCTGCATAATTATTTGAGTAGGAAAAGCATACATGTTACAACTCGCAAGTTGAACACTGACAATGAGACGGAAAGACAGACATGCATTATGTATCTGTAAGAAGATAAGGAAGTGAGTTAAACCTTCAATGCGCAATTGTTGTCACTATGCAGAAGCCCATTGAGCTTAACCTGAAATAGAACAATAATTATGCTTCAATAAATTTCAACAAAACAAGCATTACAATTAACAAATAGGCTTTTTATTCAATATGAAATATGAAATACAAACCACAGAAATCATGTCCTGATACTCTTTCAGTACTTCCTCAAGAACGAGATTCAATACCTTAACAAAGCAAAATGATGGACCATTTAAGGATAGGCATCTACACTCCACAGCAACACAATCTCAAATTCCAATTTTAGAAACAGCACTCACCGCAGTGCTTCCACAACCTCGAGGACCCAGCAACAAAACCGAATTGTTGTTTGCCTCAGCTACCGAACTTGATATTATGTACTTCAATTTACTGGAAGAAACAAGCGAATATAAAAACCCAGATTTCTCAATGCCAACACCTCGCGTGAAAGATGTTTCTATATCAAAGGGATGACAAAAACCAGACATATAAAGTGACATAAAAGATCCAACTTTGTAGCATCTAAGAGATGTTCCTTTCTTTACTACTTCAGTTAAAACTGAAATATGAAATTAATAACCAACGGGAATCCAATCTCAAAGATATGCAACTCAAATAAGTTAAACATGAAATCTTACAACCAACATGAAATTTCTGCATAGTCTATTTGAATCAAAGTACTAAAAAAAAATCAGAAACGAAAATGAACCTGTAATTGGAGTCGGGAGATTGAGAGAAAAAGGAGGATGCAAAAGAAGGATTGGACACCCTGCTTCTGAGGATGATCGCAGCTTGCTCGGCTGGTTTCATCTGAACCATTGCACCTTCTCCACCTTCTTCGCCGGCGATGCGAAAACGACTAAACGAGTCCGTTCACCGACGGAGAAAAAAGAGCGGGAAATTAAGAATCTGCGGTAACGCATATATCTACTAATATAAGAATTGGGCCTTTATTGGGCCCTGAACAATATTAAGTACTTGGGCCCAATAAAATTACTAGTTACCAGGCCAGAACATATTTGGGCGTTTTATTTCAGGCCCAGCCCAGTAACAGTATCTCGGTCGTACCTTCAATCTTCAAGAAGAAGACGCCAATGAGATTTTTACGCCCACAGAGGTGAAGTGACAAAATCCGGCAATGGGAACCGCAGGAGCTCTCATCTATAATCCACAGCTCACCGGCGGTGGAAGCCTTTGCTCCAAGTGTTTAAAATCGAATTCCCAACCAAGAACGCTGCTTAGCTTGAATCGAAGAAAGTTGCCGGACTTCTCAAGCAAGAGATGTTTGAGAAAATTTGGCAGAGTTGTATGCCTAGCAGTAGAAGACGTTGCTGAGAAGGAAGGAGAAATGAAAAGTGGAAGCTTGATTGGTGTTAGCTCCGATAAGGGAGATAGACTTGGTAAGGGAGGAATTTTGCTTTGTTAGTTAATTTTGTTCAAGTGATACCTATGGCTTTAGTTATGGCGCGATACTTGATCCTGGAGGGCGTTTCTCATTTCTCGTGATTAGGTTTCGCATCTAGTTGCTGCTATTGGATGGCATATAAGCAAGCTGTATCATGGTTATGAATAATTGGGGCTTTTGTTAATAATTCAACTTTGCTTCTATTTTTAGGATTAGCGGCGGCAATGAATTAAACTATTCATCTGTCTTTTTTTTTTTTTTTTTTTTTGTTGTGAACGCGGAGATCAATTGATTCCTGATTATAGCTTTTTGCTGTATCTAAAGACAAAATTGTCTTAGTTTAAGTGGAAATTGTTGGCGGAACAAAATTGAAGTGCTTTGCTTCATGAAATTTCCGATGGTTGGGAGTTGATAAAACTGGAAATGTTAAGAAAGGCGACTGTTTTATGGTTGAAAGGCATTAATGTTCTATCTCCATCCATATATATTTGGTTTAGTTATGTTAAACTTGTATTTTACTGTTTAAGACATTTCACCTGTTTTCCTCTGTTTTTGAACTTCTATGGTTTGAATTATGCCCTTGAATCTATCTGTTGGGTTGAAAGAACCTTGGATAAAAATGTTTCTTGTGACTTCACAGATCAAAGAGATGATACATCAGAGAATCCTTTTATAGGCGATGAGTCAGATGAGGGGAATTCAATTTACAATTTTCTGTATCCTGATAAAGAGCTCCTCCCTGATGACAAAGAAATGAGCATATATGACCATTTAGAGGAGTTGAGAGAGAGAATTTTTCTGTCAGTTTTGGCTGTTGGAGCTGCTATGGTTGGTTGTTTTGCATTTTCCAAGGAACTCATAATGTTTCTTGAAGCTCCAGTCCGATCACAAGGAGTTCGGTTTTTACAATTAGCTCCAGGAGAATTTTTCTTTACATCACTCAAGGTTTGCACCAGCACTAAGTTTTGTTCATTTTTACTTTAGCCATCAAAAGTCTATATATCTACCATGATATTATCCTAGTTTGAATATATCATAGTTGGAAATTTCCAATAATTTAGTTTTGGTCAAACCAATGTTGGTCCGCTAAAATTAGTCCTGCTGCTATCATAATATTGCTTTGGTACCCAGTATCTAACTCATAATGAAAATTTGTGATTGTTTTTGCTCATATATCTGGAGACGTCAAATGGTGATCCATCAAGTGAACCTTCCATGAATTGTGATGCCCCGTAAAGTCACTATGGTAGGTTGTTAAGATGAAAGTGAACATAGTACTGTTATTGTTAGGAAAGGGGATCTAGACTTGTTTGTGAATTGCAAAAACATTGCCTAAAATGTATTCTGTATTCCTCCTACGTTATATAATAATGTTCATTCTAGAATAAAAAGTTTATATGAGGTAATCGTTTCTTGTAACAGCCATCATTGTCCAGCAAAAGCATTTTACCTTTTTTGTCATTGTTCATCATGATCTGGCTTATTCCCCTTCAAGAAAAGTTCCCCTCTATACGATACGTTTTTTTGTACACTTAATGTAATACAATATCTGCAGGTATCGGGATATTGTGGTCTGTTGTTAGCAAGCCCTGTGATTCTCTATGAGATCATAGCTTTTGTTGTTCCTGGTTTGACACTGTCAGAGAGAAGGTTTTTGGGGCCGATTGTCCTTGGCTCCTCAGTCCTTTTCTATGCAGGGATCATCTTCTCTTACTATGTTCTTACCCCGGCTGCCTTGACATTCTTTGTTAATTACGCGGAGGGGGTTGTCGAATCATTGTGGTCCATTGATCAATACTTCGAGTTTGTACTTGTGCTCATGTTTAGCACCGGATTATCTTTCCAGGTAACATTCAATTTACATCCTTTCAAAGCCCAGTCCTGGACTAGTCGATGATATTTATGATTAAAGAAGGATCATTTTTTTCGTCATTAAAATAGTGTCGGGATTTTTTGTGTTCCCTTTTTCAGGTTCCTGTTGTGCAGCTGCTCCTCGGACAACTGGGCTTGGTTTCCTCGTACCAAATGCTGTCAATCTGGAGATACGTCGTGGTTGGTTCTGTAGTAGCAGCCGCTGTACTAACCCCCTCGACCGATCCTCTGACTCAGATGCTCCTAGCTGGCCCCCTTATGGGTCTTTACATAGGTGGTGCCTCGATGGTCAAGCTTCTTGGCAAATAATCCATGAAACCTTTTAGTACAGTAACTAGCTGTGTGTGCTTCAGACCATGACTCTATTCAGTGGCCAATTCCACATGTATTATTACATCATCTTGTTGTATCCAGCTGCCTGATTATTAATTGTAATGCTCCATCCAGATATTGTTGTCTAGTAAAATGAAATTTTTTATAGACATTGCTGAAATTGACAAATTTGCTTTCGCCAGCTTAAATGATTGGGACTAAAATTAATAAAATCGTTTTCCAACCTATAACAACTTCACAGATATGCTTGTTGTAATACTTTCAATTTGGATAAAATTAGGACATGAGAGAAGCAGCATCAGATCCACTGATCCAAATCCAGGAGAACATCATCAGCAGCCATGGCTGTCACGGACAACTGCAGACTACCGATGAGGACATCATTAACAACTTCTTTTGTCGTGATGGATTCATGGAGGAAGCAAAGCAGCAGCTTGTCTTGGCCCTGCCTCTCGTAGCAGTAAACATGCTGCAGTACTGTCTGCAAGTCATCTCCGTCATGTTTGTCGGCCACCTCGGCGAGCTCCCTCTCTCCAGCGCCTCCGTCGCCACTTCTTTCGCCTCCGTCACTGGCTTCAGTGTCCTGGTTAGTTATTACCATCATCATCTTTATTACAAGGATCAAACTAAAAAGTTTTTTTTTTTTTGAAAAAAAAAAATGCAGCTGGGGATGGGGAGTGCACTCGAAACTCTCTGCGGGCAAGCCTACGGTGCCAAGCAGCACGACATGCTCGGCGTCTACACGCAGAGAGCAATCTTGGTTCTTACAGCGCTAAGCGTCGCCCTGGCGATCGTCTGGTACTACACGGGCTTCATACTTGTTGCTTTAGGACAAGATCACGAGATTTCAGCCGGTGCAGGCGAGTTCAACCGATGGATGATCCCTGGCCTTTTTGCCTACGGCATCCTCCAATGCCTCGTTCGATTCCTTCAGACACAAAACATCGTTGTCCCGATGATGATAACCTCTGCTGTGGCGGCACTACTCCATGTCTTTGTGTGTTGGCTGTTCTTGTTCAGGCTCGAACTTGGAACCAAAGGGGCTGCATTGGCTAACGCTTTCTCGTATTGGATGAACGTTCTTTTCTTGGCGTCGTATGTTAAGTTATCCAAAACCTGTAAGAAAACTTTCACTGGTTTCTCCCGGGAAGCCTTCCGGGATATTATTTCGTTTCTGAGGCTTGCAGTTCCTTCTGCTGTAATGATCTGGTATGGTTTTATCGATGTTTTTTTGTTTTGGTTCTTAGTCAAGGCTTGCAAGCGATATTTGATCATTTGGATTCGCAGTTTCGAGTATTGGTCGTTTGAGATGGTCGTTATATTATCTGGGCTTCTTCCTAATCCGAAGTTAGAGACATCGGTTTTATCGATCAGGTTTCGTGTATTCCATACTCTTCGAATTTTGTATAGTTTGGTGTTCGATAAGCTCGATTCTGTCGTCCCTACAGCCTCAATACATGCTGGATGGTTTACATGATCTCAGTTGGTCTCGGCGGCGCTGTAAGGTATGCATCATACTGCATTGCAAATGTAAGTTTCCAACGAGAATGTTTTCTTACATAACCAAAATTCTAGCACGAGGGTCTCGAACGAATTGGGTGGCGGGAACTCGAATCGTGCTCGCTTAGCCATATGTGTAGCAGCGACAATCGCCGCTTCAGAAGGCGTGATCGTTGGAACTACCACAATCCTAGTTCGACGTGTTTGGGGGAAGCTGTACAGCGACGAGGAAGAAGTTATCGAATATGTTGCAAGAATTATGCCTCTGCTGGCATTGTCCGACTTCTTGGATGGCTTTCAGTGCGTACTATCGGGTAAAAGGTTTAAGGATCGTATTGTCTGGACGATACATGATGTATTCGACTAACTCAGAGGGGATTGCAGGGGCTGCAAGAGGGTGTGGATGGCAGAATTTGTGCGCCACGATCAATCTTGGGGCATATTACGTTGTCGCGATTCCTTCTGCCGTGATCTTTGCGTTTTTGTTACACATTGGTGGGATGGTGTGTTGCTGTGTCTGTACTAGGATTGTTTGGGGAAGATGAGGTTGTCTTGAGACTTTTAAGAACTGTTGCAGGGGCTTTGGATGGGGATTATATGTGGGCTTGCTGTTCAAGCACTGGCACTGGTTGTTGTAAACTTTTCGACGATTTGGGACAATGAGGTTAGTAGTTTTGATGTACAATGATGTCTGTTTCTTTTGTTGTGGGCTTTTCTTGAACCATTCTGTGATGGCATAGGTTGCTAAGGCGAAAGATCGGGTCCGAGCCAGCGAGGCGAGTATGTCGAATGGAGGCATCAGGGCATGAGGAGAATCAGTTCTTTGCAAGAACCTGGACTAAACAAAGCAGAAGAAATTGTTAACTGCACATTTGTATGGAAATGACAACATCAGATAATGTTCTTACATTGCTACTCATCTATGTTCATACATGATAAAATACAGACCAACATGTACGATAGAGAAGCTACTAAATAAAAGAAATTAGGAGACTTGCAATCCTTATACACAGCCAGCACATCTCTCAAATGGTTCATTCGATCAGTTGCAGATTACGGTGTTTCGCGTTGAATACAGAAATCACACCTTTTTTGTTAGAGATAAACGCATTTCGACAAAACTGTAGTTTGTAGACATCTTTTTCACCGGTCACCAGTAACTTATAAATTCAGGTACAACTGACAATAACCTCACAAGCAAAGTATCATAATAGAAAATCATGATCTTGATGCCTGGATTTTAGGAGCACTCAATGGATGACTGATTGGGGCTAGTAGGATCATTTCCTTGTTCGGCAGATTCCTTAACAGTCTCCGATGGGGGACATGGCTGTTCTTCGTTAGCATTGTTTTCAGGGTGGAAGTTAATAGGAAACTTCGTCACTCTAGGCTTGTCGGCCAAAATGTTTCTTTGGACCTTATCTAGAAGAACTTTCTGAGGAGGTTCTTCTCTCAGCTTTTCATCTTCATAGTCGTTGTTGATGTAGTATCCTACTCGAACGAATTCTTGTCCTTGATAAGAGCAAGTGAGGAGAAGCACTGTGACTCCTATGATGTCTTCCTCGCGAATTTTTGAGGGGTCCGGTGGATCAGCCTGGAGATTTTGAGCAATCATAAATGCATGATTAATAGGCACAGAACTTAGGAGTGTTAAATGCAAAGTCGATACCTGAAAGACAAATCGGTAATTGCCAACATTGATGGGCCCAACTAGCACACTTTCTAGAACTTGATCGTAAGTTTCATCCTCAGCCGATCCAACATAGATTAGCTTCCATTCCAAATCTGGGACAAATGTAATGTTAGATGAAAGCTATGAACCCTACCGATATATTAAATCACAAAACGACAAGGAAGAAAGCAAATTCATTCAAAGAGCTGGTAAAGATGTAGATTGCGGCAAATGTTAGATGAGAGCTATGAACCCTACCGATACATTCAATTACAAAACGACAAGGAAGAAAGCAAATTCATTCAAAATTGTTAAGTTGGAAAGGAACCGGTAAAAATGTAGATTACGACAAAATGTTTGATGAAAGCAATGAACCCTACCAATACATTCAATTACAAAACAACAAGGAAGAAAGCAAATTCATTCAAAATTGTTAAGTTGGAAAGGAACCGGTAAAAATGTAGATTACGACAAAATGTTGGATGAAAGCTATGAACCCTACCGATACATTCAATTACAAAACGACAAGGAAGAAAGCAAATTCATTCAAAATTGTTAAGTTGGAAAGGAGCCGATAAAAATGTAGGTTACGACAAAATGTTGGATGAAAGCTATGAACCCTACCGATACATTCAATTACAAAACGACAAGGAAGAAAGCAAATTCATTCAAAATTGTTAAGTTGGAAAGGAGCTAGTAAGAATTGTAGATTACGGCAAAATGTTAGATGAAAGCTATGAACTCTACTGACGCATTGAATTACAAACGACACCGAATAAAGCAAATTCATTCAAAATTATTAAGCTAGAAATGAGCTGGTAAACTCATGTAAGCCCAGATTTTGCATTGCAGTAATCCATGGTGAAATCATTAAACGGAAAGTTAGAGTAATCTCTTCCAACACGAAGGAATGAGATCCTAAGCAAAAACACCCTTCCCCAACCTTCTAAGTACAGAATTGTGGCCTCAGTATTAATTTACATATCTAACATTCTTTTATTCCCAATCAAGAACATTATATGAAACACAATTTTGCTAAGAAAAGTGCTGCAATGATTAATCAATATAAAACAGAACAGATAAAGTAGGTTAACTAGATTTGAACGGAACAGCCTCATTCACAGATAATCCACATTCATGTACAGCCATCGCCTCAATTCCACAGGTAAAAATACATTTCCAGATCCATCAAAAAACAGACATAAAGCGGGAAAGCAAACCAACCATAAGCAGAGCTAAGAAAACATTAAATAAATTCAATTTGGTAAGATATTTCAAATCCTGTACCGTCTTTGAGGGGAGCCAAACACTCGTACGAGATTTCAAACTGGAAAGGATCGAGAAACGGCGCCGGATTGCTCAGCACGGTCACATCTTTGATATTGACGGCACTCATCGCGACGGAGTATTCAAGAACGCTGCTTGACGAGCAAAAGAGCTCAAACAACCGCCACAAAGCAAAACCCTAGAAATTGAAATTTTTTTAAGGCGGCGGAAATTTCGGGGGCAAAGCACAGAATCAGTATTTATAGCGGAGACTCGATGTTTGGCGGGAAAGAATTCGAGCCGATGATTGAAGAGCGCCCAAAAAGGGAATTGAAAGCAGATTGAATCAAAATTGCAAATTTATCGGAGAGGATTGGAAACCGTGTGTCGACAAATGCGATTACAGTTCGCACCGGAGAGAATAGAACAGGACGAGAGGAGACTCGTCCCACCGGCTTTGAAATATTTTGATTGACGAAAAAGCCCTTCGTGTTATTACTTAATAAATAATATTATAATAATTTTGATTATTATATTCTAGTATATTTATCATCACTTTTTATTGTTTTTAAAAATTCGAAGAGTTTGTGTTTGTTTTCATAAAATAATTTTGAAAATTTTGACAACTATTATATTTTATTGTTTTCGTTAGTTATAAATTTTTTGTTTTTATACATTTTAATTATATTTAAATTTTATAATTATTTTTTATATTTTAATTGAATAAAATAATTAGTTTAATTTTAAAATTTTAATTATTTATATTATACAAAAATATTTTTTTATTAATATATTTTATTATTATTATTTATTAAAAATTTAAATTTTTTTTAATAAAAGATCAAATGAAAGTATAAAAATATTTTTTTAAATAGAATCTGCCGTCTATATATATTTTCATCTGATTTTAAAATTTTATTTAATTAGAGTGAGCTTATTTTGTAAAATAGTTATTGAAAGAACTTAGATAAAATATAGTAAATTGTGTGAAAAATATAAAAATAATGAATTTGACTAGTATATTAATTTTATTGAGAAAATGTAAGTAAATAAATATAGAAAAAAAACACACACCCTAATACTTCATTTCTCCCTTATCTATATAGTGTTTTTTTGCATGTAGTTTTATAAATATTAGTATTATATTCAAGTGTGATATGAATAATGTAAAAAAAAAAAAAAAATTCTTATTAATACTGTGTGATATAAATGTAATGATATTTGTGTAATATATTGTAAATTGTAAAATTATTTTTAATGTTAGTAGAAAGTACAATTACTTAAAAAAAAAATAATACTTTGTTATGAGACAAACCAAAATATAAAAGTTGATAAATTGTAAATGAACGAAGATAGTATTTTTTAAAAAATAATACTCTGTCAGTCCCACTTAATTTGTCCATTATTTATATTTTGATATGTCTCAAATAATTTGTCATTTTTTTTAAATATAGTTATAGATTTTAATTTATAATTTTTTTATATTAAATAAACTATTTAATCATTTTAATTTTAGTTCATAATTATTTTTATTAAATTATAACTATTTTTACTAATATATTTTAAATTATTTATTAATTATATAATATTTTAAACTCAGTGAGACAATTTATGTGGAATGGATAGTAATTTAAATATTTTGGTTGAAACCGCTCCAAATACAAGACATTCTTAGGTTGTGTTTCTTTTTGGGGGATTGGTGTGTTTGTTTGGGGGATTGAATTTTGAGTTGGAATTTGAATAGTAAAAATTTTGAATTTGAATAGTTGTATGATGTGATATAAATAGGGTTTGATGTGATGTTTTGAATGTAAAATTGATTTTTAGTATAATATAAAAAATAAAAAATAGGTGTTTGATTTGATGTTTTTGAGGGGAAAAAATTGGATGAATAGTGAAAATCCACCAAAATCCTTCAAACAAACACACCCTAAATATATTATTCATTCCATTGTTTTTTTCAAAAAAATATCAAATCAAAATATCTATTTTTTATTTTTTATATTATACTAAAAATTAATTTTATATTCAAAACATTACATCAACACCTATTTATATCACATCATAAGATTATTCAAATTCAAATTTTTACTAATCAAATTCAAACTCAAAATACAAACCCCAAACAAACACACCCTTAGTATAAATTATTGTTAAATCAATAAATCATTTTGAAGAAAAAAAAAAACCGTTGAAGTGATTTAACCTAAGCAAAAAAACCATTTGAAGTGATTGAACGAGAAAATATATTGAAATTAAGAATTTCGAAAAAATATCCAAAAAAAAAATCACATTTAAATATTTAATTTTTATTTGTAATATGACATTGAAATATTATATCCATTTAAAAATATTACATATATATTCACACTACACAAAAGAATTAGTTATTATTCAAAAGTTTAATATACATATATATTTATCCCAAAATATTTAATAATTAACAAAAAATAAATATTTTTACAATTATTTAATAACTAATTACAAACACATCATTGTAAATTTTGTATGTTTTGTTTCTTTCAATTTCTTTTTCTATATAAAATATAGACTATTGTATCAATAATATAAAATAATAAAATTTTGGATTTGTTTAAAAATAATAAATAAAAATATATTACTTTTTCCGTCGCAATACAATAATTTTTTTTTTATCGATTCTAAAACAATAATCTCACTTTCATAAATAAAACTATTCATACTTTTTCGCTATTATTTTATAAATGTCATTATTTTTACACTAATACAAACAAAAAAATAATTATTTAAATCACGTGTACAATACAAGACTTTTGCTAACAGAGAAAATATAATATTTTAATTTTTTATTAAAAATTAAATTCAAAAGTGAACAGTATTTTTTTAATAAATAAAGAATAATAGTAATAATAAAAGCAGTATCAACAATCGACATAGGCCAACAAGCACACAAGTTGTTCAAGAGGTTGCGAACAATCTCAAAATCTAACGGTTGAGGAAGTGCCAGGTGTGTGCAGCGTGTCCGTACAGACATCGCAGAACCCTCTTGGTCGAAGAAAGCAAGCCTATACGCCGGTAAGAAGGATCGCTCCACTCCACTCCACTGCCACTCTCCTTACCCGCCGTCGCCGTCTCTCACAAACCCTACCCAGCTCCAGGATCCCTTTCACAAATTAATCCACCATGGCTTCCAGGAGGCTCATAGCCTCATTGCTCCGGTCATCCGCCGGGCGTCGCCCTAGATCCCCATTTCCCGTCGCTCCGAAGCCCAGCCATCGCGCTTCACCCGCAGGGCATTTCATCCACCGCTTCGTCGCTCATTACGCAACATCCGCGGCGGCGGCTTCTTCGCCCCCGCCGAAAAGCCCCTCGAAGGGCGCCGGTGGGAAAATTACTGATGAATTTACCGGCAAGGGCGCGATCGGGAAGGTGTGCCAAGTTATTGGCGCCGTCGTCGATGTGCGATTCAACGAGGGTTTGCCTCCGATCTTGACGGCGTTGGAGGTATTGGATAATCAAATCAGGCTTGTTTTGGAGGTTGCTCAGCACTTGGGGGAGAATGTCGTGAGGTGTATTGCTATGGATGGGACTGAAGGCTTAGTTAGGGGTCAGCCAGTTCTAAACACGGGCTCGCCTATTACTGTGAGTTTGAGATATTTTATCCTTTTCACTTATGGTCTGTGACTTGTTTCCATCTGATCATGCTATTTCTACATTATGGATTGTTTTTCGATTACGAAAATTGATCTACGCCAGGTTTTGAGGTGGATTGGATTTTAGCAGTTTAAGTTTGTTGTGTTGTAGATTCTTGATACGTTTGAATTGTTCATGTTATTTGTTTACACGGAAAGGAGCATTTGATTTGGTTGTTTGATATATGGAGTTTCTATGCTCGTTCATGTTCTGTATATGATTACAATCTTAGAGGTTCAGCTGTGCTGTATTTGATTTTGTAACTTACAACTTGGTTGGTATTTCTGCTAAGTAGACTCCCTTTTTGAATTTCGAATAAATGGCCTGTTTACTTCTGATTTGTTATTTTGGGTTTTTGATGTTTTTTGAGTTGAAAATAGTCGTGGGATGTAATGCTCTTGAGCCGAAATGGTAGATCGAATGGGTTACAGAATCTTTTGGTTCAGTTTTAATTGAGTTAACATAATGATTTTATCAACATTTTCATTTGAGCTTGCTGCACTGAGCAGTGGAAATTTGCATCTTTTGGAGCTTGAAATTTAGACTGGCTTGTTTTCTGAGGTTTTAATGACATAAGGGTGTGGTAATCTTTTCTCCTTTGCAGTATGAGAATCCTTGACAGTGACTACCTCAACCAATTTCTGTGTTTGTCGATATCATATAAAATGTGGTTGCAGCGAGGGTGTTGTAGTGTATGTTTCCCATAGTAATCATCTTTTATTTCAATTTTTAGGTGCCTGTTGGTAGGGCCACTCTTGGACGGATTATTAATGTTATCGGAGAACCTATTGATGAAAAAGGCGATATTAGTAAGTGAATGCTTTCATTGTTAATATGTACTTTTGTTATTGAGTTATAGCTGCTGCTTTACTAACAAAAGGATTATGGTGCAGAAACGGAACACTTTTTACCAATTCATCGTGAAGCTCCAGCCTTTGTTGAGCAAGCAACAGAGCAACAAATTCTAGTCACTGGTATCAAGGTACCCTTCATACCAGTCCAAATTGTTCTCTTCTGCTGTTATTTACTTTATCTGGCTGAATGTCTTTTTCATTTCTCGATTTTTAGGTTGTCGATCTTCTTGCACCGTACCAAAGAGGAGGAAAGATTGGGCTCTTTGGTGGTGCTGGAGTGGGGAAAACTGTGCTTATCATGGAACTAATTAACAACGTTGCAAAAGCTCATGGTTTGTAATCAAATTTCACACATGTATTTCTAAAATCTTTTGTGCTCGATACATTACCAACTGGAAATTATTGCGCCTTTTCAGGTGGTTTCTCAGTCTTTGCTGGGGTTGGAGAACGTACCCGCGAAGGTAATGACTTGTACAGGGAAATGATTGAAAGTGGTGTCATTAAGCTAGGCGATAAGCAGGTTGGCCTCAGTTAAATTTCGATTGCTAATTTTATCTCTCCCTCTCTCTTCGAGTCACTTCTATCTCATTAGTCGTTTCTTTTTTTGTCAGGCTGAAAGCAAGTGTGCTCTAGTTTACGGTCAAATGAATGAGCCCCCTGGTGCTCGTGCTCGTGTTGGGCTTACCGGATTGACAGTGGCCGAACACTTCCGTGATGCAGAAGGGCAAGATGTCCTCCTCTTCATAGACAACATTTTCCGATTTACACAAGTACATATCGCAATCTTCATTAGGTTTTGGGCACTTTGTTTATCAGCCATCACTTATTTCATCTTACCTTTTTTTCAGGCTAACTCGGAAGTGTCTGCTCTGCTCGGACGTATCCCTTCTGCTGTCGGTTATCAACCAACTTTGGCTACAGATCTCGGAGGTCTCCAAGAACGCATCACTACCACTAGGAAAGGTTCCATCACATCCGTCCAGGCTATTTACGTCCCGGCTGATGACTTGACGGATCCTGCTCCTGCAACAACCTTTGCCCACTTGGATGCCACCACCGTGTTGTCTCGCCAGATTTCTGAGCTCGGTATTTATCCTGCTGTTGATCCCCTCGACTCAACATCCCGCATGCTCTCCCCTCATATACTGGGAGAGGAACACTACAACACTGCCCGTGGGGTGCAGAAAGTTCTTCAGAACTACAAGAATCTTCAAGATATCATTGCAATTCTAGGAATGGATGAGCTCAGTGAAGACGATAAACTGACAGTCGCACGTGCGCGCAAAATTCAACGCTTTTTAAGCCAGCCTTTCCATGTCGCTGAAGTCTTCACCGGCGCCCCTGGGAAGTACGTCGAGCTGAAGGAGAGCATCAACAGCTTCCAGGTAAATGTTGCTACTCTTCAATTCAATTTTCAGATTCTGTTCGACTTCAAGATAAGATCCCATCCTAATATATATTCGGCTGCCTGTCGCAGGGAGTCCTCGATGGAAAATACGACGATCTCCCGGAACAGTCATTTTACATGGTTGGGGGGATTGATGAGGTGATAGCCAAAGCAGAGAAGATTGCTAAGGAATCTGCTGCCTAAATTGAACTCGAAAGATCCTTCTTTTTTTTTTTTTACTTTGTTAAAATAATTTAAGCTCATGGGAATTGCAAATCTGGAGATTTTTTCTCTGCTGGTAGTGAAATTCCAAATTTGCTTTTTCCTGTTTTTTGTACGTAAAACAGTTGAGTGTTGCTTATGGAATGGGCTTGAACACTTCTTGGTTCAATATAATTTATCCATAGATTATATTACCAAGTTCCCTTTTTATTTTATATTTATTTCAACCACAGAAATTTAATTGCATTATTAAAGTTGGCAGTGGAAAATGGAAACAAGAAACACCCCTATTTTTTTGGGTTAAATTTTAATGAATACTACTCCTATGAACTATGGAAGTCAAAGCCGAATTTACTGTATTGTCCCTGGGTAATACATTTATTGCGAATTACTGCCATTTATTCTTCGTAATATCAAATTGCCCCGCCGGTCTATCTGTTCTATTCTTTGCCCCTTTCTTTCCAATTAAGCATCGGCGGAAAGATCGAATTGATAGGAGAAAATAAAACGAGTAAAAAATCCTCAAATCGCAGCGACGACCGGTGGAAACCTCTTCCACTCCTAAATCTTCTGCCCCTGATTTGGGTTTCTTTTTGGTTTCATTATTATTTTTATTGCTAGGCATTCGATCGACAGCTGGTGGTTCGATCTCCGGCATGGCGTCGCCGTCTTCGACAACAACCACGAACATCATGCTGGCGATTTACGAGAAGAAGACTAACTCCCTCGACCTCTACCGGCCACTGCGGAACTACATCGTGATCAATTACTCGGAGCGCGAGGCGCAGAATTTGGAGGATGATCTCCAGACTTTGAAACAGCTCCGCTCCGATGTGGAGAAGGGCGGGGGCTCCGATTCGCTGGCCGCTCGGCGCGATCTTCTGCAGAATTACTATAAAGCCCTTTGCGCGGTTGAGTCAAGGTTTCCCATCTCCGCGGATGCGGATCACGTCAATACGGTGTCGTTCACTTGGTATGACGCGTTTAAGAATAAGCAGAAAGCTTCTCAACAAAACATACATCTAGGTAGGTGCTCGCTGCTTTGTTGTTGCATTAGTTGATCAAGTTACTTGCTTTATCATCAAAATTGTAGAATTCTTGACTTTCATTACGTTGGGCGTGGGTAAATTGGTGCCCTTGTTTGCCCGCTTCATATATGCTGTTACTCTATATGAAAAATGTTAAACTTCATGAAATTTAGTAGTAGAAAAGAAGTTTCTCCATCATGCTATATGTAATGATTGTAGACACGTTTGTAATTGAAATAATCAACAATTGATTGGTGATCATCATTGGACATATTTCTTAAGTACATCACATAGTTGTTTACTTGCTCCGTATCAGTTTCTTAATTACTCAGATTTCTACTCTGCAATTTCTAAAATTATTTAAATCCAAGAATTTTGTTCAATTTGATATGTGTAGAGAAAGCTGCGGTCTTGTTCAATTTGGGGGCAACGCATAGTCAGATGGGATTAGGTTTTGATCGATCTGCAGTGGAAGGAAGGAGACAGGCTTCGCATTCATTTATAGCTGCTGCTGGGGCATTTGCATTTCTGAGGGATAATGAGGCCATGAAGGCGTCAGTGGGAAGCTCAACCACATTGGATGTGTCTGTAGAGTGTGTAGGGATGTTGGAGAGGCTGATGTTAGCTCAGGCTCAAGAATGTGTGTATGAGAATACTATAGCCAAGGGGAGCAGTCCCGGAGTCTGCGCAAAGATTTCAAGACAGGTACTTCTGCAAAGTGAAAATTTTCACATCAGTATTTTGATTGTGTGGCTAGCTGGTTTTTCAATGGTTTAGGTTGAAATAATGTGCTTATGCTTAACTATAGCTCATGTAAGTATATACATGCGTTTATGTGAATGTATCTTCTACTGCTTCACTACCAACTTACTAAGCTATAAATTAAGCAAAACTTTAGGTCTTAAGAGTGTCGGAACCTGAAAACATTATCATTTTTTTTTTTTTGAATAGACTGTTCTCTACTTTACCTTCTCTACTTATCGTTGAGTTTTTCTCCTTTTTTTGTTTTTTTAATTGACCATGTTCTAATATGCTCATTCCTATATTTTCACTCATGCTGAAAAAGATTGTCCTTGTCAAAATGTTTAGTGTTAATTATTCTAATTACGTGGGAAGAAATTATTTTTTGGATTGGAATCTCATCAGATGGGTTGTACAAATCTTTCTAGACTTTTGGTTTTATTATATTTGTCTGATAAAAACTTCAACAACTTTGATTGCAGGTTGGCCTATTTTATGAGGAAGCCTTGGCTGCATTGACTGTAGCCCCGTTGAACCAGCATTTTGAAAAGGGCTGGATTGCTCATGTTCAGCTAAAGGCAGCTTTGTTTTATGCAGAGGCTTGCTATAGATATAGTTTAGAACTGCATGATAAGGAGGAGATTGCTGAAGAAATAGCACGTCTAAAGAGTGGGATTAATGCTTTGTCTGATGCAAAGAAATCATCTCCCAGGGGGGCAGCCCAGCAGCTGTTGGATGCAATTAATAAATTAGAAGCTAACTTAAATCGTAACTTGGAGAGGGCAACAAAGGAGAATGATAGAGTGTACTTGATGAGGGTTCCTCCTGCTAGTTCTTTGCCTCCCCTTCCTTCATTTTCCATGGTTAAGCCTATGCCAATGAATGAAGTGTTGGATGCTAGCAGGCAGAAGATGTTTTCATCTCTTGTTCCTGATAGTAGTGCAAAATCACTTTCGAAGTATACTGAAATGCTTGATGATATCATCAGGACCCAAGCTGAGAAATTGCAGCAAGGAAGTGAACTAGCTCGAGTGAGACTGAAGGAGATGGATCTACCTGATTCAATTCTTGCTTTGGAAGGGAATTTTACCTTGCCAACAGCATTAAAAGAAGAAGTGGAGGCTGTGCAGATTTGTGGTGGCCCAGCTGGTTTGGAAGGGGAGCTTCAGCAGCTGAAAGACTTAAGGAGGGTAAACCATGAGATGCTATTGCAGATAGAGGAACAATTGCAGAAAGAGGCAACTGAGGATGTGCAGTTCAGAAACCAATTTGGAACTCGGTGGACCAGGCCACAATCCAGTACCTTAACAAAGAACTTGCAGGACAGGTTAAATAGGTTTGCAGCAAATTTGAAGCAGGCTTCAGATAGTGATGCTAGAATTGAGAGATCTCTAAGAGAAAATTCATCACTATTGTCCATTCTCGACTGCCGCCCAGTAAGACTTAAGTTCATTGTGAAAAATATCTGGCTTCTCATTTCTAAAATTTTTTAAATCAATTTGGCTATTAACTGCTTATGTAAATCTTTTAGATGGTTACTGGTGTTCTAGTATGATAAAGCAGTGTGCTTCTTATGCAAGTTGGAATAGTCACATCTGCAGTCTGGGAAGCATTGTTGACCTTTTAATATCCTTCTGATTTTTCTTCTACACTGAATATTATTGGTTTCTAAAGCAGATTCGATTGTTCTTGGTCTTTTATTGAGGCTTTTTGCTTGGTTTTCTGAATAATTGTTATATTGCTTTGAACCAGGATATAACCTCACTATTCTGGCAAAAATCTACAATCTTTATTTCCTAGTGTCATAATACATGAAAATGGCTGCTATATGTATGGACAATGAGAATCATGTTCTTTTACTTCAATCCTGACTGATTAAATGAGTGCAATTCTAGCTCTAACGTTCTATGCTCCATCTTGTAATGAAGTCAGCCTTATATCTGTGCATTATGTTTGCTGTAGATCGAAACTGCTCTGCCAACTCTGGCCAAGCCCATAATGTCCCTGGATGCAAATGAAGATGCTGTGGTTGGAGCCCTGAAGCAGAGCTTGGTAACATACATTATCAAGGCTTCAATATAAATATTTTTATTACCGATTCATTTTCTAACCTAATATATTGCAAGGTCAAAGCAGCTGTTCTATTACATTTTTGTTGGGGAGAACTGGAATTAGTTATTTTAATCTTTTCTGTTATTTCTCACATTGAACCATTCTCTTCTTATTTAACCATCAATTGGCCTGACCTATCTTTAGCCATCGTGGAAACTGGAATTGGTTATTTAATTTTCACTGTTATTTGTAACATTGAAACATTCTCATCTTGTTTAACTATCAAGTAGCCTTAACCTGTCTTTGATATACACAAGTGTCAGCATTGAAATTGGAAGTTGGTGTACTACATCATAGTTGTTGATAAAATTTAGTTTATCCTGAGATCTAATAATAAATACACTCCTTTGGAATTTTTCTTACTGAAAGAGTAGAAGAATGGTGTTTTTGTTTTTAAAAAAAAAAAATCCTGTGCAGAATGCATTACAAGATTTCATTTTAAAAAAATGATGTGATGCTTGTAATTTGAAAAGGAGTTCCTTTTTTCGTTTTTCAATAATGGCTGGGTTATCAACTATCTAGTGATCAATTTGTGCATGCAGAGGCAATTGGAGATTCTTGGTGCTCAGAGAGCCAGCCTTGAGGACATGCTTAAAGAGATGAAGAGGAAGGTAGGTTGGATTTTAAAGATTTGGCTACTTTTTGTTTGTTGCGTTGATAATTTGATATTTTATGCTATTTCACTTTGATTCGGTTGCTGTTTTGTTTTCAAATCTCTGATGGTTTTATTTCTCCTTTCATTCCTGACCATTTGGTTTGAACCTTGCACATTATTCTCTTAGTTTCCTTTGTCACCCTTTTAACTGGATGGTTCTATTCCACGTTTGACTTGTTGTGCTCATTGTATGTGGTTCAGGATGATATTCTGCCAAAGTTGATGACTTTTGCTGGCTCCCATGAAGATCTTTTTAGAAAGGAAATATCGAAGTATGACAGCATTTGTCATGATATTGCCCAAAATCTTGAAGCTCAAGAACAGCTATTAATGCAAATTCAGGTCTGATTTCAGCTATAATGCACTTCCAAGATCGGATTTCATGTTATACCAGCCATTTCTGCCCTGATCTTTGTGATAGAACTAATGGAATGTTTTGTGAACTCTCATATTCAAATATCTACGAGAATTTTAAATTTGGAATGAAAAAGATATGATCAATCCTTGATCCTTATATTCCAATGTTTTTAATAGGATGTTGTCCTTGATACAAAGGTTTTTTTTCCAGAAAGTAGGCTTGAAATGCTTCTCTATTTAGCAATTATGTCATATTGTGAAACATTCCAGGATAAGATATCGTTAGAACCTGTCTGGTTTTTAGATCACAAGTTTATTCTGTAATGAAATAATCCATTCATTTAGCATGGTAATATTAAGCCGCAGCACGCATTGTTATCATGAAATGACCCCTTCCTCTGAGCATAATAATATTCGTATTGTGCAGGCCCAAAATGATGAGTTTGCTGCTATCTTTAACCTTGAAGATTATAAAGGTATGATGTCCCATGTGTAGCAACTCATTTGCCTGATCTATGGTATTGGGATCTCAAGCAATGTTTTTTTACTTGTTTAAGTATTTGAATTTAGGTTAAGGTGATTTAACATTAACATACAATCTCCTGGTATTTCAACCTAAAAAAAGAAGATTTTTTTTTTTTTTCCCTTAGCTTCTGTTGCATTTAATTTTGATTCCAAATTTGTGATTTTGTATATTGATTTCTTTTGTAATATATATATATATATGTATATATATTTCCTGGATGATTTCTTGGTGACTCATCTGCTATGCTGGAAACTTGGTGTAGACCTTTCTTTCCCGACCATCATCATTTTGTTATTTCTTTGTAATTCTGTGCTCATTTCCTAAATTCCTGGTGATGATATCACAGCGACTCAAACTTTTTTCATCCAGTAGCTAATATAGCATATATGCAGCAAACAAACCCAAACTGTTTTGCCCAGAAATTCTTGCTCCTGCCACTTAAGTGTTTCTATCATACGTTATAAAACTATTAGATTTGCTTACACTTTGACTTCTGGCACATTGTTCAATCCCCAGCATCTCGTGAAAAGGGCTACAGGCAAATTGAAGCTGCGATAGCAAAGTATCGAGAAATCAAGGATAATATCAATGAAGGACTCAAGTTTTATGTTACCCTTCAGGTATAAATTTTTCCTCCTGCCATATTTATAAATTTAGATGAATTTTTCCTACAGCTTGAAGTTGAATCTATGTTTCATGTGGAAACTTATTCTAAGTACTACAAACCTGGATGTATAAGCGGTGGTAAAAGGAAACAGTGGTGTATCCTGATATGTCTTCACTGGTTTCTTTGCCCCAACGACACTTAAATAATAAGAGCAGGATCTTGTTTTTAATTGCCCATTTACTGCATTAGTTTCGCCCTGACCATTTTTAAGGGTTTTATTACCCTTGTAAGTGATGGAGGACTGACTGACACATTATGTTCCTTGAAAACAGGATGCTATCAATATTGTGAAGCAGCAGTGCAGCGATTTTGTGATGACAAGAAACATCCAGTGCCGGGAGATGATTGACGACGTCCAAAGGCAACTATCAGGTCTCAGTTTCCAGGATGGCAAAACCACTGCTTCTAGCTACTCGTTTTCTTCTACCGGCCCGCCTCATCCACCTCAAAGATCCAATTCCCAACAACTGGACCAAGCCAGCATTCCGCCAAACTCTCATCATCCTACCCCTACTTACCAGCCCCCTCAGCAGCCACCAATGCCGGCCTATTCCCAACCTCCTCCTTACAGCAACCAGCAACAACCGCCACCGCCCTATCACACTCCTGTTTCGGCTGCCTACCCACCTCCTCAGCACCAGCAGCCTCCAGTGAGCCATGAATATGGACAGCCCGCGTATCCTGGTTGGAGAGGTCCGTACTACAACGCACCTCCGCAGCAACCTGGGCAAATGCCACGACCTCCTTACACGGCTCAACCGCCTTATCTGCCTCCTAACCAGAGTGGTTACTACAGACAGTGAAAATTCCAGTAATGATTGCATTCGCAGTTGCTTTGGTTTTAAAATTGTTTGCAGTCGAGTGTTCTTTACAGTAGCTGGTGCTACATTGTTTTAGTTTGGGTAATGTGATATGTGAAGGTGCACTACTCTCCGTTAGGCCAATACTTAGCATATATATGTACATGTTGCTATTTCCTCTCAAGTTTTTCCCAATGCTCAATCGATATGATACTGTGAAAATGCTCGGAGTCTCGGAGTTGGGTTTCCATTCTTGTCGGGATCTGGCTGTTTATGTAGACAGACCAGTTCGTATTGAAAGTTATTGTGTTATTGAACTGCTGTATAAACCTCATAACAATAAGTGTTTTGCTTTCCATTGTGGTTTCTACATTATTATATCTCTCACTGTAATTTCCATAACATTTTTTGTACAAGATTGCTGCTTTTGCAGGTTTTATTTATGTGTTCTAACTAATAAAGCAAACTCCACAGCTTTGGTTTCCCTCAAATGAGAAAAGTACAAAAAAAATGGCGTCGGGGAAGAGGAGTGAATCAGAAGGAGAATGGTATGGTGCAGAAGGCCGTTTCGGCCATGGATGCACTTTCCTCGTGCATTAGTTAAGGAATTTTGTCAGGTTTCTGAGATTAGGCCATGATTTCTTCGTAAATAGACCTCTCAAGCAGAGGCTTGCGCCATTGGTATCGAAATCAGCTTATTAGCTTTGATCAGGAGAGATTTTCGTTGTTGATTTATGGTGTAGCTGCTCATGGAGAGGCGTCATCATCATCAATTGCTTCTGCTACTGCTTGTCATTTCTCTGCATATGATTGGCGCTTCAGTGGCTGCTACTGTTGGAAGATCCAAAGTTCCTGCAATTTTTGTTTTCGGAGACTCGCTATTCGATGCTGGTAACAATCACTACAACAAAAATTGCAGCGCACAGGCTGATTTCCCGCCTTATGGAACCACGTTCTTCCACCGACCTACAGGAAGATTCACCAATGGCAGAACTGTCGCAGACTTCATTTGTAAGTTAATCGTTCACGATGTCTCAGCGATCGATAGATAGTGCTGCACCGTGTGTATCAATAATCAATCAGTGCACGGATTCTCAACACTTGCGTTCATGTTTGTCTTCGATCACTGTTCACAGTTACTGTTCATTCATGCAGCACAATATATAGGAATTCCTCTGCAAAAACCATTCCTGGAGGCACAGCTTGAGATTGTGAAAGGAACTCGGAAGAATTACCCGTCCAACGGCCTCAATTTCGCCAGTGCTGGCAGTGGAGTTTTACTAGCAACAAACAATGATTCGGTAAGATAAACTGAACCAAACTGGATTTTGAAGTTTGAACAGTCGATTCATTTCCATGAATTCAAAAACATCAACTGCTACTCTTAAAATTCCTCCATGTTTTCAACTGTTTTAGGGAGTGACACCACTCCAGATTCAGCTGCAACAATTCCAAGCACTCGTTGAACGAAGCCTCATCGACCGAAACCAGGTGAAAAAATCCCTAATCCTCCTGGAATCCGGCTCAAACGACATCTTCAACTATTTCTTCTCGATCGACACTCCAGCACTCACACCCGACGCTTACGTGGAATCCATGGTAACAGAAGTAGTTAGCTTCGTGGACGCAATATACAAGCTCGGAGCCCGCCGCATCGCTCTCTTCGGATTAGGCCCCGTCGGCTGTGTTCCGGCGAGAACAAACTTGCCCGGCGCCCCCGCCGGAAAGTGCTACGGTAAAATGAATAAAATGGTGAAGAACTACAACACAGGACTCGAAAAAATCGCGCTGCAAACATTGCCCGTCAAATACCCTCTTGCAGTCGGCGTTTACGGAGCTGTTTACCAGATTGTCCAAACTTTCCGATCCAATCCCCATTCCTACGGTACACCACAATTCCTAATTTCTTATCCATTTCGTTAACTAACATCCATAAAATTACAGGATTTGGGGATGTGAGCAATGCGTGCTGTGGATACGGTACATTGGGCGGGCAGCTCCAATGCGGGAAGGAAGGTTACACATTATGTAAGAACCCTAACGACCATTTATTCTGGGATTTCTTCCATCCATCGGAGCGCACCAACAAGCTCATTTCCAAGGCCCTGTGGGCCGGCGGCCATGCCAGAATTCGACCCTTCAATCTCAAGAAAATGGTCAACAACATCACCCTCCCCGCCATGTGAACGTATGTGAGTCACATCAAATTAATTAATACAATAATCTAAGTTAATGGGCCCAAGCCCAATACGTTTTAATTTAATCATAATAATAGTAAAATAGTGAGGAGAGGCATCAACGGCGAAACTGCCCACCACCGCGTTCTTGAGTCAAACTCCTCGTAAAAAACTGCCTGCCCAAACTATCCACAAAAACGTGTTCTTTTTTCTTCTCGATGTATATATAATACCCAAACGACCATATTCGCAATTCAACCTCTCCCAAAAATTCTGTACCAAAAAAAACATGGGGAATTACATTTCCTGCGCATTCGTAGCTCCTAAACTGAGGAGTCCGAAGTCGGCGAGGGTCATCCTCCCCGGCGGCGAAATCCGGCAGTTCCGGCAGCCGGTGAAGGCGGCGGAGCTAATGCTCGAATCCCCAAACTACTTCGTGGCGAATTCTCAGTCCTTAAACATCGGCAGGCGATTCTCGGCGCTGTCGGCGGACGAGGATTTGGAGTTTGGGAATCTCTACGTCATGCTGCCTATGAGGAAAGTGAATTCGGTCGTCACGGCGGCTGACGTGGCGGTGTTTCTGATGGCGGCGAATTCGGCGCCGAGAAGGATATCGGCCGGCGGCATCCCGGCGAGGATATCGCCGGTGGCTGAGTCGGTACACGAAGATGATGATGATGATTCGAGTGAGATCGGACGGTCGAGATTGAGGCTAGAAGGATTAGCGCCGGAGTTTATGTACCGGCTGGCGTCGTGCCGGTCGAAGCGGCCCGGGTTGGATACAATTACTGAAGAACCTGTTTTTGCGAGATAGAGAGAGGGAGGGTAGGATAGTAACTTTGTATTATATTTTTTTATCTTAGATTTATTTTTTCTTTAAGAAAAAAGAATTATTCAAATTAGGCGGTTGATTTGTGGATTTATAAACTAAAATCGCCTGTGTAGTGTAGACTTTGTAATTGTATGACTATAATAATTCAATTGTGTGGCCCATTTTTATATTTGTTCCAATACTTGTTTAAGTTTATAATTCATAAAAAGTTGAGGGAACTCCTATTTTGACCATTTCCAATACACATTTTCAGATGGGCTTTGATTTCAGCCCATTTTTAACTATATTGGGCTTAGCCCAATTTGTGGAGTATGATATCCAATAGGATGAAGACAAGTTTCCCAGGATTGTCCCAAATAAGCAATACTAAACTCTTTTTGTCTCGTCTTCATCCCATTGGACAATAGTGAGTGTAGGGTTTATTTCAGCCCATTTTTAACTCTATTGGGCTTAGCCCATTCTTATTCTTCTTCTTCTTCTTCTTAATTTATGCCTTTTGGAGTTCCATGGATTTTTCATTAAAATTTCCAGACTTACTTAACAATAATCTTGAAACGAAGAACGTATTATATATATAATAATTATTTTAAACAAGAAAGAGATGATACATAGTATAATATAGTCCGGCAGGCAGCCATGCATTTGGTCACATGTTGTAATTGTCTTTTGCTAAGTCAACTTTTACACGGTTTAATGTGTCTTTGACATGATCTTTCGTTAACCTTTCAGAAGATTTGGACCAAAACCTCGTTTTGAACAAATCAACTGCGTATATGTATCTATTAGTCAATCTAATAAATTGAAAACAAATTAGGGGAAATATCATTCTTTATTATTTTTTTGTCTTAGATGTGGCCATTCTTGCAAGTGTATATTTATACAAGGTGAGGAGTGACCGTACAAGATTGAGTCTTAATTCATTATTTTATAAAATGATAAGAGTGTCAACTTCTATTTTAAATTATTTCAGATTGATTAATAATCAAACTGTTGGCTTCCAAGTGGCCTAAATAGCCCTTCTAAATTCTTTTTAAGTAATCTTTATATATAATCCTTTTCTTTTCTGGTATCAATACACTTTGAACTCTTCACAAGCTAACATATATATATATATATATATAAATACATACAAGTTAATCTTGAAAATTTTATCATTTATGCAGGCCTAGTATACAAAAAAAAATTTAAAAGTCATCAAGAAGAGAAAATTGGTGGGGGGTATTTATTAATCTTCAAAGTAAATATAAACCGAAACTCTTAACGTCCCTTTAAAGTGTAATGTATTTTTAACATCACTTCAAAAATATACAATGTATATAGTAGTAATAATTACCAATAATAGTGTAAGATTATTGCACCAGCAGCCATGGATCTTGATCAAGATCTTTCGTTCTGCCAAACTCCCGTGATTGTAACGTGCATTAGGTTCGATTTAATTGAGGTGATCAATGATGATCTGATCCCAGCTTCAATGAATGAACAAATTAAAGAAGACTCTTGGGATCTTCAGATTCATAAATGATGAAATAATAAACAATAACAATAATTCAGCAGCAGCAGCAGCTAATGAGAAGATACATTGTACAAATTTCAAAATACTATAAAAGGGTGGGGACATCCTTGAAACCCTCGAAGGCTATCCATCCCATTCTCGGAATATTATTACATTATATGGATTCGAATTATGATTTCTTGGCTTTTTGATTGATCTTTGGCTTCTTTCTTTCTTTTTGCATTTCTTGAACAAGTTTGAATTCAAATACAATTATTTATTTGCTGCTTATTGGGAACACTCAATCTGTTTCTTTAAATTAGCCACAAAGGTGAGAAGAAAAAGATTTCTTAGCTTTTAGATATTCCATACCCTTCTTGTAAGTATCCCTTTAACCTTTCCAATTCAATCTTGATTTCTTTGCATTTGATTTAATTCCATTCTCTGCAAAAAGATACCCTTTTTCTTCTCTGTTTGTTTCCATTTCAGTTTTCCCCCAAAAGCCCCTTTTCGAGAAAATCTAGGAGAAATTAGTTTCATCTGGGTATGCCCCGCCCCAATTTCTTGGTTTTCAATCTTTGCTGTATCTGTTGATTTGGGGTTTATTAATTTTGAATGATTTGTGTTTGGCTCGTTGTCTGGAATTTGTAATAATGTGTGTGGAAATCGTCTTCTTCTGAGGTTGTAATAATTGATTCAGGTTATTACAATGGGGGATCACTTCGTCCTGCTGGTGGATCGATTGCTGACAGAATCTACTTTGGAGGCTGCAATCCAGTCGAAGCAATCAGAACCAGAACCAGAACCAGTTGGGGCTGCCATTGCCCACACATCAATCGACATCATCGATTCTTGCAACGTTAAACATTCCGAAGAAGCTCAATTTTCGAACAAGATTGTCGAATGCAGGATTTGCCAGGACGAGGATTTTGATTCCAACATGGAGATCCCCTGTTCTTGCACAGGAACCTTAAAGGTTGCTAACTCCTTTGCTTTTGATTGATCAATGATACAATTCACTGTTCCATTGATTATCCAATACATATATATAGATATATTTTAATTATTATTATTATTTTTTTTGTGTGTATTTCAGTATGCTCACCGGAAATGTGTGCAGCGGTGGTGCAACGAGAAGGGCGACACCGTCTGCGAAATATGCCATCAGGTGAAGCTCATCGATCTTTCAAAAAACTCGACTCAATTGATGACAGCTTTGTAATAATATCATACTCACAATTCTTGATCGATAATTCGTATCGTAGCAATTCAAGCCCGGATACACGGCACCGCCTCCAATATTTCGTGTCGAGGGACTCACGATGAACTTGAGGTTCTGTCCGAGAGATTTAGGTTGTAATGATGCGTAACCTTGTAATGAATCTAACTTGCATTTTCTCAGGGGTAATTGGCAGATTGCAAGAAGGGACATGAACAACAATCCTAGGATTATCGCAATGATTTCAGCCAGACAACATAGGCTGCTCGATCCAGAGGAGTACAATGATCATCGGGATTCTACTTCCCGGAGCATAATCTGTTGTCGCTCCGTCGCCATAATAGTAACTTTCTTCTCCTCAGGATCCTAGTTAAGAATCCTGTCTTAAAGTTTGATTGTAGGGTTATTTTTTTCGATTACCTGCAATGCAGTTTACAATCCTCCTGATTCTCCGGCACACTCTTCCGGTCATTTTCAGCCACGCCGGCAGCTATTCTTTTCCGGTTATGCTGGTAAGAAACTAAACCCGAGCAAAACCTTATTCCTCAGCATACCATGTTTTCTTATTCCTCGACATGTTTCGACTACAGTTGGTAATGCTCCGAATTGCCGGGATTGTTCTTCCAATTTGCCTAATACTGAAAGCAGTGACTTCCGTCTTGCGTCGCCAGCAGAGCGCGCAGAACGATCGATCGAATTTCGCCTATGACGAAGAAATATTACATCAACCGCAGGTTGTCTCTGCTGCACATTGAAGCGAAGGGTTGCCGGTAGAATCGCCGATCATCGATTACGCCGGAACCCTACAGTTACTGTAAATATGGTAATCTTCAGGCAGGAATTATGAACAGCCCTGAAGAAGTATTGTACAGAACAAATGCTACATTGTACATATAAAGGTTAAAACAATGTCTAAATAGCGATTAAAAACGCAAATGAATCTTTACACTGCATAAAATACAAACCATATGAAAAATATAATATATATATATATATATATCTGTACACAGTTCCATTTGTAAGAGAAACCAGAAAACGAAAAGCCCCCCTGGAAAATTTCTGGTTCAAGACTCTAAATTCATCACCTGTTTGTTTGTTCCTCAAATTCGAGCTTGAAATCACCGGTGTTTTTCTCTACCAATCAATCCTGTAATAATTTCAGTTCCAGCTTCTCCTAGGCCTGAAATGTTAGCGGAAACGATAAATAAGAAGGCCAGCTCGGCGTATCGCTATGACTACAAACACCTATTTTTCGTAGTACCTCTGGGTTTTAAATATTTCGCTGTCAAACAACAAACACGGTTAATATTATATATTTTTAAAAGAGTGTAGGTGATGTTTATACTTCCGGCTTTTCTGTCGCTGGCGCCAGTAGCAGGCAAGTGCGCCGAACAGGCAGCTCACAACGGCAATGGCCAATGCAGCTCCGATGGGCACGACAACTGCGTGCGCTGAAACTGCCAAATCGTCGGCGAATGCTGAGTCGGGGTTGTTGTTGTTTAGCTGTTTGTTGACTTTAACAAATGTTGCGAGTGTCTCTCTGTAGTAACCGATGAGAAACTTGTAAACCTCATCCTCGTCCCAATCGATCTCATTCTTGTCGTCATCTTTGCTGCTTTTGGATCGGTAGCAAGAAGGGCAGAGTTGTCGAGCAGGCCATATCATTTTGGGGAACATGGGATCGCCTGTATCCGCAGATGCTTCTTCCTTCATGAGCCTCTCGTTAACTTTGTTGTGAGCTTTCCACAGCCAAAGAATTAAATCGCGGGATTTCTTGAAAGGGTTAGAAACACTGCAATTATGACATTATATATTAAAAGATGCAGAGTCTAAGAAGATAGGATTGTGAGTCGCGTGTTAAACTTACCTTGAGCACATTTCGTTAAAATGTTGTCGACACTCCTCGCATATAAAGAAATTATGAATGAAATCACATATGGTGGTAAATGCCATTTCAGTTTCTCCATCACTTACTCTTACAGAAAGTGAGTGCAATAAAACCCACAATCCGCAGCTGCAAATGGAACAATGCGTATAAAATTCAAACAAAGATCACGGTAATAAAATAGGAAAATAACAAATGGAGAATGGGTTTACCTAAAGCCTCTAGTCTCATTCCTGCTGCCACGACAAAACATCTACGAAGGAAATACAACGACAGATTGCAAACATCAGAAACTGATAAACTCACATACACCATTACTAAGGCAGTGAAATTTATGTCCGCAAAAATATCTCTCTCCACTAAATATCTGTAAAAAAATAATCTAGAATTCAGATTCTTTTAGGACCGTGAACAGGGGAAAAATTATAGAGATTGGCTGACACGAATTTGTCCAGAACTTGGTTCCTTGTTTCCAGCATAGCATGACTGTAAAAAGGATAAACAGAAACAGAGTGAACCCAAGTCCGGGTAAAGAACATACCCAATATCCACGAGGCACATCATTTCCGCAAATTTTATAATTCCTGAGTGGCTGTCTCTCACCAACATTAGGGGATTTCTTGTTATCAGCTGAAAAATCATCAAAATCAACGAGTATTTCTGCAGTTCCCTTACGGCACCTTGTAAAAACACAAGAATTAGAAAAGTAAGAAATGTAACCACCATGCAAGGGAAAGTGGGAGAGGTACAGACAGAACGGGAATCATGATGCTCACCTTCTTGATGGGTGATGGACCACTAAAAGTTGAAGGAATTTGACGAGTGGTGCCCAAGTATCTGGTTTTATCATCTATATGTATGAAACAAGAGCGCTAATCAGTATAGCGAGGATGAAGCAGAGCTCAATAAAGAACTTATGTACGACATTGTGTCCTTCACCTTATGATCTAAAATGATGTTAAAAGCTGTAGAGGTTGCCTCCTCAACATCGTAGACAGCACGTGCAATCTTCTCACAAACACATGAAAATTAGTCAAAGCTAAAAATAGTGAAAAAATTTTATTTTCCATGGCTTTGTTACCATTCAAAATAGGTTAATTGAAAATCACCTGTCCAGGATCCGAAACATTTGCATGGAGATTTTGCTCATTCTCGAATCTTTTATCATCTAAACTATATGATCTGCACCATGAAACAACAAATAAATCTAACAACGAAGTCAATGTCTGTACCAATCATATGTGCCTACAGGCAGAAATATAGAAGAAAAAGGAGACCAAAACTAGAAGTGGCTTCTTACCCATTAAGTTGCTTATTAATCCAATTTAGCAATAGTTCAGCAGTACGTCCTTTGTCAATGGAACGTATTTCACTCTTATCTTTTGGATTCCAACTCCCAGACAAAAACTTAGAAGGTGGGCCCCAAAGAAGCATAGGGTATTGTCCGACTGAGAATTTATCACAGAGATCAGTATTGATCTGTGCTGCCATGTAAAGCAAAGAGAAAAAACATCATGTAGCAATAAAGCTGAAAGATATTGTTCAATAACGATATTTATCTCAAGCTAGAAGATCACGAACATAATATGGAAAACACCTAAACAACAAGCATTAAGAAGGTTAGAGAGCAGATAAAACAATACCAAAAAGGGTATAAACAGAAGGGAAAAGGCAAGATTGTTCATCGCAAGTGTGTGGAAGCAAATGTTTGTGTAGCTCACTCTGGTAAATGAAGAATTCAAATGTCTTATATGTATCCAAATAAAGCAAAGGTCACCAGCGGTTTTATTCTTCAAGAAACAAACAAAATCAGTTCCAAAATAAGTCATAATTAAAAAAGAAGAAATCTTTTAGCCAATATGGGAATTGATAAAGGGGGTAGATCACGTATAAGTAGTACATAAACACGCAATATTCTAAAACTCTTTAGCCTATGCAGATGAACAAAGTTTTCAGAGATGCATTAGTCCCAGTCCTTCCATACCATCACTGGGCCAAAGAAATGTTGCAAAGGTCCTTTCTACTTTTGCAACCATAAATTCCTCACTATTTGAGAAACTTCACTGTTAATGCATAATGAAATAAACAAATTATAGAACAATCTATCTCGAACTGTCACCAAACAAATTCTGTTTTACGTGCATAGCCAAATAAAGAGCATGACTACCTTTAAGGCACAATCCACTCTTGTCATCAATATGATCCCTGGATGAACAGCATCTGCTCCGTTAAAAAGCTTGGCAACCTTCTCATATTGTGGCTGTTCAAATTGTTAATAACTCTGTGAGGGGCATAATTGCATCATAACCCAAAAAAAGTAGATAATTTCAGATGAAACTTAACATACCTTATAATTTCTGCAGGCAGGGCACCTGCATAAGCAAGAAAGCAAGAGATCTTACATATTAATAAAACTATTCGACAATAATTGTACAGTGATTTCCACACTGGACAATACAACCAAATTTTGTCCCCAAAAAACAAGTCTTGAAATAGAATAACCAAAAAAAACCCAAAAAGGACTCCAATTTGATGAGTATGCAAGCATCTCAGTCACTAATCTATTAATCCATACTCGACAAGATCATTCCCAATCGAACCTTTAACCTCTCATTAAACTATCCGTGTAAACTTTACTCAATTTAACTATAGACAAATTCTAATTCATCAAAGGCAAGCAACAAAAACTTTTTCTTTACAAGAAGAATGAAAAAAAACAAAAAAAATGCAACTAACCAGTGAGCGAAGAATTCAACAATAGCATAAGTAGCAGGGGTCTCCTTAAGCACCGAATCGAAGCTCGTGGCGTTCAATTCCACAGCGTAATCAGGCTTCTCAGCTTTACCCTTCTCGATTGATCTCAGAATCGACCGAGATCCAAACGAAATCGGACTCGAAATCACCGACGATGATCCTCCGGCTATTGGTGCACACACTACCAAAATCGTTACAATGATCGAAACCACAGACGACATGTGGAATTCCCGCCGGTGTAGCGACGCGCAACAATGTGCGGGTATTACCTCGGAGAGGTTTTGGCGAGCGGAATGATGTGCAGGACGATCTACCGGTTTGGCCCTGGGCACGGCAATGAGTACGCCTTACGTCAACCCTCTAATTTTGTGGATTCCCAATTACAAAACTTTTGCGCTTCTATTCATTGTACCCTGCTTTTGAGGAGTTGTACCTTCTTAGAAGGGTACGGAACCCTAACGTTGTAATGAAAGTACATATTTTCAAGATTTGATTTTTCTTATATTTCCATAATCAGATTTAACACTAAAATAAACAATAATAGTTTAATACAGACAACCTTTCTTTAAATCTACGTTAGCCCAAAAACACCATTTCTTGCTGTGATCGACATACAGAAAGGCACTCTAAGCTCCAATTCTTGGAGTGGTACCAGTTGATGTAGCTACACTATTGTTGCCACTCTTGCTGGTGTTCTTGCCACTGCAGCTGCCTCTTAATTTAGCGAACACTTCCTCCCTTCGGGGGCGGTTTGCAAAGAGCATCCACAGCGCCAGGCTCAGCATGACGCCTACCGAGATGAGCGCCAAACCGGCGTTGACGAGCCGGAGATCGTGCTCCAACGGCGGGCAGTATCTCGCCGTGATGTTCGTGAACGTGTCGCGTACGAAATTGCAGTCTTGGAGGCTGAGCAATGGCGGGGCGTAATGCTCGAGTGCGTAGCTCACGTTTACCGCCACCACCAGCTCGGTGTATATCGGCGGAGTCAGCCTCCCGACGCTCGCGCACAGACCGCTCGACGACATCGTGCATGTAAAGTTCTGCCACGCCTGCGTTCATATACACCGTTAGATAATCCGTAAGCGCATTTAATCGATAATTGGGTTTGGGAACGACTTGCGTACCAGAGATGCGTTTTCCATGGACAGCTCCTGAGGCGAACACGGTCGATCTTGTAGATCGCCGTCGTATGGGTAGCAGAGCTGTGGTACGACGGGACCTGACTGGTTGTAGTAATTCGGGGTAGCTTGTGGAGGCGGGTTCGAGTTGGCGATCGAGCTTACGAATACGTTCACTATGTTTACGATGTTGTTGATGACTTGTTTGCTCTTGAACAGCGTCTGATTTGTGGTTCGCTGGTCGACGCACGGAAGGATGTTGCTAAGCGCTGTCTCGGCGTGCGGGTTCTCCACCCATTCTCCCATTGCTAGACAAGTGTCGGAAATTGCGCTAAAAAAACAACACAAGCGAAGAACAATGTTCGAGTAAAGATCAGTTTTTGCGACAAAACAAAGAGTAGATACGACGTACTATACGTACTTGTTTAGAATAGCGAAAACACCACAAAGGACAAGCGTAACTGCCACGAGCAGCCATCCGCTGACAATGAATCTGCGCCAATAAATAATTCGATGAATATGAAGAAATTCTCGAAGCTGTCGTTATAGAAATGGGAAGATGAATGGACAACAGAACTCACATGTGTATCACATGTTGATGCCTGAGGATAGACAGCACTGCAATGGAAATAATGCATAAAACAAATGCAATAACGACGTCACAATTGAAACTTTTCTAACGACGCATACCAAGGCCTACGATGGATATGAGGAGCATCACAGCTGCAACAACAATAAGCGACGAACGCCTGCAACGTACAATTCAACATCCGACACTGTACAACAAATGAAGGATAAATATAGACGATAAAATGCGACTAAAATCATACACTGTATTGAAGACTTTCTGTATCCGCCTCGAGTTTTCATCGGTCTTCTGCTCCAACATGTCTGCAGCATTATCTAAATCAACATTAATCTTATCGATACCATCTTTAACATCCGAAGGTAGGAAAGTTTGCGCGACGTTGACTGTCTTAGCCAGCGATAAATAACCCGTGACGTTTCTGAGAACATGAACAGTGTACTCCGATTGATTCACTACATAATCCAAAGTATCCAATGCTTTTCCATGGAAATCATCCTGTCCAACCGACAGCAAAATACATCCAACCCTGTATATCAAGTTGCATCAAAATATTAAACTGTGAAAACATTACGAAAAAACCTACAAGAGAGTAGATGATTACGCTGCAGCGGTGGTAAAAGCAACAAGCAGCAAAAGATATATCCAAAGGGACCAGCTCGATTCTTTGTACCCGAGGTTTATCTTACATCCACAAAAGTATTGCACCACAAGAGCTGTCCCAAAGGAGAAGAACCACACGACGGCGACAATGAATGCTGCGGCACCTGTAAATCCCACAGACTGTCCAAACCAATGGTGAACAATTTCGAATAATCCACCATTATAACATAATTTGAACATTGCAACATACAATGAATGAGGTATTGAACTTACTGCCCAGTAATGCTGATTGGTAATGTCCCATCCACCTCTATATTTATGAAATTTCGAAAGAATGTCGGGCCGTTTTGTCCGATTTTCGGCTAATACAAGCGTGCCGACGTCACTGAAAGGCCCTGGAGCTTCTGCAGTAGAATTCAGTATTTGATCCTTCCAAGATCCTAGATTTTCTTGTCCTGCATCAAAATTAGATCAAAACAAATGGGGGATGTAATTAATAATGGCAAACATTCAGCCATGAATTGATTACAAAAAAAAAAGAAAAAACTAAGGCCGGATCCATTTGATAGAACATCCAATCTTCGAAACATAGATTGATCAAACTAGTAGTGAAATGCAACAAATTCGACAATTGAAAACCGCACAAATACCCAAACCCATTTGCAGAATTCTCATCATGCCCAGTTAGAATCAGAAATATAAAAAAGAACAAATCAAAGAATGGAACCTCAAGAAACCATATTGCCAAGAAAAGCATAAATCAATGCATCACAAGCGTTCGTTAAAATGCCTGACTCAGAAATCACAGTAATCGACAACCAAACGTAATCAACAAACCTAAAATGGACTTGAAAGGATCTTTGGCAACAGCAACAGGGAAAATGGAGAGAGCAGCAAGAAGAAGAAGAACCCAGCAAGAAAAACCCCTCACCCCCATTTCCCGCAGCACCAAATCTCACTTCAACCGAAGCACATAAAGCCACTGAGAATCAGGAGAATCTCCTGATTAGAAAAATCTCACACCATCCGTCTTGTGTTCCCATTTGCATATGAGAAGGGATCATCGCAATTATTCCCCTTTTTTTTCTGTTGCAATTATTCTATTTTTTTATTCGTCTGTTTATGGGCAGATGAGTAAAGTAAATAGAAAATCTCAGCTAAACCCTTGGCATTGGCAATCAAAGATCCGCGGGAACAATGGACGGACAGATGTGCAGAAACCTAATCGACTACATTTAGAGGTGATGTGGAGGTTCACATGGGACCGATGAGAGCAGGTGTAAATGGAGCTAGCAATATCGGCGGACCATAGAGGTGATATTCCTTCACAAGACCGTGGACCCCAGCTCCGGATGAAATTACACCGTTGGATGTCCACGTTGTTATTTTATTTGGAGTTGTGGTCCAGGGACCCGCTGAGAATTTCTTCCATATCTGGCGCTCGACGGGTCTAATGTCTACCGTTTATTTCACTTCTATTAATTTTTTATTAATAGTTATTTTGATAATCGGAATAGATTTATTTGCTACTTTTGGGCTTTTTATTTTTTGTTAGGATCCCAAAGAATAAAAAGTTAATGTATTATTTAATTTCTTTATTAAAATTTGGGAGGAGAAACAGATTTCACGGGCATCATTTAATTAACAATTATAAATAGCACGGCAACATCTTTACTAAATACTGTGCGTTATTATTATAAGATTTAATTAAACTAAGAATACAATAAATGCAAGGCTAGGAAAAAAATTGCGTGCGGTTAGGTGCATAGTAACGGTCAAAGCCGCTTTGCCGTTGGGACCCTTTTACGAATCCACGAGACGTTTTGTTTGATGGACTGCGACGGTCGTTAACGGAAAATTAAGCATTAATTAATGTGGGCCCCACGAGTGAATGCACGCGCATACCCCCGCGCGTCGCCGCGGGCTGCAGGATCTTCGCTCGGGTGAATCATTTTATTAATATTAAATGTTTGGGCCTTAATTAGATATAAAAGTTTTACACTATTAAATATTTATTTTTTTAATATTATATATTTTTTATTTTAATTTTTTTTACATAAATTAATATAAATAGAGTTGTTTACCAAACAAGATATAAAATAAAATAATATTTTTTATATCTTAATGTAATATAAAATTTTAACTATACTTAAATCGTTAGATGTATAATAGTATTTGTGAAATATTGGTATATCTTTTGGAGTTCACGTTCAATTCCAATACCAGAAATTGTGGCAATCAATTAACCAAAGCCAACGCCATTGTAATATCGACAATACGAAAAGCATAAATATAAATTGACTTGGAGAAGAATTTGTTTCGTTTTCTTTTAAACATAAATTTTCAATTAAATGTTATTTTAATATAACATTTTACAAATAAAATAAAATATACACATTATTGAAATGGACTCAATATTACTATTACTATTGTCACATGATTATTTCAATAAAAAAAAAACACCAAATATAAATAATTTTCTGTCCTTTTCTTTCTCGAATACTACTAATTGCCTCTATAATTGTGTTAATTGACTAATGAAAGCTATGGTGTTCACTTTGGGACTTTGTAGGATAAAGGGTGATACGATAGTTGTTGTGTAATCCACACAAAATAATTTTACCTTTAGACTTTTGAAAAAGTTATAAATAAAGCAATCTCAATAATTGAGCCAGATGGGCTTGCTAAGATTGAAACTATTAATTAATAAATATGGGAAATGAGATTATCCAAAATCAAGAACCATTACAAAATGTCCAGTGATTCAGTCCACTCCAATATCAGATGAAATTACAGCCCAAATTACAATTTAAAACAAGCCCAATATTACAGATCACATATTTCTAAACACACAATGTAATTTTGGGATTTGGAAAGTAATTGCAAGAAGCAACAAAATCACACACATACATGATATTCCTATCATTATTCTGGTGATTTATTTGTAAAAACCTGTAATTAAACAGAAGGTTTCTATTCAAGAAATTTAACTGTATCTTCACCAGCTCCCAAACAGGAGCTGAATTCCAATACATTTTCCAGATTGGATCTCAAAACAATGCAAGAAATACATTCAAAGTTTGACTATGTTGAAGATAAAAACGAACAATTATCAAAAGTCTTCTGAGTTAGATTACTTTATTCTATTAAAACACATCAAACACATTTCTTATAATCAATCAAACAATCTCCTTGTGAGCATCATCACACACAATCGAATATTGGAAGCTTCAAAGCATTTATTCCATATAAATCCCACCAAGAACAAATTGAAACTCTGGCATCTTTGCAGAATAATTTAGGGCATAGATATTGAGATCATCAGAAAAGATATGGTTTTGGCTCTTCCCCATTACCAAACAACAAATCAATTAAAAACTACTCAAGCAGCCAAAAGCACACACAAATGGAATAAAAAACTCACAATGCACCATCATAAACAAGAGCAGCAAGCTGAAGATGAACCAAGATTTCAAAACTAACCAAAATTTTCATTAAAATTCAGCACAGACAGGAGCATTGATAGTATTAAGAAGAACTAATCAGTGATCAGACTCATGACGAATTAATTGATACCACAGTTTGACACTAAAAAGCATCTTTGTAACTAAGTGAAACGACCTGCAATTCATTCCCTACTTTAGTCTTCACCGTTATGCCATCGACTCCGGCAACGATCACCGAACTTGCCAATCCGATGAACATGCCATGGTCGACTATACCAGGAAGTCTCAAGATTGCATCACTAGCCTTGTTCAAATCTCCCATGTCCCTGTCAAAATACAAATCAATTATATAATTTCCATTATCGGTTACGTATGGCTTCCCCCCACTCTGAGGAATCTTCCGCAGCTCGCCGACGCAGCCTGCATCGGCAAACAAACCTTCGAGCCTTTTCAAGGAATGTTTCCAGCAGAAGGGGATAACCTCCACAGGCATGTTCAAACCGCTGCCGCCAATGTGATTCACCAATTTTGATTCGTCGACTATGACGACGAACTTCTTGCTCGCGGATTCCACCATTTTCTCCCTCAACAGCGAGCCTCCGCGGCCTTTAACCAAATTTAGGTTAGGGTCGACTTCATCCGCGCCGTCGATTGACAAATCCACAACTGGATGCGAATCGAGATCTGAAAGCGGAATCCCTAACGACACGGCTTGTTCGTGAGTTTTCGTAGACGTAGGGATGCCAACGATGTCCTTCAACTTCCCCTGCCGCAATAGCTCCGCAATCCTGTCGACGGCGTGCTTGGCGGTGGAACCCGTGCCGAGCCCTACCACCATTCCCGATCTGACATGCTCCACGGCTCTGTACGCGGAAATCCTCTTCAAATCATCCTGCGTGAGCGGACACGACGGCGACGCGGCAGAAGGCACCATCTTCTCCTGCGACTCAACTGCGGCAAGGGCTTCAGGAACCGGAAAATGCGGGTAAGCAACCGCCATAGCAACCGTCTGATTCTAATAATACAATTTCTTCCTCAAGTAACAGAATACAAACAAAGAAGCGAAAAATAACGGAAGCCCAATCCCAATACGTCAAATTGAATTTCTGTGGCTGTCTGGCTGGCTACAACATATTTCGAACCGACGAATCAAATAGTATCGACGCGCATTAAATTAGAACAAAAATTTAGGAGGAATTGCAGAAGAAAATAAAAATCGAGGTGGGTCAGGGCAGCGCAAGGCGAAGCGAAGCCAGTCCACCGCAATCCGGAAAGAATAGATTCGGTTTGAAATATGTAATTGGAAAAGGGCAATTAGGGTTTGCGAGATATTTATAGGGAGGAAATCATCGGGACGCGGAAACGTGCACGAATCCTCGAAAGCAGGAATACTCGCATCTCCGCCCTTATCTCTCTCTGCTCCTCCTCTGCACCAACCCACACTACACAAATCTTATCATCATTCAGATTGCGTTTGGCAATGGCGTGAGTTCCAGCTTTTGCGTTGCATTTATATTTTATATTTAAAATATATTTTAATAATGTGATACAATAATAGCATTTTATAAATATATATCAATATTTTTTTATATAATTTTTATAAAAAATGATTCTATAATGAAAATAGATAAATGAATTAAACCTCAATTTTCATGGATTGGTTCGTTTTCTTTTTTCCATAAGATAACTTTTCTTTTTGTTTTTAATATCAAATTTATTATTATTATTATTAGTATTTTAAAAAATATCAATGAAAATATGAATAAAAATACATAGTGTCATGCACCGTCTGAATGTATATGTATATACAAATTTATTTATTTATTTTATAACTTGGGAATAACAGCGATCAAATAAGCAAATTTAATACTCTTTCCGTGCCACGTACTGAGACACGGTATATAAATTAAGATTAAGATAACTGATTAGTTTAATTAAAATTAAAAAATAAATAAATTAAAAACTTTAAAATAAAATTAAAATGTATAATTATTTTTCAAAAAAAAAATGACATAAAATGTGAAACGAAGAGAAACGGCAACATAATATATGAAACGGATGGGGGTAATCAAGTACTACTGTTCAACATTTTATTTACACGTATTATTACAGTAGGTATTTAATTTGGGCAATCGGTAGCATGTTGAATAATGTTTAGCTATGGTAGGGCCCCACCACGGCTAGTGTCAGCTAAAATTCAATGCCTATTTGCTAATATAGTTGTATAGGCATGAGCTGAGACGATGCCAGATATACATGATTTAGGATTTATCTTTTATAATGTAAATATTTGTATCCTTTGTTTTTCGAATATATTAGAACATTCGTTACAGTTATTTTTAGGTCTTTGATTATTTTTTAGATTTTAATTATAATAATACTCATTATCTATAATAAAAAAATATAATTATTTTAAATTTATTATATTTTTCAATAACTGGTTACTTTCAACAAAAATAATAAAAATAAATTAAGTATTATTTCTTTTTATTTTTTATTTTTGAAATCTTCAAATTTCAAATACTATAACGGATGCTCTTATAAGTAAAAGATATAAATCATGTTAGACCAATTATATTATTATTGTTTTTAAGTATTATTTGATTGTAATTTAAAATTGATTTGAAATATAATGTTATGTGAATTTTTGTTTAAATACTATTTTTATTTAATATTTTATTAATGTACTTTTGTTTGGAAATAGTATACGATGAATAATGTTTAATTTAATTAAAAATGTTAAAAAAACAAATATATTTTTTAGTTAATAGATTGAAAAAAATTTCACGAAACATTGACATACACTAGTTTATATTTATAAATTTTAAGTTAAATTCAAACATTAAAGGAACATATCTTACATGATCTACCTAGTTCAGCGACATAGTCGTATATATATATATATATATATGTGGTTTATAAGATAATTTTATTATATTATCATTTTTCATTGTTGGTAAAGTAACATTTATAATTAATTGCTAACTTAGAAGTGATTCAAAAATTGAAAAATAAATTGATGGTTCCCAATATATGGATGTAGTACTCCCTCCCTCCAAAATAAGGTCGGACATTTATTTTTTACACGGATTTTTAGGTGAGTAGTATTAAGTATAATAATTTAGAAATTAGGTGATGTGACGGAGAGAGAAATATATATTTTATTTTTTTATTTGAATGATGTGAGAGGATAAAATGTGGGGTAGAGATTATATATAATTAATTATTTTCTATTTTGAAAATATTGCAAAATATTTGGGACATATCAAAAAAAAAAATGTTACGTAATGTTTGGGACGAAGGGAGTATATTATATGCATAGGGACAGTGGGTAAGGCATGGGAATGGAATCATTCAAGTCCCAATATCTTGTTTATATATATATATATATATATATTTATATAAAATAAATGAGGCATGCACCATTCATCACTACATACAAGTCTAGTCTATCAAATTTTATTATTTTTTTTAAAAAAACACCAAATAAACTAACATAATAATTTATGTTTTGGTTTATTTTGATTTTTGATTTATATAAATAAATAAATAAATCAAAGTAGACAATATTCATGCGTGTGTATATAGTTTAAAAGAAAATAGTTATTTTTTTGCATAGTGGGAATATTAGTAAAGTACATATCCATCCAATAAAAAAGAAAACTAAAATCAATTTGTAGGGTGTGTATTAAAAGAGTCAATCAATAATCTCACTTTTCATGATTCGTCAACCAAGTGGGTCTTCGGAGAAGCCCAACATGGACATAAACTTTTCTTATAAATTAATATAAATTATAGAGAATTAAATCAAATATTAAAATATTACGACCAAAGCTCAATTATAATTAATCAATTTATTTATTTTGTATATACTTATTAGACAAGTTTTTCTTTGATTGCAATTTTTCTCTATTTGACTAAAATTTCAATACAGTGCCAAATTTACAGTTTTATCAAATTGAGCGAGAAATGGAAAAAAAGAAAAAAAAAAAAAAAAAAAAAAAAAACGTGCCAGACTTAATTGGATAGAACTGTACGCTTTTCTAGGCAGCCTCTCGTTCGAGATTGAAAATCTTGCGGTCAAATTAGGGTTTTGAAAGTTGACTAGTAAATTTAAAAATATATAAATATGTCCAAATTCATTGTATGGTGGCCATATGTATTGTTGTGGGAATTTCGTTAAGTTGTCCAAACTCCAAAGGCCCAATTGTTGTACAGTTTGATGATATTGTTCATAGCCCAAATAGCTACTAATTGGGCCTATGAGGCTCAAAATAGAACCTAAATGATTTTAAAAAATTAGAATTTAGTTTTACACGAAAATATTCCATCCGATAAATCTTTTTTTTTTTTTTTTTTAGAGGTAAAGGAAATACTCGTACTGTTTGATTTTCTTTTTAAAAAGAAAAACAAGAATGAATTTCGCTGATTTTATCTGTCTATATTATATATGTACAGTTTAAATTAAAAGTGGGATTAACAGTGTTTGTTGCAGACTGCAATGGATTGTAATAGAAAAAATTTACTGGAGATGAATATTGACAGTGAGTAGATGACAAATGAAATGACTAGTCGAAGCTCTTTCACTCTCTCTCTCTCTCTCTCTCTCTCTCTCTATGTTTCAGTCAAAGCAGCCATGAATGGCTTGCTGGCTAGCTTTGGGAAGAAACCAAAACTTTGCCAAACAGGGAATATCATCTGCAAAAAAGGACAATCTGAAAAGAGGGTTTTCTTGCAAACTTTAAGGTACGCTTTCATTTCATTCAATTTACATTTTATTACACCACTGTCTCTTCTCTTCGATCATTTCTTATCCCCAAATATTGGTTAATTAAGCATGCTAGCTGATCAAACTCCATGTATGTATGTATATATAATAATTTTTTTTAAATCACTACTACTGTATTATTAGTACAAGAATTATATATATTAATTAAGAATTTTATAAGTATATAAATATGATTAACTTAGTAGTGATGAGGCACATCATCAGAGCCTAGGGTTTGAGCCCTATGAATGGACAGCTCCAATTCCAAGCCATTCACCCAATTCTGGTAATCAAACCAAAACCCTAATTCAGAATACTATGATTCGTGGGCAAGTGATAGTGCAGCAACAGTGTCGAGACTTTTATCTCCATTCTTGCAAAGCCAGACAGACAGCTGTGATGTGCTTGACAAGATGTGTAAAAAATAAATTCAAATTATACTATATAAACACATAAACATATATGCATTAAATTTTCAAGGGTTTTTTGTCCTGTTACTCAAATGGATGTAATAGATTTATCAACAGAGAGCAGTACGTACCCTCCTCTGATATGATATATATATATACAAGTACTATGTATGATTGATCCCCAATAATAATCTCACCTCATCAATTACACTTTATAATTCTACAGTCTACCCTAGATTTTCATGTCTCCCAAAATCTCCTGATCACTCCCCTCCCCTCCCCTCTTTATATATCTATCCAGTAACCATACCATACCATACCATACCCTTCATTTGTGCTCCTCCATCCATCCAGCAAAGGCTTGAAAGCAAACAAGTTTCTGAAATTAGGGTTTTACAATTCAAGGTTTGGTTTGGTGTGATTAGGGTTGTGGAGTATGGAGCTTCCTTCAGTCCAGTTCGAGGCAGGTCGAAAGCCGAATACTCAGCTGTTATATCGTTGGCTCATGAACACATCGAATTCTTGGACGTACGAATGGTGGGTTTTTGATGCAACGATGTGGGAGCTGAGTTTGGATTTTGCTGTCGCGCCTTGGACTGAAGGGAGCTCCCTATTTATATATCCACTACTCCTTTAATTTATTTATTGTGTATGTTTGTTTAATTGTACACATGAATATGATAGTTGCTTTTCGTTTTCATGCATATGTAATTGACACACACGTATATATATATATATATATATATATGTTCAAATCTCTTAACGGCTCTCCTACTATTGATCTGCTTGTTAGATTTTCTTGATGCAGGATGAAGTACCAAAAGTGACTTAGAGACCTTCTGCCAAAGGACTAAGGCAAGGATTGATTCAGGGATTAGGCAGTTTTTTTATTAATTTTTTAAAGAATTTTTTTGTAGCTTCTTGGGTACTAGGCAGTAGGCAATAGTGTTTTTAATTTATCCTTTTTTGGGTGAAGGAATTGAAAAAAGCAATAGCGTTCTTGTTTTACACTCTCTAATGTTTTCTGGTACATCAAATGTGAAGGAATTTTCTTGATCTTGTATTGTGCCCTCTCCTGTTTGAGTTCTTGGTTTTTGGGTTGTTGATATATGTCCCAGTTCTTCACAAAGCCCTAAAATCGATTGAACAAGAAGACATCATTTTTACTGAATGAATGCATATTTACCATTGATACACATCGTCACATCACAATAAATCAATACTTAAAATTCAAATCACCATAACACTAATTAACCAACCAATGGTATCTTTCTCATCCTCTCAATCTTGTGATCCAAAACAACAACAAAATCTTCCTTCCCCTCATCAACAAGAAACCTCTTCAAATCCCTAAACACTCTCTTGCTCGGCAACATGCCCATGTCCATCATCTCGTGGACTAACCGGCACGCCGTGTCTACCTCGCCACCGTGACACAAACAATCGATCAACACAACATACATCTTCACATCCGGAAGCACACCTCTCCCCTTCATCCGATCCCACACATTCATCGCCATATCCACCCGTCCCTCGTTGCAAAACATCCTCACCATTATATCAAAAGTTGCCACGCCCGGCTCGCAATCCATCCCATCAAAAACAGCGCACGCCTCCTCCGGCTTCCCCTCTCGGACAAGATGATGCAATAGTATCTCATAAGTTTGCGCATCCGGCCCAACCTTAAACACCCTCATCTCATCGACTAGCCTATATGCATCCCCCAATCTTCCCGACCGGCAATACGCCCTCGCCAATGCATTGTAAGTAGGAGCATCGATTCCACGATTGCTCGCCTTGCAAGTATTGAAATACTCCATAGCTTCATTCAGCCGGCCTTCGTTTGCCAATGCGTGGATCATTGTACAGTATATATGCGGGGATGGTTGCATTCTTGTCGATTTCATTTCATTGTACAATGTCGCGGCATCGTTTAGCCTTCGAGCTTTACAATAGGCATTGATCAGAATTCCGTAAGTGACTGTATCCGGCCGCAGTCCGTGAGCCTTCATCTCGCTGGAAAGTTCATTCAGGCGGTGGAAATTGCATTCTTGGCCCCAACCCTCCAACAATGGTGTGTAGGACTTGACATTGGGGATGAACCTTGTGTTTTTCCAAACGTCGAACACCTGGTGTGCAATCTCAACATGCTTTGATTTGCAGAGAGCATCAAGTAGCTTGTTGTAGTCCTGCAATTGGGGCTTCAGGCCGTAGTCTTTCTCCATTCTTTCGAATGCGGTTATGGCTTCTGCCACTTTCCTTGCCCTGATAAGCCTCCGGGAAATTAGGGCAAAAGTGCTTGTATCGAGAATGCCCTTTGATTTCATCTCGTCCACCAACAGCCATGCCATTTTGAATTGCTTGATTTTCCCCAATGATTCGATTAGGGCATTGTAGGACTCCGGTGTGTGTTGGAAACCCTTTTTCTTCTCGGCCCACCGGAAAAACGATAGCGCCAAGACTCCGGCATTTTTGAGCTTCTTCAACACATCAATGACCACTTTTGGGGATAAATCGTCGCATAAGTCAGCAGAATTCAGAACAGAGTCGAGATTTCTAAAACTCACAACCCTGCAAACTATGGTTCGGATCATTTCTGATTCCTTGTCGGTTTGCTCATTATTATCGGCATTTTTATGCTCCGTGTCGGAGCTAGATGGAAGCTTATAAAGATTCGGTCTGGAAATTGTTGTGGTAAATATTCTAGATTGACGATGGGAGTTTCTTGATATGGGCTTTCCTATACCTCCGATGATGAATTTCAGAAAATCCATCGAGGAATCGGAACTGATTTGAAGCTTGATGGTGTGCTGCTAAGATTTAATTGAGCAAAATAGCCGCGGAAATCCAAAAACATCTGCAATAAACTAAATTCGATGATTTTTCAGGAGATAGTAAAATTGTACACCTGGTCCACCCCTCCCAAAACCAGAAGAATCGTATTGGATCAAACACGTCACAATTGCAGCAAATCTTTGAAAGATTCTCGCATTTGCTTCTGTCTTTTGCCATGAAAAATGTGGGGGATAGAACTCACAATATTATGCGCTGTAAGAGACGACTCCTCTGAAAGAGCAAGATGAACAGGAAGATGATTACGGCTGGATTTTGCGCCATAGCACACGAAACCGACGTAAGAAGAGAAAAATCAAAATTAGGGCTTGATTTTGGGCTTCAGCAGATGAAATATCAGAGCTGGATTTTGCACTGTATCTGATAAAGCTTGGCGAAGAAGAAAACGAGTATTTGGGCTGAAAATAAATTAGGGCTTTACAGAAATGGGCCTAAGTTTAAATGGTTTTCTATTTGGATCGAGGCCCGAAACCCCAACTTTTTTAATATAAAATAAACAGATTTAAATCTAAAAATCAGGATTATATTATTACATACATATTTTACATCTAGAGACTAGAAATATCCTGTGGGTAGAACAATATTAAAATAGCTGGCGAAAATCGTGGTTCCAATTACACGCTTTCACGTTTATATCCACACAACACAAGTAGCGTTTTCTATTAAATTCTTACAAGAATTGAACACACAGACACACATACCACATGTCATGTAGCAATCGTGTATAATTCCTTTTGGTACACTTCATGACAATAATTAATTAATTAATTAAATCAGAAACAAATCTATTTATCTCTAATTCACCCATGGCATGTCAAAATTAAATTCTGACTTTATACACAATTAATCACACGTATTTGCTCTGTACAAGGACATCCCACCAACATCTGGAAATAAAAAATAAAAAATTAAAACGAGAAGTTATTAAAACGAAATTTAATAATCAATAAATGGGTGATGTTTATCGCTTAAAGAGATAAAAATCTAAAAACATGTTACAGACACCGAAAATGACAGCAATAATTACGAACCCAAATGTTTCAAGAATGTAATTAAATACAGCGTCGAATGACTAATTAAGCTGAAGTGGAGCAATACAAAGTCGCCAAATATATCCAATTCAATCAAATAAATAATCTGAATTATTGCATTAATTTGGCTAATTAATTATGATACATTCGAATCGAACGAACAAGATTCGATCCATTAATTTCAATTTTTAAATTTAGCAATAATATCAATTCGTACGCGTAAGCGTAACATATATGTGAATGTGAACCAAGGAAGAAACCGTTTACCTATTACTGGAATTGAACTGTATATAATGGAGCCGCCAGCTCAGCAGAGCTGTTTACAATACGACGTCGGTTTGTAATTAACTGGCATATTATTAAATCCGCGAGGAATCCCAGGAAGAAATTTCGGAAAAAAAACACAACAAAAACCCATAATTAGACATGGAGGATTTTATTTTATTTTTACTATTTTTTTTATTTTTAAGTCAAATAAACGTAGCTAGCATAGCAGAAGTGATATTTAAATAAATAATTAAATAAAATATGAATGATTGGTAGAAAAAGGTCGCTTTCTTTCTTACAAAGGGGCAATCTCTGCTGCGCCGTTATATTACAGTTGTTGCTTACCCATAACATAACATTATTACTATTATTAGTTGTAAATTTTTTATTTTATTTTTTGATAATAATATATTAGTTGTGAGTTTCTATATATAGATGGTCATGGTGGATTGGAGGCAATAATAAATTTCAAATTGGGAGCTTCAAAATTAAACTCAGCTGTCGTCGTCCAGTCCTAACAAGGTCCTGAAAGAAAGAAAGAAAGAAAGAAAGAAGTGAAGGATGGGGTTTGTGGATCATATTGCAGATATGTGTGCAGACATCGATACATCCAAAATAAAGACCAAAAAACGAAAGCCTATGCAGGTAATAACATCATCATCATCTCTCTCTCTATATATATTGGAATTAATCAATAAAATTGTTAAGTAGTTACCATATACATACAGACAGTGGAAATCAAGGTGAAAATGGACTGCGACGGATGTGAGAGGAGAGTGAGGAATGCAGTTTCCTCCATCAAAGGTAATAACAATCTCTCTTTCCCTCTCTCTCTCTCTCTGTGTGTGTGTGTCTCTCTCTATATATAATAATATATATATGTATATTATAGGGGCTCGGTCTGTGGAGGTGGACAGAAAGCAGAGCCGGGTGAGCGTGAGCGGGTACGTGGAGGCGAAGAAGGTTCTAGAAAAGGTACAGAGGACGGGGAAGAAGGCGGAGATGTGGCCGTACGTCGAGTACAAGCTGACCGCGTACCCCTACGCGCCGCAGGCTTACGACAAGAAGGCTCCCGCCGGCTATGTCCGGAACGTGGCGCAGGCGTATCCGGCCACTCCCAATGCCCCCGTCGACAAATACACCAACCTTTTCAGCGACGACAACGTCGACGCCTGCTCCATCATGTGATATGACGTCGTCTCATCAATCCGTTATATACTACTGTCCGTACACCTTAACTTAATTTTTTATTATTTGTTTTATTTTATTTTATTTAAAAAAAAGAATACAAACACTATAGGGTTTAGTTCGTTTACATGTTGTTGCATGTACTCTAGCTAGAGGTTTTCAATTCGAGTCTTTGTACATTTTTTGTTTAAACGAGAAGAGTTCTATAATTTTGAAAATTTAGAAACATTAATATATTTGATAAGATATGTATTTTAAAAAATTGAATTGGTTCGAAATCTCCAAATTTCAGTTTCATCTTCCATGAAAAAGTAGAAAATATTATGGATGTTAAATTAAACAAAAGAATTAAAATATATATATATATATTATACATATTTATTATATTATACTACTTACTCAATTCTCTATATCTTACCTAAAATATATATATATATTTCAATAATTTAACTAAACAAATAGTACACCTTATGTTGTTAAATTAAATATATTGGATTCTTTATAAACTAGATTTAGAAGGTTGTTATGACACTGTTGAACAACAATTTAGCTAGAAGCTACGCAGATGGTCACTGTATTGAAGTTGGTTGAAATTTAGCTATGTTGACACGACATTATTTAAAAATTTATCACAATTAAATTTTTGAAAAAATCACATCAATTATATTTAATTTTTAATAAAATATTAAACTTAATATTAATCTTTTAGGGTGTGTTTGTGGGGGCTTTTGGATTTTGAGTTGGGATTTGAATAGTAAAAATTTTGAATTTGAATAGTTGTATGATGTGATATAAATAGGTGTTGATGTGATGTTTTGAATGTAAAATTAATTTTTAGTATAATATAAAAAATGAAAAATAGGTGTTTGATTTGATGTTTTTGGGGAGAAAAAATTGGATGAATAGTAAAATTTTGTTAAATTTCTACGAACAATTGTAAAATTTCAGAAGTTTAAAAATGTTCAAGAAAAGATTTTGTTTTATAATTGCATATAATTCATGAAGAAATCTAGATTTTAGTCAGTATGTTGTTAGATTCCTTTAAAAAATTATAAGTTTTTTTTTAATTAAAATAATGCAATCACAATAGATTTGTTGACTTAAATGTTTTCTGTCAGATAATTTTTGTAAATATTATTTTTTCTAAAAAAAAATATACGTATGTTAACTTAATATATATATAATGTATTTTATTTATTTATAAAAATTAATTAAATATTTAATTTAAAATATATATTTACCCAAAAATATAAAATGAATAATTTTAAATTCCTGCAAGTCCTAGCCGCAGTGATCCCGGACAATCTTGACCTTCCTTCTACTGTAGGGCCCACAATAAAACATTCGATGGCCTTACCTTTTTTACGTAGTCATAGATTGGGCCTATGTATACTTTCAATATGAATTGGGCCATCGATACGTGAAGTAATGAAAATTAATTACTCATATAATGTAAAAAAAAAAAAATTAAAAAAAAAAAATTGATGTGGAAGAATATTTTACAGTTGATAAATTGTTTTTTTTTTTTTGTTTTTTTTTTATTAGTATAGCCCAGGTGCATGGGTAAGTGTGCCCTTAAGCAAGGGACAGAAAAAGGCAATGATGGCATGGGTTGAAACTTGGAAAAATTCGTGTAAGAAAATTATTTAACAGGGCTTGAAACACAAGCAAAAGTTGACTGCAAATTCCATGTGGGAAAAAGAAACTTGGGAACACAAGTAATGATGGCTTCCTCTGTTCTCTGTTCATGTCTGGTCTGGTCTCCAAGCAGACACACACACTTTTCCAGAACACAACCAAAATGAAATGGCGAAATTTATTTGAAAATTGAAACAACATTATTTACAGTAGTATTTGCACATTCTTACAACTGTTGGTACTTCTTTGTTACCCATCGATAATTATTTATCTTCTTACATGAAAACTTTCACTGCATGTTCTGGCAAAGTGGCGACACAAAATTAAAGAAACACATTTTGTTTGTTTTTCTTGTAGATCGTAACGTAGAGTAGCAGTCAGAGGCTAAAAAAATTTTGGTCAAAGGACAGCAAGAATGGCAAATTTGTTGAGGTTAATTTCTTTCACTAAAATGGCAAAATTGGACAAGGGCTTTATTTATTTCATTGGGTGTGAAAATCCCAGAAAAAGCATTCATAATACACAGACACACATGTATACATGCATACATATATATACAATAATTCTTACATTTCACTTTCTGCTGTTTGCACAAGACAGCAATTTTCATTCCTACTCATTTGTTTATTGTTCAATTTTATGGCAATCTCAAATTTGAAAAAAATCAAAACGTAATCTTGTCAGGCACTAACACCAAACGATCAAGATAATGGTTAAAAACAAGATTAGGGTTTCTTGGTGGAGTTTAATTGTTTATGTAGCAGTAATAAATTAATCACACTGTTCACGAGAAATGAAATCTGACAGTGGTTAGAAGTTAGCCTGTCAAGTCGCTGTTCCTTTTATTTTTGTTGTCTTTTTTCACAGCATTTTTAACGTTGAATCACATCATTTCAAATACCAGAGCAAAGACAATTAACCAATCCAGTTCTAGCAGAGTTCAGGACCTCAGCACCAAGTGCATCCATAACCATGGATTCCTTCGAACCAAGGGTGCAGATGCTCGAGGATTTTGAGGTCCGGAAACCCTCTGTAATAAAATACATATCTACTACTGACCTATGCTAGGCTAGACCCCCTAAACAAAGGGATCCTTTCCCATCAAAAGAAGAGTAGTGTTACTGTATAACCTCCAGCCTTTTTCAGCCCCTCCCTCCATCTTTCTTCTGACTTTCATTTTCTTGGTCGTCAGTCAGTTTCAACTTCTATCTTTTCTGCATTCTGTAACAGTGTCGTGTGTTTTTTGTTATTTTACCCAACCCTCAATGTTTAAAACCTATGTCTGTGGTGTTGAAGCTCACAAGGCAACGGGCAACTGATGCATATACATATATATATATTTGTTTATTGATTGTTTATTGTGATCTCTTATGAAAGTTGCTTTGTAGCTATCCATATAATCCCCTTCTGTAGCACAGAGGTTTCGTATTCATTTCGTAACATCCCTCAAGAAAATGACTAAAGATGAAGACTATAAGCTGCTCAAGATCCAGGTAGTTGTCTTTAATTTACTTTATAGTTTATGTACAGTGTTTGTCTTTTTTAAATCCCCCTTTTGCACCTTTTATGTAGACTTGTGTTCTCAGAGTAAACATACATTGCGAAGGATGTAAGCAGAAAGTCAAGAAACTCTTGCATAGGACTGAAGGTTAAATTCTTTATTATTATTATTATTATTATTTTATTTTTTGTTATATTGATGATTGATGTTTTTTGTTTAATTAAATTTTGAGAATTTGTTTAGGGGTTTACCAAGTGAATATCGATGTAGAGCAGCAGAAAGTGACTGTTTCAGGGAGTGTGGATTCAGCAAGCCTGATCAAGAAATTAGGGAAGGGTGGGAAGCATGCTGAGCTGTGGTCTCAGAAGAACTGCCTGAATCAGATTCAGAAGCATAAGGATGCCTGTAATAAAGACGATGGAATTGGGAAGGGGACGAAGTTGGGACAGGGACAGGGACAGGGACAGGGGCAGAAGGGTAATTTGGCTAAGGGTCTTGAAGCCCTAAAATGTAACCAGAAGTTTCCTTCGATTTCCGACGAGGATGATGAGTACGTTGGCACGGACGATGATGGCGACGACGATTATGAATTCGATGAAGAGGACATGCAGGTGCTTTTCAGGGAGAAATTGAATCAATTAGCTATGGCGGAAGCTGCCAAGAAAGGCGTCGGGGCTGCGGCGGCGGCGGGCGCCACGTCTTCCAACGCCGCCGTGAACGGCGGAGCTGGGAAGAAAGGGAATTGTAATCAGAATGGTGTGGGTAAACCGGGCTCGAATTCCGGAGGGATTCACCAGAAAACGCTGGCGGCTCTTCAGAGTGCCGCCGGGAACAGGAACGGCGGCGGGGTTTCCGGCGAGGGAAAAATTGGAAATGATATCAACGCCGTCCTGAACCTTGCCGGCTTCCATGGCAATGGTGGCGCCGCTTCGCATAATCCCGCCGCCGCAGCCATGATGATGAACATGGACGGAAATCATCAGGCGCAGTACATTAACCACCCGTCGTCGTTGATGATGATGAACAGGCCGGCGTTGCATCCGCCGCCGCCGCGGGTGATGTCGTACAACATGTCTCCGTCGATTCCTCCGACAACTGGGTATTACTACAACTACGGCCACGTCGGATACGGCGGCGGAGCTGATCATCACTCTTCTGCCGGCGGCCTCGTCTTCGCCGACGACGACGTCGGCGCTTGTTCGATTATGTAAGGTAAACGCAGAAGTTGAAATCGTGTCCAAATTAGGGTTTAAATTGTATCTTAAATTAGGGTTTGTATTTAAATCTCCGTTATGCTTTGCTTTGTGGATCACATTCTATTCGGTACGGACATTGCCAAGACAATGAATCAGTATTTGGATTAAGCAACAGATATTTCTACATATATAAAAATAAAATTATAAAAAATAAATCTGTAAGAAGCGAAGCCCAATTCTTTTCAGCCCAACCCACATAAGTTTTTATAGTAAAAGGGAATACAAGAAGTTTGAGGGGTAAGGATGTAAATTCAGGAAGGCAAGTTGTGAATCCTGTCTGAAACCTCATTAAAAGGTTTGGACACACATGTAATTCACATGTCCCCTAATCCAAAATGGAAGATGCCCCCACAATGTTCATTTCATGCAAAAACTGATTTGATTTGCAGCTGGCAATTCAATTCTATCTATGGTGCGACACAACCCATCATCCATACACTACCCACTACCCATATTCTCACGTCCATACAATACAATAATATATATCATTAACAATAATTGTTTTCATTTAAAAATAAAAAAATAAAAAAAGAAAAGAAAGAAAACCAATATTTATATTTATTCTTTGTGTGCTTTGTATTAGCCGTAATGCCAATTCTTGTCATATACTTACACTAACTAACTGACATGGGCTTTTTCAAAGTCACCTTAGGAATTGACTTTGTAGGGCTCACCAACTATTTATATGTATTTATTAGATTAAGCAAGTAATTAAATTTCATATATCTATGTATATAATGTGTAACACACAGCACAGGCTGCCAATGCATGCTTGTCCACTCACAATATTCTCCTTACAACTGTTTTCATTTGTTTCTTTGTATGAATTGTACCTAAGTTTTTCCTCGAATCTCGCCATTTCGATGTCTCTTAATTAATCTGACTTCTTCATATTATTATTTGTTTAATGATAAATTCTCTTCTCCATTCTTTAAGTTATCTTTTTTTTTTTTGGTAAATGTTTGATTAAATCAACCAAAAATTTAATTAATCTACAAATGAATGGTATCTTCACCGAAGCGAGGAAGCTCCAATGGCAAAAAGGTCATTTACTTAATTAAATTATTATTATTATTTTAATAAAAAGGGAAATTGCCAACTGTAAGGTACAACTCAGAAGCGCATAAGTCTCAGTCCCACATAGCGATAGCGGTGCGTCTCCATTACTCGCAATGTTGGAGTTCTGCTGCTGCATTGTGGCTGTAATTGACGCTTAATCCCAAGCAGACGCCATTCCTACGCCTTCTCCTCAATCATGGCTGGCGGAGAGACCACGGCGTTGGCAGCGGCGCCGGCCTTGCTCCGTTTAATTAGGGATATAGGCCGTGTCTCCGGTGCCGGATTTGCAGGGGTTTACAAGAAGGACTGTGCGGATTTGGCCCGCAGAGTGTCGCTGTTGGCGCATTTGATTGAGGAAATTAGGGATTCGGAGAAAGTTAGAAGGAATGACGGGGAGGGAGATGGATCTTCGTCTTCTTCTTCGTCTTCACGAAGTTCGTTTTTTTCTGATTTAACTGTGGCGCTTCAGGCTGCGAAAAGGGTGGTCTTCGCTGCGAACAACATTGAGAGCTCCGAGACTACCTCTGTAAGTTTTTCAATTTGTGCAAACAATGTTGATTTAGGTCGTTTGTTGAAGTTCCATAGCCTACATTGTTTTTGAATTAATGAATGGATGGATTGGAAGGGTTTTTGTACTGCTTTCAGCTTGCTTCTGTTGGTTTGACTCTGAATCGAGTTTTTTGGCCTCTGATCTAAATTTGATCCCTCTTTGTTCGCATCTTTTTGTTCGATGTTCTTCTGTTTATCTATGGATCAGCAGTTTTTACTTGAGATCAACTATAGTCTACATTTGTTTCTTGTTTTCCAGTGAGGTGTATGGGAATTACAAAGCTTATCTGTTCCTGAAATGTGGAGAATTGTACTTCTGTTGAAATAATCAAAGTTCTTGTTGTATTGTATCTACACGTCGAGTTATATTATGTTTGTTTGGTGAACTTGTGTTAATGTGGCAGGCATCTTATAAGGTTTTGTATTGTTTGATTTAAGGATGGAGCAACAAAGAAAATCTTCTTTCAGTTTCAATGCGTGACATGGAAATTGGAGAAAGCTTTGACTAACTTACCCTATGATGATTTTGAAATATCAGAAGAAGTGCAAGAACAGGTGAATTTTCGACATTTTCTTCATATTTGCTATCTGAACTAACTTGACAGATAAGTATGTGACATTTCTCTATGGCCTGCAGGTTGAATTGGTCCGAGTACAGCTGAGAAGAGCCACTGAAAAGTATGGTGGGCCTCTGAATTCAAGCTTGTTGAAGAGGACATTGTCACAGCCACTGGACAAAGAGATCGATCCATTTAAGCCAAGCTTGAAAGCCATTGGCACTCTGCGCGCAGAGAATGTCGATCAGGGCATCCAATCGAAAGTGGAAACTCAGTTTGAAAGTAACGGGATAGAAAACCATGCTACAAAAGACAATCAAAACAAAGAAAGTTTGAGGAGCTCAACCACATCACATGAAATTCAAGCTCCCAAGGATCCCAAAAATGGGAGGATCAAAATCGCAACATGGAAGAGTCTAGACGATTTGAAAAAGTTAGATTCTCCCGTAATTCCTGAGGATTTTCTCTGTCCTATATCCCTTGAACTTATGAGGGATCCCGTAATTGTTGCCACGGGACAGGTAAAATTCTTGCCTTTGATTTACTGTTTTTCGATAAAAATAACTTTGTATGTAATGATTTTTCTGCATTTCAGACCTACGAGAGATCTTACATACAAAGATGGATAGACTGCGGAAACACAACGTGCCCCAAAACTCAGCAGAAGCTTCGGCATCTTACCCTGACTCCGAACTATGTATTGCGCAGTCTGATATCTCAATGGTGCTTGAAGCATAATATCGAACAGCCGACTGCAATGATGAGCGGTAAGATTAAAAAGAGCGACGGATCGTTTCGTGATGTCACTGACGACATAGCAGCGGTCGAAGCACTTGTTCGTAAGCTCTCAAGCCGGTCCATGGACGATCGTAGAGCTGCAGTAGCTGAGATCCGGTCGATATCTAAGAGAAGTACTGACAATCGAATCTTGCTTGCCGATGCCGGAGCCATTCCGATTCTTGTTAGCCTATTAACATCTGAGGATGGACAGATTCAGGATAATGCTGTGACCTGTATTCTCAACTTATCGATCTACGAAAACAACAAGGGGCTGATAATGCTCGCAAATGCCGTCCCGTCTATCGTTCAAGTCCTCCGAGCTGGAAGCATGGAAGCCAAGGAGAACGCCGCCGCAACCCTTTTCAGTTTGTCTCTTGCAGATGAAAACAAAATCATAATCGGTGCGTCTGGTGCGATTCCCGCGTTGGTAGACTTGCTTCAGAGCGGGAGCGCCCGAGGGAAGAAAGATGCCGCGACTGCGTTGTTCAATTTGTGTATATATCACGGAAACAAGGGAAGGGCCGTAAGGGCGGGGATTGTGACGGCGCTATTGAAAATGCTGACAGATTCGAGTAACTCCATGATCGACGAAGCTCTAACCATTCTATCTGTTCTTGCCAGCCACCAAGAGGCGAAATCGGCGATCGTGAAAGCCAGCACGATACCCGTCTTGATCGATCTCCTGCGGACGGGTTTGCCTCGCAACAAAGAGAATGCATCTGCGATTTTACTTTCTTTGTGCAAAAGGGATCATGAAAATCTTGCGTGCTTAAGTCGACTCGGCGCTGTGATACCGCTCTCGGAGCTTGCTAAGACGGGCACGGAGAGATCGAAAAGGAAAGCGGCGTCGTTGCTGGAGCATCTTCGCAGGGCAGAGCAGCCATGAGAGGAGGTTATGTATTCATTTGTTCTGTGTATTTTTACCAGATCTGACTGTCGATATATCGACGACGATTACACAAATTTTTAAGGTGTGTGGAAGAGGAGGGATTCGTTATTGAAAAGCATGAGAAAGAAGCAAGTTTTCATGCTCCCCCTCTCCTTTGGTATTAATTTTAATTTACAGCGTTCTTGAGTGCCCCCAAATATTTGTTCGATCTGCTTATTTCTGTAAGTTATGACTTCCGAGATTAATTGATTGATGGTTTCTTCGATGTACGTACACCTTTTGTAAGATCACTACATTGATTCAAGTCGACGACATGGTTTCACCATTGGTGCAATAATAATAAATGTTCGTATCTTCTGATTATTTCACTGTTGCATAGTCTCCCAGCATTGTACCATATTTTATTACAGAAATCTTTGGGGACAGTGAACCTAGCATCTGACTGTATGTACAATGAATGGAATCCCTAAAAAAGATCCACATTTGTCTTGCTCTGCCACAAATCCTTCAAACAAATACATCCAAAATGTTTTCAATAATAAAATTGGTTGGTGGTGTCAGGTCAGCAGCTCGTCTTTATTGAAGAACAAACAATGGCCACAACAAACAGCAATGTAATTATCGAAGCCAGCTTCATCGAGCCATACACTTCTTACTCAAAAGGAAAGGATTGGTAAATTACATTGGTATGTTCGTTAGGACCAGTAGTTATCAGGAACTGTAAGGAAATATGTTGTCATAGCTTTCCTAAACCTTTTCTTGTACTGTTTGGGGGAAATAATGGTGGGTGAGGCATTCTTTTGGCCTCCCAGTATCCCAGCAGCTTTCACCCATGTCTCCAAGTGCTTGTCCCATGTGTACTGTCTCAAAATGTCGATGATCCCGACTACCAGCTCCTTCCGATCCTCGTCCACTCCGACTAATAATGAGTAATCCATCACGTCAACAGACTGGAAACCCGACAAAGAGATTTATTTAGTACTGAACAAGGAACAAGAAAAAGCCTGTATGGTTTTGGATCAATGCAATGAAAAGCTTACGGCTAAGAACGATGTATCATTCCAAATGGCCCTCTCGAGATTCCTCTTCGACTTGCTTCCGAGAAATATTGGATTTGTGTGTAGTGATTCCAATAGATTCATATCTAACAGCACTTCGTTTGCTCCGGTTGTGTCTGAATTGTAACGTGATCGCGTCGATCCCTTTAGGTCGTATACTCTGGAGATGTTTCTTTCGAAGAAGAGATTCTCCATCACCATGAAATCCATTTTCCTTTCCTTCCCACTTTTTAAGTTCCGGACAGTAACCTGGAGTTATCCGACAAAATTAGATTGACAGATTAGACATCACTTCAAAGTGTAGAAATGAGATCAAACCTGATACATGCCGAGAATCTTTGCAAGACAAGTCGGGCTGCCATGGTTAAGAGATTCGTCAAAGTACTTAAAATACTTTGGCGCGAATTCGCAAAACGAGTTCAGCTCTGTCTTGGTGACCTGTTTGATTACGAGGCGTTCATCAAATGACTTAGCGAAGTACACATTGCTCTTACCTCCTTGAGCACTCCATTTCTTGCATCGGCTCATGGAACGAATGAAATCCACCTTACTAGGACAGCACCTCCGCCTAAGACAATCAAATTGCTTCGCAAAATAACAGGTCACATAGAATCTCGAATTACCAGAGGCAGTCAAAAACTCATCCTCAAACGAAACTCTGAGATGGAAACGATTCAGATCAGTGTAGTGTGTATTCAATGCATCTTCGGAGCTGTAATTTTCACCGTCCAAGCTATAATGCTCTTTCGAACAAAGAGCAGATAGTATGATGCTGGTGGGCTCATCGTCATAAACTGTGATGACAGTACCATCCTGGACCATGAAGCAAGCTCCTTTGGGCAAAATTGATACAGATGGGATTAAAGCAGCTGAGCCATTTGATAACTTTTCAGATTCAGATAGCGCTACCGGAGAGGGGTTTGAAGCAGTATCCCTGAGCAAGTAATTACAGTCTTCCGAAGCATGAAAATATTGAAAAGGCAACAGATGTGACGCATGGGAGAGGACTTTTATGTTTCTTTCTAGAAGCCACTGAAGAGAATCGAAAGAGTAAACTCTGGCTGGTGCAAATGGCCTTCCAGCACATTTAGCTTGTGTATCAAGTGCAAATTCAGGCCTCCCTTCATTGCTATCTCCACTATGATCTTTGAGACATGTTTCAGGATCATTAGATCCAGTATCACTCAAAGATTTCAGATTAGAACTTCTGAGGGAGTTCAATAAATCCAGATGGCGACCCCAATCGAACAATGCAATTAAGAGAGAGTGTCTCAATTTGTTAATTTCAAGAATATCAACTTCTGCTTGATCCTGGTCCCGATTCCCCTTGTCATCTAGACATAGCATATCCTATACAGATATAGCAGTGGTAGGAACAGAATGCAATCAAAAAGAGCAATAACAGATAAAAATAACATTGCCATGAGAATTTAGAACTTAGAAGCATTGAATCACAATTAATGACTCACTTTGTAATATTTCTTTTCTTTCTCAAGTATGTGGTTTAGCTCCAAGATTCGGCCATGAAAGTTGCTGGCATCTGAGAACTCTTGCATGGAAGACCAGCTCTTAGATTTAATTTTTTGAAGAGCAGCCAAGATCTTCGCATACAGGGATTCTGCTGTGCTCAAAGCCTAAAACAAATGGTAACATATTAGCCACACTTGATGTATTGACGAATAAAAAGTCTATGTGGGTACTAAGATAACCTCAGATGCTTCTCTTCTGATCCAACTTTGTTCACCAGGGTGACGGAATTCAAGAACTGATGGTGGCAACTTGACTTTAAGAATATTAATGCTTGAATAGCGGAAGCAAGCAACCATATTTCCGAACCTGTTGAATGGAAATAAACAATAAAAGATCATCAACAACTTGAAGGTTAAGTTGGAAGTTGCACCAAGGTTCCATACCCATAAAACCAGAGGCAGTCCCTTTGAAGAGAATGACCACAGCTAGCAACAAGACTTCCGGTGGCATGGGTCGAAAAATTAAGCTGAAGAAACTTCCCAAAAGAAAGCCCCCAAGCAGCATCAGACATAACCACTCTGTGTGTAGCTGGTGGGACTCCTTCTACAGGTGTGCACCGGAGGCATCTGTGCCACATCCATATCTTGCCATCCTGTTCCCCGGGAAGCTTGACAGAGGGTAGAGATTTCACACTTATCACTAGATTGCCCTGCTGGTGAGTATAGCTTATTGAATGGGCATCGGCCAACTCCTTGCATGAAGGACAATGAGTGGACTGGCAACAAAAATCTCAACGAATTATAAGCAGATAGGAGTGGAGGGACAGAAAGAAAATGTAATGGACACTACAGTTAACCTTATCCAACAAATTACGAAGATATCTCCCAAGTGGTTTATCAGAAGAGCCATAGAATTTTATACGAAGGAGCCGTGAACGCTCGCATACATCTCCATTGAGGATACGGTGGCATGAGAAGGAAACTAAAATGTTCTGATTATTGCCATTAGTTGGAGAATATTCAATTGTGGTGTTGGTATCATCGGCTCCTTGAGCAACTGCAAGTCCCGAAATCTCACCTGAATGTCCAGGAGCTTGATCTTCTGGTTCCATTGGGCTTTGAATATTGATGCTCGGACAAGCATGCTTCGTGTCATCGACTACTGAATGATGTCCCAGTTTCTCCTCACATGCTTTGTACACTTCCTCCGTATATCTAAACAGATAGGGCACAGAAGAGTCATCATAACCAACTTCCTCGAGTTCATTCAGGGATTGCGGCAAGCTGAGCTTCGAATTCTGATCTACAGATTCAGCATTCATAAGAGGGACAGCTTCTCTGTAAGCAGTAGTCTCCACAGAATCTGGAAATGGGACAGTCTTATCATAAGTCACATGTTCTGCAGTAAAATGTGATGATTTCACTTCCAGATTAGGAAGGGTAGCGCCTTCATCTGCAAGAAAAGAGGTCTCGAGTAACAAGTTATAGGCAGCAAAGACAGCATATTGGACCACCTTTTTCACCTTCTTAAGTTCTTCATGAGATGCGCCCCTAAGCAGAACCTATTAATATCATGCCAAGAATAAGCTTCAGCATCTCTCTTTAAGCTTTAAACATTAACAAGAACATTACAATTTATCCCATTATTGGACAAGCGAACAATAATATCAAATCATATTGAAAAGAATAAAGCCATACAGCGGAAGCATGAAAACATTACCGTGCAACCCAAACGCCTTGGACAGCCTTCAAAATACATTAAGGTTTTCAAAGGTCTTTTGTTTGATTGATTGGCAGGTTCATGTTCTTCTAAAATTTTCTCCAAATGGAAGTGTTCACAGTGTCCTATTCTTGCCGCAGATAAATGATCAGCCAACTGGGTTATGGTAGCACCACTGCATCTTGCAAGACGCTCCAATAGTGATCTTTTGACATTCAGGACCAAAGAGATTTCTTTTGCCAAGAGTAGGTTTTGAGCAAACAAAGATACAGTCTTTTCCACAAGAAGGACATTGGGACGATGAGCTTCTATTTTTGCAACAGCTATCTTGAGATTCTCATGTTCCTGTTTTACAAACATTCATGAATCTACAACCAAGGCTGCAATTTAAATAAATTATACGATGACAAAGCTAGTACAGTTGGAACCTGTTGCAGCAATGTCCCGAAAGATGCCAGCTGATTAGGATCCTGTTGGTACTCAAGCGCTCCTCCTAAGAGAAGTAATCTTGTATTCTTATATTTAGAAATCATACGCTTATGCTTTATATTCTTCGTACAAACAACCCCTTTAACAAGTTTGCTGCATTCAGAAAACATCGAACTTCATGTCACAAGACTACCATATACAGTACAGACACGGGGAGCATTTGAAACATATTAACAGACAATATTTACCTCTCACTACACTGTCCTAAGGCAACACATTTAACCTTTACATATTCACATGGATCCATGCTACCGCCTTTATTAGTATCTGGTTTTATGAAGCTGGCAGCTTGCCATGCTATTGATGTTACTATGTTCAGCCAGTCCTCATAGCAGTTCTCTTCGCTAGGGATACCCTGTGCTTGCAGAAGCTCCAATACAAGAACTTTAAAATGCCCCGACACAACAGTTCTTAGGGATTCCTTGAGATCAACATGCTGTTTCTCCTTCTCCAACAATATACTACTGAGATCATCACTGGAGGAAAAAATTGCACAAGAGCCGCCTACTTCATCATTCTCGTCATCGTATGTAAATAAATTGGTTTCTAAAGAGAGGTCATGGGGTGGAGGAGGTAACCAAATGAGACTATTGGTTTCAAAGTCCAATGTTTGTTGGCTGAAGGGACCATAGATTTGAGTCCTTCGGCTTTCCAAATCCTCTTGCTGTACATATTGCCCAATGCTACTGGAAGTAAAATGGATATTAGAGGGGGTATCTGACGTGCTCAAACCGGTGGCCGTATAACCACAAAATCCATCCCTGGCTATGTCAGAAGCAAAATCACCATCAGAAGTATTATGAGTGTATTCACTTGATGTGCTGAAGAAGTTAGCAGCTATGGCATCTTCTTCTTCACTGTCATTGTACCTGCCAATAACATGATATTTGTGTCACTCCAAAAGGATTGCATAGCAGTAGAAATTCATACCAGAAAAGAAAACAAATGAATATCTAACATGAATATCTTCAATGAAGGCATCAACAAATTAAATTAACTATCAATTGTCAATACACTGCAACAAACAATGATCAGCCATCCTTTTTGATAGCCAAATACAGCTAGTACCTTCTTGGTGAGGCAGATACAGGTACCGGAGATGGATGGTCTGAACATGACTCATCACTGCTTCTACTCAATGCACCAGGCGAATAATCATCTACTCTCTCACCACTAAAACTCGGTAACAGTTGTTCCAGTCTTCTGAGTGATTCAGAAGGATATACTTTGTCACAGAACTTCTGGCCACTTTTGGTTCCATGATCAAGTCTGAAACAAAACTTACATGATCCGATGCCAACCATAATCTCACCAAGGATGGCTGCCTCCAAAGCAGCACTGTCCAGAACACATTTACTACACAGCAGCCTTCCACAGCTCCAACAGCGGTATTTATTACAAGAATTCGTAAAATTCAACCCACAATAGGAGCAGATGCTCAAATTGTTATCAGTCATATGACTCATATCTAAGCCACAGGACATGAAGTTTGTATCCAACCTTTCTTAAGAGAAAAAAAGAAACGAGCTATTAGCCTATTGATCGTTTCCTAAATTCAACAAAATGCAATCCAACTATTGAAATCCACAATTAAAAAAGAAAGTGGATTTCCTAAATTCTAATCTTCCTGCAGGAGATCATGTGTGCGTACACACGTTTTCCACCACAGTAAATTTCCCCACAAATCCCAGAAAAATCGGCAATGGGGGAAACCTACTCTACATGAAAGAAGAAACCCAAACAAAAGCACAAAAAGAAAACCATCAATGTAACACCACTACCATTCCGCACCCTAAATCCTGATATTAATCAAAGGACGAATAGCGTTAGAATGAAAAGCAGGAAAAGAAACAGTTCAGACAAGGTTCCCTTTCTAATTCTCGCACCAACACCGGCGGCGGCTCGCATCTCCATAACCAGTCGCTTCTTCAACGACAACAACAAAGCTTGTCCCTTCCATCCAACCACACTAGCTGTCATCTTCACTCCTCACACAACATTCTCCCAATCACAATCACAATCACACTCACACACTCACGTCATTCTCCCCTGCACTTTGTCCGCTAATCCCTCGCCTCGCATTCGAGTAAAACCCCACAACTGTGAACTATTGGACGACGAAATCCGCATTCGCTTCTGCTTCCTGGTTGAATTTTCCTTGACGGATTGAACGTGGAGAATCGAATGTCGCGCGATTGGATTTCTATTGGTCAGAAACGGTCTGGGGAGTTATAAAGGTGCCTTTTTTTTTGTACCAGAAATTGTGTGCGCCTTTTCCCACCGCCTCTTTAAGGTTACGCAATTTCCTTTTAAATTATTGTAGATAATTACAATTATTATGGAAATTAATTTTAGTAACTGCAAATACTATTACGGAAAGTAAGTCAATTTAGAATATATTTTAAATCTGGTGCTATTAATGCAGATATTATCAATTTAAAAGAAAATCCTATTCTTAATAACACGTTAATCCTATTATAATGATTTAAAATAATCATATACTATAAATTTATTGTTTAATTCTTGCTTATAAATATTGAAAATTATTCTAATTTGTTCAGTCCCTATATAATATTTTATATATTTAAAAGATATCAAAAAATAATATGACGTCGTGATGGTGTAGATTGGACTTGTGATCAGAGTTTTTTTTTTTTTTAAAAAAAAATTAATATATTATTACAAATGATATTATTCAATGATAACAATTATAAAAAAAAATATTCATATATTCTAATTTTTTGCCATTATTTCTAATTTAAGAAGTTTAAGAAGTTCCAATTTTATTCGGTTTTGTTTGGGTAATTCTACATTATTTACATAATTTTCTTTTATAATATTTTTTAAAAGAAAATTATAAAAACATATTCAACCAAAACAAGGACACAAATTTAAGCAAAAATAATAGAAATAGTATTATTATTACTAAAACTACTTTTTCACTAAACATTATTTTATGCGACCCATATGTATGGTTCATATTTTTCGTTTTCGTCCGTTCTACATAATTTGTTCTTTAATTTTTAGAAAATATAATTATACATTTTAATCGCGTTAAATTTTACAGTTTATATATATATATTTTTTTATTTTGATTAAATTATTTAATTATCTTATTTTTCAATAATTTTTATTATGTTATAATTATTTTTATTAATACACTTTTTAATTATTTACTCATCATATTTTACCTAAATTTTCGTATATCCGTTAGCACGGTCATTTTATCCTAAAAGGAAAGAATATATTTAAGTAGTATTTACAACAAAAATATTTTTTTCATTAAAATTATATCACTATTTAGTATCTCTAATTATACATCCTCATTTCAATTATTTATATTTTAATATATATATAATAATCAAATTGCTATTAATTTAAAATATTATTATTTTTTAATTTAGTTTTTTAAAAAATCCCTATTCGTGTTAGTACTCCCTTCGTCCGAGATATCGTGTCTGCTACACTGTAGACACAGTATTTTACGAGGGATGTAATTAGTAAATAATTAAGAATGTATTAGTGAAAATAATTATCCTATAATATAAATAATTAGTTTAATTAAAATTAAAATAAATAAAATTAAAAAATTTAAAATAAGATTAAAATGTATAATAATTTTCGAAAGTGAAATGGTACGTGGGACGGAGGTACTAAGAGACCTCTCAAGCGTTGTTGAGCTGCCCAGTCATACAATTATTTTTGTGCAAATGAAAGGCCCATTATATCTAATTAACCACTAACTTATTTTATAGTAACGTGCCTATTCTAATTTGTTCGTTTTTTTTTTTTTTTTTAATTTTAATTTTAATTTTTTTTTTTTTTTTTTTTATGATTATTTTAAAAAGTAAAAATAAAAATGAAGCAGATGTGAGAGTGGAATAGTGAAAATGTTTTCAATATGAAAATGAGATAACAAGAATGAATAAAAAAAATTGGTTGGTGGTGTCAGCAGCTCGTCTTTATTGACGAACAAACAACGGCCATAAACAGCATTTGTAATTATTGTAAAATTAATATTATATATATATATATATATATATTATCATTTATCAGTCACGGGTCAAACGACCAAGCTGAAATGCTGAATTAATTGTGCCATGTTTGGTCAATTGCAAATATTATTATTATTATTATTATTATTATTTAAAAAATTCTATTTTTAAAATATCATATTAAATGATTTTTTTTTTTTTTTTTTTAATATATCATATCAATTGAATTTTTAACAATGAAATAAGATGAATTGAGAATTCACAGAAATTTCTAAAACTTTAAAAAGCTCAAAACCTTTTATGTAAACAAAGTCTGATTTCTTGACCAGATTAAATTAAATATGGTACATTGTTTAAAAATTTAGTTTCTTAATTAGATTAATCATTTTCCTTTCCTTTCCGGTCAAAGTTGCTATTTATTTTCAAAAAGCGTGATCACTTACTATTTAATCATTAATTCAGCTAATCACAAATAAACAATTAAAAATTTAATCGCTTACTTATTTTATACTCCCTCCGTCCACAAACTAATATCCTACTTTTCTATTTGGAATGTCCGTCCAACAACTATGGTCCTATTTCATTTTTTAAACATAAATTTTACATTTTTATCTTTAATTCATTTATTAATTTTAATCTCTACCATACACTAAAGGCAAATTTTTCTATTCATAACAAAAAGACAATCACCTAAAAAAAAATCGTCCAAATATACTTTAGAATAATAGAAATTGAAGGGAGAGAGTAAAATTTAGCCATTGACACAGTCTGCTTAGTGTTCTAAAGTGAGATTAATATTATTAATTTACAATTATATTTTCAATAAAAATTATAGTAATATTTTATTTTATTTTATTTTATAAAATATAACATTAAAATAAATATTAAAATTAGCACTATCTTTCAAATCAATTTATTCAATAACAACAAACTCCAAATAAATGCTTTTGGAAACATTGGCATTGTTCATAATTTTTTAAAATCACGTTGCATCATGTTTTTTTTATTTTTTTTAATAAAACATCAATATAATATATAGCCTCCATTTAACAACAATAGACTTTTAATTTGGAAGTTTTGAAAAATTTTAAAATAGTAAAAAAATCATTTACTATTTAATACTCTCTCTCTCGGTCACAAATGACTTATTTTTCTTTCTTTGTCTGTCTCATAAAAAATGACCAAATTTTTTATTTTTAAAAAAATTATTCATCTTAATTTCATTTTTTTATAAAAATTGTTTTAAGTTAATTATAAGATGATATAAAATTTTATTATCTATAAGATGATATCATAATATATTTCATTGAGATATAAAGTTAAAAATATTTAAAATACCAATAAAACTACTTATATAAAAAAATTATAAAATAATATAATAACTTATTATTAATAACTTACTAGTTTATGCTATCTAAAATATTGTATCTTAACCAACCGAGTCATCTAACCGGACGCAGAGAGTACAATGTTTTGCATGAAAAAAATATACTCCAATTCGATATTTTCTAAAAAGTTAAATAATGTTTCCAAAATACTATGTAAACACAATCATAATTTTTTTTTTTTTTTATTATTTTCATTTTTAATTTTTTTTTTAAAAAAATCATAATTTCTATCTAAATTGAACTTTAATCAACCCAAGGCTGCTATCGAATTCCCATTCAAACTTTTGAGGTTTTCAGATGTCAATTTCATGGCTGCCCATATGAAATCGAAAAGCCACACAATTGTAGTTGGTCAGTCCATATATATACACGTATGCATACATACAGATAGATACATACATATATATATATATATATTAGTAAAATTCAAAATTTCAACCCACCAAACTCCAAATTGTCTGCCACTGTAAGGTTTACATATTTTCAACCTTTAAATGCTCCTTTCGACTCAACAAAATCAAAGTCTTGATCCAAAATATGAAACTAATATTCTACACTGCTCCTATGACTTCTTCTTCTTCCTCTACAATTCACATCCATAAATAACAAAACCCTATTCCATATATTCAAAAACTACACAAATTCTCAACTCGATCCCTCTCGACAGTTAACCCTACTGCAGTCCCTGCAGTTACTGGAGGGAGCCACGACCACTATGTTGGCCCAAGGATCAACAATAAAGAGGGCTAGTCTGATAGTACTAATTGTATGCATAGCAGTATTTGCAACAGCAGAGAGCAGAAGAATAATGAAGAAGAAGGAATATGCATCTATGGAAGCCCTGCTCGAAAGCCGGCTACCGCGAGGACCGGTGCCGCCGTCGGGCCCTTCGCCATGCCATAACAAATTGGATCCTTTCAAAGAAAACAAGTTCTATGATTTCCCAGGGAAGGATGTAATAATTTGCCCTTAATTAATACATCCATTTCTTGCATTCTTTTTGCCCTAATCATGTTGGATATATATTTTTTTTGATACATGGATACATATATATATATATATATATAAAATTTAAGATACGTGATCATTTGAATATATTTTGTACATAGTCTTTAGTGGAAAAGATGAAATGAGTTAGGAGTTGTTATAAGCATGATAAATAAATTTAGAAATTTTATGTTTAATTAGCTTAAAGAGGGGGATGAATTCTCTAACTTCTAAGTTCTAAGATATCTCAAGTGACGTTTGATTTTCTTATGTTTTATATATAATTAAATTTTTAATCTTTATTATATATATTTTTTAGTATAACATATAAGATGCTTTCTTGAAATAAAATTCTAGATCATCACTCTATAGTAATTTAGTGAACTATTCGAAAATTTATGCATATTGTATAGTTTTTTCAAGAAAACAAACACATGTTATAGCTTCCAAGAAACTTCTAGAAAAAAATAAGAAATCAAAAGATAACTGATTTTTTTTGGTAACTTTCCAAAAATGGTAGGGGGCCCAAGTCTGACATACTAACAGTTTTGGGCCATTTCATTTTTATTGAGCCAAAATAAGTGTAAAGCTTACAGTTTACGACGGCCCACTAATTTGCATAATTACATTACTTAAGCCCATCACCCACTGAACATAAAAAAAGCTTCTTTTTTTTTTTTTTTTTTTTTTTTTTTTTTTTTTTAAATAATTTAAAATACAAATATGCACTGGAATAATAATAACATCCTTTAATTTAAGTCCACAAGATTCAGTTCCATCGCCTAATCCTACTACTGCAGTACTGCACTACAATTCTACACCCTAAAAATTAAACAGATAAATTAATTAAATAAAGAACCCTGCAACTTGCCATAACTATATTTTTAAAAATTATTTATAATTATAATATATGTAATATTCTTTAGAAAACTAAGCACAGAAATTTAACTGATACTGGGTGTCTAACCCCCCCCCCCCCCCCCCCCCTCCCCACAAAAAATAAAATCTCCAAATTAAAAACTCTGTTACGCTTATTTATTTATTTATTTATAATAAATAAATTAATTGTGGGTGTAAGTCGAAGATAAAGGTGAAGGAAGTAGGTGTAGGTGTATACATACACTAGCACTAGTACGCACTGCATATATATATATATATTTTGTTTGGTAGGTGAGACTTCTGGTCTATAATTTTTCATCACTTGCCTTTCTGTTTGTTACTGTACATGTTCATATTCTTATTTTATCTCCATTCCAAAATTAGGGTTTGTCAATTTCAAACTCAAACCAACATAATTTATTCGGGATGGGTCTTAATTAATAAAAATATATGATTTTTTTTTTCATAAAATATTATTTAATAAAAATTGTAAATCAATACTTTATTTTTAAATCAATTTCAAAGCACACCAAAACAAATACTTGCACACACACATATTTATCTATTTATATATTCTTGTGGGCATATATATATATATATATATGGAATAGAAGACAAAAGAGAATGGCAGTGGATTGTCTGATCTGTGCATGTCGAATATTAAGTGTTTGTTTACTATTTAGGTTTTATTTTATTTTATTATTTTATTTTATTTTATTTTTTTTTTGCATAGGAAGAAGCTGGTACAAGAATTAAGAAAAATAATCAAATGACAAAAGGCATTTAATATTATTTTATTTATATTGAAAAGAGTGAGAGTTCTTGGAAGTGATAAAGTTGAGATGATGAGATGCATGGGATGAATGGTGAAGTATGAATGAGATCGAAAAGTAAATTATGTACAAAAGTGGGACACACAACTAACAGTGTTGTTAAAGCAATGGATGGTGAGATGGGTTTTGGAAGCATGTTGAGGGGTGGGGGGTAGGGGTAGGGGGGGGTGTGGGGTTGTTGAAATTTGCATGGTTTGGTGGGCAGTGCATGCATATGTAAGGGGTAGTTGGTTCTCAAAAAATCACTTACAGACAGATCCAACTACACACTCACACCCTTTATTTTCTCTCTCTCTCTAGATCTCTAAGACACACACATATACATGTAGGGATTGGTCTATTTAATTAATGGTTTATTTTTTTTTTTTATTTGGTAAAACAATATAGCAATAGGAAGTAATACTGGTTTATTTATTGGGTTTGATGAATGGGTTCAAATTTTATATTAGTATATATATATATATTAAAAAGAAAAAAGTATTGCATCAAATATCACTTGTGTCAATATTATTGTTGTATCACAGTCAGCATCAGCCGTATAAGATCTTGTAGTGACTAGTGAGGATGTAAGAATATATGAGGATTTTCTTGTCGACCCTGGTTAGGTTTTTTCTTTTTGTATATTAGGAATTTGGGAATGTAATATTAGAATTTTTCCTAGATAAAAATAAGATTATCTTTAGAATAGCATTATTTTTTTATTCTTTACATTGTTGGTATTATATATAATTTTTTTTTTTTAAAAAAAAATTAATAGATTGAATAATAAAAATGACATTAGAATATAATAACAAACTAGTCTTCTATAATTATGATTGATCAATAATGTATTAATTAGATCTAATAAGCACAAATAGTTATCAACTAACAATACATGTTAATAGTTAATATAGATGACATGATTGATCTCAATACAAAAATTGATCGTTTATATAATACAAATGTACAATATAAATAAATTGACAACATATACTAATAATCTACATAATATATGCCACAGTTAACCTTAACACAATGTATATATTAACATAACACAAATGGATCGCATATATGATATGACAATATACGGTAATAATCTATACAATATATACCGATTTAATTTTAACTATGCAGTAAAAAAATAGTTACTCATATAAGGCTATGTCATTGTAATATATATATATATATATATCAAGCATTTATTGATCATAGTAACATGACTTCCATGGTGTATATATATATATATATATCTTATTTTGCAACTATTTTATTTTACTATATATATTCACATATCAAATTAAGGAATCAAGTTGAAGGAACGAATAATATGATTTGATCACTTGCATGACCAAGTAATACTATATTTTATTTAAATTGATCCTTTGACATATGCACTCTTAATTGTTAAATTTATTATATACTAGTGTGACTTGTCTGTTGGACCTAGTTTGCAGGGTATTAGGTTCGGTCAGGGGTTTATTCAATGCGTATTTTCGGGTAGCGGTTGTGGACTAACGACATAAAAAAAAAATAAAAAAACAAAAGCCATTCTTTTCAAACATGTGTTTCATAATAAAAATAATATTTAAAAAGTCCAATTCTACTGTACTTTAGAATCGCAATTAAATCATATATATATATAAGACTGATTAGGGTGGTGATTAGGAATAATTAACACTATATTGATTAATTTCAATTAACATATTATAATGACATACAAAAACACATAATTACTGTTAAAATAACATGTGCTGTGATTGCGAACTATTGTCATATATTGTATTTATATTATATTGATATAAATATATGTTTACATGGTAAATATTGACTAGCTGTAATATAATAGTGTATATATATATTAACTTGCACAAAAAAAAAAAAAAAGAAAAAAACATTAGTTGACTTGAAACCCACAGATATATTTGAATATAATCCTTATGATAAATCAATTTCACAAATAATTTTCTATATCAAATTTTGAATATAGATATATAAAATCCAATATTTAAATTTTGATTCAATCTCGGACACACAACGTTGTTGGTCCCCGAGTCCTGGCACCTACATAAATTAATTAACATATCTGTACACAAAAATGGAAACCCTTTTTTCACGTACGAATAATAATGATCGAACAAATTATTATATACTTATTTGTTTCGTTTTTGAATAAGTTAAAGGAAAAAAAAAAAAACAAATAGTTCCACTCAGGTAGGTTGTTGAAAACGAAGGCATTAAATCTCACCCGTCGGTCAAAGGCGTGTCCACGTGTGAGCATCGTAGTGGCTCTACACGTACGTTTCGATTACTGCAGCAGATAGATGCTTTCTTACACAGAGTTCTTCTCTATAAATCCAACTCTCCACCACGAGAATCCAATAGATGAGGAGAGGAGACGAAAATATACTATACGAGGCCCCTTTTTGATTCTGATGTTCACTTTGGGATGAACATCTCCCTGAGATTAGATTCGATTCGATTCGATTCGATTCTATCTGCAGAATTGATACTTTCTTTATTAGTTTCTTACCATCTTGATCCATGTCCGATCCGGAGAGAGATTATCAGATTAAGGTTTTATTTTCTGGGTAAGAATATATTGTTGATGTTTGATGATCGAATATATCTCATGGATTTTAGGGAATTCTGATTTCTCCCTGTCGTCGTCTTTGGTTGCGGTTAACTTTTGGTTCATTGTCTGTTCGACCTTGGAAATTACTAGCTCCCTTTTCAAGAACCCTAATTTGTAAGTTGTCTATAAAATACACATACAGTACTAGGATTTGTTTGTTTGATTGTTTATATTTGTGTTAGCTGTTTCTAATTAATTTGTCTGAGGAGAAACCCTCTTTGATTTGGTATCCCTTTTTATTTATTTTTTGTTGTGGATTAAGTAAGGTTGATTTTGATCGAAAGAAAGTCTTGGTTTCGAAACATGTATATACATACTTGATAGGTCATGATTTGGTTCATTAGATTTGGATGAATCAAGGTTGTTTGATTACTTAGATGGCTAGTTTTGGATTTGACATATGTGGTAATTTAACTATATATATAGACAATCCATTTTGTGGTTTACTTAGGCATATATGCATGTACTTAAATGAAATTAGGATTGATCATAAAATTTTCTTGGAAATAAATCATCAAATCGATTCAGTTGGTTTCTTGATCTTATTCTTACAATACGAATTTATTTTTACTAAGTAAGTCTAATTAAGTTTCGCGAAAATTAGAGATATACGAAGCGTGAGAGAAAAGGGAGTAAGTAATATAATCACATGTACACATGTTTCCATAATAGACTTGTGATTCAAATAAGGTAATATTATTGAAATATAAGTTTGAATTTATGCATAGAGTGAGAGAGATGGGTCGATTACTTGTATTCAAAATTTGGTTAATTTATTTCACATGTATAGTTCAATAAGGACTTGTAATAAAGGCGTACTAGAATCTTCAAATGAAAATTGAAAAAGCCGTGAAAATGATCTTATACGATAAAAAAAAAATAATAATAATGATCTTAAAAATATATATATATATATATATGATATTTTGTAACACATGCGTTCTAACCACTCGATCAAAGTGCTCAATGTGGGAACGCTTAGTACATAATGTTCAAGGTCGAACCGACAATGAACCTAAGGTATAACAAAGCAAGGGCTCCAAACTCTTCGAGACTCGTACATTCGATCAATTTATAATCGTAACATATTTTTATCGTTATATTTGCTATATATGTATATAGATATATTTGTTTATTCTTGCAGCGGGATGAAAGTACCATGAATCTTCTAGTTAATTAAGGTAAATATTCATCATCTAACAATTATTTACTTTTTGAAATACCTGCTCTCTCTCTATAACTACCTCTTTCTCTCTCTCAATATATATATATATATATGAAACTTGACTTTGATGCATGGAATTGTATAATAATTATGTCTTAATTAGTAATATCTCTTATTATATAGGGTATGTTTCTTTAAGCTAGTTTTCCCGAATTTTACTATTTGAATTCTGCATTTTCCGAGAAAAATATATTTTTTCATTTCACAAAATATCCCATCAAACATTATTTTCATACCAAACTCAAACCATTTTTTTTCAAACTCATCGAAAGAAACACACCCTGTATATCTTCAGGTGCCGTGTAGGGTTTAGAGGGCAAAATATGAAAGTTATAAAGTGAAATGCCACGAAATATACACACACATATGCAATAGTTTATTTTTCTGTAATGACATTACACAGACACATGATTATATGTATGTATATATTTCTTACTTACCCCATGCAGTGGTAGTGAGGCACGAGGCTCCAACAGCTCCTTTCATGATGTGTTTGTAGGTGGGATGGAATTTTTGGGATTTTCAATCTCTCTCTCTCTCTCTCTCTCTCTATATATATATATATATATATCTATGTGTATGTATATTAGGTAAAGCCTAAGGCTTAGATGGTATCATAATAATTTATTATCATCATGCAATTATGAGTGAGTGGTGTGACCTTACCACCACTGCCCATTTCTCCCTTGTTTTTATCGATCATTTCCCCAATTTGTCCATACGTTTTAAGATAAATTTTTCACTATCCATACATACTTTATTTGATTCAACAAAATTATTATGCTATTCAAAAAAGCATCTTTATTCCAATTTATTTGGGTTAAGACAAAAAGTGTGATATTTTCATCAAAAGTGAATGATATATAGTATACTTATATGTGTATTAAATTTATATATTTTTATTAATTAACGGAATCCGCTCAACAAATCATTCATATTTCCTTTACATTATTAGTTTATTTATTTACATTAATCACACATTAGGGTTGGTTTGGTTGTAGGTATGTATGAGAGTTTTGAAATTTGAATATTAAAATTTTGAATTAGAATAATTTTAAATGTAAAATTATGTAATCTAAAAATATTTCTTTCAATTTGAACATTAAAACTTTTTATTTAAATAATGTTAACTGATGCAATGTTTTTGTGAAATAAAAAAATGTATTTTTTGAAAAATATAGAGTCAAATGATACAAAACTGGATCAAAACTTAAAAATTCGTGTTTAATTTGATGTTGTTGAAATTATATATATATAATAAAAATGTGATTCAAAGCTTACAAACAAACACAAATTTTAAATTTTCAATCCTTTTAATAAAATAATAACTTTCTAGTAACTAATAAAAGTCGTTGCTCTACATATATATACACAATTATTTATTACATGCATATTAATTCTTTTTATTTGCATAAATTGGAGACTAATTTAACAGTAATATACTACTATATGCATATATTATTACATAGGGGAAGAGGTTGTTGGGCGGAGAAATGAAATCTCACCCGCCAGTCAAACTCAAAACAAACAATCTGACACACGTGAGAACCCCAACCTTAGCTTTTTATTTATTTATTTTTATTTTTTATTTTTATAAAGACATGAATTCATTACCAAACACCCATCCACTACCAGCCTCCCTCCCTCCCTCCCTCCATCTATAAAAACCTACAGTAATTCCAACGACCTGCAACAAGCTTGCCTTAAATTCTCTCAAATTCTGCTTCTTCCCAACCATTTTTTTGAAGCTTTCTTAATTTCTGGTTTTTTATTTCACTTGGCAATAATATTCCGGCATTGATCGAATTTGGATGCAGATCGAGACGCAGGTAAGTGAGTGGCTTCTTCCATTGAGGTTGTAGTTAACCTTGGCTTCGTTGTCTGTTCGACCTTGGATTCATTACTATCCATCTGAAACCCTAGTTGATTTTTTTTTTTTTTTTTTGTTGTGTGTGTGTTGGGATGATAGATATTGATATTGAATTTATATATAGATTATATAATATATATTTAGAATCATTTGCTTCTATTAAGATATATATGTTTTTTATTAACTTATATATATTTAGAGTCATTTGTTTTTATTAGATAATACATTGTAATGTATATCTACGATTTTTCATGAATTGTATGTTTCAATTGCAGGAATTTAGATTTTTATTTTTATTTTTTATCATCATCATCAAAGCATTTGATGCATGCTATAATTGAATTGTGAATGGATTCAATGTATTTGTTAATTGTTGGTTGGGAAAGAGTTAGGTATTTCATTTTATTTTTAATTATTGCGGAGATTTTGATGAAATAAACTGGCAATCGACAAAACACTGGCTGAGCTTCTAGTACATTTACTCTCACAGTGTATGGATTTTAAAATATTTCATGACACCAACGTTTCAGAGATTATTGTTACATTCATGACAAAACCCCAATTTTTATTGCCGACACCAAAATATTTTTAAGATATGGGTAGAATATTGGTTAATTATTTAGAATTATTGCATGTGATTCTAGCCAAGTTGTATGTGATTTATTAAATAAATGGGCCCCCCAATATTTGTTTCTAGTCCAGGAAGCCCAGGTTTATGATTCCTCTTCTACTTCTTGAACATGATCATGTTCATATAATTTTTAGTGTCTGGGTTGGGTTGGGTTGGATTGATTGCTTGAATAATTAATCTAAGGTCGAACAAACAGTCGAAGCTAAGGTGTAACAACCATTCACATTCCGACAGATGTGTAGCTGAGAGAGTTGGGTGGAAGCTTAAACATGCAAGGAATTGAAGTTATCTTTTTAATTTGAAAAGATCTGAAATTGTTTGTAAATTTGATTTATAGATGTATAGATTTGGGGAATTTGAAAATCCCAGAAAGCTGTAAATTCCAGTTGTACAAAAGAAGCAAAAGGTTAAAAAATGACTACAATATTGTATGTCTAGTTCTATCACTTTGTGGCAAAAAGGTGAAACATAGAATGTTTGTTTATTTGAATGAAAACGAACAGCCATTTTGAAGGAATTGAAGATAAAGAAACAATGGAAAGGACGGATTTGAGAAATCAAATATCTCATATTCTTGGATAAAAATATTTTACTATAAATATATATATATTTTTAAAAAAATATACAATATATACAAAATATTCAAAAAGATTATAATATATTCTACAAAAAAAAAAAAAATATCATAGCCATAGCACAACTAGTAAGCGAACATGGAGCCTAATTAGTGAAGATTAGTCTTAGAACTAAAGAAATTCTTTTTTCGGGAGATCCCTTCGAGTATCATACCATAAGCAAAACACCATTATAGTGATCTTCCATAGGTCATGAATAAATTGAGGAAGCACATGAACACGGTAGGGCAATTCCGGGTGGGTTAGAGTCAAATAAATGAATATCCCAATTAAAGCTGTCAAAACGGGTTAGTGGGGCAGATTGATCAACATTCCACCATAACCTACAAATAAACAGGTTGTTTGCGGGTCAACTTGCCGGAGGACAGATCAAAATTAATATTGAAAAATAGCTAAAATAATTTTGTTTTACAATTTAAATAGTAAATATTATAAAATAAATAACAAAACAATAAATAAGAGCGTCATTGATAACAAAGTTAAAAAAGAAAAGTAACGGGTAAACAATATTAATTAATTTATTTAAACTAATAATAATATAAATTTTATTTTATTATGTCTTAATAATTTTTTACTATTTGTACATTATTTATAAATTAATTGTATTTATAATGGTATATTTGTAATTTATATAAAATTAAAACATATGTGATATTAACATTTGATTACTTTTATTATAATTTTTTAACGTGACAATAAAAACTGATAAAAAAAATACATTTAGTTGAGATTGGTGAGTATAATTATTATATTTACTTGGGCGCCGCGAACTAACTCGTCCTACTGCGTACTAACCCACTCTCAATCTACGGTCTACGTGAGTTGGCCCATTTAGACTCCATTTTAACTGGCTTATAAAATTACAATCCAATCATCCTTAAAAGTGAAGCGGGCGGCCAATCCAACTGGCTCAACCCATTTTGACGGCTCTAATCCCAATTAAGAAAACATATTCGAAGAAGACTGTGGATTTGATCCCTGAAATTCCATTGTTCTTTTCTGTAAAATTTCATCTTTCTTGAGCTGGCAGTAAGCACGCTGAGTAGGATCAGAAATAGCATTCAAGTCCATATTCATAATTTTTTCCTCGCGTGCAATTATCTTAAATGCTAATTTCTCTTGTTCCAGTTGCAAAAATTCTTGCCTGTGCAAATTTGATTTTTGTAGTATTTCCAGAACCATTTTGTTCTTTAACTTCAGTAACATGAGCATCTTCTTTATCCTTATTTTTCTTCTGCTGCTTTGCTTTTTTTCACCTCTATGGGGCGCTCATATGAAGTCTCACCAACATTATAATTTAAATTTAATTCAATCTCATCATCGTCTAAGTTAACAGAAAATGATGAATTTCCAAGAGATTCAAAAGCAGTGTTATCCGACGATGATGATACATGAGTGGAATTATTTTTTCGAGGTATTTTATATGGGTTTCTAGCTTCATTATAATCATTAAATTTTTCAAAATCTTTTAACAAATTCCAAAGATGATCAAATTTAAAACATTTTTTAAAATTTGCATCTTCCTTCGTTAGTATCTCATTTTCTTTGATTTAACTACAAACAAGATTTTAAGGTTACAAATAGAACTGTCAAGCTATATATATATATTAACAATAAATTTAAGAAATGACTTACAATATCTATTTCTGAAGCTTCACTGGGTTTTAAAGTTTCTACTTTTTTGATACAAGCAAGTAACTTTCGAACAGCTTTCTCCATGGCTTGGATCTGATTTTGTACAGATCTTGCACTACGTATCTCCCAATCAGGATTTTTAGTTTGGTTGTATGCATTAGTGATTCGATTCCAAAATTGATCCCTGGATTGCTGCCTTCCGGTAATTGGATCTTGCGAGATATCTAAATAATGTTGGCATAGCAACACATCTTCATCATGACTATAACCACCAACTCGGATGGACATTTTGAGAATAACTTTTGATAAACTTTTATTATATTAGAATGAAAAGTGAGTGATTTTGATGCAATAATTCAAAGAGTGGAAACATGTATTTATAGACAAATTTTGGATAGATATCAAATCTTATCCATTGTGAAACTTAATCTCAGACGTTGATTTAGATTTCACAACACCCTAGCCGTTGGATCAAAACACTTTTTTGACCAATCTCAATTATTTATATTATATTTGACTATATATATATATTATAACAATCTACTTATCTATATAAAAAACAATATGAACCGTTCGTTTGGATTTCATCTTCATTTCATCCGTTGGATTGGATATCTATATTATCCAATCAATTATTATATATTATAAATTATAAAAATCCATTTATCCATATCCGAGCAATCATGATCGTTCATTTGAATTTCATCTTCACTTCATCCGTTGGATTAGATATCTATATTATCCAATCAATTATTATATATTATAAATTATAAAAATCCATTTATCCATATCCGAGCTATCATGATCGTTCATTTGGATTTCATCTTCATTTCATCCGTTGGATGGATATCTATATTATCAAAATATTTCTCATATATTTATATTTTATCTAAAATTTTCATTCTTTAAATTAGTTGACATTCAACAAAGGTTTATTCATCAAACTTATATTCACTTATCAAAACAATATTATTTCTTCAGCATGAGCAACTCTTCATCGTCAGATGATGAAGAAGTGAGTAGAATTTTCATGGAGTCCTTTCAAGAGGATGAAGCAGCAATCTCCATATTCATGCAAAACAATGCTTATTTGCAACAGTTACTCAATCTATCTCAATCAACCCATCGAGGCTTTATCCCAGGTCATCGAGTAATTAATCGTGATCGTGAAAGTTCAGCTCGTAATTTATATAATGATTATTTTTCAAATAATCCTTTATATAATGAACAAATGTTTTGTCGACGATTTCGAATGTCTCGAAGTCTGTTTCTTCGTATTGTTGATGCGGTTAAAGATCATGATCCGTATTTTCAACAACGGAGAGATGGTCTTGGTAGACTTGGCTTGTTAACCTTACAAAAGGTAACTGCTGTTTTTCGGGTGTTAGCATATGGTGTACCTGCAGATTCAACTAATGAGTACATTAAAATTGGTGAATCAACAACAATTGAAAGTGTTAAGAGATTTTGTCGTGCCGTCGTTGAAATTTTTTCAACTGAATATCTTCGACATTCTAATGCTAGATATTGCAAGGTTACTTCATATTGGAGAATCTCGTGGTTTTTCTGGTATGTTGGGCAGTTTAGATTATATGCATTGGAAGTGGAAAAATTGTCCTACGGCTTTCGCAGGTCAATATGCAGGTCGTAGTGGAACACCAACTATTATTCTCAAAGCTGTGGCTGATTATGATCTTTGGATTTGACATGCATATTTTGGTATGTCAGGTGCCAATAATGACATTAATGTTTTAGAATCATCGCACTTGTTTTCAAATCTTGCTCTAGGTATTGCTCCTCCTGCACATTATACCCTTCAAGGGAAAGAATACAATATGGGGTATTATCTAGCTGATGGTATTTATCCTAAGTGGGCTACTCTTGTGCAAACTATTCGTGATCCACGAGGTCCAAAAAAAGACTTTTTGCACAGAAACAAGAGTCTTGTAGAAAAGATGTTGAGCGTGCTTTCGGAGTTCTACAATCACGTTGACATATAATTGCTGGAGCTGTTCAATTTTGGCAAAAAAATGTTCTGCATGATATTATCACTGCTTGCATTATTATGCATAATATGATAATAGAAGATGAACGAGATCTCAGTGCACCTATCAGATAAGTTTTAGAAACACCACCCCCATCCGTGGAAATGGCAACCGATGAAACCATCCAACTTCAACAATTTCTTGCCCGACATAGACAAATTAGAGACAAAGATGCTCATTTTGCACTCCATAATGATTTAATAGAGCATATATGAGAGCAATATAGTAACTCCATTGAATAAATATGTCATATTTTAATTGAACTATTTTGTAATGTATGTTTTTGTAATAAATTGTTATGAAATAATAATATTACGTTATCTTTGTTTAATTATTATGATCATATTTGTCTTGATAGCATTTAATTATTTATTTAAAATTATTTTATTTGTAATAGTTATTAATTATAAATGTTAATTTTTATATATGTAATTTTTAAATAATTTATAAATTATATGTGTATGAATCTAATGTAAAAGTAAATTAAAGTTGGGGTGTAATTTATAAATATGAAAAGTTAAAATAATATAAAAGAGGAATATACAGGAAATATACTTTTTTGGAGTAAAAATTGAAGTTTATGATTGGAGGAATATACAGGAAATATACAATAATACCGTAGATCAACTGCATTTTTTATGTAACAACTCCAAAAATAGAGTGGAGGGTTGGAGATGGCCTTATTTTATTGTTAAAACTTTAAATATAGAAGTAATTTTTTCTTTTAACTTTACACATTTTGAAGAGGTAAAATAATTTTTATATATAAATGTATTATTTACTATCATTAAAATACATGAGTAATATAAAAATATATATATATATATATGTATTATTTTATTTTATTTTTTATTTTGTTTTTATAAAATCCTAAAATATTAGCAAATATATAAAAATCAGCTAAATATTGCTTCACATTCATACCCGGACAGCGGCAACTCAATACGCTCTAATTGCAGTTCACTGTGTCGCGTTCGGCATTGACAGAGATGATCGGAGTTGGGAAAATCAAGCAGTACGCTAATGTTCTGGACAGACCCGTCAGCAAAGGAAAGCAAGAGGTATGCTTTTCACTTCCGTAGATCTTCAATTCGTTGAAAGTAGTCAAAGTCTTACAAGATTGGTTTATTTCTTGAAATCGGGTGAAGGATCTCTCATCGGTGCGGTAGTTTTGTTGTATACTATGGATTTCCTTGGGAGAATTGAGTAGGATCGGTCAATTTGATGTGTGCTGAAATGAGGTTTTTGGGCGATCTTATTTTGACGAGATTAGGGCAAATTCGAAATGCATGGAGAATGTTATCACTTGTTTTATTTATTTAATTTTTGCAGTTTATATCGTGTTCAGGTTAGCTTGAGTGCGTTTGCGTTCTTATTTTCCGAGCTAGTTCAGTACAATCAAACGCAAGTCGACAACATAGCAGAGTTGGAGAGAAGGTAATTTTATTTAGTTATTTTTCTAATTAATCTGGCTTGAGTTATCTATGCGTGGTTCAATGTTGGAGTAAAATATATTCATCTCAATGGCAAATACTGTTGTAATGGAGCAGGATCTCTACAGGGCTGTGACTTTGTTTTTGCTTTAGTGTTGGGTGATGAGTTTTATGCATTTCCCGATTTGGAGAAGGGAACCATTGTCTTGAAACTGGCTAGGTGTACCTGAACAAAATTTGCATAATTTCAAATGTGCTCTTTACATCAGATGGCCAGTAACTTACCTTGTGATGAATTGTTTTGCCAAGGATGATTCCTGTCATGATTATGCTACAAGTGGGATTCATGTTTAGGTTTAGATTTGTATGAAATTGATTTTTTTTTTCTTTCTTTTTTATTGCACTGTATGTTTGATGGGTTTTCGAACCTTGTTTAGGTTGGAAGATGCTGGCTATGCTGTCGGAGCTAGGGTTCTTGAACTTCTTTGTCACAGGGAGAAGGTGCGGTTCTTTATGACATTTTCATGCTTATTCCTTTGAACTCCCTGCATTATCATAACTTTCGGCAGTAATATGCCATTGTCTTCAATAGCTTACAATCTCTCTTGCATCTCTTCTTCTTGAATTTCGTATGTGTCATAATATTTTCTTCTAGCAGTTCATTGATGCCTATTGAGTTAGTCAACAGTAAATAGATTTATGCTGTAATTGATGCGTTACTCAGTCCAGAATAGTTGTGTTTACTCTCAAGAATATTTGGTTGTTGGAGTTTTTGCATGAAACTGTTCAAAGGATGTTGATGCCATTTGTGATGAATTACATTATCTCAGAAATATGACATTCCACTTTTGGTTAAGAAATAAGATTTTCTCACATCTTGTTTCTTCATATTATACAGTTACAATTGTCATTGCAATTAGTTTGTCTGGATAATGAGTATTGTGATTCCACTCAGGTTATTGATTGAAGTATGGAAACTGCCCTATTTTGATTACTTTTCACATACTGCACATGTAATATTAACTTTTTGTTTGTTGTTTCAGTGATGATACTAGGCTTGAATTTCTATGATAAATCTACTTCTCTGATCTCTATTTGATATTCTAGGGAAACAGAAGAGAGACAAGATTATTAGGCATTTTATCATTCATACACAGTACAGTATGGAAGGTCTTGTTTGGAAAGGTGGGCATACTATATCATTTTTCATACATTTTTTCACCTAAATCTACCCCCGCTCCAATAAATGTTTCTGTTTGGTGTTTCTTTATACTGTGTTTTTCCATATATTTGTTCTTGAATATTCTCATTCATGCAGCTGATGTTCTTTTACATTAAACATGATATAGAATATGCAGGAGCCTTTGACATATCACAATAGTTAATGTTATTTTTACATTATATTGACGCCAGGTGGCTGATTCTCTTGAAAAAGGCACTGAACATGAAGATGAGTATATGATCAGTGAGAAGGAACTTCTTGTCAACAGGTATTCCCATGTCTCAACATTCATTAACGAGAGGTTTTTGTCCTTACCAAATCTCCTGTTTATGTAAGTTTTTACATTGTAGATTCATTTCAATACCAAAGGATATGGGTGCCTTCAACTGCGGAGCATTCGTTGCTGGAATTGTGAGGGTACATATTGCATAACTGCAACTACCTGTGTGATTTATCGCTTGGTGTTAGCTCTAACAATTGTTCTTTCCTCATTTTTGAAGGGAGTATTGGATAATGCTGGTTTTCCGGCTGTTGTGACAGCTCATTTTGTACCTGTGGATGGCCAACAGAGACCAAGGACAACCATTTTGATTAAATTTGCTGAAGAGGTACTACAAACTAAGTAGCAGTACTGCTTTTTTTCTTTAAGGTCATCCTTTCTAATCTATTGGATTGAAAGGGTTTGAACACAAGGTAGACATGGCTGACCATATTAACTATTAGGCCATAACCTTGCTACAAAAGATAATGAAATAATAGCTAAAATATAGGAAATAATAAACAAATGCATGAACTCTTGGTAACTATCGTAATGGCTATGAGAAATAAATGAAGCTAACTTTTTTTTACCTGAATGGCTACCTATCAATCTCTCTGCACTGAGTTTACTTGTTAATTTAAGATTATTTAGTTTCCTGGGTAGGAGATATCCTTTCATCTTGGAGCTATTATTTGGTTGTATTGTGAATGTCTTGTATAGTACTTGTTTTGGCAAAAAGAGCCTTCTCTGCATCCATGACGCCAACCAGAGTTTGCGATTCTCTGACATGACTTGCTCAACTGCTCAGCTTATGAACGTTCAGCTATAGTTGTAGTAACAAGCTATATCAGTTACAAACCTTAGAAATATGATTTGGAGATTAAAATACAGTATCAAATTTGATATTTGAATTACTGAAATCCAAAATCTGTGTTATCTTCCCGGGATGGTGCTGGGGTATTTCCTGTATATGATAATAATGTATGCAAGTTGTTTGCAAAATAATCTGAAAAGGTTGTCAAACCATCTTGCTTGCAACTGTTTCCTTAGTATAACAAATGATCTAGTTGTAGTCTTGAGTTGAAAAGATGGTAACTAATTATTCTCACCTTTGCTGTCTTTTTAGGTTCTACAAAGGGAGGCAAGATTGGGTTAATTCCAGAAATCACAAGATAAATGATGGTGGTTGATGATTGATACACTGGTGTTTCCTTCTAGCGTTATTTAAAGTATGTGTGCTTTTACAGTCGATAACATTTTGCGCCCGAGTACATTCGGGACGAGCTCATTGTGGGAAAGTTTGTTACAATAGGATTGTTAGGATATACTTTGGCTTGTGCCCCCTCTATTAATATCATTTCATTTGCCCTAAGCATAAATGCTTTATATACAGCAGCTACCTCCAGTGATCAAACAAAACCTCTCATGTTACATGATGGGCTTTGATAATCTTTAGGCTAATAATAATAAGAAGTAACCCAGGAAGGCTGTTCCATGTCTCATCAATTCATATAAATATGAACATGATATTTTTATTTATGAAATTTGTTTCTTGGCTCTAAATTTGAGGTTATAACACTTTATTATTTAAAATATAAACATAAAATGTGCTTAAATAAACAAGCAGCTCTTGTAGCTCAGTTGGTTAGAGCACCCGTTTAGTAAGCGGGAGGTCTTGAGTTCGACTCTCAACAAGAGCATTTCCTGTTTTACTTTTAAATTTTCGCCAACCGTCACAGGTAGACATCACAGTGGGTTTTAATTTAAGACGCCTACCGATCCATCCAATCGAAGCCGGAACATGGCTTTATCGAACTTGAGACCAGTCGTATGCTGGATCCCTCCGGTGACTGGACCAACTGGGTCGCACGCCAAAGCATCAAAGGTCGAAGTATTAAATCGACGAGTTTTTCCTGCACTTCAGGTTCAAGCGCCGGTTATACTTCCAAACGTTTCTCCGTCGCTTACCTTTTTGTTCCGTTTATATATAGCTCGTCAGTGTGTGTTATTTGTCAATTAGTTCTTTTTTTTTTCCATTTAGTTCTTACGAGGTGAGAATCGTGGTTTAGGTTGGTACTTGTTGAATTCTCGATCTATGATATGGTATTAGGAGAATGATGGCGGAAAGTCATACCTCTTCTATGCGGCTTAGCTGCGGTGATATCGAAGGGTTTTGGGTTTAGGTTATTTAACAAACGCATTTTCCGTAGGTTATATTCACACTAATTAAAATCTTCGAGTGCAGAAACTTTGCTATTACAGCAGTTTGTTATGGATGTTTAGGTTTGATTGTTAGGTTTTTCTTAAATTCGCACATCAAACTCATTGCTGTTTTCACGTTTAATCCAGTGATTGATGCATAAGATAGGTAATGAATTTGATAAATCTAGCTAATTACTTCACCTTTATAAACCGAGGAATTATCAAAACTTGTGTGGTATACACACCCCAGGGGCTTTAAATGGCGGCTTGATTTCTTCGCGTTAGAAGAGCAGGACAGGTTTTAAATGTGATAATCCCCGGATCGTACCTAAACACCTAAATCAAATTTATCACTCGATAAGCTAAACAGTACAAGTTCAGTATCACCGCCTCTTTCTTGCTTAAATCATCAAATCGTCCAAGGATGAGTACTGCTAGTGGTTTCACGTTGTCTACATATTTCTCTGTCTACATTTTTTAATTCATGATTTCTCTTTACCATTAACTAGATATACATCTTTCCAAGTTATTCCTGTCTTTGGCTGATCTTTGAGTTTGTGAAATGATCTTTTTCCAGCTTGTTCTTGTAGCGCATTGGATTGGGATCTTATAGAATGTTGTATGGGATTTGAAATAGGTTGCTGGAGAATCCTACTCTCAGTGTCATATATACAAATTGTGTCTGTTGGTGTCTACCCTTTAAAATTTTCAAGATCTTCATCATTGTAGACTATATATCAAATTGGATATATTTCAGCTTCATGACTATATGCATGCCTCTATATGCTGGCTGTGTTAGGTAGGATGAAGCCACTACATTGAACATTTTGGTTTTGGTTTGCATAGGTGAAAGTAAAGGAGGAGAGCCTGTTACTACATGAAACAGCCTCTGGCTCGTCTAGGCGGGAGTTGATGCAAATGACGGCTGCATCCATCGGTTTACTGCTTCTATTGCCAGCATCTGCTGAAGCACGCCCTCGAAATGCTGCTGCAAGGCAGAAGATCTTGAGAAAACTTGAAGAGCTCCGACAAAAGCAGGCTGGCACGAAATCAAAAATCGAAGAGGAATCGATCAAAAAACAACAAAATCAGGACAGCCAGAATGGTGAATCTGCCAAGCCTGAGCTACCCTTTATTGTACTCCCAAGCATACTCAATGGTTAGAATGTTTAAATCACAATAGGGAGAAATAACAAACAAGTCATACTTTGGCATGACATTATGGGAATTCACAAAAACAATATCACATGCAGTACTAGAAGTTATGAATCTACTCTAAAACAAGTGTGAGTAACCTAACCTAGAACGACAAAGATGATGTAAAAAATCAAAATTTCAAGCCCTTTTCTTATCCATATTCTTGACTAGTTGTCGCATTTGGAATCTCCAAACCATGGAATAAGCCAACCCCAAACCAATCAGCACATAAATCCATATTTTCTCTTCTTTGTTCTCTTCTTCAGAGATTATCTCAGCTAGGTTGAATTCCTCCCTCTCTGAATTTCCCATTATGCCCTCGTTCACAAACCCATATAAAGCGTATGCCCTATTTTCGGCTCCCGCAACAACAGCATTAGCCTGGCCATCCCCCTCGAGGGTAGTTTCGTCATATACTGCTCCTTCGCTCCAACTGTCGTCACTTTTGATGAAATATAACTTTTGCGGGGATACCACCAAAACGACGCCGTCTCTCCTTAGCGCAATTCCGTCTGGGGCCGTTAAGTCCTTGTTCAATAACACGCGCCTTGCCGTTCCGGTGTCGACGTTGACCTTAAACAGCGTTCCCGTGGTTGACTGCGTTGCGAGCAGATATCCCTTAGGGTTGTAAACGACGCCGTTTAGTCCCGATTTGAAGGCTTGGGATCTGGAAAGGATCGCCGCCTCGCCTTGCTCGGTGATTTTGAAGACGACGCCGTTTGCAGAGTCGGTGACGTAAGCGGTGCCGGAATAATCGGCTGTGACATCGTTCGCGGCGATTGGGGACGGAAGAAGGTGGTCGAGCGGCGCGACGAAGAGTTGGCGGAAGGTCGGGAGATCGTAGGCGGCGAGGGCGTTGTACGGAGGGGATCGACGGCGGACGACGGCGAGGATGCGGTGGTGTCGGGGATCGATTGATATGCCGGCGAAGGAGGAATTGGGTGGCAGGGACTCGTCGAAGAGGAGAGACGAGACCACGCCGGCGTCGGAGACGGAGATTAGCTGGGGGTGCCGGAGTGATCCGACGACGAAGTGATCGGATTTCGGATCCCAGGCGAAGGACTTCGGGTAGAGGTTGGGCCACCGGAAATTGATGACGTGTCTTTTCCGGCCGTGGATGGGCGTAACCAGGAGAAGTAGGAGGAACACTAGAATCGATCGGAACATAGTTTTGGTGATTGGAAGAAAATTGTGGCGGCGATTGGAAGCTCCTCCGACTCTAACGCCAGACGGATTTTACTCAGATAAATAATCTGCAAATATTTTAAATAAATTGATTAAATATTTTAAAAAATGGCTGATCTTGATCATCGTTATCGGGCTTGGATAAGCCCAGACAGTTGGGTAATCCAAGGCCCAATGAAAATGGGCTTAAGATCCAAATCCACTTATAAAGTATAGTAAAACAGAGATTATTAATTTTATATATTCATAAAAGGTAAGGGACGATATTTCCAAGACGGTTTCTTTCTTATTTTGGATTGACAATAAAATAAAATAAAATAAAATTATAGAATGGTAAAACTGCAAGAGAAGGTTCCAGAAATGGCTGAAATAATATCTGGCGCACATTCATTCAAGCACGAAAATATCTTCTGCGTGTGTCCATGGGATGCGATGCAAGTTCCATGATTTTATTATTCGCTTTGTACGACACAGCTGCTAGAAATTTCCAGAATGCGGGAGACGTCCTCGTCTTCACCAGTCGCCGCCATGGACACCTTTTTAAAGCTTGTGGTTCTTTCTGTTATCCGCCGGACCCACATATGTGCATTAACCGCCTTTCCTTCACAGCCTCCTTTCAATTACGTGCCTATATAAATATACACTTTCCGCAACTATTTCTTATGTATTCATGTTGTTGGAGGAAGAAGGGGATTGATCGCCGTTGTTGATTTCTAGGAGGTTCGGTTACTTTTAATCTGTGAGGAGTTGTGTTTGGGGATTGGTGATGGCTTGCGGTGGAGGAGGATTGACTTCTTATTATCGGGTTCTTGGCGTCGATACCGATGCTTGTGATGAGGAAATTCGCCGCGCCTACCGCAGGCTTGCGATGGTATGTTTGTGTGTTCTTCGTGTACGATTTCTGCGTCGGTTACGTATGTATTGCTGATTGTAGTTTCATTGTTTATTGTGCTGTGGCGTTGGAGAATGAATTGTTGGCGTAGGTTCATTTGTTAGGGTTCCTGATTTTGGTATTCCTCTATGGAGTAAAATTAAAATTATGTAGCATTTGTTGATCGTAATCGGGATCGATATCTGCAGTTTGATTGTTGAGTCTTAATTGTTAACTGCTCAGCTTAGCTAACAATTGTGTTAAACTTTGATTCAGCAATGGCATCCGGATAAGTGGATCAGAACTCCTTCTCTTCTTGGGGAGGCCAAACAGAGATTTCAGCAAATCCAAGAAGCGTATTCAGGTAATTAAAGTTTCAAACAATCTCGAAATCTTGCTCACTCGATTTCTTGAAAAATTATATCCTAATTTTGCTTCATATGTTGGGATGATTACGCAGTATTGTCAGATAGGAGAAAGAGGACGCTGTATGATGCAGGGCTCTATGAACTCTATAACGACGATGAAGAAGACGAAGTAGAGGTAAAGCACACATGCACCATGAATTTGATTCTTCTCAATTTACATTACGAGTTCTTGCGATCCTCTGTTAAACTTGTTTCATCTTTCAGGGTTTCTCTGATTTTCTCCAAGAAATGGTGACTTTAATGAACGACGCTAAGAGAGAGGTATGAATCTGGATTTTCTGTTCTTCATAGATTCCAACAAATTTTAGTTTCACACTTCATATCAATGGTGAATTCCTGCAAACAGGAAAACAACTGTAGCATTGAAGATCTGCAAAGAATGTTTTGGGATATGGCTCGGGGCTTTGATCTACCTCAGTGGAACCAACCCATACAGCAGCCTGCATTTGAGCCTCAATGGTTCTATGGATGGAACTGGTACTGTTCATCTACAGCCTCCAACAATTAGGGGAATTCCTGAGCTGAACAAATCCAGTTATGCACTTCTCGTTGTTGATGGTGAGCAGAAAGAAGAGAGAAAAGGGTTGATTCTTTAATTCTTTCAAGACCAGCAACAAATACGACAAAGTGAATGAGCTATGTTTATGGTGATGATGATGATGTTCGGCATCTTGTAAGTCTTCAAAAACTAGAGAAACTACTGTTTCTTGGATTAGTTGAACAAGTGGAAAGTTTTCAATGAAAAATAAGATCTAATGGAAAATTTTGAAAATATCTCTTGAATTTAAGGTTTCGCTACATGTATGTTGTGCTGATTCTTGTGAAATGATGGGCTTTTTGGGTTAGTTAACAAATTTTATACCGTTGAGGGAAAATTATTACTGGATCGAGCCAATATAGCCAGGCCCAAATTGAACTATATAAGGAGTCCAATATATTGGTAAGGCCTATCACAGGGCCCATAGCGGGCTTTTTATTTTGAGCACAAATACATCTTGGATCCATTAAGTAGGTGGATATTGTAATATATGTTGATGGGGACAACCTTCACAATTTTGGTCAACACATATTTTCCAAGTTAATTATGACTATTATATTTTTCCTAAGTAATCCCATTTTCCAAATTTACTATGATCACTTTTGAATAATTATCCTCGTCTCTTAGAATTGATGGAGACATTAGCGGGAGGGACTTTATTTGTATTATTTCTAAATAATCCATGTGGCCTAGTAACAATCAATGTGACGACCCGTTTGTCATCATCAACTAAACAAAATTTCCACTTATCTCACCATTATTGGATATCACTTGTGTAGTGAAAAAAATATATTAAATTTAAAAAAAAAAAAGAAAATGAAAATGATTCTTGATATATAATTTATGATGCATGTACCCTTCTAATTAAGGCCATCCATCCACATGCCAAAGCATCACCTGCCCAGCTGCCCTTCTTGACTTTACAATCCAAACTCCATCCCTATCCCTAATGAACGTATATAAATTAATGTATTTCTTTTATATATATATGAATAAGATATGTGTGTGTATATATATATATATATATATAAATAAATGTATAATATATTGAACCACATGCCACCCAAAAACCCCTCACTTTGTAAAACCATTGCACAATTATTGAAAGCACACTTTATATTAATTAAATTGGGCATTAAGAATATGTACTCACTCACAAACATCTATAAATACATACATACTGAACTTGGTTGTAAAAGCAGTAGATGCATAAATTATGGCCTAATTTAATTAAATAAAGGATTAATTAATGTAGGGTTGAAAGTGGACCACCCACATGCTACAGGGAAGTGCCTTCTAGACTAAGACAGCATCACCTTCTCTTACAATGAAAAGTAGGCCTGAAGTGAACCCTCACCCACCTTGCTTGGATATGTCATTTTCTTTTTCCATTTCACAAAAAAAAAAAATAATAATAATCCATACATTGTTGCATTTTTCCAATTACCCATTTTTTGTAGAAGAATGAAGATCATACTTAGAGAGGTATTTAAGAACTCTGAGTTGATGCAAAATTTGATGTATTTAGTATCTTTTCACTGATTGAATGGTAAACCCATCATTAAATCTTGAAGAAACAAAACTACTATATACGTCTTATTATTTGTTTCTTGGTATTCAATTATATAAATTATTTTCTTTAAAGGAGATTAATTTTAAATCACAATAATTAAACAACCCCTTTATTTAGTTGTTTCTTGGCATTGTTCCCATGCACCCTCGAAACGTATTATATTTCTTCTCGGCCATTCTCTCTCTCTCTCTCTCTCTCTCTCTCTTTCTCTCTCTCTCTCTCTACACAATACCATACCTAATTCTACTTCACACACACAAAATACTCTCTTCATCAAAACACTAACCTCTTAAAACTTAGCTTCCAAAACATCCCAAATTTGTTGCCATGGCCAGCTGCTGCCTCAATCTTGTCCTCCACATCACTATTTTGATGTCTGTATTATCCACTTTGGTCCGAACCCACCAAGTGTTGCCTTCAAGAAAGCTCGACGAGTCTTCACCTGATATCAGCAAGTGTGGAGGCTGCCCCTGCAATAACCCCTGCAACCCACCCCCAACTCCATCTCCGCCGCCGCCCTCCCCGCCGCTGCCGCCGCCGCCGCCGCCCAAGCCAAAGCCAACCCCGAACAATTATTGCCCCCCTCCACCTAGCGGCGGCGGGGGAGGTGGCGGTGGTGGTGGTGGTGGAGGAAATCAGTACCCGCCTAACCCTCCTTACATATACATAAATGGGCCGCCCGGAAATCTTTATCCGGTCGATCCATATATTTCGGGTTCGGGTCGGATTTCTCCCATGGGCTTCCTGCCTTTCTTGATCGTCAGTGCTGCTTTGGGTCTCGTGGGTTTCTGCTCCTGAAGAATTAAAGAGTAGAATTCAGATTATACTTTAAAAGGGCAACAAATTTTCATTTATTTGGGGCCAAATTAATTAATATATATTTTTATATATGTCGAAAAGTAGAATTGGGTTGTGAAGAAATAATTTGATTTGATTCCCAATTGTATTCGTTTAATCGTTAATTTCAATAACCTGTGGCTCTATAATTTTCTTTGCCCTCTGATCTTTGCTACTTTAGAGTTTTATGTATCGATGAATCAATTAATGAAATATTCTTCATTTCTATGTATCTTTGATTTGTGGGTTTTCTTGATTGATCGTTTGCCGAATTTTATGTGGTAATGAAATTTATATATTAATTGTGAAGCAGGCTAAAAAGAGTATTCTGATCACTCGAGTTCTTTTCAAGAAAATTTTGCTGTAGGATTTGACTCACTACCATATGTAAGATAGATACGTTGGAAATTAGAACTCTCTTGGTCTGTGAAGGGACGTGTCGTGAAAGGAATAAATCGAGTTCATACGACATTTGGACACCTCATTTTTAATAATAATTGAATTTTGCTGTACAGGTGTCGACAAATTTAAAAATTTAGTTGCAAATTCATATAATTTAAAAATTATTGGGATGCCTGCCCTTACATGCACATATGGACAGTTTGGCATAATTGGATCGTCTTGGATCAAGTTACCTATGTATTCTTCAAGAAAAAAATAAATAAATAAAAATAATAACACTTTCAAATTACAAAATAATGATATAATAATCAAGTATGAGTCAATTGGGTGCTCCAGGGAGTGCAGCTCCAGCATGAACAAACGGACACATACACACCAAATGGAGCCACGTGTCGTTTTATTATCTGATTTTGATGTCAGAAATGTGTAAGAAAAGATCAGATCAACTTCGATTTCACCAAATGTAGGTCCCACTTGGGTTTTTGGAGGGGTCCAAGGTGTCGAGATCCCAGATCAGTCGAGAAATAAAACAGGAATGAGGTTCACAGCACTAGCACTCGTCCACTTGTTCAATTAATTAATTCATTAATCATTTTATATTATTAATTATAATGCCTTATTAAAATATAATTAATATTTTTTACCCTATATATTGCGTATGGAAGTGGTTGTTGGCGGGTGGAGATATAGCTCAATAATTACTACATCAAGGTGTCACACACACTAATTTAATTTAATGCAACATTTTATTTTATTTAAATAACCATTTTGCATGTCGTTAATTAGTTAGTTGTGATTTAAATAAAGTCTGAAGAATATAGGGAGAGGGTAGATGTAACTTTGTTATTTCTATTGAAAAGCAAAGCATGCACTTTTCATAGCTATACTTGTCTTATTTAATTTATTGGAGTAATTTGAGAAGAAAGCTCACCTAACGTAATGGGTTTCCCTTTTGTGCATCTATTTTATATTAATTAGGACCCATTTGCCTTCAACATTATTTATTTAATTAATTGAAGTACTTGGATGTTGATAAAAAAAACAAAAAACATACCAAGATCCAAGAATTTATTTAAATCCCTTCTATATGTGGAATAGTAATAATTATTTACATATACTATTAATTTCCTACTTCTCCATTCATATATTACTTTATACTCTCTCCATACAATTATTTCATTTGATCATTAGGGTTTAAACTTCAAGTTTTTATTAAACTAAAAAGAAAAAAGATTAAATCAATTAAACCCTAATGGATGTTTGGTACGAGGAGCAATGATATCCCCAACGAAAACTCTTATTAAAATTCAATATGTAATTATATTATCTGTGAAAATTTGTGCCACTTTTAGTGGGATGCCTTATAACAAATAATAATTTATTACACTATGAAAATTAATCCACAAAGTTGCACTAATGTAGACAAGTTAAAGTTAAAAGATACAAAAATCTTGTATTCTATCACCCCAAATCTCAAATTTCCTTCTACTAGAACTACTTTTAAAGCTAATTTGTATATTATTTTTGGTTATTAATATTATTTTTTTTTTTATATATGTCCCACCATGTTTACTCTCATTTTTCTCTTGTGCTACCATACATGATACATCTCATTCATACTCCTGCACCAAAAAAAATAAATAAAAAAGTATTAATTTCACCAATACTCTTTTCCATTACATTACATGAATCCACTTTAATTTCTTCCTTCTCAAACAAAACCCTAAATTGATTTTAGCATATTCCCATGATGTCCTCTCCACTCTCAACCCTACTCTTCCTCTCAACAATTCTTCTCAACTCTTTCATCCAAACCTCGCCGCAGGAGTGTCCCTATCCATGTTATCCGCCGCCGACCGGACCCGTAAACAGCGGCGGCAGCGACATCCCAGCTCCGGCAACCACCACGCCGCCTGTTTTCACCACTCCTCCGGCTTCCTTCTCCCCGCCACAAACAATATCGCCTCCCACCGGCTTCTTGCCAGATACACCGCCACAGCCGCCCGGCATTTTCGGGGCAACGCCGCCGCCGCCTGACCCGGTCCTGCCGTGGTTCCCTTATTTTTACCGGAAACCGCCACATCAAGATCAGTCTTCATCGGCATTGGTTGGAAAATCAACGGCGGCTGTTTTTGTTTCCATGTTTTTTTCTATAGTTATGTCTTTCATATTTGTGTAATCCATTGTTTGTAGTTAGTTGATCATAAGAATTCTTGTTTGCCCTTTTATTTCTTAATATATGTATGCGTTTATTTAATTTGTTATAGATCATTTTGTATCTTGTCATGCAAATAGTAGATCGTTCGTTTATATTTTTGTAGCTATAACTTCACAACTTTACCATTGTATGGGATTAGAGTTCTTTTTTTGGGTTTTTTTTTTGTTTTTTTTTTGGTTACAAAAATATATAAAAATCTGTGGGGGTGTGGTGACAAAAAGGCTATGTAAGAAAATCTTGATGATGATGTCCCAACATCAACAGTCTTGGCGTTTACGTCTGGCCGTTTCATTATTGGTGGATTCAGACCTTTTCTTACTTAACTGCTACTGTGAAATAAAAATATATAATTACTTTATAGTAGTAATTTAATTTATGCCTCTTTCCCAAAAATTTAAAAAGCTACTTTAAATTATGCTTTGTTCAGTTCTTTCGTTGCAAAAAGCCGACATGAGAAAGAGACAATTTCCCTTATCATTTATTTTTATTCATTGAAGGTTTCTCTGTGTAATGCAATCAATTATATATTGTGGTGAATTAATTTTTACTAATTGTTTACATATAAATATACTATATATATAATTGGTTTGGATGAAATATTCATATTATCTCAAATCATGTGAGATTGAGAATATTGTAGGGGCTCCCTTCTGTGCATGCAATTTTTTGTGTGAAATATTAAATTGACTTTTGAAAAAAAATTTGATCGATAAACTTCTTTCATTTTCAATGGGCCATCGCTTATTGTAAGCCAAGCCAATTCATGCATGATAGGGAATATTTTTTTAAAAAAATTAGAGAAATTTGCTGACCCTGAAGTTACAATTAATTAATTATGAAGTATATATTGTCGGGCATGTTATAGTCTTATAGATATATTATATTGTATATTTTTATTATATATATATATTAATTTGATCAGTCACTAAGAATCCTCCACCAATATTTTCAGGTGATATTAAGCAAATTCAGAAAAAAAAAAAGAAAAAAAAAATAATAAAAAACTAATTAAAATGTTATGTATTGGCTAAGGGAAGGCTCATGAACTAAACTAAAAAAATAGACTAACCATATATACATATGTATAATTAAAAAAATTATCATACAAAATATCCAACATTATGTAATGTTTCTTTAATAGGATTACTATTAATATATTATATATATGTGAAATTTTGTTAGTATTCTTTCTTTTTTAAAAAAAAAAAATTCTAAAATAACTATATATAATCTAAATAAAAATTAGAGGACATATGTTCGGCCCAATCGTTGTTTTTCTGCCCAAACTACACTAACAATTCGATAGCCCAAATCATAGCGAATGATAATATAATTAAGGCTAGCCCAAATTAAACTACAAGCTTAGTATTATGTGCTGCTTATCGGTGGCCGGCGGCGCTAATTGTAACAAGAAGTGTGCGGCTGCCGGCGCTGCAGGAAACGCAGTTTGGAGGGCGTGGCGGCGGTTGCGGTGGACGCGGCGGGAGTGTTGGCAGTGACACGCTCGCAGCGAGGGCACATAGTGAGGGTGGACGCCGGCGGCGGCGGCGCGTGCGCCGGGACAGCTCTGATGGCTCTCAGCTCCTCCACCTCAGCCTGCAGTTTCCTGTTTTGCTCCGTCAGCGATCCGTACCATCTTTTCAAGTACTCACATTCCATTTCCGTCTGCTTCAGCTTACTCCTATATATATATATATATACATACACTTTTCATGTCTGAATATTACGAACAATTATTATGGTACGAAGAATATGAAATCAAAGTGCACGTGTGTACCTGGCTCTACGGTTTTGGAACCACACTTCGACTTGTCTGGGCATTAGGTTCAATTGATCGGCAAGATTCTCCTTTTGTTTCTGTTCATCAACAAATCAAGTTAATTAATTAATTAATTTAATTTCAATAAATAATTAATCAGTGGCAACATATGATCAAGGTTTGATCCGATGCTAGTTTATTACAGGATTTAAAGTGTGATTCAGTCTGAAGCTTTGTTCGAGAAGACGAGACTGCTCTTTAGTAAGGCGAAGTTTCTTTCTGCGGGCCGGGCCGCAGTTCGGGCTCCCATGATCATGATCGTCTTCTTCTTCCATGCATTCTTCTTCTGTCCCCGGCGACGCCGCCACACGATTTACATCTACTTCTTTCATTAAATCACTGCATCCACTCTCCCCTACATCGATCATTATTAATTAATCATAAAATCATCCACCAATTAAAGCAGATACATATATAAACATATATATATATATACATGTGTAATAAGTAATTAATTAATTAATTATTATTCAGTTTACCAGATGCCGGAGGAGAAGCTGATGAGAATCCAGGCATGGCTATCGTTAAATCCAAACAAGAGGAACTATGACTCTCCATGAAAGAAACCTGAAAATTTGTAGAGAAGAAGAAGGCGAAAAGAACTGCCAACAGACTTGTCCGAACAATCTCTCTTTGCATACAGAAATTATTAAGACAACCTTATACATACATACATATATATATATATATATAGAGAGAGAGAGAGAGAGAGAGAGAGAGAGAGAGATGGGGAAAAGTGCAAAAGCAGAAAGTAGAAATGGCAAAAGGTCAAAAACAAAATAAGGGAGTTGTTGAAGAAAATGAGAAATCTAAATAACCTAGGGAGGAGGGTGAGGGTGTGGGTGTGGGTGTGGTAGGCAAGGCAAGGCAAGGCATGGCATGATCAAGTGCGGGGAAATGGAAATGGAAATGGAAAGGAGCATGGCCGAATTGTCTGGACAAAGGAGGGACAGTGGTCGTCAAGTCAAACAGTCAGCCACGCCACGTGTCACTCGGACTAATCGGCTGGAACATCAGGACAACCCACCCCTGCTTTCCTGCCCGACTTGTCGCTCTAAAGGTCAGCTGCTCAAATCATGATTTCCCAACACCAACACACATTCACGTACCCTCCCTCTCAGCTCACACATTATTTCATCATGTCTCAATGTGTTTCCTACTTAAACTATACACCCAACTCCTTAATTAATTACTAAACTATAAATTTTAGAAAGAAAGAGAGTAGAGCGAGACAGACATACATTACACAAAGTTGGATGCACTTTAACCTACGTGGGGGACATAATGTATCCCCTCTGGATAAATATGCAATCATGATGTTGTTTAAAAGACAAATATTTCAGTTAGTGATGCACGTGTGCTTTGAATTTTTCATTTTCTACCTTTTTAAATTTTTTTCATCATTTTACTCCCCCAAACTAAAGATATCGATTGCCACTGTGAAGCAAGAAACCTAAAATGGGCAGCATAACAATGGCGTAACCGAATGTTTAAAACAACAGTACTACCAATAAAATGGTTACATAGAATTCTACTACAACTATTCTTACTTCATTTCCTCAAATATTAAATTAGGCAAAGCCATGAATCGTGATCAGTTGGTTGTCCCAACACAGGTTAAGAATTCATACAACATTGTTATAGAAGAGGTTTGTTTCAGGATAACATTTGAGGTTCTTACCTCACAGTAATCTGCTCCCTTCTACACCGACGCACCGGGAAGCACTTATGCTCGAGCTTCTCAGCAGACACCGCGCACTGCTGCAGCTCGAATTTCTGCACCCATTGCTCTGCCGGGTCTTCGATGCAGAACTGGCGGCGGCTTCGGGTAGCCTGTTACTTTTATGGCTTCGGAAGTTGGGCAGTGTGGACTGGTTCTCAGATTCGATGTTCTGGTTGGGGTCGTCTTCATCAATGGACGTGCAGACGCGTTCCCTGGAGGGACATCATAGGTAGGATATTAATGTCACATTAAAACAATCGATGTAGCACATAAAGTTTAGGGTAAAAATGCAATGCCGTGGCAGGGAGGCGTAGCGCCTTCGCAGTATTCGGTCTACTTTCCCCGGCTGATCCTCAAGGTGAACAAATTGTTGCTTAAATTGGTCGATTCCACTGAAACAGGGCGACGGCAATAGAGTTAAGACAATTGGGGAGTTGTGTCTGAAACTAGATTCGCAGGATTGTAAGATACCTCGGATACATAAAGTGGATCGGGTCCATGCCGCGGAGGTGTTCTTGAAGCATATCAGGATGATACTCTAAGATCTGTAATAATGCCATCATTTCTTAGAACATTGTTAGAAGAGTATAAACGATTTCGACTTGAGCATACCTCTCTGTATATTAGCTCCCTCACGTCGTCTTTTGTTAGATTCCTGCGTTCAAACTCAAACTCAAATTTTGAAATAGGTTTAGTTGATGGCTCATCTTCTGGATTAGCCAGCCCATAAAAATACGGGTCTGCCAGCGCCTGTTGCAAGAAAAAATAGTTGAGAATCAACACACATTCACATCTCAGCTATCGAACTGAAACCAAATGATAAACAGAGACTAACTTCTTCAGCAGATAGACGATCATTGGGATCAAAGGCAATTAAACGCTCAAGTAAACAAAGAGCCAATGGATCGAAATTTGGGAATTTTTGTGACAGAGGCACAGCAGATTTCTTTCTCATGCTATTCAAATATCTTCGGGCTTTTTCATTCCGAATCTACAAGTAAACGAATCAGCTGCCATGTTATGATCAAAGAGCTAAAAGAATTGCCGATGATAGGATCAAACCTTTGAAATGGTTTCGGCAGAAGGAGTTCCAAGAAGATCAGTTATGAGCTCCAATTGATGAATCACATTCTTCCCCGGAAACAATGGCTTTCCAGTCACCATTTCAGCGAAAATACAACCAATGCTCCAGACATCAATGGCAGGGGTATACTGAATAAAGAAAATTTCAGGCACAATTATAAATTGAATCAAGATTGTAATGTCAATCATCGATCTAAGTATCACGAATGTGGCAACTTACCTTTGTAAAGAAGGATCCGCAGAGTTCTGGAGCACGGTACCAACGAGTAGCCACATAATCCTACAAAAAATCGCAATTGGAGTTAAAAGTTGCAGATTACCACAAACACAATTAGAAAGAGTATGAACACAAATGAACATACAGTCCAAAACACAGCAGACGGGGAATCACCAAATGATGCACGGGCTAGCCCAAAATCACAAATCTTCAACTTGCAGTCGGCATTAGCGAGGATGTTTTTGGGTTTTAAGTCCCGGTGGAAAACATTTGCTGTAACAAGAAATGTTAGAATGCCAGCAAGATGAGAAGGACGCTCTCTACTAAGACTTTATAGTAAAGGCCTGCCTGAATGGATATATTTCAAAGCTCGTAGCAATTGGTACAAAAAGAACTGATGATGCCCGGGAGTGAGATCATCGTTCGTCCGAATTACATGATGGAGATCTGTCTCCATCAGCTCAAACACAACATATATATCCTTGAATTCTCGCCTGCAAGGAGGCAACATAATATGCTTTATTTCCACGATGTCCGGGTGCCTAAGCAACCGGAGAAGCTTGATCTCTCTGAGGATCCGAGTAGCCTCGGAGACGTGCTCGAATATGTCTTTGATCTTCTTTATAGCCACCTTCTCTCCGGTGTGAGTATCAACCGCTGCAGCCACCACTCCATAGCTTCCCTTACCAACAACTTCTTGGATTTCATACAAGTTTGCCTCCCCATATTCGGTGAAGAAGTCCTTGAATTGAGTGTTCTGAAATTCATATTAGGAAATCATGTAATTCAAATGCAATCAATCGAAAACTAATGGATCCATAGACCAAATTCAAATGCTTGTTACCTGAATCATTGTTACAATCTGAACAAACGGAGAACTAGGGTTGATGATGGAAATCGTGGAATTAGGGCTTCAATGAAAAGATCCCTTCAAATTAAATAAATCTGGAACAAGTTGAGAGTATGCACATAGGCTTTCAAACGCAGGAAAGGGTAAAGCAAAAGACGTTGAATGACATCAAGATCTCAACCTTTATATTCAAACAACTACAGCGAGATCATCTACCCTAATAAGACAAAGTCGCAATTAAACAACACTTGAATAATGAAACATCATATGATAAACGAGTAATTAAAGGTTTTCAATTTCCGACCCCACTCCTTCGTAGAACGTATGGTGGAGACAACTACCACAGAGAGCGACTACGATGTCGATCTAAGAACAATTAACACTGTCGGTGCCTCGCAGATCGCTCAATTAGCCTGATATCGAAAACAATCCCCACGAACATAGGGATTATATACACACGCGGTTTGAGCGAGCGCAGCTACGAAATGCTCAAATTCCCCAATATCCAGAAAATTTGGGTATTTATTGATCGGGGTGTTGCAAATTGGAGCCGAGAACAGAAGAATTGCAGTATGTGAACAGCGATGGAATTCGAAAAGGAAAGTTTACTGACCTAATAATTTCGTTCTCCAATGGCGACTTCGGACGAACTTGGATCGATTTCCATGAAGATGGGACTCCCAACGCCCTATCTATCTAATCTACGCTGCCTTTACGATTTCGTAAGCGCGTGCTATACACGTACCAGCCGTAATTTTGAGACAATCCCTATGGTCATGGCTATATAAAAATGTCAGCGCATTACACGGTTAGGTTTTTTTTTTATTTTTCCGTAAAACAATTTATAAAAAATTAAAGGATATTTTATTTTTTAATCATTCAAAGTCAGACTGCAATATGTATCATTTTTTGGTTTTAGAAACCAGTTTAATTATTTTGAAATAAATAAAATTATATTAAAAATATATATATATATATTAATGATATTATGGTGATCCAAAATATACGGGCAGCGTTTGAATTAGCCTCGCGATCTGAAGCCACATAAAATTATTTAGGTTTGGAGTGGGCTGCTAAATAAATTTGATTTAAATATAAAATGGTGTTATGTCATTCTCATTACAGGCTGCATCTTATTTTAAGTGGTCAGAATAATTAATTAGCGGCAGTGGCACGTGTATATTAATTGTGGTGGAATCAATAATAGAATGTATCTGTCAATCTTATTATAAAATATTGATACAATTTTAGTAATAATTAAACTATGATGGTCAATAACGATCGAAAATTGAGGGTATGTTTTTTAATACTAGTTCTTTTTATTTATATTTTATATTTTTTTGAAACATATTTTTTTTTTTCAAAAAAAAAACCATTATAATTTATTAAAAATCATAAAAATATTTTTTTAGAACGATGAATTTATAATTGTGATATTTAAACATTTTTCTTAAAATAATTTTTTATTTATAATACTGAAAATTATATAAAAAAATATAAAATGTATTTTCCCTGTTCACTATTAAATTTTTTATTTTAATTTATCTAAATCAATTAACTATTAAAATACTTTTACTTTTCGAAATAATTGTTACACCCAAAAAGGATAACCTGGAGTGGTGACAATTAATATTTTCAATTTGCTTAAGGAGTAGATGTATATCATCTAATTGATGAACAGAATCATCATTAACTATTTTAATCAGCGGGTTCAATTCATTCCTTAGCCATATATAAATATAATCACACAGGATTATCACTGCTCCTTGTCTGTGCCTTGGTTGCTGATACAAGAAAACCCACAGCTTCCCCCACTGTAAGGAACAGACACTCACCATGTCCTCCTAACTCTTCTCCCTTCTGCAACTTCTCCATCACTTCCCCAACTGGATTCACCAGCACCATCTGTCCCAATTCAACCATATATCACTTGTCAACTGGAATGAAAAAATAATAACAGTAGATGAACAAATTGAAATTTCAGTAATTGATTACCTCCAGGTTCTTCTTCTGTAATGACATCCTCAAATCTCTGAAGAAGGAGACGCCATTTGTGTCGATTGCACTAACAGCTGTCAAGGATGATCAATCAATTCAATGTTTGTCATTTTGCTGTCTGAATTTTGAGGAGGAGGATTAAATTAATTATTGTTGTACTCACCTGACAAATCAAGAACGACAAATTTCAGGCCGGGATGTTTTTTGTCGTCGTCAGATTCACATTCTTCGATCCATCTGCCAATCCTGCAGCCAAGAAACATGTGACCAGATTTCCATGGAGGTTGTAGTGAAGTAAACATTAATTGTCCGAACCTTTCACTGAGATAAGTGGAATTGGCAAAGTTAATGGGAGATTCAATGCTCAGAATCAAGAATCCAGGGATGGCTACAGCTTCCTTGTAATGTCGAACATCGCGGTAAATATCTGTCCCTGGAATGTTTCCTAGCATCACAGTTTTCGGCCTGGTGACCTGCAGAAGGATCTTGAAAATAGATATCCCAACCTGATGGATGATAAAAACTGTTCGATTATTACATCAACACAACACAAGAAGACAATGTAAAAACCAGAGGTTGATCATTTTAATTTACATAGAGCGTGCTCTGCACGCACCGCGATGGCGAGGCCATTCTGGACGGAGATGAACAGTACTCCTAGAAATGCGCAGAGCATGACAACGAAATCGAATTTGTCGATCCTCCAAATCTGACAGGCTGCAGGGACGTCGATCAGGCCGACAACAGCCGTGACGATGATGGCGCCTAGGACAACATTAGGGGTGTACTGAAACAGCGGCATGAGGAAGAGGAGAGTGACCATGACCGTTATCGACATTACGATGTTTGAAACGGCAGTCTTACAGCCGGCGTTGTGGTTCACGGCGGACCTCGAGAAGGCTCCGGTGGTGACGTAGCAAGAAGTCGATGAGCCGACAATATTCATCGCGCCTATTGCAATCATCTCCTTGTTGCCATCGACTTGGTAGTTCTTCAGTGCAGCAAAAGTTCTTCCGACAGCAATCCCTTCCTTAATACCATCAATCGAAGAGACATGATTTAATTATTTATAATGTGATATTATTAAGAGTTTGGGAATTGTATAGAGCTTACTGTAAGAGAAATGATGCCAGTGACGAGTCCTGTTTTGATGACGAGGCCTAAGTGGCTTCCATGGAAGTGCAGCATGTTCCATGATGGAGGGTTTAGTCCTTCTTGCAACTTTCCAATCTAAATAACAAAATGGCATTTGAGTGTGATTTTAATTAATTAACCTTGGTTTAAAAATTGAAGATGGATTATTGGATGAGTTCTTACAGTGCTGATGCCAGGATGACGAGATTTTAATGCGAAAACAAGAAGGGTCGAAAGGATGACTGAGACTAAAGGGGCTCCAGCCGACACCCAGAATAGCTTTGGTTTCCTTGTGCTCTGCCGTATTGATTGATAATTGTAAATTTGTATCTAAATCTATATATATATATATATATGTTTATGTTTATGTGTGTATAGACACGTACAATATGCCTGGCCAAGAGAAGAAAGACGAGGAAGGAAAAGCCCATGAGTATTGTCTGCCATGACCACTGCAAGAATGATGAGGTTCAGCAATATTTGGTTGTATTATTACATGGAAATAGCCTTTAACTTGTATAATTAATTAATGAATTAAAACCTCGTGTGTGGTGTGGAAGACAGAAGCCAAAACAGGGACGATTCCCATTTGAGTAGTGAAGTGTTTGATGCCAAGAAGGCTCTTGAGCTGCTGAAGTGAGACAATTATGGCTGCCCCTGCCATGAACCCAATCAGGGTAGCTTTGGAAAGGAAATCGATGATAAATCCAAGCCTGCACACCAAATATATATGTATATATTGTTGGGAATTTAATTCACAACATATATATATATAATTAATATATGAATTATTCCAGAAAAAAAAAAGAAAAAAAAAAGAAGAAGATAATTAATTGAAGTAATTTGGAGGACCTGAGGAACCCTAAAGAGGCTTGAAAGAGACCAGCAAAGAAAGTGGAAGAAAAGCCCAATTGAAGAAACAAAATCGGGTCATTCACTGGTGAAACTTGCTGCCTCAACATTGATCCCATTATCAGAGAAGCTATAGAAACTGGTCCGACTGCGAGGTCCCGGGAGCTCCCCAGAACAGCGTAGATCAATGGAGGGACAAAGCTTGAATCTGAATTAATTAATTAATCTGATTATAATTAAATTAAATAATTAATGTGCATGGAATGGAATGATATATCTTTCTTTCCTATTGATTAATTTGTAATTTATATGACTTACAAAGACCAACAATTGGAGGCAAATTAGCAAGCTTGGCATAGCTAATTCCCTGAGGAATGGCGAGGCTGGCAATGGTGAGACCAGAAACAATGTCGGATTTGAGGAGCTGGAGCTTATATTTAGGGCCCCAATGGAGGATAGGGAATATGTACTGAGCTGCAAGAATGAATTTGGTTTTCCGGGACTGCCCTTTGAACTGCCGGAGAGGGTCGTCGGGGAAGAAGGTTTCTTTCAGGCGAGCTTTCAGTTTCCCGAAGGTGCTCCGGCGAGGCGGCGGCGCCACCTGGTGGACCTCCGTCTCCATGGCTATTTCCACCGCGCCGTCGCTGACGAACCTGCCGGCAGTATTGGTGTTCATTTCTTGCTGCTGATATATGGTTGGAAAATTATTTATTGTATATTTATATATAATAATGTATATACTATTCCAGGAAATGTGATATCAAAGTACTGTCCGAGATCATGTATATATACGCAGGGAATGGATACCTTGTAATAATTGATGAAAAAGATCTGATCGATCAAGGTAAAATAATGATTTCCCCTAACTGCAAATTGTATTTACCTATCAAAAAGGAGAATACTTTTAGTGACGAGAACAGGAAGATTCGAGATATGATAATATTATATATAATGCATACTGTGTCTTGATCTGAATCTTTGATTATTTATTACACGGATTAATGTTTTTTTCTGAGGTAGTGTTTGACTTGGGTCCTCATTAATGAAGAGGTGGAATCGTTGTCATCCAAGATCTAACAATGTGGAAAACGAAGTAATATTTAGTTATAAGTTTAAATAAAAGGGCGTATAAACACAATAAGATGAAAAAATAAAAGAACTAAAAGGCTGGTTTTATTGGGATGAGAAGAAAACATTGAAGATGGTGACAATACTTCAATAAATGTAAGATTCTGCTGCATGTATCCATTAATGGCTGAAACCCTTTTTAATTTTCACGACTACACGAATACCAAAATTCAAGTGGATTTGCAAACATAGGGTTTTAAATTAACAAGAAGTCAACAACCAACCTTTGTAAAGAAAAAGTAGCCAAACAAACGACATTACTTCACATGCAACACTCCAACTCTTACCACAATATAATTTGTTGGATGATTTTAATTTGTCCTAAAGTGGTGTGTAATTTAGTTTGAGTGAGGTTTGCTTTTTGCCATCATGTCAAGCTCAACCGGGCAAAGCAAAGTTAGTGCATTTCTTGGATCTGAACGTGTCTCAATTCCTTACCATATATTCTTCTGCTTCTTCTCTTTTATTGCAATTTACATATATATATATATATATAGTCCTCAACTTCAAATCAAATCATATTATTCAGACAACAACCTGCAGCCTTTATGTAATGGGAAACGTAGAGTTCGAAATCATCCATATATATATATATATATATCCATCAGTTTTGTTAATGGAGATAACAGTGCGTCGTATTCATCCCCATCCCCAACCGAAAATAAAATAAAAAAAAGAATCCAATGTGAGACAAAGCAGATTCACAAAAGGTAAAGTTGAAGCAGATGGATCACTTGGAGGTCATGATGATGATTGAAGAAGATATAATGTATTTAAAAAACCCTAAAAGAAGCTGCAATATATATATATATATATATATCGATCAAGATCATCAATGGGAATGTTTATCTTCATATATTTATTTATATATTGCCTTTATCTTTTTGGCTATTGTAATGGTTATGGTGGTTGCTCTGCGCCATGCCCATAATATAATGTAAGACTGTTGGTTTCAAGGATATCCATTCCATCCACCCATTTGTGCACCTGCATCAAAATTAATTACAATAAATAAATAAAAAGCGTGGTCGGCAGGATTCGAACCTGCGCGGGCAGAGCCCACATGATTTCTAGTCATGCCCGATAACCACTCCGGCACGACCACTTTATATTTTCTATGAGGACTTTTTTAATTTATTACGTTATCAATTCTAGACAAGATTAGAGACACGTGGCCGAAAGTAGTAATAATTCTTGTAAGAAAAAAAATATATATACAAAAAAGGAAAAAGAGGAGGCAAATTAAGGTAAAGCTGGGTTTGTGTACATTTAATGTCTGTTTGTTGGTGAGGATCAGTTACATCGGAAGGCTCAAAATTGAAAAAGGAAATTAAATGCAAGTGGATAAGTTAAAAGTAGGAGAGATATGCAATGCAAATTATGCAAAGGAAGGACACGCACATCAAACAAACATGTCCAATTCCAATTCTTCCAATTCCCAAGACAACTAATTCCTACCACACGATTGATTAATCACGATCCGATGATGATTATGATTTTGATTGTGAGCAAATTTTAGTAATTCGTAAGACGCATGCACTGAGTATTCATGGACCCCATGAAAAGATTCTGCGGAATCTTTGAGTCCATATATATGATAGAATGCAGGGGCACGGGCAGGGCCACCACCACTACCACTACTAATCACAATTGGCACCCATATCAAATTCAAATTCATATTCATAATATATATATATATATATGTATGATTTGTAAGAAAACTTGTGGGCTGTGTTCTGCGGTAAGTTTTCTACAAGACTTACTATCTATCACTTTAATAATAAAGAAAAAAAATATATTTATATTATATATTATTTTCATTCAAAATATGAAATGGAAGAACAGTAGTTTGTTTGAAAGTCAACTGGGTTGACTTTTGCTGCTGACCACTATGACTTGTTTCTTCTCTGGCATGCATGCATATTGCACAGCACCACTGATCCAATCCTTATCTTTGAAGGAAACTTGACCTAATCATGCATGTCATTCAGACAAATGACATTTATATAATGTCTACACATACATATCACAATATTTTGTGTGTCATGCGTTGACTATTAATGGAGTGCAATAACAGCATATTTTTATCATATCGACGAGTGCTAACAGTTTAACAGATTTGGATTATTAAGTGGGCATTAATTTATGGGACAAATTAAATTCTAAATTGTGTGAATTTGACCAACGCAATCACCAATATTCTTTGTCGAAATAACGGATTTAAGTCGAGCCAATCATGTGCTGACAACAAAGTACACAAATCTTACCACATTTTCAATTTAAACAAATGATATATACATAACCAATATCCATGTAATAATTAATTTAGGGTCCCCATTGAATGCACTGCCACGATCGAAACTATGCACTGCACATTCAGTGGGACGAAGCTAATTCTCTGTTACATCAATGGGATCGATGAATGTGCTCCAATAATTGTGATTATAGTTATAATTATAATTTCAATGATCAGCATGATTTTGTGCCTTTGGTTGGTTCTGATAATTTTTCTGTTGGATTAATTTTCTTTAATTTCCATCATTCTTGAATTTGTTAATTAATCCCAAGCCATGAAAAGTGCGTAAGAAACAAAAACTCGTGTAATTAAATTGTATCTTAAATTAATATTCTAAGTCGATAGTTATATATGTCAAATTTGCACATGGGAATCATGACACAATGACAACTCTGCCTTTGCTTTAGAGATGGACACGTTTGTCTCAAAACTTCTGGCTGTGGTGTACGCATTCAGCTTTTTTAGCTATATCAAATCACTTCAATACTGTTTTCATTTTATTTTAAATATAGGCCTTTGAATATTGTAAACTTTTATTTATTTATTATTGTTTTAATCTTTTGTGCCTTTACTTATTTATTTTGTGTTTTAAATTGGACATTTATGAAATGGGCCTACTGACTCACATGATGGGCCTTACTCATTTTGTGTCAGTACTGGCCTGATCCACTAAGAGCTGGATATATATATATATATATTTTTTCTTTATTAAGAGAAAAAGACTCCATTTTACGAAATTGACCCCTTCCAAGAACGAACGCCAACCCCAAAACCCTTGAGAAACCCTACACCTTTTTCAGCAAGAAATTCTAGAAACTTCGACGATGTCCCAGAACGATCCGTCGCCATTTATAAACCTTCCCCTGTTAGTATCCAAGGTGTATTGCTGCTGATTGATTTGAAGAAATGGCGAAGCGTTTGATCCCACTTTTGAACAGAGTGCTTGTGGAGAAAATCGTACCACCTTCCAAAACCACCGGCGGTATTCTCCTGCCGGAAAAATCATCCAAGGTTTGGTTTTCTTGTGTTTTCTGTTTTCTTAGATTCGATATAGGTATTTCTTTTTAATGTAAAGACCGTGCAGTTGAACTCTGGGAAAGTTGTTGCTGTTGGACCGGGACTGAGGGACAAAGATGGGAATAATGTCCCAGTGGCCGTTAAAGAGGGCGATACTGTTCTTTTGCCTGAATTTGGAGGGACGCAAGTTAAATTAAATGAGAAAGAGTGAGTTGCATCATCAGCATTTCGTTATTTATTTATTTACACATATGTATATCCCCAGAGATTTCGTTTGCAAATTTGGAATGATTGATAATTTGATATTGGGTTCAAAGCAGGTACTATTTGTATCGCGACGACGATATCTTGGGGACCCTACACGATTAGCTCTGATTGTAGGACTGGAACTGTTGTTGAGGATAAGATTTGAGTGTTCAGTTCCTGCTTTTGGATCGGAGGTTAAAATTACTGTTTTGCTAGGGATGAAGGATGCTGCCTCATGGTGTTACTTTGCAACCTTGCCAATGAATTAGAATCCATCATTTCTATGTCTTTTTCTGCCCTCATGTTTTGTTCTGCATAGAAATGTTGCCATTCTTGTGTGTGTGATGTAATAATACTCGCGGAAATACACAATTTTTTATGTATGTTATGAGATGAGAGGTGGTAATCGACAGAATTTGTGTGCGCCTTGTATTGTTGTAGTTTTAGACCGATTTGAGGGGATCAAAAGCTATTATTTGAAAGGATTGATAGAACTAATCATATATGAAGTTATGTGTTGTGGAAGTCCACCAATAACAATGTGTTTGAGGATGGAAAATGCACTGAAAATGACTCGTTGATGTTTGGGTCCTATATGATCTGCAACCCCCTGCAGAAACTTGCAAACTACGCCACATTCGAGTTTCACTTGATGAGTGTTTCTGGTGATTGAGTACTTTAACAAGTGAATTTAGTGTTCATGCATTAGAGATCATAAGATATTTGTTTGTAGGATTTGGTTATCTACTTCATGTCTTTGAAGTTTTGGAAACTTGAATGATTTGATGATTGTGCTGGACCTGGTTTGTGGCATCTTGTAGTTAAGATAGGATTGTGTATGTAGTCATGTAGATAAGCATGGAGGTTGGCCCCAACACACCAAGTTTAATTCTGTTTAATGATTTGTAGATTTGAGTTCCTGCCATGGGAAAGACCCCATAAGTTAAGTGTGTTAACTCAAATTCAAACATTTCTTTTAGTACATAAGGTGGACTTGAATTCATGCTCCCCCAACAAATAGGATATCATATTCCCTCCTTGATGATGGGAAGTGTAAGCAATCCTTTGAATCTTGTCTGCAGGTAAAGAGTATGGTAATGTTATGCTTTCTTTTCATCGTTCATCCTGAGGGAACATGGTGATATCAGGAGGCTTCTGTCTTTAATAATTCACATCTAAGACAAATCTGCAATGGCAAACTGTTTATAGTGGGTGCAATTCGTGTAGAACACTACTTATTGTAAGCATATTTTATGATTTTGGCAAGATTAACAACATTTTCTGCTTAGCTTGATTGCCATGTGGGGAGTGTGAACATTGAACACCCAGGTCAAATGTTTGAAATTTATTCGGTTCTATAGAGAATTCATTTTAGTTTAAATAATGGGTTCTTTCATCTGTGGTAACTTGCACTTTGTTTAAAATCTCTTTGTTGTCAGTCATTTCACTTAAGGGATTTGCTTGGATGCCTTACATGTAAAACTTCTTTTTACCATTGGAGAAAAAATATGAACTTTGGTGATAATCTTGTAGTTGTGATGTGATATAGGCCATACCAATGGGAATACACAATAAAACTATCATGGGGTGTATGTGCATGTCAATTATTTACCTCTTATGAAGGATGACATGTGAAGGACTTTGTTGCTTATCTATAACTTTTAATCCCTGTTTGAAATGTAATTAAATTAATCACAATAGTGAGGGGACCGATCTAGTGTTTGGACCCTTTATGTGAAGTTTGATATATGTTTTATGGTTTTAAAGTGAGTTCCTGTCATGAAAAGTACTCAGCAAGTTAAAGGTTTCTTTATTAACTGAGATTATTAATGATTCTGTTAGCACATCTGATCTGGTACGTAGAGGTGTTGAATTCATACAAATATAGGAGAACATATCAGTGCATCAGGTAGCTTCAATTCATCTCTCCCAGAAAATAGCTTATGATGTTCCCTCCTGGAGAATGCCCTTCGGATCCATAGAAGAGGATGAGTAGTTTCATAAAACATTACACTTGGAATCTAGTAGATGAGTGAATCTTGGAATCCTCATTCTAATTTCTGAAAGTTATATCATTTCATCTCCCAACATAAATTCATGTTTATAATCTGAATTTCACTTGATCCCAATTACCATTGGAGGAAATAAGGATGACTTGTAAATGTTATGATCTAGTGTGATTATTGAGACGTATAGAAGAAAGTATCTATATATTGTGACAAAATATGTATGTATGTATGTATGTTTGTTTTGCCTCTTACAAGGAAAGAATGAGGGCAGAGTAGTTAAGAAGACGACAAAGAAGCTACTATTAATTAGCAGTTGTTGATCGCTATAGCCACTTTATAATTATGGTGTGTAATACAGTGTGCTACGTGTCTCAATTGTGAAGAAGAAGGAAGCAAATAAATTAAATTAAATTAAAGTGGTGGATGGGTGTGCGAATGGTCCTCCTCCAGTACTCACCAGTTGTGGTTACAAGGCAAGGACCATATCGGACCTCGATATATATATATATATATGTATGTATATATGTATCTAGTAACCTCTTCGCAGCATGTAATATCTATCTACAGGGCTAAGACCTGACTTATTATTATTGCCTCTAAGCACGCATGCATGCATGTCTTCCTTGGATTTTCTGTAGATTTCTGTCTGGCTTCTCTCTCTTGGAAGATAATCAGTGGTGTATGACTTCGGACTCAGTAGTGTTAATTAATTAGTAATGTGAGAAGAACCTGATCTGTCGGAGCAGAAGCGAACATGTTATTTACAAATCTCTCTCTAGATCTCTCTCTCTCTCTCTCTCTCTCTCTCAAATTCAATTGCAGAAGCAGAACTATTATAATGGCAGGCATTCGAAGTTAATGCATTAACAAGGAAATCAAGTTACCCTCCGTGCATGGGGCCACAATATAAATATATATCTTTATATATATATATATAGTACGATTCTATTTCCACTATCATAATCAATCAATCAATCATCTCAACGTCATTAATTAATCCATACAAAAGACCATCCCATCTCTCACAATCCCAATCACAATTACATCCCATCATTACCTTTTATAGGAAGGAACTCAAAAAACTGATTGGGTGAAAAATCAGCACAAACACGATCATCATCGTCATCGTCATTATCATCATCAACCTCCTCAATCTGCTTCTCCTTCTTGTCCTGAGCAGAGGTGTTCACGTTCATCAAACCATGGGCCTTAACTGGGAACAGCTGAAGAGTAGTATGATCATCATCGTCACCACCTCCAAAATCATCATTAATGGTGGGCAGCAAACTGCCTAGGTCGAATGCACACCCAGAACCAAAACAAGGCTGGTTTGAATTTCCTTGTCGTAATGAGGAGTTGTTGGGGGACAAACAAGACGACAAGTCCAATTGCCAGCAGCAGCTGCTGCTTTCAGTACTCTTTGCTGCTGCTGCTGAAATCTGCTGCTGCTGCAATACCTCATTGTCCAATTCTTTCACAACTGTTGCTGCGGCTGCCCCGATATTTATCGATGCAGAATACTGGATTTTTTTTTTTAATAAAATCATAGAAAAAAAAAAAAAAAAAGGAAAGGTGGGGTGAGTTGTTTTTAATTCTGCACTTGGCCCAAGAAATTCTAACCTTTTCATAACAACAGCCCCAACAGAAAGTATAGAGTGCAGCTTTTTAGACTCATTCTTTTTCCATTGTATAAAGGCCTTTCCTACCCTTTGCATTCAATTTTTTGACCTCCATGCTATATAATTAGCCCATAATTTTGCCTCTGCCAGTGTCTTGTATGTTATCAAGACAGATATCATCGTGTTGGGTTTTGTGCACTCAATTTCATTAACAAACAAATCCTGCTGGAAATCTAACAACACACATACATACAAACATACAATATGTCTGAATATATATATACCTGTGTAGTAGCTGTGTTGCTGTTTGAGTGTGTAGCCATCTTCCTAGGATGATGGTGTTCAATTTCCAAATCCCTTCTGCGTAATCCTGCAAATTAGAATAAATAAATAAATATATGTATCTTTTTATTTTTATTTCTTTTCCCCCACAATCAAGAATGGTGTTTTTAATGAAAAAGACACTCTACTCAGACAGCAGCTAGCAATTAACCAAAAGGATTTTAAATGTCTTTCATGTCGTTTCTTCTCAATGTAAGTATGCTCAAATCTTTAAAAGATATGTTGGCTATTGGTAATATAGAATTTTTCTAGAACAAGGCGAATCTACGCCAGATTCTATATCAAAGTGTTGATTTTCTGGGACCTCGAGTCCATGGACCCGCCAAGAATTATGCCCTACTTCTGCTTCGATTGCCTAGCTTATTGAGGTCAAAGATGCCATTAATGATAACCACCCTTTGCAAGATCTAGCTAGAGAACCATGAATTAAATTAAACCCTTTGATTCTTGCAGAGAAACCCTAATCCAAATGCAGAGAACAGAAGAAGATAAACTCTGACAAGTATCTATGAGACTATGAAACCGGAAACTAAAATGAAATAAGATTTAAGATTGATTGATGATTACCTGACAACTGTGTTCGATCTGTTGGAGTAGAGTCGACATGGCGAAACTTTTTTCCAGCCAACAGCTCCATTTCATGGCGACGTTTTCTCTGCCTTTCCCTTGCCTTGTGGTTCTGAAACCAGTAGAACACATTCTTGCCTTCAATTTTACCAAACCTCCGAAGCTTGGCAGCGATTTGCTGGATTTGTTCGGCCGACGGCGTCCTGATTCCCCGGCGGTACATATCTTCCAAGGCCTGCAGCTGCTCCGGAGTCGGGTTCCATCTCGAGCTCACTAATGGCGCTGCGCTGCTGCTGCTGCTGCTCATGTCTCTTTTTATTCCATAATCGCTCAGGCAATTATTACCTGCAGAATACAGATTGTGATAACGGGAAAGGATTTGGTGGGGATTAATGGTGTAATGAAATGTAAAAATGCTTACTTGGAGGAGTCAAGTGATTCCATGAAGGGAAATTAGGGTTTTGCAGACACCAAAAATGAGGAATGGGTACTGTTTCAGAAATGGAGGTGCAGTGATGGATTGGCCTTGGCATTAGTGGTCGGAGCTTGGTGCGATCATATATCTTTAGTTCTTGGGACTGTTCTTGGCACTCCATTATCCACATTGCTGTGCTTTTCTGGGCCAAGTTAGAGGAGAGGAAGAAAGTAGCGATGACAGAAAATAACTAAAATCAATACAAACACACAGACACACACTCTATATATATATACATACATACATATAAAGTTGAGGAAATTGAATTGAATTGAGTTAGATGAAAGGGGAATTCTCCATGCCCGAGACACGTATGATAATTTGACCGAAAGGGGGATTTCTGAATTCCGTGAGACAGAGACACAACATGGAAACAAAAGGAGAGAATGCACAGATTGAGAGAAAGAAAAGGGCTGTGGTTTTTCCCGGTTTCACAAGAAGGAACAAGCACGACAACACATGATCATCATCATCATCATATATGTGCAGACACACACACACATATATATATATATCATATATGCAGGCAAGGCATGTATGTATGTACGTACAATTGTATCTATTGTCTTTTTGACTCGATTATATATTGCATTTAAAATGGTGGAAAAGGACAAGAAAATAAAAAAAAGGAGAGACGCTGGGGGCATGGAATTCTGAGGGAGGAAAGCTTATGAGAAACGATTTTATTAATAATATTAATATATATGCATGAGCGGGGGCGAGGGCAAAAGCGACGTGACAATGATGAGATTGTCATTGGGACTTCAATGTCTTATTAGAGAGAGAGAGAGAGAGAGAGAGAGAGAGAGATTGATGACGATGATGCATCAGTGACATTACCTCTTTCGACTAACATAATTAATTTCATATTACTGCAGTTAATATATTAGCAGCAGTCCACAGTGTTCGTCCTCTTCCCTCCCTCCCTCCCTCCCTCCCTATCTCGTCTTATCACTCTCCTACATTTGCACTGTCCCGTGCCTTTCACATTCCTTCCATATTCCAATCTGCCTCTCTCTCTCTCTCTCTCTCTGGATGGTATCAAGACTTCGATTTGATGGGACAGTTGCCTTTCAAGGGGTTGTTTATATACTCCATAATCAACTATATATATATATATATATATACATAGTTTTACATCAGATTGAGGGCAACATTCTACATACAGATTCCTCCCTAAGTCAAGTTTTAATTAATTTGGATGGATATATATATGTTGTCTTAATAATGTTTATGAGAGCAACAGCTGTGAGTGATCTTTGTCCTAACTCTCAGACTAAACCCCAACACCTCACAATAAAGCTTTTTAATTTGTCTTCCCAACGAAAGCCCTTCATTTAATTTGATTTGAAACGTCACAATGCCCTTACCCTTTGTTTTCTTGACAACACAAATGTAGAATGTAGTAGTAGTAGTAGTCTATGCTACTGCTGCATCAACCAACAGCCAGGCTTTCTTACATTGTGGCAGAACCATGACAACCCCCACTTTTTTGTATGTATATGCATATATATATATATATATGCTTGTCTCGATCTTTTAATTTTACTGCTGCTGACGTTTCTAACGAGCAACCATATGGATTATACTTGCATAGCAACATAATTTATTGTCCCTTTGAATAAATTGTACACAGTACGCCTGAGTGAAATAAATAACCATCTGTTCATGTTACTTAACTCTTGCATCAAAACCATTCAGCTAAATAAAAGACAAGAACTGTTTGTTACATTATCAAGAAACACAACAATGACAATTTTCCATACAAACATTAAGGGCTAGTGAATCTGTAACAAATGGTACACAATATGAAGAAGAAATGGTTCTAACAACAATATACTCCAGCTCTCGTCGAGGTTCTGATCGCGCAAGAAAGAGCTTCCTAACCTTATTGATTTCGACCAATGGCAACATAGATTGACATGGATTACTTGTTCAAGGAGATTAAAATGGGATATATGCTTCTGACTGATTGACCCCAATTCTGTCTTATGTTGATTCATGGACATGTTTTTTCGGCAAATTGATGATAAACCGGAACAAACTTTGCTACTCCAATAGTTTGTTGCAAGTGCCAACTCCGACTGCAGCAGCTAGATGCCAACCTGCGTGTAGAAATGGGGTTTCAGGGAAAACATCATCTGCAATGAAAAGTGCACCGCCTACTAAAGATGACATCTGGTGAACACTATGAGCCATCCTCAGATTTGGTTCTTCAAGAGCTCTCTTTGCAAATTCTACCTGAATGAATTGCTCAAGATCATTTTTCTCAGATGAATTGTTATTCAAATTAAAAACAAATAAACTGCATTCAAATAGTAGTAAGATACAAACTTCTGAAATTAACTACTATAATTCAACTTAATCTACTAAATCCCCAACTTCATAACACAATCAAACAGAGCAACCATGAGTCTTGCCAGCAATCCCTTTGTAATAACTAATAACTGAATATGGTTGAATTCGTTTAATTCTGTCAGCAGTCAAAGAAACAGTAAAAAACATTTCCAACTCCTTTAAAAGGAGAAGAACGGAGACTATTGTGGAGAAGATCCATCAAAAACTAGTTGAAACAAATCTAACATTAAAAAGGTGTGTTTGTTTTGTTCTTTTTACAGACAGTTCAAAGAAAACCTAGTTTCTACAGTGAAGTATCCAGGGCTGTCTAATTCGGGTGTTGGCTGTTGTATACTTGTATTACAAAGGGCAGACTAGAAAACAGAAGAAAATAAAGAAATATATGTCACAACTGTATGTTCTCTACTTATGGTGCAAGCAAGTGCGATCAACTTTTACTGGAAGCAATTAATAATGAAAGAAATATGTTGTTCTAAATAAGGATTAAAACACAACACAATGCCATGAAAAAATGACAAAAAGAATACATCAAAATTATTATTCAATAAATTTGTATACATAAGGATGCACTACCTCCATCAACCCTGTATGAACTGCAGACACCATAAGTGGCTGTACTGGTAACATTAGGGCAGATGCAGTCATAAGCATCTTGGAGTTGTCATTCCGAAGAGCTCTGGACAGGCACTGTATAGAGGAAAGCATGGTTTAAGCCAAGAATGTTAAAACCAAAGTATAGGAATGCTAATGGATAGTTCAGAAAAATAAAGATGAATACCAATACCAATCATGTTTTTGCTTATAATGTATTTCCAAGTTCTGCTGTAATTAAAATCTCAGGATTCTGAGACTAGCTCCACATGTCATTGCAGATTTCTACAGACAGTGAAGCCCCTGACATGTAGAACTTAAATATTTTACTCACCACAGTTGCCATGGCAATCATTGTATAATCAGCCCATCTAAAATACTTCCTCAACTTCCCTCTTGAAACATGATACAAACTAGAGGCAATTCCTACTCCAATCAACGAATTTGCGTAGATTTTACAATTAAGATTTCTCCTGCATCAGTTAAATAATAAGGAATAAAGTGAAATTCTGAAGTTCACTTGTACAGGGCAATGTTGATGGATAATCATTAGTACCTTGGGGCCTGGATTCCAAGAGAAATAAAAGGAAGTGAAGTAAGCACATTAGCAACTCGTTCAACAAGGGTTTTATCACCTGGAAGCCAGTTCAACATCATCAATAATCTTAAGACCAAATTGGGGGGAAACAACAAAGAAGATGAAAAAATATAGCACACATAAATACCATTAACACAACAGTGGATGGGCTTTAGACAGGGAGGCATCTGTTGCCAAACTTTCCTGATAAAGAATATATATATCCTCATTAGACACGTTTGAAATAAAGAACAAACAAATTTGAGATAGGGGAAAAAGATCAACATCAAAAATAATAAATTGAGAATCAGACTCACTGGGGGATCAACCATTGCTTGCTCCCAACGGAAGAAGTTCCACCAGCTGAATGGTTGGGATCCTCATGTTGCTTTATGGTTCGGATTTCAAAGGGAGAATGTGGCAGCAAATGAACTCCATACATTCCACTCAAGGAGTTACTGGGCTTAAGTGCACCTTCCGGAGTCATTTGCTATTTGGCAATCAGTCACCCAAATTGGACTGATTGCCAGAAACAGTCACTGCAAGGCTACAATGCACAACAAATATCTAAGGTATCAAAAACTTGTGCCTCAGCACAAGCTGAAATAACATGAGGAAAGGACATGGTGCACTCAATGTAAATCACAAATGTTTAAACCATTGTAATAAAACATCTAGTTCAATATTCAGCTATATTTACAGCAATAACAAGCTGGCCGGGCCTATTGCTACAAAAAATCAAAATTACAGGGCAGTTCTTAATTAAAATATTTCAATTCCTCTAAACAAGACTTAGGCCTCTCTAAATGTTTGAGTTCAATTCTTGATATATAAATAACACAGTCATCCATTTCATAGATATCCCGAATAAATATTTATACAATAACCTACCCCGATAAAAAAGAACCTGTTTTTCGCACCTGATTTTTCAGTTTTCCTAATCTACAATCTGGAGTTAAGTTTAACCAATTTACTGGTTTCAATCAATCTTATCCAAGATACTATTAAACCAAAACTAATCAAAACAAACTAATTAACAAATTTCCATTTCCAGATTCGTTAAGACGCATTCCAATTTCACAACCAAGAAGACGATTCGCCATATATAACGTTCAATCAACCACTCAATAAACGGACTGGATATGATCACATGCCATCACAAGCAAGCAATGGGCATGGGCATTTCGAAGAAAAAATTGGAGAAAGAAATCAACTCACCGCCGCAGCTCCAGCCGAAGCGAAGAAATCACCACCAATACGAATGGAGAAGACCCCGTTTGTCGAAGAGTCCATATATAGGAGCGAAAATCATTCGGACTGAAATTTGTGGAAGATCCGAATACCAAGTGCGAATCTACACGGAAATTCGGCAAGCTCACGGCATATTCTCACCCATTTCGCCTCCTGTCCTTGTCATTCTAAATCGTTACCGAAAAAAAAAAAAAAAAAATGAGGTATTGGGCTTATTGGGCCGATCTGAAAAGCCCAACTTTAGAAAGTAAATAGTAGCCCATCATCAGTTATTACTTAAAACACTTTATTATTTCTAATCATAATTATATAATAAAAACATGTAAAACCACGTGGTAATCTTTGACCCAAATTCCCTTGGTCATTTATTATCTCTGTTAGCTATAGCTGTCATTCCCACAAGCTGTTGGTTGATAATAAACATAATACAAGTGGGTTTTCACTCTAAAAATTCAATGGACCTACTGCTAAAAGTAACTAGAAACTGAGATGACCCAGGGCAGGGATGGGGTGGGGTGGGGTGGGGAAATCACAGTACAAAAAGTCAAAGTCAAAGGCTTTGCTAGTTGCTACAGGTTAGATGTTTCTGCTCTACTTCTCTGACCACTCTCCCTTAAAACTAGAAAACAAATCCAAACTTTACTGAAATCAAACTCTGCAGGTATCTAGCCGGCTGTGGCGGGGCTAATCAATATTTAAGAAGAGAAAATTGAAAATTAATAGAATTTTAATATTAATTAATCATTTATTACAGCAGATGAGAAACCCTAATTTGTGTGTTGATGAATAGAGAGTGCAAGAAAAGGTTTTGAGGGCTCACATTTCAGAATTAGGGCCGGGCCATCCATTTTAATGTAAATTGAAAATGATGACTTGCTGCTGGTGTGATGTGTTGTGTTGTGTGTGTAAATTCCGCAGACAGCGGATATTAATAAAATGCTGGCACGACAGTGTTCTTTCTCTCTTTCTTTCTTTCAATCCAATTACCCAAGAGAGAGAGAGAGATCTTTTGTGTATGTTTCTTCCTCCAGACGCAAAACTACACCGTTTTGTTTGTATGCTGCAAATAGACGACCCACCGCAGTTGGTGAAGACCAGTTCTTGTTTGGTTTGCAAGTTAAATAATAAAACAAATCCTTTTTTAAAAAAAGGTACAAACTTCGAAGATTCAGATGGGAAAATTGTATAATATATATATATAAGATTAACATATACGTATAAGAAGGTTCCAGGAATCAAGGGTCAATTTCATGTGACGAGACCCTTGGGATAAGGGGAGATCTTTCACTTCCCCCCTCCTTCTCTCTCTCTATCTCTCTCTCTATATCTCTCTCTCTCTCTAAATCAGTTTCCTCTCTCTCTTATGCGGGGTAGAGAATTTTCCCTAGTGATAGATACTTAGATAATATGGGGTACTACTGTAGTCAGCGTCACTCATGAAGTGGATTGTGAAGTGAAGTGAAGTGAAGTGAAGGGTCCTCCTCATATTCCTCATTGATCATCGATCTCTCCAGCCAACACAATTTTCATGCAGTTTAGTTCATATTTATTTAGAAATTATTTAGCTCGGATCGTGTAGTGTCGTGTGAAAGCTTGGAGCTTTGGTTCTTCAGCAATTAATTAATATATTTAGTGTAGAGCGAGAAAAATGAGAAGGAAGAGAGGCAGGAGGGATGATAGAAGTTCCAGAAGAAGTGGTGTTTTCTGTGTCGGAATATTCTTGTTCCTCTTCATTCTCTCAGACCTGTCTTCGGCGGAGGAGACGACGACGGCCGGTAGTACTAAGCGGTGGTGGTCTCCGGCGAGAAAAGCAAGATTTTTCAGCTCTGCAACGACGTCATATCATGTTGCAGCAGTAGCAGTGTCGAGTTCGAGTTGTAGTCCTCCTCCTTCTTCATCGTCGAGCATTTTTGAAGAGGATAAGAGATTAGTGCACACAGGACCCAACCCTCTCCACAACTAAATCACAAAACAGAAAGGAAAGCTTTGCTACGATCAATTCTAATCAATAATGGCTGCTTACTGTGTATGTGTGTGTGTGTCTTAATTAATTGTTAGGTGGTTTCAGATCGAATTGGGAGTGTAAGTTCCTTTTGCTATCGCCTATCTGCCCCTCGATCCCTTCTGAATTAGAATTAATGGTAGCAAAGGCTTTTGCTTTTTTAGCATTTTCAGTCTATTGGTTTTAATGAGCAGTTATGGAGGAGGAAGACGATGAAGACGACGAAGCAGATAAGGAGCTGTAGCCTCTGAATCTCTTTTTTCCTGCTACTGCCACTGCACTACTCTTCCCTTTTCTTGATTTTTGTTTTTTTTTTTTTTTTAATTTTTTTTTTTTTAGTTTTCATCTGTACCTTCTGTTGAGCATTATTGTTCCTTTGTATTAATTGCTGTAGTTACTGCTGTTCATCTACTCAATCTTCTATTTTATTTTATTTTTTCTTATAGTTAAATTTATTTTTCTTGTAACCCTTGGGCAGCTCATCCAATAAACTGACACTGTGAACACTGTAAAATCATTGAGAAAGAAGCTTCTAATTTCTGACAAAAATATACAAAATGATAAAAACACAAACTTTAGGGGACAAATTTGTTAGTCCATTATTTACATTATTTGGCTGCTGCTAAAGTTCTCTTCTGTTCTGAATGTCTATATGTGATCTAAAGGCTACACTGTCAAGTTTGTTCATGAGGTTTCAGTCCTACTCAAAAGTGCCAAGTCAAATAAAATTCATTTATCTATTTTTACATATGTCTGCATTGAGATTAGGGTTTTTACTTTTTGACTTTTAGGTGGGGAGATATTTTTATGATATACTATTATTATATTTAATCCTAATAGATTCCACCAGCAGTCATAAATTTGGCCTGCAAGAATGAATTAATTTTTTTTTTGGACATACAATTCCACGAGGTGCAAATTGGCCAAGGCAGCCCATTTAAGTGTCTTCGAAAAGTAATTAATAGTGCATGTATAGAAAGAGCAATTAATTTCTGAAAATTCGTATATTTTGGGGAAGGTGTCTTTTGATAGTACTGCTGTCTAGATAAGCACACCATCATGTGGTCATTAATTTTGAAATAATTTAAATTGATTAATTAATTTAATTTAGTTTAGTTTTAGAATTTAACTACAAATATATATATATGTCTGTGTTTTGCTATTTTCTACAGCCGTCCGATCAAGCCATCCAGGGCAACGAAGCATGACACGTGGAGGAAAGAAGCATGCAATGATGCTTATGGAATGAGTTGGGAATATGCTTATTAAATTAATTTTCAATTATATTTAACATTGATAATTAATGAATGCTAATTTTGAGGAGAGCTGTCTGTTGTCTCGATGGAATGACACTTAAACAGAGTGGTAGTTATTAAATTTTAAACTGTAATAAGACACATTAATTGTACATTTGAAATGTTTCAAGACATCATATCATATGGTCTTTTATTGGATTCTGAGATTGACCTAACCATCGTAGAACCTATTCTAATAGTATGTTTTTTTATATATATTAATTAATTTATGTAATGCTTAAGACAAAATAAAATAAATTGAAGGAAATATAAATACTATATAATTAGTTCGAACATCTAATTCAGAATTAAATGAATTTAATGTATAAATGTGAGTGTCTGTTGTATATTTTTACTGTAATGTATTCCGTGCATTATGCTAAATTACATCAAATTTAAAAATTGAGTTTATATATTTCACAAGTTTTGAAGTTGCCTTGGAAAAGCATATATATAAAAAGACATGCATGATATATATATATATGTAAACTTTTTCCATGTTTTGCTGTTTCGATGCTGCTGAACAATATAAAAAAATATACAATCTCGATGTTCTCAAGGTGATTAATTGCACCTTAAATAAATAAATAAAATAAAGTATCCGTGGAAACTTCCTTTGGAATTGAAACTTTCAACTAATCCACAAAAGGCCACAAAGATTCTTGCAAACCATGCATATAAATGTTATATATATAAGGTACGTACGTAAGTGAGTAGCTAGGAGCAAGGGTAGAATTGGACCCATAATATATATATACATAATATAATTGATTGATGGATTCATTCATGTAGATAGCCAGCCAGCCAGGCTGCTGCTGGTTGGTACAATCTATTATAACACTTAATTAATAAATCAACCACCTATATTTATGTTATAATGAATGCCAATTAATTAATTTTGAATTCCAGGTCACATTCTGGACCCTAGCAAATATTCACGCAAACATTATTTGCACTTTGCAATCTATTTTATTTTATTTTATTACATACATTTGTTAATTTGTTCATCACAATATATATATATATATATACTTAGTTTCACACTACGGGCATTGGGTTGTTGGTGTGCATAATAGCTAGCTGCATTTAATTAATTTTGAAGATATATGGTGGTTTACTAGTATATGTATATCATGCATGCATGCATTCATGTCATATCGGTCCTAAATTGGAATGTTCAAATAATTCGATCCCCAATTAATTATGGTAAATTTTGTAATTTTGGATGAGTTAGGTGGTGGACCATCCTCGTAGCTACATATATATATATATATATATAGCCACTTAACGTGCACCAATATCAGAATTAAATTTCATGAAAACTCTGTATCTCTGTCTCTCTCTGTGTATTTCATCTGGACCACTTTCGATCACCATTTGTTGCCAAAACTAGAGGGTAAAATAAATACACAGTATAAAGGAAAACCCCAAAATCCACTCAGAATAATTAATGCATGCATGGGAGAATGACAATATATATATATATGTGTGTATGTAAATGAAATTAACAATGGGCCTAAATTGGGAGAGAGGAAGAAAAACAAAGTTAAGGTTACTACAAGGTTAGAGAAGAGCCCATTTTAGATCTGGGCCATGAATTTTTCTTTTTTATCTTTTTTATTTCTCAATGACAATTGATTCCTATTCTTTGGGGATAAGTAGGAAATTTTTTCCACGCCTGAAGAACATAGAATCTGAATATACTGAGAAACGATGACCCATTTGTATGATCAATCAATGTAAGAATCAATCCCCCATCAATTAAATGATGTCTTTATTCAAATATAAAAGGCGAACGCAAACGATCAAGAACAACATATATAGGAAAAACTAAATACTAATTGCAAAATGGCTCAAGTTCATAAGCTTGAGGTGGAAGCTGAGATCAAATCATGTCCAGACAAACTATTCGACGTCTACAAGAACAAAGCCTATCTCATGCCCCAAATTTGTCCCGACAAAATTCACAGCATTCAGGTGCTCGAAAGCGACGGCAAAAGCGTCGGCTCCGTTAGGCTCTGGACTTATGTGATGGGTAAGTAATTAATTAATGAAATTAGGGTTTCATAATTTTAATTTTATTACATAGATTCAATCTGTAATGAGAAATTAATGTGCAGGCGTCTCAGTGATTGCTAAGGACAGAATTGGTGCTGTGGACGAAGAGAGGAGGTCAATTACATTTGAGGTAGTGGGCGGAGATGTCACAAACTACTTTAATAATTTCAAGGCAACGTTAGAGGTTCTGATAAGTGATGATCAGAATAACAATAATCATAATTATAAAGTGAAGTGGAGACTTGAATATGAAAAGGCAAGTGAAGATGTGGCTGATCCACACTCTCATCTTCATTTTCTTCTCAATATTTCTGCACAGATTGATGATTATCTTTTCAAAAATCACACAGACTGATACACAGATGAATCTCTCTGTGGAGGGTTTTAATTTGATTTTCTGAATAATTAAATTGTTGCCTGATTGTCTTAATTGATTGCATGTTTTTAGCAAGTGTGTTATGTATTTGAATTCTGGGATATATGAGAATTCGTCTAATTAATTTGGGAATATATATATATATATGTATGTTAATGTCCATGCCTCTTAATATATAATTTGTGTCCAAACACATTTAATTTTCTTTTTTTGGTTCCAACGTCATCCAAACAAAAAAATATCCAGAATTTTTAAATTATTGCATTAACTTTCAGACAACTTTGGCCACCCATTTGGACTGTGATTGCGTGGCTAAATTATGTTCACCAATCAGCAGTACTGACAAGAACGCAAATAATGAATAAAGTTTTAAAATATTGTTAAAAACATTTCATATCTTTAATGTATCACATATCAATAATATTTTATCCTTTTATATATATAAATTGTCTCTATTTTAATTTTAGGATCTTTTCAATATGTTCCACGTCAATCAAAACTGTAGTCATGAAGCCTACTCTAATTAATTAAATCAAGCTTATAATATGATGAAATAAAATTATCTTCCCACTGAAATAAAATTAATTTTCTCCAACATTACATTCAAGCTTTGGTCATTCTTACAGCGATGGAGTGGTGGCGAAGGTGTTACGTTGTTATAGCTATCGTTATCGTTGTCGCGGTGGTGGTCTCCATCTTCATTAATTTTTAAAAGTGGTCCAAATGTTTTCATTTATTCATTAGGTACATGAATGCATGCGAAGCTAGGGTTCGTATAATTAATTGATGATTGTGAAATAAAATTGTTATCTTCATAAGAATATTAGTAATTCAAAATTGTAATAATTTTAATTTTATTCTTTTCCCATTTCAGGATATATTAAGGTTGATCTCATTATATAATTGTCTTTCTTTCAAATCAACGTTGCAACCCAATTCAAGTCATATGTTCATATTAAACATATTTATCATTAGTCACATTTTGAATTAGGTTTAGGTCTCACTTTTTTATCCAATCACTTCTTTTATTAATTTTTAATAATATATATAAATCATTATTTTACCTATCACATTTTTAGTATTATTAAAAAAAAAAAAAACTAAATTGCACATAACCTAGTTATGATTTCATTAAATTTGGCAAATCTTCTGTACTTCTAAAACTACATTAAATTCCCTCGTGATTTCATAAATTTGCGCCTAATTCTTCGACTGTCCTTATTTTGACTTAAATGAGCTAAAACTGCTAGACGAATTATATACCTCTTCTTCCAATGGCTATGAATTATTGCAGTGAGACGAGGATGACGATGACGACACTGATCATGTGATCCACGAACGTCGACTGCGACACTGATGCCCAACAATTCAATAATAATATTGCTGTTAGGTTGCATCATTTTTTTTTTCTTCTATAATTCATTAAAGCTAATTAATAATTGGAACCCACCCGACCCACAACTCATGACTTTAGTTTGTGTTGCAATTCTTCAAAATTAATATTATAAAAAAAAAAGACGTTAGAACATGCATAGCTGTCATCTAATAACTAACTTAAGTAAGGAGAATATAGCTACAACAAAAATCAAAGTACGTACGTACACAATAATATTAAATTATACATATAATATTGTAAAAGAAGTGAATTTCTTCCACCTCAGCTCCTTCTATATATATGAATCAACCACAAGTCCCAGGCTGATCAATATATATCTCAGTCTGATCGAGCTCAAGAGAGAGATGGGTCTGAAAGGGAAGCTGATTGCAGAAAAAGAGATCAAATGCCATGGCGATGTCTTCCACGAGCTCTTCAGACACAAACCACACGATATTTCCAATATTACCCCTCATCATTACCACGGCTGCGACGTCCATCACGACCACGCTGGAGTCGTCGGAAGTACCCGTACCAGGGAATATACTCACGGTATACATACAGATATATATATATATATATATCGAATTCAGTTTTAATTATTAATGGAGTAATTAAATTTGTACTGTGCAGATGGGAAGAAGAAGAGCATGAAAATTGTGCTTGAAGAGATAGATGAGGAGAAGAAGCTGCTGAAGTTCAAGGCTGTGGAGGGAGACATTCTGGAGCTGTACAAGGAATACAGTGTCAGCATTCATGTCGACACTGAGGGGGATGTTCATGTCGTTATTTGGACAATAGACTACGTCAAGGCTGCCGAAGATGTCGTCGATCCCGTTTCTTATCTGCAGCTCGCCATCAATATTATCCAGGGAATTGAAGATCACCATGCCAACGCCGAGTAATATATATACTATATATATATATATACACACGTGCGTGCGTATATACATGCACGTGTGCCTAGGCTATATTACTATATAATACTAGTATGTATGCATATGTATAAATATGTGTGTGTTTAATTTGTTTGTGTTGATTAATTGCTGTTCTGAAGTTTGATCGATTCTCTAACATGATGTTTGTCTGTCCATCGTGTCATTTTATGGATGATGAATATTAAGATTTGTAAGATACAATTAAATATATATATATATATGTGTGTGTGTAATTGTTGTTCTCTTGTATATATGTTGTATTGAAATCTTATTTCATTTCTCTTCTGCCTAATCTTTAAATTTAATTGTAAATATAGGGTTTGTTCGTTTTCTTTATTTGACATAAAACTTGTATCTACTTGGAGATTCATTAAGACAGAGACGAGAGAAGAACTGATCTGGGGCTGTCGAAAAGCTAGAAGAGAGGAGAGAATTGTTGTTCGTCATTAGAATGAAGGGGAGGCCTTTATATAGGCGTCTCTGTTCCCCCAAAATGGCAGGGGATTAATTACGATCATAATTACGACATTAATTATCGATGTAATGAAATATAATTCAAATTTTCCGTTTGAAGCAGTCGTAATTTATTCTACTTACAAACTTTTCGTTTGTGACGATCGTAATTTATTCTAATTTCAAACCTTCCGTTTGAAAAGATTGTAATTTATTCTAATTTCAAACCTTCCGTTTGGGATTATAATAAATTTGTGCAACGGATAATATTTTATCCAAATAATATTGCGACTTAGGCCATATACCCGGGTTTAATTTGGGGTTGCACAAATTGGTTTGTCTCGTGACAAACAAAATAGCCAAAATATTAACCAGACCCCATACACAATAAATAATATTTCTTTCTTTCTTTCAAATTAATTATATTAATTTGGTACACCGGTCCGTCGCATTTTCACTCACAAAATAATCGATTGTAAATAACCGATTATCCAACAATAAATTGTACAACATATGATTTTATATAACACATTATGATGTTGCCTAACGGTTGATTAGATCAAATAAGCATTGTATCCAAATCATATATTCCTTCAATCATCCTATTTTATTTTCACTTTCATTTTTATGATGCCAAAAAAATATTCTTATTTTTATTTTTAATACCCTCATATTAAAATGTGTGTAAAAAAAGCTAAGCATACAATTAAACAACGGAAAAAGCACTACAAACACATACACATAATATATATATATAATGCTATATTTGTCACTTCTAAAATATATATTTATTTTTGGCAACAAAATATCCCTCCATCTTACAAGTGGTGTTTTGTTGGCTGTTGGTAGCAATCAAGAAATAATAGCATTTAATTAAGAAGTTGATAGAAAGTAAAATATAAAAAGACTAAAATGCGCTTATTTTTATTTTTACAACGATTTTAAAAAGTAACTCATAGTAATAATTATGAATAGTTTAAAAAAATATGAATAATTGTTTTGTATTGTAGGTTGGGCCGGGCCGGTCATGGCTTAAAGTTAAATCCGAGACCGGATCATATTAGGAACTCTAGTAGGCCGGGCCGAAAGTATTAAAGTTAGTTGGACCGGTCTGCTAATGTTTCAAGTCGGATTTTCTTGACATGAGCTAATCTTGGATGATTATTTACTAGACACTGGTCTGAGATATATGATAAGTTGAAATTTAGGTTATGTTTAAACAGAGATTTTTTAAATTTTGAAATTTTAGAATAGTGAAAATTTTAATATTTAATTTTATTTTATTAAAAATAATTTAAAGTAAAAAATAAAAATAAAATCACATATCAAACACACTAAAATGCGTTGATGAGGACGCAGCAGTGGCCCACGTTCAATACTACATTGTGTTTGATTGAATTTACGTCTAATCAAATAATGTACTTCAAAACCCCGACCTTTCACGTCTTCTGACAGAATTGATTCGCTTAGTGTGATTTGTCTTGTCAAATTAAATTTGCAGAATATTAAATTCGATCAGAGTTTACCCATTACATACTTTCGAATAGCAGCTATGAACGTTTACATTATAAAAAAATAAATAAAATAATGTAGTATTACTCCCGATCAACATAATAATAATAATAATAATAATAATAATAATAATAATGTAGTATTCGTCTCATTGAAAAATTGTCATTTACAATAAAAGGTTACTGTTTATTTTTTGCAAGTAAATTTTTTAATATTAATATTATATTGAGTTGTTTAATATTATTATGTTAGGTACACGGTACAATTATTAAATTAAAAAATAATAATCTATTTTCGGATGAATAAAAATAAAAAATAATAATATTTCAGTGAGACGGGGAAAATATTATTTTTCTTTCAAATTAATAGTTTATTTTATTTTCACCTAAATTTTAGAATATTAGTGTTTTATCAATAATAGCATAATATAATGATACAGAGACGATTTTATGCGTAAACTCATTTGATTTTTAGTGGTATATTTTATAATATTGTGTAAAATGTAAAAATATATTTTATTTAAATAAAAATAAAATAAAATTACTTTAAAAAATAAATACATTGACGGTGAACATAATAAAATTTTGCTTTAATAATATCAAATTTCAATTTATTATACTCCATAAATATGTGATTAAATTGATTAGTCACTATAATCACCAAATAAACATGCCCTTAGATATTAAGCCTATTTGTAATATTCAGGGTGTGTTTGTTATATTTTGGTTCGAAAGAATATTTTTTTTTATATGAATTATAAAAAATTGTGTAGTTAATATAAGAATAATATTAAATGTATATAATATATTATTTTTTAAAAAAATATATATATATGTTACACAATTTTGGATAAAAAAAATAAAACCATCTTTACTGAAATGTTATTTAATTTATTTTCATGCGTTGGATAGATCCACCTCAATCCAATCCAAGTCTATCTTTATTTTATCTTTTATTTTTTACTTTTCAAAAGTAATAATGTCCTACAGTAGATCACCTGCTCTCATGTCATATAATTATAAACGTCCCGACAAAATCATTGAAAGTTACATATTTGGTGTGTTGTGCGTGTTCCTCTTATAATTATTGAAATAGGACTAGTATTTTATATTTTTAAAACTTAATATTAATAAGTGTAAGAATTTTAAATTAGATAAAATTTAATTATTACTTTAAAAAAAAAAAGAGAAAAAAAGAAGTCCAATATACAAACTCATATCCCATAGGGGTGTGTTTGTTCGTTGGATTTGATTTTTTTGGTTTAGATTTTTTATGTATAAAATTTTGATTTTGGATAATTATTTGATGTAATATAAATGAATATTAATATAATAGTTTGAATATTAGATTAATTTTTAATATAATATAAAAATAAAAGATAATTATTTAATTTGATATTTTTTTATAAATAAATAAATAAATAATATAAGTATTGTGATAAATTCTCAAAAAAAAAAACAGCCTACATATTTTAACAAATATTTTTCACATAGTATATACATCTTAAGTTTTTTTTGTTTTGTTTTTGTTTTAAATCAATTTTCCTAATGTTTAATATGTATGGTCTTTAATAATTTTTTATATATATAAAGTATTGTATCAAAATATTATTTAAATTAAAATTTAAATAAAAAAATCAATTAAAAACACAAATCAAGCAAACCTAATAAGTTTATTCAAGTGTGATATTTATTAATTTTCTCTTGCATCACTGCTTAAGTTATATTTTAATTAAATAGACAGTATTTTTATATTTTATCTACTTTTTGAGAAATGAATTAAAATATCTAAATACAATTCCTTTTGAAAGTAAAAATAGAAACTAATCGATTGATCATTATGTTTACTTGTATTTGGTTTCAATTCTTATTACGAATCATTACATACAAACAAAAGCACCAAATAAAAATTCAAATAAACAAAACAAATATGTTTTAGAAATAAATGTGAAATGTAAATTTAGGGGACGTTTGGTTCAAGGATTTAATGGGATTTTATGGGATTTGAATTTTAAAATCCCATGAAATTCATGTTTGGTTAAAAAAAAAGAAAAAAAAAAGGGGTGGAATTTAAAATAATGCGATTTGAAAAAGGGTCTAAAATCCTACAAATAAGAGATTTTTTTTTGTATGGGAATACCCTGTTACTTTTAAATCCCATTCTTGAAATTTTAATTTTTACATTTATATCCTCTTATAAAAAAAATAATAGTATTATATTTATATAAACAATTAAATAATTTTAAAATTAATTATTATTTGAATTATATATTTAATTAAATTTATATTATTTTTTATTGTACAATATTTTTTAAATAAATTAATAAATCCATTTTTTAAATTATTATTTATTATAAATTTTATTTGAATTATAAAGTTATAGGGACGACTATAAGTCAGGTTTAGTCGGAACTGATATTCATCCCAAATATATATTGTTAAATCCGAGATTCAAATTGGATCCGATTATACTAGATCTGACTGAGATTATACCCGGTAAGACTTGATGGATCCGAAAAATCTATTTTTTACAATTTTTAAATTTTAATTTAAAATTACACATGTACCAGATCCAATATATATTAAAATTTATGTATTTTATTAGAAAAATATTATAATAAAATAATGAATACGTTAAACTCAAAAAATATTTTTAATATAAGTATATTATTCGAAATTATTTCTTCGTATGTATGGTTGATATATTATTATTATTATATTACTCTGATCATGACCCGAATCCATGCTTAATACTCAAATAATTGGACTCAACTTCAAATAAATAGGTCAGGCTCGGTAGGGTCTCGAGTTTACGCGAATCTATTATCGTTTTATAAAATTATTGATATATTTTCAATTTATATTAATAATGAATTAGAGGTTTAATTTGTCAAAATAAATAAAATTCATAAGATGACAATTATGTCATTTAGAATATAAAAAATCCAAATTCAAGAAATATAAATCCCACCACATTTTAACAACCAAACATAATATGAGATTTCAAATCCTAAATATAATAAATCTCATCACATATAAATCCTACTGTAAAATTTCAATCCCACCAAAAAAATCCAAACAGCCCCTTAAAGTCTAATATAAAATAAAATAATATGCTTTATTAGTTGAAACAATCATAAAAGAAATACAATACTATATGCCATTTCAAAAAAATATAATTAATTATTATTCATAGCTTAAATTGCATAAAGCATATTATTAGTTAATATATCATTTTTTTTTATAATATGAAAATTCGCAATTACTCTTCTACTATACTCTTAGTAAATTTATGTTTGCATATAAATATTATTGCTACTAATATAAGACATGCACAAAACACAATTAACCAAACCCTAAATATATTACTGTGAAAAAATAGGAACAAATTAAGAAATAGTCACCCCATACTATGCCAGCTGCTAAATTAATTAAATATCATCCACCAAAGAATTTGTATTTCTTATTTTTCGAGATAACATTATTGTCTTGGTATTATATACCATTATTGTTATCAATAATTGATTTAATGATATGTCCATATTATTATTATTATTATTTAATGGATCGGAATGAATAGTGAAGGAGAAGGTGTAGATGGATTCTATAAATGATGGCTCGGGAAGTTCTTGAACTCATCAATTCATCAATATATATTTCTTTGTTTAATAGTATATACATATTGTTGTTCGAAGTTTGTGAAAAAAAAAAAAAAAAGGGATGGGTCTGAAAGGGAAGCTGGTGGCAGAAAAAGAGATCAGATGCCATGGCGATATCTTCCACGATCTGTTCAAACACAAGCCACATGAAATTTCCAAGATTACCCCTGATCATGTTCATAGCTGCGATGTCCACGAAGGGCAATTTGGGACTGTCGGATCTGTTCTGTCCTGGGATTTCACTAACGGTATGGTATATTCTAATATAATTAATTAATTAATAATTTCCATCCATCCATCATCCAAATTCAAAGTTGAATTCGATCTGTCTGAAAATTAACAAAAAGATAAATAGATGGGAAGAAGGAGAGCCTGAAAGTGGTGATTGGAGAGATAGATGAGGAGAAGAAGTTGGTGAAGTTCAATGTTGCTGAGGGAGAGATTCTGGAGAAGTACAAAGAGTTTGTTTCCGCCATTCATGTCGACACGAAAGGGGATGATCATGTCGTCACTTGGACCTTACAGTACGAGAAGGTAAGAGAAGACGTTCCAGACCCCATTTCCTATTTGGAACTCGCCATTAACATCATCAAAGACATCGAAGCTCACCACGCCACCTGATAAACTCATCACATATATATATACACACATATACATACATTCACATATATATATCTGTGTGTGTATGTGTGTTGTGCTTGTGATGATTGAATTTGAATTTGGATGCATGTAAGAATAAGCGAATAATATATATATTTATATATATATATATCGAACGCTTCGGCGTTGTTGTGAGTTTGTACAATAAATCAAGGTGTGGTTTTAAGGTTTCCTAATTAACTATCTAATAATGTTTTGTGATATATTTGGTTCAATTGGCATCTACTTTGATTGTAATTAAAATTTAAATAATTATATTACAATCGAATGGATGGATGGTTGTGTATGTGGTCGTGATTAGTGGGGATCTCTTGGAGGCATACATTTAAAACTTTCAATTTTGTTAACCAAAAATGGAAATTGCATGTGCAGTGGACTTTCCAAAAGTGGCTACTGAAGGAAATATGTATTTGTATCGTTTTTCCTAGTTGATGTTACTTTAAATGTTACAAGCAATTTGTTTCTAATCAACTTTAAAAAAGTAGTATTGATGTCCGTTAGCTCGGGGCATGGTGATTAAAGCAAATGCTTATTGATGGATATACATGTAATAAATATATATATATCTGTACAAATCTGAATTCAAGTAAAATTCTACCTGTAAGTAGAAATTCACATATCCTTTGGCCAAATTATGCGTATTTCTTAGATCATAGCTTCCCATTTGCAGCGAATTTTTCTATTTGGGAAATATCGAGGAATTTATCCAACCCACTGGGTAGAAGAAACCTGTCAAGAGAGGAGAAGATGGGTTTTATGACAGTGAGTAATATTAGAAAAAGAAAAATCTAATGTCAAGAATGTAACTTTGTTGTCACATACTTGTCTCTGAAAGCTCTTGTCATGGATAAACAACCTCCAGGGATTGTGGACTGCAGATTAACAGCAATATTTGGGTTGTGAATACTCTGTCGAAGATGTATCCACCCATGCTCTCCATGTTCTCCCTCAGAAACTCTAGCCCTGTACATATGGGCGTCGACGGGAGCAGGATGATCATTGGAGTCGACAAGGCAGCCTTCACTTACCCAGCAATCCCCACAGTAGTCCAATTCCCATCCTGCTAATTTTCCTTGCTGTCAACAACAAAAGTATGCTCCAATTAGCACCAAAAAGAAGGCAAATTAAATACAATGCCTCTCAAGAACAATGATTCCCACCTCAATGTAACTTCTGAATTCTTCAATGGCCTCAATGGCCTTTGCTTTTGCATATCTTGGCTCAGAGAGAACGTTAATTCTCAACTCCACTGATTCTAACGGCTCTTCAAGATCTTTTATAAGACTCCCGATGCCTTCATCGTATCCCTCAAGCTTCATTCTCACCAGCTCAATTATGATCTTCACCACCATGTAAGCCCCTGTAAATCCCAAATTCACAACGACAGGTACACACAGTAAGAAGATTACATACATTCTTCACTGAGGCAAAACGTCCAACACATTGCATTTGCATACCATCATCAAGAAAGTAATTCTCCTTAAGAGCACCATGTCCAGAGGTTTCCATCATCAGATGCGTCTCGATTCCATCATTATTGAGCTGCACACCTTTGTCGATCACATTCCTGTACCCGACTCTGTACAAGCAATGGTACCCCCCTCGATCGGCGATGAACTTAGTCAGCCCCAAACTTGTCCGCGCGTCGGTCACAATCGTCGTGTTCGGGTGCTCCTTCAACACAATGGCAGACATAAGCGCGATAAGCTTGTCCCCATTTATCGGGTTTCCTTCTTTATCCACAACCCCACTCCGATCAACATCTGTGTCGAAAACAATCCCGAGATCCGCGCCGTTTTCAAGCACCGCCGCTCGCGTTAACGCCATGGCGGTTTTGTCCTCCGGATTCGGTATATGATTCGGGAACATTCCATCAGGATTGAGGTGCAGAGAACCAAACGTATCCGCTCCAAGCTTGTCCAACACATCCCACGTAAAGAACCCTCCCGACCCATTCCCGGCGTTCACAATAATCTGCATTCCACAGGCACCGACCACCGTCAATACATCTGGGCCGAATAAAATTAATTGGGCCTAAACTAGAATCCATTAGGCCCATTTAAATGTAGGAAACATATAGGACCTGAAATCCCTCAAGAGGAGTGTCGTAATGGGAGGGATGATTGACTCTTTCCTTGATAACATCTCGCAGATGCTTCGCGTAAAAGCTCATGAAATCCACCTTCGTCGGCGGGACGTTGAGCGCCGTCGACACTTTGGTCAGGCGGTTGGCGTATTTCCGGGCAGCTCGGTCGCAGATCTCCTCCACCTGCGTCGACGTCAGCCCTCCTTTCTTTGTGAAAAATTTCAGACCGTTGCGGGTGTACGGCAGGTGGGAGGCTGTCATCTGTCCAAACACATAACCTCAAATCAACGACTATATCCCGTTAAGTTATTTCAACAGTTAATATATATATATATATATGTTCAAATTAAATGCAGAAAAATAACATCGAAGGTGCATGCATGGTGATGGTACCATTATGGAAGCATCGTACTCAAAGGGAGGCAACAATGTGCTCATGAAGCAAGCGGGAGTTGTAGCGAGTCCCATGTCGAAAACGATGCAGCCCGCCCGGACAAGCCCTGCAAACACGGCCGTGCTCAAGACAGCTCCCGAAATCCTAGGATCCTTTCCCAAGGACACCTTGATCGGATCGTGTCCTCGATCTTGATCCGATTGGCTAATCACCCACTCGCCGAAGCTCTCAGCTATGGCTTCAACGGCAGGCGGCGTAAGGTCAACCGGCCGGCCTTTCTCGCCCTCCAACGCCACCCCTCGCACGTCGGAGCCATTCTGCAGCCTTCTAATCTTATCCATTTCTTCATCCACCAACTCCGCCACTTCATTGTTGTACCCTGCTGTCGTTGAACAAGTTTCTAACCTCGGATGGTGTTTGGTCGAGACAAGTGATGGGAATGTAATGAGATTGTTGTAATGGTTGAGCTGTTTGTGTTTGTAAAATAGAGAGGATTTGGGTTTTGTGGGAATGTGATGGTTTAGGCATTGGGGTGTGGGAGTGGAAGAAGCCATTGGAGAATCCTTTGGGAGCTCTACAAAGTTTCGAAGATTTTTCTAATAAATGGCTTCTTTCGATCAAAGCTTGAAAAAGATTGGAAATTAAGATAAGATTTTAGCAGTGAAATAAGAACCTTACATTTACAGATCAAAAAAATCTCTAGACAAGCTTCCAAAACTGCGTGCAGATTTTTTTTTTTTTTTTTTTAATCTTGTTTTATTACAAACGCATATAAAATTCCCCACGTTGCCCAAACATATGATATTTTTGACAGTTTTTAACTTTGTCTCGATTATTAAAGCCAAAACACAGTTAAGGCATTTCACAACAATCAACACTTCATCATACAGCACAGGCAAACAGAATAATCACATTATTATTATTACAACGATCGCATTCAGAAGTACAAGGGACTCGGCCTCGTCCTGAACATTCTTATCCTCTGAGACCTCGACTACCCGGAAGATCGAACCACTCGATCTGAACCTCAACCTCGCCACATTCGACATTTCTCAACCTCAGAAACATGTCTTGAACCAATTTGCCATTACGCCACACGATCGAGCTCTCGCTGGCTAGGCAATTGTCGCTGCTCGGCTGTACTTTTTCAACCACAGAACCTTCTAGAAGACCTTGCAATCCCATCTTCAGCCATTCTACATACGGTTTGAGGTCTATCTGCGCGTCCCCCATACCATCATCTCCGGTAAATGTATCCTTGTCATAGACATGCTGGCAAATTTGCAAAAAGGAAATGCATATTAGCAATACAGAGGAGATTGTTGTAATAAATCGAGGATTTATACATTCAATCGACACTCACTAGAAGGATCGGGTCGTTAGGATCCTTGATGTAAATAGTTAGCTCTTCATTCCAAATCGGGTTGCAGGTGTCCTTCACCACTTTAGTCTTCACACTCTGCAACGATGATCACATTGTGTGAAATAGATCATGTAACTATATATCGAAATCGACCTAGTCAGATTTCTGTTTTTTTTTTTTTTCTTTTTTCATGATCAACCGATGTTGTCATTAGCTGGACAGATAGCAACAACATTGAACATCATCATATCATAGTTTTATGTCTCGATTGACCACAGATGTCAGTAATGAGACACTCTACTTATGTGTGTGATTAGTTTTCTTCCAGTCAATGGACAGTCCAAAATTCTAAAGCAGTGAATCTCCTAAAATGTAAGAATTGTGTAAACAAAAACGATTGAAAATGGTTTTTCCATGAATTTGTGTATTTTTCATCCATCCATAATTTCTAGATAAAACCAATAACGCAGACCAACAACAATAGTGAAGAACATGGTTTCGTAATCAATCCGAGAACTTGGCGACAAGAAAGAATACGATTCAATCCTCAATTAAATCGATCTAGGTTTCTTCTTACAGTTACACATACTGAATTACAACATGGTCAAACTCATCAATTCAGCTGAAATTGTTCAACGAGGGGTAAAAAAAGGTTAAGAAATCTAATCGAAATCAGAAAGAAATTAAATCTTCCGAGCCTGCAGAAATGACTGAAAATGGAGAAAGGGGAAGACCGTCACCTGAGGACCACATTTGACGACAACGTAAGGATCACTGGAACGGGTGTCGCGAACGGCGAGATTCACTCCTTTGCGGACACGAATCCTGAGAAGTCCCAAAGCATCCTCCATTTTTGACTGCGTTCAGACCTTGCCTTCTTCTCTTACAAAAAAACCCCCAAATACATATATAAACAAAATTAGGGATGATGGCGTCCCCAGAAACGCACTGGGTACTGGGAACCACACCCAGCCACAAATTCGTACAAGTCCACGGAATTCACATCAATTAATTAGCACGCTAGCTTTAGACGATGAAACGTGTCCACTGAAATTAATTCTTATAAATATATTTTTAATATATGTATATACACACAGACAGAGACAGAGACAGTAGTTTAATAGATCCGGTGATATCACCGGTGTGATTTCGGCATTTGTTATTTACTTGTGTCGTTTTAAAACGATAACGCATATCTTTTTAGGTGTTTTTTATTAATGAATTTGATTAGATATTTTATTAAAAATAAGAAATATTTAGTGCGATATTTTTTAAATAATATTTTAGATAACTAGCATCAAATGTTAGTTTTAGATATATATATATACACACACGCAAACGAGTAATTTAATTGTGCTTGTAATTTGATCTATCCTTTAGATGATGATGAGACATGTAGTCTTAGTTGAATTTGGATGTTTATAATTTATTTAAAAATTTTGTTGTTGAAGATCGTAAAAAATCAATTAAATTACACAAGTAGTTGTTGAATCATACGTATCATGTTAATTACGAGAGTTCTACAACACTATACATTTATTTGGTCTTGCAAATTATATTCAATAATTAGTCCTGGTCAGGCCAGGCCCTTCCACCAACCGAAATAGACCGGACACATAAATTGATTGGTAAAATAATTAAATTCTATAACATATAATATAAGAACCAACACATTCTGCAGCACACAAAATATACGCCAAGAGCCCATCACCCATGATGTACCATTTCCTTCAAATATCATTATTTTCTCAAATAACTATGTATAATAATACCATAGATAAAAAGTTTTTAAATGAGCTCAGTAACTAATAAAATTAAAATCGAACCCTTCTTTATTCTCATTATAAATTTATGCACGGAATTCATTATTTATAATCAGCCCTTACACTCCAAGAACAAGAATGGGATATCGGCAAAAGGATTACTTGCATCCCAATGCCAATTTCACGATAATTAAAATAAGACAACCTTAAATGCAAGCTCAAGCGCCTAGGCACAGTTAGAACAAACCTCGTCATCAAAAATAGAGATTTCAAGAAAATGACACAGACAAAGAAAAAGGATAGAGAAAAGAAGCAGATGATAGGTACATTACAAACTTGGAAAGAATCAATACGTGGGGCAACAGATCAGATCGTATCGCCACAGCAGCCATTTGCACGTTACTGCTCTGCTGCAGACAATAATATAGCAATAGTACCATTCCATTCACCAATCAAGGTTTCTTGGATGAACACCCTCATCTTCACCTTGTCCAAAGGACCAAATGATTAAACAATAGTTCAATGGAAAAGGGCTAGAAAAGACAGTATGCAACACAATCCTTTTTATTAGGATGACAAAAAGCCACAGAAACTTCAGCATTGTTCATCAATCAATGCAACTGGAATTAAGGGAATCAAAAACATAAGCAAAAGCAGGAGGATCCTCTTAACGAAAACAAACACACAGAAATTGCAGACCCAGACAGAAATGAAGCAGCAGCAGCAGCAGCAGAAACACCATTACTATTTTCCCTTACTTAATGGGAAGATATCTTCAAATTCAGAGACTTGTTGAACCAAGCCTTCCAGTTTCCAGATCCACCCTTTCGAGGATCTGTAACCGCCTTGTCCAACGGCGACTTGTCGCCTCCACCATCAACGCCATTGCCAATGACCTTGTCCTTCTCCGTTTGGGGCTTCTTGCACATCCCGAAGTTCCGGAAACCGACAGAACCGATAGTCATCCATGGGCTTATGGCTGCACCAAGAAAAAGCAATTAATCAATTCACAGCAAGAACAGGCTGATTCAAAATTAAGGCGGAATTAAGGGAGGATTGTGATTCTTCACCTTCGGTTTCAGAAACAGGGCAGTAAAGCATGAAGCTGTTAATGTCAGATCCGAGAACTGGGAGTCTCCCCTCGCGAGCATACTGCTTCAGTGCATTGTCCAGCACAGTGACAACGAGATCGTCTTCACTGACCACGAACCGGATCGGCCCGGCGCTGCCGCGGACGGTGATGTTGATCAAGAACCGCTTGCCTTTCGCGGCCTGATTCTTCTTCTGCTTGTACAGCAACATTTTCGAATATATATATATATTTATATAAATTGAAATCGAAGATTTCGAATCTGGTGTTCGAACAATTGAAAAAAAGGAAAAACAATAGCGATCGGAAGGAAAAAAAGCAATCAAAAGGAAAAAAGCAGGGGAATCTGAAAGACGAGAAACACAAAATAAAGGGGACGATTAAATTCACGGATCGACGCCGATGCAGCGGTAGTACCAGCCTTCCATGCAAGATCCGAAGCAGAGAGAATTCGCTGCGGAAACCGAAATCCCCCTTCTAGAGGAAGAGGGGAATACCATTAACTGCTCGCTCGAGAGTTCCACCATTCACAACGGAGATGGATCAAAGCTAAAATCAAAAGGGGACGTATCTAAACGCCAAGTAAAATCGAAGAATTGCAGAAACAGTAGCGGCAAGAGAAAGATCAAAACCCAATTGGGAGGGGAGAGAAACCAAACAAGTGCAGGAAAAAAAGAAAGATCAAGATGGAATCCAATGCGGTGAAGAAGGGGTGAATTTATACGAATCCGCGGTGTGAACGGCGACCCACCCACCCACCAGATTAGGGTTAGCTGTTTCAGAATTGTAAAAGCGGAAAGCATTAATTGGCGAAGGCAATAAGGGGGAGAGGGAGTCGTGAATTCGGTGGGTTTTGTCGTCAAATGTGCAGTGCAGTTCAGAAACAAAAAGCTAAATTCGACACGACACTGGGCCTGGAATGGAATCATCACTGCGCCTTGCTTGGCTCTAATTTCAAATATGCATTCTATTATTTATTTATTTATTATTCTTTGTTTTGTTTGAATGGGTTTGTTATTTAGTTTGTTTTATTTGAATGGATAAATTTTTTATCTTAACCAAAAATTTAGATAAGTAGTTAATATAGGTGAGGGGTGGAATGGAAGACTATTTCGTATTCTTGATTATTAAACTTTTTTTATATTTGTTAACTTTTTTTTAAGGGATAATTAAAACATTAGTTATACATGGGGGGGATGTATTTGCAAAATGCCATTCCAGACATGCGTCAACCAAACAAGCGTAGGAATATTCAGGCATTTATTCCGTTTCCAATAATTATTTCTGTAGCACAAGTATTTGTGTGAATTGTCAAAATTGTTTATTTTTTTGCAGGAATCAGGGACGACTTTTGGCCTTTTAGGAGACCCCAACTTGTTACTAAATTAATAAGTTAATTAATATTTATTTATCTCTATGCATGTGTGTGAATGGAGAATCTTGATATTGTTTGCTTCTATTTTTTCTAGCGGTGGAGTATATTTATTTATTTATTTATATAATAGTGACTCTGACAGTCGTATTTTTATTTAGTTTACGCCTTTTATATACGAACTACTGACAAATTAGGGTGTTCTAACTCTCTACTTTGAAATATTTTGATATTTTGAGAGATCAAATCTTATTTAATTTTTTTCTTTTTAGTCAAAAATAACAATTGAATATATTTAGTTTTAATATATAAAAAATTATATTTTAATGTATAGCTTTGGCAATATTTCATAGCACATAGGTAAATTCAGTCTGTTGAAATATCGCCAAAGCTATACATTAAATCAAAACACTAAAGAAGTGTATGAAATTGGGAGTAAAATAAATGAAAATGAATTAAATTTTGATTGGACTTTCAAGTGGATTTATATGGTATTAAAGTTGGACAAACCCAAAATGTAGAAGCCCACTCAATATAAAAGACTATTATGTTCTTTATTAGAAAGCCCATTAGGCGGCCCAATAAAATATCAAAGTTGGATCTGATGTCAATATTTACAGTTGGGCCCGCCAAATACCATAAAATCCAGGTTCAGTTAAATTTTAGGTCTGTTTAAAATAAAAACAGCCCGGCCTAAATCTAAATATTTATAAGTTAGCCCAACTCGGCTAATGTACCAGATTATATTGGATCAAAACCATTGTAAGTTTTTAATTTGAGTTTAATTTAAATAATATTTTATATTTAAAACCATTACATGTTCGATTATTTTTTTATTAATAGACAAGTTTTATTTTTTTAAAAAAAAGTAATATTTGTTTATTGTTATTTTTCTAAAAATATATCTATGTATTTAAAATGATAGAAATAAAATAAATATATATATATCATACTTACCTACCGTTTGGGTGTGTTTGATTTGTATTTCAAACGCACGTAAATACTACTTAGCCTATGCTATTTTTAATAAAAATATATTGTTATAATACATTATAAAATGCAATCATAATTTTGAATTATGAAAAATCACGGCCAATCCACAGAAGTCCCAATTTTCAAAATAATAAAATAAATTAAATTAAATAAGGTATAAATAATTGACCCAAAAAACATTATCTTGATCTTGTTTCAATAAATTGGCTCGGACCCATACATATTGGCCTTCCATTTATTAACTTGTATTCAATGATCAGTTCCCAAATTATTTAAATATACAGCAAAAATTACAAAAAATTCACTGTTGATGGATATGATGTGACCTGCGTGGAAATAAGTTATGTATGTATTCTCGACTAATCGTAAAAAAGCAACACCCAAAATAATTAATAGTCAATAATCAAAACTATTCCCAGGGGACATTTTGTAGTGGGGACTTAGTTGTAATGCCAATTCAACCCAAAATCAATTTTTTTTTTTTTTTTTTTCCTTAGAAAAGAATGAGAAAAAAAAAAAAGAAAGAAAAAAAGCACAGTGATTTTCTAACATGATGATGAGTGTGACGTTGACATCAAACTTCCACTCTGCTGTTACTAATCCATCTTTATTTTAGTCTATAAATATTCAACCAGAAAAAAATAAAAATCGATTCATAATTTTCACATTTGACTTCCCCCCATGCATGCATGTATGTATTTCAGCAGTTTTAGTCTGACTTGGCTTCTTTTCTTTAAAAATATTGGCCTCATTTATTGTTAGAATAAATAAATAAGTATATATATGTTTTCTTATCGTGGAAATGTAATTTTGGGGCATCAGGTAATATCCCGCTATTTATTTATTTATAATAAAAGAAAAATCCTGAAAAGTGGAAAGATTAGGAAGAATTATTGATGGAGTGAGTAAACATAGTGAATGTGAAATGGGATTTATTTAATTAATGTGATTATGATGTAAATACTGAGTATTTAATAAATAAATAGAACTCATACTGTCATGGAAAGCGACTTTGGGTATGTTGTTGACAGTGACGGACGTTGATAATCCACGTGGACCTAATATATATAATTTTAAAATTCGGAATAAATTATATTATTGATGTGATTATTAATTTATTATAATTAATTTGTTTCATTGATGGTCCTGCGTAGAAATAAATTCGATAAATTAATGTCATGGCCGGCAATATTTTGTTATTTATGGCCACGTATAGTAACCATAATAATAATAATAATAATAATATGCATGCATGGGTGCAATAATTTGGTATAAATCTACAGTAAATAATAATAATAATAATAATAATAATAATATAATTTGTTAGTAAAATATAATTTGACTTCTAAGACACGAATTAATGCAGATGCAAATTTGAATGGAATTAAATGTGTAGACAAGGTTCACTAACTCACTCGTGGGTCAAAGTCAGCGGCTCTACAATGAATTCTTACAAAGGCGTGATTTAATTCCATCGAATTAAAATTTTAATCTCACGAAAACAAATGTAATTAAATGTGACCACGTTTACAAAAAAAAATTAATTACAGGGCATAGTTGTCAAATTGTGTGAGCGATCTTAAAAACAGCTCGACTGGATTAAAGATAATATTTCGAAGAATTAAATAATATTGACAGCACGAGTGCATAATGTGCATTAATTAGCCTTTTTGACATCAGAATATCACCTACTTGTGTAAAAATTTCAACACCCACAGGAGGATATGGAATTATTAAAAAATTAATTACTGTGCATCAGGAAACATATAAGTATATATTAGTCAGCAGACATCAACATTAATATTAGAATATTAATTGTTGTTGTAACAATAAAATTTAAAATTAAGGCGGCCGGCCAGGGGGGCCACGATGGAAAGAAAAAATTGCAAGATTGTCTAAGCCTAAGATGTGACTATATTTCAATAACAATCATTAAAAATAAATAAATAAAAAATGTACTCATACTAGAAGAACTTGAATTCAATTATAACCATTCGATATTAGGAATGTAACAGCTGAAAATATCACACGTACAGACGCGTGAAAAAGACATCGCAAGATGGGACCTTTTTTTTTTTTATTTTTCATCACATTCAAGAATCCGTGGAGAAAGAAAAGACTAAAGAGTGATCGCTTTTTATTTTATTTTATTTTATTTTATTGCATGTAATAAATCTACAAGATGAATCACATTGGGAGAGAGAAATTACAAGATTCCACCAAATTGAAAATTCCAGTTCAAAAATATTTTTAAAAGGCAGCATAATTAACACAACATATTTCATTAATTAATAATTTTCAACTAGGCAAAGAACAGAAAATTGTGAAAAATGAAAAAAGGTGGATTGATTGATAGAGAGGTGGAGAGATCATAGAGTAGCTACACACACAGACACAAGTGGGCTGAGCTGGGCCGGGCCGGATTGGGCCCACCGAGTCAAGCCGCCGCCGAGTTTGAGGCGAGCTTCCACGCCGAGGTGGCGATGAGTGGCCTCGTGTGCCAGCCGAGCATCAGGCAGCCGTTATTTTCGTCGACGCGGTAGCCGTCGCCGCCGGCGAAGAGGGCCAGCAGCATGCTGGCCTGCTTGTAAGCATTAGAGCCTAGGTGAACCGGGGAGAAACCGGCGGATTCGAACCGGGTTCGCCACTGAGGGAGGGTCTCGTGGCGCTCGACCCGGTCGACGCCTTCGCAGGCAACTACATTGCAGATCTGACGGCCGAGGTACATCTCGCTCATGACCTTATCCTGATCAATAACCATCTCGTCGCCGGCGCCGGCGCCGGCGCCGCCGCAGCTCTCCAGTGAATCGAAAAGCGTCGAGTAGTAGTGCAAGGCCTCCGTGAATCGATCGAGAAAAGCGCTCCCGTTGTGATTGGCTTCCTGTTCGACGACGGTGAGGATTTCGGGATTCAAATCCTGCACAACTTTCAGAACTTTCTCGATTGCCCCCGGCCTCGCCAGCAATTGATGCAGTTCGAAGATTGAATTGACTGCAACCGTTTCCCCTTCTCTAATGTCGAACATGGAGGCGTCGAGATCAGCCAATGAATTCGCAACAAACCCTCGGTATTCGAACTTCACGTTGATTGCTTCCGCCAATTGAGCAAGTTTCCACCCAACGACCTGTAGATGATCGGTGTCGTCGTGCGACGGGGGTCCAATTCCGGTTAATCGGAAGCTCGGAGGTCCGCCCTGCCTCAGAGCCAAAGCTTGCAGCAGAGCCGGCCATTGAATCCCTTGTTTCATACTGAAATCAATCACATGGACTTGGTTTTTACCTGCCAAGGCTTCGAGGATCGCCTGGTTCGCCGTGAAGTGCGCAAATTTCAGATAAGGGCAAGTCTCGTAAAAGTGCATTTGCAGCAAATCGGTGAAGGCAGTGTCCTGCGGATTCGAGGGATACAATTTGTAAATTCTTCTCGCCAAAGCTTCTGCAAAATAGGTAGCCACTTTCCTCATCGCCCCCGCCTGCGACACCGCCAGATATCCGATATTCTTCACCAAAGCTTCCGCCAATTTGGACTCTCCCTGCTGCACCGCCTCGGCGCACGCCATCAGAGTATGAACCAGTCGGATTCCATTCTCCTGCGAGTCAACCATCACAAGCGGTCGCTTCGCCTCTGCGGGGCGTGTGAAAACCGCCTCGCCCTGCAACGTCGTGCCGACCGAATTCCCTGAATTCGGCTCCGTTTTCAGCTTCTTCAACTGCGGCTGCTGTCGGGAGGAAGGGGAAGGAGAAGGAGATTGTGGAGTCGCGGTTGGATACACTGCCTTACCGGGGATGGCGATGAGATCCGACCCGAAATCGAAGTCAACCACGCTCTGATGCGCACAGCTGTTGACGCTGCTCCCGTTATCGATGCTGGTGATGGTGGACGATTCGAGGAAGGGATTAGAGGAGGAATCGAATTCGGGGACGGGATTGAGGCCGGTAATCATGGATTCGAGCCAGGACGAGAGATCTGACGGGTTGTAGTGAACGGTATCCGACACGAGCTGAGAAAGGCCGTCTTGCTGAACGGCGTCCATCACTTCCTGCAACTGTTCGATCTTCTGAGCCACCTCCACCATGTCCGCCGACTTAACGTTGTAACCCAGAACGGCGAAGTTTTTATCAACGCCGCCGGTGTCATCAGCTTCGTATGTCCACATCTTGCCCTTGCCGGCGGAGGAGCTGCAGCTCCCACTGCTCGAGAAATTTTCCTGATTCATGTGCTCCCTCTTCATCCTCTTCTCTCTTCCAAGGCTAGCTTGCTTTAATGGGATTAGGGCTTTTGATTCCTGGAGAGAAAGTTAAGAAGCGGTGAATGGGTGTAAAAAAGGGGATCAGAGCATTGGGGATTGGCCTGAAGAGTGCTTGGTTTTTCACATATGGCCTCTGTTCTTGAGTTTCCTCAGAGAGAGAGAGAGAGACTGATGCAATTGGGGCTACAATAATTGTGGTACGAATAGAAATGGGGGAGAAGAGAGAGACAGAGAGAGAGGGGGAGAGAGAAAGGGCAAAGGCTCGTGAAGGATGGGCTCGACCTTCAACACTGAATTTTACAGCAACCATGTACTTGTGTGTCAATAATTGCAAGCTCCCGGACTTCAACACCACTTGCGTTTACAACTACTGTAACCTTCGACTCCCTGGAGCCCTCAACCATCTCATCTCCTACACTGTTAATTAATGGTAAATCAATCTTACAGCAGCTGGTTAATTGCACTCCTCAAAAGGATAAACCCAACCACAGTTACACAGAACAGAACAGGAGAGTCTTTAAAAACTGGCTAATTTACCTTTCCACCCTTCTTCCTCAAAGTTAAATTGGAACTTGTGAATGATAAAGCTGTCATTATGAACAATAATTAACCCATAAAGACTGTTAAAAATTAGGGTTAGCCTAACTTGTGAATCCTCCTTCTGCTTACTAAGTCAACTGCCAGCGTTTTTTGTAAAATCAAAACCCTCAAAATAAGGGAAAAGGCTTGCTTTGTAATAGGGTGAAGCGTTCTACTTTATCAGAAGTGCGTGACTTCAGAGAATAAATAATTATATACATATTTACAAAAAATAAATATATTCTCTGACAATTCAATATAATATAGTATTTTTTTTTCTTACTTATCACATATTGCAATTCTTTACAGGGAATATTAAACTTGGGCATGCATTCTGGAATAATTTGATGAGTTCTATGCAAAGGAAGTGACTAAGGAAGAATCCCGTTTTGTAAAAACGTGCACCAATTATTATTCCAAGACCAGTTAATTTGCCAAGAAATGCTCTCCTATTAATTAATTTATTACATCTAATTTTAAAAATTTTTTTAAAAAAATTAATAATTTGCTAGTGAGTAAGTGGGTAAAAAATTGAAAAAATGACGCGCGTGGTTTGCACGCAAAGGAAGGAAGGTGGAAACTGGGGGCGGGGAGTGAGAGTGGCGTCTGCCCCACAGAAGGGAGACAAATTGACCAATTGGCCCCACCTCCGTTAAGCCACACCGATAACGGAGTGTTAACGCCGTTACTCTCAGTCTTATCTCCTTCGACCTTCCTCACAATTCCCTATGCACTCACTCACTCTTCGTTCTCCTGTCCCAACACAAATTTATTTACCTTCAATTTTGATTCCCCATTTTTATTTTTATTTTTTAAATCTTTCAATTTTTCTTACCTTGCTTTTCTAACCACACAATTTACATGCCTTGCTTCGCGCTTCTCTTCAAGTTCTTCGGACCACAAATTTACACCGTCGATAAAGGATGGATCCCACCTCAGGAACGGCGTAGATTTTTCCGGAGTTGGGGTCCTAGGACTCTGGCATATTTTATTCCGGTCGAGGGGGTGACGTCTGCGAGATTGTTGGAAAATAGAGTCGGCCCAACGGCGACTACCGCCACAGGCGGCGCCACCAGCACCGCCACCCGTCAGTTGAACAGTATAATGCATCCATAGTGGGGCCCACAGTTCACGTGATTCTGACACGTGCATTAGCAACAGTGAGGTACAATGTACGCAGAAATGGGCCTGGCCCGGGGCCCGTTTACTATATTTAGAACATGTGGATAACTCCATGACCTCTCCTTTTTTATATAATTATTTTTTTTTTCTTTTAATAATGATTTTAATTTTTACCCACGGAAGGTAACTAATAATAATAATAATAACAATAAAACCCCACCAGTCTAGTAATTAATAATTCTACAATCAATATCGAGAACTATTAAAAAAAAAAGGGTAACAATTTCACAACTGCAGATACCTTAGTTTGTGTTATCCGAAAGCCACCTGGACCATTTAATGTAATTAAAATACATACATAAAAATATACGAAATAAAACAGCTTTTGCCGACTGCACAAATATATATATATATATATATTATAACTAAAAAAATAAACATAAAATAGCATAGCACAATAGTAATGTCAGACGACTGCGACAATTACAAAGGCAGCGACCTAAAAAATTAATCATCAAATATGTTTTCATTATTTTATTTTCTGCAATAAACGAAAGTTTTTTTATATGATAAAATCGAAAGCAATAGAAAAGTGAGTGAGACATGGAAAGGAATATGTTGGTCCATATAAATTCTAAAAATGGATCTCTCCATGTGGAGGATTGTGCTTTGTAGGTCCCACTTTGTTAACCTCATCCGACTATTTTAGACCGTCCGATTTCGTTCTTGCACTAAAAACCCTTCGATGATGAGATCTAAGTCTCCATAGTGTTTGTTAGCAAAGTGCATTGGCTGATTTTCACAACAATTTTTCTTCCACATTAAGTTCCATATTTTGAATTAATAGTTATTTATTATTGAAGATATTGAACATTTAAGATCTACAGATCATTTTCAATCCGGAAAAGTAGTTGATTAGTAAAATAATTTATATAGATAAATGTGTGTCTTTTGAATTGAAATTCTTGAAGTAAGCCTAAGTACATGGGATTTAATGTGCAAATTATGCAAACCACAAAAATTCACATTGGATTATATAATATTGATGCTTTTATTTTTGGCTATTTTTGTGAGAATTAATGTGTAGCCCATTAATACTAATAATTCTCCATATTAGGAATGCCAAATCTGAGGCGTTGAAAATGAAAGAAAGTCACGCATGTCATTCCCGGACAGTGTGATTGGACAAACAAGAAAAAACACATGTTTGCAGTGGTTGAATATAGAAAAAATGAAATTAAATAGTAGTATTTGGGAGCAATAATGAAGGGCCTAAATAATTTCAAGAACGATGAAATGACACTTATCATCATCGTATTTCAAGGCATTGCATCCGACCTGCTTTTTCACATAGGCAATTTAGAGTGGGAGTCGACAGGCTGAATCCCATTTTGATTTTGTTTTGAAATTATATATATATATATTTGGTAGGTATTTTTATGTGCTTTCAGCATTGTGTTGATTAACTGTAACAAGAACTCATTCAAGTATTATAACTCTATTAAGAATTTTATTTAGGTCTATATAAATATGATTATTATTAGTATTATTAAAAATGGAAAAAGGGATGAAAGAGATATTCTTTGCACTGCTCCTACTTTGATTCTCTATTAATTTTAGTAGTACATAAGTGGACATAAAAAAAAAAAAAAAAAAAAAAAAAAAAAAAAAAAAGAGGAAAAGGAAAATGCAAATTAATTGAAATATGAAATAGGAAAGGAAAGAAGAAGAGGAAATTAAACCAGCCCTACATAATTTAAGTACTAAAGTAAAATGCTAGTGGGAAGTGACTTTAATACCCTTTACTTCGTATAAATCCATATGACCATATTATAGGCTCAAAAATTGAAATTTGAACAAGTGCTTATTATTTAATTATGACTGTCACATAACTAATATCAGCAGAAACAAAACGAAATAAAAGAAAACAAAATAAAACCACATTTGGAATAAGGTGGCATTAATATGAAAATCCTGACATACATTTCCCTAAATGGAGCATCATAAATGTTGCACTGCACCACCCATTTTGTTACCCAAATAGTAAAGAAATAGACGTAAGAAGCTCGATTTTTTTCCCAATTTTTTTTTTACTAATTTATTACTATAATGTTTTTCAAAAATAAAATATCACACCTAACTATCACAATTTACATCTAATTAGGTAATGTCCGACTCTATCAACACTGCACTTATCAAATCTATATAGGCATTAGGCAAACCCAACATCAAACACCAAAAAATTAAAATGACAAAATGAAAATAATAATGATTTGGAGAAGTTGAAAAATGAAAGGCGTGGTGTATTAGCAGAAAAGTGGGGGCCAAAGTGGTTATGAAGGACACTTGAATGGTGACCATTGCCATGTGCCTTCATGTAAACCTATGCTATGCTATCCATCAAACATATGTCCTAGAAAAGGGTTAGAGACGCACCCATCCTCTGTTCTAGAAATGGGTTAGAGTTAGACTTAAGAGAGATAGAGAAGGGTGGGGTGGGGTGGGGTGGGGGGCATGCATATCATATGAGATGAGATGAGAGAGTCATTGATTGAGGTTTGGGACCCAATAATTGTGCCGTTATGAATAGGGCAGGGCAGACCAGAGGTTGCCCACATGCCATTTTCACGTGATCGATGGCCCATTACTCGCTGGGGGAATAATCACCTGTCTGAAAATCTTGCTGCTGCTTCACAGCTGTTCAAATCCATTGCTCTCTCTCTTCCCTTCATCTTTACACTTAGTCTTGGATGGATGGATGATCTTGTGATTGAGCTTCACAAAGGCAGAGGCAATGGCACGTTTGTCAGATAGGTATGTCTGTTCATCACCAGATCAAAACAGTAAGAAATTAAAAAGAAACCAGTAGGACATATAAAGAATGAATGAACACAATTCATCAGGCTAAAATCAACATGTAAATTAAAGACCCTATTCAAGCTTTTTAGTGGGCAGGCCATAGTAGGGCAACTATGGTAATGGCAATATTCAACTCCCTATGAACAGGTTGTATTATTTCATTTCAAGCATATGTGCCTTCTGTACTGTAGACCTTGTAGAATACTTGAGCACAACCTCAATCACTACCATAATGACCCCCCATTACAAAAATGTTGGTCATCTATCTACTTTAGCTTGTCGATTATAAGAAATTTCTCACCACCCACAAGTAGGAAATCATCAAGTTGAGGTAAAAAGAAGCTTGGCAATCCAATCCACATCATGAGTTTAGGCAACACATCTATAACAAGGTGTCCCTTGTGCAGGTCATCTTTTTAGATACATGATGCATTTGCATTCAAGATGTAAATCATATGTCGTATCTTATAATTGAACAAATTGCAAATCTTGTTGTTTGGCATAACAATCATGTAGTGAACTCAGGACAGAAGTAAACAGTGGATTCAACAATTTTCATATGCACATAAGAGGACAGAGGAAGGGGAAGGGCAAAGGCAATTGAAAACCTGTCTGCACATCTTAAAATTAACTACATTCATCCCACGAAAGTGCTCGATTTTCAGAATGAAGATGACTATATGATCAACAGGGAAAAAAAAAACCTAATTCATTGGATAAACCTATGCAGATGGCAAGAATACAACATCAAATTAAAAACTTCATACCCAACTGTTCAGCACTATCTACGCATAATTAACTAAGCTGTTAACCACAAACAAACAGTAACATAAATTATGATATACTGCCATTTTCACCAGCAAATAATCTGCAAGCATCAGAAGCAGCAATTCCGTAATGTCGCCGCGATTCGAACGCTATACTCAAATACTCCAATCATCAATTCATCATCACATAAAACAAATCCAAAAAAATAACTGTTCAACCAATAATTCGAATCAAATCGATAAAATGCGGAAGCAGCTGGTCAGTTCGCAAATGGCATGCCAATTCTGACGGCATCAACTGATTGCCAAAACTTCCTAATATTTATTTATTTATTATTTAGATTTCACGTCCAAATTTTCCTATTTTATTTTAATACTAAATCCAAATTAAATTTATCCGACTCGTCCAAAAAACACACGTTGCAAAAGATTTGATCCAACAGTTGAGCTCGAGAAAGGCCCATAATTTTGTTAAAAGAAATGGAAGAATAGGAATAACATTTTGGGCCATTCTTAATGGGCTTAGTTTTATTGTCTTTGAAGTCTGTAAGCCCAAAATATATAAGTTAAATATTTATTTCCAAAATAATATTTTTTTGGATTTTTTACAAAATTACGAATCGAACCCTTGACCTTTATATCTAAAATCTGTATATATATATATTAAAAAAACCTACATATATAAAGGAGATTCAGATAAGGTGCAAATTATAATCTACTTGAAAAAAATGAAAAAAAAAACAAAGGAAAACAAAAAACTACTCAGTTTGTTTTGATTAGAATCATCAAAGAAGATTCTGTACGGATCGGATCTCAAATGGGGCATTATAGTAATTTTCTGAAAGATGAGGTCAACCCCTTGGATTGCTATTTATAGCAGATGTTTTAAAGCCCACATAGACGGCGGCGCTTTAGCTTTTCCACTTTTCCGAGCCAGCGATCTTCCCGAGAAACTCCGCTGCCTCAATTTCTAAATTCTCTCAGACAATGGAAGAACATAAATATGTTCTCACCTCGGAGCCGATTAATGACGCCGAAGACAGCAATGGTATAGAAGAAGATAAATCAATTCTCCTCACCTCGGAGCCGATCAATGACGCCGAAGACAGCAATGATGGCTGGCAGACGGTCACCTATGCCAAGAAGCGTCGAAAAAATCAGAATAAGGAAGCGGCGGTGGATCCTTCTCATGCTTTGGCTAATGGGACCGGCAGCTCCTTCAAGGGTTTGGAGAAGCATGAGCGCGCCGCCGCCCTTCTTAGCGACGATGGTGAAATTCCGGTGAAATCGGACAATGATCGTCGAGGAGACGACGACGACGACGACGACAATAATTCCAGCCGTAATGGCGATGCTCATGGTAGTGGCGTGGGTGTGAACAAGAAGAAGAAGAAGAAGGTTAAGAAGCCGAAGGTCACCGTGGCGGATGCTGCGTCGAAGATCGACGCTGATGATCTCGCCGCTTTTCTATCTAGTTTATCGGTTTGTTTTGTTCTTAGTTCCTTTTTGCTTTCTTCTTGTTGTTGGTGGTGATGAAATTCTCAAAATTTGTTAAACCTTTTGGTGGTTATACATTTAGGAATTGAACGAAGGGCAGCAAGATCAACAAATGATGAAACTTGCGGATTACTTCGGGCGCGCGTTTTCTGCCGTGAATGCTTCTCAATTCCCCTGGCTAAAGTTATTCAGGGAGTCTTCAGTGGCAAACATTGCTGATGTGAGTATATTATGTTTCTTGATAGTCGATTTTTGGTTCTTATGACATCAATTTAGCTTGCTGTTATGTGGGTAGCGTTCTTGTCTCCTTGGAGTTGGTTTTTCTTATGTTAAAATTAAACAAGCTAAGGTAGCTATGTATGCAATATAAAGTTGTTTACTTTTGTTGGTTTGCTAATGAGGTGTGTCCCCTGATGTGATTTTTCCAAATGATCTTGATTAATAAAGTCTTAAGATATTCATATGCAAGAATATTTTATATGTGCACAAGGATTGGTTTCAGACCAATCATGTAAGCTTTTACCATGTAAGTTTTTGAACTTTGTTATTTATCTGATCCGAAATATACTCCATTGTCTGTAATTTGCATATAGGATCACTTTTTCCCTGCTTCATGAAGCATATTTTTGAAACTTAGTCCTATTCTTCCCATGGTTTTCTATTAGTTTTGGTCATGAGGGGTGCACTTATGTGCTCCATATAATTTTCCATGTTAACGTTTTAGACTATTATAGTGCATTTACTAATTGGTTTGTTTCTTGTAAACAGATTCCTGTTTCCTACATATCAGAAGCTGTTTATAAAATTTCAGTTGACTGGATCAATCATCAATCCGACGATTCCTTGGAATCCTTTGTGGCCTGGTCGTTGGATAGCATTTTTGCTGACTTGGCTTCTCTACAGTTGAGATCTAAGGGTTCAAAAAATGGAGTGCAACCAGCAACTTCAGAGTCTCAGGTATGCTCCCAACTTTCTATCAACTAAAAACTTCCTTGTGAATGATTGAGAGCTTTGAGTAATTAACATGTCTGACAGTATTTGAAATTGATAAGGATTGTTGTATGCTATTTTTAAAATCTTTCGAAGAGGTTCCCTTCAAGAAATAAAAGACTTATTTATTAGGTGCTACTATCTATCGAATGAACTGTATATATGGCTGGATGATTAGATGATCATTTGCCTTGTGTTGTAATATACATCAACTTACTGACTGTTGATACTACAGGTTGCTATCTTTCTAACTCTAGCAATGGTATTGCGCCGGAAGCCTGATGTGCTTGTTAATCTATTTCCAAAACTGCGTGAAAACACCAAGTATAAAGGACAAGAAAAGCTTCTAGTTTTAGTATGGATGATACTGCAGGTGTGTAGTGACATAACCGTTTGCTTTCTTGCCGTCATTCTTTTCCATGTTTATTTTTAATTTCCAAGCTGATGATGAGCATTTTCTTGTAGGCATCACAAGGAGACTTGCCTGTGGGATTGCAGTTATGGTCATGTCATATATTACCGATGCTTTCAGGAAAATTGGGGTCATCAAATCCACAAACAAGGGACTTGATTTTGCAGTGAGTGAAAATTTTGAAGCCTAAAAATTCTTTCCATTGCTTTGTTATGATTAAACCCAAAATTTCAATGGCTTGTGTATCTTCATATTTACCAGCATTTTGGTCACACCAAAAGCCCGTAACGTACTAGTCAGCAATGCTATTAGGAAGGGTGAGCGCCTGGTGCCACCTACAGCACTTGACTTACTGCTACACTTTACATTTCCTCCATCTTCGAGACGAACCAAGGTACAATTCGATGAAGTTTTGTAATTTAAATGGACCCAAAAAATTCAGCAGTCATATTCTCTGAAAGTTTGTAAGATGTGAATGTGTGTTCATTGTAGGTCACTGAAAGATTCGAGGAAATTTACCCTCTTCTCAAAGAGGTTGCTCTTGCTGGCACTCCTGGAAGCAAATCCATGAAACAAGTCTCACTGCAGATACAGGATGTAGCTGTGAAAGCAGCTAGGGAAGGTAATTTTGTACTTACTTTCTTGTGCTTCCTTCTAAATTAAGAATCATGAAGGTTCTTAATAAAACAGTCCATTGTAGGTATCCCTGCACTACAGGAGGAAGCAACGAACATCTTTATATGGTGTTTGGCTCAGAATCCAGATTGCTACAAGCAGTGGGTAAGTTTGACTTGAAAATGATTGCGACTGTGATGAAACTTCTGCAGTGGTTTGAACATCTCATCTCTCTGATTCCCTATGCAGTTAATCCTTTACTGAGCTATGTTTGTGCTTGTTGAAAAGATGCCAATAATGCCTTGTGTTGGATTTTGACAGGACGAGATGTACATGGATAATATAAAGGCTAGTGTTGCTGCTTTAAGGAAGCTTTCTGAGAATTGGGATGAATATTCTTCGAAACTTTTGTCTCTTCAAGCCCTCAAAGACACACTCAAGAGTTTCAGGAAGAAGGTCCTCACCAAATTTATTATCTTTATTTCCTTGTTTGGTGAGATTTATGTGGTGATACACATCTGATCTATCTTTTTACCTCCTCGATTTTACAGAATGCGAGTGCAATAAGTGGTGAATTACATAATTCTCAACACTCCCTCTTCAAAGAGGCTGATAATTACTGCAAGGCAATGCTCGGAAGGCTGTCCAGCAGCCATGGTTGGCTGAAAGCTACTGTTCTATCTGCTGTGGTTTTCGCCGTTACTGCAGCAGTTCTGTCCCCCAACATTGGCACCTTTGATTGGGACAAGTTCAACCATTTGTTCAACCCCTAGCAATCTTCTGATGATCCCATCAACATTAGCACCTTTGATTGGGACAAGTTCTCCCATAATACAGTGACTGTGGCTAAAAGTTTTCTCTCCTTGGTGGGCTTTACCATACTAGGATCTTCAATTAAGTTATTCACATATCAAAGAAAGTCTGCTCAATCAAATTGAAATGATTTACATTTTTTCTCCTTCCCCTCTTCAATCTTTGATGTTGCAACTTGTATATACCTTAATTCTGCCAAATGCTCACACAATACAGATCCACACAACTTTGCCTTTTTTCTTACATCTTGGTCAAGTTTAGCCTTATTATTGATCTTGTGCTGGTTCTAGTTTATCACAATTTCTTGTCATGTTACTACTGGGAAGGTTCTAGAGAAGTGTGATAATATTCCAATAAATCTCACGTGGACAAGTGTGAAAGCTGTTGGAGGGCAGCTGGTTGTACCCATTTGGACCAGCAATGGCTGATTAAAAAATTACCCATTTTATTCCTCTCCTGCATAACCTATGCAATTAGTATTTATTTCAGCCTCCTATTATCCATACATACGTACAAATTACAATACAATGATAGAGCACATATTAATATTACAGGAACAGGAGGGGGTAGGCTAGCTGCTTAACTGGCTTCAACAAACAAAACAATGATGGATGGGTTGGATGACTTTCCCTCAACAATAACTTCTTCAATGATGAATGGACATTAAAAAAAATTATGGAATTAGGAACACTTGATTATGCTAAAGTTGTACATTTGCACTCTGGAGACTACTAATTCAACAGACATACACAGTTGCCTTTTTTTTTTTTTTAATCTTTTATGCCGAAGCAAAGAAAAATTCTTTTCTTTGGGTCCAGGCCAGGGTTTAGTCCATCTACCCATTCATTCAGATTCTTTCTTGTTATTAGTCATGGAAAATTTAACTCTTAATAATCTTTTCTGGGTCTGCAAGATTATGTGATGTAATATACATTAAATGATTCAAATTTTATATCAAGCCTATATATAGATATGTGTATATACAGCAAATGAGATCATATTTTTTCATAAATACTGTGTGCCTTAACTGTAAAATATATTAGGAAAACTGCATTAAATTCACGCGGTGATGCCATCCCTTTAACAAAATAATTGGTTAAAATTTAAATCAGTAAAAATGGTTAGTCACTGTAAATTATTATTATTATAATGCTGTACACAATGGAATAGTCAATGTCAATATAAGATGTCAAAGGCAGACGAGTCATTATGTTGAGCGACCAACAAATAAAAATCCTTTCTTTTTTCCTTACCAAAATTGAAGGGCAGAAAAAAAAAAAAAAAGAAAAGAAATTGATAAAAGAAGTATAGAGATAAAGAAGGCTTTTACTGTATCTCTCGAACAAAGAGGAGCGATCTTTGGATAGTAGAGAGAGCGAGGGAGGGAGAGGGGATTGAGAAAGCGGGGGCGATCTGAAGGGAAATGGGAACACTTCAGACATGGAGGAAAGCCTACGGTGCTCTCAAAGACCAAACAAAAGTTGGCCTTGCTCATGTTAATTCCGATTTCAAGGTCTTCCTTCTTTCAATTTTGGGTCTTTCTTGTTTGCTCTTGAACTTTTGTTGAACCCTTTATTTGTTTACTTTGGAGGGCGTAGAATTATTGCGTTTTCGATTTAGGCGGCTTGGGTTTGATTGCTTCGGATAGGGCTGTGTTCAAGAAGTTAGTGATGAATTCTTCGTTGAGGGTTTTTAACTTTGATATTTTGTTATCGATGGCTAAAAATAGGATTTGGATGTGGCGATCGTTAAGGCTACAAATCATGTCGAGTATCCACCAAAAGAGAGGCACCTTAAGAGTGAGATCTCTTTCTTCTCTAGGTTTCATCCGTTGTTCTATATTGCCAGATCCATTATTTTGTGCCGCCGATGTTTTTCGATTTTAGTTGGATCATGATCCACTCTTCTTACAGGGGTTCTTATTATGAAGATTTGCGATACTGTGGGTGGGGGGGTGGGGGTGTTGATCTTCAATTTTGTGGAGATTTCTGCTTTAATTTTATTGAAATTGCTGACAGCACACGAGTATTGAGGATGGGGTTGGGAAAATTAGCTGAAGATTTAGATTTCCTAATGGATTTTGTAACATGTGGAAAATGGAGAATGCCTGAGTATTGTTTATTGGGGGAATCATTTGTGTTACCATCTACTCAGTCGGTTGAATTTGGAAACCATGTTATTTCATATCTGTATTCTTGCAGAAATTATGGTTGCAACATCAGCAATGCGACCTCGGGCCGATGTTGCATACTGCATACATGCACTTGCTCGACGGTTGGCAAAGACACATAACTGGACGGTATGCCTCCTGTTCCCCTGAGTAGATTGTTTCTTTCTTCCTATAATGTATTACTGAGGACTTCATCTGAGTATGTCTGGTTATATGGTTATGACTATCTATTTGTAGGATCAATTTTCTGGTCGAATTTTGCTGGAATATGTGATTTAACCATTCTGTGCTGTTTTGGAAGTTCTTTTCCTCAGATAATAATTAATTCCTTGCTTGTTGGGACCTCGAATATATGTCTATTGTTTCTTTCATTTTCGACAGGTGGCGTTAAAAACACTAATAGTTATCCACCGAGCTTTGAGAGAGGGTGATCCCACATTTAGGGAGGAACTCTTGAATTTTCAGCAAAGAGGCCGAATCCTCCAAATGTCCAATTTCAAGGATGAATCTAGTCCTATTGGTATGTTGTTCTGGTAGTCCTACATTCTCTTTTAATTATTTGCTTTGCCTGCCAGCCAAAGCCCCACTGGAATGAAGAGTAAACAAACAAACAATGGTTTGAAATGGGATGATGAATTTCTGTCTTTCCAGCCTGGGATTGCTCTGCTTGGGTACGAACCTATGCACTCTTCCTGGAAGAACGGCTGGAGTGTTTTCGGATTCTTAAGTATGACATTGAATCAGAGCGCCTTCCTAGACCTGCACAGGGCCAAGATAAGGTATGTTCTTATGGACATGCCAGACAACAACAATTATAGTTTGTGTTAATTTGTTTAAACGAAAAGTTAATACTGTAGAATGATATCGCTAGTTTTGCTTTCCACAATAAGTATGACCATTTCCTTGCCAATATCTACGCAATCTTGTTTTCTATTATCTACATGTAATAGTGAACACCATCTTAGATTCCTAGTTATTTTACAGTTCGTTTTTTGAGGTGATGTATGCTATATATGAAGTTGAGAGGTACTTATGATTTCGGGGTGTTGTTTTCAGGGTTACAGTAGAACTAGAGACTTGGAAAGTGAAGAACTTTTGGAGCAATTGCCTGCTCTGCAGCAATTGTTATATCGTCTTATTGGGTGTCGGGTACTCTCATAATCTGTTAATTAAGTTTTTTACCATTTCTAATTGCTATTTATCACATTGGAAAAATACATCTAAATTGTCTAATTGACTTTGCTTTTCAGCCTGAAGGAGCAGCTGTAAACAATTATGTAATCCAATATGCCCTTGCATTGGTATGTGCTTTTTCTCTCAAATGTGTGCTCGATTTTATTAGTATTTGTGTGAAAGAAACTAAGGGGACAATGATTTGAGAATGTTCTAATTTTCCCAACCGCGTTTGTGATTCAGGTGCTCAAGGAGAGCTTTAAGATTTATTGCGCCATAAATGATGGCATAATCAATCTCGTTGACAAGGTATATGCAAATACTATTTCAATTTTTCTCGTGCGGTTTAGTAATATACTGTCCATTGAGACAATTATTGTCCTCTCCAACTTTGCATTTCAGTTCTTTGAGATGCCAAGACACGAAGCTATTAAAGCCCTCGACATCTATAAGAGAGCCGGTCAGCAGGTAATTACTTCTCGCAACCCATTAAAGTTTCCTCTTCATTTAGTGTCAACATTCCTTATTTGATTCTTCCATTTTCTTTCTGGCATGTTAATGATTATCCTCTTATGGCAGGCCAATAGTCTTTCTGATTTCTACGACATTTGCAAAGAGCTTCAACTTGCTAGAAATTTTCAGTTCCCTGTGCTGAGAGAGGTGAGCAATCTGCAGAATTCTGGGCATTAACCCTAAAAATTTCTGAAGCCCCGATGATGGATTGATGTGGTTTCCTCATTGTATGTTCTACAGCCGCCACAATCTTTTCTTGTGACCATGGAGGATTATATAAGGGAAGCACCGAGAATGGTTTCTGTTCCAGCCATGAATTTGGTTAGTACTTTTACGTATGAACTGATATTCTGCCTTTTTCGTCGCAAATGATTTATTCAGAGTATATCAGGAGTATCCGGAGAGGCTGATGCTTACATACAAGGAAGAAGACGGCCCTTCAGAGCCGGAGGAGACAACAGAGTTGTCTGAAGAGCCTCAACCCCCACCTTCTGCTGAAGTCGAGCAAGTTGCTGTCTCGACTGTTGAGGCAGCTCCTCCCGTGCCTCCTCCTATCAACTTAGACACGGATGATCTCCTCGTGAGTTTCTTTAATCTCGATATCCTAGTATACATGATCATCAACAATTTGCTATTTTGGCTAAACAAATATAAATGGGTAAATCCATTCTAGGGTTTGAACACAATTACGCCTGATGCGGCTGCAATAGAGGAAAACAATGCATTGGCCTTAGCTATAGTTCCAACAGGTCAGCATTTCTTGTATCTCCCATTATAGTCGTCGTATTCTTGATTATTCTTGATTAAGAATGTTATATATGATATGCTTGCTGCAGGTTCGACCCCAGCAAACTCCGATGCTTCCCATATGAAAGACTTTGACCCGACAGGATGGGAACTCGCCCTCGTCACTACCCCGAGCACCAACTTGTCGGCTGCTCAGGAGAGGCAATTGGTAGGTACCCATAGCCTATATGCTTTCGCAAAACTGTTTCCATCACTTATTGCTGCCATTTCATTTTCTGTGTCGCCAAATTGCAGGCTGGCGGACTCGATTCTCTCACCCTCAACAGCTTATACGATGAAGGCGCATACAGAGCTTCCCAGCAACCTGTGTACGGAGCCCCTGCGCCGGTTCCCAATCCATTTGAAGTTAACGATCCGTTTGCAGTTTCCAATCCTCCAACATTCCAAGTGGCAGCTCCGGCACATCAGAACAACCCGTTTGCCGCATTCCAACCTGCTTATCCTACACAGCATCCGGTGATAACCCCACAGAACCCTTTTGGGGACTCGGGACTGGGAGCATTTCAAGCTCATCATGTGAATGACACCGGACTTGGAGTATTCCCAGCTACTTCTCATCCCCAGGCTTCCAATCCATTTGGAAGCGCCGGGTTGATTTAAAGGCGGCGAACGAGGATGATGATGCACATAATACAGACTGTAAGTTACGTTACTACTCGGATTTGATTGATTTGGAATATGTTTGCAATGGCGGCATTGGGCAGTGTTGGTTTTTGGGGCTTCTTGAGCATGTAAACTTTGTCTTGAGCTTGAGCTTAGCTGAGCTGCTTGTAAGAAAGAGACACACTGCTGGAAAAACCTATTTTTGTAATAAATACTTGTTGATATCATTCTATCCTAATATATATTTAATTAAGGAGTTCTCGATTATCGCGAGAATCTTCCGCCGCCGCCAGTGGTGGGTCGCGGCGGCGCCTGCACTACTTATAGAAGAATGAATAATTTATTTCAATATTATATATATAATCATATTATTATTATTAGAGTACTTCGTAGATTGCGGGAGGTACAACTCTTCTAACCCTAGGTTGGATCAATCCATCCCTGCCTTGCTAAAATAGGGATCAAATTCGAAGTAGATGATATCGTGCTTATTTTATTTTACTTTTTGAAATATCTGGGGCGTGACAACAATATATAATTATTGTATGATAAAATTAGGGCAACAGGTCCAGTACTGTGGCATGGGCACATTGTACAAAAGGTAATGCAATTTCGTTACAGTTGGGGACCAAACCACAACCAGTTTTAGTATTATAAAATAATCAATTTCTATTAGTTCCCATTGCTGGCACAGCCTTGCAGTTAACATCAAAACAAATAATTAAATAAACATATAATTATATATATATATGTAAAGTGGGTAAATTAGCAATATCAAAAAAAGAATTAGGACGTAATTAATGGAAAAGTTGAAGATTTAAAATTTAAAAGCTAAAGGCACATATTTGATTATTGACCAAATATAGAAAAGGTAGTGAGGGAGGAGGAAAGAAATGATGATGCGATGCAGTAGCATATTGGTTACCTTTATTGGGCCCACACCTTTATAGCGGGGCCCATCATCAGTCCATTTGCTAGCTTGGTAGGGCCCAACCCATTCCTTTTCCCAATCCCCAATAATTTTGTTGCCATTTTATTATTCATTATTAATTATATATAAAGCCTTACATGTAATCTGAATTTTTTATTTTAGTAGTACTATAACATTCTGCTAAATAGAAAATGGACCAAACTTGGCCATGAAATCTTTAGGATCCATTATTTTAGTCAAGTTTCAAGTCTGCTTTGGTTGTTTTGTTCAAACCGCCCTTCATTTCTAATTCCACTTTCTCTCCTTCTTTATTTTTTTGGAAACCCTCAACGAATACGTCTGATTTTTGTCTATTTTGATCGGTTTTGTTGATAATCCCTTCCTACTATCTCAGTGATCATTAGAATTCTGTACACACAAGAAATGGCTGCAAATAAATTTGCAAGTATGGTGCACAGAAACAGCAACAAGATTACTCTGATTCTCGTCTACGCAGTTCTTGAATGGATCCTTATAGTCCTCATTCTGTTAAACTCCCTGTTTACGTATTCGATCCTCAAGTTTGCTGAGTATTTTGGGCTGAAGCGACCCTGCCTATGGTGCACTCGAATAGATCATATCTTTGATCGTAGTCTTTCAAAAGGGGGCAAGAAATTGCCCAGGGATCATCTCTGTGAAGCTCATTCTATGGAAGTTTCCAGATTGGGGTTCTGTTCGAGTCATCAGAAATTGGTTGAATCTCAAAACCTGTGTGGGGATTGCGTGACCTCGTCGAGCTCAAAGAATGGTAATGACGGTGAGGTTAAGTTGAGCTGTTCTTGCTGCGGTGCGAGTTTAACTTGTAATAAATTATATGCATCTTGGGATGTTTTGGAATTGGAATGTGCCCAGAAAGTGAATTTTGTTAAGACATTCGAAGATGACGAGAAAAAGGAAACCTCGGATTTGACAATGGAAGATAAGTCTGTTCAGGTTTGCGTCGAAGAATTAGACACTTGTGTTGAAACCTCCACTCAGCATCTGGAATTTTGTTTGGACTACAGCGGACATACATTAGTTCCAATCGAAACCAATGAAGATGATGATGATGATGGCAAGAACAAGGGACAAGAAGTTGCTCCTGATCTTCAAATTGCATCGAAAGAGGATGGATTCATTGATGTTGATTTAAACGAGGAGCCTCATCAGTGTCTCATGGAAATCGAAGAAGATGAAAACTCATTATTTTTTCATCCGAAAACCGCGCATTTGGTTGAAGCTTTCGACACATTTCCAATAGCCCGGTGGCCTTCCGAAGACATACAATATGCGCAAGAACTTGTCGAAGCATCCATGGATGCTCATTCAGGTATATATGTTTTACTTACTTGCTGTTATCTGTCGAAAGCTCTGTAAATTAACACAATGCACCTTGTCCAGACATCGAAGAAGCAGCTTGGGAAAGCAATGGAAACAATGCAGACGTTTCAATCGGAACAGAAATCCCTGATCTTGATATAATTCAAGAACACGATGATTTCGAAGAGAAGGTTCCGGATACACCGACATCCATGGAGAAAAGGGATTACGAAGAATCACTGGATGGAAGTGTGATGAGCGAAATGGACGGCTGCGATGGAGCCGTTATGATTGAGCAGTTGAGATCAGCTTTGCGAGAAGAGCGTAAGGCGCTTCGGGTGCTGTACTCAGAGCTAGAAGAAGAGCGTAGCGCGGCTGCTGTTGCAGCCAATCAGACGATGGCGATGATAAACCGGCTGCAGGAAGAGAAGGCGGCGATGCAGATGGAAGCATTGCAGTATCAGAGGATGATGGAGGAGCAAAGTGAGTATGATCAAGAAGCTCTGCAGCTTCTGAATGAGCTGATGGTGAAGAGGGAGAAGGAGAAGCAGGAGGTTGAGAGAGAGCTGGAAGGGTACAGGAAGAAGCTTCTAGAATACGACAGAAACGATACGACGAGAGTGTCGAGAAACAGCAGCAGCAGCCGCAATGGAGTTTCGTCTGGCGAGGACAGCGACGGAGTTTCGGTCGATCTGAATCGCGAGGAACATACGCCTGTCGATGCAGTTTTCGATTTGGAGGAATTTGAGGAGGAGAGGTTGTCCATTCTTGAGCAGCTAAAACTTTTGGAAGAAAAGCTTCTAACTTTAGACAACCACGGTGACGACGATGAAGTTAGAGAAGTCGAGGTTATCAATGGACACACAAATGGCTTCGCAAACGGCGCGAAATCCAACGGTCATCGTCACAACCAAAGGGTTGCAGCAGGGTGTAATGGGAGATCACTCCTTCCTCTGTTTGATGCAATAAGTGATGAGAACGGAATGAATCACGACGGCGTGCAAGATTCTTACGCGCCGAGGTTTGGTATGCGAGAAAAGAAGCTCGCCGTGGAAGAGGAAGTGGATAATCTCTACGATAGGCTACAAGCACTCGAGGCAGATGGAGAGTTCCTCAAGCACTGCATTGGCTCTCTAAAGAAGGGAGACAAAGGGATGGATCTTCTCCAAGAGATCTTACGACATTTGCGCGATCTTCGCAGCATCGAGCATCGAGTGAGGCCGATGAACTGATCATCATGCATGTATGTTGTTATTACAAGCAAGAATTCATACAATTCATTATTTAACACTTCCCAGATCATTACAACATCCCATTCAATTCCTTGTTGTTGTTGCAGAGGTTTCATTTTGAAGCAATGGAAGTGTTGGAAGTCTGTTGTTGTTTTGTCCTAAGAATTAATGTCTTGTTGAGGGGAAAAAGGGGGAAGATGAATGCATGTGTATGTAGTGTAGTGTAGTGTAGTGTAGGAAGCCCAGCCTGTCATTTTTTTTGTATGTTTCTGTGAGTTATAGAGACAGAGAGCCAGCAAACATTTTCTCTGCCAAATTCATGGCAAAATTCTGTGTTTTTTTTATCATATTGAATTATTTGTTTGTGAAGGAAAAGAGAACCAAACATTGCTTTCACATGTGAATATAAATCATGCATAATATATATACCAAACTTTTTGGTAGGACAGTGGTGGTTTAAATAATGGTGATATGATCGATCTCTTTCTCATACATAATACATTAATTAGATGGGCAGTAGCAGTGGCTAATTAAAGGCAGACTTTTTATTACAAAGATAACTCAGTAGCACCTTCTGCTTAATCATTTCTGCTCACTTTTGTACACTACATATTCATCAAATTACAACATGCATTGCATCTCACTGCTAAAATAAAAATAATAATAATAAATAAGTTAATACTATATATATATATATATTATTAATTGTTGATCAAGCTGGTATTAATTTAATTCAAAAACAGAAAAAGTTAGTTTCCAGGCCCATTAAACCCAGGGAAAGCCCAATCCCATTTCAATGGGCTAAAAGCTTATTTGTGACCACAGTTCATTGAAAAAAAGTATTTTCTATCCAAACAAAGGAAAGGAATAGCATTTTCTCAAAGAATTAATCACTTTAATTCTTAATAAATTATTATGGTTGAGGGATGGGATACCCCAAGTTACAGTGGCTATTGATGACAATTTTTTTTTTTTTTTTTTTTTTTTTTTTTAGTTTTGCATATTATTGTGTTTGATATATTTAGGCATATAGTACATACTTTGTAGGTACGGTACGATGAATTTGATGACTGTTCCTAACACGGACAACTCATCCTCATGCTAATCATAAGGATAAGGAATACGGCGGCGTAGTCTAGTCAATGGAGTTGTTTTGACAATGGCAAAATGTCAACACCATTCCAATTTCCAATTAAACTTAACCTAACGATAATATAATTAATTAATTAATTAGCTAGCATTCACACAAAATTTCAACCTGCTGAATGCCTAGAATAGCATTATATATTTCAATCAATAAAAAATATGTTGCCATAATTTCGTTGAGAGTGTATATGATATGTAAGAAAGGATTCATCTTTAATTTTAATATATATATATATTTATATGTGGGTAATGAATAAATCAAAGGTCAGCAACATAACTGTAAGTGAAAATTAAATCCAACCAGGATCCATGAAACTACCTACTACATCTGTGGTTGAGGTAGCTGTCACTAAATGTAAAAATGAAATATATATATATAATGCGTGACAGTTTGTTACTTTGTGTATATGGTGAGGTAAGTACCAAGCAAAGCACAAGTCAACCTGACACCCGTAATATTATATACTAGTACTATATATATAATTTATATATATAAGTTGCGTGGTATATAAGATTTATTCATACCCAATTTGGCAATCACGACTAATTCCTCCATGGATATATAAAAATATATACACACAAACAATGTGAATACTTTTGACAAAATATTTACTAGTGATTGCTCCCAAACATATTTTTGACTGCTTACTTTTCCTCATGCCCTACAACATGAAAATAAATTAATAAACTCTTAAGCTAAAATGCCAAATTAAGGAAGGAATCAAGATTTGTGTAAAAAAATTGGGAGAGAAGTTTTGCCTAATTTATATGAAAATAAATTAAATTAAATAAAAACTATTTCCATCCTATCATTTTAAAATGTACAATAGCAAATTAATTTTTTTTTTTTTTTTTTTTTTTTAAAAAAGATTGGAAGAGAAGCATAGTTTATTGAGTTCAAAGATCAGTGATCACAAGAGCTAAAAGGACGACGTTAGCATGCAATATGCAAAAAACAAGGGTTTGCTTACTTGTTTTTGTACTATTTAGCTTGATTACATCTAAATTATATTTTTATTTAAAACATTTTACAAAAATTATTATTGAAAGATTAGGATATATATACATAAAATGTTAGTATTTTTTATTCATTCTTTCACCATTTACAAAATAATATATCCCTTGTATATATCCTTAACGCGTTGTGGCAGCCAACAGCGACTAGTGCTAGTGCTAGTTATAACTACAAGTTGCATTAATTAATATTGTAGTAATTTTTTTATTTTAAATTTTTTCTAACCAACTACACGTACGTACATACATGCATACCCTTCACCTATAAATACACCCCACGACCACACTTGCTATATCGTTCAACTCATCATCGCTCAAATCGATCATCTGTCTTGTTTCATTCTTAATTAATTTCTCTAAAAAATACTCTTAAATTTCCATTAATCAATCAGTTAATTAATAACACTAATGGACACCTTATTCTCGATTTCCTCCCGCAACGGTGTCGTCGCCATTGCATATTCCCTGTTGCTGACGTGGCTCGCACAGGCGCAGCAGCAGCAGCAGCTGTCTCCGACATTCTACGACAGCAGGTGTCCGAATGCAGTGAGCACTATCCGTACATCCATCCGCCGCGCCATCTCCGGCGAAAGGCGGATGGCGGCGTCGCTCATCCGCCTCCATTTCCACGATTGCTTCGTCCAGGGCTGCGACGCCTCCATCTTGCTCGACGAGACCCCCACCATCCAGTCGGAGAAGACCGCCTTCCCCAACCTCAACTCCGCCAGAGGCTTCGAGATTATCGAGGCCGCCAAGAGGGACGTCGAAACCATCTGCCCGGGAGTCGTTTCTTGCGCCGATATACTCACCCTCGCTGCCCGCGACGCCTCCGTCATGGTCGGAGGGCCGTCGTGGACGGTGGCGCTCGGAAGAACGGACTCCGCCACCGCCAGCCGTTCTCAGGCCAACACTGATCTCCCCAGCCCTTTCGACCCCCTCGATGCCCTAATTCTTGCATTTGACAGAAAGGGTTTTACTGTCCGCGACATGGTTGCTTTATCTGGTAATAATTAATTATTAATTAGACATTATTAATTATTATATTATACTATTAATGTAAACCATATATGCATGCAGGTGCACATACACTAGGGCAGTCCCAGTGCTTCCTGTTCCGGTCGAGAATATACAGCAACGCAACCGACATCGACGGCGGGTTCGCCAGCACACGGCGGCGCGGCTGCCCTCAGAGCGGCGGCGACACCAATCTGGCCCCGCTGGATCTGGTCACCCCCAATTCATTCGACAACAATTACTTCAGGAATTTGGTGCAGAGAAAGGGTCTTCTTCAGTCCGACCAGGTGCTCTTCGGCGGAGGAGGATCCACAGACGCCATTGTAACAGAATACAGCAGAAATCCACGACTCTTCGCCGCCGATTTCGCCGCCGCCATGGTTAAAATGAGTGAGATTCCTCCCCAGCACCAGAACGGTATCATAAGAACAATCTGCAGCGCCGTCAACTAAACCCCACCATTAATATATATATATATGTTTTAATCAAACATTCATATTCCCAAGTGTAGATGCTGTTATCTTTTTGTAATTGTGTTATTAAATCTCCATATATAGATATTCACATTTAGATTTAGTAGATTTAGATTTGAGGCGATCGAGTCGGTTATTTATAGCCTCTATCTTCATTATGAATAATAATATAATTTTATAGTATCCATAAAATATTTTCTACGTGCAAATTAACAGTTTGGCAAAAGCAGCAAAGATGATTGATTGTAGATGATAATCGTCTCTCAGGTGAAGTTGTCAACTCCGAAGTTCTAAAGTTCATCCTAGCTCGACTTCCGGTAAAGTCTCTCTTCCGATTCAAATCTATTTCCAAGTCATGGAACTACACGATTTCGAGTAGGGACTTCAACATCATGCATCTCCATCAATCCAAGAATTCATTGTCATATCGAGACATAGTTGTTTCTCGGAACTACCATTACAATCGATTTGGCCTCTCTGAATTGGAAAACGATGAATTGAAGTCATTGTTCGACCTCAAACTCAAATGCAATGTACGCGACCTCTTCCGTACATGGCAATGCTGTGATGGCCTAATACTCATGTCCTCGACTTATTACATGGAAAAACCCTTTTTGGCTCTGTGCAATCCCTCGACTAGAACGGTTACAAATTTGGGGTTCCCTCTTAATTACTGTGACTTCAGTTTCAAATGTCGCATCTATTTTGATCCATTATCGAATGATTATAAAATAGTACTCATCAATAAGAAAAAATACGCCTTTTTTGACAACAGAAGCCGGAGTTGGAGCGAGCCGAAGACTGTGGAAATTACGGATATTGGAGCTGATTTTAAGAGCTTCCCTTGGGATGGCGATATGATATGTTGGAGCAATAAAGTCATAAAAACAAGAAGAATCGATAGGGTTAATATCGAAATAATTTTTTTCAGCCCCAGAGACGACAAATTCTATAAACTTCTTTACATTGTAAGGGGAAGATTCAAAAACAAGAATTCTTATCGTATTGTCGATTCTTCACCTGGCCAATTTTGCATGATAATTGGCGATATTTATACTAACAAGATCCGCGTTGTGTGGAAGAAAACCGGCGGCAAATGGATGAAGATCGACGATTTTCAGATCACGTGGGATATATGTTGTTGGGAGGTGTACCTGACCGACGACGGAGAGCTTATATTCCGAGCTACTGCGGATTCTTTTATAGTCTATAATTTGATCGAGAGAAAGGATAGGTTGATTTATAAGCCAAACCGTACATATTTTTGTTCGTGTTTTTTGTTCAGATGCGTAGATAATCTCTTCTTCGCTGATAGCTGTTGAGATAGGTTTAGTTTATGTTCCTTGGTTTGTTTTAAATTTGTTTATTTTAGTTGGAATATTAATTTGATCCAATTTTTTTTTGAAAAGTGGGGGTGTAGGAAATCCAATTATTTTACCTTGGTTGTGAAAATTTAGAATGTGATTGGTTTCGATAAAAAATCAAAAAATAAAAATAATAGTTATTAGTTGTCGTTGCCGTTGCCGTTCCACTGTATTAAATTAAAAAACAATACTTTCAATTGAATTAAAGTCGAAAATAAAGAAACTTTCGATGTAGTCGAAAACAACAAGAATGAATATCTAAAATATCTCAACAAATATCAAATCATATATATCAAAGTTCTTTGTAATTTTTTTCAATGTAGTAACGGATATTGTTCACTAATTAAGAAATTTGAAATTTATTTTCTTTCGACCATGCATACTTAAAAGTTGGAAAAGCTATATTGAATTACTATTTACTAACTTCATGTACATATATAGCCCTGTAGATTAAGATGGTGATGAGGGTATGTTTCTTACTTTATTTACACCAAAAACTTCAGTTTTATACTATTTAAATTTTGTGTTTTTAAAAAAATATTTTTGTTTTTTTTGTTTTTTCCAGAATTATACATTATTTTAATACAAAACTTAAATCAAAATCTTCTCAAATCTATCAAAGAAACAAACTCTAATAATATTTTAATTAATAAGCTACAAACAATTGATCGAGCCCAACGTGAATAAGCTCTATATCATCTATGTCAGAAAGGACAGAAAAGACATGAATCTTGCCAATATATCCTATGAGAGAATAAATTGAATATGCAAAGGGAAAAAGAATAAAGCAATAGGAATAAAAATAGGACAAAAAAAAAGCCATACAACTTATTTAAACATATACTAACATTAATTGTAATGAATATATTAATGCAAGAAATTAAATAAAGAAAACTTGAGACCTAATAGAGAAAAAATAGGCATATAATTATCATTAAATACCGACCATGTTAATTTAATTATGTACCCTCATTAGACAATAAATGCGTATAAACATAATTAATTAGTAACCATAAAAAAAAAAAAAAAAAGAAAAATTACTTTGATTTATTAATTAGTTTTTAAATATAATTGGGGAACCTTCTGGACGTGGAGCGAAAAGCGCAGATCTGATTGTTAGGCGTAGGAAAATGATGATACGTGCGGTGCAGAATATAATTCTCTCCTCTTTGGTTTTTCTTTTCTCGCTTTATTCTCTCTCCATTTTATTTATAGATTTATCACCCGACTGAACTCTCGCCAAAACTCGCTCGCGCTGTCCCTGCTGTGTTCTCTGTCCCTCTTCCGGTAATTGTGTCTGTGTTTGGATCTGAGAATGAGATGATTTATTGTATTATGTAGACACCGTGATCTCCGACTGTTGTACACTGAAATTTCTTTATTTGTGTTCTGAATTTGGTGTTTTTGGTGTTCCAGCAAGGGGTTTTAAGATAATATGGCGACGTTCAGTATTAGATCTGTGAAGACGTCCCCGTTCGATGGGCAGAAACCGGGGACATCTGGTCTTAGGAAGAAGGTATTTTGATTTTTGGTAATGTTATGTTGTTTTTTTTGCGGGAATATGTCTGCGCGCGCCTCCGCTTAGTTACGTAATTGCAGCATCGATATATGATCCTCTTAAAAATGTGACCATTTTTTTGAATCATCTGGCGTTTTCTAACAAAATTTAGCTCCACTAGTAGGAATTTACTGGCCATCTTTGGTTATTCCCTAGTATAGTTGGTATGCGCGCCTTTTATTGCTTGATGCGTGGTCTCTAAGATCTTATCGGGTATAAGTTGGTCTTTTGATAATCCTTAATTTTGGAAACATCTCAATTTTAGTGATGGGACGTCTTGATTTTGTGTATGTTTATGAATTAATTTAGTGATCATGGTTGATGTTCTTGTTGAGGGATCTGGACATCTATGAATACAACCAAATTTATTTTGGAACTAATTTTAAATTGGCGAGCTCAAGAGTCTTCATAATTTAAATTTCTGTCTCAACTCTCAACTGTATGTGGTGAGAGAGTGTCTTAGGACTGATGATCAAGATCCAACAAAAGCTTTCCATATATTTATTGAGATTTGGTTCCCCTTCAATATTAATAGCTAGAATTTTCCTTGTTAAGTATTTCCAATCATATTTTCGGTCTAGAATCTTTCAACCTGTGTGTAATTGATCAAGTTTAGAAGACAGAAGATTTAAAAAGGAGCTAATTGCAGAAAATTCTGATGTTGGTATCAAAGGACAATTTGTGCTTTTCTTGTTAGTGTTTTCGTGTAGTCTAAGATTGTTGAAATTTGAGTTTCTATTTGGTCTGGTACTAGTATCAAAAGGGCAGTATTTGGAAGTTTTTGAGGTGCCAGCTTGTAACTTGCTGCTCTTATGGATAATTGGTTTCTGGATTGTGACCCAATCTTAACAAATGTCTCAGAATATTAAGTTCAGTTTTGCATCTTCATTATTTGCAAGATTTTCTGAGTGTTTTCTTCCATCATTAATCCTGAGATAAATTGAATACATGATTCAGGTCAAGGTATTCATGCAAGCAAATTACTTGCACAATTTCGTTCAATCCACATTTAATGCCCTTGGAGCTGATAAAGTCAAAGGTACATTATTCAGAACTTGCTAGCACCTTTCTCTGTTTTGAATGTTCATTGCCATTTGCTGAATTATTGTAGCGATCTGTCCCAACGGGCAGAGGGAAAAGATAGAAGTTGCTGTCTTGGAGTCAAACAGCATATATGTTGGCTAGAGTTTATAGATTTTATTTAAAGCCTTGTATGCACATGATCTACTTCTACTTGTCCTTTTGTATCTTGATCATTTGGGCTGGATTCAGGTGCTACAATTGTTGTCTCTGGTGATGGGCGTTACTATTCAAAGGATGCTATCCAGGTATGAATGAAGGCCACTGTATCATCAGTCATATTTACTGCACGGACATCTCGTTTGTTTTAGGTATTTTCATGATGGAGCATAGCCATTATGGAACACTTCTCTTCAAAATTTATGTTCCTCTACATGTTCTATATCACTTTGTGTTACTTTTGGCCCCTTTTTTACTTACTGCATAACATTGTGCTTGTGTTTGTATAAATTTTTTTTGTCAATTTGGTATGAATAATTTTTATCCCATGGCAGATCATTATAAAAATGGCTGCTGGTAATGGAGTAAGACGTGTCTGGATTGGCCAGAATGGATTGCTGTCTACACCTGCTGTATCTGCTGTTATTCGAGAAAGAGTTGGCCCTGATGTAACTATCCTATATGGATTATTCATATCAAAATTTGCGTTCCGACTTCTATAAGATCTTTATTTGAAATGATTAAATAGGTGCCTTATTGTGAAATCTCTTCAGGGATCCAAAGCAAATGGGGCTTTTATACTCACAGCAAGCCACAACCCTGGGGGACCTACTGAGGTGTGTTCCTGAAAATCCCCCCTATAAATGCACTAGATAGTGGTGTGTTTGTTTGAGGGATTTTGCCAAAAATCCACTACTCATCCAAAAAATTTTCCTCAAAAACATCACATTAAACACCTATTTTTCATTTTTTATATTATTCTAAAAATCAATTTTACATTCAAAACATCATATCAACTTCTATTTATATCACATCATACAACTATTCAATTTCAAAATTTTTACTATTCAAACCTCCAAACAAACACACCCATAGTGTAAGATTGCTAGTTTTACCTTCTTATGTGGTTCATATTACCATAGAGTGAGTGTGTTGGTCAAGTATAGATTCAGCAGTTGTTGAAGATACCCATGGTGTGTCCCTTTAAGGTCTCAAATCGGTCTCGCACTATTCATAAAAAATTTCTCCCAAAACTATCAAATAGACATCGAATTTTCATTTAATATGCTAGACAAAAAGTTATTTTCCATTCAAAATATTGGATCAAATACCTATTTATATGATATCAAATACTATTTTAATTCAAAATTTACCATTTCTAAACCTCTAAAACCCAATCCAAACCTCCAGGGAACACACATCAAGGATCTGACAGGTTAACAGTTAGGAAACATATCAAAGGCTTTCATGGACCTGTAATTACCCACGGGCCTTTGAATGGTGTATTGAGTCTATTGACAAATGCCCGTTTCTATTCTCGTCATTGGGACAAGAAAAACTGGGATGACCCAAATCAGATAATGAGTTCACTTATTTTGCTTGTTTTCTTTCCAGGATTTTGGAATCAAATACAACATGGAAAATGGTGGACCTGCACCTGAAGGAATCACTGATAAGATCTATTCAAACACCACCACCATTAATGAATACATGATTGCAGAAGGCCTGCCAGAGGTGTGCTCTATTTTAAAAACACACCTGTACATTCCCAATTGCAATCATAAGGTCTTGTGATCTTACTTTTCCCCCCTCTTTATATTAATTCAAACTGCAGGTGGATATCTCACAAGTGGGATTGACTAACTTCAGGGGTCCCGAGGGGCAATTTGATGTTGATGTTTTTGATTCAGCAGATGATTATGTCAAATTGATGAAGTATGTTTCTCCCTATTGATGGAATTTAGTAATGTGAATTTCTAGTTGATATGCTAATGCATGTGCACTTCTTCTTGTGACGTGATATTTGATCGCTATGCTGTAACAAAGTTTCTTGTGTATCTTTTTCCAGGTCAATTTTTGATTTTCAATCCATCAAGAAGTTACTGACATCTCCAAAATTCACTTTCTGGTATGCCTATATATCCTTCTTTGGAACTTGGCAGTTATAAATTGATCATATCATTTCATTTGCTAGTTATGATGCATTAAATGGAGTTGCGGGAGCATATGCTAAGCGTATATTTGTGGAAGAGCTAGGTGCAAAAGAAAGCTCTTTATTGAATTGTGTGCCCAAGGTGCCATTTAGTTCTTCAGTTCTTACCGCAGCAAAATTATTGTAACAAAATGCTGCTCTGCTAATTGTTCTTTTCTGCATATTTTATTTCCAATATTCTTTATCACAGGAAGATTTTGGCGGAGGGCATCCTGATCCCAACCTGACCTATGCAAAAGAGTTAGTTGCTCGTATGGGATTGGGTAAAGCCACCAGTGAACAGGAACCCCCGGAATTTGGTGCTGCTGCTGATGGAGATGCAGATCGTAATATGGTTCTTGGAAAAAGGTAAGCTTTGGGTATTTGATGTTGATTTCTGGACAGCGATATGATTCTTTCAATTATTTTCAGGTTTTTTGTCACTCCCTCTGATTCTGTTGCTATCATTGCGGCAAATGCTGTCCAAGCAATACCTTACTTTTCTGGTGGTCTAAAGGGAGTTGCAAGGTACTGTTATTTCTCTGTTTGCATTTCTTTGTCACCAATTGGCCGTGTTAGCTTGTTACACAAGTTGGTGCATGCTATACTACGTATAAACATGAAGTATAATTTTCATTTTTTTTCCCATTCTGTGTCAGGAGTATGCCTACATCAGCTGCTCTTGATGTTGTCGCTAAAAGCCTGAACCTGAAGTTCTTTGAGGTACTGTGTGCAATGAATATTTATATTTCAGTTAAGTTTGTGGTCTTAAAGTTCTAACTGGTCATTTATATTAAGGTGCCCACTGGCTGGAAATTCTTCGGCAACCTGATGGACGCTGGAATGTGTTCAGTTTGTGGTGAAGAAAGCTTTGGGACTGGTAAGAGATGCTGTTTTCTCTATTCTATATTAAGTGGCAATTTCTATCAGAGTATGTGTTTATCATGTTGTGCTACATGCCACCAGGCTCAGACCACATACGCGAGAAAGATGGAATTTGGGCTGTTTTGGCTTGGTTAGCTATTCTTTCCTATAAGAACAAAGACAATCTGGGGGGCGAGAAGCTTGTCAGTGTTGAGGATATTGTTCGCCAACATTGGTCTACATATGGGCGCCATTATTATACTCGATATGATTATGAGGTAAATAGTATTCACTGCATAATACCTATGTGCAGCATTACATTCTGAAAACTTATTTGCTAATTCTACTCTGCCCTGTTTTGCAGAATGTTGATGCAGGTGCTGCTAAGGAACTGATGGACAATTTGGTTAAGATGCAATCCTCTCTTGCTGAAGTTAATGAGTAAGCCACTTTTCCTTCTGGCCGACATAGTATAGCATTCCATTTACACAAATACTATGATGTATGATGTGTTCTGTGACTTGACTGACATGCAGCCATTTATTCGTGTATATTCATTTCTTGCTAGTGTTCAGAAACTGTTTGTGTTGCCTTTTGCACTTAACAGTTTATTTGAAGGATTCTAATCCACCCTTTTGTTACTACAGCATTATAAAGAAAATTCGATCAGATGTCTCGAAAGTTGTCAATGCTGATGAATTCGAATACAAGGATCCTGTTGATGGTTCCGTTTCAAAGCACCAGGGAATCAGATACATGTTTGAAGATGGCTCCCGACTGGTAAATTGCTTTCTCGAAATGCCTATAGAAGCACTTGGAAGACTTTGCATATGTTTTGTTAATGTTGTAACTGCACATATAAATGATTTCTTTCTCTCTGTGTTAAAAGGATTACAAGATCACTGAATACATTGTCCCCTTCATATTGATTGAAACCAGGAAATGATCCAAGTGTTTATAATCTCTATGGTTTTCCAAAAGTTGTTATTTGAAACTATATGGCTGAAGAATTACTGATGTTCACCAGGTTTTCCGACTTTCTGGAACTGGTTCAGAGGGTGCAACTATCCGTGTGTACATAGAACAATATGAGAAGGATTCGTCCAAGACAGGGAGAGATTCTCAAGAAGCACTAGCTCCTTTGGTAAGTCGAGCTAAACAATTGCTCTACTTAATAACACTCATACACAACAGACTCACTAATGTTCAATGTGTTGTGTCTTTACATAGGTTGATGTTGCAATTAAATTATCCAAGATGCAAGAGTTCACCGGCCGATCTGCCCCTACTGTCATTACATAGATTGGCTCGACAGTGCCAACCCATTCTCTTTCATCGCCTTGAACTAAGTAAGAAAGTATTGTCGTAACCTATATCCTTTCCATTTACTTGCTACGCGGAGCCTCCGCCTCCGCCTCAGTCGAGACACTTGAGGATATTCAATGTAAGTTTAACTCCGAGCCAGTCATACTGATGAACAGTTTTGGTTATAAAAATAAACTGCACTGAATGAATGCATATAATGAAACATCACCTTTTATGATCTTACACTTGCTCCATTGTCCGGACACATGATAGGTCTCTTTAGAGAGTAGAAATCTAGCAAAAAGAACCCACCCGTGAACCCACCCCACCCCACCCCACCTTGGATCCTATCCTATCCTTGTCTTGCCCACGTTCATTATTCATGTTCGTCCATATTAAATGCATGTGTACAAAAACACAATCTTTTGCCCTCTGTCGCTCTGTTAGGCCCCAATTATCTTCCCCAACTTCACGTGCGTGCCTAATGGATTCTGATATACTTACCATCTGTCCAGCCTGACTCAAATCCAAATTCTTCTGAACTTGCTTCAAAATTCTAAACTACCTCAATGATTGATGAATTAACTAGGGTTTTAGGTATATAATGGTATGCTATGTTGGCTGGTTGGCTTTCTCCAACTATTAGGACCTCTCTATAAAATATGGTATAATACCATGAACTTTATCTTCGTTGCTTGCCCCAATAAAAGAATTCGATTATACCCTCATATGGTCCATTCTTGATGTCAACTTTAATTTGTCCATTGCTGTGAAAAACTTCGGACTATTACGGGACCCATTAGGCCATTACATTACATACATATATATTAATAGTTGCATTTGTCCTCATGTTCATATTCTCACTTCAACTAAATAATGAAACTTAAACTAATGGGCTTATTCGTTGTAACACATTCAATCAAATATGGAAATCTTTTTTACAATTTGGAATATATTTAATGCCCAACCCATCACATGCATAATTATTTCACATGCTCTTCTTTTTTATTAATTAAGATAAGTTTAATCAATTAATAGCCTATGTAATTAACACTTGATAAGACGTTAGGTCAAAATCATGTTCCGTGCCAATAAACATCATGATTATTGTAATAAAGCAATACAAAGAGCCCCTGCTGCATTATAATATTCTCAGCGTGATCGAAGGCTAAAAGTTACTGCAGCATATATAAAACATAAATTAAAAGGCCACCACCTTAAAATTTTGTAATTAATTTCTTCACAATCTATACAGGCTGCAGTGGGAAAAATTAAAAACTAAAAACCACAATATTAAACTTTCACACTCTAAATATTGTCACACAAGATTGATTAAGCCTAATTACCAATTCTTTAAATTAAAATAATTAATTAATTATATCTAGCCGTCACGGGGCGACAACCTTAGCAGCATAACTATTGACGAGCGCGAGCGCATTGCTGGTCACCTCCTTCACCTTAACCGTCCGATCGCAGACGTCCGTTTTCAACGGTCCGTCTTCCACATCCTCAAATCCGTCCGTACACGTGTCCTCATTGGTCAGCGCGGCGCTCATCCACGTCTGCACGTCGCTCATCTGGAACCTCAGCTCCTCTCCGGTCCCGTTCAGCCGCCGCATCTTCTTCAGCGAGCCGCGTATCTGCTCCACCGCGTCTCCGAACACCGAGAAGCAGTCGTGCACGGCGGCGGAAGCGCGGCCGTCTCCGCCGTACTCCGCCGCGCCGGAGATGTTCGCCAGGTAATCGGCCATGTGTCTGGCGCGCGATAGGCTGACGCCGACGGCTACCCTAGCCAGCCGCGCCGGGTCCTTCTGTACGGCATTGGCGTAGCCGAACAGGGAGCGATAGCAGAGCTCCGGGTACAGCGTCGTCTCGCAGCTCGTACGGATGTAGTCGGAGGCCCTGGCCGTCGTACCCGGCGCCGGAGCCGGAGCTGCGGAAGGGGGCTCCGGCGAGGCGGAGGCGAAGTGGATTAGCGGAAGGAGAGCAATTAGGGAAGCTGTAAGAAGAATTGTCATGGTTTGAGGTTGGGGATTGTGTGATGGAGTTTTGGCAGTGTGTTGGTGATGGAGGAGATTATATGTAAGGGAGAGTTGGAGTAGTGAATTGACCATAGTGCCCTCCAAAATGCCTGACCATGATGGTTTGAAATTAGTTTTTGTTTTTGTTTTTTCTCTAAAAAAATAGTTATGGCAGTTGAACCAGGTGAAAAGCTGCTTCATGATTTCATTGTGTATGTCTTTCTCTCCATCTCTCTCTCTTTTCTAAATATAGATATATATATATATGTGTGTGTGTGTGTGTTTGACCATGGGCATAATTGTACGATTGAAAGTGTGTAGAGTCAATCAATGCGTGGTTCGTGGAAATCAGCAACAGTGTTAATTAGTAGTACTGAAAGTAAGTAAGTACTTTGTGCACTTTTTTGAAAACGATTTTAGTGGAGTTGTGATGTTCATTCCAATGGAACTGAAGTGAAGTGATTTGGTCTGAAATTTAAAGAAGAAGAAAGCATCACATTAATTAATTTACATAAATAATTGCATGGGATGGGATGGGATGGAAGGTTACGTGTGCATGGGAGATGGTCATACTAAGAAGAAGAATAATAATAATAATAATATATAATATACATACATATATATATATATATATTTATGTATGTGTATTTGTGGGCATCCAATTTTATTACCTAAAGTCGTTCGTTGCATGGATAGTGTTAGAATGAAGGTAATTAGTAAAATGGGTGCAAGAGAAGAGAATAATTATAGTACGTATCGTGTAGAATGGAATAAGTAATTAATATATATATATAAGTATATATAATTGGTTAGGTATTAGAGCAATTGGAGGGTGGGGCGTGGGTGGCAGCCACTTAATTTATCAAATGAATGGGCGTCCATCACCGTGTCCCCCGCCCCACTAGTGACCGACTCAATGTATGTATGTATGTATGTATGTATATATATATATATTCTTCGTGATTTTGAAAACCTATATATATATATCATATTCATATAATTAATTATATTCAGATTAGGGCTTAAACTAAAAAATAGTATATATTTAGCGTCCTATTGGTATTATTGGTAGATAGACATACAGACCCACACCTTAATAAAAATATATATAATTATATAATGAATAAGCTAAGCGTGCATTAATATATATATATATATATATATTAATTAGTTATGTTGAAGTAACATGCACAATAACGTAAACCATGAATACATACATACATACATTCTAGCACAACGAGAATGGTCGGATATAATTCTGTGTCGTGATGAGCTCACTTTTCGAATACGAAATTTTTGATCCAATTCCTATCAAGGGTTACACAAAATTCGTACTGGGATAATACAAAATTCAAACTTAAATTATGATAAAAAAATATCGAGACAAAGTGAACGTAGGAAACAAAAATGAGTATGCAAACAATAATTTCTTGCATACATAAAAACACTGAATGTGTTTTTCTTGTTTTTAATTATATCAATCAATTCTGAAAAATGAGACCAACCCATCTATTACATACACAAAAGTTCAATTTAAATTTTAATTTCAAAAATGGGTGTGTTCTTTCGATTCAAATATTAATTTGAATTCAAAATAAATTAATGTATTGATTCAATTCAAACAAAAGTTTGAATTCATAATTTAAATATTATTAGTCACATCAATCCATAAATCAACACAATTTTTTAAATTAAAATTCTAGAAAAATTCCAGAATAGCATGTATCACTTAATCATGCCTATGACTAAGTTGGCTATTACATTCTATCCCATAAATTTAATTACAGAACTTTCAAACTTGTAAACGGCAGACTTAGTCATGCCCATGACTAAGGCTTGTATCAACAATCTATCCTAAAATTTGTGTAAATTGTCAAAATCATGTCGAAATTAGCTTCTTCGAGTGCGCACTCCACGCATCCCATCCGGAAGTTCACTTAATCCCAATATTAATTGGTCTCGAATAAATTCAATTACCCTAAAATTACCAATATATATATATATATATATGTATGTGTGTGTTAGAATAATAAAGTCGGCAAAGGAATGCATGGTAGGCGGCCCAGGCAGAGAGACGAAAATGAAATCATGTTGAAGAGCATATATAATTAATTAATTTATGCATGTAGATAAACCCCAATGGTTAATGTAATTAATTAATGATAGACGACGATAATAAGTAGCACCACATCCACATAGACACACACTATATATTAATTATATCTAATTGGATTGGATTGGATCGGATTAGAAGAGAAATAGCTTAATTAATTACCTCCTCAGACCTCAATATGATGATATGCGATGATATCTTCTTCAACGACCCACCCGTAAAATGTAATATATGTACTCTAATGATGGGCCGGGCCTATCTTTATTGGGCCATTTTCAGCTATCCATTCAGACTACGTTACGTTGTTGGGGTTTGATTTGAAAACTTTTAGTTTGAATTTAATATGAAACTAATGTTTAATAAAATATTTTATATATATATAAAAAAAAGTGTTTGAAAAACATAAATTGAAATAATAAAATTTAAGAAACTTTCAGTAAAACAAAAAAAACACACCCGACCTCCATCGCTATACATATATTAGTATTCACTAAAAATCAAACTCTAAACTAATCATTTAAATCATAAGATGATCTTGCTCTTACAATGCTGAAACTACTTGATGTTGTGGACTCCATTTCCATTTCCATTTCCATTTCCATTTCCTTGCTTAGTAATACGTGTTAATTATAGTCATCATTGCTCCGTATATTAATTGCACTATTTGGTCAAAAAGGAAAGAATTGAGTATTATTTTATTCAATTCAATTAGCTTGTTAGAGTCCTAGTGGTTACAATTCATTATGATACTGTAATAAACTAATGAAGAATGATTAATTAGCTAAGTGGATGGAATTAATTTATTCTAAATAGTTTTGTTAATTTGTTATTTAATTAAATATAGTGAAATTTGTATTGGTTAGCCTCATCATCCTACAAAGTATGTACGAGATGGCCAAAGCATATCATTAGATTATTCTAATATATTCCTGACATAGACTGTCACGATTTAATCGGATTATTTGAAGAACCAATCTTTAAAATTATAATCGAAATTGCAGCGAAGGTACATGCACTGGAAGTTTGCAGGTGCAAGTGCAATGTAATGTAATCTTTTCTTCTTCTTCTTCTTCTTCTTCTTCAGCTTGCAGGGTGGGGCGTGGAGACCATAGACAGAGTCAAGTCAGCTCTTTGGGACCACATCGGCATTAACCACATCAAAGACTTTTCAAACGCGGGGGCTTATCTTCTCCTTCTTATTAAGCTAAGAGATCCATCATATCCTCATTTCATAAACATCTCAAATTCACCAATACTTAATTAATTAATAATGGATCCTGCACCTGCAATATCTGCATCTGCATCGGAATCAGTTGAGTACCAGAAACCCTCCGAGCAAAGCCCCGTCGCAACTGGCGTTCCGGTGCCGGAGCGCCGCCCTCCTCCTCCTCGTCCGCCAAGGCCGCAGGTCCCATGGTCCACTGGCCTCTGCGATTGTTTTTCCGACAAGAAGAACTGTCAGTCATCTTCTTCTTCTTCATAATCAAATTACCAGAAATTTCAACGCTTTTCTTTAATCTGATCCATTCTTCAGGCTGCTTAACTTGCTGGTGCCCTTGCGTTACATTCGGGCGTGTCTCCGAGATCCTCGACAAGGGAACAAGCGGTAACTAATTCATGGAACAAACAATATATTAATTAATTAATGCATTGAATTGAATGATCGACGATCGACTAATCTTGTTTGATTGGATTTGGGCAGCCTGCGGGCAGAACGGAGCGCTGTACGCGCTGATCGCCTGCGTGACTTGCTGCCCGTGCTTCTACTCGTGCTTCTACAGGTCGAAGATGAGACAGCAGTACTCCCTCCATGAATCCCCCTGCGGGGACTGCCTCGTCCACTGCTGCTGCGGCTGCTGCGCTCTCTGCCAGGAGTACCGGGAGCTCCAGAACCGGGGATACCAAATGCCCCTCGGCTGGCATGGAAACGTCGAGAGGCAGAACCGCGGCACCGTCCCCATCATTCATGCAGGGATGACCCGATAGACAGACGACACTTGTACATGCCTGTGTGCGTGCGTGCATGTGTTTCTTTATTTTCCTTAAAGATCCGCCATTGTTGTTGTATGATATATGTTTAGGGTGCTTAGTTACGACGCTTTGGTGCTGAAATGGAATCATATTGAAATTGCAATTGATGTTTCGATTCTACAGTTAACAGTACAACAACAATACGAATGAATGAATCTTCATCAGCCCATCGTCATCGTCATCACCATCACCATCATCATAATCCTCACCTCAATCTACGTTCCTAAACTACTACATATTACACGACCGCTCCCCATTCTCAGCCTTCCTTACCGGGAACAAAATTGGGGATTGTCTCAGAAATTCGAGCATCCGTTCCTACCAATTGATTCACTCAGACTACGCCAGTCCAGAGGACAAGGCCAAGTAGCATAAAACAAGGATAAAGATCTCCCCTGTGTAGTAATTTCAAGGGGCTACCGGATACGGATGAGTTGGTCGAAGGCGCGAGAGAAGTCCCGTTCGTAATCGTGCCATTCCTCCCACCACTGCACAACACAAGATAAAAAATTTCACAGCTTCATCATCTTACAATTATCTTACAACGAATTCTAGTTAACAGAAGAATTATTGGTAAGCATCATCAGGTCCATACCTTCCGGGAAAGATGCAAGAACCTCGACCTGCACAAGAACAGCACAATTTAGATGAGTTGCCAAATCAAGAATGCCACTTTCGACCAGGGAAATGTTCTTGAAACCTACTTGGATCGGTTGTTGTGACAGTGGCTACGCCATTGAAGTTACAGGTTCCGTCTGCCATATCCATACGGTGATAATAAGCATCAAAGGCATACGACGAGTGAGCTGCGACTGTGTCCGGTTCATAGCACGGCTGCCCCTGCAACATGGCGGAACAATCGACTTTCCCCGGCCCACAAGCCCAATCCAGGGCAGCCTGCAGCATCTTCTTGTCGGCTCCATCCTTAGCAACACAGTAAGTTTGGTTTGCAGTATCATTCGCCAACACAGTCCCAGATCCCGTCAAGTGTAGAATATAAACTGGCACGCCATTAGCATCAAAAAGCCCCCAATTCTTCTCCGAAACAGAGCCAGGCCGAAGATCTTCATTGTACAGTTCATAAATGTATGTACTCACTGCAATCCCTGGATGTTTTGGAGTCCCTGTGTTGTTCAGAACATGCCTTATCAGGTTGCTGTTGTACGTGTTGGCATTTTCCAGAGTGGCTTCCGGCTCGGACGAATCACCCTTGGAAGGCCATCCGGATTCTGCCACTACAACAGGGATATTAGTGAAGTTCAGATCCGACATGGCGTTGTACGCAGCATCGACGACAGCATCAAAAACATTGGTGTAGTGGAGGAGCGTGTTCCGATCGACAGCTTCTTTTGTCGGAAGAAGTGGGCGAAACAAAGCATAATCCAATGCAATTGCTCCATCTGCCTTCACATAGTCATAGTAAGGGTAAACATTCAGCATTAGATACGAACCCGTCGACTGCAGAAACTTGAGCAAGGGCACCATGACAGGATCCCATGTACGGTTGAAGAAAGCTTGGGAAGGCGGAAAAGAATCCAGAATGATAGAAGCCGAGTGCGGAGTGGAGACTTTAATCTGGGAGTCAAGATTCGCTGCCACAAGAGCAGAGTGGATGAAATTCATGGCTGAGACGAGGATGGGAGCAGCATTAGGGAGAGTGGTGAGGACTTCAGAACCAACGGCGATAGCAGTGATGTTGGTGGCAGGGACATGGGCAAGAATGTTCCGAGCAACCCAATTAGCTGCGGTGGCATTCGACTGCCCAATGCCTAGAAGTTGATCATTCGGCACAGATACAGTGACATGTATTCCCGTCTTCGCCAGAGCTTGTAGCATTGCTCGGTCAGTATCAAAAAGCCTGACGTGCCGAATCTGCTGAGCCTTGAGAAGTGCAACAACTTGAGTTGGATCGGGCATGTCGGATAGTGCAGTCCCGACATTTACACCAATGAAAGCATCTGTGGAGAAGAAGACAGCATCGATATGACTGGTCAATTAACCATGAAACTTAATCCAAAAGAAGTCTAACAAATTGTCACAATCAGAAGTTTCTAAACTATTGCAGTAGTCCTAATACACCATTATATATATATATATATATATATGCAACTAATTTGGAAGGAATCAAAGGATAATAGCATTCCATTACATTAAGCAAATGAAAGGTCGAATATATACCTTAATATGTTTAAGCATTATATCACCTGCCAGGCTGCCAATTCCTGGCATTAAGTTCCATCCCTTCTCCAATTAACAAACAAAGAGAAAAATGACAAATTCTTTTCTTTTGGGATGGCTTTGTAAACAGCAGCTGCCATCAATCAACCCTACAATGGCAGCTACCATTGCCATTCTTGTAAAAAAATTGCATCCCTTTTAAAGTTTGAAGTTCAAAATTGGTAATTTTTGAATTACAAAGCATATCTATAAAAGATTTCACGAGAGGGCTAACTAAGAATTAAATTTCAATCCGCAGGCAAAGACTACTACTAACAAACAAGGAAAATCTAACAGGTCCTTAAAATAGAAGCCAAGAACCATAAAAAACATAGCCAAGAACACAACATTCAAGCAAGGATGCACAAACTGAGGCAGTGTAAACCCACTATATATAACTAAACATATTCTATATATTAACCTAAAAAAGAATTAGAGATTTTGATAGAAAAGGAAGGTCAGCAAAACGTAAAAACAAGCAAACATGTAGCAGAAGCAGGGGAGTATACAAAAGCACCCACCTTCATCAGCAGAAGCAGTAGAACCCACCATCAAGAGAAGTGCAAGAAACAGTAAGCCCATGTTTTGTTCTGCGTCAGCTCCTCCCTTGTTTCTTCAACTCCAAAAGCTTCAATCTTGGAAACCCAAATGCATACCGCAACCACTCAGCAACACTTCAGAGAAACCCCACCCAGTCCAAGAACGCAACGCCGGAATGGGAAGGAAAGAAAAATGGCAATAAATGAGGGTAAATGGTTGGGAATAGTAGTAGAGTGGCAGGGTGCGACAGTGTCAAGGACAAATGAAGAATTATTTTATGCATACTTGATGGGCTGGGATGACTGTGTTGTGTTGTGTATTGTCAGGGTTTGTGTGTAAGAAGATCGGACGGTCAAGATTCAACCTTTGCCTTTCTTTTTCGTGTATTTCCAGTTGATTGATGGGGTGTCCCCAGAAGGGCAACTTTAGACCCAAATCCTCTCTTTAGACCTAGCTGCAAATTTTCCATCATGGGGGTGGCGAGTAAATTGAATCTTTGCCTCCAATTTACTCACCCCCTTCCTTACTTCAATAATTCAATTGTGTAATAAATATTGAATGAGATATGTGGACAGAGACTTTACCTGGCAATGCTCAATTGTGTCTGTTTGGCCCAACAATGAGCCTCTCTGTTTGAATCCAGGAGCACCATTGGACCGCACTTGGGCAGGAATGCCCGTGGCCCTCCATCATCAAAGGAATCCTCGTGATAAGTGTAGCTGCTGTTTGCATCTGCTCAGACCACTTGGGAAAAACATAAAAGGCAGAAAACCTGGCTAAGCAAACCGAGTGGATATATCAGAAAATAAAATCTAAAATCCGTAGGGACCATGAGTCTAACAGAACTGAGACAAGAAGCAGCAATAATAGCATTATCCATTTCCATTCTGCATTCTAATTAATCATTTTAGAGATGAAATAAACCAATAAAATCACCAATGTAGATGTAGCATGAGTCCAGTAGACAAAAGTCAAGAAGAAAGCACAACACATATAGTAGGTGTAATAGAACTTGTTCCAAATTATAGAATCCGATCAAGAATAAAGAATAGAGAGACAAATACGACCAAGAATTATATCAACCCCTGACACGAGCGAACAAGGGGAAAGCCACTCATCCCAAAACAAGAAAGCGAATGGAGAAAGAGAAGATCACAAAGAATATAACATCTTTATGGATAGATCATACAATACTTTTGTCTCATGTCTATAGAGTTCACAACTCAACGCACAATTCTAGAGTGACAGCCATTAAGTGTATTGTACACCATTTTTTAAATGCTTACAGAGTTTTTTTGATACATGAGTAATACTTTCTTATAGATGATTAATCTTAGGCATCACCACTAATCTCCTTGCTGATGGAGATAGAACTAGAACTGGCCCCAGAAGTAGCGGAAAAGCCAATACCATTGGACTCAGGAGTGGCGCAATCAGTATTCTTCTTGCTAAGGCTGTATGGTGATGCATTCATAACCCTGCGTATATAAATAAGACAAAAATTTCAATTAGTGTTTGGCAGTTTATAGCAAGTGTTTTTCAGCACCTTTTTGTGTCCAGTACAAAGCTGCTAATCAACCCCTGATTTATCTGTAAATAAACTTTACCAGACATTGGAAAAGCCATTGCATATATTGAAAGAAAATTGCTAAATGAGGGTGTGTTCTTCCAACGGGATCTTATCAAACGGCTTAAAATACAATTGTGGAGCTAGCTACAATCCCCCCATTTAACCAAGCAATCAATTCTGATCATTTGCGATTTAAAAAATAAAAATAAAAATGGAACCAACATGTACTAACATTCTTGATGAAATCTAACAAAAGCATGTAAATAATAAGTACCTTTCCTTGCGCTTCTCCAAAAAGCGAGCAAGGGATGCCTTCCGTGCCAGTGGCACAGCTGCGGAAAAAAATAATTAAGGTTTAAAATAAGCAGCATTTTAGGTAGAAATTATCACGAGAGATTAGCTGTTTACTCCAAAACAATGCAAACTGGATGATTATATATATATGTATGTCACCCCAAAGAGAGAATATCTAATTTTAGTTTAAATATGGCATGTTTTTAGAGTCGTAGACCACCAAGATGGTTGAACAGATTTTTGACATTACAACACTAAACAAAAAAATGTCATTGCCATCTCCACTTTACTTGATTATGAGTTTCAGCTGTATATGGAAAACAACTGCAGAAATCGAAACATTTTAGCCAAAGAAAATGCGTTATTAAATTGTAAGCCTCCAAATGATTGGCGTGGAAAATAACAATAGTACAAGTTTTAGGTTTCTCTGAAGAAACAGAAGAATATTGATCATGAGATAACAAATAATATAACTGGTTGAATTGCTATAAGATTACCCGATGAGATTATAGCCGACGCACCCATAGATCCCATGGGTGACATCACTTTAGACAGCTCGACTTTGGCGCCTAGATTGGCGGGCATACCAGTAGTCTGAGATCCCTTTACATCATTATTGTTAACAGCTGGAATCCCGGACTGATCGCTTGGGTGAGACGTAACAGAGATGGGGCTTGGGAGATCACAGCCTGGTGTCATATTTTGATTCGCTAATGCCTGATCTACTGTTGGGAGTTTGGAGGCAGTTGCTTGCAGGTGAAGCTTTTGGTGTGCCACGCTGGATGGTATACATCCAGCTCCAGCCAAAAGTACAATTGCCTCAGCCTAAAAATTATGTTAGGAAAAGAAAAATAAATTCGTTACCTTTAAAATGAATCAACAACGCATTGGAGAGATTCAAAGCACCTTTTCAGGGGTAATGCCATCAAAGACATGAACAACTCCACCATAGAAAATGGTCAATTGAGTAGAAACAGTGGAAGCCATAGAATTAGTCCTATAAACACCAATGTTGAACTCCATATCAATCGCTTTATATTAACAAAGTGTAGTTACGTATATGTTAAAAGAAATAACTAATTCAGATGACCGGAGATAATATGCAGAGTATTTCAGTTAATGCAGCTGCTCACCATAGCTCAGTTGCTCCAACCATTGCAGCTGAAGGAAGATGGGGCGTTGAAACTTGATTCCCAACAAGAGATTGTTGCTTCATTGAAGTACCTCCAAAATTCTGACAAGCAACAATAAATGTGTCTCGAGCAATAATGAATCATAAAATAAACAAGCAATCATAAATACAGTGCACTTTATTCTCTCTGTCCTATACGATACTCTCGTCGTCTATATATGACATATAATTTAAACACGTGCTTCCTTTCCTAGTCCGTGCCTTAAGATGGCAAACTATTCACGAGAGATAGCCGCAAATGCTCTCTTATATACAAAATTATCTCATCATGACTAGTTTTGCATCTAAAGCTCACTACCCTTTGAAGTCATTCATATAATCGACAAAGCAAGACTCTAACGAACATTAAATTAATTTCCAGCCACGTGTGAGCAAGATGCCAATTAAAGGAAAGAAGTGAAGAACGATCTAATATCACACACCGAAAGAATATAAGTGAACATCACCCATTCATTTAATCGACAAAGCAAGAATGTAGCGAACATTAAATTAACTTCAAGCCATGTGTGAGCACGACGTCAATCAAAGGAAAGAATGAATCTAATATCACACAATGAAAGAATATAAGTGAACCAAAACATCACTCAATTATCTTTTATTCGCATCTTCGACTTATCAGAACCGGATCTAGTACCAGATCTCACCTTGTATCCATGAGATGCAAGGTCGGAGTTTATTTTTGATGGTTTTTTGTCTTGCTCTGACTTCAATGACACAAAATGTGGGAAGCCAGTCGGTCCTCCGGAGCTCCTTTTATATTCTTTAGATCAAAACAACAGTAAAAAAAAGAAAATTAATCCTCAGAGCACTGAAATAAACACATTTCAATCCCCTATTTTAGCACCGTTAATTTATAATTAACGTGTTAGCATTCAATCCTTCAACTTTTTAGCTCCTTTTAGCTAAAATTCTTGTGTTTATAAGAATCCTAGTTTAGATCGACCTTCCAATATCAATTATACATCAAAGGGCAATTCTTTCAGCGAATTCTAAGCGCCAAAAACGGCTCGTACAAAAAATCTATTGAAGGGATGGAAGATCTACAGGAAACTGAAAACAATCAGACCTTAAATCCCTTTCCAAATACAAATTCGATACCAGAAACTCAAACTTCAAGTGAAGTAAATCACTATATTACTGAGAAGGAAAATCATTCAGAGAAGGAAACCGTAGCCACAGGAACGAGAAAAAGGAAATCAAATCAAAGTGTAAAAATTTCAGCTCCCGGAGAATTCAAACACGAAATTCAAATCCTCATCAGTAAAAACTATAAGTCACCGCAACAGACAGAACACCAAAGTAAAGTAAATATGACAGTAAGTGAATCACCAAAGTCCTCGCAACTTCCGTCGACAAATTCCTCTTTCACCGCAGCAGATTCCTTAGAATGCAACCCCAGGAAATCTCTCTCCATATCTTCAAAAAAAAAAAAAAAAAAAACAATCTTTAACGCCTCAATTTCACAAAACTCAAAAGAAACACACTCAATTTCACAAAATTCAAAAAAAGAAAAACTAGCTACACAATTCAATAAACACAAATCACATACTGAGAAAAACCCTCGAACAAATCAGAGAGCAAAAACGCTGACCGGGAGGGCTCCAATTGTATTCTCCTGATATTTCACCTTCTCTTTGTTTTTAGGAAAGGAAAAATGAAAAATAGAAATATATAATAGAAATAAAGCAAGTGAACAGTTAGGCTAAGCTCGGTAATTAATTAATTCTGTATTAAAAAGAGATATGCTAATTCAGCACGTTGCTAATCCAAATTTAAAACAAATACCAGAAATTAGTGTTGAAAATCAATAGCTTACCAAATTATGCAGAACAATAATATATCTCATTACTAAATGCCAATATATTGACTTTTTTTGACTTTATCGAAAAAAATAAAATAAAATAAAAATATTACTATAGTTAGTGAATTCTAAGTTGGATGTCCAATAACTGAGGCACCGATCGCTCCGGTAAATCCCCACGTGCGCAATTCCATCAACGCCCAAGATGTTGCCACGTATCGTCACTTGTGAATTATCATCACGTGGCTTGAAAGACACATTGTGCCGCTTATGTGACCGATTCCAAAAATTGACTGCTGACATTTGATTATTTCATCGTTTGCCACGTGGATTTTTTTTTTTAAAGTGTAAAATTGCTGGTGTTGTTTATGGTTCGATTTTAGTAGCCAATTACAACCCCCATTTTCTTATTTGGTCTGGTCATAAAATTAGCCAGCCCACCAAAATATACATTTGGATATGCACAAACCTTGTGGATAAGCCAAGGGTCATGGGCAACGGACAGACAAGACTGGTCATTGTCAGTTTCTTTCTTTCACTGTTCCACACCTTTCATTACAATACATATGAATTATTTATGTTCATGATTTGATGAATGTAATATAGACTACTAGTATTTCATTTCTTTGACAGTGAAACTACAGCTGTGCAGATTACAACTTGGAAATATTCGGTTTTTTTGTTTAACACGTGGGGTTTAATTTCCTGATTGTAATGAACGCGGAATACCTGAGAGGATCCACGCCGTTCATTCATCCATCTTGAGTGGTCACATTGATGAACGGCCGAGATCATCCGGCGCACACTTATTATTATTATTATTATTATTTTGGGTAAATGCAGAAATCCTCACGGGATGCTGATGCCCATGCTCGCATCATCTTCAGATCTTGTGGTCCTAATTTTTCACAATGAATTATTTTGTATTTAATTTGATTTTGACATTTATGACTGATTTTTTTCGTGATTTGTTTGGGCCGTTACGTCGTTGAATTAGTTCTTTTCTATTGGGCCCTCAGGCCCAAACGATGTCCTGAAGCCAGCCTTAATGTATGTGTATAGTAGGATTGGATTACTTATGAATAGTGTTGCTTGCATTTAAATATGACTTTTAGAATTGTTTTTGGTTCTGTTTCTTTTAAAGTTTGGACTTGTCTATTGTTCATTAAATTTGTATTCTTAAAATTACATAATTAAATTTTTTTTTTATTTAAAAATAAATATTGTCATTTTTGTTTATTTAAACACGATGTGTATGTATATCTATATATTTTTAGTAAATATGACTCTACTATGTATTAGAAATATTTTTAATATTTACATTAATATAATTATATCAAATTAACCTACGATACATTTTTTTTCCTCTCTCTTTGAATAAATAAAAAATAAAAAAAAAGTGAAGATTCAATGAATGATTATAAAGTAACAAGAGGACAATTAAGTAGTATAATTTAGTGAGAGAACATGTAATTATTAAAGGGTTGAATGATATAATCACTCACCTAATTCAACCCCTAATTAAACAATGTCAAAAGCAGTTGGGTCATCTCTATAATTGATGACAGAGTTATTAGACGTTACACACATATACAATATCCTATATATATATATATATATATAATTAAATTATATAGTAAAAAATTATATTAAAGTTAATGTAAATGTTACAATATTATGTGTTTATTTTTAGATTCCAAACCAGCATTTTTCTCTTACATAATTCTCCTTAAGTTCAATATTTTTGGGCATTTATACGTAGTATAATTAATTTTAATATATTTTGGTATCATTTTGCTTTTATTTGAAATTATTCCATCGATTAAATGGAGGGTGTCGAATTTGATCAAAAACTGCAACTTTGATATCATGTCAAATGATCTGAATGATCGTCTCATCTAAAAAATTAATTTATTTATCTACGTACAGGAGTCGCCGACAGTTGGATTGTTGATCCAAACAGAACAAATTTGGGACAAACATGATGAGTAGTATTATATTTTCTTATGTAACATTCAATTTCAACATGTGAATTTAGATAGATAGTATTAAGTATAATAATTTTAAAATGAGATGATATGATAAGAGAAAAAAAATGTATATATATATTTTTATTTGAATAATATAATGAGATAAAGTGTAACGTAGTGATTAAGTATATTAATTATTTTTTATTTTAAAAATATTGTAGAATATTTGAAACAATAAAAAAAATTATAGAATGTTTGAGAGTGAAGGAATATTACATTGAATACAATGTCATACTCATACTTACACATAGTGATATATTAAGATTGTACTTTTTTAAACACATATAAAGCATGTCACTTTTTAACAAGAATCATTTTTTAAGTAAATATTGTGCCAATTATTGGTTCAACAAAAGTGACAACAAATTGTGAATTGATGATCATCAACTGATCGACAACAATATATAATGAACCCATATAATATATAATGGACCAGATCAGGACAATTAGATTAAAACTAAATTAAGTTACAGATGAAGAATCAAGAATGACAATTATTAACCAATCTCCTGATACAACAGAATAAATTGAACTACTACACAACCTTTTTCTTTTCTTTTCTTTTCCTTTTTTCCACACCAGTGTGTAAATAAATAAATAGCTTTTTATTACAACAGGCAAGGGTAGATCAGAGAGAGAGAGAGAGAGAGAGCTAGAGAGAGAGAGGTGTGATGTATGTATCCCCACAAAATATTCATTTTTATAAATGGGCTTCGAAGCAAAGTCATGAGAATCCATAGAAAAGCAATTTACGAGAAGGAATATGATGGTTGCCCTTTTAGAACTTCACTTTATTTACCACTAGAACCTGCACAAAAAGATGAATTGAAGTTGGGGATCCATCAAGAATTTTATTATAGATATTTCAATTGTAATATCTTTTCTAGGTAATTAATAAATCAAATTAGAAATTTATTAGTATATGAATATGATTATTTAATTATATATTAATTCAAAATGATTACCTCCTTTCCTATCCAAGAGTTTACTCAACACTGAGAGGAACACAATGAGCACAGCAACACCAGCTACCAGTCCTATAAATATGGCTAGGGTTTTCTCCATTTCATCATCATTTTCATCTGCAACACACATATAAATTATTAATGGATATATATATATAAATTAATTTATTACAGGTTATCTGTTACCCAAATAAATTGATCAAGAATAGTTAATTATAGATACTTCTAGACACACAGATATTTATATCTTTACTATTGTTATAAATTGATCAACAGGGGATTTGTTTATTTCACCAAATGTGATTACTCATTTGTCTAATAAAAAGTAGTTTGGATAATTAGTTATCTTTTAATCATTTGTCACACTCTCCATGCTATATTATTGAAAAGTGCACCTATATATTATGAGGTCACTGTTATATATATACATATATATAGGAGAATCTTGGAATTGAAAATTGATATTGCTTTCTTTCCAATTCAATATATTTCAGCCTTATCTATAAGGGTTTGTAAAAAAAGCATTTTTTTTTTTTTAAAGAATGATACCTTTGTATTGTCTCAACCTTTTTCTTTTACTTGCCCACACCACCTCTCATCAAGTTTTGTACAAGAAGTTAATTTGAAGTCACTCAAATTCAAAAATAAAAAAGAAAAATAATAAAAATAGGAAAAATAAATTAAATTCCTAAACATGCATGCATATATATAATCAAGTAGATTTTATTTGTTTATTTGGCTTACCATGTTTGGCGGTGTACCCACGCTCCGAGTAGCGCGCGTAGCACTTGCCCAAGAACATATCCCCCCAAGCCGAAGAACCACACTCGTTTTTCAGCCGTTGGATCGCCTCCGATATGCAATCCTGGCACTCCGATATACTGAGGTCCTGGACACACTGAGCCAGTCCCTGGACTTTCCCGGACCCCCCGACTCTAAAATACTGCCCCCCAGCCATCAGATACGCCAACACACCATCTTTTCCGGTCAACACTCCGGACTCATCGCCGCCGTCGATCGGCGGCCCACATTTATCCGTCACCACCGTCTTGTCCTCAACTCCGACGAACGTCGCGTTGTCGTACCTCACAAAGCACCCCTCCAGCTGCATCGCGCCGCCAGCCGCGCCAACGCACGAGCTCCCCAGCCGGCTCACCGCCTCCGAGACGCAGTCGTGGCAGATCGAGCCGCTCAGATCGCCGCGGCACTGGTACAGACCGGAGACCGCCGACGACGCCGGGAATGGAAATTTGAAAGTGTTGTAGCCGGAGAAGGCGGCGGCGTTCACCACCGACGTCAGAATTGAGTTCACGCCGGACTCGTAGGGGCTCCCCGGAGCGTACTTGAGCTGCGAACAACCGATATAGATGAAGGAATTCATCGCCGCGGTCGAAGGTCGAGCGAAAATTAAAATCCACAGCCAAAAAATTCGAACAATTAAACAATTCATGGCGCTGCTGCTGTATATATATATAAATGTACAGAGAAATCAAGGTGAAGGGGATGAACGACAGAGTCTGATGATATTAATTTGTTATACGTATAATTAGGGTTTATGAAAGTATACAGAGCATGGCAGGTAGAGAAGATGAAGTTGATGAGTATACAGTGCGTGCAGTGAGTGATACAGAGCTATAAATAGGTAAAAGCGCAAAGTCGCATTTCTGGTTCCGTAGTGTGGGAAAGCGCGACTTTGCTAGAAGACTAGTAGACTACAACATATATGTATGTATGTATATATATATATATATATGTGGGGGCTCTATCTACACTTGATTTAATTATATATACGGATGCCAATTACTTATTACTACTTACAATGGTTATACGTTATACTGTGATAAAGGAATTAATCAATACAAATAACAGATCGTGTTTGGATGTTTTTCGATTTTTGGATTTCAATTTTCTTTCTTAAAATTCAAAATATATTTTGAATTAAAAATAAGTTATCCATATAAAATTTTTAACAAGATATCTTTATTTATTGAAAAAACATGTATTGTGTTGTTATATATTCGTATTAACATAAGTTGTGTGTTTATAATCATATTGTACGTTGTTTATTATATAATAATACTGTCAATACTATAATGAATTAATTATAAACTTCAGTGCCTTACTTGAGGGCCAAATTATACACTTAAAAAGGAAAAAGATTGAATTGAAAAAAAAAACACAAACAAACAGAGGCAAAAGTAAATGCATGGGACAAATCAAGTTTTATGAAAAAGACAAAAAGGAGCATATGCATGTCTTTCCATGGACAAATGCTTCGGGTGGACCCGACCCGCTCAAGACTCGCACTCAATCAATGTTTTGGATTCGGGTTCAAATAAATGTCCTTCGGCTTTAAATTTGTAACTTGAGGTCAGTATAATATGGCTTCTTTTGCAGGATCGATGGATCTCGATCGGTATAAAACCCATCCGCACCTACCCTACCCTACCCTACCCGTTTCCATATCCGTTTTATCATTTTTGCAGGAAATGGCAACAGTGTGTGTATTTATATTTTTATATATAAATAAATATAAATATAAATATAAATATAAATATACTCACATATAACGTACATAGCATGTGAAATTATTTAACTTGAAGACAACTCTGATCAACCGGTTTATTGGGTTGCATGTCACCCCATATTTTTAAATATATTACAAAAAATAAAAATAAAAAAATGGAAATCCTCACAAATATTAGAAGTGACATCAAATATAAAATAAAAGTAACTAAGCAAATGATCAGTCCATAAATTAGCCACATATTTATTTATATATTGGAATAATTAATTATAAGGGCATCTAATTATTATATCTAGATTATTACTTACAAATAATTATTGTTATTACCGAAGTTAAAAAAAAAAAGAAGAAGAAGTAGTTAGTTATTTATTAATTACTGTGTAGTGTGTGTGTGATCGATCCTAGGAATTAGTTAAAAGTGACATGTGATAGTTAGACTGGACTAATTAATTAATTAACTATAATATTTTAATGGTGAGAAAGCAGGTGGGTCGGGTATCCTACCCGAATATGAAGAAATGGATAGGGTAGGGTCTGGTCTGTGAAAGGAGACAGTGACATTGCTGTTAAATTGATGTTCTTTCCAACTTTGCATATTTTGAAAAGTTTTACTTATTTTTAATTTGTGAAAAGTTAAAAGGATAAAAAGAGTGGTGTCACTCACCTTACTTTTAATTTCTTGTCAGTATTTGTAAAGAATTATTCCTTTTAACTCATATATATATATATATAAATAAATATTCAGTAGGAGGAATATTATATTTTAATCAATTATATTAATTATAGGATTCTGTCAACAACTAAATTAATTAATATTAACTCATAATTGTTATTGGGTACGTAGAATATAACAATAGTATTATATACAAGTTAATACATTAAATCTAATCACTTGTGTCCAAATTATTATGATGATTAAATTGGAAACGTGACAGGGGATTGCATTAAAAGAAAAAAAAAAAAAAAGGTAATTAATTTATTCTTGTGTCATGATATGATATGATCTGATATATCCAATATATATAAGATATACATTTATCCACTCCCTTACATTAATTTGGAGAAATTAATTAATTAATTAATTAGAAAAATAAATAAAACCCCACTTGCGATTTGATTGCTGCATTATTGATCAAAAGTAGCATACAAAGGGGACAATCACACACACATTCTAACCAATAATTAATATAATAATTTCTTTTGAATATATATATTTATATATGTATGTATATATTGTGACATTTGATTAATAAGTAAGGCAATTTGGCTTCTTATATATATATATATAGCATATATATAATTAATTCCTTCACCATTGACTTATAAATTATTTAATTCCATGCATGCATGCAAGGGTCATCAGCTATATAATATGTGTATATATATATATATATATAATTAGTGTGTATGATATCGACCCTAAAACCCGGAAATTCTCTCAACTTTGCTTCTAAATTAAAGAAACATCACACACACAGATACATATATATATATATGTGTGTGTGTGTGATGTATATGATGATACTGACAATTGTGTGTTATGAATTGGATGATGATAAATTGATAATAATAAATGATAATAAAGACATAGTCCCTTTTTATCTGGTGGGGGTACAAGCTAAGGTCCATTTCGGCCAACACTATCTCCAAATATTCCTTCTTTACAGGACATCAATTTTTGTATACATTATTTAATTAATTATTATATTTATATGTGTACGTATAGTGTCCCAATTGGATCGGAACCATATACAATATGCATGCGATTAATTATCTCCACATATCAATATATATATATATATATAGTTTAAATAAATAAATAAATTAATTAATAGTAAGTATTAACTAGTATTACAGTGTCCTTGTGGAGCACCCCAATTGATCGATCCCGTGTCTGTGACTGTCCTTTCACAGTGCGTAGTACAGCACCATCCACCATCACCCTACACTACTCGATCCAATATAATTTTGATTAATTCCTGCGTGCATGCCTGTAGCTGTAGTATGATCTGCTTGATGACTGCATGCCAATTATTGAACGAAGCTTCGTCTGCTGCTGCGCTGCCATTCATGTTATACCCTACCTATCCTCCCACCCATCATACAATAAAATTAAATAATTATTCAAAATATATATATATATATATATATTCATATAGAGTTTGAGTTTCAGTTGAGATGAGAAGCGTGATTGTGAATAAGAATTCGGACTCAACATACCTTAATCACGGCTAAAGCATTTTCCTCCCACAAACAGACAAATAGTACATTATACTACCTCCGTCCCATCTACTATGTCCACATTGTCGTTTCTGTTCGTACTTTTTAATTTAATTTTTTAAATTTAAATTAAACTAATTAGTTATCTTAACCTTAATCTATAATTATTTATATTATAAGATAATTATTTTTACTAATATATTTTTAATTATCTACTCATTATATTATCCTAAATTTCCATGTCATACAATGACCTAGACATTCAATATAGGAGGAAGGGAGTACTACTACTATTATTATTATCTTTATTATATACAATTAATATTATTAATTTGATTCATACATACATATATATATATATATATATAATTAGGGCAGGAAATCGCGAGCACAAGTGATGGGCTTTTTTTAACCACAAGTGGGAATTAAGCGAAAGTAGCAAAATTAAAGATTCAACCACAAGTAATAGGCTTTTTTATTATTTCTTTTTCTTTGCACACACTCTAACCAACTTATTCTCTTATTTTGTTTCAGGAACAAGTAAGGTGTCTCTGATTTACATTCTGTATATAATTTTTTGTTTTTTCCGCTTTACAAAATTATAAAATAAAATATATATATATTGATTATAATGTTTTATAGTATTAAAATTAAATATATTTTCTATTGAAAATAATAAAATTTTTGCAGCAGCAGCAATAAATAAGGAAAGAAAGATGAAACAAAGCCCCGATTGTCTTTACTCAATCATACCTTGGTTTCAACTCTCACACATTCATATTACCAATGCATTAAACAGAAATCTTTCACACATTCAAAATTACAAACAAACACACATTGAATTACATAAACTGGTTATGATATGAGTGTGTGCAGAAATTTACAGATATACAAATGTAAGTCTGTATGTATAATCAGAAGCTGACAGCAAATGGCGGCCACAATTTCAGAACTAACAATTTCAGGAATTGATGTAACACAACAAACAGCAGATGGTTTCTGTACAATCTTCATCACTTCATCAAACATCACAAGTAGTTTTGCTGCAGACAAAGAATTGTATACTCATTTAACTATTTATTCCTTTATTTCCTTCTTATTCACCAATTCCATTATTCTAAAGAATCCCAATCAACTTTTTATTTGAAAAACACAAACAAAAAAAATGATATCAGATAAAGTTCAATTCATGTAGGGAAAATTACTTCTGCTTCTTTGAAGATGCATGTTCCTTCTCCATTCGCTCAAACAGGCTCCCGTCATAGACAGCCCTCACCGTGTCTTTGTGCAGCAATCCATTTTTGTCTTTGCAGAGGATGTAAAGTATCTTCCACTCAGTGAAAGCAGCCAGCCTGCAATAAGAGGAATTAGAGAAAGATTAATCCTGCGAAGAAATGGAAAGTATATGGTATTGAATTAGACTAAACGGTGGCCATACCATCCGGCATAGTCCTTTGGTTCTCTGTTAGATTTCAGAAAACTTTTCAGCTCATCTGAAGTTAAGGCCTGTGGATGTGTCTTTGCATGTTTGGCGAAAATCTCCTCGAATTTTGATGGGACGAACCTTCAATAGTTATTAGTGTAATAAGTAAACGGGGTCTTGCAAAATAATTAAAGAGGCCTTATTTTGATTGCACAGCTGTTAATTTCGAAGAAATGAGTATCCAAATTGAACGGATTTTGAATTGAAAGAGATGGATACCTTCCTTCTTTGTCGTAGACGTCAGAATCACTTCCGTGCTTTCCCAGTTGGATGTTCTCCACCTCAATTGGGAAGTGAAAAGAAAATGGTTTCCCCTGCATAGCGAAAACGTACAAACAAACAACTGATTAATACTAATGAGCATAGATTGGCTCCTGCAAACATAGTGTACATTTTGGCAGGTCTTGCAATCGTTAAGTTTACACCTTCTGGATAAACATACACAAATGTGTATACACTGACTCTTCCGAAAACTTGATTAATTCAAGCTATAATATTCAGGGCACACAAAATTGTTCATCATAAATAGAGGGTTTTTCATACTCATAAACTAATGATTATAAAAGCGATCAAATTAATTTTCAATTCATGCATATGGTCTTTTTCTATAATCTGTTTTGTATGGTTTCGATTCCTTTCCGTAAACCATCAATTTCTGAACTCACACGCTGTATGTGCATATTGCTTCTAGAATGGTTCAAGATGTCTTGCAAAATAAGGAAATTCTGATGCAGGATTGTTAGGTAACGAATGATATGCCACAAATGTAAAACTAAAAATATATGTAACAATAGAAAATGATAATCCTTAGTCGATTATCGATAAGCACAGAAAAGAAGACTAGATAGCAGAATTTACAGGTCTGGTTTTCCGACTGAGGCCGAGATTGATGAAAGCAGCGGCTGCGGAGGACAGCGCAAGTCCACATCCAATTGCTCGGAAACCTAAAATCCAAACAGTCCACCATATTGAGCGCACAAAATTCGCAGTGAACGCGGAATCGAATCGAAGAACAGTAAGCAACCAAACTACATTCTAAAAAGAATAAAAAATCAACAAACAACCTTGAAATGTCTCCGAAGGATAAATCACTCCATCATTGTTTCGATCGAAGAACATGACATGCTTCTGGAGAGCACTCGGCTCAGTGTGATGACCTTCCATTGTTATCGCCCTGCCCAATCGCCAATGCCAAAATTAAACTCGACGGAAATACAGTTAAACAAAAACCTAATTCATTTCAAAACAGAGAAATATCATATCCTCGTCTTCCTCTTTACTGCTTCCAAAAACTGAAACGGAATTATTCTTCTCTAAACCAAACCAACACGAAAAAGGAAGAAACAGAGAGAATAAAGCACCAAAGAAATCAACCAACCAGTTACCAGTGTCCCTTCAACACGAAGGAAAAAAAGGTGGGTTTAAGCTCACAATTTATAGGGAAAGAAGCACCGGGAATCAATCAGCCTCACTCGGAAGGGTTTCCACTTTCAACCGCCATGCGCGTAGTGTGAGCACATAATTTTCTGAAGCATTTTTATTGTCATGTCCGCCGCAGTGGGTAAAAACGACGTCGTATTTGGGAAGCCGGCGTGGACACTATTTCCACGTGGCGATCACTGCTTTAGGATATATACAAGACGTATATTAATAAACAAAAATCCTTGGATTTGTTTAGAGATAGTATATTATGCTATTTTTTGAAATAAATAATTAATATTTGATGTACGAAAATAAATAATGGTTAAACAAGGAATCGATTATCAACAAAGATGGATTAATTATTTATTGAGACGTGTGCTTGTACAATAATGTATTTTTGCCACATTCTGAAAAGGAAAATCCTTTTTAATTTCAAGTTAACTGTGATTAAATTTTGACATGATTTCTGAAATATATATATATATATATATATTAGATATGCCAAGAATAATAATTAGATAAATAAATGGAGTTCACGCATCAATGACTTGGATTACAGCTCACCTGACCTGTCGCATGCCCATTTTGCTTTAACTTTTGACTTCGTTATAAACCCTGATTTAGTGCAAAGACACCTCAACAATTTTATGTTACATTGTGTGAACAAAATATGTATAATTACAAAATAATTTTTGTGAAATATAAGAATTGAAAATTGTAATATATGACTTGACGCAATCAAATTCGGCAGCACATGAAAATAGAAAGTAAGGGATTTTTTTTTTTTTTTTTGTGTCTGTGTGGATAGTTTTGGCTGATTTGCTCATTTAAATATGGCACGTGTAATGTACTCCATAACATGCTTGTTTGTTTATTTCATTTTCTAAGCATCGCACGTGCACAACAAAAAAAACATGAGAATCCAACCCTTAAAATTTTATTGAGTTAATTATGTAATTCTTTAAAAAAAATTAATGAAAATAAAACTTCAAATCACATTGATTTGTACCAAACGTACAAAATAATGTAAATACACTGCAAATCAAGTGATAATGATTGCCTGTAGTGAGTACAATTAATTTATAAAAAATGAAGGTGATAACGTTAGAAATAAATTTCCTTCTGGACAACTTAAAATTTAATAAAGTAGGAAGTGATTAGCATTAGCTGTTAAATCTATATGAATAGATTCCATAATGTTGTTTTTTCAAAAAGCAAAAAAGTGTCGAATTATGTTAATGGGCGAACAAAAACTGAAATGGTGTGATGGCAAAGTGGGCATAAAAGATATAAAATAAAATAAAATCACTAACCCCAAATTATGCCAATTATCTATTCACACAGACCACATAAACATAAAAATTTCAAATTTGAAAATAAACTGAGTGTTGATGCTGGCAGAGTTTTCAACATTTTTTATTATAGAAGATATTTATTCAAAGCAATTAATCCAACATATGAAGAATTTTCATTTGGGCTTCAGCATATAGAAAACAATCTGTATTGGTTGCTTAAACAATTACATCTGATCAGAATCAACAATTTCTTATTCACCCTGAGCTCCCTATTGTGGTCTATTTGGTCCACTAGATTGAAGAAGCCATAACACAACATAAGACAAAAACAAATAACTATTCCTAGTGAAACTGGAATTTTGCAGCTTATATCAATTTATGTACTTTACCTCACAATGTTCAACAATGCAGGGATGATCTGGTGAAGTTTAGAGGATGCAACATCTGAGCCATATCCCCTTTTGGTCCACCCTCGAATCATCGTCGTTGCCTGTAGGAATCAACAACATACTGGTAAGGACAACAACTGCACACAAACTGAGTGTACAAAGTTTGTGCCGCAACTAACCTTCTGGTGGTTGAGCCAATTTACGATTTTGCGGGGACATCATCTCCTTTTTCAGCTGCATTAATATATCCTCCATTGTGTACTCCCTCTGCCAATCAGCTAGCATGGGAAAGAGATTGGGCTGGACCTGGAATTTTGATTGCCAGAAGGATGGTGAGTTGAAGTGAGAATGAGTCTATAAGATCTGATCACTCAAAAATAATACTTACAGCACCAGTTTCCCGATTAATACAGGTCATATTTATCTGTGATTGGAACCTTACGGTTGGAGGGTTATCCGGGTAATCCTTCCCGCAGAAAATTTTTAATTGATATATCCTCCCTTCATGTACAGTCTGTGCAATTTCAAGGTCAGGTGGGATTATAGTCCATTATAGAAATGAGAATAAAGGGAGGTACCGACTAACATTAGGAGGGCCGAGGATAGTTCCAGTCCATGACTGCATGTAAACATCATCAGCATCATCCATTCCGTAGCTAACAGTCCCATCTCCTATTCCCTTTTCTCCCCTTTCGAGCTCTTCCAACAAACGAAAGTTCCTAGGCACTGAAAGATAAATTGAAAATTTGAATGATCCAATGTTCTCAATAGACAGTCATACCACATTAACTAAGACTATACAAATGCAGCAGTGTAAGTTGTTCAAGCACATTGAATCCACCATTTTCTAACTCTTGTTTCGACTAAATTAATTTCTTGTAAAGACACCAAACATGGGATTGCAGTGTTTCAATGTTAGCGTATTGGTTTAAGTTGCTATGCAAAATCTGTTGTCCAGTCCATTTTAAGAGTTCCCCTCCCAATCTACATGGAGCGAAAAAAAAAAACAGTATCGAATGAATCTATTTGGTTTGGTGATGGCTAGATACAATCCATTGGTTTGTAAGACAACCCCTAGCATTGCATGGGACCTAATTTCCATTTCAACACAGCCAACTCATTCTTATTTTATAGTGTAAAGCAACAAGATGTTCCTTGGCTAGTTGAACCCTGTTTCATTATCAGCACCCAATAATTATAAATTGTGAAATCAATAGTATCTCAGAGTTCATATAAGCACGCTGTAAACTGGCATTGTTGAACCTAAATCAGAAGCAGCTGTTAAAAGTCAGGATGCAACAAATGAAACAGACAGAAGCAAATTATGTGACTGAATAAGGGATCCAAATGCAGAGGATTAAGTTTCCATAAGTCCATGATTGATGATAAGACATACAGGTATCTTTCGATTTTCTATCCTACTTCATCTTCCCAACAGAGAGCTTTTAGTTTTGCACATAATTGCCATTTTAATGAATTCTCTTTCAAACATACCTAAACCAAGCTGTTCTTCACTCACTCTTTCAGTAATACATATAGAATTTCACTAGTTACATATACTCCATCAAGTAAAACCCTAAGCAACAAACAATTACACCAACGATGAATTCACGAAAATCCATCACCAATTCCCTAAATTAAGGCAGGTTTAGCGAGTAAGCGAAGCCCCAAACTTGCACAGCGAAACCATAACTCAAAGACCGAAAATCACGAACATTGGGACGAAAGTTATCTCGATTCGAAGAGAAACAGAAAACAAATTACGGCTGGAATAAGATCTCCCGAAGCTAATTGTAATTGTAGCTTACCGACAACTCCTGATGATCCTTCAGCCCCCATCTCCCGCCGCACCGGCACGAAACAGAGAGTCTTTTGAGGGCGAATTAAAAATGAGTTTCGGAAGGGCGCAGATAAAGGGCTTTTGATTGACTAAATTCAACGTTACTTCTGCAGAAGTCAGATTACAGTCATTCGTTACCAAGTCCCGGACCCCCAAATCCTTTCCCAACCTATACCACGAGCGATGTGGACTACTGGGCATGAACAAATCTGCCCAAGGCCTTGTATGCAGGGATCTGAGCTCCCGGAAGCTCAAAAGTAATTTGGCCGTCTCCTCTCTTCCAAAACATTAAGGACAGTGGGCGCCGCCGTTTTCGAGCCTTATGGATAAAAATCGCAGGAAAAATCTAATGGGCATTTTTCCGAGAGCCCACGGGATGACATTTCAAAAACGAATGGTGGCAAACGGGCAATGACAATTTGATCATTAATTTCTTCAAGTCAACTTTTCAGGCTATTTGCATATATGTTTTTCCTTCGATTTATTACTCAAACATTAGGGATTGAATGACATTAGGATTCGAATTAACATAATAATAATACAATATGACAGCTGTATGATACAATATTATTAATTTTAACATAATAGATATATGTATATAATACAGTATAATATTTAAACTATGCAACACATGTTTTTTATGTAACATAATATTGTACGATGCTATATAGAAATAATCTCTACGTCCAGTTACAAAATATATATATTTCTATTTTGGGATATCTAATTATAAAGTAATTATTTTATTAAATACCATACTTTTAAAATATCATTACACGATTTTTACCTACCCACTATAATTAAAATATAACTTTTTAAACTCCGTACTAAAAATAAATGTATATTTATTGTTTGGACAGAGGGATTATATTTTTATATGTTCCGAGTCAGTATCTTTGCTTGTTACTTATCCTCTGTTTCTACAATATTTTTAAGAATGATCATTTTTTTAAGAAAGGAAATATCATTTCAATTATATATATATTTTTAATAAAATATTATATCAAATAATAATTTTTTATTATTTTAGGAAAATTCAAATTCCTCTAAACAAAGTTAAGTAAATGCTCTAGCACTACACGTTTTCTTCCATTCGCATTCCATTTATAGTTTGAACGCAACGTTGTTTGGTTAGGTACATTTAGGGTGTGTTTGTTCGGGGGATCGGATTAGATTTTCACTATTCATTCCATTTTTTTCTCCTAAAAATATCAAATTAAACACATATTTTTCATTTTTTATATTATACTAAAAATCAATTTTACATTCAAAACATCACATCAACCCCTATTTATATCATATGATACAACTATTCAAGTTTGGGGGTTTGAATTTTGAGTTGGGATTTGAATAGTAAAAGTTTTAGATTTGAATAGTTGTATGATGTGATATAAATAGGTGTTGATGTGATGTTTTGAATGTAAAATTGATTTTTAGTATAATATAAAAAATGAAAAATATGTGTTTGATTTGATATTTTTAGGGGGGGAAAAATGGGATAAATAGTGGAAATCTAATCCAATCCCCCACACACACCCTTGGTGTGTTTGTTTGGGGGTTTGGATTTTGAGTTAGGATTTGAATAGTAAAAATTTTAAATTTGAATAATTGTATGATGTGATATAAATAGGTGTTGATGTGATGTTTTGAATGTAAAATTGATTTTTAGTATAATATAAAAAAATAAAAAATATGTGTTTAATTTGATGTTTTGAGGGGGGAAAGAAAATGAGATGAATAATGAAAATCCAATCCAATCTCCCAAACAAACACATTAATGTAATTACAATTCATTGCATTCTATGTATGGTTAATTGATTAAACACATTACATCGTATTATTCAATCGTATGGTTCATTGTACTTATTTGCAACACATGATTAAGCCAATCAAGTTTAATATATATAGTTTCTTAGCAGATGATTTGGTGGTACCGAGTGAATTAATGAATATGAGGTAATGAGTTAAACTCTGATGCTTCTAATATAATGATTAAATTGTGTGAAGTAAATTTGTCAAAATAAGATCATGAGTTCAGGTCTCAATACATCCTATTTTGTTTAAAGAATGTTATATTCTCATATTATTTTTTAAAAAAAAAAATTAAAGTAATTAATAGCTAGTGCTTACTAGCTATTAAGAAGGAAAAAAAAAATTAAGAAATTAATTTGCAAATTCTGTAACTATAGAACTTTAGATCCACTGAATGTACACGCTGTCACAACCGTAGCTCATATTGAAAAGTGCTACATTTTACAAACTAAGTTTAATAAGATAAATCATATTAGACGAATCAAGTGTGGCAGATCACTTGGAGGCATTGGAGTTTGAACCCATAGCGTCGAAATTTCTTAATTATTATTATTATTATTATTATTATTATTATTGTTGTTGTTAATATATATGGATGTAGCTTAGGTAAGAGGGTGGTGGGTGATGAGCCTGTGGACGAGCTTGTCGAGGGCCTCTCTCATCCAGAAATAGGAGCCTGCAGCGGTGCAGGCTTGTCGGGCGTCGGCGACGGGCATCCACTGCCGGGATCGGAGAGGCTTCTCCGGCCAGAGATCGAGCTGGTGGGTCACCTGTAAGGGGAACATCAACCCTTCGTGGTACTTGTCGTCCCGGCTCTTGCTCCTGAACACCCACCTTCCAAGCTCACCCTATATCATTAATATATAATTAATCGATGAATTAATTAATTAAGATATAGATAGATAGTAGGTGGTAGTACCTCGACATTTCCGACGACACCAGCCTCCTCCAGTGACTCCCGGCAGGCAGCCTCTTCCACACTTTCATCACTCTCCCACCCTCCCTGTATAGATATATATATAAATAATTTGGCTTGAATGAATGAATGAATGAATTAGAACTACCTTGGGAAACATCATAATTTGTGGAGTTTTCTTAGAACTGATGACAAGAATTTCCAGTTCGTCCTCACTCCTGGCTGCTGCTGCTGCTGCTTCGTCAATATTTCCATTTCTTCCATTAATCTTATTCTTGAATCGGTATGGTATGCATCTGCAAATCCCATTATTCCCATTCATCATTACATTATACACAACTAATTTATAATTATACTCAAGAATAATAATAATTAGGTTTAGGTGGCTAGGTAAGGTACCCACCCGACGACAAGGCGACGATGGTTGTGGGTGTACCTCTGCAAGTGTCTCCCCGTCCGAGCTGCTTCTACAGGCGCCACCACGCACACATGATGATGATGATGCATCTTCATCAATTCCATCCAAGAATAATTAATATTGATTCTATTCTATTCTATTCCAAACAAACAAACTAATTAATTCAATTTCAAGTTTAAACACACATACAAATTAAATACAACTCCCTTTATTTATATATAATTGACCAATTTCTATTGAGCAATCTCATATATATATCCATACATCCGAACACACATATATATACACACAAGCTCACAACGACGACGGGGGTAGTAGTGAATTATTATTATTATTATTGGCCGTCTCACTCATTAATGGATAAGGAAAGAAGCAAGAAATGGTGGGCGGGGTGGGGTGGGGTGGGGTGGGACGGGGAGGGGAATAGTATTTAGTAATTGCATTATTACAGTTCAAGAAAGACCACTGCACACTTGCTTACACATCATCACCACCTGTACTGTACATTCATGGTTTCAAGACATTATAATTTCGGCGCTGCACTCCAAATCTTTTTTCATTCTCTAAATCCACCCACATTTTACAATTTATTAAATATAAACAAACCAATTAATTAAAAAATTAATTCAAATTCACACGAAACATACAAGAACTGTTAGCAGTATATATATATATATATTGATGCAATGAATATTGAATATCATCGATCGATGTCGTCAACGTACGTACCCATTCAATTAAATTCAATTCTTGGATTAAACTTTTTGGTCGTCATCAATGAATCAATTAATTAAGTCCAACTTTCTGGGCGTTTCCTTGATGTTTCTTACCCAAACAATCCTCTTTGCTTTTTATTTACCGGACCATTCCACCTGCTTTTAATTTGTTTCAATTCCTTTTATTTATTTATTTATTTAGCTATCCATAGATAGATATATATATATATATATATATATATACTTTTCGTATTCAGACAAAATTATTCACATGATTGATCAGATTCAGACCTAGACCTGCCTGCAGCAACAGCAGTAGCAACTTCCTGGAACTTTCACTTCCTTTAGATGATTTTAATCGATTATTGATTCATTCATTAATTAATTGACTCCACTTTAGCTTCAACTACAATAATGCCTCCCTGTCTAGTTTAGGGCATGCAATAATCCTGCAATCTCTGATCGATTCAAACTCATATTCATGTCTTAATTTGTATATATACATTGGCTACCAATGTATTTATTTTATTTCTTTTGGATTGTCCACAATCAATAAATGTATCAATTTTTTTAATTTAAATAAACATAGTCCAAGCATTCTAAACAACAATATGACTTTTTTCACACATAAATTATGAATATTTCTTATTTTATATACACACATTGCAAATCTAACTATACATGCAAACAATCACTTTGTAAAAATTAAAGAACTTTAGCACCGATTGAAACTTCTTTATATATATAATTAACATTTCAGTTCCAATATATACAACACAATATTTCATACAAAATATTACACCAAAGACATATTTCATTCAAAAATCAAACTACAAATAAAGAAACAAAAACAAAATAAAGAAACCCTTTTTCTTCTAGAAGCATTTTAATTTTTTTAAAAACAATTTTCAATATCAACAAAGATCGTATCTAGAAATTTTGTTAGGACAAGTGGATGAAGTTTCTGTGTGTGTCTGTATAATTTTATAAAATCAACTTGGAGAAGTATCGGGTCCTAAAAAGTGTACTCCCAAGTCCCAACACTAGAACAAATATAAAATATAATGTAATTATAAAAATCAGATCTTGATCTTATTTGAAGATGATTTTAATGCAAAAATGTTAAAAATAAATGTGTGTCACACCTGAGCAAAAGCATAAATAGACACACAAACAAACAAATAAATGAAAGAAATAGGAAGATGGGAGTCAATAAATATTATGGGAATAGAGATAAGGGAGAAGAAAAGAGTGGACATATTAATATACAACAAGTCTACAAAGGCTGGATTTAATAATATAATTATTGCATGCAAGTGTTAACTACTAGTTAAATTTATTAAAACATTATATTGCATATCAATCTGACACGTGCACGTGCACGTGCTGTCTTCATTGAAACATCCACCTCTAATAGTGCCCCACTAGTATATATTAGTAAAAGTGTCTTCTTCTGCGGATTTTCTCAAATTTCTGCTGTTCATTCAATTTATTTTCTCTAGAAATATTAAATTAAATATTTTTTTTATATTATGTTAAAAATCAATTTTATATTCAAAACATCACATCAATACTTATTTATATCACATCATACAACTATTCCAATTCAAAAATTTTACTATTTAAATCTTAATTTAAAATCCAAACTCCCAGATAAACACACCCTAAAGCAATTCTTCCATTATATATAATTTTAAGTTAATAAAAAAATTATAGTAATAAGTGATGGTATAACATGTTCCAAGAACAAAAAGGACTGGACACGACAATATCGGGACCTTTTAATATATCAAATAATTACAATTATTATTTTCATTAGGGTTTTGTCTTGGTGTGGACATTTATTTAATTAAATATAATTAGTTTCCGTGGTCTGAAACCCATTTCTAGAAACAGCATGGCCTTGGCCTTGACCTTGGCAGTGCAACAACTCACTAAATAATAATAATAATAATAATAATAATAATAATAATAATAATGTACTATCTCTATTTTACCTGAAATATTTTTTTAAAAAATTAAAAAATAATAGTATATATTGATGAATAGATTTGTATATATATATATATAAAACAATAAATTAATGAAAATTTTGAATTTATGCATACTGTGATGGTATTTTAATAAATTAATAATATACCCTGTAATTATTTATTTATTTGTTTAAAATGCATGCGTGACAGACACAATCGAATCTAAATCTGAATCAAGAATCAAATCAGCAGCTTAGTTCAGTTCAAGATTAATTAATGTCATCGACATGATGAGTTAATTTTCTCTCGTCTGTAGAAAATGTCACGTGATTTAATTATATATATAGCCCATGTGACTAATTTATTACTCTTTCTTGCATGATTATATATATATTGCTTCAATTTACAACACAAAGTATTACGTAATTTATTATTCTATCCTCCTCTTTTCTTCTAGTATAAGTAATTATTATATTAGATTTTGAGGGGAAAAATAAAAAATAAAACCCCATAAATTAAAGAGCAATTAATCAATTTAATTAAAAATCAAGAATGATGTGTATTTGAATCACACACCAATTAATTAGATATCACAAAAAAATCCCTAGAGGTAATTAATGCATATGGAATGTCACAAAATTTCAAATTTGTACTAAATCTTAATAATCTATCAAGTAGCCAAATTGTATAAACCAATCATCCCTCTCTTTACTTGTTTCCATGAAATCTATTTTATTAAAAATATTTTTTTATATAAAATATCACCTCAAACACTTATTTTCTATTATTTTTTTTTATTATTATTATTTTCAAACAAACACAAAACCACTATAAAAAAAATTGATATATCCTATAGATTCATTGAACGTAGCTAGTCAGTCAGTCAGTCAGTCGTATGTGTAAATAATTGTATAACTACTACAACCATAAGACACAACAATAACGATAGATATATATATATATAGATATATATATATATATATTAAAGTGGTGGCTGCTGAATGCTATTCAGACGACATTAAAATCCGATCACCAGTCAATAATTATATATATATATATATATTGTCCTAATTAATTAGGAATTTTGTTTGTTCTTATTTCAGGCAATTAATAATAAATGTTGCGGTGGGAACACATACACCTACTGCTGCATTTCGTCATTTGCTTTGTCGTCAAACAACATAATATTATAATAAATATATCAAAATTTATTGAGTTCTTCCTTCCCATGCTGCATGCATGGAATCCAATCATTTTTTTATTTTATTTTATTTCTTTTTTATTACATTAGATAATAATAATAATAATAATAATAATAATAATAATAATAATAATAATAATAATAATAATAATAATAATAATGTTGTCGTAACAAAAAGATTGAGTCTTACTAGAGTCATCAAAGTCAATTTATTCATTTAAATCTTACTTTTTCATGGATCCAATTGCAATAATTTAAAAAATTATTTGCATATGTGTAATGTGGTTAGACATAAAGCTTAGTCCATATTAAAATTTGTAACAAGAATTATCATAAAAACATTAAGTATTATTATTACAAAAATTAATAATAACAAGTGGATAGCTCTATAGTGTGTTGAAACACTCAATACAGTATCATAAGAAGCAGCCTATGGATCACGTCCATCCCTAAGTACGAGGGCCCGGCCCAAATAAATAAAATTAGACTCATATTAATTTATTTAGTTCATATAGATAATTAAAACTAATACTAATTTTTAAGCATTTATCTATTTTCTAGAATGTTAAAAACATTTTAACACTAAATTTAATATACTTTTTTAATATATGTATTAAAAAAAGTATAATTATATATTTCCGGTCTCATAAAAAGTATAATTATTATATATATATATATCCAGTCTCATAAAAAAAGATTTTTATTTTTCATTTCCGTCACAAAACAAAAAATACTCCCTCTATCCCGAGCCTCTAATATTGCCTATGGCCGACATGGAGCCGACGACGATATATATTAAAAATATGATATCATAAAATATTGTATATGTATGGTGTGTTTGTTTGGGAGTTTGAATTTTGAATTGGAATTTGAATAGTAATAGTTGTATGATATGATATAAATAGACGTTGATGTGATATTTTGAATATAAAAATAATTTTTAAAATAATATAAAAAATATATTTAATTCGATATTTTTTGAAAAAAAATATTTGATGAATCGTAACATTTGAATAAAGTCGTACAAACGAACACACCCGTAGTATATTATAAATTTTAATTGAGTATCACATCGTACCATGTGGTATAAAATTATGTATAATAATAATAATAATAAATAAATAACTAAATAAATAAATAAGAGTAATATCCAAATGGTCCAATAAGATACGTTGCCCAAGTTAGGACGCCAAACGCGGGGAGGAACAATCACACACAGTTCCGCAATATGCCACGTGGCGCTTCGGGCGGCGTGACGTGTGCGCTTTGCTGGCACACGTAACTGATTCGGTGTATGGCCCACACCGATTCGAACCCGCATGACGTCACATTCAACCCTTCCACGTCACCCCTCTCTTTTTGTCCCCATTATTAACATGAATTTCTAGAATACCCCTCCCCTCCCACCCTGTATTTGACCTCGTTACGGATTTTCATTTAAATCAATAAATTGTTACTATCATGATATTAAATTAAACCCATAGAAGGAAAACACATAACAAACGTGTGGTGATCACTAAAAACAGACTCGGTCACTTTCACATTTTTCCAATTTGGTGTTTTACCAACGTAGCTAACGATTTGTGACTATTTGGTGACCAATATTCAAAACACATATATGTATCTAATTTAATTGCAACATTCAGAAATTTCAAAAACGTGCGTCAACCAATAGGAAACCGACACGTAGCAATTTTTTTCCCAATAATCACAGTTTTAGCCGTTGACAGTCAGCTCGTTCCGGTCAACCGAGGAAGATAAGCACGGTGACGTGTCCTCGATTAAATTGATCGAGTAAAAGGGTAGTTTGGTCATTTCACAAAAACCTCATCTCCTTCACCACATTAGTTATCTGCCCGCCTTCCTAACTCTCTCTGCATTTCACCAATTCATGAACATTTCATGTGCTCCAGTTTATCACCATTTCTTCCTCACCTATATATACACATATACGTACACACGCTCACACATCATTTCTGGCTTACTGAAACTTATTAGTTGCGAGGTGTGATTTGTTTGTGTTCTCCGCTCTCAATCAATCCTTCTCTGTGATTTAGCTATGCCTGCAATGGATAACAAGGAAACAATCAGCAGCAGCGACGATCGAGATGAATATCAAGGCGTGGGGATTCACAGCCAGGTCAGGAAAGTAAAGCAGGAGATGGAGAAGATCAACCGCCTTGCGCTGCAGCCGCCGGAGGCGCGGCCAGCGCTCCGGGAGATCGTCCGCCACCATCAACGATCGCGATCGCCTCTAGGGTTAGCAGAAAGGCCAATCTCGGTTGGTAATTAATCATGATAGATTTCGAATTTGCCTGTTTGATTTACACGGTTAGGCTACGGCAGAGGTTCTACTGTTTACTCAGTCTCCTGTTTAGTGCATCTTCTGGCCTTACCAGTTAGTTTGTACATAATTAGATGAATATTATAAAGGACTTTTCTACTCTCAGTTCTTCTCCTTCTCTTTAATTATTCAGAATTTCTTAGAAAGTTTTGCTTCTGTGAATCTACCTGACCATATATGAATTGAGCAACCACAAATTGACATATTGTTCATCTGCCAAAACAAATAGCAAGAATTGAAAATTGGCTCTTACAGTACAACTGCTTGTTACCTAATTATTGCGCAGCACTTGTTTCCACTGAGGAGAGCGATCTAATCCTGTTTGAAAGATCCCTCATGGCATTAACAATGACAGTCTTCTTCTGGATTCTGTACTCGACGGCAAGCTTGGTTGTTCCCGCGACATCGCCATTATTCTGCTGTTTCATTATCGATTCATCTTCCATAATTTTGGTGGGGAAGTGCCCGAGCGCGATCACGCACAGAGCAACAATTGTCCGTAGTGTTGCCGTCTCATTTCCCGTTCCGAGTGGTGCTTCACTTTTAATCGATTTAAGGTCATCCAGAGCCTGCTTTTCCACGGCTTCTTTGTCGTTGCACAGGAGAACTCTCAAGGCAGCCAACAATCGATCCTCGACTAACTCAGAACCTCCGATCCTCACTTTAAGATCAGGATTTTCGCCGTCTAGATTGAGCTGGAGCAATATTTGTTGCTGCCATGGCGACGGTGAAGAGAAGTTGGGGGATGAGATACCGGCAGCCATGCTAGCAGCATCTAGAAGGGCTGCGTCGTATTTGAGTTCGATGCAATCGTACGGGTTTGAGGGGACGACAAACCCATAATCCAGAAGAAACAAATCATTATTTAAACAGCCATAGTTGAGCTCTATCGGATCATCTTGCTTAATCTGCACTTTCGCAATCACCTGGCCATAAACACAAATCAAGAATCCACTATTATACTAGGCATAGATGTTTAATGAGTTTTCTCGAGGCACAGTAGGGAACGAACCTTTACAAGCATGTTCTCGCTGCTCGATTCATTCTCTTGTACAATTTCAGCATTCGGAGCAAAGCTGTGGTTGCACATGTCTATCAGTGGGAGGCACATCGGAGTATCGATATGGGTTCCATTTGCATTTCTGCCGTATAGACGAAATGCACGAGATGAAACAGCTGACATTGCCCATCCGAGGGATGAAGCATCCACATCCTGTCCTCCAAAGGGGTGATCATCTGGTTTGACATTTTCGAGTTTACTTTTCACTAACCTCTCAAAATCAAGAAGAAACCGACACCTCTTGTTTACCTAAAAACATCAATAAAGTACATAAGCATCCTCCGGCATCATTGCTAGTTTGCTACCCAACAAATATACATCGAGAAAGTATACAAGAACATGTAAGTGTGGCTTATAGTTTAACCATGGAAGACATAAAGAGCATTCAACTCAAGACAGAGTCATAAACAGACCACTCACTTACCTGGTGAAGAAGAGGAGCATACTGTAAATTCTTGATATCCTCGCCGGGGAAGAAAATAGGAACACTGTACGTTTCGGGAAGATTGCTAATGTAAGGCCACCAAAAGGAACCTTTCTTGGCTCTCTCTTGCAGAAGTTTCAAGCCCAACCTCATCGCCCACAGCTCCTCTGTCAAATGCTCCAAATGTCCAATTTACTTCTTACACAAAATTCAATAGCCTAATATTTAACGAAAGGAGTCACCAAACAATACCAGGAGTTAATCAAACTGCATTTCAGAAACAAGGAATGGCTCAGTGGCTCATCTCCATGCTTTTTCAATTATGACTATTAAGCTTCGCAGCATTCAATTCTCACCAATTTCAATCAAATAGTATCCAACAGATTGTTTTAATTTGACATCAGAATGTAAAAATGAGAATGCTCCTAACCTATCAAGTCCAAGCACATAAACCCTAACTTTTTACAGACCGGCCGACAACAACAAAATGTCCTTCAATCCACCATAGACAATTCAAATTGATACAAAAATAACAGATCTTATACCTAATTTCACGACAAAATAGATAATTAAGAAGAACAAAAACCGTACCCGGAATGTGCCGAGCCAAGTCAATCAAAGCAGATGATTCCCCATCTTTGGCTTCAAACCTAAGAGGAATGTGTTGGGGGAGAGTAATGAGATCAGTCCCCTTCGGAATATCCTCAGAAGCCAGAAGACCGAGCCCGAGCCCGAGCCCGTTGGGTTTCTCTTCCTCCAAATATCCCACCTTAATAGACCTGTGCACAAATCCGCCTTCTCTCTGGACCCACTTTACCAGGTCCGGCGGCTGAGTCACCAACCGTGTAGTGTAGAGGCAGGCCGACGCCGCGGCGTAGGCTAACGGGCGGACGTGGTTTAGCGAGCTCGCCATCAGCGCCATCTTGCTCGACATTTGCCAGTTGCCACCATTCACCCGATTGCCTAAAAAGGTTTTTTTAATCTGTACTTTCAATTCGGGTTTGCCGGGTCAAACCGGATCCTCTTTTAAAATTTACCATTTTAATAAGATTATATTTTTATAAGAATAATAAGACTCAGAATAACAATATATATATATATATAATAACCATAAATTATTTCCAAAACAACACTACTAGATTAATACCTAAAATCTAATAATAATAACAATTTCTCAACCCTAAACAAACAAACAAATAATAAAAAAAACCAAACAAATAATAAATTATTAATAATATTAATGATGAATAAATCTCAGCCGTCCATCAAACATCGAAGCGGATTCCTCTCATCATCATGACCTTGAACTCGTCGAAACAGATGGTTCCATTCCCGTCGGCGTCGACGCCGCGGATCATCTTCCGGCAGTCGGCGAGCGTGCAATTCTCCCCGAGGCTCCGCAGCACCTCCTGCAATTCGTCCGCCGATATGCTGCCATTGCTGTCCAAATCGAAGACCTTGAAGGCGTCCCACAGATTGGCCAGCACCTCGTCGTGCCCTACCTGGTTCGTGTTCAGCTCGATGAACTCCCGCAGATCAATGTGGCCATCGCCGTCGCTGTCCAACTCCGACACCATTCTCCTCAGCTCCTCCTCCGTCGCCGGACTCCCCAGGCTCCCCATTATCGCCCCCAATTCCGCCGCCGAGATCTTCCCGTCCCCGTTCGAATCGAATTTCTTGAAAACCAACTCCAATTCCTCCTCCAGCCGCCGCCGCTCGTTCACCGACGACGATCTCGAGCTGATCGTTGTTATTGCCGCCGCTGCCGCCGCCGCCGCCGCCGGCAAATCGCTGTGTTTCTTCTTCCTCCGGAACAACTCCTTCAATCCCATGATCAATCGGAGATTTCTTTTTTCTTTTTTTTTTTTTTTTTTTACAATTCGTCGGCAGGAAATTAATTATCGGATACGATGGGTGGATTGAAAATGTTTGCCCTAAAGAAGGATTGGAGAAACGCAAATCTCTGTGCAATTAATAATGGAGACGATAGGGGAGGAGAAATTTGTGGGTTTGATGTTTGAATACAGTTGGGATTCAGAATTATTCAAGAACTATGTGTTGTACTTTATTGGTATCTTTTATGGTTATTAATTATATTACAATTCTGCGTTCAAATTCGAGTCATTTTCCGGTATATACTAGGTTTTCTCGTTTATGGTGTCAAATTACCTAAGTATCCTTCATATGCGTTTATCATGCACGGTGCGGCTGAAGGGCATGTTGGTCTTTTCGTCATAGCATATGGATGAATGCACCCGAATGTGAAGGGTTTTTATTAGTTGGTACTTACCATTAATATAGTAATGTGATTTTTTATTAATAAAAAATGGAAAGATATATGATAAATTGAATAAAAAAAAAAAGATATTTATAACAGAAATATGTTATTGTACAGTATTATTATTTGTGTGCTATATATCTTTTGTAATATTATGACATAAGAATCATAAGAAAAAAATATAATAAAAGATATAGCGACTCATAATACGATGTAATATTGAAGTAACAATATATATGTGTAAAATTATACAATTAAATTGTTAAATCATTCTGTTAATTTGTTGATCGATAATTAAAGTTTGTTGAACTAACCTTAAAACATATCTAACTCTCTACGAAAAAAATCCTACAAATAAACATATCCTCTATTAAATTTTTATTGACACAATTTCGTTACAATTATTAGTGTATTTTTTATTTTTATTTTTTTAATGTAGTTTGGAAATTTTGGATCTGGTATTAAAATGATATATGATGAAATATTTTGTAAGAGTTTTTTCAAAAAAATACATAGTTCAAATAATAAAAATTTGAGGTTTGAGGTTAAAGAAATAAATCCTTAGTTTTACTTCTTTTTTTTTAATAACGTAATTGTTATTATTTAAAATGAAAAATAAATATTGCACATAATTTTTTTTTAAATAATTACTGTTATCTTTTTGTGATATAAAATCAGTGGTGGAGCCACATATGACTCGGGGAGTCCCAACCCCTCCTGAGTTATCGTTCCCGCCATTATGTCAATTATTTTGTTAATTACATAGATATTCGTCCGTTCAAATTCGATAAATCATTATTAAATTAATATTTCTATATTCATTAAATACATTAAAATAAAATATTTGGTCATCAATTTTGCTTAAAATAATAAAAATATATGATTTTTTGAACCTCAACGAAACTTTCAACCCTTCGACCGATAAACTTTAGCTCCGCCGCAGTATCAAATAACACATTGTAAAATCAAACAACATCACTCACACACACATAAACGGTAAAATTAGTCATATCTTATTATTTATTACATTCTTCTAAACAAGCCTCGACAACTACAAGCTAAATCATTGCTTAATTATAACAATAACATTTTCGAATTAATCCTCGGCATTTTCCTTCTTTCGAGCTCTCCGCCCTCTTACACGTTTTGTTACATTTCTTCTGAAAACAAATCCCTTTATATTTCTTGCTCTTGTGCCGGTGCACATTGTCTTTTTTTACCGCGAAATTATCGACAGTCGATAAATGTTCAGCTGCACATCAACAAACAAGCATATTAACATACAAATAATCTCAAAAAAATCACACTATAACTAAAATTGTTCTTAAAAATAAATAAATAAATAATAACCATGAATTACACAGCCATCAACAAGAAAATGAGAAGGATTATAGAAAAGCCACACGAAGACTTCTTCATCTTCACTACAAAGAAATATTTGATAATTGTTTCGAAAAGAATCGATTGGTACCAAACAGGTAGTCTATGCACTGTATATATAGTTGGAATTTGGTGAATCTAGAAGGTTCGATTTTATTTATTTAAATAATTATAAATAATATAGACAGATCAGCAAGTTAATTTCTAAAAATAAAAAAATATATATAAAAAATAAGAAATAATCAGCACCGTCTATCACGTAGGTCCCACTGAAATAATGGTGTGGATTCGTTCAGGGTTGAAAGCCCCGAACCTTCTAGATAAATATTTTTCAAAAATAAACAACAAGGGTATGTTTACTTGTCACGTTTTACACCTGATTTTACGATTTAAACTTTTTTTTTCTTCAAAAAAATCAAATCAAACATTTAATTTTTATTTATTTTATCATACTAAAATTTAATTTTACTTTCAAAACATCACATCAACACATATTTATATCACATCAAACAACTATTTCGATTCAAAATTTTATTATTCAAAATCAAAACCCAAAACTAAAACATCACAACTAAACACACTCACGTGACTTATATCCAATTTATTCAAAATTTCAATTTAGCCCTTACAGTTATTCATATTTTCATTCTCGCATCTCTATATTTTGAAAAGCTAACAAATTAACACGTGAGTGAAATGATTAAGAATAATTAAAATAAATTATCTACTCAGTACATTGCTTTAAAACTAAAATGCAGTAGAAATGTCACACTGATCTAACTATAAAAATGTACACAGATATAATGCATGGGAATATGGGAAAATTAAAATAAAATAGAAGAATAAAATAGTGGTCGTGCAAGAAAATCACGTGCCTCGTCACATATGTTTGAGTTTAATAGGTTTTTCCATGATCTTGATTTGGTTTAAATTGGACGGTGGAGATTTAGTAGGAATATCAGTATAATTTTGTATAATCAATTTAAGGTCTTGAATTGACTAATATAGGAGTACTAATTTTGGCTCTAGATTAATTTCTTATTCATCTTAGTTCCTTTAATTTGATATTGCTTTTCATAGGTCAATTTTCTTTTCTTCCAATTTAAATCTTAATATAATCCAACTACTATATCAATTTCGAAAAATTTTAACACTATTATTTAAAATAAGTTTTTAAAATATATACATCAAATTATCAAAATTCTATCAAAGTTAAACCCCATTTGCATTTTAAGGCTGTGTTAGGTAGGAAATTATAAAATAATAATTGAAGTGTGATTTGACAGAGTATGACTTGATCTTGTACTATATTAAAACTACCAATTCAAATGCAAGCAGCCCCTCAACTTTCAATTGAATATATCTGCTATTTCTTGAATCTTGTGTACAAAAAATATTTATATTATATATATATATATATATCAATTGGTCCAACAATTACCTCTATTTTATTATTATTATTATTATTATTATTAAATTATGTAAATAATTTAAATGCAGCATATATTCACTTACCGTAAGGCCCTGTTTTCAAATAGTGAGATCCGTCCGGTCAAGCTAACACCGCCGGCGGAGAATCAATGGAGGAAGTTCCGTGCTTCCGTCAAACCGATCAGCCGCCGGAGTACGAGCGGTACATCACTGTTCTCAGCATAGATGGCGGTGGCGTCAAAGGAATCCTCCCCGCCGTTGTCCTTGAATACCTCGAATCTCAGCTCCAGGTAATTAATCCGCACCGGAACAAAATATATACTTATATATGTATAGAGATTAGAGAGAATCAGCTAATTGATTAATTCATCTCCGTTGAATGATTTTCTTCGTCGGATTTGGAGCAGGAGCTGGATGGAGATCAGGCGAGATTAGCAGATTACTTCGATGTGATAGCCGGAACGAGCACCGGTGGACTGGTAACCGCCATGATTACATCTCCGGATGCAAACAATCGACCTCTGTATGCCGCCAATCAGATCAAGCCTTTCTACTTGGAGAATTGCCCCAAAATCTTCCCTCGGGAACAGTAATTATTCAATTCATCGACCTATTCCATTTTCCTTCCCTAATTGATTGTTTACTCTGCGTAATTTGACGATGAACTAAACTCGATTGCGTCGCAGCACCATATTCCCTTTCGGTAAAATGTTGAAATCATTGTTAGGGCCATTGTACGACGGGAAATACCTCCATGGAATACTGAAGAGCCAATTGTCGAACACCAGGCTGAGCCAGGCAATCACCAATGTCGTCATTCCAGCATTCGACATCAAGCGGTTACAGCCAGTGATCTTCTCTTCGTATCAGGTTCAGATTTCTGTTTCAGCTTAATTTCCTGCACTCACTCGCAATCACTCATCAACATCATATTTGCGGATTCAGGCGAAGACAAACAAACTGTTGGATGCAAAGTTTTCCGATATCTGCATAAGCACTTCAGCAGCTCCGACAATATTTCCAGGGCACGGATTCGTCACTCGAGACGAGAACGGCAATTTCAGAGAGTTTGATCTGATCGACGGAGGCGTCGCTGCGAATAATCCAGTAAAATCCATTCCCTAATTGCATCAATCAATCAATCACTGCACTGCACACCATCTCTGATCCGATTAATTTCGAATCAAGGCTTTGATCGCCATAACAGAAGTGACCAAACAAATGTTCGACAGCAACATGAACTTTTTCCACACAAAGCCAGTCGATTATCCTCGTCTTCTGGTGATCTCCGTCGGCACCGGAGCAGCACGAATCGACGAGAAATACAACGCCAAATTAGCCGCCAAGTGGGGAATGTTGGACTGGCTGCTGTACGGCGGCACCATGCCATTGCTGGAAGTCTTCACCCAAGCCAGCGCCGACATGGTCGACTTCCACAGCTCCCTCATTTTCCAGGCACTCTACTCCGAGGAGAATTACCTCAGGATTCAGGTAACTCTTAAGATTCGATTCCGCCATTCCTATCTCTATTCCGCCATAATCAATCCATTCCATCCACTCTGTGCAGGACGACACCCTGTGTGGAACCGAATCAACCGTCGATGTTGCGACGACGGAGAACCTCAACAGACTGGTAGAAATCGGCGAGCGGCTGCTCCGGAGCCCCGTTTCTAGGGTCAACCTGGAGTCCGGCCTCACTGAACCAGTCAAAGACGGCGGCACCAACGAGGACGCCATTAAAAGGCACGGAACTCACATATACATATATTATACTATATATTTATATATATCATCATCTTGCTTTAACAATTTTGCTGAATTCTTTCAAATTCTGGCTGCCAGGTTTGCTAATTTACTTTCAACGGAGAGGAAATGTCGCGTGGCGAAGAACACAGCAGGGAGCAGAACAGCCACTGTAAAAATGGCGGTGAGCACATGGCGGCCAAAGATGGCGACAATGTTGAATAATTATTGTCACAGGCCAAGTGAGACTGCAATCAATCCTCTCATCAGACTCAGTCTTAGTGCTTCTGTTGCTGTCACTGCAAAAGCTTTCTTCTGGTAATCATCAATCAATATAATCAATTAGTAATTAATGGTGTTGTTGCATGTCAATTAATTATAATTTGTTGAAATTTTATATTCATCGATTTAATTGCATGCATGAGCATGAGGATGAGCAATTGGGCATGATTGATAGTATATATAGTTTTATAAATTTTAATTAAGTTGTATGGTGGATTTGTGATTGAGACAACCACTCACTAGCTGCCTGCTGATTCTATATATCAACTGAAATTATTGAAAAGATAGCAAAAAGTCATCATATACATCTCTTGAATGATCTGGAAAAGTGCAAATATATGTATTATAAAACTAAATTTATAATCCAAAATATATATTTATATCACAAGTCAATAATATATGTCTGATGGTAAGTGGACGACACACTAATAATTAATATAGAGCTATCTTTAAATTGCCTGTTACGTTCACGCAATGCTTATCTTGACTGAAACATGTAATTCAATATATATAAATCGAACAAACGAAATATATCAAGATTATAAAAAAGAAAAAAAAAACACACACACACATATTATAATTTATTAATTGTAATACAGCCGATTACAAAATCAACTGCAACTCGAAATTGCAGAAAAGCAGATTCAAACATTAGGAAGGCAGAACCCAAAATTAAATTGGGTCAGGACTCCATTATCAAACCACACACACACAATACAATAATTATTTACTAAATATAATATAGTATTAATTAATAAAATACGAAACTCCTGATATAATTAATTACTATACACACACATATATAGTAATTAATCAATTTATTCTCAGGGTAATTTAAAAACAAAATAAAATAAGTAAAAAGAGTGGTCAGTCAGGTTTCTTCTCAACAGTGTTTAGTGCAGTAGCAGCGGCGGCGGAAGCCGCGGCAGTGGCCGCCGTGGAAGCCTTCGGTCTGGCACACCGCCGCGCAGTTGGCCTTCAGCACGCAGGCCCCCCTGAACCGGTGGCTCTTGGACTCGCAGGTCCTGGCCTCTGTCACTATTCCTGGTCCCATATCATATATATATATATATATAATATGTTTAGTTAATGAATAATCTTAAGCTGGTATGTATATACAGCATAAGCTGCTTTGATCAGATTAGCATGTAATCAGCATATATTATATTATAATTATAACTCAGCATACTACATCATATTGTTACGAGTATAATGTATATTGATCTGGTTAAATTAGCTTCATCCATTCTGATTTAGTCGGATCAATAGTAGCCAATTTTTAATACTAGAGCTTTACATTCACAAGAATCAATCATCAAGATCCCGTATCCCATGCAGCATTTTATAACTATATATGGAGCTTTACAGATGTAAATAATTAACAGAAGCCCATTTCAGTTAATATGAGATATGCAAGAACTTACACTTGTTAATCATAAACCAAAAGCCAAGTAAATATTTGAAAGTAAATCAAATTCATACCATTTGAAAAGACAAGGATCAGCATGAGAGATAGAGCAGCCAACAACTTCAGAAAACTGGCCATTTAAATTTTTTTGGTGTTTTTTTCTCTCACAGAATTAAGGGTTGTATGTGTGTGTGTGTGTTCAATGCTATGTGCTAGAAAAAAGACCGTGTAAGAAGGCTCTATATATACACCTCTGCATGGGCAAAAAAAAAAAAAAAAAAATCATTTAAATAATATATATATATATATATATATAAAGCTTGAACATCAATGAGTGATATATATGGCTGCTCAGACCCACTGATTAAACTAATTTATCTCCATTTTTTTTTCTTTTTGCCTAACAAGTGTTGCATATAATTGTAAATGTTTTCACTTTAATTTAAAGTTTGTGTGTGTGTGTGTGTGAAAATTAGGTGTTCAATATCTTCCTTTGGCATTAAAGGTGTTTCTAAAATCCCTTTTTCCCTTATTTTGTTGATTCACTTGTTAGCCCTTTTAAATTGTATTCCCATTGTGTATCAGCTTCTTTTAGCTATGAAAGAAATTATTAATCAATTCTATTGCCATTGTAATCAAATTTGGAACCTTTTTTTTTTTTTTTTTTTATTTCTTTCCCAAAGTGTTTTGTCTATTCATTCTTGAGTCATAATGTCAAAATTGGTACCTTATATTTCTTATTTCTGCATATTTGTTTCTAAAAAGTGGCTTTCACTTTTTTGCTGTACAAATGCTAAAGCAAATTAAAGGCACATGAAGTGTTCATACTTCATACTTTGATTTCTGAATTATCCAAGCTAATTTGATCTGTTTCGGATGAAATAGTTTCTAGATGAGGTTTTTAGTATAATTAATGAATGCTTAGGTGTTAAAATACAAATAATCAGTACCATACTGATTAGTCCATTTAGCATACTAAAATCCTGTTAGATCATATGTTCTATAGATTGTTAGCGTGTCATAATTCATCTAATTTATATGTATTGTCTTTTAGGTGAAATTAATAGTAGTATGTTCTATATAGACTATTATAATGTACTGCAAGTTTATTAACTGTATTTATATTATATGAACTTATCTTCTTTATATATGTCATTTGTATATATTCTAGATGTTGTCAACCGGAAAATTAATATATTTCTATAAGCATCTCGGAAACATTCAGAAACACGGGGTGTTTTTTTTTTTATTGGTTTGAGAAATATTTGGATTGAGTTTGATATTAAAAAGAGATGTATTTTTTTCGGAAAAGACAGAGTCCAAATAGTAAAAACCTGAAAGTTCGGTGATAAAGAAACAAACCTTAATAAAATGCACTCTCTACGGCATGGAATATATACATACACATGTTCAAGTTGAGAGTTTCCAGATTTTCTGTCTGCAGTTAAATTCATGAGAAGAAGAAATTAACCTTCTTCCAGATAGATGCCAAATGAGTTGCATTTTAGCCGGGATGAAAATTACTACCGTCTACTTTCTATATTAATCTTTATACATCAGCTGCTAATTGGGAGAAAAGTATTAGACATTGGCGGGACGTAGAGCCCGAGACCTGGAATGCGCTCGATGCATCTCCTGAGCTCGCTCAAACTGCTGCAGACATGAAGCAAAGTTAATCTCTTCATGTAGATTCCTTTGGTCTTCACCGTCCTCAAGAATTTCTGATCCTCTGACATTGTTAATGTTTAAGCGAGTAACTTGTGATGATAAATGATCGACATGTTCGCCACTTAAAGAGTAGGGCGGTACAGTCTTTAATCGAGTCCAGAGAATCTTAAATGCTACACTTTGCTGCACAAATGGGAAGAAACAAAACATGCTTAGGATAGTCCTCTAAATACAGACAATAACATTAGCTCTAATGTGAAAGCAAGACCACCATCTGAATAATATTCTTTTTTGTAAGTAAAAAAGGCCAGCTTTAATATCTATCCATCACTGCTATAAATAAAACCAAGTTTAAACAGAATTGCACTACCAGCAATGTTCATCCCTACATTAAAAAGACTAACCATTTGTATATCCCATCACAAAATCCAGTTAAGGAATATTATAAGCACTATTCCATGTTCACAAATTAACCAGAATGCCAACAAGCTAAAGCCTTTTATGTTTAGCATCACCCTACCTATTACGCTTTAAACCAAAAAGAACTTTGGAAAGTTAGAATGGTTTCACCAAGAACTTAAAAATGAAAGCCAAATATCATCTCAAACCTCGACAATTGCTAATGGATTTCTAAATCCCAAGTTGCTGATCCAATTAACACTTTGATTCATGGCTGGCATAATAAAGTCATTTAGTTTCAGGTATTAATTGCTCTCAAATTGGAAGTAATATACAGCCAACAAGTAATGTTTAATCTAATAGTATTATAAGTTCTATTTCAATATGCATATCAACTACTATCCTATCCTTTCTGTATGAAGTAGAAACTGCCAAGTACACACCTGGGGAAGCAACATCAGAAGTCCATACAATGCTTTCAGCAACCATGTATATCTTCCTGGATCTAAGAGCTGAAAGAGGAAAGCAAAAACTCAAATTGATGAAGCAAACAAAATACTGTTCATAGAAAAGATATGTATGTCACAATTTCTAAAGAGAAATATAAGAAGCATTAAACTTTATGCATTTACAGTAAAACACAAATCTCATAGATGAAATCGGCATAACTCACCTACACTAAACTATATTTAATTACCTGTAGTCTAAGGTAAACAAAGGTAGGAGCTTCCAGAAGGTGGATCAATTTATCCAGTTGCACTAAAAATTTGATGTGAATATCCTCCTCAACCAATGATTGTATGACAGAACTTGCATGCTGGTAAGCCTATTATAATGCCAAGATAAGAAAAAGACAAAAAGAAATATTACAGAGAAATAGAGAAAATAGGCAATGAGCAAGTGAAAGACCCACCAAGCAACAAAGCTCTTACCTGAGCTAGTAAGCAAAGGCTTATAATAGCCATTGGTGAATGGCACCAAGATGTATATAAAGTAAGAAGTAGGTCTTTTCCGTGATCATTGAACATGGAACTTTTCAAGAGATCCCGGAGGTTATCCAACTCATACGAAGTGAGCAAAATCAAATTCAAAGCCTGAATTAGAAATTTGAATTTAAAATCAGTCCAGTGCTTATGTAATACAAATTGCATCCCAGTAGATAATAAAGAGTTGAATCAGATAATGCTATTCATATTTGACAGGTGAATAAACTAAAACGAAAACATGGTGATGCCCATGTTGGAACACATATTACCTCAACCATAGTTGATGCAAATTCCAAGTTAGATTCTGTCTGAAGTATAGAAGAAAGCTTCCTATAAACTGTTTCAGCATCTAAAAGCACACATAGTCTACGGATTATCAAAGCACCCCGTCTGCAAGAGTAAGATCAACATACATGATAATGACATACTTCAGTATGTGTAAACAAACAAAGACACATAACTCACTTCTTCAAGAGAGAGTAATCAGCACAGAAATTTTGAACTAATTCAAAGATGAGCTGATGAAAATGCTGCTCATCTTCGGCTATACAGGCATGGACCTCAAGTACCAGGAGCACTACCTGAAAGAGAAAACCAAATACCCTTTGTTTAATAAGCCATACGAGGAATATGAAACCTACAAATGAGAAACAGACCACTCAAATGTGTTTTGGGTTAGAATGAAAATACTTTCAAGGATGCACAAACTAAGTTTTTCAAAAAAATAAAACTATTGCTAACAGCATAAAAAAAAGCTGTAACATCTACCTTGCATGGAAGAAAGAAGATTTTGATTGTAAAAAGAGCACTAACATCTCACCACAACCATAAGAATCAGAGACAACAATGTCCAAAAACAGAGAATTTAGCAGAATTGTTGTGTTATGAAGATACCTCGTCAGAAGGATCAGATAGCGACTTTAAAAGAGTTTCAAAAATGTCACTCAAATATGATAGAACCTGGAGATAAGAAAATGAACATGTAACTCATAGTACCCAATGACAACTACTATATTTACAACGTTGATAATGGCAAAAGAAATGCATGGATAAATTGAAATCAGCAATTACAGCAGATGCTGGGTTTGCATGCAGATGGACATTTATCTAAACGTTTCTACCAAATTGAATTTTCTATAATCATTTCATTTGTTAGATGACATTCAGCGCATGAATTGAGATTTCTATTATTCAATATGCAACAATTAGCTATTGCGCCCCCCATATGCTAGTGGAATTAAACTAGAACAATAAATGGTTTTCTGTAGTGGGCAGGAATGAGATTCAACATAGTGTAGACATTGAACATAATAAATAGCATATGATTAAAAAATTACAGACTTAAACCAACCATCACTAAAACATAAATTTTATCTGGTTTAAACCCCTACATCTTGAGATAGGATGCTTCTGGTTTAAATTGTGATAAAAACAGGAAATGCCTAAACCCTAACATTGACATATTGGAAACAGCAAGTAGTCCAGAATCTTATACACAAACTGAAAGAAAGGAAAATGAAGGGGGAGACGATCAACTGCTTAAATTCAATATGATGCAAACTCAAAAGTCAAAACTTATAACACAGCATCAAATCGTTGCTGTATACAAGCAAACAAACTATACATTGGACAGTGTAAGTTAACATCCATGAGGAGAACATAAAATAAAAAGGCTCAAAAAAAGAGTAGCATTTACAAAGAAGCCAGTGCATACGTGAATCCGGTATCTATCTAATAGGGTTGATATCCAATGCAATGCTTCAATACGTGTTCCCTCCCATCCACTGGACAGGTGCCTGGCACATACACAAACACTTGAATTCTTTCACTATTTTATGCAATCCGCCATGGAACAATGCACATGGTACACTTGCACTAAAAAGAGAAACCATAAAATCAATGCTCTGATCTCTTTCTAAATGATTCATAAACCAGCCAAGATGTCATATGCAAATAGATACAAATTAATAAATTGAAGGATAGAAGACAATTACATCCTGGCTACAGAAAGGATGGGCCCTACATCAAATCCTTCAGCTGGATCAGCTTGGATTCCCCGCAGCTCTTCATTTGTTTCTCGTGCAACCTGAATTTTCCAGCAATGTTAACATTTTGAACATACAACCATATAATAAGCAAGGGAAAAGAACGGTCAACTCATAAGGTCCAAGGGCTGATAACTAAACATGTTTGCTGGAAAATAGAGATGTAAAATGGAAACAAGGTTGACAAGGACACGATACTACTTGTGCTAGTTTTAAAAAAGATAAAATAAAAAACCATAAATCATCCAGAATTAAAGCAAGCATTGGTAACACTGAAGGAAAAGCTTACAACTCTTATTTTCTCTTCCTTGTCGGATATGCAAGGGAGGATCGCACTAAGAATGTCAGCATAATGAGGAACAAGTTGCTCCCCACCAAGTTTCACAAACTCGTTAATCTGCAGCACAAGGTATGTGAAACTCAACAGTAAAAACATAAAAACTGTACATTACCAATACCAGCAATAAAAAAAGAACTCATACTTGGAATCATAGTTTGAATACACTCACCCAGGTAATAGCAGTCAGGCGAGTAAACTCATCGGGTGAAGCTGCCCTTTGCACCAGTATTTCAGCCATACGACCATAATCAACAGTCTTCAAGAATTACACTACTTATGTCAGGATAGATAGTAAAGCGCGTTTACTTGAACAATGGTAAGAAAACATGCAACAATGTCAGGACAAGAGCCAGTACAAACCCAGTAATCAGAAAACACACCCTAGCTTCAAGACAAATGACAAAATAATTGCCAATTTTGTATTGAGTACATAGTTTTTCCATGAGTCCCAAATTTTGGTGGGGGTGTTTTTGTAAATTCATTAGCGAAACATAGCTCCTTATTTAACTGGGGATGGAAGCAGCAGCCACATCTATGCTCCATTAAATGTTATGTTCTACATATTTGTCATACTTCCCTCAAAAAGACAGCTAAATCACAAAAACAAAAGATCCCATCCAGATTACACACGGATGCTTGCCTGGTTTTATATAGCCATTATATTAAGCAGCAGAGAATATACAGTAAGGGTGTAAACGCCCCAATATTACTATTCATCAATTTTTTTTCCCTCAAGAAACAGCAAATAGAACGCCTATTTTTCATTTTCTATATTATATTAAAAATTCATTTTTACTTTCAAAATATCACATCAACGCCTATTTATGTCACACCGTACACTTATTTATATTACTATCGTACTACTATTTCAATTCAAAATTTATACTACTCAAATCCAAAATCCAAAATCCAAACCCCTAAACAATCACACCCTAAAGATATCGAGTCCTAATGTCTTTTGTTGAAACTTTAGACACAACTATTGAATTCTTCAAATGATGTCATCCCTGTGGGGAAAGCATCACTCCTCTTTGGGCACACACCATAAACAGAAGAAACAGGATAACATTGTTCTCGGCATAAAATATATGTAATCCACTGTCATACCGGAGAGTTTTTTATTTCTTGAAGAAACTCAGAAAGTGCTGAATCAGCCTGTTGCCTTATCTCACGGCTAGAATCACTTAGCATATTGAACAAGCCTGAATTTTAATTGTAACATAATAACATTAGTAGAAAAAACATCAACGGAGTCAACAAAACAACAGATTAGGACACTCACCATCAAGAAAATCAGGAAGAAATCCTAGCATGTCAATTTCAGGAACGCTATCAAGAACAGTAATCCATCCAACCAAAAACTGGCGGACGTAAGGGTTTAACACATTCATTCGCTCCCTCAATAAAGGTATAAATTCTTCAATGCTGCATCAGGTCAAAGTGCAGTTGAACTAAATTAAAATATGTTTCTATGTTATGGGAAACCAACCTAAGAACTAATCACAGGAAATTGATTCTCAATAACAGACCTAAATTGATCACTTTCAGTGACAATATCCTGCATGTGAACAAAGCAAATAATAAGCAACAATACTATTAAGAAATTAACAAAAACCATAAAAATGAATCATTTACAGTAAAAAGACCCTTATACCTTTACAAGCCTGTCCAAAAGATGGGCAGCACTCTGGACATTGGCATCAGAATCTGCTGAGAGCTTACACAGCGAATCAAATATCTTATTGAAGAACACTATGAAGTCACCTCTCACCACCTGAAAATTTCCTGTAATGAAATCCAAATGCAGACAGGCAAATGAAGTATAATGCAAGTTCTTTTCATACCTTTGCGATGTTGTACAGAGCTTCACAGGCATAATATCGAACTCTGCTATCTTGATCACCAAAGGAATTCAATATTGGTGGGACAATTTGCTGGAACACACAATAGAGAGAAAAACATTACACAACCCATAAAACTACAGCAATGTTTAATCAAAACAGGCTAGTGTCAAACTTATCTCAAGACCAGGTAGTAGATTAAGATTAAGTGAGGAAAATTTACAGCCATTTCTAACAAATACACCAGTTCTTTTGAATATATTATCACATTAAGCACCAATAATAGACTTCCATCTCCATTAGGGTAGGGTCTGCAAGATGAAAGTGTAAGGCATTTTGCATCACGGGCTATTATATGTTTATCATTTTCCATGCATAATATATAGAAAGCAATAAATGGCATTACTACTTGCTCTTTGACATTCTCATCACATGACCACACTGCAAAAATATCATAAAAAAATTATTCATATTTTGTTATGTCATCATTTTTCCAAAATAAATAAACTCAATTGTTCCACCTAGTGAGATCCTTAAACAATCATGACCATGGATACCAGCAGAATCAGCACAGGTGATTGGCATTTTCTTAATCAGAAGTTCAGAACACCAACAAGATCCAACTACACCTATGCTGGGTAGTAAAATTCCCCAATTTTACAAAGCTTACTATAACAAAAGAAAAGGAACACTAAACCAGCCCTGCACTCAAGACAGAGCAAAATAGAACCAGAAACATCCCTAGATAACAAATACGAAGCAGGATCAACATAATCAATTTGGCAACATCATATCCATCAAAAGTTTCAAGTTAGCATCCTTACATCAAGATGCTGCGCTGCTTCAGAAGCCAATCCCACAGTAGCTGCCGCTAATCCTATCAACCCTCCCTAAACGACAAAAAATAGGACTGCGATCAAACCATCTCTCCTCAAAAAGTATGCAAAATAAATAAATAAGTTGGCCTTAAGATTTCGGCACACGCCAATGCAGAAATCAAGAAACCCACGTTACAAACCAGTAAAGAATTATCTAAATCATGGGGCATACTTTCCGATAATTTGTCTGAGGCGAATAGGTGTACTCATTGGCCAGTAAATTGATCACCGCAGAGATTTTATCATGATCCCCTGCCACAGCTAACTGCTTCACTATCCCTTCCACCTTGATCCAACAATACAAACTATAAATAAAGAAACACAGCTAACTAGAGCAATTCAGAAACAAAACTTCCGTACAGTCACGAATATTAAGAAAACACCATTTTAACGACGACCACGCCCAAATGCGCAAAATAGAGTACCTCGAGAGCTGCAATTTTCCGCTTCTCGTAGAGCTTATCGGAGAGGTTACGCAGAACCGCGGCTGGAATCACGGACAGTGCATCCGCCATAGCCAAGAAACCCTCGAAGAAAAGATAGGTTATATCCTTGGCATCGCAATTGAGGGCGCGAAAGACGCGCTTAAGAACAAATTCAGCTAACTTTCTTTGGAGTATCATTCATAGTCAGTCAGACAAGATTCAAGATTGAGAAGACTCCTCTGCTTGTGACTCACAAGGGAGAGAGAAACAACGCAAGAATTCTTGAAGAACGCGAATGGAGCAGTAAACAAAAATAATTGACGCAATAAATCTAATGTAGCGTGAGAGGGGTTTCTCTCTCTCTTTCCATTTTCTTTTTTTTTTTTTTTTCTTTTTTATCTGAGGATTGGATAAATTTGGAAACAGAAATGGTATTATTAAATAATAAAAAACTGAAAAACAGACATCATTTTCATTTCTTTATTTCCTTTCATAGCCGAATATATGTAAAAGTTATTCTTACGTTTTATTTGGCTGTGACTGAAATACTAAAAAATTTTGAAATTCTTTTATTGCTAGTATTGGCAATCATAGAAATATTATTAAGATATTTTATGGAAATACATACTAAATATTCTACAAAAGTAGACAGACCATTTGTAATTTTGAAATAAAATAACATCTTTTTTTTTATACAATTATACAGATTTAGTAATAAAAACATAAATTCAATTATCAAATAAACTTTACTTTCATTTTTTTAATACAAAACTTATTAATGATCTTATAATCTCACTGGAAATTTATAATTTTTTATCGGGTTATTAAAAAACTTGAAAAATTAAAAGTAAGAACGATGAGTTTGCTGTGTTTTTTTAACTTTTTTTTAGTATAATATTTTTAAAATACATATTTGCCTGGTTTTGCACAATGATGTCATTATACTTGGAAATCTTCATATAAAAAGACCTTTATAGAATAAAAAGGGTTGAATATATTACACATTAAAAAAGAGTCTAGTTCTTGTATATATGTGGAGAAACGTTAAGAATATTTGAATTAAAAGTAGTAAACATATTACTCTTAATTTAATATGATTTTAATTAAAACCTTGTTGTAAATTAATCAGTATAAAAATACATTTAAAAACACATGCATTAGATGCTAAACAGATCTAATTAAGCATACCTCATTCAATTAAAAGGGAAAATGTTAAACTGCTCTTTAACAATCCAATTTATTACATTATGTGAGAGTGCATATTCAACTCAAAACAATAACAGAATATTCTCAAGCCTTAAACAGCACGCAGATCCACAAACAAATTTATTAATTCCTACAAAGAATTATATACACAAAACACAATTTGTGCAGTGCTTTGCATCAAGAAAGCTCTTTTGCTTGCGGGCATCTCATGAAAAGTCAAACCAAAAGGCAGAGAAAATTGACCATCAAACCACAAGTGAAAAACAAAACAAGAAAATACAAAAATAATTGATGTCAAAATTTGGACATCATGTAGAACATGTGATATGATATGAGAAAAACTAATCAACCTGTGAAGAAATAAAGGCAACCTAACCTGTCTGTCTGAGTTATGATGGGACTTAAAAATAAATAAATAAATAAAAATTCTATTGTGCTAAGTATCTGAAACTTACCATAACAATTGAAGGCTAATCAATCTCAAATATGACCAAATCTGTGAGCATTGTGCATACAGAAAAATTTATATGTGATGATGTCATTTACACAGGAATAAATTATTTTTTGGTACATGAATTACCAATGCATACAACAGACCTGAGAAAGCAGACTTACAGCACTTCAAAAGGAAAAGGAAGGACTCAGTACTGACTCCTCGAGTTCCCGGAAGCCGTGGTAGACGGCCTCTGTTTGATTTTGTGGAAGGGGTAGTCTCCGGACCTCGGTCATGTACCTGATATTTGTCAATTCGAATTAGTTGGGTAAAGAAAAGTAAACATGTGAAGAATTTAGGGCCAGAGAGAATAAAGATCATGCCTATTTGCTGCAGTAGTGATCTTGTCTCGAACGCCTTGATTTAGTGTTGTAGTTTGTGTAAACGAAAATGGTCCGCCAAGAATAAGGGAAGCTCCGGCAGTGCTTGTGCCCATTTTCTGTGCATAGACAGACATTGCCCACTCACGAAGTATGGCTAGAACTGACCGGAGAAGTCGTAACCGTAGATTTGGAGATGGTACAATTGCTACATTGGATAACAGCTGATCATAAGTATTCAGCACAGGTTCTACGGCACTCTTACAAGCAGCAAGAAGAGCCCTCGCAATATCTTCATCGCCAACAGGCTCAACCCCAGAAACTGTTCGTTCCTACAAACAAACAATGAGGTTCAATCATTAGTTAGATTCTAAAGCAATCTAAACCAACCAGGAAAGGCGCGATATGAACTTCAACAATCAAAATCAAATGCTCTTGGGTATGAAACAGCAGAAAACTCTTACCTGTGCAGACTTCTCAAGATGAAGACAGAGTGTATCTAAAGGTAAAATAGCTCCATCTCCAGGAAAAACATGAGAACCAACCCTCTTCAGCACTGCACAAGCCTCAGCAATTCCACCCCTAGAAATAGCTTGATCGATAAGTCTAGCCCAGATTTCTCTAACTATACTGCTATCAGCATCACCAGAATAGCTTGCAAAATATAGCATTTCCAGACATATCTGAAAGACGAAATGAAATTATGAACCTCTTTTTAATTCTAATTGTATAATATGCTGCAAAAATTAAACTGTAGCTGGACGCAAATGTTATGGAAGACCAAAGAACATAGTCCATAAGAGAATATATGAAATATCCAACAATTCAAAAGTCACAAAAGGATGTTGATTATATAACAATTGGTATAAAAGATAAGACTTCCTAGATGCAGCACAACATAAGTAAAACATGAGGACTTCTTTCCACTTCAAGCAACTGACATACCAAAATAAATATAGCCAAATTCTCACAAGAAAACTAGACCAAAGACAGAAGCAGTCCATCATAACTTGGAAGTTTAATAGCACCAAAATAAGATATCATGTAACTAACCTCCCAAAGTTCAAACGGAACAGCATACTCATTGTACAACTGAGTGATGGTCTTTAAATCCACTGCTAGATCCTTTGCCTTTTCTTGAATATCAATAAGAGATTCGGGATCACTGGATTGTCCATTAGCAGCAGATTCCGATCCACCAGGAGAAGATTCCAATTTTGAAGCCATAGCTTCCAACTCCTCTTTAATCTTCATCTGAAATTGTAGAACAGCAAGTTTCCCTTCAAGTAAATCAAGAAGTCCATTGTCCATAACACCCTGGGCAGAACCACTGAGACTACCTGTCTCACCAGCACTTTTTGCCTGCAGAACAGCATTACTCAGGTATTGGCACCTGATAGCCATTGAAAGGTCACAAACTGTTTAAACTTGAATAAACTATATACGTAGAAAGAATTCATATCTCAGCAGGTATATGTAGAACCTTTGTTCAAGAGTCAATGTGTCTCCAGCTTCAGTTGAGCGCCTTTCTGCTAGCCTCACTAATATCTGAGCAGCGAGAACATGCTGACGCTTTAAAACATAATACCGTGCCAGAAGTTCAAAATACTTTATCTGATTAGAAGAAACAGAGACTCTTGAATGACCCATGGGAGAAATTGGGGATGCCATATTAGAAACAGCTCGAACCTACAGGGGAGAGGCCATAAAGACTTTAAGATACTTTTCTGAAGTAGGAAGACAATCAGAATCATTTTCACAAATAGAGTATTTGGCTTTGCTTTTAAATGAAACTGAACATGAGTTACAACAAGTTTTTCAGTAAAACCAAGGACAAAACCAATAATAATAACCCAGACCTCTTGACTAGGATCCCTTGCAGCATTTTGCAAAAATTGCACCAAGTCTGGCCCTCCATACTCCAATAACTCATCGTCAAGTCCTATGTCAATCAATGTTCGATACAGAAACTCATGGAAAACTCTATCAGAAAACTGAACACCAAGCTGAATGATCTGGCATATGTACTTTCTACGAGAGGCAGGATCAAGGACAGACTGCACAACTGGCCTGATAGGAGAGCCAAACTCCTTTTTCAACACTTCACCTTTGAGGGATCGCAAAGCATTAGCCACAATTTCATAACACTGCATACGCCGGGAAAGGGCATATTCTCGAATAGCTGCATCTATTTGCTCGTTGAAAGCATCCCCAGCCGGATCAACTGCCTGTGCCTTTTGCAGAGGTAATCGAACTACAGCTTCATAGAATCTGCAATTTACTAGTTGTGTTAAGCTTAACTTAACCAAACAAACGTACTTAAATATGAACTTCAAAAGGGCAGGTTGATTTGAAAAACCTCAAATCCTCAAATCGTTTGCATACAGTCTGCAAGTCAGCAGACTCAGGGATTTTACTTAAATTGTTGAAGGCCTCTTTAGCCAGGCTTTCCCTCTCTTTTGTATCTGAAGTGGCAGCAGCCCTCTCAAGATACTCTACAGCTACATAAAACTTGTAATCACTTTCTTTGTAATAGCTTGGAGAACCATCTCGTAATCTATTACTGATATCATCCACAGTTCCCCTGCCATCAGGCCCAGTGTAATACTGTAGAAACAGATAAAAAGTGAAAGTGAAAAAAAAAAAAAAAAAAACAAAAAAACCGGAAAAAAGATAGATAAAGGAGTGCTAACAAGCTAAACCAAGGTAAGCATCAATATATCAGATTTTGAAGAGAAATCAGGTAAACTGGAAGTGCAATCAAGGGAATACCATTTAAATGGTAACAATTGCATCTATATCAAATTCAAAAATTGAGATGTTTCAAGTACCTCCATTAATGCAGATATAAGCCGTGTGGCAAGTCGATCTCCGTCTTCTGAGCAAACTAATTGGTGGAATGTCAACTGAAGTGTAGCTTGTCTAAGATTTGCATCAAAACTTTGAATTAACCGTGCCACGATATGTTGTGAAAGAAGTTGAAGTAAAAAGAGGGCTTCCCCACATCTGAGAAGCAACTGCCTAATACACTCCATTGCTCTTACCTGGAGAGAGAGAGAGAGGAAGAAAAAGAAGCGCACACTAAATAATTTTTTAGGCAAATTGTAGTCCCACGTGATGTGATGCAAAAGTATTCATACCTCCATGGCAGCCAATTCAGTAGGACTGTAGGGAAGCCGCTGTCTTTTATTTGATGGTCCACCCTCATCAGAGTCAACATTCCTGGAGTTTGAACCAAATAAATTTCGCACCATACTCCTGTCACCAGATACTAGATCTGATCCAATCCCAACAAGAATTGAACCACTTATGTCTCCCAGACCAGCTACACAGCCATACAGCCCACGCCTAAGATTCCGTCTAGATCTTAAAAATGTTTCTAGAGAACGGATTTTGTCTTCAAGGACACCCATGGCTCCACCAGAGAGTCTGCAAGTTATAATTCCATCTTCTGACATAGCATCTGGTGAACCCGAGCCACCTTTCATGATAAAGACAGGAAGCTCCCACAGCGGCAAAAGTAACCTTGATGCACACAGACAGAGACCCTCGTGAGCACCTGAAAACACTGGTTCAGCCTCCTGAACAACCTGCCCCATGCTGAAACCCCCTGCTGCAGTTCTAGTGTTTGACAATGCACCACTTCCTTCTAATTGTGGCATTCCAACAATTCTAGGGTCCTCAAAAGCTTCAGCTGCCTTTTCAGCAACAACATTGCTTATGAAGGCTTCTGTGTATAATATCCGGGCAGCGAGCATCAAACACATAGCAGCAGCCTCTCCAGCACCAAAACGGTTGAAGAAGTCCTCAAGCAGTGGTCTTGGTGAGTTGGATTCTAGTAATCGCCTTAGAATGTCAATTGGTCGGTTGAAAACAACTTCCATCATGCCCATAGTGCTAAACACTACTATCTTTCTTCTTGGTAATATATGTTGAGTGAAAAGATCTCCTCTTGCCCACAGCTTAATGGAATTTTTCTCACAAGACTCCGATGAGTTATGTAATCCACATAATTCTATATCAGAATAGAGTGATTGCACTACTGATGCTGCATCAGGGAGAGGTAAGACATCTGCAACAAATAGCATTCTCCCTTCCACAGGAATTGATGAAACTGATTCTCTAAGGGCGCGCAAACCCCTTCCACCTATCCCTAGGCCACCAGATGAAACAGATTGCGTACTTGGATCCTTATTCACAACCAAAAGTGATGAGACAGCAGACGGAGATGAATCCGAGAGGACAAGTATTCCAGAAGAATAATGTGCTGATTCAATTTTTAGAGAAAGATCATCACTCTGAGATCGCCCAGCAAGAGACAGTGCCCCAAATGCAAGCCCTCCACTAACTCCTATGGGAGGAGAAGGCCTTGTCGTTACAACCTTTAAGCAATTTGGTTTACTGTTACTGGAACCAAGCCCACCCAAACCTCCAACAGCAGTGCTATTTCCACTGGATGGAGCTGTTGAGAGGTACAGTCTACGCCCGTCAGATAAAACAGCAACTAAATGCAACCACTTTGATTCTAAGGTAGACAAAGGTGATATGCACACTATCGAAGATTTAACTGGTCGAGGAGGCCTTGATCCTGCTTGTTGTCTGCCACCATAGTTAGAGTCCCTCTGAGTGATCAAGTTTCTCTCTTCTGCCACCTTTTTTAGTGGACCATCCCCATTTGGCCCAAGAGTGAACACTTGAATTTTCATATCCTCTGTGCGTACGTATAACACATGCCTCTCAGAATCAACAACCATTTCAACAATAGGGTCAACAGCTCCAAATTTAAAAACATTTGGTACAACCCACCTGAAAAGAATGAAGAGACAAACTGTTAGAAGATGTACATTAAGGAGCCAATAGAAATGCAGGCATCATGTAACTCAGACCATATACTACAATTGATGACTGACCACAGCCTCTATGTCAAACAAAAGACCAAGTGAAACCACCTTGAAATAACACTTCCAAGACCAGATGTTAGGCAGACTTTACGACAGCGTTTTTGCCAACCTGAACCGGTTGTATATTGCAGTTCATAAACATGACCATCACGGCCAGCCAGGAATATATGACCCCTATCAGTGCAAGCAATGCAAGTCATAGTCACTCCATCAGATAAAATGGTATATTCTGGCAGTGGTTGAAGTGAAACCTCAGCATATGGATCAGATTCATCGCCACTTCCAGAACAGCATACTCCAACAAGGATCAACTGAAAGACACAAGCAAACTTTGAATATTTGAAATAAATAAATAATATAATTTGACACATGCATGGTTTAAGAGTTGAGAGAAATTATTGGCAATGTGTCAGATGTGAATATTCTACCGCAGATCAACTAAAAGACAAAAGCAAACTTGGAACATTATAAGTAATAATTCGACACGACATGGTTTAAGAGATGAGAGACCTGCTTGCCCGATCTTGTATAGACAATATCAGTAAACTGCAACAACGCAATGAATGCAAGGGTGCAAGGGAACAGGGAGGAATTTATTGCAGAAGTGTATGCAAGGCGGTGTCCATAATATTAACAGCTCACCAGTCAACTGTTCACAATTACCATATAACATCCATAGTGAGAAAATGAGGGGAAATAAACAAACCTCAACAGGAGTGGCCAAAACTAAAAGATACTGAATAGCTTCAACAAAGACGCCAGGTTTGGCTTTCACCAAACCAACAGCACAGATAGCTTGTTCCTCTCCAGTATATTCAGAGCATTGTCCGTCCCTAATTCAAATAGTTGTAATGAGATGAAATATTAACGGTGCAATGTTAAGTTTAATCACTCAAAAATAGCAGTATATTAAAAGATTGAAATAGTTGTTTTGATGTGATAATTTGAATAGAAAATCAATTCTTGATATAAAATACGTGTTTGATATAAAAAAATAAAAAATAAAAAAATTCAATAACCAAACCCTTGAATTTCATGAATAGTTGGGCGTAAATCAGATTATTCGGAAGGCATTATTTAAATAATTTTATACTTGTAATGTATAAATATTATAAATAAATGAACACCAAACAACTAATCATTTGATCTATAGACCAGTGGGAGAGCACAAGGAAACTAAACAAAAACAAGACACCATAACAACAGTCTGCTTGGTTAAGAAGTTAATAAATCAAAAGGTTATGAAAAATAAGCAGTTCGTGCAATGCAAATAATATTTCTTTTTCTTCTTTTCTTTTTTTATGGTTTGGCGGTGTAAGGAGACATGCACTTGTTTTACCGAACACTGTACAATATCATGAGGCTCACAAATTTTATTCATCTACATTAGTAATCTCGTTTAAAATGAGGTGGCACATCTTATGAGCACTTAAAACATTGTATATACCATATTATCATATATGATTAGAAAAGGCCAAGACCACCTTTGCACAAACAAGATTTCATCATCTCGCAGCTGCTTGTTTTGGAGTCGAGATATTTATCAATCAATAAACATCAATTATAGAACTCTTACCACTTGTCAAATCGCCAAAGAAACAAGGAACTATCCACTGATGCCCATGCCCGTCGTATTTCTGGAAATATTCCACACAGCGCTGTCCCCTCTCCACCAGCTGCATTGTACCTTTCAATCAACACAGGAGGCAACTCCCATGTGTCCCCAACTTCAACTAAAGGAGGCCACTGCACCATATACAGAAATACATGATAACTAATAGGTTCTGAAGCAGGCTATAATATAGTCAAGAAACACAAATAGCACTGGCAAGCATCAAACAAACAGTCATGGTGCTTATATTTGAATTTTTGCATGACCTCTAACTTCTCCGGTCAAAATCTTCATTAAAACCCAAAGAAAATTTCAGGGTCAGCCACATCACAGAATAAACGCTATAACAAGCATTACATTCTACCATCAGTTCTTATCTCGCTTTTTGTTTTTCCCAGTGCACTCAACTAAATCAAAAACATAAGGTTAGGTAGGAAAATGAAACTTCATAGTAAACTTGCCTCAGTTACCACTGAATGAAAAAAAGTATTATACGTGCAGTATTTTCTCCTTCAACACAGCACTTTCTGTCGAAGGCCATTGAAATATAAATTACAAAAACCATTATATAAAAGCATTCTTAGCAAATGAAGCTTAACAAATACATTTCATCAGTCCCCAACCAAAGACATATTCTAAGCAGGGTACTTAATACCTACAGCAATCAAGAAAAAACTGCCACGAAAAGAAAGCACAAAAAGCATGCCAAAGAAAGCCGAGACACCGTCAGGGGAACTCATCTAAATCTACATATGTACTCAAGAAATACCTCTCGCGGGTGGGTAGTGTAAGGATGACTAGAGTATCTAGAAGCTTCCAACGCTTCTTCAAGATCGAGCTGCCCGGCAATTTCCCGCCCAATGCGGTCGCTTACAACCAGCCCCGCATTGGTGACATCGCGCATCACCACCTCGTTTTCCCAGGCAGCCATATTTACCCTTCGGCGGCAACAAACCCTTGGTGTTCTGTCTTCAGTTGAATCAAAACCTCTAGGGCTAGCGCATGGCACCGCCAATTTACGCCGTCACTCGAGAATTGGGGGAACTGTACCGACGACTAACAGCTGTTGAAGCGAAATTTTCAGAGAACATCCTGCGCAGAAACAATTCCAGAGCGTTGTGGAGGGGACTTGAAAAAATTAGGGTTTTGGCGGTGGCGGACCTATTAAGCTAAATTTTCAAAATCATGGAGGGCAATCTTGTCTTTTGCTGGCTCTCCCAAATTTTTTTGCTAGCTCTTGGGTTTAAATACAATTTAAATAAAAATATATTTTCTACTTCTCAAACATTTCCAATTATTTTTTTTCAAATATTCTATAATATTTTTTCATTTGAGTGGGAATTGATAATTTTATTTGAATGAATCAAAATTAATAATTTTGATATTGAATAGGACAAAAATAATTTTTATTCTATTTTTAAAATATAAAATAATTAAACATACTTAATATCTATTTTACCCATTTCATGCCTATAAAATAAATATATAAATTTTTTTCATGATTTTTAATATTATATAATTATGTTGATTTATATTTTTAAAAATATTTTTTATTTAAAATTGTGAATTATTATGGACAAATAAAATATAAAAAAAAATATTTCCTTCGTCTCAAATAAGGTACAACATTTACTTTTGGCACAGATTTTTAAATGGGTAGTATTAAATAGGATAATTTAGAAATTAAGTGATGCGATGGAGAGAAAAATATATATTTTATTTTTTTATTTGGATGATGTAGAGGATAAAGTGTGAGATAGAGATTAAATATAATTAATTATTTTCTATTTTGAAAATATTGCAAGGTGTTTGTGACGTACCAAAAATAAAATGTTGCAAGGGACAGATAATATTCTCTCCGTCTCCCTGATGATCCTTTTCGTTCCATAAAATATTATTAGCGAATTTATTTATTTTAAATATATCTAGGGTGTGTTTGTTTGGAGATTGTATTTGGAGATTTGAATAGTATAAATTTTGAATTTGAATAATTGTATGATATGATATAAATAGGTGTTGATGTGATGTTTTGAATATCAAATTAATTTTTAGTATAATATAAAAAATAAAAAATAAATATTTAATTTAATATTTTTGGAAAAAAATGGGATGAATAGTATGTTAATTTTTTACTTCTTACAAGTATGACCTTAAAAGTTATTTATTTATTTATATTATATAAATTTTTATTATTTACAAAATAAAATTTATATTGTATATATTTATTGAAATATAATGTTAAAAATATTTAATATATAACAATAATACTTCTATAAAAGAATAATAAGATAATACTCATCCGTCCCAAAACTATAGTCTTAATTGGATTGATCAAGATTTAAAAAATATTTATAATTGGTAAAAAAATATGGGTAAAAGACTTTTTTTGCCTTTGTGAGTGTATTAGTGTAAAAAACAGTGGTAATTGTGTAATAAAAATAAAAATAAAAAAGTAAGGATAATTTTATAGTTATATTGTTATTTATGGAAATAAGACTATTGTTTTGAGACCGAAAAAAAAATAAAAAATAAGACTATTGTATTGAGACGGATGAAATATCGTATCTTATTATTAATAACTTACTAATTTTTCATATATAAATAACTATGTTCCTAACTAGGTCATTATCTATTAACATGTCAATTGTCAAAAGACCTATTAATAGAGTATGATATGTATATATATCTATTAATAATGTCAATTGTCCAAAGATCTATTAATAGAGTATGATATGTATATATATTTTTAATCGAAGCATTATCTATTAATAATGTCAAATGTCAAAAGTTGAAGAAATATCTATGTAAATAATTTCAAATATTGTACATGAGCTTTGTATAAATAAAGGTTTTTAAAATTTTGAAATTTTTTTTTAAAAAATAAAAGGTTAGTATTTAATTTGATATTTTTGTAAAAAATAAAGTGTATTAGATATAATATTTTTGTAAAAATAAATAGTGCTAGTGAAAGTGTGCTGGGTAAACAAAGCCTAAATGCCTTGAAACTTTGAGTTGGTTTATAAACAATTAAAGATTGAATATACAAAATAAAATGTGCAAAAAAAAATTATTTACAAAAACTATTTTAAAGTAATTAATTACGAGATTAAAATTATTAAAAAAGTTTAATAATTTGCCCTAAACAATGGCGAATCTAAGAAGAGGTTTGAAGTGCACAACCTGGAGATTTACATTTTATTTATTTTTTTTATATAATATAATTATATTAATTTCTCCTTCGAGATTATCTCTTTGTTATAATAATAATAAAAAAAAATAGTGTTAAGTCAATAAAATTACACTGTATATAGATATTAAATAAGTATAATATTTTGAACAATAGATATAAGTATATTTCTTTAGTATTTAAATTTTGCATAAAAAAAAGGCCAAAAAAAAAAATTCAATTAGCAGCATAAAAATGTGGTAATAATAATAAATATTACTCCCTCCGTCTCTGATACCATGTCCACGTTGCCGTTTCTTTTTCGTGTGACTTTTATTTTTTTAAAAATAATTACACATTTTAATTTCATTTTAAATTTGTAAATTTTTATTTTTTTTAAATTTTAATTAAACTAATTAGTTATTTTAGTCTTAATTTATAATTATTTATATTATAGAATAATTATTAATATTTTTAATTATCTACTAATTATACTCCTCCTAAAATACTTGCAGCGGTGGTATTGGGATGGGACGGAGGGAGTATTAGTTTATAAATTAACAATATAATGCGTTAATTACGATTAAATTCTTCTAAAATTTATTTGGAAAGAGTCTCACGCTGGCAGTACGACCGCAACCGTACTCCGTTCGAAAAGTTCACCCTAACAGCTGCTTCAGTGGACTTTTCAAATGAGCATCGCCGCCACATTCAAAGCTCTTAAACCCTCTCCCGTTCTCTCATGGAAATCGGTACTCTTACAACTAACTCTCTATCACACGCATGTGCACACCATTTCTTTCCATTCTCAAACGCCTGCCGCACAGAATAATGGTAATTCTAATATCGATTGCAGACGGGAAGGCTGCAGCAAACGGTAGCGAATTGCGTAGAAAGGCTTGGTCGGGGATTACATTCCGGTGACACATTCAAAGTCAAAATATTGCCGGCGGCTGCAGGTTTAGGACGATACTTTATTTTCAGATCGGTAGTTATTCCTGCGTCAATCAATTACGCCGTGAAAGAGACGCCTCTCTGCACTACGCTTTCTAAAGATGGATGCAGTATTCGAACGGTTGAACACCTACTCTCCGCTCTGGAGGGCTCCGGTGTTGATAACTGTCACATCCAGATTGACGGGGACGACGAGGGTGATCGCTCTGCCGAGGTAAATCGATATTTTTAACTAGTAAAAGATTTAAATTCTCTAGTTTAATGGTGGCTATATGACTTATGACAGACACCGCAGACCATGCATGTCTGATTCAAGATTACAAGCATCACATTTCTCCTGCTTTCTTCTGCCATTATTAGTTAAATGATTTCTTTCAGAATGTGTTTGCTTCAATGGAGGGGAGAGGGAGGTGAAGTTAAAATTATGAAGAGGGTAAAATCCTGGTATTTGCACTCTGATCTGATCAAATTCAGGTTTAGGTCGGCCAAAAATCCCTACGCTCATTCATAGTGTATGGTTTGAAAATTATTTAGGATCTTTCATTACTTAGCTTGTTGGCAGTTGGAAGATATGAAATTGATGAAAAACTTCTAAATTCACAGTGTTTTGTTGCATTATTTTTCATGACAGTGATTATGCTTGATGAATTTTTGTGGCACCAGTCAACTCATTTGATGTCAATCATTATAGAGTTCACAGGATGGGGTTTTAAGTTATCACTTGTTTGCTATATGTACTCTGCTCATTTGATAGTGATTCCAAGTTACTAATTTCAAACTGATAAAATCAAAGTGGAGGAAACAATGTGATCATTCTTGACATTATATGAATCATAATCTAGGTTCCTATCTTCGACGGTTCAGCAAGAGAATGGGTTGAGGCAATCAAACAGGCTGGCTTGAAGGTGGCTGGAGATGATAAAGGAGAAAGTTGTGATAAATTAGCACCTTATCTGACCGAGCCTGTTCGTGTTGTCAGGAATGATTCGTTCGTAGCAGCTTTCCCTTGCTCAAAAGTCAATATCTCCTATGGCATTGATTACCCACAGGTATAAGTGGCTTCAAATAGCTGAATTGTTGTTAAATTCCCAAATACACCAACATTTATTTTTAGTATAATGAGTGAAGCTAGATGAAGATGAAGAAATAGATTGTTGAAAGCACATCTATGTTTGAGATTGTCATGATTGATTTTGTCCGCTGAATGGCAATACTTTTTACATACTCCCTCTCTTTATCCTTGCATAGTTTTTGTCTTCTAGGTACCCACAATTGGTCGCCAATGGTTTTCTTCATCCTTTTCTGATGATTCTTTCTACTCCGAGCAAATAGCTTCATCAAGGACTTTCTGTATTTATGAAGAGGTGATCCTATTTTAATTTGTGCTACTTCCACCTTTTTGGCTGTTATATATATATATGTCAATTGACTATTAATTTCATGAGCAGCAAAATATACTAATTATTTTCTTTTGATTACCAAAGCAGATCACAATTTGTTCTCTTTAAGTATAATATTTTTGTGGCAAAACAGCAAAAAACCCCTCCGGTTTACCGAATCTGCTGAAAACCCCCCGTGGTCCTAAAACTCCAAAAAACCTACTCGTGGTTTGTAAAACGTTGCACACTCGCCCCCCCTTTAAATCACACTGACGGCGTTAAATTTTAACCTTATCAGACCGTTATGCCCCTGGTTTCTCTCTTTCTGTTCTTTCTTCTTCTCTACTCTCCAACTTCTTTATTCTTCTCTTCTCCCTAACTTCTTTCTCCCATCTTCTTTTCTTCCCCAAATTCTTCTTCACACATCTTTTTCCTCAATTTTTCTCTTCTTCTTCTCCAATTCCTTTTCAAGCCATAATAGTTCCACTTCTTTCTTTTCTTATTTTTCCTCAATTTTTCTCTTCTTCTTCTCCAATTCTTTTTCACGCCATAGTAGTTCTACCCGCTCTTTCTTTTCTTCTTTTTCCCCCAATTTTTTTTTTCTTCTTATTCATCTCCAATTGTTCTTTGAAGAATGAAGAATTCGAAAAGAATAAGAAGAGAAAGAAGATGACGGGCGGAAGCGGCTGGAGTAGGGAATAAGGAAGGAAGAAAAGAAAGAGAATAAAGAAAGAAGGGAAAAAAGAGATGAGAAAGAAGGCATGAGGTTTTTTTTTTTTTTTTCTATCTATTTTTCCCCAATTTTTTTCTTCTTTATTTTTTTTCCCTAATTCTTTTGTACACGGTTGCAACGAGCAGCAAGTTCTTTTTTTCTTCTTAGATTGATTTCAAATCTTGATGTCAAATTGAATTTTTAGATTTTTGGGTTTGATAAAAACAGAAGAAAGTAATTCTGGGTTTGGTAAGAAAGAAGAAGAACAAGGAAGAAAAAAAAGGAAGAAGGAGAAGAAAGAAGAATAAGAAAGAATAATGAATGAGGAAGAATAAGAAAGAAGAAGAACGAGGAAGAAGAAGATGTTGTAAAAAGTAGTCATTAGGGTATTTTAGTAATTTTATACAGAAATATATGACTATGGACCAAAAATCGCATTTCAGGCGCGTGCTATACAACTCCGTTAAATCCTAACGGAGGGTGATTTTTTGCAATATTTTGGAAACCACAAGTAGGTTTTTTGGAGTTTTAGAACCACGAGGGGTTTTCAGCAATTTTCGGAAACCACAGGGGTTTTTTTTGCTGTTTTGCCTATTTTTGCTAATATAAGCCAACTCCTGCATGGTTGTCTCCTTTGTTAGTGGCTTATTATGATTTCCTTTTATTTATTGTCCAAACTCTATATTGTGTTTATGTAGATAACTTATGTCTGGCTTATCTAAGTCTATGCAGGTAGAAGAAATGAGGAAGTTAGGGCTTATTAAAGGTGGATCCGCAGAAACAGCCATGATATGTAGGTGAGAGCCTCCTTTGCTTTAGTTGTGAGCAATAAAAGCAAATGGCAGTCGTCCTCCTGCAGTTTTCAGTATATCTTATATTTTAACTTTCCAATTGGAACACTAACTCATATATATATATATATATTCTAACATACCCAAATATATATATATTGGGACCCTCAACTCTCAAAGTAAGTCCATTAAATCTTATATGAATCTTTTAACCCTAAGAAATCAAATTAAAACCATTAAGGTTGTGAAGGAGGGTTCATTCAGCAAGAAGCCATCTTACATGACATTGGCCTCTTTTCATTATTATTATTTCTCTTAATTTCTAAATTCAAAGATTTCATTACATTATTACCTCAAAAAACTCCACTTTTTAACACTGCAGTTTAAATCACTGGAGTTACTTGATGTAAACAGATGTAGCTGTAATGCCTATTTAAGTATATATTTCAAATTTAGAATTGTTTTATGTGTTTTGTAAGTGCTGTGATAAATTGCTTACATTTGTGAAATGATCTGTTTCTTTTGCAGCAAGAGTAGAGGCTGGTTAAATCCACCTCTGCGTTACAATGACGAGCCATGTAGACACAAGGTCCTCGATCTTATAGGTGACGTTTCCCTTTTGGCTCAAGGTGGCAATCAAGGGCTTCCGGTAGCTCACATTGTTGCTTATAAGGTTTGTACTTTCATGCATACACCCTCACTTCTAAATTCAACCACTCCACATTCGTAATAGCCATTTAGCTACTTTATATGATTATATCATAACCCGGTCTTTTACAAGTGATGCAAGCAGGCACAAATAAAATTATTTGTGTACATAAAAATCAATAAACTATTGTGGTTTATGGTCAAACATGTTGCTAAACTTGATATCAACAGGCGGGTCACTCACTAAACACAGAGCTTGTTCGCCATCTATCGGGTATCAATTGAGAGAATCTTCTCGCCTACAGTTGTTATTAAGTTAGAAGTCGGAAGGCATGAGGTATGCTCCTATATATGCACCCTGTGATTCTAATGATTTTTCCAGTATTAAAAGTATGATTTCTACCATTTTTATAGTGTTTTAAGTCCAGCCAACTTATTTATAGTCGAATGCGCATTTAGCAACTTTTACCTGCTATGGCTAATGCAAACCTGTCCTTAAATTGTGTAGTAAACTCTTGCCTTTTGAAGATAATTTACATGTAAATATATATTGAAATGAATAGGTCCCCTTGGAACCTAGAAGTTAGTCCCCAAGATTTATATCACTTCTATCAACACATCACAATAATCACATAGCAAGGAATACAACAATGGCCTCCCATGATTTTCACATCATCACCATCTAGCTTCTTTTAATCCATCTACTAACATTTCAACTAGGATTCTCACAATATTCACATACCTAACTGAATCTATACATAGAATAAACATATTCAAGACATTTCATACATATGCCAGAATGAACAAGGTGCGATAAGCCGATAACAACATATGTACACAGCACAAAGGAAAGGAGAAACTATAGCCAAAAGGATATCTTATGATGATATTGTTACAGAAGCTTCTAAAATCTTATTCCCCACATATGTATACTTAGAATATATATATATATACCTATAGCATTGGTCCGACCGAACATTCAAGCCAAACAGCTGAAGCAAAAATATCTTTAGCCAACTGGCCACCTTTCACTGTATCTGTGTCTTAGACTTGTTCATTCCCCTTTAGGATGTTGTACTTGCATAGCGGACACGTTGCATTCATCTTTAGCCATTTCACAATACATGTAGAATGAAAGTGATGGTTACAAGGAAGAGCATGTAGTTCTGTCTCGTCCTCGTACGAGCAAAGACATATACAGCATTCCTGCAACATGAGATAGAGAACTAAATTTCACTTTGGGAAAGTAAAGCAATCTTGGCAGTTGGCACATTTTTCTTAGTATCAACTAAAAGCGTTTGTTGGTCGAAGACAAGATTCATAATAGATTTGTCGTTCAGACCATAGAAGTGAGTAGTTAGGCAGGTAATGACATCTATAAGGAAATATGGAATAAAGGCAGGTAATGACATCTATAAGGAAATATGGAATAAAGGGTCCAGTAAAGCTTCCTAGTCTGGTATATATTGCGTAAGTCACCAATCGTAAAAATAAGTTGGTAAGAAAACACGTGGCAATAATAGGAATGCGAGGAGCTTACAGCATCCTCAGGCGATAGAATTCGCTCATTAGTCATGTACCCACTGCTTGTCTCAATAGGAATCATTCTACCAGCCCCACAACCCATTCTATCCTCATCTTTGCAAACTTGAAATCTGTACTTGGGAAGTATGCTCAAATCTGCATCGGACGCACCTTCCTGCGTTACAAAAGCCAACAAGTAAACAAAACAAATTCGATAACAATTTGAACAAAAAGAATACCTTAAACCATACCTGTCCGGCAATAGCGTAAAGGATAGCAATGATGCAAGGCAAGCAGCAACAAAGAGCAATCCCAATTAAACACGCCAGGACGACACAAAATATGGCAAAGATTACGTCAAAGGCCAAGAAAACCACAGTCAACCTACAAATAGAATTTGACATTTACTTTTCTGTGCTAAAATACCGAAAGCATCACCACAAATTAAAGCATTAGACATAGCATGGGCTGCATGCCTACCAATACAATCGAGGGGCGCTTCTCAGGAGAATTTCGCCGCCTGTGATTACCCAGTAAAAGCCAACTATCCACCATATAAACGACACCATTGTGTTGATTGATTCGCATCGTTTAACCTGACTGAAATGCCAAAGTTATTCAGGAAAAGAGTCGGGCTCAGTTTACATATAGACATTTTTTTAGAAGTTTTGGCACTTTTATTGTTCCCAAATATTTCCAAAAACTCAAAAGCCCTGAATTTTTCTTCCAACACAGTTATTCATAGTGATGAAGAGTAATAATAACCTCACAGCATGTACAAAATTGAACTAAGAGAACATGGTGCATAAATTGAACTATTGATTGCACTGCAGTTATATAAATAACTGAATAGCAAACAAAATCTCCCTAACCTTGATCCGCCACCGGAGACGCCGAAAGGCTCGCCGCCGACCTCTCCCTCCTCTTCGTTCTCACTGTGATTCACTTCCTCTCCGGCGTTCCTATCCTGCAGCGGATTCCGACGCCTGTACTCCACCCAAACGAGGACCACATGGACCAGGCACTGGAGAGCATACCCACACACCCAAACCCTAATTGGTACGTTAGGGTTTTCCTCCGCCGTGCAAATCAGCATAACAACCGATACGATCACGAATGCGAGATTCCACATAATGTCAAGGGCAACGACGGGCTTGGAGTACCCCCAGTCGGCGCGGCGCTCCTCTAGCTCCCGAGCCGCCGTCTCGCGGACTAACATGGATGCGCCACCACGGCGCTGCGTGGTGGATACGGCGCGCGAGAGGAGGAGGGAGAGCGTCGATGTGCGGGAGGCGACCGGGGACGAAGCGGAGGTGGAGGAGGACTGCCGCGAGCGGAGGAGCGGCGCCGTCGGAGACGTCGGTGAAACGTCGGAGGACATCTTCGGGGAAGAAAGAAATCGACGGAGAAATTAGAAAGGTGTATAGAATTCAATTTCAGGGCAGTTCGGAGACGACGCCGGACGCCATGTACAGATTAGGTTAGGTTTTCTCTATTTTGACTTTTTCGGTACGAATATTGAAATTTTAATATTTGCTGAGGATAGTGTGCACTTTGCATTGATTTTATCGACCCCTCAATATTTTCTCAAACATATATATAATTTACAATAAAACAATATTTTGTCGCTAAACAACTTACAAAACAAGAGCAAACAATCAAATGCAGATGTCTTTGTTTATAAAAATTTTGTATAGAAGTACCAATATAATACTAATATACTAAAATTTATGTGCAAAAAATAAACGAACAGATAGATGGTGGACAGAGGGAGTATATCTTTCGTTATATAATTTTTCGGACAATACCACATATTAGTCGCCTCTATCACTTCAAACAATTTTAATTTTACAGCAAAATTGATTTTATGCCTCACTTTTTAAATTTATAGAAACTTTAAGTGCTTCATTTCATTTTTCCTTAATAAATAAAAATAACAATATCTTGTGTAGTCGTAAAAATATAATGAAATAATTCTTTTCATCACTAACTCGCACAATTTTAATTCATAAATGAATTTTAATGAATTAATATTTTTTTTTCACCAAAAATGAATAATAATTATTTTAGTCTCCACACCGACTTATAGTTGCTTTAAATATTTACTTATTTAATATAGGACTTAGTAAAAATATCACAAATACTGCTTTACTTGTTTATGAAATAATAATTTTTGAGTTGAAATTAAACAAATCGAGTTTGATACGCGAGCTAATTAATTCGTTAATAGTTTAAATAATATTTAAATAAAAAATAGAACAATATTTCATTTTAAATCAATGTAAAATCATAATCAAATAAATTCTTAATGTCTGATTTTTATTTATTTATTTATTTATTTTATAACGTCGAAACCGCAATCGCTATCGAAAGTACTCTTTGAATAAACCCTCGGTTGAACCCACCGACTGCAAACATCAGTTGTGGTTGTCTTAAAATTCACAATTTCTAATAATTATTTCTATCCAAATTCTCAATTTTATTTTAAAAAATATCACAGAACCCAAACAAAACCAACTCTTCCATCACAAGCAATGAATGCAATTTAATTTATATTTAAATTGAAAAGAAAATAGCAGAACACAGAGCTACATGGCAATTATCAATATGCAATCTTGTTATCTGTCCAGCGCTGGGCTGAGCCCATAACCCAACAGCACAAAAACTTGGCCCACAATAATAGCACATTCTATTGCTCTTTATTTCGTTTTAAAACTTAGGGTGTGTTTGCGTAGGATTTGGATTTTGAGTTGGGATTTGAATAGTAAAAATTTTGAATTTGAATAGTTGTATGATATGATATAAATATGTGTTGATGTGATGTTTTGAATGTAAAATTGATTTTTAGTATAATATAAAAAATAAAAAATAGGTGTTTGATTTGATGTTTTTAGGGGGGAAAAAACGTACTGTATATATATATATATATATCACGTTTAATCAATATCCAATTTCAAAATATATTTTTAATAAATACAAAAATTGGAATATATCAAATAGACAAACCAATTTTTGGGGAATAACAATGGGTACGGGTATAGCTGATATTCGATCCGGATTCAATTCATTTATTTGAGGTCGAATCAAATTATACGAGTATTAAGTTGAATATTAATCGGGTATTTAATAATTTTTCAGGGACGGGCAGACTCTACCCGATTTGGAGCTAATTAATTAAAATAACAAATATTATTATTTTTTTTATTTTTGGTTCAAAAATATTTTCGTATTTGAATTATTTTTATTATTTATATTTTACCCAAAAAAAATATTAATTTTATTTTCTCTAACATTTTGTGATTTTTGTACAAATTCATCCTAAAGACCAACAAAATATTGAAACAAATATTTTTAATGGAACATATATATATATATATATATATATATATACAGCGGTATTAAATTGGTGACGTGGGTATGAAACTATATTTTAATTTATGATGTTTGGTTCTTGGCACTGTCAGTAACCTTTAGAAATTTGAAAACAACGCCACTGTTTGAAGTCATGCTATTCTTGGTTGATCTTATTTGAGAGGATTTCTGGCGATTCTGATCTTATAAATATCTAAGTTTTATTAACCTAAATAATTTATTATTAATACTATTTTTAATATATAATATATATATATAAGTCTGGTGTATTTGTTTAGTTTGAAAAAAAAAAATTTATGTGAAATTTAGAAAATTCTCTTATATTATTCTATTTTATTAAAAAAAATAAAAAAAATTGATTGGTTCGTTTTAAATAAAAGAACCCATTCATTCACTAAAAATATTATTTTCTTATTCTCATGATATTCACTCAAGGATGCGTTTGTTCGGGAGTTTGGATTTTGAGTTGGGATTTGAATAGTAAAAATTTTAAATTTGAATAGTTGTATAATGTGATATAAATAGGTGTTGATGTGATGTTTTTAATGTAAAATTGATTTTTAGTATAATATAAAAAATAAAAAATAGGTGTTTGATTTGATATTTTTTAGGAAAAAAAATTGGATGAATAGTGTAAATTCAATCCAATCCTCCAAACAAACGCATAATAATTTTTTTATAATATTCTTATTTTATTTTTTTTTGTTTATTTTATAGTAATACTAAATATCATTATTTTTTAATCTCCTTGTGTCCAATCAAACCTATATAACTTTATCTGATGATGAAAAGCTATTGTTTATTTTTTATAGAACATTACAATAGAGTATTATGTAAATACAAAATGCAAAGATAAAACCAAAATAAATCAATCTTTTTACATAAAAATACCCTGAAAAATAACACAAAAAAAAAATGCAAGGATAATTATGGAGTATATATAGTAAATATTTCATAAAACAGCAGTATATATATAAATTCAGTAATTTTTATATACAAATTTATCAATTTTGGTCATAATATAAAATCTTATCAATTTTTGTTCCAATATAACCAAAACTCATCATTTTTTATCCAAATATAAATTTTTTATCAATTTTAGTCTAAATATAAACAAAACTTATATTTTTTGTCCCAAAATAATCAAACATTATCTTTTTGTGTCTCACCGTTAACAAACTGACAGAAAATGCTGACATGAACTTGCAAGATTATGCAATTTTTTTCAAATATAAATATAAGGTTTGATTTCTTTTCATGTCAGCATTTTCCGTCGGTTTTTTGGGGTGAGACTAAAAAAGATAAAGTTTGATTATATTGGAAAAAAAAATGATAAATTTTGATTATATTGAGACTAAAATTGATAAAAAAAAATTATATTGAAACAAAAATGATTAGATTTGGTTATATTTGAACAAAAAAAAATGATGAGTTTTGATTATATTATGACCAAAATTTTCATCAATTTTGGTTATATTGAGACAAATATGATTTTTTCCCTATTTCTTATTTTTAAAAAAGAAAAATAAATAATGTTGGTATATTTTGAAGGGGCCCTATATTGATCCTAGGATTCTCCAAAAGTATCTCTTATTAATTAAGATTGTTGTAGTGTCATTAATAGATTATTTAATTTAAGTTTATGGGTTGCTTTCTAATTTCTTTCCACCTTTATGATGATAATAATTTAAATATTATCTCTAACTATTATCCTGTGTTTACATAAGTATAGAGTATATTATATTGTACTATTTTCTTTTTATTATTCATTGATAGTAGTTAAAAAAATATATGTATATATATTAAATACACTTATGATATTTTAATTTTGATTTTAAATTAAAACAACTACTATTTAGTTTGTATATTTTCAATAAATATATATTATTTTTATTTACAAAATATCATATTAAAATATTATGTAAACAAACATCTAATCAAACTAAAATTAGACAAACTTTACTATATTCAATATTTTATTTTTTTTGTTTTCATAACTCTAGAACTAAAAAATTATGGGTATGTTTTTGTAGTTTTAATTAAGTATATAATTTTTATTTCTTTTTATGTTAAGTACGTAAAATCGTATTAATAGTATAAAAAATAAAAATTTATGATTATATTTTTTTTTATAAATGAATAATATATATATTATATTTTTAATAATATTAATTGAAAATTGAATGAGTAAAAAATAAGTACATATATGTCTAAACGAAGTCATATTTTCCATGCATAATGATATTATTGTTGTTTTATCCAATTTATTTACTATACAAATATATTTTTTTAAATATTAAAATTTAAGATGGTTAAAGTATAATGCAAATGCAATACAATTCCAAAATTTACTGTCTATTTTGTATTTCTTATTGTTGATGTAATTTTTCAACAAAAATAAAGTAAAATTCAAAGATATAGAAAATATCCTACTTGATTAATTAGTGCCTGAGATTAGGAATCTCTAAACACTGTATGGTACAGAAAATAAACTGGAAAATAAAAGACTGAAATTTAAAGTGGTGATCCCCAATTCTGACTTTGCTTTGTTGAAGTTGATTGAAGATGATTTTTTCGAACAGCACCGGATCCTTAAATAACCCTGTTGAAGAAACGTTTCGAACCGCTGGTCAGTTACCATAACCGTTGTTAACCGCCCCAAAAGTTCTCTTCTATTGACACGTGTGTCAACCGTTCTACTACGTCCGACCTTCAAAAACCGTTCGCCAGTTGCAACTTCCTCCAACCGTTCGCCAGTTGCAACTTCCTCCAACCGTTCGCCAGTTGCAACTTCCTCCAACCGTTCGCCAGTTGCAACTTCCTCTAACCGCCCCAGAACTGCTCTCTCACCCGACCTCCACATGTTACTTCACTGCCCGACCTCATTACGCCCGACCTTATCCTGCCTCATCTCCACAACAGACCTTACCATACCCGACTCTCGAATTCGGCCTGTTTGCGCCCGACCTTTAAGCTTGGCCCAACTTCTTTTTTGCCCGACTTCTGGGCCGTTTGGCTTATATCCAGACTCATCCAGAATCCTACTGCCATTATCTATTATTATTATTTTTTTTGTGCTTAACAATAAGCCTCCTCCTCAAGACTCCTAAACATCACTTTCAGTGATGTTTTAGGAGTTTGCAGGTCAGCATCCGAGGCTACGTCAGCCTCAGATCCGACCTCCATCCTTTGAGGCTACGTTGGACCCGACCTCCATTTATCGCGGACTGGTGCTGGCCTGGACGTTGGTCGATCTTGCACTACCATTGTATTCAAACTCCCGTCCGACTTATTCCTCCTTTCGGCCACTGTTGTTCTGTCATTCTTTTGCTCGCCTGAAAAGTTATGGTCGGCGACCTGACCCGTGTCCGTCCATTCGGCGGGGTCCTCCTGACCTGTATCCGTCCATTCGGCGGGGTCCTCCTGACCTGTATCCGTCCAGGTTACGTAGTCCTCCCGATTTTTGTCCGTCCAGTCGACGTGGTCTTCCCGATCTGTATTCGTCCAGCCGGCGTGGTCCTCCCGACCTTTGTCCATCCAGTCGGTGTGGTTGTCACTATGGTCCGTCCATTCGGTGTGGTCCTCCCGACCATGGTCCGTCCAGTCGGTGTGGTCTTCCCGACCATGGTCCGTCCAGGCGTCGTGATCCTGCCGACCTGTCTCCGTCCATTCGGTCGTCCCTGGTCGGGCCTGTCCTCCTGTTTGGTCCTGTCTCCAGTCTGTCTGACTGGGTATATGCTCAGGAATGGCGTTGTCCGTTTGGGGGCATGACATTTCTGGCGGTGCAGGAACCGAATTCAACATGAATTTTGATTGCTCCATCAAGTTTTGCATTGCGTCATGTATTGCCTGCAGATTTGCTATCTGCTGGTCGTACATTTGCCGAAAACCTGCTGTCAATTCGGCCCGTAGTTGGGAAGCTTCTTCTGCCGTGATAAAGCCAACGGCTGTACTGTGGAATTGAAAATTTGCCATATGGATCAGCAATTTTCTCCCACTGTGGTCGCCAATTTGTTGATGTAATTTTTCAACAAAAATAAAGTAAAGTTCAAAGATATAGAAAATATCCTTAAACTTGATTAATTAGTGCCTGAGATTAGGAATCTCTAAACACTGTATGGTACAGAAAATAAACTGGAAAATAAAAGACTGAAATTTAAAGTGGTGATCCCCAAATCTGACTTTGCTTTGTTGAAGTTGATTGAAGATGATTTTTTCGAACAGCACCGGATCCTTAAATAACCCTGTTGAAGAAACGTTTCGAACCGCTATCTGGTCAGTTACCATAACCGTTGTTAACGGCCCCAAAAGTTCTCTTCTATTGACACGTGTGTCAACCGTTCTACTACGTCCGACTTTCAAAAACCGTTCGCCAGTTGCAACTTCCTCCAACCGTTCGCCAGTTGCAACTTCCTCTAACCGCCCCAGAACTGCTCTCTCACCCGACCTCCACATGTTACTTCACTGCCCGACCTCATTACGCCCGACCTTATCCTGCCTCATCTCCACAACAGACCTTACCATACCCGACTCTCGAATTCGGCCTGTTTGCGCCCGACCTTTAAGCTTGGCCCGACTTCTTTTTTGCCCGACTTCTGGGCCGTTTAGCTTATATCCAGATCCATCCAGAATCCTACTGCCATTATTTATTATTATTATTTTTTTTGTGCTTAACACTTATATTGGATATATTTTAAATGAATAATATATATATTATATTATTTATAATAAATAATATTTTATAAAATAAAAAATTATGTAATTAATACAAATATAACATATTAAATCATACCACCAGATTATCCTTTGTTACCACTGCCATTTTATTTTATTTTTTGTAATTACTATCACTTGTTTAGAAAATACCATAAATATATTTAACTAATAATTAGCTGTTTATTTTACTCCCCAGCTTTAAGGATGTTAGGTGAGTCGGCTGGTGAAATAAAATAAAATACCAGTATTTAGTGAAGACACATGTAATGATAAGTATCATCATCATGCTAATTATTCGAAATAATATGAATAAACTTGTATTTTTTTTATAAAATTATATTTTGACTAAATAATACTCAGCATATATAAATGATGTCATTATATAATACCTGCAAACTATGCCCGACAGGGAAGTCTACCTGTGAATAAATAATACTCAGCATATTTATTATTATTATTATTATTATTATTATTATTTTTATTAAAGGTTATTTTATTTTATTTTAATTTATTATTATTATTAAAGGTTATTTTATTTTATTTTAATTTTTAAAAAAAGGTTGTTAAAATGATCCTGAATATCATGATCTGGTTCGTATTTCTGCAAAGCAACGGCGTCGTTTTGTCCTTGGAAAGCAAATATATAAATGAAATGGGCAGAACAGAACAGTAAGCGTGTTTTGTGGAAAAATGCGTTTTTGGTTTGCAAAAGTAGCAATCGCAGTGGCCTTGGCAGCTTCTAAGGACAACTAAAGAATGCTTCAAGTAAGAGCAATGTCGCCCAAACGGTGCAAATATAATATTGCTCCTTCTGCTCCACTCACCTCTCTATTTTATTCTCACAATAACTTATTATTATTAATTAGTATTTATTATTTACATGTTAAAATTTATCGTTGTACATTTCGGTGTGTTCGTTTGTAGAATTTTGTTAAAATTCTACTATTCATCCAATTTTTTTCCTCCAAAAAATCAAATCAAACACCTATTTTTCATTTTTTATATTATACTAAAAATCAATTTTACATTCAAAATATCACATCAACACCTATTTATATCAAATCATACAACTATTCAAATTCAAAATTTTTACTATTCAAATCCCAACTCAAAATTTTTTAGTATAATATAAAAAATGAAAAATAAGTGTTTGATTTGATTTTTTGGAGGAAAATTTTTAGATGAATAGTAGAATTTTATCAAAATTCTACAAACGAACACACCCGAATTCATATATTATATACTATTGTTTATTTATTTATTTATTTTTTCACACACAAGCAATAGGCATAATAACGTTTTTAAAAATAAATAAATAAATATGTTTTCATATAATATTTTATAAAAAAAAATAAAAATATATTTCTATTGCTATCGTTAAAATAATGATAATTTTGATTTGAAATCAAACAAAATACAACCAATTATGTAACCATCACATTGGGAAATTATAAATGTTTATGTATCGATTAACTAATAGATGATCATAAATTCATAATATGATTAAGTTTATATATATTTTTACAAAAATATTATTTTCTTAAAAATTTTATATTACTAAAAATGTAAAAAAAAAATAAAAAAAAATACAGGCAAACAAATATTTAGTAATAAGTAAATAATGTGTATTTAAAATTAATAATAGTAGTGGGGAAGTATGCAACAGTCCCTCCCTGGACTCCAAAGTCCAGAAGAATCTTGGCAATTAGTCGGGATCCAATTCCACATGGTGTGTCTCTAACACGGACTTGTGGTCCAGGCTTTTCGAAATTTTTTAATAAACTCATGTTAATTATCAATTTAGTAAAAAATTAATCGAACATAACTCGAAAAAATAAAAACGAAAATAAAATTCACCATTTCGTTGAAAATAAATTTATTCTATTGTGTTTGACTGAATGATTTGAAAGAATTTGTACTATATACACCAATTTTTTTTTAAAAAATTAAATTAAATATTTAATTTTTATTTTTTATATTATATTAAAAATTAATTTTGTATTTAAAACATCAAATTAATATCTATCTATATCACATAATAAAATATTCAAATTCAAAATTTTTAATATTTAAGTTTTAAACCAAAATCCAATCCCCTCCACAAACAAGTCTCTCTAACACCAAGCGACACTTGGGAAATCCATGGACCCCAACTCCATGAATGGTGAGGATCCATCGGGTCTTCAGGTCCAGGAAAAAACATCAGATGGGAGATCCCATACGTTTGCGTGCGGTGCCCGCAATAACCTTAAAATCGAATTAAAGGCACCATTTGTCGCTTAAACACAATTAACTAATTGGTTATTGTCTCTATTGCTGTGTCGTTGTAATGAATCATCAGTTTTTATAAAACGGATCTTCTCAACTGCTTATCAATTCAGTACATTTTTTATTTTTATTTTAAATAATAAAGAACATAATTGTACTTACTTTCCTCGAGTCCATTTATGAAGCTTACAGAATTAAGACACAGACAGTGAGTTATTACCATTGGATTTGTAAATTTACTTTAGATAGTTTTGATTGTGGTAAGAATTTTGTAAGTTTGGAGAGTCATTTAAATTAAAGTAGTAGTTTGGAAGGCGCCGGCGAGTGTCTCCTGTAATGACAATTGTACCCCGACTCTCTTTTTTATATATCCGCGTGACGAGGGGTGACGAGGTCATTTCGATTTTTGGGGAAGTATAAAAGTGCACCGTCGATCGCTGAGAAACAGAGTTACAGTGACGGTTGTATATTTTTTTATTTTTTATTTTTAAAATTTGTTTTCTTCGTAGAGAGAGAAACGTAAGAGAGAGAAGATAGATGAATTTGAACTGCAATATCCTCTCTGTCCCTTTCTCTCTCTAGAAAGATACTCCTATCTTCACACTGATTGTACCCACTGCAGGCTGCTGTTTGTGGAACTCATCTCTCCGGACGCCTTGTTTCTCCTTTCGATTGTGTAGATTGATAGGTATTTACACATTTTTGTTGTGAGGTTGGATTTCGGAGATTTGATGCGCGCTGCAAAAATTTGAATAGATCGGCGATGGCGGAGGTTTCCGGCGAGGGAGGTATTGGCGTGTCGGCGGAGGTGGTTACTGGAGAGACAAGGGACAATGCGCCTGCGACGACGCCGCTGATGGTGTCGGCGTCGTTCAAGGAGGGAGGGAAAAGTTCGTCGACGCGGCGGAGGGCGTCCGTCCGGCCGAGCCTCGACGCAGATGAGTTTATAAATCTACTGCACGGTTCGGATCCGGTGAAGCTGGAGCTCAATCGACTGGAGAACGAAGTCAGAGGTGAGTCTCTTCAGCTGGATCCACTAGATTCGCCTCTGATTTGATGGGAACCGCTGCCGCTTTAGTGTGGTCATTTATTTATGTGGTGCCACGATGGGTTAAATTTTCAAAAATTTCAAATAAATATGTGTTGATGTTATAACTTGGATCTGGAAAGACATTTTAGCGCCTCTTCCTGCGGTTTGCAGATAAGGAAAGGGAGTTGGGGGAAGCGTACTCTCAGATCAAGGCTTTGAAATTTTCCGAAAGGCTACGCGAAAAAGCCGTCGAAGAGGTATCACCGGTTTTCATTATCTATATTTTGTACCCGGGGAATGTCTCCTAACCTTTACAAATTTTATACTAATTTTAAAATGGGTTCGTTAACATTTTTTTTTTTATACTCAATACCATGACAGGTTCAATAGATATGCATATATATTATATGGACTATGTTCTCTTTTCTTTGGTGAGGATGGATCTATAAACCAAATTCTGAATTTATATTTGCAATCTAATATTCTAGTGGAAGTTGAAATCTGTAAATTTGAAAATATTGCCATTTTGGGGGGCAATTTAACTCCACTTCCTCGATACAAACGTTCTTAGTTGTTTCTAAGTGGTCAAAAGCATTTGTAGATGTGAATTTTATGTTCCAGGAAATTTGCATCTAGTAATGGAAACAATCGGGTTAAAATTGTTTCCTGACATCTCGTCTCATAGGCTACTGATTCCAAATGCCAAGATAAAATAAATTTTCAAATCAAGTTTACCTATGCTTTTCCCTTTCTTCTAATTGATCATATTTAACTGGCTGATAGTTCTATTCTTTTAGAATGTTAACATACTTTATCAGGGAGTTTGTAGACCTTAATGCTTATGAAAACCTGTAATCAACAAAGAGGGCATGTTTGGTCAAATGAGTGATGACCCACTTAAGAATTATAGAGCATGATTTCGACAGGGAACAATAATATGGAAATACTGACCCACCAAGCTAAAGCTGTTTATGCCAAATGACCCAATTGAATCGCTTGAGATTGAATAACCATTCTTTCACACAAGCGATTTTTGCTCAAGTAATTGACAATATACTTACAAAATTAATTCTACTGCTGTTTCAGTGAAATAGGAGATTTGGGCCATCTTGACAACAAAGTCATTGCGTACCCATCTTTTGCACTTGATCCATCTCATGCTTTTAGGCTCCTTGAGCTTCTTTTACGGTGCTTGTTAGTGCTTCTTTGAACATCTTGATATTTGAGCTCCATTGAACTATGGTGGGAGAGTAAGATGATCATAGTTTGTCCCGGAGTCAACATTAGATTGAGGTGTCGTTTGTAATTATAGAGCACTATCCAGACAAAACATTGCATTATGGTTTCTAAGTTCTAGGTTTGTGAAAAATCACTGATATCATGCAAGCATATACTCCATGCATGTGCTGGGAGTGATTAGTATCCAATTAATATGCTGAACCTGCCATTGGTGCTGGGAGATTTGGGTTCAGTAATTGGTACTTGGACGGGATAATTTGAATCATAAGTTCCTTAGTATGGTGGAAGTAGAGCTGTAGGTATTAATGTGTCTGTTTCATGTTTTAAATGCATAATTGGCCAACTCTGCAGATTTTACAATCCTCACTATGATGTATAATGTCCTCAAACTATTGGATCTTTACTTTCTTCTTGGGGGTCATTCAATGCAGTTTTTCTTCTTCTCTATATGTGAATTCTGAGTTTCTTTCTTTTCTTTAGACCACTGAAGAGTTGGCAAGGGTGGAAGAGAAGCTCAAATTAACAGAATCTCTTCTGGAAAGCAAGGTACTAGCTTAAACTTTTCTTCCACACACATCCTCACATTCGGTCTGTATTTATAAACACTAATGTTCTATGGACATACTTTGGGCAGAATCTTGATATTAAGAGACTTAATGATGAAAAGAAGGCCTCCATGGCAGCTCAGTTTGCGGCAGAAGCCACACTTCGTAGAGTTCATGCAGCCCAGAAAGATGATGATATGCCTCCAATTGAAGCTATCTTGGCTCCATTGGAGGCTGAGCTTAAACTTGCTCGGCAGGAGGTTTCTGCTTTATGGATTGTGTCATCTAACTTCGTTAACAATCTCATTTCCAGAGTTGAGTTAAATCTCTTTCTCTTTCCTTCTAGATTGCAAAATTGCAAGATGATAACAAAGCATTAGACCGGCTCACCAAGTCAAAAGAGGCTGCTCTACTAGAAGCTGAGAGAACTGTGCAGGTAGCGTTGGCAAAAGCTTCTCTGGTGGATGATCTCCAAAACAAGAACCAGGAACTGATGAAGCAAATAGAAATTTGTCAGGTATTGTAAGTTTTATGCTGTTTCCTTACCTAGGCTTCTTTTGAATATTTCTCATCTGTTTTCTCCTTCCTCCAACATGAGACTTTACCTGTTTTATTAGGAAGAGAATAAGATATTGGATAAAATGCATCGTCAAAAAGTTGCAGAGGTTGAAAAGCTTACCCAAACTGTACGTGAGCTTGAAGAAGCAGTGCTTGCTGGTGGTGCAGCTGCCAATGCTGTACGTGACTACCAGCGGAAAGTTCAGGAGTTGAATGTAATCTTCTTTACAGAAACATGAATATTTCTCTCATTTGTGTAATAGCGCACTGGATTATACCCTGCTAAGCTGAATCTTGTTTGTTGTTTGTTCTCTTTTTTCTTTTTGGCTTTTTGTCCTTTTCTTTTCTTCTTTCAGGAAGAAAGAAAAACACTAGATAGGGAGCTTGCTCGTGCCAAAGTAACAGCAAATAGGGTGGCGACTGTGGTAGCTAATGAATGGAAAGATTCTAATGACAAGGTTATGCCTGTTAAACAATGGCTAGAAGAAAGGAGATTCTTGCAGGTTCATATGCACCTCTTTTCCTTATCACTTGTCTTACAGTCTCTATTTTGTATTGAGTCAGTTTTTCTTCAGATTCTTACATACCTAGTATACTCTCTGTCAGGGAGAGATGCTACAACTTAAGGAGAAACTTGCTATAGCTGACAGAGCTGCAAAATCTGAAGCTCAATTGAAAGTAATTTTCTTTATATTATATGGTTATTGCCATGTGAACTCTATTGGAGATTCAAGAAAATTTTTGAACTAAAAAATATGATTTTTATTTATCCCCCAGGAAAAATATCAAGCACGGTTGAAAGTTCTTGAAGAGACTTTGCGATCTCCAAATACCACAACTCGTGTTCCATCTGATGGACGTAGCTCAAGCAATGGTGCTTCACGTCGTCAGTCACTTGGGGGAGCTGAAAATATATCAAAATTGACTTCCAATGGTTTGTTACCTCGGAGGTCACCATCATTTCAGTTGAGATCTTCTGGTAGCAGTACAGTGTTGAAACATGCGAAAGGTACATCAAAGTCCTTTGATGGAGGTTCTCGGTCTTCAGACAGGAGCAAAGTTCTCTTGAATGGATTAGGGCCGAATTTTAAGCAGAGCCAATCCTGTGATGGAACTAAAGAAACTGAAACACAAAATAATACATGGAAAGATACTCAAGTGGAGAAAACCAGTGATATACCAGTAGCAGAGACAGATGATACTGTGTCGGGGTTGTTGTATGATTTATTGCAAAAAGAGGTGGTTTCACTTAGAAAAGCAGTACATGAGAAGGATCAGAGTTTGAAAGACAAGGATGATGCAATTGAGGTTTGTTTTCTTCTTTTATTAAGTTATGGTAATTCAATTTGTAGATGTGCTAATATTCCTCAATTTTCATAATATCAGATGTTAGCAAAGAAGGTAGACACTTTGACTAAAGCAATGGAAGTTGAAGCCAAAAAGATGAGACGAGAGGTGGCTGCTATGGAGAAGGAGGTGGCTGCAATGCGCGTTGAGAAGGAACATGAAAATAGAACTAAACGTCTAGGGAATCCAAAAAGTAACAGTTCGCAGATCATACCTGGAAGGTACACCTTTTGTTATATAATATTGCAACAAGTTATGCATTTCCTAACATTCTCTAAAGCCTGATTAATACTTATTAACTGCCTCAATCTATGTTGTTAATCATAAAAGGCAACTGAAAGAATACCATGAGGTTTTTCTGCTGGTTGGTCTGGTTTGTGTACAGAAAGTTTGCCAAAAATGTATTATTTATTGCTTTTCTCATGCAAAACCACCATCTTGAACACGCCAATAAATCATCCTTTTGAAATGAACATATCACTGCATTACATGTACAAGTATTAGGCATGACTTGATATATGAAACATGTATTGATCATGTTTAGTCTCTAGTAATACATAGCTTTGGCAAGATGAAAATTCAGCATTTTGAAGAGACACATGTTTTTTTTTGGAAAAATGTCTTGCTCTTCCAATAAAGGTTGTTTAGATATGCTTTACACTTTGTTTGGGTGCAAGGTTTTGGATTTATAATAGAGACCCTACGTGGTGATTTTAATTGACTAGGAATAAAGAGGTACAAAATCCAATCTAATTTAGCAAATTTCGAGTGAGGGCAAAATGATATATGCAGCAGATTTAAAATCCTTTCTCCCAACATCATCAATTCCAATATAGCCTTATTGATCTTTATCAATATGTCAAGTACTTGCAATCAGAAAAACTTCCCTGTGAATGTTTAGGGTTGGGCATAAAATTCAAAGTGCTTTACATGTCCATAACAGAATTCTAGAAAATGGTTTCATGATTGTGCATGTTCTTCTTTGACTGAAGATTAGCTAGTTAGATGCAAATATATTCATATATATATATATATCCCCTGAGCTTGATTATTTCTGGTGCATTTTTCGTGCTATCATCTATTTGTATCCCCTTACAGTTAACTTGAGGCTTCTATTTGTAAATTTACTTGCAGAATGTTCTCATTTCTTTTCTATCTTGTCCCTTTCCATTGCTGACTGTCCAAATAATACGTTTTAATATATCTGAAACTGAGATTGATTTCTGTTCTTTGTTACACTAGTTATCTCGCAGAATGTTCTCATTTCTTTTCTATCTTGTCCCTTTCCATTGCTGACTGTCCAAATAATACGTTTTAATATATCTGAATCTGAGATTGATTTCTGTTCTTTGTTACACTAGTTATCTGTATGAGGATAACATTGTCGAACTAAGACATTGGAATAGCTGCGGACCTGCTTGAATTTGTTTAATTACAAGAACTAGTTGTTTACTGATCAAGGAAAATCACTTCACTTCTGGTAGTAGTTTACATGTGACCATTGAGAAGATCCTCTAAAATATTATTACTGTTTTGTTAGACATTTAACTCAATCGCTATTGTTCGAGCAATTTTCTTGACCTCATATAACTCATAATCATGTGCAGGTCTGTATCGAGAAGTGGATCCATGCGGAGCATGCAATAACAGAATGATACCCCTGCCACAGTGAACACCCCCTGGATTATATTGGGTCCTTCATATCCACGACTTGTTCTCAAAATTTGCTGTTGTTTGTATAATTTTAACAAGCATGCATATGCCAATGGCTCTTTGGTTGTGGCAAGAGAAGAGAAAAATTAGAAAAATACTGCAATGATGATGGGGAGAGATCTGATGGCTATGGCTATGGCAATGGTAATGATAGAGGTGAGCTTCTGACTTAGACTACATAACCCATCTCTGTTAGATATCAGAAAAAAGAAAGAAATATCAAAAGTTGATCTAACCTTTTGGCAGAGAGAGACGGATATACATATACATATATGTATCTATATATATTGGAGTGGGAGGCAGTCTATTGTGGCGTTGTTGTTGTATAGGTTGAAAGCAGCTTAACTCTTGTTTGTTTGTTTGTTGGTTACTTTATTTGTTTGGTGTCATATTCTCTACTACATATTGAAATCTGGTGCAGTTAGTTTGATTTGGTAGTTGTTTGTTGTCACGAGGCTTGTTCATATAATATATATATATCTTTGGTTCTTAGCTTGGACGTTAATCTATTTGGCATGTGTGATTTTTTATTTTTTTTTTCGATAACATGGAAATCTGCTGTCGCTTTTCAAAAGTGGTCAAATTTAATTACCTGTAAATCAGGTTCGACGGAAAAGTCACGCTAGGTGAACAACGTATGGCAAGGGACTTGTGGCGTTGGAGGGTTGAATCTATAATTTCGTGATCACAAGTCTAATTTTTACACCTACCAAGCCATTCCTTCCGGGAAGTGAGGATTTATTGTTGCAGCGTTGGTGCGTCACCGCTGCACCCGCTGCCGGTCTTTCTTCGCTGGATCACGTGTGCGCACGTGCTCTTTGACAATAAATGCTTTTCCTTAACTTCATTTCATTTCGTGGGTTATGATTGAGATAGAAGTAGGCAGACCACTTCGTTGTACGTTGACATAAGAAAAACTTGACGGCGAGGTGTTTTTGGATTTTGAGTTGGGATTTGAATTGTAAAATTTTTAAATTTGAATAGTTGGATGATGTGATATAAGTAAGTGTTGATGTGATGTTTTGAATGTAAAATTGATTTTTAGTATAATATAAAAAATGAAAAATTGGTGTTTGATTTGATGTTTTTGGAGTGAGAAAAATTGGATGAATTAGTGAAAATCCAATCCCAAAACAAACACACCTACCAGCTTCTTATTTTGGGCTTTTTGTCATTATTTATCTATTTTTACTTACATGTGGAGCAGTTTTTTTTTTAAAATTTTTTTTTTTGGTACAATATCAAACTAGTATTTTACTTATACATATATATATATATATATCGTATGTAGCAGAATTTTGTAAATACGCTCAATTCCTATAAATTATGGTAGATCTATGCAATTGCCTTCTTTTCTTACCATCATCGCCCATTTGAATGGAGGAATTTTTTATTTTTTATTTTTGGGACTGTGGAAATAGAAAGGAACAAGAATGCAAGATTCAGAAATTACACTTGATAGAAAGCACCAGGCTGTACTGATATTACCAGGGACGTCTTCTCAGTGTAAGAAGGTGACCCAAACATTCTAGAAAGTAAAGAACGTTGGCTGGCGACTGAATTTGAGTAGGGCTGTTTTTGTTTGAGAGTTTGGATTTTGAATTGAAATTTGAATAGTAAAAATTTTGAATTTGAATAGTTGTATAATGTGATATAAATAGGTGTTGATGTGATGTTTTGAATGTAAAATTAATTTTTAGTATAATATAAAAAATGAAAAATAAGTGTTTGATTTGATATTTTTGGAGGAAAAAAATTGAATGAATAGTGTAAATCCAATCCAAAACAAACACACCATGTACAAAGAAAAATAATAACACTCAATTTCCATTTCTTGATCTTTTTAATTAAATTGTTCAGATAAAAGAGAAGAACAAGGCTTTGTTTAGAAAGAAGTTTTTTTAGGTTTTTGAAAATTTGAAAAAAAAGTTAAAAAGTTAATATTTAATTTAATATTTTGTAAGAAAAAAAATATATTTGATATGATATTATTTGAAAAATGAATAGTGCCAAATAAATAAAAATATATTGTGTAAGACCATTTCCAACCTATAGCACATTTCTCCATTTTTGCAAGGTCTGACCCATCTCCAATCATACTATACCTTCCATTTTTTTAGGGTTAAAAAATATTCTCTTTATATTTTATTTTATTTTACATAATTGTATTAAAAAATATTAAAAAATACACCCGCTGGAATCAGCTGATGAATTCTGCAAAAAAATTTGCAGGGTGGGTTGGAGCAGCTTTTTTCCTACCCGCAAAAATAGAAAAAAATCTCTTTAGTTGGAAATGATCTAAATAAAGTCAAGATGATAGATGCTGGAGGAGCTCAAATAATTTTGAACTAAGAAAAGGTATTTGTATTTTTGGAAAAATTATAGATGATGATAAAAAAAACTGATGCAAATAATTTAAAATTAGAGAGTAATAAAAAAGAAGAATGTCTCTGTATATAAAAGATTGAAGTTACATAGTGAAGAAGAATATCTACATGGTTTGTTTGTTTTGTAAAAATAAATAAATGTATTTCTTTTTTTAAAAAATATATATTTATTATTTTTATATCATTCATATAATTTGAGATTGTTTGAAAGAAATTTAAAATTGATTTAAAACGGTGTTAATGTGAATTTTTATTTAATAATATTTTAATATAATATTTTAAAAATAAAAAAATATTTTTATTGAAAATTATAAAATATGTATAGAACTAATTTTTATCTAAAATATTAAAAGAATAAAGCCAATATAACTAAAAGGTGTTAAATTTATTTTTAATTTTATAGTTTTAAATAAAATTATAGATTTTTGTTTTTCTGTTTTTTTAGTCGAACTTTTTATATTATTAGAAAAATATCATATCAAATTTTTGCTTTTTTCTAAAAAAATATATATATTATAAAATTCTTTTTTATATAAATTTAAAATTTTATTATTACCACGTTCAAAATCTAAATTTATATTTTAAAATAATACACTTTTTATTAATTTTAGTGTTTTTAGTGGATTAAGTTAAAAGGTGTTTATGTAAAATGACAAATTTCACCTAAAATATTAACTTTAAAAGATAAATATAATTTATTTATAGATTATAAAATTATATTATAAGATCATGTTAAATAATATCTTTATCTAAAAATTTTAGATTAAAATCCAGTGAACACTTTTTTTCTAAAATCTTTTTTTGAGTTTTGGATTGTTGAAATTTTTCACGAATGGACAGTGAAAATAATGATGCTTGCGTCCGGTCGGGGTTCGAAACTAGCTGCAGGACTAGAAGAGAATGCAAATTTTCTTTTTTGTTTTGATTTTAGACTGACATTAATGGATATTGCTATTTAAGTAAAATTGATGATCCAAAAGGTGCAAATTTGAGTAGGATTTGCAATGAAAACTACCAAAATAAAATAAAATACCATTGAACATATCACTTGTTAAAAAAAATAAAATAATTTATTAATTGTATATTTTTTATATATATATATATATTTAAAAAAAAATTCACGTTTTCTTTTTAGTTTTAAATTTCTATTCACATAGTATATAAATTTTTATCTTAAATGTTTAATTCAATTTCAAATAATTTTTAATTATTATTATTATTATTATTATGGTTGTTGTTTGTTAGAATTTTTTATTTTTTTAAAAAATATATGTATATTGAAAAAAAAGTTAAAATAATTATCATAAATTCCTTTTCTATTTCTTTGTTATTCTGATTTCAGATCTAATAGTTTGTCATTACTTATATAAATTTACAAGAGATTAATCTTATCTTATATTTTGTAAAATTAGAATTTTATACTAATTTAAAAATGTACACTCAAATAATCTATACAAATAATTTACATTGTAAAATTTCTAATCTATACATATATTTTACATTTTAAAAATTTCTATAGAATTTTATACTATTAGAAACTTAGGTATGAAATAATCTCTCTATATATATAATCTACATCCTAGAAGTTTTTAGGATTTTTTTTTTTATACTAACTTAGAAACTTACATATGAAATATTCTATCTATATATATTATACATCCTAAAAAGTTTCTAGAAATATTTTTATACTAATTACATAACTTATTAGAAGATTATTTCTAAAAATATTTAAAAGAATTTTAAAATTGAGGAAGAAACTATGTAAAGACTAATTATTTCTACTACACATAGAAGACTAATTGAGTGATTGCTTCGGCTATTTCAAGGGCTTTGCTAAAGCTTCAATTGATGAGGTAACCTGTAAATTGTGAATGAAATTTTCTCAGCGATAGATAGATGGTATTAATTTAGAAATTTATATTCTAATGGGACAGTCTATTTGTTCATGTTACAAAGGCAACTCTTCGAGAACAACAGACAGGTCAATGGCTACCACTTCCACTTCAAGAAATCGAGTCCAAATGTCGACGACAAGGAGGTATCAACGTCCATATATGCCACGTCGTCATTCTGTCCGTAATGGTAATTAAACTTACTGTCTTTATTTAACACACACTATATAATACTTCTTTGTAATTAATTTGTCCAGTGGATGTAGTTTGTGATAGAGATGTTGATACCAGTGTCACTCGAATTCGTGCAAATAAAGAAGAAGAACAAGGCCACCATCGACCACCACCACCAGCAGCCGGGACAAGATGGTGCAACCACCAGTCTGGGTGGTGCTACAGGTGATGGCGGCGGCGCCTGTGGAGGAGGATAGCTCCACAAAAATCTAATTGTGACAAAATGGTGTTTTATTTTTTATTGGAAATGTTATAGGATGATAATAAGAAAATAAAAATTCAAATTTAGCTCTTTATGTGAATATGTCATACAACAAATCATAGCAAATAATTTTGAATTTCCTTTTATTTCAACATTCTAGTTATTCAAGCATAAGAAACTCACAAATGGTGCAAGAAACAGGCTCCTTTTATTGATTAATTTATATATCTTTTAAAATTATTATAATACTCGTGTATTATTATATTAAATTAAATTAAATTTATCAAAAATATTAACATATGTATAATTGATAAGCTTGAATTGGTTTATAGCTTTCATGCTAAGCGACAAATTGTGGAAGGGAAGTTCGTTTCAATGCGACTGATTGACACGTCGCCACCAATTCCAAATCCCTCGTCGTTCTTCCTCGCATTCGTTTCTCTATTGCTGACCTTCAATCCAATTTTGTTTTATTTTTTATATTTTTTTTGCACGAAATGGCGACAATGCAGAGCTTGATCGGTTTGGTGAATAGAATCCAGAGGGCGTGCACTGTGTTAGGCGACCATGGCGGCCAAGGATCCCTCTGGGAAGCTCTTCCCAGCGTCGCCGTCGTCGGTGGTCAGGTATTCTGCATTTCCGATTATTTTTAATGTATTTTTACTCGTTTGCATACGTCTAATTTGCTTTGGGAAATAATTTGAACGTGCAAAATTTTCGTAGAGTTCCGGCAAATCATCTGTGCTGGAGAGCGTAGTTGGGAGAGATTTTCTGCCTCGTGGATCCGGTAAGGTTGTCTTCATTTATTGTCTTTTTATATTATTTGGCTATTGTTTGATTTTGTTTCCTGTAATCATACTTATGATTAATTTCATTTCTGTAAGCAGCACTTCCTAGACTCGCATGCAGTAATTGCTGTTGTTGAGTTGTATTGTTGAATGATTATTGATAGGCGAAGTGTATTTTGAGTAGAAGATTAAGGAAGCAATTTTGAAATTGCTGTATAGGCTGCATCATCTTTTATGATATGTTCACGAACTAATGAGTCCTTTTTTGAACCTACATTCAGCTGTTAGTATTGAGAAATATATGTTTATCAAGCATGTGCTCATATAGTGTTCACGAAGGACTGCAATGAATTTTTTTTGACATTTTTTGCCTTTTAGGGATTGTGACACGACGGCCATTGGTGTTGCAACTCCATAAAATAGATGGAGGCACAGAGTACGCAGAATTTCTGCATGCACCGAAGAAGAGATTCACAGACTTTGGTACGTTAAGATTGTATTTAGCCACTGAATTACAATGTGTCAGAGGACAACAATTATATTCTCCATCACTTTCCTCATGAAATGTGTAAAGAACTGAGCCAAAGGGAGGGATTTCTCATAAAGCAAATGTTACTTACAAATATCAAAATATTTATATAGCCAAGCAAATTAACTTTAGGAAGCTGCTGAAGGCGCTGTATATTGGCTTATTTTAACTTTAAGTTTTTTGAACGGTGGAAAGTGGGGAAGTGATGAAGCAGTTCATAGCAGAAATGATCAAATCTAAATAAAGTTTTATACTTCACATTGATTTGGTGTTGGATGATATATTGACCACTAAGTTGGATTTCTAAAACTTCCCCATCAAAGTAACATCTAAGGAGCTGAAACATAATTGAGATGGATCATTCAATGTCTATATCATTTTTAATAAAGTGGTAATTTTTCTAACTGATTGAGTTGATATTGTTCATTATAAAAAAATTGAACTTCACATTTCTCATAGAAGACCTTAAATTCCATCAAAATGCTATTTCATTAATTTGGCAGTAAATGGGGTGAGATATCTATAACTTATGTATTAATCAGTCATTTAGTGAAGGTTTTTGAGGCAAGTGGTGCAGGGGTTTGTCTAGTTCTATAATCTCTTTAAACTTTAAAGTTTAAACAGTTTTGTTCTTAAATGTCAGTGAAGGAGGTTCCTTTTGATACTTGTTTAGTTACAGGTCCTAATTGATCATATTTTCTTCTCACTTTACAACTCTCATTGTAGGGCAAACTTTCTTCTATACTTACTTTCTGTTATATTGAAAGAACTCTAAGGTAGAACTAGCTGAACCTGAGAATGTTCTTGTTCTTTATAGTTATTTTCCCCCCAACTGTGTTCAAATTATACTCTGAATATTTTATGATATTTTAGACTGCATGCATATTCAAGTCTTTCTACTTTGCACACACAATTCATAGGCACTTATCATTATTATTATTTTTTTTTAAATTTGCAGCTTCTGTACAACAAGAAATAGCCGATGAGACAGATCGCATAACAGGGAAGACTAAACAAATATCTAATGTTCCGATCCACTTAAGCATTTATTCTCCAAATGGTTTGTGGCTAGTTTTCTTTTCAATCCTACGATAAGTTGTCTCTTTTGTAGTGATAAGCATTATTATTGTTATGTTATATATTTATATGGTGACCAACAAAACATAACTATGAATTTCATAAAACTTATTTTGGAAAGCCAATGGATATGTAGTCATAAGTATTGCAGATGTCATTTTGCTCTTAGCATATTCTTTTAACAGCAAATGGTAATTTCATTGCATTACTTATGCACTTGATTAAAGAAAAATATATTCTGGTGAATGCCACTGTCTGAAGTATTATTAATAGTTGCAAAGAAAATGTGTAATGCATTTAAGTTTGTGAGTTGTAGATCTCAGTTTTGTCTTAGTTTAAGAGAGCCATGAGTTTGACAAATATTGATTCAGTTCCCTGTTGACAAATATTTATTCAGTTACAAAGAAAATGTGTAAAACATTTATGTTGATGAGTTGTAGATCTCATTTTGGCTTAGTTTAAGAGAGCCATTAGTTTGACAAATATTGATTCAGTTCTTTGTTCTAATTGTGTTCGGCCTTCTAGTTGGTACTCAAGTTTTGCAGGATCACTGATTAGTGATTAGAAATAGTTTTACTTCCAATATTTATTTTTTGATGTGGAATTCTTTGTGCACTCTTTCATATCCAACCACGTTCTTGAATCATGATATTGCTCAGTTATTTAGATATATGATTACCTTTTTTGTTGCCTCACGTGGACACCTCCTTGTACCAACCTTTTGATTGACTTTCTAGTTGCTTGATTTATTTCAGTTGTAGACTTAACACTCATTGATCTTCCTGGGTTGACGAAAGTAGCTGTAGGTAAGTGCTAAACTCTTACCCACACAAAGACATGAAAAGTGGACAAAATAATAGTTTCTGTAATTTTTTCTTGTTTGTCTCCTGATTGACTGATCATATGCTTATGTATTTGTAATGCTCCAGAGGGACAACCAGAGAGCATTGTGCATGATATTGAAATGATGGTCCGGTCTTATGTTGAAAAGGTAGAAAGCGTTGCTTTATTTTAACATAAAATATGTTGGAGCTTGTCTTCAGGTTTGCTTGGACATTCTTGATATGACTAAACATTTTTTTTTTCAATGGAAAACTGTGAGAACTGTAATCAAATTCTAGTGCATGTAGTTATTTTCTTTCTTTCCTTTTTTGGTTGCTGGGATAATATGCCAAAGGGCCATATGTTTGTTATAACTTTTAATGAAATGAAGATTTACCGTAGACTGCAGGCTGTTGAAAGTGCCAAATTTTGTTGCACTTTAAACAGTACCATATGTTTATCTGTTTTCTATTAAGAGGGGATATTCTCAAGTGATGAGAGAACACAGAGATTCCTTTAAAGATCAGACAAGAATTCTCAGACTCTGAGATTTTACTTGAGGTCATTCCTACTTGAAAGTTCCTATATATTGTAGTCGGCCTTTGTATAATTGCAGGGGAACATATTTGAAGAAAAAATGTTGTTGTTCTTATCAGTGACATGATTAGAATGTGTAGGACTCGTACAGCAAGTTTTTAAAGAAATTTCTACCATCTGTTCCATCATCTGTGCAATCAGTTAAGAGTCCAAAATGATCTTTTACTTTGCCTCTTCCCCACCTACTCTGAATGTTGCATTGCAGCCAAATTGCATTATTTTGGCTATCTCTCCTGCCAATCAAGATATAGCAACTTCGGATGCAATAAAATTGGCCAGAGAAGTTGATCCCACAGGTACTCTGCTTAGTTGTGACTGGTTTCTTCTCTGAATTTTTAGTTTTATGTGTGTCTGTGTATCTGTTATTATGATCCTTAAGATTCAATCAAGTGGAGAAAACTAAAATTATATTTGATTTTCTCTTGCTCCTTTCTGAAATTTAGGTGAACGAACTTTTGGAGTGTTGACGAAACTAGATCTGATGGATAAAGGAACCAATGCACTTGATGTATGCATTCTTTTCATCACTTTTAGGGATGCAGTTAAACACAAGGTGTTGAAATAACTATGCAATATGCCATCTTGCTAGAACTGATTAACTTCTATGCCATGCTCTGATAAGGTACTCGAAGGTAGATCATACAGGCTTGTATATCCATGGGTAGGAATAGTGAACCGTTCACAAGCTGACATCAACAAGAATGTCGACATGCTTGCTGCTCGCCAGAAGGAGCGGGAATACTTTGAAACAAGCCCCGAGTATGGGCATCTAGCTCATAAAATGGGTGCAGAGTATCTTGCCAAACTTTTGTCTGAGGTATATGAACCCAAGATTATACTCCAGTAAATTTCCTTCAAAGTCATTTCTTTAATCTGATCTATTCTAATCAAGGGGTTTATGACTGTCTTTCTTCGGCATGCACTAGCATTTGGAGAGGGTTATTAGGCAGCGCATTCCCAGCATTATTGCCTTCATAAACAAGGCAATTGATGAATTAAATGCAGAGTTGGACCGTATTGGCCGGCCTATTGGTGAAGATGGAGGGGTAATTACATTAACTGGACACAAGTTATATTAGTCTACAAGAGTTAGTAAATTTGATCATTTGCAAACTGAGTTATTTAACTATATACAGGCACAACTGTTAACGATCTTGGAAATGTGTCGTGCATTTGATCGTATCTTTAAGGAACATCTGGATGGAGGGTAATACCAATTTGTTCTCTCTAGACTATGTTTCTCATATGCTTGTAAGTTCACTGTGTTGAAACTTGATCTTCCAAAAGTTCAGAGAGAAAACTAAGCTGTAAATAGGTTGTGAAAATTGATAGGATGATGATCATTCTGCCTCTTTTACTCCAGCCCAGTCAATGCTTGGATTATCGATTCTGATAGACTAATGTGATGGGCTTTTCACTGGAACCCTTTCTTTGATGTGACATAGCTATAATCCCCTGTAGAGATATGCTATAAACCGATCAGTTAATCTTGCAGGAGGCCAGGTGGAGATAGAATTTACGGTGTCTTTGATCATCAACTACCAGCTGCCCTCAGGAAGCTTCCTTTTGATCGTCATCTCTCTCAGAGTAATGTTAAAAAGGTTATCTCAGAAGCAGATGGGTATCAGCCTCACTTGATTGCTCCTGAACAAGGATACAGAAGACTAATAGATGGATCACTCGGCTATTTCAAGGGCCCTGCCGATGCTTCAGTTGATGCGGTAACCTCATTAGCACCCTTGGTTAAAATTTTTATAATACATCTGAGACTGACCAATATATACTATTAAAAAGAAACTTACTTGATCAAAACAAGCAACTTTTGAAGCATAACTCTCTCTAAAAATTGCAAATGAAATCCTCTTGCCATTTCATGCCCATATTAACCAAATTGTATCAAAACCAGTTTCCTTCCAAGAAATTAACTAGTAAGACCAACTGTTATATTTCTATTACAGTTATTCTGGACAACGGGTTTTTGTGTGCATGATGTGCTGTAAAGATGTGCGTTGAACTTAATTCTGCAATAGTTTTTCGACGCACGGATCTTGTTTTGTAAATTGCAATAGTTACATGGGAACATAACTCAGGTTTGCAGTTGAAATGGATAGAGAGAATCAGAGAATACACATAATGGGCAAAGCTTAAGCTAGTATCTTGATTTCCTTTTTCCATGTTCATATTTCAAGTTTAATTGTCATCTTCTTTGTAGGTACACTTCATTCTCAAAGAACTTGTGAGAAAATCCATTTCAGAAACTGAGGTAACAAAGTCAACAACTGACATTACATCCTGAATTTTATACAAATCATCGTTGCTCACAAGAATTTTGATTTCGTGTCTAATGTCAAAGTCTCAATTTTGAGTAACAAACAAGTTGCTATCTTCTTACATCATATGCATATGGCTTTGTAGGAATTGAAACGCTTCCCTGCACTCCAGTCTGAGATTGCTACAGCAGCAAATGATGCATTGGAGAGATTTCGCGATGAAAGCCGCAGAACAGTCTCCCGCCTGGTGGAAATGGAATCCTCTTACCTAACTGTAGAGTTCTTCAGGAAACTCAATGCAGAGCCAGAGAAAACTCCAAAAGAATCCAGCAAGGAAAGTGCAGACCGCCCAAATGCAGATCGCTACACGGATCTCCACCTAAGGAGAATCGGTTAGCAACACTGACTGGCTTAATCTCAGCAATTTTCTTAAGAAAATTCAATATCAATATACATCGGCTCCAATTCATATAGTGGATGATAACAGGATCAAATGTATCTGCATACGTTCATATGGTCTCCGACACAATGAAGAACACTATCCCAAAGGCTGTAGTTCACTGCCAAGTTCGAGAGGCCAAGCGAGCACTCTTGAATCATTTCTATGCTGAATTGGGAAGGAGGGAGGTAACCATTTTTGTCTCTACCATGTTGTTATATATAAACCAGCAAGAAACACCAATCTTACATTATTCAATTTCTGTTAGCTAAATAATTGTCATGAATTAGTAATACCGGCACATGTAAACTCAATTTGCAGAGGGAACAACTTGGCAAAATGCTGGATGAAGATCCAGGACTAATGGCGAAGAGGGATGCGCTCGCCAAGAGGCTCCAACTATACAAGTCAGCGCGCGACGAGATTGACTCAGTCGGATTGAAGTATTGAACAGCACATTCTTGACAAACTCCTTATTCATGGTACACATCTCTCGTAATTAATTCCTTGAGTGAGCTCTCAGCAGCCTGTAGCAGCTCTATATACATATATACATTCTTTCATTCGCTTAAAAATTTGATTTCCTTTAACCGTAGCATAGGTAGGTTGACCATATTCACTACATATTCATGGGGTGGGTTTGAATCTTATCAGAACACACAAAATACGTTTATATAGCACATTCTATATACAGAATTGTGAATACATAATTTCAACTAATATTGCATAAGCTGTATTAATTGAAATAATATATTTTCTGCTTGTATTTATTTTGTGTTAGACCGGGCAATTCAACATGCTATATAACCTATCCCAATATAATACCATATGTAGATAAGATTCTGTCAAAGCTTATCATTCTTGTTGCTGGCTCTCAAGAAACAGCCATGCACATAAAAAGAATGCATCTGGTATTAATTACACAGCAAGCAATAATTCCAAATCCCCAAGTTAGCATTACAAATCCATACATAACAACATACACAACAAAATGTAATAAATGCGACACGAAAGAAAAGGCTAATAACATGCCTACAAAACTAAGGGTCACAACCCGCCACACGTAAATACATCACATACATATACAGATATCCATCCTACTTACCCGTACCGTACAGAACAACAAAAATAAAAGGCGCTCAAAGACAGACACACCTCCATCCCGGTCCGGTCATGGATCGGAATCCTGCCTACTTGCCAAACACAGTTCATGCAATTCATTCAGAACCCATTCTTCTCCTGTATGTCCTCCCAGAACCAACACACGTGTTCCTCCCACAATGCACGTGCTATGCCCCCAAGCGAACTTCGGCGGCTGCCCCGGGACATTCAGTGTCCTCCACGACGGCTTCTCTTCGCCAGGGTCCAAAAGAAACAGCTGCGAAGGGGAGTGCAGCCCGGCTATCGACCCGCCAAAGACTATGATCCTCCCGCACGGCATTGTCACAGCTACATGGTCGAGTCTCGGTGGCGGAACCACCGCATTCTGACCGCCCATCCCGGTCAAGGCTCCACACTCGAGCTGCCTCCATTGCGGCTGCTCGTTTTCAAGATCAATAGTGTAAGCCTCCCCTGACCGCAGCTGCAGGTGCCCGGTTTTAGCGAGCCCGCCAAACATGAGTATCTTTGTCCGGCCATATACAGAGAGGGAGTGGCCCAGTCGGGACGGAGGAGTCCACGACGTTGGAATCTCTTTCCACATGGGATTCTCCATGTTCAGATCGAGTAAATACATGTCGCTGAGGAGCACCCCTGCGTCGGTGCATCCGCCCGAGACAACCAGCTTCGATCCCTCGAGGGTACAAGAACTGTGCCACGATCGAGGCAGTGGGGGAGCACCACCCGAGACTTCTTTCCACGTCGGCTGCTTGGCATCCAAGTCGAGGACAAAGACATCGTTCAACAACCCTTGCCTGCCGCACCCGCCAAAGACAACTAACCAAGAACCGTTCAAGCACGACAATGTGTGGCCCCACCGGCCGGGGGGTGAAGATCCAACGCTGACTCGACGCCACTCTGGATTCGCTGCATCGAGGTTGAGTACAAATGTGTCGTCCATCGGCTGCATATTGACCCCTTCTCCTCCAAACAGGACCAGACGGTTCCCAGCAGCGCAGGCACTGAAGTTGCACCTCGAAGGCTCCACTGCGCCTCCGACTGTCAGTTTCTTCCAACAGATTGCTTCTAAAGTGGTGAGTTCCCGAGCCAGACGTCCCCATCCCAACTTCTTAGTCATCAACTCCAGGGCGCCAGTTACATCTCGACCCCAAGCATTTTGACACACCATTTTCCTCACATGCTCGTTCTTCGTCAATTGGCGGATCCTTCTGCAGACGGACCCGACGGATGCAACATCCCGTGGAGCTAACCGGGATAGAATGTTTTGAGCAATGACTTCATCAGACAGCTGAAGAAGTCCACATACTTGTTGGAATTGAGTTTGTGTTAAGTGCCTGCTCACCGCATAGAATTCAACCGACTTGTCACTTTGGGGGCGACAAGTTTCTTTGAAAACTGGATAGGACACGTTATTTAGGTCTAGTTTTGCTTCGGAGAATATTTGGATACCTATAACATGTGTGACCATTCCATCATCACCGTGCAGCGGTGTGAGCCTTAGTCGGTTCACTAATGGCGTTCCATCTTTCCTGAAATTGAGAAGCTCCCCTTGAAACTGAATGCCTTCCTCAAGACATCTTCTGATCTCAGAAACAACTACGGGATCTACCAATGGATGCCGTCTCTTCGCTCGTGGATCTCTGAATTGCAGGAACCGACTGATGAATAATTCAATGCACACATGTCATTGTAGATTCTTTGGATTTTTGAAATATAAGAAATTTCTTAGAATTATGTAAAATATCCAAATCCTAATGAAGATTTAAAACCAATTGCGAGTCCTACAACATAGCAGCATGTCATTTCAATTTTTAACAATGATATCAACTAAATGGTGTAACCATTACAGCAAAACAAGACGTTGAACTACTAAACGTTCCAATCGCAAGCAGCTCTACTTGCTTATTCCGTAAGGATAATAAAACGAAAATTAAAACAAAAGCAAAGACGAGGAAGCTACGGTTTCAATTTTTACTGAAGAAGAATAATATCAATAACGGTGTTCAACCACTTTCAAATTTAGCTAACCATTACCACCCACGCCGCCTTTAACTATATGCATAAATCCGCAAAATATCCCCGCGACCAAACGAAGTCCAAAAACGACGACTCCGGAAACATGTTTGCAAAAATCATAAAGCAGCAGTGTAAAAAAGGGAAATCAATTTACCAGTTCCGACCGAGGACTTCGTCCGCGCGAAATCCAGTAGAGTATTCAAACACGGTGTTGACATATATCACCGGAAAATCCGGCTCCATCGCATCGGAAACGACGATCGCCGTCGGCACAGCCGCTGGCGAGTAGAACAACCGGTCAGGCGCCAGCGTAGGCACTTCCGTTTCGCCGTCCTCCTCCATATCGTCCACTTCACCGCCGCACTTCAGCCTCTTCCGAAACAGATATTCCTCCTCTCCTTCGATCTCTTCCATCCCCATCTCTCTCCCCTGTCTTTCCTCTCTCTACAAATCCTTCTCTCACACATATATATCTCTCACACAATACAGTTTGGTGTTTAAAGTGTGACGAAGATATCCTCCATGTGGGTTACCAAATAAGACGGTGCCCAACGCTTAATTACGAAAATACCCTTAGGGCTTGTCACATAGCAATAATACTATTATACATTTTCTTCTAAAATAAAAATATCACGCTTTGCTGTAGCAATTAGTTCATATTATCATATCTGGTCAACCAATTTTGATTCTAATTACAAGATAATATTTTATTTATTAAATAAGCATAATCAAAGTTGTCCATTATTCGTCACTTGAGCCGTCCAATCTTAATTAAATATATAATAATATAACCTATTGTGGGCCCATGCCCAAACTAAAAGATATTTATTGAAGTGGGGAAACATAGGATTGGGTGGGGTGGGTGGTTGGTTGGTTGTCTAATTTATATCCAATATAATCCATTAGCAAAATTAAAAATGAATTAAATCCAAGATTACTTTAATTATATCACGTACAAAATTAAATCTATTAATTACTGTTTTTACCTAAATATTAAGAGTTGCAATAAATCAATCTAGAGTAGTATACTTATGAAATTTTTAGTTTTAATTGCAATTAGGATAATTGAGAAAATAAATATATAAAATACTAATAAGAATAATACACTATGGCGAAAAATGGCGTGGGGGTAATTATAGTGAAGAAAGAGGGGCAATTTAGGAAGAAAAGAGCGATATTTCTGAAAGGAAAATATCTGATGAGAAGAATATGCCACAGTGGATCTGCCACGTCACCCTCTTCTTTTATGGTACTACAGTCTAGCACTTGCTTTAGATATTTTTTTTTCCGGCAAGATATTTCTCCACCTTTTTTAAAAGATTTGTTTTCTATATTTTTATTAATGTTTGTGAGATATTCCTCTATGTATTCAATTATTTTATTTGTATTTTTTTTTATGTTATACGTTGTCAACAAACTATGGCTGTGTTTTATTTATTTCATTTTTCATTTCTCTGTCAAGTAAATTAATATTTTAATTTTTTTTAATAAATTATCATATTAAAATTATTATTAATATAAATTATATAAAATCCAAATAAAAATAAAAAAGAACCCATCTTGTAATATATCTTTTCATTTCCCATGGCCTGCATTATCGGTTCGAAAGATATTTATTGTATTTTTTTTTTCTCACCAAATATTTTATTTTATATTTGAATTTTATCTTAAATATATAAAAAAAATTTTGCAAAAATATCTAAGTAATTATTATTTTAATATTTAATTCAAATAATTGTGAGATAAATATAAATAGTTTTAATAGTAATTTCGAGATATGCAAAAAAATGCATCAACTTGAATGGGAGTTGTTTTTTATTTTTTTTCTTCTTCTTCAATTTTTCATGACAATTTTAATTTCATCTAAAAATATACTATTTCTTTTCTATCTCAAAATGATATAATACAAAACAATAAGTTTGTTCGATTATATATATATATATTTTATGATATAATTCTCCATAAATATTATTAAAAAATATATAATATATACATACTTTAATATGATATATACTTTTTTCATTCGACAAATTTAATCCAACATATTTGTATTTTTATAAAAAAATAAGACTAAATTTATCGGAAGTAGAAAATATATTTTCTTCATTTGTAAAAAATTAATAAAATAACACAAAATATTACTCTATTCCTCAAAAAAATAACTTATGTGGATCCGATACGAAAATTAAATATATATATATATATCTTCACTAAAAAAGTTGAAAAAAAAAAAAAAAAAGAACGAAGGAACGAAAGCATATGAAATAATGTAAAATTTGGCAAGTATTAATAGGTATTGAAATGACAATTTAGTAGTTGTAATTGTCACAACCATCTTAAAAATCCCAACTATCCTTCGTAGCATCACACAAAGTAGTTTAGTTATTCAATCGTTCACCAAATATATGTTTTTTTTTTTCCTATTAAAAAAATATACTTCTTCCGTCTCATAACAAAGTATCTATTTTTTTATTTGTCTCTCCCATAACAAAGTATTTATTTCATTTTTTTAGTAACTGTACTATTTACGTAACATTATAAATACCCTTACAACTTACAATATATTACATAAATGCGATTACCTTTATATTACACATTCTAATAAGGTTATTTTAGTCATTTTTACTTTATTCCTACTATATCTTAATATAATACTAATATTTCTAAAACTACGTGCGAAAAGCAAATGAATACTTAGTTCGAAACGAAGGAAGTACAATTTATATTTATAATAAATATACACATTTTTTTTTATTTATATAGATTTAAAAATTTAATTTTTTATATATATGTCAGTCAATATTTATATATTCAATCTATTCAGAATTTTATTTAATATTATCATTCATAAAATATTTTTACTTTATCTCATAGTTAACCAATATAATACTGTATTCATTAAAAATTGTATCTATAGAAAAAAAAAATTTAAATTAACAAATAGAGATAATATAATAAAATAAGTAGTATTTTCATAAATAAATATTAAATGAAAATTAGTCACTAATATTTACCCACTCAATTTAAAATTTTCTTGAAATATTTCAATATGAAATTAAGTTTCCACCCCCCCACATATTACTAACGTAAAATTTTATATTTAAAAAAAAAATATATATATATATATATGTATTTAAAAACAGTACGGGTGCATTACAAATCCATCGAGTGTAGTGAATCATGGATTAAATAAATAACAAAAATACTCGATTATAAACATTTTACTCATAGTACCAAACAGTAATCCAGAGCGTTCATAGGTGGGGGCTGCAACTTGAACGGTGAGGATTGAGCTGATTTTGGGATCCAGGGCCAGGACCTCAGAAAAAGGATATAGAAAAGCCGAAATATACGCAAACAATCGTGTAAAGTTCGAGCATTTACATGCAGCTTAAATTCAGATTTTACGATTTTGCAAATTAACCCAAAATTTTCGATTCTTAAATTCAGATTTCACGATTTTGCAAATTAACCCAAAATTTTCGATTCTATTCAATTCAATCCCTCGCGCCCTTACTCATTCTACCGCACTCTAATCGGTGCGCCGCTCCTTTCGCTTTATTTACCGCTCGTTGCCCGCTTCGATCTCTCGCTCAAAACCGCCGATTTCGCTCGAACTATTCGATTCCTGCCGGAAGGACCCTTGCTGGTTTTCGGCTGCGGGAAAATAGAGTTATGGGGGCTTCGAAGGAGTGCGCGAGCGGCGGCGGGGAGGCAGCCGTGCTGGAGCAGTTCCCGGTGGAACTGAGGGTTTTGTTGGTCGATGATGACATCACCTGCCTGCGTATTTTGGAGCAGATGCTTCGGAGGTGCAAGTACGAGGGTTAGTTTGTCATTCTGGACTCCTTTGAGTTTGATTTCGCTGTTGAACTGTTTAATTTTAACTTGTGTTGCTGTTGCGTTGTAATAATGCCCTGCTTCATGATTCTTTTTGATTGTTGCAAAGATGATTCTTACTGGTGTCAATTGAGTATCAAAATCCTTGGCACAGTAGGGCAGAAATTGCTGTGAGGGTTTATGTGTAGAAAATAGAACAAAGTATCTTGTATGGTATTTTTGGGATTATTGTTGGTGTTTCTTTGAATTTTTGACATTTCTCAGAAGCATTTTGTTTCCCGTTCATTAATTGGTGACTTCCCTTTGTTAATTTCAAACTTTGGGTGACATTGCAGTCACAAGCTGCTCTGAAGCTACGGTTGCTTTGAACTTATTACGTGAAAAGAAGGGCTACTTTGACATAGTCTTGACTGATGTCCACATGCCTGATATGGATGGCTTCGAACTTCTTGAGCTTGTCAGATCGGAAATGGACCTTCCGGTCATCAGTGAGTGTTGCATCCTTATATCCTTAACATAGCTCTGCGTAAGCTAAAAATATCGCATTCATCGTATGCAGTGATATCAGCTGATGGGAGGTCACACATCGTCAAGCAAGGAATTAACAATGGCGCATGTGACTACCTGATCAAGCCTATAACGGTCGAGCAATTGGAAACCATTTGGCAGCATGTCATTCAAAAATAAGTGGAACAAGATGGAAGACAGTGATCATATAGGTAACATGGTGAACCATGATCATCCGAGACTCCAGTGTTGAAGATGATGTAGATTTAGAAAATGTGACCTTGCCATGGCTAAGAAGCCCCTGTGTGGTTTGGTCAGTCAAGCTTCTGTAAATCAACTTGGGATTAACAGTATAGTTATTCTCACATTACTCATATATTTATAAGACTTTTGAACATGCTTATGGATAATTTAATTCGATCTTTCCAGAGGCTATGCCGAAGGGGATTCTTGAACTGATGAATGTTCCCATTTATCAAGAGAGAATGTTGCCAGTCATATACAGGTGCTGAATTCTTCTCTCGACTTTTCCTATTTCAGCTTTATGCCCGAGTCAATTTCTCAGCGACAAATATTACTGTTTTAGAAGTTCCTACTGTATCTACAACAGTTAAGTGAGGTAGCTCAACAATCAGTTGGCCTTACTATTTTATGCTGCCCAGATGAGCAGTACTTAAAATTAGCATTGCTTAGGAGCTTTGATGTTGAAATCACTGGAAACTTCCTTGCAAAATCCTCTGTGGACTATGGTTTCCTTATGTGCCAAATTTTTGTCCCGACTGGAAACTTAGTAACACCCAAAATGGATAAGAGAACTTGATTACAAGGATCTCTTCAAGGATCTAAGTAATTTTGTTGGCAAAAAGGTTTTTGGTTGAAGTTATTTGTATGGCTGTGAAAAAGGGTATTCATATTGAAGATTAAAAGAGAGGACGATGAGATACTCATAGTATTCTTCTAGAGTGTAAACACATCACAAAGTTTGCAGCCTTGTAATTGTAAGTTGAAGGGAGATTACATATGCATTTGGTGGGGGAATTATTTGCAATTAATTGACTTGGTGTGTCTTAATATGGAGTTTATGTTTATGTATGGGAGTGTATTGATTTATGTAATAATATGCATCTTCATGGATATGCTTGGATTGGAACCCTATTAGTAGATGCTGAACTGGGTGGATAATTTGATTGTCTACTATGTTCGTGATTTTTGTGCCTGCTTCAGTCTGTTATGCATAAGTCGGATCGAATACAAGTCTAAACTGTTGCATAGTTTCTGTTATTTGCTGGTGTGTTCTTCAACATACACAATGGATTTGGGACGAGATTACCTAACAGTACTTGTCTACAACAAGAAAGGTTAAATTGGAACATAGGCAAGGCGAAATTGTATCCCCAGAATGATGTAACAAAACGAAGCAGGTGGTGAATATGGATCTGCCAGAAAATGCAAACACAGGCATCCATTCCATGACTGTTATTTCCAACAAGGTAACTAACTTCCTGTTTATAAGTCAAGCAAGCATTCCCCTTGTTTGAATTCACAATAATTTTGCATATCTATTTTTTCGTATTTAGTCTTGGATTGTTGATGACTTGTTTGACACCTGTGTGGAATGTTTTATGTTGGTAGACGACAATCACTGAGTTTTACTCTAACCTGTGATTGGGCAAAATTCCTTTTAGTTAGGTCATAAGTAAAAGTAAGCCATTGTGTGCCCAGAGGAAACGATTAGTAAATGCCACCTCAGTCACACTGTAGACTTAGAACACAAAACATATTTCTGTTGGATGGCCGGTGGTGTAGGAATTAGATTTGTGATCGTGAAGTTATGGGTTCAAAACCCCCTACGTCTCAGGTCACTTGCCACACATGGTTCGCCTAGTGTAACTTTTTTGTTGGGTCTGATTTGTAGGGTATTAGGTTCGGCCGAGGGTTTAACCAGTGCGCACTTTCAAGTAGTGGCTGCAGATTTCTATGTAAAAAAAATAAAATTAGACTTCTAAGGGTGTTTTTTTATTTATTACTCCCTCCGTCTCACATACCGTGTCTCCGTCCTACATACCGTGTCTGTTGCTGTATTTTAGGAGTAGATAATTAAGAATGTATTAGTGAAAATAATTATCCTATAATATAAATAATTATAAATTAAGATTAAGATAACTAATTAGTTTAATTAAAATTAAAAAGTTTAAAATGAGATTAAAGTGCGTAATCATTTTTCAGAAAGTGACATGGGATGTGGGTCGGACAGACAGAAACGATATAGTATGTGAGAGGGAGGGAGTAGTATTTTTTTGTCATTTTCTAATAATTGATTCCAAATTTTCTAAAAAAAAAAAAGAGAAAAAGTTATTTTTTTTCTCTTTTAGAACATCATATAAAAATTAATTTTAATAAAAAATTCAAATATTTAAACTCAGTCCATACCTACAAAAAAAACACTCCGAGTCATTTATTGTAGGGTGGAGGTCTTGGCCATGAATATGGGTGCTTAACATTGTCCATCAAGAAAATATTGTTTCATATTATTTCAATAAAATTTGGTATCATAAATTACATGATGACAACTGTATTGGAAAAGTAAAGGACTCCTTGTAATTATATATATATATATATATTATTTCAAGGATTTCTGTATTTTGAATGAGACAAAGAAAGCATTGAGCTATAGTTTGTCGGTTTGATATCTAGTCTAGGGGTGTAAACGTGTAAGGATTGTAGTACGTCTTACATCATAAGGGTTGCACCTAAAGAATACTCCTTATTTTTATATAAAATAATAAGATATTTTATTAATATTCTTTGTGTTTAATAAGAAAATATGTCTTAAATAGCAAAATATATTTTTGGAATGTTTAAGATCCACTATGATAATGAGAAAGATTTCTGCCTGCAGAGGAACCCTTAGGTTCTCGGGGCATTGGATTCTAACAAGCCACCCCGGAGAGAAATAAAATGAATATGTTGATTTACATTTTATATATGCAAAAAAACATACATTAATATTACACACAATATATATATACAATATATATTATGTATGATAAAGGTATGTGTTATTTTTTAATAATAATAAGTGAATTGTATACAAGTATATCACGTGCTAAAATCAACTGTTGTGTGTTGTATGAGATTATAACATATATTGTATTTGCATTATATTACCATATATAATTTATTATCTGTAATAATATTGTGTGCTGACTGTAGTTATATTGTGTGATGTTGATACTATAAAATATATTTTTTGTTCATGTGTTGTATTTATACTATAAGTAATAATAATAATAAAAAAAGTCAGTTCTATCTTAATTTTATTTTAGATAATTTTAAAATGCATAGTTTGTATTTTTTGGAAAAAAAAAATATTTTTTTAAAAATTAATATATTATTATTTATACAATTCTCTGTACTTAATTTTAAAAAATATATTTTCATATTATTTAAGCAAACAAAACCCAAAGTATTTTTGTAGATATGACATTTGAAATGTCAAATGCACAAAAGCTTTTATTGCATTGCACCTCTTATTATAAATATGAAAATATATAGTTTGTCCTCTTTATATTTTTTTTTTAAAAAAAAACTAATATATAATACGTATATATTCTCTCTGTTCGTACAAAAATATATCTATTTTTTGTGTGATTAGTAATATAATATATTAATAAAAATATTTTTGTATTTTTTTCTTTTGTACTATGTTTTTGATATAATAATTTATATTATAATATCAATACCTAAAAAGTAAATATAATCTTAGAGCTAGACAAAAATAGTATTATTTTTATATTATATATACAATTTTTTATATTTTATATAAAAAAAATTCAAAATAGTTCACAAAATAAACAATAAGTTGCTTGAATTGAGAATATCAATATATATTATTTTTATTTTAGCTAATTTTTTTTTAGAATATTAAAAATTTGTTTGATTTTGATTGAGATTGAAATAATATATTCTATCCATCCCATGAATATAATCTTAATTAAGTTGAACTCTATATTTAAGAAATATTAATATTATATTGGTAGTGAATAAAAAATATGGATAAAAAACTTTTTTGTTGTAATAAAAATAAAAAAGTGTGAACAGTTTTACGGTGATATGATTATTTATGAAAATAAGACTATTCTTTTGGGATAGATAAAAATGATAAATAAGATTATTATATTGAGACGAAGAGTATAATTTTTAATTTTAACTAAAAAACTTTAGAATATTAAGAATTTGTTTGATTTTGATTGAGATTTTTTTTTTTTTTTTTTATATTTTTAATTTTAATTTTAAATAATATTTTAATACAATATTTAAAAAAGAAATTAATACTTTCTCCGAATCCATAGCCGCGAGCGGTCAATCTAAGTCAGCATTATATCCGCTCAAGGGTTTCAGCAGTGCACAGCCGCCTATTTATTGTAAGAACGTGCCGATGCTATGCTAGTTGTCGTAATTATCCATGAGTACTAATATTAATTACTACTAATAAATAGATAGGGACTGGTCACGGTCGTACCACCCGCCATGGCTCTGCTCGGATCGGAAGAGTAGAGTCCACAGAAAATCGTTGACTCCATCCAATCTCATATCTCGATCCAACGGTGGAGAAGCACTGCCTTTTTCCACTGGAAAATGAGTTCGTCAAGAAGGGCAGCAGGCTGACGGGCAGAGTTGGGTTCCGGTCCAATTCTTCCGCTTTTAAAATAACCTACGCCACATGTTCATGTCCAATTGCTTGCTCTTTGTCGTTACAGTAAAATAGATTCTATGCAATTCTATTGTATACTACAACCACTCTCCTCCATTCCTCTTCTCTCTCTCTCTCTCTCTTGAATCTCCCATGATTTTGGGTTCCAAATCGAACCATTTCCCAGATCAGAAAATGGACAGAAATCAAGAATTGGCAGTAGCCCGGATGAGGGATTCAGTTGAGAAGCTTGGTTTTTCGACAGAGGTAAAATGTTTCTCACTCTGAAAAAGATAATTTGCAGATGGGTTTGAGCCATTTAATGGAATTGGGAATTGGGTCTTTTTTTCTGCAGGGATATGGAGATTTTACTCTGATGAGATTCTTGATCGCAAGATCAATGGATTCGGACAAGGCTGTAAAGATGTTTGTGCAGTGGCGGAAATGGAGGGCTGATTTTGTGCCACTTGGCTACATCCCTGACGCTGAAGTTGCAGATGAACTCAGTGCAGGGAAAATCTTCTTACAGCCCCCTCTAAGAACAGGAATTCCACACCCTTTGCTCATCGTCAAAGCCTCCAAGCATTTCCCTTCCAAGGATCAGCTTCAATTCAAAAGTATGTTCTTGAATTATTAATAAATAATAACATTATTAAATTAATTTATTGTGCAGTTTCTGTGATTGTAACTTGTGGGTCAACTCCTTTTTCATTAAAATATGCAAAGATTGGATTAGATTGATTATTAATTAGATTTCTTGCTATGTCTGGAAATATCAGAACTTGCCGATACAGAGCATGTGGACAACTTTTGTTGTTAGATAGTTATTTTTAGTGAACTCTCCTGTCCTACTTACTTTGGGGGATAAATTTACTTTTGTGTTCTCATATTTGTTTTTTATTTTGATTTTTTTAACAAGAGGGGTTTAATTTTATTGATAAGGAAGTTGGTTTAGATAAAAGTTTTAGAAGTCACATAGTTTCCAAAAATTAGGAAATGATAAAAAAATAAAGGATTTAATTTGATTTTTTAAAAAATCAAAGCTATAGATGAAGTAAGATATATTTGTTGTGGTGCAGAATTCGTCGTGCATTTGCTGGACAAGACCATTGCAAGGTATGTTTTCTTTATTGCCCGAAGTTCCGGCTGTTTCTACATAAACGGGCGAGCTTCCTTTTACTTTATTTTGTTGCATCGTTGATATCAATCATGATAAGATAATTTGTAAGATTTATGGATCTTGGAATCCATTTACTCTTCAAATTTTCGATTATTTGTGTGTGAGATGAGTAAAGATTCTTCCTTCCTTATTTGAGATCAGTGCTGTTAGAGACAAAGAATTGGGAAATGAGAAGTTGATTGGCATTCTTGATCTGGACAAGATTTGCTATAGTAACATTGATGCTCGGGGCTTGATCACCGGCTTCCAGTTCTTGCAAGTAAATCTCTCGATTCTGGGATTTTTGTCATGGATCGATATCCGTGTGTCATGTCCTTCTATTACATTTCTCGGTGTCCTGATCTTGTTCTCCTTTGTGTAGGCATATTACCCGGAACGTTTATATAAATTGTACCTGTTGCACATGCCCGGATTCTTTGTGCGTGTTTGGAGACTCATTTCGCGGTTTCTTGAGAAAGCTACATTGGAGAAGGTAAAAATAATGTCATCTAAATTTCTACTCTTGAGGAGGCCAAATAGATGTAACATGAAAAAGGAAGGTTATGGTGCTAATTGAGCCAATACTGATTTGCTCCAATCTGCATGGGAGAAGTTGGCGGACAACATATTTTTCAAATAATATAGCAAACAATACAAATTGTGTTGTATTATTTGAAAAGTATGGGCTCCGATTAGATAGAGATTTTTTGAAAGATTTGAAATTTTGAAATTTTGAAAAAAGTTGGTACTATTTTAATGTTTTGTGAAAGAAAAAATATATATGATGGAAGGATTTTTCAAAAATAAATAGCACCAAATGATGTTTGTTCATATTTATAAGGCGTGCTGGGTGAACATATATTTTAAGGTAATCAATAGTAACTAAAGTTCAAGGACAATCCCATTTATCACCGATTGATTTTAAGTTTGAGTTACATATTTCTTTTTGACATGGTATCAGAATCACGATACTCGTACAGTTGTATTGGGTATTGATATGCATTTTGATAATACATCTAAGAGTTTTTAGTTTTCGATTAAGACTATGGTGCAATAACCGAATAGAGGTAGAGTTTCATCTTTATTACATCGAAAACCCATAATTTTACGGATCCATTGTTGTTGGACAATGCCATTGTTTTAGGTAATGATTGTGACCAACGAAGAAGAAAGAAAGGAGTTTGTTCGCAGTGTCGGGGAAGAATTTTTGCCGGAAGAATACGGCGGACGAGCTAAGCTAACACTAATGCAAGACGTGGTGCTAACACCACCACCACCACCATCATCATCATCATCATCGGAGGAGGAGGAATGATTGATCTGATGGATGGCTAACTTGGGAAACACAGACACACATATTGGTGTATTTGTATCTCTCTATCTGTACGTAATGTTAGAGGAAAATAAAGGTAAGGAAGGGTGGCAATTCTTCTTGTTTAAGGATATATGTAAAAGGTAGAAGTGATCATACGTAACAATATGGTCACAAACTGTACGTCCAACACACTTTAATCCGAGGATGCAATAAAATTGAAGTCATCGCCATTCTTTTTGTATATTTTAATTCTAATGTAAAAGTTTGGGCTACGATTTCTCTATTTTATTTCTTTAAGCATATTGAAGTCATTTTATCAAAAAAAATTATAAAAAATTAATACTTCATTCGTCCCAAAAGATTTGTTTTGTTTTTTCATTTTCTTTCGTCTCAAAACAATTGTCTTGTTTTCTTATTTAGTAGTTGTAGTTTTCACCTTATAACAAAATTATTCGTACTTTTTCATACTATCCCTAATTATTACTCTAAAGTACTATTTAAATATTTTAAAAAAACAAGGCATTTTAGCCATTTATATTCTACTTTATATCTTGCCAACTCTCAATTAGACACATTTTTTTTAAGAACGGATGGAGTAAAATTTAAGGGTCCGTACACAGATTGGGTTTGAGGTCCACACCTGGCCTAAAATTAATTAATTGAATAATCAAAAATAAAATATAAGTATATATTTTTTTGTCGCTTCGATTATTGAAGGGGTTTAATTGTGAATAGCAGGCTTGAATCTCACTAGGTTTAAATTCCATCTTAATTAATTAAAAGCCAAATCAAATTTTAATTTGAATTGTTTATTAACTACCATGTGTGTGTGAAAAAATCAAACTATATTCTCCTCATTTTACCACTTTATGCTCTGAACCCTACTAAGAAGCCGCCATCGAATACCGGCCGCCGCCGCCGCCGCCAAAAATGAAGCTGCCGACGGTCTCCCTCCACCAACGCCTCCACACTCCCTTCCTCCCGACGGCGAACGCCCTCGCCGTCTCTCTTCCCCGTTCAGCTCGTCTCAATAATGGCCGCCCCTTCGCCGTCCGCATGTCACTCAAGGAAGACGGACCCTCGCTCGCCGTCGTCGGAGTCACCGGCGCCGTTGGCCAGGAATTCCTCTCCGTAATCTCCGATCGCGACTTCCCCTACCGATCTCTGAAGCTTCTCGCCTCAAAACGCTCCGCTGGAAAAACGCTCACTTACGAAGGCCGGGATTACATAATCGAAGAATTGACGGAAAACAGCTTCGACGGTGTCGACATTGCGCTCTTCAGCGCCGGCGGGAGCATAAGCAAGAAGCTCGGCCCTATCGCCGTCGCCAAAGGTACGATTGTGGTGGACAACAGCTCGGCGTTCAGAATGCACGAGGGGATTCCGCTCGTCATTCCGGAAGTGAATCCAGAAGCCATGGAAGGAATCAAGCTCAAGAGCGGTAAAGGAGCCCTAATTGCAAATCCAAATTGCTCCACGATAATCTGCCTCATGGCTGCCACTCCCCTGCATCGCCATGCTAAGGTATCTATCTATCCATTTTTATTGCAAAAATCAAAATTTAAGACGAATTTCTAATTTCGGTAACTATTGCTTATTAGCTTTGAAATCACAGTAGTAAAAAAAAAAAGGATACCTTTTTTCATATCCTTATGTTGCAATTCGCAAAGATATGTTCTTGATAAAGAAGAGAACACAAAGAATGGAGAAATTAAAGAAAATTGGGCAAGTTCAATGACAATATCATGGAGCAAGCCTGCAAGGAAGGGATTGAACTGAGTATAATTAGAACTATCTTCTGTGAATATCTGCTAATCTTGTTCCACAGGTGACACGGATGGTCGTCAGTACATACCAGGCGGCTAGTGGTGCCGGTGCAGCAGCAATGGCGGAGCTTGAACAGCAGACTCGCGAGGTCTTAATTTAACTTTTCATGTATAATAATGAACCCCCCTGTAATGGATGAATTTGAATGATTTGTTATTTAACAGGTGTTGGAAGGTAAAGAGCCGACTTGTGACATTTTTAAGCAGCAGGTCTGTTGAATCTCTCTCATCTTCCTGTTTGTTGTTCATCTCTATCAAATTCCAAACCTTTAGTGTGTTAACGATTTGGGTTTTTTTCACTATTGTAGTATGCCTTTAACTTGTTCTCGCACAATGCACCGGTGCTTTCAAATGGATACAACGAAGAAGAGATGAAGCTAGTTAAAGAGACAAGAAAGATATGGGTAAATCTTCTCTTTGATTCGTAAAAAGATTATCTTACTTTGGCAGCCTACATTATCGAACATCTCCAATGTTAAAAATGCAGAGTAATAACAACGTTAAAGTTACTGCAACTTGCATAAGGGTGCCGGTCATGCGCGCTCATGCTGAGAGTGTAAACCTTCAATTCGAGACACCTTTGGATGAGGTACACTTTTTACTCAAAACAATTTTCTTGTTTTTACATGCAAGATTATTGTAAAAAATGCCATTTTGTACTGGGAAAGAGAGATTGTAGTAAATCGGGGAAATAGAAAATATGCTTTACTTGTATGTTACTTTATGTTAGGACACTGCTAGGGAGATTCTCAGCAAGGCTCCGGGTGTGGTAGTCATTGATGACCGCACGGCCAACCACTTCCCAACTCCGTTGGAAGTTTCTAATAAAGATGACGTTGCAGTTGGGAGAATACGTCAAGATGTTTCCCTGGAAGGGAAATACGGGTAAGAATCATTTAACATTCTAATCGGTTAAATTTTGCCTTTGTACACTTCGTCGTTGTTAAGTGATGTGCAAAACCATATGGAATAGGTTGGATATATTTGTTTGTGGTGATCAAATTCGCAAAGGTGCTGCTCTTAACGCCGTTCAGATTGCCGAGCTGTTGCTATAGGCTCAAACTTCTTTTATGTTCAGGCATTTCGAGTAAAAAAAAAACGACGGTATGATGAGTTCTTTCCAGCAATCGATAGATTTTAGCCATAGAGATTGAAACTCATGGTGTTTTGTAACTTGGTGCAATGCAATTTTGATGGATAATCTATTTGTCTTGGTGTTACTCATTCTGTTTTAGTCGATTTTCCCTTCTGATTATATTTGTAACGGCTTTTTTCTAAAGCAAATACATTTAACTCTGTCTTTTTTAAAAGAATCAAGATATGTGACCTTTTTATATACTTGTTGTACATGATGTGTTTCATTACAAATGATCAACCTTCATATGATATCAAATCAAATCAAGAACACAGATTCAACAAAGAGAACTTAACCCTAACACAAATCTTCCCCTTCTCCAAATCCAGCTTTGCCCCAGTAACTATCCAATGCCCGGGGCTATCCGACGGCCCCCGACACATCTGCGCCGTGTCGACAAACTTCACCATCTTCTGCGCCTGCACCGGCACAGGTGGCCCCGTCGGGTACACCCCCGAGTCTACGATCACCTGTGCCGGCTGCTTCTCCTTCTCTGCATTGATCCCGGTAAACGACGTGCTGATCGACGAGAAGAATCCCGACTTCATCGAGTGATTCTCCGTCGCGCACTGCATCCAGTTCGACTGCACGATGCAGCAGCCGGATGCCCGGGAATAGGACAGCCTGAGATGCAGCACGGTCCGGGAGTCGAGCTTCTTGACGTGGAGCTGGGCCCCCGTGACAATGCAGGCCGTCGTGTCTGTTTGTCCCGGGTCGACCCAGTTGGGGTCGTACTTGACGGGGGATGTGCAGACGTGGGAGAATTTCTTCCATTGTATGGGGAGGAGGTAGCGGTGGCTGTCGGGAATTTGCTCCGATCCCCGCCACGTCGGCGTCGGGTGGAGCCGGTCTTGGAGGAGGACCGGAGGGTTCACAAGGTGCTGGAGATGTATGGCTAGCCTGGTTAAGAAAGAAGACACAAAAAATTATATGTTAGTTGGAACTTTTATGTTTTGTGGAAATTTTAGAGTTAGCTTGTTTTATTAATGATAGAATCGAGTCCTATAAATAATAAAATTTAACCTAAACTATCATCTAAATATATCTAAAATATTTTAACACCATTTCATAGTATCAGCAAGCTTCAAACTCGGGGTTTGTTCTAGAACAATTTCAATTTTCTAAGAAAGAGAGAAAATAGAACACCTCAAAATCGGACAACTTTTGTTAGAAAATATGTATTAAGAAAGGATACGGGTTCCATTCTTAAACAAATTGGTCACAGGAAAGAAATTGCCTTTCAACCTTATATCCAAAAGAATTTCACATTTTTCCAACGTGGGACAAATATTCATTAACATGGCTCTATATTTATAGAAATTTAGAATTGTTTATTAACTAACTAATTAACATAAGGATTAGTTATTAGTATGTACCTGTTGCATTTGATGCCTTCAAGGTAGAGCCTGATTCCGGTGACGGGAGTGTTGGCTGTGGTTACCTGAGTTGGATTGACGTAGAGCTTAGGGCCCATGAGGCTGAACTGAAGGGCTGGCGTATGAAGGGCTTTGGTTCTTGTGGGCCCCAGCGGGAGGTCGTTGTGGATGGGCGCCCAAATCTTGTGGGCTTGGAAGTCCAGAAAGTATTGCAGGTCGCCTATGGGAGGCTTATCTGTTGTCGTTAGTGTTGCAATAATCATTAATCAATTAATTAATCAAATTAATGTATTGTAATGATAATACATGATGGAGTATACAATTATACACATACATATACGTACATCTGAGGTAGAGATTGATGGCGTGGGACAAGAAGCCTCTGCCGGGGACTCCCTTGAGAAGAGATGTAATGGGAATGAAGTTGAAGTGAATGGCGTCGGGCTTCGACGGCACCGTCAGCAGCCATTCGCAGTGGCTGCTCACTGATGAATCCCCACCCCTCTTGGAACATATCACACTTATGCCCTAAAAATAATTACACATATTCAATTTAATAATGTCCAAAAGAGAAGCAACTATGTTAAGAAAGGGACGCAGAACTATTAATACTCAATACGGACACCGTGACTCTGATACCATGTTAATTAATAAAAAATAAAGACGTACGTCTTTGGCAGTGACGGTGGGATAGTTGCTGAGAAGACTTGGGTGTGGATCGAACACATTGAAGGCCTCTGGCACTTTGTTCTTACAATTATGATTATTATGGGGTGATGATGATGCTGGTGAGAATGTGCAGGCCCCATTGAAGAGCTGGTCTCCGAGGTTGTCCAAATGGTTCTTCAGCTCTGAGGCCTCCATCGTCGACGACTTCTCCTGCTTCACCAGGACCACATCCTGCCCGCCTACGCTTAGCCCCACTATTATGTGTGTCCCATACTTTTCGATAAATCTGCACTAATTATTTATTTATTTAATGATGTTATTAATTAATTTATTGCTTTTAAAATACTAGAATGTAAAAAATAAACGTAGTATTCGAAATGATTTTAAATTGTGCAGTAGTAATCAAAGTTGCTACCCGATCAGTTCTATCAAATCAATCATGCATATATGTCTGCATTTTCATAGTTGACTTTATATTCTTCTTTTTAGATTTATTGAGACTAAAACTAGCAGTAGCATGCTCTATATATCGTTGGTGTTATTTTTTTGATTATTTAAGTGCTGTATTAATAATAATAATAATAATAATAATAATAATAATAATAATCGTGCACTCATTATCAATCCTCCCGTGTTTCAAAGTTTGAACATTTCAAATAGTTATGCATAATAATTATTTTTTTTACATATATAATGCCTAGAATATGACACACGAAAAATTCCCCGTAGACTTGGTCACATGCGCTATAGTTGTACTTTGTGGGTCAACAATAATACCCTTACCCTTACACACTAATAACATACATTCATGAATTGAATGACTAACTGACTGACAAAATACCAAAATTACATCCAAAAGTCAGCCAACAACCACTTGAAAATAATACTCACCTCTTCTTCTTCCTAATCAATTACCTCAAGAACCCTAATTTTTTCATCAGTCTTTATTTATTATTATATTTTTATCTAATTTAATTAATCAAAATTTTCAGTAAGAAGTATTTTCATTATTGAATTGAATATTTGTTTCTTTTTTTAAAAAAATCAAAATGACGATTAATTAAGATAATTAGGGTGTGTGTCCGTACGTACCTTGCTAGGGCAGAAGGATCCCAGGTGGAAGGAACGGCGCGGCGGACGTCGTCGGCGAGGACGAGCGGGTAGCGATCGATGCGGAGGTTGAACAGTATGATAAAGTAGCCGTCGAGGCCCAAATGGCGGACGTCCGCCGCGTCGGCGGCCCACGACCCGCTCTGGAACCCGAACATGGAGTTGAAAACTCCCGACGGGATCTTCCCCGGCACCGACGACTTCTGGTTGAAGAATTCCGACATCTGATACCATATATATAATTAATTAATCGAACATGCACCGATCGAAATGCAGATTTGAGATCATATATTAATTAATTAAGTCGAGCACGAATTGAACAGCTGCATACCTGATTGAAGTCGAGGATGTCGGACTGGTACCGCATCCGCTCGCCTTTATCGCACCTGATATCGACGGGGACGCCGGCGAACGTTCCGAAGCCGGGAATTGTGAGGCTCCGGCCGCCGGAATCGTTAAGGAGGATGAGGCGATCGTCGCCTTTGCAGTATTTCAGGCGATAATCGGAGGTTAGGTCAAAGCCTTTGCCCAAACTGGACAGAGCCTTCTGCACAATTGCATCGCTCATCGTCAATGGCTTCTTTCTGCACTTTCCGATCAAGATTGAAAATCTGTCTGCTCTCTCTCTCTCAATATATATATATATATATGTTTTTACGTGGATGGGTTGAAAATGGGATTGCTGTGCGTACAGAGGTGAGTTTGAATTTGGAAGAGGAGAAATTTCATGATCTTTGATTCATTCGTTCCTTCATTCATTCTGGTTCTGGTTTTCTTGTTCAATTTATAGACATTTGTGCTGAGGTGTTGGAGCTTGACGTCAGGTAATCTGAGCCGTTCGTTGATGGCGAGTCAACGGTGTGGATTAATTCTGGTTCTGGAGGCCCTGGAGCTTGTAGTAATAAGCTATTGTAATAAGTTTGACCACTCATCTGTGGGATTTGCGTGTGGGATTTTGGGTAAACCTTCTCATCTTCACACTCGGACAAGTTATAGAATATTGTTGGGAGTTTCGCTGTTGCAGAGTCCGGGAGCACTGCTCCACAGTGCCATTGCCAGATTTGGTTCGAGAAATGTTTTGGGCATAAGGGTATTTTGGGTAATTCAGGTCATATAAATAAGTCCATGTTCAAAGTATGGAAATAATATTGCTAATTTCATTTTGTAGAAAATAAATAATCATTGTAATTAAGGGGCTATAAATTAGGTAAGAATTGCTATATGTTGGTAACTTAATTATATGGTCAAATATTGTAATTTGGTCAATGTTCTTGTGATTTGGTATGAAGTATAATTGGTGCGGTAACTTCCCTAACGAGGAGTAAATGATTAATTAATTAATTGATTGATTGATTCCCTATATTTTGGCTAATATTCAATTTATAGATAGGATAGTTATTTAAAATTATAATATATACATATGAAGAATTAAAACGATTGATAAGATAAATATATATTATTTATTAATGTTAACAAAAAAGAAATTATATTTCCTAAGGTGGGATTAATTGTGTGTACCTATGTGTGTGTGTTTTCTTTTTTAACGTTTTTTTTTATTTATTGTATTATTATTTTTAGGTAAAACATAAATTACAAACAAAATTTGAAGAAAAAAGATAGTATCGTATACAGTAAATTATTATAGAATAACTAAAATCAAGCTCGAAATTCAAACCCTCAAAATTTTCTAAATATTTTCAAAATTTTTGAACATGCATATACTGATAATCTCAATATTTAATTCATTCATAAATAAAAAATATACATTCAACTTCTTTTCTATTTTTATAAGATTAATTTATATTAACTATATATAAATGCATATATTTGTATTTATTATAATTTTTTGTCTGAATAATGATAATAATACTGAATATAAATTCACATATAAGTTTGTATTATAATCAACGGAATCAACTTTTACATTTTGGGGGGCAAAGTTGTCTTTTCAATTATACAATTTTATTTTTATGGTTCGATTGTAGTTTTAATATATTTTGAATTGTAAGTCATCAGTCTTTTTTTTTTTTTTTTAATTAATAATTCTTTTTTTTTTTTTTGAATTAATAATTCTTTTTTTTCATGTGTATGCATGTAAAAAAAAAAAATTGTAAGAATCTACTTCTGGATTCACTTCCACCCTTTCAATTCTACTTTTAACTTCTTCAATACCCTTTTGAGGCAATAATAGGATGATGAAAAAAAAAAAAAAAATTGTTACATGATATTTAAGATGAAAATTTATATTTTTTATACAATATCATTATAATGAAAATTATTATTATTATAACTATAAATTAAATTAATAAAATGGGGATCTACAGCGTCGGTCACTAATTATAATATAAATATATAAAAATATATTTATATTATTCATAAAAAATATTAAATTAATATTTATTTTTATTATTTAAAGATTAATTATTTATTCAAATTATTATATTAAGATTTATTTATATTATATTAAATAATTAATTTAAATTCAAAGTTTTTTATTGTTTAGAATCCAAAACCCGAAACAAACAGGATTATATGCACATGGATATATAACTATTTAAATTGGGTTGCCTATATGAATCAAATATGTATAATATATGATCAATTTAGTTTATTCTATTTATTTATTTTTTAAATTTTTTTTTTGATAACGTGGAACATGTAGCCATTATTCAACGAGGGCACGCGTCAGAAGTTTGAATACATGACCTCATGATCACGAATTCATTTTCATACCACAAACCTATTCATTACGAGACTATATTATTTGTACTTTTTGTAATATGTGTGTTTTTCTTTAGGTATTATAATATAATTATATAATTGTATAATAATAATAATAGTAATAATAATAGTAGGTATGTATATACGTGTGTGTGTGTGTGTGAATTGCATGAAGGATTTGTTGAAATATTAAAAGAATTCTTGAGTCATGTTCAACAAGTCATTCATTTCATTTATTTATAATTGGAATTATTAGGCCATATTCTGAAATTGACAGCAACAAATATATTATAAATATTTATTCAAAGTAATATTATTTTCATCAATCGAATGTACTCTTATGGATTTAATGCAAGACCGGAATATATCCATCGCATTAGGCGAATCATGTGTGACGGTTGGACTTGAAAACGTCGGATTTTATAAGTTAGTTTTAGGTTTAATCTTGAAAATTGATTGAATTTGACTAAATTAATTTGGCTCAATTTCAAGCTAAGTAGCAACGTAATTCATAGATATCATATTAAGGGGTTACGCACAAAATATGAACGCTCTAACCATATCAGAGTTATAGATATTTGATTAATTGATGACATGAGATAATTGATAATTCCGTTTATTATAGATTCGAGAATTTGAAAAAGATTATAATTATAATATAATATAAATAATTATAAATTAATATAATATAATTATAATTTATAAATTATAAAAATTAAAAATATGATTAAAATGAATAATATTTACAATGGATTGCAAGGCTGAAGAAATAATTTTTAACGATTTGAGTTGACTGGATCGGGCAAGACACGACCTGACCAGACCACACAACTCGGATCTGTTGGGTCAACGTGAATGATTATTCATTATTATGAATTCCTCCACTCCAATAAACCATAATAAAAATAATATAGAAAATACAATAAAAACAAATTCTTAATAATAATATATAATTTTAGATATATTTATCGTAGAAAAAAATAAAATATTTTTAAACTAGTTACTTCATAATTTAATTAGACCGTTAATATTCAAAATAAAAATATGCAATAGTCTTTAGACTCCGAAGTCTAGAAGGGTGTCTATATATGCAGAGACACATACACTAAACCGATAATGAAAACACTATATATACAAAGGACAGACAAAACAAACATGCAATACCATCCCACAATACTCCAACAACAAAAACCAGAAAAACAGACAATCCACAGCATTCCTCGATCGGTCTATCATTTACAATTTTCTACGGTCTCATCATATGATCATCAAAGACGAGAAATGATTCTTTCGTTTTCTCTATCGAGGCGCCATTTGCTCGGCGACAGAGGCCAGTCCCTGCATCAGCCGAACAATTTCGACAGTGTCGTCAAGATAGTATTTAGCCTTACTGGGTTTCCGTCCGACGGTGCAAGCAAATACTTCGGCATGTGGCGGGATGGATGGACCCGCCATCGAGCTGGAGATGACCTCGAACATATCTTCGTCGGATCTGTCGTCTCCGATGCAGAGGATGAAATCCGGAGACATTCCTTTCTCTTGCATTGATGACAGCAGGTGTTTGGCTACAAGACCCTTACTTACACCCTACATAGCAAAGAATGAGTTTCATTACCCGAAAACGATAAAAACATTACAACATGGAATGCAACACAATCCCTTCGCATACCTGCGGCTTAACTTCGACACAATTCTGGCCACTTTTCACGGTGACAGGTTCATTTGCGAGTACACTCTCCAAGTGATCGAGAAGCTCCTTAGCTTGACAAGATCCGAAGTCGGGATCAGCATCCTCATAGCACCAACCCATTGCGGTTTCCTTAAATTCGATCACTGATCCGTCGGTTGTTTCTGTGTACAGCTGCATTACCGGCTCGGCAATTTGCTTCCAGTTGCATTCGGCTACTGGTACGCGTGTTTCCCACTCCTCGTCTCCCTTCATCCTTAAATGCCCAATTAACGAAGTAAGCTAAACGATTACTACAGAGTATAAAATCAGTAACAATGGAAATGGAAACAACAGTCGATAGATTACCTCACAAAGCAACCGTGCTCGGCCGCAATTCCAAGATTCTCGCAAGATGAAAACCAGTCGTCTAGCTTGTCGCGTCCTCTAGCGCTCACGATGAAAACCATGTTATTCTTGTCTTGACATAGATTGTTAAGGATATCGATGGTTTTCATGCTCGGTTTCTTGTCCAGGGAATTCTGAGGCATTAAAGTCCCGTCATAGTCGAGAAGAATAGCCCGGGTCGTAGTCCTTTTGTACGCCGAAACTATATGCTCCATTGCCAGTTTTCTGAAATTAGGATCAAGTGCGACGACTCGAAAGCTTAAGCCAAACCCGATACCCCAACATCTCCGTCGGGAGTGGTCCTTACAAGTTCTCTCCAGATCATGTAAGAAACTCCGAGCCCAATATCCAACGTCGTGTGTGCTTACATATTTGTAGTGTTTTTCATGCCTCAATTGCTTCTCTGCCTCCGGCATTACAAGAGCCAAGTCCATAGCCTCCGCTACTACGTCGATATTCCACGGATTAACTCGTATGGCGCCACTTAGAGATGGCGAGCACCCGATAAACTCCGATACAACCAACATACTCTTCTTTGGGGACGACAGTTCCAACCCCAACACTTTATCCAACGTCTCGTTGCCCTGCCGACTAATAATGTACTCATACGGTATAAGATTCATCCCATCCCTAACAGCAGTGACCAAACAACACTCAGCAACAACGTAATAAGCAACTCGCTCGTAAAATTTCAGCGGCTGATCAATCAAGATGACGGGATCGTAGCCCGGCTCTCCAAATGCCTCGTTTATCCGCTTCACTGTCGCGTACGTCTCCTCCCTAACTTCTTGCACATCTTTCCCCTTCCCCCTCGCCGGATTCGCTATCTGCACTAAAACAACCTTCCCTTTCTTCTCCGGGTGCTGCATTAAAAGTTGCTCCATTGCTAATAACTTCAAACTAATGCCCTTAAATATATCCATGTCGTCTACCCCGAGCAACATTGTCTTCCCCTGCGCCGAAAACTGCTTGATGAGCTCTGATACCTTCGCCTCTGTCTCGGGCAGGCGCAAAACCGATTGAAGCTGACCCATATGAATACCGACCGGGAGGATTTTGATGCTGACCGTGCGCCCGTAATATTCGAGGCCTATGTAACCCCTCTTCGACTCATACGACACGCCCAGCATTCGACTGCAACAGGAGAGGAAATGTCGCGCATAATCGAAGGTATGGAATCCAATCAAATCGGCGTTAAGCAGAGCCCGCAGAAGCTCTTCTCTAATAGGCAATGTCTTGTAAATCTCAGACGACGGAAATGGGCTGTGCAGAAAGAACCCGAGCTTTACTCTGTTAAACCTCTTCCTCAAGAAGGTGGGCAGCACCATTAAATGGTAATCATGGATCCACACGAAATCGTCCTCGGGGTTAATCACTTCCATGATCCTGTCGGCGAAAATCTTGTTCACTGATACGTAGGCCTGCCACAGCGACCGATTGAACCTCCCGCCGAGATCCGGCGACAACGGCAGCATGTAGTGGAACAATGGCCATAGCTGCTGCTTGCAGAAGCCATGGTAGTACCTCGTGAACAAATCCGGAGGCAGAAATGTCGGGACGCACTTGAATGTCTCCAGGAGTATCTGGGAAACCTCGTCCTGGTCGTTCGGGTGAATGTCGTCCTTCAGACAGCCGACATAGATGAACTCGAGATCCTCGTCTCCCAGCCCGTCTTTCAGCTGGATTGGGAGCGAATTCTCCTCCCAGGTGAAAGTCCAGCCTCTGCTGCCGTCTGTTCTCCGGTGAACCCTTATCGGAAGCTGGTTTGTCACGATGATTATCCTGTCCTTCTGAGACGACGAGGATGGATCAGAAGCCACGCTCTCCGAGGTATCGTCGTCTATGTCGGACATTATGCCGGCGACCGTCATAATCCTCGGGATCCGCCGGCTCATCCGGCTAAACGACGGCGACGGAGCTTCGCCGGAAGCTAGCTCCAGCAGATTTGAATACGATCTAGACACCATTTCGAAATCCCCAAATTCAACAACCTCAAACCCTAATCTCTTCCACCGCTACAAAACTCCCCCCAAAAGAACCCTAGAAAAACGAATCGAACAATCGCCGGAACCCACGCGATTTACGAACTTCCTCCTCTTCACAAATATTTTCCCCAAAAAACCACAAAAAGCAGGAAAGCTTAACCTACCTAGAACCCTCGCGATTTGACTTGAAAATCGAAGCAGAAGGAGATAGAGCTGATTTCAGATCACAAAACCGAAGCACCGCCAATCCTAACCCGTCCGTCCGTTCGTCTGGTCTCGAGAACAAGGAAACCGACAGGTACAGGATAAAATACCTCAATCGGATGAAGATAACGCCGCGAGCCCACACTGAGACGTTGACAGCAAAAAGGAAATAATAGCGCAGGGGACAAATAATTGATGGTGGGATTTCAACACACGGTTGAGTCAAATTCACCACTACAATTCGACGCTTCCAATTCCCAAATTTGGGGGCAAATAGAAAACCCTAATTTCTGTAGGTAAGGAAGAAACACACACACCGACCGCTGCTAAATAATACCCCTCTCTCTGCTTCTCTTCTGCTGCTGCTGCTGCTGCTTCTTCTTCTTCTTATCTTTTATTGCAAGTGGGGATAGATACAAAAAGCTTACTACACACATTGATGAGTACAGAATACTGTCCCTGATGTGAGCTAAATCTATATAATATTTACACACACACAGAAACTAGAGAAAGCTATATCTGTATAATAGGGTTTATTATTAATTTTAATGGGCGTGGAGAGTTGGCCATGGCCACCTATACTGTGGAGTTTCTTATGGATAACTGTACAGATAACATAAAATAATTACAAGGAATAGCTGGCAATTGTGGTCCCTTTCCACTCCATGGCAGCTCTCAGGCTCGGTTCGGCTCCTCCATTGTTGCATTTACTAACATTACAGCTAAGATTCTCTTTCAGGGGTCAAAGGGAAAAAGGCAGACCAAATTTTGGGAAATTTGCTAATCTTATTTTATTATTATGGTCTACAAACACTTTCAAATTTGCAATTTTGAACTTGACCGGAATATATAGCTATTTTATGTGTTTCTTCAGATGAATTCGTTGTTTAATGGAGTGTACAGTACCTTTTTTTTTTTTTTTTTTTTTTTTTTTTTTTTGAAGAAAATGGATTTATGAGTGACATTTTAATGTAATATTGAAATTTGATTTTACAGGTAATATTTTTAATGTAGAAAATACATAGGTGATTTTAATTAATGTAATCTTCTTACGTATATATTTTTTAATATTAAATAGTGAAAAATAATTAGTGTGTTCACTCTATGATTTTATTTTATTTTTTATTTCAGATACATAAGCCAAATATTGATAATGTAAAAATATTATTTTATAATATTGAAATATTTATTTTATTTTTATAGATATAGTATACACTATACATTTTCTGTCCCAAAAATAATAATTTATAATATTAAAATATTAATTTAATTTTAAAAATATTGATATTATATTATTGATTGGTAAAAAATATAAGTGTAAAAAAATTATTTTTGTGAATGTATCGGCATAAAAAATAGTGCAAATTGTGTAATAATAATAAAAAATATATAAATATTTTAATGGTGATATATTTATTAGTAAAAATAAGACTAATATATTTGAAACTGATAATTGTAAATAAAGCTATTCTATTAAAATGGAAGGAATATATAGTGCATTTTGTTATATAACAAAAATTTTGTAAATATAGATACATTCGACATTAGAATACAAATAAATATACCTCCTTTAAACTGTAACATCCCCAATATATATTGCAAATAAAGTTCAAAAACTGATTATTAATAATACTCCCTCCGGCCAAAATATTTTGGGCTTATTACCGTAAATGAAGAAAGAAATTTAAGTAAAGTATAATTACTATATAATTAAGAAGTGTATTAGTAAAAATAATTATAAATTAAAATTAAAATAAATAAATAGTTTAATTAAAATTAAGAAAATTATAAAATTTAAAATATGATTAAAATGCATAATAATATTTTCAAAAATAGAAATAACAAGTTATGTGAGACGAATAAATTATATGAGACGAAAGAAGTAGTATACTAGTTGTACTACATATAATATATAATAGTGTAATAAATAAACATTATACTCTTGAAAGTATTTATAGGGTTTGTTTCTACAACAAAAAAATTTAAAATATAATTTTTTAAACTCTTGAAAGTATTTATAGGGTTGTCTCTACAACAAAAAAAAATTTAAAATATAATTTAAAAAAAATTAAAATATTACACGTATTAATTATTTTTATGTTATCTAAACAATTTTTTTATATTTCGTATAAAAAATATTAAATCAAAATACAAAACAAAGCACAGTATATATACTATGGGTGTGTCTCTCTGGGGGTTTTGATTTTGAATTGAGATTTAAATAGTAAAAATTTTGAATTTTAATAATTATATGATGTCTATAAATATGTGTTGATGTAATGTTTTAAATATAAAATTAATTTTAAATATAATTTAAAAAATTAAAAATAAGTATTTAATTTAATATTTTTTAAAAAAATTAATGAACAATAAAAATTGACAAAAATCCCCGAGACAAACACACTTAGTGTTTGTTTGGGGATTTGGATTTTTTTAATTGGGATTTGAATAGTAAAAATTTTGAATTTGAATAGTTGTATGATGTAATATAAACAAGTGTTGATATGATGTTTTGAATGTAAAATTGATTTTTAGTATAATATAAAAAATGAAAAAAAGTATTTGATTTGATATTTTTGGAAAAAAAAATAGAATTAATAGTATAAATCTAATCCAATTCCCCATACAAACACACCGTAATATAAAAAAAGTATCTAAACTCAACTCAAGTAAATTAAGTATGTTTCTTTGATAAGTTTGAAAAAATTTTAATTTGAATTTTATATTAAAATAATGTATTATAAGATTTTCTATAAGAAAGAAAATATATATATATTTTTAAAAACACAAAGTAAAAATAGTAAAAACTTGGGTTTAGCGACTAACGAAACAAACCCTAAACCTTTATGCGGTGTGTTTTAGCCTTTAGGAGATTTTGACTATTTAACTAAATCTTCTTACAATAAAAGAAATTAATTAATTATTATTTATTATTGAATTATATTAAAATTTAAATTAATATTTAGATTATTATAAAAATATATATTTTTATCACATTAAGTAAATATTAAAATTCAAAAATTCACCATTTATAATTCATAACCCAAATAAACAATTCCTTTGTGTGTGTTCATTTCAAATTTAAATTTGGTTTTGAGGATTGATTGAAATATTCCTTTCATCCATTAAAAATTTAAAATTAAAATATTTGAATCCGACACGATAATTAAGAAAAATGAATATTTTATTGAAAATGTGATAGATAGTTAGGGGGATTTTTAGAAATTTAGTTAAAAAGTAAAGTAAATGAAGATAAAAAATGTAATAAAGTTAGTAGTTATTATTGTAAATAAGTATTGAATGAAATGTAATAATTAAATGTTGATCGGTTGATTTTGCCAAAATAAATAATTAAATAAATTTAATGAACAGACTAAAAAAATTGAGAATAAATTTGGCGGATAGTAAATAATTTAAGCTCTAATAAATTTTTATGTAACATTTATTTGATTTGACCTTATTTTTTTTTTTAAAAAATAATAATAATAATATTTAAATCGTAGGAAATCTGAAATCAAATTCTGGCCTACATGTAACATATTAGATTTTTAGATATGTTTCTTGGAACATGAACACAAGTTGAGAGTGTGAGCACCTTTCTTTATCACTTAGTCAACATATGTATCTATATGTATTAGTCTGTTTGACATCAAGAACTTTGAAATAGTTCCCTATACAGAAATAAATAAATAAATAAATAAGAATCATGTTGGGTTCATTACTTATAACTTATGAGAGCTTCGGGGATTTTTCTTAAAACATAAAATATTAATACTTTGTTCATCAAAATTTATGTATATTTGATCGAATATAAATTTTAAAAATAATAAAAATATAATATTTTCTTTCATAATAAAAAAGAAAATTTAAAAAAAAAAAGTGATATATCTTTACTATAAAAACATAGTTAAATATTTGTATCACAAAAAAAATAAAATACATAAATTTGAGAAAAAAAGTAAATACTTACTTTGATATAATTTTTTTCAAAATTTATATAGATTAATAGGATCTACGTATTAATAATATCATAATTAATAAAATATAGAGTAAATAAGAAAGAGGAGAAAATAATTGGGGCAAATGATACTAATAAATAAATAAATATATATGCTAAAAATATGAGAGTGGATAGTGTTGGTCAACGCAACGGTATAGGTAAAAAGAAAAAAAGAAAAAAAAGTAGAGGATAGGGGTTAGGGAACAACAATGGGGTTTTTATCCAATGCGCCTCGGTGTAGTCGCCACCCTCCCTAACGGTGGGTCCCGCCCCGCTGCCCCAGCTTCAAGTGATTGTACTGTTGCTCACGTGGCAACATCACGTGACGTAGAGATGTAGGATTAGGTACAATGTATGTATGTATGCGCTCCATCTTCCTCGCTTCGTGACTTGTGACTAGTGAGGGATAGCCGTCCGATATTTTCACAAAATTTCCCACCTATTATATATATATAAAAAAAATTATATATATTTTTCCGCTAGCGGATAATGATGGGCATATTTTATAATATCTTCAATTTTTAAAATATAGTTTCTTTTTAATGTGTGTTTGAATCAATTAGTGGGACCTTTTAGATATTTATTTTGCATTGGACAGTCTGACTCACCTATACCTATATATGCTTATTAATCCCCTCTAAATTGATGTTTAGGGTGAAATTATACATCAATTTCTTATAGGTTGCTTTTATTTTTCTGTTATACAGTTACAATTATTTTTTATTTTTTAAAAAACTGTATTTAAAATGTCATATTCAATTTGCCATTTTCTAAAATTAAATTAATTTTAAATTCCAAAAAGCAAATCAAATGAGGTTTGAATATAATACACTCTAAAATCTAAATCAGAATAATATAAACCTAAAAAATTCCAAGGCCAGCTATTCAGGGGTGTGGGTTAGAGTAATTGCAATGGGTACAGATGGCAATGGACCCGCGGGTCCAAAATGGACTCAAGTTATATCCAATGGATCTGAAATATTTTTGTATTTTTTTTATAAATTTAACTCAGTGCTGGATTCAAACTCGGACTCAGTTTTATATATTTTATTATAAAAAAATTAAATCCTATATTAATTAAACTAAAAAAAATATTATTTAATACAATTAATTATCTTTTAAAAATAATATTAATATATCATTAATATATATTGATCGGGTTGAATTTTTTTATTTATTTTTTTTAAAAACTAAAAAATATTTTAATACTCTTTTTTGTCCAACTACAACGTATACATATTTCTATTTTGTGACGTCTAATTACAAAGTAACCATTTCATTGAATACTCTGTGTTTTTTTTTTTTTTTTTCACAAATACCCTTATTTTACATTACATCAATACTTTTATACCAAAAAGTAAAGGCAAAAATATTATTACACTACTTTTACCTACCAACTATAATTAAAATATTATTATTTCTTAAACTCCGCGCTAAAAGTAAATGTATACTTCTTTCTTGGAGGGAGTATGTCATTGTATGATAGAAAAAAAAACATTTGAAATCAAAATCAAGCCACAAGAAGTATGAAAAGATATTTAATTTGATAAATATATTTTTACGAAAAAAAATATTATTAATAAATACTCCCTCAGTCCACTTATAATGTTTATATTTACTTTTGACGCATTTAAGAAATAAAAGACGTTTAAGAAATAATAGTATTTTAATTATAGTGAGAAGTTAAAAGTAGTATAATGACATTTTTGCCTTTACCTTTTTGTGTAAAGTAATGATATGATGTAAAGTAAAAATATTTGTAAAAGAATAAAGTATTTTATGAAATGTTAATTTTGTATATATTAAAATTTCCAAAAATGTATATATAGAAAATTTTCTATAATTGTAATTGAGTTTTGCCGATGTACGTAGGCCCAATTCATACGATCCACACGCATGGGCCCAATAAGTACCAACCGACCTAGGGTTTCTAGTCTCTCCTCACTATAAATAAAGACCACAGCGCCATTCATCGCCAGACCGCCTGTGGTATTCGTTCTTGGTACAGTTTCTTTTTTAGTTTGATTGCTTAACTTTTGCTGCTGCGTTCTGTTCTTTTCTTTTTTTGATTTGGAAGGTCTTGTTTGATTTCGATTTTGAATGGTGCGTTTGGTTATTGGTTTTTGTAAGTTCGTTTCTCTGATGATGAGTTATTTGAATGACCTTTTATCTCCTGAGAAGAATTTCTGTGCTGAATCTTTATTGGAGACCTGAACTGAAGAGAGAATTATTGTGAATTTTGGTTTGTGAATTGTTGTTTGTGCTTTTTGAATCTGGTTTGACATTTGATTCACTGTTATTTGGCCACTGAGGATGATCGTCAATTTAAAATAACTTTCGTTCTTCTGATAAATATTCCATGCGGAAGATCTACGGAGAACTGAAGTGGCCAAAAATTGGATGTTGTTTTATTTTTATGTGTTCTCTGTTTGTATTATGTGGTGATTTTTTAATGTTGGTAATTGCAAATCGAACTAACAATACGTTCGTTCTGCTGATGTGCTTCTTTCTGAAATCATATGTTTTGGATGCCGACCTTGGCAGTATTCAACAATGATAGCTTTGAATATACTTGATTCATTTTCGTTCAACATTAGTTATAAAATTGGGCAGCTAGGGGTTAATGTTTCTATTCTCTGTGATGATGAATCAAAGATGACGAGTCTGATCATTATCCATTCTATTAAATATTGATGACAATTCGAGGCATTTGTCTGAGAGGAGCAAATACATAACCCCTTTCTATACCATTGGTGTTGCTGCATTTTCTTGCACTTTTGCTTTTCATTATTGAGAGAATCGTACGATCTGAGTAGTAGAATTGAATGTTTCAAAATTCCTGTTTAAGTGGTTTCAGAATACATAACACCAGTTTTATAAATGTCGATCGTTACTTAGAACTCTCTTCAATGAAAGTTGTGCTTTATATAATGTCTTATGATGGATGACAATTTATTTCACCAAAAATTTATTGGCTTTCCAAATTTGCTAAATCGAATAAATTTAGATCTATTTATGTTTTGTTTCGTCTCTTTAATTTGGTTCTTAAGAAATGTTTTATGGACTCTGATGATGAAAGGATTTTGCACTTTCGCCTTTACTGAGTTTTGGTGTGCTGAAAAAACAAGTTGGAGACCTGAGCTGAGGAGTTCTAGTCACTCTTTTATTTGTAATTTTTATATGCTGCTTTTTTTTTGTTGCAAATGTTTGCTTGTTTTCTGCCTTGTTGAATGCTGTTTTCATTGTATTCATTTGTAGAGATGTAGAGGAGGAAAATTGCAGAATAACAGGATAAGAAATGGTTGGGTTAAATTTGTGTAAATTTGTAAATGCATTGAACAATAAGGCCATGATTTTGCTTCCTTTTTTTTTTTTTTTTTTTTTTTTAAAAAAAAAATTTTGAAAAAATTATTTTTAATTATAAAAATAAAAAGCCCTTTAAAATAATAATAAAAATTAAATATTTAATAAATAATAGTGAAAAAAAGAGTTTGTTTTATTTTTTTATTAGATTTTGAAATAGTGAATCTAATAGTCAATCTGGCGAGAAAATTGGATAGTTTTTATCTTATTAGTTGATTAAATGTTAATTTATTTAATTAACGGTATAGCAACATCTAAATTATGGAAATTGTTAACGTAATGGGTTAATACAAAAGGGTTTGTGTACATATTATTTTAAATAGAATATTTAACTTTTTGTAATAATTATTAAAAATTTTTTTAAAACTTTTTGAATTTTTATAAAAAAGTATTTTTAAAATTAAAAATGAAAATTTGTGAAGAAGCTAGTGGCTATTTTGATATATAGTTTGGTGCATTTTGGTTTATATTCATATTTTATATTTAGACACCCACTAAATGTAAATATTTTAATGAAAAAATCAAATGTGTTTATAAAAAGAAAGAGTTACATATTAATTTTAATTTAAAGAGATAATTTGGTTTTGTTACCATAATATTCCCACTGTTATTTTTCTTAATAATTTATTTATTTTTTATTTTAGTAATTGTTTTATCTAAATAATATTACAAATATTGTTTTAATTTAGAAATATAATTAGTTTAGTTTTTTTTTTAAAAGATTTTATTGAATTTTGTAATAAGTTAAAAAATAATATTATTATTTATTGGTTAATGAAACTATTAAAAGTATATTTGTAATTTAAATAAAATATATGATAAATTGGTATTAATAATATATAATGATTTTATATGATAAAAAATACTTTGAATTAAAATAAATATATATATTTTATCTTTTCAATGAAAGGAAAAAATTCCTAAACCCTGAAAGAACAATTTTTTTGTCTTTTATGTTTGTTAATTAATAAATAATTAAAACCCTAAAATGAAAAAAAACATTATATACCATTGGGGCTCTTTTCTTATAATCGTTTATATCATTTAAATTTATATTCATTTTTTTTTTTTTTTATAGTATTTTGGTTTCACTTAATTTATCTCATCGTTCTATTTTCGTTTATTTCATTTAATTTGTCATTTTTTTTGAAATATAATTATATATTTTAATAATATTTTAAACTTCATAATTTATATATTTTTATTATTACTTGTTAGTAATTACACAATACTTAAAATTTTGTGTCTAAGTTAAATATGACAATTTAGTCGAGAGGAGTATAACATTATAATGTGTTTTACTCCTATATTTGGTCCGACAGGAGATTAAAAAAATTGAATATTTTATTGGTATTTTTGGAAAATAAGTTAAAGAGGAGAGAGAATGAATAAAGACAATAATATTTGTTGTAAATAAGTGTTGAATATAGAATAATAGTTAAAAGTTGGTTTTTGTTGAGTTTGCCAAAATTAGTAATGTATTAAATTTAACGCACAGATTAAAAAAAAATGAGAATAAATTTGGACGGACGAAAAAATTATATTTTAACTATAAAAATAATAATTAATTAGTTTTATTAAAATTTGTATTTACATATTTGAAATGCATTTCAAAGAGGAATGCAAGTAATAATTATTACGGACAATCTTGATAAATAGTGCTTGTTAATTATACATTAAAATTATATTAATATTATATATATATAATATTTGTAAAATATTTAAAATATTCCTAGTTAGAGCATGACATATTTTTAATTTTATTTTAAATTTTATAGCAACTTCGATCATCTTCCAATTTTTAAGCCAAAGAAATATAAAAATAAAGAACGTATAATAGGGTTAATAACCATTATTCATTTTACTATAATTTGAAATTTAAAATAAACATTATTAAAGGTAGTTTTAAAATAATTAAAATTTCACCATTATAACTATATATAAATGGGAAAGCATAATACTCCTTTCCACCGTTCCGGTTATAGTGTTTTAATTTGTAAATACAAGAATTATGAGAAGTATAGATAAAGAATAATAAAAAAATATGTTGATAAAAATAATTATTTTATAATATAAATAATTAATTAATTAAATTAAATTTTAAAAATTATAAATTAAAAATTTTAAAGTAAAACATTTAAGAATGTAATGTTTTTATTTAGTAAAAAATCTTCTGCGCTTTTTTTTTCGTTAAATTTATTTTTATTTATCTAACTATTAATTTTGTGAAAGACAATAAATCACTATTTAATTATTACTTTTATTTAATAAAGGCTTCTTTTCATTGACATTAATTTTTAATTAATTTTTCAAAAATATCTCAATTATTTTTTTAATTTTATCATTTTTCAATAAAAATATTCTCTTTCATAATATTCGGGTAGGATCCAAGAGGATTAATTTTAAGTTGTGTTTGGTATAAAGAAATGGGGCCAGCTAAATGGAAAATGCTTCATTTATGTTGTTTGTTTGAGAAAAATAAATCATTTTCATTTTTCTGTTTACGTTTCTCTTCCATATCGAGAAAAATTGATAGAAATGATGTCGTAGTATATATATATTTTTATCCTTTTTGTACTATTTAATTTTTATTATTTTTTTAAAATTATATTATTTTAATTTAAAAAAATCAAATTTGATTTATTGTTAAAGTATTTATTTTTACGATCTTTTAAGAAATTGTATTAAATATAATCTTAAAAAACATCGTATATAATTTATAATTTTTTTTGAAGAAAAAACCACCAAAAATATTTTTCATGAATTTTCATTCGTTAATTTTATTTTATTTTTTAATTATGTTAATCATTTATTTTTGTTTGATTTATTCATATAGGTGCCTTTTATTTTTATATTTCTCAATTGAATTATCTGTTTGACCAAACACGAGAATTGATCGCATTCCCTATTCAATTTTATTATATACTCTCATTTATCTGCAGTTCAATTCTCTACTCGCAATTTTATTTTTTTCTATGTAGCAAATGCCCTCTTAATAGATTGAGAAAATAATATATTACACACATTCAATTTTTTTTTTTATTTATATTATTTACAAAATTTTCTATAACTTATATAAAAAATAATACTCCAAAGCATTTTACAAAATAGACACGCCCTAATCTTAGAAAAATGATTTTTGATGTAAGACGAATAAAAATAATAATATGTACACAATAAGTACCGATAAAGTAATAAGTTAATGTAATCTTCTTTTAAGAAAGGAAAATGACTTTTGGTGTAAGACCAATGAACATAATAATATGTGCACAATAAGTACTGATAAAGTAGTAAGTTAGCGTGTCTTTGGAGGTTTGGATTTTGAGTTGAGATTTGAATAAAAAAAATTTTAAATTTGAATAATTATATGATGTGAAATAAATAAGTGTTGATGTAATATTTTGAATGTAAAATTAATTTTTAGTATAATATAAAAAATAAAAAATAGATATTTGATTTGATGTTTTGAAGGGTGGAATGAGATGAATAATGGATTGAAAATCCAATTCCCCGAACAAACACACCCTTAATAAATACTAGTTGGTTTATGTTAAGTTTTAAGTTTATAAAAAATCTTCAATTTTAATTTTGTGATTTTATTTAAAATTTTTAAAATTGGGCACATTATATATATAAAAATATATTTACGTGAGTGCGTACGTGCGGGCGAATGGAAGTTATAAGAAGAAACTCCTCCGCAGTCTAACCACCGCCAAACTCCACCGTCTCTGTCTTCCTGATAATTCCAATCTTCAATTTTGTCTTCATCATCTCTGTGATTCAATATATAGATTCGATTGTTGTTCACAGAGTCAAAGAAGAAGGAGAAAAGTGAATTTGAAGGCGTTAGGTATATATATATAGATAATAGATCTCACACACATAGGGCGGTTACCGGAAATGCCAGGAGAATCGAACACAGTTCTACTGGAGAAGCACGACGAGGAACACTTTACCGCCAGAGAAGTGGTGCGTGACATCATCATTGGCGTTTCCGATGGCCTCACGGTGCCGTTCGCTCTGGCGGCGGGCCTTTCCGGTGCCAACGCGCCTTCCTCTGTAGTTCTCACCGCCGGTCTCGCTGAGGTTGCTGCCGGCGCCATATCCATGGGCCTCGGAGGGTATTTTCTTCACTTTCTCAGTTTTCTAGTTGAAATCTGTATACAAATTAGAACATACACACACAGGTATATATGCTGTAGATTACTTCGCATCAGGCGCGAAATCCTGTCGTCAATCTCGTGATCTTATCTGTGGTGTGCTGTGCTCTTTGTTGATTTAACTTTGAATTTGTATGTAACGCAACACACACACACAATCCCCAACAATTGTACGTTCGTGTGCCTATGCATAAAATAGTGCTTTCTGTATGTTCAATTCTATATATATCTGTCGGACATTACCAAATCTGTGCGTTGTGCAGTTATCTGGCGGCAAAAAGTGAGGCAGATCATTACGCGAGAGAGCTAAAAAGGGAGCAGGATGAGATCATCGCCGTGCCTGACACAGGTTCCACCGAAAATTTCCCCTAATTTCCAAGTTTAGCAAAACTTCACATCATTGATCATACTATCTAGAGAGAGATAATTTAATCGATTTTGTAAATAAATCGGCTGTAGAAGCGGCAGAAATAGCGGAAATACTCTCCGAATACGGGATTCAGCCACATGAATACACTCCCGTGGTGAATGCTCTGCGGAAGAATCCTCAGGCATGGCTTGATTTCATGATGAAGTAAGTTCATCGTTGAATCTCAAATTGAGTTAATTGAGAGAACGAATTAGAAGACATAAAACAAATCTGCTGCTGTGTTCATCCATTGTAATCTGTAACTGGCAGGTTTGAATTGGGATTGGAGAAGCCAGATCCGAAAAGAGCACTTCAGAGTGCGTTCACCATTGCCCTTGCGTACATCATGGGTGGACTGGTCCCCCTCCTCCCCTACATGTTCATCCCCAAGGCTGAAACAGCTGCAATGGCCTCTGTCGTCATAACTCTCCTTGCACTGCTCATCTTCGGCTATGGCAAGGGCCACTACACCGGCAACAAGCCCTTCAGCAGCGCTCTCCAGACTGCTTTCATCGGAGCCATTGCTTCTGCCGCTGCTTTCGGCATAGCCAAGCTTGTCAAGCCATAATCAACCATCTGCAGCACACAGAAGGTAGGTTATAACTAATAATGTCTTTTCCATTCCATGGGATTATTAGTCTCAAAAATAAACTCTATCCCTACATACATAGTGTGTAATATATACACAATATATGTATGGGATAGTGGAATAGGATTCTGTTTGGATCCTATTCGCTTTTCTATGCACTTTTTTTTTTTTTTTTTTTTTTTCATGAGACAAATTTTTACTTCTTTATTTTTCGAATTTTTTGAATTATTGTTATTATTACTATTATTATTATGCCAATTACTGAATTAGTGTTATTATTATTATTATTATTTTTTAATTTAACACAATAGTACAATATTGCATTGCACTACACTAAATGATATATAAGTGATTTTAAGTTTTTGAAAACATTTGTCGTATGTCTCTGTTACATGGAATCCGATCAAAATATGTGATTTTAAGTCTTTGAAAGTATTTGTTGTATGTTTGTTTTATATATATTGATGGAATCCGATCACGATATGTGATTTTAAGTTTTTGGAAGTATTTGTTGTTTGTCTATTTTACATATATTGATAGAATCCGATCAGAATATGTGATTTAAAATTTTGAAAATATTTATTGCTTATCTGTTTTACATATTGATGGAATCCGATCAGGATACGTGATTTTAAGTCTTCGGAAGCATTTGTTGTCGCTTTGTTTTAGATATATTGATCGGATCCAATCAAGATAGTAACTGTCACATGAATTATATGTTGAAATTAATTTTGAGAACATACTTTTTGTATTATATTATTGATTAAACAATTTAATTGTGCAAATTAAGGTATAAAAAAAAATTCAACACATGAATTTAAACTTGAAATCAAGAGAGTCAACCAATAATAATAAATCAATTACAATCATTAATCCAGCCAACATGTATGGAAACTGCATTTGTATGATGTCGAGTCCAACGCTACTATTCACTTACTGCACCAATATAATAATGTCTACTTACGTATTTATTCAGTAATTACTTTACATTTATCACGTTATTAATTGATACTTACCTAAAAAATTTTGGTAGAAAATAAATGTTTGGAAATACTCAATTTTTTATTATTATTTATTTATCTCATTCAAAATAATATATACACAAATTATAAATATATTATTACATATACAGTTAATTTATATATATTTAAACAACTTTTAAAAAAAAAAAACCTAAATTTTGTTTTTAAAATAACATTTACTTCAATTTTGATTGGTGTCTCCCCACGAGCAAGAAAATAATTCAACTTTCTTACGTTCACTTTTCCACGTGGATTATGAGCAGTTAAAAAGGGTGTTTATTAAAATTATTCATATTATGAATTATTAATTTTATAAACAAAAATAGACACTTTGATAATATTATTACGCATTCTTTTATAAAAATATATGATTCTTATTATAAATTAGCTGTGAAACATTTTATTAATCATAATTAAATTCTCTTATTTATTTCTATTTAATGCAAAATGAATATCTTTATAATAATTCTATTTCCAGCCCAGTTCTTTCCTTTTTCAAAATAATTTAAGAAGGCAGCCTAGTCAATCCATGCAACAGATCAATTTTTCCAGAAGTCGTCATTGTCACTTTAAAATCGTAATTTGGAGTTGAGCGAGCACGCCATGCATTCGAACTGCATGAACTAATTCATACAGTAACTGTAGAGAGTTCTCGGTTGGTTCCCTCGCGTTAAAACCTTATGCATATGTCCTATGTGTGTATATATACATACATATAAATAAATATTTATGTATATAGATATAGATATAGTTTCGGCTGTGAATTTACAAAACAAATCGAAACCAGCGTTGCATCTTTCCCTCCGACGCAAGGGCATTTTGGTAACTTCGCATAAACTCCTCTCCACAAGAACTCAAAGCGCCACTGGCTTCTTGATTGGGAATCAAACTTAGAAACTAACATCAATCAAGAAGCCGTGGAGGATTCGTGATTCCCTTGCAGGTTTATCCAACAATGGCTTCCATAGTATTTAACAAGAACAACAAGAGGAAAAACAGGATCAATTCAGAAAATCTCTTCGAGTTCAAGAACTTCGCTGCTCCAGGCTCCGTCGACAATCCCCTGCCCGGGGCGTTCAGGGATAACATCCGTGTTTTCCTTCAGAATTCGTCGGAAATTGAGGATTACACCGTGAACGGTATGCTGGTTTGGTGTACTCCCTGCGTCGCTGGAGATAATGGCGTTTTCCCGCTCTATACTATTGAGGAAACGGTTCAGAATTCCGCCGGACAACCTTTCTGCAGCCATTGTGAATCTGCAGGTGATCTAATCTGTTTAATTGCATTCGCGATACTCTTTACTCTCTGGAAACATTTTTTCTTTGGATTCAATTTGCTATTCATTTAATCCTTTGTTTTCTTTTTTCTGTAAAGTCACAATTGGCTAATGTTTTGCCCTCATTTAATCATCGGTTTGGATGTGTTCATTTTCTTCAATTCCTTACACGTTTTTTTGATGAAATTGTGCCTGTTCTCTTGTTACTGAAGTGGTATATAGTTTCTTTCGTTCCTGCTTTCATTGGATCGTTTTGTAATGTTTGTAGGTTGGGGTCACCATTTTGTTTGCAAGAGGAAGTACCATTTTATAATTCCTGCGAAAGAACATTGGGAGGAGCAATTAGATTGGGATCTTGAAGAAATTCGGTATCATAATCTGTATGGTTTGATTCATTGCAATGGATATGGACATCTCATCTGTGTCAATGGCTTAAAGAACAACTCAAGATTCTTTTCAGCAGACGACAGTATGCGCTGTTGGGACTATCTTTGCACTGTTCTTAAAGCCAGGTTCATATGATTATACTTGGAAAGTTTCATTGTTGATAAAAAGATGTTCTCTATGTATTCATTCGTGTTCATACTATCCTTGGAAGGTAACTTTGCCAGTAATGTAAGGTTTTGTATGTTCATATTGTGGTTTTTAACATTTGCAGGAGTATTTCAGCGTGTCATGCTACGAAAAGAGAAGCCATAGAACTGAGTTTGTTCCATGGTATAGCGCAGGGGACGCCGTGGTTTGGAAAATGGGGTTATAAGTGTGTTGGTGGTAAATGCTCTGAAGTTAAAGAAGGGAAGTACGATGCAGCACTCGAATTTCTGAGCTCGTTGAGTCTTGAAAAATTAGTTAGGGATTTCAAGAACACAAGAAATATGAAGAGGATCATAGATTTAATAGAGACTTGTAGGAAGTTCAGTGGAAAACCACTGGTCACTCTTAGTGATTTATTAAAATATATGCTTGCTACTGAATCAAGAACGCCGAGTAGGGATGCTTCTATTTTTACAAAGACTAACTCGGAAACTAAGGAAATTCCTATGAGATTCGAGACATTTCTAGGTGTAATGATGAGGGATTGTAGGTGGTCTGCTAAGCGGCTGGAGGATGTGCTCTTTGTGATTGTTGATCTGTTGAAGCAGCAGAAGGAAGATTACGGTGAAATGGGGCGTGGCATGTCTAGGCAAGAACTGAGAGACGAGGCAAGAAAATCAATTGGAGATACTGGTTTGATTGATTTTGTGCTCAAGTCAATCAGATGTTTTGCAGTGGGGAATCAAGTCATTACCCGCGCTGTAAATCCCTCATCTAGACTAACCGAGTTCAACATTTATGAATACTCGCCAGAGACCGGCGCGCATTTAGGCTTAAGCTTGTCTGAGGATCTAATGTTCCTTTATGAGAATGTGCTCGAATTGTATCCTGACACACATGTTGTCACGAATAGCACATTCGTGAAAGATTGGCCTATTCAAAGAGGGATCATTAACTACTCCATGGAGTTGCTTTGCAAAGTTCTGCCTACATTCGATGAGTTGGAGACAGAGCTGAACCGGCGCCTGCCCCCCGGTGAGATAGTGGTCGCCAATCCACAAATGACTATTAGCCATCTTAAAATGGCGGCGCAATGGGCTCTGAGGGATACTTACTGCATCATGCATGACTTTATGGCCACCCAAATTGGAGGGCTAAGGAAAATCGAAGATGAAGAGGTGTTGAACACTATATTCGAGCCTGGCTCTCTGGTTTGGGTTAGAGGGACAGGATTGGATTTGAATACACATTTGAGGTATGAAGACAGGGGCAAGAAAACAAGCCCCTGGTGACATACTTCACTGATAGGATCATCTGCTACAAAATTTTCTTCGAAATCTTGGAAATGTTTAGGAGGATTTTGTAGCCTGTATATGCAAATCTGCTGGATTTCATAGCTCATTGCAGGATAAGTGAAGGAAGAAGGAGAAGAAAGCAATCGGCGCAACGGGGATTGTGGTATAACAGTTCTTCAATTCTCACTGGTTCTTGATCCATAAGTTCAGGCATGACTTTCATTTGAGTATTTGTGTTGATTAATTTTTTTCTTTTGCATTTGTGATGAATAACTGATTGGGGAAACTAACCATTCTTTTACCATAAATTGCTCTCCTTATCTAATAAAGTGCCTGCCATCATCAGTTTGCTCAAGTTCTTGCTTCAAGATTGTGTATGTAGTTCTTGATTTCTTGTTTTTCCCTGCTCTTATTTTAGATATTAAACCAAGGACGGTTAGATATATGCAGGGAAAGTCAATAATGATTTCTGCCTTATGGATTTAACTGTTATCTCTTAGATAATAAAGAAAGGATTTGAGTTTTCATCTTTAATTTGATAAAGAGGAATTGTTCAAACACATTCAATAATTACTCTTACTCTCGAGATGAATACGAGCATTGTGATCCGAGGCTTTATGTTAAAATCATATACTCCCTCCCTCCAATTGAAAGGGTCGCATTTGTATTTAAATAATATATTGTAAATTAAAAAAATATTCTATTGAGATAAACAGTATATAATTCATACATAGAAAATCTTATTTAATATTCGATTGCAAGGCCCAAGGCCCATATCTGATTGATATATATATATATATTATTAAGTATAGGCCAAGCACAAACTAAAGCAATTGAGTTAAAACCCAATCCAATTTTGTTGATTGATTATGTTCTCTTGACTACAACTCACTCCTTTCTATATACAATATTTTTTCTATTTTGTCAATGCCACACAATTTCTTATTTATTTTTTAAAATACAATTATATATTTTAATAACATCTTAAAATTGATTATTTATATATTTTTTAATTAGTTAAACTATATAGTTATTTTTATTTTAATATATAATTATTTTATTAATTTATTTTATTAATTATTTATTAATTACATTTTACTTAAATATTATCGTGGACACTTTTAATGGAGAGAGTATTTAATATCAACTTCATATTGTATGATTATTATATATTGATATAAATATAAATATATGGGCTAATGTTCTATTAAATATGATAAATTATGTTTATTGCAGATGTTCTTTCCTCATTTTTCTTCATTTTTTTATGTCGTCCTCATTCTTATTATACTTTTACATGTTGTTTATTTTGTTAGATTTATTTTGATTTTTTTTAATGACGTGGAAATCCACAATTTGGCTAAACTCCGGCTAAGCCTGTAAATCAGGTTAGATTTTGTTAGATTTTTTTTCTTTATATATATAAAATATAACATTATTCCTTGTAATTAAATCTTAAATATTCATAAAATTTAAAATATGTATATACCACTAATTATTATTATTATAATTATTAATTTAATTTTGTACCCAATGTTTGAAAAAGAGCATGGCGGCGCCTCCGAAAGCAACGGCCGAGATTAGCGGAACACGCATAAATCTGACGGCGAATAACGCCATGATTGGGTGGGACTCTGGTAATCGAACGGCTACAGTGGCTTGCTGTTCCCGCCAACAGTAAGTCCGTAATCATTGTGTGAACATATAAGTACCTTTTTATTTATTTTGTGCAGTAATAATATTTTCAAAGATGATTTTGTTTCTTAATATAAATTCTTTCTGTTAAATTATTTTTGGCATTTCCTTTTTGTTCTTCTGATACATTAAATATCTCCTTGGCAATCGCTCAGTCCATTGAACTTCCTCTATCAATTTTCGAATCCATGCGTTTTATTTTTTTCTCTTTGATTCGTTACTTTTTCTGAAAATTTTGGTGTTCTTTTCCTTCAATCTAATCGGTGATTTCAACTTTGATCGGAGGAGCCTGTACTGTAGAATTGCAGAAGATGGTGAGTGTTCACAGTTGTGTGATTTTTGTGGCAGTTTTGCTTCAAAATTTGATTAGATAGGAATCAGTGATTGTGTTTGATTTTGTATGCTTTAATGAAGTTGGAAGCAACTAATTATGTGCATACTTGTTCTGTGAATAGGTTGGATGCAAAATTCGGTTGAGGATGAAGGAAAATTCGCTGGAGTGGGTGAGCGGTTTACTGGAGAGCAAATTCTTCGATTCTTGTGTGGATCATGAAGAGTTGAGGAAGAACGAGAAGAATTTGTTTTGTATGGATTGCAATCTGTGTTTCTGTAAGCATTGCATCAATTCTTCGTCTCACAACTGCGTTCACCGCCTCCTTCAGATCTGTAAATACGTATACCATGATGTCGTTCGTCTCCACGATATTCAAAAGCATCTCGATTGCTCCTTCATTCAGGTCAATAATTATAAATTGGCTTTTCATTTTTTTCGTAATTTTATTTATCTATAGAAAACGCATAGTTGTGAAGCAAATTATGTGAAGTGCCAACGAATTTGGATATGCATTGTTGGATTCCTTTTAGATTATATTACTGTATCTTGTTGTTTTGCTACTAGAAACAGCAATCTAAATTTTTAGTCCTTTTGGGTGAGTTTTTTCAGACTAGAATTCTATTCTACTTTGAAATGGAATTTCCTTTTTTCAACTATCTTCTCATCTTTTTAATTTTTATGATATTGTAAGTATGATTTGAATTGTTCTCCTGAATCTTTGATTGAAGTATCGAACAAAATCTTTTAGGGGTCCTTGAAAATATGCTTGTCAAGTAATTGTGTTCATTTAATGGAATGGACAAATTCAATTTGGCATCTTTCCATTAATTGAACTTTAAAGCTGAATCATATCAGGCCATTATTGTTCATCATCATCACTTTGTCTAAAGCAATCCACAATTTCAAAGGAAGAGCTTTTCAGGACAAATTAGTCTGACTTTAACTTTGACAATTACATTATAACGATTATATTGAAGTCTTTGTTGAGTGAAAGATTTGATTGAACAGTATGATTCTGTTAGAGCATCGAATAAAATCTTTAGAATATACCACATTTTAGAAATAACCTTACATATAATTATAGAATAATCTAGACTAATTATATCTGAATTTTCCAGCCTAAGTGGATCAATGAATGTTTGCAGACCTACAAAATAAATGGGGAAAAGGCTGTCCATTTGAATCCAAGGCCTCAGCTAAAAGAAGTTAAAAATTCAAAGGCAAGGTGTGTTGGCACTTGCTGTGAAGCTTGTGGAAGACACATTCAAGATTTGCCGAATCGCTTTTGTTCCATCGCCTGCAAGGTCCGAAGCCAATTCATAATATTCCTTAAATACAAAGTTATTCATATGTCTCCAAACCCTTTGATTTGCAGGTTTCATCAGATACGATCCCGGAATCATCTATGTTCATTAAATCTGAAGAAAACTCCTGCGAAAACAGGTACGGTTCCTCGTCCCTCTCCCTATCGGAATCTGCCTCATCTGAAGTAATTCAGGCATGGGTGAATTCTGCATTAAGGCCTAAGAAGATATTGCACAAGAGAAAGAGTTTACCTAAAAGATCACCCATGTCTTAAAAAGAACAAATGATTTCATTTATTTATTAATCTCATTGTCTATTGATATATATCACACATATTTACATTTTGTTATAAAGAAGCTTTGGATTAATGAAAGTAGGTATATATATAGATATATTTAGTTATATATATGATCATCACAATAAGGGCCATCCATAGTATATATATCATATATATATATATATATATATATATGCTACTCATGAGTCCCTCATCCATGTAATTATTCTTCAAGATTGTGTTCTATATTTTGAATCTACTTTTGTTCTATAATATATATAATATTATACAAATCATAAATCATGAGTTATGATTCCATCCATGCATTATTATGTGCGTCCTAAAGGTAGCATTGCCCTGTAGTATGAACGTGACCCTCTTGGGCCATTCTCATACATTAGGAATAGGAATATATGTATATATATATATATATAGTTTATTATTATTATTTAAAAAAAAAAAAAAAGAGAAGTGGCTCCCATATCTTTTTTCTTTTATGGCTGGGCTGATACACAAGTGTTGGATGAATAAACTAGTAAGTGGGGGGATATCCACTCCATTTGCAGTTTTCTTAGTGATTGGTTAGAATGTCAGAGATAAAGATCTTTGTCGGTGGTTGATTTGTGGCATCCGGTTTTGTCCATTTCCACCTTAATGGAATTGTCTAATCACCCATTTCATATATATATATATACATATATCTATAAACCACACACATACACTCATGTGTGTGTGTATATATATATATATATATTGTGAATGCATGTGTTACTGGGTAAAGGGTGTTTGAATTTATGGTTTCACATCACATGGGGATTGATTGGTATGAATACAAAGCCTTTGTTTATACGCAATGGTGAAATAGAATGGTCAGAGTTGAGCAAATTATGGAGGAGAATGCAAATCTTTTTTAAAGATTTTTTGTTTTTCTCTACTCTGTCGACTCATTCTTTTTGCCTTTTAAGAAAGGTTTGCTTTTTATTATTATTATTATTATTGTCTAAGATCCTTATACACATACATATATATGTGTTTGTTTGTGTATTTCACCCGTCATGGTATGAATTTGTGGACAAAATATGAGTGAATTTGGGTTGAAAGTAACATTTAGATGATTATAATTTATAATGGATATTAGGCGGCGGATGATAATGGTCCAATAGTTTTCACTATTCGTTAGTTTATTATGTGAACAATGTTCATCCACCAACGAAGTATATATACAAATATTTTTAGAAATAAGAATAAACTATAAATAATAATTTACTCATATTTATTAAGTACACTGCAAGTTATAGTATCTCTCTTATGATCCTGTGTAATATATTATATTGATTCAAATTCGAAATTTCAATCAAACAGAATTACTGGTGCTGTAAGATCCCTAATTCAAGCATTGCTGATGCATATATATTTGTTGGGCCTATCAAGGCGGGTTCCAATGTTAATAAAAAATAAAGAAGTAATTAAATAAAATAAAACATTACCGATGGGCATGAAATAGTACCTGCATAATGGCACGTGCATCTTTAATAAAAAGAAAATGAAATATAAGAATAAAAGATAACCCAATTAAAACTCGCAGTATATAAAGCACTTCTACCACCTCAAAACAATGTTCATTCACTATATATATGCAGACAAAATTCGAAATAAGTGTCGCAATGATCATAGGGAGAAGACATAGCATTTACATAAACATATGAAAGCAACAAATCTACAAATTTACCTGACCTTACCTTAACCTCTCAGCAGCCCCCTTTTGAGTAAACCTTTCACGTTCCTTAAAATTTCACCTTCCCCAATCATATATGCCAAACCATCCAATCCAAGTTCACCTGAGGAAAGATTATATAGTATATTTTCCAGAAATAGGAGAGCAAACCCGCCTCACCGACCGACCAACCAACGGCAATCACTTTGATGGCATCTCGTATGAGATTCGATGGTTGCATCCCCGGAAAAGCGAGAGTCGATGGAACCCAGTCAGTCGGAATGGAGTTTCCTTGTTTGACACCTTTTGACGTACCAGTTGGCATGTTTCTTAAGGCCCATTCCCATCATCATCTTTAGACTAGCCAGCATCACAATCGTCATTGCAAGCAGCACCATGATCCAAAAGATCCTCCATGGAAGGGGGTGAGTTGGGAGATGTGCTGCATAAACTGGTTGCAGAACTCGGATCACCTGAGTCGAATAAGGGGGCAAAGAGGGGAAAGATCATAAGTCTAATATATTTAGTTTTTTAGAATTCTTGGAATTTCTATTTAAAGGGATTAACATGTCTGGTAAATTTGTAGAGTTTGATAGAATAAGTTCGGGTGGAGAAAAGAAGATGACCGGTGTTTACCACACAAGCTGGGGCCAGAGGGATGAACGTCAGCTTCCGTTTCCCATTCTCTGTTTGGGTGTTTAATGTCTGGAAAAGATCATCATTAGTGAAAGGAAAACTAATGTTTCTAAGATGGTATAATGAGATCCATAAAAGTAAAAAGTAACAGTGAGGAGGGAAAATGGTTGCTATGAGGATACCTGATTGCAAAGATCTTCTAGGAACTCGGAGAATGCTGTGGGCTTTATGTCATTGAATTTGGCGATGAATGAGTGTTTTATGATATCGATCATCATTTCGCATATGAAAACAGTCAGTGCATGCTGCAAGATTAACCACAAAAGTGCAAATGAAAATGATCAATATAATAAATCTCAACTATATTGATTTGAATTTAGATAGCACTGTAAATTTGTATCTCATCACTTACACTGAAAAAGCTTACAAACCAAGGACCCTCAGCTTCCAGTATATTTTGAGCTAAAACGAACACGAGAAATGCCGAAATATGAAACCGCTCGATTGAATCTGGTCACATGTCAGACAAAAAAGGAAAAAAGATCATATATATATATGACATATTTTCACAAAAGATATATTTTTCCAAGCCAAAACTCAAAAGTAATGAGAAACATTGTACATTTCTAACTTCCAAGGATTATATATTCATTTTAAAGACACCTTCTAACAGTTGGCACAGTGCACAAGCTCACCGGGAAGGGTGTTACTGATGAACCTAAGTATATAAAAATCAAGTATAAGGAGAAGATAGCAACATATCAACAGCTAGAAGTTTTCATCTATTCGGAATTATTCTATTGATCTAATTGACATAAACATAACAACTAACATGTGGTAAAAAGACCCAATTAAATCAAATAATTAAGAAATATAAGCAAATCTGACAGAATTGAAGATTATTGCTTACCCATGTGTACCAGATTATGAACGTTGTCCTTGCTATATCGTTTGAACACATTGCTTTTAATCTCAGCAAAGTTATTAGAAACAAGCATAGCAAAGAGGGCATTGTTATGAGCAACTATACATGTCGACAAAGTAATTGCCTGCGCTAATAAGATAAACGAATGAAGAAGTAGAAGTTGTTAAGGATCAACACAGATGCATGACTTGTTAGCATTAATTAACTTCTAAATATATAAATAGATTGCTTATTGAGTATAAAGAAAATAGTGTATGAAGAAGGATATTAGAAGAACCAATTGCTAGAGCTTCATCTGCAATGAATCTCCACAACCAATATTGTGTGTTTTCAGGTGAACAGTTCGCAAGCCCATCAGCAGAATGGAATAGAGCTTGCATAACATCACTGCCGAGACTTTGACACAATTTATCAAATACCTGGCATCAAATTTGAAAATGACTTTAATCTTCAATCCTCCCAGCAGTACATAGAATCACAGTGTTCCCAACAAATTTGGCAGCAAAATGATAATCAATCCATCTCATATAATAAGTCACCCTTCTAATTGCAAATACAGAAGTGAAAAGAAATGATAGTGGAGAGGTCTATAATTAGAGAGCAAGTTGCAATAAGAAAATTGAAAATATGAATACCTGTGCAAAACAATCTAATTCACTGATTGATTTATTCATGTTTTTCAACCAAATTAGACAAACTATATTTTTTCCCCTGCTTAAAAATTATCGTCGAATAAGATAAGATATACTAACTTTTCCAGGACAAGAAGGGAATGGTTGGTATCAATATTCAAATGAAACAAGCCAAAACACCTGACAAAGGCCTGAGTGCCTTTATTTTCAAATGGTTAATTCATTTAATTGGCGTCAGCTGGAATATTTTTTGATGTCTCTTTCCCTTATCAATGAATAGTGTCATCTAATCTTCATTGGTTAACACAAAAGCATGATGCAATAGGGATGTTGACAATGTGAATACCATATAAAATGGACATCCCTTATAAATAGTGCTGTCTAATAATCGAAAGTAGGACAAAAGTGCACAGAATATCGAAGCAAAAAACTAATCTGAACATATGTTCTAGTTAAGGTCTCCATAAGGACCAGACCAGAAAACATCATTTATATACCTTGAGTGAGTAGCAGAAATGTAATTAATTGAACAACTCCATACCTCCAAGACATTGTAGACCACATAAAGTTTCAAAATTCCTTGCCCACGAATCATGTGATAAATTAAACTGATATCTGAAGCAAAAAAAAAGATAATGATAAAATAAACTGACTGGCGCAAATAACTCCAACTCTAAGTGAGGAAGAAGAAATTTAATTATCAAATTGGGCCAAATATTTTACCAAACCTGCTTGCTGTAATAGAGTGACTCCACTAACCAGGATGATAAAGCAACCAAAATCAGACAGCTCTGCTGAGGAAGGGCTCTGCAGCTGCCTGCCACGAACATGGTTGAATTACTAGATCCATATATAGGATTTCAATCATAGATTAGAACACAATGATGATAATTCAATTATGGTTGATGAACACATGGAAAATCAAATACAAAGATTTGATCCACAAGTATCTTTAGTCCTACAGACAATACTCCTTGAAGCTTCATTTTACAGATTGCGACAAAAATGTGAGAGCTCATCTCCCAGTTCATACACATGCAATGAGATAATAATGCCTCCTTTTGCAAGGAGGTTCACAAAATGTTTTGCAAACTATTAAATACAGAACTCTGTTGAAAAGCATTTGGTTAGAGAGTGGTAGGACCGACCTTGTTTTGAGAAGCCTCCATAAGGCCATAATCATCCTTGACGGCATGATGGTTAAGAGTGAAAGAAATGAATCAAAGCACACAAAGGATCCAATATCAATAAGCTGCAAAAGATAGAGGAGAGCCATTTATTTCAAACAAAATAATCAAAGCAAACAAGTAATCATATATTAACAAACTTCAAAAGATCAAGCTTAAAGGATGAGCTTAATCAGCTTTGCAAGCATATGATATAGGACAAGTTGATGTATTTACCAATTCACATCGCCATGGCAAGCGGAATATAGTGTCATAAATCCGTTCTCGCTCCTTATCATTTCCAAGGATGGTAGTGCTTCTCAAGGAATTTCCAGCACTCAATTCATCAAAGAAATATTTCACTGGAGACTTCTCGACAGGTAACATGTCTAAAATTAAACCACAACAACATGAAATAAATATTGAGATGCTAGTTAACCAAATCATGACAGAAAGCAAAGAGTGTGAAATTCTCAGATAACCATCTCTAGACTATGATTTACACATCCCTTGTGATACTTATGTCTATATCCAGCAACAAAAATTCCCATCACAAATTTCACCAAAAAGATCCATGAAAACATAAAAAGACAGGAGCTGGCATAGGCAGCAAATTCCTATCGTGGTTCGACTTCCACAAAACTGATAGTACATTAAAACTGTTCCAGAAAATATCAGGTTTTCTTCTTAACACTTCCTAGCAGCTACCTTAGAACATTCTCAAAGTGATCTTAGCATCTGAAGTTGCTCTAGTTTACCGATATCAATGTTTGTCTGCTCAAATGCATAACTATACTCAAAACTATCATCTACCACAAACAACTTAACTCAATGTATCAAAAATTTCTCCATAGACTGAAAGTTAGTTCTAAAATTCACACTCAAAGCTCTCCAATAGTAGCATCAAGCACAATTCAAAAACGAATCAAAGAAACAATGAATCAAGAAGCTTAAATCACAAATTCAACTTACAGTTGGGATCTTCAGCCATCAGTTTCTTCCAATCCAAGGTTCCCTCCTTCTCCAATTTCCTTCCGTTTAACTCCAAGCCGATTTCCTTACCAGAACTCCGATTCTCCGCCATTTCTTCCTTGACCTTTTCCTCCTTTCTACTACTTCCACTCTCCTCTCTCACCGCATCCACGCTGCTACCTGCACTCATCGCATTCCCCACATTCCTCTGCCTCAACTCCCCGAACTGCGGCGGGAGAATCACCGAGCACACTGCGCCGGTGTCCACATCCGGCGCCAAGGCAGTCTCCGTAACTGTACTCGTCGTGCAACTGTAACTGACATCTCCGTTGGTCGTAACATCGCTTTTACGGATTTCAGTAACAGAAACCACAGACGAATTCCGTAGGGTTTTTGCTTTCCTGTTTCTCCTCTTCCTCTTCTTCCGAGCTGGGGATACAGCGGCGTCTTCTCCTGGGGAAGGAGGATCGGAGTTTGATCGCGACAGTAAAGCCAATACGTCGTCGCATTCGGAGCCCCCTAGGACGTCGAACGACAACTTCCCGCCGCCGGATCTCGACGCCATCGGCGGTGGTGGTGGTGGTGGTGGTGGTGGTGGCGGTGGGGTTTGGATTCCAGGGAATTACGCTACTGCCTAGACGATGTAGAAATGAGAATTACTGCATGTGACGCTGCTTGATTACCACAGCTAATTATCCACCGCCACGTGGAATGCTGACTCATCATCCCCTGCCTTCTCTCTCCATTCCCAACAATAAATGAATGATTAATTACCATATTTGAGCCCAATTTAAACCACCTAATGCGGGCCTAAATTGGACTTCTAAAGCCCAAAATTGCTATATAAAGGCCCATAAAATAGCAGATTCCTTTTATCATATTCTTCTTTTCTCCAAATTTGTTTGATTTTTCCTTAGCATTTAAATATACTATTACTAATTATTTTGATAAATACAAATTTTGTTTGTTTATTCAATCAATTTTTTTTTTTACACAATTCTCATTATATCTAATACTTATATTATATTCTCTCACAAAAATAAATCATTAAAAAAAATACTTCAAATAAAAATACTAAACAATCACCTACATTTAACTATATTTCTACTAGGGTACTGATTGGGACTAATTAGTTTATTAGCCACAATCGCCACAAAATATAACAAACATCATATGGAAATAAAACAACCAGAAAGTGTTGTATAAAATTTATTTTATGTGTTACACTAGTAAATCTTATATTATCTGTTGTATTTGTATTATTTAAAAATATTATTTGTACTAAATTTATACGCAAAATGTTATCGACATATTTTTCTAGTGATATCATATGTTATTATTGGTGGTGTTATAATCAGCATGTAACAACCTATATTCAATCATTAACTTTAATTCAATATTTATTTATTATAATGATCATTGCAACTCACGCCCATGGCCAACAACATACGCACAACTCACAACGTTATTACCAATGTTCATTCACCCAAAACAACAAAACAAATTCTTCCAACCTTAAATCCCCAAACAAACCAAAAAACATTGTGTTCATCACAATCATCCCCAAAAAAAGACGATGCAAAAAAGAATCCACCAAATCATCACATCCCTCAAAGAACACACTTCCATTTCCATTTCCATTACCTATGCCAAGATTGCCATTCTTGGAGGCCATTCCCACATCAAAATCCTACTCCTTAAAGCAACTTCCCCAGATGACATCCCATTCCATGAAAACTATCTTCATCAACTCTTGAAGATCTTCTCCATCTCCCCTTCCTCATGCCGGGCTTTCACTGTAGCCTTCGGGGCCCGTTTTAACAAGACAAGGGCATGGAGAGTGGCCCTCAAGTGTCTCCTCCTCCTCCACCGCCTCCTCAGAGCCTTACCTAATCACGGGGACATTTTCCGGGCCGAGCTTTTATGGGCCCGGGCTAACGGAGAGTTGTGTCTCTACCCATGCAACTTTAGGGACAGCTCATCTTCGGCTTCTAAGGACTACACAGCCTTCGTAAGATCCTACGCAAGGCTTCTCGACGAGGCCCTTGATTGCAGCAGCTCAGTAACTCTTTCTTTAATCAGAAACGATCATAGTTCTGTGGTTGATGAAGATAAGGTGGAACTCAAAGTGCAAGAATTGGGAAGGATGATAGAAGTCTTGCCTCAGGTACAAAGCTTGATTGACCGCGTCATCGACTGCAGGCCCGCCGGCGCAGCTGCGAGGAGCTTTCTCGTGCATTCGGCAATGAAACATGTAATCCGCGACAGTTTTTTGTGTTACACGACTTTTAGGAAGGAGATGGTTGTGCTGCTGGAGAATCTGATCCAGTTGCCTTACCGGAGCTGCGCGGCTGCCTTCGGTATATACAAGAAAGCGGCCTACCAAGCGGATCACCTCTCGGAGTTTCTCGACTGGTCGAAGACGATGGGCTACTGTGGATCATACGAATACCCTTTTGTAGACAGGATCCCCAAGATTCAGATCAGGGCTTTGGAGGCTTTCCTAAATGGGATGTGGCAGTTAACTGATGAATCGTCGAATGCTTCGCCGGAGATGCAGTCTCCGGTGAGCCTGACATGGACCCCGACGGAGAGCTTGCAGTCTCCGGCGAGCCTGACATTGACGCCAATAGACGGCGGAGAAGTCGGGAAGAAAGGCATGGAAATGGAGGCATTGATAGAGTGGGAAGGTTATGGTTGGGAAGATCTTTTGGAAGCTTCAGTAAGTGTTGAATTTGGGAATGAATCAGATCAAGTGTTTAGTGAAGGGCAAAGTTTGAATAATCCCTTTAGGACAACAAATCCATTTTATTAGCAACAATGTAGGATGATTTTGTGACAATTCATCCATCCAAGAATGTGTTGATTTTGATTAAATATTGAATTTGTGGCAATCTACAGTGTATGCAACACTCAAAAAATTTATTTTTCCAGTACACAATTTCACAACACGAAATCTAATTAAGGTAATTGCACCAGGAATAGCATAGCCTTCTTCCCCAACAATCAACACGCCACAAAAAATTTTGGAACAGCTCAGAGATGGAAACAAACTAATATGTGTTGAGGAAGTAATGGAGTCGACAATACCAGGAATTTTGCGCGCCAGCCAGTTAGTTTTTACACCTGGAGCTCGGCTGGAAGTTGTGTTCATCTATTTACGGTGCCTCCGCTTTGGTTCAGCTCTTTGTCTCTTCTCATCGTCCCATTCTCTGTCATACATTCTGAAAATGACAGTCAAGGAATCCATAGCGGAAAATTCATTTCAAAGTAATCGAGCATTATTCTTAAAATATATACGGAAGGCGAAGCAAATAATCATGTGTAGGACTGCAAAAGAAGTGAAACACAATAATTTAAGGATACGGATCTATATCACGACGAGTTGCCTTGCTGAGTGTCTCTTTGTTGTGGATTCTGGGACCGGGTTCTTCTATATAACCAGGACGTTGGACTACACCACCCTTTCGATCGCCTCTGTCTCTTACATCGTGCTGTGACATATTCATCGGAATGGGAGGTGGAGGTGCTGCTGGTAAATACTCTCCAGGCTCAGATACAATATGCTCCCGTTTGAGCTTCCTCCTCTTCGAAGCATTTAAATCGAGATCCTCCTTGGTTGCATTTCCTTTATCCCTGTCTCTCTCATCCATCTACTTGTAAATATCAAATCATCAGAAAGAAAGCAACAAAATATAAATCTGTGGAATGATCAAAAGTAACTCCGGCTACCTTGACTGACGCTGCTACATCACGTTCTTCACGCTTTCTGTCTTGTAAATCCTCTCCTCTTCTTCGCTTTGCATCATCTTGTATAACAGAAGCATTCTCTTCAGATCTCCGCCTTTCTCTATCTTCGTGTCTTGGAGAAAGCTTTTGCCCATGTCTGGCATTTCCGAATCGCCTGTCAACATCCTCGTCCCTCCTGCTTGCGTTCAGTGACTGGGGAACAAGATGAGGCGGCAGAGGCGGAGGGGGAGGCAAACCTTGCCCATGAAATCTGTCATCTACGGATGCTTCACTATACCGGGCTTTGTTTCTGTCATCCTTAGCTATCCTATCGAAATTGCTCTCTGCACCTCTATCTTGGATTCTCTCAACAGATCGTTCTCTTCCATGTCTCTCAAGGGACCTATCTCTCATCTTCTCAGATAAAAAATCATCACCTCGTGACTTCTCAGTACGCTCTGATCTTTCCCTATAATCTCTATCGTACCTTTCGCCACCCTTTTCTTTTGATCTGTCCACTGGCTTATCTTTAAGCCTGCTACTGCTCTGGTCATCAGGGCTTACCTTTTCTGATGTAGCAGAATGTGGTTTCTCCAGTGATCGGGCATCGCCTGACCTTTCTTTCTCAGACAAACGAACCTCACTGGAATCTATCTCTCTTGAATCAGTATCTCCTTTCCTTCGCTTATTTAACCGGTCATGGTCATCAGTTGGACTGGCTCTCTTTTGAGGCTTCTCACCAGCTTTAGAAGCTGTCGGAACATTGTCCTGCCTTGGAGAATGAATTGACCTTGATGTTGATTGTTTATGCATATCTGAATACTCACTGCCATCATCTTTCCCGCCATGAACACGTGAATCGGAAGATTTTGCATTCATGGTCTCTGTCTTAGTTTCTGAAGTATTTGCCAATTTAGTAGAAGTAGTAGGGATAGTAGCATTTCCTGAAGTTGCGAAACAAGAATTAGCAATTCGATATCTCCTATCATATGATGATAAGTAAATAGATCTGTATCAACCAGATGAAGAGCCTGAAGTTCTACCAACTGCTTTCCCAGGTTTACCCTCCTCTTTTGCAATATCCTGTTTTGTCTGCTTAGCAACTGAACCAACAGCTGCAGGCCGTTTCACTGTGGGCTTCACCTACATTAGCGACTTCTTATTATAGAAAGTGAAAATAATTTAAATAAGATGTATGTACAAAATAATAATCTAACAAATCTTTAACTACCACCACGTGATACACTTTTAACAAATATAAAGGTTTAGTTGCTATATTAGCCTTGAATAGTTCTCAAAAAGTAACATGAAATGAGTGCAAGTATAATGAAAGTCCCTCACGAATGCTGTCACTGCCATCTTATCAAAGGATATCTACTTACTAGCAGCAGCAACAGCAATTAAAGTCCTAGTGAAAAACTTATCATGTGAATTCTGCTAAAAATAATATGAAATCCTAAAACCTGAACTGAAAATACATTGGAGTAGCTTAGCCGAAGCAAACAAAAAATTAAGAAATCATAACCCAATTCTTACCTCGGGTTCCACAGATGTCTTGGCAGTAACTTTAGGGTTGTCTTCCTGTTGTTTGTTAGCCAATTCATCAACCTGCTTTCCATTATCTATAGGGGACAGGTTAACAGCAACAATGAGTATTAGACCTAATGATTGTCCAAGTTCCACTTTCAAATGAGATGGGTTGGGAAGTTATTACAGTTCATACAATCTTACCATCAGATCTCCTAGGATCTTTACCCAAATTCCCAGAATCTGAATGCAAGCTCCCCACAGAAGCAGATCTACTCCCATGTTGCTCGGATTGAGAAGCACTGTGATCAGCCCCATTCTGCAAAGCAGTATTATTTGTCGATAAAGACTTGGAAGCAGGCACAGGGGCCGGCCTTATATCAAGAAAACCCATGCCAAATTCCTCATCTGTTACCCATGATGGCTGCCAATATTTAAAAACAAGGTAAAATTCAGAACAGGACAGGGCATTCATATTTAACAAAGCTACCAGTTTGTATAAAAACATACATATTGCACAAGAATGTGGCCGCATATGGTAATTATATAAAGTACACCCAATAATAAATCAAGTGAATATCCGTTCTATCTAATAATTCTCACCATCTGCATGAGCCAAACTATCAAAAAAGAAGGATAGAACCAGTCTAAGATTATCTCAGGACTCAAATACCCAAGGGAGAATAAATAGAGGCATCCCAGTGTTGTAGTACAATCAATTATTAAACGAACTACAAGGATAACTTACCTTTCGTGCAGCCAAAGCCGCAGCAACACCAGTTGCCAAAACTTTGAGATCCTCCCTTTCATCGCTTTTGATTTTAGCTACCTGAGAAATATGAAAATAAACAATTGATGTCATGGAGCTACTCTGAAAGCAATCAGTAAAGAATAAATAAACATCTTACCCGTTTTTCAAGATTAATTCCGCTCTTCCGAGTGACAGGAAAAACACTCGAGATTTTTGTTAGCATAATAAGTGCATTCCGAATCTCCATGTACTCAGTTGATTCCAAGCACTGTATCAGCAGCCTCGTGATTCTTTGGCTCCATTTCCAGTGCACCTTCAAAGAAGCAAAATTGCCACTTAATAGGTTAAGTGCATGAAGTGCAACAAATCAAAACCAGTCGCACTATCCGATTTAGTTTATTCAAGTCAACACATTCTGAGAACATGATAGAACATTATTGTGAACAATACACAATGGTTAAGGTAGATGTATCATGAAAGTGAGGGCATAGAAGAGACCAACATGCAAAATCTACGCGGAGAAACCTTACGTGCAAGTTCAATCATAAAAAGATATGTTTGCATCCACACACAACAAATAGATAAAGCATACCTGACACTGTCGTCACTTTTTTAGGCAGAAAAAGCCAAATGCTTTTGTAAGGTATTGATTAGCAGTGGAAAACATGACCAAGTAAAACATTTTGGGTGTGTTTGGATGTATTTTCACATCCAATCTAGCACTGTTCAATAATATTTTACACTCAAAATCATTACATTACACCTATTTATATCATGTCAAAAACCTATTTGAAATCAATCTTTTACCATTACTCCAGCACATCCAAACAAAAAGATTAAAATCTTCCTATACGGGCAGGAAACAGGATATTTGAATTTAAGGAGTTTGAAATAGATGTAGCAATGCAATGTACATATATTAGATGGGACTTTCAGGAGATAAAAATAACTCAATACCTTTCTCTACAATTAAAATATGGCTGCCAACAATTAAGTGAATGACAATCCGAATAAGAGTGTTAAAAAAGATAAGTATCGAACGGCAAAACTAATAGCAATTATAATTAATCCATTAACTTACCTTGATAAATTGTCCATAATTGACACGCTGGCTGTTTGGATATCTGTAATAGACAGCAAATCCAGGCATGTTTCCGCATTCCCTCTCATATATTGATTCATGACTCTAAACACCAGAATTGTTGGTTAGAACAGAACAAGAGCAACAGAATCAAATATAAAATATTCCCTATTAATGATGCATGTATGAAGTGAACCAGATTCAAATTATATGACATCGTCATCACCGACCTTCCAATGATAAGCAGTCTTCAGTGTCTCAAACAGGAACCTCCCCAAGCGGCCCACTTCATACTCAGTGCAGCAGCATATCATGGGTTGCAGGGTTTTACATATCAGAACATCAATGTGGTTCACGGTGTTGAAAAATGGTGTTCCCAAGGAATGGAGTGTATTTACAAAAATGGCACAATAAACAGCATCTGGCATACTGAACGTACAGCGAGGGAATATACAACGCTGCAAGAATTCCATGTTGATTTTCAAAGTATCCGGGCAAGAACTCAACCATGTATCTTTTTCATGAGCAAGTCGACTATGCACAGACTTAACATGTTCTTCATGCTTCTGGAGCTCCATTGCTAATCGATCCAGAGACTCTTGAATCCTTTCTTTCTCTTTTTTACGTTTAGTAATTGCAGAACTAGAATTATCAGCAAGCTCTTCAAGAGCTTTAAGAGAAGCATGTAGCTTTCCAATCTCAGATTCATAGCGACTTCTTGGTACATACAGATCATATAAAGTAAGACCCCAGAAGGTTGCATACAAATCAGGAGACAAGCTATTCCAGGCTTTTGGAGGTAACATAGTCTTGACAGTCTCAAGAAGATTGGACCACCTACAAAATAAGTCATCAAATAAGGGGTTCTGGTGAGAATCAATTATAGAGCGGAATACTGTAAACAAACTGAATTTTAAACTAAAAGATAAAGAAAGCTGGGAGCTATTACAAAACAGGCTTTCGAGAAGATCCAAGATCCAACACCAATTTGTCAGCTGAATCTATAGGTTCAAGCTCCTTTTCGGCAGCAGCTGTTGAGTTCATTGCTTCGTTACAATTTAGAGGCCAGAAGGAACTGGAATTATTTTGACACTTGTAGAGTCTCATCACAGGCCGATAAATTAGAAAGGCAACCTAATGGATAGAGACGAACAACAAAACTTTAACAGAATTAATTATCTACTATAGAAATTTATATGTTGTTGGGAACTACACAAAAATAGTTTAAGAATACCTCTGGATCAAGATGATATTGATGTACAAGTTCATCAAGAGTGGGTATCAGTAATGCATAAGCAGATGTAGGAGTCACAGCACTACAAAGAAATTCCACATATTGAAGAAGTGTTCCATGACATCTATCAAACTGTTCACTGACCACTTTGATATGAGAAACATCTGCTTTAATGACAACCCTACATGGGAAACACAGAAAAAAATCATTACATATATGTTTGTTAAGAGCATTTAAGCAACAGCCTAAATTAAATATGCAAGAAAAAATAAAAATAAAAAAACCAAAAAATCCAAATCCAAATCTGCGAGCATCCAGATGGAAAAGAGAAATTAAGGAAATGCTATGCTCTTCAATCCTCATTGACATGAAAGATGAATCATTATTGAACATGTATAACAGAAAAGACCTCCACACCCATAAAAACACATTTGCCAGAACAAAAACAACTTTTCCAACTCAGCATTAAGACTTCTATTCAATTATTAATTAAAAGCTTACACAGAACGATGTTGTGCAATCAGAAGCAGAAGAGGAATAGCCAATTTAGGTTCCTCTTTAGGGAGCAAAGAATCTCTAAGCCGATTAGTGGACTTAATCACTGCCTGCAAAAAGGATTGGGAAACCTCAGAAACATAAAAGAACATCAAAATCTGCTGACGTGCATTGTCAAAAATTACATAAAGCTCAATTTACTTTTAAAAAGGTTCACATTTGCATGCTAAAAGTAAGTATATGGACAATGATGCAATTATCATCAGAGTCAAACAAATTTTCTCAAATATCTTACTCTTAGTTGCTCACGAGAGTTTGATAGAATAGGTACCCATTCGAAATCAACTAGCTTATGGATATGCTTATATGCTCCAAGAGTTTTTCCAGTCAATGTACTTCGAAAGCTTGTGAAGCATAATAAATAAGACAGGAATATTTTTTTTCAAATAAATCAGGCATGGAAACACATAACAGTTAATAGTACAAGGCCAACAAACTGTAAAAATGTTTGATACTCTTAAATTACAAAAAGCAGACAAAGTATGGTAGCAGCAACTCTAAAAATGAAATAGATATATCACATGCTTAATAGAGGTGCTTCAGAATGAACTGTCACACACCAACCAGAAATTTTCATTTTGTTAGCAGTTCTAATCTTGTTTGCATGCCCAAATATAAACTCAATAAATAAACATTAGTGAAGTAGTTTGGCAGCAAAAGACCTTGCTAACTGTAAAAAACAGGGAAAAGAAGGATGTAATGATGGATTAACCATAATTTCAATAAAGATGGTACATGGAATATTTCAATCCAGTAATCATCAGTTTTGCAATTAGATAGTGTAGTTTTCACATTTTGTTTCAACAATATTGCCCCATTAATAAACAGAACTAAATAATTGAAAATCAGTTGCCTGCCGTTCTCTTTTTCCCTGTTATTATATATCCATAATTATTTCAACGTGTACCTTGTTATTCCTTGTAATGCCAAATGAAGTAGCCTGATAACGCAGGGTATCACTTCCTGCCATGGCATCTAGTTGATCCTCAGTCATGTTTTCAGTATATTGTACGTTAGCCATTTGCTGGATTAATTCCTATACCATGAAAAATTTCAAACAGATATGCTCAGTAACAAATACTGAGTACCAAAATAGGTTATCAAACTAAAACTACCTGCAGTAGAACTAGCTCGATCCCATTGCCTTTCTTCAATTGGTTTACTAAATACTGGAAGAGGCCCCTTAGTTCCATTGATGGATACTTTTTACACCTAGAAACAAATAAAATGGCTCAACCAAACATCATGTCTTCTAAATCAAATTAAAACAGTGACACAAAATAAACTAGACCATCACTTCATAAATGGCATTGCAATCCAGACATCATTGACAAAACTCAACTAAAATGACCCATGAAAAGGTAGAATGCTATGACAATATAATTTAACAAAAAAGAAAAGAAAAAGAAACTATAAATTGAAAAGAAATTCCCTGAAAATACTTCCTCAGAACACCAGACACGAATAAGGGAAGTTGTATCAAATTGTCCAAATGATATGGATCAGAGCAGGCCATGTCACCAATAATGATTAAGTTGACAGTCTCATAATCCAATTATAATTTAAATCCAGAGATAAATAGAATTAAGATCAAAACATTCGACTGCAAAAGGCCCACAAAATTGCTTCACAAGCCAACAAGCACCCCCCCCTCCCCTAGCCCCACAGGAGCCCTTCTAACTAAAGCTAAGGCTAAGGTGGTTGTGATAAAATTTGTAACATGAGATGATGATGTCTAAAAAGAATGCACATAACCCAAATCTAAACCAATAACCATCTGAATATAAATTGAGATGCTAGTGTTTGATGTGTCAGAAAATTCAACGAGGTATTCCAAGACTAATGATAATACGAGCGCTATTAAAAACCACAAGTAGCACAAAGATCACAATGACAACAAGTAGAAACCATCTACACTCATTGGTTACTGTCTATTAGCATTTTGTACATCCAACATCTGCATGAAGAAAATTTTTATTCTTTTTGAGCTATGACTCGGAAGTTCATGCTGCTGTTAAATGTCTCTCAGCTATCTTACATTCATTTGGTAACTGAAACTGGAGAGCTTTGGAGGATGAGGCACAGGAGAAACAAAATCTTTGAATCTTCAAAGCAGCAGTGGCAGATATAATTTGAAGCAAGATGAACCTCCCATTAAAACAAGGAAGCAATAAAAAAGATCCCTTTCCAATAAACCTCCCATCTATTCACAGAATTGTTGATAAACCATTCTTGATGCTTAACCCCATTAATGCAACCCTGACAAAAATCTGAATGTGAAAGTCTTCTTGGCAAATTTTGTTCATGAAACAGTTCTTCAAAAAGATATCCGATGATGCAAAGACTACATCATCACAAGCCAACTTAGCAGCATGCAATTTGTATCCCAAATCAGCAGATAGGAGCAACCAAAATATTCTGAGGGCTAGAAATCATTCAGAACTATGATGTCATCCAACACATGGCTCGTCCAATCTTCACTACATGATTGGCAGGTAGATGTACATCCCAAAGAATTTCAAACAGCAGATGATCATCATCAGTGCCAACAATGTATCTTTTCTTCTGTGCTCATAACATATACTCCAAATACTTTATCATTCTTCTCATTGTACTAATGCATTGATCTTATATCCTAAATATAATTTCAGCAAACAATACCCCCCAATCCTCTATGACCTGTCCCAATTAACGAGTTAGTTTGTCTAAGATGTCAGCAGATATTTTGTTCCACCCATCAAGCCATGAAATAAAAGCTAGTGTCTCCCGACGCTAAAGATGCATATTTGCCAATAAGGCGAAACAAACCCAATAGCATCATGTTATTGCACATTAAAAGAAGTCAACATCTTTCACTACCCAATGCTAAAACCTCAAAGTGCCTCATGACAGAACTTGGGCATTGAGCATGAGAAGGGGAAACTAAATAGGCAGGCAGGATTTATTGCACTGTCCTCTCCTCTCAGAATGACCTCTTCATCCCCAAATCACTTGAGTATGAGAAGGGGAAACTAAGTAGGCAAGAAGGATTCACTGAACTGTTCTGTCCTCCTCAGGATGGCATCTTTATCCCCCAAACGAATTAAGCCTTTACCCATCATCTCTAAGGTATCCGGTTTGTTCTTGCCCACAATTAAAATTCATTAGAGAAAGCACACTGATTTCAAACATCCAAGTCTGCCAGAAGCACTAAATTTCCAGCTCCAGTAACCAGCATCGCCAGAAATAATCAGCAACTCGCAACTGAGTACAGCATCCCATGAAATCTAAGTTCTTTAGAGAAATGATTGTTACAATAAGACTAAATACTTTAGACTCAAAAGATAAGAATTCCCTTAATACAGAATAATATAAAAACAAGTCTAAAAGCACACTTATCACCCAGAAAATATGCATCAACGAGGAACCAAAAAACAGAAATAGAGAACAGATGAACATGATGCATTAACCCGCTTGGTAGACATCTAAGAGACACTATTCTACAATTATAACAAGCCACGAGTTGCATCTGAAGTGTACATTCTAATACTTCACTTCCACTGACTAGATTGGGTAAAAACTGGACAACTGAGCAGCATGTAAGAGTATATATTGGAATAAACAATTATATCAAAGAGATGAAGTGGAAAAGAGCCATACAGGTGTCCCCAAAATGACGCCAGAGACTGGAGCCAGTCTGACAAATTGAGACCATCATCTTTAAGCTTTTCTCGTCCACTTTGAGCCAACCGTTCAATCACAACATACTCCAAGATGTCATACTCAAGCTGTTAAGAAATCAATGCATAGGCAAGGATCAAAATCTATCAGCTGAAATGACAAAAGTGAAACTGGAAGTAAAAGCAAAAATTGACCAAGAGAACATGCCCGGGTAATCTTTTATATTAAAATCTGTAAGTATGATACCAAAAAATAAAAAGTAAAGCGACATTGCCAGAGAAGCAGGTATCCACATGTAATGAATATGATTTGATCATTTCATTCAAACTATTTGTGTAAGCACTTTTGCTAATATATTTAAAATCTTAGAAAGGGCACAGTGAATATTTGATAAGCAGAGGAAACAAGAAAAATTTGAGAATTCGACGAAGGGAGTAAATTCAGGCTTGAACAAATACTTCTTTCAAACATTGAGGAAATACAGGCATACTCTATAAACATAATCCAAAGGTCATATTTCACTGTTCTCCCTCATTAGACCAATTGCCGTAAATCCTAGTTGCGAAAAAAACAGAGACAAACACAAAATCGAAGCAGCATGCATATATGCACCTGTGTTAAATACTTGAATGCATCAACAACAGGAGCTATCATATCCCTGTAAGCCTCTATCTGCACAGTGAAGTCAACAACAGATACTTAAGAGAATGTTGAGTCTCAACTGGAGCAATCTCCACTACAAATGAACAAGTACCTGATGAACAATAGTTCGAAGAACTGTCATTGGATTTGCATGCGCTAATTTAGCAACCATTCTTCCAAGCTGCTTTAGATTTTCCTTGGCAAGACGTTTTAATATACGTCGAGTATCCAACTGCGAGGACCAGTTTATTATATTGTGAAGAACAAGAAAATTGATACGATCCAAAAAAACCACAATAAAATACTTGTACCCTTGCAGTTTGTCTAGCTGCCAAAAGCATCGGAAAGCGCTCATCATCTTTCTCCCATTCACCGTATAACCGATAACGAACCTATCAAACAAATTTTAGCACCATGAATCTTATATGGTTTATTTGAACCACAAAAGGTTTATTGGCAGTAGTAACCTCATAGGGAAGAAGACTCATGAGTTCCCATATCTCCTGCCCTACAGCAGGATTTGCAGGTATCAACTGCAAAGAAGGAAGAAGACATGTTCCAAGCGCTTCCTCAATTCTTAATCTAGCATCCTTCATGTGAAAGCGAGGATTCTGAATTTCCTCTATACCAGATTCTGCATTGAATGGCTGATCGCCGTTACCAGCAAGCTCCAGGGCACAAAGGTAATAAGCTTTCAATACTCTGGCAGTCTGCATAACAGATACAGTGTCCAGGAAAGAGTAGTCAAATCATGAACCCAAATTGACAATAATTTTCATTTAACTACAAGACCAGACCTTCTGCAGTAGTAAAGTGTCGTGATAAAGATAGGGTCCAACAGAAGAAAGCATTTCAAACAGCTCTTTGGGCAGATTAATAAAGCATTGTTTGATTGATGAACTTCCTGTCTCTGACTCGCCAGCAGATGAATTTGGCATTCTACATATCAATTTGTAGGCCGAACAAATTGATTTTTCAATGAGCCTGTGAAAAAATTGAGTCTAGCAGTATTAAAAAAATGAACTCCATCTGTCCATCGTAAAAGACGAAAATAAGGAAAGTAGGAAAGACAGAGAGAATACTAAGAGAGGGTGTATTATAAGAATTCACTTAATTTGAACCAACATCCCAAAATTTATTTGCATATTACCTAAACAGACCATTACAAATTTGAATGTGCTCCACTGGATTAAGTGGTGACAAGCGCTCAAGCAGTTGATGAGCATGTAACCTGACATAGAATGCAACCGAGAAGGAAAAAAAAAAAAAAAAGGACATTAGAACAAGCTCCGAGAATATAAGACAAAGTCATAATCCTTTTGTTGCATATTTTGATCCTGAATTCTCAACCAAGTCTACAATAACTAACAATGGTAATAACCCCATGACATTAAACAGAATGAAGATGAAGTATAATCAAATTTGAAATATATTTCGTCCCTTCATAAAAAAGAAAGGAATCAAAAGATAAAGAGGGAGAAAGCAGAAGTCAACAATTATCAGAAAATATATTCAAAACTATTTGCATCTAAAGAATTCAATTACCAGTCATCCACAGCCAGAAAGCCCATGAGTAACCCTAGAGGTTGATTATTGGTAAGCTCTGAGGACCTTTCAACGACAGCCATTGTTTCCATGTCCAAAGCAGTAAAAAGATCTACTGTCACATCCCCTTGTTTTTCATCATCCATGAGATCCTTACCAGTTGCAGCAAGATTAATCTTTCCAATTTTATTTGCCTGTTCAGTACAGTGGTGGTGTAGCAATTTCTTAAATTCAATATTCAATGGTTCATAAAAATCAAAAACAAAATTAGACAAATTAATAGATCAAAATTTAACTAAAGTACACACAAAGTGTCAACTTTTGGAATGGTATAGTGATCCAGATAAACACACAAAGAAGTGCGTGCTGAGATTACAAACAAATTAAAGAAATAAAATGAGGAACTAAAAAATCTAGTAGATATATATATAAGATAAATGTAAATATCAAGAAACACAACCTGAGGCAAAATTAGAGATGTAATGTCAATGGAACAGCAAGAAATCTAATAATTCAAATTGAATCACCTCATCAAGCCTTCTAGCTGAAAAGGTATTATAATGTTCAATTGCGTCCTCATCCTTGGGGAGCAAATGCGAATATCTGAAAGAATGACATAGCAAATGAGAATACTGGATCGACATTGAATAAGAACATAACTAGCTGTGTTGAAATGCTCGAGAATGATAAAAACAGAAACTATCAATAGATATGCAGTCATCCAACAGAGTAGGAGAAAAAGGAAGATTGACAGAACCAAAAGTTGCCAAAGAATATATATAATGTTCTACACTTCACCAACATTATATATTATTTACTTTCCATTCTAGGTATATCCCTCAAAACTGTATTGGGAAAAAAATAGAAAATAACAGTTACAGTGAAACTAATCTTTTGCTATCACTTTCACTATAAAAGTTGTATTAACAAAGGGACAAACTTCTACAATCATAAATCTAAATTAAGTAAACTCATAGTAAGATTCATTGCTTCAATGAAGAACCTTCAACAGGAATCATTAAGCAATAAAAGTTGGAACAATATCAAATGCTTAAGACTCCAGCAGATTAAGGACATCCACAGATCTTCATACATGGATAGCACTCCTGGCTACAATCAACAGAATTGACATAATTTGCCAGCACATCCCACCGATTTAAGTGACATGAGAACATAGGAATGAGGCAATGGTCCCTTGAGATTGCATTACTATGACAAAAATGAAAAAAAAATTGAAACACTTGAAGAAGGGATTTTCTGTGGTAGAAATTTCAATACATACAAGTAAAGCAGAAGGAAGACAGTGACAATGAAACCAGCTTGAACAACAAAGATAACCCATATGTGGCTTACTCACATGCTATCAACATCAATGAATTCTTGTTTCACCAACAAAGCCGTGAGTTGATAGAGCCCAGCTGGCACAGGAGTGTTGATTTCGATGTGCTGGTAATATTGAAACTTGAATCCAAGGATTTGCGATGCATGGGACTGCAGAAATGAGAAGGAACTATAATATTAATTATAACTGGTGCATAAAACGGTCCTGCCTTAACCAAGTTGAACATTATATATTATGTATATAAGTAAACATGATACTACTAGTTACTCTCAGGGAAAAAAAATTAAACCAAAGCATCAAACCACAATCCACTGTAACAGCCTTGACAATTAGCCAGAAAGCAAAATCAAGCACATTCTCAAGCACAGAAAAAAAGGTAAAGAGAAGAGCAATGACAAACTAGTGCCAGAGTCGGCACTATACCTTGGGAAATATTGGGATCAAATCCAAGAAAACGTTGTTATCAAGCTGAAGTTCAAAGCACTCCAATACCTGAAATTACATTCTCTTGTATGAATTTATTTGCATTAAGTTAAAACCAAGGATGAAGCAAGAACCAACAATATAATACCCAAAATAAATAAATAACTGAAGAAAAAGCAATAGCAAGCTGATCCAACTTACAATATCAAAAACTCGATTTGGATCCAGATCAAAGTGGCCAATTAATGACTGCAAGTATAACAGAAATTAGAAACTACGAGAGAAGAAAGTTCAGCAGAGTATATAAAAGATCAGTATAAACCTTAATAATGCCAACTGTTGCAACTGATACAGTTTCACTTGATGATTCAGGAACCTGACATAACAGGGTAACCTACAAAATTTTTGAAAAATGTTAGCTTAAGAACTTGAGAAAAGAAACAATCGTAAGCTAGTAGAAGAAAATAATTTGTGGAACATAACACACAATCAGAGTAATGTTCAAAACTTTAAATGAGATCCAAGGACTTATATTTTGATTATTAGTAACGTTCAACCAAAGATCCACTTAGGGTACACATTTATTCCTCAAAGAGTAACTCTTAATAATGTTCATCAATAATAAATAAACTCACCTATTTATCAATTCCTTCTCACGTCATTATCAAATCCATCGGGTTTCCGTGCAAATAACTATATTGTGTTGAGCTAAAATACTATTGTGAACAAAATCAAGGAAAAGACGACCCCAAAAGAAAAGGCTATCAGATAAAGATAGCAACAGAATTTAAATAATCTTAATAAATTATCATATTCTTAACCAAAAGTCAACCAGCACAAAAATAATTAAATTCCTTACAATTTTAGTATAGTACGGCAAACAGCTTATATAGCATACCAGTTTGGCATAGCCCTCACTTTCTTCCCGGAGTAAGTTAAACTTGGTTTGTTGATAAAGAAGACGTGTATTTACTCGGACCTGTCACCACACCATATTAAAGTTCAAATAGAATAAAAATGCTTCTATCATAAACAATATGTGCAGACATACAGAAAATGAAAGTAAATTCAAGATACCTCTTTAGACTTCAGATCAGCAGCTTTTATCTTTATCATCTCAGCCTCGTACAGAAACTCTTCCTATAACACAAGAAACAATTGGAAACATTAGTTCCTCCCATTAACATTCCTCAAAGATAGCTGAAAAGAAAAACTCCAAGTAATATTGCCCAACCTCACAGCGCTCCTGAAAATATCTTAAAGGCACCAGTGCAGATTCCACCAGCCATTTCGCCTGGAAGAATTGTAAACAAAAAGAGAAAAGGAAGCATGAGATTATAAGGAAAAAAGTGAAACTGATTGCATGAGAAAAGACAGCCATTTTTAGAATGAAAAGATCATATGAGTTTCTTTTTGAAAAGCTAACTAGCAATCCTAATTCTCGGTGTCACAAAACAGGTTGATGCTGACTTCACTATTTGAATTGGCTACTTCGGATCCATCAATATATTAATTTTTATAACCTAAGCCATTTAGCAATTGATAAAATAAAATTTGTAATGTACTAGAGTTGCAAGTAGCCAAGTTACAGGTCCATTAAGGTCCAATTGTGTCCTTAACCATGATGTGTACAGCAGATTTCCTGTATATTTCTAACCACCCATCCTCGCAAGTTTTGAGCAGAACATGTGCATAAGATAATGAACATCAGTGTAGCAACCTCTGTGGGTCAACAAGACATCAATTTACTAGCAAAGATCTCACCGAAGTTAAATACTATGAGCCTTCAGAAGCCTTTCCCATAAAGTATATTTTGTTTCTAACACCCTACCAGAGCAGGTTATAATGTTCCAACAACTAGATTAACGTTAGGTTTTTCCATTAACGGCAATATGGCATTCGAACATCGGAAACAAGAAATGGAGCAGGAAAAAGATGCAAAATTTAGACACTAACCAGTTTAATAAGGCGAGCACGATATTCACTAGGCATGGTAAGCTGCATGAATTGACATAGGAAATCAGAGTGACACGAAAGTGTCGAACTGAAGTGAACAAGGCAAAACAATATTCACATGCAGTCAATAAATCAAACTTCAGAGAACACACAACAAATCCACGATATTATAAATTAATAATCAGTAAACAACATAATTTTTACGGATCAAATCCACTTCTGAAACACCAAACAAGATATAATTTTAAAATTTTCAGCATAAAGGTATTACTCATTCTTATGTACAGTGGAGTTCCACACCAGGTTTCTTTGATAAGGTTTTCAAAGTGGGGTATGATTCAGTCATCGTCATCATGTGTGAGCCAGACATATAAATCACATATCCCCAGTGCATTGAATCAGTCTCTTATCTAACTTGCAATGTAAAATGTGGTTTCTTACAGTTCATGCATGATTTCTTTTAGGCTTTCCACTACCCTTTTAATATAAGCTCATGAATCTGTACTTCTACCTGCTATACTAAAGCATTTAGAATTTTTCAGACAAGTGACTGAATCTTCATAAGCATATTTCTCATCTTCTCATGCATAGATGTTGCCCAACTTTCTCTCTTCTGCGCTTATTATTAATTTTACCAAATTCAGTGTGCTGGCACATCCATCACAAGAGTATAAGTTCAACTACTCCCATTTTTCCACTCTCATCAGCAATAAACCCAGCATTTGGCTCCATAGTGCATTATTGGTGTTATGGATATCTTAAAAATTGATGCCAATCTAGAGCGGTGTGACAATCACAGTGTCTACAGGCAAATTTCACCATCATTCCATGCTTTATCCATATGTGTCCTTTAGTTCTCTCATTTATCAATCTAAATAATCAAACCATTATTCTGGCTCAACAAATTTCACATTTATCTATGATCACTTTTACAATTTTGTTCTGCATCTACTTACAGTATCTGGTGGAGCCCCTCAGAATATATGAACTATAAACATAAACGTTGAAGTTCTCTGGGCAGACATGACATAGGAAAGACAAAGGTTTCTTTGTCACAACAGGCTCAAAGCTTACCAGAACAACATAAAAGCAGTACTTACACATCACAGTGTTCAAAAGGTTCAAATGCAGCTCAACGTAAATGTCTAAATCACAAAATTATAAACCATTTGAAGTTATCCTGTTGTGGAATAGCATGAAGTAACTCACATCTTGGGCCATTTGAGAAACAATATCAGCAAAATATGATCCAACGTCTGCATCCGGACCACAATCTGAAAATTCTACAGCCTCCAATGCTGCTTTTGATTTCTGATACGGCAAATCTCCTTTGACCTAATAAAATTAAAATCTTCATATTAACCAAATATCCATACACATGGAAACTCAAATCCCAACGTGAATGGATGAAAAAAGAAACCCAAACATCACAAGATACAAAGCTGAAGTCAGCGCGCCAGGTAAAACCGCGACTCAAAACTACAACAATACTCGCCAAGAAAATTAAAGCAAACAGAAAGAACGATAGTAGTAGCAGTAACCTCCCAACACTAAATAACTTCAAATATCGGCTAATTCTTACCATCGTGAAGCATAGCTCATAAAGAAATCGAAGCACGGGAGCGGGTGAAGAAAATCGGAAATTTGAATTCGAGTTCTTCAATTCTTTAACGGAGTCCTCCGTGATGTGTATGCACACTAGAGGAGGCAGCGACATTGTATATTTTGTGCAAACGCGCCAAAACGGAGCGGCTGCAAGTTAGAACAAAAAAATTAGGTGTAGTGACAAATCCGAAGCAGAGGAGCACGAGAGCCTGGCGGAAATTCAGATTCCAAGGTTTTCATGGGTCAGTTCGCATTGGATATAGCTTCCTCCGCTCTGTAGGGTTTCAGACGAGTTTCAATTGTCTTTGCGAAAGGGTTTGGGAATGGAGAAGAAGGAATCATCCGTCTTTCTGTCCTGGATTTTCATGGCTTTTCATTACTTCGCGCAATATAAGTTGGGCGGGCCTCAAATTTGGGCTTTTGTTCGATTAATAGGCGCAAAATAATTGTAACTAAAGCCCATATACGTTTTCTCCACTCCTAGTTATTCGAACACATAACGCATTGCCCCAACCGAAATATTTTTTTTATGATAATTAAAAAATATAAAAATTTAAATAAATTTAAAGGAATATGTTTAGATATGTTTTTTTACAAATTAAATTTAAATATTTTTACCATATGAAACCTTAGGGTGTGTTTGTTTGCGGGGGATTTGATTGGATTTACACTGTTTATCCAATTTTTTTCCTCCAAAAACATCAAATCAAACAACTATTTTTCATTTTTTATATTATACTAAAAATCAATTTTACATTCAAAACTTTACATCAATACATATTTATTTCACATCATACAACTATTCAAATTCAAAATTTTTACTATTCAAATCCCAAGTCAAAATCCAAACCCCCAAACAAACACACCATGATTTTATATAAGAAAAATATATAAAATATTCAATTTAATAAAATAATATATACTCCATAAATCATTATTTAAATAGAAATTCAAGATAAAAACTAGTAAACTAAAACATTGATATATTTTACATATGAGGTGTACGAAAGTATCTAAGTAATATATAAATAAAAAAATATGTATAATATGGCTTTGTTTTAAATAATACATTTTTATTCATTTGTTATTATTTATTTTTCAAAAAATATCATATCAAATATATTTTCTTTTGACGCAAAATATCAAATCAAATACTAACTTTTTACTATTTTTTTTTTTAACTTCCAAATTTCCAAAAACTTCCAAAATATCATATCTAAACAAACTCATACTTATTCCAAAGAGATATCTTATTATGAGTTGACATAAATAATAATATTAAATTGAAATGAAATACCCCTCCCATAAAAAGAATACAAATTTTTTATTTTTTTCGTCTCAAAATAATAAATAACGGTACAATTATTTAATTTAGTAATTGTACTACTTACCTAACGTATTAAATTATAGTGTCTATAATACTATGTCTCTTACATCTTCCCCGGACGTATAGAGCAAAATTAAAAAGTACTTTATGTTAGGGATGATCTGGGATATGAGGTGATCTCGTAATCGTGAAATCATAGGTTCAAACCTCCAATGTCTTAATGTCATACATGATTGGCCTAGTGTGACTTGCCTTATCAAATCTGATTTGCAAGATATTATGTTCGACTGGTGTTTACTTAGTACACATTTTCGTGCAGCGACTGCAGTTCTCAATTCATATAAAAATAAAATTAAAAAAAATAAAAAAAAAACTTAAAAATACGTGTAAACACATATCCTTTAATTTCAAAATTTTCCCTTTAATTTCAATTTTTTCCTAAGTCGCGTGGAAGTGCAAAATGCAATTTGCAAGGAATGTCTTTAAATATGAAATAATAGCGAAAATGATGGGTATGGAATTTTGTATGTATCTAACTGGTGAAATATTATTCCGTTTTTGTTGCGCTGTTCGTTAAACCATATTTATACAGACTATTTAATCAGATATATATTCCGTGTTAATTCGTCTTCCTTCTTAAATATGGACATTATTGTCACCTTAAATTAATTTGATTTTATATTGTTAGCTCTCAGCCTCTCACAACATTTAAGGACTGCTTAGATAAAGGTTATTTTAGGGTGTGTTTGTTTGAAGGATTTTGGAGGATTTTCACTGTTCATTCAATTTTTTCCCCCAAAAACATCAAATCAAACACCTATTTTTCATTTTTTTATATTATACTAAAAATCAATTTTACATTCAAAACATCACATCAAACCCTATTTATATCACATCATACAACTATTCAAATTCAAAATTTTTACTATTCAAATCCCAATCCAAAATTCAAACCCCCAAACAAACACAAGTTTAAATCATTTTGAAAATAGTAGTATTTGTTTATTTAGTGGTTTAATTTGAATTTTTTTTTTTTTTTAATGGGGTATATATAGAATTAGTAATATAGAAAATAATATGCATTATGTTTTAACTAAAAGTCTCATTTTTATCATCTTAAATTGTCATATTTAAAAATATAATTTTTTATTATAGTAAATATAATAATATACTAATACATATTTTCTTTTTATTTTTATATATTTTATAAATATATAAGGTGTGTTCACCAGTACTATTTTTAAATTTTAGTTCCAAAAACAATAATAAATAATACAAAATAATTTTAACAAAAGTCAAAAGGTAAAAAAAATTAATTAATTAAATACTTATTAAAAAAATGTTATTTTATTGAAAAAAAATTTATTGAAAATTATTTAAGAAATTACACAGACAAAATACACCTTGATGTGTTACTAATAGGATATGATGGGATAGTTGATTGACTGTAATTTATAAATTATTTATAGTATATTATAAAGTACTTTATATAATTGTTTACTAATCGAATTTCATTCTCATTCAAATAATTATTGAAGACAAACCATATATAAATAAAATTGTGTCGTAAACGGTTATGTATTTTGTGTTACGTAACATATTTGTTGCAAATGTATTATAGTAATTATGGGGTGTTATTTCTATTATTCAATATTTATAATTTTGTAACACTGATCCAAATATTTGATCAAAATAAATAAAAAAAACCGAAATATAGAAAAATTATCAATAAAAAAATATCCTCGGATTCCTTATTAATTTATAATGTTCCTATAATTTATTTGAAGGGGAAAAAGTAAAATGGAGAATGTTGTCCATTCTAAGAGTTACAATTCAGTGTATATGCATTATTATTATTATTATTATTATTATTATTATTATTATTATATTTAAAGTTTATGTATGCAATATAATATTACTATATTGACGTTGATTGTAATCTTATAATTGATAAATAGAAATCGCTTGAGTTTTATGTTCATATCATATGCGATATTTGATTGATTTTGATTAGATTCTCCCTAAATTCGGTGCGTATTGTTTATTTCCGACAAGCATGAAATAAAAGACAATTTTGGTGAATTTGGAGAAAAATAAAAGAAAAAAATCAGCATTGGACAATCAAGTTAGTCATGCCACGACTAACTATACCCTCGTGACATAGGAATTTAATTAAATGCCCAAAAGCACACAGCTACAATTAATTAAGAAAAAAAATAAATAAAAATGGAGGATCACACGTAGAAGATGAGAGAACGGCCAGAGCAGATACGCACACGAGGAGAATAACGGTCAAAGCAGATACGCACATGAAGAGGGGACGGCCAGAGCAAATACGCACAAGAGTAGAAGACTCGTAGACTCATAGATCGCGCATGAGCAAATCGACGGAAAAGATTTCCCCTCCCACTATGAATTTATCTTTCTCGTTTGTTCTTTGTTCTTTGATTATGGAGTAGATATTTTTCTGATTTTAGGGTTGATAATGTTTTGGAGATTCTTAATTTTCTTTATAAAAGTTCATTTTAATTATCAATATTTGTCTAATTCTGATAATAACGTTTGTGATTGTTAGATTGATTGAATATTTTGGTACCGATATTTGAATTAGTCTGATAATCTAAAGTCAATTCAGGTAGGATATCTGTAATTGTATTCGCACTTTAATATGTGACAACCGGGTTGAATAGTTCCTTTCCGGGGGTTAGGCAATCAAATCTAATTGTTCTTCTTAGGTAGTAATTGTTTTGAATTGAGTTTTTCTAAATTAGAATGAGATTAGACAATATTTCTTATGAGCGCACCTAGGTTTATTTGCTTAATTAAGGGTAGTTAATGGTCATACCTTAATTACCTACACTGTAAAGAAAAAATTGGTTATCATAGCTTATTTATAACTATAATTAATTTATTGATACTTTAATAAGAACAAACTTTATTGAATCAATAAAAAAACACAAGTGTCATAATTGCATCATCCCTTGAGCCAGACATCCCCGTAATAGCTAGTTCACCCTTAATTTAGTTGCTTTCTTGTTTTACTTTCATTAGATAATAAAAGAAAGTTTTCTCCAATTATTTACTGCATTAGAACACGAAAGAGTGAATTACATAATCCATGTGGAGACGATCCATTCCCCTTATTACATTAAATTGTGATCAAAGAATATGTGAAATATTTGATTGACCGCGCGACAGGTCAAATTTTTGCACCGTTGCCGGGGATTGACGCTTTGTTTTACTCTTTTGTGTTATTTTTATTTATCCTCATGTTTATGCCATGTTCTTCTCGTATATATGAACTGATATTTAATTTTGAGATCGAGAAGATTGAGCGAAAGGAAGCCAGACAACAAAAAGCTGCTCAAGTTGCAAAGTTGGCAGAATCTTTAATCATTATTGTCGATTTAAGGAGAAGGATTGAGTGCTTATAGTAAAAACATCAGCACTAATGCTGATAGTGTAAAAAAATAATTATGTTAACTAATTTTATTTATAATATAATTAATCTAATTATGTATGCTAATATTAGCACTAATCAACATGGCACTGATTTAAAATAATCAGGACCCAATCCTGTCACTCGATTTAAATATTAAAATCAAATAATGTCAATTATTGTTATGAAAATCATTGCATGTGTATTTAATAGATATTGTTAGTTGAGTTGCTTCATTTTTGTATAACAGTACATAAGTTAGATATTAATTATTTTTAATAAATGCTACTAATATTTATAATAAAATATTAGACATATTAGTAAATTTAATTCTAAAACTAGGTCAAATTCAATGAATATGTTAATTAGTAGTGAGTAATATGTTTGTTTTAATCTCTTATATGCAATTTTTAATTTAGGTCAAGTTCAATTAATTGAATATTGTTGTGCTAATAATAATTAGGGTTTGTTACTTATGATTTTTCTTTATCAAATTATTATTATTTTTAAATATTATATTAAAGAAATATTTTTATTTAAAAAGTAAATAAATAAAAAGGCAGGGGATAAAAGTAATGACATTTATGTAATATATTGTAAGTTGAAATGATATTTATTATGTTAGGTATGTATTGCAATTATTAAATTAAAAAATAATAACTTTGTTTTGGAACGAATGAAAAAAAATAATAACCTTTAATGAGACGGAGAAAATATTATAATTTAATCATATCATAAAGAATAAGAGTTAGATTGTGTTGGATGTATGGAAGTGTTTTAACTTTTATGATTTGATTTGATAATTTATAAAATAAAAATAATATATTTGGTTGGGAATAGTAAAATACTCATTTTTTTTTTTTATTTTAATGGTTTTTTTTTTCGTCATTTTCATTTCAATTGATTCGTTTTATTTATTCATTCAAAACTTTTTTATTAAAACTATGTGCAGGAGCTTTGTGCAATTTGTTTTATCGAGCCTAATATACAGATTATTAAATTAGATAGAAGAAAGTTTATGTATAGCACATTTCAAGAGCAGCGACTAAAAATTTTAATATTATAGAAAATAATTTCAAACCTCCAAAATGTAAGGCGATTTTTATAATAATCATCTTTTAAGGGTGGCAAATTGTAATTAGCTACCACCAATCCTGCTTTGCATGTGCTGTAATTTCTATATTTATCCATCAAAATTTTATTTTCAAATATTCCGGTAATAAATAACCTAAAATAATCAATGCTATTCAATTACTGCAAGTTTACTCAACCAAAAATTATGCAACATATTTAAAAATATTTAATTCCATTATTTAATTTTTTACCTGATTAATCAAGCAAATCCTCCCCATCCATTTCTTCTCAACAGTAAAAAAATAATCAAGATTTCCTAATTTAATTTCTTTATTTCCATATAAAATATCTGAAATAATATTTCAAGTGGACCCCACACGGACCTGCCAACTGTATTTTGCGAAGAGTCTAGAACTCCGGCACCGGATTCATCCTGACGGCTGCGCTCCAGATATCAATGGCTTAGATTAATCTGGCTCTGTGATCCTGGGACTGCGGGATTAATTTTTATTCTGTCCGTTCCCTCCTCTCCTAATAGCGCCCATGAAGATGAAAACTCTTCAATTGCTTTGTTTGCCCATTTTTATGGTGGAAAGGGAAAATCACGCAGTACGCACACTGCTGCAAAACCCTCGTTTCATCTTCCCGAAAACCATTACTGATTTTCTGAAGAAAATTGATCTCATCTCGTCGCCGATTAGCCGGGAAGACGAAGAATCGGGAGCAGTCAAGGGAAAACGGCCAATGCGATTTTTACATTTTGGTAGTGTGAGTGTTTTTCCTTTTTCGTCGGTGGATTTTGCGTAGTTCTTCTATTTACGGCGTGAGATTTTCGTCGACTGTCTCGATTTTGGCTACTCACCGTCGCCGTTGTGTCAGAATTTGGCTTCAATCGGACGACAGTGAACTTGTTTCCATTCAGATTGTTTCTGAATGGATTTAATGTTGATTTTGTTCGCCTTCTGTTCGTTGTGGTTGGTGAGCGTTGGGAATTCGCAATCAAACGATGCGGCGGTGATGCAGGCGTTGAAAAGGAGTTTGAACTCGCCGATTCAACTCGGTTGGACGGACTCGGACCCTTGCAAATGGAAGAACGTCCAGTGCGCCGCCGGCGGACGCGTTACTCGGATTCAAATCGGAAATCAGAACCTGCAAGGCTCCCTCCCGCCGAACCTGAACAATCTCACGTCTCTGGTGGTTTTCGAAGCACAAAACAATTCAATCGGCGGTCCACTCCCAAGCTTCTCTGGATTGAACTCGTTGCAGAGCGTTCTTCTCAACGGCAATGGTTTTACCTCGATTCCGGAAGATTTCTTCAATGGCGTCTCCTCGCTTCAAGTGGTTTACTTAGATGGCAATAAATTTAGCTCATGGTCGATTCCGGATGGTCTCACGAGTGCCTCTGGTCTGCAAACGTTTTCCGCTACCGGAGCGAATATATCTGGGCCTCTGCCGAATTTCTTTGATAAGTTTTCGAGCTTGACTACTCTGCATATGTCGTTTAATTTTCTGGAAGGTCCATTGCCGTCGTCGTTTTCAGGATCTTCCATACAGTCGCTGTGGCTCAATGGGCAGACGAGCGGTTCGAAATTGAATGGTTCCATTGCCGTTCTACAGAACATGACTCAGTTGTCTGAGGTTTGGTTGCACGACAACTCCTTCTCTGGACCCTTACCGGATTTCTCTGGCTTAATTCAGTTGCAGAATTTGAGTTTAAGAGGCAATTCTTTGACAGGTCCGGTACCAGACTCCTTAGTGGGGTTGCCATCTCTGAAAGTGGTGAATTTGACTCATAATTTATTTCAGGGGAAGACTCCCAAGTTCAGTAGCTCTGTGATAGTGGATACATCGCCAAATAGTGATAGCTTTTGTTCATCCAACCCTGGTGAAGATTGTGATCCACGCGTGAATAGTCTACTTGCTGTGGTGCAGGCATTTGGTTATCCGGGGACCTTTGCCCAGAGCTGGAAAGGGAATGATCCCTGCCGTGGATCATGGAAAGGGATCACCTGCAACAACAATGGCAGCATCACTGTTGTGAACTTCAAGGGGATGGGTCTTACCGGGACTATCTCTTCAAGTTTTTCGGGGATACCATCACTACAGACATTGATCCTGTCGGATAATAACTTGAGTGGAACTATTCCAAAGGAGCTGACATCCTTGCCCAACCTTAGCTTACTAGATGTTTCGAATAATCAGATTTATGGACAAATTCCTGCTTTTAAGATTACAGTGGTTGTGAAAACTGATGGAAATGTGAATATAGGAAAGGATGTCCCGCCTCCCGGGGCACCTGGAGCTCCTGGCGGAACTGGTGGTGGAAGTGGCGGGAGTAACAGCGGCAATGGAAAGAATTCCGTTGGAGTGATTGTAGGCTTGGTAGTGGGTGGAGTTTTAGCAGTTGTCGTTGTTGTGTTTTTCTTGGTTTATAGAAAGAAACACAAGCAGAGGGGTAAGGCTTATTCTCCCTTCGACATGGTTATACATCCTCGTCGCTCTGGTGGGTCTGAGGACCCTGTTAAGATCGCCATTGCTGATTCTGCACCATATGGAGATTCAAAGGGGACGACTAGTGGAGGAAGCAGCGGACCAAGTAACCTTAATCTGGCCGATACTGGTAACATGGTGATATCCATTCAGATTCTGAGGAGCGTGACGAACAATTTCAGTGAACGCAATATACTTGGTAGGGGTGGGTTTGGAACTGTTTATGAAGGAGAGCTGCATGACGGCACTAAGATTGCTGTCAAGCGGATGGAATCCAATACGATGAGTGACAAAGGTTTAGAGGAGTTCAAATCTGAAATCTCTGTACTCACAAAGGTTCGACATCGGCATTTGGTCGCACTTTTGGGGTATTGCTTGGAAGGAAATGAGAGGCTTCTTGTCTATGAACACATGCCTCAGGGGACACTTAGCAGGTTTCTGTTTGGCTGGAAAACCGAAGGGTTAAAGCCCCTGGAATGGTCGAAAAGACTGATCATTGCACTGGATGTCGCTAGAGGAGTTGAATACCTTCACAGTTTGGCTCGGCAAAGTTTTATTCACCGCGACCTTAAGCCATCGAACATACTTCTTGGAGATGATATGAGGGCTAAAGTTGCAGATTTTGGGCTTGTTCGACTCGCACCTGATGGAGCAGCTTCTGTTGCTACTAAATTGGCCGGAACCTTCGGCTATTTAGCACCCGAATATGCAGGTATCTCTATTCGATGTTACATTAAAACATGTTTTTAATTCGTATAGATTGTAAATATCTTTTCTTGTTTCATCTTTATGAATTATGCATATCGATTTCTTCACTATGCCTAAATTGAGGAGTTGTTTATGTGTGTAATGGGACAGTGACTGGAAAAGTGACTACCAAGATCGATGTCTACAGCTTCGGAGTTATCCTAATGGAGATGGTAACAGGGAGAAAAGCGTTAGACGAAACTCTGGAAGATGATATGCAGCACCTGGTGCCATGGTTCCGGCGCTTGCTCATCAAGAAAGACACTTTTGCTAAAGCCATCGATCCAGCCATGGATCCCGATGAAGAAACGCTTCCCAGCATCATGACAGTTGCCGAGCTTGCAGGACATTGCACAGCTAGGGAACCTTCTCAAAGACCCGACATGGGTCATGCCGTCAATGTTCTTTCCTCTCTGGCCGAGCTCTGGAGGCCAGCGGAGCCAGCCGATCCCGACGACTTGTACGGGATCGATTACGACATGACGCTGCCTCAGGCAATCCAGAGATGGCAAGCCATGGAAGGGATGAGTGGCATGGAAGGGCCTTCTTACAGGTACAGCAGTAGCAGCACAATGCCGACCCGAACCTCCGGAATCCCGACTCGATTTACGCCAACAGAAGGAAGGTGAGAACAGTTTGATGGAGGAAGATTGATCTGATGATGTACATTCGATTGGATTGAGGTTTGGTTCTTGACTTGAATTGGCCCTTTATTAATTTTCATAGCTTCTTCTTCTTCTTCTTTTGATGGGAATGGTTGTTCTTGATTTGAAGTGAATGTTTTTTTGTAGCTTATAAAACCTGCATCTTGTTTTTGTTAATTTTCAAAACCTAGTTAATAGTTGGGGTTGGCTATATTATAGTTACTTTCAATTTTCCATTATTATTATTATTATTGAAGATGTAATTCTTGTATTGCAATGAAGGACTATATTATATATGCTTGTTTTTTTTTTTTTTTTTAGTTTTTATGTTTGTTATTATTATTATTATTATTATTATTATTTTGGATAGTTGATAGTTGATGGTTGATGGTTGTCTACTAAATAATAAATTTTGTTGGGATGGGGCTTTGAAGAATATGGAGTATGATAATGATAGTTAATAGATGAAGTAAATGCTGACAGGTAGGTCCATTTGATACTATTTTCTATTAAATTGTTTGGTTGGTTGGTAAGGGTTTGTTTGGATATGGGTTTCAAAATATATTTAAATTAATATATATATATATGTGTATATATTTAAATGAATAATTTTAAGAGAATAAAACAAAAAATGAATAGTATAGAAATCGACTTACAAACATATGTAGGGCTCTCCTATAGTCCATTCAGACATTAATGTTATACATGGTTTGTTTGTGGTCTTTAAATCCTCGTAAGTTAAAAAAGGAACAAAAAATTCTTTTGAATAAATCTGATATAAATAAGTTATTATGTGATTTTTATTTTTATTAATATAAAATTTTATAAGTACAATAAGTAAAAATTAGATAATAAATAACACAAGTTATTTAATAATACTAATTTTATATTAAAGAAATACGAGGTGTTTACCTCCACCCCTAGCATGCGATGAAATGGATCGTTATTTATTTGAGCCGTGTGCTATCAATATTTCACTGTCTATTTGATTTATAGTATTATTCTTTTATCGTACACCTATACGGGCCTCCTCGGTGTTTTTTAAGATTTTGGAATTTTAATTTTTTTAAAAAAATATACTTCTACCATTTAGAACTATAGTTTGAGTTGTGTTCGACAGATTTAAGGAATATTGATATTATATTGACAGTGGATAAAAAATACTGTAAAAAATAGTGACAATTGTGTAATAATAATGAAAGAGTAAAGGTAGTTTTATAGTGATATGATTATTTATAAAAATAAGACTTACAAAAATGGTAAACAATACCGTTGTATTGAGACGGAGGAAATAAAAATTAATATTTAATGTGCTAATTAAAAAAAACTGTCAAGGGCGTGTTTGTTTGGGGGTTTGGATTTTGAGTTGAGATTTGAATAGTAAAAATTTTGAATTTGAATAGTTGTATGATGTGATATAAATAGGTGTTGATGTGATGTTTTGAATGTAAAATTAATTTTTAGTAGAATATAAAAAAATGAAAAATAGATGTTTGATTTGATTTTTTTGGAGAAAAAAATTGGATGAATAGTGTAAATCCAATCCAATCCCCAAGCAAACACACCTTTAATAGATAATATTAAAACATTAAAATTTTGTATGTATATACATAGCTTAAAATAAGCTGTAAGGTTAACAAGACACCGTGATATATTATTAATTAAATAGGGATGAATAGTCTAGAATAATCTCCCTGTAGTAAACAAAATAAAATAAACTCATTTTTCTATGAAGAATAAAATATTGTATTTAAATCTCTGTTCAAATAAAAATACAAATCCTTCGAAAGAACATAATTGAATTGAATTTTGTTTGTTTAAAATAGCTTTTAAACCTATTGTTATTATTTATTTTATTATACTTAATATTTATGCAATATATAAAAAAACTATTATAAAATTTATGATATAAACTTAATGTGAATTATACCATAAAAAATTCAAAAAAAAAAGTATAAATATAAAGCACTATAATAATATAATTAATTTTAATTTTATAATTATATTTAGACAATGTTAAATGTGAATGACCCGACAACCGACGTCCACCAAAGAAAAGTCTCTGCTTGCAACTTTCTATCAAAGAGAAACTTTTTTTTTTAACACTGTTTTAATTTTTACTAATTTTTTATTTTTAATTATATTGAATTTACCTAATACTCTCGTCCAGTTACAAAATATACATATTTTTATTTTGGGACCTTCAATTACAAAGTAACCATTTCATTAAATATCTTATTTTTATGTGTCGTTATACTATTTTTACCTGCTCACTGTAATTAAAATGCTATTATTTCTTAAACCGCGTCAAAACTAAATGTATACTTTATCCGCGGAGAGTGGATTCAAACATATGCAACAAACTTAGAAATAAATCATAATTAAGGTACTAAATATATTTGTGAAAAATATTTTTAAATGGATTTTAATATCATGTCATATCTCGATTATTACTTACCATATTAACTTTAATACAGTCATCTTAATTATACTAAAAAAATACTTTTCTGTAACCAATTTTTATGCTATTTTTCAGATTAATAATCAATCAATATATATTTGTAAAATGCATTTTTATAAATATTTAATTATTTTTAAATATTTTATCAATCAAAGTTTTTATTTAATTATTTTTATTTTAAAATATTTAATCGGATCATTAATATCAATATGTATAAAAATATAAAAAACACACCCTTCTTAATTTATACTTAATCCTTTTCTATTATTTTATACGTGAATGACATTTTGTACTTTATATAAAAATTAAAATGTATTTTCATTATTTTTATTATAATATAAAATAAATATTTTTAAATAAAAAAAATAAAAATAATAAAAAAAAAATCGATGAGAACGGACTGAGCTCTATTTTTTTTTTTAATATATATTTATAAATTAACATTCAATACAAAATAAACTTTTTTTCTCCGGTTTCATTTCAAAAGGTTATTTACTAGCAAAAGTGTGTGATGATTTAATATTTTGTCTTTATAAAGTACAAATAGAGTAAAATATGTATTTGATATTTATATAAAAAATATTGTTACTATATTAAAAAAAATAATTATTACCAACATAATTATTTATATTTAATATAAAAAATATAAACTAAGTATTAAACAAATATATTTTTTATTTATCCCAAATCAATGTATATATATTTTTTCTATTTATATTAATTCCAGATTAATATACTACTATTGATTACCTTTTTAATAATTATACTCATAATTTAAAAATAAAATAAAAATCAAATTACGTATTATTACAGAAATATTATAATTATTTAACCATATTACAAAAAATAAATAAGAACAAAAATAAAATTTTATTCTAAATACAAATATAATACTATTAATGCTAAAAATCTACAGTAAATCAGGTTACATTTATTTAGTACGGATGAAGTATATTTGTTTTCCTTTTAAATATATAGTACATTTATTAATTGAACGCAACCGTCAATTCGAAGCTGCACTCTCTCTCTCTACAGCTTCCCATCGCCGCCGCCGCCGCCGCTGCTGTTGCCATGGCCGGAATCGACATCTCCGCCGCGACTTTCGCTTTAGTCAAGCTACCATCATCTCTCATTTCATCACCGCAGCAAAAGCTCGCGTCTCCCCTGGCACAAGGCCTCAGCTCCCCATGCATGCGCCACCGCCGCGCGCTCTCCTGCTCTTCTCGGACCAAACCGCTCCTCGCGGTTTCTGGAGGAACATCCGTCGCCGCTGTCAATTCGCCGTCCGAGAAAAGGACCGGAAGCCGAATTGCAGTTATTGACAATTACGACAGCTTTACTTACAATCTCTGCCAGGTAAGTTCGAATTTCGTGATTTCAAGATCTAATTGCACTCGATTGTGTGGATTGTTCACCGATAAAATCGCATTAATTTTTGTGGCTTGGATTTTGATAGTATATGGGAGAGCTTGGCTGCGAGTTCGAGGTTTACCGGAACGACGAAATCAACGTGGACGAGCTGAGGAGGTACACAAGTATTTTCACTTAACTGTCTATATAAATGAACATATATTATCGAAACTTGTATATCGACACAACCACGTCGGAGCAAACGAACGGTTTAGATCTGGCGAGACTTAACTTCGATTGAGATTTATCTTATTCGATACACAATTTTCGATTGATGTTATAGGACTTGTTTTGAACGATTTCCTTTTGTGAAATCTTGAATTTGGTGTCTTTCAAACTTCGTTATGTTGAGATAAATTCTGCTACAAGATGTGAAGTTTTGATATACTTAAGGGCAGCATTTTTGTATGTTACGAAGAAATAAACATTGCAGTCTTTCTTTTGTGTATTTGTTTCTTCACAAATTCACAATTGCCTTTGAGAAATTTGAATTTAATATTTAAATACAGTATACGAAATCCATAAAATTTTGATTATGCTTTAATCCAAAAGAAATAGCTATTTATAATATTTTCTTTGACCTCTATGGGGTAATTCTGCATTCTTTGAACCTCTTATGCCCTCTGCTATGACATTAGAGCCATGGTATGAAGTCTTTCTCATGTTTTTCTTTACTCTGTGAAACCTTACATGCTTGTTTATGAATCTGAAAGTATCTGAAAAAAAAAAAAGGGTTCAAATTAGTAATATGAGATACGCAATTAAGATGGTTATAACACTTTGTGTGATTGATATATGCAGGAAAAACCCCAGAGGTATACTGATATCGCCTGGCCCTGGTAAGGATTTTACCACACATGCTTTCTTGTCTTTTGACTCTCCATTTGTTCTACTTTTCATTATATTTCCATTGAAAAACTAGGTGCTCCTCAAGATTCAGGAATCTCCCTGCAGACAGTGCTGGAGTTTGGACCTAGTGTGCCTCTGTTTGGAGTTTGCATGGGACTGCAGTGCATTGGTGAAGCTTTTGGAGGTAATCTTTTATCGAATATGGTTGTTATCTGATGCTGCGAATGTTACTTAGATTGTGATACCTTTCCATATTTGATGATAACTTTTCATCTCAAATCGTATTGAAGAGAAACCCTGGCTATTTAATTGCTTAGCTCGAAACAAATCCACGTGTCAATATTTGTAAGAGTGTTGCGCCCTGAATTTCGACATAGTTGTTGGATTTGTCGTTTCGCTGCCTGAAATCAGTTTGATTTCTTAAATGCCTTATCCAATCATTGAGAGTTCATTTAACGGCAGAACTAGATTCTTTACTACAGAATTAGGCCAATGAATTTGAGACTGCGATTTGAATGCTAGATTGGTGAGAGAATGTTAGAGATATGACACCATTTATATGTTTTCCTTAATATGTCCTGAAAATGGATCTAATGAAATGAGTTTAATATATTTTGCACGTGGTGCATGCCGGTAATGAGACTACAATGCATTCTTTTGATTGTTTTGGCCATAAACAAAGTTCTTTTGTGTGCAGGGAAAATCGTGAGATCCCCTAATGGGGTTATGCATGGAAAAACTTCCCCTGTGTACTACAGCAAGGGTGGAGAACATAATCTGTTTGAAGGTTTACCAAAGTAAGTTCTATTTTAAAAAATAAATAAATAAAAAATAAAATTATTGACAATGATCCGGTGCAACTCTCCCTAGTTTTACTACTACTATACACTAAACAGTAAAGCATCAGCAAAAATGTCTTTATGTTTGGTGGTCTGAAAATAAATAAGGTGTGAGAAGAGCCATATATATATTTCTGATAGATGCTGGAACTAAGATTTGTTCTAACATCACGGCCGCCACCCCTTAACAAGTTACATTATTAATGTCTTATGATTTGATAGTAAATCATTGGCTTGTGTTGTGCAGCCCATTTGTTGCTTGTAGATACCATAGCCTTGTAATAGAGAAGGAAAGCTTTCCAGGCGATGCCCTGGAGGCGACTGCATGGACAGAAGACGGACTAATAATGGGCGTTCGTCACAGAGAACACAAGCATCTGCAGGTAACGTCGTAGTTGTTGTCGTCAGTTTCTAGTAAAGTTGTTGTCCAAGTTCTCATCTCCTTAACTTCCATGGCTATATATATACATATATATATGGTATTAGTAATTTAGTCTGTGTGAGCTTGTGCTGTTAAGCATCACACACACAAGCTGAAATAGTTTTGTTGATTGGGTGGGTGGGCAGGGAGTCCAATTCCACCCAGAAAGCATCATCACCGATCAGGGCAAAACTATCGTCCAAAATTTTGTCAAAATGATCGAGAGCATGGAAGCTGAAGCTGCTGCTGCTGCACAAGTCGAGTAGGTTCTGACAGAGACAATCTCCTCAATGTAGTTACTATATAGTAGTACATTATTATTTATTACTACTATTATTGCGTGGGTATGGTTCAAAACAAAATAAAAAAGTAGCCCAACTGAATCCCTGAATCGTCGTTGTCCATTGATTTGGGCTAACTCTCCCTTTCCCCTACAAGGTTTGCTGTTTTTTATTCTCTCTTCCTTGCTGCTGCTAATCCATCTCTCTCCCTCTCTCTCTCTCTCTCTATATATATATATCATATTCACATTTGGAATGGCTCTTTGGAGTGTTTGTTTATTTTTATATCCAAGAATTTGGCTTTTTTTTTTTTTTTTTTTTTAAGAAAATATATTTTAAATTCTTATTTATTGTTTTCATTCAAAACAAGAAAAGAAAATTGTTATTTTTTTTTTCATCCTATGCTTTTAGTTGTTGGATTCTTTATCGAAAGGTCGGTCAGTCGTGGAATGAAATGGGAAATAAGCTGGCTTCTTTTATCATCTTTTACCCAAAGAGAAACATTAATAGCACCGAAAAAGGAACACAAGGATTATATAAATGTAAAACCTCCAACTATTCTTATTTGTCTTCATTCACATCCAAGTTTTGTCAGCTGAAACTTTTCTGCTGTCGCATTCTCTTCTCCACACCGGATTCCGGACAACCATTTATTTTTTAATAAAAGAAAATTAAAAACCAAAAAGGTCATCAGAACAAGACAAAGCAACTGCACAGACCAATTGCCATAATTTTTGTCCATTATGGAAAACAGACACGCTTATAAAAACAACACACACTTGACATAACACACAATTTTCAAGGATTGAAGGGAATGTAACGAAGCTTTTCAAATATTTTAAATATTTAGTTTTAAATTTAATAATTTAAATAATTTAATATATAGATAAAATTAAATCTAAATATAAATTTGCAAAATATAAAATTGAATATCTAAAATATCTCATAAAATTTACTATTTGTTTGCCTGTAATTGGTACATTGTCTTAATGACTTGACGCTATAGTGGCTTATCTAACTGATGTGGTTAGCATACTCCGGTGCAAGACTCGAGTATTTGCCTAATACAACGGCATATTTTCACATTAAAAAAAAATAAATGATAATAAAACGAGGGAATGGGATGGAATCCTATACCCACCACCAGCCGCCCCACCCCATCCCAAATAAATTTTAATAACACGACCATCATATATGCACTCTCTAGAGGTATATACTATATTTAATCTATTGCCTCAACAAGCTTTTGTCAAGGTACTCAAAAATTCTGACCAAATTAAATTACTGAAAGCTAAAGGCATAACATAATGATAACATATATGGGCGAGGGGACATTATTTTAAAGGGTGCCTAATGGTGTAGCAGGTATGATAAATACATGCACACACATGCCCCATCATGATCCTCAATGGCATACACAGATACGTACATATATATATATATATCAATATCATCATCAAAGTTTATGCTCATGCTCTTTAATTCTATACACAGCCAAACAAAACATCACCAAGTAATCAAAATGAAGAGAACTAACAATAATAATGAGCACTTGTGAACCAAATAGGAAACATACCTTCCCTAGAAGGAAGATGCTTTGCCTCGACGGTGCCTCTTACCACGGTGGCGATGGGCTGCTCCGCCAAATGTGACTGGATCAAATCCTCGGAGCCTTTCGGCTTCCTTGGGATCGATAACACATTCGGAAGGTGGAGTTTCGTAGCGAGAATGATCATAGCAATATGAATACTGGAGATAGTTCTTCCTGAACCTCACCATTTTTGTTCTATGTGTGTTTGTTATGCCACTGTCCATAGAGGAGAATTTTGGGCTGTCTTCGCATTTGGCATGGTAAATAGGGTCAATAGCACATCCATGGAGGACGAAATTGGAGAATTCTGCTATGTAAGGGGCATATTTGTAACTGACTTTGTATTTTCCTCCATTTGTGGCCCAAGTGGAACCATCCCAGATTGTGGCGTAGAGAGACATTGGCTTGGAGGGGAAGTCCCCACCCATTGTATCTGTCCTTTTGATCTCTCTAATGGGAACATTGTCGACGTAAAAGCTGCAGAACAATTCGAAGACACACCAAATATGAACAAAACATTAGCAAGGCGTGGATTGAAGGATTCCGAAAATGCACATATCATGTGGGCTAAAAGGTTAGAATACATATCCGTCCATATTGGAAGAGGAAAAGGAAAAGGTGTAAAGCAAATTAAAAGCATGGAAAATAAGTACAGTTTCAGTAACAAACACTATATGTGAATGAAGGATCCATAAAAAAATAATCTTTTTTTTAAGAAAGAAACTGGGACATGGTGAGGATCTTGTGACTGTAGTCACCAACCTGAGCATAGCTCGCATGAAGCAGAGAAACAAAAGGATGAATGAGTCATTGATCTTTAAACTAGTTCGAGAAAGCAGAACAAATATTGCTAGGTTCAATCTATGTGATCATTTTCGCAAGTTAGCTTAAGAATATTAGCAGAACACTCCGATTGAATCACTGTTTGTACTGCAATTGAAATTTACAATACCATTGTTATTCTATGCCAAAGAATAAAGCACGAGTTTTGGTTTTGGAAGGTTATGAAAAGTGGCATCGGATGCCCTAAACGATAGATTATATACAGTTTCAGAGAACAATATCATGCTTCTTTGCTACCTATTGAAAGGGACACTACGTCTGAGGATCCAGAAATAGCGTTTGAGAAAACTCAAGACAGAATCAAACAAAATAAAAGCTGCTTGCAGGGCTGAGCAGTGAGCAGTCAATTGCGGAAATGGAAATGAAATTGAAAGGGGGCTGTATTCAGAAGACTTTTAAATTTACTCACACAATAAGATTCTCAGTCCAGACGATGCTGTATTGGTGGAAATCCTCAGAGGGATCAAACCAGAGGCCGTATCGTTCTTCTCTGCCAACGCTTGTGCTTCCATTTCCATAAATGTTCGTCTGGATTCTCCAGTCTTTACCCCTTATGTTCCCCAGAAACTCAAAATCTATTTCATCATGGTTCTTCTCATACAGGTCACCGTTCGACATCTGCCGCCATTAGTGGCAAGAAACGAACATGACATAAATTTTACCTCACAGTGAAATTCAGTTTTCCCGAAATTATACAGATGACCATCCGTACTAACTTCATTTTTGGGAGCTTGAATACCAGTCAATATAGAGTTGTATAAAGGTGCAGACAAAAAGATAATGCAGATATATCATTTAAATGACTTGTGAAAGTTGTTTTGGAATTCAATTGAGTTTCTTCTGGAGAGCATCTTAACTATGTCCTTCGAGAAAACAGCATTTAACAAACGAAAGAAGCTTTTGCATCATTTTTATGGACCTGAATTGCAAACATTAACAGTTTTAAATCCACATGAAAACTCAAATATGTTGATATTAAAAGCATAGACAGCCTGTGGCGAACTTCTGAGAAATTAACAGCAATGAATTAATTTGCTTAACAGAAGAATGAAGAATTAGTTAGTGAATTTATCACTCACATAAAACGCAACAACAACACCGGCAGTGTAATCTGCAGGAAGCTTGATGGAAGCACTAAAATGTCCGTGGAGATACAGGTCCTGCGACACAAAACCAGCACCTGCGCTAATAAACCGTCAACACAGATTTCCAATCCTTTACAGCAGAAGTATTTACATAGAATCATACCATCAGAACACCACACCACCACAAAAGAAACTCGAATTATTCACGCAAACACGTATATGATAAATCACAATTCTCTACTTGAAAATTAACAAAAAAATACCTGTCCTCTCATCCAGAGAGAGGTGAACGGAATTTCCATCTCTGAGAACCATAAGATTATCATCTCCAAAAAGCTGCGAATAGCCTTCCTCGAACGAAACTATCGGAAGATTTCTGGAAAATCCACCAACAGATAACACTAGAAAGGTAAAACAAAGGGAGACAGTTACAACTTCCATACTGAGATTCATATTTCCTTTGCGATAAAAATGATGCTCTTTCTCGTGGTGATTATTGGTTGAAGAACAAACTCTTCTTCTGAACGATGCTCGTGACGCTAATTCCAACTCAGACGTATTATCGAAGCTACAAATGAATGGCCTTAATCTGTACACCAATATATATATACACACACCAGAGAGAGAGAGAGAGGAGAGAGAATATGTGAAAAGCCGACGGGAAGGAAGACCAAGCAGTGTGTGTGATGACTGTGGCCGAATGAGCTAATCCTCACTTGTACAATACATATATATACACACACACATACGTATACATATGTGTACGTGTACATTCACATACATCAAATAATAATAATAATTATTATTAAATTGGATTAATTAACATACTGAATAAATATATATAGTTTTACCAATAAAATGCAATAATATATGCAAAATTAGTAACGCTTCTAATTTAATTTTTTGCCTTAGAAATACTCTGGATAAGTGTAATGAAATTTATCACAGGAATTTAATTTATTATTTGAAAATATTTATTAAAGGTAAATAAACAAATATTAGAAGATCATTATGACTGTTTATTTACTTTCACCTTAATCTATGACTTAACTTTTGATTAATTTTTTCCCCGATTTGATAAAGCTTCCAAAATTGTCGCAAACGCAAAACTGCAAAGCCACTTTTTTGATAGATTTTAAATACTTTTTGTGTATACTAAAGATAGAAATGAATTTAGTAAATACTTATTTTATTTTAAATATATATGTTAATTGAATATTAATATTTTATTTATTTGGAAAAAAGTTAGGAAACAATACAAAAAAAGGACGGTTTGACTGGCCACCGCCCATGACTGCCGGCAGCTAATCTTAGCCATTTTATTTCCAAAAGTACCCTCGAGTATTTACGGATTTGAATTTCAACGGTAAAGGGCATTTTTGGAATAAAAATTAAAAGTTGGGTGGCGCCGTTGTCACCGAGTGGCGCGTGGAGTTTAAAACTGGGAGCGGTTTGTCATCGCGCGTGAAGCGGCGGAAACTGTTGGGGTTGGTGATGTGGCAAACGGGACGGCCACGTAAGAAAGATAGCCGTTGCACGTGGGACCGGCGAGGCAGTCAGATTATTAGTCAGACCGTCAGAGACACAAAGCGAAATCTAAAGGGGCCTTTTGAATTGACGGCGAACTTAACGGCGTTAACTTTGGGGTCTATTCGGTGAACAAAAGGGTTGGGTCACGCGTGTGTGCTGTAACCCATTAGTATATTTTTTTATTCTTGCAAAGAACTAGGATAAATTTCTAAAATTATTATAATTATCTAATAGTATAAATTTTGTGTGATACCAGGAATATTATAATTAAATATAATAATAATAATAATAATACTGAAATTTGATGAGGTAGGATATATCTGCGAAGAATTCGTGCGGGGCGAAGAACTCAAAAACAGCCAGTTTGGCGCATTTTATCCTGTAGAAACAATTAAGTTCTAACTTGTGCCGGGGCGCAAAGATCAACGGTCGAAACAGATCCCCATAATCTCCAGATTCTACCAAACGCCTGCCATTAGTAATTAATTACTAGTAGTAGATTTTTTCCTTAAAGTACTTATAGAAATGCAAATATATAAAAATATACTGTAGTATGTTTGTTTGTGTTCTTGAACGTATTAAGTATTAATATAAAAAAAAGTAATGAATATAATATATATATAAAAAAAAAAAATTATTATATTGTAAGAATCACGAATATTTGTATTTTTAAATTATTTAATACAATGATATTATGAAAGTACAAGAAGCACGCACAATAATAAAATGATTCATAATGAACGTAACAATTTCAAATTTATGAGTTTGTTTTTGTGTGTATGTGTTTATTATTTAATTTATTAGTTTTTTTTATTATATCTAATCTAAAATACATATTGTTAAGACAATCTATGGTCAATTTTGTTTATATTCTTTATTAATAAAGATAAACAATATGTACTTCTATGTAACACAATATATTGTGTAATAAATATGTGTAAATATTTTATTTAAATTATTATTTATATCAAAAACTAAAACAAAATTAGAACTAACTTCAAAATAGATCATGTCTTTGTTTATTTTTTTGCTATGTTTTGGTTCCGAATACTTAAAATAATCGTTAAATAAAATATTATGTAATAAAATTGTATATTTTATAGAGAGCTATACTTACAAATATAAATTGGCAGCACATCATAGTCAAATTAAAATTATTATACTTTTGTCACTAATATAATATAATGTAATTTATTTACTTAATCTCTAATCTACCTAATTCCAATGCAAATCCATGGAGATGCAAGAAAGTATATACATATATATATATGTCATATTATTTATATCCCATCAAGAAGAAAAATATTTTACTATACAATTTCATCATTATTAATTATAATATATTTGTTTTTTTTATATACAAAATATAAAACCAATTATTTATATTTTTTAAAAACTATAGTATCATAATTGAGACTACAAAATGCGCAATATGCTAAATAAAGTGTAATTTTAAATTATATATAAATTAACCAAAAAAAAAAACGCGGGGTTGGTTGGGCCGTTATAGCGTACGGGAGGGTCCACGGAATCATTGTCAAGTACACGTGTCGCATGAGGTATGGCTGAGGCACTTGAGGTAGGTGATTGGATATCAACGGCCACGTCAGCGGGGATATGGAGCGCCGAATATAGGTCTATCCACACCACACCCCACCACTCAATGGCCTTTTTCTTTTCCAACTCATCTGACTGTGACAACGATTTATTTATTTTTATTTATTTAGATAAATCATTTTATTTTATTTTTGTAATAATAGCAACACTGTAAAAATAGAAAAATAAATTGGATATGTATATTGTTTGATTCAATAATTAATAATTGTTGCAATGAATGAGGTCGAATGATGTTTTTGTAATGGGGGAGGGGACGACCAAAATAATTTAGTGCGTAACAATAATGTCATGATAACTAATTAATAAGAAGCCCATTTTATGAAGTTTAATGATTAGTCATGTCTTACTTCATAAACGAAACCTCAATTTACTTATTTATTTTCAATTGTGTAGTATTGTATCTAAATTAAATGTTCTAATGGTCACTTTGCTTTGTGATTTAATGTGAATAAATATGGTTGAGATTATTTAATAACAAATTATTAATTTGATTTGCTGTAAATTTGACTAATAAGAGTTACATATACTTAATTTACGAGTAACTTGTGCTACATTGTATGTATCTATACATATAAAATTATTACTATTATTATTATTTAAATAAATAAATAAATAAATAAAAGTATGTATATATATGGGGGGAGAGAGAGAGCGCTGAATGCGATAATAGCTGGCAATGGCGCTTTCAGATAAATTGTGACAAAGCGGATAATGATTGCATGTGTACGCTGAAATGCGTTTGTAATGGTCTGGTTTTTTTGTTATTTTTTGTATTTTAATTTTCAATGTTTTTGAAATTAAATAATTGCTAGATTATTGCTTTACACAGAAAATAACGTACTGGATATAATATTTTAAAATATTATAAAACCGCATTGAGAAAAAAAATTGAAAAAAAAAAAAAAAAACATAGCCAAACAAACCTCTAGTTGGTGCAAGTACAAATTTATGAGCTTGAGCGCTATTTGCCATATAATTCCTAGCCATCTGCAGGCCCCCTTCCCCCACAACCAAATCCCGGGCCGGGCCCAGCCCTGGCCCGCGTAGTTCCAAGTTCAATACAGGCAAAATTGTACGTCAAATAATCATTAGGCCAAGGAAACAGTACTTGGGCTGGATATATAGTAATGGGCTCATGTGGGCATATAAGACCCATTGAATTTTTTGGGCTTTTAATTTTATTATTGGGCCTTTGTTGGGTTCAAACCTAATTTGTATCCGCTGTGTGAGGGAGGAGAAGTTCTCGATCTCTGCGGCAAACCCCGAACCGCTTAGTCGAAAATATTCGGAGAAATGCAGCAGGCCGCTGGACCACCGCCGGCTCGGGAGCCGGGAGATGCGCCGCCGAAGCAGGTGGCGCAAGCGCTGGAACAGTTGGGCCAGGCGGGGCGGCTAATAGCGGATGTGCGGCTCGGCGCGGATCGGATGCTGGAAGCGTTGTTCTTCGTGGCGGAGGAGCCTCATCACCAGCACTCTGCTAAGTGCTTGAATTTGGTCCTCAAGGAAGAATCGTTGATGCGGCAGCACCTCCAGAACCTCCGGGTTATTGGTGAGTGATATAAACTTGTTGATGTGCGGGAGTTCGTTTAATTAGAGGTTCCGTGAATTGTTTGTGGAATTTTAATTAATCCACGGTACAGTCGGTGAAAGTTCTGTGATGCACGCTTCTCGGCTCAGTTGACTAATTGTGGTTTCAGATTGATGAATTAGAAAGTTAAAAAACTTTCAACAGACCCTGGATTGTTTTTCATGTGATGTGAACGCTATGCACCTTTATTTACCAGATGTAAGTGTAATTGTTCTTGGTTCCAAGAATCAGTTCTTTTACAATTATGTCAGAATCTATGTTTCCATAATATTGGTTCGCGGATGATTATTATATGTCCACATTTTCTTGTTAACGTGGAAAATTTTGAGAATATGCAATTTGGTGATCCTATGTGTTGATTTGCCACTCTTTTCTAGTAATAAGGTGGAGTTGTTATGATGCATCTACTTGTAGTAGTGGCCTATATTTGCGGTAGCCTGCTGAAATGTTTAGCGATTTGCTTTGTTCTTAATGAGAAGAATTTCCCATGGTTATAGAGATCAAAGGTTTATATCGTAAGCAAAGATATTGTTTCATCATGTGGATATTCTTTTGAATCGGTTAGGAAAGCAGCTGGAGGAATCTGGAGTTTTGAATGATTCTCTTCGTTCAAGAAGCAATTCTTGGGGCCTCCACATGCCTCTGGTTTGTCCTGATGGTGCTGTGGTGGCATATGCATGGAAGCGCCAGCTTGCAGGTCAGGCTGGTGCGTCTGCTGTCGACAGGACTAGGTAGGTAAATCTGTATGTTTCTAATTTATAACATAGATGAAGATTCTCAGAAGCGTGTTAAAATTTAAACTCCATTATTATTTGAAGTTATACTTCATATGTATGCATGTGCACGTGTATTTGTTTTATCTTATGTAATTTGTGGATGATCAACACGTGGTAAATCTGTTTTTTCATAGATTGGCTCTTAAAGCATTTAGAGATCAAAAACGGCGATTTTTCCCCCACCTCACAGATGATTCTGCTGTCGAATCAGCAAACAAGAAACACCGCAGCCCTTGGCCAATATCTCAAGAGCTTGGTGATCTGAAAACTTTGGCTGATATCTTGTCAAACCTAGAGAAAGAAGTTCCCAATCTGCAAGCATTCACTTATCCCAGATTGGAGTGGTTGAAACGAGCATCATCATTGCCGTCTACTGCTAATGACAACTCCTCTGACTTATCTAAAGACCACAGCTTCTCTAGTGCAAGCAAATGGAAACAAGACTCAATATCGATGCAAACTACGGATAAAGCTGCTGTGATTGAGTTACTTTCCCCTTCTGTATTCAGAGCAGTAGTATCGTTACATACAGCAGGATCAATGGATCCTGATGCAGTAGCATTCTTTTCTCCGGATGAGGTGATTTACTTCTTTCTTGCCCTCTTCGTTTTTGTTCTATGTTCCTTGAACACGATTTTAATGTTGAATTACTCAACTTTTCCATCCCACAATTCCTAAACCACATCTGATGTGTTATGTGTTTAATTCCTTATGAAGGGTGGCAGCCACTTACATGCATGGGGCTTTTCATCACACCATGTTTTTAAGCATGTATCGGTAAGTGCTTGATGACTTCACTTACCACATCCACACAGAAAGAATATCACTCCCACAAACTGCACTTCAATATTTTAGATCCTAAATCTATCTACTTCATAAATGAACTGCTGCAGGAACATGCTTCTATGGCTTTGCAATACTTTACTTGGGCAAAGCCCGAAACAGCCCTTCACTTGTTGATGGTATTCTACAACTTGTACGATAATGCAAATATATAAAACTTATCTGGTTCCAAACTGTCTCTGTTGTTTTACTGCAGCACTGGATTTGCAGCTACCAAACATTATTCATCAAAGTGTGCAGGTGATGTTTTGTTCTCTTAGCTTATTTTTTCTATTTCGTGTTTAAACCCCAGATCATCTCCCCCACACTCAAGATTATTGTAACTGTGCAGCAAGTGTGGGAAGCTTCTGTCAATGGACAAACAATCAGGCTTGATACTACCTCCTGTTAAACGCCAATTTCGCCATTTCAGTGTTGGCAAAACTTCAACAAGAAGCGAAAACAGCATCAGTGATCATGTTCAAGCTTTTCACATCGGATGCTTTTCAGATGAAGCATAGGTCTGCCCTGTTTAGATTTAATATGTTCTGAATCTGTTTGTAGATTATAGAATTATATGTCTGTGTAGCTGTATTTCATCTTTCCTATTTCAAATGTAGAATTCCCCTTGAATTTTATCTCCATTTCTTATAATCTTCTACATATATTATCAGAAACTTTATTTTCCTCCATGAAATATTCTGTTTTCCGCATGCTTAATGTAGCTTGAATGAGAGACCAACCACCTTAGTAGCTTGAAGTTGTTGGACTTATTCCTTCCATATTTTGTTTTTTTGACAGTAAACAACCTTTATTGTCATTTAACCTTGCCTAGCCAAAGAGAAAAGGTAGTTTTCGATGTACTAAACAAAGTGCAATCCAAATGTTGAACATCGTCATATTTAAATTTCAAAGTATTCATCCTCGCTTTACTATATCCCTTGCTAAACCATAAAGTCACCTCTCAGAAATATTCCAAACCAAATGCAGAAGCAATCTGTCACAAAGTTTGGCCAAGGAATTTCATTCCTGCTGATCTTTAAAAAGTCCTTTGTAGCTACCACAAGTTTATGTTACTGCCATTGGTTGTTAGCTTGTCTGATCAGAAACCAGTCAGAAAAACGTAAGGCTGTTTAATTATAGCAAATATTCATTTAGCTTAGACAATGGATACCTTGGAGGGTCACAGGTACAGGTATGCCAGGCCAGCCTCGGGTGTGACAGTGCTTGCACACTTGTTTGGTATCATTGCCATCATTCTGCTGCTCGTGTGGCTCCTGCATTACCGCGAGGGCATTGATCTTGACTCGGACAATGCCTATCGTGTTTTCAATGTAAGCCCTTTTATGTAATAATTTGCATTATCTTCTGCTTCTGCTTGTGTTCGTTTGATTTTAGTAATTTGCCAATGTTGTTCTGCAGGTTCATCCCTTCCTCATGTTCTTCGGGTTCATATTCATGGCAGGCCAAGGTACGGTAACTACACAAATATATTAAACTTGTGCTATTTTATAAACGATGTGATATATGGTTTGAGTACTCGAGGATTGACCAAATGCATTTATCCCTTTTGAACTGTGCAAGCCATGATGGCATACAAGACAGTAGGCGCCGAGAGACAAGTGAAGAAACTCGTCCACATGTTCTTTCACTTGGTCGCCATGGTGCTAGGGATAGTTGGACTGCACGCCGCCTTCAAATTCCACGATCAAGCTGGGGTCACCAACCTCTACAGCCTGCATTCTTGGATCGGCATCGGCACCTTCTCCCTCTTCTGCTTGCAGTGGCTTTTCGGGCTCGTCGTGTTTCTGTTCCCAGGTGCGCCCTCGGAGACGAAGGCTAGGGTTCATCCATGGCACATCAGCGCCGGCAGAGCCCTCCTGTTTATGGCCATCTGTGCCGCCCTCACCGGGCTGATGGAGAAGGTCACTTACTTGAGGCTGCAGCATCACCACGAGGCCCGCGTCATCAACTTCCTCGGCTTGGCGATTCTTCTCTTTGGTATTTTCGTCGATCTCTCGATTTCCCTCGCACGCTATGTTTGAACATTTGCTTCTTAAATTCAGTTCTTTCTTGCTTGGTGTGGTGTTTTGGTCCCTTTTTTTTAAAGTTCTGTAAGAGAAATGATTCTTGACATTATTTGTGTAAGAAAAGGGTGTTTGTGTTTGTGTAGTCTTTTGCCTAAATGTGACATGAAATAAAAATTGCAGTATATGTTCAAATTAAGGTCTCTCTGTACATTATCCAATCCATAAAAAATGTCACAGAAATATCCATCCAACGGTTACAACCAAAATGGCGCTACAAAATTACAAAAATACCCATTTGTTGATCAAAGCTTCAAATTCAGATCAGGGAGAGCTGATATATCCGTCCTAGCCGGAGGCGGCGCCGCCGCCGCCGCCGCCGCCGGCAAAATCATCGATCCGGCGGCGAAATTAATATCGGAACATTCGATCCCCTGCCGGAAGCTCCCGGGCCAAGAAAGCTCGGCTTCATCGTACTCCACGTACACCGGCGACGGCAAGCCGTAATAGCCATGATCTACGAACCTGGCGCCGCCCCTGACGGCGGCGGAGCTCTGCACGTAGTGGTGGTGGACGGAGGCGGCGTGCGCCTCAATGCCGAGCGACCGGAAAGTCGAACCGTGGAGCGGCAGCGTGGCGAGGCTGGCGTAACGGTCGGAGAACATTCCGATCCGCATGGCGCGCTTGGCGAGAGTTCGTTCACGTTTGTGGGCGTTTTGGTGGCCTCCCAGGGCTTGGGAGCTGTAGAACTTCCGGCGGCAGTAGTTGCAGGAGAAGACTCGGGACGCGGCCGCCGGAGGAGGAGGATTGGCGGCGTCGGCGCGGTGGTCGTCGGCGGCGTTGATGGCGAGGGTGAGGTCGAGCAGACGGTGGTGGTTAGTGGTGGATGGGTCTGGTGCATCGACTGTTGTGGTGACGTTGGAGGCTACTTGGCTTGTGACCTCTGATTCGTCCTCTGAATCGACAATGGCGGTTGTGAATTTTGGAGGCATTCTGTAATTGGGGTACAGAAGACGTCAAGAACACAGAAAGCATGGAGTGGATGATATACATGAACACATGATGATTGTGAGTATTATTATTATTATTATTAGATAGGGATTGAAATACTACTTTTTATGGGGAAAAAAGAAAAGAAAGGAGAATCAATCATGAATAATTTACCTTCTTCCCTCTATTATTGAGTGAGTGAGTCATAAGAACAAACAGTAGGTATGCATGAATGAATCAATCAAATGAAATCTAACAGAAAGGGGCAAACAAAGCAAGAAAGGAAAGGGCTTTAAGCAAATAGGACAGAGCAAACAGTAGTTTTGATTTGGATTTGGATATGGATTTGTACCTTGAAGCTGCACCAAAATAATACACCTTGGTTGAAAAAGACAGACAGGATTGATGTTGGGTTGGGTTGTGTTGTGTTTCTTGATAGTTTTTGCCAAATTTGTTTGTGTTTTAGAGTGAGAGGGAGGCTACCAAGTTGGAGATAAGAAGCAGAGGAAGAAGATCATTAGAGAGAGAGAAGAAAAGGGATCAAGAATGGTGGGATGTCAGACAGATAAGTCAGTCAGTCAGTCAGTCACAGAAAAATTAAGGAACAGTACACCACACCACTCAGGGGGGTGGGGTGGGGTGGGGTGGGGTGGTTTGTTGCATATAGAGACACAACTTTGTGTTGTGCTGTGTTCTTGGTGGGCTATCTATCTATTCTGTTTAACTACCACTACTACTTGGATCTAATCAAAAATTATCTATTGATCCATGTCTATTGTTTTTCATTGTAAAGATTCCAATCCTTAATTTCACTGTCAAACCAAACCCTAATTTTGTTTTTTTTCTTTGTTTGTTTGTGCAGGAGGAGAATTCAAAGTGTCTTTCTTGTTGTATTATTTGGTTTATACATAACAAATTTGTTCATCTTCATTGCATAACCAATTTGGTCAAATATTATTAGCCAATTAGGCATATATGTTTGGAAAATGAATGAATTCATTTAGTAATGTGTAAGAAAAATAGATGGGCAGCCATAATGTCCAATAATAATGATATACTCCATACATCATTCATTCCCACTGCTCACATCCCAATATGTGTATTTATTTATTTAAATCATTCATTACAAAGCACACCACATGATATGACACATAAGTAGCACATATATAAATGTATGTTAGTGTTTTTGTATTACAACATACAATATTCCACCCACACTCCCAACACGTGGACCACTACTACTACTACTAAATAAATTAATTTTGAAATATAGATTTAGGTCATGGATGAATTATTTTAAATTTTTGAGATAATTAAAGTAGTGTGACAATGATGATACATCATGTTAATAATATTTGTGTATGTTTTGGGGAAATCCAATGTGCAGATTGATGCGATCTCAGCCGCACGATCGGTTAAATATAAAGTATTAGTCCACTAATTGCACCATTAAAATAGATTATCCCAACCAAATCAAGATTTGGAGAATATCACCTCAATAATTAATATTCATATATATATATATATATATCAGATTATGAATTTTCGACATACTTTTATTACTCCCTCCGTCTCAGATACCGTATCTGCTACATTGTAGACACGGTATTTTAGGAGATGTGTAATTAATAGATAATTAAAAATGTATTAGTGAAAATAATTATCCTATAAAATAAATAATTATAAATTAAAATTAATGTAACTAATTAGTTTAATTAAAATTTAAAAAAATAAAAATTTTTAAATGAGATTAAAGTGTCTAATATTTTCAAAAAACAGAAAAATAACATGGTACATGGGACGAACAAAAACAACAACGTGGACATGTTATCTGGGAGAACATGAGAAAGTAATTAATAACAAATATATCTCGTAATTATAAAGTAGTATTTGTTAGTGGAAGGAGTGTTGATTCTTCTCGAGCCCCCAACTAAATTATTTTTTTACAACTTTTTGTACTGTTTATTGTTATTTATTTTTTTTCTATTTATTTATTTATTTTTCAATATAATGTTAAATTGTTTTGGTACTAAGTTTGCTAGATTTTCTGTCAAATAGAACTTTTGAATGGTTTTTTGTTGATAAAGTTTATATATTAAAGTTGCCTGAATGCCTTTATTTTTTATTTCTTTTAATATTAAATATATTTGTTCACATCGTAAAGTTATTTATTTATTTTCTATATATATACTTTTTTGTTGGGCAGGGTTAGTGGGATTTTTTTAATGAATTCTTATGGTTAGTGGCTTTTTATGGGCCGAGGCCCAATAAGATGATGGCCCAAATGTATTTTTACTATGAACTTTTCTTACAAGTGCTTATTAATTTCATAACTTAGTGATATATTTCATTTGCAAATATTTATTTATACAATTTAAAATAATACTCCATAAATGTATATATATATTTGTAAAAAGTATTACTTCATAATTAACTTATAGTATCATTTAATTTTATTTAAATATAAGGTTAAATATCTATTTTATTTAAAATATCAAAATATAATTTCGAAACCCAACTAAAATTTATTGCATTTTTAAAATAAAGATTGTAATTTTTCGGTAACAAAATATATAAATACTAGATTATGCAACTAATCATACATTTTTAGAAGTACTTTAGGTTAAATTATCTATTGAGTCTTAACACAATATTTACAATTTTCTTATAAAAAATAGATATTTTTTAATAAATATTACATCAAATAATTATTTAAATTTAGTTTAAAAAATAAACACAGACCAAACACACCCTTATTGTTTAATTCAATGCATTGAAAGAAAATCATTGTCGAAGAATCTTCAAAATGGAAAGTCCAAACACAACCCTAACTTTTTTGGGCTATGTTTGGACGGCCGACTTCATATGGGCTCCATCAGGCTCTGCAAGTGGCCCATTTCGCCATCAAATCAAACACGACTTTGACAATCTGCAAACGCAACCGGACCGCATTCACCTAATGATTACGCCCTGTTTGGCTGTTCCCAACTATTCCAAGTAATAATTCAACCCTCTCTATATATGGTCAAATAAATTACTAAATCGCAATTGCGCAGCTACTTCGCCATAATTTATGAACAAATTGAGATTATTTCAAAGAGGGCATTAAACTGGGGTGGTAGGGTAGGGTAGGGTAGGGTAGGGTAGGGTAGGGTAGGGTAGACATATATACATACATATGCATTTATATTTATATTTATATGTATGTGGTGAAAAATAAAAAATAAAAAAAATAAAAAAATGTCAATATACGAAGAAATTGGGTGGTTGACCAAAAATAGTGTGATAAGATTCCACATGTGAATGTGACACTGTTTAAGATTTTGGTCCCATAAATATTCTGATTTTGTTTGGATAATTATTGACTTTCTTTGTCCGAAACGAAGACTATTTTGCACACACAACCTTCAAATTATCCTCTCTCTCACTGTGGCCCATCCACTTTTTATTATTGCACATTATCATTAATCAAAGTTATTGTTGTATTTTTATTTTTTTCTCCCTCTTTTTTTTTTTAAAATATAATTGCTAAAGTAATTAATAATAATTTGGTTATTGGAGTTTTCTAGCAAAAGCTTTACATAATGCTTTATGTAACTAAGGGTGTGTTTGGCCGTTTGTTTTTCATATTATGCTTTTTCCTTCTTTTTTTTTTTTTTTGTTGTAAACAAAAATAATATATCAAGTCTAATACAATTTTCAATAAAAATAATTTTTTATATAAAATATTATATTAAAAATATTATTTAGATTAAAATTCAAATATAAATTTTACTTTTAAATAAAAAAACTAAAGAATCATAATTATTGCAAATTCTATGCATAAAGAGTAAGTAAATGCATTTATTTCGAAGGGAGGCAGTAAAGTTTTCAATAAATGATTTTATGTGGCAGTATGTAAAGATTTTAACAAAAAATCAACATTCTATCTAATAATATCCAACGACAACTTTATTGAACTGACGGTTATTACTATACGTGTTGAATTTTAGATTTTGTCACGGCACTAACAATACATCACATGATATTAGTTAAATATAACGTATTATTTATATCAATATAATATAAATATTATACTTTCTCCCTTATGCCAAATATGAACATTTTTATTAGAGCAACAGTATTTTAGGCGGTAGTAAGTTATTAAGTTATTAATAATAAGTTATGAAAATATTTTACTTCCTCCGTCCAATTGGAATGGTGGCATTTGTTTTTTTGCACGTAAATTTTTTAATATTACCATTATATTGAATTTGTGGTGAAAAAACAACAATATCCCTATTAGTACGATGTAATATAAAAGTAATGATATTTGTGTAATATATTATAAGTTGAAAGGGTATTTATTATGTTATGTAGATAGTACAGTTACTGAATTAGGAAATGATAACCTTATTTTGGGACTGACAAAAATATAAAATAATAACCTGTCGATGGGACGGATGGAGTATTATTTTTTATATGTGTACTTTGTTGGTATTTTAAATATCTTTAGAACTATATTTCAATAAAATATATACAATATGAATATCATTTCATAGACAATATAATTTTATATAATACAAATGAATAAAAAAAATATTTATTTATTTATTATTACCATAAATTAATTTTATAAAAACTGAAGAGTTTTAAAAGTAGATAAAAAATATTTGTTAATTCAGAACAGATAGAAATAAAGGAGTTTTGAACGGGTCCTACGTGTAAGATGTTAGAAGTTTAATTAAATTGATTTATATTTGTTAAGTATGTTTAAAATTGATAAACTTACAAAAATTGAAAGAGGTCATCTTTTGTGGGACGTACCAAAAAGGAAATGAGGTCATCTGTGGCGGGACGGAGGAAGTATAAATTAACAACACATAGGTAAGTTTGTTTGGGGGTTTGGATTTTGAGTTGGGATTTGAATAGTAAAAATTTTGAATTTCAATAGTTGTACGATGTGAAATAAATAGGTGTTGATGTGATATTTTTAATGTAAAATTAATTTTTTGTATAATATAAAAAATAAAAAATAAGTGTTTGATTTGATATTTTTAAAAAATAAAATAAAATAAAATAAAATAATAAATTTAAAATCCAATCCTCCAAACAAACACACCCTAATGGTCCAACACTATGATTTTTTTGTATAGTATAGTGAATTAAGTAAATAATATAAAAAATAATATTGTATATTAAATATTAATTTTTTATAAAATAATAAATGTAATATATTATGTATATTGAAATTCATGTCGATAATATTGTTAAATTTATAAAAAATAAAAAGAAATTGTCTTATGTGAGATGAGCTAAAAATAAAAAGAAGTGATTTTATGTTAAACAGGCTAAAAATGAAGCAAAAGCATGCGGGACTGTGAATATATATTTTAATGTTGTCAAAAGTTTAAAATACTGTGTTTATGTAAAATTTTGAATTATTTTAATTGATGTGATGTAAATGATTTATACACATATATATATATATATATATTTAAAATATATATTTAACATAATATATAGACTTCGTTCAAACAGAAAATTTTGGCATTTTAATTTTTTTTAAATATTATTCCCTCCGTCCATTTTCTAATGTCCTATTTGATATTACACGTATTTTTAAGCAATTAAGATTTTTGTTATAAAATGACAAATTTGTCCTTAATCTTGTGTATAGAAAATGAAATAGTAAATAAAGTAAATATAAAAGAGTAAATTTTGTGTATAAAAATAGAAATAAGACAATAATTGTTGGACATTTCAAATAAAAAAGTAGGACGTTAGTTTGTGAACGGGTATTTAATGTGTTTTTTTTTTTTTTTTTTTTTTTTGCAATAAAAGCATATATTTGATATAATATTTAAAATAAAAAAAAATCATTGGAATGTTTGGAATTAATTGAGTTATCCTGTAATTAATTAAGTAGGTATAATTACCACAAGCATGCCATGCAAATTGCAAAATATCTCACCAAAGTTAGCCAAATTGACTATTTCAATGTTGGGTTAGGTTTAATTGCAAATTCCTCAATTTAATTATTATTTTTCCTTGTTCTTCACTTATAGATTGGGACCATTTTATTTGTAAATAAATAAATAATAATATTTATATATATATATAAATATATTTTTCAAAATAGTGTGACATACCATGGATCATATGTGTGTCTTTTTATGGCTTTATTATTTTTTTGTGGTCCCTGTTATCTCAAAATTTCTTATTTTTTTACTCGATCTCTGTAAATTTAGGGTGTGTTTGTTTGAAGGATTTTGGAGGATTTCTACTATTCATCCAATTTTTTTCCCCTAAAAACATCACATCAAACACCTATTTTTTATTTTTTATATTATACTAAAAATTAATTTTACATTCAAAACATCACATCAAACCTTATTTATATCACATCATATAACTATTCAAATTCAAAATTTTTATTATTCAAATCCCAATCCAAAATCCAAACCCCCAAACAACACACCCTTAGTATTCTTTTAATAATGATTTTATCCACCATGTAAAGATACTTGTGCTACAATATTTCACCTGGTAGATAATTTATAATAATACCACGTCACATTTAATTAATCACTCATCAGTTCACACTTGTGATATTTCGAGTGCATTTATTTAAATATTTATAGTTTAACATGTTTTATTAATATATATATATTGTTTTATTATTATTATTATTATTATTATTAATTATTTTTTAGTGTTTTTATTGATTTTATAATTAAATGTATATATACTGCGTACCATTTTGATTTCCCTTTTGGGAGAAACAAGTTTAATGCGCAAGGCATGATTACGGTTCCCAGTTGGTAGTCAAAGGGTAATATGGTTATTTCACTTTTACCTCAATTCACTGCCTTTTATTAAAATAATTTGCCTATAAATATTACTAAACAAATATCATTAATCATTTCCTTTTTTCTAAAAAAAAAATATAATATATATTTGAGATAGTGCATTTGTAACTGTGACCATTTTGAATGAAAAAGAAAGCAATCATATATATTAATTCAAAACAATTATATCCAGCTGCAAAGATATTATATGCTTCTTTTGAAGAAAAAAAATAAAAATTCATATAAAATTTATTTAATGGCATATATTCCTCAAATTAATATACATTTTCGATAGAAATACTTGTAATCATTATTAAAATAATAATAATAATCTCATCCTGGCTGGGTCATTCATACTCATGGCATTCATTCAGCTGGATGTGGGGTCCACATGAGATAGCAGGAGTTGGGGTCCCAGGACCCGCCAAAAAGCATAGTGAAAAAGGTGGAAGATGCAAGGGCGTTCCAGCATGAGATCTGGTTCTTGTCGCCAAGTCATTATCGCCAAGATTTGCGACAGCGACTCCGAATATTTTATTTTATTTAATTTTTAAAATATACCTACGAAATATATAATAATAAAATAAAATAAAGAATCGATCGTATTCTTCTACATCCTCTATAATTCCTTAATCAATAATAATAATAATAATAATAATTTATAATTCTTTCAATGAAAATAAAAATAAAAAACTTATAAAAGTAAATAATAGTAATTAGAGAATTGGGGTTGGGGAGTGAGGACAAGAGCGTATCTTGAGAAAATCCTCAAATTCGACTTAGTTTGCTTTAAAAAGTAAGCTATGAACAGAACCCACCTCACTCAACAATACTTTTTTCTTTTTTATTATTTATCCCCGACAAGCCTCTAAAATATATCTGCTTTTATTTATTTAAATCAATAATTAAATACAAATAATAATATTTGAGCAGTAATAAAATACCGAAATTACAAATATATGATGATTTTATTTTTAAAAAAATATTCAATGCCACGTGGGCAGGCAGGGTGAACTTGAGAGAACTAGTCCCACAGCTCAGGGTTAGTTTAGCTCTGCACTGAACAAATCCAAGAGAGAGAGAAGAGAGGAGAGAGAATGTGATATGGGGATATTGAGGCAGGGAGGTACAGTGGATGGATGGAGGAGTGGTAGGGGAGGAATTGGGGAGGCAGTGGACTATTTTATTATCCGTATGGTATCTGGTTTGTGAGCGTGGTGGATGGTCGGTCAAAAATGAAATCTGGAAGAGTGGGAATGTGAAGAACAAACTCAGAATATATTTATTTGGGAAGAAGGAGAGAAGCTCAGAGCTGCTGTTGTTCCAGTCCGGACAAACGTGCTCTGTTCGTTTGTTTTGTAGCTTAATTACTTTTTTGATTTTGAGCTGTTTGTTAATTAATCATCGTCACGCTTTGAAGAGGAGGAGGAGGATATTGTACCCGATTGATCATCGGGGGCCGTGTACTCTTCTGTTCTGTTCTCTTCTCGTCTCGTTTTCTCATTTTTTAATTCGATTTTGTTGGTGCTGTGAGTTTTTTTTTGTTTGTTCTCTTTCTCTCTCTTCAGAGATCATAGCTCCTACCTTTTGATTTACACGGAGAGGGGTGGGGGGTCCTCTGTCTTTGGGAATTGGATAGGGTTTCGTCTTTTGAGGTCTGCAACTAGAGCATGCTTTGCTCCTCCCATCATGGAGTTGTGAAATAATTCTCACCAAACCCCTCCTTTTTTGCACACATTCTTTTCATGAGAGAGGATTTGTTAACTGGCTCGCCTCGCCCCTTTTTTTTTTTTTTTCCTGTTCTAGGGTTTGTTTGCTTGCTTGATGGTTCGTTCGTTTATTAGCTTGTTTGGCGGGCGATTTTGTAGCCATACAGAGGAATTTTGCCGCGTGAGAGTTGTCGGAGAAAATAGTATCCCAATCTCTTCACATTTTGCTATTGCAGGGAACAGCAAAAAAGGTTCAGGCCTTAAAAGGATGAAGTACACACAGGGTCATAAATCTATGTACTGATTGTGTTTTTGTAGGCAATTGATTTCCTTTTCGACTGAAAAGGAAGTGAAATTAGGGATCAGATGGGTGAGAAAAGGCAAGGGTACCATTTGGTGGCTGTGAGGGGGAATGAGGAGTTGGGGACAAAGAGAAAGCACTCTTTCATCCACAAGGCTTCCAACCCCAGAATCCTGGGGTTTTGGATCATGCTGATGTTGTATTTCAGCAAATATATTTATGATTACATGGATGCTGAGCACAAGGAAAGGAGGAAGGAGGTTCTTGTGAGCATGTGTGATCAGAGGGCCAGGATGCTACAGGATCAATTCAGTGTTAGTGTCAATCATGTTCATGCCCTTGCCATTCTTGTCACCACATTCCATTATTACAAGAACCCTTCTGCAATTGATCAGGTTTGTTTTTCTGTTCTTGTTATTGTTGTCAGCTGGAACGTTGTGAAAAAAAATGTGATTGGATTTGAAGGTTTTCTTGTTTATTATGCTTTGCCAATTTGTTGCTGCTGAGGATATTGAATGTGATGGTGTTAGCAATCTAGATTGATCGTGTTTCGATTTTGAGTGTTGTTTCCATTCTGGATGAGGGAATTTGTATGATTTGTTGTGTAATTATGATAATGTTCTAGGATTCTCAATCAGTGAATCTTGAAAATATGATTTTAACATATTAAATTGGATTCTTTCCTATTGCGATCAAATCAGGAAACTTTTGCCAAATACACTGCCAGAACGGCTTTCGAGAGGCCATTGTTGAGTGGTGTGGCGTATGCGCAAAGGATTCTTCTCTCGGAGAGGGAAGAATTTGAGAGACAACATGGGTGGACAATTAGAACGATGGAGAAGGAACCGTCACCGATTAGGGATGAGTATGCTCCTGTAATATTCTCTCAAGAGACCGTGTCCTACATTGGATCACTCGATATGATGTCAGGGGAGGTAATTGAAGATTGTGTAGCATGTTGAGTTCGAATTATATATGTATGTGGGTCCCAAAAAATGTCCTCGTCTCATGATTGCTAATCAACACTGTCAACTTAGGAGGACCGCGAAAACATATTGAGGGCTCGAGCCACAGGCAAAGCAGTTCTTACTAGACCATTCAGGCTGCTGAATTCTCATCTCGGTGTTGTTTTGACCTTTCCGGTTTACAATTACAACCTCCCTTCGAACCCAACTGTGAAAGATCGCATCGAAGCTACTGCAGGGTAAGTGTGTTGTGTCTGTCTCATTAAATTTGAATAAGATCTCAACCCATCTACAATTTTGTTAATAGTGTATAGCAATTGAGCAGCGTATTTGTGTTTGTTTGTTAATACTTAGTTTAAAATGTGTTAAATGAATACTATAGTCCATTTAAATTAGTCAGTACGAAGAAAAGCTGCCATTTGCAATTAAAAAAGTTTGTGGTAAAAGTGCATTGAGCTCTCCGACTTCAACTTGTGTTTAATGATTTTGGATTAATTCCATGCCTGATGAAGTTGGAGTTGTCATTCTTTAACTATAAACCTCTGGAGGCTTTAGAATTTGTGTCTAGAAGTTTGCAATTTTTTATTTCTTCAAAGAAAAATTGGGCCTTCAAAATCTTTTAGAATTATCTTAGATGGTTTTACATTTATTAACCTTCTTAGACAGCTAGTTTCCGAATTTTGTAAAATCTTCCAGTATTTTCTTGTTACTTATTCTCTGTGGCTGGTTTAATTTTAATTCCGAGTAGGTACCTTGGAGGAGCCTTTGATGTTGAATCTCTTGTCGAGAATTTACTTGGCCAGCTTGCTGGAAACCAGGCAATAGTAGTCCATGTATACGATATCACCAACTCTTCTGATCCTTTAATAATGTATGGGAACCAGTCCCAAGATGGAGACATGTCCCTTAAGCATGTTAGCCGGCTTGATTTTGGAGATCCATTTCGTAAACATGAGATGATATGTCGGTTAGTGATCAAAGCTATCCCTAGTAATATTACCCTTCTTGCAAACAAAAGAATAATGTTGGCGTTCTTGTTTGGATCTTGATTGTAGGTATTTGCAAAAGGCTCCGACATCAAGGATTGCGCTTACAACAGCGTTCTTCGTCTTTGTCATTGGTTTCTTAGTTGGGTATATGATATATGGTGCTGCTATTCACATTGTTAAAGTTGAGGATGATTTCCACAAAATGCAGGAACTTAAAGTACGAGCAGAAGCAGCCGATGTAGCCAAATCTCAGGTCTTGGTTCTTATATAAATTTCCCTTCTACACGAATTATCTCATTTTGCTACATAGCATTTGACAATATGTTAATGTTGGTTCAGTTTTTGGCTACCGTTTCCCACGAAATAAGAACACCAATGAACGGCATATTAGGTAAGCTTAATTGTCTCTTGATGCGACCAAAACATGTCCATTCCCAGCAGGAACTGGTGGGTAAATGCAGCTCATTTTGTGTGCTTTACAAATTACAGGAATGCTGCAGCTCCTACTAGACACAGATCTAAATTCGACTCAGAGTGACTATGCTCAGACGGCTCAAGATTGTGGACAAGCACTGATAACCTTGATAAATGATGTGCTTGATCGTGCCAAGATTGAAGCTCGCAAGCTAGAGCTCGAGGCAGTTCCTTTCGACCTGAGGGCAATCCTAGATGATGTTTTATCCCTGTTTTCCGAGAAATCTAGGCAAAAGGGTGTAGAGGTGAGTAGTAAGTGAAAATATATTCCATCTTCATTTTCCTTTGGAGACTCCTTTGGGTATTATCAATTTGTTTTGGATTAAGCTCTGTCATTGACTGGAAATTGCAGTTGGCTGTTTTTGTTTCAGATAAAGTACCCGAAATTGTTGTGGGGGATCCAGGAAGATTCAGGCAGGTTATAATTAATCTTGTCGGAAACTCTGTAAAAGTAAGTACAGCGTTCTTAGGTACTCCGGTTAAGTCTTTGTTATACTTATCTGGCTGTTGAGTTCACATCCTAATAATGTTTTTTCCTGATTTTGTTCGACAGTTTACGGAGCAAGGGCATGTGTTTGTTCAAGTCCACTTAGCTGAGCAAGCAAAGCGTCTTAGGGAAGGGAATCAGGAAACATGTATGAATGGGGAACCCGAGTGCGTGGTACAATCCTGTGCTCGACAATTCAACACCCTGAGTGGAAGGCAAGCTGCTGACAATCGGAGCAGCTGGGAAACATTTAAGCATATAGATGATGAATTCCAATATGATGCATCAGGCTGTAGGGTGTGCGACAGTGTTCATCAGAGTGTCGCCTTGATGGTGTGTGTTGAAGACACGGGAATTGGGATACCCGAACAAGCGCAGAAACGTGTTTTCACGCCATTTATGCAGGCGGACAGCTCGACTTCTAGAAATTATGGGGGGACTGGTATAGGATTGAGCATCAGCAAGTGTCTTGTTGAGCTGATGGGAGGTCAAATGAACTTCATCAGTTGCCCGCAAATTGGGAGCACGTTTACATTCACTGTTGAGTTCAGGAGATGTGATAAAAGTGCCGTTCGTGATCTGAAAAAGTCAGTCTCCGACGATCTGCCTACTGCATTTAAAGGGTTGAAAGCACTCATAATCGATGGCAAACCTGTTAGAGCAGCTGTCACTCAGTACCACTTGAAGAGACTCGGCATTCAGGCCGAAACTGTCAGTAGCATCCGGACAGCAGTTTCTCTTTACGGAAAATCCGGCTCCCTGATATCCAAGTAAACTTCTTTTCATCTTCTTTTTACCTTACAGTAGACTCTGTAGTATTCTGATTTGCTTTTGTTGTGTTTGAGGCAGAAGTGAGAAGCTTCCGGATATATTTCTGGTCGAGAAAGATTCATGGATGTCCTGCGAAGACGATAGCTCCATACAGATGCAAAACCGAGGCCAAAATGGGCATTCTTATAAACTGCTGAAGATGATCCTTCTCGCGACCAGCATCACGGTTTCTGAGATGGATAAAGCCAAGGCGTCAGGATTTGCCGAAACGGTGATCATGAAGCCTCTGCGAGCAAGTATGGTTGCGGCATGCTTGCAGCAGGTGTTGGGCATCGGCCGGAAAAGCCAGCCGGGAAGAGACATGAACAATCGATCCATGGACCTCCGAGGCTTGCTCAGTGGCAAGAAAATATTGGTGGTCGATGACAATGTTGTGAACCGGAGAGTGGCTGGAGGCGCTCTGAAGAAATTTGGGGCTGAAGTAGAGTATGCCGAGAGCGGGCAAGGGGCTCTTGTATGGCTGCAGATACCCCACGATTTCGATGCCTGCTTCATGGATATTCAGATGCCGGAAATGGATGGGTATGTGTTATTATACGATATTATAAAAGTTGATTTAGGGAGGGGCGTTGCGACGAGCTTTTCTGTGTTGTTGCAGGTTTGAGGCGACTCGGCTGATCCGGGAAATGGAGAGCAAGGCAAATGCTGCGATGAACGGACATGCAGTAGCCGATGGATTGATGAAGAAGGGGAAGGGAAAAGGGAAGTGGCACATACCGATACTTGCTATGACGGCTGATGTGATACACGCGACGTTGGACAAGTGTCTGAAATGCGGCATGGATGGATATGTTTCGAAACCTTTCCAAGAGCAGAGCTTGTACCATGCTGTCGCCAAGTTCTTCGAATCCTCGCCAGATTCAGAACCTTAACGGCTTTCCAAGTTCGAGTGTATCTGTTCCTCGACTCGACTTGACTGATCTTTTGAGGAGGAGCTCGAGCATTTTAACGCCTGCATTCTGCTCTGCTGGTTTGGTGATGGATGTTTTTGTTGTTGTTGCTGCTGCGGGTGCAGGTTCTGTCGCTCGGTCCAGTCATCGGTCACACGCACGTTACTAACTTAACTAGTATTCTCGACATATGTATGGTTATGGTAATGGTAATGGTAGAGCTACTCTTGTTTCGCTTCCCTTTCCTTTGTATGTAGATGATTTGGAGGAAGTGAAAAGACACACTAGTTGCCATACTAGAATTCATGTTGTATTTTCTGTATCTATGTTCTTATTGCATTGTACCACGCTTTGTGCATGCTCAAATCATGTGTTTTTTTTTTTTTTTTAATTATTATTATTATGACATGGGAATCAGCCGTTACCGGAAATGTGCATATACTTCTGGTCGAATTAATACCCTGTAAATTAAGCTGATCAGACGAGTCACGTTAAAGGGAATCACATGTGTTAGGTGACCTCACACATGTTACCTGAAGCTTTTGGGATTTTATTTTACTTCCAACCCCCATATATATTTCTTCCTCAAGTTGCCTAGATGGGTCGGACGGCTTGGACCCGTTTCAGTCTCAACTCAAACATACCTATTTTTAATGAGTTAAATTATTTACTCAACTCTCATTCTATCTATTTATTTTTGTGTTTAGAATATTTTACTAAATTTCTTTTATTATTATTTGTTTAAAATTATTAAATTAAAATTTTATATTATATTTTTTATATTACCGTATTAAAATTTAATATTTCAATTCAAAATTACACAATACACACCCTAAACCTAACTTACCGCCGCCGTCCCATCTTCACGTCTTCCCAATTTCTCGTTTTCTTTCTCTTCTTCCTCTCGTTTCTTTTCCTACTTTTGTTCTTCTTCTTGTGGACTAAAACCCTAACCCCTAATCCATCTCCTTCTTCGCGCACGATAGTTTCAGCCAGCGCCTCTCCGCTGTTGACGTAGTTGTACTCCTTTCAGGCTTCGCCTGGCTCAGATACATTACGCATATGGCAGAGGAGGAGCCAAAAACGCGGAAAATTCCGGTGTGGGAGTTGCCTGATGTTCCAAAGGGAAAGTTGCCACCGCACATCGAACTACAGAGAACTCGGGTTACCTGCAACCCCGAAGCCCCAATTCATGTATATATCTTATTATCGTAGGTTATCTTTATCATTTGTGGTTGCCCGATTTCATGGATTATTATTGACTGTTTTTTCTTTCTTTTGTTAAACCGATAAAAGACCGACAATGATCAATACTGGGGCACCTATGCATCGATGGGAGTGGATAATAGTCTGCGTTTGGAGGAATTTCGTGAAAATTTTAAGGTTGAAGTGATTAGCCTCACGGAAGATGATATAGTGTTTGATATGATTGGGATTAACGTTGCAATTGCCAATGCTTTTAGAAGAATACTCATTGCAGAGGTTAGTGCTTATTCTCTTCTCTGTTCTGCTTCTGCGCCATGTTCTTCCAAAGAAAAATATCAAGTACTGTCCATGTTTCTTTCTTAACTAAGCATTAGAGGGACGCTAAACTCATAGAGATTTGCTTGATGCTGTACATATGACTGAATAACATGCCTGTTACTCAGAAGATATTCGGTGTTTATTCATGAATTGTTCTTTTTTCCCTTAATATAAAATCTTGTTCATAGAGCTTAGTTTATGAATGAGCTGTTGAAATTGTTAATTTGAAGCTTTCTTGTTATCTCCTTTTCATATTTTTCCATTTTGGGATAATGGGATAAAAGGTGTAGCTGCAAAGCATGGGTAACCTTGTTTATAATATGCGATTGCTGTTTTATTCAGATAGTGAATGATTTTGAGAAGTTTGATGCACTGCACAATTAATTAGCTAATGCAACAAATGTTTTTCCATATGGTGGATTGCTGATCTTTCTTCTCTCCTCCTGCTTTTTCTCTAGGTTCCCACCATGGCTATCGAAAAGGTTTTTATTGCAAATAACACCTCTCTGATCCAAGACGAGGTGCTTTCCCATAGACTGGGTCTTGTTCCACTTAAAGTTGATCCAAGAGTCTTTAATTATATGTCAGGTTTTGCCTATTCTTGCTTGTTTATTTATGACACCACCTGTTGATGAGGTAAATGTTTTGACTATCAAGTTTGTTTCTCCTCCAGAAAATGACGAACCTACTGAGAAGAATACCATTGTATTCAAACTCCATGTTAGTTGTGAAAAAAAGGGTCCACGAATTAAAGGTTTGGCATCATCAATGTATATGTTATGACACTGATGTCTGTTTGGTTTTTTTCTTCGGGGCTGTTCCTCCTCAAATGCATTTATGCTGTCTTTCTGTGGGTACAGTGAAGTCTGATGAGCTGAAATGGCTCCCCAATGGCAGCGAGTTCCTACTAAGTACAGAAAAATCAACCACAGACTCGACTTCGGACTCAACATTGAAGGAAAAGACTTACACTTCCTTCAGTTGTAGCCAGAACTCTCTAATGGAATTCTCAGACAATCCAATTGCCCCAAGGCATGATGATATAATTCTGGCTAAACTTGGACCTGGACAGGTAAATTGAACAATAACATCTACATCTGTAGATCATGAGACTTAAAAGCCAATCTGCTTTGGCGTTCATTAATTGGTCTTATTGATATTGCAGTTGTAGTCAGAAAGTTATTTTTGGCTTCTCCTACTGTTATCTAGTATTCTTGAATTAATTGAAACATCTTTTAGTGCTCCCTTGATGCTAATTCGAAAGGGGCTTGTAAGATGTAAATTTTCAATTGTAAAAGAATGATAATTTATTCATACGTATTTTACGGCAACTGGCAATGCAGTTTTTTTAACATACTAGCATCTGTGAAATTATTCAAAACTTAATACTGCCACAAACCTATATTTGCAGGAAATTGAGTTGGAAGCCCATGCTGTGAAAGGAATGGGCAAGACGCATGCAAAGTGGTCACCTGTCGCAACTGCTTGGTATAGGATGCTTCCTGAGGTTAATGTCTTTCATCTTTTTCTTAGTCTTTGCAAGTTTGCCCCTTGCAGTGCTTTTGTACTATGAATTGTTTTCCTACTACCATGATTTCTTGATAAAATTAGAATGAAATTGAGAGCTAAAAGAAGTTGGCGTTGTCATCATTTATGTAGGTTGTGTTGTTGGAAGAAATTGTAGGTGAAAAGGCTGAAGAACTTGTCAAGAAATGTCCTGTTAAAGTGTTTGATATTGAGGACATCGGTAAAGGTAAGATATTTTGATACAATACTTCCAGATTTACACTGTCTAAATACTAATGGCTGGATATTTATGGGCCAATGTAATTATTGTTGACTTGTCAATTAGGTCGCAAAAGAGCGGCTGTGGCAAGACCTCAATCATGTACTCTGTGTCGTGAATGCATTAGAGGAGATGGTTGGGATAAGCTTGTGGCACTTAGGCGAGTAAAAGACCATTTTAGATGTAAGTTTGTTGAACTCTTTATGATACGTTGCAATCGTTAAATGATAATCTTGGGCATCAAAAGATGCAGTAATGATAATGGTGAAAAAAGATGGTTGAGGGAGTCCTGTTTACATAAATCCCTATTTACTTTGTGAAGTTTCTATCTACATTCTCAGTTACTATCGAATCTACGGGAGCATTACCTCCTGAAGTGCTTTTAACCGAAGCCGTGAAGATTTTGGAAGACAAGTGCGAGCGGGTGATAACGGAGCTTTCTTGAATATTGCAAAATGCATGTTTTGGTGAAGGTTAGGAAATTCCACAGGCAGATGAGATGGTTTCTGTTTCACTTACCATCATCAAGCTTGTTAAATTTTGCACTATATTTAAATTGAAATTAAGTGATGTGTGGTCTTGTAGCAGTAGCAAATGATGCACAATATATATATTCCATTCTTGTTTTAGTATTTACAATCATATGGGCAGCTGTGTTTCTAATTCTAGTGATGAAATATAATCCACTTGGCCATTTGATTATTTTGCTCCCTTGTTGTGTTTTCGATTTGGCTAGCAGTTGGGTGGATTAATAATAATAATAATAATAATATGATATGATCTCATCAACATGCTACAAACTTTAGGGAATTCAAACATCTATACACATTTCCGCTGCACATTTGGAGCAAAGCAAATCACACATTTACTAAACAACATAGAATTAATTGTCTATTCATCGATCTACCTACCTACCTACCGGTGTGTCGCGCCTAAGAGGGAGAGAAGAAACGTGCGATAATGGCTCGATGTTTCGGAGTGAACTGCGTCGTTCAACGATTTCTTGTATTTCTTTTCATATTCGGCTTTTATATACTGCATGTCGATCTCGGTCCTCGTCACAATAACTCTAGTAAGTGTTTTGTCGTTGGTTCCCAATCCTTCCATTGCCTTATGCAATACCTTAATGTGGTTTGAAAAAGATTATAATGATGAATAACTAAGTGATAGATTATGTAAATATCTCCCTCTCTCTCTACATGTTATTAGACACTCAAACTTATGACAAAAGGTAAAAAAACTTACCTTGGCAAAGTACTTTGCAGGGTTTTTAGCGCACTGTAATATGGTCAAGAGCGCGAATTCGAAGTTCCCCGAGGTTTCAGACTTTATGGCCTACAGGAAGGCGACAAACACCTAATTAATTAACCCGCGATCGCAAACAGTAGCTTGAAAATGTGATGATGTTGAAAGTGGATGGTGTACCTTTCTTAGGGAGTTACCATACATGCTGTCGTAAGCGATATCCACGGCAACCAGATGGGCTTGACTGCTTTGAGAGAAGATTTTGATGAACTTGTCCTCATCAGTGCCCATCTTCTTTTCCCCGGCTTTAAAGAGAGCTTTTGCATCATGCTCTGCCCTTCCCCTGTCTACCTCTGGACCTTGATATCGAATGGTACTAATGTAGGCAAGTAGCAACTGCAAAATTTGAATCGAAATTATGTAAGTTTGCATGTAGTAAAGAAAGTAGAGATTCTGCACTTAAGTAAAAGCAATAGATTCCCACAGAATGAATTTCCATTAATTAACAGCCACAAAGTGTTTCTAACGATAGATTCATTTGTTACACATTATTAGTTGCATCATGTGATGAAGATCAGTTTCATGAAATATAAAAGAAATCGACACAAAAGAGGGACACCTTCTGGAGATCCCCTGATGCTTGATACTCAATATCTTGCTCAAGGTGAGCATGGAACTTGGCTAGATATATCTGTTTAAAATGCTGTATCTGGGGCTGAGTACGCGAGCATATTACTTCAGTAGCAGCTTTCAGATCAATGACATCACCGGCCAAAGCATCCCTTACTATTGTTGCATCCCGGGTGCCGGGATCGGGCATCCAAGCTAAGATTGCTCTCTGAAATATTTCAGACCATATAGTCATGTAAAATACTGAATTTGAACGGCTGTAAGATTTGCTTCTTGTCTAATTCTCATGTATACAGTTGTAAATCATACAACCAATTGGCCTGGTAATTGTAATCAGATTTATTTTTGAATAATCAGTACCTCAACATCGCCTCTAAGTTCCGAAGCCAGGCGCTTAGAAAGCTCTTCAGAATACATAGCTTTGTACTCTTGTTCTATGAGAGAACGTTGAGTTGCATCCCTATGGGCAAGGATGCTAATCACTGCTGCAGTATCACATCCAAAACCTAAATAATGCAATTGTTAATTAGAGCTAATAGTAAGCGTTTTCAATCAAGGAAAATCTCATATCCAAAACCTAAACAATACAATTGTTAATTAGAGCTAGTGTAGGCGTTTTCAATCAAGGAAGATCTCACATCCAAAACCTAAACAATGCAATTGTTAATTAGAGCTACTAGTAGGCGTTTTCAATCAAGGAAAATCTACAATCCAAAACCTAAACAATGCAATTGTTAATTAGAGCTAATAGTAGGCGTTTTCAATCAAGGAAAATCTCTGCAATTATTAGAGAATTTGAGAGTCAGATACTTCGAAGATCGCGTAGCTTATTAATTGCTCCTCCGCAGAAAATTTAGACCTCTTTCGATCAACATTAAACATCACCAAACACCAAAAGCAGTACAGATAGATAAGCATCGTGAGCTACATCTCTCTCCAAACGGAGCATTGCAGCAGAATCTCTCAACACAAAATCACAACGATGGAGTGTTATTGACAGTTCCGCATCACGGAAACCACAATCAATTCAAACATCCTATTGAAACCGTACAAATAAAAAAGCAAAAGCATCAGTAGGGAGCAATCACCCTTGAAAGCGCGATAGAGGCTCATAGCATCGTCGCGAGGGGAAGTCAACACTGGAGGAACCGTCAGCGTGGCCATCTCTGCTCGATTTCTCAACTCTGAAGTCACTCACTCACTCTCTGCTTAGCTGGTGGGTGCTCTTCATCTCGGTCGAACCTGATCCATTTATTTATTGCACTAAAAAATCAGGTCAACTACTGCAACTGCTCACAAAGTAGCGCGTTGATGGGTTCCATCAACGCGCTACTTTTATTATTATTTTTTTTAATAATAATATAATATTTCTTTTGTTCCATAAAAAAAAAATATCTATTTGTTTTTTTATAATTTTAAAAATATTAGTATTATATTGAGATTTAATATATGAAGTAATGATATTTGTGTAATATGTTATAAGTTATAAGGGTATTTGTAACGTTAAATAGATAGTATTGTTACGAAAAAAATGAAATGAATATTTTGTTATGAGACGAACTAAAATTGAAAAAAATGAATATTTTGTAATGGGACGGGGGAGTAATTAAGAACGAAGATGGTCTGTCTTTACGTGGTTTTCATATTTAAAATTAGGATCAAGTTTAAATTAAAGTCTTTGTTTATTAATCAATAAGTTTTTTTTTTTAAGCATTATATTTAATATGTTTTTATAAAATATTATTATTATTATTATTAGAGTATGATCCACTTAATTGTTTCCTACGATAGTGGACATTTATCATTCAAATAATTGTGGCGCGTTTTTTTTATTATTTATTATCCCTATGTCTACACGAAATGTGTGTTTGGCCAAGTTTCTCAATTTTTTATTATTTGAATTTTTATTTTTAAAAATATATATATATATTCACAAAATATTGTAAATTTTAGGATTGAAAAGCAAAATCAAAAAACAAATTTAAAGAACTAAACAAAATTTTTATTGGATTCTCAACCGGTATTTTTTTAAATTTTTGAATAGATGTTATTTGAAAATTTATTACAGTATTATATAGAACTATGATATTTTTTTACTTAATCAGCACTGTAAATCGAATTTATATATTGCATGTATTGTATAAATATGTATATATTATAGTCTTATTTATCTTTCCAATGGTGTGTTTGTTTGGGGGATTCGATTGGATTTATACTATTCATCCAATTTTTTTTCCAAAAAAATATCAAATCAAACATTTATTTTTTTATCTTTTATATTATACTAAAAATAAATTTTACATTCAAAATATCGTATCAACACCTATTTATCACATCATACAACTATTCAAATTCAAAATTGTTATTATTCAAATCACAACTCAAAATCCAAAACTCCAAACAAACACACCCTTAATATATATTCATTTAGGTTAAATAGAAATTTTAATGAATGTAATATTACATTAATTGATTGTGATGTATATTTTGAGAAATATATGAATAAATTAACAAAATGAGAATACACACAAAATAAAATAAAATAAACAAACAAATATAAATTTAATGGACAAAAAATAAAATAAAATAAAATAAAATAAAAAAATGGCTGGAAGGCTGCTCGGCCCGATAGATGTATCCATTATTATTGAAGCCTATAATATCCATTTCAAAATGAGCCCATTATAGCTTGTTGCTTATTCTCCCTTTGTGCCACTTCTCAGGTCTATCTTTCAATTTTAGTTTGTCCCAACTTATTTGGTCACTTTTTTTTTCGAAAAGAATTATATACTTTAATATTATTTTAAAAAATTTAATTTATAATTTTTTTAATTTTAATTATACTAATAAGTTATCTTAATCTATAATTATTTTTATTATACCATAATTATTTTCACTAATATATTTTTAATTATTTACTAATTATATTCCTCATAAATTCCCGTGTCGGCAGTAAATCGGACAAAATATCTGGGACGGAGGAGTATTATTTTCAATATTTTTATACTCCCTCCGTCCCATTGAAAGGTTACCATTTTCCATTTTCGTCCGTCCCAAAACAAAGTTATCATTTCCTAATTTAGTAACTGTACTACCTACTTCACATAATGAATACCCTTTCAACTTACAATATATTAAACAAATATCATTACTTTTATATCACACCATACTAATAGGGGTATTTTTATCTTTTTTACTACAATCAAATATAATATTAATATTAAAAAATTTACGTGCAAAAAGCAAACGCCACATTTGTTGCGGGACGGAGGGAATATTTTGTTTTGTATTGTTTAATGTATAATAACATTTTTTTACTTAAACAAGTATAATACTCCATCTGTCTCAATACGATAGTCTTGTTTACTATTTTTATTCGTCCCAAAATAATATTCTTATTTCCATAAATAACTATATCACCATAAAACTACCCTTAATCTTACATTATTATTACACAATTATCACTATTTTTTACGCTAATACACTCACAAGGACAAAAAAAAAAAAAATTTACCTATATTTTTTATCCACTATTAATATAATATCAATATTTTTAAAATTTAGTGTTAAACACGACCAAAACTATAAATACGAAGGGATTACTATTTTAGTGGTAAAAATATAAAAATAAAAATAAAAATCATGATATAGTAAATGGGGTCATTTCGAATGCCAATCATTTGGATTTGGATAGGCAAAAAATGTTAGTAGTGGGAAAAATGATAAAAGAGTGTCCCCTCAGCGAGCAGGCGTGCTTATGCTTATATTACATTACAACCACACCAATATTACCTCTTTATTTTCCAGCCCTTAAATAAACAATTATTACACCAATGCCCCACCATCATTTTAATTATTTAATTATTTCACTACTCCAAGGTACCTATAAGAAATTCAATTTTATTATTATTTTTTTTTTACTTAGATTTTTATTTTAAATAAAGCACTGCACATTTTCAAATCCAATAATTGGACAAGTACAAATCCTTGATTTGCTGTGTGTCTTTATCGTTAGAGAAAAATTTGACCGATTGATAAGGTGTGTGTATATGAGTATGACCCATCAAAAAAAAAAAAAAAAAGTTACTTGAGTCTCACAATTATTATGGGCGTGGAAATTTTGGCAAGTTATTTATTTAATTATTTAATTGCAATCTTTTTTGGATTTGAATATTATATACTTTTTGTGAAATATGTATTTATATTATATATATTTGTGATGATATTTGAACCAATCATTTGAATTTATGTAGGAAGTCCAAGATTTGATATTATTTGGTGGGTGATTGCATCCGTTAATCATGGTTGCCTTGATGTTGACCTATTTTACCTCTTCATTTATTTTTTTACTTTTATTTTTATTTTTATTTTGTTAGTTTGATTATCTTGAGAAAAAAACAAATATTATGTTCCTCTCGGCTAAATTTAATGTATATATATATATTTTCGTCAATTTTACTAAAAAATATATTTTTTAAATTCTAGTAAAATAATTTTATTTATAAACCAAAATACTTTTATTTTTTACAAAAATATTTAGTTTTTTTCTTTTTATGTTTTTGAAAATAAAAAAATATTATAATCACTTTACACACTTCCAATAATTAATAAAATATTAGTATTATTTTTTGAATCTATTAAAAAAAAATTAAATTAAAATATTGGTATGGAAAAAATACTTACTTTTGGAGCATCAAAATTGCATATTAACAAAAAAAAAAAAAAAAAAAACTGCTAAAAGAACAAACTTGAAATATTTGAATGCGCACGCATAAACACTGTTCATTGACACAATCTCAGTAAATATTATTAGAAATTGACATATAAACATAATATATATTCCTCCGCTCATACACAAAGTAAACATTTATTTTTGGTACTGTGTTTAAAAAATAATAGTATTTTAATTACAGTAGATAGTTAAAAGTAGTGTGATAACATTTTTTCCCTTGCTTTTTGGTATAAAAATAACGATGTGATGTAAAGTAAAAGTATTTATAGAAAAAAATAATGTATTTAATAAAATATTTACTTTGTAATTGAACGTCCCAACATAAAAATATGTATAATATTTTTTATTTTTTTTAACAATACGATGTTTTATACCTAACTTAGATATATATATATATATATAAACACAAAAAAAACACACCCTTCAATAAACCACATTTCTATTAAGATTAATACTCCCTCCATCCCACATAATTTGTCCATATTTTTTATTTTCGTCTGTTCCACATAACTTGTCCTTTCTATTTTTGAAAATATAATTATGCACTTTAATCGAATTTTAAATTTTAAATTTTATAATTTTTTTAATTTTAATTAAACTATTTACTTATCTTAATTTTAATCTATAATTATTTTTACTAATACATTTTTTAATTACTTACTAATTATACTTTACTTAAATTCCCGTGTCTACCGTAATACACCCATATTACATGGGACGGAGGGAGTATTTTATTTTAATTTTTGAGGAGTGGGGACAATGACCAGTTAAAAAGCTCCAACTTTAATGTTGTGATCCATACGTGCTGTGTATCTGTTCATTGTCATAACTTATAATCTAATAACAAATTTATATAATACATACAAATATTTTATGTACCTAAACTATAAATTAACATTAAAATTAAAATTATACATATATTATTGGAATGAAGCTTAAGCTAAGAAAGTATGGAGTGTGACAAGCATCATAAAAGATCATATAAAAGAAATAGGTGGAAATGCTCTCATTGATGAGGTGGGACCCTTTTATTTTATTTTATTTTATTAAATCAAATTAAATTATAAATACATATTTTAATTTAATTTAAATATATTTCAATTCTTTTTTCCTTTTGCAACTTACATAATCATGTCTCCTAAATGCCTAGGCTTAGCTACTACTACTACTTTAATTTCTAGATCCCCTACTACAATTACATTACCTTAATTAAATTAAATAGATGAACTGTAACATTTGAGAAAATCATATAAAATATTGTGATATAGTTGCAATTTGGATAAGTAATTATTGGAGGATGGTTATTCAATTTAATTATATTTATGTCACATTATTAATCATTACTCATTTCTGATAACTCAAAAAGATAAAGATAATTAAAAAACAACAGCAAAATTTTTCTATAAGTTAAAAGTAAAGTACTCTATTTGGCCCAGATCGCAATCGCATTGCATTTCTTGGCAGTGGCTTTATTGCATAACCTTGCAATTTTATTTTTATTTTAAAAGTATTTCGACTAAAATTAATTGGTTCGTCACATATTTTATATGGAAATAAATATTAAAATAAAAACCCGAGTTATTATATATTGTATAGAATAATATTTTTTTACATAAAATACAATCAATTTATATTAATAGCACCAAAAGCATTTTACATAAAAAAAAAAAAAATAGTAGCATTTAAATATAATATTATTGAATTTTGTATTTAAAATGAAAATATACTTTAAGGAAATATATAAATAAAATAACAAGCAAACAGCCTATCTTTGTAAAAAGCACAGTGGCGTTTACATTAATTAAATTTACATATACTCACTTTAAAATAGAAATAACATTCTCACGCCTGTTAGACAGAATCTGACTCACTCACTTCACCAGACATATTTTATTACATACACATATACTTGCATATATCTATATATATAGAGAGAGAGAGAGAGAGAGATGTAGCGAGAGGGATAAAAAGGGAATTTTGCAATTCCAGGTGGTGGCCCACTCTGCTCTTCTTTGACCAATTTTTACACTTATTCTTTTATAGCATTCTCTCTCTCTCTCTCTCTCTCTCTCTAAACATATGATTATCTTCGCTAACATATTCCTGTCTCGCCATTTTCTTGTCATAATTAATTATTTATTTAATTTTAATCTTTTCCCACTTTCCCTCCCTTTCTTCTCCGTATAAAAAACACCTCACAATTACAAAACCCTTTTTGTAAAGCACAAAGGAAGAAAGAAAGAAAGAAAGCAGTAACCACTTCACTCTCCCTCATCATTTCCCCAACACACTCTTTCTCCGGCCGCCGGAAATGGCCATCGCCATCGCCGCCGCCGCAGCTCACCTCATATTCCTTTCAATTGCCTTCGCCTCCGCCTCGTCGCAGCCCACGCGATCCCTCAAAACCGACGCCTCTGCCCTGCTATCATTCAAGAAAATGATCGACAAAGACCCCGCCGGAGTTCTCTCCGATTGGGTTTCCGGCAAGGACCCCTGCCGGTGGCGCGGAATCAACTGCACCCTCGGGAGAATCTCAACCGTCGATCTCGCTCGTTCCAATCTTGCCGGCAGTCTCTCCTTCGCCCCCTTCTCCTCCATGGATATGCTCACCTCCCTCAACCTCTCCGCCAATTCTTTCGCCATTAACGCTTCTGTATCTCTCCTCCAAATCCCTTACACTGTCAGAGCTCTCGAGCTTTCCTTCGCCGGAATATTCGGTCACATCCCGGAAAGATTCTTCGCCAATTGCCCTAATCTCGAGTACCTCAACCTTGCCTTCAATAACATCACCGGTTCCCTGCCGGAAAATCTCTTCCTCGAAATCGACAACCTCCAGTTCCTCGATCTTTCCTACAACAACATCTCCGGTCCCGTTTCGAATTTAAGGATCCAGAAGTGTAGCTCCCTGTCTTACCTCGATTGGTCGGGGAATCAGATGGTGGGAGCCCTGCCGGCGTCGCTGTCAAACTGCACCGCCCTGGTTGATCTAATCGTGCCGGAAAATTCCCTCTCCGGCGAAATCCCTGCATCTTTCGGTGCCCTGAAGAATCTCCAAAGATTAAATCTTGAAAAGAATCATCTCACAGGATGGATCCCATTCGAATTGGGCAATGTCTGCACCTCTCTAATGGAGCTCAGGCTCTCCAACAACAACCTCACCGGATCAATCCCTGATTCATTCTCATCGTGTTCTTGGCTCCAAATTCTCGACCTGTCCAACAACAACTTGACCGGACCGATCCCGGAATCCGTCCTGCGCAGCCTGACATCCCTGGAGAGCCTTCTTCTCAGCAGCAATCGAATTTCCGGCGAGTTTCCGAGCTCGATTTCCTTCTGCAAGAAGCTGAGAATCGTCGATTTCAGCTCCAACATGCTCTCAGGCACAATTCCGCCAGACATATGCCCCGGTGCAGCCTCATTACAAGAGCTTCGCGCGCCGGATAATTCGCTATTTGGACAAATTCCTCCTCAGCTGTCGCAATGTTCGCAGCTGAAGATCATCGATTTCAGCATAAATTATCTCAACGGATCGATCCCTGCAGAGCTGGGGAACCTTGCAAATCTCGAACAATTAATTGCTTGGTACAACAGCTTGGATGGAAGCATACCTGCAGAGCTTGGGAATTGCAGGAAACTTAAAAATCTGATCTTGAACAACAATCATTTGAGCGGCGAAATCCCGACCGAGCTTTTCGACTGTCTCGATATCGAATGGATCTCCCTCACCAGCAACGGGTTCAGCGGCGAAATCCCGAAGAAATTCGGGCTCTTGACGAGGCTAGCAGTCCTGCAGTTGGCTAACAACAGCTTGAGCGGTCAGATTCCTAAGGAGTTAGCAAACTGCAGCAGTTTAGTTTGGCTGGATTTGAACAGCAATCAGCTGAGCGGCGAAATCCCAGCGAAGCTCGGGAGGCAGCTCGGAGCGAAGGCGTTGACGGGAATCTTATCGGGCAACACGCTCGTTTTCGTTCGCAACGTCGGGAACTCGTGTAGGGGAGTCGGAGGATTGCTCGAGTTCGCCGGAATTCGTCCTGAGAGGCTGCTGCAAGTCCCGTCGCTGAGGAGTTGCGACTTTACGCGAATGTATGCCGGGCCGGTTCTCAGCCTCTTCACGCGGTACCAGACGTTGGAGTATCTCGATCTTTCGTACAATCAGCTCCGGGGGAAAATCCCCGACGGATTCGGGGAAATGATCGCGCTGCAAGTCCTGGTCATATCGCATAACCAGCTCTCCGGCGAGATTCCAGCTTCTTTAGGCCAGCTGAAGAATCTCGGCGTGTTCGACGCATCGCATAACCGGCTGCAGGGGCGCATTCCCGATTCGTTTTCGATGCTATCGTTCTTGGTGCAGATTGATCTGTCGAACAACGAGCTGACAGGGCAAATCCCGTCGCTCGGCCAGCTCAGCACGCTTCCGGCGAGCCAGTACGCAAATAATCCGGGACTGTGCGGCGTGCCGTTGCCGGAATGTCAGTTCAAGCAGGATTCAGGCGATTCCGCCGATACGACGTCGAAACAGGGGAAGAAAGGCTCTGCTGCCTCTTGGGCTAACAGCATTGTGATGGGGATACTCATTTCGGTTGCGTCGGTTTGCGTACTTATCGTGTGGGCGATTGCAATGCGCGCGCGACGGAAGGAGGCCGAAGGCGCGAAAATGCTCGGTAGCTTACAGGCCTCACAATCGGCGACGACGTGGAAGATCGAGAAGGAGAAAGAGCCGTTAAGCATCAATGTAGCAACTTTTCAAAGGCAACTTAGGAAGCTGAAATTTTCACAGCTGATTGAGGCCACCAATGGCTTCTCGAATGCGAGTATGATCGGTTCCGGAGGATTCGGAGAAGTGTTCAAGGCGACATTGAAGGATGGATCGAGCGTGGCGATTAAGAAACTGATAAGATTGAGCTGCCAGGGGGATAGAGAATTCATGGCGGAAATGGAGACTTTGGGGAAGATCAAGCATAAGAATCTGGTTCCTCTTTTGGGGTACTGTAAGGTTGGGGAAGAGAGGCTGCTGGTTTACGAGTTCATGGAGTACGGCAGCTTGGAGGAGATGCTCCATGGGAGGGGGAGGAGAGTTCTGACATGGGAGGAGAGGAAGAAGATAGGTCGTGGAGCTGCTAAAGGTCTGTGTTTTCTGCACCACAATTGCATCCCTCACATAATCCATCGGGACATGAAATCGAGCAATGTGTTGCTGGATAATGAGATGGAGGCGAGAGTGTCGGATTTTGGAATGGCGAGGCTGATAAGCGCGCTGGACACGCACCTGAGCGTGAGCACGCTGGCGGGGACGCCGGGGTATGTGCCGCCGGAGTATTACCAGAGCTTCCGGTGCACGGCGAAGGGGGACGTGTACTCGTTCGGGGTGATATTGCTGGAGCTGTTGACGGGGAAGAGGCCGACGGACAAGGATGATTTTGGGGACACGAATTTGGTGGGTTGGGTGAAGGGGAAGGTGAGGGAGGGGAAGGGGATGGAGGTGATCGACGGCGATCTGGTGAGGGCGACGGCGGAGGCGGAGGGGGAGGGGGCGGAGGCGGAGGCGGAGGCGGGGGAGGTGAAGGAGATGGTTAGGTATTTGGAGATTACGTTGCAGTGCGTGGATGACTTCCCGTCGAAGCGGCCGAATATGCTGCAGGTGGTGGCGATGTTGAGGGAGCTCGGGTCCGGCGGCGGCGGGAGTGGAAGCGCCGGCAATAGTGGGTGATGATGGTGGGGAAGAATGGGGGTGTGGATTGTAATGGTTTGGGACTAGAGGGGGTTGTTTGAAATATGTGTTAATTGTTTTGAATGGAATTTGTATTTTTGTTTAATTTTTTTGTTTTTTGGTGATGAATCTTTATACGTGGATAGTTAACGAGAGATTGATCATTTTTTTTTATTATTTTGTTTAATGACATGAAAATCTTTAATACTTTGGTAAATCACACTAAATGAAACTAGAATTACTTGTGACAAGTGACTGAGGCGTCAAAATTTAAATTTATAATCTCATAGTCATAAATCTAACCCCACATCATCACCGGTCATCCTTACGGATTAGATTGATCATTCTTTGAACGTTTTAGTTGTGGCTAAGTTTGGTCTAAATCAAGTCATATGGAATATTAAAAAAATACATTTGTCTGTTTAATTAAGATTTTATAGGTATTGCATAAATAATTTTGTATGCTGAGATTATTATACTCCCTCAGTCTGCCGCTTTAAGTCAATTTTTTTTTACAAAACTTTTTTATTAGTATTATAATTAATAAAAAATATTTTTGTAATTTCTTTTTTAAATTTATACTAAAATTTTGATATAATACTAATTAATATTTAAATATAATACGCTAAAAATAAAATTCTTGTTCCCAACGAAGATAGTATTTGTTATATGAATTAATGTATTATTTGTGTTAGATTTATATTATATAAATATATATTTTATATTGTTAAATTTATATATATTAACCAGGTTGTCAATACTGTGTTCCATAATGTTTTAATTGCTTTTCTAAGCAAAGTATTGCAATTAAAATAAATGCGGCATCAATTTGTTTGAGTTTTTTAAGGGCAAATTTGAAATATTTCGAAGTTGGAGGAGGAAGTTGAAAATTATAGAATATTTTGAGCGACAATGTATTTTTGCATAACTGCAAATTCACAGTCAAAAAAAGAAAAAAAAAAGGAAAAAAAGAAAAGGGAAAACAGAAGCAAAATAAAGAAAATTCGATAACCTCCCGCAAAGCCAAAGAACTCAACCATGGCGATGCAGACTGGCGTTGCTGCCTCCAAGGTCCTGATTCTCGTTGGCGCAGGTTATTTATTTATCTCAGTTTCTTTATATTAAACAAGGCATATATTTTGTTTCCGGCGCGCCTATTAATAATTCGTATAGGAAATTTCGCTCAACTAGAAGTCTTGATGCTTTCTATTGCGTCGTCGGATTGGATTCAGTTGGTGTTTTGGAGGATTATAATGGATTTTAATCTGTTATTGAGGGGCATGAGTTTTTGGTTAAGTTTTTCGTTTCTTTTTCTGGTTGGGATCGAAATCGTGATTGATGAATACCTAGAATTTCGAATTCAATTGAACTGTTTATCCTCTTCTCCGCAATTGGCGACGCATGGCTAGGTAAATGCTGACGCAATTCGTGAGCTTGAACAAATGGTATTGATGAACTATTAATAGTAAAAAAAATGATTATTCTTGGATTGCCAATGGCAAGTTTACGAAAGAAACAACTAGAAGACGACACTGAAAAGGAACCGTGTTTTCCTACATGCTGTATTTTTCAGTTTTTCCCCCCTCTAATTTTACTGTGCCTTTTTGTGATTTAGCTGGTGATATAAGCAATGCTGCCATTGTTATCAAGATCAAAATTAAGTGGAATGAAAAGTCCCATAATACCTTTACTTCTGATAATGCTATAGAATTTTTAGTATCACATGTTGCTGCTCTATTTAGTTTTTTCAAACTCTTACTGAAGTAATGCTGATGACTGTTGTGAGCTTAGTAGAACTCTTTAGGAGACCAATTTCAAAGTGCACTTTTATGAGTAGGCAATTACCAGCTAAAACCCTCTATAAGGTTACTTCATCAATTCCATGAAGAATCTTGATGTATTTTAGTTTCTTAAGCTGCTTGATCATTTATCAAAATTCACACAATTAATCATATAAATATTGGCTCAGGTGTCACGGGATCTGTCATCTTGAGGAGTGGACAGTTGTCTGATTTAATTTCGCATCTTCAAGAATTGATAAAAAGATTAAATGATACTGAAACATCTCCCGGAAAATATGACGCTGCCCTTCTAGCAGCTCAGGTAGATGTGGCATCTCTTATGTTCTTCAATAATTGAGCTGATTGTCGCTCATCTTGAATATCATGCTATATTACTAATTTACATTCATTAATTAATGAGAATTCAGTAATAGAAATGAATCATCTTTGCTGTGATCCTAATTATTTTTTTGTTTCCTTTTAAATGGCTTTTCTCCAGGTTCGACAATTGGCTAAAGAGATCAAGGAATTAAGTCTATCCAACCCTGTTACTATTTTTAATGGGAATTCACCCTCCACTGGTATGTGGCAATTGCTGTAAATATTGTATGTCTTGAAATTTTGGGGGGATACAAAACTGTACCTCGTGGAATCCGAGGCATTTTCTCATGCATGTTTCCCATATAATTGTTATATTTGTGTAATAAGTTCCACTTTTGGAATTTCCATGGTAGAGATTGAAGAACATTTAAGTTGATGGTTAAATTTTACCCCTCCAGTATCATTTTTATGTAACTGAAAGGATTTCCTAAGAGGCAATATATGGACATTCCAAGAGCATTTGTATTCATGAAAAAAAGGGGAAAGGGTATCAATGTCATATATGAACGTCATACTTGCAGTGTGGAGGTTATTATTGAATTAACTTACTGCATATAGCTTCACTCATTGAGTTATTACTTAATTTTCTCAACAAGAATTTATGAATAAGTGTAGTGACATTAAGTTGTCATTTCCAACAGTTACTGCATTGTCCTTCCTAGGGTATGTTCATTTTGCAAATTTTTCTGGTCCAATTACCTGTTACTATTTATGCAGTAGAGTGAGAATTCACTTTCTATAGCTACTTGCTAGAAATGACCACTTTTAACCAATCCTTTATTTCCAGTGTCAATTTTGTTTGAAATGGTTAGTTGACAAAAAATTCGTATGTTTTCTCTTTGGTTTCTGCAGGAAGTTATGCTTCATATATATTGCCCGCAGCAGCTGTTGGTGCAATGGGATACTGCTACATGTGGTGGAAGGCAAGATTTGTAACTGACAATTAACTTTTACAAGAATGTTCAGTTGCGCTCCTGTTTTCTGGTATTCTCCTCTATTTATTCTATTTTCGATTCAGGGGTGGTCACTTTCCGATGTTATGTTTGTTACGAAGCATAATATGGCAAATGCTGTTTCAACTGTGTCAAAGCAGCTGGACAATTTGTCTGAAGCATTGGCTGTAAGTAAATTGCAATGAAAGTATCTAATTTATGTACACTTTTGTTATCCATTGGTATTCCTATCATTCTACCTGCTTATATTGCTCTTAGGGACCTTTTGTTCTAACCTTTTGCAGTCAACAAAGAGGCATTTGTCAAAGAGACTGGAAAACTTGGACTGGAAAGTGGAAGAGCAAAGGGAAATATCAAAACTCATTTCCAACGATGTATGCAGCGTCATGTGCCCTTGTAATTTATATGTTTACTTTGTTTGAGGATGCTATAGTTTATTGTTTGTTTTTTAAAAAAAAACAAGATAAACCCCATGAGCTTCTATATGAAAAAGGACACGCCAATAATCACCTTTCTTTACTTAAAGCTTAATCATCTAGTTCTCTCTTTGGAAAACTGCCTCTATTTTATGGATTTATTAAGGTGTTGAGAAGATCTTGAAGAGATTTATCCCTGTTATTCTTTTGCTATATTCTTTTTCTTGATTTGGAGAAAAAAGTGTTGGGCAAGAATTCATTCATTGAATAAAATAAAAGAATCATGTGTATGCACTATGCAGTCTACATCGTTAACCTGGTAAAGATCTATAAACAGTCATTGGCAGTGTTAGTTGTTAATCAATCAGTGTTTTCTCATTCGGCAATGGCAGAAATCTCTGCCCCCAGGAACAGTTTACTTCTTGGGTAGCTTTTATGTCTAGGGATCAAAGTGTCAATGGCAATTTTCATCTTTCTCTTGGACTTAAGTTTATAAATTGACAAAGAAAGACATCTTTACTTTGTAATACTTAATGTTCGGTAATGCAGGTTGGCGAAGTGAGATCTAATCTTAACCAGATTGGGTATGACATTAATGTGATCCATGAGATGGTAGCCGGCTTGGTAAGCTAGCATGGTCACAAAATTTTGGATTTGGTTATAATAAACTCAGATGATTCAATTTAGTTATTGGTTTGCAGGAAGGAAAAATCGAGCTACTTGAAAGCAAACAAGTAATATTATCAATTTTGTTTAGGTGGTACATCAACGCAACTAGAGCTTACCATTAAGAATAAACTTTTCTATGTGGCGTGCAGGATGTGACTAATTCGGGTTTGTGGTATCTCTGCCAAGCAGCGGGAAATATTAAAGAGAGTCAGAGCTCAAAAATAATTCAGGTTGCTCACAGGCAAGATGGGTTTTTCTCTTTTCCTTTAAAAGCTGTATCTTGTTGAAGGAAATGCTACTGTAATATGACAGGACGTAGGTGCAAAGCTCATAGAACACTCAAATGTTGTTCCTCAGGGAGAGCAGGCAAAGGTATATAATTGGTTGTTCATTTATTATGTTTCTGGACTCCGTTAAGCGTAGCTTTACCATTTCAGGGGCTTCAGTTCATTGTTGGAACAGACGAGCCGAGCATAATACAGAAAGCATCTTCTGAAGCAGATGGTAGTACAGGTATTGCTGATATTTCTATCGGGAAAGCGCCAGCCTCAAAAATGAGAATCCACAGGTCGTTTCCTGTTGGGCTGTCTTTTGCCCGAGACATTGTGGGTTAAGGTTCTTGATATTGGATCCCTATTCTCGTGGAAAAACTTCACTGGTAACAGAGCCTGTTTTGATTCTACCCGTTACGAGGTCAGTGTTCGATTCTTTTCCAGAATAAAATTTGGAAATCATTATTGTGTGTGGCGAACGCCGATAGAGAGTTACTTGGTCACGCAAGCTTGTTGTTGTGTCATTGTATTCTTGTCAATATGGGTGCCTATATGAAGTGTATTCTCTTCCTTGTTGCTTATTATGCACATAAAAACCACTAGCTTGATCCGATTCGGATATTTATTGAGTCTTTACAATCTGTATTGATGAATGCACCGTGTCGAGTCTTGTGTGTGTAGAATGTTAACTACATGGGGTTATAAAACATTTTATATACAATTGTGTGCCAACATAATACTAATAGAAAACTACAACATACATGATTTGCTTATGCAGTCTGTCATCAACCTATTTTTGGGATTCCAATTTGATCAACTTTACTGCACAGGAAGAAACTGTATTCCGTAAGGGTTCGATAGGTCTTGCGCTTACTGTGATTTGTATTGTCAAATCTAGTTTGTAGATTATTAGATTCGATCGATCCGAGGTTTACTAAAAAGAGCAAGTGTTGTTTAAAATATGTTCTTCTTGGAGAGCTTTAAAGAAATTCCTACTGTTAGATCATTTCTTCCAATTTTAGACTACAGATTTTCGTAGCCGTGTATGTTTGATCACCTTAAAACATGTAGAGTCCATGCTTATGTATACAGTCAGAATGTATTAAATAATCGATTACACATGCCAAAATGAGTTGCGGCAGTTATAAATGTTACACAACATGTCAAAACAACCAGCCCTGTTGTTGATAATATTAAATAATTAATTAAAAACGTTACACAACATGCAAAAACGATCAACCTTATTGTTGTAGCATTAAGGATATTAAATACTTAATAATATAAAATAATCGACTATAAACATTACACAACATGCCAAAACAATCAGTTTTATTATATACCAAAAATAACAAATACTGATAAAAATTGTAGAAATAGCAAAACAAAACTTTAACTCCTAAAATAAATATATATCTTTTAGACCATTCATTCTAAAAAATCAGCACGCCAATTATTCCATAATATATACTATTACCCTACATTATTTAAATGTAACATTATATTTGTAGATATTAACACAAATCCTATATTATCAATTTATACTTTATGTGTTGTTATCAGTCAATACTTAATGAAACAACAAACACACATTACCATTCTTGCTCCAAATCAAACATCAACAGAACACACAGAAAGACATATATATATATATATAGAAAGTAAAGAAGAAGACAACAAGATCCGTAGAGATAGCACGAAGAAGAAGAAGAACCTTAAAAACAGCAGCAGCAGCATTACCAGTACTTTCATGGCAGCGCCGGAAACAGCACAATCTCCTGCTCGCACCCGCTGCACAGAAATATGTTCGGAACCTCGTCCTCGTCGGCGATCTGCACGCACCGGCTGTGCTGCCACACCTGGCATATATCGCACGCCACCATCCTCTCTCCGTCGTCTTCCTTCGCGCCGCAAATGCAGTCCACCGCCATCGCCATCGCTCGAAACGCTCCGCCGCCGTCCTGCTTCACCACGAACGTGACTTTCCCACCCGGCTTAACCGCCTTGAATACCATATCCGAGCCCTTGCACGCCACGTCGCGGATCGAGCTTGCCACGAAGTCCTTCAGCTCGACGTACGTCTCTCGGAAAATCCTCTCCGCTTCGATTTTCAGCTCGTCGAACGTCGCCGTGCTTTTCAGGAGCATGCAGTGGTGAGGCGTTGCGGTTGCTGCTTCCTGTTTGTCGTCGTCGCCGCTCATTTCGACGACCGAGCAGTGTATTCTGCGCCGGTTGGGTTCATCCTTCGCAGCCAATAACGAGTCACCGCCGTAGTCTTTGACGAGATGCTTCAAGTCGAGAATGATCCGCGCCGCCACCGGAATAGTCGCCAGCATTCCTCGGTTCGACATCATCGGATTCTGCCGCTCGGTGAAAACATTCCGGTACATGTAAACCATGTCTTTCATCAGCTGTGGCCACGAAATCTTCGGCTGCGGCTTCACCGCCGCTTTGCCTTCGGTGCTCGGGAAGGCGTCGTTCCGGTGGAATGATAGCGAGATGTCTTCGAGGCAATACTCGAGCACTTTCGTGACGGGATTAAGGCATCGCCGCACGAAGTATTTCCCGACCATGTGATTTCCGAGCGATTTCAGTACGAAGTCGAGCAGGCCTGTGTCGCCAATATAGGCCCGCGCGACGTCGCGTACGTGCTGTCTAGACACCCATCGATATTCAGCTCGTTTCAGCGCTTCGATGACGACGTGAATGGCCATTTCGACGCGCCTGGGAGACCATCGGCACGATGCGTCGGACATGATCCCGGGATAGTGAGAATCGACGGCGCTTTCTTTCGGGATACGGAATTTGAGCTCCAACATGAAATGGAAGAGATCGCCGAGAGTGAGGAGAGAGTGGCCGGAGAGGAGCTGATACCGCGGAAGTATGATTTGTAGCTCGTTCGGAGGACAACTCCCGTATCCGATATGATGCGCGACGAGGCTCAGAGGAATGTTTCTGATGGCTTTTATGGCGCTTTGGTACGTATCGTGAGTGACGGCGTAGCTCCCGCGCCCGAACGTGTAGTCCCATCGACCGAACCACGGCTTGCCGTGAGCGAGTGTGTGCAGAAGCCTCAGCTCCATTCCTTTCTTCTTCGCGACGTCTCTCAGGCTCACTTTCCTGCGCCATCAACGGAAAAGCTCTGTCGAATATTTAGTGTGATCGGTGTAATTATATGGGATCGGAGCGCACAAACCTTGCTCCCAAACCGGAGCAGAGACGATCCCAGAATTCCATGATCTGGTAGCCGGCTAAGTCCGAGCCGGCCTCGGAGCCATTGATGCAGAGCAAATGACCGAAGCCGTTGGAGTGGAAGACGCCGTGTAGGCTGTGGCTGTCGCCGTGCAGCTCGATCACGTTCGTCTTGCAGCACTCGGATGAGCTTGAACCGGCCTTCGATGGCAGCACGAAATGGTACTTCTTGTTGCAGATCATGTGGTGCCCCCAACCTGAGCTACATTTCAATCATCCAGAAGACAATCAACCTTGTAAAAACAGGAAAAAAAAAAAATCCGATCTCGAAGAACACAAGACATATCACACCAGAAACACACACACAAACTTATAATCGAACACAAGGCATTCGCTTACGGTCTACCTATATAGTGGCAGTACTTGCAGCGAAGCTCGAGCGACAGCTCAATCGGCTCCTCGACGACGAAGAGGAACAAATGCAGCAATGGATGGCGACGAACCTCGAGCTGAAAGGACCAGCTAGCCATGGGGCCAGCCTCGGCCTGGCCGAACTCCAAGAGAGCTCGAACATTCTCCTCGAAGGAGCCGCGGAACTCGGCCGGATAGCCTCTCTCGCCGAAGACCTTGAACTTGAAGACACGCTCGCCTCTCTTCCTCTTCCTGCAACCACTTAGGTCTAACTGAGACATTTGGTCGAACAGGTGGTAGGTGATAGATGGAATTAAAGGGAGAGAGGTTACCCCGCAAAGATCCTTTAACCTTTATAGAAATAGAACAACAATGGAATGGTGAATCTATCCTCTCCAATCCATCACACGCATGGTGCCACTGAATATACAAAGATCAATAATTTAGAGTATATCGAAATTGGGGATTTGCATCACTATATGCATGAATGAAGGTAACTCTGCAAAACTATCGCTCTGGCTGCAAGCATGAGTGTTCTTTCTCGTTTAAATTAATCGCCCCATGCTTTTCATCATCGTGCGATTATATATACACACATATATGTATATATGTATGGAATTTGACCTTGTCTGGAATTCGACCTGAGGCCAAGTCATTTTTGAGTTCTTGGCCAACTACCTGCCATGGAGTTAAAAATTGAATTGAATTTTATATATTGTTGGGGCCTTTTATCCGTTATATATATAAAAGTCAAGTCTTTATATGTATGTATATGTGTATGTATATATATGTATGTGATGTATGTGAGTGAATGTATGTATGTATGTCAAAGTTGCTATTATTATTGAATGTGGAAATCGTAATAGATGAAAGCTCAATTCTGAGGCCGCCTCTCTCTTTCTCTCTCTTTCTGGTTTCTCTCTTCTCTCTCCTCTCTCCAGAAAGGAAAAAAAACCTAAAAGAGCTGGTTTACCCACAAGTGAGTTCTCTCTCTCTCCCTCTCTCTCTCTCTGCCACCTTCTTCTATATTTCTCTCTCCTTATCCTTTTTGAAATATATATATGTGTGGGGGTGCTTGTGTTATGTGGCCTTTTCTCTCTCCTGGCGAACGTTTTGGGATGGTTTTTGTTTGCTCGAGTTTAAATTGCATTTTGTGCCTGTGATTGGGTTGATTTCCTCGCTGGATCTGATTTTTGTTGCAGATCTGGGGATGTGTTGTTTGTTATGTGTTCCAGATCTGTTTCATTTTGGGGAAGATCGTCGGGAATCTTCGTTTCTAGGGTTTTTGGAAAATAACTTCTTCCCTGATTGGAAAGGATCTGTTTGGATTTGTAGAATGGGAATCGATGGATCAATGAATGGTAGAATGGGTCGTTCCTGTTGCTATTGTGTTCTTTTATGGTTCAGATCTTGGAGTTGTTTTTAACTCTTTTGATACTTTTCCTTTGTTGAAAATTTGGGGATTTTTTCATGGGAAGCAAACTCGTTACGTGTTGTCCAAGAATATTTTCCTGAAATGAGCATAGCTGAAGCTAAAGAAGAATTCGGAAGCAAAGAATTAGGAGAAAATGGAATTGAAATTATGTGTTGATATGATGAGATCATGTCATATATGGAAGGCTTACATATCTTTGAGTGCTGATTCAGTTTTGCTAATCTGGCAATTTAGTCACATTTCTCATCATCGTTTGTTAAACTTAAAATGACGTGTATGATACTACATGGAGCTTTGCTTGCTGCCAAAAATGGCGGAACAAACCAAATTGTGTGATGACTTGATGATCTGAAAATGTTGTTCCTTTGCATTGCCTGATTATGCAGACGATCATGGACGACGACAGCCTCCGGAATTGGGGATATTACGAGCCTCCGATCAAAGGCCATCTCGGCCTCCAGCTCATGTCATCTTCCTTACCCGACCGCGACACAAAACCCTTCCTATCCGCGCGAGACAATCCCTTAATGGTTTCAGCCAATGGGGCCTTCCACCCCCGTGATTGCATTGTCACCGATCCACCGGTGACACAAATCGATCTCGTCAGAGATAGCTGGATGAACCACAGAGATAAGTTCTTGCACATGTTCCCTGGGAACCAGTACGATTCTGTTCTGGCTGATCCGGCGGGAGGCCATCAGTCATTGCAGATGGTCCACCAGCCGGAAACTGCAAAAGAAGCCGAGTCGAGCATGGAGGAGCCAATTGTTAAGAAAGAAGGCGGTACTGCAAAGAAGAGGGCATCTGCTGCAACTCCAAAGACTCCCAAAGCTAAGAAGCCCAAGAAAAGTCCTGTCCCGAAGGAGAAGGGTAATCCGTCTGGACAGAGGGCAAAAATGTCCAAAAAGAGCGTGGAGGTCGTTATAAATGGAGTCGACATGGATATAACTGGCATACCGATTCCTGTTTGCACGTGTACGGGTGCTCCCCAGCAGTGCTACAGATGGGGATGCGGTGGGTGGCAGTCAGCGTGCTGCACCACGACTATTTCGATGTACCCGCTGCCCATGAGCACCAAACGGCGCGGAGCTAGGATAGCGGGGAGGAAGATGAGTCAAGGTGCATTCAAGAAGGTTCTGGAGAAGCTCGCCTCGGAAGGGTATAACTTTTCTAACCCGATTGACTTGAAGCCCTACTGGGCGAAACATGGTACCAACAAGTTTGTGGTGATTCGGTAGAGAGCAGCCATTAATGGCGTCGAAGCCAGGCTACTGCTGCCCTATATCACCACAACTGTTGTATATATTCCGTCGTTGTTGTTATACATTAGATGCTTACTTTGTAAACCCGCCCCTGAATTTTTTTTTCGTACTCATGAGATGGGCCTTAATTACTTTCTCGAGCGCTGGATACGGCGCGAGCATGATTGTGTCGAATCCGGTGCTCCCGTTTTTTCTATCTAGAGGCTAGCGTGACGACATTGATTTATTCGGGATGAAGTTCTGTGTTTCATGAGCGCGTTTTTATCAAAACTTTACATCCATTCATGTTGTTAGATTCATGATTATTATCCCTAATTTGTGGCTGCTAATTTGCTCTGTTTTTTGCATCCCTGGTGATTGAATTGCTCATGAATATAGAACATGCTTGATTCATTACCTTAGTCTTTTTAGGCCTTGCATTCTTGGACATATTTCATTACATTTATGTGTATGTGTAGTAATGGAATGTTGTTCTAGTAATAGTAGCTTAATAGCCATTGCTTTTTTTGAAAGAATATTAGATCCAATTCTAAGCCAACTCTGATTGACATAGACATGTATGTATAGTCCTGAATGTTGAAATTTTGATGCATCTTGAGTCTTTATCCCCAGGTCATCTCTTTTTAGGCATTCTTGTTTCTCTCTCAAGACAATACATATATATATATATATATAGACATACATATATGTCATTAGGTGGACCACTACCATCACCAAGGGATTTCTTCTTTCCCCATATCATGACCCCTACTTACTACTAAATTACCATTTTCTTGACATTCTTGTTGGACTTGGGCGATTGAAGCTTTCAAATCTGTGATTTCAAACTTTTGAAAAAAAAAAAGAAAAAAAAGACACATGAGTGCCTTTCCAGAGAGTAATAAATACCAAATAATCAATGGGGTCGAACAGCAGTCTCATCATATATATGATGAATATACATAACCAAGAATCTGTAGTGTAACATATGTATATGTGCGTATATATATTTGTTCTTTTATCATTTTTTCCTTTCCTCCATTGGATGAATTAATCACTGATCATACTACAAGCTTATCAAATCCTTCAAACTCCTGATTCTTCCAACTGTTAGTTCTAAAAACTGATCAAATCTGGCAACTCTTGATGCTGATTCTTGCAACCAATTTCATAAACGATCAAAGGGTTCCCAAAGGGATTCTTTGGATCGATTTCGTCGTCGAATCTCTCCCATTTGTCAGTGATCACAGTTCTTAGTTCATCTTTGTACGAGCATTCCTTCCCTCCATTGCCGTAGTCGAAGATCGTCCCGTACTCCACCATTTTATTCGCATTCCCGTCGTCTTTGTTGTTGTCGTCGGAGTCATAACCATAGCCATAGCTATAGTCGTAATCATAATCGTAGTAGTCGTAACCATTGCTGCCCCCATCCTCGACCATGATGATCGCCTTGTCGTGGCATTCGTCGAACCCCTTGATTATCTGCTCCAGCTCGAGTATGCCCTCCTCCGGGATTTTATCGACGATCGGGAATTCAGAGGCGTAGAAGCATCCGAGCTCCTGACAGAGCTCGAAGTAGCTCGCCAAATCTTCCCCTTGCTTAGTTGCTTTCTTCACGACGTCGAGCGCCATTCTGGCCTCGGACTTCCCGGCGGAGTATATGTTCATCAGAATGACGGCGATCCCGCGGCAAATTCTGCTGTAGATGTCGTAGATCTCGATGATGATCCCGTCCATTATGTCGAGGATGATCGGGACGTGCGCCGCCTTCGATTGCGGCTGGATTTGCATCAGCAGATCGATCAAAGCCTGCTGGCGCTGCAAATCGGTTAGCTCCTTCATCAATGGCAGACCTCCTACCGAATGTTCGTCGATCGCCGAAAGGAAAACTAATTTGGTGTCGAGGAAGGCGTAGTAGGCTCTGACGAAGGCGTTGAAGGGCCAGGACCTGGTGTGGGGGGCGTGGGAGTGGCTGAAATTGGAGAGGTCGAAGGGCAGGCGGCGGAGGCGGCGGACGCAGGGGAGGCGGGAATTGAGGATGTTGTGGGTGAGGTTGAGAGCCTTGAGGACGACGAGCCAGTCGCCAGTGCGGGAGACGCGCCGGGAGAGCGCGTGGAGGACGGGGGGGAGATTGTACGGAGAGATGCGGATCCACTCGCAGACGCGGTCGACGTTGCGGCGGTCGAAGGAGCGGCCGGAGGAGTGGGTGGTGGAGCGGATGACGGCCTTTTCGATGTCCGGATTACGGGCGGCGGTGCGTCGGGAGAGATTCGCCTGCCAGATGCTGTTGTGGTCCTTTAGGGCGCCGACGGCTTTGCACCATAGCCCCATTTGTGCCGCCGCGGACGCCCCCCGTCGATTGATTGATCGATCAGTCGATTGATGCAATGGATCGACGGAGGATGGGCGGAATTTGGGGGACGGTTGATTTGATGGTGGAGGAGAAGGTCGACTGGTTTGGCGCTGCGGAAGGGAAGGGCGAGCAATGGAAGGAAGAAGATGAAGATGGAGATGATGATGAACAGTTAGTTGTATTTCTTTTTTGGAATTATTTTTTCAACCGCCAATTTATTTATTTATTATTTATTTTACTAATTATTATAATAAATAATTAAGCAGACTTGTTCAATTTAATGATATGTTGAATAGAGCCGGCAATCTCTGGCGGTTTGGTTTTCAATGCCGAACCGGCCCGGCTCGATTCTTAAATCCGGTTGGATTGGATGGGCTTGGCCCGGTTTTAAACCAGGCCCTATCACGGGCCAGGCTGGGCCAATTAGTTTTATTTATATATTTTATATTTTTTTTTTCATTTTTTTATCGAATAAATAATTATATGTATATATATCGATTGTGTATATATATATATATATATTTTTTGGATAAATAAATGAGTAAAAATGTTTAATTATAGAATTGAGAATAATACCTTAATTAACTATTATTAAAACGAGTGGCGGCACTAATTGAATTTTGGAATAAATGAGTCAATTGAGTTTATAGTATAATTTATTTATTTTTTAGGCTTTATCACTATTTAATTTTTTTTAAATATCATATTATATATATATTTTTATAAAATATCAAATTAAGTATTTTTTTTTTAATAATTTTTAAAATTTTAAGACTTCAAAGTCTACAGTCTAAACAAATAAAATATTTAAAACATTGATTGCACATGTGATATTAAGATACAGTTACAAATAGGAGATTTTAAATAAAACATCAGGAAAGGAAAAGAAAAGACAAATAAAAGAAAAGGACAAAAACAAAAAGAGAGCAGCATTTAGGCAAAGTGCCCTTTTTAAAATTTATTTCTTAATCAACGAATAAAGTGCATTTTAGCAATTTAAATTATGTTCTCTAGCCGAAAATCCTATTGGGAAATTCGATTCATTCTCAATTAACGAATTAATATATATATATATATATTATTACATTATTATTTTCTTATATAGTGAGAATTCGCATATCTTACATGAAAATATGTCACTGTGTAATATATATGTTATTTTTATATTAAATTTTGATATTAAATAATTGAAAGTTAGAGTATTTTTAATTTTGTTTCTAAATTAGCAAATATGTGAGTGTTAACACCTACAATGTAAGAGGTCGAGAGCCAACTCAAATGTTTTAGTGATTCTATATGTATGGTAGGAGATCAAATGCTGAAATAATAATTTCAGCACATATTATTAATAATTAAGTTTGTGTAAAAATAAATTATATTAATATGCTGAATGTATAAAAATAAATTATATTAATTTATATTATTAAATTATGTAATTAATATAAAATTAAGTTTTAGTTGTCAGCATGTGTGCTGAATTTATTATTTCAGCACATGCTGCTGATATATACTAAATTAAATAAACCAAATAGGATTTAGCCAACATGTTTAGAAATCTAATGATATATTAATGTCATTTTAATTACTCCTCATTAATCTCAGTCTCCATTTAATTAGTCAAACCACAATGATACATTCCTTACCAAAGAAACCTACTGTCTAATGCTCCCTCCGTCCAGCTAGAAAGTATACATGTTTCTATTTTGGGACGTTCAATTACAAAGTAAACATTTCATTAAATACCTTACTTTTTTCCACAAATACCCCTACTTTACATCACATCACATCATTACTTTTACACCAAAAAGCAAGGGCAAAAATATCATTACACTACTTTTAACTACCCACTATAATTAAAATACTATTATTTCTTAAACACCGCGCCAAAAGTAATTGTATACTTTTCTTGTGGACCGAGGGAGTATAAAATTATATCACATTTGAGAGTATTTATTTAAGGTGTTCTCTTTATATTTTTTTTACATATTATTTTAAAAAATTAATATATCATATTCTTAGTGGAGCTCAATATCTTCATTTACTATTTCATCAATCATATTCCAAAGTATTATATTTTGTTTTTAGTAAATTAATACCAAAATATTATTAAATTTTTATCTAAATTATAAATATATCGTTATACATACAATTACCTTTTATATAAACAAAAATATAAAAAATATTTTACCCACTTCCACAAATTAATAAAATATAATTATTTTTTAATTTATTACAAAATTCTAAAAACCTTTTGGACCGAGGGCGAGGAGCATATATTTAATATTTTTATATTATCTATACAATTATTAATATCTTATTTTTTTAAAAAAATAGATAAATAATATTCTTTCCTTCTATTGTGAAAGTTTACTTTTATTTTAAATATTATTTATTATATTGAAACGTAATAAAAATAAATAAAAGGCCGTCACTATTGTTTTATAATATTAATAGAATATCGATTATACAAAAAAATTATACTCACTCATCTCATAAGTAAATATTTATTTACTTTTTGTACATAGTTTAAGATATATTAATATTATATTGATAGAGAATAAAAATAAAGTACAAATAATTAAAATAATTTTATTAATATTATATAATATAAATATAATGATATTTATGTAATATATTATAAATTATAATAATTTTTATAATATTAAATAAATAATACAATTATTAATAAATACTTTATTATAAAATAAATTAAAATAAAAAAATAAATAATTTGTTACGACAGCCGTCGAGTATTTTTTGAAGGAAAAGGTAAATGTAAAACTTAATATATTGACGTGTGATTGTGATTGCGACTCCGAGCGTGAGCAGTGATAAAGATATTTTGTACTACTTCAATTTGACAAGTTACTGGTACCGAACCTAAAGTGGGACCCACCCCCGAATAAAACTGAAAAAACATTTCCCTCACAAAATTCGTACTATATGTATATATATATATGTACACACACATGTCGAGTCACACAAATCACACACACCACACCTGACTGCTGAACCTACCTCAGCTCTCTCATCACACTTCCAATCGCCGGAGCGCCATTGACTGACTACATGTGGACAACGAGCTCCATCTGTCTCTGATCCATTCCATGGCTTTGATTTTGAACCCTGGCGTTGCCTCCTCGCCTCTGATGAGGCTACTGGAGGAGGATTCTTCCAGCGGTACTCCAACAGACGCGGTCATATTCGTCGGAATTAGTTTGGTGTTGGGAATCGCTTGTCGACAAGTACTCAAGGGCACGCGTGTGCCCTACACGGTAGCACTGCTTGTTCTCGGCATTGGACTTGGAGCCTTAGGTTTGTTTCTTAATTTTTTCCTCTGCTGTTCGGTGAGGTTATCGGTTCGGCTAGTTATGGAGCTTATTGTCTATTTTTATTTATTGTTTTGATTTTGATTTGAGTGTTTGTTTGTTGGTAGTGAAAAAACTTGAGTGCTTAGAAGCAGATGATACATTGGTGTGGAATTTATTTGGTTCGAATATCGTTGGACAAAAGGACGAGAAAGAATTTTCTTCTTTTTGAGTTGCGTAGATTAACAACCATGGGAGTTTAGGGTTTAAACGACGATAAGGGAATTTCGCGTGTGTGTGTTTTCATAGAAAGAGTAGTATTCTCCCAACTGTTTAGATTATTGGTTATGACCTGTAACTCATAATAAAAGTAACATAAAGTAATACTTATACTATATGCACTTCCTGGAGAACAAAAGAACGGCAATGCAATAATTTGAAGGAAAAATAAGCTACGGACAGAATAATAGTTAAGGCAGACCAATTTTATAAGAACAACTTAATCCTCTTACTGAAAATAGTAATTATTTTTGTTCATTTTAGGAATAAGTATCACAAATTTATTTTTGAAAAAACTGAGTTATCCTTTTTTTTTTCTCATTATTATTATTATTATTATTATTATTATTATTATTATTATTATTATTATTATTATTATTATTATTATTATTATTAATATATTTGCTTATTTCATGAAAAAAAATTATGGTTCTTTCGAAAAAAATTCACGAACTTTGTAAGAATGTTTTGAAATGAACTTTGAGGAGGGGGATTGATGAAAGCGCTTGATATTTTGCACTGGTGTTCTAGCCTAGTAGGCAGTAGCGCTGAACATTTTTTATAACTTTGTCCGAAACAACCTTGCAATATTTTTTATAGTGTAATGCTGTTTTTAAACAACAAGAAATGGTAGCTTTTATCAAAGATGGACAAGGGTAAGTGCATCCTAATTCAATGTAGTAAATATCACAACAAGAGTCTAGTCCCCACCCTCACAATCAGTGGCTACCTTTGTGCCTTTTAGTGTCTTTCTGCTCATATGTAGATTCTTCTACCTGGATTTTGATGGGTTCCTCATGTATAGAGATTTTGGTGAACGAATGATTTATTTCTGCTTTAACCATGCTGTTACATGTGTGATTTTCTTCATGTAATCATGAAAATCTTTGTAAAGTTTTGATATCTTAATCTATGACTTGCAGAACATGGAACAAGCCACCAGTTGGGAAAGATTGGGAATGGGATTCGTATATGTAAGTTTGATTTCACTAAGTTCGAAGATCCAGAATGTTTACTTAATTCAATTTTCAAGTTTCCATGATGGTTAATCTATCAGATTATTAGTTAATATGTTGTTCCTGATACTCTTATAGGGGCTAATATTGATCCTGATCTTCTATTGGCTGTGTTCCTTCCTGCACTTCTTTTTGAGAGTTCATTTTTGATGGAAGTGCACCAAATAAAGGTACTTAAGATACATTTACCATTTTTTAGTGTTTTTAGTTCATGATAATACCATAGTAATCCAGGATTTTCTCTTCTATGCTCCTGTGCTATCTGATCACATTACAACTTGTCTGTTTACATGCAATGAGATGCATAAACATATCATTTAATGGAGCAGAATTCAACAGTTAATTTCCATTCCTGGCATCGCCCTTTGCTCTATATTGGATAAAAATGGGATTCAAAGCAACTGCTCTGCTAATTCATCAAATTCTTACCTTAGATGCATAAGGAGAAGTTATGATGGGTTTGATTTCCAACCAAAGTAATTTCACCAGAGCTGTTCTTATTATATTTCTATAACACCATAATCCTGTGGAATTTAGCTTCTCAGATTTCTGTGTTTTCCAGCAGCCTTTTTTATACTTATACTATCCTCTTAACACAATAGTCATAATGCAAATTTTGCCTTGCTGCAAATTTTACAAATAAAGATCTTATTTTGTGACATTGGATGCCTGTTTGTTTCTGCCATTCAATACAGAGGTGTCTCATGCAAATGATTCTACTTGCTGGACCTGGAGTTCTCATTTCAACCTTTCTTCTTGGGGCAGCTCTAAAGGTTGAGTAATTCTACTTTGAATGTTAGTGGCTTTTCATTCATTTATTATTCTAAATATCAGGACACTGTAGCTTGCTTTTCCATTTGATTGGAGCTGGAAAACATCATTGCTGCTTGGTGGGCTCCTCAGTGCAACTGACCCTGTTGCTGTTGTAGCCCTCCTGAAAGATCTTGGAGCTAGCAAAAAATTGAGTACTATAATTGAAGGAGAGTCCTTAATGAATGACGGGTATTATTGTTAATACATACATTAACACCTGCCTATCTCAATTATCAATTTGTTATTATAAGATGTTGCCTGGATGTTCTGTTCTGGTTCTTGTAGTTGGTCACCGACTCACCGGTCACCTTTGAAATAGCAGTTGTTTCGTCTTATGAAATTTATTTATACTTGTTCTTTAATGTAATTCTTGTGTTATTTCAGGACAGCAATTGTGGTGTATCAGTTATTTTATCGAATGGTTCTTGGCTGGAGCTTTAATTGGGGATCTGTAATAAAATTTTTGTCTCAAGTTTCTCTTGGAGCGTATGTTTTATATGCTTTCAGCACACATTATTGCCTCAATTATAAAGCTTATGCACTCTGATTATGGTACAGGGTCGGTCTTGGGATTGCTTTTGGAATAGCATCTGTGCTGTGGCTGGGATTCATATTCAATGACACAGTTATTGAAATCTCTTTGACACTTGGTGTGAGCTACGTAGCATACTTTACAGTATGTATCTTACTAAACCCACATGGTTCAGTTATGTGTTTGTTCATATTTGATTCAAGCGTATAAGTTTCACATAAAATATTTATATAAAGTGTGTTCTTTTGCGTTTTTATTTTTGTTTTGTATTTTCGGGTTTTTATGTTATTCAGGTGAATTAATAATAGTATGTGATGTTTCGAATGAAAAACTGATATTTGATGTGATAGTTTTGGAGGAAAAATAATAGATTGAATAGTAAAGAAATAGAGAAAAAGAATAAGAGAACACACCCCATTAAACTCTTATCTTAAATCATAACTATGTTACATAATCTGGTATTTAGTCATCATTGCATAAAATTATGATAAAAAAAATGAACTTATTTTTTGGTTATTTTCTTTACCCTTTCAATGATATTATGAGAGCTAACACTCTTAACTTACCACTTGTTGCCTTATTTTGAATAATCCGTAGTTTAATTTATTTGAACCTATCTATAGATACTTGGTTCAAATTAAAGTTACCATCATTCAATAGTGGAACACAGCATGAAGATTGCCAACAAGGGATTTAGAGCTAGTATTTGGTTTAGTGATGTGCTTTATCCAGCCTTCTAACTTTGGATGATTGATGGACTAAGGAATTCTGAATGTGTTTGATTTATTTTTCATATAGGTAAAAAGCAAACATGTATGTCCTTGATTTCCTCTCGCAAAAGTTGCTTTTTCAAAAATATGACATGAATATAATCTGTCTTTCCATTTTAATCTTTTATTTCATGAGAAAAGCTGAAGACTTCTTATCTTTAACAGGCTCAAGAAGGAGTTGATGTTTCAGGAGTTTTGACTGTTATGACTTTGGGGATGTATGCTCTATTGTTTCTGTAAGATTAATTTGAACTTTTGGAAAGACCTATGTCCTGATATATCATGCATTCTCAGGTTCTATTCTGCTGTGGCTCGAACTGCCTTCAAGGGTGAAAGTCAGCAAAGTTTGCATCATTTTTGGTATTCACCAACTCAATTTCTCATTAGTTTTGATCCTCTACAGCTTGTATCACTGCTGTGATTTTGCTTATCTGATTTGGAGAATCTGTTTCAGGGAAATGGTTGCTTATATTGCCAATACATTAATATTCATCTTAAGGTAAGAGTTAATAAAGTCTTTTTTTTCTTTTTAAAAATATATTTCAGTATTGTTTCAGGGAAATGGTTTTTTATATTGTCAGTGTCAAATTTCAATTGTTGAGAATAGTGGTTAATAAATTTTCTTTTGTTCCCCCAAATAAGTCAGTTTCTATCTGTTCTAATATATTTCATTATCATTGTTTCAGGGATTTTTTTTTTTTTCAATGATGATAATAAACTTCTTTTGTTCCCCCAAATAAATTAAACACCTACATTCTTGAACTTTCCATTCTCTGTAGAAAAAAAAAGCTAGATCTTCGGCTTTAGTCAATATCTTGTGAGTAGGACTGGTGCCTCTTCACCATACTTAGCTTGATTTATTGAATGTTACATATGCCCTCTGTATTCACACATTGCTGAAACTGTTGGTGTAGTTTGGTGATCTTATTAGCACTTTTATCTTTGCAGTGGAGTAGTCATAGCTGAAAGTGTCCTCAGAGATGACAATATATTCAAAACCTATGGTAAATAGTTTTGTTTGTTAATATTTACCATTACTATTTATTTATAAATGCAGAGATAAGGAGGATTTTGTAATCCGATTCTGGTTTGTGGAAAATGGAAGCTCAGGAATAAAACTTGAATTGGATTAAAAGCATAGTTAATAAGGTTATTCAGTCATCCTTCACTGCACTCTTGTAATAGTAAAATATAGATACTGCACTCTTGTAATAGTAATATATAGATGCATGATGGAGGTTGTCGCATAAAGAGATTGTACTGGACTCTAACAGTTATTTGCTTTATATGTTCAAAAGGCTTTTAAGTGATGCCATTTTTTTGGGAATGAAAAGGTTAATAAGCATGTCAAACAATATAAATTAGAATATTCATGACTGGTAATTCCATCATGCATCTATATTACATAAAGTTTGTGCATCAATGCCTGTATTTCGTCAGTAATATCTTATTCGTTAAAATCCGAATCATTTTCATCGCTTATTTTAGCTTTCGTATGTTCAAGATAGATTTCTGACTTCTGTTCTTTACCCTTGCAGAACATGTGTGGGGTTATTTATTTCTTTTGTATGCATTTGTTCAACTTTCTAGGGTGGTTGTAGTTGGAGTACTGTTTCCATTGCTTAAATATTTTGGATATGGCCTGGACTTTAAAGAAGCTACTATCCTTGTTTGGTCTGGTTTGCGAGGTGCCGTTGCACTGTCACTATCACTTTCTGTTAAGGCAAGTCAACTCTAGCATCCCCATTAAAATTTGCTCCCAAATCATATCAATCACTTTGATACATGCTCTTATTTTGAAACTGCTAAATGTTATATTGGCACCAAACTTTGTTTATTTTCTAATTTTTGTATTTATTGGTGTTTCAGCAATCTAGTCATCAATCTGTTTATATCAGTCATGATACTGGGGCTCTGGTAAGTCATGTGATGACTGTAATAGTCAATTTAACTTTGCAAGTATCAGTAAATGCTGCGTTACAACAGTCATTATTGTCTTTTATATGAGAACTCATTGACATGCATGCGTGTGCATAATATTACTATCTTTTATATAAGATAATGTGTGTTGCCAAAAGAAAGATACATGTCCACAGTTGGCAATCTATAATGATGGGATAATTTTCCTTGCTTTTGCAGTTTGTCTTTTTAACTGGTGGAATTGTATTCCTGACACTTATTGTGAATGGATCAACAACACAATTTGTTTTGCATTATCTTCAGATGGATAAATTATCAGCAGCAAAGGTACTGTTTAACTCTCCATGGCAATCTCTCTATCTCCCTGGAGCTATTATAAATAATTTGTCCATAATCAATATCATAGAAATTACATAATATGTTAGTAAAAGATACATATGCAGTGAACAATCAATATGCTGCTATGGCACGCATGTGATATTTTGTACATATGATGCATCGTTATCCATTATATGACCAGTGGTAACATGTTGGGTCATGAACATGAGTCTCAGTCCTTAATAGAGTACATTCCATTCTATCGCAAGGAAAGGTTTGCTGGAAGAATTGACTCCTAAATCATTTTCTTGCAAGTTTACTTCCTTCGTAGTTATTTCTCAAATATCCATAGTTCTATGAAAGCTCTACCTTGCAAGCTAATCTTGCTAGACTTCCATTGGAAGTTTCCTGAAGGGGTTTCTGAGATCTTTGGCACACCATCACAAATTGATTTTTTAGGAACAACAATTGATTATATATGTTCGCATAAAGTGCAACATAAATAAATCCATCAGAGATTATTTCAATATCACAAAGATATACCTAACTAGTTATTGCGGCATATTTGATTTGGTAATGTTCTTGATAATGGCCGTGTATTTACAATTATAAATATAATTTCTTGTGTTAATACAAATTAAGAAATAATAATATCATTTAGTACTTCTTGGGCATTGTTCACAAATTGGAGCCCAATGGTTTATATTTATGCTTGGTCTTACTTTCTCTCTATTATAACTTAATTCCCACAAAAGTTGTCTTTATTTGACCCATGTCAGATAGTAACATATATTTGGATTTCTCATGTTCTATCACAGGAGCGAATATTGAATTACACAAAATATGAAATGCTGAACAAGGCACTAGCTGCCTTTCGTGATCTAGCAGAAGATGAGGAATTAGGTCCCGTAGAGTGGCTCACTGTTAAACGATACATAACAAGCTTAGATGAAGTGGAGGGCGAATGCATACATCCTCATTCCTTAGCTGAACATGATGACAGCCCTGACCGTATGAATTTGAAAGACATTCGTGTGCGCTTCTTGAATGGTAAGCAACCTGTTCCTGTGTGCTCAATTCTTCAATTAATATTTAATAGCAGATTTCTGTACTTGTAATTTCTAGTTATCCGTAATAAGTGAAAGTGGTGTTCATGATTTATCTAAGTTAAACAATTGACAAGACTACTTAATAGTAAGACACCTTTTGATTGTTCACATGTATTTACATTGATATTAGTAGCTATTCATATTAAAGGGGTATGCCTTGTGTCTATAATTTTTTATGCATCTACATAGTTTCAAATAGAGTGTATATCTTGTCTAACTGAAGGAGATAGTGTAACTATAGGTGTTCAGGCAGCTTACTGGGTCATGCTTGATGAGGGAAGGATAACTCAGACTACTGCCAATATTCTGATGCAATCTGTCGATGAAGCAATTGACCTGGTGGTATCTAATGAAGATTTGTGTGATTGGAGAGGTCTAAAATCCAATGTGAATGTGCGAAATCACTATAAGTTTCTTCCGTCAAGCATTGTCCCTCAAAAGCTTATTACATACTTCACTGCTGCGAGGTTAGAGTCTGCATGCTATATTTGTGCTGCTTTTCTCCGTGCTCATAGGCTTGCACGACAGCAACTACGGGATTTTATTGGTAACAAACTTTTATGATGTTTAATTTTTGCATGTGTCCTAATACTGCTGATCCTTTGTTTCCAACTTTGAATTCATGGTATATATTTAATACTTACAAATGCATTGAACATTAGGTGATAGTGACATTGCGGCAAAGGTAATAAGAGAAAGCGAACAGGAAGGTGAGGAAGCAAGGATGTTTCTAGAAGAAGTTCGTGTCTCGTTTCCTCAGGTATGTACAATGTGCAGAACAAATGATGAAGCTATACAGAAAAATAAATTCCCCCACGCTATGTTTGGAATATATTCAGGTTCTACGTGCTGTGAAAACAAGACAAGTAACATATTCTGTGCTGAATCATCTGATTGATTATGTTCATAATCTTGAGAAGATTGGTTTACTAGATGAAAAGGAGATGGCTCATCTTCACGACGCTGTCCAGGTAAATTATGATTGTGTTATCTTATCTTAATATGAATGTTACCAATTGAGAGTTGATAATATTATTTAGGCTCTGTGCAGACTGACTTGAAAAAACTCTTACGAAATCCACCTTTAGTGAAAGTTCCAAAAATCCGTGATTTGGTAGCTTCAAATCCTCTACTTGGGGCTCTCCCTTCCTCGGTCCGTGACATGTTGACAGAATCTACCAAAGAAATTATGAAACTGTCGGGAGCTACACTTTATAAGGAGGGATCGGAGCCTGCTGGTATCTGGCTAATATCAAATGGAGTGGTGAAGGTACGTAGTTAGCACACTCTGTCAATCATGCATTAAAGTCTTCATATATTTGATTTGGAATATCTCATGGACGAGCACGAGTGTTTGTGGCAGTGGTCGAGTAAAAGTATCAGTGACAAGCATTTATTGCGCCCGATATTGGCTCATGGAAGCACTCTGGGATTGTATGAAGTTCTTGCTGAAAAGCCTCACATCTGTGACATTGTAACTGATTCTGTTGTACACTGCTTCTTTGTCGAGACTGAAAAGATACGTTCTGCCGTGAGATCTGATACTGCTGTCGAAGATTTCTTTTGGCGGGTATGAATTTGGTGTTGCTTTTTATATTCCATTCTTCGCATTCGCAGGATAGTATATTCTGATTGCTCTTTGCCTACTGCAGGAAAGTGTAATTGTCCTTGCCAAACTCATGCTTCCTCATATATTTGAGAAAATGTCACTGCAAGATTTCAGAACACTCATCGCCGAGAGGTCAACCATGAGACTGTACATACCGGGCGAGAGTTTTGAACTATTACATCATTCTGTCGGTTTCCTGTTGGAAGGCTATATAAAATTGCAAGGTGCGGACGAGATGCTTACAGCTCCTGCAGCAGTATTAACTCATGCTGTCCAAACTTCTCGCCACTCCGAGACAATGGGTACACATCACTCTTCATCTTCGTAGTTTTCATAACTAGATTTGTGTAAGTCGGAAGCATTTACCCTCATTATGACGACGAAAAGCTCTTGCTTTGAGCATTTGTTCATTCAAAATGTTCTTATGTTACCATGCTGTTCTCGCGGAATTCTGTGGTTTTCGTAGCTTCACTTTGTTTTGCATTCTGAAATTAGGAAACAGAGCAGGAAGTTCGTTTTCTCAAGTTCAGGTGTACCAAGTCGAGACGAGGGCTCGTGTATTAGTATTCGATACTGCTGGATTCGAAGCTGGTAGAAGCCTCAGGAAAAGGCCATCTTCCCTGATCTCACACTCCGGCGATCATCTCTCTAGATCGTTTACCAGAGGAGAGCATGGCGAGCTAATGAGCTGGCCTCAACAATTTTTCAGCTTCAAACGTCAGGATTCAGAGATAGCAGGCGGACATGTAAACAATTTGTCCGCCAGGGCATTGCAAATAAGCATGTTCGGTAGCATGGTAAGTTCAATCTCAATCTACTGTTCGTCGTTCATGTCATCAAATCTGTACAAGCATGAGTTGATCCGTGTGGTTTGTTGTTCATCAGATCAACATCCGAAGGAAAAGAACGGGAAGCTTCCCAAGGAGCAAGCGAACAATGCCTTCTCACAGCCTCTCATACCCGAATGTGACTTCAGCAGTCCGCCCGCGCCCCATGGTATCAGTGAAATCGGAAGGATCATCCACTCTGCGACATAAATTCGATATGCAAAGCAGCAAACAAGAGAGCGGCGCCGCCGCAGCACACCTCAAAGTTCCCGGTGGAAGTCGCGCGAGGTTAGATGAATCGACCGATGACGACGACGACGACGACGCCGAGGAACACATTATCAGAATCGACAGCCCGAGCAGACTTTTCCACTGATCAAGCTTCCCCTTCTTCTCTACCACGGAGCTAATAATCTGCAGTTAATTTCACCGCAGTCTTGTACGTAGGACGCCATTTGTGTGAGCTACAGATTTAGGGTTTGGTACAACTCCCCAAACGCATTGTACAAGGAATAACAGCACGGACGATGTATTATGAAACACCTACAATTATGTAGCTAGTAATTTAATATCCCAAACTTCAATTTCAAGCCGTCGGATTACTCTGTTCACATCGCCAGTCAACAAGTAAAAAGGATGTGCCTATCGTTCCGCTCGCCAAAACCTATCCGAGTAGTTAAGCAGTGCGAGAATTCATCATGTCGTCTGTGGTTTCGATCATTGTATTTATTTTGGCAGTGTGCAGGTCAAACGCCGGAGCATCGTCGCCGGAGATTTCGCGTCCGTTCGCCGTTGGACCTCGGTCGATTCTGAGATCAATCGAGAGCGATAAAGCTGAGAAGACTGATTACGCTGTGCAATTGAACGCCACGAGCTTCGATTCAGTGCTTAAGGAAACTCGCGCTAGTTATGTGATTGTTGGATTCTTCGCGCACTGGTTAGTTGGCTTCCTTTTTTGAAAATTTTTGTTGCTTTGCTTTTGCTTTTGGTTTATCAGAAGTTAACCGTTCGTTTTCAGGACTGGTTGAACTTTGTCCAGTGTAGAAATTCACTTGACAGTTATCATCAAATGCTTTTATGCATATATATGATCTCTTGCTCTGCCTATTGCTTTTGCAGGTCCCCTGCCTGCTGGAATTATAAAGTATGTTAAGCTTCATCTCATATTATGTGCTTTCTTTCTTGTTATGATGCAACTATTTCCCTCACAAGGTTATTAACAATTTGAACAGCCGCAATATGAGAAGGTTGCTAAGCTTTTTAACGGAGAAGATGCTGTTCACCCGGGGATCATATTGATGACAAGAGTGGATTGTGCCTTAAAGGTAATCATACTCTCCTTTTTTTAATTGATTGAAAAAGCAGTAGCTATTATCCAAAGAATTATTATGTGAGTACTTTTCTTAAGGTTGTTTTGCTGTGTATGTAGGAGAGAATTTGTTTATTGGCAGTTTATGGTGTTATGATTGTTCTAAAATTTGTTCATTTTGATGTGCACTAACTGTGAAGTTTATCAAATATGAAATATTGAGTACTTCAGATTGGTTTCGTGTTGGCTTAATACAGTTTTCTTTATCCTATATTATGATCATTTTGGAAAAGATCTTTGATTGTTTCATGAAGATTAACAAAACAATTGTTCTTGCTTTTCTCATTTGGATATATATATATATTTATATAACAAATCACAATATTGCCTTTCTGTTTACACCCTTTTTTGTAGAATTATGTTATCTGCTGACTAACCTTAGATGTAGTACTCCCTCTGTCTCAGATACCGTGTCTGTTATACTGTAGACACTGTATTTTAGGAGTGGTGTAATTAGTAAATAATTAAGAATGTATCCGTGAAAATAATTATCCTATAATATAAATAATTATAAATTATGATTAAGATAACTAATTAGTTTAATTAAAATTAAAAAAATAAAATTTAAAATGAGACATTTTCCAAAAAAGCATGTGGACGGACAGAAACGGCAACGTGGACATGGTATCTGGGACGGAGGGAGGGAGTATCTTATTATGGAACAATTTCTTTCAGCTTTATTACTGTTTAATTTTTCTTATCTTTGATTTACTTGGCAGCACAGATCAATACTGATCTCTGCAATAACTTCTCAATTGTCTACTTCCCTAAGCTTCTTTGGGGCCCTTCTTCTAAGTTTGTGTTTGGGAATTGGAATCCAAAACTAGATAAGAGTGAAATACGTTCCATTGGCAACGGACGTACTGCAGAACGACTGCTAAGTTGGATTAACAAGCAACTTAATAGGTAAGAACTCTCTTGTTATTAGTTAGTGACTTATTTGTTTTTGTTTTTGTGTCCATGTTTGATTATTAGGTGAAATAGTTCAGCTACAAAAGAACACATGCTCATCCAAACTAACTATATACTATGTTATTACCAACTTTTATTGTTAGATTTATTTGCCCTTTTATGGTGGTGACACATGCAGTTCATATAGTTTGGATGATAAAAGGATTACGAAAATGAGCAGCATGTTCATGCAAATACTTCCAGATCCTGGACAGGTGATTTTCAGTGCTCCTATTCTGAATGGTAACAAGACATTGTAAAAATTAAATTAGTTGAATTTCATTTTTTTTTATATATATATGGAGAAGATTGCAGATGATGGTGTATACGAAGTTGAGGAGCAACCTCTACAGCTTTTGAAATCATTTTAAAGAAAGGACCTGATTTCTTAAAGAAGACCTTGGTTTAAGTTCTTAAAGATGGTAATGATCAACTTCATACGGATCTCACATCTTTCTTCAAATTATTTAATATGCATATATTATCTATATTGTACACTTATAATATACAGATAATGCATATTGTCTTGTTTGTTTAATTGATCATAGTCTACAATTGATGCCATATATATATATATATACACACACACACTCAATCAGTTAATTCCCAAATCCAATTAGCCCTAGAGGCATGCATGCATGATGAAGAATGAAGAATGAAGATCAACCCCTTGTCCTGATAATGGTTATGGTTCCCTTTCCTGGCGTGTGTAGTCTTGTGAATGCCACCACAGTCTTTCCCGATAACCCCGGCCCCTGCCGCGACACCACCAACGGCCGGGAGGCGAAGTCCCTGACGGGGTGGCGCACCGGCCGTGTAGGTGCCATGTGGATCCTCTCATTGATGTCATTTAATGTCCCCACATCGCCGCCTTCAAATCCTCCGGGCTTCACTAGGACAAATGGACACACCACCTTCCCCATCACCCTCTTCCTACTCTTCTCCTCAACTTCAATCCCTATATATATATATATATAATTAAGAGAAATGGGCTTTAATTTGGTTCTAAATAATATACTTACTATATGAGAGCGAAGAAACATTCAAAGTGACCTATATATATAGGTATACATATATATAGTGCGGGGCTTATAAGAATATGGAATAGTTAAGAGAGTTTTGAAGTAAAGACAAATTATTTGAACACGTTGATACAAAGCAAAAAGAAGAGAATATATGCATCTTCTTTCTTTACAAAGATGTATAAATAATGGAATAGTACAATATAATTCATGCGTCTTTAATTCGTGTGCTGATAAGGGATTTTGAAAGAAATCTCTTTTCCTCTACTTTTGAATATAATAGAGTATATAGAATGAATTAAATTAGTGCGTTTGGTGGGTCGGTCAGTCCCAAATTGCAGTCAGATAGATGCAGCAGCAGCAGCCTTAATTTATTAGGAACCGACATCGACGTGTAGTGCAGAAGAATAAAGTTAATTATATATATATATATATATATATAATTTGACGATGGAGGCCTGAAAATGAAAAGCAGATGCAAGATCAATTAAATTTAATTAATTTGTATACCAGCAGAAGCAGAAGCAGATGGGGAGGCGGAGATGGAGATGGAGATGGGTTTAATGTCTGTGCAGCAGCTAATTAGCTGCTGGTTCTCTCCATGCGTAGGTGTATCCCCAGCTGCTGCTGGAACAACATATTAATGGAGAGTAGAGTTAGTAATTAATTAAGTGAATATTGGAATTAATTGAGTAAGGCCGGGTGATGAGTGTACGTACCTGTGACTGTGAATGACGAGGAGGAGATAGAAGAATTACAAAAATATTGTGTGATATTATTATTCTGGTGGACTTGATGATGATGATAATGCAGGTGATCCAGCTTTGAATTTGCAGGAAGAAGCCTTCTTGATCTCTTTGATGAAGATGGAGATGAAGAGGAAGATGATGATGATGAAGAAGAAGAAGAAGAAGATGACGAGCCTCGGGTAAACTGAAGCACCACATCTTCAAGATATCCTTTTCCTCTTTCTCTTTCTCCCGCCAATAATATTTCTTCCTCCTCCTCTTCGTACATATTTCTCTTCTCTTTTAATGGGAATTGAAGAAATCAAGATTGATATATAAATGTAGCATATTGCTATATATAAAAAATTTAAGGAATTTGTTCAAATAATATATATATATATATATAGTCAAAATCAGAAAAGAAGACGAAGAATAGAACATGTGGGGTATGCAATGCAATCCTGGTTTATATATATATATATATATATATTGATATTAATATTGAGTTGGGGCCGGGTGGTGTAGTGACCGTATTATGTACGGCGTCTTCAGGAGAGGTTGTCACTTGTCAGCCAGCAATGAATGAATCGGATGATCGACGGTCAGGATTTTTCCCCTGACTCAATCACATCAATCAATCATTCATAAATGTATTTACTTTTTTTATTTACTTGCTCCCTCTCTACATGGAGTAATATACTACTGTAATTACTTCAAATTAATATGGATTATAATAATAATAATAAACAATAGCCAGATAATTTAACCGCGTGGCTCTGAATCCTCTGCTCTATTTTTGCAGTTGCTACTGCAGTTCATTTATAATAATTTTATTTTAATTATAAATTTTAATTTTTCTTCTAAAAAGTATATTTTCTATATATTTCTATTTTATATTTTTTTATATAATTTTTCATATTTATAAATTACACCGCAATTTTAATTTATATTTTTACATTAGATTCATACACATTAAAATTATATCACTTTTCAAACAGTAAAATTATATATCAATTTAAAAAATAAAATTATATATTACTTTTCAAAAATTAAAATTATATCACTTTTAAAAAATAAAATTATACATTATTCTTTTAAAAAAAATAAAATTACATACAATTTTTTAAATATAAAATTATATATCATCTACTAAAAAATTAAAATTACACAATATACCTAAAAAAAAATACAAAAAATATAAAAAATACCAAAAAAAACTCCACTCTATTTTTTAGAGTAACACTGTAAATATTGCAAAAATGGGGGGTATATATATATATATAAAGTGAAGAAGGTATCCAGTAATTTAAGGAGCAATAATTAAATTAATTAATTAAAGTTAAAATAACACCATAATTAGTTGGACTTTTATATAATAATAATAATAATAATAAAACACCGGGACAAAATAAAAGGTCCCTCTGTTCCCTGCCCCAATCTTTCTTTCATTTCATTAATCACCATCAAGATTTTTCTACATCCACGCCTTTTCTCAATTTCAAATTATAATATATATAAAGAAAATAAATGTCACACCAACTATATATACATATATGTGTTGGGATTCGGAAAATGAGATTACTTTATTTTAAGTAATTACTTATTTATTTTGATTTTTGCTATAATTGGTGGGGGCAAAGTGGACGACTAAATAATTCCGGTGGTTATGATCCATTGTCACACTGTCAAATTATTACTCCATCGCTGTATACACGGTACTTTATAAGGGATGTAATTAGTAGATAATTAAAAATATATCAGTAAAAATAATTATTTTATAATATAAATAATTATAAATTAAGATTAAAATAATTAATTAGTTTAATTAAAATTTAAAAATTTAAAATAAAATTAAAGTGTGTAATTATTTTCTAAAAAAAATAAAATAATATGGTATATCGAACGGACAAAAATGACAACGTGAACATAGTATTTGAGACAGAAGGAGCATTAATAAATTTGGAGGGGTGACTTTAAATTGGACCCATGGAAGAATTGCTTTCACTTTTTTATTTAAGTGGTTGGAATTTGAAGATTTGGTCAACATATTATCATATATGTATATACCAAATCACCAATCATTGCACTTTCATATCTAATAATTAAAATATTGATATGATATGATATTTTTAAATATAAAATTAATTTTTAATATATTATAAAAAAAATTTGAAAAATAATCTAGTATTTTTTCTGTCTACTTAATAAGTTTATATTTATCTTTTGCGTAATTGTATTTAACATTAAAAATATACTTATATTTGTATAGTTTTTATACAAATATTATTATATTTGTATTATAAAATATTAATAAATGTATTTTTTTTTATCAATTTTTCTTAATTTGTACTATGTTTTGATATAATAATTAATATTTAAAGATCAACATAAAAAAAAAAAAAAACAAATATCAACCTTCTAAATGAACGGAGAGAGTACTGTTTTAAAATAAAAATATGATAAAATTCTACGTAAGAATACACTCAACTGTGCCACATTTCCTATCCTATCCTTTCTTTTTTTTAAAAAAAAAAAATATATTAAATTTGTAATCGGAATTTAATTTTAATAATTATAACTTAAAATATGATATTTTATGAAACACTCAATTCATCTCAACTATCTTTTTTTCGTTTTTATCAATCCCATTTAAAATATCAATTTTTTACTCCTTTCGTCCTAGTTACATGTCTATTTTTTTTATTTTTGTCTATCAACTTATTTTGTTATTATTATTTTTTTAAAAAGTAATTACACATTTTAATTTCATTTTAAAATTTTTAATTTATAAATTTTTAAAATTTAATTAAACTAATTAGTTATTTAAGATGTATTTGATATAAAAATAGTGAAAATGGATAGTGTATTAATATATATATTTTAATTATATATAATATACTCCTTCCGTCCCATAAAGAAGTATCTATTTGCTTTTTGCACGTAGTTTTACAAATATTAGTATTATATTGGGATATAGTAGGAATAAAGTAAATAACTAAAATAACTTTATTAGTATGTGTGATATAAAGGTAACGATATTTGTGTAATATATTGTAAGTTGTAAGAGTATTTGTAGTGTTAGATAGATAGTACAATTACTAAAAAAGAAATAGATATTTTGTTATGAAATGGACTAAAATAAAAAAGTGAATATTTTATTATGGAAAGGAAGTATATCTTAAATTCTATGTAAAGGGCTACGGCAGCGGGAGGAGGGAGTATTGTAGTAATAAAAGTAACCACTTGTTGATTAAGTCCAACGGATAGCCCCAAAGTAGCCCGGTCCAGAACGGTCCATATACGAACCGGCCCAATACATTAACAGCCCAGAGCACTATCTGTCGGTTGTGATAGATTGTGACGTCAAAAATAAATAGGTAAATAAATAAATATAAGTAAGTATTAAAGCGGTCAACGAAGATGCTGTTGATGTCGCTGTTGCACAGCGGGAAGGGGAAAATGGCTCAACGTCGCCGTCGATCGATTCCCCCGCCGCCGCCGCAGCATTTCCCTTATTCCCTGAATCTACTCGCCTCCGTGCCGCTTCCAATTACTCTGAACTTCTCCGCCAAATCTGCCGTCCCTCGCCGAGCTGTAGTTGCCGTCATCTTCCTCCTCGCGCTGGTGCTATCTTGCGCCCTCCTCTACAAAGCTGCCGACAACATCGGGATACGAGGCCTACATACGACTCACGTATTCCGGTTCCTACAGGACAGCTCGGTTCCGTCGGTCAGTCTGTTTATCGCTCTTGATTATTCGATTGCTGTTGCTGCCTTATTGAATTTGTTATTATTTTCTCACTGTTGTTGCTTGGTTTAACAAATTGAGAAGAGAGGAGAGGGGCGAATGCTTGGGATTGTTTGGAAGTGATTTGTTATAGATATATAATTTTGCAGCGTTGGATTATCCCCTTCCTCTAGGCGCAATAATTTGCATCTTTCGCCGTTAATTCGATTAGTGCTGAGATTGGAAATTCCGTGTTTGTGTAATGCCTCCCATTAATTCAAATGGATTATTTCTTTTCTATTTTGAACTGAGTATACTGCCCCTTAGAGGGTGAAAGATTCAGTCCTACCTAAATACTATTAGAAAAAAAATAAGAGGGGTTTGTGATCCAGAAATTGCAATAGAAAAGAAATAGGAGGGGTTTGTGATGATTTTTCAATATTTTCTATTAGGTAATCTAGTATCCTTATGCTTGAAGATAATCAATCTGGTCGTTGTCGGAGTCGTGCAATTTAGGAGGAATCAATGAAAGGACATCAGTAGGTAGCTTACAGAAAAATTTAAATTGACCGAACATCTGCTATCATCCATATAACCTGTGTAAACATTTGTAAGATATAGGTAAAAGCAGAATATGCATATTGCTTTTGGTAAGTTTTAAATCAAGGTGTTGATCAGCTATTTTGTAGTTGAGTTATGGTCTAATGACTCTAATCACTTGGTAGTTTGTAGATAAAAGAATAATGTTTTTACTATTTCTTTTAAATTACCTTATTTAGCACTCTTGCATAGTTTTGGTTGTTTTGCTGTGCTATTTGTTATAGCATTTGACATTCAGCCACATGCAATTGTGCGCACACAAATGCATTCTGTCCATAAGCTTCAATGAATGAATCCATCATAGAATTACAGTGCTTTGTTTCTATGTACTTATTTCAAACTGTTGTAGGACAGTGAGGAGTATAGTCTTGAAAGAGTCCTGATGGATGCTTCTATGCCCGGAAAAACAGTGATACTGACAACTTTGAATGATGCATGGGCAGCTCCAGGTTCCATTATTGATCTCTTTCTCGAGAGCTTCAGAATTGGAGATAAAACCAGTCAATTACTGAACCATTTGGTGATTATCGCATTAGATCAAAAAGCATTTTCTCGCTGTTTGGCTGTACATTCCCATTGTTTTGCCCTCATCGATGAAGAAGTTGACTTTTCAAGTGAGGCTTATTTTATGACTCCGGACTACTTGCGGATGATGTGGACAAGGATTAATTTTTTACGGTCTGTTCTCGAATTGGGCTACAACTTTGTATTCACGGTATTGCGTTCTCTCTGTGTCAATATATAATTATATATTTGCAAATACCATTATTGTGTGTGTATATATATGGACGTGCCTCTACACGTGTGTGTGTGTGAGTGCGTGCACTTATTTATAGATCCCACAATGCACATATGTGGATTTCTGAAAGTTGTATATAAATCTTTCCATCTCTGTACACGTATTTGCTTTTTCTTGTAAGGGATTATGCATATTTGATGAATTTATCAATAGGAAATTAGTCAGTCTTGTTTGCTTTATTCTATTATACTTAATGTTAATATATACATTATCTCCTATAATTCGTTATTTGGTTCCAATTTCTAGGATGCAGATGTTCTGTGGTTCAGAGATCCCTTTCCTGAGTTTGATCCAGATGTGGACTTTCAGATAGCATGCGATCATTTCACAGGCATCCACGAGGACATAGAAAACAGACCTAATGGAGGTTTCAAGTTTGTAAGATCAAACAACCGGTCGATAGAGTTTTATAAGTTCTGGTACTCATCACGCAAAAGGTACCCAGGATTACACGATCAAGATGTTCTTAACAGAATTAAGAATGATTCCTTCACCATTAATAGTGGGATAAAGATGAGATTCTTGGATACTGCTCTCTTTGGTGGTTTTTGCGAGCCCGGCCAAGATCTAAATGAAGTCTGTACTATGCATGCAAACTGTTGTTTTGGCTTAGATAGCAAGCTCCATGACCTCAGGATCTTACTGGAAGACTGGAAAAACTATTTATCTCTCCCACCGACTTCAAAACTATATGTGCCGTCTTGGAGAGTTCCTCAAAATTGTCGGTAAGTTGGTGTGCTTATGAGAATCTTGTATAATAGATGAATATATATCTTCTACTGTCGTGGTTCGTGTTTTTCTTGACTTACATTTTTTTTTTTTGACATTGTTTCCAGCCTAGATGTTGATAAACCACATATGGAGGCTGACATATTGGATGATTGACATTTTGAAATGTCAAGTCATGACTTGGTGATCAAATTAGATATGCTCATTCCTCTTAAAGAAAGGGTTTATGCTTCACTTATGCGATTAGCATTCTACAATGCAAATCTGTGTTCTGCCCGCAGAATGTCTTTCCGCCGTATTTCATCAATCCCCAAAGATAAGGATGCTTGACCTATATATTAGTTAATGTTTTAGGCCACCCTTCCATAAGGAATGATCTGCTGGTGCAGGGGTGACTTGTCATGGTTCAAATTGTAACTGCGGATTTTCATGTGATCTGCAATATTTATATCATTTTTAATACAAACATGCTGTTATTTATATTATACTCTCTCCGTCTCGGAACAATAATTTTGGTTGTGTTGGACACGAGATTTAAGGAATATTGATATTATATTGATTGCGGGTATTAGTGTAAAAAATATTTTTGCCGCAGTTGGAATTGTATAATAATAATGAAAGAGTAAGAGTAGTTATATAGTGATATTATTTATGGAAATAAAACTATTGTAGTGTGACGGATGGAGTATGTGTTATCTGTTGTTCAAATTATTGTTTGGTTGCTCAAATTGGGCATGCCAACAGCGTTCATGTTGCTTGTAGTTAGTTATCGCATGTACTGAGAAAATGAAAGTAGTGTAGCTTGGGCTGTTAGTTCTCTTCAAAAAGTCGTGTTTTTTAAAAAATTACTGAATTATAATTTTACTACGAGTTATTTAAAGGTTAAAAAGTGGAATTACCTTTTAATAATAATAATGATAATGATAATAATACTAATAAAAGGGTTTGTTTTAGTAGAAATACGAGTACAAAGCAAAGCCAAGCCGCCATCCAATAACATCTCTATAACAAGAAGAGATATTGTCTGAATCGATTCGGGCCAACTTCTCGTTCTCATTATCATTAATCTAATCGAATCTACGCTCCTCGTTCACGTGTCGTTTTCGACCTTCTCCTTCTCCCGCCGACGCCTCGGCGAATTCAATTCGAATAGTACCAGATAACCCATGAGCCTATTGTACCCCAACACAGCTGGGTCATATTTGATTTGGCGGCCTTCTGAATTCCGATTCCCATTGCTGTCGCTCAGCGGAACCCGCGAGAAATACGGGACCAAGAAGTCCTTGCGATGGAACTCCGGATACCTGAGAGCGAAGCTGCGTTGTACTAACGTCATTGTTAGTAATGAGAAAAATGGTGATTTGCGAGGCGAAGATGGAGAGTGCGTCGAAGTGATTGTCATCGGAAGCAGGAAAGACGCGGTGTTGGACTTCTGCGCTGCCTCGCCTCTCCTTACTCCCGCTTTGAGATTTTGGTATGTATGTATATGTATATATACCGTTGGACTCCCTTAATCCTTTCTGTAACATTAATTTATTGGTGTGATCCATCTAGGGTTTGATATTCATGCTCTGTTCCTGTTTAGAAATGGATATTTAGAACAATTGGAGTTAGACGGTTATAAGATTGTTGTATTATTGTTTTGGAGCTTTAATGTGCACTGAAGCTTTTATTTCGGTAATCATATAGTGAAAGTCTTCATTACCTTCGTATGCACTAATGGTTTGGTATATCTTATTAATGAATTATTTGGTTCAATTTCAGCCGTGGAGATGTTATATTCTATTTACTCTGATATTTTCTGTGTGACAGGAATATTGTTGGTAATGGCTCAGACCAGGTTCGACTCCAGCATAGATTTACTGGGCAAGGTCAAACTCATGCACTCAATTATCCTTCTATCATCTGTGTCTGAATTTTTATTGTTCTGTGCAAATCATGATTTCTGTATGGAAAAATATTATTTTCATTTACTGTAAGTATATTCTTGATTGCTTTACTATGGAGATCCTTAGTGAGGCTTTCTATGGCTTAAATGGGTATATGCCTTGGTGTATATTTCCCAAACCTGACATTTTTCTGAGTCTCGGGTTCATGGAGTTGATAACCAAACAACAGCCGGCCACCTCACTGCTCAATGAATTATATGCTCTATTCGTAGATCCTTTCAAGCAGCCAGCTGTTAGGATACTCTAGCTTTTGATTGCAATTGGTACATTAGGGTGTTAAATGCTGGTTATGGGTGCTCTCTTGGATTTTTATTTTTAGTATTGCTAGAATTGTATTTGATGCCCTGTCTTCGTTAACTTTCTCTGAATTTTATAACAATTGAATACATATAAGGGAAGAGACGAGATGATTTAGGATTTAGGTTATGGGGTATAGAGTATAATGACTTCTAATTTTGCTTTGGTACTAGTATAAATGGCATATTCATTTTTTGTTGATGCACAGCCATTTATGATTTGCAGATACTACTCAGAGAAATGTAGAGGAACTCTCAGCTTGGCAGCCATCTTGTAAAGCTGTTATACTTGTTTGTACATTACTTGTCACTCCTATAATTTGTTCTTGTTTTTCCCTTTGTGATATTGGATATATCTTTCTTGGCTTAAATTGGTGTGTTTTCCATGTTTCCATGATAAAGTGTAGCATTATTTAATCTATGTATGAACATGGAGAAGGAACTTTTAATCAAAAAAATGTTAACAACATCATAGCTTGGCATACTCGTTTACATGCAATTTTGTTGAAAGCTTGATTAGCTATGTGTTACAATCGATTAAGATCTTACTGATTTCAAAGTTTCTGTAATACAATTTACTGATTTCAAAGTCTTGGTCCAAGACTGAGAAGCTTATGAAGTTTTGTCTGATTCAACTGAAAATTATAGTTAACATTTTATGATGCTTGTGTGGTCTTTCGGGAATCCAAGGCGCATGGGTCCTTGATGACAGTTTTGCACTCAATAATTTTCTCATCTTTCTAGACGCCACTCTCATTCTTCTTTATATTCAAGACTGAAAATGAATCTCTAGATTCCTTTTTAGATATGCCCCTTTTTTGCATATCTGCTTGGATTTCAATAAAATTCTCTCTCGAAGCTTCTTTGGATTTTTTGTTTTAATTTTTATTTTGTTTTCATTTTCGTGGTTAGGTTGCTAGTGCTGCTTATGGCTTAGATCACGTTACAGCACTTGAGGTTCTGAGCAACGTTCAATCTGATGATGGGTTTACAGTTGGAATCATATTGAAGCCATTTAGGTTTGAAGGACAAAGGCGACAAGATGAGGTATGCTTGTTCAGTTATTCCTGTATCTAAATTGATCTCCGAAGTTGTATCTCAAAGGGAAGATCATGATGCAATATAATTTCAAAGTTCAACATATCTGAATATTTTTGCCTTATTTTTCATCTGTAGGTTAAGGATTTGGTCAGCAAACTCCAGAAGCAGACAAACTTTTGTATTGGTGGGTAACTTGTTTCTTATGATGTATGCTGATTTCTTTAGCCCTGGTGTTGTTAAAGATTACTTTCATTAAGAATCTGTTATGGGCCCAAATATCTTACTGGAAAATGTTGTCAATATAATCAATATTCTTTGATATAATAAAATACAAAACAATAAATGCTTGAAAAACATCGACTTAAATGTGATCCTTGTAAACGATCTTGCGAACTTTTTTGCTAAATAGGGCACTGTTAGAGGCAAGGCGCTCTTTCTCTGTCTATCTTCTGCTGTATTTCTGGGTTCTGTGCATGCCTAAGAGGCTCTTCATTCCTACCTTATAATATATTATTTCACCATTAAATGATATACTCTTTTCTATCCCCAAAAAATATATCATCCTTGCCAATCAATGCTGGGTAAAGGATAAACTGCTAAATTCTCTGAAGGGATATTATGTTATAAATGAAAGACTAAAGTCCTGATGCATTGAAAGATATTCATAGTATTACTATGGCTGCAGTTCTTGATACGGATACACTTCTTGAGAATGATCTGGTTACTCTGGATGAGGCTTTGAGGACTTCTAACAATGCTGTTCTCATGGCTATGAAAGCCATTTCCATGCTCTTATCTGTAAGCAAACTTTTGAAAGCCTTATTAGGGCATTCCTTCCTAATAATTTTTATCTGTTTTCTATTGAAAAAGTCGAGATGAAAGTTTTAGTGATATTATCAACAGGAGAAACTCACAAAGCTTTTGTGCTCAAGAGATAATTTGACCAGAGAACTTCAACTTCCAGACTTAAGAAAAGTATGACCTCTGACAATTCTCTCTCTCTTGTTGTTTTGTTGAGTTTTACAGGTCATAAATCATTTATTTGTAGTTAACAACAGTATCATGGTCATGCTCTCAGCTCATGGGACAGCTTCTGCAATGTGGATCATCTCTTTTTTTCTTCTGTGGAACATATCGATATTGTGTTTACCTTTTCATTTTCTTCTTGTGAACCTATAGCCATTCTGTTTACCTATTTTCATTTTTTTGCATTGTATACTGAATAAATTTGATTTACAGATTTTTGAGAGTTATAGCGAAGCAAGAATTGGCTTTGGAGCTGGTCACAATGTCAAAACTTCAATTCGGCACGCCATTAGTGAATGCCCTTTCCTAGGGCTGGACATAAAGGTTTCACTTATTTGAATATTTTTGGTTGCCATAATGCACCAGCAGTTGGTTATTTCTCCTTACCTTCAATTGCAATTGTATATTTATTTTCCCTTTGATAAATTTTCTTTTAGCTAATCTTCACTTTTTTTCCTTACTATTTCTATTACAGGATTGTGATGGTGTAATTTTATGCATTATTGCAAGTTCACTAGTGTTGGGAAGCAATGATGCAAATGACATATTGCACACAGTTCGATCAACTACACAATTCCGAGGTGACATTATTGTTTCTCTTGCACATGAGCCCAATCTGGAGACTAAGACGATATTGGCTACCGTATTTGTTTTTGGGTGAGGTTCCTGGCCCACTATTGCAACTGAACTGATGATTTTTCTAAATGATTCAGCAAGAACCAGGCTGGTGAATGTTTTTCATGTTTGGTCCCTAACCTGAACATGACTGCAACTTTATTCCAACCTGAATTGATAATGTTATCTTTTGACATGTAAAATAGAATTACTAGTTAATATGATTGTCTACTGGCTACAATAATAAACAATGCCCTGAATACTTACTAGAAATCAAATATTCAATCTTACGTGATTAAGATTTAGTGAGTAAAAGAAAATGTTTTCGGATTTACCATGCAACTCTCAATTGTCAAATGAGTGGTTGGATCTTCCTGGGGTTGACCTTTTACTTTCTCCAATCAATTGTCCTAAACCTACAAATGTTTGACTCAACCCAATTACTTTTGTTAGATTTGGACTGTAATTTATCGCTCTTAACTGGCTAACTTTAGTTTCCTAGAAGTTGCTTCTTTATCAATCTATCTTGTGACAAAGGGTAGAAAGTTCACAATAGACATTATCTCTATTTCTCTAATTTGTTTGATATAAAGGTAAAATGTATCCTATTCCAGTTGAATAATATGGAGTTTCTTATTTGTGTATACAAATCACTTGTTTGCAACAATATTTTTTCATTAATCGAAACCTCACGCAGCTGTCTGATTTCTAATTCTTTAGGCTGGTTGCATGTGATATTGACAGATTCACACAACAGAAGTTAGCTCCTGCTCCCAGAAATGGCATATTATCCAGCCTGGGACAACATTTTCCTTTCATATTCAACATCTTCAAGAAGCAAATGGGCAACCCTGAGAAAGCTCTTCCATATAAGAGCCCTCAATTTACTGAAGGGATATATTCACCTGTCATGAAGAATATACCTGATGCAAATTTCACATATGGTCCAAGTGAAGATGCTGAAGTTTTTTCTGACAAAATCCAACAGCCATCTGGCAATATGGATGAAGAATGCGATTCTTTAAGGTTTTGCTGATCATGCTTTTATTTTAATGCTATTGTTGACATTATTTTTAATATTTAGTAACTTTTTTGTTATTTCTTATTATTGTAGGTCTGGAGATGGCGAGCTAGGATTGTCAGAGACTAATGATAGTCAATCTTCTTATATGTTGAACTATGAAGGTAGAACTTTAGTATTGTGGAGTTTTTATATATATATATATATATAAGCCACACAGTGCTCTATTTGTTGGATTGTAATTCTAGATAGGATGAATTTTACAGAAACGCACATGTTCAAGAGGGAGCTGCTTACTAGAGGCAATCTAGGGCCAAGTCATTCGTCAGAACAGTCCAAGTATGGAACAAATGTTCTAGAAGCTACTGGCATAGTTGACAATATCAGCATTTACAGACTTCCTGTGGGTGTAAAAATTTTAGAGAAGTTTGAAAATCCACCTCCCAACACCGACACTAAGCATGGGATAGCCCGGAGAGTCGATGACAATGAAAAGAAACAGCAATCCGTTGTGCCTAGTTTGTCTTGGCCTGGATTAATTGATGCTGAAAACAATAATACTACCAAAGCAAATTGCATTGGTAGTCCGAAGAAGCAGGGAGTTCTTTCTGTTCGAGCACTATCAATGTTGGTAAGTTCCCGTCTTTACCATATATTTCTTGTGGCATTTTGAGTTTTAATCAAATTGAAGTATAGAATAACCTCTAATTATTTAAATAATGTTAAAGCATTCCAACGTGAATATTTTACTATATTTGCTATGCATGTTTAACGACTATGGAGGTAACTTCTTAGAAATTGAGCAGCTTTATTGTTCGTGCCACATGTTAAATACCTGAGGAAAGTTATCCAAATTCATCTTGTACTTTGGAGTGCAACATATTATATATGGGAGTTATTTATTCACTTAGTCTTTGTCAAATGTTCCCCACTGAGATTACAGTTTGGTGGTTATTTCTTAACATGTAAAGGAATCAGAGAGGGATTCCCAGAAAAAGTGGAACCGTGTGGTGGAAATGAAGTATCGTGGAGGAGTATACAGAGGGCGCACCCAAGGAGGACTTCCGGAGGGGAAGGTACTTGAATTTTCATTTCAAGAGTTAAAACTTACCGTTCAATGTATCTCACTAAGGACCGTAAATGGCGTGCCTCTTAGGGTCGTCTGTTGCTTGGGGATGGAAGCATATATGATGGAATGTGGCGGTATGGCAAGAGATCGGGTCTGGGAACATTCTACTTCAACAATGGTGATGTTTTCCAGGGATCATGGAGAGATGATGTCATGCATGGCAAGGTATTGAAAATGTGTAGATATGGTATTCAAGTGATTATTTATTTTATCCCGTAACATATATATACACGAAAGTATGTTGTATAATTTGTAGAGTTGAAGTCATAGTTGCCTTTTATCGATGAACTAAACAAAAGTTGTTGATTTCTCTCTTTCGTAGGGATGGATTTACTTTCACACCGGGGACAGATGGTTTGTTAACTTTTGGAAGGGAAAGGCGAATGGAGAAGGTCGATTCTACTCAAAACATGGAAATGTTTTCTTTGGCCATTTCAAGGAGGGATGGAGACAGGGACAGTTTCTGCGAATCAATGTTGACGGGACAAGGTTTGATATTTTAGAAAAAGATGTTTGTTTCTTCTTTTGAGCTTGATGCGTATCCGACATTGATGCATTGTTATGACTGGACAGGACTGAAGAATTGTGGGATGAAGGCGTGCTGGTGAGTGAAAGGCCGTTGGATAAGGTTGATGCTCAAATTGGTTGAATATTGTTATTTGTAAATATTTATGCTATATATATATATATAATTATGTATGTGCATAATGATTTTTGTTTGTTCATAATTGTGCAACAAATGTCTAAGCATCCATCTAGATTGATTACCTTCCTTTTTTTCTTATATAGATTGATTACCTTTCTTCTTCAGCTGAATCTTCACATACTTAAAATTGAGTGTTGTGTAACCGTTGATTTTAGTATATGATATACTTGTATACAATATATTTATTATTATAAAAATAGCTAATAAAAAGTGTATTTTTCTATCTAAAATTTTTAAGTTTTACATATATATATATAAACATAAAGGCGGAGCTAAATTGTAATAATAAAGGGTGTGTTTTTCTATCTAAAATTACGATTTAAAATTTGTATTTTTCATTTTTTTTCACAAAACCTACTTGTCCGGATCTTTTTGGTGTGTTCCTTCAACGTGCAGGCAATTGCGAATCGGTGCCTCTGGCTGAGAGGTGTTTTCTATTGTTTGATTCAATTTTTTGTATGTTTTAGGAAGGATTGATTAATTGGGTTGGCTGTAGCAACTGTCTAAACGGCAATAAAACACACACGCACACACCTGGATTTGAACTCAAGGCAGAACTAGAGACGTCCAAAATTAGAACACACAATTTTACAGTCACGAGCGGTTCCTACCCCGTGACATTTAATTTGAAACCACTGAATAAGTTACCTACCATAGCAGTAGCTGTGGTTAGAATATATATCTTTTTCGAAGGCTGTGTGTGTGCGTGAGAGAGAGAGAGTTTGCTTCTCCAACCCGAATCAACTACAACAGATAAATGATACAGTAGTGAAGTAGGATTTAGGCCAATTCACCAAATAGGGGCAACCAATCAAAATGTACCTGCTTAGCATTAGCATCAGCGCTAGCGCAGCAACAATGACGATAATATCTCAGCCATGGTCTTATCACCCATCTCACCTTCATTATCCACTTCTATTCCCGATTCCAGAACTGCAGCATCCAATATTAGCTTCCTTTTAGCAATCTCATATATGTTCTCGTCAACGCTATCTTTTGTCACCAGCCTGTAAAACATAGCAAATGTTAGCATCCGCTAAAGGAAGTTTGGACAAAAATGGCTTTGGGGAAAAACAAACCAACTGCAAAATTACAATCTTTAATTGAATAGTTACCTGTAAACGGTAACAGGCTTGGTCTGCCCAATACGATGGCAGCGATCTTCAGCCTGACGATCAATCTGTGGATTAAAATCCATGTCATGAATGATAACAGTGTCAGCTCCAGTCAAGTTCAGACCCTGTCCTCCAGCTCTTGTGGACAGCAAACATGCAAATATTGAAGTGTCCTTGTTGAAGGTATCCACAATGGTCTGTCTCTCGGTCACCTGTGTACTGACAACAATACACATAAAAATGACAATCTCTATAATTGTATTGTTGTGGTATTTTTATTGGAATTCAAAATCTATTTGTAACCACATTTACCCACATCCTCCATTCTAATCATATAAAGCAAAGCCATAAATTTTCAAATATGTGAATGGGGCAATTACTGTTCTTGTGAAGCAGATTCCCAACACACCTCTTCAATTGAGATTTTAATATAATGAATGAACTGACTATTCATTTCAGAAATTGCAATAATTCTTAATACATGATAAACCAAAACAAAATCTATATAGACCTCTAAACACTGATGTTACTCTTCTTCATTCTCAAATAGTTAATATATTCCCAAAGAGCATTTTTGTATTGTCAATAACTAAAACATATTGAAATTCTTGGAAAAGAGTAAAATCTACCTTCCATCAAGGCGTCTATAAGTTACACCAATAACATCCAAAGCCCACTCCAATATATCAAGCATTGAAGTCCATTGGCTAAAAATTAGAGCACGACTACCAGACCGGTTTAGTGCAGGGAGAAGTTCAGCCAATGCCTACAAATGCAATGCAAACAATAAAAATTATTGCCGGTAAAATAAGATGAAAATCACTAATTGACAATTGTAATGTAATACATAAAAATAAAATAAAGGACAACAAAAATTTACCTGACATTTTCCTGAAAACATAACATGCTCATCAGTAAGAATTCCTTTCATACCAGTCTCTCCGTAGTAAAGCAGAAGCTGTATCAGTCAGTAGTGAACCTCAATCTTTATATCACATGTGGCAGCCCAGAAATAGCGAATAACGATTAAGATAGAAACAGATGATTACAGATTGTGCTTAGTCTACTGCACAAGCTGGCTGGTGCATCCAATATCATGCCTTGAGGCTAGAAGATACTAGAGAGCGGGCTGTGCATAATACTAAGAATTGCAGAGCATTCAAAGAAAAGCTACATGTGCTAAAAAGTGTTGTACATGAAAAGATTCTAAACATTGTGGAACCTCCAAGTATGTATGTACAGGACTTCCACCTAATTGTAACAATCAAGTTTTAATCGAGAAATCCAGGTTGCAAATTATGGATAAGTGAATAAATTTCCTAAACCCGTGGATAAAATTATAAATAAACTAATTTTTTAGAAAAAAAAGGCCTTTAATCAATCTTGCACCAAAACTGGCTGCACTGATCACATAAACCATTTTGGGTGCAGAAAATGATGCAGGTTGGAGTGGCAACACACACCATTTCAGTCTTACCATGCCAGAATGGTATGGGATGGAGCTGACTTAATTACCTTATGAATGGAGAAGTCATTATAGCCCTTGAGCTCTTCGATCACACGTTCTAGAGTACACTCAAAGCCAAATACACCTTTTGGATGTAACATTTTAGCAAACCGAACAATATCATTATCTGTATAGACTCGTCTCACCAGTAACGGATGATTTGCAATCTGAAAATATAACATAAAGATTCTGTAAGAAACTACTATAGTTGAGCATTGAACAGCTTCAGCAAACTAAAATAGAAAAGTAGTTTTAGTACCTTCCGAAACTCGAGAAAATAATTAGAAATTTGCCGTCGAGGGAGTGTTTTAGTCACACTATTTGAACCGGAAGACTTGATGCGAGCCTGAGATACAGCCCGATAATTCTCTATGGCTTCTTTATAAGCATCTTCTTGTTGTTTTTCCATGTGCACATACTTAATCTATATAATAGCAACGTCCATTTCAGATTTTGCAGGTTTATTACAGGAATTTAAACTAAAAATATAACCATGTAAGAAGCAAAAAGTGGTAGGAAGTACTCAGTACCTTTTGCATCTTTGGAACAAGCTGCTGCATTACATCTAATTTCACCCGTCTAAGAATGAATGGCCCTAAAATGGACTTCATTCTAGAGATTAAGTCTTTATCTTCGGCATTCAACAACTTCTTCAAGTCAACGTTTCCAGTTTCAAATAGATCAGGCATTATAAACTCCAACATTGACCACAGCTCCTGCAAATTACACAAATAAACAAAATAACATAAACTCAGCAGTAGATATATAAAAGATAAATATTAAACTTAAATCGTCATGGTGTCAGTACCAATGTCATGTAAGTTGCAGCTAGAGAGCACAGATCAGCTTTTTCATAAAAATGCAACAGAAATTAGTTTCTGCAAACCGAATTATTACAACACATCATATTACATGTTCCTTCCAGTTGTCTCGCAAAAGGTACAAAGATAGAATCGTAATTCTTCTTAACAATATGGCAAAGCCATATTTCACCATTAACTCATGTAAATTACTATGATTAGCAAGAAAAGAACTGACTTCATGAAAACAAAGTGCTTGGGGCTGCTCAGCTAATCAACGAAATCAACCGCCTCAATAACAAAGCTACTAACAGTTGTAGGTGTTTCCTGCTCATGACTATATGAGAGCACCATGATACAAAGTACATTCACATATAACATTTACTTAAAGATGAAATCATGAAAACAAGGAAATCTTCATGATACTAATTTAAAATTTCAATCACCACAAGTCCTATGTTATTCACCCTAATAAATGCTTGGAAGCTACTGGAAAAAAATTCAGAAACTACCTTTCTATGTCATTTCATTATTAAGGCTCATTTAAAGAATTAAGCATCTGCATATCTAGAGAAATCCAACATCAAATAAAAAGGGGAATGATCGTATCTGGGCACACACCTAAATGTTGGCATACGATAAATAATAGATTGCATCTCGCTTACATGCAAATCATTTTGCATCGGTGTCCCTGTGAGCATCAGACGTTGCTTTGCATTTCTTGCTACTGACATCAGATTTTTCCACCTGTAACTGTTCTTGTCCTTCAAAGCATGAGCTTCATCCATTAGCACACAACTCCATTTCCACTGCCTGAGAATTTTGCGATCCTCCTTCTGCTGGAGACTGAAGAATAATTTCCAAACTTGAGAATTATAAGGAAACTGTTGAGGAGTTAATTGAGAACTATAATATAAAACTCCAAATTCAATTTTAAAAACTAAAAACCTGTGACGTTCAAAAATTGAATAGCAAACAAGAATAACATCAGCTGGAGGTGGCCGCCCAGACTTTGCACGAGAGCTCAACTCTTTTGAATAAGCTGTTCGTGTGGAACCATGATATTGAAGCACCGTGAACATTGGGCACCATCTTTTAAGCTCTCTTTCCCAGTTCTCCAAAACAGAAGCAGGACATACTATTAAATGAGGACCAGGGTCATCTTCCAAATGCTTCAACAGGGTCAGATATGTTATGGCCTGAAATACAAGATTCAATATATTAAAACGAACTAAAAGTTGGGATAGTTTTGTTGTACAACTTAGTTGAATAGAACAGCATACAAATTACCTGGACTGTCTTGCCAAGACCCATCTCATCAGCCAATATAGCTGCAAGAAAAATATATTGTTTCAGTTTTGCCACCAAACAAGCTAGAAGCAAGGCTAACACTCCTTACACCGCCTACACTAAGGTAGCACATATCCCTGATTCACAAAAGCATCTGGATTCCAAATGAATAATAGGCATCAGAGCATGTAGACTTCACAACAACAGAACCCCAAAAGCAAGTCCACCAACCGGGCAATCGTGGAAACTAACCATACTTGAGCATCATTGTCAAAAGGACGAAAATGGAAAACAAGCCCGCTGATAACTATCCTACTTGCTAGAATTTGAAACCAAGAAATACCTAACCTAATTTCCACTTGTAGTAACAAACAGTATCAAATCATCAATTATTATGACAGGAAGAACACGAAAATTAAAACTTCGGTACTGGTAGTGGAAAAAATCATTACCTCCACCAATCTTCTTTCTATATAAAAGCAGAAGAAAATTGACTCCAATAAGCTGGTATGGCTTCAGCAATGGCTGAAATTCCGAATCTTCTACTCCACAAGCTTCATTTACATCATCCTGCATTTAAATTCAAATGGTTCGAGTTCTCAGTTTCATTTTATCTTTCCTTGATTTTAATGAAGTAAATAGATACATACACAAGCGCACGTCTCGTTTCTATGTTCGAGAAACAAATCGTTCATATTCTTTTCCAGTACACATGCCTTTGGAATTTGAAAAATAAAAAATAAAAAATTCCAGAACAGTGACGCATTAGTACCTGGTTAACAATTCTTGCACCGGAGGATCCCATCTCCACCTCCGAGTACCTGTCACAAACTGTCGTACTCGAACCATACAACTCCCGCTTCAATTCGGCCGAAATTTTCTCACACTTTCGGAGAGCCTTCTTAACAACATCGTCTTCCTCCTCCTTGTGGTGATTCTTCTCTTCCTCCGGAAACCAATCCTCGCCGTCGCTAAATTCGCCCCCCAATTGACCGCGATAATCGTCGTCGTCGTCGTCGTCGGCGATCACAAATCGATTTCCGCGAGTAACCATGGCAGGAGTCTTTCTCACCTCCATATCCACATCCTCGTCCTCCAAATCCTCAAATTCATTCGCGTTTCCCGCATCTCCATACTCTCCGGAAGGCGAGCTCTCGATTACTTCAATGGTATTTGAAGCGCCGCCCTTGGCGTGGGTTTTAGAAAAAGAGAAGGACTCGATGGGAGGCGGAGAAGGGTTCCGAGACTTGAGGACGCGCGAGGGGTTGAAGGAATCAGAGTGAACCGACCATTCATCCTCCGATAACTCGATGAAATCTCTGTCCCTCTTCATTTCGATTTCAATCAACAGCGCCGAGCAGACCAGAACGAAGCGGGAGGTAAAGGAAGGACAGCAGAATCTGAGCGCGGAGGCGGAGGCGGAGGCGGAGGTCGGAAGCGTATCTGCGAGGCGACTGAGGCGCGGCGCGGCGCGGCGCCAACCCAATTTCTTAAATCGTCACAAAACAATTCACACGATTTTAGAACACTCCCTCGCGCGACTTTTACTTCGATTCCCTCGCCGCAAATGAAAAATCATATGTTTAACTTTAAGCCCTAATATAACATACTGTTATCGGCCCATAAAGTCGTGTGGATTAAGGTCCGCTTTATATTCCTACCGGCCCATTAAATATAATATTTATTGTATTAATTTATTATTTATTTAATAAAGTCGTTGTATTAAATTAAAATATGCATTTAATTTCCAAAATTGCATGCACGAGACACAGCCTCAGTCCAAAACTTATAAGCTTCTAATTATACAAATGTGTTACAAATAAAATATCTTAAATACTTTTTTTAAAAAATAAATAATTAACCAATTGATCGACATACTATTTCTTAGTCTTTTGCAACCATTTATTTCATATATTATGTTTAATTCCAATTCATTACACGAAATGTTTCAACTATGAAAGTAAAAATTACAATACCCTGAGATACATTTCATGTACAAAAGCGTTGAGGATATCGATATATAAGGCCATCAATCATTTATCAAAAATGGCCATTTATCATACCTCACATGATAATGTTCTATGAATTTTACAGACATGATATATATATTTCAAGAAATGTACAAAGAGTATGAGAAATGGCGACGTACAAGGGCAGTCATGTCCCGAATCGCTTGGTGCCGCATTCCGAGCAGAACTTGGAGGTTTCCCTCGGATAAGGAACTCCACATTCATCACAGAACTTTGCAGGGCTCGACTGCTGACAAAAAATCAGAAGAACTACTAAGAGTATGGCTTGAGAAAAGAAATCTTCGATGAAATGAAGTGGCAGTAACAAGAATAATTGGTAAGCCTGTGATGGCAAATGACGAGAGCGAACAGAAACTGACCATTACGTGCAGGCGCCCTCCAACGTGACCAAGTGACTGTAAACAAGCGATGTGTTGGGCAATAGCAGAGGGCTGCTGGTTGTGACCGATTTCAGGCAATGGAGGGGGAGTGACGCACTGTTGATTATGCATAAACTGAGCTGGATGTGGACTTTGATTCATATGATGGGAATGGCCCTGGTGAAGACGATGGAATTGAGCCTGACTGGCTAGTGCTTGCATGTGTTGTTGTTTTGACGGAGTCTGCTCGGTATTCTGGAATCAAATAACCATACAATAATGATAAATAAACCAATGTAAACATAAATAATGGCACAATCCCTTCGAATACTTCGGATTCCATACTGCATTCAGAAGCTTTACATCATTTAAAATCATAACAAGAAAACAGTTTTTCAGTGACATACTTCCAGCAGGTGTGCATAAACACATAGCTAGGTGATCCTAGATCATTCTTCTTGAAGCATAGTCCGGTTCTTTTCATAAAGACTTTCAAGTAAAACATTGATCGTAAATCATGGATGGGCAGCTGCAGGATTATGAATAGCATCCCATTTCATAGGGTTTAAAATTTGTTAGATGACCACTACATCTAGACCACCTCGATTTAATACAACTAAACTAAGCAAAGACTATGCATGTCTAAAACCCAAGCTTAATTTATAACACAATCTACTGAAATATATAAACTTCTGAAACAAGCAGGGAAGACCTTGAGCTAATGACAGTACTACTGTAGGCACTGAAATGCGTCAGTAAAAATATATTTATTCAAGTGAATTGAAACACCTTCAGAAAACGAAATTGATAAAGCATATGCAATCAAAATATTTTAGATATAGAAAGAACACTATCTTATTGCAAACAAAAAGAAAAGTCTCACTTCATTCACCGGGTGATAGCCTTGAGATGTAGCCATTGAAGACGAGTTTTCTGGACTAGGGAATGCCTAAAATAGGTCGAGAATCTAATTAGATTTACTTTTGAGGTATGGGGGATGAAAACCAGTACTGCAGATTACAAATTCTTATAAGCTTACGGGCAGTGCAGGCATGCTGGAAACAGAGTTCGATATCGCACGCCTGTACTTGTGCCTTGGAGCATAATATTTGTAGTCTCTAGAAGATACAGCAACTTCAGTCCGTCCAGTAAGTCTTTTAAACCTTATATCAAATAGAATAATAAACAGATTGAGAACATTAATACTTTCAAGCATTCATCACAGACTTTTAAATGATTTTTCTGGCTGCTGCTAATGTGAATTTAGAGAGTGGATGTTTCATGAGTAACCGAGAAGAAATTTCAAATTATATATTTACTGAAAATGTAAATATGAAGAAGGTAAATTTTTCTAAAAGTGAGACCAGGTTAAGAGCCCAATTTTAACCTAAAGATAAAATTCTAAGGCTAAAATGGTCCGTAACATACCACTCCGCATCATCTATACCAACTTTGGTTGGCTTCTCGAAAATAGATAAGCCATTTACCACCACAAAACGAACACGCTTTTCCTCTTGTATAACTAACTCAGGAAACTTTGATCTTGTTTCAAAAGAAGTTGCTAGCTCCCTTCTTTTAAATATACAAGAACCTACATGAAGAACATTAACATGAGAAATATCCAAAAAGATCAACGACATAAAAATTCTCTGAATACAAAGCGATAGAAGCCAATCCCAGAAACATCATTAGACAGTCCCGTAGCAGGGGTGATTAGAAAAAGGGCAAAGAACCAAAATCTGCATCAGTGATATAATTACAGAAAAACCTTTACTTATCTTTTTTCATATGCAGAGAGCAAAATGTGAGCCAGAGGAGGGGAGGAAACTGAAGGTGGTAAAAACTTTAATATACAATTTACTACATAAAGACGTAGTTTAGCAAGCATGCAGGTAAGTAATTCAATAGATGAGCAAAACGTGAAACATAGCTTGAATGATTTCACATTCATAACTACAAGGCCTGATTAAATGATGCTCTATCAAGGGAAACATATCATAATTACCTTTCCTAGGAAATTTTTTTGCAAGCTTTCTGTACAAACCCCCAGAAGCTTCAAGGGACACACCAATGGTCTTTTCACGGACGCCACTTATTGATGCTAACCTAGCATTAACTTCACCCACTAACGTTTCATACAAGTTAGCAACATACATCAATGGCAAAGCATAGCGTGCATCCCCTTCATACCGAATCTCTCCTGACTTCCTCTTGCTTGAGTTATCTTGGGGTGCTTGCTGCACCATGTATTCGGCATCAAAATCCGCCATTTCAATTACATGCGGCTCAATGAAATGATCAATGATGATGTCTATTAATCTTGCTCTGGCCGTTTCAATTGGTGAGACATCTGTACAAGCATGTAGTTACTCAGAGTTAGATTATCTCAACTGTAACAACAATTCAATACTTACAATTGTATAATCTCACCATCAATTGTCAAAATAGGATATGGACCGCTTGAAGACCCGTTATTCTCAAGACTGCTTCTATCATCCTCCACACCCATACTGTGAAGTGGCAAGGAGCTTTCATAGGATTCATGCATGCAGTCCTACAAGGTTTAAAGAACTCAGCTCAACAATTTTATTTTATTTACCAAGGAAAACAATCATACGGGAATTTTTAATAGAGCAAGATTTTTTTCAACAGAGAATCTCATAATTGTATAAGGATTGCAATGATGAATCTTCATCTCCTATATCAATCACGTGATCAGATAACAATCAGAAAAACATCTACCGAAGTCATTCATGGTATTCTAGGCCATAGGAAGGAATTTTTGAACTTCTATCCACAACCCTAAACCCCGTTTCATCCCCAATTGAATCATTAGTTATATGTTAATTAATTTTTGGTTAATTATTTGGTAAACACCTGAAATTTTAGTATCCCAAATGTCATTTTCAATTCCCAATCACAAGATCAATCGATTTGTTCTTATGCTCAAAACCAAGCTCACAAAAAAAAAAAAAAAGATTCCTTCAGGACAGAATAAGTTTAAAACTCCATCAGTTTAAGGAAACAGCAAACAAATCGAATAATCGCAAGAATAATGCTAGAAGCCAAGTGAATTCCAATTACGGCATGCGAATCTGTGTTGAAACATTTCAAGAAGAGTAAAAAGAACTAGATTGGAGCAGCAAATTCAAACTAACACTGACAACAGCAGAGGAGCGATCATCGTTATCATCGGCGACGTCATCGGCGACGGGGTCAGGAACATCTTCTCCGTCGTTTAGAGAGCTGCCAAGGTAGGAATTGTCAGCGGCGGGTGGTAGAGTGTAGTGGTCCACCGGAACTCTGCTCCCCATTTGGCGCTCGCTAAAACCCTAACAGAGCGAAGGCCAGCAGCGAAAAGAGAGGGGATTTTGAAGAGGGAAAATCTCAACGGCTATACAGACGCCTCCTCCTGTTTGTCTCCGAAGCAGATTCCGAGCCTGCCATCGATGATACAGAATCACAGACCTTCCTTGCCGGCCTACCTGACGCTGCCCTGGAGAAGAGAAACTTCCGCATGCACCCAGTGCACTGCACCACTCTTAAACTAATTACAATTTTACAACTACAAATTGGGCCACCAAATATAGATTGATGAGAAATCAGTCCAACACACTTCTAATTTAAAGTGTTCTATTCAACCCGACTTTTAAAAGTATTATTTAAAAAATATAATATATAATAAAATATATAAAAGTACAAAAAATATTATTTATAAAATAATTTCACGTTTCATATTTTACAATAAAATCTTCAAAATTATAAATACTAAGCAAATACATTATTTATTATTTATTTATCATACAATACTATTATATAGTTTAGTGTTTACCCTTTTACTTTTACTAATATTTCAATATAATACTAATATTTTTAAAATTTTAATGAAAAAAGCAAATAGATAGATAAAATATGAGAAGGATGGAATATTTTTTTTTAATATATTATAGAGTAAACTTAAATTTAAAGAATACTTATTATATATTTATTTATATAAATCAACCTATGCTATAAAAATAATTATTTAATATAATATTTTAAATAAAATTTATATTAATATGATCAAAAATAATATTAATACTTTGAATAATGAAAAAAAATGTGTGGAAAATAACAAACCCCATGATTTTCTATTATAGTATGGTTCAAACTAAATACATGAAATAACAATATAGTAATGATAATGGTAAAAGGTTCTTCAAAAATCAGTACTTAATACAATGGGATGTTTTTAAAAATTTACTATCTAAATTGTAAATTGTTTTATATTTAATTATAGTATCAATACTATCCCTAGTTGCTTAAAATTATTACCATGTATTATGAATTTTTAGATAAATAAATATTGAATTATAATGGAATGAAAAATTACAAGTCTTGGTGTGTAAATTTTTTTTTTAGTTAAAATTTAAAATTTCGAGGTAAGAATGAATACTGTTGAATATTTGTCTCACATTAAATGCGTGGGATCTCTCCAAATATATAAAGGTGAAGGGTCACTCCACCTATCACCAATTGGTTTTAGATTGGATGTCGGGATTCCTTCTTAACATAATTTCAGAGCCATGGTGCCCGGATCCCTTCTTAACAGAAACATAGGCAACATTATAAATGCAAAATGAGTATGAAATAAAAATAAAGTCGAAAAAACAAAAAACAAAATACAACAACAAAAGTACATTAAAACAATATTCTCTAGCCTGATCTAAGATATACTATTAATTTGAGAATATTTTTTTTAATATAGAAATTTGACAATTTTCCTTTATATTATATAATGTGCATAGATATCCAATAATGGAAGGTAAAAAGAAAACTTGGAAAATTAATTTGTTTTGTAATGAAAATTTGGAAGAAAAAGAAATTTCTTATAAACAACCTCCCAACTTTCATATCTTATTATTATTATTATTATTTTTTTTTAAAATAATGTACTAAATATAGGTTTAATTTCTTTATTGATTATCTATTTTTCCCAATTACCTTCAATCAGACCAATACCAAACATACTTATTACATATAATAATTTGACCAAATGAAAATAAAAATATATTTAATGGAATTATCCTATTTTAAGGTTGTTGTTAATCTATTTCAAATAAAGAACATTTACAATTTACTTCTATAAATACATTTACTTTAATAAAAACAATATACACATTTTCAACTAACATTATAGTATTATTTATAGATATTTTTAATTAATTAATCAAATTAAGATCTATATATATAAGTTTATTAATATAATATCTAAAAAATAATATTGAGCATCTTAATTTGATTAATTAATTAAAAATATCTATAAATAATATATATATATATATATAGAAGAGGAGGGGTAAGAGGTGTATATACTTTAGGAGGCAATGCACTTGGATTGCCAAGAGACATATGCATGTTTTCTTGATGGAATCCAATGCTTCTTATTATGCATATTTTTTTTCATACAATAATTCACAATATGCATGTATACATTTAAATATCTGCTACTTTATCAATTTATCTACAATTATATTTGTACATTAAACGGGATTTTTTTAATAATAGTCTTATATGTGTAATAATAATATTTCATCCGTCTCATAACAAAGTATCCGTTTTTTCATTTTAGTCCGTATCATAACAAAGTATTCATTTTTTTTTTAGTAACTGTATTATCTACTTGCAACCAGTGGCAGAACTAGAATATTAATAGAGGGGGGGGGGGGGGAATTTTTAAATTTACAAAATAAATTTTTTATTTGTAAAATAATACTATTATCATCCACTTAATAATTTTATATTTATTTTTTTGCATACTAATATTAAATATTAATTATTACATCAAATATAGTCCAAATAATAAAAAAAAAACAATATTTTTTATTAGTAAATATTGATATATTATATTTTGGAAAAAAAAAAACTAATGCACTTTCTTATTAAAAAAAATCAACACTTTGATGTTTTTATTATTTCTTTATTTTTTAAAAATATTTTCTATAGATTATATATATTATTCTTTTAAAAATAGAAAAATTTAATAAAATATGATAAAAGTGGGGTTGGAGTGGAGCAAGGGTGGGCTGCAACCTACCCTTGCCCCTTAATAGGTCCGCCACTACTTACAACTTACAATACATTACACAAATGTCATTATCTTTATATCACACATACTAATAAGGTTATTTTAATCATTTCTACTTTATTCCTACTATATCCCAATATAATACTAATATTTATAAAATTACATGCAAAAAACAAATTGATATTTACTTATGGGACGGAGGGAGTAATAATAATTGTATTTTAGTTATTTAGAATATAGGATATTCTTTTTTATATTTAATTTAAAGCATTTAGTTTACATGTGAGGATCGTGGAACAGCCTACAAACAACGATGACCAGACATGTTGGGATTAGATTTGAGTCAATCGACCGGAGACTTGTACGTAGATTTATACCGCATGTAGACAGTGGAATTTAAAAATTTGAGACTTATGACTCTGATATTATGTCAGATAATTTAAATGATCGTCTAACTTAAAAATTTAAATTATATTTTTATAATCCAATTAAAAGTATCTATGCTATAGTTGAATAAAATTTATAAAGTCTACTGAGATAGAATGGTTAGGTTTATTAATGAGCTAACTACTTCTGCTCATCTCATTTTTTTTAATTTAGCATGTTCATTCAATAAATTTAGATATGTATACGTACATTAGTTGTTACATGTCAGAGTGACGACTTTATTTTTCTTAATACATTCTAAATTTAGAAATGATCGAGCACATAGTAATATATAACATACAATATATAATTCAAATTAAAATAGCATGTGATGTATAAATTATTATATCTATTATGTTTCAAATACACAATTTTTTTAAATAAAAATACATTTTTATTTTTACAAAGCATCGTGTCAAAACTATTTAAACTAAAATATAAAAAAATAAAAAAAATCAAATTGCCAATCAAAACCAAACCAACCCTTAACTTTCCCTAAAAACTTTAACCTATAATTAGATAATAGTATCTGTTTTTTTATTATTTCATTTGTCCCACTTATCATAGTATACACTGTAAATACTAGATTTTTTTAGCAACATAATTAATAAATAATTAAAAAATATATTAGTAAAAATAATTATTATATATAATAAAAATAATTATAAATAAAGTTAAAATAATAATTATTTTTAATTAAAATTAAAAAAATTATAACTTAAAAAATTTAAAATATAATTAAAATGTATAATCTTTAAAAATATATATATAAAAATGGAGAAAGTATAAATCAATTACTATTCTACACATTGTCAATATATTTGAAATATGTGACCCTAAAAAACTTATAAAATTGTTTAGTCAAACGATTTTATAAAGCAATAGTAAATGTGTGTTATATAGATATATATTATATTTAAATGGTATATTCCTATATATTAATCTATAATAATTCTAATTATTTTAAATATAATAGTAGTAAATGTGTGTTATATATATATATATATGTTACATTTAATTGCAATTTAATTAAATTAATAAAGGTGTGGTTGTTGAAATTAAGGAGGGATGTCTTTGTGGAGCGATGTCACTCCTTGCCTTAATTAATTCATTATTTTCTATATCCTATTATTTATTTATTTATTTATAATACAATTCATGTATTATTTTACATATTTTACGAAATTATCATCCAATTACAAGATTATATGCTGATCATGTATTTTTTTTTTTTCAATAAATATATCTTGTATAAAAATGAGAACCATATGTTTAATTTACATGACAAAAAGTTATTTCAATGTTATTCGACTAATAAATAGTTCAAATATTGTGTTACATATAAGTATGATATAATTACAACTTTTGAAAATAAAATATATAATTATTTGGTATTTGTTACCCTTACATGACATTTATTTATTTTTATATAGAACTATTAACTAAGCTAGTTGTGTGATTAATTACCTTCTTTAAATTAAAGATTATATCTTGAAAACCTCAATTATATATATATAATCTTTTTGTAAACAACTTTACTTTTAAGTATAAATAATTAAGAATAAATACCTTTAAAAAAATAAATACTCTTAATTAGTACTCCCTCCGTCTTATAACATACCATGTCCACGTTGCCGTTTCTATCCATCTCACATACCATGTCATTTTCCTTTTTTGAAAAATGATTACACACTTTAATTCCATTTTAAATTTTAATTAAACTAATTAGTTATCTTAATCTTAATTTATAATTATTTATATTATAAAATAATTATTTTCACTAATATATTTTTAATTATCTGCTAATTATATCTCTTCTAAAATATCGTGTATTTATAACTTATCAAGTATTATTTATATAAAAGAAAACTATAGAACTCGCTAAGCAAATACTCACACAATATATTAAAAAATATATATATATTGATTGTGACTCACGCACTCTCACCCATTCCCAATCATCATCATTTATTATTAACAATAATAATTAATTAATTATTACATATAATAGTTATCCACAAGAAAACCAGACACACATATATAAAAATATATATACATACAAGTATTGATAATTAGAGTCAAAGAAAATTCAAAAATGCCTGAACTTTAGCAAGCAGGGGCTCCATGTTTTGGTGTTCAATTTTTGTATCTATATATATATATATATATTCAAAATAAAAAAAGAAAAATCAACAATTTAGAGTTGCTTGCTTGCCATCAAAGCATATTCATATATCATTTATATATATATATGAGTAAAATTTCAATTGAATTTAATAACTTGAAAAATAAGATTGACAAGACAAGTCACACTGTAAATATTAAATAGTATAATCTATATATATACACGTAGTTACTAACAAATTGTATCGAAATTCTTTTTACTGTGAAGGCCGTGACGAAGGTATATTCGTCTGCAAGTCATCGCCAGAATATAGATACACATATTATATATATAATATAAAGAGAGAATATATATAATATAGAGAGAGAGAGTGAGAGAGAGAGAGAGAAAAAGGGGGTCAGGCGGTGGACCCAATCTTGCGCCGCATGGCGACACTCTTAGCTACGTGGCCTTCGACTCCATTCTTCTTCTCTCTCTCTATATATATATACACACACGATGAGTGTATGGATATGTAAATTAGCAATGGAAATGAGTGAGATTAGTTTGCAAATTTGGGAATACGAAGCTCTCTAACCAATTACTAATTTCGTTCCATATATCACGTCTCTTTTGCTGTAGCACGTTAATTTAGAAGATGTATAAATTAGTACTCCTTTCATTCCCCATAATTTGTTCATATTTTTTATTTTCGTCCGTCCCATGTAACTTGTTCTTTCTATTTTTGGATATATAATTATGTATTTTAAATTTTAAATTTTATAATTTTTTTTTAATTTTAATTAAATTATTTACTTATTTTAATTTTAATCTATAATTATTTTTACTAATACACTTTTTAGTTACTTACTAATTATATTTTACCTAAATTCCCTTGTCTACGGTAATATACTCATATTACATGGGATGAAGGAAGTAAATAATTAAGAATATATTAGTAAAAATAATTATATACTCCCTCTTCCTGGTGCAAGGTTGCCGTTTACTTTTTGTATATAGATTTTTGAATATTAGTATTATAATGGATTGTAGTAAAAAAAAACGAAAATACCCCTATTAATGTTTAAAGGCTATTTATTATGTTAGGTAGGTAAATTAGGAAATGATAACCTTATTTTGGGACGGACAAAGAGGGGGTATTAAGATTAAAATAACTAATTAGTCTAATTAAAATTAGAAAAGAATGTGACAAAATAAGTGAGATGAACGAAAATAAAAATATCAACATGCTAAATGGGACGGAGGGAGTATTATATGCATATATATTTTTTAATTAATAAAAGTAATTTGTTTTCTTATTTCTTAAAAAGATAAACTTTTAAAAACTATTCAAATATTTTCAAAAGGTTTTTAGTTTTGAAAATTTTAGATAATAATAAAAAAAAAATTAAGTAATTTATAGGAAACAATTGTTTTGTTCGCCCAACTATATTTTTTAATTACGATTCCTAAAAAATAATAATAAATAATACAAAATATTTTTTTATAAAAAAAAAATTAAAAAAAAAACCAAATATTCATTAAAAGAAAGTCAAAAAACAAAAAAAAAATCAACTTAAAATGATATATTTTATATTTTTAGTACAATTCCTTATACCAGACACAAATAATTAATAAATTTAAAAATGACGAGTGAATAAAGCCCTTATATATATATATATATTTGATAAGATATTTTTTAAAAATTATTATGTAAGCAATGGCAAAAAGTATATTTTTTTAAATATATGGAAATAATTTAGTAATTAGGGTTCTTATATATTTGTTCTAATCAAACCGGTATCTCCAATATATATATATTTTTTAATAAGCAAGTAGGTAGGTAGGGAAGTGTGTGTAAATACATTTACGTTTACAGAATATTATGGTGTGTAGTAACTAGTAACTAGTATAGTCAGTAAGTCAGTCATATTCTGCTCTACTCGCATTTCTTTATTGTTATTGTATTTGTTGCTCTTTTTAATGTGCAGTGGGTGAATTATGTTTTGTTTGTTTCTCTTTGTTTCATTTTTTATTTTTAATTATTTCTAATGCACACCATTAAATTATTATTATCATTAATTCATAATTACAGTAATCAACTCAACTTTCATTATATTAAAAAAAATAAAAAAATGAGGTAGGGATAGTTAAGAGTGGGAGAGGAGGCTGGCTGCAGTGCTGTGCTGTGCTGCTAACTAAGCATCTTTTTCGAAAACTTCATTTCACTGAAAGCTAGAAGAAGAAGAAGAAGAAACCGTCACATCTCCATCTCCATCTCCACCTCCATCCATGGCCACCAGAAGCTAGCTAGCTAGCTAGCACCGCCACTGTCTGAGTCTGACATAACTCAATTCAGCTGCACCACCACCACCATCCATGGCCGCCGCGCCGCTTGCTATTCCTTTAATTTCATCTTCTTCATCGTCTTCCTTTTTCTCTGGTTAATTTATTAATTTCGTCCACCCCCGATTTGAACGGCGTCGTTTCATCAAGCTATCTCCTTATTTAGTTTATAGATACGCAGTTAGGTAGCTGGCGGGCGCACCGACCCAGCAGCTAGCTGCTGATTTCTGGATTATTGCGCTGTAAAATTTAAGGAGCTTTCTTCTACGGTTCAAATTATTTTTCACAGGGTTTCGATCGATTGAAATCTCCTTCCAATTGAGTCGTCCATGGAGCTGGATTGATTAATTCATTCATTCGGAATTGCTTAGGTTGATTATGAATCAAGCTTTTTGAGTTCTCGTCTCGACGAAATTGGAAAAGAGGGTTTTTCGTTTCCGCCTGCAACAAATTCATCATCATCATCATCATCTTCCATGGCAGCTTCTTCCTCGTCGGTGTTTCTAGCAATGAGAGACGAAGCTGTAAATCACGACAATCAGATGAAATCTCTTCAACAACAACAGCAGCAGCAGCAGCAGATTCTTCCACCGCCACCGAATTCCCAGCAATCTTCAAATTCTTCCAACAAGAAACGAAGGAATCTGCCTGGAAATCCAAGCAAGTATCAGAAAACCCTAATTATCAATCCCAAAATTAACAAACGATTAATCTGACTGATGATCATCTACTGCAGATCCAGACGCGGAGGTAATCGCGCTATCCCCCAAGACTCTAATGGCAACCAACAGATTCGTGTGCGAGGTGTGCAACAAAGGGTTCCAAAGAGAGCAAAACCTTCAGCTCCACAGAAGAGGCCACAATCTGCCATGGAAGCTCCGGCAGAAGACCTCGAAAGATCAGGTGAAGCGTAAGGTGTACCTCTGCCCGGAGCCCACCTGCGTCCACCACGACCCCTCCCGAGCCCTCGGCGATCTCACCGGAATCAAAAAGCACTACTCGAGAAAACACGGCGAGAAGAAATACAAGTGCGACAAATGCTCCAAGAAATACGCCGTCCACTCCGACTGGAAAGCTCACTCCAAAACCTGTGGCACTAAGGAGTATCGATGTGACTGTGGAACCCTTTTCTCCAGGTACCTCTCTCTCTCTCTCTCTATATATATATATATATATGTATGTATATATGTTCTTTAACTTTTAGATGATTCATGATCAATCAATGCTTGTCTACGATATCCAATTTGATGCTAAAGTGCCTGTGTACGTGAATTAACATGACTTCTCCAGATTGGGAAATTAGAAATTAGGGCTTTGCTTATTAGGTAGATTCTTGAATTTCTTCTTCTTCATCATCATCTTCTTCTCGATGATCCCAGTTTTAAATTAATCTCAAGTAGAGAGAGAGGGGGATTGAATTAATTAATTAAGAATTAATTAAGAAGATGATGAGTGCAGTTGCAGGCGAGGGAAGGCCGGGCCATGGAGGCACTGGTGATCTTACATAATTTTGTTTGGTTGTTTGGATGTTTGCCTGTCTGAAAAGAAGACACCACGTGAAATCAATTCCTCTCTGGAAAACGCCATGACCTAAAGAGGGGGGGTTGGGTTTTTTGTTTGTTTGGAATCTTTTTCCGTATCTCTCTCTCTCTCTCTCTCTCTCTCTCTCTCTTTCTTTTATTTCTTTTTCACTCTCTCTCTACAATAGTTCTATCTGTCATCGGGACAATCGTCCTTCTGCATATTTAACAGTCACAGTTTCTTTCTTTCTCTTACTACCCCTCTTCTTCTTGTTCTTGTTCTTCCTCTTTCTCTCTCTAATGGCAGCCAGTTCAGTTCACGTGGTACTAACAAACTGCCCATGTAATGAAATTGTCATTAAAGACATACGAGGTTTGTTTTCTTGTGGGAGGGATGGATAGATGTGTTCTTCCTCTGTACTTGCTGCTCCCATCCCTTTTTGTGATAACGTTTTCAGTCTCCTCCCTCCCTCCTTATAATTTCACACACACACACACACACACACACTACCATTATCATACCCCTCTCTCTCTCTCTCTCTCTCCTCTCTCTCACTCTTACTGGTTTCTTGTCTGATGATATTCTCCACGCTGGCACATATGTTTTTGCCAGAAAACTTCTGCACCCAACTCCATATTTTACCATCTGGGACCAATTAGGGCTTTAAAGTTTAAATCTTTGTATTAATTAATTATTAACTAACTTCTCATATATATATATATATATATTTTTAGCAGCAGAAAGTGATTACAGTGCAGTATTATGTAGATTTGCATTTAGGGTTTTAAGAAAAATGATTGATTCTGAAATTGTGTAGTTTATTCCATTCGTACTAAGATTTGATGGTACAAAATTTAACCCTTTTTTCCTCGTTGATGGCGTCTATAATGTTTTGAAAATTTTAATCACTTATAGGTGTCATCCAATATTGTCTTGTACATACACTAGAAAACAAAAAGAAATTTCTTCCTTGCACAAAAATGTTAATTGCTATGTAACTTTTTCTTACTTACGTGTATCTATCTATATACATAAATAGGATTTGAGGTTTTTGTTGCCTGCCTATCCCACTTCAATTTCTTGATCAATGAAGTTTTTAATTGGCATAGGTAATTAGCCCACCTTCAAACTTGGTTTTGTTTGGGAAAATTGAAAAATAATTCTACTAGAATTGCAGAAATTCTTCCACCTAACACCTTCAATTATATGGCTTGTCTTTTTTCCCCTACATTTTCTGCACATTGCTGCAAAAACATATATATATACATATATATATATTCTTTAATTAAAATTATCCTTTCTTTCCTTCCTACCTTCTCTATATTCTATTATTGAATGATTCCCTTGCTCAGTATAACACAACAAAAATGAAATGAATGTTACACATTTCCTTTTTACAATTTTACTATACTTAAATCCAAGAACTAATCAATCACTTGCTTCTTTGATCAACCCTAACATTATTTAGCTATTCTTCATTGAATAATTCATAATTCATAATTCTCACTTGATCATCAAATCAAATTGTTGTAGGCGGGATAGTTTCATCACACACCGGGCTTTCTGCGACGCATTGGCGCAGGAAAGCGCGCGAAACCTCAATGCTCCATTGGGGAGCATCAATGGCAGCCATCATCATCTACTAGGCCTCTCATCACAAACACAAGATCATCATCATCATCATCATCATCATCATCAGGCTTTATCCAGCCATGATTTACTGCAAGTGGGCAGCAGAGCGAGGCCGAGCTCTCACTTCGAAACCCTTTTGAACCAGCAGCCGGGAGGAGGATATCGAGCACCCCAAGATTCTCCGACCCTTTTCCAGCTGCAGGGAAACCATGAAGAAACTTCACATGGACTATTGGCAAACAAGCCACCACTTCATGGACTAATGCAGCTCCCACTACCCCAACTCGGTCAGATCGCCAATGCCAATGCCTCGGCTTCCTCCACTGCCGCCGGCCTATTTAATCTCAGCTTCTTCCCCACCAACACTACCAATGGCGCCGATCCCGGCATTGCTGCCGGGGAAGCTGATTCCACTCTCTTCCCATCAGGTACAAATTAACTTAAATATCCTTTCATATATATATATATATATATATATACGAGGATTGGTTACGGTGTTGATTTGCCTGATTCAACGTGTAGAAACTAAGCAAAATACATATTTTTAAATAATATAGTGTATAGCTTCATATAACACATTATAAATATGAATATGTAACACATGTTTTCAAATAACAGGCCGAAAATATTTAGATTTATGAAATGTGTTATTTGAAAATATTTGGTTGTATTTTCATACTTGTGGCGTCCTTCATGAAGTTATGAACATGTTTTTTTGCAATAAAAATTAATAATAATATGTGTATAATACATGTATTGCTAGCTTATATCTTATATTATATTAACATAAATTAAAAATTAATAATAATATATGTATTGCTAGCTTATATCTTATATTATATTAACATATAAATTATATGTGTATTGTATTGATAAAAAAAAACATTTCTTTTGTTTATTTATTAATTTATTTTTTTGGGATTGTGATGTGTAGGTAATCTGATGGGCATTGCGATCCCTTCACTGTACAGCGCATCACCTCACGGCCTTCAAAACCCTAGCTCCGGCGGTGGCGGTGGCGGCGGGGCGGCGATGTCGGCGACAGCACTTCTCCAGAAGGCAGCACAGATAGGGTCAACAACAAGCAACACGTCGTCTCTCCTCAAGAGTCTGAGCAAGGACAGCCATGGCGGCGGCTTGAATTTTGGAGCTAACAATGGGAGCCAGATGCAGGATCTGATGAACTCCATCAGTTCATCGTCGATATTCACAACTGCATACAGTCAACAGGATCAACAACAGCAGCAGCTGGAGGATTACAGCAGATTCCATGATCACCATCAGAACAACAACAACAACAATAATAATAATACTAAGGTAGGAGGAGGAGGAGGAGGAGGGTTTGATGACGAGAACAATGATCTGAACATTGCAGGAGGAGATGGATATCAAGCTGATGGGAGATTGACGAGGGACTTTCTTGGAGTAGGGGAGATCGTGAGGACTGTCAGAGACCAGAATAACAATGGAGGGGGCATCGACATGGAGGACGCCATGGATATCAATCTGATTTCATCTCAAACTCATGCTGCCTTTGCAAAGGGGAATAATTTCCAGTGAAGATCATACAACAAGACGACGACTAAGAAGAAGAAGGATAATAATATAATCATGATAATTATATATATATATAATGAAATGAAATTAAATTAAATTAAATTAAATTAAATGGATTATTGGGGGAAAGGAAGATAAATCACATCATCACCAGGTATCAGAATTCAATTGCTTCTAATTACCTTTTTATGATCTGCTAAATTGATCAATTTATTGTTTTCTTCTCACCCTATATTTTTTTTGCAGGGGTTCAAAACTTGCTGTAAGAAGATGACTGGTTCATGGTATTTTACATATATATGTATGTATACATGGATATATGAGGAGAGTTGTGAAGGAGGGATTGGAGAATTGAAGTATTTATTTTTAAATTTTGTAGCGTGCCGACTGATTTTGCTTTCATTTGTGATCAACTTTGGAAAAAAATAGACAATCATTTGCATTGCATTTCAGTACATAAATGTTCAAATTAAATATGATGTTACTTAAAATTATATGTTAGCTAGCCTCATTGGCCATTGCATTTGCATTGTGTGGATGAACTAATTAATTAAATTTGATTATTTGATGTATCATTAATTGGCTTAGTTAGGTTGTTCGATTTAAATTAATTAGTATTGCACATACTCATAGCACATAAAAAATGTATGTTTTATAAAGGTATTATTATACTTTTTAGTGCTGCCGGATTATATATATATATGTATGAAAAGGATATTGCAATGCTCGTAAAAGTTAAATGACATTGTACGGAATACAACTATGAAACAAATATTTTTTATAAATTTTGTCTTCGGAGTAAATTAAATATGTTGGGAGAATATTGATCGAATCATACACACCTATGGAAGAAATTACATATTAAAATGAATCCAAAAGTCAATCAAAGATCAAATATTTTAATACGTGAAGTTAAGCCTCACATAATTTATAAACCTTCAACTCCGACGATCCCATCTACACAGCATTTTTGTCCAATATTCTCAACTACTTGTTCAACATTTTAACAACTATTTGTCCTACACAACAAACCTTAATAAAGACTTAGTCGCCGAGCGAGCGAGCGCGCGCACACACATATACATATATATATATAAAACATCGATATCACACGTGAAACAAAGTCTACCAACATCATGACAATTGTCGCAACCTCCTATGGCTCTTCTTGTTATGCCCTAATTAATTTGTTGCCGTCCCACCCCCCAACCCCCCTAAACCCTATAAATACCTCATTAAATCTTACCTAAAGATACATCGGGTTGAGTTGGGTAGAGTCGAGTCAAGTTGAGTTTCAAGAATGGTGACCTTCAACTTCAAGGACTCATCCAATCCACCCTTAGCCGATCACTACGTCAAACTCACAACCTCAAAAACTAATTCATATCAAGAAACCGGGCTAAGGTTATCGCGACAAGAAAGCAAACCAGATGAGTCGGAAGAGCTGCCATTGATAGACCTAAGTGGGCTGGCGAGCGCAGATGAAGAAGAGAGAGCCAAATGCGCTAGCAAAATAGCGTCAGCCTCGACTGAATGGGGGTTCTTCCAAGTGGTGAATCATGGGGTGAGCCCAAAACTCCTTAGCCAAATGAGAAGAGAGCAAGTGAAGCTTTTCAATGAATCTTTCTCATGGAAATCTACTTGTCGGCTCCTCAATAACTCGTATCGTTGGGGGACACCTACAGCCACCTCTCCAGAGCAATTCTCCTGGTCGGAAGCCTTTCACATGCCGCTCAATAAGGTCTCCGATCCAGCATGCTATGGAGAGGAGCTCTCCTCGATGAGGTAACGCATAATCACACTACCAATATCAAACATCCATCCTATACTCAAAAAAATTATAGTTCAGATGTTGCAAAGACACAAACAATTAAATTAAGATAAGATAACGATGTTGGTGTAGGGAAGTGGTGATGGAATATGCAGAAGCAATGCAGAGAGTGGCGAAATTGGTAGCAGAAGTTCTGATCACAAACTTGGGACAAAAAATGGAGGCATTTGAGGAGCAAATAAGGTGCGATGAACAAACCTGTTATCTTCGAATGAATCGTTATCCAGCTGCATCAGGAAGCGGAGGATCGCCATTGATATCACAAGAAAGAATAATCCATGGACTGGTTCCCCACACAGACAGTGACTTTCTTACAATACTTCACCAAGACCAAGTTGGGGGGCTTCACCTCATCAAAGACTCCAAATGGGTAGCTGTCAAACCTGTCCAGAATGCACTCATTGTCAACCTTGGTGATCTTTTTCAGGTATGTATTTTTCAACCACAAAAATCCCATCTCATCCCATATTCCCATCACATCACATCAAATACATTGAATTTGTCATCTTATGCCTGTCCTCAAATAATATAACATTACCTAATGTTGGTTGGCACAGACATTACATATTTTAATTATATATATACTACACATGGAATCATTCGAAATATAAATAAATGGATAAAATTAAAGTACCTGGTGCAGGCATGGAGCAATGACCTGTACAAGAGTGTGGAGCACAGAGTGATCGCCAATCCCAACATGGAAAGATTCTCAGTGGCCTATTTCCTATGCCCTTCACATGATTCAGTGATTGGGAGCTGCTGCAATCACCCTTCTGTTTATAAAAGCTTTACCTTTGGAGAATACAGAAGAAAAGTTCAAGAAGATTCTAGAATTTTTGGCCGTAAAGTGGGCCTTTCCAGATTCCTCAGATAAACATAAATATATTTATACACAGCACACACTGCAGATGCAAAATACATTCATTCAGATTCAAAATATGAAGTAGATTGATAGATATTCTTAGGGGGAATATCATATCCAGATGGTACAATAAAGTATCATGCGTAGCCGATACATGGCAATCTCAAATCATTCTTGAATTGTACAATGGAACTCATTCTAACCTTTCATCTCAATAACTAAGCACAATTGTAGTGTAGCTTTTCCGACAAGCCATACCATACCCGTCAGGTAAAGCTATAAATTAACTTGAGAGAAACCGAGTTTGTACAAATCGCACTAAACTATAATCCTCTTCTCAGGAAACACAAACAATCCATCAGCTTTTTAATCAATAACCAGAAGTTGACACTTGAGTTAGACAACAAATAAGGCAGGATTGAATCCACCAACCACGGCAGCGCTCAGCAGTTAACCTTTGAATGGCAGTAAGCATGTTGCTCGTCGAGTATGTTTAAGTTAAGATAAAGAATCAGTCAGTACTTCCACCGAGCATGTACACAGATTGCTAACAATAGAAGGGAAACTTGTCTAGACTCCCTCAAGCAGTACCGTAACTGTATACATCCAGTGTAAAATTATGAATATTGGTTACTCATGAAACATCCTGAAGTGCCAAATTCAGTTCATGTGCAGACTTGGCAATAGATCCACCTCTTCTGCAAATTGAAAGAGCAAACAGAAATTGAAAATTTGTACTGAGAGGGTGCAGAGTTTGAGAAAGAAAAAATGCATACCTGGAAAGGACTGGTAGGCAATGTTTTACTTTCTCAAGTTCAACATAGCAAACATTGCAGCGTTCCAGCCTTGAGAAGGTAAAAACAAAGATCTTCCAGTCAGAATCTTTTTCAAGAAATAACAATTGCCAGAAGTTGTATTCAAGGGATAAGAGAACAAAACCTTTGCTCTGCTTCTATGTCTACACCCACAGATGCTGGCGCCGATACTGAAGAGTAGATCACGGAGCCAAACACTCTGACCAATTTCAAAAGCATATCTAGTGCAATATCTTGATGCCTAAAGATAAATGATTGAACATATTTAACAAGAGCAAATTCAACATAAGTTGTTACCAAATAAATAAATGAACATTGGCCTTCAAACAGGATACAAAACCTAAACCTAGTAGAAATTCTACCATGAAATTATTTTTACTATACATAACTACTTTCGTATGGATATACAGAGTCAAAAAAACCAACAAGTTGCAAACAGCTACTACTAAGCTACAGGTCTATACGATTTACCAGCAATTAGATGGAGCATTTGATGAAGTGCCCCCATCATAAACAATGTACATAGAAATATATAATCTACACAAGGTTAATGAGATAGCCTTATTGTGTGTTGAATATTACTTATCTTCGATGATTTTTTCACGATATTAACCAAAGAATGACCATGAATTTCTACTGTAGGAAACCAACAACAGGAATCTGGGCATCTTTTTACCTATCCATCTCACTTTCAACAAGTTCACTAAGGAGTGGCAGGAGACATGAACAAATATCTAGTGTCACCATATCAGTTTTGTCTGCCAATATGCTTATTACATCAGCAAGCACCTGCAGATGAATAAAACAAGTAAATACAATCAGTAAATCAAATGTCCGGGACAAGCAGAGCACACTTATTAACATTCACGCTATTGACACACTTATTAATACTCACACTATGATCGCTCATTTTTCCGATTGAATTAAGCGCCCCTTTGATATCATGTCTTTGCCAGAAGTTGAAGATTACCTGTGGTTGACAACAACATTACAATGGTACTAATAATATTAACACATAGATAATCTATTGAATGAATCTAACACTAAATAAAACAGCATTCATAAAATAAGGATTTACACAAGAGATACAAGCAAGAAAATTTAGATTTGCGTGCGGAAAATGACGGGAAAAGTTCTTTTTCTTAGTAAGATGGACTAATCCTACTGAATCCAACAGTGTTGAGGTCCTTTATATATCTTTTGCTATAGTCAAACCAGAAGAATAGATTTACTTAAATAATTGGACAGAACTCTTGAGTGCACTAGTTATTCCATTACAGTACTACTCTCAGTTACATAGGGATTGTTATCTCATTAATCCAGGTACACTTCCTTGCATTAAAGAACAAACAACTGTCAGCCGTACAGTCTACATAGAGAATGCACACTGGAAATTTGTTGAAAATATATGAATTGTCAGATTTTAGATTGGAGTAAATTTCAACATTAAGACTGTGAAATACCTGTAGTTTGCTCATACGAGACTTCATTATTCCCATAAATTGATTGTGCATTTCCATTAAGTCCACAACAGCATCCTCATCGTTAGCAGAAACTGACTCATTTTCCTCAGTTACAGGATAGCTTCTCTGTGATGGTAGAGAGACAAACTATAAAAATTGTCATCATTATCTGCTTGTCTAGTAAATAGTTTACTGATTGAGAATCCAATGAACTGGATGAACAGAGCAGACAGCTGAGACCATCATTTTAAAATTTAAAAACAGAAAGTTAATGTGTGGATCTAGTGAAGTGGTTTGTCGAAATTTTAGATTGTACTTACAGCAGATAATTTTCCAGATACATTGGCCGATGTACGACCAGGACGAAAGGAGCTTCTGCCCCTATTCTCCCATGTTGAAGTAATAGAATGTGTTCTACCTAAGATATGAACAAGAAGAAGCATGTGTTTACAAGTTATCAAAGACTGCTCAGCCTCTAGCAACCAAATCTAAATTGCTTCTAAAAGGTAAATACCTCCTCTTTTATCTTCTATATGAGATGTATCCATATCCATATTATTTGCCCGAAATTCATCTGCAGCCAGATAAATTGGTTAGCGGAAAGAGTAAACTAAACCACTAATAGTTCAAAATATGCAGGATGATATAATAATTCAAAAGCAATTTGAGGCTATATCAGCATTTAAAACTGTACAGATATTGAGGCTTTTAAAGTTGTTAGAATGGTAGGAGATACTATTTGGACCCAAAATATATTAAAGTACAATTATTTATAAATCATGCACTTGATTTGCAACTGAATAAATCACTGCACCCATCAACCATGTTAGTTCCTTGATTGCATTTCATACAAGTTATTAATATGCATTCTAAGCCAAAAGATCTCATGGCATAGCAAAATAGAAAGTTCAGTTCACCAAACCCACAGAAAAAAAGAACAAATACTAGCCATTACCGAAATCTAAATATTACTAAGTTTTCAAAAAGCGTTTCGAAAAAAGCAAAGTTGGAGAAGGGATTCATACAATTTTCAGGCTGATATCTGGAAAAAGCATCAAAAGTTGCATTCGTATCAACTTTTCTCGAAATCACAGGTTTATCGTCTCTGTGTTTTCTGTCAGCCATGGAAACTCCAGCAACTGAGATCTTCGATGAAGTATCACCACCCCTATCTGAGACACCCAAATCCATATGCCTTGAGAACTCGTTATCGGGTTGACAAGAAATATTTGGCCTCTCATTATCCTCTCTCGAATTAATAAGCCTGCGAAGCTCAGATGTCCTAGTCTGCAAAGGAAGAGGTACAGCTTTAACTGTAGCATCTTCTTTTCCGGATTCAGCAGCCTGCTCTAGCTTTGAATTATTTCTAGGCACAACTATGGGTATTACGTCTGATCTGTTGAATACAGATACACTTGTTGGTTGAACCTTAACAGGTTGTCGTTTCAGGTTTGTTGAGTTAGCAACTCCAGATGAATTGGTCTGGGTTGTTTTTGGAACATTTGACCTTTGTGGAGTGCTCGGAGTACTAACAGTAGCTTCAATAAAAATGTATGGAGACCATTTAATACAACTTCAAATGTAAGTGCATTTAGAGATAAGACAAAGAAGCAGTAAAAGAAGCAGCTTACAAGCAATAGATTTGGTATCCTTGTTAAGATCTGAACTTTGCTGAGCAGAGAGCCTCGTGAGAGAACGGGTTTCCTTCACAGGATCGGAATTTGAAATGGAAAGCCTTCCCAAATTGGCCTTTACCTTTTCCTCAGTTAGTAGACTTGAGCCACCAGAATTAGATTTTGCATCCTCACCATTCATTCGAGCAGTGCTGCCCATTGCATAAGGTTCAATACGCTGGCAACATCACAAAATAAAGATTCAAAAGTTTGCAATTCAATGGAGACCACGAAAAAGCTTAATGGTTAACAATGTTAACAAAGTTTGAATTATACCGAAATATCCACAACCCATACTCCAACACAACTTTGATTAAATGAGCATCCAAGAAGCTTCCCTTCATGTACATTCATGTCTGACAATTTAGACCACCCCACATCAACAGTATCATGACTTCTAATCGGTTCCCATGAGAACACCTTTGAGAAATAGACAAAAAAGGATGAACCATTCAATCTCTCTAATACGTGAGCAGCAACAAATTGAACATGTCTGTACTTACTTTCAAATTCTCATGCAAACCACAAAGCAGAGTTCTTCCATCAGGATTAAAGGTCATACAGCGCACTCCTGTGGTCTGGATTTGGAAGATGTGATCAATATTTATGCAGAACCCATCCAACAAATATTAACAAAGCTTAAAATTAAGTAGTGACATAGAAAATATTGATTAGCAGCCAAAAAATACATGGGGAAGCATAGAAATCATATCGAATATTAACCTCAGGCCCAGCAGAACCAATTAGCTCAAATGTTTCAAGATCCCAGAATTTCACAGTTCGATCAGCTGAGCCTGCAAGAAATTTATAAGACTATTACAACAATGAACATAGAATAGTTAAAAGAAGAATAATTAGATACAAGTTCAAATAGAAATTCAAAAAACATAAATCAGCACAATGCCAGCAAATACTAGTTTAAGATTTAAAAGCCTGTGTTAGTTTAAACCACAAACTCAAGTCTCTCTGTGTGCAAAATACCACAGGAATAAATTTGTTGCAAACAGCAGCCGAAAACTGGTAGCTTTAGACATCTACACAAGAGCACAGTAATTCTCTGATGATGAACCAAGCACATGGCTAGTATACATGGGCTATAAGTGGATAGAAGTAAAAAGAACAAAATGAGAGAGAGAAAGCTACAACATGGGCTAAAGTCTTAAGAGCTACAAGACTACACAATTTCTGACTCTATCCTAGACACTAGAACCAGAGCCAATCTAGAGAACAATAGAACATCATGTGGTATTATCTAAAGAACATTAGTATCTAGTTTCTCCTTTCTTTAGAAAAATCAGAGATTCCTTATTGTCATGTATCTTACACTTAGCAGCTTTCTTTTTAGTATAATCTCAAAACATGTAATTGAGAAGAAGCTTCATAATAAAAATTCAAAGGAATAAGAATGAAACCGGAACAATGATTCAACTTAAATACATTGCAATTCAAAGTCATCTTCCGTGAAATTTGCACATACAAAGAAAGGCCATCATGATTATACTAAAATATTTCAAGAAATCAGATTGTTGACTAAAACAGATACTGAGGTTTAGGGTCGCACTGCTACTATTCTAACCAATCTTATATTTCTTACGTAGCATTAATAACATAATATTTTCACTCGTTTTTATTTTCTACAATAATAGCTAGCAAAACTTGCAGATGGAAAAGTAGGCATACTCATTTCGCAGGTCATAGATACAAAGCATCTAACCTGTAGCCAGCAAAAATTCATGAGGATGGAAATCAATGCACTGAACTTGGCCTTCATGAAACTTGAAATCATGCAAAAGCTTGCCAGCAGTTAAATCCCAAAGCTGCATTTTTAGGAAAATATAACTAGTAAGAGATGGGACTCGATTCTATGCAATATAGTGTGTATAATCAGTCATTCAGGGTGTATTCGGTTTTGGATTTCGGTTTAAATGGTGAATGGATGTAATGTTTTGTAAGAGGACTTAGTGTATTTCTATAATAATAATAATAATAAACGGCGAAGGTTGCATAATAAATGAACTTAAAAAAAAAAGAGTCACGTTTGAAGCTAGACAACTACAAATTGCCATGTGGCGATATAAATGAATCATCCTATTTAATGTGTGAGCTGACTTTCAAAAGGAAAGTATGGACAGAAACACAAATTAGGCAACTCAAACAAAGTGTATATAATTAGTAACACAACGATCAGATGCTTTAAAATTCAGATGATCCTAGTTTGACCACAGTCAATAAAAAAAATAAAATAAAATAATCCAGACAAGAAATAAAGGAAACCAACTCTAACCTTCACAGTATTGTCCTCACCACCAGATACAACCCACCGCCCATCAGGAGTAAACCTTATTGCATTAACACCTCGGGTGTGACCTTTATATGTGTGTATACATCCCTTCCTTCGAATATCCCATATTTTCAGATTTGTGTCCAGAGATCCAGATGCGAAGAACTCCCCAAATGGATGGAAGTCTAATGATATGCAGTTGGACCGGTGTCCGGTGAGGGTACGAATGACTATAAAAGACACAAAAACAACAGAAAAAACACAAATGTAATTATCTGGATTGAATTCTGCAAGGAGAACCAACAAGGCAGACTGTAGAATGTTTACTCTTAGCCTCCTCCAAATCCCAAAGCTTAATGGTACCACTAGCTGCTCCTGCAGCAACCAAAACCTCTGAAGAATCAAAGCTCACTGAATCTATTCCACTTGAATGGCCAGACAAGCTCTATTCATTGAACCAAGGAGAAAGTTCTCATCAGGTTACCATGTACAAAGGAGACAATGAAAATATTAAAAAATCGGATTTGTAAGAGAATGAAAAGGTAAGATTCATTAAGAAAACAGTAAAAAATGTGGGTCAGTAGGATATTTTTGCAAGTAAAATGAGGCCTGTGTTAGAGATCGGTCATAATGGGAGATCTACCATCAGCTAAAACTTGTTAAAACTAGGAGAACAGTTAACTGAAACAAAATGTTAAACTGCAGAAAATAAAAGACAGAGTGGTAATTCAACTGACCAATATGGCATTTGGCTTGCCAATAGCCCAGAGGTTGACCTTATGATCTTCTCCTCCAGTAACAAGAACCCTTGATGATTTCCTCCCAATCTTTAGGCAATTCACACTTAAAGAATGAGCTACAAATTCCTCTGTAACAAGAATTTTGTTAAGGTCGACAATTTAACATTTCGCTTACTACTAGCTTCTTTAATCCTCAGTTATGCAATTTCAGATCTAAATGCATCATATAATGGAAGGTACCAATAGGCTTTATAAAATCTATGAACTTCACAACAGGCTTCAAATGCATGAAGATAAATTAATATCTTATAATTTTGTTTGTCAAATTATCCTCACTTCTTCTTTCTCCAGAGGGGGAAGATTTATAATGTAAAGTATGAAAACAATAACATCATTCAACAATTAATGTAAATTATTCATAATTATATCATCAGCATTTGTGCCAACTTTCATACATTAACAACTTCCATTTTTAAGTCTGACTATAATATGCAGTCTCTTGCCCTACGGAGGTGTCTGATGCCAACGAAGCAAGAAATTCATCCCCGATTCATTTTCCCACATAGCAGCATGAAATATTAATTTCACATTCTACACAACTATGCATCCAAAAACCCAAAAGTATAAGTTTGTGATGAAATGTTCAAAGTGATGTGCGTGCACAAACAAAGAGAGTGGAATGTGAATGTTCGATTCCATACCAAATATCAAAGTAAACTTTCTTAGCCTGCACTCCCAAAATTTGCTTAAATCTCCCCATCGTATTCTGTCATGCTCTAGAAACTAAAAACAGATGTAGACAAGCATATGAATCTTCTCCCACTAGATCCAACCAAAATGCATCTCAAAACACTACATTTCAAGTTCCGAATCGAACTCACACATGTTAAGTTTCCACAGCGAGAAAAAAACGAATTAAAATAAAGCACGAAATTTAGCAAAGACGGCAACAAACTTTCCGAAACAAGGATACGTAGCTTGTAAGCACGTTTGGTAGTGGTCGTCATTTCCCAACTTTGAAGGTGAAAATCGAAGTGCCCGAAACCCTAGCACAAGCTCCAGCTTAGCGGCAGATCCCAACAAAAAACCACCAGCCCACATTCGAAATCGTTCAAATGCCTTGCAATACCAACCGTTCACGCCATGTTAGGACCAAAAATGGCTGAACAAGTACCAGAAACCCCTTCCCCGATATCTGCCCAAGGAAAATAAAAATTTGTTGTAACAAGCCCAAATTAGCACAAGGATCAAATGAAATAAACAACAGGAAACGCCGTGGGCACGAGGAGTTGCCACATACACATCAATGCACCTATAGTGTAAGTAAAATCACAATGTGAGCGTGAGAGATGGAGAGAGAGAAGGGTATAATAGGTAGGGCAAGATTGAAGAAGAAGGGTTATTTTTCCAGATCCCAGCTCCGCAATCACTTGGGATGACAATCCCGCAGCAGCTTTCAAATCGAAGATCCCTTGGGAGAGTTTAGCAGTCAAATTTTGAATTGGGGTTGGCGTTGCTCTGCCCTGCCCAGTGTTGGTGAATTTTTGGATTTGGGGATTTTTTTTAAAGTTTGGATTTTTGGAGAGGGTGTGAAGTAAAACTGAATCAAACGGACTTCGAGGGTGTTTTCGTAATACTCAAACTTTCCTTTAAGAAAAAAACTTTCCTTGTTTTCTTCTCCATTTTATATTTTTAAATTTCTTTTTTAAATACAAAACTCTCAGTTGTGTTTTACATAAATACATAGTTTTAAAGTTTTTTTCTTTTTTTTTTAATATAAATGGAATATTTCCTTTTGCAAATTATATCCTTCAATTGCAACGTGTTTTTAAAAAATAAAATAAAATATCGAGGAAATGATCACAAATTTGAAATTAACGAAGGGTATAATAGTAATTGAAAAGCAGGCCCAACCCAATTATAGCACAAGGATAGTGTGGGAAGTTGAGTATAAAGGCGAACCCACAAGTCCCGTTGGATCGTCATGGGCCCCACGAGTAATCAATGGCTTTGATTGCTTTAAGAGGTGGATTTTGTTGCATTGCGAAATAAAATGTAGAGTACTCCCCCGCTTCCCACAACGATACTAATCTCTCAATCCTAATAAAGTTGTTTTGTTTTTCTATTTTTGTCTATTTTAAAATAATTATTTTATTTTTTTATTTAGTAATTGTGGTCTTTATTTTATAATAAAATTATTAGTAATTTTTCAAATTACTTATAATTATTACTATAGTCTACTTTTTAAAATCATTCAAAAAGTAAATGTATTTTAGCATTTTATATTTTATTTTATATTCACTTTCAATTAAATACTATTATTCGTTAATATCTGTGTTTACTCCCAATAAGACATTTTTTTTGGAACGAAGGGAGTATTTTTTATTTTTATGTATCTCAATTTAAGGATATCATTTTTTTATTGTAAATGTACTATCTATCTAACATAATTTCAATATATTACATAAATATCATTACTTTATATCACATAATCTAATATGAGCATTTTTTGTCTTTTTTACTATAAATAAATATAATACTAATAATTAAAAATCTACGTTGAAAAAATAAACATTACTCTTCTTCCGGGACGAAGATAGTATTTTTTAGCCTAAGCTATAAAAAAAATTGTGTTACTATATTTACATTAAATATTGATTCTTTTAAAAAAATATATGTATTACTATATATATAGTGAAATTATGTGAAAAAAACATTGAGCAATATTAAAAAGAGAGATAAATATTTTATAATTAAAATAAATTAATTTTGCAAATAAATAGAAAATTTATTTATTAAAGATATATATAAATAAATAAATTTAGAAAGCTTCATATTATAGAGTAATATTTTATAAAAAATTAATATTATAGAGTAATATTATATATATATATATATATAAAAGAGTATAGTGCTAGAAAGTGTAACCAAAGTTATTTATTTTATTCTACTAAGATCTATTTAAAATATTTTATTTTATTTTTGTATTATAATTAAATGGTATTTTGTACATTATTTAATTTAACATAAAAGAATTTTACAAAATAAATAAAATATAATGTATTTTTGTGTATTTTTATTTTACATTATTTTTAACTAATAAAAGTAAAACCATAGTTAATTTTAAAAAAATTAAAATAATAATTTATCGGTCAAAACAACATAGACATTTGAATTCAACATGATATTTAAAAAATAATAATATAATATTAAAAATGAAATATAAAATATATAATAAAAAAATTAAGATATCATTGTAATTTATTTGTATAAAATAATAATAATAAAAAAATAAAATTATGATTATACGATTGTTTATGAAATAAAATTACTATTTTAAAACAAAAATAAAAAAATGAGACATAATATTTAAAAACAAAAGAAGTATAATAAAACTAAAATATATTAAAAAAATTATTAAATAATATAATAAAATATATTAACATGTATGAAAAATAATTAATTTATATTTAAGAGTAAATAAAATTAAAATTAAAATATTAATGTATATGCTAATAGTTTAATTTTTATGTGAAATATAAAAAATTATATAAATAATATGTAAAAAAATATTCTAATTGAATGTTGATTTTTTCATAAGATAACATATACTCTCTTGATCCACTAATATATAAATTAATATTTTTCAAACATATAAAGTAATAAAATAATATAATATCCATATGATCATTTATCCAATAGTGTGAAAAAAGTAAAACTATAAATATTTTAACATTTAATTAATAATTATTTTTATTTCAAAAAAAAAATTTAATTTAAATATACTAAAATTGCAAAATAAAAAATTTACTCCAAAAGAGAAATATATATATATATTTTAAAAATTCTAACGTAATTTTTTTTGAAAAAACAAAGTAACACTTTAACAATTAAAAAAACTATTGAATAATCTATTTTTCAAACGCCCTAGTAAAGCAAAGATATACTGTCTTCTCCTAAATTTACTCACTACTATTTGACAAAATTAATAAATTAATATTTATTTATAATAAATATTATTAATTTTATATCTTATCTTTAGATTTATTTTAATTTTTAATTAAAATTTAAAAAATATCATTAATTATTTCTTAATATATTTTTTTATTATTTTATTATTATTATTTTTTTTATACCGATAAGCTAACTTTAAGGAAGGGAGAGACTAATTAAAATTTTAATTTGATTCACGGATATTATATATATATATATATATATACATACACAATAATAACGAGAGAGGGCACGTTCCAGCTTACTCCTTCCTTTCCTTTATATTCACTCAACAATGGCGATTTAGCAATAAGCAGTCCAAGATTCATACGCCGCATCCAACACCTCCCGCCCCCAAATCCACGACCGCAAACCCCAACAGAGATTGGCGGAAGTAATCGTTGTACCTGGCACGCACTATGGAAGGTGTTTCGTCTCCCGCGGACCAACAGAATATGGTGTCTTCCTTCCTCGAAATCGCCGTCGGCCAAACCGCCGATACAGCGCGTCGCTTCCTCCAGGTACTTTTCTATTTTATTAGTTTGTCCAATTGGTATACAATTTCAGGCCTTGCTGCGGTTCTGGATTGAACTAGGGGATTTTGCGATTTTATTAGTTATATGTGTTGTGGCATATTTTATCAATTATTTGCGATATTTTAGTCTCTTCAAACGCCATTATAGCATCTCTGTGATTCCTCAGCGGCTGTATATAGCACTGCACTTACTGCTCTCTGTCACTTAGTGAATGTGATGTACCTAATTAACCAGTTCCGGTTTGAGCCTTTTCGTCTTTGAGTCGCTAAAATTTCACGGATCTTCATGGTTGAACCCTTACATCTGTTTTTGTTGGGGCTAACTGACACTTAATTCCAATCTGAGTGTTCTCATTTTTGCGTCACTAATACTTTTATAACTTTTTTTATGCTCAAATCCACCAATATATATATATATATATATGTGTGTATATCTATGGAAAAAGTTTAGCAGCAACAGAATTAAGTCACCATTCTCATCTTTGAGCCATTAAAGGCACTAATGGTTCAACTGGTAGTCGTGATATCCTACAATTTCAGAATTGACTTTGCAGCGTAGCAATGTATGTTGCGCATTTGGATCGATTTTAAATAATGTTCATACTTATCTTACTATAGGGATAAGATTCAAATTATACAAGTGTTGGAGTTATAGCACAGGTCCTATGAAGGAGCTTTATTTTGGGATTTATTCCACAATTACATTTAGAGAAAAGGAATTGAGACGGAATCGCAGTTATGTTATTTGCAGGACTTTTTGCAAACTGCGAATTTCATAATAGGCATATTAGAGTTGAGGCATAATAAGGTTTCTATAACGTGTTGTATATTCAATTAGTATTTTTTGCTTCTTGAATGCGCTATCATGAATTAGTAAACTTGTTTAAGTGAGCGTAGTTCTGTACTTTGCTGAGTTGCATCAAGGAGGTTGCCTAAATTGTACAGAACCACTTTATCTGTCAGCGCAAACTTGCATTGTAAATCACCGGTTAAAAGAAGAATGGCTTAACAAGTTCTACTATGTTGAAAGTTTTTATCTCTAACTTTACAATGACTTGAAAACAGCTATTAAGTTCTTCTTTCTGCCCAATACTTCAATTATTGCATACATATGTGAATCTGTGATGACTGTAGATCAAAAAAAAACACACAAAACTATTGAGAATCGACTGTAGTTCAAATAAAAACACACAAAAATATTGAGAATTTGTTTCAAATTAAAACCACCTGGCTATATTTCAACTGTATGTTTTTAGTTGTTGATTTTGAATCTCATGTGAATTAATTGCTTGACTTATTTTTCAAAGTATGCGAATCAGATAAATATGGGGAAATGTGTGGATATGTGTTGTCATTGATGCTAGAGTTATTATTTCTGTGAAGGCAGCCATTTAATGGGTGCTACTAGTTGACTGGGGTCTAGCATGGTGCTGGTTGCTGTTTCTTGTCGGATTTAGGTATTTTGTATCCTGGAAATGGAAGTATGGTGGCGCATGGCTTTTTTTTTTCTTTTTTTCTTTACTTGGTGGCCCATGTTTATGACTTAGGGCGAGTGGGTGGGTTTGAACATCAATGGAAATTTTTAAAAGAAGGTGAAGTCTGAAGAATGGGTGGGGATAGGTTGGTAGAAAAGAATGGATTTGACAGTTGCTATTAGCTTGAGATGATCAGGGTGGGAAGTGCAAATATATGAGAGAATTGTCAGTATGATCTGAGCTAAAGCCGCAAAATTTGATCTCCAGGCTTAAATGCTGGTAAATACTGGATTTGTCAGAGCTGAAATGTCAGGAGAGGTATATCAAAGTAGATTTATGGTGAAAACTATGACGTATAAATGAAGTTATTTATTGTCATAGACGTTATTGAAGATAAATATGTAAATGATTGGAAATGGTAGGAAAAACATTTATGACTAAAGGGTTGTTGGAGAAGAATCCAGTACTAACATTCAACAATGATAACTGAAAGATTGAAGCAAGAACTGGTTGACCTTGACCTTGATCATGATTTTGAGATTCTATAGATTACCCCCCAATCATGGGTTGACTTTGTTTGATACTTTTCGTTGACTTGGGATTTGCTAAATTGGATGTAGTAGACTTGTAATAATCTGTAAAGGCGAGAGCATGCGGAATCTTCTTTTGCTTATCATAATGCCCTTCCGTGATCAAGTCATTACGTTGTTTTGTCTTCCATTATAATTTAACCATGTGGAGTTTTTTCCTCTTCTACTGTTTGATGTTATAAATAGCTTGTGTTTTATGTAATGCTATGTAAATGTTTCACATGATGCAGGCCACTGGATGGAAGCTTGAGGAAGCCATTCAACTCTTTTATGTAGGAAATGAAGGTGGGTTTGCCCCACCGTCTGCACCTTCTCCACCATGGGAAAGTGAACAGCCCCTCAATGATGCAATCCCAAGGCAAGCAACATGAAAAACATGAATAACCTGTCTTATATATTTCATCTAATCTCTTAAAAGTGTCGTATTTTAAAGCAGTGAGCTGGGAAAAGAATTGGTGGACAAAGATGTAAGAAAAGATAATAGCGAAGATGTCCGGCCACCTTTGCCTGTCAAAAGGGAGGTCCTTTATGATAATCCCATACTACATGGGTATACTACTGTCTCCTTTTTATAACCTACATGTATAATGATTTGTATACTTGAATAATTCATGAGGGATGATTGCTGTAAAATAATTATATCCTTTTGTTATCTTCTGAGTTCTGATACCCACTTTCCACCTTCATAGGACTATCCGCATGTTCCCTTAAATGTGTACAAACCTACTTAAAACTAAACGATGCCATTATATGATTTTGAGGTTTTCTGAACATGGAAACAAGCAATCTTCTGTATATTGCTTTCCGGCTTGCGTCTATTTCATGAGTGCAACCTATGCCATCTACTTGTAATTCATATTTGATATTTATGGAATGATCACTAGAGATAATTTTCCTTGAGCAGCCTGGATTTCCAGTCAGTCCATGACCTAATGTTATACTACTCCTTTCACACTGTTTGTTTCATTATGAGATTGGACTTACTATTTTTTTCTTTTGTTGGCTTGCCATGATAAGTTGTTTGTACAATTTAGTTTTCTTAAACCACTTGTTCACTTCCAGAGGAGCACCTGCAGTGGGAAGTTCATCATTTCCACCAACTCATTCTGTTGTTCCATTCCGCAACTTCGGGGAGGAAATGAGTTCAAGGGTATGGGAAGCAGCAGACCGTTCATCTGCTGCTGTAGCAGATAAGACTCAGAATAATCTTGCATCTTTATATCGTCCACCATTTGAGTTGATGTTCCAGGGGTCTTTTGAAAAGGTAATAGCTTGACTATACATAACAAAATTTAACTGAAGCTGAATTGGTAGTGTTTAGGCTTTTGCAGAATGTTTCCCTTCTAGTTATCATATCCCCTGATGCAACTTCTAGACTCTTAAAACTTTCTTTTTACATGCTATGCTTATGAGGTTTCAATGGCAGAAGCACTTCTTCTTATTGCCCCTTCATTTTCAATGGGAAACCAATCAAATATAGTGGGAAATTTCAAACTTTTATTTTGGTTTAAAATATTGCATGTCGGTTTTTGTATCATGGAAATTTGAATTTCTGAATAATCTGAATACGGGTATGCTTCAAATGTGCCATGGATCATATCTGATACGAACTATTTTCATGACAGGCCAAAGATAATGCAAAGATGCAGAATAAGTGGCTTCTTATAAACTTACAGTCCAACAAGGAATTTAGTTCGCATATGGTACGTACTTTTCGACCGGCATGTACTTCTATCACTACCTCTCAACAGGCTTCAATAATAGTAAAAAGAGATACAGCAATATAATGGAAACTAAATTGACTCCAGTTTAATGTGATGGAAATTCTAAATTCGAATGCTAAAAATAGTATAATACCTGATCTCAAACCATAAAATCCCCTGTAAACCTAACACTTAGTTATTGAAATTACATATCTATCTGTGAAGATTAACTGCTTGGACTCTGTGGTCTCCACTGTCTTAACCTGAAAACTATAACTCTTATCATTTGCTCTTGTTGTCACCCAATTTAAAATTTACAAATTAAAACCTCTTTTTTCTGGAAGACCTAAAATACTTCCCAAAACCACAATTAGAATCTGCTATACTACAAATGAACAAGAAGTTATTGCAAAAATGTTTTGCTGTTATATGTTAGTACTTATCAGTGCCTTTTTAGCCTTGTTATATAATCCTTAAAGTGGGCCATTGTTCTACGAAGCACATTTTTCTGAGCCTGCAATAGTGTTTAAACTACCCGATATTCCTAGTTTCAAAACTCTCTCTCTCTAATTTGCTTAAACTATTGTTGATGCATGTTTTGACATGCTCTTGAATTGCATTTACTGCTGCGAAGCTTAACCGGGACACCTGGGCAAATGAAGCTGTTGCTCAAACCATCAAAACAAACTTCATCTTTTGGCAGGTTTGTATCATGTCTGTTGATATTGCCAATTCTATTTGTAATTCTTTAATGGTCATGACTGTGTTGCCTATGCTAAACTTTGCTGCTAGATTCATCTTCTTAGTGGGAGTAACACATACAACTTGACAACTGTATCTCCATTAATTGAAAATACAATACTTTTGTTGCTTATTTGTACATAGCAAGATAGTATCAAAATGAAAAACTAAAAATAAATATATAATTCTTCAGAATCTCTTGATAACGAAAATTGTCAAGGACGCAATTTTCATTCTGCATAGATGCCTTCTGTACAAGTACATCTCCTTGTTTCTGTTTCCATCGACATATACAGTTGAAGATAGAGGAAATAGGAAATGCAGAAACTAATCTTTATGATATATATTTTCTCTTAGTATTATTCCCTAATTAAAAGAGTACCCATATGCTTCTCCTATTTTGATATAACAATGGAGAAAAAAGTTTATTGTTCTGCTTGGAATAATTCACAGAGATTTCTCATATAGTTCGTAGCTGGTCTGTTGGACAAAATCTTTATTGATCAGAGTCACATCTATTATAGTAGGATCACACTATAACCTTTTCTTACTTAACAATTTTGTGTTCAATTTCTTTCATGAAGGCTTATCAAGTGCTTGTAAAATTGGTTCCATCTCATAATCCTGACATTATTCTATCTGCTGTAGGTATATGATGACAGCGAAGAAGGGAGTAAGGTCTGTACCTATTACAAGTTATACTCTATCCCTGTTATTCTTGTAATTGATCCAATTACGGGTCAGAAAATGCATTCTCGGTCTGGAATGGTTCAACCAGAAGCTTTGCTTGAGGTATAAAAGAAGTCTTCATCAATTTAAATTTACACTCTCTTTTTGGAATACCTACTGACAGCCACAACTTTGGAGGACTTGAAACTTTTATGGAAGTACATATAATTTATGTTCTTTTCTATTCCTATCTCTAGGATCTGCTTCCATTCATGGATGGCAGCCCTTCAGATCATCATGTCAGTTTCTCTCACAAACGTCCTAGAGAAAGTTCTCAAGCACCGATTCCTGATGTTCATTCAGTACCAGGTTTTTTAACACTTAGGATAAAATTCCAGTTCATTTTTGGACTTGTACTGTGGAGACATTACAATTTTACCGATCCTACGGCTGCATAAATTAGATGCCAATACAATGAAATAATAAACTAGTGAAAACATATGGTTTAGTGAATTTTGTTTCTTACAATAATTGTGTTCACGGTCAAGGTTAATTAGCCTTTAAAAATTGCATTGGCTGCAGATGAGAGTAACGAAGATGAAGATCTACAGCGAGCACTGGCAGCATCTATGGAAAGTTTTGACGGGACTGATAACAATGATGTCAAAGAAGCAAATGATGCCATTGATGAGGAGAAAGCGAAGAAACCTGCGTATTTACCCTTACCTGAAGAACCCAAGTCCGGGGATCGGAGCCTTCTTTGCAGAGTTGGTGTCCGCCTTCCTGATGGGCGACGGGTTCAGAGGAACTTCTTACGCACCGATCCAGTTCAGGTATTTGAATGCAATCTGACAGTAGAACTTATGTTTCTAATAATCTTCACCTTTATGAACAACAAACACTCCTCATTCTCTACAAGAAACAAGGGAAGAGTGTTAGTATTTTCGTATGGTTGTTGAAATTGGTCTGAAAGCTAAATAGATAACTATTTGAAGATAAATGATGAACAGTTGAACTTATTATTACAAAATTCTCCTGTGAATATAGGAATTCCTTTTAGATATCACACTCAGAGAATTTTGATGCATTTTTCGAAAAACATTTGACTCTGTGCTTTTTGGTATCAGCTGCTGTGGTCATTCTGCTACTCTGAGCTGAAGGAAGATGCCCGGCCGTTCGGTTTGACCCAAGCTATTCCAGGCGCTTCAAGGACTTTGGACTATAATGCAAAATCAACAATCGAGGAGTCGGGTCTTGCCAATGCAATGGTTTCAGTTACATGGGAGTGAGAGATGGTTTCTGCCCCACCGCGGCATTGTGACATATATATATATATATAACTTTGCACTGGACTGCACTGGAGAATCTTGGTTTTTGACTGCTGCCTGCTGGTATATTGTTCTGTATGTTGTTTACTATGTGCAGAAGATATGATGACCAGACCAAAACCAAACTGCTACTCCATCCATCAACTGCTATGTTTATGTCTTTGTAGATAATCTCCAATTCTCCATAAACACATATTTGGATATTGCAAACTGCACATATTTATTCCCAACTTCTTTGCATCCATGCTGATGGTTTTCTTGCTATAACAGAATCTTGGCAACTTGATGACACAAAAGTTCAGCTTTCTTAGTTACAAGTAGCAATCTTACTCTTTATCTTTTCCTTTAAAACACTCTTCTCTTTATGCATGGAACTATTACTTTCTCACTCTTCACAAATAAATAGTAATAGTCAAAATAGTTTCACAGATATTCCTATGCCACACAATCTCTTCATCAAGCAACAGCTCTCTTCAGGTTAAGAAGAAATGCTATTATCTAGTCTCTCTCTCTCTACTGTGACAGCATAACTTGTACCTGCACAACCTTTGTAGAGAGAGAAACCCTTTGGAGTTTGGATGTACACTGCTCTACCAACCAGCAGATATTGAAGGATGCTGAATTTCTGAGCAATGTGATCCTCAAGAATCCAGGGACCAGTTGTAACTCTGGTAAGCTATTTTGATCGAACTTCCATCACTCAGGAGATGTGTTAGGAGACCTGCCTTACTTGCATCCAAGTAGTTTAGGATCCACTTTAGGATTTCCTTTTCTTGCCCGAAATCTGCGGTGTACCTGCAGCGTGTATATATCAGTGTATGCAAAGGTTTTGTGCAGTTTAGAACACCATTGATGAGTTTATGAACTGTCTTAATCTATGAGAAATTTGCTCACCAGTTGATTATTCGAGGAAGGTAGACTGTCCTGCTGGAAAGGTCTACCTGCATTCCATCATCCCTCCCGAAGTATTCCCTCGCGGCGTTTTTAAGTTCAGATTCGACGCCTTGGGGAGTGAAGAATCTGATCGAGGGGCTTCCTATTGTTGCATTCCATGTCCCAAAATGAATCAACGGATTAACTTTTGGAAACGCCAACTGCAGGGAGGTGAAAGAACTTCTGCATCAGTTTCTCATATTCTTGCAACAATTCAGTTCTAGTCAAGCTAAGATATGATGGATCTTTATTGAAATTTTTTTTTTCTTTCTAGATAGGTGTGAGCTTATCCTTGTTCTATAGAACACAAGCTTACATTACCTCAAGGCGCTTGTCACCGCTGCCAAATGGCTTTACGAGTGAGAATGGAGGTCGCCGGTTGTTCCTCAGAATACCATTCCTGATAGAGCTTAAAGAGTAGGGGTAGCCTCCAACCACATACATAAACTCAGAAAAGAATGGTCTCCGGTCGATCATACTGCCAGGGTGACCAATCCGGATGGCAGCATGCATCGCCATGGCGTTGTGCAAATTCAAAAAGAATGCCAATTTGTCTTCATGGGAAAGAGTGGTAAGGTTCACTCTCTGTAGATCCTCCACTAGGTTTACATACCTGAATTTACAGTAGGTACAGATTATTTTGTTGTTAGTAAGGACTTCATGTTTAGCAAGAAAATAAGGATAAATCAATGATGCAAGTTTAATGCTGTGTTTTTTATCATATCCAATTATTCACCTCCTAAACTCTTCACTGTTGCTGATTCCAATGTAATCGAGATGTCTTCTATCGTCGGAGGTGTAGGACTCGACTATGGCTGACATTAAGCAGGTAAGCTTGTGGCTCACTGCTGCAGCTGCCTTGGGCTCGGAATCATTCACCACACCTCGGAAATTATGGCATTTTGGTATGAAGTGCTCGTGTTCGAGGAAACGGTACAAGTGGTTTCCATCCTCCAATTCATTCTCCCTGCATATGTTGGATCCATATGTATTCTGGTTAAATTTTCAGTGAATGATGGAATCTTGGAATAGATGTAACTATGTTCTGAATTTCTTACCCAAATACATGATGAATAAAATGCTTTCTTGCCAGCTGCTTCCCAATCTCAATGGCCTAAAGTTAAATCCATACATATAAATGTTATTTCACCATCACAAAATCACCAAAAGAGAGTTTCAAACTACTATGCCGACTCTAATTATTTAGAATAGTGATAATAGCACACAAAATATACATAAACATTGCATAAAAACTATAAACCAACGCCACAAAACATATTTTAATATAATATAAATACAATATATGAATTGACATCACATGACAATAGTTAATACATAACATGTTAATATAATATAAATACAATATATGAATTGACATTATATGACAGTAGTCCATATAACATATATTATAATTCATCTCAAACATATCAGCTATGTCAACACAGCAGACATATAAAATGAAGCAAACAACTCATGCTAATTATGCTGGATAGACTGTTAATACGTGTGTTTATCTATATTTCTTGTATTGATTAAGAAAAATTAGCATGGTGCCAATTACCCTTATCAGCACTCTCATAGATATTACATACACATAATCAATTAACCATATTAAAATTTTGAAATTTATGCATTGAAATGAAGTCCAACATCAATCTTGACAATGATAATGAAGTAGGAAATGCTAGCTAACCTAATTCCTAACCGTGTTGATGTCATTTATGATTGGGACACTCTTTTAAGAAAGTAGTAAGCAACCAATACTGCTATATTTCCTTTTCAGCAATGTGATCACTTGAGTAATCTCAACTCTTACGGTCCTCTCAACATCGCCTTGATTAGATATATTTAAATCCATGGCGACGCGTATACACATATCTTGCCACAATTGTCGCCTACCATAACGATATGCATATATTAGTGCAAGAACATACATACTATTCAATGATAACCACATCCCAAATGATATTTTGACTAATTCATCAATGCGTGAACCAATTTAGAATTGTAACCTCACAATAACTAATCACGTTTTTTTTTTCGAGAAACTGAAACTCAAATCGTTTCCACTCAGATCAATTGAGAATTAATTGCACGGCTATTTAATTATGCAGAAGGTATATCGCTGTTTGATGTGGATGAAGTCCAATTTGGTGGCCACTTTCAATTCAACGGTTTGATTTCAATTTTCAGCCATATATTTTTACTATTTCTTACCTGAAAATAAATGGAATTTTATAGGTAAAAAAAAATGAAGGAATCGAGGTATTCACCTTTGTACGGCTGCAGTGAAAATGGTGAACGAGAGCTTCGATGAGCTCGCCGCCGGAGAAGCAATTCTTCACGAATTTCATCTTTGTGATGCGGTCTTGGATTGGAACGCTCTGCCTAACCACCCGCGCCACCGCCGCCATCTCGTCCGCTTCAGATTTTTCGTCCTCCGCTTCGTCAAAGCCGTAAACCGGTGGCGACGGAGCATCGTCGGGGCACTTCCGCCCTAGGATCTCCTCCATTTTCGCTTCAAGCATCCCGCTGTTACGCAGCGAGTTCAGCGCCACCAGTCCGCCGATCAGCTTCTCGTTGAAGAATATCTGCGGAACGGTGGAGCTGCCGGTCTTCTCTATTAATTCCTTCCTTCGCGAGGGGTAAACGTCGACGTTGATCTCAACGCAATTCAGATTCCTTTCGCGGAAGAACGATCGGACGGCGCCGCAGTCGCGGCAGTTGGACCGAGAGAAGAAGCATATTCTGCCTTTCAGCTCCTTCGTCTCCTCCTTCAAGGTTTTTGTCACTCTCAAACCTACCAAATTGAACTCCTTCACCACATCCTTGCCGTCGTCGTCGCCTTCTTCTTTCCGAATCATCGAAATACGCCTCGTTACCGCTGAGGATAAGCTGTTGCTCTTCTCGCGAAGAAATTTCCCCAAAACCGCGGCCGCAGTCTCAACCGTCTCCGGTGACGATCGCGAGCGTTCCAAAACCCCCGGCGGTGCCTCCGGCTTCGGAAGCAACGAATGAGGCCGAACTATTCCCTCATTTTCAGCAATATTTTCAAGTTTCCGCTCGGATTTCAAACTCCAGTCACGTTTCGTCTCCGGACTTCCATTTCCGTTATTCTCTTGTGAGCGATGAATGACCTCCGTTTCCCCCGTCGGCGGTGAATCCATGGCGGAATACGACCAAAAAGGTAAAGGTCTCAACGGTGAAAACAAGAGAAGCGAGGCAGCCGGAAACGACAGTTTCGTTTGAAGGTCTGCTCACAAAGCTGCTATATATACGCACGCGCCATACGTATTTATGGGCATATATATATATATATATCTACGTACATACACATACGTATTACGTAAGTTCGTATGAGAGGATAAATACTCTAATTATTTTGGTTACAATAACAATAAATACAATAATTATAACATTTATACATTTGGATGTATGTTTATCGTTATTTGAGTATTATTGTATAGTTTTAAAATACAATATATTTTGGTAAGTTTATAAATCAAATAAATATATAAATATTATATAAAATTATATTTTAAATTTAGTTAACAATTATTAAAATATTTCTATATACAACTAATCTTACCTGTACTAACAGAAATGCCGTCCCGTCATCATCAACATTTTATTATATTGAATTAATAAATAGTTGTATTTATGCAATAGAGATCTTTCTGGATTTTCTCAAATACGTGGCAATATATATAATTTATTTTATTTTTTTCATTTCTTCGATGAAAGAAAATAATAATAATAATAATAATAATAATAATAATAATATAATTACGTTGACTAATTGAATAATTCAAGAAGAAGAGGTCATGAAATTGGACAATTGGAGAAAATAGTGTATGAATTATGATCAATACACGCCTGCATATTATGAAACGGTCAGGTCACGTCTATAAACTTTAATTTAATTGCAGGCCAAAGTTTTGTTGTGGACATTTACTTACCATTCCCATTTTATTTAATGTCGATTTTGGTACACAAGTGGTAGAACGACTAACTTCGGTTACTACGGCAGAAATATTAATGGTGAGTGGGTTTTTACCTTAGCCATTATTTATTATTATTAATATTATTATTATTATTATTATTATTATTACTATTATTATTTTTAATGACGTAGCAATCCGTAGTTGCAATCGAAAATGCGCACCGGATAAACCTTCGGTCGAACCCGACAAACCAGATCCACTTAAAAGCATAGCTGAATGACTTGAAAGATTGAAATCAATTCTACTTATTAATTATAGTAACAAATAAAATTTGGAAAAATATTAACTCAACTTGATAATAAATTATATTAATAAATAAAATAAAAGAAAATATGCCTGCTTGGACTCGCCCTCTAAAAACAGAAAATTGAACAAGTCATGAGTGCAATTTGTTTGAGACTAAATCTTACGTACACACGTCTAGAAAAATTGGTTTGTTTAGACAGAAATCTTTCAAGGTTTTTGGAAATTTGAAATTTTAGAAAAAAAGTAAAAAATTAGTACTTTCTCCGAACTCCCTGCAACATTTCCAAATTTAGAAATAACTAATAATATTTTTATACATATATTAATATACACTTCACTTTATCCCATCACATCATTCAAATAAAAAAAATAAATAATTATTTCTCTCTCCAATTACATCACTTAATATTCAAATTATCTCAAATTACCATACCTAAATTATCGTGTCAAACACAAACGTTGCACGGTGTTTGGAACAGAGGGAGTATTTAATTTCATATTTTGTGAAAGAAAAAAATATTTGATGCGATATTTTTTAAAAAATAAATAATGTCAAATGAAAAAAAATGTGTCGTATAAATAGATAGTTCTACATCCACAATATATATATATATAATACTAAAATAAAATAAAAATATTTTTAAGAAGTATATGAAAGGATTAATGAAGTGGGATTAAAGGATTAATATATGAAAGTATATTAAGAAGTATATGAAAGGATTAATGAAGTGGGGGAAAAAAAAAAAAAAAAAAAAAAAACCTTTTGATAAATTAAATATGTATATGGTTATAGTATATTTATAAATAAATGTAAAGTTAAAAAGTAGATAATAACAATATTGGGAAAGAAAGAAACAGTAATTGTATTGAACTGAACTAAACGTGCAAGAAAGGTTCATTAAACCAAACAAAAATGATGACTCCCACGTTGACTACTGCAACCAGATTTTTTATGGGGATTGAATCAACTAGTAATATTATATATATATATATATATATATTGAAGAATGCAGTAACTCATAACATCGACTAGAAGCCATGGAAAATAATTAACACATATGCATTTATCCCCTATTATTATTATTATTATTAACAAGTGGGAATTTTGGAAAACCTGAAAAATATGACCAAACCAGCAAAACACAATAGTCTGCAAGATAATGTCAAGCAACCAAACTAGAGGTTTGTTTAAACTTTAAATAACTTTCACTATTTACCTAATGATTTCATATTGAAATCACAAAAAAGAGTTGAATTTGATAATTTATTCCTTGAACAAGTGCAATAAGAAAATGTCTTTTTTTTGCACCTCCACTAGCACATGAGAAGTTATATATCCTAGGCTAACAGAAACTTTCTTGAAGAATTTACTAAGGTGCACCAAATTTATGCAATTTGGAATCTAAATGCAGCCTTTTGATGTGGCTAATGATGCAATTCTCACAGAAAATGTTCTGGTAGGAGAGGGATGGTTTAGTCTACCTTCAACTAATAAAACTTGAAAAAGAGAGTACTGCTATGGTGTTTAAGGTATTCTATAGTGTCCACATACTATATTTGCACAGCATAATGTGGTTCCGTAGCTACTCTGCAGCTATTAAGGGCATGAGGTTCCTATTTCTTTATCGGCACACAACTAAGTGGTGACAGAAAATTTATGTGAAATCTAGGTTATCAGTAAGTCAGTCAGGTGTCTAGGTTGCAATAGGTAACAAAGAGTGAAGAGAACATTATTTGATGGAAACACATGGCAATACATATTGCAAATAATCATCATCTTTATCAAGTCGTTATGCGGTTCAAAGAAGAGACTTGGCCTAAACCATTCGAATTATAAGTTGAAAGAAAAACTGACTATAAAGAGAACCATGCAAGAATTTCAAGGTAGCAGCCCCTTCTTTTTTCAGTTGAAATTCTCACAAAACTGGAAAGAATTGAAACATGATGTACCGAGCGCATTCTCTGATTTCAAACATCTGATTGAAACATGATGTACCGAGCGCATTCTCTGATTTCAAACATCTGATTGAAACATGATGTACCGAGCGCATTCTCTGATTTCAAACATCTGACATCTTTACCAGTTTATCATATAGAATCTTGTCATCCCTGCCAGTGTTGCTTTCCAAAAGTGCACTTTGCACAAGTTCCTAATCAATAACAAGTTGATCAGAGTGTGTCCCGAGTAGAATAGATCGATTACAGGAAAACAATGAAGTGCAAACCTTGACATCCCGGTGCGAGAGGAACATCCCCAAGTTATGGATGATCAACCTCAGATCTTCAACCTGACGAGATCAAAGAAAGTCAGATCATTAACTTCTCAGCACTTAACAATAATATAATATAATGAAAGCCTCAAGCATACCCTCAAGTATCCAACACGGTTGCGATCAAAAAACCTAAAAGCCTGTTAACAATGAGAAGAAAACTCAAACTCAGAACTCCAATTTTCAAAGCGAATGAATAGGATGGATGATAAGAGAGTGATCGATATTATACCTGCAACAGTTCCTTGTCAGCACCACCCTGGTTTCCGCCTGTCTTTGGTTCCACCTTGGTGAAATTCTCCGTATAGCTTGGGTCAAGATTGGTAGTTGTCTCTAAAGCTGGCTTTGCACTTTCCTGCGGCTCATTCTGCTCATTTTGAGTAACATCTTCACCAACAAAATCAGCATCCTTTTTTAGCGAATCAACCTGTTCCAGAAGTGAAAGCACGCAAAATTAATGTTAATCTATCAAAGAAAAAAAAAACACACATACACACACACACACATTTGTGAAGCTTTTAAAAGTTTTAAAAGAAGAAAGCTTTTGGACGGAAGTGTTTTCAAAGATTTCTCAATGGGTGTTTCAAAACTGACTGAATGATTTTGTAGCCTGCAAATTTATCATAAACCCCAATTTGTTGCACTTAAACTGGAGGAAGACTTGAATTCAATTTTCACCATCATATGACACAATTAACCCATTTTATTTTTATCCTGTTATACTGCATAATAATTAGCATAATAAGACTCATAAAATAAATAAAAACAAATACATCCTTGCCTCTTTGGCTGAGTCGACATGCTCCCTTGAATAAGGCATTTCTTCATCTTCCTCAGGATCTTCCTCAGGCTCTTCCTCTTGGGTTTCATTCTCTTTCTTAGGCTCATCAACCTTTTCAACATCATTAGTCTCTTCTTTGATAATGGTGCTGGCATCTCCGTGAGCGTCGTTGGTATTTTCAGTTTTCGCTGTAATCAGATGTTCAGTTGCGTTATCTGTCTCAACAGACTTGCTTGGTGGGTTCTCCACATCTTCAGGAGCATCATCAGTCTTTTCTGTTTTAGGTATCACATCCTCCATTGTCATATCCGTCGTAGGAAGCTTGATTGAAGGGCTCCTCTCATTTTTATGTGTGTCATCAGTGTTTTCATTTTTAGTTGTCATCACATCTTCACCTGTCTTATCCGTCTTAACACGCTTGCTTGATGGGCTCTCATCTTCTTTTTGGGAGGTTTCTTTAGTCTGCCTCTTTCGTTGGTTTCTCTTCGCAACAAATTTTATCCGCAACTTCTGCACAAATTAAACTTGCTAAGGAGAAAACAATAACATAATGAGATGGATGTTAGATTTTATTAAAAAAAAAATGCTAAACCTGGAGGAAAGACAAAAGTCGACAACCCATCTCATATTGAAGCATTTCATACAAGGATTCTGCAAATATAGATAACTGCAACAAAAATAAAACAATGTCCTGTTAAGAGCTGCCTCAAATTTCAAAGCACAAACTAGAAAAGCAAGAAATATTTAACAGAGTACTTTCAAAAGGAAAAACTAAATACAATACCGCACCTCAAAATTTGATTCTTCAATATCCTTGTCACTATAATCCAAGAGTGAATCCAATGAAAGTGATAAGGATTGCAACTGCAAGGTAAAGAACATAGTAGATTATTCCTGCATCCTTCAATGAGACATTTGTGGACAAATTATAAGAATAATGAGAATCACATATGCTGTGGTCAACATACTTTAGACCCCTTGCTTGCTTTTGTTTGAAGAATCAAGCCAGGATGCCTAGGAGGGTCGTCTATTCTTTTCTTCTCTGTTGCTGTTAAACTCATACTTCTTGATTTGTTCCCATTATCATCTTTCTTATCTTTGTCATCTTTCAGGTGCTCCTTTTCATTGGATTTTGCACCATTATTGACCTCCAATGTAGACCCAGGCAGATCTTTTGTTTCTACATTTTTCTCTTCCTTGTTGGCTGGCACCATTTTTGGTGTCTTGGTGCCTTTTGAAATGACCTTATTTACCTGGCTTCCATCAGATTCTCCTTTCTCTTCACTCCTAACATCTTTTTCAGGCTGATTTATTGTTTGATCCACTTTCACATCATCTTCACCCACCTTGGTACTATCATCTGCAGAGACAGCCTTTCTTTTTGGAACCCGCTTAACTACTTTCTTCTTTACGGTGCTTTTGATGCTGCCCTCTTGGACCGCTTGATTTGTCTCTTCAGATTTGATACCCTCAGCACTCTCAGGTTCCTTGATTGTCTCTACTGCAGGATTTGATGTTTCATCTGTTTCTGGAGCAGCATTCACTGACTTTTTCACAATCTTCTTCCTCACAAATGTTTTAATTACTGGGGAGCTATCTTTTTGTGCATCACCTTCAATACTCACATTTATTCCTCCAGTATCCTCTTTGTCTAGTGCATCATTCTGCTCAGTAGAAGTTTCAACACCATCTTTTTTCTTAGCAACCTTCCTCTTAACTATCCTTTTTATAATTTTCTTCTTTCCAGGTTTGGTACTAACTGCTGTCTGAACACTAGAATTTTCCTCTTGAACCTTATCTCCTTCTGGAGGTCCTACCCCAGCTTTCTCTTGATCTGCTTCATCTTTCTCATTTCCCTGCTCAGAAACTCCTTTCCCTTTCTGTTTGCTTGCAACTGTGTCCTTTTTACTATCAGCCGTTACTCCACTATCTTTCTGTTGAAGTTTCTTCTTATCTACATAGAACAACTCAATCAAAAGAGATACATAAAGCATCAATATGATAGTCTTAGATAACTACCTTTTGAGCCTTCTTCCTTGTCTCTAGGTATCTGAGATTTTTACAAAGAAGAAGTAAATCAGTGATCACTCAACAAGTTCTGAATCTACGGGGAAGCCACAATAACTTTTCATTCATTTTAAAAATATGCATGTTGAGAGGGTCTGAACATTGCAATATTATATAGAAGCTCCCCAACTAACAAAATACTTTAAACCACATGCACATTTCATATTTTCATGTATAATATTTATCTTGTAAGGTTACTTTGTAAATTCAACCCAAGTAACTTCTGAACAATTGGCTAATTCCATGCATTTCCACCTTTGGTAGCACTCATCTTACATAAAAACAAGGCATCAATTATCATCAAATACCATAACACAGGCATACAGAGTCATGCATCATTCTGCAGCAACCCGTTTCACTTCTAAACAAAAGGTTAATTCCATTCATCTCCACCTTGGGTAGCACTCATCTTGCATAAATACAAAACATTGATTATCATCAAATACTATAACATGGGTATACAAAGTCATGCATCATTCTGGAGCACCTAACATATATCAATACCCTTGTGAAGCAGTTAGAAATATTTCAATTTTTGTCTTGTAATTTCTGTTTTAATTTCTTTTCATTTCATTAACTTGATCCATTTTTAGGTTAAATTAGCCAAAAGGTTTTACAGTGATTAAAAACATTATTACACAGTTGATAAGTGCAGAAAAAGTGCACATACATATATTATATATATGCTTAACAAAATACACTAAATCAAAGAAGATATTTTTTTTTTTCTGACGAGGAATAAGGACTACCTCTTTCTTGAGGGAATTCAGGCGCTCCCTCTCAGCAGCAACCTTTCTATAACTAAGCCACTGTTCTCTCCATGTATCCAGTGAAGGAAGACAGTCTGAGAGATCTGGGACATAAAAAACAGTTACCTCTTTGTGACTGAAGAGTCCATCTTTTCCAACTCTCTCGTAATGAATCTGTATAAGTTGCCAATAGTAGATATTAGTATCGCATTATACATAGCTTAATTTTATACTAAGATTATGAACTTTGAGGTATGGGTAACAACAGTAATTCATCCTCCCAATAGATTGAGATATAATAATAATAATAATAAATCAAGGAAGTTGCCTTCTAACATCCACGTGAGTTTCAAGTCTTTCTCATTACAAATAATATCAAATAGACAAATACACCAATAAGAAGTATGAGAGACTTCCTTATCATCTTCCCATCAATTTCTTCAATTACTACATCACTAAACTCAAACTTCTGGAGTTATACTACTCCTAGGAACTGTCAACCCCCCCAGAAATCTCAAAGACAAGCATATAATTTTTAATGACTTTAAAATTGTTTTCATGTTTTGAAAACGTTATATGTTTGAAGAAGCCTCATTGTCAGTAATATGATAGTTTTGATTGAGAACCATTTTTTGAAGTTTTAACTCATATGTACGATAGTGGAGCAAAGGATAGTAATGTACCTCGAGAAAACGGTTCCAGTGCTGACAGCTTTTCAGATCAAGATTTGCTACATTCTTTGCATACCTGATAAATTATCTCTTAAGCACAATTAATGGAAATGATAATAGGATTCAATAAGTCAATTGGGTATATTAACCTGATAGCTGTTTGAATTAAAGAGTTATCATCGGAAGGATTTCCACCATCCACTGGCTCCCAAGGGCCGCCAATAGCCCTCAGAATATTAGTCTGCTTAAGAACAGCAAACCTAAGCATATTGCAAAAGTGAGGAATACGGTCATCATAGAGTCTTTCAGATGACAGCTCTGCCAGCGCATTTTTGCTCAGCCCACTCATCAAAATAATCTGGCAACATAAAAGTAAACCAAGTCAAAGGGTCAAGTCAGGTTTACTTACACATGAAATTCTGTACAATTATGCATTAGTAACTACATGAAATTCTTGTTCTCAAACCAAGACCAATATTAAATCAAATCCTCCTCCATACTCCAAAAGAGGCTTCTGGATTGTCCACATGAAACACAGATATTTCACAAATTTTAGTCTGTTAACATTTATGATTCTTGGGTGTGTTTGTTTTGTGGTTTTAATGCATGTATTTTTTTTTCCGTTAGGTATGAAGAATCATGTAAGTAATATACAAAATAATATTTTATGTTGTATTTTTTTTTGTGAGTGAATAATATATATCATATATCATTATATTGTATATTTTAATGATATTCATTGGAAATTGTGTCGGTTGGTGAACACATCCCTTGTTTTTACTTTTATCTTATTTGGTTGTCTCTATAGATATAAACTGATGAAATAGTACCACTGTTTCCAAGCATGTCTAGTCCAGGTTACCACCAAAGATATTATCATTATTAATAAACAACACGCCTGATTTAATACATTATAACAATAAATGCAGATTATATGCATGCGATACTTAGAAAAGCATACGGTTCAGAATAATATTTGTCAGAGACGCAAGATTCATTTCCAGATGCTTTCATAATCTCCGATACCGTCAAAAAAACTATAAATGTGTATATAAATTTAGCAACTGAACAAAAATAACCTTGGCATTCCAGACTGTATTTTGGGCTCCAGATTGCAAAATATCTGTTGTACCTTCTGTACTATGAGATTCTTTCCCCTCCACAGTAGCCTCCTCAACAAAGTCATGCTCAAAACTAAATCACCAGGAGGTGTGACAATAGTTATTTCACTATTACTTTCAAAGAAACAAATCAACTGATCATAATACTACTGAAAAATTGCAGAAAAAATTTAATACATAGAAACGAGGAAATTCCCTAAAGGAAAATTGACACTTTCTAAGAAGACCCAAATATATGTGTGTATATATAATAGGCAATTTAAAAAGATACTTAACTTAATACTTGAAATGAAGCAAACAGCATGAAGTACACACAACAGCTTGAAATTTTCTGTAAAGACCAATGGCAGAATACAGGCAGATTTTTACCTCACAGGGGTACTCAAGGAGAGGTGCAGACTCTTCTTTGGCCAATTAATAACTACCTAAAAAATGTTCCAAATTAGCAAAGTCAAACAAAGCAGGTTGTGATGAAAACATAACTTCAAGAACAAAAAGTAAGAAGGTGGACCTTTGAGCATTCAGGAGATATGTAGAGTCGGGGGTATCTCTTGTCCAGTGATAGATAATCCCTCTCAGCTTCCACAAAACTAAATGAGAAGACCTGCCAAGGGAATTTAGAAGAGTTACCAAACCATCTCAAGATACATTTCAGAAAGGAATCACAAAGTAGAAGGTCAGTATCCTTCCACTGTATCTTGAGACCAATTGTTTTTTTATTGTGCCTTGTTGATAAACAAAAAGCCCATTTAGAAATGTAACAGCAGAAGCGGTAACAAAAAACGGAAATGCATGTACAATAATGTAGACTCCAGTATGGTAACAAGCTCTGCGTTGACAGTTTTAGCAAGCAGCTGAGGACCCATTCAAGTAAGAGCTGGGACTGCAGAAGAAGCACAAATGTGTCTACAGAAGGTAGAAACAATACAAGGAATTGTAGAGAAAATGGAAGAGAAAACAGGCTCTCCAGCAAGGAAAGTGGAAAAGGACATGGTGAATGCCTGCTGTTTCTGAGATATTTCAAATGTGATACTGAAACACAATAGCAGGCAGAGAAACTACACATGGTAGTGAGAACCCAGATTCCAAGAAAGTGTAACTGGACACAATGGTACTAAAAAATGTAATCACTTTGAAGAGTAAACTGCCAACAAAGGATTCAAGCGCAGGGCAATGAATTCCAACAGTGAAGTTTCAATAAATCAGTCTGAATTCCATGCAACAGCTAAGCTGTTGCTCAGAAATTTTTACCTTGCAGTCATACTCTCTCCTTTTTTCTTTGACAGGGGAATGGTGCCTTCAGCATTACAGAACGCACCAAGTTAGGGAAGGCCGCATGTTAACCTTCTAAACATACAGAACTATTAGATAATGTAATAAAATAGGATCCACCTATGCACCACTTCACGACGAGGGGAGTCCCGTGTCAGAGGTCTGATGATATCCTTTGCCAAAGATGAACCTCTGCGCTCTCTAGAGACTCGAGGAGGTGTGAGTTGCCTGAATTCAGGTGCACGCTTGTGTTCTCGGTCTCTCTCCCTCTCCCTCCGCTCCCGTTCTCTTTCTCGTTCCCTTTCACGTTGTCTTTCGCGTTCCCTGTCACGTTCTCTTTCGCGTTCTCGTTCTCGTTCACGCTCCCGTTCTCGTTCTCGCTCTCGCTCCCGTTCTCGTTCGCGCAGTCGCTCCTTCTCTCTTTCTCTTTCTCTTTCACGCTCGCGCAAGTAGTCCCTATCTTTCTCTCTTCGTTCCAACTCCCTTGCATATGTTGCTCTGTCATCTTTCCTATCATCAAGTCTTGGGTGATCAGCTCGCCCCAACATGCTAGGTCGATATTCTAATTCGTGTGACGTTCCATGGAGCCCCTTCCCTGCTCCATAGTCTCTACCAGGAGGCAAGCTCACTCCATAGCCAGGGTTTGAAGAACTTGGGGTATAAACAAGATCATCGACATTCCGTTGTGGTGCTGCTCCTAAAATTGATGGTGTATGCTGTCCACTGTACGATGAGCCACCTAAAATTGATAAACTATGCGGCTCGAGTTCACCTCTTGCAGCATATGCAATAGGATCTTGGGCAGGAAGACGAACTGCAGTCCTTGTGGTGAGATAATCGGCTTGTCTGCCAGAAATTTGATGCCACTCAGTGCTCTAGATTTAGTATAATTTATGAAATCGCACACCCACTTCTGAGTTTGAGCTCACTATCAGGACTTGGCATGCATAATACGCGCAGTTTCACAATACATTATGATCATTGTTGGCACAGGATTACAACAAGCAGTAGCATATCCACCGAAAATAGTCCTTTAAAAAAATTACTCATGTACAATAAAAGAATGTTAATAACCAAATATACCTAGTTCCACCCTCCATAGAAGCAGACTGCAGTGTGCGGGCTTTTAACATTTCTTCTTGCCTAAGCACTGTTGATTGCTCCATTCGACCATACAGCTTAGACTGGCAGGATAAAGAGCCAAAGTACCCAAATTACAATATGATTGATTGGAAAGGTGAATAAATAAACACGTGACACCACAAACATTAACAAGAGAAAAAAAATGAGACATGCAAAGTGAAGTGCATAGCATCATTTAATACCTGATTATCATATCTATCAGACGTCTCACTAGTTAAATCCCTCCCTAAATATGCACTGTGGCGATCAGTATACGAACGTCTGTCAACAGATGGATATTCAGACATCCTATCTGAATACAATTGATCAACCTTCTGACCGTAGGCACGACTTGATGATGAGACATACTCAGCTGCATACTTGGGCGACTCTGCCATCGATGATCCATAATTACTCCGACCTTCCAAATTAGTTGTTGCAGATCCCTTGAATATCCAAAAGGCATTCCAAAATAAGAACATAAAGACCACAAAGGCAAACAGACAAGAGAGATTCAAATTTATCACGTAAAACTATCACAGGACAAATCTGGTGTTAGAGAGTTAATGGCGACCACGATTATTTTATCGTCACTAAACGAAAATAAACTTCTCACGCTAATCCAAATCAAGAAAGATGGTAAATCTTGAAAAAAAAAAAAAATACAATTGAAAATAATTAGTTACCTGCTGTGCGCTAGAGCCATAGACAGAACCGTATTGTCCGCTGTAAGCCTGCGGCGTAGGCACTGCCCCTGCAGCGCCGGCAGCGGCGACCGCCGATGAAGGATGCCCAGGAACGTTTACACGAGCCCTATACCTAGCCAACTCCGCTTCTTGGTGGCTTCCTCCCAGTAGGGAAGCGGCGCCCAGCTGCAAAAGGGGCAAAGAAACAAACAAATAAGGCCACGCACACATCATTCAGATGGAAAACAACAATCGCAACGTAGAACACATTCGGATAAAAATATCAGGAAAGGGATGATACGGTACATTTTGCGGTGTGTAGGACTGGGGAGTGTACGGCTGCTGTTGGCCATAGCGATTGGTTCCCCGAGAAGGATACATCACGGCGAACAAACAAGCCCGATGAGGCGGCGTATAGATGGCGAAATTCTCCGGCGTCGGCGGCGGAAGATGAGGTCAATATGAGAGCGGAAGAATCATGGTAAAATCGTTGCCCTCAAATGCACGCGAAATTGGGCGTCCGACACCGAACCCTAACTGGGCTGCCATTTATAGGCTGCTGCCATTCGGACGGATATTTGTAATTTTTAATTAAAAATAATTATTAATTAATTATAGGAGTACTAATCCCCTACATTTTTGTTTTTCTATAATTCGATATTATGTAGAAATATTTTGTATGCAATAATTTAGATTGCGTTTGTCTTTGTGTTTTAGTTTTTGGCTTGAATTTGAATTTTTACTAGTAAACAATTGAGTTGAAATAATTATTGAATACGATATAAATAAAAATTAATACAAAATATTTTTTTAATGTAAAATAAATTTTTAGTATAATATAAAAAAATAATTATTATTTAATTTGATATTTTTAAAAATAAAAATAAATTTATATAGTAAAAATATATGGTGCACAAAACAAAACAACCTTAAGCATTGGGACACAATTTAATTTTCTTAAAAATATCATATAAGATAGATATGTATATTTGATAAATTATTATATCAAGTATAATACTATTAAATTTCAAAACAAACACAAAGGTTGTATTCTTTTGCATATATTTTTATTATTTATTTTTTAAAAAATATCATATCAAATAATTATTTTTTTATATTATACTTTAAATTTATTTTACGACATCCGTAACTATTTATATTATATCAAATAATTATTCAAATTTAATTTTTACTATTAAAAAAAAAACCTAAATTCAAAAATTAAAGCCTAAAAACAAACATACTTAAGGGTGTGTCTGTTTGGAATATTGGATTAAATTTTTACTATTCATTCCATTTTTTCCCAAAAACATCGTATCAAACGCCTATTTTTTATTTTTTATATTATACTAAAAAAATCAATTTTCCATTCAAAATATCGTATCAACACCTATTTATATCGCATTGTACAACTATTTAAATTCAAAATTTTTACTATTCAAATCCCAATTCAAAATCCAAACACCCAAACAAACACGAAACCATTGTATTCTATTTGTAAAAAAAAATATTTTTTTAAAAAATAATATATTAAGGGTGTGTTCGTTTGTAGGATTTTGATAAAATCCTACTATTCATCCAAAAATTTTCCCCCAAAAACATCAAATCAAACACTTATTTTTTATTTTTTTATATTATACTAAAAATCAATTTACATTCAAAACATCGGTATCAACACCTATTTATATCACATCATACAACTATTTAAATTCAAAATTTTTACCATTCAAATCTCAAACTCAAAATCCAAACCCCAAACAAACACATCATAAGTATATTTATTATTTTTATATTATATATAATATTTATTATATTATAAATAAAAATATACCCCCTCTATTTCAATACACTAATTCTATTTACCCAGCCACGCAGTCAAGACTATAATTATCGGATGGAGAAAGTATCTCTTTAATTCATGGTGTAATATGACTTGCTTGACGGACCAAGTTTACCGTGGATTTGCACGTTTAAAATAAAAAATACCCCATTTATTATTCATTTATTTGAAGGTCAGAAGAGAGGAAACCCTCTCTGCTTTTATCGCCGTGGTCGGAGCAAACCCACTCTTCAAAGCCGGCATCCGCCACCGCCGCCGTGGTCTCCAGGAGGACTATCCATTCACATTTCCTCAACAAGTCCAATTCTTCTCCACGCACCATGACTACTTGCGCTGGCAACCTTTACACTTGCTGCTGCCCTTCTTACAGTTCGAGAAATCCCTCGGTTTCCCTAATTCCCAAACACAGACGCTGCAATTCTCGGTTTCCGATTCCGACTCCGTCCTCTTCGATTTCTGCACAGCCGTCTCGCCTGTTTTTAACGAAAGCGTTGTCGCGAAGCGATAAAGGCAGCAGTGTCTCCAGTAAGAAGGAGCAAAAGGTGGAGGAAGAGGAGGAGGAGGAGGAAGTGGAAGAGGATCTGCCATGGATACAGGAGAAGGCTTTGGATTTGGTCGAGTTCACAGGCTCCGTGACACAGGCGATTCCGGGTCCGCGGGTCGGCCAGAGCTCCCTGCCGTGGCTTCTTGCCGTCCCTCTGGCTTACCTCGGTGTCACATTTGTTATTGCGGTTGTTAAGACTGTTCGCAAATTCGGCTCCCCAAGGGAGAAACGCCGCAAATTGGTTCGATTTCTGATGTTCTTATAGGCTCTGTTTATGAGGTTATTCAATTTTTTCTTGATAATGTTAAACTTTCTTAGGTGAATAAAAACGCAATGCTATGCAAATCCATAGACGAGCTATTCGAGAAGGGTGCGAATGAAATAGACCATTCGGCATTGAAGGAGCTAATGCAGAAGGTGAGTTATTTTACATGTTTCCCTTTAACTTAGAAGAATTCCATGAGAGCTTCCCAGGTGCAGGCAAACATCATTTTTACGGTTATGGTATTCAATGTCGCATGAGTTTCATTCATTTCCAGTCCACACAGGCACTATTTATAGGCTTTGCATTGCAGAGTTAGAATTGTGAGATGAGTTTAATCATATTCTGTTAACTGAATAGATCATTTTATTGAAGATCCCTAGCAATTTTGTTAAGCAATATCTGTTCGTAAAAAGATGAGTATCAACTATGTCATAGAGGCTAAGACGGAAATTTTCTGAAAGAGATTTCGGGCTGTGCTTACAGTTTTGTGTCCTGGTGATTGCAGAGCCACACAACCTGCAATTACTTGGTAAGTAAGTCAATAGGCACGTAGCATTGTGGCCATGAGTGGAAAATAGTGTATAGAGCTTTGTTGATGTTCAGTATGATCAAGTGAAATCCAGCCTTACAGAAAGTGGAAATGAATATGTTCTGGGAAGGGGCATTTAGATTGGTAGTAACGATCAATCTGCTGGTAGTTGAGGTTGGTTAAAGTAAAAGAAGTACAAGGATGTATATATGAATTCACATCAATACAGTCAGATGACATTACATGATTTTGAGTCCTAAAATCTGGTTTGCTTGATTTATTATGTACAAGCACAGTAAAATTTGATTTTATTATGACATTGCATATTCAATGCTGCTTAGGATTCAGCTTTATTACTGTATCTTGTAAATCTGAGTTCCCTGTAACAGGCCTGTGCTGGAAATGCTTATTGTCTCTGGATGTTTAATATAATTCTTGGGGTCATTGATCTAAAGTGGTCAATCATAATCTAGACTTTGCCTTCCCTATATCATAGGCAAACCGATGTTTTAGTGTCATGTTTGCATCAGTTCCCTCTTTTGTGCTCATTGCAAACCTGAAACTGTTTAGAACTGTGTGATCGAATCCAATTGTTGTATTTCCAGACAGGTTTTGACTCTGAAGAGATTTTACGTAAATACATTCGTTATGCATTGAATGAAAAGCCATTCAATCCCGGATTAGTATCTAATTTGATCCTACTGAGAAAGAGTTCAATGTTAGATGATTCCCAAGTAGCTGGAATTCTGAATGAGATTTCAAGACGGATTGTGAAAGATAAAGGTATTTCCAACTTTACTGCGGTTTTTGGTCATCACCTGCACTTTGCTTGAAGGCTAGATTGAAATATGAATAATATGTTAGATATATATATATATATACCTATAGACATATATTTTCTTTGATATAAGTTATGAATTGTCCAACTTAAATCTTTAAGCTCATCTTGAATTGTAAATTTAAAATCTTTCTAGCAATTCCTTGATACAATACATGGTTTGGCCACTAGAGAAATAGGGCAGTTTTTTCTTTTCCTTCTCTGTTGTTCAACTTCTCTTCTTTTGTTTGATTGGATATTACCACTTCTTTTGAGCACTACAGAAGGACCGATTGAATGGAATTGGATATATATTATTATATATCAATTGTTAAAGCTGATATATGAGTGGAGCTTGAAAGTTGAAAGTTGCTCAAAGCTCATGTCATTGATCACGATAATACTAACTTTATATTGAGAGTTTGGGAAAAAGACTAATTTTTTTTAATCAAGTAGGCTCAGTTTGATAAATCTTGACAAGATGATAAATTTATAGTCATTGTATTTTGTAATATATACTACTAGATAAGGTTTGAACTTTAGCTCAAGTTCAAGCAAAATATCTTCTTACAAGTGATCTGTAATTCAGTTTATGTTGACTCGAGTCAAGTTTGAAAGGGAGATACCCAGCTTTATTTGTCTCTAATAACATTACTTTTGCTGAAGCATGCACTTTACTTTCACTTGAATGCATTTTCAGGTCCCGTAGTCATGGATATGTCAGGATATTCTGAAAAGGGTTTCAAAAGAAAACTTGCAGTCCAAGCACTTTTTGGAAAGGTGTATTATCTGTCTGAGGTAAGTTTCTGGCTTCTAAATTGTTAGTATAGATTAATATGTTAATTATAATTAGATTGTCTAGCCATTAATTTAGCCTATAGATTAACCATTGTGATTTCTTATCAAAATAGATTATTTCTCCGACAAAATTTATCATTCAAATCACTATTTAAACCAAAAAAAAAAAAAAAATCTACAAGAACATTGGACCAAAGGAACAGATATTTAATGTCTGTGTTCACGTGCTTTGTTTAGACAGATTTTTGGAGAGTTTTGGAGTTTTGGAAGTAGTAAAAGTTAGTTATTGATGTGATGTTTTGTAAGACAAAAAAACAAGTATTTGACATTATTTGTATGAAAAATGAATGGGTTATTTGATGTTTTTTTAGGGAAATTGAGAGATCGAATAATAAAATAAATTAAATACAAAGTAATGTTTCTTTTTAGTGTAATGTTGTTATGTCGTCACATCTTCCATGGCTAAAAAACACTAGTATCAAGATGACGGTTGGTTGTGTCAAAGTCATTAACTCTAAGAAACACATTCACTACATTAATAACTATATAGCAAACCATCAAAGTTGTCGAAGAGTAACACAGGCAAAATATCCAAATGGAAAACTTTAACTCAGAGAGCACAAGTGGCTGAGTGTAATTATGCAATATAAAGCTTATAACTAAAATAGTTTAGGTTTCCAACAGTAACATATTAATCCCTCCGCCCCATAACAAAGTATCTATTTTTTTATTTTAGTCCGTCCCATAACAAAGTATTCATTTCCTTTTCTAGTAACTGTACTATCTACCTAACATTACAAATACACAAATGCCATTACCTTTATATCACACATACTAATAAAGTTATTTTAGTTATTTCTACTTTATTCCTACTATATCCCAATATAATACTAATATTTCTAAAACTACGTGTAAAAAGAAAATGGATATTTAGTTCCGGGACGGAGGGAGTACTAGTTTAGGTTTCTGTACATTTAATAAGAATTTAGAGATATGGCGAATTGCTATTATATTCCAATTAGTTTCTCAAATTTATGCTAGCTTGCCCAGTAATGTAGCTTCGTTCTTGTTGGTTACCGGATGCATTTATTTCCCGAAAATGTCATGGCTAATCCTTTTTGTATCTGATGATCCTCCAGCTGCCGGAGTTTTGTTCTAGAGATAGCTCCTTAACTGTTAAAGAATTATTTGGAGTGGCAGAGTAAGCGTCGACCTCTCTGACATTTAATCATTTTTGTGCGTCATGATTTAGCTGTGCTGAATGTGTGTCTGAACCTCTGCTTAATATTCTCCAGTGAAGATGCCGAGAAGCTTAGGCTCCACACTGTTTCAGAAGCTGGGGACCTCGATTCGTTAGAGAAGATGACTAATGGCTCGGATGCTGCCGATGACTCTGGTGAAGAATCCTCAAAAGCATCTTGATACGCCTACTTATGCCGTAAGAAAAAATTTTGTCGAGCTTTTTATGTTTTATCTGATTAGTTATTTTCTCAGACGGCTAAGCTTTGGATCATGAAATAATTCTAGAATTGATTCAATATTTATGTCACCAATGAGTTTACCATTGTCGGCCGTGTAAGTTTTGTGTTCGATGTGACTCACTTTTCTTTTATACTATAGTTTCGTTAATTAAGATTTTTTTTTTTTTTTTTTACAGCCCACAAGACTACATTTATCAATTTTTTTAAAATTATTGGTTAAAAAAATTTTTGAAAGACAATAAAATGAAACTCTCCTCTTTGTTTCAGTCGAATTTTGTCATTAATATCTAAAGTGTGCTCTCATACAAATAAGTGTAATATCAAATTGGTGCAGGGTTAGACTTGTGACATTGTTTGCAGGGTTTTAGGTTCGGCCAAAGTTTACTCGGGTAGCGATTTCCACATCATGAAAAAAAAAAAAAAGAAAAAGAAAGTGTAATATCAAATTATAAAATTTTAAACAAGCTCGTGTTTGTTCCAAATCACATGCCACGGTCATGTCATTCAGTTGAAATTTTATTTATATTTTTGTATAAGACTAGTTTTGATAATTAATTTTGAATAGAACAAAAATGAAAAAAAATGAATTTGATTGGGACTAATATTGATTTTTCCTCAACAATAAATTTATTGATATAAAAATAAAATAAAATAAAATTGAAGAACGTAAAATTTGATTGCAATTGTGTAAAAAATTATACTTCAGTCCAAACAGAATTACTCTCCTTACAAAGTCCCAACTTAGGCCCAAAAGTTCGTTGTATAAGTCCGTCGTCACTGTCATTCTATGGCGGGTTAACCGGTCCATACCCGACCCGTTTTGATTCCGACGGAGATTCCAATGGCGGAAGTCATTTCCTATGATCCTATCTAACTCCGAAGCCCAAAGTTTCCTTTTCTTCCAAGGAAGATGATGATCCACCAGTGCGTTTCCAACTCTGCGCAATCTCTAATCCCTAACCTCAACCTTCACCGCCACTCATCGCCGCGGAAATTGGTCAGTTTAACCGTCCGATGCGAATCGCGGATCGATTTGGAGGCGAAACCGGCGGCTCAGCCTAGCCGGCTGGGGCCTCACACTGGTCGAGATCCGAATGCGAAGAAACCAGGCTGGCTGAGGCAGAAGGCGGCGCAGGGTGATAAATATGAGGAGGTCAAGGAGTCATTGTCTAGGCTGAAGCTCAACACTGTATGCGAGGAAGCTCAGTGCCCTAACATCGGAGAGTGTTGGAACGGCGGCGGCGATGGCATTGCCACCGCCACCATCATGTTGCTAGGAGACACCTGCACCAGAGGATGCCGGTTTTGCGCCGTCAAGACCAGCCGCAACCCGGCGCCGCCCGATCCCATGGAACCTTACAACACTGCCGAAGCTATTGCCAGCTGGGGGTACATACTCTTCTCCTTTGCCTTCTATGTTCTTACTCATTCATTAGTTTTAGTGTAGCACAGTAGTGTATTCAATCTGAATTTCTATCACTTGTGGTTGTTTTTGTCAGTTTAATGCAACTAAACCATGATCTAGATTGAAATTTCCGCTAGGAATCCTTTATGAGATTGCAAACCAAGGTTTTCACATGGTTTCGATTCCATCACTAATTTTGCATGCTATATAAATTCATATAAAGTTCAAAATGTGAAGTCTAGTATTTGAGGAATTCGTATCCTCTCTGGAGCATCTCAATTGTGTGTTGTTATGGCTACACAATGATCATATCACTCTAGTGAACACTCTCCATGTTTGTATATGGTGGTTTCAAAATGACGTCGCTGCTTATTTCCTCAGTGTGGATTATATTGTTCTCACAAGCGTCGACAGAGATGATCTAGCTGATGGAGGAAGTGGGCATTTTGCCGAAACTGTCAAAGCCATGAAGGTAAATTTTTATGTCTTGAGAGTTAGATTTGATCACCCTTTTTCTTTGTTATACACTATTTCATTGAACCACTAGTTACATCCTTATGGTTATCTAACTTTCAGTTAAATGTATCGGCAGAGGCTCAAACCTGATATCATGGTTGAGTGTTTAACATCGGATTTCCAAGGTGACTTGAAAGCTGTGTCTACTCTTGTTCACTCTGGGTTGGATGTTTTTGCCCACAATATCGAAACTGTGAAGCGACTGCAGCGGATTGTTAGAGATCCCAGGGCTGGGTAAGTGGCAAGAATTTGTGCTTTAAATCTTTTCAAACAGTCAATCTCATAATAATCCTTATTTGGGAAGAGTGCTGTTACAATTAGATGGATATGCTCACTGATTTTCCTAATCAGAGCTCTAGCTCTTGTGCTATCTAACATGAGTAAATTGACACTCATATAAGATATTGTAACTTTTTTCTTTTTATAGTTGTCTTTGACATAATGAGTGAGATTCTTTCGTTCGCTTATCTCTTTCCTGTCTATGATCCTTAGCTGAAATCTACTGTTTACATAAAAAGGATTTTCTTTGAAATCGATCCTTTTATCGGTGCTTCACAGAAACTTGGCAATTATGTTTTCATTTGACTATTGCCTTGGTAAACAAAGGGTGAGTTTGATTATTTCGTCACATTTTTAACCACAGGTATGCACAAAGCTTATCTGTGCTGAAACATGCCAAGCTCAGCAAGGAAGGAATGATCACAAAATCATCTATTATGTTGGGCCTCGGTGAAACTGATGATGAGCTGAAAGAAGCTATGGCTGATTTAAGGGCAATCGATGTGGACATTTTGACACTAGGGCAGTATTTACAGGTGAACTAATATAAAATGGCAACTTGGAATTTTCAATTTTTTTGGGTTTTAACACTTCCATCAAATTTCTATCTTCTGCCTCATGCAGCCTACACCATTGCATCTCACAGTAAAAGAGTTTGTCACCCCTGAAAAGTTTGCCTTTTGGAAAGATTACGGCGAGTCAATTGGCTTCCGTTATGTTGCTAGTGGACCCTTGGTAATCACTCGTATATTCTTACTGTGGGTTGATTTTGTATGGAATCTGGTTTCGGTTTTAGCATTTACAGCTGTGAAAATGCCGGGGCTAAGCCTTTTATAACAACTCCAAACTAATCGACTCAGTTGCTCAGCGAATGTAATAATTCATGTAATGTTTTGGTTGCTTTTTCAGGTTCGATCATCGTATAGAGCTGGGGAACTCTTTGTCAAGACCATGGTAAAAGAGAGGGTTAAGCAAACATAGATTTCTGCACTAGCAGAAGACATTTACATGAAACCACACTGCCTACCATTTTGGCCTCCCAGATTCCTATTTTAAGTATTTTTACACAGGTCTTTCTCTCTCCCTCCCTCTCTCTCTCTCTATATATATACATGTTTGCTAATATATATATATATTGTATATGTTCATCTTACATAAAGTATGATCAGCACGACACACTCTTGTCATCAAAGGATTAGTACTAATGTCGGTTTAGCACCAAAATTCTTTGTTCTTGGAATCGATTCTCTCGTTGTCTGAACTAACTTGTCTTTTAATCTAATGTTTCCATCATAAGCAAAGTATGTGTTGAGTTGATGTCGAACAATATATTGCTTCCGGAGTTAATAATACATTACAATTTACAAAGAGCTCTAAGAGCTTTTGAAGCCAAGATAAAACGAAAACATAGAGCTTGAAGCACAAAGATGTAGGCATATCAAGCTTGCAATCTAATTCACAATAACATAGGCTTCCTCTAAAGGTCATATTTATTTTCTGCTTCATTATACTTAACATTACAAAAAGTTACACTAATGAAAGTATTTTTGTAATTTTTTTTTAATTTATATTATGTTTTGATATAATAATTAATATTGACATTGACAGATCAACACCCACAAAGTAGATCAAGACGGAAGCCTATATAATTAGCTATAGCATCAACAAAGATGTAAACCCAAAATAAACCAAACTTTGAAATTATCATGTTGTATGAATCAAAGCTTAATCAACAAATACCTCAGTTATAATTACCCAAAATCGATCACCAAGAACCAACGAAAGCTGCTTGAAACGCCACAATCAAAGATTTCCATCATCAACCATCTTGCCTCATTTTGTAACCTGTTTCTTACCAACAACCTCCCTTTTCCTCTTCTTCCCAACTAAACCAGAATCATCACCTTCAGCTTGTGCTACTTCATCGCCGTTGAGCTGCTGCAATGCTTGAGAACAATCATAAATCGGCAATGCAACCGAATCCGAAAATCTCAAGTGAAGGCATTTGATCCCCTTCCATCTTTTCGGAACAATCTTCACCACCTCATCAATAGCCTCGAACACATTCTCCACAATTTGATTGCCCTCTGTAACGCCAAACCTCCCCACTCTTACAGCACTGCAAGTCCCACCGCTCAAGCACCACAAGCTCGATTTGCAGGCTAATTCAATCTCTTCCTTCCATTTACTACCGTCCAGTTTTAGGTCTACAGGCACCGGAAGCTTCTTCTTCTTATTGTAGAAAACCTTCCCCAACACCATGGGAAGCATGGGGACTACACGGTTAGCCGCTACGAACAGGTCGAATGAATCGTAAAGCTTTTTCTTCGATTCGAAGGATTTGTAATCGGATTTCAGCTTGGAGAGCTTCATGACCTGTTTCACAACGTTAACACCCTGCGATTTGAGCGTCCTGTTAGCGACTTCGGCGGTGATCCTCTTCCCGTCGACAATGAGGCAAACGTTCAAGATGGAGTGGTCTTCCGGGAAAATAGAATGGCGGAGGGGGATTCGGTGAGGAACACGAGTAAGTTCCGTCGGCGGAACTCTTTTTAGGGTTATTGAGAGGTATACGAAATCATCGCGTTCTTCGTCTTCGCTCTCTTCGTGCCCAGATTCATTGTGAGGCTGCTTTTGCACCTTTGTCTTCCATTTGAGGAGCGCATTCGCTGCTTTTCGAACCGATGCCTCTTCGAGTCCGTCTCTAGAAGTAGTTGCCATGGCGGACGATTTGCCGCCGCCGTCGGGAACCGTCACGGAAGATGCCATTGCCAGGGAAGGAAGGGTTTTCCGCTGTGAAGTGACCAATTTGCCCTTGGCGTCTATTGGTACGTTTGTGAGACACCTCTTTGTAATAAGTTTGGGCCTTTATAAATCGTATTATCCAACCTCATCGTGATAAAAATTAATTCAATCTAGCCTAAACGTTCCATGGCTCGATGTTAAAAAAATTTAATATAATAAAAATTAATTTTTTTTTTAATATTTTATGAAAAAATAATTATTTAATAGAATATATTTTTTTTTCAAAAAATTGTTGTTAAATGTCTACATAAGATCATTATATTGATTACTGTCCATTGTGGAATAACATTGTGTAGTATGTAAAGGATCAGTCCTTCAAATCATACACAGATTTTACTATTTGAACTATGCATTTTTGGAAAAAATTTTTACAAAACATTCCAAAATTTTTCCTACTCGGAGAACAAACCGTGCAGGATATAAATATACTTTTAAAAATGTATTTCTAATAATTTTGACAATATAATTATTTACTATAATATAATTTACAAAGAATTATTGTTAATTAATAATATCAAAAATTTTAAAAATTAGCCGTACAATACAAAGTCATTGTTTTCCAACTTCTACCAAATCCAACATACAAAAATCTCTGTCGGATGCCCAGAATAATGGAGATCAAACGTTGTCCGGCCAGAACTCCCTGAAAAATGCCCGGTCGAATTCCTTTTCTTCCATCTTCTTTTCAAATTCAAGCAATTTTTTCATCTTCTTGGAGATGCCCTTTGTTTTACTTGTGGATATCTGAAATAATAACAATGATATGATATCCATTATTGATCGATCACAAATCACAACCATATATTATAATAACTTACTTTATGATCCTCCCTATTGCAGGTTTTAGAGATCTTGATTGCTCTCTTTGGCTTATCCGCTCCCAGACCTCGTTTGTTTTTCTTGACATAAGCCTGTAGAGGCTCAATCCTGCCCTGCAACGACATAATTTTTTTCGAAACATCAGTAAAAAATACAAGTTGCAGCAGTATTGTAAGCATAGTAACATGAAATAGATCAAATCACATTGGCAGGCAAGCTCTTCATTCATTGCTTTTTGAGAAAGCTTGTGTCACAATCACAATTTATGTATGAACACATCAAATTTAATGAATCAGCTGAAGTGCATCAACTTGAGAACATAGTGTATTTAAATAAAAATTCAAACCTAATTTAGAACGAGGAATTCTTTAAGAAAATGTGATGCAAACCAACAAAATTCAGCAACTGGACTGATGATTTGCATAACAAAGGCAGAAAAAACTGGACACTATTCAACTCCATCAATGTGGCAAAACATTCACAAAACAAAAAATAAATAAATCCGAACAAAAATTGCAGAATAAGCAAGCCAGCAAATTCAATAACAAATTCCAGCAGCATAGGCATTCTTAATTCTGTTGTTCCAAGTCAAGAAGGAGATCAGAACCATACAGCTTCCTACGAAAATCCTTATCATCTCATACTTCCTCTGTAAACCAGGCAGAATTAAGCAACTCCACGCAGAGACAACAACAAGGCTAAGCAGAGCTCCAGAATCATTCAGCAAAACTATAATAAACTTAATAAATAAATCCGTACAACAAACCTGTTCGTCAACACCGAGTCCTGTCCCTTCCTTCCAACCGTGCTTCTTCAACAACTGAATCGTCACAGAAACAAACCACAACAAAAGCGTCAACCACAAACCAAATTAGACCGAAGACGAAAAAATAGAAATACCGAGCAACCAAAAAAAATTCCAAACCTGAAATCCAATATTCGACGAATCTATCGGCGTGGAAGAAGAAGAAGAAGCCGCATCTGAATCCGCTCTCACACCCAACCCTACGAAAGAACCCTCGCCAACCGCCATCGCAATTGCCCGTTCTCGCTTCGGAGCCACCCACCGCCAAAAACGGTGCCAAGATGCCTAATTATACTAAAATTGAGAAGCGAATCGCAATAATACACTCTTAGAGGGATATTTTTGAAATAGTAAATTCAGGAGGGGCCAAATTGCAATTTAACGAAGATACCATATTATATGAATAAACCTAACTGTAAAGAATGACCGAAAAAGAAAACAATAAATACATCAATGGCGGAGTATCGCCGTCACGTCACGTTTGACTCTTGAATTTGTACGTGTGCGTATACAAGATTGGGATGGTGACTTCCCTATCTCTCTCTCGCACACAATCCAAAACCGCAGCCCAAATCTTTACTGTGCTCGATCCACGTGTTAGCGCCTCGGGGAGGCTCTTATTCTCCACCGCTCCTTGGTAACTTTAACTTCCCACGTTTTTTATCTCCTCTGGCACCGCCAACCGTGAATCTTTTTGGGGTTGTACGATTGGCGGCCGGTCGATATGGTTGCGGAGGTGTTCGGCCCTTATGCGGACGCCTGGATGGCGGCGATCCGCCTCAAGGGCGCCGGGAGTTGGTGGGACGAGGTGAATTCGTCGCCGGCATGGCAGGACGGTATCTACCATGTTCTCGCTGCACTTTATGGAATCGTCGCCTTTGTTGCTCTTGTACGTTATTGTTTTCAGTTTTTCCTTTGACGTTTGTTTATTGCTCGATTTCGATCTTTTTCTGTTGTTTTGAATTTCGAATGCATGTGCCCCATGTGTTTCTTAGGTCTACTTTTTTTTATTTTTGGTATTAATTGAAAACCTGTGCAATAAGTTTCGAATTTTTGCGATCCTTTTCCTTTGGATTATTGACAAGATTTTTGTAATTAACTTGAAATGTTGAAGGAGGAAGACTATTCATTCTCTGCTCCAGCTTTTATAAAAAAATTTGGCACATTTATACAAAAATGATTCCAGATACTGTCTGTCTCATATGTTCTGCCACAAAGAACAAATTAATTGTGTATGAGGTGTTTGTTGGTGAGCTATTCTTGTATACTTCAGTTGGGGCTGCCATTTCAAATATGGTGCTGCTGTCTTGTGCTCATATGTTACCTTAACTGTTAATCTCTGAACATAATCACATTGTTGTTAATTGTAGGTGCAATTGGTGAGGATACAGTTGAGAGTACCGGAGTTCGGTTGGACAACTCAGAAAGTATTTCATGTCCTCAACTTCTTGGTCAATGGAGGTTTGTTTTGCTTTTGTTGGATGCTTGGATTATCATATTTTGGATGGTTTATGGGTTAGTTTTACCCAAATAAAATAAAATTGACCTATTGCCTGATTATTGGTATGCTTTCTTTGTTTAGTCCGTTGCATAGTATTTGCATTACGTCGTGGTGTTCAGACATTGAATCCCGCGGTAACAGATTTACCTTGTTCTATTGCCCTTCTATTGAAATTTTTTATGACAAACTGTTTTTGATGTAGAGTTCTGTTTCTTGTAGATTCTTCAACATATCTTGCTTGATATGCCAAGTCTAGTGTTTTTCACAACTTATGCACTTCTTGTATTGTTCTGGGCAGAAATTTATTATCAGGTTGGTTTAAAACCCTTTATTATGCTAGATTATGTTCACTAGTGGTTTTGATTCCCAGTTGCAGTTTATTAGTTTCTGATGATTTGACAGGCTCGTGGTGTGTCGACTGATGAACTGAGGCCTACTTTTTACACAATAAATGGTGTTGTGTATGCTGTTCAGGTAACAACTTACTCCATGTTAGACCCAAGGCATTTCTAGCATGGAAGTATCTGTCTGTATATGTCTATGGGAAAAGGGTATTTGCTGGCCATAGGAATATTAGAGGCTCGGGTATGAAATTTTATCATTCTTGACCCCAGTATACATCTCTTTAGATTTGTAAATAGCATGGTGTTTCCAGCTGAAATTTGCCTAAGATAGTATAATTGACAGTTATTAAGGTTTATTGTGTCATGAAATCCTGTCCCCGAGTTCTCATAAATGGTCCTTCGAATTGGCCAAAGTAAACAGGTGTAGGAAACGGTCTGAGTATATTGTTATGTTTTTTCGACTAATGTGGGCAGTTCTGTTTAATGGTTATGTAATTAGAAGTAGACAGATTGCTTATGGTTGCGATAGTATCAGTTATATATGGATAAAGCAATGCCGTGTATGATGGTTCTAAAGCAAATTGTCTTTCTAATTTCTTGCAGCTGACCTTGTGGTTGATATTATGGTGGAAGCCGGTTCATGCTACAATGATTGTGTACAAAATGTTCTTTGCAGGTATTGCTTTAGAACAGTGTAAGTTAAAAAGTAAAAAATTTAAAAGAAGCAACATGTTTAGTGAAAAAGATTTTATTTGTAGAAATATCAGGGACAGAAAGTTATATGTGGAACATCTATATATATTGAATTGCAGGTACAAAAATGATAGAATCCAACTTGATTGAATAAGATATTGTTTGTTATAGATAATATGAAGGAAAACCGTTCTTCCTGAGATTTAAGCATTGGATATATTGAATTTGTGTGCTTAATAAGAAATTTGTAAATCGGCAGGGGTTTCTCTATTTGTGGCCGGCGGATTTCTTCTCTACGGTGTAAGGTAACGAATGTCCCCTCTATCATAACAACTGTGTTGATAATGAGACATCTCCAGCAGTTTGTCTGTGTATCTTTTGATATCTGACTAGTTTTTAGGTTGAATATTTGAATTTTGTGGTAAGAGTAGTCGATATCCAATTTGATATTGATCAGCCAATATTGTTTCAAATTCCTCATTCCTGTTATCCTGCCACTGTGGGAAATTTACATGCTACTCGAGATAACAAGATCCTCATTGGAAATGATTTTTTTAATGTCTTTTTTTTCATGATTGCATTTGGAATTTACGGACTTGAGTTATCAATCTGTTTAACACACTCTCAATCTATTCCCTTAAACCATGACTTCTGATGTTGTGCTGTACAGACTCTACTTAATGCTAGAAAGATTCCCAGTGGAATCAAGAGGGCGCCGGAAAAAGCTACAGGAGGTAATGCTGTCAGCCAGTGTTCTGATTTTTATTTTTTTGTTTCTTGGTTATCTTTTCATATATCTTCTCGTTTTCAACTTTACTCTTCTCATATCAGGTGGGCTATGTGGCAACAATATGCTTTTCATGTTTTCTTGGCAGAAGCATTATGGTATGTTCTTTGCATATTTGAAGCTTTTCTGGTTAAGTGTGTGTTTTGTATCTATACCAAATTACCTATACTTATCTATGTACTACATTTACTTCTACGATTGGTTATTATAAGAAGTATGTATTATCTTCTAAATTGTCCTTAACACCTGAGCATTGCTTCTCCTGCAGATGAGCTGTGGCGCATTTAATCCAGCCGCCGATGTCGATGTTTTGAATCATCCTATTTTGAATTTCCTATTTTACCTGGTATGCTTTGCACCTATTTAGACTCCCTTTAGTTAGGAGTTTTGGAATTTTGAAAAAATTTCAAAATAGTAAAAAGTTAGGGTATATAATGTCATTCTTTTTATAGGAAAAAGGTAATTGATGTGTTGTTTTTTTAAAAAAAATTACCTTTGTTAAATAGTACAAAAGGTTCCAAAAGTATCTATCATTGTTTGATGTGTTACCATTTAATTGCGATTTGCTGATTTCTTTTGGTGTTTAAAACATATTGCCTAAAGGAAGCCTTTGAATGCAGCCAGCATATTGCCATGATTTTGATTACAATTACAATGATCTCAATCTTGCTTAAAATTTACTTGATAGTTGGATTTTATACAATTGTTGCAATAAATGATTATTTTAATGGCGAGCCGATCTAGCGCTTTCGAAGCTTCTTCAAAAAAATGTATACATGTATTCTCATTCAAAGTAGTGTATTTTGCAGATTGTGGAGATTCTGCCTTCGTCGCTTGTACTCTTCATACTGAGGAAACTGCCTCCAAAGCGCGGTGTCACTCAATATCGCCCAATTCAGTGATAGAAAACCATGCGAAGAATCGTTGGAATTTGATTCATTTAGCTCTATATCCCTCAAAGTTGTGTATGAACAGAAATTCCGGAGGATCCGACCATATCAAAATCGAAAACATCGGTGTTACTCTTGCAGTGGAGGCCCTGTCTTTAGCCCAGCCCTGATCCTGACCCTGACCCTGAGAATGCAAACATTGATGAATGTGAAAAAGAAATTGCACATTCTAATTCTATCATCTCTCCATTCTCATAATTTTAGTGCTGGTTTTAATTTACTATGAAAATTTGCATCAAATGCTCACATTCTTGCACTTTTTATAGCCATATAATGAATGGTTTGTTTATATGATCAACTTTACTGAAAGAAGATGCAAGAATGCAGAGCAAAAAAGTTAAAAAGTCCAATACCCATTTTAATGCCCTTGAATTTTTTACTTTTTATTTTTATTATATAAATTGCTCACCTTTTTCTTTAAATTATTTAAAGAAATTTATGTGGACAATAACAATACAAGCTATAGTTCATATTTACCAGCCAAACTGTTGTCATGGGTCAGGTCGCTGTTCTTTTCTTTCTGACTTTGGGTTTGACAATTTGAACCCTATTGATGTCATGCAATCTACTTCAAAAATCGATCTTGAACTTTCCACATTGCTCTTTTCAACTTTACTTTCAAACATATATATACAGTATAATTAATATGTATTCATAGTCATAGATGTAATATTGCCAGATTGTCAACAACCTATAGTCATAGTCCTAAAGATGATCTCCAATTCTTTTCATTGAATGAGCATGCAAGAAGAAAAAACTTGGTGCCATTATTAAAGAAGAGTTAGGTTATTAGGTATAGAGTGAACCCATCACTTTATAATTGCGAATTTTCATGTCATAAAAATAACAATAACTATTATAATAATAACCCTTTTTTTTTTTGTGAGTTATATAAATTAATATTATATTTCATGTATTTTTAATTTATATATTATATTTATATTAAATTAATGTGATACTCCATTTCAAGTATTATTCATCTATATTTGAGATGTGATCTAGCAACTTAATGATACATCTTCCAGATTTGAGACTTTTTCTGACAGCCTAAGAAAAATTCAAAGATTTTAATTTCTTGACATCAATAAATCAATCTGTGCTGTGTATGATTGACTAGACTAACTACTAATCCAATCAAATCTATTTATCTGGATGCCCTGGATTTCAGGCAACCCTTCAACCCTTTCATTTTCAATTGCTGTCATAATCAATAACAGATTCAACATTCAATATATGTCTACTCTACTCTCAGCTCAAATTATCACTTCCATAATTCAATTCCATCTTCATAAAAATGTAATCTTGAAAAAAACCATACTAGATTTCATTCAAGATCAATGAACTCCCACATCGTAGATTGAAAAAAAAAAAAAAAAAAAAAAAAGTAGACTTCATATAAGTAACAAACTATGGAGAGTGTAAAACATCTCAAAGAGTATGAACTACACTACTCTTGGTTCTTTTCTTTTTTTTTTTCGATTTTTTTTTTTTTTTTCGAGTATGAATGTAAGTAGATATTCGCTAAAGCCCGGCGTTTCGATTCTCAGATATATGTACATACATATGATTTTCTCTGTGAAAATGTGAACCAATTATATACACACAACAAAAATTTGGAATAGGATTGGACATCAAATATAGAATAAAAACACTTGCTTTCAAGAAAAAATGAGATAGAACAAAGTGTACCTTCAATTGATGGCAACTCTCATCTTCACTAACCCGACGATTCGAGCGCTGAAATCGAATCAATGTTGTCGAGCCAAGAAACCAGCTGCTGCACATCCGGCCGTGTTCGCGGATTTTCATTCAAGCACAAACAAGCGATCTCAAGAACGATCAGCATTTCGCGAGCATGCTCTTTTTCATACACAAATGGATCGAACACCTCGGTTTCTTTCTTCTCCATCCTCATCTGTGTCACCCACGATATCAAATCCCGGCACGCTTTCGGTCTGCACATATCCATAGGCCTTTTGCTCGTCAAAAGCTCCAAAAGAACGACCCCGAAACTATAAACATCGCCTTTGTAAGTTGCTACCGAAGCCTGGCTGTACTCTGGCGGAATGTACCCGAGCGTCCCGACAAGATCGGTCGTCACATGAGTGTCGTACGGCAGGATGAGTCGTGCGAGCCCGAAATCGGCCAAATGAGCTTCGAAATTCTCGTTTAACAGAATATTGCTCGACTTTATGTCGCGGTGGAGGATATGAGGCTCGCAGGATAAGTGCAAATACGCGAGTCCTCGCGCTGCGCCTCTCGCGATCTCGAGCCGCTTCGCCCAATCCAACAACGACTGCCCGTCGACTTTCTCGTGCAGCCAGTAATCGAGGCTGCTGTTCTCCATGTACGTGTAGATCAGGAGACGATCGTTTCTATACTTGCAGTACCCCTGAAGATGGACAAGGTTCGGATGCACGGCTCTCGATAGTGTCTCGATCTCGGCTTGGAATTCCCTTTCCATCTGAAAATATTCGCCCGAGAGGCGCTTGATCGCCACTTTTCTTCCGTCCGACAGCACGGCCTTATACACCAAACCGAACCCACCGCAACCGATGATGTTCGCTTGATCGAAATTAGCCGTCGATTTCAAAAGATCGTCGAGAAAGATCTGTTTTTCGTCGTCCTTGCTCTGGCATAGAATGACGAGGCTCGACGATTCTTCCATTTCCGAAACATCCATATCCTCCTCGTTTTTTTGGTCGACAACTTTCCGCGGGCACGAGCAAACTATTATTAAATAGACAAGGATGAGAATAACTACACTTCCTAGCCCAATGCCTACCCCCATTGCAATACTCGAACCTTTCGATCTCTCCGGTCTCTCGAACCATACTCGAGGGTCGTCGTCGCCGGGACAAGAATGAGAAGCATGTTCTCCACAAAGACCCGGATTTCCCTCGAAGCTCGAATTGTAAAACGAAAAGAACTGACCTCCGGTCGGAATTCGACCAGAGAGATTGTTATGGGCGACGTTAAACGTTCTCAAAAAGGTGAGACGACTCAAAGAATCGGGTATCGTTCCATTCAGATTGTTAAATGACAAATCCAAGATTTCTAAGCTCTTCATCCCCGACAACGTGCTCGGGATAGCTCCCGACAAGTTATTCCCTTTGAGATCCAAAACGTGCAACTCTTTCAAATTCCCGAGCTCCGGCCAGATCTGTCCAGTAAGAAAGTTGTTCCCGAGCTCCAACGTCGGAGGAAAGCTCACGACCTGTTTGTACTTGAATCCGCTCTGGTTCCTTCTCACGAAGAACGGGAAATCCATTGTCGTTGATCCTTCCATCAAAGCATTCCCGCCATTGATCAGACTATGCATTTGAGAAAGTTCTCTCGGGATGTCGCCTCCGATCGTGTTGTTCGACAAATCCAAGTAAAATAGAGACGACAAACTGCCGAACCACGACGGAATCGGGCCGTGCAAACGGTTCCACGACAAATCCAACAGCTGCAAGTTCTTGCAGCCGTTCAACCATTCCGGTATTCGACCTTTGAGGCCGCAGTTGGCGATCACGAGCGTCTTCAGCGCACCAAACTGAAGATTAGAACCCTCCGGCATTGCCTCGCCGCGGAAATTCAAACTTAGGACTAATGTTGTCAAGTTCTTGCAGTGCTGCAAAACGTCCAATGTCGCAGAAAGATTCGTAATGCTGCAGTTGGAGAGGGATAGCGAAACCAGGCTCTGGAAATTCTTGAAAGTTTCTGGGACTTCTCCTGAGAAGCTGATCTTGCCGAAATTTACAGTTCGGAGCTTCGAACATGCCGGGAGGTTCGCCGGAATCTCGCCGTGGAACTGATTGGTGGCTAAGTTTAGTGAGGCGAGATTAACCATGGCAGAACAGTTGAGATCAATGGTGCCAGTTAAGGAATTGTTCCTTAATGTAAGTGATTTGATCGTCGGCGAATTCGCCAAAGACACCGGAATTCTGCCGGAGAATTGATTCGATTGAGCTGAAAATTCTTCCAGCCGGAAAAATCCACGGAAGGCGTCCGGCAGGGCGCCGGAAAACATATTCATCGATAAATCAAGATGAACAAGGTTAACGAGATTACCAATGCTGTTGCTCAGCTCCCCCGATAACAAATTCTCCTGAAGATCCAATTTCGTCAGGTTTTTCAACCGGAAAATGTCGTCGGGTAATTCTCCGGCGATCATGTTTGTCGCGAGGTTAAGCTCCTCCAGCGAAACACAATCCCCGAGGCCGCGAGGAAGAACTCCGCTGAAATTATTGTCGGCGAAGTTCAGAGACTTAATCCTGGATGAGTTCCGGCAGATTCCGACGGGAGCAGGGCCGTTGATGGAGTTATCAGAAATATCGACTGCTCCGATCGCCGGCAGGTTCGTGATGGTGGGGAAGAATCCGGCGATGGCGTTGTTACTCAAATCTAGGGTTTCCAAATGGGGCAAATGGAGAATCGACTGAGGAATGGAACCCTGGAGAGAATTGCCGGAGAGATTTAGGGTTCTGAGCTGATCCAAATCCCCCAAAGCTTCGGAGATATTTCCACGGAGCTTTCTTCCACCCAGCTGGAGACGAACGACTCTTCCAAGGTTAACCCGATCGTCGAGGCCGAGGGAAGACGAAGAACTGCAACCAACGCCGCTCCAATTACAGCAATTAGCTGAAAAAGAAGAAGAATCAAAGTCCAATTCCCAACCCTCAATAACCGACCCAAGAGATTCAGCAAAAGCCCTAAGAGAAACCATATCATCAGGGCTGCATTGAAGGAGGCTCTGCGGCTGAGCCGCCGCCACCGCCACCGCCGCCGTAAGAAACACCAAAATTGTGCAGAAAATCCAGAGATTATTCATCTCCAATGGCCAGCGGCGACACCAAAACCCAAAACCAAATTAAGATTGAACAAATTAATTATCCTCTCCTTCCATTTCCCCAAAACACAACAGTTCCAAAATCACCCGAAGCAGAATGAACACGAAGAAGACAGCAATGGCGAGCAAAAGTGATAGAACAATAATAGTAGTTAATTGGCAATGGAGATTGTAGGTGGGGATGTGGATATTTGCAGAGAGAATTGGCTCCTTTGACTTGAAAACGAGGGCACTTCTGGGTTCTTCGAGTCCAATTCAGCCTGCTGCTGCTGCTGCCTGCCGCCTTTTCTTCCCAACCTTCTTCTTACATACAAATATACAATCAACGAAGAGGAGAGAGATAGAGGAGAGAGCGGACCGTTGGGAGAGCAGTGTCTTAAATTCGGCCATAAATTTGCCGCTGGACGCTGCAGAGGCTGTAGGGACATGAGAAAGGCGCCATGAAAATCAACTCATCTTGTAACTCTCTGCTGAAAACTGCAGATTAGGTGTGTTTTTTTGAAGAGCTCCAAGGACTAAAGCACCGGAGAGATCTCCACCGTTCGTATTTGTGGTCCCAGATCATCGACCGTTCGGGATACACACCTTGTTTTTTATTGCCCAAGTTGGAATTCATCAACTAAAATATATATATATGTATATATAACTCAAAAAGTTTGACCTTTGCCTTTGAATGACACCTTGTTTGTCAAATTTTAAGATGTGATTTGAATTTTGATTATGTTTTCTTGCACTTTATAAATATAATTTAAAAATCTAATGTATACCCAATTTAAACATTTTCTATTAAAAATTATATCGACAAAAAATAAAATAAAATTAAAATTGACCAAACCGTTAGATCCAACTTATTTGACTTCTTAGTTTGCTAAAAGTATGCATTGCTTCTAATTCTATATAAATGATTTAATCTTTAAAAACACTTTATTGCAAGAATGTCTTCAAAATCGTATTTATTTGGCTATTTTCGTAACTTCCAGGATCATGTAACTTTATAAATGGGTAGTTGATAATACTTCTACACGTACAAGTTGATATTTGCCGAATGAGTTGAGCTGGTCAAAATTACATTTTGGAATATAAAAAAATACACTTATTTTTAATTCATTAAAAAGATTTAAACGTAACGAGTTTCAATTTTTTGACTCACATCCTACAAACAAAAGCGTCGTTTACACATACAATAATACTTTTCAAAATGAATTTAAAAATGCAAAGTCGTGTTTCCCGGAAACGCGCTTTTTACAGAAGCACAGAAATTTGGTTTATGAATGAATGCATCACATAAAAGCAGCAGCAGCAGCAGCAAAACACAGCCTGTTAGATTCTGTTTCTGATCATTCATTCACACTGAGACAGAGATAAACATTACATATAATTTCCTATAACATTCACAGTCTGTAAAGCTCCACAGGTCGCCGGAAAGTTACGAGCGATGTGATGGCCGGAAACATCGAATCTGGAAGGCGGGGGAGCGAAGACAGACCGGATTCTTGCAAATTTACAGAAGAATAGGCTTTAGCTACTCACACCAGGCACAAAAATGATAAATAAATCGTCGATCAGCATCCTGGCGCAGGTTTCAGGGCTACTTGATTGGCGCCGGCTGGAAAAGCTAACGAAGATTAACAGAGCCATTGTCACTGCAGATCGACAAAAGATCCAAAAGCAATATCTTAGTGCAAGAAGAGTGTATAATTAATAGGCTGTTTGTCGCATAACCGAGTTAATTTGAGTTGCATCTTGGAAAAACTCTGTTACCTTAGACAAGTGTAGAAAAATGCTGCTAGCAAGATCGTCATTTAGGAAGACGGGGAGAGGAGGCATACGGCTCATAATTCCGGGCATGTTGTTTATCCTGTAGGCATGTGACGAAACCATTTACATTTGCGGATACAAGCGAGCGCCAAAACAATACTTGCTAGACAAAATAGATGGAACTTACTCGTTCAGAATTTTTACGATGTTTTTCCTAGTTAGGAAAAAGAGATCGAGGTTTTCTTGCAACTGTATCAAGAGTTTCAACATCAGAAAAAAAGGTGATCTTAAAAGAGAGAAACAGAGATATAAATTGAACAATACACATCACCAAAAGAGAGGATTTTATAGCAACACTACTGTGATTTGGAGTTTAAAGAGACATATCTTAAAAGACCTTAGCTAAATTCACAAAAGTAAGCTTCAAGTTCGCTAAGTACGAGTTACAGGAATTACCTTAAGCGCCAAAAGATTGGCAGAAATCTGACCAAAAGCTTGATTATTCTCTTCCAAGAGATGTCTAGTTGTGCCGCTAAATACTGAAAAACGAACAGATAATAAACTTTCACATCGAATGAATAAAAGAGCATCCAACAGTTCAGCTTCTGAAAGATGAGCATTTTCACGATAAATTGTTGTGTAAAGACAACCCTCAAGCAATGTTATTTGTTATGCAATATTTGTGAACACCACTTAACATATAAGTGTGAAAATAGGAAAGAATTCGAAACAAGGCCTTCAACTCAGAAGAAAATTATATGTTTTTGAGACATATTGAGATAAGGAACGGAGAAAATTCAGTCGATCATATGATAGCAGCAAAAAATCAAACCTTCTTGAAGCATACAGCCACTCTGATGGCTATGGTTTGTGGGGAAAGAATACGGAACCATATCAACAGGTGAGGAGGAAGAAATCTTCAAAGATGACTCAGCCAATTCCTGAGAAAGGCGATGAGCTTTTTTATGAATTACCTTATTGCATGAAAACAACTTATGAGAAAAGAAGCAAGGATTTCAGAAACCTTAATCAATCAATTTAAAAGCAACTCAATAACGGCGTTTAATGTGGGTAATATACGCATTGGGAGGATGAGACTCAGTACCGTCTGAGACCCCGAACTTGATATCAGACCAAGGGAGACTGACACATAATATCACAGTTGAATAGTAAGACACGAGCATAAATATCAGCAGTCCAACTTATTGAGCTGTGATACTATGTGTCAGTTCAAACTCTCATCCAAGATCGAAACTTATGGCCAGATTAGGTAAGGTAGAGAGAAGAAACCAAAAAGATTACCTTCTGATTCTTCGATTTCTTGCCCAAGCTCTGATCCCCTTGTTTCCTCCTTTTTCCCTGGCACAAAGTTTCACTAATTAGGTAACCTGAAAACTAAATCATTATTAAATTTCCAGTTTAGAGAGGCCTTTACAAACTAAAAAGACCATAAACTTACTGCCATCCAACTACATCGCAGGGCAACATCTCGAACAGTTTTGTCACGCAAGGATGCAGCTATCTTGATATACTGCATAATTGCAGGTTCATTGGCATATCTACATATTCATCAAAAGGGAGTATTATTTAATCTCTAGATATTAACAGGAACAATAATACCAATAACAGCATATCGAAAATGAGGGAGCATAACAGAGGATTATATCATTTGAAAGCTGCAATACCCGAAAGTAAGTAGCATCATTTTATGAAGAGAATCATCTGATTAACCATACCAAAAACTTTCTGTTTCACTTGGATTACATCAATTTGCAGCGTCGCTAACAAGCAGTAATTTACAACCATCTTAACGAAATATTTTGAAGGATGATCGCGCTAAAGTAGTGTGGCTTTTTAAGTGTTGTTTACTCATCATTTAGCAAGAAACACAAGCAAGATTGTGTATCAACAACATTATCTGGCTTGTAGGTCAGACCAATCGAAAGTGTCGATTTCAAGTACAAAGTAAATCACAAGTTGTGAGGAGATCAACAAACTTATGTATGTTAGGGGTCCCCTAATCCTCCATCAATTTTCTCACCAAATCCCTATCACCAAAGTCTCTCTCACACCATTAAAGCTCAGTTCCTACGTGTGATTTAATTAACATATATATATGCAGGAACAAAAAGAAGAGCAAAAACTCGATAGCCACAATCAACCAAAATAATACACGGAAAAAAAAAAAAACCAAATCATTACCGAATGATTGATTGAATTCCCCTAAAAAGGAAGAAAATACCTACTTGGCAAGTCCTTCCTCCAACTTAAACTGTTCATCGACGGACCACTCGACGGCGAGGCCAGTGTCGTGCTTCAACCCTGGAACGGAATCCACCAGAAGCGTCGAACAGGAATCCAGAGAATTCTGCGCAACGCCCGGCGAAAAAATCAATCCCCCATCACTTCCCCCCAAATTCAGGCTGCCGCCTCCAGGATTCCCGTAAAAGCTTGTCATCGGAATCAATGGACACCCGCCGGAGCCACTAGTACTGCAGCTACTGCTTCTTGCTCCCGCGGTTTCGAACACCATACCCTGATGGTGAAACTCGCCCGCCATGTGTTCGTCGAATTGCCTCATTTTTTTACTGCAGCTTCGAGAATCGCAACCCAATATCCAAAACCGATCTACAAGTGCTGCCAATAAGGGTTTTGCAGTCCGAAAATCTTTCGCATTACAGAACTAATTTTGCTGAAAAAATCCAAAGGCGAGTTTCCAAATATGCATAGAGAACGGTAGGCAGTTAATGTTCCTACTTTATATATATATATAAATATTTATTTATATGTGGGAGAGCTTTTGCCCTTAATATTCATTCATTCGTTAATATAATGATATTTACTTTCTCATTTATTGGTAACTACTTTTAAATCATTGAAATGAAGCAAAAAAAAACAAATGTCTTCAAAGCAATTTATACTTAGGGTGTGTTTGTTTGAAGGATTTGTAAAGATTTCTACTATTCATCTCATTTTTTCCTCCCAAAAAACATCAAATCAAACACCTATTTTTCATTTTTTATATTATACTAAAAATCAATTTTACATTCAAAACATCACATCAACACCTATTTATATCACATCATACAACTATTCAAATTCAAAATTTTTACTATTCAAATCTCAACTCAAAATCCAAACCCCCAAACAAACACACCCTAAGATTATTATTTTTTTTAATATATTCTTTTAGAAATAAATAGGCATTTTCCATCCAAATCAATTTCATTGACAATAAATGCTATACATCAGATTGAAGCCCCTCTAACTTTAGTTCTTACATTCTTAACTGAACTAAAAAATAGATTACTCATCTTTAATTGACAATTAAAAAAGTTAGATAAAGCTGTTCTTGAAAGTACGTATATATATGTACTTAAAAAAGGAAACTCAGATATAATTTTTTTATCTTAAACAAGTGATTAAAAAGATGTTTATTAAAAAAAAAAAAAATTTAAAAAACAATTTATTATGTCATTTCTGTGTTCTAAGAGTACAAGGAACATTCAGAAGTAGTTATAATTTTTTTTTTTACAAATATTAATTTATAATACATTTTGATATAATAATTAATATTAAATATCAATAAAAAAAATAATAATAATAAGTAAATGAGACCTTAGAGCCGGACGGAAATAGTTAATAAACTTAACAATACTCCCTGTACTACTTTTTACAATTATTTCAAATCAATATCAAAAAACAAACAAGCATATTCAAAAAGTCTTGTTTATTTAAATTTGATTTTATGTATCAGGATATTCATAAAAATATATACTGGAGTGTTATTTTTTTCACTATAAAACCATAGAATCAAATCTATAATTTTCATAGTATATTAAACAAAAAAAATAAAATTTTCATTTAAAATATAACACCAAATCATTCAGATCAAGCACTATTTCAAATCACTAATTTTCTATTTCAAAATAAGTTGGCATATGTCTCAAATGTAAATATATATATATATATATACACTAGCAAACAAATAGTACAAAGTGAATAAAAGATTAATAGAGCAGTCTAGAAAGCATTTCTTGCCACAGCCACAGAAAATGGGCCAAATGTTTTCCAACAGGCAGTGTTAATCAATCTCCTTTCACACATTAACATTAAAAAAACATCAGAATCCAACCATGCATGCTCCTCCTCCTTTTCACACATCAAGCATTTCAATTAATTAATTTAAATAAAACTAGTGGTACTCCAATCAGCAACTATCTCCAAAATATCCAAATCCATTATTCACCCGAAGTGGAACACATTACCAAAAAATTAATATATATATATATATATATATATGTTTTAGGCAAGAACTAAACAGAGGGCTCTATTTGTCATCAAAAGTCCCAACATGCATAATACAAACAGATGATATAATCCTCCTGGGAAGAAGACAAGACAAGATCCCAAAAGTTGTTATTCATCTTCTGGTTTAAGTGTTACAACAATCACAACCTCAACTCAGCCAAATCAACTTAGAACTAACTACAGATGTGGAAAAACATTCCATCCAGAAGAGTTCCATGTAGAATTTTTCGAAAATAAATCAAATAAAATATATGTATAGCTTCAATGGTACAGAACAGCACAAATGATAATTTTCATCTCTACTTCTAAGAGCAAAATTAGCAGTAGAGTGGGAACTTGCCTATTTCATGGAAGAAAGGGATAGCCAGAGGGAGCTATGGGTTGGAGGATTACCGAGCACGTGGAGAAATGGATTACCGGCGATAGCTAAAAGCTATGGATTGGAGAATTGTCATTCAGGAGTACATGACGCCCATTTTCTTTGCAAAGTCATCATCTTCATCTTCTTCTTCGTCAATGTATTCATCTTCAGCATCTCCATTATCTCCGTCATAAGTGTATAAATCCTCCCCATGGACTTGTTCATATTCGAGCTCATTAATCCTTTCGTCATAGGCCTCAGATTCTTGGCCTTCCTCAGCCTCAGGATGAAGATTTTCTTCAGCTTCCATCTTGCCCTCGACTGATTGTGGGATAGGATTGAGTGCTGACCCGCTTTCGCCTGCATCGGTCTTCTGAAGGGATGGGGTATCCTGACTTTCAGCTACAATATTTCGTTGATTATTTGAGGAATTCCCACCATTTATAGGACCAGTTGTTTCACCTCTCTTTCGCTTTAGAATCTCTTCCAGTGGCTTAGGCCCTTTGAATGAAAGATCATTTCCATTTTGTAAACGATCATCAAGTGTTGATTGTTTTCTCTTACCTAGAGATTGCTGATCAGTCGTATGCAGTCTAACTGGTTCGCCATTTTTCTTGTTCTTCAACTCTGCAAGGCTTTTTGGACCGGCAAAGTTAGCACTGTTGTCACCCGCAGTGTCTTTTCTCGTGTGTAGATCTTGGTGATTCTTACCACCATTATTACCATCCAACCTTCCTTTTATTCTGTCTTGGATCCTTCCATGGGTTGAGGACATATTTGTCCTTGCGGGAGCCAACCTGCTACTAATGCTAGTCCTATCTGATCTGGGAAAACTTATTCTCCCTTGAAGGCGACTGCTACGAGTATTCTGATTCAAGGGAATACGCCGTTCATCCCTATGCGCAGCCTGATAATTTCGATCACCAACATATTGATCGTGGGTATGTTCATGATTTGTGGCGGATCTCAAACCATTAGATCTGTTATGCTTTGATAACCGGTGTCTCAGATCAACGTGACCAAGTGTATCAGTCCTCTCCGAATGAGACCCACCTGACATCCTTTCTGACAAACTTCTGTGCTGATCCTTACGCCGCTCCAGTGAGTCATAACTAAGAGAACTATGATATCGTTCATCCTCAACAGCAGCAATCATGTTGTAATCTGTATTGCGATTTATATCAGACTCATTCCCAGCTTCATTTTCCATTGACATTCCATACCTATCATCGCCAGGATAGTAATCAGATTCGTTGTTCTCATCATCTACAAGAACATCAAAACCAGGGGAGGGTTCCCTTGAAAGCTCTTCCGCATCCTTAATATTGCTCTCAGGTTCATGGAATGGATGTGGTTGCTGAACATGACCAGACCAGTGTTCATGAATTCCATTCGAAGCATGAAGAGGTCTATTGTACCCTGGAAACTCCCGGGTACCTGATGCTTGCGGTATCCTCCTGTTTATAACCAAATCATTTCTAGGGAGTGCAGGAGTTGGTTTCACTTCACTGGTTTGTTTCACTTGTGGGAAATCCTTCACATATTTAGCTTCTTTCATCAGTAATGCAGTCTTCTCTTGCACAGGTTTGCTAAGAACAGTTGAAGGTTTCCTGTTTGTGGTAGGCTCAGCAACAGATCCAGTTCCCAGTGCCAGTGAGGTTTTGTTGCTTGAGGTAGATGGCAGATGAACAAAGGGACACCAATCACCTTTCATGCAATACCCTTTTTGGAAAAAGATGCAAGCTTGCCCCTCCTTGTGAATGTTACTAGCGGCGTCCCTGGAAGGGGCGGCTGCAACCTGTGGTAAGGGTGCAGAAGGACCAGTAGATGTTGGGTTCTGCATACCCAACAACCCATCAAGAGGCTGAAACATCAAAAATAATAGGAGGTCACCATTTCTGACACAAAACAGCATGACAAAAACAATAAGTAACACGTAAAAACACAATTTGAAACTTCAATCTCGTTAAGTAATAAATATGAAAAGAATGCTTTCAGATGTCAACTACTTACCGGATGCCGAAACCCACACTTTGGATTCAAACAGTTACCATGTAGCCAAAAATAACAGTCCCTAGGGTTTAACCGAGCAACATCACTGTGGCGATACTCACAGTCATTTCCCTGCAGCAAACAACTCGTGACATTAACGCCATCAATAAACCACATGGTATGCGAAACAGACTTCAAGATGATGCATGCATCAACAAACTAAGTTTCTTTAAACTGAACTATATTATGTGCAAGAATAAAAATAAAAAATCTCTGGACCATCAGAATTGTTTGAAAATCGCTTGAAAATATTCATCAAATTGAAACTACCCTAAAACTAATTATTTTGTTAATTTTTCAGGATAGATTAAAAAGAATAAGAGCATCTGAAAGTATATCAAAGTGAAAATAACCATAACAAATCAACACGAAACTAATGAAGTCTTCTCAATACCCAACTTGTGCTAACATACGAACAAAACTCAGTCTAAATCTCTGTATATTAAATCTGGATCCATTCAAAACATCATTTCAGCATACACGACATAGTTAAACGGACAGAATCTGTAGATACAAACTAATTGCAAGATCTTGAAATCAGGATCAATCAGGAACCAATTGAAACAAAAATAACTCAATGAAAAAATTGAAGTCCTAGTCCTTGAGCAACTCCAAGTTTCCCTAAGAAGCAAACTAACCTCTTCCCAAGAAAGATCTAGTCTGCCCTCTGCCATGTAACATGGAATCAATACGCAGCGTACCAGAATCAAAATCATACAAACAGCATATACTATCGGAAAAAAAAAAAAAAAAAAAAAAAAAAAAAAAAAAAAGAGCCACGAACACGAATTAAAAGGGGAGAAACAAACAAAATTACCTTTTTGCAAGTTAAAGGAGATGCGAGAAAGTAAACACAATCCGTGTTCCTCTTGAGCGCTTCCTCCTCCGCAGACGGGGGAGGCTGAGGCTGAGATTGAGTATGAGACTGCTGTCCAGAGCCTCCCATTCCGCGAGGATCCCTAATCAACTGGAAGAAAAAAATTACGAAAAGAGGGATCTAGGGTTTTGAATTTGTGCGGCGGCTGTTATTTCTTGGGCAGGCGGTCGGTGTTGTTAACAGAGATTCTCAGCTTTCCCGGTCATCGAATCCAATTCGGAATCACACAATTCCGGTGCCGCCGCCTCTCAGCGTCGCAGACAGCGAGAGGAGTGGACTACGTATGACAGGAAATGGATACACGCATGCGAGTTCTTACTGCGTGTGGATGTGCTCTGTATTAGTACTGTAGTAGATCACATACATACACATACGGGTATGTGTGTGTACATATAGTAGGTCTATATATATATTTACCATTTTTTATTTTATTTTATTTTATTTGTTTTTAGGATGTAAGAATCCTTCGAATTTATATTTTCCGAGTTCATCCCTCTAAATAATACTCCGACGTCTTAGGGTATGTTTCTTTTTATTTTTATTTGTGTGTTTCTTTTAATGAGTTTTGAAAAAAATTTGATTTGAGTTTTATATGAAAATAATGTTTTATGGGATGTTTTGCGGGAAAAAATTATATATGGATAAACAGATAGTCCAAATAGTAAAATTTAGGGAAATGACAGTATAATGAGATATTGTGTAAAATGAAAAAATATATTCTCTCCGTTTTATTGAAATGTTACCGTATTTTATTTTGGTCAGTCCAAAACACAAAAAGGTTATCATTTCTTAATTCTACTCACTACCTAAAATAATAAATATTATTTCAATTTACAATATATTACACAAATATCATCGTTTTTATATTACACCCATAATATATGGGTATTTTTCTCTTTTTTTTATTGCAATTCAATATAATACTAATATTTAAAAATTTATTTAAAAAAAATGCTACTCTTCTAATGGAACAAATAGAGTATTTTTTCTAAAAAATACAGAGTTCAAATAATAAAAAATTAAATTTTGATAATTAAATAAACATGCTATGTCATAATTAAAAATATATTAATAAATTAAAATAATTGATTGATTTTAATTAAAATTATATAATTTAAGTTTTAAATTTTAATTAAATATAATATTTATTTTTAAAATATAATAATAAGAAAAATAAGACTAGATCCAAAAAAAAACAAATTATGATACTATAATATATGGGAAAATGAGAGTAATATACAAAGTAATATTAATCCATCCGACTATAAGGATCTCATTTACTTTTTTTGCATATTTATATTTGAATATTAATTATTATATCAAAATATAGTATAAATTAAAAAAAAATTGCAAAAATACTTCATTAGTGGCTTATTAGTAGGACATTCGTAAAAAAAATTATATAAATATAAAAATATTTTTAATATTAAATACAAGGGTAAATATGACGATCAGACCGAAAGAATATGATTTTTTTAATATATAAATAGTACAATTGCTTAAAAAAATAAATGAATTAATTGATTTTGACGGATTAATATGATACAATAAAAAGATTGATTCGGATTGACTAGTTTTTTTTTTTAAAAAAAAAATTATGTATTTTTATTCTCATATTAGGTGAGTAATATTAGTATTGATTTGAGAAAAAATAAAAAAAAGTAAATAATTTCATTGGTTTATTTAAAAAATAATACTCCCTCAATTTCATTGGCACGAGAATTTAAGGAATATTGATATTATATGGACAGTGGGTAAAAAATATATGTAAAATACTTCTTTGCCCTTGTGAGTGTATTAGTGTAAAAAATAGTGACAATTGTGTAATAATAATGAAAGAATAAGGGTAGTTTTATAGTGATATAATTATTTATAGAAATAAGACTATTATTTTGGAACGAACAAAAATAGTAAATAAGACTATTGTATTAAAACGGAGGAGTATATTTTTAATAAAAAACTATATCGATTAAATTATAATAATTTGGGTGTGAATTGATAGTCAAACACACTCTAAAATTATTGTATCTCATGCTTATTTAATTATGAGCATCAATAGCTTGCACTATCTGCAACTCATCAACTTTATTTCTCCAACTCATCAATTTTATTTATTCAATTTTAACTTTCGCAATTGTTACAGTAATTTTACTCTAATCATAATTTCATTTTTCATTATTATTCTTCAAATATTTAATTTTTTCTATTATTTTAAACACCTTATTATTTTAATAATTTAAAATAATTTTTTTTTTAAATTTAAAAAATTTAAAAAATAAATTTAAAATAAAAATTTTAAAATTTTAAAAAGTATCCAGTGTTGCTACAATACAACAAAATTGTTTGCACTCAACCGAGCGCCCTTATGCACGAATCAAATAAATTTAAAATTATATTACTAAAACATAATAAAAACAAATATATTAAATAATAATTGAATAATCACGTCCATACATACGAAATGATAACAAATACTAATAATAATACAAAAAAAATTATTTATCTACCAATATTTTCTGATGACAAATAAATTAAAAATAAATTAAATAGTAAGAAACGTAGAAAATATTTTCGGAATTTTGTGAGCTTGAGGTGTTACAATTTCTTACTATTTATTCTCTGATCAGACAAGATGAGCTCGGAAGGTATCAGAGTTTAAACCTGTCGCTTACAGTCACAAGTTTATTCTCCGAAACTAGGTCATATCTTTCTGGATAACATTATTAAAAAAAATATATTCCGTTTATCCGCTTCTGAATGTCACATTTATTTTTTTCCGACGAATATTCTTATATTTGTACTGATTAAAATATTTTTGCAATTTTTTCTTAATTTATATATGTTTTAATATAATAATTAATAACAAAAAATTACCAATTAAAAAATAAACGAAACTCACCCATGGGATGACATATCAATCTATTATTTTTTCAAACAAACACAGAATACCAGAAAATTACTGGAAAAAAAATGTTAAACGCATTTAACAGTAATTAACATCTTTTTGAAGCACTGAAATAATTGTGTAAAAAATGCGTAACTAACTGTCAAATCAGTTGAGCGTGAAGGCAGTCGGCGATGAGCAATGATCCGGCGCCGTGCAGGCGGGCGACCGGTGCGCAAGATCGCCGTCAGAAACCGAAGGATGTGCTATCCAATTCAAGTATTCAACGAGATCTCCTAAACAAACAATTGTTTACTTGATTTATTTATTTATTTGTTAATGAAACTTGAGAATTGATTGAACATGTCTATGCCTCAACCAAGGCGGATATTCAACGCAATCCGTACAATGTATTCAGAAAAAAATAAAATGTTAAGAAATCAAGCAATAAAGAAAATATAGAACGAGATCTGAAGCTTACCGTAGGTTAATTTCTTCGTTTCAGAGGTCTTCAGTGTGTGTTGCTCTTTGAGTTACATGGGGAAAACCATGCGAAAATACGTACGGAGGTATGGCGGAAGGCAGAAGTAAAATTTTGACGCTGGATAGAATGGAAGACAGATCGAGAGAGAGAATCGGAGAAGAAGACGGAGGAGGATGAGAAGCTTGTAGAGGAACGCTGGGAATGAACCAACGGGATGGCAGATACGTAATTACAGGAAAAATAAAAGGGTATAGATGTTATTTCCGTCCGGGTCTCGTCGCCCTAACTCCGCACGGCGTTTGAATGTGTATGTTTTGTCTTTTAGGGTGCGTTTGTTTCGAGGGTTTGGATTTTGAGTTGGGATTTGAATAGTAAAAATTTTAAATTTGAATAGTTGTATGATGTGATATAAATAGGTGGTGATGTGATGTTTTGAGTGTAAAATTAATTTTTAGTATAATACAAAAAATGATAAATAAGTATTTGATTTGATGTTTTTGGGGGAAAAAAATTGGATAAATAGTAGAATTTTAACAAAATTCTACAAACGAACACACCTTTAGTGTTAATTTTAGTTTTTTTCTATACTCCATCCAGCCCAATTCTTACCATTTTGTTTTTATTTTTTTATTATTATTATTTTTTTAAAAAGTATTGATGGGGAATCTCGTCTGATTGTATTTCTTTATAAATGTTCGAACTTATAAGTGAGACTAAGTTGCATCTGATATGATATATCAGAGTTCCAATTCCACCATTCTTATTTGCGGCGGCATATGCATGTACAAATTTTGTATACAAGATTAAGACATATACATGCAAAATAAGGAGGAATGCTTCAATTATGCTGATACCAGCATTCTAATTTATTGGTGACAATTATTTGTTCTTGGAATTAATGTAATTTACTATAATTAGGTGAATAATAATTATAAAGAATAAGCGTTTCTCTGGATATGTTGTCGAACTAATTTGTATTAAATTGTTTTTTAAAAAAATAAAAATAAAAATAAAATTCCATTGTGCGTATTGGAACCCTAAAATCCCTATTTAACACAATTATATATTTATATATGTATATATATTAATTTTTACGTCAAACAGTTCACAAACCCAAAATTACATACGAAAAAAAGAACATTTGACATGTTCTTCAAACATATATAAATTTATATAAAATAATTTTTGAATATAAACAAATCTTTACAAAGCAAAAGCTCAATTACAGGTCATTTCACAATAAAATTCCCTATTAATAAATATTTGTAGACATAAAACTAATATAGAAATGGAAGATGAATGTATTATCCAAATTCATTTCTTGCTCGCACAATTAAGAAAACAATACATGAAGAATTAAACTACTATCCCAACACAATATATATAAAAATAAAGTTAGGTTGGGTTCATCCTAAAAAAATAAATAATAAAAGTAGTTGGTGTAGGAGACATTGTACGTGCACATTTTTACATACATATAATGTTAATTTGAATAATATTTAAAATGCTATCTTTACAATTAAGATTCCATAATGGCTGTTGGGGTATAATCATAAAATGGAAATTTAGGGGGTCTTCAACAAGCTCAGCTATATAATCATTGTCAATCAATAACTATAAAATATTATTATTATTATTATTATTATTATTATTATTATTATTATTATATAATTTGATGTTGCAAAATTGTGAAAATCTAAATAAAAACGTACACAACAAAATAATAATCTGGTGATTCAATTCGAATCATTCTGATCTAAAACAATCAAATCAAATTCTTTTTTCCAATATAGATTTATCTGATTGAACTAAATTACCAAATTATCATATTCTTACAGGCATTTTTTTTTATCTTGATTTTCATAATTTCACAACTAATGAGTGGGACAGCTACAAACACATTTATCCAAGTGTATGTGTAAAATATACAATGACATTGTCCAGCTAATTAATACTATTAATTTTAATATCTGCCTACTTTTTTGTACATCACCACAAGCCCCACAGCCACTCATTAAATTTTATTATTTCCTAATGGACCCCAATATTTATTTTATTTATTATAAGGGTTTGTGGGAGTTTTACATCTAACTGGTGTGTTTTTTCAACCCAAGGATTTACTGACTTTGGCACATTGCCACCCAACCCCCCCAAATATGGTCCCCAATTTTGTTTTACTCTTTATATATATATTTTTATCTTTCACTACTTTTAAATTTTATTCCATGAAAAAATATATATTTTTTATTACAATTATTTTCTATAGGCTGGTCTGGACTCTGGACCACTTATCTAAGGTTGAATCCAACTTGATGATAAAGCAGAGCTGCCAAAATAGGGATTGTAAATTTGGCACTAATCATTGCTTTAGAGATTTCAATAGGGATCTGTACTTCTTTTGACTAATAAATTCTAAATTCCTGTTTACACAACACCAATCACTCTCACTAATATCTATACACACAAATAAATTTTCACATAAATAATAAAATGCAAGCTAAGAAAAAAGCACATCTCAGCCCTATATCATATAAAACTACAAAATAAATTCAAATTTTCACCAATGCCCAAAACCTATTATAATCAATGAACAATGAATGACATTAGTGGACAACAACAAAACAAGAAAAGAAAACAGCAAGATATCAAGCAAAGTTGAAATTTGTACCAAAAGGGAAGAATTTTTTTTTTGAAAAAATAGTGCGCTCCAACGTTCAAATAGACACTGAGAAAACTCGTGAAATGAAATTTCAACCCATCCAACGGTCATAAAATTCGCATGTGAATTCCATAAACCTAAAGCCCCAGAAAGCATATTTACCAACTATAAAAATGGGGGAAGGCAGGCAGGGTGTTTTCAGACCAGAAAAATCTCTCTGAATGCACACATAGATTTTTTCTACCATATATATTTATCTGTTTCTATCTTTAGTTATTTAATTTTTTTTTATATATATAATATTTATCTTTCATCATTGTACCGTGTGGTCTAAGTGACAAGAGCAAGGAATTAAGAAGACATACCTTTCCTTGGAAATATTTAATGCCTTGCTGTTGATGTGGAGTGCCCCTTTTCTTGCATCTTTGTCAGTCCAGAAGCTTTAACTCAGACAAGTCCTTTTTTATTTTTGCCTGTTTGGTGGAGAAGATGGAGTTCTTGATGTGGGCTGTGCCTGTGAAGCTTCTGCTGATCATGACAACAGTGTTTGGCACACCAGTTTCTTCTCAATCAGGGGGGGCCTGTTCACCGGCTGACAGGGCTGCCCTGCTAGGGTTTAAGGCCAGCATTGTGAGAGACACCACTGGCATGCTGTCAACATGGGGGGTGGGAGGGGGGGACTGCTGTGCAGGGGGCTGGGAAGGTGTGGAATGTGGTGGAGCCGTGCCAGGGAGGGTCACCAGGCTCATCCTGCAGAATCCTTCCATGGATTCTGCTGGGGTTTACATGAAGGGGATTCTGTCATCTTCTCTAGGCAGGCTGCAGTTCCTGGAGATAATGATGATCAGTGGGATGAAGAGGATAACTGGTTCGATCCCCGAAAGCTTCGCCAATCTTACCAGGCTTACCCAGCTTGTTCTTGATGATAATGGCCTGCAGGGAAACATCCCGACAAGTTTAGGGAAATTGAGGAGCCTCCAGACGATCTCGTTGAGTGGTAATCGCTTGACAGGGCGTATACCTGTCATGTTGGGAGGTTTGCAGCACCTCCAGCAGTTGAATCTTGCCAGGAATTCCTTGACAGGTCCAATCCCGACGGCCATTGGTCGCCTTACAGGGCTGCAGTCTCTTGATCTTGGTTACAATTCATTGTCTGGATTCATACCTGATTTTCTTGGTCAGCTAAAGAATCTGAGCTACCTTGTCCTCACCAGGAATCAATTTTCAGGGCAGATACCGAATTCTCTGTTCAATCTAGTGCAACTTTCCGAGCTGTCAATTGATCAGAATCAGCTCACCGGAACAATCCCATCTCTGATAGGGAAATTGAAGTCTGTTGCAGTCCTAAGGTTGAGTTCCAATAAGCTCACAGGTCAAATTCCAGAATCCATTTCACAGCTGCAAAACTTGTGGAATCTTAATCTGTCAAGAAATCTACTGACAAACCCTCTCCCTGAGGCTGCCTTCAGCAAGGGGTTCCCATCTCTGCTGTCAATTGATCTGTCCTACAGCGGTCTCGAGCTGGGAACAGTTGGTAATTGGATTGTGAACAGGGAACTTTCCGATGTTCATTTAGCAGGCTGCAAGCTCCGAGGATCCTTACCCAACTTCACAAGGCCTGACTCTTTGAGCACATTGGACCTGTCTGACAACTATTTCACTGATGGTATTTACAGGTTCTTGGAAAGGATGACGAGTCTGCAGACAGCAAAGATTGCAAACAACTTGTTGAATGGTGACCTCTCCTTTATCAGGTTACCTGATCAGATTTCAACCCTCGACCTCCATTCAAACAGGCTCTATGGTTCTCTGTCAAGGATGCTAAGCAACGGGACAGCCAAATTCATGGAGGTCATCGACGTGTCCAACAACAATATTAGAGGCAGCATTCCTGAATTCAGCGCTGGTCTGAACTTAAAAGTGCTCAACATAGGCAGTAACAAGATTGCAGGCCAAATTCCAGGGTCACTTTCAAACCTAGCTAGGCTGGAAAGGTTTGACATTTCAAGAAACCAGATCTCGGGCACCATCCCAACCAGTATGGGCTTGTTGCTGAAGCTGAAATGGCTAGATCTATCTATCAATAGGCTTACAGGAAAGATCCCAGACAGCTTGCTGGGAATTGAGGCACTAAGACATGCCAGTTTCAGGGCAAATAGGTTGTGTGGAGTGATCCCTCAGGGAAGACCGTTTAACATATTCCCTGCCTCTGCTTACGTTCACAATTTGTGCTTGTGTGGCAAACCCTTGCCGCCCTGCAGGGGAAAAACAAACCCGAAGATCAGTCAGTGATATGCTGACCCTGCCCATGGATGCATGGTGTTATGCTCATGCCACATGAGCATTTTCCCATCTAAAGTGGTCATCTTTTTTTTCATGTAACTTTAGGTACACAGTTTTTGTAATTCCCTTTACACTTGGTTTACACTACATAAGCCACCATCCTGTGGATTCAAATGAAGAAACCTATTTATACTGATAGTCTAAATGCTGATTTTCGTAGTCTAAATGCTGATTTTTGTTTAATAACCATACAACTCACACACATTTGCAATTAAGCAGATCGAACCTCCCACTTCCACTGAGGTGTTGAGCAGTTAAAACAACTAAAATCTATTAGGTGTATGCCTAGTAGCCCGTGTTTAGATCAAGAACCTCCACAGAGATATAGCATACGACGAACAATTTGAACTGTAATAATTGGAAATAATTTGAAAAGGACTGATAATATGAGTGGCACCAACAACTCCATCACTACAAAGCTAAGTGTGCTTCAAGATTAGTGATTCGAAATGAATTCAAGACAAAGTGGTGTTTTTTTCTTGCCTACAAATAACAAATCATGAGCTAGAAGTATTTGGCTTTAGAATGAATAAAGACAAGATACAATCGCATTTAATGATGCCAATCTAATAAAAAATTACATAATACTCCTAGTATATATATTGGTTAAGTCAACAATGCAAATAATTGGTGTGAACATAAATAAACTCCAAACATTCCCAAGAAATGTTATGAAGCACCACAGAGAGGCGGGCAAGGGAATAATTGGTGAAGGTCTAACTTTAAAGGCTGCAAGCAAGTCCTAAGAGCTGGAGTAGAGAAATACACAACCACATCCGCTTCTATTCATTAGACTTCTTGGTCAGATCCGACAACACTGTCCAGATCATATATGCTTTGCATGGGTACACCATATAAAGGACGCAACCAATTGCATACTTCAAACAATTATCTAAACAGAGAAAACATCTGTGTTCTTTTATGTTTTTATTATTGTATTGTTTGTTTTGCTATTTTAAAGTGAAATTAATTGTTAAATATAATATTTTCAATGAATAATAGTGGCAGGATACCATAGGTTTGAAAATGATAAATTAAATAATAAAACTTGAGAATAAAGACACAAAAGAAGACATAATCATTGAAAATTTTCATCCTCTAGTTATATTGGACTTCAATGCCTTTTCACATTCATTTTTACGATCTACGGCTTTGTAGAGCCATAAAACAAATGAACTGTTTGCGAGCTCAGCTCAGTTTAGATCGTTTGAGTTCATTAAAAGCTTTCTAGCCAAACTAAACGAGCCAGACATAACCAATGAACACAATCGAGCTTGAGTACTTAAGGAGTCAAGTTCAAACAAGAATTTCAAATTGTATCTCTTAACAAAATAACACGAATCAAGCTGTTCAAAGGCTCAGTTCAGCTCGCTAACGCTCTAACCTTCTGTCAATATGCATATCTTAATTATCAAAATCCCTACAAATACTTATGAATAAACACATTTCCACCGGCCGAAGAAAAGCACTTAACTAAATTTCAAGTTCAATTCACAACACCACCACTCAAGATGAATCGCTTCCATTTCCTTACAATAAATTCGTGTTTTCCGCGTTGGAGAGAAGAAGAGTTTCAAGTTTCAGCCACGATCCCTCGCCCTCGCCCTCAACCTCGAAGCGGTGTCGATGCTCAGCCGCCTGCAATTAATTCCAGATTGTTACTAAAATCGCAAACAGCAATAGCGCACAAAATAGAGAAGATTTGCACGGAAAACTTTGCATACTTTCTGCGGCATTGTATAACAATCACAAGTTTGAAGGTCTTCGCGCCAAAACGTGACGTAAGTAGGGTTCGAATGGGCCATTACGGGCCGCTCAGTTATCCTTATTGGACCGAATTAGGATCTGGGCCTAATTAGTCCAAATTAAGCCCAAATTCAACCCAAATAAATATATACATATTTATTTATTTTTTTAAAAAAAAAGAAGAGGAGTTTCCAATAATACGAATTAATTTAAGTGTTAACCATTTCATTTCGCCTGTAATTGTTTTTCAATATTATTATTAAGTATAAATATAATTATTATTGGCGTAACTAATATTTACGGTAAAAGAGGAAATATTACGCAGCGGCGGAGTCTCCAGCGAACTCAACTGTCACTTCTTCCTCGTTTTCATCGACGCCCTTCTCTTCAAATTCTCGGATCCATCCTCACCCTTATCGCCCTCGTTCCATTTCCTCGCATTTCTGAGGTATTTCTCATCTTATCAGATCTAATCTCTTCATTTTTTATGTTGTAAGAATTTCGTAGGCTGCTGATTTTAATTTTCTCCGCATTGCTGTATCCTTTCGTTTCAGTGTTGATTCCTCACTGACCAGTCAGGTTTTTTGCTTCTGTCTCGTATCTTTAGGCAGGTTTTTTGATCTGAAAATGGACTCTGCTACCATGACCTTCTGCAGCAAATCGGTCTGCTCACCGCCGGTGAGTAAAACCTACCTTCCTCCCCTCCCCTCCCCTATCTTATAATTGCTATTATTATTGAATTAGCATTGGTTGTCTGGAACATTTGTTTGTGTCGCTACCCTCATTGTGTGTTTGTTGGGTTATGATTTGCATACAAAGTAATGATTTTTTTTAGCGAATCTAATTAAAAGGACTCCTTTTTTGTTGTAATGGTTGCAAGAGGGCACCTTTTGGGGTATTTTTATAATTCAAAGGGTATGTTTCAAGCATTTGGAATTCCGAAAACTTTTAATAGTTTCATATACAAGTACGCAATTGATCTAAAAATTGTTTGGCAAGGAGGAATTCACCTAAAAAACCTAAGCCTCTATGCTTCACTAGTTTTGGAGAATCTTGCACTTATATCAGTTATAGCTTCAATTTCGTACAAAATAATTCGTGATCAAGAATATTGCTTCATATCTGTTGCAAAGATAATCTTTATTGTTAGGTGCTTGCAAGAGGCTATTATGACCGGACGAATTCGTGTTACCAATCAATTAATGTTACCGGCGTACTTGTCTTCCTATTGACGTGCTAATTGTTGATTACGTCATCACTTTTCATTGCTTCATATTTTTTTGTGACTGCATTACACAATTTGAGCTGTGGCTTTGTTATCTTCTTTTTTTATACATTTCTTCATATAAATACCATCTAGAATGCTTGGACTTAAGTTTCGTGGGTATATTCTGTGGAAAGGGTTTATTCATGCGGAGGGTAGGAGGAATAAGGAGCTCCCAGTGCAGCTTTACGTCAGGAAGTAGAGTTACCTTCCCCGTACAGAGGGTTCAGGCCTCTCGAGTTGGTTCGAAATCAGGTAAACGTGGGGGAGCTCTTGCTGCTACATGCAACAGCGATAAAATTTTGGTGGCCAACAGAGGAGAGATTGCTGTTCGTGTGATTAGGACTGCCCATGAGATGGGGATCCCTTGTGTGGCTGTTTACTCAACAATTGATAAGGATGCTCTTCACGTCAGACTGGCGGATGAATCTGTCTGCATTGGAGAGGCGCCAAGCAATCAATCGTAAGCTGTATTATATTATTATCGTTTTTAATTAATGATTTATGGTTTTCCCTCACATGGAAAGAAATTTATTAAATTATTAAAGAGTGACTTGACAAAATGATTTAGCCTTCACCCATTCGAATATTTTAAAGTACACTATCCTTAAGAAAACTGATCAAAAATATGGTTCTCAGTTTAAAAAGCTGGTTGTTTCAGTGCTATCTAGTGCCAGTAGAAGTATGAAATGCCTCTTTAAATGTTAATTAAATTTCTGGTGAAACTTGTATAATTGATGCAGCATTCATACATATTTTCCTATCACTGTCTATTTCTTCTAGGTACTTGGTGATCCCAAATGTCTTGTCTGCGGCCATCAGCCGTGGATGTACAATGCTTCATCCTGGGTATGGATTCCTTTCCGAAAATGCTGTTTTTGTCGAGATGTGCAGAGAACATGGAATCAACTTCATCGGACCTAATGTAAGTTTACTAAGATGGAGATTATATAACATCTCAAGTTTTTATAGCATGTGAAACTGATCATTCATGTGGCATCATTATTGGCGCTGCTCATTGCAGTTTTAATGTGAATTATCTATAAAGTTTTTGGCATTGCGATGACTGATACAAATAGATGGATTTACTTTAGTTTTAAAATGTTGTCAATCAAGTGTGGTGACATCTCTTGACCGTATTTATACATGCCTCATCAGAAAATATTTTCTCCTCCATGCACATGTTACGATTCCATAGTGCTAAAGTTTTCTGTTCTTTGCTCTAACGTTGGCATTTTGCGATACAAGTATGCACACACTCTCACCCTGGAAGGCGTTCTGAGTCAAACTTTCATCAAAAAATGGACAAAAGTAGCTATTGCCCTGATCACTGTTGCAAATTAATATTTGTTTTTTTGTCTTTCTCGATACATCAAAATCATGTGTGGAGATTACAAATTTATAACTAAACTTCACTTCACAGCCCGATAGCATCAGAGTCATGGGTGATAAGTCTACTGCTAGAGATACAATGAAGAAGGCTGGAGTTCCAACTGTTCCTGGAAGCGATGGATTATTGCAGGTATTGCCTTCAACTAATAAGTATTACATAATCATACTGAACAACTTCTCAGTAAAGTCAATCACTGTTGCTTTTACCGTATGCTGCTTATCTTTTAATTCATATATATTTACGTGGTGTTCGCTATCTTGTAATTTCAGACCACTGAAGAAGCAATAAGGCTTGCAGATGAGATTGGTTATCCGGTCATGATCAAGGTAAGTTTTTTTTTTCCCAAACTCACTGTATGCTATGTCTCATGTATTGGTTACTAAGCACTGCATACGGTTACTCGTTAATGCATGGTGGTCGGATAAATTTCTATGAGATTTTAACAGTAAGTTGGTGCGGTTTGTGGCATCTATGCAGTTAATGGCATGAAAATAGCAGATCTGTTTGGAATGATATCTTCCTTCATTCTTTTGAGTGAAATGGGAGCATGCATAGTATGAGGCTTGGCTTTTCTAAATTTCTTTTAATTGGCACAGAACGCATTTGAGGCAATTTCTGCCATATTTTGTGATTGCACCGAAGGGCAGTTTTGCAACTCTTAAGTTGTTAAACTAAGCTGGTTTGCAGCAAAGTTTTCGAAGAAATGGACTGTATATAAATAAAGTGACCCATTCATATCCATCAATCTTTCTTTTGAATGCTTGATTGTTTTAGTTGTGCCGACTTACATCTACTTCATCCTTTTGAAGGCAACGGCCGGTGGAGGAGGACGAGGGATGCGTCTTGCTAAAGAGCCTGATGAGTTTGTGAAGTTGTTGCAGGTATCTCCCCTCTCCCTGGTTTTCTTTCTGATGTAATTTTCCATTAATATTTGGAATCATATTTTTCTCAAATCAAATCTTTATAGACTATATTTTCCATATTAATTATATTTGCGTGCAGGTTATGCATTCGTGTTAAAGTTATTTCAAGCAGTGTTTGTTCTAATAAGATTGCCGCTGATTTCATTTTTATTGTTTTTGTGGGGGACCAGCAAGCTAAGAGTGAGGCTGCAGCTGCATTTGGTAACGATGGTGTTTATCTTGAGAAGTATATCGTGAATCCAAGACATATTGAATTTCAGGTTACCCATTTTGCTGTTTCTCTCGAAAACTTAGCATGGTATTGATTCTTGTTACGCTTTTTGACACGAGCGCTTCATGTATTATCTTTCAGGTTTTGGCTGACAAATATGGTAATGTTGTGCACTTCGGCGAGCGTGATTGTAGCATTCAGGTGGACATCACAAATACACCTAATTAACTTTCGCAGCGCATTTCGTTGTCTGATTACGTGTTTCTCCGCACAATCAATAGCAATAGGCATTGATTCATCGAAACACTTGTTTTTGTAGAGAAGAAACCAGAAGTTGCTAGAAGAAGCGCCGTCTCCTGCCTTAACTGCAGAACTGAGGAAAGCCATGGGTGATGCTGCCGTAGCAGCAGCAGCATCCATCGGTTATATAGGTGTCGGTACGATCGAGTTTCTCTTGGATGAAAGAGGATCATTCTATTTCATGGAGATGAACACGAGGATACAGGTTAAATTCAGTGGCTTCGATAATTTACAGGCGTAGCTACTTACCTTGCCATGGGTAACCCGTGAAACGTATTTTACTTGGTACTGTGACAGGTGGAGCATCCGGTTACGGAAATGATATCCTCAGTCGACCTAATTGAGGAACAGATACGCGTCGCTAGGGGAGAGAAGCTTCGCTACAAACAGGCATGTTTACTGCAGTAAAAAATGAATTAGAGACTAAACTGCAGCCAGTAAGTTATCTGAATATTGTTTTGTGTGCAGGAAGATATCGTACTACGTGGACATTCGATTGAATGTCGTATAAATGCAGAAGATGCTTTCAAAAATTTCAGACCAGGGCCAGGTGTGTTTTAACTGCAGTGAACTGTTAAAAATCCGTTCTTGTGCTTTTCATCGTGTCTGTATATTACATCTCATCTTTTGAACAGGGAGAATAACATCGTACTTGCCGGCTGGAGGTCCTTTCGTGCGTATGGATAGCCATGTTTATCCCGATTACATGGTTCCACCTAGCTACGATTCCCTGCTTGGAAAGGTCTTTAAATTCAGCTTCGACTTTTACCCAATCCTATATTCAATCCATAGTTTATTGCATTCGGAATATTAACTCCAAATTGCTATTTTAGCTCATTGTCTGGGGACCAACAAGAGAGAGGGCCATCGAGCGCATGAAAAGAGCTCTTAACGACACCATTATTACCGGTAAGTTTCAGCTTCAACCTGTTTATATGATGATTTTTTTTTTCGAAAAATCTATAAATTGATTCTCTGCTGCTGGCCAGGCGTGCCGACAACAATTGACTACCACAAGCTTATCCTTGAGATCGAGGTACAATAATACAATTTTCTCGAAATTTAGCATCACATGTGATTGCCATGGCTCTTTCCGGAGGTCTCGATGACCAAAATCGAATCTTTACTATGCCCACAGGACTTCAAGAACGGAAAGGTCGATACAGCTTTTATCCCAAAACACGAAGAAGACCTTGCTGCGGTATTACATATTAATACCTCATTACGTTCGATTCTCTAACCTGTGTTTGCGCTGCATGTTTTGATCGACCATTATTGTATTGGCAGCCCCTCGAAAGTGAAGCGGCGCCGTCCCAGAAACAGCTCGTGAATACTTCTGCTTGAGTTAACTCCGTCTGCAACCAATGGTCGAGTATTGTTTCCCGGCAAGACTGTCGCTTAATTAATAGGTGCCGGGCCGTGTTTTTGGCTGTGTGTTTGTTTTTCACATGCGACCATCGTCGAAACCACATTTGAATGAGGCGCAATCTTTCTTTATAGACGGTAGCTCTTAAATTATATAATTGGAGACCTTTTGTTCCAAGTTTGTGGTTGTATTCGCTCTTGTTTAACATTCTTCCAAGTTTATTTATTAATTTACGACGTGAAAATTCGCAGTTCTATTCTCTTTCATTCTTAAATAGCTCTTGTTGGATTTTAATTTCAATTTGAATCTTTTATTTTGGTTTAAATAATTACATATGTTATCTTAGAAGAAAGTTTATACTCCATTTTAATTAATAAATTGATAATTTAATTAAAAAATAATATATATTTTTTTTTATTAAAAATTGTAAAAATGAAATAGTAACATTTTTTATTTGGACTAAAAAACAAACAAACGACAGTATTGTTTGAAATGCAGCAAAATAAAACAAACTTGTCGCCTATTTTCCGTAGATACCCATTAGAAAAAAAATATATATATATATATAATATATATTAATTTAATTATGAAATGAATTTAATAATGAGTGAATAGTGAAGAAGCACTCACTAGATATAGTTGGGTTAGATTGTCAAATCATATGATTGGTGGCCCTACAAGAACACACACACACCCGTATGTGTGTCTGTGTATTATGCAATTGCTTAAAGGTGATGTAGTAATTGCACAACGTGGGTTGTTAGGACCCACCCCCTCCCACTCTATATTTTTCACACACTAATTCTATTTATTTATTTATATTTAATATTTCTTCCTCCCGAAATTAAGTATTCACTTTTTTTCACCTAGTTTTAAAAATATTAATATTATATTGGAATATAGTATGAATAAAGTAGAAATGACTAAAATAATCTTATTAGTATGTGTGGTATAAAGGTAATGATATTTATGTAATATATTATAAGTTGTAAGGGTATTTGTAATGTTAGGTAGAAATTACAGTTACTACAAAAATGAAATATATACTTGTTATGGTACGGACTAAAATAAAAAAATTAATACTTTGTTATGAGACGGATGGAGTAATAAATTTGTTTACATAACTTTTTTTTATAAAAATTAATACGAAATATGAAATAATATTTTTTCTATTAATTTTGTATACTTAGATTAAAAAATTCAAATCGCAGTACTAAACAAATAAATCAAATATTTTTAAAATAACATAAATCTAATTTTTTTTTAAAAAAAATGAAAATAAATAAATAAATACACTACTGTTTGTTTGAATATTGAGATTTGATAAAATACAAATTTGGAATTTAAATAGGTGTCTAATGTTACATAAATAAATATTGATATAGTGTCTTAAATGTAAAAATAATTTTTAGTATAATATAAAAATTAAAAAATAAGTATTATAATTTAATATTTTTAGAAAAAAAATATATAAATAGTGAAAATCTTCCAAAATCATTTAAGCAAACACATCCTAAATATGATTTTTGTTAACATATATATATTTAGAATCAGTATTAATTCTTTTACAAAATATTATATACGAAATTCATAGGTTCTCATACATCACCTAAAATTCTAAACATTTTATTATTATTTATTTTTTTTTTCAAAAAATCTACAATTCTTATATTAATAAAATTATTCTTTTAATAAAAATATAATTTTTAAAATATTTTTAAAAAATACAAATCATTTCACTCAAATTACTTTTATATTCCCAATATCCTTACAATTCTAATAACTAAAAATAAAAATTTCACTATTCGCAAAACACTAAAACACACCATCGGAAAATTTATTGTAACATACTGTGAGAAAATATACATTTGATAAAATATTTTATAAAATATACTTATAAATGAACAATATTAAAAATAATTTACAAACAAATACTTCTTCCGTCTCATAATTAAATATTCATTTGTTTTTTACATGTAATTTTAGAAATATTAGTATTATATTTGGATGTAGTAGGAATAAAGTAAAAATGACTAAAATAATCTTATTAGTATACGTGATATAAATGTAACAACATTTGTGTAATATATTGTAAGTTGTAAAGTATTTGTAACGTTAGGTAGATAGTACAGTTTCTAAAGAAGAAAATGAATATTTTGTTACGTCACAGACATAAAAAAAAAAAAAAAAAAAAAAAAAAAAAAAAAAAAAAAAAAAAAAAAGAAAGAAAGAAAGATATTTTCTTATGGAACGGTATATAACCTTATTATTTATTTTATTTATTTATATTATGGTGGGATGCTCTCAGTCTCAGGTCTGCCCTTTTAAGATAAGCCATCGCCATCACCATTACCACCACACTTTCAAATTATTATTACATTTTGAAACATTCATTGCAAAAATATCAATATATTTTTTGTATTTAAATAAAATTAAAATAAAAAGAATTAATCAAATTTGTAATGAAATTTGTTGTATTTATTGATTACCAATATTGTACGAAAGTAATTAGTCTATGGAAAGGCATCAAAATTCAAAAATGTCTACCCAAAATTAAATGATGAATGAGGACGAGACGACACTATGGGCTGTTTTTGTTTGTATCTAAATATACAGTAGATATTAATATTTTGAATTCAATTTTTTATGTAAATATTAATTCAATGTTGATATATATATTTTTAAAAAGTCAAAAATAAATATTTTGTTATAGATTAAATAATTTAAAATGAAAAAAGAAAAGTCACAACTCAGATCAAAGTAAATAATTGTTTTTTTTTGTAGGATTTAGAATTAATTTAAATTTTGGGAGTTTTTTTTTTTTTTTCCTCATTTTAATTTTGTTATGGAATGAATGAGAATGTGCTTTAGAATGCAATGTTAATAAACTTAATTTAAAATATTTATCAAAACATTCTAAGTAAAATATAAATTTGTGAGTGTACTTTGTATATAAATTAGTTTCGGAGAAGATTAAAATTATTATTATTATTATTATTATTATTATTATTATCATCTAAATAAATAAATAATCCTTCGGACGCTCCTGCCTCACAAGCACACACGATATAAATATATATATATATATATATATATATCTGTGGGGCGCGCGCCCGTTTTCATGACCAAAAGGCAAATCTTCATGGGGTTTCTGTGAAGCCTTTCAATCCTTATTACTATTATTATTATTATTATTATTATTATTATTATCATCTAAAAAATAGTAATAATAATAATAAAACGGTGGGTTTAGAGTGAAATTTTTATGGTGGTCATGTTTTTTTTTAAAAAAAAATACTCTCTTTCTTTTGGAACTAGATATTTATTTGTTTTTTCACGTAATTTTAAAAATATTAATATTATATTAAGATATAGTAGGAATAAAGTAGAAATAACTAAAATAATATTACTAGTACGTGTGATATAAAGGTAATGACATTTGTGTAATATATTGTAAATTGTAAGTGTATTTGTAATGTTAGGTAAATAATACATCTATTAAAAAAAAGAAATGGATACTTTGTTGTGGGATGGAATAAAATGAAAAAAATTGATACTTTGTTATGGGCAGGAAAGAGTAAATTAAACATCTATTTTATTTATTTATTATATTATATTCTCTCTGTCTCTAATAAAAGGGGTTATTTGAATTTTGTAGTAAATTAATAAATAATAGTATTTTATTAGTCAGTAGAAGAGGTGTGTAAGAGTTTGACATTTTTGTCATTGTACATGTAATAGTATATTTGTAATTTTAGTAAAAATTAAAGAGTATTTTGGTATTAATGTATGATATTTTTTCTAAAATAAAAAAAAAAAAAAAAAAAAACTTTAAAATGTGACATATGAAAATGGTATTTTGATATAGAGGAGAGTACTATAATTTAATTTTACATTAAAATGATAAAATTAATACATATTTATATCTTCAATTAAAAAAATTATTATTTAAAATAAAAACATCACTAGTAAACACGTCCAAAGAAAGAAAGGAAAAAGAAACAAAGTGTTATGTTTGTTTGGTGTTTGGAATTAAGTTTAAAATTTTAATAGTACATCAAAATTAATAATTATTCAATACTAGTATTAAATTTTGAATAAAAATGTGCATAATATAATATTTTAACTAAAAAATATTTGTAAAACTCAATTATTGTATGTGAGAACAAAAATTGAAAATAAAATAAAATGATGGAATGTACTTTAAAGTAGCTGAATAAAAAAAGGTGGGCGATATCATGATTATGATTATTTTTATGATGTTTGGAGTACATTTAGCTTGTGTTTGGTACAAGAAATGAGGTTAGAGAAATGGAAATGATATCATTTTTTTTTTTTTGAGTCAGATAAATGAAATTTGAGAAATAAATTATTTTTATTTCTTTCCCATATGCAGAGAAATAGAGAAAAATGAAGTATATGTTTTTTTTTTAAATTTAATTTTTTTTTTACTATTTAATTTTTATAATTTTTTTTAAAAAATTAAAATATTTTTTATGAATTCTCATTAGTTAAAACTCTTTTTTTATTGAGTTAATCATTTATTTTTATTTGATCATTCATATATCTGCAATTTTTTTTTTAGATTTCTCAAATCACTATTTTTATCAAACATGAGAATTAATTCTCATTCTCTACTCAATTTCATTTCTCTCCAATTCTATTATCTACTCTCATTTATTTACAATTCCATTATCTGTACCAAACATCCCTTTAGAGCGAAATACATACAAATGTGTGTGGGGATATTAGAGAATTTAATGATTAATTAATTAATCTAATAATATAATTAATTTTTTAATAAAACATCACATCAATTATTTAGAGTGTGTTAGCTTAACAAAAAATTTCACTACATTTTTTATTAATATTATCAAGAAATATATATATATTTATTTACATATTTACTCAATATACAAATATTTTATACTTTAAAATAAAAATAAAAATAATTCTAGAAAAACATAATTGTTTTATATTAATGATAAAAAAAAATTATGTCTAATATAAAAAAGGACATCAAATTAAAAATATAATAAATACACTTTTAATTTTAAAAAAAAATAAATCAGTATTTATTGTTGATTTTGTGTTTTACTAGTTTAAAAAAATTATATAAGATATAAGAAATTTTGTGAATAATATAAAAATAATGAATGTTTATAATATATTAATTTTTAAAAAATACATTCAATATTTTTTAAAAAAATAAAATAAAATACACCCTAAGTCTTTATTTAAGTCTATTCGTGCCTCTAATGTTTAGGTTCTATTTATATAAGAATTTTTTTAAAGTTTTTGGAATTTAAGAAATTTGAAAATAAAAAAAAATTAATATATAAGTTAATATTTAATAAATAAAATATATATTTAATATCATATTTGTAAAAAATTAAATAATATCAGAAATCTCCAAAATTATTGTATAAACAAATGATAATACTTTAATACATACATAAACATATCATATGTATATTTATTGTGTGTCCGTGTCTGCGTCTGCGAGAGTGATGTGTGCCAGGGTAGGGTAGGGTAGGATATGGGTATGGGTTTGGACCCCATCTGATTAAAATTTTTATTTTTTTGTTTTCTTTTGTTTTTTCTATAATGTGGGACCCAACTGTTATTCGAAGGTGCTTGCTTACTAGGTGTGTTTGTTTGGTGGATTGAATTTTAAATTTAATATTCATTTTTTTTTAAAAAGAAACATCAAAATCAAATGTTTATTTTTTATTTTTTATATTATATTAAAAATTAATTTTACATTCAAAACATCGAATCAATACATATTTATATCATATTATACAACTATTCAAATTTCAGCTCAAAATCCAAATTCCCAAACAAACACACCCTATGTTGAACTTAATACCATTTAAATTAAATTCAACAAAATAAGATACCCTAAACCCTAAACCCTAAACCATGCGTATGAAATGAATATTGAATTATTTTAATTTTTTTCTCGCGGTGGGGTGGCTCTGTGATTGTGAAACAATTAACGAGTACATACATGCATATGTATTACATAATAAAAATAATAATAATAAAATAAATGGCTTTTTGGATGGTGAAAAGGTGAGCGAGCGTGTGTGGGCCCCTGCACTAGTAGACCAAGATCTGTCTATACAAATTTAATTTAATTTAATCGAATTGACTGATTATTAGTTTATTGTACTTTTTATACTCGAAAATGTGTAATAGGTAAACTCTCAGCTAAGCTAAATTTAATAGTCTACAAATTAAATATAATAAAAAACTCGCACTAAATGAAACATATGTAACAGATGACCTGAAGTGCCGAAAATTTAAAATTTAAAGACGACGTATGGGTCGGGGTTTGGCCGTATGTAAGTGTTTCCGACTGTGGAGTGTGGACATTTCTGTTTCTATTTTATTAATGCATTTATTTTTATTATTATTATTATCATCATCTATCGTTATTATTGCACTTCCATTTGGTTTTTCAATTTTGATTTTGGAGATTGCCCCAACTTTATTTCTTTCGTTCTCTCTGAGTCTGTCTTCTGTCTTCCTCCCCTGTGATTCGTATCCTATCCTAATCCATATCCTGTCTGTCTTCTCATCATTATTCACTCTCAAATTCATCAATTAGAGATTCAGATTAATATGCCGAGCAGCGACGACCTGCTGGTATCGGCGCCGGCGCCGGCGTCGGCGTGGAGTCGAGAGCAGGACAAGCTATTCGAGAAGGCCATAGCCACGCACCGCCACGACACGCCGGACAGATGGGAGAAAATCGCCGCCGACGTGCCCGGAAAATCCGTCGAACAAATCAAGCACCACTACTACCTTCTAGAAGACGACGTCCGCCGCATCGAATCCGGCTACATCGACATTCCTTCTTACACTGATTGCTCCGACGACGCCGACGCCGACGCCGCCTCCCCTACCAAGAAACCCTCCGACCACAACCTCGCCGGAAAATCCTCCAAATCCGATCAGGAACGCCGCAAGGGAATCGCCTGGACTGAGGACGAGCACAGGTAGGCACCTAATTAATTAATTAAAAAATTATATTAATTGCAGATTCAATACAGTCTGAAAACCCTAATTTTCTTTAATTTTTCCCCAATTCAATTGAGCACCTTAATTCTCCATTTCCATGGCCGCCGCCGCCGCCGGCCGGTGGCAGGCTGTTCCTTCTAGGTCTGGACAAGTACGGCAAAGGCGACTGGCGGAGCATCTCCCGGAACTACGTCGTGACGAGGACGCCGACGCAGGTCGCCAGCCACGCGCAGAAGTACTTCATCCGTCTCAACTCGATGAACAAGGACAGGCGCCGCTCCAGCATCCACGACATCACCAGCGTCGCCGCCGCCGGAGACGTCTCCGCGCCGCAAGGTCCTATCACCGGCCAGACGCCAGCCGGCGGCGCTCCTCCTCTCGTCGGAAAATCCACCAAAGCCGGCCCCGCCTCCTCCGCCGCCGGCGCCGGAGTGAGCATGTACATGCCGGCGCCGCTTCCGACCATCGGGCAGCCCGTAGGAGGGCCGCTCATGTCGGCGGTCGGCACGCCTGTAAACCTTCCGCCGCCGATGCATTTGGCGTACGGCGTCGGGATGAGCATGGCGTATCCGGCGGCGGCGCAGCAGCGGTGATTCGAATCCGCAATAATTGTGAGTTGTTGCTGCATTTTTGGTAACAAATTTCGGAGTAATTAAGGAAAGAGAAATTAAATAGAGGTGTATGTGTGTGTGCTCGGCACAAGACACAAATAAAATCATATGATAAAATAAAAACATTTTTTAAGGATTTGGAGACTATGATCTCTATTAATTAATCAATTGATAAAACTAATATACTAATAACTTTGCTTGTGCAATTAGTTCATTGTAACAAGTGGAAATTGTAAACTAGTGTTGTTCTAATTGAAGGACCTCTAAAAGTGCCAATTTGTCTCATCTCAACTGCCTCGATTTAAGAATTTAATTTTCTTCTGCCCTATGTATGTAAACTGGCATTAAATATTATTTATTTACTGCATAGGTGTTACATTTATGCATGGTGCCAATTGCACAACCCTAAATTAGCAAAATCCCATGTGGAATGAAAATAACCTAAACAAATGAAATAAGTAAAAATTTGTCTATGTTGTTTTAAAAATAACTTTGGGTTGAATAAAAGTTTAGATAGAAAAAAGATAAATACTAGTAAAATATTATGAATAAAGAATAATTTGCGATATAATGTTTCTCAATATATTTCTCCAAAAAATATATATATATATATACACCAAGTATATTTATTATTTTTATATTATTTACACAATAATATTCTTTCAAACCAAAATACTAAACAATTGAAAAAAATGCAGTTTAGAATCACCTACTACCAAATTAGCTAAAAAAAATCAAGACAACTATATCATTGGAACAAAATGAACCAAATCAAAGAAACATGGATCAATGAACAAAAGGGCTAATGGGAGATACAATTCAGAAACGAAGCATGAGTGCTGGAAGTCGACATAATGTTGGGGATGGTTTTAGCAAACAGTGGATCATAACTTTGGAATTTCCGAGGAATGGAATACAGGAGAAAAGCTGACAATACGAGTGAAATAATTCATCTAATTTGGAATACAGCTATATGAAAACTAAAGCAGTGTCCAATAATGGTGGCTTGTGACATCACAGACCACAAATCGCCAGCTAAAAAGAGCAACTATTATTGAAATAAATATGAAGATAAATAGAAGAATCACCTAAGAAAATGAGAGAAAAAGAGGGAGTGGGGGAGGAGGAAACTTAGTACCAATGGGGAATGGTTTGATCGTTGATTCTCAATCGACAACTGTCTCGATGCAACGATCGTGCCATAATTACACAATTCTATGTTCTTTTCGAAAGCCAATCACTGAAGAAAAGGGAAAAGAAAAGAGAAAGCACAAAGACTCATCTTTTCGTCGAAAGTATTATTCAAAAGACCGTATCTCAATTCACTTTTTAGGACAAGAGAAGAACATGTTTTTCCCTATAAAAGGGGGTTTTCAGAGCCTGGTTCGAATCAAAACAGCCTACATTTGAGAAGAAGAAAAGAAAAACAGATTTCACAGTAGGAAAATAGAATGGATCAGCTAAACAGCATCAAGTCGAGTATTTGGAAGAAGAATATGCACAAAGAACATGTTCCAAGAATTCACAACACTTCAAGAGAATATACTGTTCCTGGTCGAAAAGCAGTGTTACCTGATGGCGAATATCAACTTCTATCTTCTCCAGCAGAGCGCTGCTCCAAAATCAAACATAGTGAGTGATCTTTCTCCAAGAATCATAATTAAGAATTCACAAAGAATTAGATACAATTGATGCAAACTAATATTGCTTTTCATTTAACTGTGAAGATGCAGGTAGAATGAATTCGGTCATCACTAAAGTGACCAAGCTAGGAGAAAGAATGGATGTTTTTACACAAGAATTGAGAGAACACGGTACGTGCACCACTGCACCAACAACCCTCTAAAGAAACAGGAAAATAAAACTATTAGAGCCATGTTTGATATATGTGGAACATTTTAATGGTTTCTGCAGTGAGATTAGGTCCGAAGCTAAGCGATACAGTGCGAGGAAAGATGTGTTTGGGAGCAAAAATCCTTCAGGATGGAGGGTTGGAGAGAGTTTTCAGGCAGAAATTCAATACTGGAGATGATGAGAAGCTGTCGAAGGTTTCCCAATGCTATTTATCAACAACAGCAGGGCCAATCGCCGGGCTCCTTTTCGTTTCCAATGATAGAGTCGCCTTCTGCAGTGAGAGATCCATCAAACTCACCACTCCGGCAGGGAAGCTGCTAAAAGTACATTACAAGGTTATTTCAAATTTCAGTAACATTATTGAAATGAACTTCAGCAAAGCATGGAAATAATACGGTACCTTTGAATTGACTTTTGTATTCAGGTGATGATCCCATTGAGAAAAATAAAGAAAGCAGTTGAAAGTGAGAACACATCAAAACCATCACAGAAGTATGTGCTGCTGGTGACACGAGACGATTTTGAATTCTGGTTCATGGGGTTTCTTAATCATCAAAAGACTTTGAAGTTTCTCCAGCAAGCAATCAACCAAATTAGATAACAACATAAAATTTAGTGTTTTTGCCTTAGAAAAGAACGCTATACTGTATACAAAACAATAACGAGTTATGACCTCAGCCTCATCTGTAACGGGAGATCTAGAACAAGAATTCATCCATCTTTATCATCTATACATCTGTATGAGAAAAAAAAACAGCACGCCTTACGAATCTCAGATTAACTCCAAGCTAATGATGAAAGATTACTAATAGCTGATGCAAATAGCACTAAATATTTCACCTTGCAAATTAAAGAATTAAAGCAACAACAAAAGAATTTCTTAATGTGGAAACGGAATTGTATAGCAAAACGATTACCTGCCAAGACTCGATGAACCAACCTTGTTGCAATCACCTTGTTGTTAACCTGAAATCATGCTTCGAAAAGGGACATATAGAAGTTGAGCTGTATAAATTTGGGTATGAGAACATAATTCATGCCAACTGAAAGAAAAGAATATTACTCTCTTATTTCAAGTCAAAACAACACGACCGAAGAATATTACTCTCTTAATTAATACACAGAGTTATGGGAATGCATTCCCCTGAGAGAATAAAAGTGGCTTCTGAAAACAACACAATGAAGTTTTTTATATTTTGACAACAAGTCAACTAAAAATTTAAACAATTATTTAGCTGTTTTGCATGGGACCTAAAATATACAAAAAAGAATCAAGGTTAAGTGAGTAGCCCTTATTCAAGAAGAATCTTTGCAGGATGTCAGCACACAATCCTCCAAAAACTGGGTGAGCTGAGAAGAATATAATTGAGGGTCATTCCGAAAATGATCAACGTGTGGTGTGGAAACAAAGTCACATGCTCTGACTTCACGTCCGCTACTACGTTGCTTCTGTATGAAGGACTCAACATGCCGTGCCGGAATTACTCTGTCGGCAGAACTATATATGTACAGTTGAGGACAGCTTGGTTGCTTGGATGCCAATAGGCTTAGAACTTCAGAAAGCCTCCTGCAATTTAAAGTAGTGACATAAAAATCACATAAAACAAGATGAAAAATACAAATGAAAACAATGCAAGTGATTCCGTTGCTTTGGCGTCAAATGAGGAAAATCTGTTAACTTTGTAAGCTAGCGACTCACCGAAGAATCACTCATTACTTTATATAACTAAGCAGAAAATATAAAAATTGCAAATAGTGAAACTCTAACCAAATGCTGAAAACACATGTATGAGGTAAACTTGCATCACATGAACCAAAGATAAATCTAATTAAAACCTGATTATAAAAGCAGGTTACCTTTTTATCGAAGGATGATCCAAAACCACTCCGAAAAACTTCTCTAAAAGGACAAGCAGAGTTGCCTCAGTAAACGCGGGTTTGACTTCAATGGAGGTTCTGCTTCCAACTGTTACTCCAGAATCATTTGCAGCAGAACCTTTGGTTGCAACACTATTTTTCTTCAGAAAAGCAGCTGAAAATCCAGATGCAAAGACCTACAGAAGTATACAAAGTCCAATCAATTTTAAGTATTACAGAACTTTACCTAGTGTGAAATTTTCATTTGCTAAAAGTGGGAACTTCAACTACAGTGCAAAATGCAGAAAAGAGAAACTGTAAAAATTGAAACAAACGATCAAGAACATTCCCAAACTGATACATAGCAATTGAAAAAGCAAGCAAGACTAAATTAAAGCCTACAAGAGAACATACCTGTGGATCGGGAGCTGCTACGGGAGCTGAATCCACAATGCACCCTCGAATCCTTGCAGCTAGAGCAGGATCCTTCTGCTGAAACTTTTCCAAGATAACTCCATATCTACAAGACAAAGGTTCATCAACTACTAATTCACAAATACAGCATGAAATTTAATATCATATCCAATCCAGATCACTTACGTCAACCATCCCGTATTACTAAAGGTGTGAAAGACCAAATTCTTTCCATGCTCCTCCTCCAACCATTCCGTAAGATGGTTCACCAGATCTTCAACATCCTGCTCGGTTTTACCCCCAACTTGATAGCTAAGGACCTCCGACATTGGAAATGTAAATGTAATTGCATTATACCCTCTCGAGGCATACCACTCTGCATATCTATTAAGATGTCTCTGCTTCGCGCCTAACCATCCAAGCAACACCACTACAGTCCTAGATTTCGCCACTGAACAATCAGAACTTCCAGACATATCGACTGCACTAGGATGAGGCAAATGCCATCGATACAAAGCATTCGATGGCACCGGAGTTGGGGTGCTATATGAATAGGCAGCCGGTTTGGCAGATCTCAACAAATCAGCTGAACGGTATGAATTAAGTAGCTCGGTGGACGACGCCATCAAAGAATAGTTAGCATTAGTGTTTGGAACTGGAATGTGCACTCTGGGGACGGGGCATCGAATCCCCGAAACAAAAGACAACTGAGATAGCTTGGAATCGGATATCCTAGACACCCACGAACAATTTAATTCTTCTAATGAATTTTGTGCAGAGGCAGGGGCACTTGATTGTTCCAATGACGAAGAACTCTCGAATAACTTCGATGGGCGTAACTTATCGTAACAATCAGCAGAAACAGAAGCAATTGCTAGAGCAGAGGCCGCGATAAACGGCCTCTGCAACATCCCAGGCAATGATCCCATCATTTTTCACAAACTATCATGCCAAAATCATAAACAATTTCTAAAAAATTATGAAACCCTAGAAACAAATGTAGAATCAGGACTCAACAAATTCGTCGGAGAAGAACCGATCGCACGTCCCCCCAAGAATCCAGGAAACGTAATCAAAGCAAACTACCTGGCCGGAATATCATAAAACAAGAATGGCGTTCAAAAATCAATCGAGGAAACAACACACTGTTCGATTAAAAAAGGATTATAGAATTAGACAAATCACCTGCGTTCTTGGAGGGCTTCCTTATGTGCGATTTAAGAACTCGGGCCGTCAAAGAGGATGACAGCCCTGGGAATTCAGCCGACGGGAGAACGAGTTCCTTTACGCAGAGTCAAAGTTGGGGCTCGATTTCTTCTACGCGTTCTGAAAGGATTTCAAAAGAATATGCGATAAGGACCCCGCAGTAGCTATTTAAACACGTTTGTTTGTTTAAGCATTACGTGTATTTTTAGGAAACAGTAATAAAAACATTGCGTGGTGCCACGTGGAAATTAATTAAAATATAATTAAAAATATTCAGAGGATGTGATTAGCCAACCTATATTATACGATTAACAAGTCCCGTGTTACTGCTGTCCATAATCGTTAATAAAATATCTGATAACCCAAGCCGACCAATGATATTAGTATTTTTCTTTTCTTTTCTTTTTTTTTTTCAAACAAGTCAAACATAAGATTTGTTTGGTTTTGAAGTTTTTAATTGAGTTTTGATTAAATAATAGTTTGGATTTTAACGTGAAATTTGAATAGTAAAAAATTAAATTAAAAATAAATAAATATTAATATAATATTTTGAATATAAAATTGATATTTTGTATAATAAAAAAAATAAAAAATTACATGTGTAATTTTATATATTTTTTTTAAATGATAATTAATAAAAATTTTGTAAAATTAAATAAAAGAACGCACATTTAATATTTTATTATGTAAGAAAATAGTACTCTCGTTCAAAATTCTAATAATTTTTATATTTAAGGAATATTGTATTTTAACAATAATTGATAAATATAATAATATAAAAATAATTGTCTTTACTTTTAAATATAAGTGTATAATAATTGAAGATAAAATAATAAATAAATATAAAAAAAGTATTAGTAGCTAGTGGTATAATCACAATTATTAAAAGAAGAAATATAAATTTTTGAATTAAACGAATAAAAATAAAAATATTTAAGCATTATAAATGAATAGAAAAAGTATTTTTTTTATCTCAACTATATAAGCTGAATAATTGATTTTAAATTAAAATCAAAGAAACCTATGAAACTAAAATATTTTATTTTAATTACCTTTTATAATTACATTATTTTGATTTACTTTTTAAGTAAATTGACTAAAAGTTATAATTGACTATTATTTTTTATATAAATTTATAATTATAATTTTTTTAAAAAAAATATAATCCCTCCGTTCCATTAGAAGGTTACCATTTTATATTTTTATTCGTTCTAAAAAAATTATCATTTTCGAATTTAGTAATTGTACTACCATAATAAATATCCGTTCAATTTACAATATATTACACAAATGTCATTACCGTGTGAAAAAGCAAACGCTACCTTTCTTGCTGGACGGAATAAATATTATATTTTATTAATATTAGATTTTAGAAATATGATTTGGATATTATTATAAAAAACTTAGGCTATAAATATTCTCACTTTAACATGTGTCTGCGTACTTTATAGTAAAATTCTTGGCTTGGCAACGCCCCCAGACGTAGATCATCGTGATCGAATTGGGTTATCAAATTTTTGTATTCTTTTGTCTTTGTTGTCTCGTTTTGATTTCCTGGAATTTCCGTAACAAATATGTACAATAATAAAACTTAGACAAAATGTAAAATAATTTATTATATAATATATAATAATAAAACATAAATATAACTGCTCCATCTTTCGGTAAATAGATTTTTTGAATTTTTGTAATAAATTAAAAAATAATAGGAATATTTTATTGATTTTTATTGATCAGTAAAAGTGAATAAAATATTTTGATATTTTTTGCTTTTATGTAAAAAATAATTAGAAGTGTAATAATATATTTGTAATTTAAATAATAATTGAAAGAGTATTTTGATATTAGTGTATATTTATTTATTTTTAAATAAAAAAAATACTTTTAATACTAAAAATTTTAAATTTTTTTTATAAGAAGACGAATTTGTAATAATAATGAAATAATATAATAGTAATAAAAATTATTATTGAAGTATGTATTGTACGTGAAAAATAGTTGGAAGTGAGAGAGAGAAAAAGGAGAAGCACGCAGAGCCATAGAAAGAGCCCAATCATCATCATCTTCATCAACATCATCATCTTCTACGATATCCTCAATTCTCATCCACTCTCTCTCTCTCTCCGTTTTCTTCCACTCATCGATCACCTTCTTCATATCTCATCTCTCGCCCCATCACTCCTTCCCCATTCTGCTCTGCTTCATGGCTTCAGCTGCTCTTTCGTCGCTGCAGGTCTGCGTCTGCTCCACTTCATCAATTTTAATTCTTCAATTCTTATCAACCTTATTATCATCATCTCCGTCATTGTGTTGCTGTTGTTAATTAGAAATTACAGTGCAGTATTTATAATTTGATTATTTCATTAATAGGTATGAAAATGAAATGAATTGATTGTATAAATGCTATTGTACCTGTGCAGGTTGGCTTCGGCAAGGGCTTCTCTGAGTTCTCCGGCTTGCGTAGCTCATCATCGTCTCTTCCATTCGCCAAGCGCGTCAATGACGATTTCTTTTCGGTTATTGCCTTCCAGACCTCTGTTGTGAGTCGCGCGCGCCTTTTTCTAATTCGAGAATACTTGAAACGTGATTACGTTCAATTTCGGTTCAATCTTCGAGAAGCTTCCACTCTTAACTGTAAAACAAATGTGGCTGTGGTGTGGTGTGGTGTAGGTTGGGGAAAGCAGGAGCAAGAGAGGAGTGGTGGAGGCTAAGGTCAAGGTCGCCATCAATGGATTCGGAAGGATTGGGAGGAACTTCCTGAGGTGTTGGCATGGAAGAAAGGACTCTCCTCTCGACGTCATCGCCATCAACGACACCGGCGGCGTCAAGCAAGCCTCTCACCTCCTCAAGTACGATTCAACCCTAGGCACCTTTGACGCTGACGTTAAGCCTGTCGGCGACAATGCCATCTCCGTCGACGGCAAGGTCATCAAGGTCGTCTCCAATCGCAATCCGTCTAACCTCCCCTGGAAGTAAGCATATATATATATATATATGTATATAATCACTCCTCACTAATGGATTCGTTATTCATAATTTCAAAATGTGTTGTCCTCCATGGCCATGTGGCTAAGCTCAAATGTAACAATACATTTTCTATAATTCCGCAGGGAGTTGGGGATTGATCTTGTGATCGAAGGAACTGGCGTTTTCGTCGACAGAGACGGCGCAGGGAAGCACATCGAAGCCGGAGCTAAGAAGGTGCTCATCACCGCCCCGGGCAAAGGCGACATTCCAACGTACGTCGTTGGTGTCAACGAAGGAGATTACAAGCCCGACGAGCCGATCATCAGCAACGCCTCCTGCACCACCAACTGCCTCGCCCCATTCGTCAAAGTCCTCGACCAAAAATTCAGTATAAACCTTAAGCATTCTCCTACTAGTTTTAAGCTTTTAGATAAAACGACCATTTAACGAGCATGAATTGAGTGCAGGCATTATCAAGGGGACAATGACGACGACTCACTCGTACACCGGCGACCAGAGGCTTCTCGACGCAAGCCATCGCGACCTGAGACGTGCGCGTGCAGCAGCGCTCAACATCGTGCCGACATCGACGGGTGCAGCCAAGGCAGTTGCGCTCGTCCTCCCGCAGCTCAAAGGGAAGCTCAACGGGATTGCCCTCCGTGTCCCGACACCCAACGTCTCTGTCGTGGACCTCGTCGTGCAGGTCGAGAAGAAGACGTTCGCGGAGGAAGTTAACGCCGCATTCAGAGAGGCTGCAGACAAAGAGCTCAACGGCATACTTTCCGTATGCGACGAGCCCCTCGTCTCTGTCGATTTCCGGTGCAGCGATGTCTCATCGACTGTCGACTCCTCGCTGACCATGGTCATGGGTGACGACATGGTGAAGGTTATCGCCTGGTACGACAACGAGTGGGGCTACTCGCAACGCGTCGTCGACCTCGCCGACATCGTCGCAAACAAGTGGTGATAAGTATTAAGCTAAGAAGATCAAAACAGAGATTCCCCTGTTCTTTTCTTTCATTCTTATTCAAGATCATCATATATCGGAGTTTACATTAATTAAGGATGCAACGATTTTTCGATCATATGAAGTAACTGTTACATAACTATAAGTCCATTTTGTCCCTCGCCATGGACAACACAAGCACAGTTCGAAGCTCCAATCTCTTCTGCAACACAAGGAGGTTCCCCTCCCCCACATCCGTACCAACACTTTCTCTTTCGGACAAGTTCGTTGAGGAAATCGTCCAACATTTTGGACGTAACATGAGGCATGACGACAACATGGGCCAAGTTTCCCGTGCAAGAGAGTTGCCAGTGTCGAACAAAGTCTTTGTCCAAGGGCCTCTCGAAAACAACTACAACGCCGTCCTCGTTGAGCAAAGTGCTGATCCGGGATTCTCTTAGCCCGTCTCGTAGGCGCCGAGCATTCTTGAGACAATCTAGGACGTCGCGTTGGATACCTAAGAGGCCTTTAAGGCTGAGGCCGTACCACATGAAGATCGGGGCGTGTCCACTCCGACTCCCGCTTATGGTGTTGTCCAAACTGCCTATGTAGTCTATGTTTGTAGATAGAAGACTGATGCATTTCTTTCGCGTCATGTACACGCCACATGGCATCGGACAGCCCAATAGTTTATGCCCCGACACGGAGATGCTTCCGATCGGGTGCTTGAAACTAAGCCTAGGCCCCTAAGGTAAAATAATGAAGTGAGAATTGCAATTCTAACACTAACACAAAAAGTTGTCTCTGTTGTTAAATTACCTTATGAAGAAAAGGAGAAATAAGACCGTTGAGTGCTGCATCGCAATGGATATAGAATTGATTTTCTGTGAATTGACATTCCTTTAAAGCTTTCACAATGAGATCAAGGTTGTCGACACCTCCTTTGAAAGTGGTACCTGTTAAAATATATTTGCAAGCAATATATTATATTTATTATAGTTATTTTTATAATTAAAATAGAGAATTTCAATTCAATATTCTAAGTGCACCAATATTGGCATTGATGATGGCGGGTTTGTCCTTATTCATAGACAGTTTTTCTTTAAGATCTTCGCAGTCTATTTCTCCATTGGGTAAGGCGTTTATTACTTGACACTCAATCTTAAACATTCTGGCTGCTTTGAACACCGAATAGTGTGATTCTTTAGATGCATACAGTATTCCATCTCCCAATAACTCTCTCCTGCAAACACAATATATATGTATATATATATATGTTTGTATATTATAAAAGATGTTGAAGAGATGAAGAGAGGATGATGTATGGATATCCTGTCTGTCGAACCCTAATAAAATGGCTTGGAGATTGGCTTCAGTTCCACAGGTGGTGACATAGCCCCAGTACTGGTCTTCCTCGATCTCCCACAGGCGCGCGAACCAATCCAAAACTCCGATCTCGAAGGGCCGGGAGTTGAGGCCGATGTTGCCTTCGTTGAAAGGATCGCCGATGTTGTTGACGTGGAAGCGCAGCAGAGGAGATAGAGCTGTGTAATGGTCGCAATTCTGGTTGTGCGGATACCCTATCCATCATTCAGATTATTAATTGAACTCTATTTACATACACTTTTTTTTTTAAAAATAAAATATATATTTTAAATAAATATATATACATACATATAAGCTGCCGTAGGTTCCCACGTTATAAAAATATATATATATATATTTATATATATACCTATATAATGGTCGGCCCTCTCGGAGAGATGGAGTTGGAATTGAGTGAGGAGATTGGAGATGCAAAGGTGCAAATCAGCTGGTGTGGTCTCCTTGGAAGGTTCCAGCACTAACACACTCCCCTCTCTCTCACCACTGCCACTGTGATTGTAAGTATAGCCCGACATGGCTCTCTCTCTCTCTCTATATATATATATCTCTCTCTATATGTATATATATATCTTTGATCTGCTCTAGGCTGTACTTCCCAGTTCCCATCTTGGATGGCGCTATGCTCTTTATATATGTCTATGCATGTATATGAGGTTTGGCAGCATTTGCTGTTTTTAAATATAAAATTATTTTATTTACTATGAACGTGATCGTATTAATATACTTGTATCTTTGAACAATGTGTTCAATAATATCTAACAATACAGACCCCCGTAAGTAATGATCTGATCTTCATGAGTTTAAACTTTTTAACACCTTCAAAATGGAAGAGGGTCAGTTTATGTTGAAGTACAAAAATTATATATTTTTATTATTTTGAACATAATTAATGATAAAATACATATTTTAGTGTATTCAATCAATATAAAAATATTAATTTAATACAGATTGATCCAATATCTATATCATAGACACGGCTTAAAGTCCACTTCACGCCACCCGACCCAACTTATTCATTTATTTATACCCGTAGTTGTAGAGTATAAATGATTAGTACTTTTTTTTGTCTCAATTCAGATCAAAGTACTTTTTTATTATTTTTGTTTGGTCTCATTTCAAATTTAAAGTATTTATTTCTTTTTCTTTAAAAAATAAAGTATTATATATTAATACAAAAAATACATTAACTTTAACTTAAATTACAAATATATCGTTATACACTTAAAGTCAAAAGTCAAAAAGCAAAAAGCAAAAAATCAAAAATAATTTACACATTTTCACCTACCAATAAAATACTGCTATTATTTCTTTATGATACTCAACAAAAATATAGCTACATTAATATTATAAAAAATAATGCATAAACTTCATACAAAATATATAATTTGCTGTATAATTTATCAATTATAAAATAAATTAATATAAAATATTATTTTTTATATTACTCTCCCATCTAATTTTTATTATTCTAAAGTATATTTGCAGGTGATTGTCTTTTTGTTATGAATTGACAAATTTGTCGTTAATTGTATGGTAGAGATTAAAAGTAATAAATGAATGAAGGGTAAAAATGTAAAATTTGTATTTAAAAAAAAAACAGGACAATAATTATTGGACGTCCCAAATAAAAAAGTAGACATTAGTTTGTGCACGAATGGAGTATTAACAAACTTTTTTATACTTCACATAAAAACTATTTCAAATTTAAAACACAAAACAAACACACCCCTAAATAAATATATTAATTATGAACAATCCCTATCAAATTGATACATTGACAAGGATAGAGACGTAATTGAAAATAAATTTGATATGTAATGTTAATATAAATAAATAAATAAATGAAAAAAGAGAAGGAAGAGGATTGGGGGAATATAACTTCTTATTTATTTTATTTTATTTATCTTCAATAAATGTAATCATATAATATTCTCTATTAAAAAATAAAAATAGTATGTATTTTTTTTTTACTATTTTAAATTTAAATTAATATTATTTATTTTGCACAGTTTTCAATATAATAATACTATTCCCTCTGTTAGTATTATATTTGGACACAGGAATAAAATAGAAATGACTAAAATAACCCGATTAGTATATTTAATGTAAAGGTAATGATATTTATGTAATATATTATAAGTTGTGAGAATATTTATAATATTAAGGGTGTGTTTGTTTGGGGGATTGGATTTAATTTTCACTATTCATCCTATTTTTTTTCCTCAAAAAATATCAAATCAAACACTTATTTTTCATTTTTTATATTATACTAAAAATCAATTTTACATTCAAAACATCACATCAACACTATTTATATCACATCATACAACTATTTAAATTCAAAATTTTTACTATTCAAATCTCAACTCAAAATTCAACCCCCAAACAAACACACCCTTACAGTTAAAAAAAAAAAAAATTAGATATTTTGTTATAGAACGGAGGAAAAGAGTATTATATTCTCCAGTAAAATATTATATCAAAATATTATTTAAATAAACATTTAAATCAATACTTTAATTTTTATTTTAAATCAATTTTAAATTACAACCAAACAAATTCATGCTAATATTTTATCTAAAATATTACCCAAAAAAAATAAAAAATTATAATATTTCATCTAAAAATCAAAGCATAAATAAAAATATAAGTTAATTATGATCTAATACTTAAAAATAATTTTTTTATGAGATGAAATTTTTGTTCTTTAAAACAAATATACTATATATCTACTCAAATACCTTGTTAGCTTGCTAGGTAAATTAATTTATTCTTTAATGTAAATGCCTAGTAAATGGGAATATGGCAAAAAATATCTCACACGTATACCCTATTATTACTTTTGTCTTGTATTTATCTCGTTTGCAAAATATATGTCACATATTTGCAAAAGTCGTTATTTATATCCTTTGGCCGCGCGTGATTGCGCGGAAGGACGCGTAGTGTGAATTTCACGCGCGGGCAAATGACATAAATAGCGACTTTTGTAAGCATGTGGGATATATTTTGCTAGGGAGATAAATACATGACAAAATTGATAATATAGTATAAGTGTAAGATATTTTTTGCAATATTCTCCCTAGTAAATAGTAATGTATGATATAAAATAATGCACGTAGAATTGTTATATGTTTTGTAGATAGTATTTGATAGCTATAGGTAAGATGGTACTACTTAAATGCTATATAGATTAATTAAAATGAAAAAAATAAATAAAATCAACATTTGGATTATTTTACTACAAATATCATTCGTAGAAGCAATGAAAATATATCATCATAAAATCGTTTTAAATAGATATTGATTTGTAAATATATTTTACGCTAATTTAATATTCATGAATATCGTATTTGAAAATTTTTAAGATAGTTAATTAAATTAATAGTATATTCTTTAAAAAAAAAAATTATAGTGATTTGAGTACGATATTTGTTAAGAATTTATTTTTTATTTTTAATAAGAAATTGCGATAATCATATGAAATTTTTTCAAAAATGAACTCTAAACAAATAAAATCCAAAGATTTGCAATTCTAAAATAAAGAATTTGCAAAGTATTAAATGGATTTTGATAGCAATTAATTTGAATATCATGTCAAACCAATTTCTATATTAAATACTCTTTCCGTCCACACACAAAGTAAAATGATATTTTTGCCTTTTTTTTTTTTTTTTTAAGTAATGATGTGGTGTAAAGTAAAAGTACTTGGGGAAAAAAGTGAGTAATTTAATGAAATGTTTACTTTGTAATTGGACGTCCCAAAATAGAAATATGTATACTTTATAACTGGACGGATGGAGTATATTTTAAAATTCATGTTATTTGTTTCCTCCGTTCTAATTCAAAGTATTATTTTACTATTTTGGCATGTCTTATTTCAAAATATCTCTTTCATATTATAGAAAAATTAATCATGCACTAATACTAAAATATCATTTAACTTTTACTTAAATTACAAACAATTTTTTCTTAAATTACAAGCATACCATTACAAATACAATTACTTTATATTTAAAGTTAAAAAACAAAAACGTCAAAACATATTACAAATTTTCACTAACTAATAAAATACTATCATTATTTAATTTACTAAAAATTTCCAAAAGACCCCTTTAGTTATGGACGAAGGGAGTATTTTTTCGAGACGAACTTAAGTGTGAATTGCATGGTAAAATTATAGTATATACGACATCATAATAATACGAAGTACGAATATATTAGAACAATTTAAATATGACTATATATATTGTTCAAAAAATCATATATTAAAAATCGTTGAAATGTAATATAAACATATATTGAATATAAAAAGAAAAACTAAAATGAAAAAATAATATTATCTTAAAATGCATATAATATATATATATATTCAATGTCAATTTTCAAATTACGATTCAAAATAGATTTCAAATGATAATATATATATATATATATAAAAGCATGTGTCACAATCAAATGTTGATTTTGTATAATTTAATTTCTCAATTGTCAATGATTTTGACGATTTTGTTAATCCGTACAATTCAAGTAGCATAGATGTTATCGTGTTATTTGTGTTACTTGTTAGATTAATTAATTTATTATGTAATTATTCATTCAATATATGGATTGTGTTTGATTTTCATTTGAAATAAAAATAGCTACTTTCCAGTCTATACGGTTTCTAAAAAAAATAAATATATATTATTATATTTTATTAAAATATTAATTAGATTAAAATTTAAATCAACATTCTAATTTTAAATAAATAAATAAATAAACAAACCTTATTGTGGGCATATTCACCTTCTTATATATATATATATATATATGAATATAGTAGCTAACCTACATCTTAGAGTTGCTAGTTTACAACTTTAGGGTTGCTAATGAAATTAATTAGTGAGATTTGTTGCCAATCATAATTAGCGTAGGATTTATTTTATTTCTTGCCAATATCCCATTTTGTGATTATTTTCAAGTTTTGATCCATTTAATTATATTTGGAAATTATACTCTTATCTTTTATTAAATAGTTTTTGGGAAATTTGGCGGCTCTATTAATTACTCTCTCCGTCCAGTCTACTGTGTCTCATTTACTATATACATGAGAATTTAGAAGAGATATTAATTAGTAAATAATTAAAAATATGTTAGTAAAAATAATTATTTTATAATAAAAAATAATTTGGAGTAAGATCAATATAACTAATTAGTTGAATTAAAATTAAAAAAAATTAAAATGAATAATTATTTTCTAAAAAATAAAAGTCACGGAATATATGGAACAAATAAAAATAAAAGTATGAAAATGAGACGGATAAAATATTATTTTAAATTAAATTTATTATAAAAATACTAAAAAATAAGATTTACTATTTATTCTTTTGAAATTATGACTATAGTACTTTACCCATCAAGTATAATTATGTTAGTTTGGTTAGAGATAAAAATGTTAACAAATAATGATATTTTAATATTAAAATAAATTGGGTATAAAATAAAAGTGATGTATTACAACAAAAATTATTAAAAAACTGATAGAAAAATAATAGAAAATTAATTATTATTTACTAAAATTAAAATAATAAAATTTTAAATAAATAGAATTATTTATTACAAATAAATTGTCCATAAATATGGTGGAAAGTCAAAATAGAAATATTGATATAATTTTAACACACATTCAAAATAAAATAAGAATATTCGTACTTAATAATCTATTTATTTTTTTTATTTTCGTATGTCATATAACAAAAGTATTTATTTATTTTAATAACTGTACTATCTACCTAATATTACAAATATCCTTTCAACTTATAATATAATATACAAATGTCATTAGTTTTATATAATACAATAATAATAAAGACAATTTAATTTTTTACCTTTATTTATACTATATTATAATATAGTACTAATATTTTTAATTTCGTGCAAAATATAAATAGATATATACATAGGACGGATGGAGTATAAGTTAACTAAGGGTGTGTTTGTTTGGGAGTTTGGATTTTGAGTTGGGATTTGAATAGTAAAAATTTTGAATTTAAATAGTTGTATGATGTGATATAAATAGGTGCTGATGTGATGTTTTGAATGTAAAATTGATTTTTAGTATAACATAAAAAAATAAAAAATAAATATTTGATTTGATATTTTTTGAGAAAAAAAATAAGATGAACAGTGAAAATTAAATCCAATTCCCAAAGCAAACACACCCTAAGAATAAATTACTATTTATATCAATTGGCTGATAAATCACCTGGTAATTTCTATACCACGTAAGCATATTGGCGATTTCTATATCACATTATTTATTTATTTTTGATATGACAAGATCCGTCAAATTTATAATGACGCATTATGTTGACATCTAATATCACATCTCTTTTGTCTATAAAAATAATAAAATTTTATTATAATCTACAATAATTAATAATTATCTAGTACTCCTTTCGTCGTCCCAGATACCATGTCCACGTTGCCGTTTCTGTCCGTTCAACATTCTATATCATTTCCTTTTTTTGGAAAATGATTACACACTTTAATCTCATTTTAATTTTTTTTTAAATTTTAATTAAACTAATTAGTTATCTTAATCTTACTTTATAATTATTTATATTATGAGATAATTATTTTCACTAATACATTCTTAATCATCTACTAATATCACCCCTGTTAAAATACCGTGTGCAGTGTAGCAGACACGGTATCTGAGACGGAGAGAGTATTTTATATTATCATCCTTTGAAATTTCAATGCATTAAATTTTAGTATAAGATTCCAGCTCATGCATTTTATATATGATTATATTGTTAAATGAAAGTGATTTTAGTGTTAGGATTATTAACTTTTTGTAAGTATATTATATATATATTATGTTAATATATGTATATATTAATTTTTATAATATTTATATAAAATCATTAAACTTAAAAAATACAAAGTAAACAAATTCACGATTTTTTCAAATTTTATTTAAAAATACATAATAATAAAAAAATTCAATAAAAACACAACATATATACTATAATTATATAATTATTTTTTCATACTTTAAAATAAAAACAACTGAACTATAATTACTAAGAAAAAACAATCACAACCATACAAATTTTTAATTTCTATTGTTGATTTTGCAACCCAAAATATATATAAGATTTTAGATTTGAATTTTAAATAATAAAATATTAAATTAAAATAATTATTTGATTTATATTAATATGTGTTCATATAATTTGCAAATGTAAAACTAAATTTTTAGTATGATACTCCCTCCGTTCCAATCGAAAAGGCTCATTTGAGATTTTTCAAATTAAAAAATAATTATATTTTATTAATTAGTGGAAGTATATATAAAATTTTAACATTTTCATGCGTTTGATTTTTTATATAAAATAATTGTATGTGTAATAGTATTAATAATTTAAATAAAATTAAAGATATTTTGATATTAATATAAAATAAATACTATAGAGTGATACAAATGAAAATAGTAAATGATACTTTGAACTGGACGAAGAAAGTATAGAAAATAAAAAATTAGTAATTGATTCGATATTTTCGATATGTATTTATTGAAAAATCGAATAAGCCGTCCAAGGTTTTGTCATATTTTTAAGATAATTTTCATAAAAACAATAATTATAAAACACATTTTCATATAAATATAAAATATATCGAACCGAACCCGTTAAAAAGACCCACCAGTCCCGAACACGCGGCCCGACAATTCGGCCCATTTGTGCAGACAGGCCCAATTTGAAATATCCCTGTCGGAAATTTGGGTCAGATAAACAAAATATGGTTGAAAATTTGAAAGTGTCTTTCTTTTTGTATATTTTTAATACTTCCTCAATCTAGAAAGATCCGATTATAAAATAATTATTTTATTAAATATTTTAATTTTTTTTTTACAAATATCTTCATTTATATCACATAATTATTTTTATAAAATAAAAAAATAAAAAATATGAGCAACGTCCGATAATTAAAATATTATAAATAAATATGTATTTATTGTTTAGACGAAGAGAGTGTAAGTTTATTATTATTTTGATTATAATAAAATATGTTTTCTTCACAATATTTTATATTTTTATATTAAAATATATTCTTTTAAATTATTTATTTAATATTTTAACGTAAAGAAAATACTAGCATTATTTGAGAATTTATAAACAATTTATGGATAATATAATTATATTTTAAAATACCAATAAACCTATCCGATTTATTCATTTTCTCGCTGCCGGCCGCCTTCATCTTCTTCTTCATCTTCCTTCCCCGTCGACGCTATAATCTTCATTGTTCGCGACTTCAACTTCCTGTTCTCCAACCTCATCCTCTTCCTCTTCTCCAACATTGACGTCGTTTTCGTCTTCGCGCACTGAACGTATCTTGTCTAGTGCTTTGGAAACCACGACGGTGGCCGGCGATGGTCTTTGCACGAGTGGTGGCAATGCAAGTCGGGGCTCGGAACGGAAGTTCTGTTTGTCTCTAATCTATCGCCGTCGCAGCTTGGGTGGATTCCTATTGTCAAATAAGTGGTCTACGGGATGATTGGTGGCAGTGCTTTGCAGAATTAGGGTTGTAGGCTTGGGTTGGCGCCATTAATTTGGTGCACAGTGAATCCACGCTAACGCATTCAGCGCACGCCGAGCTCGCTCTCTGCGACTGGCTATTCGAAATCCTTCTCAGCTTATCTGTTCCGGCAGCAAAATGAATTTGCATTTCTGAAGGGGTGACGGGCGATGAATTCCACTTCATCTCTTCAGAATACCCATCTGTTCAACCTTCCATTTCGCCGCTGCCCAAAACCCAGACGCAGAATTAAACCCACAGCGGCTCCAATTCCCAGAAATTCCTCATTCTTTGTCAATTCTTTCTCATGTCCGCTTCGTGTTTCAGCCGGCCGGTGCTCGGCGGTGGATACCAAGGGAAATGGCAACAAGCGCATAATCCAATTTAACGATTTTACGCCACGCGACGATGGAAACGAAGTGCATGAGGCTGTGAAGACAGTAACGTATGCATTGTGCTGCGTTGTTTTTGGGTTTCTCTGTCCGTTTTTTGGATTGAAGAAACCCGCTCTAGCGACGGTTACTTCTGCCCGGTCTGCAGCGGCTACCGAATCAGCTTCAGCTAAAGAGAATGGGGAAAAGGGGCACCAGTATTCGGGATATACCAAGAGGTTATTGGAGGTTGTTTCGAGGCTGCTTAAGACAACCGAGGAGGCAAAGAAGGCAGGGGAGGAGGATTTTGCGGTGAACGTGGAGGAGGGGTTGAAAGAGGTGAAAAAGACTAGGGAGGCATTGCAAGAAGAATTAATGAATGGTTTGTATGCTGAGATGAGGGCGTTAAGGAGGGAAAAAGATGAGCTGGCGAGCCGCTCGCAGGAGATTGTGAACAGATTGTCGAAGATGAAGAAGGATGAAGACAATTTGATGAAGAAAACAAAAGGCAGCGACAATGACAAGCTTAAGAGATTAAGAGAGGAGAAGAAGAAATTGGAGACTGAGTATCCGGAGCTCTGGGAGAGGATTGATGAGATTGAGGATATAATAGCAAGGAAAGAAACTGTTGCATTAAACGTTGGTGTGAGGGAGCTTTTATTAATTGAGAGAGAGTGTGAAGCTTTTGTTGAGGAGTTCTTGAAGGACAGGAGGGCGCGTGCTCAGAGGTAAATAAAGAAATGTGATCACCTCTTGGTATGATTTGAGTGCAATCAATGTCCTTTGTTAGAATTTTCTTGACAATAGTCATAATCGAACTTTAATTTCTGAGTAGAATATCGAACTTCCCTATAAATTGATGGTTGTCATGTCCGCTTGTTTTCACTAGACATAAATGTGATTTCTGTAAATGGCTAATGCTGCAAGTAGTTAACTAGATTTGGCTTCAAGAATTGTATGATTATAGCTTTATATCATTAAACTTATTTCATGTTAATCTCAGTTTGTACGCTTAATTGTCTGACATCATTCCCAAATTTACAAGTTTTGTTTACATGATTATGTTTTTTGGGTACAAGCTTTTGATATGGCAAACATTCTGCTTTTGGTGTTATGAGCTTACAGTTATTCAGGACGCCCTGTTACCAAGCTCTCTAAGGATGAGATTCAGATGGAATTGCAGGATGCTGATAGAAGGTTGAAGGAGCAAATAGTATTAACTAATGTTTTGGGAAGTGAGGAATTGGACTCTGCCTCTAGTCATTATCCAACTGCTTTTGCCCTTCGGATACAACAAGCACTTAGGAATTCAAGAGAGATGCAAAAGAACCTGGAAGGTCAAATCAGGAAGTCTATGAAAAAACATGGCGAGGAGAGACGTTTTATCACTGTCACACCTCCAGATGAAGTTATCAAGGGCTATCCAGATATTGAGCTGAAGTGGATGTTTGGGAAGAAGGAGATAGTGGTGCCTAAAGCTGCAAGAAACTACTTATTTCATGGTTGGAAGAAATGGCGGGAGGATGCTAAGATGGATCTTAAAAGAAGTATTCTGGAAAATCCTGAATTTGGTAAAAAGTATATGGATGAAAGACAGGTAACTCCTGGCAGAAACGCCCCTGTGCTAAAATTGATCTCTTTTACATGGATTTGATAAGTATTTGGTTAGTTGAGGTCCTTGCATGACTCAGACAAGTTATGTTAATTGTAGCAACATATTCTTCGGGATCGGGATAGACTGGCATCAAGAACCTGGTATAATGAGGAAAGAGACAGGTGGGAAATGGATCCAATAGCAGTTCCGTATGCAGTATCAAAGAAGATTGTGGAGAGTGCTAGAATAAGGCATGATTGGGCTGCCATGTACCTCAAACTTAAGGGGAATGACAGGGAATACTTCATGAACATCAGAGTGGGATCTATACTGTTGCCTTCCTTGCTCATTAATTCATATTTCTCATCTAACTTGTTTCCTGAGTTTGACAATATGGTTGTTGCATTACAGGAGTTTGACATGCTATTTGAAGATTTCGGGGGTTTTGATGCCTTGTATATGAGAATGATTGCAGCTGGTGTTCCCACTGTAACACAGCTGATGTGGATTCCATTTTCTGAATTGAACATCAGCCAGCAATTTCGCGTTATAGTGAAAATGTGTCGCTGGTGTCTTACTGAGTTGTGGAGGAATATCTATGTTGATCGTGCAAGAAGATGGTTACTTAGGAAAATAAGAAATATTAATGATGATCTAATGATGATGATTGTTTTCCCTTTTGTGGAGTTTGTGATTCCTTATCAGGTATATATTTTAATTGCTTACTATATGCCACTTATGGCTTGTAGGTTGCTTTTCTTCTTTTTCTTTCCCCCATCTCTTTCTTAAGTTCTAATTCTCTTCTGCTTCATGAAATTTTGTTTGTTCAGGTGAGACTGAGTTTGGGTATGGCATGGCCAGAGTATTATGATGCATCAATTGGTTCAAATTGGTATTTGAAGTGGCAATCTGAGGCTGAAATAAACTTCAAATCAAGGAAGACAGACCAATTTCAGTGGTATTTTTGGTTTTTGGTCAGAACTGCCATATATGGATATGTACTATTTCATGTATTCCGATTTCTGAAGAGAAGGATTCCAAGAATTCTTGGTTTCGGGCCTTTTAGAAGAGATCCCAACATCATGAAGTTACGGAGATTGGTATAATTTTATCTTGCGAACAATAAATGCTAATAAACAACTGCATATAGTAAAACAAGATTGCATACTAAATTTCACCATGAATTGTTCATTCATAACCAAACTATGAATGCATGAACAAACACCTAATCTCTCCCCATAGTTGAGGTATTTGATAAATACAAGTTTGTCTTTGCTTGTCTTTCTTTCTGGAATGAAAGTATGTTTGGTTGTCGCTCCATCTTATCATGCACTGTAACCTATTCTAATCTAGATAATCTCCATTGACTTCAGATAGTCTTTTAAATTATTTGATTCCTAACTTTCATATAAATACGTGGTGTTCGAACTGATTAACTATCACAGAAACAATCAGAGGTGACATCTATGTTTCTTCTCGTTTCAATGAGGAGATGCAACAGGAATCGCAATATTTGAAATTCTTATTTGAGTGGTTAGAATAGTGAACATGATAATTGATGGGATGAGATGAGGTGCTGGGTAAGAGGACTGTATAATTTTTTTTGCTTTTGTAGTTTGTTTACTGTACAAGTACTGTAACATATCTGCAAATTGATTGATATGGGCGGGATGAGTTTAGCTCATGGTAAGGTTGTTGACATAAAAATGATCTCCACATTTTAGGTAAAAATCTTTGGCCACTTCATGACATCTAATTATATATAAATGGTATGCTATTTTGCAGAAATATTATTTCAACTTTCGGATGAATGCTATCAAGCGTAAGCAAATGGATGGTGTTGATCCAATAACCACTGCTTTTGATCATATGAAGGTATCTGTGCTTGAACTATCTTGCTGGTTTGAGAGTTTTCTCATATCTGCTGCCTTAAGTTGTTTCTGTACTGCTGATTGCAGAGAATAAAAAATCCTCCGATACGTTTGAAAGATTTTGCAAGTGTCGAATCTATGAGAGAAGAAATTAATGAAGTTGTGGAATTTTTACGAAATCCTAATGTATTTAAAGAAATGGGAGCACGTGCACCACGCGTAAGTTATTTTCTGTCATGTTTGATTTACTGGCTGGTTTTTTGGTTGATAAACCACATTTTGTATGCTACTTCTTATTTGTGTTAAAAGGCTGCATTTGTGCACCCTGATGGTGATATTTATTTAACATTTATTTATGATTGCTCCTTTTTATATCACTGCTTTCCTCTATAGTTCATCTCTCACTGTTAGTTTCCTCGTGAAACCTTTTTCATGATATGAACATTATTTCTTTGGTTGCTGTAGGTGAATTGACATTAATATTTTTTTATTTCTGTAACAATCACAAAGCTATTCTCACTTTGTCAAAATCCAATTTAATGGATAAAAGGACTCTTCTAGTTATTTATAAAATTGTAGAAGGCTGACATTTTCCCAGTGAGCAGAACATGTGCTGTAGGATACAAACTTATGCTTTCTGTGCATTCGTTAAAATGAGAACCAACCTAACAACTTAAATTCGTAGTCATATATTTGTGTTTATAGACTATAATTTCATGGTTTCAATGGAAGTGAGTTATTAGAGCTCAATCTATATATCCTTCCTCTGATGTTGGGATAATGCATAATAGGGTGTTCTCATTGTTGGTGAGAGAGGAACTGGTAAAACATCCCTAGCAATGGCCATAGCAGCAGAAGCAAGGGTTCCTTTAGTTGAAATAAAAGCTCAACAACTGGAAGCTGGTCTTTGGGTGGGGCAAAGTGCATCAAATGTCAGAGAATTGTTTCAAACAGCACGTGATCTGGTTGCTTCCCTCCTCATGCTACTTTATTTTCACTCTTAACTTTCAAACTTCAGCATGTGCATCAAATATATGTGCGCTCGTGTGTGTTTTCAAGGATATTTAGTTTCATACTACTATTTAGTATACAAGGATATCATTTGATTTTATATTACATGAAAGTTATAATTGAAAGCTGCACTTGTGTGCTTGCTACTAGTTTTGTTACTTTCTGGTTCGTTGGTAATGTGCACTCTACTGATTTCATCCTCTTTTCTGGACATGCCTTGGCAATCAATGTGCCAATTCATTGCCCTCCATCCATCTAGGCTCCTGTAATTATTTTTGTTGAAGATTTTGATCTCTTCGCTGGTGTCCGTGGCAAGTTCATTCACACCAAAAACCAAGATCACGAGGCTTTCATTAATCAACTTCTAGTAGAGCTTGATGGGTAAAGCCTTTCTTTTCTATTATTTCTCAAGTGCATTAGCATGGGCTTGTAATACTCCCAAGTTTTTGGCTCTTTTACATATTATTGTAGTAATTTTTATTTTTTAAGTTGTTGCTAAAACATACATATTAAACCTTTGGCACATTGTGCTAAAAAATTAGGAATTAAATTTGTGGTTCTTTTACCGACTCCTCATATATAGTTCATGATACATTTTTGTCTTGATTGGCATGGCATGACCTGTTGAACCCTTGAATTGACATGATAAAAGTTTTCGAGCAGGTTGGTATATTGGTTTGGTTTTGCCAAATCGCCAAAATATGGGAAATTTATGTAACCAATGGGATTCGTGGGTATATGCCAGAATCCAAATATCCAGAATAATAATGTTGGGTTTCGATTAATATTTGTTATGTGAAGGAGGATATCTTGATGCATGGTTTACTTTAAACACTTCCTTTACATTGCGGTTTTCCTTTATGTTATGCTTGTGCTATATGCAATGTAGGTTTGAGAAACAAGATGGGGTGGTTTTGATGGCTACTACTAGAAATCTTAAGCAAATTGATGAGGCATTGCAGCGTCCTGGAAGAATGGATAGAATATTTCATCTTCAAAGACCAACACAAGCTGAAAGAGAGAGAATCCTTAAATTTGCCGCCAAAGAAACTATGGATCAGGATCTTATCAACTTTGTTGATTGGCCAAAGGTAACAAGCAATAATTTTTGCCAACTATTGCACTTCTTTGGACTAAATCCAATTTTAGTTATTAAGATGTCAAATATACTATTTCTTGGAGCTTGTGACCGGCACAAAGCTGCTTTCACCTAACCATACATAGTCATGATGCTCAACTATTGGGAATTTAACTTTGGAAACTCAGGTTGGGATCATGAGTACAGTAAGGTTAAAAAAATTCGATGGTCAATTCCATCTGCCTAAATGATTGAATATGGTTTCTGGAAGTATGTGTTAGCGTAGTCTTTCTTTTCTCCCTTTTCACCCTTAAAATTTCATTAGGATTATTTCACAAATATTTGAGATTTAGCCAGTGTAACATTGTCTGTGGTTGAGATTTAATAAGGCCTTAAAAAAAAGGTTTTATTTACACGATCTAATTCAATTCGGTCATTTCTATATGTGCAGGTTGCTGAAAAGACAGCTCTTCTTCGGCCTATAGAATTAAAACTTGTCCCTATGTCCTTGGAAGGTACTGCCTTCAGGAGAAAGTTTGTTGACACTGATGAACTCATGACCTACTGCAGTTGGTTTGCTGTAAGATATAGCCTCTTACCTTTCTGAAAATACATCATAATATTTCTGATTGCATGCTTTATATTTTTTATATGGCTACAATACTTTTCTGCTTTACATAATGGCAAATCTTCTTTCCAATGCTAGTATGTGTATTCATTAGTATTATTGCTCTTTTTATGCTCACTATCAAGGTTGGGAAATAAACCCCGGATCTATCTGAATGGTGTGTCAGCCCAATGAATGCAATTAATAGTGTATTTATGAAGTAAAGTGTGAGTTTTCATTTTTTTTTGAATTAGTCTATATGTCACTGTATTGCTATGGTTCATCTTGTTTATCTTCATGGTGAACATCTTGAATTTCAGCCATTGTGGCAATAAGTGCCTCTTCACTTGATTTATTTTTCGCTCAACATTTAAATATCAAGATATTATGGTTTAGTTCAATTCTATTGTAACTAACCTCTAGTGATATTGATATTTGCCTATGCTTTAAGGTTATGACTTGCAAACAATTACCAGGTTGTGTGACTTGTGAGTGTAGTAGCTACTGATTCTTTTGACATGCATACAAATAAAAGCTAGGCACGTGATGTCCTGAACATTAATAAATGTTCCAAGAGTCATTTCAATCAATTATGCTGGATGGCTATCATTGGTTTTCGAAATATCGACACACAACTATGTTGAAAGTTGACTCTTCATTTTTCTTAGTTGTGACTTGTACCCTGAGTCTATTATTGATAGAATAATCAGATCACACTATTGACATTCGGCATGTATTTGGAATCCACAGATCTGGAAAATTTTGTTATCACTTTTTACGAATCCCTTTTGGATGTTGAAACTAATATTACAATTCTGCAGACCTTCAGCAGTGTAATTCCTAATTGGGTGAGGAAAACAGGAACTTACAAGAAAATAAGCAAGATGCTGGTCAGTCACCTTGGCCTAACATTGACAAAAGAAGATCTGCAGCATGTTGTTGACCTGATGGAACCATATGGCCAAATAACCAATGGAATAGAATTTATGAATCCACCTCTTGATGTAAGTTGTTGTGCCGAATATATCTATCTCTTTGTATAGAAGACTCAACGTCTATTTAATTAAAAGATCAAATCATCGACACTATTGAGATACCATTTGACACCTTATAGCTGGTTCGTAACTCGTTCCGATTTTAATGTGAACAACTAAAATTATACTCACGGAGTTTATGGGAGTATATATATATACAGTACCTATATGTCCCAACATATTTAGTAATATTATCGTACTTGTGAATAATTTTTCTTTAGTAATATTATCGTACTTGTGAATGATTTGAACATTTAATTTGGTTTTATGCAGTGGACCAGGGAAACAAAATTTCCCCATGCCGTCTGGGCTGCTGGTCGTAGTCTGATGGCTCATCTATTACCAAATTATGATGTTGTTGATCATCTATGGCTTGAACCTACTTCTTGGGAGGTGCATTTTCTCTTTCCTTCTTTTATTTGTCTTTCCTTTTCATGTTTAGTATCACTGTTACGATATAACTTTTCTCTTTGCTTCTGAACTGCCACACAATGTGTAGATTGATGGTTTTTTCCATGAAATGTTTGCTGGAGTCGATTTTGCTACTTATCAGGTTTAATATCTGAAGGAGCAAATATATTTGCTCATATCATAAACAAATATAGGATGCTTTCCAGCACATACTAGCAGTTGCTTGAATTATAGATTAATGTTAGGGCAGTGTTTAACACCTATTTACAGACCTTATCTGAACTCCATGCAAACATTTTTATGGATTTCAGGTTTGATATGGCGACACAGATAGTGAGGTGTGATGTCAAACTTTTCCCATCTTCTATGTTAAGTAAAAGATAAGAGCTGTTTTCTGCTAATCTAATGTCCACTTACACTGGACTGTTCTTTCATTCACAATTATCTCTTTCCTTCCAAGTCATTGAAGAATCTTGATGAAACTGAATTTGAAGCTAAAGTAAAGTGTTGACGAGATGCACAAAGTTCTGATTCCTGAAAGTTCCATGTTAATGGGAACTTAGTGAAGTAAAACTGAGAAAGTTGCATGATTTGCTGTGTCCCAAATATATATGGTGTATTTGAAATATATGAATTTATTGGAATACAACCACCATTATACATTTCACACTTTTCAGCCTGTTTTGGGTAGGATTCCTATATTTAGTGCTTTGTTTTTTCAAGTTCTGTAAAGAATGCTTTGGAGATCTACCGCTAACTACATTCTGGAATCCAAATAATCCATAGAAATTACCAAGGGAGTTTGGCTCTTCTCATTGCAGGGAATAGGATGCACGAAGATAACCAAGGCTCGGAATGAAGATGCAATGAATGGCAATGTTGAGACACGAGCATACCTTGAAAAGAAGCTTGTGTTCTGTTTTGGCTCTCATGTTGCGTCTCAGCTACTGCTTCCATTTGGGGAAGAAAATATTCTTTCTTCTTTTGAGCTAAGGGAGGCACAAGAGGTTGGTCTATCACATTCAAACTGTTCTTTTACCATATAATGCATCATGCTGTCTGATTTGAATAGTTTGTTCATGCAGATAGCTACCAGGATGGTTATTCAATATGGTTGGGCGCCTGACGATAGCCCAACAATCTATCACCATGGAAAAGCGGTACTCTTCGTCATGTCTATTGCGTAATGTTGAAAATTTTCATTTCATTTTAAAGGGCATCAATGTAGTAAATTAGTCATAAGTAAACATATTGGGGCACAAAGTGTACCTCCACATGCTACCCGATCTAATGACTTCACAATAAATTTCTACATTGTACAAAAAAACTGATTTGAAAACACAATCTTGCACATATCTTTGATCCCGCTTCCGCTTTGATTTTTATGGAGAAGTATTCTACATGGTTACTGGTTACTGGTTACTTTTTACTCGCATTGATGGGCATACTGACACTTTAATTATTTGGCACAGGCATCGGCTCTGAGTATGGGAGACAACTTTGAATATGAGATGGCTGTCAAAGTTGAACAAGTATGTTTTGATACTTGATTGCGTATAACTCAACTCTATGTGATCCTCAATATGTCTTGAAGGAAAAAGTGAACTGTTGGCCTTTTCGTAGACATTCTCTTTGGTGGTTCACCCTTCTGTCTTCCTCCCACCCTACCTATCCTTTGGCAAAGTGATGATAATTGAGAGGAGAAATAAAGATAACTGTAGTTTTGTTTGGCACTTTACTGGATATTTAAATTGATGACATAAGATTCAACAACAATGATTGTTAGGGCCTATTTAGTGGCCATTTTAGCTGCCGCTTTTGTTGAAAGGCATGAGCTTTATTTAAACTGCTTACATGAATATCTGCAGATGTATAACTTAGCATATGATAAGGCAAGAATGCTACTACAGAGAAATAAGTCAGTCCTGGAGAAAATCGTGGAGGAACTAATGGAACACGAAATTTTGACTGGGAAGGTATGCCATATCAGAAATTTTCATAAAAACTTGCATTACATAAACCCTGCTGTGGAATTGAAATTGCAGTGGTTGGCCTAAGAATCACATGTAAATTTGTAAATTTCTCTAGCTTTTACACAGATTTTTGTCATGATGGAATGCTATTCCGTTTTGTATAAATTTGTTAGTAATTAGTACCGCATCTCTCCCTTTCTATGTCTCATCTCCTTTATCACTTTTTCCTCGAATCTTTGCTGATGATTTGATCCTTTCCCCTCTAAAACTTGTGGCAGGAGTTGCATAGAATTTTTGCAGAGAACGGTGGAGTTAGAGAAAAAGAACCATTTTTCCTTTCCAATGCAGATTATGAAGAGGTACACATGTAGACCATGTCAAAACTACAGTTACTGCTTTCAGCATCTTCGAACTCACAGTCGGAAAGCTAAGCTTACTTTTCTAGACGTTTGTCTCGCTAAAGATGTTGCATTCAATAACCTGTTTTCCGATCTACTACTATTGTAATAAGACTAGTAAATGGAACAACTTATTAACTGTTTCGTTTTGCAGCCGGCATTTGGAAGCTCTCTCAACGGAAACACCCCGGAAATCGCTCTCTTGAACTCAACAAATTAGGGGCTGTTACTAAGCTGTGCATCACTATCTACGTGCTTCAGATTTGGATAGTTCAATCAGCATGAGGATGATTGTGAATGAGAAGAGGCACTTAATTTTTCCTTCTCAAAAAAGGTATAATTTTACAATTTCTGTGCATTTTGCTAATTTAGATATTTCACTGTTGGTCTTGTAACTAAATTAGGGGTAAGTTAATTAATTGATACACTTCTCTTCCCATGAAGTCACATGTGTTTTTGTTTTATACTACTACATATATATTATATGCACTGAATATTTATTACTACATAAATACTACTTCAAGCTTAAATGAGGCAACCGTTTGATAAACATGAAATTACATATATACCCCACACCAATAAATGTTGGATCAATTCCCATTATTATATTAATTCAAACATATAATTAATTAATAATTCCTAGAAATACCAAATCAACCACACAGTTTCGCCGTTATTCCACAAGCACCCCTGCTTCGTTGCTCCTCCATCTTTTTACTTCACAAATTACAGTCCATGCTGCAACACCCAAAATACTGCACACCAAAAAACCCTAACCGCCATTAACGTCCGTTCAGATGCTTCTCGAGCTCGGAAGGATCGCGCTTCGTGAGTGCCACTTTCAGCCCGTGCTTCATGTACATAGTCAACGCCATCTTCGGAACCACCGGGTGGTCCTCCACCACCGCCACGCGGTACCGGTAGAGAATGGCCGCGGCCGTGAACTTCATCTGGTAGTAGGCGAAGTCCCGACCTAAGCAGAGGCGAGGGCCGCCGTTGAAGGCGGTGAACTTGTAAGCCGACTCGCTTATGAACCGACCATCCCGCAGCCACCGGTCCGGGTTGAACCGGCGGCAGTCCTTCCCCCATATCGCCTCCATTCTCCCCATTGTGTAAATCGCGTACACCACTTTTGTTCCCTTCTTCAGCACTGTTCCATCTGGAAATTTGTCGTCGTTCAATACCTGCAAATATTCGTATGTACAATTATCGTGCTAATTCTAGCCAATGCAGTTACAGAATCTCTCTCTCTCTCTCTCACTCTCTCTATATATATGTATGTGCATATAATTCTTACCTCTTTATGGTCGACAGGGACGGAGGGGTACAACCGGAGAGACTCCGAGAGGGCGGCCTGCAAATAATCCATCTTCTTCACTTCGTCTGCCTTCAGCACCAAATCATCTCCATGTCCGCTGCTCTCATCGTGCTCTTTCCTTTCCTTCACAATCTGGCAAATCTCCGCCAGGATTCTGTCCTCCACTTCAGGGTTCCTACTCAGTAGCCAGAAAAACCAGCTCAGTGCGACGGACGACGTGTCTCTACCCGCCAGGATGAAGTTCACGCAAATATCTCTCAAGAACTCATCGGAAAACCCCTCCCCCTTCTCGTCCCTCAGTCCCATGAACACTGATAACAGGTCTGATCTCTGCTTCCCTCCATCAAGCTCAAGCTCCTTCTTCCTCGCCCGAATCACCTCCTTTGCAAAGTCGTCCACTCCCTGTATTGACTTCTTGAGTGACCCTTCACTTCCAATTTCGAAATGCCTCATTAGTTTCCAGACCAGAGTTGGGGTCACAAATCGCATAATTGTGGCCTCTGTTGCAGCTTCAAACGCCCTGGCGAAGGGAATATCAGGCAGGCCTGGTCTCAGGCAGCCTGGATCGACACCAAAGGCGATTATGCAGACGTTGTCGAAGGTTAGTCTTAAAAGGATGTCCTGTAGATCCATCCAGGTTGATTCCCTGATGGAATCCTCTAGAACAGGCAGGAGACGATTATGCACCAACTCCAAGATGGAATTGATTGTCATCTGCCTGAATTTTCCGGAATGGAATTCCAGACTTGCTGTCTTTCTCTGCCTGTGCCAAATATCATCATCTGCGCTGAAAATTCCATCTCCAAGGAGGTCCCTGACTGTGTCCCGGAAGTACTCTCCTTTCGGGAAGTTTGAAAACCTTGTTTTGAGAAGGTACTCTAGGTTTCGAGGGTCAGAGGTCACCACACAATTCAAGTTCGAAAACCAGGGTCCTTTAAAGGTGAAGGTTCCGTTCTGACGGCACAGGATGTTGGAAATCCATTCGTAGATGTTGCTCTGGAGGCCGAGGAAGAGGGAAGGCAGCATCCCGACAAGGGGCCAGTTGGGGAGGCCCTGGCGATTCTTCTGGCGGAGAGAATGGATGGTTATGAATACCAGGATGGCAGTGAGAAGTTCAAACATTTGGATTTCAGAGATGAATGAGAGGAGACTGGTGGCTCCATGTGAAACTGCAGCAGTAGAGGTGTTGTTTGGAGTCAAAGAAGAGGAAGCATACATGGTTTTGAAATGATGGTGGTGATAATGATTATGAAAAACAGATTCAGGGAAATGGGAATTTGGTGATGGGGCAGTCATGTCTGTGTTATAAGGGATGGAAGAATTGGTTTCTTGGCGTGGATGAGTTTGTGCATTGGTTTGATTTGGTGAGCTGAAAGACAGGCTGCTTTTGCATGCTATATATGCATATGTAATGAATTTGAATGAGGGGAGTCCTTGGAGTAAAGATCCGGAATCAATCTTCACTGTTGGTTTTTCGATCGAATGGAGGGGAGGGAATCATTGTGATGAACTTGGTGTTTACCTATATTTGGGGTTTCTTAGACAAGTGGTTTTACTTTAATTTTGCATTGTTAATTCCAACGGTTGATTTGATTTTATTTAGGGAGGGGATGATCAGGGTAAAGGGTAGTTTTTACATTTGTGTTTGTGTGTCGAATGTATTTGGTTTCTTGTGGTGTTGGTTTTTGACCAGTTTTGTTAGTGGTGATGATCAAACAAGTGGGGTTTTTTGAGGGGTTTTTGGAGGATGGGGTAGCAGTAGGTTGGGATAGTTAACCTACTTATGTTTGTAAGTTTTTTGCACATGTTTTTAATTTGATTTGGAGAATTTGTAGGTGAATTAGCTGCTGCTAATGACAAATTGTCATCACAGCTTAGTCATTATAATACAGCAAATATTGTTGTTACTAATAATTTAATCGAGATCAACACGGCCGTGTTGGGCCTCTTGGGGGTGCATATACTTGGGCTTTATTCGAAAGGCCCAACACGGCCGTTTTGATAGTAGCGGGTCACGAGCCGATGGGTAGGCGGTCTGGCCGGGCCGTGCCGGCCGAATCGCTTGGCGACTTGAGGGGCTGAACCAGACGGGCGTTTGGTCAAATTACATTAATGCCCTTGGATCATGGATTCATGGCTGGTAACCAATTCGGCGAGCTATTGCTTCGGAGGCGGCGTGACTGGAAATTGGAAAAAGCCCTAACAGTGAGCAGTTATGCGGAGCCTTTTCTGTAGGAGGCTATGGAGTGAAATCTCCGGCTGCAGTTTGTCGGTTGTATCAACCAAGCCAAGAGCTTTTGCCATTGGCGATGGTCGTAGGGGAGGTTGCGGTGGCAGAAGATGGTACGGGTTGATACCTATGGTGATTGAGCACTCGTCTCGAGGTGAGCGAGCCTACGACATTTTCTCTAGGCTCTTGAAGGAACGGATCATTTGCATAAATGGACCTATCTCTGATGATACGGCGCACGTCGTCGTTGCGCAGCTGCTTTTCCTCGAGTCGGAGAACCCGTCCAAGCCCATTCACGTTTACCTCAATTCTCCCGGTGGCGCTGTCACTGCTGGTATTTTGTTTAGTTTCCTTGCTTGTTTATGATTTTGGTTATTTTTATGCTCATGTCGATCATGATGGAACTGAATGAATTAGTTGGCTCTAGAATGATGGCATGGCTAACTCCATAATTACTCCGTAGCGACTCTATGATCAATTTTATGGTGTTAGTAACTGCTGATGAATGATCAGATTGGAATTAGATATTGCTGCAGATTCTCAAGTTTGATAATAATAATAATAATGAAAAGGAATTTCTATCTCTACGACCATTATCTTTTTGGCCCGGGCTAATGAAGATAAATCTCAAATATTTCTCTTTGTAGTTTAATATGAGTGATAATAGCTCATTCCACTGTAACCAGGCTGAGTGTTTGGGGATTGAAATAAACTACTGTTTCTTACGTTTGTATTGTGATTTGCGTGCTCATTACGCATATTTCTCCGAGGAAACCTCTGCTTGTCTTCTATTTTTTTCATCACAGTCATGAATAATGGGGTTCTTTAGAGCTAGAAAAATTGGATACCTGTGTATATAAAAAAATTGTCATTATATCTGATGATCTTATGGGCAGGTCTTGCCATCTATGATTCGATGCAGTATATTCGATCCCCAGTACATACCATATGTTTAGGTCAAGCTGCATCAATGGCCTCACTTCTCTTGGCTGCTGGCACCAAGGGTGAGAGGCGGGCCCTTCCAAATGCCACAATCATGATTCATCAGCCTTCTGGCGGATACAGTGGACAGGCGAAGGATATGACTATTCACACCAAACAAATTCTTCGTGTTTGGGATTCTCTGAATGCACTTTATAGCAAGCACACTGGGCAGTCTGTTGAAGTAGTTCAGGAGAATATGGATCGGGACCATTTCATGACACCTGAAGAAGCAAAGAAGTTTGGTATAATAGATGAGGTTATAGATGAGAGGCCAATGAACCTTGTTGCTGATGCTGCCGCAGATGGAGGCAAAGATAAGACTTCAAGTTAGATATTAGCATAAGGCAAGATATCTTGTCTCTTACTATATTTTCATTGTTCTTTTTAATGTTTATGTTTGTCAGTTACTTTTTCTACTGTTATAAGAGCATGATAATTTAATGCATATTAGTTTATACAAGGCACATATACAGCATTGGTGTACACATGCATTTTTGTATGTGTTGATTTGATGTTCATGATTATCTGATATCGTATCTGTTTATGTGGAAATGCAAATGAATATGCTGTGGAGTGAGTCCTTTTGTGATATGATCGTTGACTTCTTACCAGCAGTATAATCTGGTCTTGTATTACAAATTTGTTTTTGCTGTAGCCTGTATGAGTATAGTTAGTGTTGGCATATAATGCTGGAATGATAAATCTAATTGTTGAACATTTTAAATATTTTAATATGCAAATTTGAAGTTACTTAAATTCAGAGAATATTATGATCTCTATCTTATCATCTTATGCAGTTCTATTTTCAACCAAGATTTCCCCCAGATGAGGGCGAATAACTTGAGTTTATATGCAGCTAAACTCCGTGCTTTTCTTATTTTTGTGCAGTTATTCTCATACTCTGGATGCATTTAGAACATTGTATGGATAAATTCTTGGACTGTGGCGTTATTTAACCTGAGGCCCCCGGATAACAGAGATCAAGCAAATAATTCCCTGTACTCCCTATTTCCCTGTACTTATTGCAAAATAGAAAGAATGATCTCATTTTCCATGATTTTCTACATCTATGATCTGTTTCACTCTTTTTCTAATATTTTTATGATTTTATCACTAGCAAAGAATGATTCTTATGCCGGATTCCCAAATGTTATTATGTTGTATGTATTATGTTCTCCGCCACAACGTAACCTGGGGAGAAGCAGATTTGGCAATTGTCGCCTTAGATAAAGAAACCACGACTGCAACGGCTGTGTCGATACCCCTTTCTAACACATTTGTGTCTATGCACCGTGGCGCCATCGCCAGCCCTATGCAGAAAAGAGTTAACAATGGACCTGAATTGATACAGAAACTGATAATTGAGGTATTGAATTATTTTTTTAGAACTATCCATATTATATCTGACGAGCTATGTATTACGCTAATATATGATCTATATTTTGACTGCTTTATATGGCTATAGTTTTTGTCTAGTTTATTCAGCAATTGTTTCTTTAGGGTGCCTTTACTTATATATTTTGATATTTTAAATGATTTAGAATTTTATTAATAGAAAATAGTCATTGGATTTATGAAACTAGATTTTGAATGCAATATTATTAAATGTGAGAAGAATATTTCCTTGTGAACATAAAACAAGGGCAAAAATATAAGTGAACACATCTGGCTCTTTTTGAGAAAATTGTTAAACTGAATGGTAAAAAATCTTATATAGTTTATACAATTATTATGTCATATGTTTAATACTAGTAAAATTCAGTAAACTCCCACAAAATAATAATAATAATAATAATAATAATAATAATAATAATAATAATAATAATAATAATAATAATGGTTGTATGTATTTGTCAATTTTTATTTTGTTTTTTTACTTGTGTTCCATAATTTTAATTTAAAATATAACGAATGTATTGGAAATGAAATTGTATTTAATTGTATATCCAAATGTAATAAAATTATTTTAAAATTAAGACGTGTGGTGTGATACGTATTATGTTTGGGGTTTGGATTTTGAGTTGGGATTTGAATAGTAAAAATTTTGAATTTGAATAGTTGTATGATATGATATAAATAGGTGTTGATGTGATGTTTTGAATGTAAAATTGATTTTTAGTATAATATAAAAAATGAAAAATAAGTGTTTGATTTGATGTTTTTGGGGAAAAAAATTGGATGAATAGTGAAAATTTAATCCAATCCCCACAACACACCCAAAATGTTTGTTTGAATATAATAGGAGAAAGAACAATAAATACAAGTAATACTACTATATAAGCATATAAATACACTACACTAAAATAAATAAAAAATAAAAAATGATTAAGATAGGGACGAGCCTCTAATCTATGGTCATTGAACATTCCTTCGATACTGTTTGAATTAAATCCAGCCAACAATTAATCAATATTGTCGATTTTATGTTTTGGTCCAATGATGAAACCATCTTAGCTTAGGCTCCAATGTTGGTGATTCATGTGGGTTAAAATTACATTATTCATTAAATTATCATCAAATAATGGCATTGTTCATTATTTTAGTTTGTAAATAGTAAAAACTTAAATAAAAAATAAATATTTTATATAATATTAATAGATGCTTGAAGTAAAAATATATATTTAAAATGATATATTTTTTTTAGCAAATTAATGAAAATTGCAACTAAATAAGCAATGCCTAAAATATTATTTTTGCTGTATATTAAAATAAAAATAAAAAATCGTACGTTTACATGGCGGTGCTAATTTTGACAAAAAAATATAAAAAAATAAATATAAAAAATAAAATTACTTATATATATTTTATAATAATTAAATAATATACACGATTATATCGTAGAGTAATATCTCTAATATACCATATCTGTCGCCAAGAGATTAATGAGGGTTTTTTTTTTTTTGCCCATTTTTCTTTTTCCGATTGCATCCACACCACTATTTATTTGATTTCTCAAGGAAAAAAACAACAGTATTCTTTATGTAATGTGATCGGCGGAACAACCTATCGAAGAAACCCAAACCCAAGTAATTCAGGATTCGGACGCCGATTTAGGGCTGGGGCTACTTTCCGAATCAATTCTTCATCTAGGGTTATAGTTTGATGTGTTTTCTTGGTGAATTTCCGGAGCAGCAAGGTTGGATTTTGTAGGGTATGGCTCCCGGACGGAGGCGTGCTGCGAAGGGAGCGAAGAAGACAGCTAACTTGAGTTTAGGCGATCTCGTGCTCGCCAAGGTCAAGGGTTTTCCGGCCTGGCCTGCCAAGGTACATTCTGATTCACTCTGGTTATCCCCTAATTCCTTTGCCTTTCGTTTCTCAATTTCCTTATCGCGCAATTTCGTTTCTTTAAAGAATCTTTTTGGTTTTGGATGAGAATTTTGTTTCGTCTTCTTTTACTTGAGAGCTAATTAGTTTATGGAGTTGTTTTGAGTTGCCGAAATTGATTGGGATTTACTTCTTCAAAGTGAGCTGTGCGAACTGAGAATCTTCGATTCGTGCAACTTCACTGAATCAGAAAGAGGACGAGGGGAAGGGAACACTTGGTGTTCGCCTCCTTTGTGGGTGAATCGTTGCTTTGGGCACAGACGATGTGAATGAATTCTGGTTTTTGTGTTGTCAACTAAACATGTTAGGGGATGTCCAGAACGAGACTTGTTTGTGGGATGTTGGATAAGTGTTTTGAATGAAAGATAGACTTGTGGAGATGACTCTAGGGTTTGGGGTTTGGAAAATGCTATTTTGGTATTCAAGTTAGTATGCAACATTGCATAGTATCTTCGAATTGTCGACAAATCAGCTATTGCCTTATTTGTTATGTTGATCTCAGTTGTTGCTTATGTGTCTTTCACTTTATGATTTCTCAGCACTTTATCTTAAAAATAGTATAAAAGTTCATCCCTCGGGTTTCTCAAAGATATTTTACAACTAATTCGATATACAGTTTAACTTTACATCCAATCTTTTAATAGTCAAGTGTACTATGTGTACTCGTAAAGAGGATTTGACCAATAATTCAGATTATTGAAATCCCTCCAATTAATTTTCGGAACAGTAAGCGACAAAGTAGATCTTTTGTATTATTGTTACATCACATGTACACGTTCTCATTGGCTTGTCGTTTAGTTAACGAAATTAGGCTTTGTTATGCAGCTGATTGCGTATGATTATTGTGCCTTAATTTCTCCTTGCATAACTTAATTTGGAGTTTCAATTGTAAAGTTGCCAGGTAGCTATAATTATGTTTTGAATATTAGGTTGGCAGACCTGAAGACTGGCATCGCGTTCCTGATCCTAAGAAGTACTTTGTCCAGTTTTTTGGTACAAATGAGATGTAAGCGCTTCTTTTATCTCTTTTGGCTGAAACATTTATGACGTTATTTGATTGCGTAACATAGTTATTTGTTGCGCAGTTATACTTTCCTGTATCATAAATGGAAGTTCTCACCTAAACTAACAAAAACATTTAATCTGCAGCAATGTTCTTTCTACAGGCAGTCATATATGTCGAATGAAAATAATTTCTGCGTCATCAATTTATTATAGCAATTTTGGATATATATGTATGTGTATATAATGCAGATATGTATTGGTTTTTCATTTCATTTAACAAACATTTTTTCCTGTTAATTGGACTATGGAGATTGGTGAGAAACCTATATTAACTGGGCAAGAGAGATCAAATATTGATTGGGGAAAACAACATTAATAAACAACTGGAAGATAAATTTTCGTGTTGGTGCAAAGAAGATACAGATGGTAGTTCTCTGGTTTTGAAACTTTATTATGCTATGGTAAGTTTTGTGGTGACAAGCACAAAACTTAAAAAGTAACCCTCTCATACACTATTATACACTGGAATTTAGACGTTTATATCTGCACACCACGAATTTTCCCAGCTTTTGTGATCATGACTTTTGCACATTTCTGAAGTTTCATGTACAGTAGTTTGGGTGTGTTTTTCTGCATTTACCCTCCTCACTGATTTTCTTGGTAAGTTTCATTTGGGTGCTTTCGTTTGTCATTATTTTAGGCAGCACACAAATCCACACACACTTGCTCCTTTTTTAGCTACATGTTGTATATTGACTGTATATTAGTTGGTATACTACTAGGGGAAACTGCCTTAAATTTTACTTGGTTTCATAACGTAAATGATTTTAGCGCTATGCCCACTGTGTTCGCAATCCCACTGTAAATAAATGATTAGGTGATTTGCTGTATCAATTGTTGATTTGTACGGAGAAGATTTTGTATCCAGACTCACTTCATATATTTTCTCGCAGAGCTTTTGTTGCTCCTGGTGATATCCAGGCCTTCACAACTGAAGCCAAAGATAGATTGTCTGCCAGATGTCAGGGAAAGACTGTCAAGTATTTTGCCCAAGCTGTTAAGGACATCAGTGCTGAATTTGAAGCTTTGCAGAATAAAAGATCAACTAGTACAAAAGATGATGACAATGAAGAAAATCCGGCATCAGAGACGCACTCTGATCCAGTTGTAAATGAAGCCTCAGGTGAAACCCAAGGGACAGATAGTACAAAGCGTTCCTCATCGGACGATGCGACCAATAGCCTTTCTCCAAGTCCATCTTTGGGAAACAGGAACAAGCCTACAAATTCCAATGATCCAGTGGATTCAGTGTCAGGATCTAGCCCATCTAATCTGGCTGGTGATGAGGAAACTTATAGTGACAAAGACAAAGACAAGGATGAGAGTTCTCATGTCCAGAGTGATTTGACTAATGGCCACGAGACAAAACTGGAAGTAGAGCAAAGAAGAAAGAACAAGGGTATGTTACGCAGGAACCCCAACACCAACTCTTCTCAAGGGAAAAATACTGATGAAGTATCAAAAAAGATTTCTCCTGGTGGCAACATGAAGTTGTCAAAAAAGAAGTCTCCTGGTGGCAAAATGACACTGCCAATAAAGAATTCTCCTGAAGGCAACTTGAAGGTGTCATCAAATTCGAAAGTAGGTGTAGAAGTTGGCAGCAATAGGAAAGGGAAAAGCGTCCTGAAGCAGAAAAGGAATTCTGTAGCAGTGGATGATGATCAAGTCAATTCTGAAAGTAAAGAAATTAGATCCCGAAAAAAGATAAAGATCCAACATGACCATGAAAAACAAATTTCTCGGAAATTTTCTGATGTGACTGATGATTTAAGGACGCAAAGTGCCCAATCAAGCAGAAAAAATGATTCCAAAGGTTCTCTCCATCTGGATGACAAAGCGAGTGATTTGGATCCTAAAAGGCTAAGGTTGGGTGGGAAGGATGAGGCTCAACAGCCCAGAGCGCAAAAGAATATTGACGAGTCAAGTGATTCCAGTGGTGAAGATGATTTCCCTCCATTAAAGCGTCATCGACAAGCACCAGAATTGTCCAGCTCAGTTATTTCTGAAAATAAACTGCGAAGTTCGATATTGCATAAAAAGATCCCAGGAAAACCTAACAAAATTTTATCTCCTGATATGCAGCGGCCAACCAGGCGAAGAGCTGTCCGCATATGTGATGATGATGACGATGAATTACCTAAAACTCCAATTCATGGAAGATCAACCCATAAGGCTTCTGATATTCCTCCCATGTCGGATTTCAAAAAGAAGAGTACCAATACTAATGCTAAATTAGTTTCAGGAAATATGGGCAGTGCTGACAGTGTTTTAAAAGAACAGGAACAATCTTCTCTAATACCCAATAAAACTTCATTACCAACTGCCCGGCAAGATATCGAGAAGCGTGCTAGAGAATCATCTATTCAACAAGCATCTCCTTGCCTATCCCTGCGAGACACTGAGAAATCAACCTTAATTGATACGAAACCAGTTGTAGTTTCCCCGAAAGGGTCTCCTCGATCTAATACCACCGCAAAACCATTAGCGGAACCTCAAAAACAGCATGTTGCAAAGGCACATGGCAGCAGTTCTCAGAAAAAGGTTGTGACGGTCCCTGACAGGAGCCGTACCACAGCGCCTAAGAAGTTGGGGGTATCTCAAAATCATTCAATGAATGAGAAAAGCAAGCTAAATTCTGCAGAGAGAAGGAAAACGGCACCTAAGGCTGATTCCCAGGTTAATGGCCCTATTCTAGTGGTTGGAAATCCTGACCAGAGTACCCCACTAGGTGAAAGGTAATTTGTATATATTGGGAATTAAATAATGTAGACTGCATTGTATTTATTACTTAATTTTTGTCTTCTTTTTAATCAGGTTGAATGTTGGGAAGGACACAGAAACAGGTTGGCAAGTTAATTTGAAGATTACAGACTCTGCCGTGTCCATGAAGAATCTTATTGCTGCAGCTCAGGCCAGAAAGAAGCAAACAAATTTGCAGAACGCTCGTGGAAATTCATTTTCGGTATTGGTTCCTGATGCAGACATGCATCAGCAAAATCTGAGCCCTAACCCTGATACAGAGGCTATTGAATCAAGCAACAAGCTTCAGCGGGATGCAGTGGGAACACATCTTAGTTCTCCTTCTGATACCCACCAATTTTCATCTATTAACGAACATGACAATGTAGAACTTGAGGAGAGGAGGCTTAGTTCAAGTCACCATGCTTCTGGTAGTTCTCTAAGTGGCAGTACCGATGCTGTTGTAGCTCGTGATGCTTTTGAAGGGATGATAGAAACACTGTCAAGGACCAAAGAGAGTATTGGCCGTGCAACTCGTCTTGCAATTGACTGTGCGAAGTATGGGATTGCCAATGAGGTGCGCAACTAGACCATAAAAACTGTTTTTCTGTGGTATTATTTCATATGTATATATGAAACCAATGTATTCTTCATGTTATAAATATATAGCTAACCTGTGTGCTCACTAAATAGTAATTATGTTATAGATATTTTAGTAAATCAGTCATCATTACTATTATGATAAACTCAACATATAAAGTTTCTGCAGCTGCTTTGAATACCAAAACATTCTCAGGAAGAGCCGTCTTACATAATAAATGTTGAAATAATGGGTGTAATTCATAATTTGTAAGAAATTATTGTTTTGTATATATTAGTTTGCACCCAGGGTATGGTGGACGGCTTGCACCAAGCTTATTTCAAACTCAGGTTGTTTGCTGCTAATCTTGTCTAGACCATATTTAATCACCATCTTTGGTAGCTTTACCTTAATATGTAATTTACACATCACAATATTAGCATTTAACCTGATTGATTTCAGATAGTGGAACTTCTTGTTCTGAAGCTGGAAAATGAGGCAAGTTTGCATCGGAAAGTGGACCTGTTTTTTCTTGTTGACTCAATAACTCAATGCTCTCATGGTCAGAAAGGTAACTAAATAAAGAAGTTATTTTATTACAACATATATTTTTATGCAAAATGGTCAGAAATTTACCAACTGTACCCATCTCCCAACATTTCCACCCGTCTCTCTGATTGTGCAAGAGTAAGAGTATGACAATAACTTGAGTTGGAACTTGGAAATATATGATGTCATACTGCACTTAAACCCCATCATTACTACGTGTGATTTAGGAATTGCTGGGACTGCCTATATTCCTATTGTTCAAGCAGCATTGCCTCGCCTCATTGGAGCTGCTGCCCCTTCCGGACAAGGCGCTTTGGAAAATCGTCGACAATGTCATAAGGTGACTATTGCTTTGTTGAACATCCAGCTGTTCTCTTCATGTGAAGCAACTGAAACTTGAAGTCCTTTTTAAGGTTCTGCGATTGTGGATTGAGAGAAAAATATTACCAGAATCGGTTCTTCGTCGCTATGTGGATGATATGGGAGCTGCAAATGATGATGCTTCTTCTGGGCTTTCCCTAAGACGTCCTTCCCGTGTTGAACGCGCTATTGATGATCCTATTAGAGAAATGGAAGGCATGCTTGTTGATGAGTATGGCAGGTACAACATATTAGCTTTCGTTAGTTTCAGAAATTTTCTTCTTTCTCTGATTTCTTTCTTTAAAATGAGCATTTCCTCCATTTTATCCAGATTACCCGTGTATCCTAAACATGTGATTTATTTCGACAACCTGCACAGTTGCCAGAAAATCATTTTAAATTGATAATTAACAATCCTATTTAAGAACTTGAAGGATGTAACCTCCTCCAACAGGAAACAATCAGCTCTAGATTTGATAACAAAAGTGGAAAATGGAATCTCGATGGGTAGTTTGTGTAGACTCTAACTATAGTTATTTCATACTCAATTTAATTACAAAGTTCATTGTATTCATTGATGTCAAGCTATTTCGTTGTGATAGGCTTGAGATTTGAATCTATATGTCTAGCTAGACTGTATTTCCATCATTGTTTCTCTTGGAAGCACCTCTAGGATTTTTATTCTATTGCCTTGTGGGTTTTTAAATACTATGATAGTTCTGTCAGTTTTCTAGCTTGTGGTTGTTGATATAATTGTGTTGTTGGGCTGTTCATTCAGCCAGTGATATCTCCATTCTTTAGCTATAAAATGCAAGAATATATTAAACTTGCATGGCATATGCATTTGAAAATGCTCTCTAGTTGGTGATTACTATTATGACCTACAAAAATCACGATATAACTGAATTTCTTGTCTTACTACACCATGAATGCATTGAGGGGATGTAAGACTCAGACTAATGGGTAAAAGTGGTATAGACAATCATTAATTAGTCGTAGATGATCGTTGGAAGTGCCTCAGTGGTGGCTTGCTATAGGTGTTATACATAGTTTATTTTTGCAATATCTACTGCTCTGTTTATGCTTAGAAAAAAAAATTTTCCTCGGATTTTATTTCGGTGCCACTTATGACCTGTATTTGTTTTCCCACCGCTTCAATCTTACAAATGCATGAATTCCCCACTTACTAATTCATACCACATGTATCTTTAACTTTTTATATAAATGAAAGAGCATGCTTTCACATCTTAGTTATTGCAATGTGAAGCTGAGCTTGTATGAGGCTGCTAGTTGTAACATGCTACCTTCCTATATAACCCTGGATTTTAATTGCTGTAATTTGCTTGTTTCCATTTTTTTTACTTAATTTTTCATGTTGGTATCAGCAATGCTACATTTCAATTACCTGGATTTCTTGCATCACGGGTTTTTGACGAAGAAGAAGATGATGAGGATAATATTCCAACAAATTTGTGCAAAGAAGTTGGGGAGACATCATTTTCTAAGCTCACACCTAGCCGTGATCCTGAGAACTTGACCATCTCACCTGTTGATGGACGCCACCGGATATTAGAGGATGTTGATGGTGAATTAGAAATGGAAGATGTTTCTGGAAATCATAAGTATGAAAAACCATTGTTTGGTAGTAGTACCCATGAAGTTGCATCACTCGAGCCAAAGTCGGATGGGATCCTCGAATCAGCTTCGACTATTTCTGAGTTTTTGCCTTCTCCTGAGGGTTCTCCACCATTGCCACCTGGTTCCCCTCCAGTAACTCCACCTCTACCCACTTCACCACCACCTCCTCTACCCCCATCATGTCAGCTACCACCACCTCCTCCTCTACCCTCATCATGTCCACTACCACCCCCTCCTCCATCGTCTCCACCACCACCACCTCCGCCCCCGCCACCACCATCCTCACAGCAGCACTTGTTTCCTTCACCTGTTGGCCTGTCACCACCATTTCTCTCAAATCAACCATTGCCACCTCAAACTGGGTTGTCTCCAAGTATGCGTCCGCAACCATTCCCAGTGTCGAGTTCTCAGTCATTAGCTTATCTCCCAACTCCTTTAACACATGAAATTGGTGTTGCACCCACTGTGAGTCTTCTGGCATCCCCCTTTGCAGTCATTATGCAATTCTTTTAATACAACTGTACTATTCTCTGAACTTCTGTAGATTTTTAACGAACTGTCTTTTGTTCTAGGGAAATCAAGATACCCATATGACTTCCAATATCCGTGGATCTCATATTGATGCTCCTGCCAGAGGTGAAGTGTTTTCTCAGCAGTCATCTTTCTATCCTGCAGCTTCAGTAAGCAATGGACTAGAACCTACTGGCTATAATTCATCAAGGCCTCTAGAGCATGGACAAGGTGATGCATATGCTTCCCAAACATCGCAGCATAGTCAACCATTTATGCCTAGTAGCAGCGAATCCTTTTCACAGAGACCTTTGCATTTAGAGCCCCCACCTCAGCGAACAACGAGTCATTTTTCCTATTCCAACTTGGTCCAGCAACAACAGTATCCTCCATACTCGTTGCTGAATTTTTCTGATGGTCCAAGGAGATATGCAGGAGTTAATCCAGGTAACCTACTGTACAAAGTCATTAATGTATTATCTACTGGAAGTTATTGCCTTAAAAGATATTTATATATTAATATCTATAATAGGCTTTTTGAATGTGATAAATATGAATTTGTAGTTACTTGCCCCTGTATGGACTCGTAGCAGCAGTATTTATCATATTTGCTACCATTACTAGGATCTCCTAGGAGAGTTTGCCCCCTATTTGCTGGCAATCATTGGATTTGCTGTTTTTTTTTTTTTTTTTTTCTCTTTTGTTCCATGTGATCAATTATGTTGATCTTCCTCTGATGGAGCTGTCAAGAGTTTAGGGAGTAATACAAATTGTAATTTGTCCATAGCAGGTTATTATGTACCACCTTCTGAAAGACCTCCCATAAGTGCAATTAATATACCACCTCCCGCAGCAAATAGTGTTCCAGCATCTAATCCAATGCCAGGTGATGTTTCCAGTACAGACGAATTGCATGGCATCTATGATATTGGACAGTAATTTATACTGATTCATTACATCTTTTGACAGGTAATGGTGTTCCATTGATGACTTACAAACAAGACATTTCTTCCATAAATTGGAGACCAGCATGAGAGTAAATTTCTTGGTGAGTTTTTGGCTTTCTCCCTCTCAGTAATACTAGCCACTGTTTCCTTGAATCCCTGCTCTTTGTTGGGTAAATGGTTCCATGTAATCAGAACTCATGATCAGTGAGCATTTATAATGTTTCATGCAGTCTGTTTTATGTTGGGAACTTGGTTCTTTGTGTATCCTGTGATTAATACGTGTTGGTGCTCTTAAGAAATGAGTTAGCGCTATTATTAAATGGGACCTTATAAAACTTGTGCTTTCATTGACAAGAATGATATGAAAGTCCTTGTCACTTTTCTTCCGTGATCCTCTGTAATCGTGTTCTTTCTTCTAGAGTAACTGCAGATATACTCCTTTTCTCTTTTTGAGTTGCACTATGCAGCTCAGGCATGCAGTGAATAGAGAGAAAAATGTATAACCTCCAATGAGTGACGGGCACTTCAATAGAGTCAATTTTAGTGGTCTATATACTCAATTCACTTTCTTCTTTCTCTTCCTTTTCTTTCCCACTCATTCATTCTTTCCAGAACTTCTTTAAATGTTTATTTTCTTACAATATCAAAGTAATTTTCTGAGGTTATACTCTTAGAGTTTTTTTAGAGTTTTGGTGTTATGCTCTGATACTTGAACTGAAGCATATAGCAAGTATTAGTTGTTTATGGCTGGTCCGATATCCAAAATATCAGTTATTAGTTGTTTATGGCTTCGTGCATGGCAGCATCCTGCTCTTTTGTTTACAACTAAAATGATATTGTGCAAATATATATATATATATATTTATATATTTGTTTTCCGGGTATACTGTGGTTTAAAGTTCAAATCTATATTGTTTGTTTTCAGGTTTACATGGCAAAGGCGTACTGAATTGGCATCAATAATGCTTAAGCGGTCGATACAGGAAGGAGCACCCCCTTGTGGAGAGAATCCCCCGGCAGGCTTGTGTATATTAGAAATTTTCCTGACAAATGCTTCCCCGCACATTCTTCTAAGTGTAAGCCATTTTTGCATATTCTACTAATGCTTGTAGTTATACCGTATATCATAAAATATATACAAATTTATGGGGAGTGAAGTTTTGAACTTGATGAATGATGTTTATAAGTGCTTTTCTGTGTCAAATGCACTCTTTATAGTCATTGATTGAATGCATGTGACATGTACTTTTGCTGCGCCATAAGACAGTAGTTGGGGCAAAAGGATTTTGTGATTCCCTGTTTTAAAAATATTATCAAACATCAGTTTTAGAATGCCTTGCGAAGATCTTATTACCTCAGATTATTTTTTCATTGGCTTTCTACATGCACTACTTGCCATAATGTGTTTGCATAGTGTTTTTGTTTAAAATGCAAAATATTTGTTACCAAAGCTTCTTGATCACACTCCGATGCCTCCCTCCTTCATTCATTCATTCCCATCACATCTGCCATGAAATCGAAGTTTCATTTGTGTCCATACACTTTCTATCCGAGTATGCTGATGAACTGAACCCCATCTAGGAACAAATTTACTAGTATCTTCGCAGAGTCGAAATAGGATGGACCATGCCTTGAAGTAGAGTTTCCATGACTGAAAAAGCTGTCCTTAGAGAGCACTAGGCTGTATCTGTTGAATGCTATTTACTACATGTTCATTTTCGGAACATTCATTTATAGTCACATGCCTTGTAAGGTAACATGTTTAACCAATACTAGCGAGCCTACTCCCCGTCATCGACGACACATATCATATGCTATGGCCGAATCTGGGACCATGCCATAGTAAAAATCTGTTTATGTTTTCCCCCTGCCCTCATTGTTTTTACTCTCTTGATTACATGATTGTTAATTAGAAAATTAGCATTGTTTGTTTCGTGTTTTTTCTTTTTTCTTTTTTTTTTGATGATGTTTGTTTTTGTAACTTTATTTATAAGGTGGGTTTGCTTTGCTTTGCTTTACTTTGCCTTGCCTTGCCTTGTGGTTGAAATCACATCCAATCCCATGCCCCATGTGCAAATTGCATTATAATTTGGCAAAGGTGCACATCTTACATTTATTACAAACAAGTAAGCATTTATTTATTTGTCAATTCTTAATTATTTGACTTTCTGCACCCTCTTTTTATTTAATTTTAATTTAAAGTCTGTGGAATTTTTTTGGTGTGTTTTGTCCATTTCTTTGCTCTGTTTGAATTCATGCACTTTAATAGTGTTTAATTGAAGAAATTATGAGACTATTTATATTTGTTAGGCAGATACGTACTGCACAATTAATTATAATACTTATCCTCTTACCTTTTCATGCTTTAGGATTTTTCCACTTTGGTACCTTACTATTACTCTAAAATTTCCCTTTCATATTTCTCATTTAATTTAAATATATATATATATATAATTGATTGGTTGTTCATAATATAAATTCAAATTTCGCGAAGTACACTCCGTCAATTGCTCCTTCTGTATGGTAAAATTAATTTTGGTAAATTTTAATATTTATAACTGAATCAATTAATTGAGCGTATTTTATGGTTATTTTATTATATTGGTAAAAAAGCAGAAAGAGTGTAATAATATTATTAATTTTTATCTGGCTGACACGTACTATGGAATTTGAATATTCGATTCTTTTAAGTTTAATTTTATATATGTATTCTTTCCTAAAAGCGCGTGGGCCCACAAGAGCCCAAAGCCAATGAATTTATTTATTTAAGTTTTACATATGTTGACTTTTTATTAGTATTTTTTTTTTAATATTTTCGAAAATGGGGAGTCAGTAATAGGTTATTAGTTTAATTGATTAGTGTTTAGGTTTAAAGGAAAGTTAATTCTTCATATTTTTATAATTAATTAATTAATTGATTATTTATTAATATGAGTATTTATATAGGGGTTTGAAGGCATGATGTATGGTGGAAACGCGACGGAGCTGCAACGCGTCGCCGATTTTCTCACCTCGCCGGACGAGATCAGATCTATCTGTGAAATCGGCTGCTTATTCGTGAGAATCGAAGGATTTAGGTGGGGATAATGATGTCTTGAATTAGGTGTTGATTAATAGATACGTTGGTTCATAGATATTCGGAATCGTGTTATTTGTGAGGGGTGGATTCTGCGTGGAATTTGTTGGATTTGATATTCATGAACGATGTTTTGATTTACGCGTCGATCGGTATTGGAATCGTTTTCGCGAGTTGTTTGCCTTCTTTTTCCGATTTTTTGGGGACGGCCGATGGGTAGTGAGAGGTTTTCGTTGATTAATGGTGTCGGAGGAGGGGACGTAATGCACGCCGGAATAGTTGGATCGTTGCCGATGTCATCTCCGCCTTCCGACGCTCTCGGCGTTTGTGTTAACGGTGGGGGAAATTATATCATACATACCGTCTCGAAATTCGATACGCTCGCCGGCGTCGCCATAAAATACGGCGTGGAGGTATGATGATTTTCTGTGTAAATATTTTCGTTATTTTCGCGTATTTTGTAGATTTTACTGCAATCCAACATTAAACCTCCGTTTACTTCTTCCTTCGTTCGTTCCTCCTCCTTCGTCTTCGTCTTCGTCTTCGTCTTTATATATATATCTATACACACACACACACACATATTAAGGCGTTGCGTTGCTTTGTTGTTCCGTGTTGTTTTTTTCTCCTTTGGTTCACATTTTGGTGGTTTTCTCTCCTAGTCTGTTAATTTTGAGGTTTTTACTATCGAGTTATGGATGCATAACAATTTGAAGGAGAGAATAAAAATGTGGAAGAGGAAGAAGGCTGTAGACATCACATTACCTATTAGTGTAGCTGATTCTCCGATTCAAATGCGTTGCTTTTTGACTTGAGATAACATACAGTCAGCTTGTATCCATGATTTTTTAGATGTGAAATTTGGATTTGATTTTAGGTGGCCGACATAAAGAGGTTAAACGGGCTGGTGACTGATCTTCAAATGTTTGCTCTTAAAACACTCCAAATACCACTGCCAGGGAGACATCCTCCTTCCCCCTGCTTGTCCAATGGGAGCGACCTTCCTCCAAGGTACTGTATTTGTGTACTTCCATTTTCTGAACTGCATTCAATTTATTCCTTGAATTGTTTTCATTTATCTCTGATTTTTGTTCTTAAATTCCACTTGCACACTCTTTACATTGAATTCCAAAGAACTTGGTGGGATACTAATGTTCAGGACACTCTTAATTCAAGCCTTTTACATTAAAATAACAATTTATTTTACAAAAATGGCCAAAGAGATTAGTCTGTTCTATGTTGGGATCTTATTTGATATAATTTGGCTGCAGGCAGAGCAGCTCTCAGCGGTACGCAAGCTCAAGACACAAGGATATATTCGATTCATTTCCATCGCTGAAATTGAAGTCTTCTTCAGCACGAAAGGTGTCCTCGGCCATGATCAAACTGGAAGATTATTATGGCCTTCAATCAGCTACCCTAAAAGACACACCACAAGGTTTTGAAATGGCTATGTATCGAAGGGGGGGTCCCCATTATCCTGAAGACGTACACCACCCCGAATCTTCCCCGACACCACTAAGCCAACAGAGGAGATCAAAAAGCACAGCCAATTTCTTGGTATCCAAAAAGGGCCAAGAAACCCCAAACAGCGAATCAGATAAATCGAATGAGAAGTTGGTGAGGCGACGTCAAAAGTCTGTGGGTGATTTTACACTGCCAACCCCAGAAAAGATACAGGAGGGGTTAACTAATAACACTAATTCCAGTTCAATTACAGTTAAGGGCTTGCCTCTCAAGGCGAAATCCACCAACCGAGCAGCGGCCGGAGATGGCGAAGCTGGAGGAGGATTAGGCCCACTTTCTATAGGTTTGATGGATTCCATTTTAACTAACGTTGTCAGCATTGTAAGGAAGTCATCGAGCGCAACGAGTCTGCAGCAGGATTCAGAAAATGGGAACGGGACGATGTCTTCTATCTGGCCGGATTTTGAGGCGCTGTCGACAGTGGCCATAGCTAGGCCGATCTTCGATGGCTTAGCGAAGCCAGCAAGCCGAAGAAACAAAGCTGCCCTAGACTGAATCGATGTGTCGACTGCCTATCTGTTTCGATGGTCTATCTCCCTGCCCTCCCCTTCCTTTTTGAAACCTTACACGAGTATAGTACAATAATATCCATTCATTCATTCGTTTAGAAACACACCCAAAGATACACATACACACATATATGTATGTATATATATATATGTATATCCATATGGGAAGAAGAAGATGAGATGAACTCTTCTGGGACCTAAGTTAGCAGCAGCAAGTTCACCTTTTGGGAGAAATGAATTTTGGCAAGTAGATAACTCTGAATGTTGTTGAGGAAGTAATTGCAAGAGGATAATGGAAGTTGGAACCATCATTAGATCAAAATTCTCAGTTGGCACCAATATTCTTTACTGGCTTACTGCTATATATAGTCAGGTCACAAACAACATAACACTATATATGTCAAAGACAAGAGAAGCATAAGCAGGAAGTAAGTCAAAGAGAAGTCAATATACATAAATATGTATATAATGGCGGTATGAACATCAATCAAACTCACAAAACCTTAAAAACAGAAACTTGGACATGTACAAAGACACGTTGACACAGAAAGACTTCTTCTTCACAAGACAGTGTTGATATGAAGTGCTTTCAGAAGTGAAGTAGCCATTTGTTTCACCAAAACTTGGCCGCCAGAACTCTGCCCGTCCCTTCTCTCCTCGATCAAATTTTGAAGCTTCTGAGGCAGATTATTCTCCACAATCAGCTGCTTTGGATGAGGGTGGTGCTCATACACGGCCTGCAATTTCAGACGGAATTACAACAGAAAACCAATTCTAAACTGAAGTTTCGATAGATAATGCATATGCCAATACTGGTATGAAGAAATTAATGCAATGGTATAGGGATGCAAGTTATTCGCAAGGTGTAGAAAAGAATTAGCGATATACCTTTATCAATTTAAGCAGATTCAAACGAGCTATTGCGTCTGGATGATCAAGTCTCAAGATAAGGAGCGGTGTCAAACCATTTACTGCCAGAGTAGTGTTTATTCGAGATGATTTCCTGCAATTTCAGTTGCACATCACATGGTAAGTGAAACCAAAGTCCAGATAGACGTTTTGATTTAACACAGTCGATGCAGTACACGTATAGAGTATGTGAGAACATATCGACTTACGTGATAATTTTCAAGAAAGGTTCCAATATGTGCAAGAAGTGCTGCTCTGGACAGCACCGGAAGAATGCTACCAGCTTTTGCACAGCATCCTTTCTGAGCAAAGCTTGTTCGACTTTCCTGGTTTCATTGTCATGGGCTAAGCATGCTGCAAGTGAATCTAGTGCAGTCACAGACCACAGGTCATCCACAAGAAGGTTCAGATATACATCAAGTCCTCCATGAGCACGCAATTGCTCCCTCGAATTACGTGATGCATGGGCCATATCACATAGAAGCGGCAACGCATACTGATTTAAAGGAGAATCCGACACTATAAAATGCATTAAATGGGGAATGATCCCATTTTCTGCTGCTTGTTCTTGTCTTCTCTTGTTAATCTTGCAGAGGTTGAATAGTGCATTGAGAACCTGCAGCAAAGGAAACTAATTAGACAATGTCGAAAGGTGGGGTAAGGTATAAGAACTCAGTTTCTCAATAGCCAAATATCCCTTAAATATATAAATGGAAAAACAATGATATATAGATGCAATTTGGTCAAAAGAGAGCCTTGAAGTTTGTTTATCGAGATTATTAAGAGACCAAATAATAACTAGTTGAGCTGAATGCCTACCAGACAGCCTAATAAGCATAATTATTTCTACCCAGAAGACAAAATACTGGGAAAGACATCAATAGAAAAGGTTTGATGTTATACCTCATTATGGATCTGTGACACAAGTGCACCTTCTTTGAGATCAAGGTTTGGGATCAAATATTTGATTGCATCAGCTCGCTGAAGATGCTCTAAGCAATGCGGATCCGTTGACAGATGATTTATGCACCTCAACAACTACAAGAAACAAAATAACAGGGAAGTAATTTATATTTTTCTCGATATGTTAGATGAAGTTAAAAACAGAATATCTTCTGTACCTTTAGAAGTATTGGAGGCTCTATTTTATTGAACATCTGGAATAGGCGACTAAGCAAACTTTGGCTACACATGTAAGATTTCACAGCTGTATCAGCGGCAGCAAACTCAAGTAAAAGGTCTGCTACCTTTTCCAAATATTCTCGTGCAACATCAACATTCCAAGGTGATACCATATGAGAAAGAAATCCTGACGATGCTGCACTCCCTGGTCTGGCATTTAAAACTCCTGAACCAGACAGCACACCAGATGCTTTCTGTGATGCCAGTCCAGAGGTGGCAGCAGTTCCGCCATTCGTTGGATGAGGCCCTAACTTCTTACTAGCTGCTTGTGGTGAACTTCTCGGCCCTAAATCCAGGTTAGAGTTTTCCTTTCCTCGTCCTGAAACCTCTGTACAGATAAAATGAATGTTTTAGCATCATGTGATAAATAGACAGTTTGACCATAAGTTTTTTAGTAGCAAAACTAACACCAAAAGGTATAGTGATAATTGACGAGGAGAAGGCAAACTGGCATTTCAATGATCACAAGAATCAAAGCTGAGAAAACTAAATCATGTTTAGAAAAAGTTTAATTACCTGCAAATTCAGCCATTAAAAAGTCGAGCCCATTAGCTTTCTTTTCACTAGCTGCCTGCAAAAGAGGCAATATGCTTTCATGTTTCTCCACCCCTGTAAGGTGCCGTACATACTCCAGCTGACCAGAGAAATGGCGTGAAGGGGGTTCTTTATCCAGTAAACTTAACAGTGGTCGAACTTGCTCGTGTTGGATACCACTCTGAGCAGATGATCCATTTGTTGTCGAATCCACTGACTTTGAAGCCCTGTCTGTGGACATTCTACCTGTCGCAGTAACATTTCTCTGCTGCTTTATGTCAACTTCCGGTCTAGGAGGTTCATTCTTCCACCGATCTACAGTTTCCTGGTCTCTAGAGATCGTTGGGTAATCTTTTATAACTGGACTGGATCCTTTGTCCAAATAAGCAAGATCTACCCCTCTTGAAGTACCCGGAGCCTGCACTGTAGCAAAACTTGATTCAAGTGAATGTGATACTGATGCACGCTCTTGCAGTCCAGGTTGCGATGATATATGGTCTCCTTGCTTAAATTTAAGGTGATCAGGCAAGTCACTCCCGTATAGCGCAGTGTCCATTTGCACAGAAGGACTGGTAGTCTCCAGAGGGCCTGATCTTGGCCTTCCAGCTATACCATCAGGAGGGAGCCCACCACTGGATCCTATTGAAGCTAGACGAGTTGCCTCATTTAAACTATAAAGAGTGTTGATAAGTCTATATAATATTCCACTCTTGGCAGCTATACGACAAAAATCATTTCTAGAGGTAGATTTCTGAAGCTTGAACACCTGCCACATGCCATCAATAGCCATATGAACCATTTCCCTGGAATAAAAGGCAATGAGAACAATTAGTTGGTAAATCCAATAAACAAAATTGGAATCCAATGGGTTCATACAAACGATTGTATGGGCTCAAGAAAGTTTAAATAAAAAGATGCAACCATTAGGACTACAAGTCCTTGTTCAGCATGAAACAACTTGAAAATTTTGCTCAGCTTCTTTAATCTAGCTATTGTGAACATTCTGACTATAACGAAAAGGTCTTCTTTGCTCCCTAAAAAAAATTCTATCTGAAGAGGCCTAGAAAACTAACTTTGGCACAAGAGACCTTCTAATTGGCAAAGATTGAACGGCATATAAAAATAAACTGCAATGAATACTTTGACAAAAGTCCTGACCTGTACTTTGCATAATCAGCCTCCAGAAAGCCAACCAATATGGGTATACCACGACAAGCAATAAACATCTGCAATGTCAAGGAGCTGCAGGGAAAATAATTTTATCAGAATCCAAACAAAATGACTAATACCAAAATAGCAGTTCTGAAGCTGGAAACTAACCTTGATTGACAAAGTTGCTGAAAAAAATGCGCTGCTTCTAAACGGACCTCCCGGGGACGCTCATGCAGAGCAAAGCTCATCACAATAGGAATCTAAGGACAAGTACAGTTAAGAATAGTAAATGATACCCCCAAAAAACAAGAAGCCTTATAGCACATTTGATTTTCTTGTATAGCGATTAACATAGGATAGTATCACTACAGGATTAAAATGATGTCATATATCACATACTTCTTAACCTAAATAGTCAAGGCAGTGGATCCAGAGCATAAAGTAAATACAAGTGAAAAAAAAAAATTAACATCAACAATATTCATAAATAAAAAAATAGTCTCGACTTTTTTTTACCCCGCACACACGCACACACCCACCCCCACCCACCCAGGATCGAACTTGAGATGCAGTCCCCAAGGGGGGGGTGGGGGGTGCCTCCCGCTTAATCTACAAGGACTTGGCACTTTACTAAAAAAGACTGCAGGAACATGTTCATAAGATATGCGACAACCTTCCATAATACGCCAGCTCATTCAAACATTCCTCATTTAGTAATTATTCGTCAATTTTTCACATCATGTTAGATTGCCTTCTCAATTTAATAAATGTTACTACTTCTAAATTGGACATTTTCAACTAGTCAAATTTAAGAATATCTTTACCAGGCCAACCAAGCAGGCATTCTCCAGAAATTCAGTATTATCTTTAATTACTTGGTTCAGAACTTGAAGCACAGAGCATATAACCTGGATTTTGGGGGAAAAAATAAAGCAACACATGGCAGTGAGAATACAATAACTTGGTGCATATAAAACCAGACAAGGCATTTCATTGAGCATCTTGCAAGGTTACATACACGCGTTCGAGGAACCTCAAGTAACTCCATTAGAGGAAGAAAACCATATTGTGTAACAAAAATAATTTTCTGCTCAGGTCGCTGATGAAAGAAGGTAGTCAGTTTCTGACAAGAAGAAACTATAACGTCTTCAGGTTCATCTGGTCTCAGTGATGACACTAATTTGCTAAATTCAACAGCCTGTTGCACAGAAAGATAAGGAAGTTCAAAAAGTGGATCCACAGTTTTGGGTTAAAAAAAAACACAATCATTGTAGAAGTAGGATAAAGATAAATTAGTAGAACCATTATAGATTCGAGAGAATAAATTAAAGCCCGTCATAAAGCAACAATCAAGCTCTGAGATAATCATGGATGCATAATGCCTTAGTGGGTTCACGAAGTACAAAATACTTAATGTTGAGTTGGATGGCAGCCAAAACAAAGACAATAAGACAGCACAGAGAAATTATAAGTTGTTTTTCCTTACCCTGCAGAAGATCATGACATGCCAAAATTCTTTAATTGCCTGAATTGTCCACACAATAAACATTTTCTATTTCTAAATGTGGCAAAGTATTTAATATTGTTTAAAGAAAATTTCCAGTTACATTTTACCTTCTGAAATAGGTGTAGAAACTGACATAAAGTACCTGAAGGTGAAGATTTTCTGCGGGCAGTTTCTCTTCAAATCCCTGATACATAAGCATGGAATAAAACAATGAGTATAGGCATTCAAGTGAGAATGCAATAAATCAATTTCTAAGTATAAAATACCAGAGTTTTTATATCAATAGCTTCTTCCTTTAAAACTCCCATCACTAGACGAAGTATGTCACCGCCATTTGCCTGTGAAGATTCATTCTCCATTTGCTTTTGTGCAATTTTTGCCCTCAGCGTTGTAGCCAGATCATTCTTTCCGTCATCAGAGACTGCATGGCCTTGAAATGCATGTGAAGAGGATGAAGAAGTAGAGGCTTCAGTCACCTTATGCTCGAAGGGATGAAATAAGTCATCCAAAGAAGCATCACCAGGAGGATCACTGAATCTACTAAGCTCATTTTCTTCGGTACTGAATGATTCCTTCACAGCCTAGACGGTTGGAACAATAAAATGTTAATAAACACTACGCTATATATGATGCTACTAAATCATAAATGGAACAAAAAAAACGAAAAAAACGTCCAATCTATATGACAATTATTGAGAAGTAGCCAATAGTTTTTCTATTTAAGATCGTGAGAGTCCTTGGAAACTTTGCATAGTAGAAGAAACTAACGTTTGACCACAATTGGTAGCAAAACTAATGTTTAAGCAAGACATGTTAGCGGCGTTAAATTACTTTGAAGATGAGATTTGGAAAGAAAATATTATGTAATAGGAGATGTTAGATTACTATCAAAGGAAGGAGCTCTTGATAGAGACATAATAAGACACAGAGGGACTAAGATGATTGGGACCATGAAACTAATCGGACAAAGGAGCTGAGATAGGGGCCGTGCCCGAAAGATCTGAACAAACTGTAATTGCTGAAGCTACAGCCAAACTGGAATTACTTCAAAGATGAGATAACGGGATTAGTTGCAGCGTTACTAAAATCAATAACATCTTTAAGTGAATTATATAAAGAACCAATGTATAAAGATAAGCATACATGAGAAGCACACCACTGCTTAATTATTTGGAAGACTCACTCCAGTCTTGCACTATTCATCTTCTTCCTCTCTCAAAACCATCTAATAGAAAATGTCCATTTAAAATACTACATTAAAAATATTTCTCATTCAAAATATAGTTACATCTCATCAAACCTTATTTCATTTCACACTTTTACTATTCCCGAACCCCAAATCCCCATCCAAACAAGTCCTAAGACATTCAAAAGCAGCATCTGATTTCAATCAGCAAACTACAACATGGTCTCATTAATGCCTGTCCTTGAGAAAGCAGAGCCATACAAGAATTGGAATAATTTGGCAAACCCTCTTTATAGCTTAAATTCTTCTCAAAGCAGAACATACACCTACACCCAAGTATAATACTCCCTCCGTCCCGAATATTTTGTCCGTTTTACTGTAGACACGGGAATTTAGAAGTGATATAATTAGTAAATAATTAAAAATATATTAGTGAAAATAATTATCGTATCGTATATTAAGATTAAGATAATTGATTAGTATAATTAAAATTAAAAAAAAATTATAAATTAAATTTTTTATAAAAAGATTAAAGTGTATAATTCTTTTCAAAAAAAGAAAGTGACAAAATAAGTGGGACGGACGGAAATGAAAAGGTGGACATGAGATGTGGGACGGACGGAAATGAAAAGGTGGACATGAGATGTGGGACGGAGGAAGTAACATTTTTTCAAAAAAAAAAGAAAACAAAAATAGTAAATCACATATTTTTTCAGAAGAAGGAAGAAGAAATAAATTTGCACCAATAATTGGCTTCCCCAAGATAAGAGTTTAACACTGGTATCCTAAAAACTATTAACAGCTAGTAATTTAATCAACTTTCAAGAAAAGCATTATCTACCATTTTATTTGTATCAGAAAATACATATATATAATAAATAAATGCAATAAACGCAACAATCCAAAGTACCTTCCTTGGGCTAGGATTCTGATTCTTTTTACCAGAGTCAACTTGGCCATGCTGAATAGCAACTGAACTTTCCTTTTTGTCAATTATTCTAGCAACAACATTTTGCTTTGTGGGATCTGCAGGCTCCAAATCACCATTAGCCATCACTACATCATGCAGATTCATGTAGGATGTTTTGCGTTCAGCCAAATCAGAAACTGATGCCTCGTGAGTATCTTCTGGTTCAGACGCACTAGAATGCATGGGTGATTTTTCATGAATTGCTAATGTCAGAACTTGATCTGAGACCACATCTTCGTCAAGGTTATCTGTCCTTTCTTCAGTAAGATTAGATGTAGAATTATCATCCTCAGAGGACTTGCTGATGCCTGACACCTCAGATGGCAATGTTTTTTTACTTTCCTAAAAAACAGAAAACACATGTAAGATAGAAATATTAGACAAAACAACACTTACAATTGTAGTAAAAACACTAGAAGGGAAAGCAGGTGTTGAGTCACAGCATTACAACGTATTATGTACATGAAGATCTCAAAAATGATTACTTTGTTAGCAGAAGAGTTTTCCCCATCATGCTCTTGTTCACCAGTGCGCAGTTCCCCATCCCGAGATCCAGTTTCTTCAATATTTCTGCAAAATTGCAGCATTTTTTTGCTCAATATTGCTTCATCACGATGCTCATTAGTATAGAGCTCAGATAGTAGCATTGGAGAGAATAAGAAAAAATAAAATAAAAAAGGAGAAGCAGCACTTCACAAGAGCAAGCAAGACTATCATGCTGCTATCAGATCAGGCACACAAGTAAACCTTTCAGAGTATATTGTAGGACACAACCATCCCAATGTCATTTCACAGCAAATCCTTCAATGTACTAAAAACTTCTAGGGTGTGTTTGTTTGAGGTTTGGGTTCTAAAATAGTATAATTTTGAATGAGTAGTTGTTGGATGTGATATAAATAGGTGTGATGTGATATTTTGAATGTAAAATTGATTTTTAGTATAATATACAAAATGAAATATAGGGGTTTGATTTGATGTTTTTAGAGGGTAAAAAGTCAGGATAGAACCAAAAAAAACAAGAAAGAAAACCAGCCCTAGTTTATCTGGAATAATACATCATGAGGTTTCAGGCAGAGTCAATTACCATGATTGGGGCAAGAAATAGCATTATTATGTGATGAAAACACTGTCGCACCCAAAGAACAGAGAAAATACCATTCACAACAAAGCAAATTAATAGATTAGGGAGGGATTTGGTAGAAAATGGTGTGTTCCAAATGCTAGACCTTAATGTTCCAGTATGTCGAAGAGAATTCTGCAATACACGCCTTGAGTTTTGAATCCAAGGGTGTGAAAGTAATGTCCTTGCATCAGGCCTCTGCCTGGCATCCTGAAATCCCAAACTAAATGTCAGATGGGATCAGTTTTTTCAAACACATGTAAGTAAAGAACTTCCACGGTTTCATAGGTTGTGTATTATGGCAGTATAGCATCAGCAAGATCATCTCAAATTTAAATTGGTTAGAGTTAGCACAGGTCCGCTTGAGAGAATAGCCAAAAAGAAAATCACTCCAAAATTTTCATAAAAAAACAGTAAGCAAATTCTAATACTTTCTCACTAATCAAATCTGGGAACCAAACACACTTATCAGCATTTTTCATAAAGTAATTAGGATATCTTTTTAGCTATACTTAACTTACAACATGAATTCTAATTTAGCACCATTTTTTGAGAAAAAAAACACAAAAAAGAAACAAATTTTGTCAATTTTAGGAGCCAAAATGAAACGAGACAAGTAAAGAATATTAATCACAGCAAGCTTTCAAGATGACCTTCTTAAAGCACTGACGCAAGAAATCAGTTATAGCTGGAGATAGGCCATCAGGAATTGGAGGGTGCTCATCCTGGATAAAGAAAAAATTGAAGGGTTAACTTCAAAGAACCAACAGTAACATAGCGGCTACAACAGGTTCAATAAGCTTGTTTTATTTGTCTCAATATCTTATGCCAATATTGGAATATATCCTTAGATTTGCTCCTAGTCAATCTCTGTAATCAGCTGTCAAAACTAAATAAATGAAAATTTTCCATGCAACAACCAAATTCTTTTCCGGCTACCGATGGGCAGGGTAAAATTTTATAAGTAATAAATGAAAAACTGGCACGATGTCATACACAAAAGATCATTACCATTCCATGAAAATTATGTTCAACAATAACAAAGAGGATGAGGACTATGACAACGCAGACCTGACTTTTACCTGTACAATTCTAAATAGGGCAGGCATGGGCTGCAGATCATAGTAAGGCGGAATACATGTGAGGAGTTCAATCACAGTGCAGCCAACACTCCAAATGTCCGATGCAGCACAAACCCCTGACATTTCAATAACCTGCAATCAGACAACAATGCTGAGTATATACTCCACCATGCTGCCATTCCATGGTAAACTTGATAAAATAAACAAATTGCTATTTCTTGATAAAATTGAAGCAAAGATGCAAAAGAAACAAGTAAATTGGTGTCAGAATCCAATGAATAGTCATGCAACCAAAACACCCTATCAAGTGGAGAATAGAATAAATATGGGGTAAATTGAGCAGAGCTCCCATTATAAAGCAAGGATGAAGAAGAAACAAGTAAATTGATATCAGAATCCCATGGTTAGTTGTGCAACCAAAACAACCCTATCAAATAGAGAAGCATAAACACATATAATCTTTCTCAAGGAACAGGAACATAGGAAACCCCCACTTTATTCCCTATTTTAAGCTTTTAACCTTTTTACTATACATACTGTTCTCGAATTTCCTAGTCTTAAATAGGAATAAATTTTTTATAAAGTAACGTCTTAAACAGTTTTATGTTGTTTCTCTCCGTGTCCAACATCCTAACTTTGCCAGCCAGAGTGTTGTGCCAACTCAAGAGAATAACTTCAAAAGTTGGTTCCAACTTATCAACCAAAGGTGGAAAATAATAATTAATACAAACTTGAATTAATGTTTTAACAATAAACATTACAACATATACATAAATTCAATTTGAAATGATAGATCAAGTCACCCTCAAAACTTGGGAAAGAATAGATATACCTCGGGGGCCATCCAATAAGGTGTTCCAACGACAGAATGGGTATTAACATCTGCTTCATTAAGTTTTGTCGCAACTCCGAAATCTGCGAGCTTGACAAGACCCTGAAAGTATATGCTAGTAAAATAGATGACGGATTTGGTAAATTAATACATATATGCCTGATTCATGATGTGTGTGGATATATATAGCATATGAATCAAGTCAAGCAATTTGGGGAGGGAAAATAAAGGCACAGCACATCAGGACATTTAAATAAAAAGTCGACTAAAGGTCACATCATATTATCATCAAGAAACAAACAAAATCCACAATAAAATGACGGCAAAAATACGTCACAAAGAAAAGCAGTATCCCGACAAACTTAAACGCACCTCTTTTGTTGTCAATATGTTTGCTCCCTTGATGTCTCGATGAATTACACCTTGTTCGTGCAGATATACAAGACCTTCCAATACCTGATTATAGAATAATGCTAGAATTTGAAACCAAATCAAATTAATTAAGAATCAGCCAGCACATGAAATTCGAGATCAGCGTAAAACCTGGGCTATATAAACAGCGACCAGTGACTCCGGGAAAGGTCCAAATTTATTCGGCTTAATAATGTTCGCAAGAGATCCATTCTCCACGTACCTTGAGAAAATAAACAAAATTAATAGAGATTCTGACAAAGGATTCTTAATTGTCTTAAAGTTATGGTATTTTAGTATGTTGAGGAGTAGTTAGAATCTCAACTTACTCGAGTATAATGTGAAGATGAGATCTTGTCTTCAATGACCCAAGATATTTTACAATGTTTTTATGATTTAAATTCTGCAAGCAAATGGTCACGCAACAACAAGATTAGACTATGAAACAAAGTCATAGCTGTGCAAGTTTTTTTATTTTTTATTTTTTTGTTTTTTTGAAAATTAGCTGCTTTCGAGACCAAATAGAATGTTGCCCACCTAAAATTAAATATAACCTAGCAAATTATGAATGAACATGAGGGGAGTGGTATAGCAGGTAACATATTAGCATGGTTCATAAGGTTGGATTCAAGCACCCCACAATAAATCATATAAATGTAACGAGTACAAGCAGTAAACATGAGATTTACCCTTAGCAAATCTATTTCTTGCTGTCAAATTTGGATCAGCCCGGCCGAATGGAGTTGTGCCGTGGGAGAAATGAGCAACAATAAACGGGTGAGAAGTCATGGAAATCATAAGCAAACAATAAGAAAAAAAGTTGCCCAGAAAGTCTCCAATAAGATAGAACCAAATCGAGTTATTCCGAAGCAAATTGCCATACCATAATAATATTAAGATCCTCCTGAGCAATGTTCTCGAGAGACACTTGCTTAATTGCAACAAAATCACCGTTCTCCAAGTCCAAACCCTTGTAAACTCTTCCATAAGCCCCTTTCCCAATTTCATCCCCAAGCATCTGCAATAAAACAATGACTCCTCAAAAAGTTCATCAAGCTCACAAAACAATTCCATAAACAACGCTTCATCTAGAGCACAAACATAGGACAATGCCTACATATTTGTTGTCAAGGGTTTTTGATTTGTGGAAGGCGGAAGACGTCATTTGCCGAGCCATCCCCTTCACTTCCGACGACAGCGAACCCTAACTCAAGAGCAATTTCAACTCCATTCAATTTCGTACATTATCGCATACATACATGTATGTATCTCTCTATACAAGCTTTCCGAAGTGAATCAACAGATAGTTCACAAAGCTCGCCGACGGAGGAGAAGATCGGGATTGCAGCCTCTTCCTTCCTTCTCCAATTCTACTCTCAGTCAATAAGCGCTGTAATTTTGAGCTCTGATACTTATACGAGACAAGTTAATGCAATTATGCAATATTTTCTGTCTTTAGAAAGTGTAGAAGAAAAGGGTAAACATGTCCAGTCAGGAGCATGCTGTGGCCAGCCTGGCCTCCATTTTATTTCCTATTTAATTAATTATTATAAATATCTACCGTAAATATATCAGATTTTCATTTTACACTTCTATTTTTTATTTTTTCGTATTTTTCGGGATTAATATACCGTGAAAGTATTGTTAGTATTAATATATTTTGTGTGTTTGTTTTGTATATATATAATATCTTTTATAAATCAGGTGAAAATGAAAGTATTAACAAACATAAGTATATATATATATATATATTTTTATGTTGAATATTGACAGGATAATATGCATATATATTGATAATTATATCCTATAAAATATTGAGAAATAAATTCTTTATTTTATGTTATTTTATTTTACTTATTTTATTATATTTAATTTTTATTATAGTATTCTTTTAATATTATATGTAATATATATATATTATATTGTAATAAAATTTTAATGTAATAATATTATTTTATTCAAAAATTAATAGATGCAAATGTAAAATAAAAGACACAAAAATAAACTTAAATATGATCAAATGTATGCGTAAAAATTATTACTGAAAATATATATATAAGCTGATTTTAGTTATAATTATTTTCAATATTTTTTATTAGTTAATTAAATTTTACCACACAATGTCATTACAACAAAACGACAAATAATACCACAACAATAATAAGATCAAGATCAAGAATCGTCCCAATATAAATAGCTTTTATTATAACATATTGTATCATTTTATTATCTTAATAGATAAAAGCTAAATACGATAATATTTTATACCAATCAAAAAAATATAATAGTTTGCTCTAGAGTTATCGATTATAAAATTTTACAGAAAAAGTTCTAAATGATGAAACTATTCAAAAGAAAAAAAATCTTATCTAATAGTAAGAAACAATTAAATATAAAAATTATTCAATCTATACCTATATTTTTTTTTTTCATTGTTTTCTTTGTGCACCTTTCCCTCGACTGACTTTCATTATCAGTCTTAGAACGTATTCAATGACTGGAGGGAATTTATGCTTTTTAACAGTTAGATTACTACCTATGAACTTCAACAAGTTTACTAGAAGCTCTAAACAAATGAACAAGTTTTAATATATTTATAATAAGTTTTATAAATAATATGCATCGCAATATAAAGTGTAGTATAAACAAATTTAAAAATATCTATATAATCAATAGTAAAATTTACATAAAATATATACGGTATATTTATATGATTTCTAATGCAACAGTGCATTAAACACTTGTGAAGTCATGTCTAGTCTTCTTTAACTCCAAGAGTTTCGACCACCTTCTATCGATGGAGGCAATATTTTTGGCGCCGACATCTGAAAAACACAACTCAAATTTTGAGGGTCGACAAAGTTTATTTTCTTGTATGTGTAGTATACTAGCAAGTGGATTTATTAGTGTTTCTTACATAGCAATTTAGGTTTGGATTTCTCACATGATTCTGAGCAATATTCCTGCATAGCCACAAACAACATTAACAAATCAAGAATGTGCCAATTTCCATACACATATATAATTCATTGTATACATACTTTTTTAAAAAAATTAATGATATTCATTAATAGTATTTTTATTTAAGAGAATTACCTGCAAAATATCACATCAAATGTTTCAAAAGCTTCTATCAAAATGGATAAGTTTCTAGGATGGTTTGAATACAGAATATTACCCTAACAGAGGTGGCCAGGCGCACTGTGTCTTGTATTAACGAATCAAGATCGGCTTCATATCCTGGCCTTACATAAATAACCTACATGCAATGTTAATAAACACAATATGAACTTTTTTTTTTTTTTTTAATTATTATAAAGTTCTATTAAGAGTGTGTTCGTTTGATGGATTTGGATTAAATTCCACTATTCATCCAAAATTTTCCCCCTAAAAACATCAAATCAAACACCTATTTTTCATTTTTTATATTATACTAAAAATCAATTTTACATTCAAAACATCACATCATTACCTATTTATATCACATCATACAACTATTCAAATTCAAAATTTTTACTATTCAAATCCCAACTCAAAATTCAAACCCCCAAACAAACACACCCTAAAGAAATCTTGAATTGAATTCGTGACACAACATATTTGCATCGTGCTTAATTTTGATTAGAAGTTTAGTGATAGTACTATGCTCATTATTATATAAACATGTGTTGAAATGTATTGTTTTCTATGAGCAAAATTTCTCAGAAGCATGTCGGCTAAAATATAAAAGACCCTCAAAGACGATGTAGATATCGAAGAGAGGGAGTTGGAGACATACCGAAGGATCATCGCCGCCGATTTCAGGAAGATGATGAGAGGAGTCTGATCTAGCTTGTCTTGTTGAGGGAAGAATCCATACTCGGAATGTAGTATTGATCTAAAATATCCAGTGGATGGTTGAACACATTCATGTATATATATAGACAACTGTTACTATATTGAATTTAAAATCGAATACAAAGAATAGAGACAAACAACTCATGAATTGTTTTATCGTAATACAAATGCAACACAAAATATGGATAAAAATATTACTATCTCCACGCCACCGGACCATCTCTTATGGGATTAAAAACATATGTTGTTTGTATGTTTCATGTGTTGAATGGGACAAATCTGATTTGCCCCCCATTTAGCACTGTAACCATTATGTATATACATATATGTATGTATGTATTGAAAGCATTGGATTATATGCACCTCTCTTAGAAAGGGGGTGCAGCAATTGCAGCATTTTCTAGTGAAGCATGTTGTGATCTTCCCGTCCACAGACAGCCCTAATCCGGCATGCTGCAACCAGTTGATGGAGGGAACGTTAATGGAGAACACGCACAAATATGTGTGTGTGTGTATGTGTAATTGACCTTGTGGATGCAGAGGGTGATGCAAACATCAGTGTCCTTATGAGCATCATCAGGGAGGTCATGGAGCTGCAACTCCTGGAGAGAAAATGTGTAGTCACACGTCCAGTTATCATGCCATCTCCCATCCGACGGCGATATCTTAATCAACCGTGGCTTGCTCTTCTTCTTCCACACCTGCTTCCCAACAAACGCGCGTATCACCTCGCTTAAACAAAATCGAAGCAATGGAGGTTGTTTTGTGTGTGTGTGTATTACCATCGGATGTTCGTTTCTCTTACAATTAACAGCTGCAGATCTGATAAGCGGATTTCGCGGGCATCTGTTGGTGCTGATGTTTCCACCCGACGACGATGATGGAATCCAGTGCATTGCTCCACCAGCCATCCCTCTTCGATCTAAGCTCCGTACACGCAAAGACATAGGCAGAGATATTCTGTTCTCCCTACGGATGGTTATATACAACCTTATCTCCAGGAGACTCGTTGGCACCAAACTGGACAATCAATTCTGATATTTTTCATGGAGTAAAAAGCTTAGATTAACTGCAGTTATACGCTGGAAGGTAAAATAATTTACCGTATATATATACATACGTTTTTTGCTTTTTGGACTGTTTTTTGAGGTCGTGGTTTCTCCCGTCAAGCTTCACGTTTCTTTGTGTGGTTGATTCTTCATCTGCTTCGGCTGCTGCCGTGTAACATTTTCAAACTGGGCAGCTCCGTTAAGCGGCGTCGTTTTGAATCCAACTTGAGGAGATGACGAGTATTCTGACCAGTCGCCCATGGTTGCCTGCTGTAAGAGAGAGTTTCAATTTTCTCCGCAACGGAGCTGATTGCAGATTCCTCTGTTTTGGTTGTTCGAATCAGGACGCCCACGTGCGAGCCACTGCCGGCGGCGGTCTCAAGCGGCGTCGAAGTAGGCATTCCCCGGTCGTTTTCGCCGGTAAATTGGAGGATGGAGCTGAAGAAGACGATGGCGACTCCGAGGCTGAGCATGATGCCGAGCGGGAAGATTCTGAAGAAAGCGGGAGTAGCTCTGTGAGTTGAATTTCTCTAACTTTCTACTCATTCCTTTCTCCTGTCGCATGTCTTCTGAGATTAATTTAGATTGGGGGTGACATGAATTTGGCAGCCATGGATTCTACAGAGTGTCTAATGTGCTGCACAAATAGATATCAGTCTATGCAGAATGAAAACCCTAGTAAAATGGCTAGGCTCAATCTACACGGCAATTGATCACACATGTTAGGAAATAAGAACTGGCCATGGTGTTAGGCATACACTGAACAGCCAAGGAATGATCACGAAACATGTATAGACTAAAGTAGAAATCCATAAATGTGTTGCCAATGCTTGATCATGCAAAAGATTAGGTTCCATCTTGTGCTTTAAACAGTTACAGCTTCATTCTGCCACAAATAAGATGCATATGAGCTCTATTAGTTGGTAAGTTTAGATACTATGGAGGGGCGATGCCATGACAGAGGGATGTTGAGTGCTTGATCTTAATGTTTGGTTGGTTTTATCTGTTGTGGCTGTTGTGGTTTAGAAAGTAGAAGTCGATGGAAGATGGCTGGCCTATCCTTGTAGCGATGTTATCGAGGATTTGTGTAAAAGCATGTTATGCATCTAGTCGTGTAACTTAGTTAATGCCAAAGCCGACAGGTGGTTGCTCGGTTATTCATAGAGTATGAAACATGATTAGTTCAAGCATACTTCATTTTTGGGCATCGCCAGTGTTGATGCAATTTTTCAACAATAAAAATTAAAATCCAAAAAATAAAGAAATATCTTCGAATTTGATAGATGAGTGCCCGAGATTAGGAATCTCTAAACACCGTACCGTAGAATACATAAATAAAAATAGGAAAATATAAAATAAAGACTGAAAAATAAAGTGGTGATCCCCAAAAGCAATTCTCGTGAATTTGATGTCAATTGAAGATCCCTCCTCTATATAGTACGGAATCTTTAAATAACTCTTTGAAGATACGGTTCGAACCGCTATCCGGTCGGTTACCATAACCGCTGTTAACTCCCCAAAAAGTTCTCTTCTATCGACACGTATGAGAACCGTCCTATCACGTCCGACCTTTGAAAACTGCTCGCCAGCCGAAACTACCCTCCACTATCAGAAACTGTTTTTTACCCGACACGCAGGATAGCTACTTTTACTGCCTGACCTTTGAACTTGGTCCGACTTCAATGTCCGATCTTCTTACGCCCGACCATTGGAATTTGTCCCGACTAGGTCCGACTTCACTATCCGAACTATTTAGTCCCGACCAGGTCCAATCTCATCATCCGTCCGACTTTCTTACATCTGACCCTTGGACTTTGTCCTGACTAGGTCCGACTTTAACATCCGAACTATTTGGTCCCGATCAGGTCCAATCTCATCATCCGTCCGACCTTGGAGATTTACCCGACCAGGTTTGATCTTAACATCTGACTCTAAGTTCATCCGACCCGATTACTGCAATCCTACCTGGACTTTCAAAAGCCCATTAGACGTTTCGAATAACCTAATCTTGGCAGGCCCATTCCCTAAAAACCTATCCATCATTTTTAGTGCTCAACAACCAGTTTTCTCGCAGTAGTTGCAAGGAGTGATGGATGCGACGAGCTGGCACAGACACTTATGTTGCCTTTCACACTATCACATGAAATTGAGACACAATTTCGTAGTGTATGGTGATTAGAAAATGTTCTACATGTTACCGTGGAGAAAGCATACTGATCCATGGTATTGCAGATTAACAGTGATATCCTCAGGGCAAACCTCGAAAGAATTGTCGGGTCAGATGACTCCAGCTTCAGTGGAATTGATCTTGCCACTCTTATAAGGAATAAATATGGGAGGTCATACGACGTCCAGTTGATCAAGAAGGTACATCACTTACATGCTTTTTATTTTGGCCCTTATGGTTCTTTTATTCAAGCTCCAGCTGAATAGGTTGAGAAATTAGTTTTCTATCCGGCAATGCAGGAATTCATGGGCAGAAATCTCCTAGCTTTGAATGTCATGTGGAAGTACATGGAACAGGTGAGATTTCTTCTCTAGCCAGCTGCTGTTCGATTTGGTGGTTACTGCTTAGAGCTCTATTTTCCTATAATGTACATCTTAAAAAGTTCCAAGTATGTGAAAAGGGGCAATTCTAAAATTCCATATATATGAGAAAAATTACAGAGAATCAACCAATATGTATATGTACTTAAAAAACTAGCCGTAAGTTCCTTATGTCTTAGAATGGTATCCATTTTGTCCAACCGTTTCTTGATTGATTCTCTACGAGTGATAGAATCCTCCTCAAATCTGCTGTCTCAATCTCAATCTTCTGTTGCTTGCATTGGCTTAGAGATCATTCCCGCTGACCGAAGAAGAGTACATATTGAGACTTGACGGTGTAGCCAACACTTTAAAATGTTGGGGAGCTGTCTCGCATGTCCGGAACAGTCTTCAGAAGTTGAAAGAACGACCTCGGATAGGAAAGGTATACATACATTAATCTTAATCTTATCGAAATGCCAATGGTTATACGTAGTAACTCTGTGTTTCCTGCAGGCCGTGAGCATCTTTATCGACATGGATGAGTCGGGAGGCCGGGCAAAGGAATGGATATACAAGTAGACACAAAATCAACCAAAAGAAATGCCTCCAATGGACACACTTGGACACAAGATTACATCTCCTATGCATCGCAACTGTGGACTTCTAGCTCAACCTATTCACTCTAGTCACTTACAGTTACAGGCGTAATGTAATGTAAAAAAATTATGAAAGACTCTTGCTTCTTGTATAGCTGCAGTGTTAAATAGTTCACACTGCCGGAGAGGATGCTGGGTTGATGCAATTGTATTTTTTAGTAAATTTGATAATAAACATATTTTGACAGGCAAAATTATAATATACTAATAAATGAACTTTTTTCTAAAAGCATTTTGGACATAATTTTGTTTAAACTGTATGATCTATTTTGAATATTGGATCTATGTTTTTATGTTCAGTTTATTAAATTTTGATTTCCTTAAATTCTTCTATTATTTCGCAACATAAAATTTATATTTAATAATACTAATTATTTATTCAAAACATTACTATATATATATATTTTTAAAACTTTAATTACTAATAATATATACTAAAGTATATAAAGAGTTTCATTATCATTTAAATTTATTTATAATTTTTAGGCTTTGTTTATTTAATAATTTTTTATTCATTTAATACTATTTATTTTTAAAAAATATTATATTAAATATATATTTTTTTATAAATATCAAATCAAATATATATATATATATATTTTTTCAAATTTTTAAAATTTTAAAACTTAAAAAAAAAAAAAAAAAAAAAAAAAAAAACTCTTATCTAAAACTAATACGGACGAGGTAGTATATTTTTACACGCACACGGTCCATTCTGGAGTACATATTTAAACCCAAACTTCCACAGGAGAGTGTCGAACCCGTAACCCTGAAAATCCTCTGCGTTGATCCGTTCGAGACTAGAGGGTATGGAGAAAATTCCGGCAGCTTGCGCCATGGATTGGAGCATTCAGCTTGAGAAGAGCCTTCGCTCTTCAAAACCAGGTCAACAACAGACCACTGTGTTTCTCTCTCTCTCTCTCTCTTTTTGTCTCAAGTATGGATTGTTTTCGTTGCAGGTAAATCTATTGAAGCCCTGGAAGAGACAGGGAGGCGGCTCGAGTGGTGGATGAGGGAGCCAGAGTTGGCGTTTGCGCAATGCGCAATGTTTGGTTTAATACCTGGCGAGGATAAGCTGTTCCTTAATGCTATGCTTCTACGCCTGGCGGATGCATTTAGGCTTGGTGACAAAAGGATTAAGTATGCCGTCGTCCATGTTTTCCTGAGGATGAAAAGAAGGAATAGAAGCGATGGGAAAGGAATTTTGAGCTTGGAGAAATTGGATAATCACTTGGAATTGTTGAGGAGAGTGAAGGAAGTTTTTGATAAAGGGGATGTTGAAGAAAAAGCATTGGCTTTGGCTCTGTTTGGTTGCTGTGCTTATATTGCCAAGGATTGTGTCGATGTTAGATACATTGTGCTGTCGAGTTTGGTGTCGGAGGATGATCTTTCTGTGAGTGTGAACTACCATTTCTTTTCTTCTCAATGGATTGAAGTTTTGTAATCATTGAATCTACAGATATAGGTTGTAGTTCTATTTTTGCTTAGGTCATGATGATAGGAAATGACAGAATCTATTGCTATTTCTGAAAGCATACTCCCTGGAAATGTCAAAGACCGCACAAAACTAAGCTGAAAATATTTCTTTTGAAACTTAGATTATACACAGCTCATTTTATCTAGCTAGATAGAGAGCATACAGCTTTCCATATATCTTTGAAAATATCTTGAGCATGACTTATCATTTGTGAAGATTCTGTAGTGTGAAGAATTAAAAGTCAGTTCTCAAGCTTTCTACACATCTCTTTATGTAATTATAGTGTTGATTTTATGTTCCCATTCATTATATTTCCATTTTCATTATTTCTAAAGCTAAGAGCTTTCTGCAACTATCTATTCAGGTGAAGGCTGCTTTGTTCACGGCAGGATGCTTTTGTGAATTGTCAGATGATTTTGCAGATGTTTTCTTGGAGATGCTTTCTACAGTGGTTTTGTCACGGGAGATATCAAGTGCTGTAAAGTTAGCCGGAGCCCGTACATTATCCAAAAGTTGGTGCTCATTTTCACTTGCAGATAAGGCATATAAGGTTCATGTCTCTTCACCTCTGGAAAATGCAAAAAAATCTTCATATGCATTCATAGTGCCATACCATTAGAGTACATAGTATAAGGGAACAATGATCTGTTACGTATTGGCCATGAGCTCTTCTGTACAAAAATCTTACCTTATGGACATAGCTAGATTATCGTATAAAGAACACTTATGGAAATTCTTCTTATCGGCATCTTAAGGGGTCTGTTGTCTCCTTTATGGTAGCTGTAGCTGAAGTTCTTCGTCCGGAAATCTTTGAATTGAGACTGTAGGCAGTTGTACTAAGGCTAATATGCTAGTTAAACTGCAAACTAGATGCCTTATGCTTGGAGCAAATACTTATTTTTATTGCTCTATGCCTGCTAGTTTCTTTGTTCTTGAGTCGCTGTTTGGTATAAGTGGGTTCAGATTGATAGCCTATCTTACAACTCTGATCATGCTTCATATAGACAGGTTTACGGCTACTGATGGACTCATCAGAAGATGACTTCTCAGGAGTGATGCTAATTTCACTTTCAAGAATCACTTCTAGGTGGATGCTTCTCATTCCTATTCAGGTGACACTTATTACATTAAAATTATTCATTCTAACTTCCGGTGATCATTGCAATTTCCTCCCATGCACTCAAACAACATATATCTAATAATTGATTTTTGATGAAAAGGAAACCAAAATGCATAGGAAAACCCACCAATGAAAAGGCATAGAAAGCTTATGTTGATGATCATATATTAGCATAGAAAGCTTATGTTGATGATCATATATTAGCATAGAAAGCTTATGTTGATGATCATATATTTTGTAGAGCAATTAGTTTAGTGGCTTAGGTGGAAACAAACATCAGCTCTCAGTGGTATGTATGATAAAGGACTCAATTTTACGATGTAGCTTTCCATGAATCTGGTGTTATTGATAAACGTATATCTTAGTATCATTGGGACTGATGATGAGAAGTGGTCTGCCAAAATGTCTTGTATTAGTGCACAGCTTGATTTGCAATTCGATTATCAAAGTTTGCAATGGGCATATACTCATATGCGATAGTGGTGGAACTAAGTTATATCAATATATCTTTCTTGTGTTCGTCCTTATATGTTGGTTGGCTTTTCATATCATCTACTCTTGGTTGTAGATTGAATTGCTTGCGTTGTTTCTAAGCGAAGAGAAATCTTTGCACGTGCAAATTGTTTCGTTAAGATGCTTCCGATTCTTATTAGCGCAAGGAGCTTGTAAATTTCCATCGAAGACAGACACCCTTCAAAAATTATTTGGCATACTACAGAGATCTGAACTTCATCCAACACTGCAGCTTGAAGCTTTGAAAACTTTGCATAAGGTGCTTCCATGCTTGCCTTGCCTTTAATAAATATAGCTTCATTATCTTCTCATACAGTTTCTCGTATTCTGTTGCTTGTAGATTCTATTGTTTCAGTTATCCATAATTCCTTGTGAGGAGATTCATGAAGTTTTTCTCAAGCTGTACGGATTGATTAAGCCTATACAGCTATTGTCCATTGCATCAACGACACTTTTATATGGTAAAATTCTGGCTGATCTCTCTGCTAAGGTGTTGAGAAGAGGAGACATTGTATCTAGTGGAAATGACTCCACCCTGGCAGTCCAGCTGATCTCTTTTATCTTAGACGATATCATTTCGCTTTTGACACCCAAAGTTGATATTCATCACCCCGAGTCTGCTTCAGAGCTTGTGTTTAAAAGCATGATCGACGTTTTGAAAAAACTGATTCAACGGTATCCGCACCTTCATTGCCTTGTGCTGAGTAGTATGTGTCTATGTTTTGATAAACTAATGGGGATGCTCAATAGAGCTACGGAGACAGAAAAATTTGGCATGTCAGATTATGAGATGACCGAATTTGATAGCAATCTTGAGACATTGCTAAAACCAAAACTCTTACTCTCTGTGGCAAATATTCTGTTTGCTTGTTTACAAAACCTTGAAGAAACAGATGCTGAAACCAACACCAATCTGGACTTACTGAAAGTTCAAGCTGAAAGTCTTTCCCATCACGGCTATGTCGATATTTACACCAGAATAAGCTACTTTTGTCTGTTGCATTTGCATTCAACATTTATATGCATGCGTCATATGGTGGAGGAGTTGATATCTCCGAGTAGAGAAATGGGTGCTTCCAGTGTTGGTCCTGTTCCTCATTTCGATGTATTTTCTCTGGATTGTGCAATGGAGATTTTAGGAAGAAAAAGATACTGGTCTGCTTACAAGGTTGGAAGAAATGCTGCCTGTCAGGGTGCATGGTCCACAGCTGCTTTCATGTTTGAACAGCTTGTACCATTAGTTAAGTCTTCTTCATCTGCCTGCTGGTTAAAATCCTTGGCTCAGTTCACCACCTCCGAAAGGGATATTCAGTTATTTCTCTTGCCTAACCCTTCTAAAGTAACTGTAGGCGAAAGGCGAGGAATTACATCAGCGGCTAATTGTGGCACCTATATGGAATATCTTCTCAGAGCTTGGAATACAGTTGTCTCTGCAGAAAAGAATCTGGCAGCATCTGATTCGGGTGGCGTATTCAGTTTCCAGAGATGGTTTTTGGCCCTTAGAGCCAAGTTTCTGAAAACGACTGCTGATATGATGAAGCTGCTGGACACAGCTTCATTCCTTAGGGCTGGCACCAAGCATGGCGGGGAACTACACAGAGGAAATATGCTCAGGTGTTCGACTCCTTCTACACTTGGCTCCTTAATGCACTCTTCTTTAGAGATATCGTCTCGGATGAAAAGAGCTGCCCGAGAGCTTGATCTACTCTTGATCTCTTTCGTGGGCATTGATCGACAAAGTATGACAACTATTTCAGCACTTGCATTGAGCTGCTCACTCATGGCCTTTACTGCTGGTTTTTCCTTTCTTCTCCCATGTGGATATTCTTCGGAAAATTATAGAGTTTCTAAGTCGGAACAGTTAGATGAGCCTTTCTGTGCCTTGCTTATAGAAGATTTAATGTGGCGATTAAGGCGTGAAGACACTGAAACTAGGGAAAAGCTCATGATTCTGCTGGAGCCCTTTATCAACTCCAAGGACTGTTTCTCAAGGTCCCATACTCGAATTTCGCCCGACGGGATAATCTTGCAAAAGCTTTGTCAATTTTCTGTTGGGGAGGTTTTCAGATTGCAAAGCGAGGCAACCAATGTGCAGCCGGATGATGCAGCATCTCTGATCCTATGTAACGGGTCGCAGTTGCTGGTGAACTTTATCTCTAAATTATTGCTGGTTCCTATGCAAACTCCTCGTACCTTCTTTATAGTAAGGTAATCCGAACCAAGTTTATTTATCTTCTTGAAATTTCACTTTTCAGTATATTTCATATCAAGGTAGATTAACAACATTCAGCATATTTATGATCTATCTCAGGCCTGCTGTTTCATCCGAGCTTTTTGTGATGAACGAAGACAATCAAGTTGTGGACCGATCGTCAACTCTGTCCGGATCACATTTCTCTCTGAGCTTATGCCTTCAGTTGAAAAACATGCCTGCTGATCTGCCACATCGGCTAAGCAAAATCTACTGCATTATTAGCTGTAAAGCGCAGCCTCAGGCGACGACCGCAACTGGAGAGCCTGGAGAAAAATCCCAACCGGATCAGGACATTGATGATATGATGGAGTTGAATGAAAAACTTTTAACATATATAGTGGGATCTTTGAAGACCAATGAACTGCACTCCAGGGATGAAGATGATGGTGTGATGGTAAATGAATATGTCTGTTTCGACATAAACGAACGAGGTCAGGGATTCTCTACTTGCTTTCTAGATGTTTCCTCTCTACCCAGTGGCTGTCACAGTGTCAAATGGCATTGTGGTGGTATGGATAGAAGAGGTTCTTACTGGAGCTTACTTCCCATGGCTGCTGGGCCACTGTTCACTGTTTCTAATGCAGCAACTCTTCGATGATATAATTATTAAGGAGGATATCTTTTTGTAAGTATGAAATTGGATAAAAAAATGTTTGGATACATCAAGGATACATCCTACTCACAAAAGATTCGAATATGAGCTTCCGGAAGCGGCCGGCCCTGAGCCGCAAGGCTCTCCACGGCACCATACAAGTCCTCGGACACATCGATCCGTGCATCGGAGGCCACGAATTCACGAACAGCGCCATCAACCTCAATTGCACTGCATCCCGAAGTCTTCTCCACTCCCATTTCATGCATCTTCTTCCTCACGGCTGCGGCTGCTTCCCAATCCCGGTGTTTACAGTACATATTCGCCAACCGGGTATACACGCTGCCATCGCTAGGTTCCAGCCGTATCATGCGACTGCCAACGCTCTTGCCTAGTTCGAAATCCTTGTGGATGGTGCAAGCATTGAACAAGGCACCCCATACGCCGCCGCTCGGCTCCATCGGCATGCCGGCGATCAGTTTCACCGCCTCTTCCAACTGCCCAGCTCGGCCGAGAAGATCCACCAGACAACCGTAATGATCAACAGTTGGTTTTATCCCATATTCGTCCTCCATCGATGCAAACACTTCCTGGCCTCTGCGGACGAGCCCTCCATGAGTGCACGCGCAAAGAACAGCAGTGATAGTGACCTCATTGGGCTGCACCCTGTCGGCCAACATTTTGTCAAAGGTAGTCAGAGCTCCGGGAGCATCCCCGTTCATTGCCAGCCCGAAAATTAAGGCAGTCCATGGATAGACATCCTTGGCAGTGCGAATTCTATGGAACACAAGAAAGGCGTCGTGGATGCAGCCGCATTTTGCGTACATATCAATCAGAGCAGTCCCGAGCACTGAATTCAACTCCATTTTGTGATCTTCGATGTACTTATCGATCCACCTCCCTTGATTCAGCGAGCCGAGGTGCGCGCAGGCTGTGAGAGTAGTGGCTAGCACAGCTTCATTAGGTTCGACTTTTTCGACCAGCATTTTGTGGAAGAGATGCAGAGAATCCTTGCACCTGTTGCACTGAACATAACCAGACAACAAAGCGTTCCAAGAGACCACATTTCTGCGTGGCATTTCTCGGAAAACTTGAGCTGCGTCGTCGGGACAGCCGCCTTTCGAATACATGTCAATGAGAGCACTGCCAATGACAACGTCTCGGAGGACTCTCCCTGACTCAACATAGAAACCATGAATCCACCGGCCGAGCCAAATGCAGCCTGTCATGGCGACCGCACAGAGAGCCGTGGCGACGGCGACTTCGTCGACTGATGAGGACGATCTCATCTCCAGAAAGAGCTCAAGCGCCTGGTCTGCGCGATTGTTCTTGACGTATCCATCCATTAAGGCGGTGTAGGCCACGGCGTCCCTGTCAGTCATTTCGTCGAACACTTGACGTGCGTGACGAATGAGACCGTAGCCAGCGAGCACCGAAATCAAAGAGTTGCAGACGAATCCATCAGAACCGAAACCGAATTTGATTGATTGAGTGAAGATCTGTAGAGGCATTTGTGTTTTGGATTTGAACAGTAAGGGGAAGGTGTGCTGGTTGGGGACGACACCCTCCCGGCGCATCTTAATATAGAGGGAAACGGCGTTTTGGTGGTCGAAGATGAAGGCTCTGATGGCGGCGTTGTAAGTGGAGACATCTCGGCGGCGTATTTGGTTGAAAATGGAGAGAGCGTAAGCGGAAGCGGAAGCAGAAGCAGAAGTGGGGATAGAAACACAGTGGAGCAACAGTCTCGTAAGGAAGGTGGAGTTTTTAAAACAACCAGAGACGACGAGAAGCGAATGGATTTGCTGCAACTTTGACAGCTCCGGCGGTGGTGACTCCCGGCGGATGAGGCGGTTACGGCGGTGGAAGTGCTGCCAGAGGTAACGGCCGGCGACGCTCAAATTGTTGGAAACTCTGGAAGAATGCATAAATTGAAATTGCTTTCTCTTGTGTTAAGTCTGTATTTAAAATATAAATACGATAGTAAATTTTTATTTTTATTTTTTAATTTTTTTTTTATTGATATTACTAGTGGCGGTTTCGCTTGTTTGACTGACTGTACACTTGTGTTTGTACTTTTGCAGAGCAATCTATGGCGTCTATCTAAGCTCTGCCAAACAAATTCGTGAACGACAATCCAACATTGATTGCCACTCCATCTTCATTCTTCTTCGCCGTCATCTTGCTCTTGTAGATTCGAGTTGCGTCAGGTGATTCGCCTACTTTAACATTGAAGTGGATTCCTGGAGACGAGGAGCTTCAATTGCGCGCTTTTCTGAATTCATTCATGTTAATCTGCAATTCTACTAGTCATCAGTATTTGGTGCCCTAATTTAATGTTTTTGCAACCGCCTTCCGAGGCTTCGCTCTTTAATTGTGTTTCTTCGCCGAGGAAGAGCTTACTTTTCTCGCCGTCTCTGATTCCTTCAATTAGTCGTTACAACAGTAAATCTCGTCCATTCAGTGGAAGAAGGGAGGCAATTAATCTGAAAAATGTGAGGCGAACTTTGCTTCAAGCTCAAGCCTGTAAAAATGGTGGAAATAAGGAGAGCAGCAATAAATTGGGCGCCGCCACAAGGAGAGGAGCAGAAGCCATTGTTTTGAAGCGATTTTCCAGTGAAAAGGAATCTAATTACGCATCTTTATCCAGCACTAATACGGAGAGTGGCAGCTACTACAATTCGGCTTTTGAGCAGGATCCTATAGTGGATAAGCTTAGAAATCAGCTGGGTGTCATCCATCCGATTCCCTCTCCTCCAATAAATCGCAATATACTAGGGCTTTTTGTTGTTTTCTTTTTTATTGGGGTTGTTTCAGATAAGTTGTGGACATCAAGAAAGAGGGGTGCAAGGAGTAATGGCAATAAGCCTGGGAGTTGGCCTCAGGTTCCCACTGGCCTATCCATATTTTTGGAGAAGGAACTACAGAGGAAAGAGTCGGTGGAATGGGTGAACATGGTGTTGGGGAAGCTGTGGAAGGTATACAGAGGCGGGATAGAGAATTGGCTAATTGGATTGCTGCAGCCTGTCATTGACAATCTAAAGAAGCCTGATTATGTGCAAAGGGTAGAAATCAAGCAGTTTTCTTTAGGGGACGAGCCATTGTCTGTCAGGAGTGTTGAGCGCAGGACCTCTCGTCGAGTAAATGACTTGCAGTGAGTGTTTTCCTACTGAAAAATTTACAGCTTTCTTTATCATAAACAGCAAATATTATTTTTAGTAGTGGCTAGCAATTACAAAGACAACTTTTTTTTTTTGCTTGTTTCTGTCTGATACGTTATTAACAATGTGGTGATTTGTAGCTCTTTTTGCAAAATGAATAGGTTAGTATTATCTGTACACTATTTTTCTTTTTTGATCGGAATGTACACTATTTTTCTTGATTTAGTAGGTGAAAGGGTTTGGTGGGATTAGATGCCTTGCTATAGGGATGACAATGTTATGCAGAATCTCACACATCCGATGATGAGTATATTAAAAACCATATGTGGGTTGTTAATTGGATGAATTATTATTGCTTAACTAATGATGGAATTTTAGAACGTGTGAAGTGCAACTAGTAAGAACACAACATGATATTTCCATTAATGCATAAAACACGTTCACAAGATTTAGCATAAAACACATTTACAAGATTTCACTGATGCATAATGCAATGCAATTCTTTGAACTATGTTGATGATAGCTGTTATGAGTTGTATTTAAGTAAATAATAATGTCAATTCCTGCTTTCAAGATACCAGATTGGTCTACGGTATGCTGGCGGTGCGCGTATGCTTTTACTGCTATCACTTAAGTTCGGCATATTTCCCATTGTTGTGCCCGTGGGCGTGCGGGATTTTGATATTGATGGTGAACTTTGGGTTAAATTACGACTGATACCAACCGAGCCATGGGTTGGTGCTGTTTCATGGGCCTTTGTTTCTCTTCCAAAGATAAAATTTGAATTGTCACCTTTCCGCTTATTCAATCTAATGGGTGAGTTATGTTTTAGCAGTTTGCATTAATTTCCTATTTTTGTTTCTTCGTTTCTTTAATCAAGTCAATTGATTTAGTATGTGGTTAGGGCATCTGTGCTGATTGGCGAGTTAGAAATATAACAATTTCTCTCATGACTGCTTCAACGATTGTAAATGGATTAGAATTACACTCAGAACATACACACTTATTAACCTATACTCCAGTTGCTATTCTGGTTTAACACAGATGAGATTGACTTGATAATTGTTGCTCAGGTCATGCCATAAGTCAGTCATTAGTTCCCAACCATGCCGTGAAAGAAATTTCATACATAAAGTGGTTACTGAAAGAATAAAAATTGCTTATACTCTAAAATGTATGAATTCCATACTTCATTCTTCACTCCATCTTTCCAAAAATTCCAGGATAAATAACAATGGGAATAAATATAATAACATTAGCTGTTGGTTTAAATGAAAGCTAGGAATGCTTTAGGACTACTTTCTCATGTAATGATGTCTGAATTTGGATAATAGAGGTTCTAGTTTCCAGTCCTGATGTTTGCTAAACCTCTCCAATGTGTTGAGATGGTCTTCCTCTTCAAGATTCAACTCAGAAAATTTACTTTGCACAAATAATACTCTCTTTGCTTTTTATTTTTTAAGAACCCAACTGATGTGTGTTCCTTGTTTTGTTGCATGCACTTGTGTACTGGAAACATTCAGAAATTCCTGTCCTCTCTCTGTAAGTAATTCTCTCTCTTATCTTTCTATAATTATTAAGAATTGCTCATTAATGTTTGCTGGTCCCTTCTTTCTTATCTCCACTATGTTCTTCATATGATTTTTGAAGTTCCTTACTCTATTTTCACTTGAGAGTATCCTTTTAATTATCCTGTATGGTTATCCTTTTAGATATTTCCTTCAGATGCTGATCATCTTCGCTGGAAAATTATTATATTTTCTCTTAGGAGTCTAGATAGTACTTAACCTGAGGAGACTGGAATTTTAATTCGTATCCGTAAGATATCTCTCCTGTTCTCCTGCATTTAATCTAATAACCCAAACAAAAAGAATCTTGACCATCTAGTAATGGCTATACCTGCAGTAACTTGCAATTGCTTTAAAAGGAATTACCCAACATAGTTCCAAATACTTGTCAGAATATTGGATTGCCCATTAGCATATACATTTCAAAAATTTATATAACATAGATAGGTTTATGGTTCTATTATTGAATTTCATTAATGTTCAAATAAAAGGTTCAAAATTATGCAGTGTTGCTACCAGAAGATAAACACATGTAACCTGCTCTTTTTTGGTTTTACTTCAAAGGGTAGTTTTCTTACCTATGGCAATGTTTGAGACAATTTTCAGTCATCAATTTTTATCACATTGAAGAGTTATTTGCACAGGTTTTTGAAGAAACTTCTTACTGAGGACCTACCGAAGCTATTTGTGCGTCCAAAAAAGATTGTTTTGGATTTTCAGAAGGGAATGGCGGTGGGACCTGTTACAAACGATCCTAAACCAGGAGATATTCACGAGGGAAACAATGACTTTGCTGGAGAATTGTCAGTGACACTTCTAGATGCACGAAAACTCACTTATATTTTCTATGGTACAAATATTACTGCGCAAATTGGCTTTTTGTACTGTTGGTGTCAGTGATTAATTGTTGGCAAAAGTTAGAATAATCTGAAACTGCCTCTGTTAGTCTTGTAACTCAGATTATGCAACATTGTGACACAGTTGCTATCCTAAAATTTTCAGGGAAAACAGATCCTTATGTGATTCTAAGATTAGGAGATCAAGTAATACGTAGTAAACGCAACAGCCAAACTACTGTCATTGGACCTCCCGGTGAACCTATCTGGAATCAGGTGACTTCTTGAACTATTGTGTAGCTATCTAAAGTATTGGTGAGTTCCTTCACAAAGAGAAAACCTTGCTGTGCTAGTAATAATGTATTACGTAATTATGTATCCAACAGGATTTTCACATGTTAGTTGTTAACCCCATGAAAGAAAGGCTATACATAGAAGTAAAAGACTCTCTTGGATTCACAGACTCGACAATAGGTGCTGCAGAGGTAAGATCTTTTATAATCTAATCTTTTCTTTGTCACTGAAACTTATATATGCCTCTTTGTTATTGTTCTACTATTTCTTTAATCTAAATGAAATAGACAAGTGCACTTTTAGGAAACACCCCTCTTTCTTGAACAAATGCCTTGATTTGTATTTGTTATGGATTTATTTGTCAGTCTAATATATCTTCTGAGTGGACACCAATGTTGATTCACTCTCTTTCATTCTGGTGAAGAAAAGATAATCAATGGATAAAGTAGACTGTTGTAGTGAAGATGAGAAATATGACAGAAGTAGACTGGGAGTTCCTGTCATCTCAACTTTAGTTCATAATAAAAAAAGGAAATCCACATGGAAGTACTCTCGTGTTAGCTGATGGGTATTATGTACAGACACTTCAAGTATGCGGATGGTCTTGAGTTATTTATCCATCAATTGTTATAATTGTGTGTATTTTCTTGATAAGATACTTTAGCTTCCGATATCAAACCAATGAAAAAGCATCTGCAGGAGCCAGAAAAAACAAACCATAAACTTAACCAGTCAGACCAAGCAGTTATTTCAATCCTATCTGGTCCAACTTGAATGTGTGTACTGAGCCAACAAAATCACTGTTCCATAGACTCTTGATGATTTATAGGATTTGAATTGTACTTTGATTGCTCCAATGTTCATTTTCCAGGTTGATCTTGGATCTCTCAAAGATACTGTACCAGCAGACAGGATTGTGCAACTCAGAGGTTGGAACCCATTCGGTAAGGGATCTGTTGGAGAAATTCTATTGCGACTGACATACAAAGCATATGTTGAGGATGAAGAAGATGAGAGGTCTGAAAAAACAGAGAAGTCTGAGGATGAATTGACTGACTTAGACGAACCAGACATGCCATTGTCTGACCAGCGCTCAAAGAATTACTTGATCGATCCAGACAAGGAATCTTTTATTAATGTTCTAGCCGACATTTTAGTAAGTGAGGAATTCCAGGGGATAGTAGCATCAGAAACAGTGAGTTCCAAGCCTTTAGATGCAGGCGCTGATTCAAAGGAATCCAGCAGGAGTAATGTTGGATCCATCCCACAAGCATTGGAGAGTGGTGCTGATCGTTCACAAGGTATTATTAACCTTTGAGTTGATTAATGCTGGGCTCGCTCCCATTCGTTCTCCTTTTCACTGAGAAGTTATATTTTGCAGGATCAACGACAACAACCATGTTGTTTTGGCTTGCATTGATCACAGGTGCTTTAGTTCTCATAGCTACGAGTATGGAAGGGACAAGTTTATTCAACCCTTGACAGGTGACATGTAATGAATTCCAAGGTATTGCAAGTCATGTTAGGTAACTCAAGACACAGCTAAAGGTCTTATTTTTGCCCAATCATTCGGTATCATTGATTCAGTAGAGAAGAGGATTAAAGAAATGCAAGCCCAATTTGTTTGTATTTTTGGATATTTTGTATTTGAAATATTTTGAATGAAATAAAAGTTTTAGAAGATATTGATTGTGATATATTAAATGAGAAAATCACATAAATCAAGATAGTTGCATTCTTCTTTCTGATATCATGTTTTATGTTAGCTCTTTTAGTAAATACCATAAAAACAAGTCAGATAAATCAAATTTATTCTAATCTGTTTCACATTTTCAGCATGCAGAAAATGCTATGTAGCCTGACTTTAATGCTGTACTTCACATATTGCTAGGTTACAAGGGACAAGCCACCAAGCTCATTAAATGGACAAAATTGTAATAAATCCAGCCATTAAAGGAAAGTGAGAGAATTCACAGAAAAGGAGATCTAGAAATGCATCAAAACATTGAAATGACAATCACATCTACAAAGGAACTATGCTGTATGCAGCCAGCATCAAACTTGATGAACTTATTCCCAATTCGACCCCTTTTTTGATAGGAAAAAAGGGTTGGGATCAAGAGTGTAAACTTGATTACCCGATCCCACGAAAATGGTTGGTTTTGAACCGAATCTGGTCGAGTTTGGGGCATTGACAGGCCTACCTTTAATACACTGTATTGGTTGGAAGGTGATTGACAATAAACAGAAGGACAAAAAGGTTGTTGAACAGGTGATTTTCCAGGATCAAATTGGACCTGTTAATAGAAGACAGGCATGAGATGCCGTGGAGCAGAACTAAGCATCCTTTGGGTTGATGAATCTTGAGCCCACAATGCTTATCATCATCTTTCATTACAGGATTCCATTATTCCTACCTATCCCACCATTTTCCCCCATTCTCTACATTCATCTATCTGCCATTAAAGAATGCCACCAGGATTTGACAGGTAGGTTCCATTGAAGAATTGGATGCTGGAACTGTGAGCTCCATTGATCTTACTTTCCACATAAACTGCTTGAATGACGATCCAACAGGGCCATCAATCAATCATGTCCCAGAGATCAGATTGTTTGCTAGATGCATGTGGAAAGAACTTATCACTGATATAAAGAACCGGGGAATATGCGCGCGAAAAATCAGTCAAGATAAAGGTGTTGAAGCGACGCCTTCCTAGAGCCCACATTGTTGTATGACTGGAGAAGGAAGGAAGCCTGCTCGGTCGTTTGGTTTTCCAGTGCAACGATGAAGAGCTTTGTTGCCAAGTGGTGGCCTGTGATAATGATGATTGCAATCAGTCTGGCCTTCGCCATCAACAATGTACTTCTCAAGAAGATCGTGGATGATGGGATCGACCATTTGGTCTTTGTTACATATCGCCAGTGTATATCTGCAGTCTTTTTGTCCCCATTGGCGCTCTTCATTGAAAGGTTCAAGTTTTTCTTATACCATGTTTTCTCCTAGTATGCATAACTTAATGATTTCTGCAATGTTGTATTTGTTTGACAGGCGAAGCCGCCCCAAACTTATGCCGAGTGTACTCTGTTACCTTTTCGTCAGCGCCCTCATCGGGTGAGTCTTTGATTCAAAATCCATATGCAGCCATGACATCTGAACTCATTTGCTGATATATTCTTGTATGTAGGGGGTCAGTTTCGCAATATCTCTTCCTCCTCGGTATAGAATACACGTCTGCAACGCTCACCTGCACTTTCCTCAACATAGTTCCTGTCCTCACCTTTCTAATGGCCTTGCCATTAGGGTATATAAATACACACAATCAATTTATCTTACCTCTTCGACACATTTACCCGACATCTACCTCAAGACGATATATTTTCTCAGATTGGAGTCACTAAACATAAGGTGCAGCAGCGGAAAGGCGAAATTGTTGGGAGCTGTGATATGCCTTGGGAGCACCGTATTGCTAACTCTTTATAAAGGAGCTCCGCTGATTCACTTCTCTAACGATGCACGGCCCGTCAGCCATGCTAAAGCAAATGCGCGTGCTTGGGTCATGGGATCGATGGCCCTGATTGCCGGGACGTTCTGCTGGTCCTCATGGTTCCTCATTCAGACAAAGATCGGAAGGCAGTATCCATGCCAGTACTCCAGCACAGCCATCATGGCTTGTTTTAGCAGCATCCAGTCGGCTGCGTTGAGCCTCTCCTTCAACAGGAAGCTCTCTGTCTGGATCTTGAAAACAAGATCAGACATCTTCATCATTTTATACGCCGTAACTTCTGCTCTCTCTTAACGAACCTACTTATCCTCTACATGTATTATTGTTCTTCGTGTAAATGGTTTGAGTGATGCAGGGAATTGTGGGATCGGGGCTGTGCTTCGTCGGCATGTCGTGGTGTGTCAAGAAAAGAGGCCCCGTCTTCACCTCAGCCTTCAGCCCGCTCGTCCAGATAATGGCAGCGTGTTTGGATGTCCCTCTCTTACACGAACAGCTTCATCTTGGAAGGTAATTCACTCATCGCCCCTTCAATGGTTGTAAGATGTTTATATACTGATTTTCCCGCGCGACTGAGCAGTTTAATAGGATCGATCGCAGTCATCGCCGGGCTGTACATTCTTCTGTGGGGCAAGAACAGGGAAATGCAGAGCCAGGAAACGAAGTTGATCCTGCAAGGAACTGATCAAGAAATCAAGAATCAAGAACCTGAGCAGTTCCAAGTTGTAAGAACATCTGTCGACACTAACCAACCATGATTCACAAAGAAGAGAAGTCTCCCAAATCTTACATTAACAAAAGAGGTAAAAAGTTTAGCACTGTAATAATGCATCGTCCATCTCCTCTATGGAGTCTGAACTTTAACCATATGATGAAATCACCATAGTTCTATAACCATGAGTTTCTTTTTACTTATTGATTCTGTTGTCGAAGGACAGATTATTGGAACTGATTCTTCAGACTCACTCACACTCCCTCAGTTCATACACAGCTGACACTTTGTTTTAGGTAAGAAGATTAAACCAGCGACGGCAAGGCGTCGTTTTCATTCGCCGTCGGCGGTGTTCCTGTCCGTGGACTCGCTCGGAGGATCGTCTCCGCGGGCTTTACCCATAATTTTCTTTGACTTCATCTTCCCGTTGTTGGCAGCAGCCTCATCCTCGTCGAGTTCCTCGGCTTCGTCCACGATGTTCAAATGGACGCCGGGATCGTTAGTCTCGTAGCTCCCGCCCATCATGATCGAGTTGTTGATGGCCTGGAAGTTGCTGTTGACGAACGTCGCGAAGTCTTCCTGCTCCGGCTCCACTCCCTGGCCTTGAGGATCGCTAGCCGGTTTGTCGTCTCCCCTGCCTCCTCGCATGGTCGCGCCGAGATTCGACCCTGCTAAGGTTATGATCCTCACTCCTTGATCTTCGTCGTCCTGGCTCCCTGAATAATCCCCGGGATTATTCGGGGAGCGCTGGATGCTCCCGAGACGATTGGTGAGAGTGGAGATCAGCTCTTTGATCTCCTGGTCGAAACTCTTCTGCTCGACTCCGTTGCGTGAAGGTGCGTCGAGGTTGATTCGATCGGGAGCCATGGCTGGAACGAAACGAAGAGGATCGAAACTGGAGAAAAACAATCGGTTTCGATGTCGATTCAAGGTTTCCGGGTTGTTGCAAGAAGGCTCGGATTTAAAAGGAGGAGGGGTGTTCTTTTCTTACATAGCAATCCAAGAATTTGGTTAGTTCTTCCATGAAAGCAATGCTTCCTTCCCATTGTAACAATGGAATATGAAGCAAAGAATCGCTTCTCAAACGGTTCTTTTCTTGTCTTTCGTTAATCCTATGTCCTTTTCGTCGAACCTTTTTTGCTCGGACAAGAATACATTGGCGACGGGACTCGGCTCATCATCGTGTCCACGATGTCCCTCGCTGATGGCCTAATGTTGGGGCACTCGCAAAGGCACATCCTCGACAGCGCAACCATAGCTCGAACTTCCTCCATCTCAACATCCCCGCGAATTCTTGGATCGACCATCTCCCAAACATCGGCTAAGTTTCTCGTCCTCGTTACAAGTCTCTCCCCTCTCGTCGGGTTAACGGCCTCCAAGCCGGTGACGAGCTCCAATATCACCACTCCGAAGCTGTAGATGTCGTTCTTCTTCGATGCGAGTCCGGTTTTTAGGTATAGGGGATCGGTGTAGCCGGGGGAGCCGACGACCATCATTGCACCGCGACTCGAATTGGGGATCACCGATGAGGAGAAGCCTGTCTTGGCTGACCCGAAATCGCAGAGCTTGCAGTTTAGGCTGTCGTCGAGCAATATGTTCGACGGCTTGATGTCGCCGTGCACGATCGCCGGGGTACAGCCGTCGTGCAAATAGGCCATGGCTTTTGCAACCTGGAAGGCTATCGACATTCGTGCCCGCCACGGCAGTGGCGCCGCCGCCGCCTTGTCACGGTGGTGGAGCTTGTCTTGTAACGTGCCGCCGGCGACGTACTCGAAGATCAATACGCCTTCTTCTGCAATTGCATTAATTGTCATGATCTTGAATTATCAAAAAGGGATGTATATGTGTATATATATATATATGTATGTATACCTCGATCATCGCAGTAGCCGAGAAGTTTGATGATGTTGTCATGGCGGCCGACACGGAGGAGGATTTCGAGCTCCTGGCGGTAAGCCTGGAAGAGGCGCTGGCTGCAGCCCTGGAGGATTTTAACCGCCGCCGTGGAATGGGTGGCGCCGGCGCCGGGGATTTGAGCGAGGTAGACGGTGCTGAAGCCTCCGTAGCCGATTGGGACGGAGAAGCCTCTGGTGAGAGTCTCGATGTGATTCCAGGAGAATTTGAGGAGCTTCCCGCTTGAAGTGGTGCTCTCTTTTACGACGGCGACGGCCGGCGTGGTTTTCCGGCGGAGCTTGGATTTGAGAAATTTGAGGAGACCCATTGGTTAATTAATTAATTAGAGGTAGAAATGGATGATGGAATAGAGTTGAGTTATAAAAGGGGAAACGAGACGACGTAGGCAATACGGACAAATCCCTGTCGGAAGGTAGGTTTGACTGAGACTGTCGGTGTTTCAGTTTGAGAGAGAGAGAAGTGAAGTGAAGTTAAGGGAAGAAGATAATCAATGATTGAAACTCTGTGTTCTTCTCCGCTCGTGTGGGATGTGGAATCCATGACCATCATTATTGATCATTCATTCATTCAACGTAACCTAACCATTCTCTTTCTCTGTCATCATCATCACTATGCAACAACCAGTTAGGTTTAACAATTGACACATACTAATAATAATTAATTAATCGCCCAACTTAGAGCTAATTATAATAGACTTCCACCGACGCCCTAACGATTCACACAATTATTTTAAATTATGTAGTATATAAATAAATTACTTTATTTTTATTCTTCTCTTATTTATTTGCTTTTTATGATGGTAATAATATTCAGAAAAAAGATAAAATTATAAGGTTTTTTTGAATTTTTAATAGTCTTAGTATTTTAATTTGTTTAAAGTATAATTGAGTGTCAACAGTTTATTGTATTTTTGGATCTAAAGGAAACTTAAAAACATGTGTTGGATCATTATTTATTGATTTGATTCCTGAACACCCAATCTTGTCCAATTTCATTGGCTTATCTATCACATACGTGTTTCAAATCGAGAAGAGATCACACGATAATGTTAGAAAAATAATGTCTTGGATACAGTCTCAGTTTAATTTAATGATAGTAATTAAATATTATGATTTTTAAAAATACATAGATCAAACAATATAAAATAATACTGAACTATATTATTCAAGTCGAAAATACCGGTTCATATACGTGACCTGATATAGATCAATCCAAAAGGATCATTATTGAACCATTTGGTCCAATAAATTTCATTTAAAAATTTGTTCAATTTATATTATGTGGTTTATTAAATCCTTTTTCATTCTATATAATAAGAAATTGTCAACTTTTACACAATTTCTCAATAGTTTTTTCATTCAAAAGATTTATATCAAAATTTAATAATTTATAACTCAATTTAATAAATTTATATCATAATTGAATAATTCAACGGTTGTTATGATACTCGTCATTGACAATTAACATATTTCATTATTTTAGCCATCCACAAATAATATTTTTTTTATTTAATAAATACGAATTTCACAATATTATTACAATATTATAATTTTTCCTCAAAGTAACAAAAATGTAGGTTCTTACAATCAATGGTATTTTATTTTTACTAACAAAGAAAGTATAATTCAATATATATATTTTTTTTTCATCCAATTCACATGTTAGGTTTAACTTAAGATGTTTTTAATTCTTAGCTTATACAGTTGAGTATATATAGTTTTCAAAAAGATACTCCAAAACCATATCCACAACATCCCAAATTGCACTCTAGTAATTAGATATGTTCTATTTTTAAATAGAATGTGTTCTTAAAATATTAAATTTAATAAATGAACGTGCCATAAAAAGAAAAAAATAGCTCCTATTCAGAAGAGTCCAATATTATATAATCACTATTTATGTCCAACCGTGCAATTATTTGATTTATTTAATACTCTAACCATTGATATTTATCTTCCTAATAAATTATTGAATATTAACAAAATAAGGGAGCAATTAATAATTTAGCCAAAGTAAAGGGCGTACCTTTGAAAAGACATAATTACCCCGCAACAAACTCCCTCTTTTTGCTCCATGCAGCAATACGTACTGGTGAGGTGATCCTAGAATTGATACGTCGCACAACTTTATCCAAATATCAAAGCATACTTAAAAGCGTAATTAATTAATACTAATTATGTAATTAAGAATGGATAAGCGTTCGACTGCGAGGAGTCCATACCTTCCGCCTGAATCTACTTCGATTCCAGGTTCCGATTGAGCTGATTGATGATTCTGATCACGAGGGGGTAATCAATTGATTTTCAATCGATTTTTTTTTTTGCTGGACTTTGGGCGATACTCTCGGTTGAAGTGATGGAGAGGGAAGTTTCTGATTCTACGGCCGAAGAATCGAGCGGCGCCGCCGCGGAGGAGCACCAGGACGGGGCGGGGATGGAGAATGCATCCGGAGATCAGTCGGTAGACTCAGACTTGGTTGAGAAAATTATCCACGTAGTGGTTGTGGACTGCAATACCGAGACCAAATCTGGCGGCGAGAGAGGTGCGGATGCTCCTGAGATGCGGAATGACGGTTCCGATAATGCGTCCGGAGAATCACCCCACGCCGACGTGGAAACGTCGGGGAGAGAGGTCGAAGGTCCGCCGCTTGAGAAAATCATCGACGTGGTGGTTGTCGACTGCACGAACAAGTTAGAGTCTGCTAGGGATTCAAGTGCTTGCGAAGAGTGCAGGTTAATCGATAATTCTCCCTAAATTTGGGCAAAGTTTAGCATTACCTCTCTCATCGATTGCTTCAATTGAGTAAACTCCTGGTTGAATGAATTGAAGCACTGTATAGTGTTGAGTAACTCCAATTGCTTAAATCAAGCGGTTTCAAATCCCTAAATCCCCAATTCCGCAGGGTATGCCGAGACGAAAACGACGAAGCCTTGATCGATCTCGGATGTGACTGCCGAGGCGCACTCGCGAAGGCACACCTCTCGTGCATAACCAGGTGGTTCCAAACTCGTGGCTCGAACAAATGCGAAGTGTGCAGGTTATTATCCACCATTGCGTGATCTGAATCCGTATCCATGGCATGGCAGACGAGCTTAATTGACGAAAATCTGTTATGCAGACGAGTAGCTACAAATGTATCTCCTCACGATTCGCATTACTGGATTTGGAGAGTGGATCCAGCGCATAGAGACGAAGAATACTACCAAAGGGTAAACAACACTTTCTGATTCACTATCTATCTATCTATCTATCCATAATACCTGACAATTCAATTAATCCGCGATCTGTAGCAGAACTCCTGTAGATTCGTTTCCGCGTCGCTCGTCATTCTCATGTTCGCACTTGCGCTGGACATCCTGATTTCCACTACCTTCGGCTTGTCTGCGATTCCTACCAACATAATATTCGGTAATCATATACACATATATGTATAAATGTTGAATCGACGATCCTTTGGTTTATAGTAAAATATTAAAGCAGAGAGAGATGCGATTGATGCAGGGGCGATGATTTTCGTTGGACTGATAGGATCGGTTCGAATAGCGGTGGAGTACTTGGGAGGATGGAATGGAAGAAGAGGAGCGCAGCTGCAGCCATTGGAAGCGAACCACTTCGGCCCCGCCTACCTTCCCCCTTTATAGTATTTCGTACGTACGGTACGAACACACACTACGACTCAGTTAAAAGATTTGAAAAAAAATAAAGGCACCTTTAGGTTATGGTGATTGCTGATGCAGGGGAGGCTTTGGATCGTTCAAAATTTGTAAAAGTGCTAGTAGTATTAATTTAGTTGTAATGAGTCTGACTGAGCTGGATCATAAAATAGCAATTTTCATTTTTCAATGTGATATTTCGTAAGTAATTGTTGGTAGAATGTGTTATTCAATTTATTTTTTAAATTATGTTATATGTATAAAATATTTTAAAATATTGAAGTCATAAGTATTTATGGATTTTTAATAAAAATATATTATTTTTTACCGTTAAAAATTTATATCAATGTCTTATTTCAAATCAATTTTATATTACAGTCAAATTTTTTTATTATAGTATATTAGTGACAAAGTTCAAAAAGCAGTTATAAACATACCTATATTATTTCTTTATTTTAATTGTTGTGTTGATTTGTAATTTTACTTTTTTAAATTCAATAAGTAATGATATGATATTACTATGTAATACTTCATCCCTCCCGAAATAATAATTCTGTATTGTCATTTTCGTTTCTTTTGTTTCTATTTTTATAAGGAGCTCTCTATATTTCTACAAAATTATCTTTATTTTTTTCGCAGGAACATTTTGGGTGTGTTTACTTGTGAGATTTGTTTTTCGTTTTACTATTTCAATTTTTTTCTCTTTAAAAATATCAAATCAAACACTTATTTTTTATTTATTATATTACACTAAAATTAATTAAATTTTACATTCAAAAAATCACATCAATACATATTTATATCACATCAAATCACTATAATCTTATAAGTAAACACACCCTTTCATCTTTTATAAATATATATATTTTTATTTATTAATTTTAGTTAGTTTCAAGATTAAACACTTTGTATTAATTTAAATACGAGCATGTTAGATTATTCAAAAAACTAACTAAACTTCACGAACAGCAACACTATGTTAATGTTCCTATTCACAACATTATTATGAATATGTCCGTATTTATTTCCGTATTCAAGACTGTATACGGCATATTGTGAATATTATATTCACAACATTGTTATGAATATGTCTGTTATATAAACACATTGTTATGAATATATCGATGATATAAACATCACCGTACTTTCTGAATTATCCAATACAATATTGTTTACACCGTATCAATTATTATAGATTAAAATTGCTTAATTTTAATTTTTAATTTAATTGATTAAATTAAATTAATAAAATAATAATAATAATAATAATAATAATAAGAGCACAATTGATTATTATAATTTACAGTGATACCAAAAATAAAAATTTCCTTGCATTTTTATTGAATAAGAAAGAATGAATAATATCAAAGCCTATTTTATTTTATTTTTTTAAATGAACAAATCTACCATATTTTTTTGTTAATTTTTAATTTAATATTATTTATGACTCAGAATAGAAAAAATTAAAGTACATAAATTCAAAATATTTATCTAATTTATTATTTTTATAAATGCTTAATATTTTCTAACATACTTTATTTTATTTGTATAAGTTATTTCAAAATGATCAATAATTATGGAGACAAGGGTCAACAATATTTTATTTTATTTTTTAAATTTAAAAAATTAAAGGTATATTTTTTTAGATGGATTTGAAAAAAAATTGATATAAATTTGGTATTAAAATAAAGTATGATGAAATATTTTATAAGAGAAAAAAATGTATGTTTTTCGAAAAAAACCCAAATAGTAAAAACTTGAGATTTTTTGCATAACAAACATACCCTAAAATTTATTTCTATATTAAAATATCCTATCAATAAATTTTTTTCAATATAAGACATTATATTTGATATTTATATATACATAAATATTAAATACTCTTTCCTTCCTATCACATATGATTCCATTTTTTTTACGTTACACAAAAGATGATCCATTTCCAGTAAATTTATCAATCTTTAAAGATACTTAACAAATATAAATCAATTTAATTAATTCATTTTTTTTTATAAAACGATATTATATAAAACTTCTTTATTTCTATCGCTCTCCTTAATTAACAAATATTTTTATCTATCTTTAAAACTCCTCATTTTTTATAAATTTAATTTATGATAATAATAAATAAATAACTATATTTTTTATTTATTTATATTATATAAAATTTTATTGTCATATCCATTTTGCAAATATTTTCTTAAAATATAATATTAAAAATATTTATTATAATAAAATTTTACGAGAATTTATTATTAATAATTTAATAATTTACTTTATTTAAAATATCTAAAATACGGTTTTTCCTGACAAAAGACTCATCTAGGGAGCATTATTTATTTATATCATATTAAGGAGAGCTTTTTCATGTCCCTATTGCCGGAAGAAATATAAAAAATAAAAGAGATTAAAATTTAAAAGAGCGAAGACATAAATACGTGAGTGAATTATGTAGGGGTGTGAAGGTCAATTCACAAGACGGAAGTCTGGAAGCGCCGTCAATAATGGAAATTGGTGACGGTGGCTGCGCTGTGGCGTGTGGGATTTGTAAAGCTTTTTCGTAATGCAGAAAATAATGGAAATGGAGTTTGACAAGCACGTGAAGGAAGGAAAAGGCAAGAGAAAAAGCAAAAGTGAATCGGGCTGGGTAGACAGACAGAGTCCACAGTGTGCGCAGAAAAGGCAGCACGGCCGACCCACTGGAGTAGTAGTGACTACCTCCATTCCACACGATTTTTTTCCTTCGCTTTTTGCGCGCTCTCTCTCTCTCTCTCTCTGCCTGCCTTCTGATTGCCTGCGCAAACTTCTAGGGCAAGTTGTCGTTCTTCTTCGCTTCGCTTCGCTGGGGATCACTTATTGGTGCTCCGCTGCTTTGGCTGCGTTTTGCGGATTTCGAGGATTTTTTACTGTGCAGATGGTGTTGGTGGAATGGCGAGTTCGTCGGGGAACACGGTGAAGTTGGAGGAGCTGCCCAAGGGTTTTAGATTCCGGCCGACGGACGAGGAGCTCGTCAGCCATTATTTGAGGCTCAAGATCAACGGTCATCATTCCGCCGTCGAGGTCATCCCTGAGGTCGACGTTTGTAAATGGGAGCCGTGGGATCTTCCTGGTACGTAGCTCTAATAAATGATTCTCTTAATTGGATCATGTGTGTGGATATTATTGATTTCTGCTGAGTCCAAACAGGCGTCTGTGGTTTTCATTTTTTGTCTTTTTTCTTGTTTAAAATTTCCCTGGATATTTATCGAACGCCTCAATGTTCGGAAGAGGGAAGAACTCGTCGTTTGATTTTCTTGAGCTTTATTTGTCGGCGATATGCTTTTCCCGCCCGTTAATTCGCATCTGTTCGGTAGAATAAAACTTTTATGGGAGGTCCCAGGATCATGAATCTTGGAAAATTTGTGGACTGAGAAATTCTTGTACCAGTGGGCGGTACTAATTTATCTGGCCTAGTGGTGCTTAGCATCTTGGAAACCGAGGATGCTCGATTCCTACCATCCAGGACTTGAATGGTGTTGGAATGCCATTAAAAGCTTCCTGTAAAAGCTTTTTCGGACAAGTGAAGTGAGTGATAAAATCACATGAAACCACTAAAAGAAAACCGGAAAGAATAAGCCCTTAATCTGCTAGGAGAGTCTTGTGCACAGTAGAGATGAAGGGGGTGTTTTGGGGGGCTTCTTGGACATCAAAGAAAGTGTCTATTCCTTCGGTAGAATTCTAAGAGCCAGCTCAGCGAGAGTTTGTTTGATTTTGTTTAGGACATCCTTTGCCTGAACTAGGGATACATCTTGAAGCTCTTTTGATCAAAATTTCATATAGAGATTACTCAAACCAAACACTTCTTGCTAGATCCCTTTTTAATTTGTTCTTTGCATGAGTTATAGGCTACTGAAAGATAAACTTTGATGGTTCTTTATTTTCTGATTAGCACTCTCTGTGATCAAGTCCAACGACCAAGAATGGTTCTTCTTCTGCCCCCGGGATAAAAAATATTCAAATGGGCATCGGTCCAATCGAGCTACAGAAGCAGGTTATTGGAAAGCTACTGGAAAGGATCGCATGATCAAATCCCGCAAATTGTTGTCTTCAGGTCACTCCAGTTCCCACATAATTGGGATGAAGAAGACTCTAGTTTTTCACAGGGGCCGAGCTCCCAAGGGTGAACGGACAAATTGGATAATGCATGAGTATCGTGCTACTGAACCTGATCTTGATGGAACTGGACCTGGACAGGTGAATCTCTCTCTTCCCCCCCCCCCCCCCCCCCCACCCAAATCACTTGCACACATATACCACACTCACACTACATAGCACGCATCAGTTTATAGCAAGAATGTTTTCAACTGTTCCAAATATATTCTAATCCAGTTTGAAATTTAACATGCCGAAGGATAATGATGCCATTACTGTTTTGATCCCTCAGGAAGTTGTTCGAATTCATCCTTTATTGAAATCATTCACCCTAGAACTCATCTTACATATTCACTATTATTTAGAAGTTAGATATAGAAGTATGAATTAATGGCTAATCAGGGTGTGGTTTTATGGTGATATAGTGTCTTCAATAGTTTTATTGTGGCTGTAGCTCCTCTATTGCACCCTTTGATAATCCCATACAAGTTGGTGTTTGTATTGCAAGAGCTATTGCAGTGGTCTTAACCATTAATCAATCTAGCAACATAAATTCAAGAATAATATGTCTGTTTTTCCATCAGGAGGAGGTATCTTACATAAGCCTCATAAACTAAAAATCTCTGGAGTTACTCAGAGTATAGGATAACTGGTGTGATGATTTAGTATCTGTGGTTAGCTTAAAAGGTACGAGTTGATTGTTTCGCATAAGCTACTGGCTGATTCCTGCATTGTTGAACTGTTTCTCACTATCATAGATTGTAGAATATAGATGTAAGAGCAAGCTGCAAAAGTTGTTGAGCCAATAATGTTTATATCTCCTGATTTTCAGTTCACTGCCCTTATGCTGTTTGGACTTTTATTTCATGTATTAGGGAGATTATGTCCTGTGTCGCTTTTTCCACAAGGTTGATGAGAAGGTCGAGAAATGTGATGATGCTGAACATACAGGATTATCTCCATCTACTAACAAGTCATCACCGGATGAGGTATCATCAGATTTGTTTCGAGAACCTGCAATGGTAGATGTGAAAAGTATAAAGAAACCTGAGGACATGAGTACATGGTGGACAGATCAGGCTGATTGTATGACTCCTATTAACCAAGTGTCATCAGGTGGAGTCACTCATGCACAAGACCTAAAGGATGTAGAGGTTAAAGATATTTCAAATCTTATTGCTCAACATATCTTGTAGTAGAGTAAGTCAATATTTACACCTGTTTATTTTGTCCTTTTCTCAGGTGTATGCGCCATTAATAGATTTTTCAATCTCTGGAGAAGCCACACAAAGTCAATTTGATGGGAAGATCTCAGATGCCAGACAGCTAGACAGTTATGCTGATTTGAAAGCTTTCATAGGTTCTCCGTTTTCTGATGACTTTGGAAATGAACGAAATGCCTCTCATTTCCAAGATGGCACATCTGAACAGGATGCATCCTTGTCTGAGATATTGGAAGGCCTTCAGAACCATGGGTACTACTTCAGTGAAGAGTCTACCAGCCGCAAGAAATCAGTTGAAAGTGACGGATTTGTTCCTAAGCATGTTGATGGTGCAGAGCAAAGACCATCTGCAATTTTTCAGGTAACTAGAATTTTCTGTTGGGAACATAGTTGAACACATAAATTTCTGATTCAAAGTCTGCCTTGTACATAATCTATGTTTCTGATGGTTAATTATTCTATAACGATGAATCTATTCAACTTCTTTAGTCTATAATACATGACAGTTGTGATGATATTATTGAATTCTTGCAGGAGCAAATATGTCCGATATTTTCTGAAGGTGCACCGACCAAGGGCAATGTGTTCCCTCACTATGCTGTTGAAGGGATTGATTCTTCAAGCCAAGTGAGAGATTCATGTGACAAGCCATTCAAGGCATTTCATAATACAAAATCAGTTAAAGATGATTGCAGTCCAGTTGGTGAAACTGGAATCAGAATTCACTCACATCAGCCACAAAACTATGGGTACTATTTCAGCGAAGAGTCAAATAGCCGCAAGAAATCAGTTGAAAGTGATGGTTTTCTTCCTAAGTATGTTGATGGTGCAGAGCAAAGGCCTTCTGCAAAATTTCAGGTAACTAGAATTTTCTGTTGGGAACATAATTGAGAGCAACTAAATTTGTGATACAATGTCTGCTTTGTACAGAATCTAATGTTTCTGATGGTTAATTTTATTTTCTATATATAGGTACTTCGGTGTGATCTACGATGAATGTATTCATCTTCTGTAGTCTATAATACATGACACTTCTGATGGAATTATTGAATTCTTGCAGGAGCAAATACTTCCGAGATTTTCTGAAGGTGCACCGACCCCGAGCAATGTGTTCCCTCGCGCTGTTGAAGGGATTGATTCTTCAAGCCAAGTGAGAGATTCACGTGACAAGCCATTTGAGGCATTTCATAATACAGAACCAGTTAGAGATGATTGCAATCCAGTTGGTGAAACTGGAATAAGAATTCGGACACGTCAGCCGCAACATAACCCAAGTTACGTGAGCTCTACAATTCATGGAACTGCACCAAGGAGAATCATTCTCCAGCTGGAGACACTAAGTGAACCAAACAATCAATGTTACAGAAAATCTAAGGGAGGAGACAATGAATCACCATCACGCAGTACAAAAGTGAGTTTCATAATTATTTGAATTTGGCATATTAAATTCATTTTTAGAGAGATTTTATAATGAATCTTGCATCCATACTTCTGATGTGGATGTATAGATTATTTTCTACATGCTTATGTTCTACATTTTGGAAAATCGAAAGAAGGTTACTTTTTACTAAGAAACAGACAGATTATCTTATAACTTTGCTGGATGATTTTATTGCAGGCTTCCGAAAATGGAAGAAAGACTTTCAAGTCTCTTGGCTCAGAAGATAGAATTCTCGACAAGAATACAGAGACTAAACAAACGTGCTTGTTTTCAGCAATGTTGTCTGCACGTGGAGGTGCAAACTATTTGAAAGAGTATGCTGTCGGGACTTACATATTTTTAATCTTGTTGGTAGTTTTCCTAGGGATGTTGGCATGCCCCAGCTTGCTTGTGCAGCATAGTTGACATATAATCCTGTTCAGGTAGTAATGTTATGGTGCTGTTCTTTTTTGTTGTCATCATTGAGTTAGTGGGGAATCCTTACCAGTTTGTACTAGTTGTATTTGTGTAGAAAGAAGTCTGTATCGAAGTAGATCGTGTTGCATAACAGGAATGGTTTCAACATGTTTTTTTTTTTTTTCCTGTCAAATTTGTTGTAGACTAATGGTTAATGTAACTTAGCTTTTAACTCTCACTAAATCCTCAATTCTAAGGAGGTTTGGATCATTAAACTGTCCCTTAACCGATATTTGTAAATTTTATAGGATTGAGATTCTTTCTGTGTTTGCTCGGCCATACTTGAAAATCTTGTCTTTGCCTTCGAAACTAAATATTCTGTTCATGTTAAAGTCTGAGTTGTCGAATGCTTTAGCTTAATATGGAGGCAGGTTCTGGATCCGAAGAGAAAATTGTGCGGCCGTATCGATATTGTTTGTGTTGCATTTACTAGCAGATAAGGCTAAGTCTTGTCCATAATTGACAGCGGAGATCAGTTTTGTTTTCTTATATCTGTGTGCATTGGCTGTTTGTTTCGTCCTTTTCATTGTGGGTGTCAATGCCTACGAAGATGTGAGCTGTCTTCGTCTACTCTGTGCCGTAGGATTAGGTAGATGTTGATTTTTGATGGCTGTGTGCCGTTGGATTAGGGTGGCAGTGGTTTTGATGGGATGGCCAACCCAACCCAACCCAACCCAACCCGGTCCCCCAGCATTATTGAAAATATCTCTCCCCCTATTGCGGCTGCTAAATTGGGCGACGAATAATTGTGCAATGGTAGATATTTCTAGTGTTACTGTTCGTTGTTGTTGAAAGTGAGCAAATTAGTATATCTTTGTGAGGTGCAGGAATGATCCCGGTGGCTGTGATGGCGGATCTGGTGGAGTACACGGTGGTGCTGTCTCGTTTGGTCGAGCGCATGCTGCAGGATGCTCAGCTGCTGCACTTTCTCAGACGAGATGCACGTAATGCCCCCCGTGCGGCCTCTACCCGTCCCGCCTCTGCAGTGGTGCTGGCTCCATTCGCGTAGCCAGCTGCCGAGTAATATCTTCTTCGTGGTTTCACGTTTTTTTTTGTTATGTGTGTGTTCTTGGATTTGCGTTTTGTGTCTATATGCAATGTTTGTTACATGTTACCCTTTTAAAACAAGAGTTCATGAAGGTTCGAAAATTTTGAAAATAGTAAAAAGTTACGGATATGGGAATAAAAGTGTCAATATATACTATATATGTATATATTTTCTCTTTCCAGAGGAAATAATATCTTATCCTAGAATAATTTGGGATTGTGTTTAATCCAGTGTGTGTGTTTGTTCTTCAAGTAACATTTTCCTTTTTTTTTTTTTTTTTTTTAAGCTTTTTATTAAATTTGAGTTGTTTATGAATTTTTTTTAATAAAAATAAAATTGAATATGTATTCTAAAATATATATATTGAGTATTTATGATACAATTCAATGTGTGAAAACAATTTGAATTCACAACAATTTAAATAAATATTTTTAGCTATATTGGTCAATTTGGGTGTAGCATCTTTTTACACTTTCTTTGTCGTTTGATAAACTTTCATAGAGTTCGGCTGAAAATAATGATGTGGACTACTTTCGGCCCATACTAAAATGAGAAGCCCAATATACTTGGGCCGAAATAAATATTGTAATTATTCTTCATTTCTCAATATGTATATATGTATATTTGCTTTTCAATCCAAGTAGATAGATGGAATGAGGGAGTGTCACGACCATCATCAATTGTGGATGTTTAACAAATATGAAAAGAATCAGATTATACAAATTAAATCAAAATGTATGTATGAAATGAATATATATATATATATATATATGTATGTATGTAAAGGTTGGCATGGAGGTGAGGGGCCCTGGCCCCTCTCCTCCCCCCCCCCACACCCATCCACCCCCGAGGGCATATATATATATATATGGGTAGTACCACTGTTGTCATGGAAGCAGTTTTAATTTTTGTATGTATGTATATACACACATTATCAGATTACTTTACTGGGGGCCCACTTGCTTCGCATTAGTTTCTTGCTTCTTCATTATCACATACTATATGTTTATATATATTTTCCATCTATATATATGATCATATATATATATATATACCTCTTTGCACGTACATATCCATTAGAGTGCGTGGATCGTCGTGTATATACACACATATATTAGTATTAATTTAATTAATTAATTTAGCTTTTGGTCTGTGTTAATAATTGTTCGTGTTAGCTAGCTTAATTAGTCTGCTTAGATTCTCTCACAACTACAATAGGAGTAGGGATAGGGATAGGGCCATAGGGATAGGGGCCGCTCCAGATCGGAATTATTGAAAACGATACATTAATTAATTTATTAGACAGTGTATATATATATATATATATATATATGCATGTATTATAATTCTAATAATAAAAACGTACAGAAGTAGATCATTTCATTTTAATTTCAGCCAACTTAATTTGGTTAATTATACTGTGGTGGATCGGAGCACTTTTTAATTTAATTAATTACTTTAATTATATATATGTATATATATTTTTTGTCGGTATGCATGCATGTATGTACGAGTATGAATGCATTAATTAATATTACTACTGTTTTCATGCACGCTTGAACCCACCCTGCCCTCATTCACTAACTACTCTACTCTACTCAACTCAACTATTCATTCTATACAGTATACAGTATACAGTATACATACATATATATATATATATCCATCACCATCACCATCACCATCACCAATACCAATTCATTCCATTAATCATTTATTTAATCTATTACATGCAAAGCATGTATGTATGTATGTATGTATTTGGTGGCTGTCTCTAACTCTAATCAATAAATAACTACCCGTGTTTAATTATTACAATATATATATATTTATATAAATTTCCTTATGCTATATATGTTGTGGTCTCCGTGTGTGTGTGTGTATGTTCCAATTGCCAACCAAGAACAATGCTTCAAATCTACATATTTGCTTTGTCCCATCAACGGAGAGTAGGGTTTTTTTTATCTAATTAATCACTTGGAGACTCCCGTTTGTGGATGTATAATTAATGGCTGCATTTCTCTAAAAGTTCAAGCTCTTAGATGAGACAGTTATTCAGCATCCGACACACATAATGATTAAATCGATCGAAACCAATATGGAGATCAACTTGATCTATTACTTACCCCCTCTCATATGGAGTGTAGCACATAGTATAAGGATAAGAAGATGTATAAGATAATATATAGTAGCTAATAATCGAGTATAGTTTTTTTATATTTTTTTAAACAAACATTAATTAATTCTTTAATGTTTTTGTGTGTGTGTGTATATATATATATATATATATACACAGACATTAGGGCATGCATTAATCTAATAGAGAAAGAAAGAATGAATGAATGAATAATACACTAAACACCATATTGATCGATACCCATCCTCCTATATATGTATCTTTTCCAATTTTAGATTTTTCCAAATAAACCATTATATATTATTAACTTTTTTATCTTCTTTTCCAAATTTCTATAGCTATCTTTTCCAAAGGATTAATTTCATGTCATATATATATAAATATATATAGCAGCCGGGCCCCCCAGCAAATTAAATCCTCACAGCTCCCTTTGATGATTATTATCCATCATCGTACTTGCATTTTCACACCAGCTATATATCCTACTTTAATTCTTGCACTCTTTTTGAATCTAATGATGATCACAATAATATATATATATATATATATACACACATTTATATGTGTTTGTTTGTTTTGAATAGGTGCATGTGGTGTGCTGTAGGATGTAGGTTTGTGGAATCTAATTCATTTTTGCAGCAGGTAGCTAGGGTTTCTTTAATTTGAAAAAATATATATTTATATATCTCGTATTCCTAAATTAATTATTATATGTTTGTGTGAAAAGTGTTTAATTAGGAAAGTAAGTAGTAGCTAGGAAATTAAATTGTATTAAAAGAAAGAAAAGAGGGAGATGTAGTGATGTAATTAGGGTTTTGGGTTTGGGTTAGGGTTAGGGTTAGGATTAGGGTTAGCAGCCAGCAATATTGTTAATTGGTTGCAGCAGATCATATGATATGATGGATGGAATTATAACTAAGAAGCTAATCTGATTAGCAGAAGTTGAAAAATATATAATTAATTAATGAATCTTATGAGAAAAGGATGATTTTCATTAGCAGTCTGAGAGTGAGATTGAGAGTGAGAGTGGTCCACCATGGAAGAAATGTTGTAGAAATTAAACAATAATAATGGTGACTCTCTCTCTTTCTCTCTCTCATCGTCTGTATCTATTACACTAGAGCTCTGCTCTGCACGATGGGTGGATACATGAATCTAAGGGGTGGCCCCAAGGGGGGCCCTGGCCCCCCCCCCCCCACCCCACTCTAAGGTAAGGGTGTGTTTGATATGAAATTTTTATTATGTTAGTTTAAATAGTAATTTAATCTGATATTGTACTAGAAAAAAATAATATATATAGTTGTGTAGTCATAATATGTATTGGTATGCTTGATTAGCACTCGCAGCTGGGAAAAAAAAAAAAAATTAATTCAATTACTTATTTACTATCATATCTGTTGTTTAACGCATTGATAAATTTACAACAAAGATAGAAATTTGACGAAGTAGCCAACTTTGGCTGTATCAAAATATATCTTATATATGTCGGAACGAGACAAATCAACATAAGTCAACTATGTGTTATACTCAAATGACATTTAATGCCTCGTACACTCCTCCCCACACTGAGACATAGACCAACTTTGTCATGAGTGTGCAGAGTGTATTTTGTTTTGTTTTGTTGTTAAAAGGAGTATCGTGTGAGATACACACACTTTTAGAGCAATATTTTCTCTCATCACATCAGAGAGTTGAGAGCTGTTTCGATAGAGTTTTGGAACTGTAAAGAAGAAGGAGAAAAATGAGTTGAAATCGGATAAGACAATCAACATAGAGCCTTACTCTTAATTTAACAACATGTTTGTTGGAGTTGTTATTAGATTGCAACAGTCAGTCCGTATGTACATGTAAAACAAAGAAGAAGCTTGAGTAGATGATAGGTTGAGTAATTTTGTGTGGGATCTTGAATGGTAAACCAAGTATTTAGTTTAGTGAAACACTATTGGATTGGTATTCCAAATGTAGATTTTAACACTGAATTGGATTAATGTGTGTTGTTTGTCTTTGTTTTGTGCTTATTTAGATGTAGAATCGTGCACATAACACACTGTAGATTTAACCACACGACAACTAAGTTCAAAGTTGTGAAAACCTCTCACGGTTTCATATTTTCACTGCATATAAAATTCGAAGATGTTTGACTCCTATTTGAGGTTGATTCGAATATCCAATAGAGTTGATCATTTCACTTTTTTCTTCTTGACCTTTTTTTTTTTTTTTTTAATTGCATAATATTAAATGAAATTCAATAATGAAGAAGCAAAATGTGATAACTAATAAGATTAGAATAGAGCAGTGAAGAATTATAAATAAAAAATGAGAGTATATATATATATATATTGATTATTGTTCTTATTTCTAATTTAGAATTTAAATTAACCTGAATTCAATTCTTATGTAGCTTTAGCTAATAAACACTTCACATTAACCAGGGGTCTGTTTATTTGGTGTGTTCATTTTGTTTTAGTGTTTTGCATTCTAATATTAAAAATAATTGTTTGATTTATTTTTCTTTTTTTTTCTCCTTTAAATCACAGATTAAATAAATAAAAATGAGTTTGAAATTAGGGTAATCAAACCCTATATTTAAATTATACGAATTTATATTAACAGTAATCAATGCGAGATAGTAGTGTAAGTACATTTTTAATTTATATATTGGATCCTAAATCTAATATTAACTCAATTTAAATTTTCCCAGGATGCATCCTATTATGTTAAATGGCTATTTTTAGTCATAATTTTATATGACTTAAGTTTAATATGACACCATTTAATTTAATTGCACCAGACACACATTAAATATATAATGGGCCCTAAATTAATAGGCAAAAGCGCGTAATTAATTACTTACACGACAAAATATTTTTAATGAACTGTCCTTACTAATATATCATTTTTCTTTATGAGTAAAACAGTACTCTTTCTGTCTAAGATTTATACCATAATTAGCATTTATTTTTATCTATTAACTTAAATTATGCTTTAAATATATAACACTAACAATTTTATCATTGTTATTATGTTATACATACATTGTCAATTATGAATTTAATTTCTAAAATATTCTAACGTAATTTTTACTAAATATATATATATTTATATATATTTTTTAATCTTTATGTCCCGTACAGACATACTTTTGATGGATGAATGAATAACTAAAAAGTCAATTTGAACAACATTATTCATATAAAGCAATTATTTATTAGTTTTTTTTTTTGAAAAAAAATGCTCGTAATAGTATTTATATGACCTTTTTATTTAAATAGCCTCCATTATAATTTTCTGTTTTTATTGAGAGGATATAATGATTATATAGTAGCCTCATGACCTGTGACCTACTTATAGCCTATATATACACACATATATATATATAGAGTGAGAGAGGGTTGGGGGGTGGGGAGGGGGGGGGGGGGGGTCACACATGCATTTGGTTGATAGGCATGCACGTAGGGTGGGGACAAAATATATGTGTGAACTAATTAATGTTTGGGCATTCGAATTTAGTGTGTTTTATTTTTTGTACTTATTTTTATTTGACAATATATATAAATGTGTGAAGTTGAAGTTATAATTAATTTTATATATACATTATTAATTAATTAATAGATGGAGGATGAAAGTAAAGATTCGTTAAAAATTAAAATTGGTAGGTGATATGAAAGGAAGCAAGGATATGTATACATACAAATATATATATATATATATATTCCTCCCTCAATAATGCGTAAGTATTAGTAATTAATAAATTCCTAACCCTGACAGACAGACAGACAACTCATGCCATCAACCACACTTATAGCTAATTTATAGTAGAATATATATATATATATGTATATATGAAAGATGGGTTAATGAATTAGGTATAGAGTAGAGGTAGGGTAGAGAGTAGAGAGTAGAGAGTAGAGAGTAGGGAGTGGGCAAATGGAAAGTGCGTGGTTGCGAGGATGATGATGATGGTGATGATCAGAGTACTTGCTGACCATATCAGTTTTGCAAAATTCATGAAAACCTCTGGATTTGCAAACTGAATCCGTTAGCTTTGTCTGCTCAAATCTACCCCTACCCCCCCTCTATATATGTACATATAGAGTTAGAGAGAGAGAGAGAGAGAGAAGAATTATATGATAGTCCCCCCCCACCCCCACCCCCACCCCCACCTCAGTGCTGAATGCATCCATCATCACCATCACCATCACCATCACCATCACCATCATTTCTCATGCACCATTTCTGAATTTCTGATCACAAACACATACATATATATATATGCATACATGTTTTGCGAGCTAGGCTGTATCTGATTTGTGGGCTCACAGCAGATTTAGCCATTGATCTTAGCAAATTAAAGAAACCTAGCTAGCTAGCTACCCACTACTACTACTGCATAGAGGAATTTAAACCTAGGTAGGTAGGTAGCTAGCCTGCTAGCAGGGATGGCTGGGTTGTGATAATCTTGATGATCATCGATCACGATAATAATTTCATCAATACAAATAACGATAATAATAAGATTCAAGATATACATACATCCACTAATAACAATAATTAATATAATTGTTCCTATATATATATATATATATATACTTTTACTTTACAAGATGGGGACCTGACTGAGTGAGTGACGCAGTGACTGACTGGCTCATGACCCTGAAAACATATACCTATATATATAGATATGTATGTATGCATCACAACAGCAGCAACAGTAACAGAGAAAGAGAGGGTGAAGAAGAATCAGCTAGCTGGCTGGCTACTTACCTACCTTGCTATAGGCATGATCACCATAATCCATATATATATGTATCTATATGCACGGTGGTGGTGGTGATGGTGGCGGTGGGGTGACAGCAAAACATATCTATTTGATTCCTATACTCATTAACTTCACTCAATCCTTGTTCCTGCTATCTCTTCTTTAAGAAAACCTAATGTACACACACACACATACTTATATATATATATGTTCTTCTGTGGTTCTTGATTCATAAATCCCAAATGTATTCCTCAACCAAACTATGAACAACATAGTCAAGTTCCTCAAAAACGCTTCAACACTAATGATAAACTTAAGATAGGGGTGTCTATATATATATATATATATATATGTGGATGGAGTGCTACACACATATTAGATGAGTTAAAGGGCATGAGTCATAACCTTTTGTCTTTGCAACAGTTGCTGCTGTAACAATAAACGGTAAGAAAATCAATTTGTTACAATGCATAATGTAAGAATTATTATTATTATATATATGAATGAAGAGATATAGATCAACAAATACTCTTGGTGTCTTGTAGTTTAAACAGTGAAAGCATTCGATTGTATTTATAACCAAACAAATGATAGTAATAATAAAGACACGAATTAGACTGATTTAAAAAAGTTTCAACCTCAGCAAGAAGAGAGAACTGTTACTAGTAATGGGCTCTCAGCCTCTCACATATAAAGTCATGTCATATTTATACAGAGATGTATATCTATTAAATTACTACCAATTGTACAAGATTTTAGTGACAAAAAACATGATCATTTTTTAATAAATAAACTAAAATATACAAGTTCATAACGTGTGGATGAGCACTGATTAAGGACCATCTAGGCACCATTTTTTATCACACTTAGAAATTACTTGTGACTAAATAGGAGTCAATGCACCTCAGCTGATATCATTCATTGACATTTTATAATAATGACAAGATATTCTTGATCAATTTTCTAGATATGCACCACATAAATCAATTCTTATGGCAACATGGCTCATCAACCATAACCAGTTCAATCAGACAAGCTTTTCAATAATATTACATTCCAATAGATTGGATCATAATATTACCAATATAAATCCTACCTGATTCTGGCACAATACATATAGGCCAAGAAACAATTAGGAAAAGTTTTTCATAAGTGAGCAATTCCAATATTGCTTCATATATATATAGATCCCTTGACAAATCTAAAAGTAAAAGATAGATGCCCTAATAAAATTTTCGAATCCATGGGGTGTCAGTTTATTGCTAAGCTCCAACAATCTTTATTGTGATGAATCTAGAGGCATTCAATCCACCCTTTATATAGTTTGTCACCTGCTAGGGAGGATGCATGAGTTTATGTATATTCTTTACACAATATGTGCATTTCAAAAACATATATAGATCTTATCTTTAGGACCACAAATCTTGGCAGATATATATATACTGTTGAAATTTATGATCTGGTAAGTTCAGGGGGCCGGGATATTAACTTGGCAATATACAAGACATGATTTCAACATAGTGGAACCATCATGTGAAGATGAATGATCCATTTTCAGCTGTTGGGACCAAGGCAAAGCTCAAAGACATTAATGGGGTTAGGACTATATCTGAAGACATTTCATTCAGAGAGGGTGTGTTTGATTTGACTTCTACTAGTTATTTTTTTCTTGCCCTTTATCAAAACTGTGCCACACAAAATTAATAAGTATGCTTCTCAATAGTTCTCAAGAAAAGTTTGTCTGGGGCGTACCTTTCTTTTTTTTCTTTCTTTTTCCTTGAGAACCATCTGTCAGCAGCCCATTGGTTGGAACACATGCCGTTGGGATGAATTAACTGAAACTAGAAACCAAAATTTATGTTACATGACTACTACTTTTTTCAATGTTTGAATAGAGATAAATGTTGGTTTTGTCAAACATTCGTAGAAATTATGTAATTTCTAAATCGGAAGGTTCTTGGAAACTCTTTGTTTCTAATCACAATCATATATAGTGTGTGTGTGAGAGAGAGAGAGAGAGAGAGTGAGTTTATGTAATATTCCATGGTAAAAGAGATGAATTAGCCTGCAGCAAAGTGATGATCCTATCCTATGGTGAGCATGCCACACAACGATATATATATATATATATATGTCAGAATTGTGGGATAATTTTAACAGTACTAGATAGCTAGGCAGCTTTTGAACAATTTAGAAGACAGTGAAGTTACAACTAGCTGCACAAGAAAAGCTTTTATGTGATTACTAAATATCAGTTCAAGCATATATATATGTAGGCATAAATATAGATAATTGGCCCCCGCTTTATTGCCTAGTTTTACCTTAAAATACCAAATGATCAATAAAAAAAAGAAAGTGAAGAAAGTAAAATCCACATGACCAAAGCAAAAGTTTTGTGTAATTGAGAAGGATTGATCATGACCCTTTTCACTACTTTAATAAATTCATGTACGATAACTGCAAGGAAATTTAATACGAATGGAAAGGGTTTTTCAACAGTATTGGAGTTCAGACTACATCGTTTGAAAAAAAAAAAAAAAGGGATTTAGCATCAATGTAGAAGGTGTAATAAAAGAAAGAAAATGATGAGGAGGATGAGCAAAGGATATGAGAGAATGTGCAATGTTGTCTAGAAATGTGAAAATTGAGAGAGAGAGAAAGAGAGCAGAAAAGAGATTATGGTTATAGCTAAGCTAAGCTATAAAAGAAATTGATGACACACATAAATGCAAAGAAATAAAGGTATAGGCTATATGTATATACCCTTTAAAGCTCCCCAACAATCCTGGTTTTGTACCGCCGGCGTGTCCATTGTAAGAGCAACAAGAATTCAACAACCTACAACAGATAATTAAGACAAAGAGCAGTCATAAAGGTTAGACGAATTTCAGTTGCTATCCCTGTCCTTTCTCATGAGCTAATGTGCAGCTTGCACTGTCTGCTGCCTGCCTAGCCCAATACTTCTTGTTAAAACACAAGATAATCAAGAATCAGTACGATGATCACATGGGAATTAATTAGCTAGCTAGATCGATTGCCCACCAACGAGAGTGGATACAGTGATCAATTAATCTGCTAGCTAGATTATGAACAAGAAGATGAAAGATTAAATATGGTGAGAATTAAATAAAGAGGAAGAGATATGTAATAAACCATGAGACTTTTGCTGGGATTCGGCATCTGTGTATTGGATCGAATCGGATCCAAGATGAACTACAGCATTGTAAGAGGATTAAGCATAAAATATATGTATAGAATTAATATGGGATTGGGATGAACAAAAAGAATTGTCTTATCATCTCTATCAATATAAACGTAATATGGCAAGTATTGTGTCGATAATTGTACATGTACTAGTCAAAATTAAGAAACACCATTAATTCTAAACATCTGATCAGGATTCCGATGAAAGAGGGCAACATGTTGATGGATGGATGGATTTGCAGCCGATTGAAGTGATGAATTAGTTGTTACCTCTATGTTGGATTGATTGCAGATTTTGATGGTGTTTTTCTTGGATCTGTGCGTAGATCATATGTCCAAATCGAGAGACATGGAACCCTTGCCTTTGTCTTCATCGTCTTCTTCGCTGCTGCGATTAGGCCTGATCTGGTTATTAATTGCGGAATTAGAAGGGGGAAAGTGGAGGAGAGGCGGCTGAGTGACGGTGGTGGAGGAGACCAGTATATCACATCCATTATCTGACGAGTCAGAAATTGGACAGTCCATGTTCACGCCGAACAGCCTAAGTCGCTTTGCTGCAGCCTTTCCTTGGACCACCGGCACTGCGTTGAACACCATTTGCTCCCTGGCTCTCGGCGCCGCCGGGAGGGGGAGGGGGAGGACTCCTTCTGTTGTGGGGGCGCCGGCGGGGCTGGGACTGGAATTGGATCTCAAGTACATTATTGACGCCGGCGCCGGCGAGCAAGGGTTTCCGTTGACGATGGTGGTGGTGTAGCCGTAATTGGGAGGGTAATTGGTGAGGCCCTGGTGGTTGTGGTGGTGGTGGTGGTGGTAACGGGATTGATTGGTGGTTGTGAAGGCGGCGGCGGCGGCGGCGGGTTGGAAGAAAGGGGGGTAGTCTCGCGGCGGCGGCGGCGGAGGGAGAAATAGGGGGCTCCAGGGGTGAATCGAGGAGCGGTGGAAGGAGAATTGGTTGGGGATGGAGAGGGGCGGCGGGATTTCCGGGATGTCGGGGCGGTGGCGCCAGTCGATGAAGAGGCGGTCCTTTGCCAAATCGCCGACGCCGCGCTGGAAGGAGACGACGTCGCCGGCGTCGAGCTTCTTCTCCTTGACGAAACGGCTCCAGCCTTTGGTCATCACGTAGCTTTGGCTGCTGTTCCAGTAGGAGTACCGGAACCGCCATGGCTTCCCGTTCCGGTCCTCGAAATTCAGGAGGAGACCTTTCTCATTCGACGACGAATCCAGGGGGAAATACTTCTCGGCGTGCTGCTTAGGGATGACCAGTCGATTAAGCTTTCCGACGTCGCTCGGAGTCACAACTTTGTCGAACATGTGCTCCTTCTCGACGGCGGCGGCGGCGGAAGCAGCTCCGGTGCCGGTGCTGTCGCCGCCTCCTTCTTCTCCTCGCATGTGATCATCGGAGTCCTCTTCCGGCGGCGGACCGGCGGATGCAGTGGCTTCTCCGGCGGCTCTGAAATTGAATTTTGGGGAAGAAGATGGGACGATGGGTGATGTAGAGGTAGTTAAGTCTTCACAAAACCCTGACCTACCTGACATGAAATTCATGATTCTATTCTATAATTCCTCGATCGAACTCGTCAATCTCTAACTGAATCCCTGACAGATCTACCAGAAAAGAGAGAGACAAAGACAGAGAAGGTGGAGAGAGAAAGAGGGAACACTGAAATCGAGCCCAAAAGAACAAAAATCAAATCAAAATCTAACGACTCCAAATCTCCCAGCAGCAGCACACCAACGAATCAATCTGTGCAGTCTCCAGCTGGGCTTGTATCCTCCATTGACGGGAAAAGGAGTTCAGAAGCAATTGCAGAAGGAAGAATCAAGAAATTCGGAGGGATTTAATTTGTGACCTAGGGTTAAGAATGGAGGATGAGGATGGATACAATACATACAAACAATTGTGTGTAAAAGAGGGGAAAGTACTGAAATCAGAAGAGTGCAGCAGGTTTCAGTGTGTTTATATAAGAAGACGACGACGAAGAAGAAGAAGAAGGATCATCATTTATCATCGATTCCCTCAAAAGAACGGATGGGAAAAAGCAGAGAGAGAGGGAGATGAGAGAGATAGAGATGTATATATATATATATATAATGTACAAGATTGTGTAAGGCGGCCAACTGTATTTTTGTTCTACTAATTGTTGACCTCTCTCCACTCAAAAAACCATAGATGGAAAAGGAAAGGGACAATTGGAGAGAGAGAGACAGGAGAGAGAGACTGTATAATTTAGTGGGGATGGGTGGGGGTGGCGGGGGGAGGCCCCCGAAGGTTCTCCTCAAGTTAGGCCCTTTTCCAACAAATTTATTCTGCCATTACAGCCCACCCATTCTTCTGCTCTTGTCTTCTTCTTCTTCTTCTTCTTCTTCTTCTGCTGCTTCTGCTGCTTCTTCATCTTCGTCTTGCCTCTGCCACTATATATACATACAGATAAATGTATATATATTGTAACTAGGTTAGAGAGAGAGAGAGAAAGTGCCTTTATACGTAGAGGAAGGAGGCCGAGGGGGGCCCACCAGTTTGCCTGCCTGCCTGCCTTCATGTGATCACCTCGTCCTTGTCTTAATATCTCTCTCTCTCTCAACATTTTTCTTCATGTATTTATTTTATTCTATTTGATTGATAATTTCAGGGCGTCTCTTGTTTACTTGTTTATTATTATTATTATTATTATTATTATTATTATTTATTTAAAATATTAATAATTAGAATTAAATGTATGTAGAATCACTTAATAATAATACTACTAATCATAAGATAAATCAAATATTATTAAAACTTTTTTTTTTAATAAAAAAAAGCTTTCGAATTACAAATAATATAAATTCAATTCAATAATAATTGTGATGGAAAATATAAATAATAAAGACAGCTTAGATGTGCTATTTAATTAATTTATTTGCGGATTGGATAATAGTAGAATTAATATAAAGTTGTTCTTACAGTTAATTTAATTAATTGAGATTAAATTAATTATAAGAATAAGGCATGTGCTGTGACTGTGACCCACCCCACCCCACCCCACCCTGATTGATGCCTATGTAAATTATTATTAGTACTACTATTACTAAACTAATTAATTCAAGGGTATTATATAATTTATCAGTCGTTAATTAATTAATTAATTAATTTTAATCAATCATGCAATTAGGGCTAGGTTTGTAATAAACACACCTAATTAAATTTAATTAACTGCACTAATAACTACTTGGTATTTAGACCTATCTATGTATAATTATGTATATAGAGATAGTAGTTGTGGCCACTTAAATTTCAATTTCAATTTTACTTAATTCACTGCTGTCGTCTCTGCACATTTAATTTATTATTATTATTATTATTATTATTATTATTATTATTATTATTATTATTATTATGTAATAAAATAATATATTATTAATTGCTACTGTCATCCAAGATTCATGGTATGTAGAAATTAAATAATAATCATAATAATAAAATGATCGGTAACGAAGGATCATTAAAATAATACAATTATTATAGTATTATATATGCATGTGCAATGTGTTTGTACAAATGTCAAATTAATTAAATCAAAATCAATACAGATTTGAGGGATCATGGATTATTTTGGCATGATTTGTTGGGATTTAATTTGATTTTTTTCTAGCTGCATGCTGCATCAAATAATATTAATAATAATTAATTAGCAGTTAAAAATAAATAATTTAGTAATAATAGGCATTCACTTTAATTATTTTTATACATGTAATTATTTATCGTTGACTTACTGTACATCAGTAGTCCGTACAGGTAATTCCCATTTGGATCTTTTATTTCAATAATATTAATTTAATTATTGATTAAATTCACTCTGTCATTAATTTGCTTGCACACATAATAATTTTAATGTTTAGTATTTGATATTTGGACTATAATATATATATAATTTCTCCGTCCCATAACAAAATATCCATTTTTCCATTTTAGTCCGTCTCATAACAAATTATCTATTTCGTTTTTTAGTAACTGTACTATCTACCTAACATTACAAATACCCTTACAACTTACAATATATTACATAAATGTCATTACCTTTATATCACACATACTAATAAGGTTATTTTAATCATTTTTACTTTATTTCTATTATATCCCAATATAATACTAATATTTTTAAAACTACGTGCAAAAAACAAATAGATATTTATTTTTGGGACGGAGGGAGTATTATAGTTCAATATTTTTATAAACATATTATTCAATAATATAATCTTAAACTAAATTCAGTAAATGACTATTGGTCCAAACTAATATAAAGGTTGTGAGCACACCATGTTATGTATTCACATGCCAATGTTTTATTCCAAAAATAATGACTTAGTTACTCTAACTACAAAATATTTCAAGTTAATTATAATAACCCATACACGAAGTTTTTTGCTCATATTAATTTGCAATGTTAATAATTATATAGGCTTAAGATTTTTTTATTTTTATTTTTTAATGAATGTTGGTCAATAAAAATTTTTATTATTTAAATTTAACAATTCAGTATTTATTTAAGTTCAGCTGACTTGCTTTACGTATAGAATAATATTGAAACGTTGATTGATAGACATGAGCCTTCAAGTTAAATGAAGAAATGTACAACAATAAATTATTTATGTTTAATGTTGCAAAATATTTATATATAAAACATACAAATTAAATAGTAGTTCAATAACGTTACATATATATACTAAAAATTTCACTAGTTTCAATTTTATTCTTGCTCACAAAAAATAATACAATATATAAATTGGAGATTCAAATTTATTATTATTTTTTAAATATAACTAAACACAATTCATTCCAATTTAAATTTATTATTATATTAGCTGTCGCTTCTTACAATAAACGTATCAAATTTGTTAAAAGTAATTCCATATCTTATTACATATAATCACATAAAATTCATCCCAATAATTATATAATATAATAATTAGGTGTGCGTGTGCGAATTGACATGCATGCCTTAATCATGTTATCACTATTATTATTAACATAGGCTCTAAAGTTTTTTGAGTTTGGAAATATTTTGGAAATAATTAAAAAAAATTGATTTTTTTTTTTAAAAAATATATATATATATTAGTATTGATTAATAGTGTTAATATGCATGTAAAATCATATATATTGAAAATGATGCTGAGTTGGCAGAGAATTAAGAATGGAATAATTAAAAGCAGTGGATATTTAATTAAAGGGCATGCAGAATTGGGCCTATTGCCTATACCTATAACCTGTGGCAACAGATGCTAGAGTGGACCACACTCTCCTTATTCAAATTGCAACCTCGATTATTATTGATGTAATTATTTCTATGTCAATTATTTTTTTATATATAATATATTAATTATATGTATAATACACACACATTATTAACCACAGTACACTTGTAACGTGATATTTAAATCGATGGCACGTGGTTTTTAAGAATAGCCTACTCTTCATCTGAAGTAATGTAAGTTAAAAACCATTCTCTAATTAATTATTATATCTTATTATTTGGGCCGTCGTAAAAATCCAATCTTTTGCAATTGGTTACTATTGGGCATCGCCCAGTGAAGTGTAAGTGCAATGTCAAACAATGGGGGTGTATAGATCTAATTTGTCCAAGTTTAGGGGGCAACATGCAAAATAAAGCTACAGAAAAAGAATAAACGCTCAAGCAAAGAAAGAATGTCCGAAAATTGCATAATGTAGTGAACAGAGGTTTCTTTTAGGTAAACAATGCAAGGAAAGTTAACATATCCCTTTGTAGAAGATGATTCCAATTTCCACCCTTTGATTTGTTTATCTCCTCAGAGTGTGCAAGATGTACTCAGCATAAAGGTCCCTACACAATTTGTTAAATCAAAAAAAGCTCGGCATTGGAACGAAACATCGATGAGTGTCGGAAAACTTACATTGAGTATTGGATGGCCTCAGCAGCAGTAGATGAAGGCAGGAACTCATTCACAGCTACCTCTTTGTTCTCATTCTTCTTGTCTGAATATTTGTTAAAAGAAACATATTAGGGAAGAGTTGTCCTAAAATAGACAAGAAAGATAACAATAATATTTGAGACTTGTGTAAAATTTCAAGAGGGTTTGGTTTGAGAGGGTACAGTCTTCAAAGAAGCGACGAATCTCTGCCAGCCGATGAGGAGGAAGCTGACTAATGTCGGTGAAGTCTCTGTACTCAGGATCATCGGCGCATACTGCAATGATCTTGTCGTCTTTTTCTCCCTAATAACAAAGAAAAGCTCGATCATGAATACACATAGTTTGATCGTGATTTTTATTTTTGTAATTTTCAGTGGTGGTACCTGATCGATCATCGGCATTAGGCCTATTGCTCTGGCTCGAAGAAAACAACCTGGAAGAACAGGCTCCTGCAAAGGGTGCCGTGGTGTGTGCATTAAACGGACAATCTTGAAACTACATTTGAAATCGTTTGGAAAGGTTTAGGCGAAGATGTTTTACCTGCATAATGACTAGTACATCCATTGGGTCATTGTCTTCACATAATGTCCGGGGAATGAAGCCGTAATTATGAGGATAGACCACTGAAGAATACAATACGCGATCAACCTGCACACGAGCCACATTGGTCAAAACAAACTGAATGTAAATTCCCCGTTCGACTCTTAATTTGATCGTTGATTAGAATAGCTAGTGGGTAGTGGATACCTTGATCAAACCAGTTTTCTTGTCAAGCTCATATTTCACTTTAGACCCTTTGGGTATCTCAATCACCTAAGAAGGAAGCAAAAAAGATCAAGTAAGTAATTGACTTATGTATAAATGAAAAAGAGGACTGAAGATTGCTTGGGTTGAATGGAAAGATCTAAGCATTTGCCTGAAAATCTGGGAGCAGATAATATTCCATTTATGTAACAATCTACGATTGAATCATACAAGTGGTTGGGAAAAGAATCGGGATTACTTACAACATTAATGATTCGAGGCGCTTCAGGACCTGAAAGGAGAGGAAACACAGACATTAAAATCAGTAATAATGGAAATGGTTGTGAAAATTAAAACTCCAGTCATTTGATTTTGATCAATGGTTACCGATCTCAAGATCGTGCCAAGGATGAGCAGCAACAGATCTCCTTGACAAAGTCGAAAGAATCCTCTCATTCAAGCGTGGAGTAGCCTTCCGGCTCTCAAATTTAGCAACATTTTCAGAACCCATTTCCCCTTGACCTGAGGAGGAAATCAGGAAATAAACCAACCAGCAAATTTACTAAGAATAGGGCAGGAAACCATAAAACTAATTCAATTGAATAGCACAGATAATCTATAAATCTCGTAGATATATACACGATTTCCAGTTGAGTAATTTCAAAGCAAACACATAACTAATCGACAGGATCGATCCAGAGATTCCATTGCTAATACACGTGAAATCAACAACCCTAACTCAAAGGTTTCCACTCCATCCAAAACCACAAAAGCAGCCAAGCATAACAAACCAAAAAATCAAATCTACATTGCAACAAAAAGTAAATACCTAAAAAGGAAACGCGACACAGATCGGAGGAAATCGAACAACGTTGAAGTTGAACTGAAGCAGGGAACGCGTAAGACACAGTTAATCGTTGATTCCGCCAGTTGGATTCCGTAGCAGGTGTTTATATAGGCAACGATGGGGCGGGGGTACGCGCCTACACGTTTTCCGCATATTCGGGTACTCAACTCCCGGCTGTCACTTCCCCAATTAAATATCCTGTCCAACCAAAGCAGGCGACACGTTCCGGGCCCACCCAAGTCATTTTTCATATTTTAATCTAAATTAGTGTATGCTTAGCACTGCTTTCTAGGTCCGTAACTAAATATATATCTAATTTTTGTACGTAATTTTAAAAATATTAATATATTAGATTATTATTATAATTATTAATATAAATAAATAAATACTTTACTACGCAACGAGGAAGTATTATTAATAATTACTATTACACTGAGCAAACGTAGGTGAAATTTCGTTGAAGTCTATATTGAGCAAATTGAGAAAGCGTGTTTGGAATATTCCATTGGCATAATAATAATAATTATTATTATTAAAAGAATATATTAAATTATATTAAATGATTACTTTTTAGTAATATATTTGATTTTTAATATAGTATAAAAAAATAAAAAATAAATATTTTATTTAATATTTTTTTTAAAAAAAAAAATTATAAAATTTAGAAAAAATCCCCAGACAAAGACACCCTTTTGGTTCCATTAATGATAGGATCTAATATTATTCCACAATGCCATTGTCACGTCATATTCAAACGCCATAATTTATCACAATTTATCCGCTCATAATACCATATAGATAATTCTTTTAATTTAACTGCCGGACATATAAAAAAATTGATTCTTTAATTCAGCCATATTAATTTCAAATCATGATTTAACCAATATATTTATTCACAATTTCTTTAAATCTTATCCAAATTTGACTGGTCCACAGTGTAATTAATTAAATTAGACCCATAAATATCACATTTAATTAGTTACTCCCCCAAAACACAATAAACAATATATTATATAATTCCATATAACATAATATATTGTGATTTTAATATTATAAAAAAATATACAGTATAACTCAATATATATAACTCATTCATACGACGTATGTTTCTATATAATATAATATATGTTAAATTACTGTGATAAATCAATTAAATTAGCACATTCTAACTGTCATCATTATACCCAAATAATATATTTTTAAATTATAGAGAAAAAATAATCGGATAAAATACAATAATCGGATATATTTTTAACCAACACGTTACTTTACCAGCATAAACAGAACATAGCAACAGAAAAGTTTGTTACATTTTTTTTTTTTTTGTACAGATTGAGTAAATTAGCAAAAAAACATATCAATAAGTTGAATTTTATTTACATTAATATCACACATTATTGTTATTTCCAGAAACAAATCAACACACTAATTTTTTTATCTTTTTACTTGCAGAATTTATATTCGTGACACAACTAGTTTACCATGTTTTCATTTTTCTTTCCATATATATATATAAATTTAAATTGTCACAATCCAATTAATTAAATAAATAGAACCTATAAATATACCACTCTATTACTCCCAATAAACACCCAATAATTAAAAACAATGCTCACCATAACTCAAATGTTAATTTGTCTATCTGCTCTTACTCTTGTATCAGGTAATTTCTTATTTATCTTTCCATAAATTTTAATTTTTTTTTCAAGATTATAGTTTTAATAAACATTAATTATTATATGCTATGATGCGAGGATAATCGCAGCAGCAACGACGCAAGATAACAATGGCCTGGAGTCGAAGCTAAATACAACGGCATCTGATCAATATCGATGTTCACATTATTTTGGTCCGTGCTATGGTCTCGAGTATTGTAACAACGCGTGTAATACGGCGTGGCCCAATCTTCATGCCGAGGGATTTTGTTCTCGCGACTGTGACATATGTGCGCTTAATTGTTTTTGTTCCTATGATTGTTAATCATCAATAATAAATTGAAGTTGAAGTAACTTTTAATTTTATTTCATTTTAATTATTTTTTACAGATTTTTTTTATAAAAATAAATAATTTTATTTCATAAAATATCATATTAAATAGTATTATTCAAACTATAACTCATAATAAAAATTTTGTTGTCAACAAACCTAATATTGTCAATTTATTTAAATTTAATTTTTTATTATTTCTAAAATATCAAATTAGCTAGCCTTTGTAAACCTTCGTTTAGATATTATTGATACTATTTAATATATATTTTTTAATAAACTATTATATCAAATATTTATTTATTTATTTTTTTAAAAAACTTCTTAATTGATATGATATACAGTATTTTTAAATTTTATTATTGACGAATACAACTAAAAATTTTAAAATGTCAGATAAACATGAAACTTTTATCTAAATAAAAATTGATTTTATATATTACAATAGTAATGTTTACTCGGTTATAAAACAATAGTCTCATTTCTATAAATAATTATATCATCTTAAAATTATTCTTATTTTTTTTTATTATTATACAATTGTCACTGTTATTTACACTAATATATTTAAAAAAGCAAAAAAAATTATTTTTTTACACTGTAAATATAATATCAATATTTATTAAATTATGCCACCACAAGACAATATTTTGAGACGGCTGAGTACATAAAAATGTGAATAACGTGTGAGCTAATATCTTCACCAAATGCAATTTATGCATTATGGGCAAAAATAAAATATTAATATAAAAGGGCACCGGTGGCGTAAATATATGAAAATAGGTGAGAGATCGAGAAGAAAGTATCGGCTGAAACCTCCGGCGACGTCTGCTCGTCGGCACTGATCGAATCTCTGTTTCTATAGATCTGGCTTTTTCTTTTCTTTTTTTTCTCCGATTGGACGGTGAGGTGATGATGCGCTGTAGTTCTCTCATTGCGGCGGCGGTGGCGGCGTCAATGGTTTCATTGTGTTCCTTCTCCGTGTCCGGTGACCGTGGTTTAACCTTCAACCCTAAGGTAGTAATTATTCCGACTACTGTTTCTTCAATTCGCAATTACCACTGACCGTGGTTCTCTCATTGCAGTTTTTTTGTTTTTTCATTAATCCTCGGTTGGATTATTTGTTCTTCGTCAATGTTTATACTCCAATTATTGGTCTATTGATTTCTGATTGCTTTCCAATTTTATCCTATTTTCTTAACTAGGATTTGCCTAATCGTATTTCTTCCCAGTTCTTCCCCCCCGGCTCAATTTCCTCTGTGAGTTATTCAATTGCATTACTTTTCTCCTAATATTTGAAGGATAAATTCACGAATTCCGAAAGAGCTTCATTGGAGAAGGGGAAATTCAGTCCAAATTTCGATGGCTTGAGGTTCATTGAGACACTAATCACAGCCCACAGGTGAATGAATGATCAATCAAATATATCCCACTCATCACGTAAATTTACAGTTGCGAAGAACCCTGGAAGATGCTGTGAATATTGTTTCTTCAATTCTTGGTAAAACTCTGCCTCAGAGGGAACTGTATAATAGCTTGTTTATGATATTTATTTGTGATTTAGAATCATGTATGTATGAGATTGACAATTTGTGGCATTATGACATGATGGTTTCCTTTATTCAATTGTTGCTGATTACTTGAAATTCTCAAACATTAGTTCGATTTCTTGAATGCCTGTGACATCCAAGATTCAATTAATGAATCATGTGAGCAAAATGAATGGGCACTGCCTGTGATCTTTATGATCCATCTGTTTTGATGCAATTTCTTTAATGATCTGCTTGATTGTCGACAGTGACAGTGACAGGGGACATCGATGCTTTCGATGAACAGCATGTTTGTGTAAGAATTGTAGCCACTGATTGCGGACAATAATACAGTTCTTTCTTGATCTACCTGATTATGACAATAAGGGGTTACATATTTGAGTCATATTTGGCATTGATTCATGCATATAAATGCTATGATATGTCTTTACCACTCATTGCTTTGTGTGTAGGGAATCCTAAGATAGATGGATCATTCTCTATTTCATAGTTGCTCTCAACCCAAACAGGCCCTCAGGTGAATGCCTAATAATGCCAGGGTGGCGGGTCGACATCTGTAAGAACCATTCTATTCCGTGTTACTTTTCATTGTTATAACTACAATCTTAAATTTGGTAAGTATGATCGAATTTATGCGATAAGGTAGCTTGTGACCATAATGTTATAGGTTTGAATTATGCTAGACGGCTCTCATCAATCTTATGATTCAAGATTTTCCAAGAATACTAGTCAATAATAACCAAAATACTTTTATAATTTAACACCTTCAAACAAAATAATGATAATGCTCAATAATTATGTTCAGTCAATAAAACATATTAATGGATCAATTTGAACTTGAGAGATTGGAAGGATACTTAATTGGGCTTTAAATCTTGGTAACTAAAGTTGGCCCACTTGAGACAACTATTAGTATAATTGACTTACAACAACAACAAAAAAAGAAAACTTCATATAGCCCAATATTGGTCCAAGAAGTTTCAAATGCAAGAAACAAGTATAACCATCTCCCAAATTGGGAAGCTTATGAACAGCTTTCATTATTTTTAACCTAAAACTTGAATTAAATATTATAATCACATCAAATTCCAATCCAAACTACATTATTTAAAGCCAATAAAAAGTGGCATACAACCGCCCAAGATGCCTGCTGCAGAACACAAGAAGATACCAAGCTTGTAAGTGTGACACGAGTCCAAAATATTTAAATTTTAAATACCTACTTAAAAGTAGTATTTAAGAAGAACAAATATACATATATTTAAATACTTTGTCATTACTATACTGTTTTATATTTGTATTTAGTAGCCTTTCAATACATTTGTGTATGGCAATAGCCTATGTTATATATATATATATATATATATTGGCACAAGTGTCGAGCTATGAAATTATTGCGTGAATTTGTAATATAAACAACATTATCATCAAAATCATTTTTATAATAATAATTATTATTATTATTACCTTTTCCATTATCACCATACCACATAATGATAATTGGTTTCAGTTAAGTTTGAAAAACGGAAAAAGGTAAAGTGGGAAAAAAAGCGAAGGGACAGTAAAGCAAGTAAGGCCAGGGAGGGTTTAGCCGTTCGCCATTGCCGTCTTTCACACCTTCACCTGCAGCTTCAGCTTCAGCTTCCCTCCATGCCCATGGAGCACGTCTTCTCCACTCTGCCGCTGCTACTCTTCTCAGGTAAACCCACAATTCCATTCCTCCTTTCAATTTAACTGCTGTGTCTGCTGTTGGCCCATTCTGAGGTTTCACATATATATTGGAAATGCAGCGTCTCTGTTGCTTCTCTGCACAACGTCGTTTTCGCTCGGGATCAACTACGGCCAGATTGCTGATAATCTCCCTAATCCCGCGGCGGTCGTGCCTCTCGTCAAGTCCATCGGCGCGACGCGCGTCAAGCTATACGACGCCGATCCGAGGGTTCTTAAGGCTTTCGCCAACACCGGCGTAGAGTTCATCGTCGGCCTCGGAAACGAGTACTTGGCCAAAATGCGAGATCCCAAGCAAGCCATGGCGTGGGTTAAGAACAACGTCCAGTGCTACCTACCGGTGACCAAAATCGTCTGCATTGCCGTCGGGAACGAAGTTCTCACGCTCAACGACTCCGCTCTCGCCGCCAACCTCGTCCCCGCCATGGAAAGCGTACACACCGCTCTTGTCTCGCTCAAGCTCGACAAACAGGTCATGGTGACCACCGCTCACAATTTGGCCATCCTCCAAGTCTCTTATCCCCCCTCCGCCGGCGAATTCCGCCGAGATCTGACTCAGAAACTCTCCTACATCCTTGATTTCAACTGCAAGGTCGGTTCCCCTTTCCTAATCAACGCCTACCCTTTCTTCGCCTACAAGTCGAATCCGAAGCAAGTCTCGCTAGATTTCGTCCTGTTCGAGTCGGAATCAGGGGTTGTCGACGCCGAATCGGGGTTACACTACAGCAACATGTTCCACGCCCAAATCGACGCGGCGCACTCCGCTGTGGAGAAGCTTGGATACAAAAACGTCTGCCTACAGATATCGGAGACAGGATGGCCGTCCAAAGGGGACGCCGACGAGGTCGGGGCAACGCCGGAAAATGCCAGGAAGTACAACGGGAACTTGATAAAGCTAATCTCGCAGAAGAAAGGGACGCCGATGAGGCCCAATCTGGACTTGAATGTCTACTTCTTCGCTTTATTCAACGAGAATCAGAAGCCCGGGCCCACATCCGAGAGAAATTTCGGGCTGTTCAAGCCAGACGGAACGCCGGTGTATAATCTGGGGTTCAACTCTACGGCCTTCATTAATGCGAACTCGTCAAGCTCAGTTGGCAGCTCCAGCGGTACGACGTCGTCCCCGCCGTCCCCGGCGGTGGCTGGGAGTGGGAGTGGGATTGGGAGCTCCTCTAATGGCTACTTGTCCATTACTGCCGACAACGCGGTGACGGTGAGTTTTAATATTATTGTTGCTGCCATTATCATTTTCATTACTTCGTCGTTTTCCAAATTTTCAATATTGCTGCGTCATTATTTTCCTTTTCGGCTGGCTTGTCTTGGGAAGGGTATCAAATTCTAGAATCAGTAGTAAAAGGGTATCGAATTCTTGATCCTCTTCAGTGAATGTGTTTGATAAGCTACTTAGGTCATGGATTAGATTTGATTAATAATTTGCATTCAACCTAATCAGTAATCGCACATTCATATTTTATGAATAAAAGCACTTGACCTAAATGATCAGATGAAATGATTAAACCTATATCTCATTGTTTGTATGGAATGATCAATCAATCTTGGCCTTAGTTTAGGATACCTGCTTCACTATCATACCAATATTTAGGGAATTAAACATCTTACTCCTTTACTTTCCTATGCAAGAATGGATCATGATTATATGTAATTCGATATAAAACTAAGCTAATGGTTGGTTATAGTGTTATACTTTGATAACTAGAACCAAATATGAATTTGAATATGAACTTTGAAAAGAGGGCTAGTTTTTTAGAGAGATTTACACGGGAAGTGAAACATTTTAATTTGTGGAAGCTGTGATCGATGGCTGGCATGTTTTGTAAATTTTTTGTCTTTTGAAAACAGGGTGTGACTATGTGTGCGATTGGATTTAAGGATCTGTGTATCTCATCGTTTAAACAAATGCAAGAACACCTGTTCTTCTTAGCAAACTTACCCTAAGTGTGAATAGCACAAAATTAATGGCACATCACTTGAGAATGGAGATTGGACTCAGATTATTTATGGTTGAACTGCAGGAGAGACTTGCTTTCCAGGGCCGGGCGTTGTCATTTCTATGTCTGGTGGCTTCATTGGCTATCCTTGCATCACAACACTAGCCATTTAAACAAATCATGGAGAATGGAGGAGCAGCGATTCGAACAAATTTAGCGAAAGGAGGATACATTATTCTGCTCCCTACTTCCTAGTCTAAAGGTAAGGCCAACAATTTACGGGTTTATTGGTTTTATTCGTTGAGGGAGATATGACACTGGAATTTATTTATGGTTTAAATCATCGAGCTATGCATATCAATGAGGGAGACACATCGTTGGCATTTATTTATTTCACCCTTGCTGCTTAATATGGTGATGTTTGTATGAAAGTAGATTCTCCATAGATGCAATCCCATTTCTGGTTCACCATATATGTTCATTTAGGATCTTGAAACTTTTGCCAAATGAATTTATTGGAGTTGAGGGGAATGTGGATAAAGTAATTTGAAGAGAATTTGGAAAATGCACCTATGTGGTCTATGTGTCGAATATTTGCATTTTTGTTGCATTATACTGTTTTGTTTGGAGGATATAATACTATCTATACCACTACCTTTTTCTGGGGATATATGGTATCAGCAATAGCTACTTTCGAGAGTGTGTACGGGGTAAATCCATAATCAAATGTAATATAACATGTAAATCACGTTGGTTTGGTAAACTACACCCGATAAGTTTTGTGTAAATACTTAAACTAAAAAAAATCTATGATCTCATGATCATCGTTCATTTCACACAATTAGATCATCACTTACAAATTTATTTTGGCATTTATTGAGAATATTTTAGATGTGTATGTATGAGTGGATAAGGATTATCTGGCGGTGTGGGGAGTGAACTCTTGTGACGGTGAAGTCATGATTTAAACTCCTCTCACATGTGATTCGTCTGTGATTTGCTTTGAGGATTTATCTAGTGCATACCGAGTTCGAATTCCCACTTAAAAAACAATAACTATATAATAGTATGTACTATTTATTTGTATCTATATATAGTTTCTTTCTACTATTTTATCCGGATAAGTTTATTTGATCTTATGAGAAGTTCCCGTATAAGAAAGAAAAAAAATTATTTCATTGATTTTCCCATAAATATATTATACTTAAGGGATGTTACTTTTATCAATTAACTTGATTCCATTAATATTTCATTTTAGTAAGCAAGTAATAATACTTATTTCGTCCCATATAATTTGTTCATATTTTTTTATTTTCGTCTATTCTATATAATTTGTTATTTTCTTTTTTTAAATATAATTATATACTTTATTTTAAATTTTATAATATTTTAATCTTAATTAAACTATTTAGTTATCTTAATCTTAATCTATAATTATTTTTATTATATAATAATTATTTTTACTAATATATTTTTTAATTACACTTTACTTAAATTTTCGTATCTACAGTAACATGTCCATATTACATGAGACGAAGAAAGTAATATATTATTAAAATATTGAAATATAAAAATAAAAATAAACAGTGCAATATATAAATTAAAAATATATTACTAAAAATAATTTTAATACAATAAAAATAATTAAAATTAAAATTAAGATAATTAATTAGTATAATTAAACTTGAAAATTTATAAATTATTATAAAAATTATAATATGATTAAAGTATATAATTTTTATTTTTTTAAAGGACAAAAATGAAAAACGCGACATAATATATAATATAGTACAATAGTAAATAAAAATTTAAAATATATCTAAAAAACTCTCGTACATACGGATTAACTAATTTTTGTAAAGTTATTAAGTATCATTAAACCAAAAATAATTCAAAGTAGAAGGTGAATTATTTTGACAGTAGAACCAGTTGTCAACTGCAACACCCAAAACAAGAAAGACGCCAACATTGTCATCGATATAGGTTTATCCGATCCCTCTGTTGTGTCCCCATCTAACCCATCAAAGTTTTTTCAAACCCCCAGACAGAGAAAAAAAAAAAAAGAATTAAAAATACACACAAAAAAGAGGTAGAAGAAAGAAAGAAGGAAAGCCTGCTCAAGATTTCAGTTTTCATTTGGGTAATTCTCAATATTTCTCATTTTTTGGCCATTTTGCAATCCTCCTTTTGATTTTCACTTCTGCAGATTTTCCTATTTCGATTTTCTCTGTATTTTCTGTTGAACTTATTTTTACAGAATTTCGTTAGGTTTTGCTCAAGATCGAAGAGGGAAGGGTTTCTTTTTTATATATACTTTCATCTTTAATAATTTCTTTTAGGTTTTACTTGCGCAGTTAGGGTTTTAGTTCAGTAATCGGAGATGGCGGTGGTGGAGAGCGGCGCGTCGCAGGAACTGAACGATCGGTTGATGAAGCTTCACCAATTTCAGACGGGGCATATCACCGGAGAGCCGGGCGATCGCCACCACAACAATCAGCAGCGATCTGGAATTTCCGGCGAAGGGGACGAAGGGTTTAAGAGGGAGATGAGAGAATTGGAGGAAATGTTCTCGAAGCTCAATCCCATGGCGCAGGAATTCGTGCCTCCTTCACTAGCTAATCCCAACACAACCTTGACCGGCGGATACCTTTCCGACAGCATAGCTTCCGCTAATTTCATGTACTTCGCCGGAAACAACGCTAATTTGGGCCGACGAGGGGTATTGTTATTGCTTCTGCTGTTTCTTCAATAATAATTTTAGTTTTAGCTTGCTTGCCCTAATTTTCGAAATTTTGATTGATGAGTTTGATTTTGGTTTTCCGGCTAGAAGAAGAAAGGCAGTAATCAGGCTAAGAGAAGAGTCAGCAGCCGAACTGGTATGGCTCAACGAGAAGAGGTCATTCGAAGGACTGTCTATGTATCAGACATTGATCATCAGGTAGTTTATAACTTTATATTTTCCATTTGTTTGATGAAAAATTTGTGTTGAAATTATTGCTTGACTCGGCCTCGAATTGTTATTGATTAATAGATTACAGAGGAGCAGTTAGCAGCCCTCTTTCTTGGTTGTGGACAGGTGATTCACTGATTCTAGCTTTGGTTTTATCTGCTGCCGATTTCGACAATTTCTTGATGTTTTACTGCCTTTTGATTTGATTGTGTTAGGTTGTGGATTGCCGTGTTTGTGGGGATCCGAATTCTGTTCTCCGTTTTGCTTTCATTGAGTTCACTGATGAGGGTAATCTCTACGGATTGATTGTCTTTGAGTTTTAAGATTGGGATTTTGTTAAGTTTTGGCGATGATGGATCGTGATTGCAATGCTTGTTTACCTTAATTGTTTTGCAGAGGCTGCTCGAGCTGCGCTGAATCTCTCTGGAACTATGCTCGGGTATTACCCTGTGAAAGTACTTCCTTCAAAAACTGCGATTGCTCCGGTTAACCCCACTCTTTTACCTCAGGTGAAATTTGTTTTGAACTGTATGAGGTTGTGTGTGACATTAACTGAGGTTAATTCAACTCGACTTAATTGTGTGTTTCTTTGTCATTAGACTGAAGATGAACGTGAGATGTGTGCAAGAACAGTATATGTGACGAATATTGATAAGAAGGTATTTTGTGTCTCGATCTAGTCGCTGTTTTCATTTTAGGAAAGGATAAAAGTTGGATGAGAGTATCTGTTGTCTTGTTCTTTTTGTAGGTTTCTCAGGCCGATGTGAAGCTCTTTTTCGAAACTGTTTGTGGAAAGGTATGCTATTGTGAAAGTATTGTGTATTTTTGTCGGCTTATTGTCTTCCAAACAAACAATTTCTAATTATTGTTTGAATTAAGGTTTATCGTTTGAGGCTGCTCGGGGATTATCACCATTCCACACGCATTGCTTTTGTGGAATTCGCTGTAGTACGTATCTCTCTTGTTAACTCTTTTTAATCTCGCTAGAAATGTTGTGTCGGGATTTCAATAGAATGCCTGTTTATGTGATAAGATATGTTTGTGATGACGTAAAATAGTAATTGCAGCTAAGTCGTAATCGATAGTTAATATTCGTCGACGTTTCTGTTTTATTACAGTGACTCTTGATAGAATATGCATTTAGTTCTTCTTTATGCATTGGAAGGTTCTAAGACAATATATCGATATTCGGTTAAGTTAGTTATTCTTGAACTTTTGTCACTTTGTTTGCATATTCTTCTTACACCTCGTCAGCGAATATTAACGGTTCTGTTGTATAAAAAGTAGTCGTTAAGATCTTGCATTTCCGTAACCGTTGCTTGTTGGAATGATGTAGGCAGAATGTGCAATCGCGGCTCTCAACTGTAGCGGCGTGATATTGGGTTCGCTTCCAATTAGGTGCGTCGACATTTAAAATTGTCTGAACGATCCGAAAGCTATTAATTGGATCGATAGGTTTCTTACACCCTGGTATGTCATAATCAGGGTAAGTCCGTCGAAGACACCTGTTCGCCCGAAAGCTGCGCCTCGCCCGTCGTCTCATTGATACATGACATGTTTGAAGGCTTTCCTTCGTCGATGATCGGGTAATGTAACAACCACCTCTGTAAATGTGTGCTTTTCACATGACTTTGTTCTGTGTCTATGATTCCGAGAACATCATTGTGTATGTGAGAATCAGACCGTATCAGGCTGTAGGAGAGTTTCGATATTTATTTTTAGAAACAGAATTCGCTCGCTTTCAATGTGTATGTGTATAATTTGTTAAGATATCTCCGGCAGCAACGACGATCGCGACGCAAGCTAGCTAGTCGTAACTTTTCCATAACACAATTTCAGCAGCCTGGCTGACAAATTTAATCTTCTCCATGACTGTCTGATTTATTACCAATGTTGGGAAATTTCAGTTATTTTCTGCATTGTCTGCTGCAAAAATTAGAAAAAAATAAAATAAAAATAGTATATTTAGACAGAAGTTTTAAAAGTTTTGAAAAAATTGTGGAAAATTTTGAAAATAATAAAAAAATTAAAAACCACCACAAGGCAAAAATATTGTACATCATTTATTTGAGTCAAGCCCTATTACATACGTTCACTGCCAAAATAATCATTTAAAAAAAAAAAAAACAGGTTCATCATGGTTGTATAATTGAGAATAAAAAAATGTACTAAATCATGAATTATTGTATGAAAAGATGTATAAAAAAAGATTATGTATATATATATATATATATATATAAATGTTTGTGTTACTGTGGTTTGAAATTATTTGTAAATAGAGTGTAATTTTTATAATAATATTGTTATTCATTCTTCTAAATCCCACTTTAATATATGGGCCAGGTTAAGATATTCATTGATTTATTAACTCGTAATATAAATAGAGAAAATTATATATATATATATATGTTATATTTGGGCAACTCCTATTACAATAATTATAACATTAATCTAAGGGTGTGTTTGTTTGGAGGATTGGATTTTGAATTGGGATTTGAATAGTAAAAATTTTGAATTTGAATAGTTGTATGATGTGATATAAATAGGTGTTGATGTGATGTTTTGAATGTAAAATTGATTTTTAGTATAATATAAAAAATGAAAAATAAGTGTTTGATTTGATATTTTTGGGGGGAAAAAATTGGATGAATAGTAAAAAAAAAATCCAATCCCTCAAACAAACACACCCTAAATGTCATTCTAGTTATGTAGGCCATAATTTTGGCGTATATAATTTTCTTTGTCAGGAAACGATAAAAGAGATGCTCTCTATTCCCATAAAGAAGTATTCATTTGCTTTTTACACGTAGTTTTAGAAATATTAGTATTATATTGGTATATAATAGGAATAAAGTAGAAATGACTAAAATAATCTTATTAATACGTGTGATATAAAAGTAATGACATTTGTGTAATATATTGTAAGTTGTAAGGGTATTTGTAATATTAGGTAGATAGTACAGTTACTAAAAAAAGAAATGGATACTTTGTTATGCGACTGACTAAAATAAAAAATTAGATACTTTATTATGGAACGGATAAAGTATATTATTTCAATTAAGTAACTAGGAAGGCATAATTTTCAAATTCATATTCATATATATTATTACATAACAAATATTGTACAATATTGAACATGATTTTTCAAATAAATAAATTAATTAACATCTACTATCTCCGTCGGCCTCTAAGGTTACATTTATCTTGGGTTATTATACTTAATATTAATAATATCCTTATATATGTATAATTTTTTTGTACAAATATCATTATATTAGTATTATAAGACAACAATAGAAATATTTTTGTCATTTTTTTTTTAATTTATACTATTTTTTTATATAATAATTAATATTCAAATATCAACACGAAAAAAGTAAATGTAATCTTTGGAACCGGACGAAAATAATATTAAATAATTATATAAAGCATTAAAATTTAAAGATCTGTTTGATTTGTTTTTCAAGCACAAATTAATATTATTCAATCGTCGACACATTATGAAAATACAATGCTATTTTCTTTCACAAATTTACGTCAAAATATTATTTAAATTAAAATTCAAATCAAAATCTTAATTAAACTCAAATAAAAACAAAGCAAAGCCTAAATCGACTAGTGAATCTATTAAATTAAATATAGTATATATATATATATATATTATTACTATTAAACATGTTGAACACATGCTGATGTGTAGTTAATTTAATTCTTATGTATCCTTGAGTTTCACTCAATTTATGACTTGACTATATATATTTATCCGATGAAATATATATATATATATATAGGATGAATAAAATAATTTAATTTGATGCACTTATTTAAAAAAGGACTAATAAATTAATTAAATTCAGTAGCAGCCATTGACGACAATTATCAAATTTTCAATCAATCATTTCATTTTTATAAAGCTGCCTTTTTTGTGATTCTCTCTCGATTTTCAATTTCTGCAGCAACTTTGTTATTTTAATTTTAAATTTTGCCCATTTTATGAACACTTTCTTGATGCCAATAGATTCCTTCAATCATATTATTACAGTACATGTTATTATTATTATTATTATTATTATTATTATTATTATTATTATTATTATTATTATTATATGATGAGTACATCTATTCACGACTTTTTATATCATCGTCTCATAGTTGCAACATTATTAAGAGTCGAAATTGTTGAAGTCGTGACCCATACATTGTTCATACTAAAAAATTGTTGGACCTAAATTTGGACACACCAAATGCATCCTTTAATATATTTGACCACATGGAAAAATACGAAAATACTATAGAATGTGTAGTGTTATATGTTTGTACTTCCATTGTTAATATGATATTGCAGCATTGACGAAATTATATGCAAAAAATATATTAAATAAATCATATTAAATATGTGTTTTTATTTAAAATTATTGCTTTTTTACTATATGACAATATATATACTCTAGGATGTATTCAAACAAACCCAAAATTATTCCTTAACTAAAATTGTGTTTCGATTTCTGAATTATGTTGGTCAATGTTTATGTAGATTGAGGCAATTTATCAATCATGAAGGAATGAATTCATCATTTTAATCTAGTCATTATATAATCATCAACTAAAACTTTCTGCAAATCAATGAGGTGCTCAATGTGTGTTTAAACAATAGTTGGATGTACAATTTTTTTAGAAATATATATATATATATATTATGGAGAATTACTAATAATGTTGTATAATATATAAAGAGATGAAAAAAAATCCCAAAAAAATAAAAGAGTCAAATATTTGTGACATGAAACTGTTTATTCTAATTATGTCTGCCTCTTTCAATTAAATTTAAGAATGGTTTATAAAGAAAAACATGTGTATTTATGTGCTTTAAAAAAAAATAAAAAATTTCTCTTATATTTTCTCTCATTTTGAATATTTGTTTCCTACAAGAATATTTTTAGTTTTCTCATGAAAATATTTCATTGAAAACAATTGTTTTTATTCAAAAAAAAAAAAAAAACATTTATATTTTCTATTTAAAACATGTATGTTTTCGTTTTTTTTTTTTTCTTAAAAAAAATATAATAAAACACACCCTAAGGTGTTTCTAACATATGGGCTTTAATTAATTTTCTAATTACTTCATTAAGCTTTGTACATGAACATTAAATTGAAATCTTGATATGCAAAATCACTATTAGTTTATTACATGATTCTTGTACATGAAAGTAGTATTTTAGGTGGTATTGATTGGACTTGATGTGTCCATTATAACTAAGAGGTAAGAAAATTTTCAATAACAATAATGGAAATTAAACAGTAGTGAAAGCAACCCTAATTTTCATTTTATATATATATCTAATTATTTTCATTTTTATTTTGTTGCTTCTCCCACAAACCAAAACCCTAACACATGCAAAATACACACTCATACAAATTAATTATTTTTATATATGTATGTTTTTCTGTAATGATATTGAATTTGAATCCTATGATCATTAAAAAAATTTATGCACTCGTCATCCCACCTCATCACTAATTAACCATTATTAATTTAAATTAATTTAATTTCTCCAACAACTAAAAAGAGGTAGAAAGAATCAATATGTTGTAATTGATTATATAAAGATAGAGAATGTGACAATTCAAGTGCACCCAATTAACAACAAGTGGTGAAACAAATTAAACTAATTGTGTAATTAATTAATTAATTAATTAATAATGTTAGTAAATTTATTTTTTTTTTAATTTAAAAAAAAAAAAAATATATGAGGCAGACAAAGAATGAGGGGTAGTGGTGGTGGTAAGTAAATAAAAGGGAGAATTGGTTGCTTTGTCAATTGTTGGCTAAAATAATGATTAAAGTTGGGAATTTTGGAGGGCTAAAATCATCATTATACAAGACAAGATAATGACCTCCTAACGGTATAAATTTTTATTTTTTCTTTTTAAATTTTTTCTCATCTAAATTAATTTTCAATCGTTTAAATTAATGGAGTAATTTATTGCCTCTTATGACATATGTAATTTTCATGATTGATTACTAAAATTAAATCAATTAACTAATCATACGCCACAAGATCAAAGAAATTTTAGGGATTTTTATTTTTATTTTTATTTTTATTTTTGAAAATAAAATAAAATAAAAAATCGTGTTGGGGTTTGGTGGAATTAATTAAAAGTAGGGATACTATCAATGCAATGTATTTAAATATATTACGTAATTAGTGAAATAAATGACGACTGCCTGTGTGCCTACGTGTATTTTTGCTATTGGTTTAGTAGTATGCATTTAGAAATTTAATATTTAGGGGACAAATCAAAAGATTATATATATATATATATATAGTTCATAAAATTTTTTTTAAAAATAAAAATAAAAAAATCTTTTGTTTGATAAAGTTTACACCAGAAATAAAGAAATAGTACTAAGTACGATTTCAATTAACAAAATCAGGGGACAATTTTAATAGTAGTATTTAGGATAATAAAATAAATTCAAAGGTGTGGCTTGTATATAGGGAAAAAAATAGTATATTCAAATCCATCATTATTTAGCTGTTTACTATTATTGTTATATGATTTAATACGAGGTTGCATGTACGAGGCTTGAATACTCCACATATATATTTAAATATATACATATATAATATTTATGGTAGGGGTAGGGACAAAAAAAATATAGGAATAATTGAGCACATCATATTTGAATGCAAGAGAAAAATATAAATGAATAATTATAGGAAACACAAATAAGTTCAATGGGTCACATTGCCTAGGAGCTAAATGATGTGTTTCACGAGGGATGTCCGAGTGAACGATTAATTAGGACATAGATATTTTATTTTATAATTATCGTATCGTAATTAGTGAACAATTATTGTCTTAAAGTTGTGGATTTTGACATTAATGTGAAATCCGAGGTTATTTTGTGTCGACTCCAACAATTCAAATAGGATGGTTTTTATTGAATCTCTCGATATTTTTTTGATAATTATATTGCAAATGTGAAGTTTAGTCTATAAAAAATCTTATTTTATCCGATCCTATAGACTTTTTTTTTTCTTCAAATTTTTAAGATATAGTTATATCACATTCTCTACATATAATTGTTTTGTCTTGCAAAACATCACATCCAATTTATTGTTTAAATAAAAAACTAAAAAAATAAGATAAAATCATGAAGTAAACACCATTGTATTCATAAAATGCAATAATATATAATTGTATTCATTAGTGTAAAAATAATATTTTATATTTAATTATTAATTTTTTGTTAGCAGGGTATATAATTTATTTTTATAATATTTATCGAAAATCGTAACAAAACAGTATTAGGTGAACATACCCATATATGTATATGTCTATTTTTTTCATTTTTATTTTCACTTAGGATTTTCTTATAATATTGCAGCAAATTTTATTTATTGATTGATTATTAGTATCTTTAAATTTTCAGTATGAACACATCTCGTGTTTCAAAATATAATTAGCCCTAAATTTGAAATTTGCACAAAATAAATTAAAGAGATGTAGGTGCCAACACAAGAGAATATTTATCAGCATAGGAAAATGACACAACATAACCAGAAATCATTACAAAATTTTGTCACATATATATATCACTTATATTTATCAGGAAATAAAACCTACAATTATTTGTAATAATATATATATATATATATATATGATACGACTAATAACAACCTTTTATCATTACAATTCTTGTATATGTGATTGATCACGCATGCTAGCTAATTAATTATTCAATTTATTTCTATGTGTCATATATATAATGCATATATTTCAGTACTATAATATAATTTGTCTAGCTTAATTTGTCTCCAACAAGATAAAATGATAGTAATCATTTCCAAACAATGCACACCATTTTAATTAATTGCAATATTTCAATAGAAACTACTAGCATTCAATAATAATAATAATATAAAATCTCTTTAAATAGTTATACTTATTTTATATATTTTTTGTTAAAATACATACATCAAATATATCTATACACACACTAAACCTTATCCATTGTTTTAAACTATTTGATGGTTCAATATATTTTTGTATGTATCCGTGCATTTATTTGTTACGTAGAGAATTTTAGGTAAAATATAAGGATAACATTATTTAATAAATTAGAAAATAGATATATTGATTGTGAACAATCCAAAACAATAAAATTGATATAATTAAAAAGAAATTGTTCTATATAATATATATATATATATAAATTATATAATGGTACGTAAAAGAGTATGAGAAGAAGTGTTAATATTAGTTGGTGATGGATACAAATTAGAATGATGAAAAAGAATTAAAGTCAGAGACAACAAAATTACGTATGTGGAAGAAGTTGTCACATTGGTTTATTATCACATCGCAGCTACTTATTATAGTACAATGAATTAAATAATTAATTAGGCCAAAATTATATCGAACTACTTGAGTACAGTGGAATTAAAGTGGACATATAATATGGCGTTAGGAGAAGTGCCCATTTTCATCTTTAATGATAATTTTTAATTTTATTTGCCTACTTTCATTACATCAATATATATATATATATTAATTAATTAATAATATTTGTTGTCGTACGTGGTCCATTGGAAAATTAAGGATAAAAATAAAAGGGTGACACCCACACGTACGTGTACATATACAACGCATTTACATGCATGCACGTACGTATATGTATCCGCTTTAGTAATAAAATTAATTAATTAAGGTGGGATTATATATAATCTATAAGCCTATATATATTAATTGTGTGCATTGGGGTCATTTAATTATTAATTAAAGATGGAGACTGCAATTGTGATATGGCTGGAGTTTAAGTAGTAGACTTTGTACTGATCAGCCTATATTAGAGGTGTGACTAGCATATATTTATATTTATATTTATATTTATATATTAGTGTATGTTATATCATAAAATAGTATATGCTAAATTATAGTATAACACATGTTGAGATATGTATAAATATATTGGTCACGCTCATTCAGTCAAAATGCATAATTAAAATAGTAATAATTCACACAATATATATTGATTTAATTCCAGCAACTTAATAATAATTTCAAATTCGAGTTTGTTATAATAATTATAATAATATGTAATAAGAAGAAAATAATGCAAATGATCTTTTGGACTAATGGGTAGATTTCTTGGGAGCTCCATGAGGTCCTGGGAGCTCCCAGGATCAGACTCCATGCGCGCGCAGGCAAGACAAATAAAAGTTGGATGGATACATATATAAATATATAATATATATATATGTGTGTGTGTATGTATAGTATATATGTATAGGTACGTGTGAGGAGTAGAATATATATTACGTAGGTGGTATCATGGTATAATTTCCCATGAAAGCTAAAACCATGGTGGGGACCCACATCAATTTTGTCCCCCGAGGGGATCATTTGATGCACGAGCTTAGTAAAATGGCAATGTAGAGAGAGAGATTGGAAGATAGTGGTGGTTTGGAGGGAGCTTTTCTTTGAGATTTTAAGGTCGTCTGTCACGGTTTAAGGGATGGAATCCTTTCCCCTTCTTTCTCACTGATCTCTCTCTCTCTCTCTCTCTAACGCCCATTGTGGGGGGAAACATGAGTGATTACATACACATGTTGTGTATATATGCATGTTGATCCGTGGCTGTAGTAGGGAGTCCAACTCCGGGGCCCTCCCAAGAAGGTGAGAATGTAAGGTTAAGAGCATCTAGATATATAAATAGGACTAATTAAACGAACACCTCCTCTACTCTCACTCTCACTCTCACTCTCACTTTCCCTTTCCCTTTCCCTCTCTTGGATTTTATTTTTATTTTTATTATTTATTAATATATTTATTTGAGGCGGTTGGTACTCACTCTCTCTGTGAGTGTGAATCCCATGTGGACCCCACATATCAACCCCAGTGTACCAACAATAAACTTCCCTCGCCCTCCCATGCATTCTCTTCTCTTCTCTTCTCTTCTTCCCTAATTTGCCCTACCACTGATATACTATAATTTATCCCAATCCCGCCCCACATATATATATATACAAATTGACCCCATCATCCCCAACTCCAAACCTTTTTCTTTTATATACACACACACACACACATATGTGAAACACCACCGGGACTCCACTTTTTCCTTGTTTCTTTTCAAGCTTTATCGCAAATCAAGATGATGCCTAAGCTGGGGAAAAAGGGGGTTTCAGTTTCCTCAAAATTAGCACCACTTCCTCATCTGCTCATGCATTCTTCTTTTTCCTCTTCTTCATATACTTGTAATTAAATTAGTTAGAGATAAACAGATAGGGTATATAGAGCATATATGATGTCATCCTCGGAGGACATGAACTTGTCGGTGAACGGACAGTCTAAGGTGCCTCCAGGGTTCCGTTTCCACCCCACCGAAGAAGAGCTTCTTCAGTATTACCTCAGGAAGAAGGTCGCCTGCCAGAAAATCGACCTCGACGTCATCCGCGACGTCGATCTCAATAAACTCGAGCCCTGGGATATCCAAGGTATATAATATAATCTTACTATTAATCAATGAGCCGAGCCGAGCCGAGCGACCTCGCTCATCGTATGAAATGTTAATAATATTCATTAATTAGTATTATTATTTATTTTGTTGTTACGTTGCAGAGAAGTGCAAAATTGGGTCGACTCCGCAGAACGACTGGTACTTCTTCAGCCACAAGGACAAGAAGTACCCAACCGGAACCCGGACGAACCGGGCCACGGCGGCCGGGTTCTGGAAGGCCACCGGTCGGGACAAGGTCATCCACAGCAATTTCAGGAGGATTGGGATGAGGAAGACGCTCGTGTTCTACAGAGGGAGAGCTCCACACGGCCAGAAATCCGATTGGATTATGCACGAATACAGGCTCGACGACATCAACGCCACCACCACTCACGACTCCACCCCTAATGTACCTACCTATCTCTCTGATGATTATAATTCTGCCTTTTTCGATTGATTGACATATATACATACATATACATATATATATATATATCGAAATCAATCATTGTGCGCATATATACACAGTGTTCCGTGTTTCATGGCAGCCGATCTGCTCTGAGTGGCGTTGCTTTTCGTTATTTTGTCGTGTTTCGAATTAATTTGGGGTTTTGGAATTTTGAAATTAGGGTTCGAGCATTGGGGGGGATTCAGGGCAAGAAGAAGGGTGGGTGGTCTGCAGAGTGTTCAAGAAGAAGAATTATCACAAAGCATTGGAGAGTCCGTCACCGGCGTCGGCGTCGATGATGGTTTCCAACATCCCCCGAAACGACGGCGTTTTGGATCAAATACTCATGTACATGGGGAGGACATCCTCGTCGTCCACTTCCTGCAAGCAAGAGATGATCACCCAATCCAACGGCCAGGATAGCTCGCCGCTTTTCCTCTCCAATCAGTTGTCACCTCCCTCGGCGTTCATGCACCTCCCCGCACTGGATAGCCCCACCGCCACCATCAACCACCCCGCCGCCGATGACTACAAATCCTCCGCCGCCGGCGACCTCATCGCCGAAATCGGACCGTCCACGTGTGACTGGGCCGTGCTGGACCGCCTCGTCGCCTCCCAGCTCAACGGCGGCCACCCTTCTAAACAGTTCCTCTCCGCCTACGTCGGAGACGACGACGACGACGACTTCTCCTTCTCCGCCTTCGACCACCACCACCACCACCACCAGCTGATGGACATTAACGACCCAGAACCACCGTCCATGGCGGCGAATCAACACAACAATAATATTAATAACAACAACAACAATAATAATAATAATAATCCAGGTACTGTGTCGAGCTCCGACACCGACTTCTGGAGCTTCGGCCGGCCGTCGTCGTCGTCGTTGTCGTCGTCGTCTTCCGACCCGCTCTGCCACCTGTCTGTATAATCAACGGTACCCGATAATAGTAATAATTCTGTCTAGGTTTTGTCATGATATGGTGAATATGCATATACGTACCTATACATACACATAAATACACATATACATATATAAAAATATAAAAATACATACGTACTTAGTAGTTCGTAATATTAATTAATTAATTAAGTGGACTGCACGTACGCTTTTAGTTTCTCAAAACCATAATATCTTTGTACCTAATAATCATTTCTTCTGTTGAAGCATCGCTGTCTATAAAGATACATTTTCATTTCATATATTTTTGCACTACCAAATTTAATATTTTTATTTATTCAATTATGTGTGTGAGTGCATGTAAACACAAAATGACACTTTTTAAAAAAAATAAAATAAAATAAAATTGGCAGTAGCTAGCTATTACAACGGGACCAACTTCTTTGTTTCAATTTTTTTTCAATTCCTCTTGTTCTAACTAATAAAATTATTACACTTTTAATACTAAATAAGTGAGAGAATAACTGTAGCATTTAGTTTGATTTAGATATATTCAATCTCTATTAATTTGTATATTCTGTCTTTAAAAATTTATAAAAATAAAATAAATATTATATTCAATTTTTTTTTTTAATTTTTATCATGATAATTCACAAGTTTTGTAAAAATTAATTATATTTATACAAAATATCATATGTAAAACCATATACATTCAATTTTTTACATAATACTTTAAAGATATATATTTTTATATTCAATTTTTTATTACATGTAGTTAGGACTTTTTTTTCAAAAATTAGCAAAATAGCATAATAAAATTATATAAGTCATTTTTTAGCATAGTTGTTATTTTGCTAGAAGCTCATTTCAAGATTTGCATAGATCCTTAGGGCTAAATGCTTTGTTTTGATAGAAATATTTTCTTAAGAGTATATAAATTATTTTAGATGAATTTGTACCATACACAAAATAATACTAATATATAAGAATTCTGTGTCAAAAGTAATGACATCTTTCTCATTGGAAGTGAGGGAGTATAAAAATATAGACCGTTATAATATTGTATAAAAATAAATGTAAATAAATATATATATTAAGAATTTACTTTGTATTTAATTTTTTTTATAGTATAATAATAAATGTGATATTTTGTAAAAAATATATAAATTAATGACAATAAAAATGATTATAAAGTAAAATTGGACATAAATTTTATTTTATTTTAATTTTAAAATAAATGAAGTGATTAAAATAATAAAGATAAAAATAAAAATATATATATATATCTAAATCTAATTAGTTACTACATTTATAGCTTCTATTTATTATTACAAATGTAATTATTCTATTGGATGGAAATATGGCAATAGAGAAAAATTAATTTGGTGCCTATACAATACTAGGAAGTTGTTTCATAATTTAATAATTAATTAATTATACTATTCTTTAATTCGTTGTCAAAGTAGTTATAATTAGTTTGGGTAGTGTTATTTATTGTTATTATTTATATTTGTCTGAAATTAGAATGTTATATATACATCTTTGGAAAGCAAATAATCGAAGACGATTCTACACTCTTCGGCATTAATTAATTTCGACAACGTTGTTTAAATTTAATTAAATTTATATATATATATAATTGCGTATATATGCAGTCTTCATTTTTTGTCAATTACTATGCTAATTAAGCAAGCTACTATTTAATCTTAATCGAAATATAATAATTTCTGTATGTAAATCAAGGTTCTATTTAATTATATAATTTTCAAAATTTTCTATAAACAGACATTATGTGCATTCAATTTTTATTTCTAATTATGTAAAATATTTGATCGAATTAACTAATGATCCATCGACTTTGAGGAAACCTTCACCTTCACTGTAGATGGTTAGAAGAAAGTGACGTAGGAGGAAATTAATCGAAATCCAATTTTAGGTGTAAATAAACTCGAAATTCAACTAATTAGAGGTGTAAATAAATCAGACAATAAGTACATGCATGAAAATTGCTATTAATTCATCCCAAAATGAGATTTTAAACGTGGCAATTATTTTAATATAAAGACCAGAAAGAGGGTGCAAGAGTTACTATTAATCAATGAAAATAAATAAAATGTCAGAGATAAATTTCAATGCTATATATTATTTTTAGTCACTTATTAATATGTTCAAGTTCTAAATTAGCTGGAGTCGATCATATAACTGTAAAATTTATAAATAAAAAAATTCGAAGAAATAATTAAGGGACACAAAATGAGATGAGAAATATCCGATCCTGCCATTAATGATATGGTCCAACTAATCATATGGCAGACACGTAACATTGATTAATATAAAGGTGATTAATTAATTATATTTAAGAAAATTCACGTGACAAGTGGAATTTATTAATTTACTTTCATTTCTTAGAAATTAATTTGACAAATTAGCTGGTGCATTTTCATTGCAGGGTATTAGGTTTGACCGAAGTTTACCCAGTGGACACTTTGAGTAGCGGCTACGGATTCTCACGTCATTAAAAGAATATATATATTAATTTGTGGGTATATACCGGTGAAAATATATTTACATATGCTCTAGTTAAAAAATATTAATTGTATATATATATTGTTGAATATTGTTCCACATTGGTAAATACGATGGAACTCCCCTCCATTTATCATCAATTGATTTTAGGTTGGAAATCTGGATTCCTTCTTAATATATATATATATATATATATTATATTTTAATATTTTCAAAAGTAAAATTTTGAAAGAACAATTTATAAAATTGATATTAAGATAGGAGAGTGAAGTGAATTGTGTGTGGGGCAACGAACACTAACTCATGTTTCAAGTGCTGCTGCTAATCATAACCCGCTGGACATTTATTTCCTAACACATGATCATCATCTTTAATAATTATATATCATATTTATATATTAAACTAATAATAAATATATAATACAATGTTTTAGGAAGAAAAATGAAATTATTATAAACAAATAAAAATAAAAATAAAAAATACATAATTATTTGATTTCATAGTGTGTGATGTTTCACTTTCTTTCACCCAATTGATAGCAAACTTTTAACTCAAAGATTGGTGAGACATAACAAACTCCAACATCCCACTCACCTAATTATATATATATATATATATATATATATTTGTGTGGACTTTCACCCTCTTTTAATTTATTCATTTAAAAAATAAAAATAAAAATAAGAGTTTGTTTTTGGTATGTATCATTCCATTATATGTATTAGAATAATAAAAAAGAATGTGATGTTTTTAAAGAATATATTTTTGTAAAAAATAAAAAATAAAAATGATGTAATGTTGTAATTTTAAATATGTAAAATTCATTCGGAAACCATATAATTATTTATTTTAAAAGGATTGAAAATTGGAAGGGAAAATAAAGTGATTTTAGTTAGGAACTTTTTGGAACATGTTAAAATTTTGGAAACCTTAACCACTTACAAAATTAGATGGAACATGCTTTCATTCAATCAACACCCTCTTTTTACATATATATACACATATATACATATACTTATCTCCACCAAATATCTTATATTATTATTATTATTATTATTATTATTATTATTATTATTATTATTATATTGTGTGTAATATAGATAACTAAAGAGAGACAGTAGAGGCAATAGGTAATGATATGTAGGACGAATGTATTATTTGGCTATTGACAATTTTGGAATATAGTAAAAAATCCAAGTATTTAATATATATTATACCATATATATATGACATTAAATAGAAAATTAACACGGTGTTTTTCAAATTGATATTGTAATTATATAATGTCAAAATTAATTTTTACTGATCTAAAAAATAAAAGAAAAATTGATAATGTTGAGGTGCTGATTTAAAAGTCACACCAAATGATCTTAACTTCACCTTAACAATAATTGTCACCACACCCAAATTTCTTCTCCTCATCATTTAATTAATTCATTCATTTTCAATTTTTTTAATTAAATTTTGCGGCATATATAAATAATAATTGCATGAAATATTGTAAAATTAAATGGCATATATGCCTAATTTAAATTCAATTTTGGGGTTATTTTGCATAGGGTAGATCAACAATTTAATTCTACTTATATATTTATCCAAGTACTCAAATGTAAACAATTATTTATGATGCCTATCAATTGTTTAGGTCAAATATAAATACAATATACTATATGTTTTATTTTTATGAATAATCAATATAGTGCTGATTAGTCTTGATCAACACTCTAATCATTTCGTGAAATATTTTAAAAATAAATAAATAAATAAATTCTAAATAATACTGAAAATCTCTGTTTGATTGGATCTGGAATTCTGTTGTGCTAAGTAGACCCAAAAGTAAATGTCCATTAAATTTTGGGTCTCAAACTGAAAGTAATATGAGTGGATATATACATACATATATATATATACGGAATAATTTTTGGGTTTGGATTTGGGTTACAAAATTTGTTTCAATAATCATCTTTTCCCAACAACTTGGCCTGCTTGGATTAATGGATTAAACAGAGAGCTTTTATTTTTTATTTAAATAATAATAATAAAAAAAAAAAAAAAATTGTTTGGGTTGATTTCTAAGTACTTACAAGACCAAATATAAATAGAAATAAATATTGGCAGAACTGGATCATGTATATTATATGTTTGACAAAATTTGCTTGAAGTTTTTGGACCATTATTTTGCATGTAATGTTTTTGATTGTCCCTTGACAATAATTTAAATCTTTATATATGAAAAATTTTACTTAATCTCTCTCTTAACAATTTATTCATTTTTTTTTATTTTATTAATATTAAAAATGCCCTTACAACTTACAATATATTACATAAATATCATTACATTTTAATTTTTTTTACTTTTTATTCAATTCATACCAGACTCAAATATAATACTAATATTTCTAAAATTTCATTAAAAAAGAATAGTACACTCGGCAACAATTAAAATATAAGAATATATAGGAGATGAAAAGAGGGGTGACTTAGGATTCTAAAGTGATTATTGGTCTGGTGCTGTAAAATGATCATCTGTATAATACCAAAAACAGATCAGTGAATAATAAAATGTCATTTGCCTGCACTCTCTCACTCTCACTCTCCCTCTCCCTCTCCCTCTCTCTCATATATATATATATATATATATTTATTGAATAGCACGTTATCCAACCAAGTAATAGACTTTTAAGCAGCACATGCAAATGCAAATAAACTTTAACCCATCCATTATCTTTCGTCATAGAAAGTTTAAACAGACAAAAGGGGCTGTGATGTGATGATTCTCTCTTATATATATACACATAGAAATAACCAATATGCAGGCATTATTATTATTATTATTATTATTATTATTATTTGTTTATTTATTTTTTGAAAGAATAAAAACGAGCTAGGGTAGAGAACAAGTTTGACCAGTCAGACTGGGTGAATAAGTGAGTGACTTAGTTAGTGGGCATTGTAAGAAGTAACAAGTACGTTCCACCTAGTACACTAGTACTGTCCCTTCCTTGCCACTAGTGTGTTTTTTTTTTTTTAACCAAATATATATGGTATTTTAGAAACGATATAATTAATAAATAATTAAAAATATATTAATAAAAATAATTATTTTATAATATAAATATTTGATCTCACGGTTACACCTTCAATTCCAAAAAATTAGTCCCGAGATATATATTATCCTAACGTTTAGCATGAATGGTTTATATATATATTACCGTTGATGCATTTAAATATATTTTAAAACCTAGAAGATTCTTGTTGTAGTTACGAAACTCGATTTTCAATTATTGTTGTGTTTTTTTTTGTGAAATTAAAACATTTAGCTCAAGTGGGCCCATCAAATCATTGGAATAATTGCAGGAAATTAATTGATTTTATCACATTACTAACAGATATTTTCATTGATTGCTAAGGCGTGACAGCACGTGACGCGTATGTGTTTTTTAATCAGTAACCACTCTTTACATTTTTAATACTATTAAGGAAAGCACTTTCACTTTTCTATTTATTTATTTCGTGTTTCAACTGGTCTTATTATCTTACGCTTGGCTATATTTGTGTTATTTTTTGTTGGATATAAAAGCTTATAAGGTCTCATCTCCTACTATTGTCATTGTGACACAAGTTTTTGTTTTTGTTTATGTTATGCAATTAAATAAAATGATTATTGAATAATAAGAATAAACAAGACTTAAAACCTAGTGTTTCAATCCAAAATTTAAATATTTAACATATGCTGATAGATTAAATGTGCGTGTATAATTGTCTATTTCCATTTCATTTCGATTATACATATATGTATAATTTTTATTTTTTTTGAAGTAATGTAAAAATCTGCAGCTAGCACTGGTCTAACCATGTGTTGTAATTAAGGTAATTAATTAGCCAGGGAAGATAGTATATTTATTGAAGTAGTATTATTCCATGCATCAGCCAGGCCATGGCTTTGTTGATGATTTGGCTCGTTTATTCTTTATTTGATGATGATCGATGATCGATGATCGTCTTCTCCGTTTATAGAGAGAGAAAAAATTAATTTTATTTTTTTCAAAAAAGGGAGTTTGAATGAATGAATGAATGACAGAACACGTGAAAGTCTGAAGAGCAGTCAGCCATTATTTATGTCATCAATAGCAGAGAGAGAGAGAGAGAGCAGGAATCGATCAGTGCAGCTGCACCACCCACATTCATTCATTCATTCACTCACTCACTCACACAACCCTACTTACTGACTTACACCAGTCTATATATCTCCCTCTCCCTCTCTCTCTCTCTCTCTCTACTGGGTGTATGTCAATGTGTATGTGTATGTATTTGTGTGGAGAATCTTTTACACTGTTTGATACCCTCCCCTCCCCTCACCTCCCCCCCCCCCCCCCCCCCCCCCTCAACTCAATTGGACATATCTGACAACCCCACACCATTCCCTATTGCACCTCTTCGCTATTTCCCATGCCCCATTACACAATACGCCTACATCTTCATCTCCGTCTTCATCTTCATCTCTTCTCTCCTGCTCCCATTGTGTTTATCCTTGTTGTTTCTGTGTTTTTAAATACATATATAAATCAAATCAACACACACCCCTATACCTATCCCCTGCCCTGTTTCTCTTCTTTTTTGCTATTTATGCTGTCTTGCTTTCTTTCTTTTCTTTGCTCTCCCCAATTGGATCATCGCGATAGAGAGAGCAGTACCCTTCTTGATCCATAATAAATCCATTTATTACCTCTCTCTCTCTCTCTCTCGTTCCCTCTATTCTTGATTAACTGCTAGCCTATCTACCTACCTAACCTACCTCTCTGCTTTACTTGTTCCATTTACTCACTGCAACTACCTTCTGCTCATTCATGGGGAAAACGGGTGGCGCCACTTCTTGGCTCACCGCCGTCAAGCGAGCCTTCAGATCTCCCACCAAGGATAATAATAATAGTAAGGATTCCGACAAGACCAACAACACCAACACTTCCCGGACGAGGAGGAAGCTCGACCACCACCACCAACAACAACAACAATTTGAACAAGAAAAGGTACTCACTCTTCCTATACTACTTACTAATATGAAAATTCATTCATTCATTCATTCAGTTTCGATTGGATTTTAATTTGCAGAAGTCTGAAAGAAGGAGATGGTTGTTTAGGAAGCAGCAGCCGCAGCCGCATTCCGGCATTAATAATGAAGCAGTAGCTAAAGATGCGGCGGCGATGTCGGAGTGCATTGCGCCTAAAACTCCAGTTTTGCCCGCGGAGCAGAGACACGCTATTGCCGTCGCTGCAGCAACGGCCGCCGCGGCGGAAGCTGCCGTGGCTACTGCCAAGGCGGCGGTGGAGATCATCCGGCTGACTCAGCCGCCACCGTCGTCGTCCACTGCTTTTTTCAAACAGAACTTGGCGGCCAAAGCCATTCAGAGTGCCTTCAGAGGATATCTTGTACGTATGAACTTAATTAATCTGTGCTGTGACTGTGATTCATTGTTTAATCTGAAATCTGAATGATTGTGTTGCAGGCGAGAAAAGCCCTAATTGCTCTGAAAGGGATAGTGAAGCTTCAAGCCCTAATCAGAGGGCAGAACGTGAGGAAGCAGGCCAATATGACTCTCAAATGTATGCAGGCCCTCCTCAGGGTTCAGGCCAGGGTCCGGGACCAACGCGCCCGCCTCTCCCACGACGGCCGCCGCTCCATGTTCGCCGAAACCACCAACCTGTGGGAGTCCAAGTACCTCAAAGACGTCCGGGACCGCAATTCCAGATCGAGAGAAGGAAGCTGTGTGACCGATGATTGGAGAGACTGTCCTCGTACGCTCGAAGAGCTTGAAGCAATTCTGAAAGCCAGAAATGAATCCGCATTGGCACATGAAAAATCCCTCTCCTTCGCCTTCTCCCAACAGGTAAATTCATTGAATAGCTCCTTCATTCATCGATCAATTCCGTCGCCGGCGCAGGCGAATTTCTTAATGATCGGAAATGCTTGCAGAACAAAATCTTGGAATCGGACAGGGAAGACAGCGACGTGGCGGACAACAGGGGAAGCTATTTAGACAGATGGATGGCGACGAAGCAGTGGGAGAGCAGCAGCAGGGCCTCGACGGATTATCACCGCCGGGACTCGATCAAGACCGTCGAAGTCGACTCGCTCAAGGCGCCGTCGCATTCCACGCCATCCAACGGCCGGAGATCCCGCTGCCAGAGCCCAATCCACCACCGTCACGCGGCGCGGCCGAGGTCCCCGCAGGTCCGCCCGGCGAGCCCCCGATGCCTCGCCGACGAGAAGAGCTACTCCACCGCCAACACCCCCAGCCTCCGGTCCTCCGCCGCCGGCCAGCGCCTGACAGGGTCGCGGTACAGCACCAGCACCGCCTCGAACGACCGGTCCGGACCCATACCGAACTACATGGCGTCGACGGAGTCGGCCAAGGCGAGAATCCGGTCGCAGAGCGCGCCGAGGCAGCGGCCGTCGACGCCGGAGCGGGAACGCAGCGGCGGGTCGGCGAAGAAGCGGCTGTCCTACCCGATACCGGACCCGTACTGCGTGAATTTCGGGTTCGGGTGCAACCCTAGTAATATGAATCCAAATCAGGGTCAGGGTCAGGGTCAGGGGCAAAACTTGAATATGAGAAGCCCGAGCTTCAAAAGCGTGCAGGCGGGGTACGTCGGGATGGAGGAGCAGTCCAACTACACCGAGAGCATCGTCGGCGGCGAGATATCTCCCTGCTCGACGACGGACCTCCGGCGGTGGCTGCGGTAGCCGCCTGCCTGCAACTGCGGATTATTGTTGATGTATTGAAGACGACGATAATAAGTAGGGTCTTTTAGGCTTTTGCCTTGCCTGTGCCTCAATGTCTGTTTTTTTTAGTATTTTTATTGCTTCTATAAAAAAAATAGACTATTTTTCTTCTGTTTTGCAACCTTTTTTTTTTTTTTAAATAAAATATAGAAAATTATATCGACAATATAATATATATATATATATAATGTATTGATTTTTTTATAAACACGTTAAAAAAAAAATAGAAAGAAAAAACCTTCTTATTTACTGAAGTAGAGATAATTGACACAACATGAAACATAGTTACATAAGCTCCGAAATGAATAAGAAGTGACAGGGGAGGGAAATGCATTAAAAAATAAATAAATAAAAATGAAATATGTAATTTCTTCTTTCCAAAAGAATGCATAATACTATGGATCGATCTAAATTTACCAATTAAAGGAGTGAGAATATATTTTATTATTTATACTTAGACAAAGCACCGCACGTGCACCGCATTCATCTTTTTTTTTTTTTTAATATTCTTTTATTTCAAAGATTAAAAAATAATTCTACCTTTTATCCTGTTCTAAATTCTAATTTATTTTTCGTGATTTTTTAATATTAATTATTATTATATTAAATATAGTACAAATAAAAAATATTGTAAAAGTAGAAAAATATTTATATAAATATAAATATATTTTTTATATTAAATACAATAACAAGTAAATGTAATTCTAAGCGGACCAAAGAAATAATATTTTATTATTTAATTGAAGTAAGTAAAAAATTTTAGCATTTTTTTGCTCTTTAATTTTATATATAAAAATAATTGAATGTGTAATGATATATAAATCTGCCATAAATCTGAATAAAGACAAACCCGGCATCATCAATACCAGCATTGGTACCACTTTAAAAAGTGGCGTTGTCAACCTTGATCTCATAATCATTGTGAAAGCCAATTCACAGAAAATCAATTCTACATCCATTGCGATGCAGCACTCAACGGTCTTATTTCTCCTTTTCTTCGTAAGGTAATTTAACAATAGAGACAACTTTTTGTGATTAGTGTTAGAATTGCAATTCTCACTTCATTATTTTACCTTAGGGGCCTAGGCTTAGTTTCAAGCACCCGATCGGAAGCATCTCCGTCTCGGGGCATAAACTATTGGGCTGTCCGATGCCATGTGGCGTGTACATGACGCGAAAGAAATGCATCAGTCTTCTATCTACAAACATAGACTACATAGGCAGTTTGGACAACACCATAAGCGGGAGTCGGAGTGGACACGCCCCGATCTTCATGTGGTACGGCCTCAGCCTTAAAGGCCTCTTAGGTATCCAACGCGACGTCCTAGATTGTCTCAAGAATGCTCGGCGCCTACGAGACGGGCTAAGAGAATCCCGGATCAGCACTTTGCTCAACAAGGACGGCGTTTTAGTTGTTTTCGAGAGGCCCTTGGACAAAGACTTTGTTCGACACTGGCAACTCTCTTGCACGGGAAACTTGGCCCATGTTGTCGTCATGCCTCATGTTACGTCAAAAATGTTGGACGAACTTGTCCGAAAGAGAAAGTGTTGGTACATATGATGATGATGAATAAGAATGAAAGAAAAGAACAAGGGATGCCTGTCAACCTGCAGTAAGACCATCTCTGAGCTTTTACTCAAAAATCTACTACAGTGAAAATGTTAATATACAGTAATTTTATTTCAATCATAAATTTTAATCTTTATTCTAAAAAATATATTTTTATATATAATTTTTTATATTTGTAAATTACACTCAATTTTAAATTATGCTATTCATGGAGGGTTCCTATCTTCATTCAATATTAAATGTTTTAATACAAATTTTGATTAATATTAGAAATAATACCGCATATATAATATCAACCCATTTCTTAAAGTCAAATAATAATCTAAGATATCATAGTAGTATTTGTTTATATAATGATATATTAATCAGACTTAATATTATAAAAATATCAATAATTTAATATAAAATATTATTTTCATAAATTACTCATCTATAAAAGAGTTACAAAATAATACACCCCAACTATCTATTTAGAATTTAAGATGCTAAATCTATAGACATTGAAGTAAATTGGCATTTATATTCTAACAGAAGCGGAAGAAAAAATAGGCAGAAAGTGACAGCAAATGCTTTAAATTAATAAGTCCTAGTACTAGAATTTCTATTATTTTTAATTATTATTATATTATAATAAAGATTAACATGCCAAATTGAAACGTTAAAATGACTAAAAAAGGAGTGTTAACATCACATTAGCTGTCATCACCGTCCAATGAAATCGCGAGCTGGCTGCGCTGCGGTGACACAGAATTTCAACCACCACAGGTAGCTTTAGTTTTTCCCATATACAGAGCCTCAGCCAATGGGCCGCCGGGAATGATTGACGCTGAAGCTTCCATAAACCCATCGGAGTTCATCTCCGCCGGCGGGGCACCGCTCTGGCCGGAGACGGCCGGTGTGAATTCAACGCTGGTTTGGAGGGATTCCATATTATATAATAATGGATTCCAAAATCGATTATGGTTTTCGATAACGGGAATAACGACGTCTGGAACGATATCGACGTCGTACGGATTCAGGGCAACATCGATCTTATCTCCGCCGTCGATTAGAAATTCCGATTGTGACTGTGATTGTGTTAGTGTCCAGTCGAAGCACCTGATCCACCGGAAAATTAGTAAATTAGAGTACGATAAATTAAACGAAATCGAACAAAAACCTAATTTAATTTAATGGAAAGGAAAGGGCGGACATGTGGCTGAGGTGTTCTTGTGGTCGGAGATGGCGATTGATGATGATATTATTGTTGTTGTTGTAGTAATTGTAATTACTGGTTTCCACATGCTTTCTTGAACGTGGCGGTTTGTTGATTTTGGCCTTCGGAGCGTGGCGGTGGCAGTACTTGTGGTCCGGCGGCGCCGCGTCCCTGGAACACCTCCATTTCTTGCCGTCGGTTCTTCTGCATCTCCACGGCTGCGCACACCGGAAATCCATCGGTGATGGTGAATCTGCACAGCACCGTCAACAAAGTAGGGTTAATTGGGAAAATTAAATTTAATATGCAACTGTGATTAGATTGGAGAAGAGAGGATAGATGATGATGACGATGATCAATGGAGGTGCGAAGAGGAGGAACAGCTTCCATGCGCATGCTTTCTTCTTCTGTAAGTATATGCAGAAGTATTGAAGAAGATACAGTAATTATATCAATGGAGATTGATTATCTATCTATCTATCTATCTATGTATATAATAATGTTTGTCTGTGTGAAAGGTGATAAAAAGGGTTGAGTACGATGTTCATCCTAAAAATTATTGGAAATTTTAGTACGATCTTTTATGGAATTTAATTAGATATATTTGTAACTTGTTATTGAAAAATCCAATACTTCCAAAACTTAGAAGATGAGATGATATCGTTCTACTGACCTCAACCATTCCATTTGTTGAAAAACTGTACGGCATTATAGTAATATACTATTATAAAGTTTTTCAATGAACTTTTCCGTTTTATGACAAAAAAATTGAAATAAAATTCATACATATTTATTTTAAATAGCATTCTTATAATTGTTCTTAAAATTAAATAACCATCGCTTTTACTTGAATATAAAGTAATTTCTATATTTATATTGTTGGTTAGAATTTGCCTTCACAACACCAATTTTTGATCTTATCTTATCGTACATACAAGTTGCTGCACATATTTTTGGTATATCCAAGAATCACCAATGAGATACTCTAATTTGTTTCAATAGAACACAAAAATAATAATAATAAACAAATTATCACCAAAATACAAGCCCAGTTCGTTTCAATATAACAAATTCATCTCTCCATATAACTAAACAAATGCAACAAACACCCCATCTACAACCAAACCTTTTGGGGCCATTTTAGGACTGCAGTTACACAATAATGGTAGCAATAAAATAAATCAACTAGTGATGATCAAAAATACATTTCAATTAGCATTTGGTATTATGGCCTATAGATTAGTCCAAATACACAATCAAAACCCATGCCACAAACCCTCCTATTTCTGGTATTTTAAAACCTGCCTCTGGTTCAAATACACATTTCACACATCTGTAGCTGCAAACAAACATTTCATAAATTTAAGAACTTATTTATTGAAAATAAGATTCAACTAAAAGAAGGCGACATTAACAAGATATGATTATGGACTTTTTCTTCCAAGAATTCACATATAGAAACATCCAATCGTGGGTCCTTGCAGGCGGTCGATATGAATTAAATGGAGAATAAAACAAGCATAGGCATTCAGCCAGCCAAACCTTTGTCCTATCCTATATGCTCCCCTTACAAGGAATCACAAAACAAATTGTTCGACATGTAAGAGCAATCCCTGCACCACCTAAGCTACGAAACTATATATATATATATATATATCACAGCAATTCTAAAAGCTAAATTGAAGTCGCATAACAAAATGCTACATGTGGTGATGCATGCATTCGTGCTTTTAGGAGAAACTATCTATCATGGTAATGCTAAAAGCTAAAGTCACGAAACAAAATCCTGATTCCATTCCTATGCATGAATTCCAGATCAAAATTCTCAAGGATTTAAGAATTATAAGTCACTCCATGATTTAATAGATAAAAAATATAACCAGATGACATCTACATAAGCTAGTAATAACTTCACCAGTATCACTTTCACAACTATTAACTTTCTTTAACAAAATTGACAGACATACATCAGGTTTGTGAAGCTAGAGTGTAAGACCGGTCATCAATTATACATATACATATATGTATATATAAAACCAAAATCCACATTTAAAAAAAGGTACAATAAAGCAAATAAGAAGAGGAATGAAACTGTATAGAGGAACAACATCTACCTCATTCTTATCCAACATTAAGGCAGCACCTTACAATTCAAACTCATCTTCAAGCTTCAATTGCTCAGCAGCAGCCTCTTCCTCTTCATCATCCAGCACGAAATACGGGTTATGGGCCTCAGGCTTGAATTTGTATCCAGTAAAAACATAGAACCCTAATGTAGCTAACTCCCCTGCAACGATGCTAGTCCAGAGATATCTGTAAGACGTAATAGTCTCCAGCGCGTAAACCACAACCCGGGTGAAATAAATGTAGCAAATCACCACAATATAATACTGCCTAAACAGAGTCAACTTCATCAAATTCACCGCGGCCTTCCCATCGGTCTTGGCAGCCTCCCGCAAGTTCTTGATTGACCAGACAATGGGGAAAAGCACTGCACAGCAGCAAATCACATCCACTAGCAAGAACACTTGCTTCCAAGTAACCCAATCCTGCGCAATTTGTCCTTTCTCGTCGATGACAACCTGGGCTATGTTAGCAACCACCTGAAGTGGGATCACAATCATCAGAACCTTCTTTTCTTTATCCTGCAAATACGGCTTCAGGAACGACCATCCAGTCCCGATCAATACAATCAAAGTGAACAACATGATCCCCTTGAGGAAACTAAATATGTAAAACAAGACATCCCAGCCGTGCGCCGATCCAGTGCGCTTAATATACGATTTGTCCTCAGCTTCACACAACAAATTCAACATTTTCAACAGCACAACAGCCAACATGAAGAAGTGAATCCTAAAAATGGTAAGCCTCTTCTTGTATAGAACATAGATCCAGGTAGCGGCCAACACGAAATAAACCATGGAGAAGAAGAAATAAACCCTAGGCAGAACAGTTTTACCCGCGGACAGATAATCTCGATTGTTTGACTTGCCGTCCTCCAAGTTGTACATCGCCGATCGAACCTTCATCGTGACGGCGAGCTGCGGGAAGCAGTTGGCGAACAAGAGGGTGTACTGATCTGCGGTTGTTTCACTGTACAGAACATTGTAATCGGAAGGGACGGGAGTAGGGAGACGATCGAAGGTGAACACAACCTTCACCGCGGAGGATGAGAGCACGCAGTCAATATCCCTCTCCTCAATCTGCTGGAGCACGTGAATCCACGCATCCATTGTGACCAGGAAGAACCCTACCTTGGAGAGCGCCGATGGGTTCGGATTCGTCCCGGTAAGAGAGAGCTGGGTGAGGTTCAGTTCCAGCTGGCCACGGTGAGTGAAGCCAAATTCATCCACGGGGATGATCTGGCGGGTGTCCGACCGGAGCTCCGTGAATCGGATCTCGGCGGCGGCGCGTGAGGCGGCTGAGAGTAAGATCAGGAAGAGCAGAGGGATCGACATACCGGAATTGATGGGAGATCGGAGCAGACGAGGATGGAGGAAGTCCGCGAATTTTCTTATCTTGCTCGATTCGTTTCGGTTAGGGATTTAACAAATTTTGACAGATAAATCGAGGAGAAGAAAATTCGTCGGAAGTTTCAGATAATTGCGTGTCAAATGGTTTAGAGAAGGGAAGGTAAAGATTTAGGAAAGTACTAAAATACTTTTTCACTAAGGTTTACTTTTTTATACCCTAAACCTACTTTTCTTTTTTTCCAATTGAATAAAGATATGCATTTACCATTTGGAAATTTGGAATAAGCAACGGGTTTTCTTTTTGTGTTTAATTTTATATTTATACGATAGTAACAATATCTATAAATATATTAATTTTCATAATAATTTATCAGTAATCACTAATATAAAAACTAAAATTATGGTATTTTTTAATTATTAAAAAAAATTAAAGTTAGAACTGAGGAATTTAACATAACATCAACAAATAATAATAATAATAATAATAAGAAATACAAATAAGAAATACGCGTGCAATGTGATTTATTTATTTTTGAATTAAACTATACACTATGCCGGCCGTTGAATATGGAGCGGTACGAATATTTAATGAATAATACTAGTATTACCCAAACCTAATAGAGGTAGTGTTTATCTATTTATTATTATTATTATTAATAAATCATATATTATTAGTAATGTAACGCATTTTTTTCCCATTTAAAAATATTGTTCCATTAAACATTTTCAAATTAAAATATATAGGGCCTAAATTCTAATGTTGATCCAAGGCATTTATTCTAAGGAAAAGTCTAACTCTTAATATTTTGACAGTCAAAACTATACTGTAGATCCTTTAATGAGTTAAATGCATTATTATAATATATCAAGTTACTATGTATAACCAAATTATCATGCATATCTTCTAGTGTGGTTAAGGTATTTTATCTATCAAAAATGTTGGCAAAAAAATATGAACTAGGACAAAAAAGTTTACCAGGCACGCTTGCAATGAGGTCTCCGGCTTAGCATCACTTGACAACAAGGTCGCATTGGCTAAAATGGTGTCGACAACCTTGATCTGATCTGCACCAAACAATTTTGAAATGTGCACCAACACTAGATAAAGATAATCACACTTGCATAGTAAATGTAGTGTAAGAATCTACATGAAGAAAAGTACATCATAGTTTGGATCAAAGCTATATTAGTGTGGAATCTACATTGCCATTATGTAGATGTTGATATTTTCATAACAATAGAGCCCGCAATTCAACAAAAATTTATTATTGAAAGGAGAAATAGAAAAGGTTGAAGATAAGCAAGATAATAGACCCCTGTATGCAGAATCAATATTTGTTTCATATTTCTCCATATAAGGACAACTGCAGATATTTTCATGTAGATAAATGCAGGTGGTGTTTCGATTCATGAGGAAGCTGTCGTAAGTAGACACCACGCTTACTATGTGAAACAAACAAAGAATCAGAAACATATAGAACTTTAAGATACACTAAATTCCAAAAGAACAAATTGTAGCATTGGAACAATCTAAATATATTATCAGCATCCAACAACCTAAACATATCGCAAATCTGTCCTGTCTTTCATTGGATTCATTCTTGGTGTCTGTTATTATCTTCTGTTTTCATCATTCTTGCTTGAATGGTACATTATCATATATTTCCCGCTCATGCATTGTGCTCTTAAAGTTATAGTTTTCATTGTTTGCGAAATAATTTACATTCAATTGTTAGTGTACTTGACATATCGATTTCATATGTATAGACACTCTTACTCTAGCAAATGTGCACTGTCCTTCGCAGCATTGCATCTTTACGGTTACAGGTAAATTTCTTGCATGTTGATCATTGCATATAAATTATTTCGAACTAATACTAGTATTTCAAACTGCACAAGCACAAGAATGATGAAGTAATAGATTTCATATTCTTATGCTAAACCTACACACTACAATAAATAAGTCTCAATTAGTTAAATCAAGTGCAATATACTCATGTAGCCAGACATCAAACTGCCGAAAGCATTCGGTATTGGTAAGCTTTTAATGTGTAGGATCTAATGGCCTTAAATAAATACTGTCATCAAGGTTTTACCCACTGAATACTCTCCATTTTCTACATCATCCTGTAATCAACTTACTTATTACTGTAATCTTTCCATTTAGCTTAAGTCTATGGCCTTCTGGCTCCGCTAACTTAATGGACTCTCTTCACCATAACTAACACATAATCAAGCAAACAAGGTTCCAAAAGTGCCACAATCATACTAGAAATTACGTTCTCTCGAAACCAGTCAAAAGCCACACCAAAGATTGGGACATTTTGTTAGGCTTCAATAAAATCATATCATGTCCTTGAAATCAACCCTAAACCAATCCTTAAATCTCCATTTCTAAGGTGAAAGTAAATTTGGTTTCAATATAATCCCTATATCCATTCATACCACAAAAATTATCTGCAAAATAGATTTCTACGTAACACAAAAGCAGCAGCAGAGAAACCTGTTAATGGCTTGCCGGTACTTCATTGATGAACCCGCGGCGGAAGCAAGACCGACACGAATCTCACGCAGCACATAAACCACTCCTCGGAATAACCGAATCGATTAGTACTCCATCTCCAGAATCAAACATCCACCATGGAAAGTTCAATTTTCTCAGTAGAAATCCATATCGTCGCGAAATGCAAGCTCCGAATGAAGAAGAAAACTCTTCCCTCACAAATTCCGACCGGTTTCGTAGGCAGCTTCTCAATTTGGACCATAGTGGATTGGGCCCAAAGAGTGCCGTCTAATCAGTATTGGGCTTTAGCCCATTTACAATTTTCTTTCTAATTTATTTTTTTTAATACTATTTATTTATTTTTAGTTCTTTTTATCAATTATCAGAATTTGATGAAGAAATTATCATGTAGTTTATGATTTGTAAAGTACAGAATACAAAATAATTGGTCGTAATAATGACGTACGTGCAAACTCCCAATGTAGTTGGAACACATGCATTTAATTTTTCTTAATTACACGTGTCACGACATTAATGAGACAAAGACAAAGGAATGAATGGCCAAGAAATAAACGGTAATGATTAAAAGATATAAATAAATAAATAAATGTATATATATATATATATATGTGTATGAAAATTGTCAACTAAACACCGACCAGAAGTCTCATTTTGAACATTTCCACACTAAATTGTCACCACATTTTAAGTTGGAAATAAAATAAATATTAAATAAAACATAATAGAAAAATAATTATTTATGCAATATTTTAAAAATAAATAAATTCGTGTCATTAGTGAATAACAAAAAACTTGAAAACATAAGCAAAAAAGGGTTAAAAAAGATTTAATTAATTTTTGTGGAGTCGACTACTTCATTTCTATTAGAGTTTTAAAAATTTTAAAAATTTAGAAATAATTAATAGTTTGATGTTTAATGTAATATTTTGTAAGAAAAAATACCTTTAACGATATCTTTTTTAAAAAATTAGAATGTTTCAAAAATATCCATACAAACAAAGGAGTCTTGGTTGGTATTTTGATGTACTTCAGAAGTTTTTATAATTTTGAGAATATATATATATATATAGTTTATAATTAATTAATATGATTTCCTATCTATATTGGGACAAAAATATCATATATTTTATTCTATATTTTAAAATATATATATATAATATAATATATTTTAGGAAAACAAAACAAAACAAAACAAATTTGTAAATGGCAAAATGGGCTTGCAATGAATATTAAATTTCAATGGGGAATTATTATTATTATCATTAATTAGCAAGGTATTTAATTTGTTATTTTTATTAGGTTATTTAGATTAAGGAGTTATTATTTTAGTTCATACATTTTATATATATCACATGGAAATGATCTTTAATATCATTATTAATAATATACAACTCAAAATTTTTAAAAAAATACAATAATTATACCATGCATCACTAAACTCTATGCCATTTATTTATTTATTTTGACAAATTTATATAGATATCCCAAAATGAAGCAAGAATGAATAAAATAAAGATATATCTAAATATCGATTAGATTTAAATTCATACTCTTAAAATTAGGTAGTTTGTCGAATGAAAATGTCTAAATGTATATCAATACACAACTTATTAAATATTGCACATTAAGGGTCTTTTTTCTTTTCTTTTCTTTTTTATTTTTTTTTTAAATATACTTATAAACATGTCACGCTTGATTTTTGTTATTTTTAAGTTGAATAATAGATAAGTCCTTAATAATATAAATATTAAAAAATTACCATGCTTATAAATTTGATTATTATTTAATTATGGTGTATTGTAGTGATTATTTATGTAATAATATGGCTATTAGTACAGGATAAGAATAGAATCCCTATCCAAATATATTAATGCATATAATTTTCCATTCAAACTTTCACTACAAAAAAAAAAAATAGTATATTTGTAACGGAATTCCGTTCCTAATGTTCACGTAGCTAACGTAATTCAATCTCTAATTCCGTCTCTAATATCATTAGTAACAGAAAAAATGAAATTAGAAACAAAAAAAATTTTCGTTACAAAATAGATAATTTCTTGTAGGGTTTGCTTCCATAATTACTATATATTTAATTGATTAAACTCAAGAAACATTTGTTTAATCATTAATTTAATAATAATTTACTATTTACATACACTTGTGGTAGGCAAAACATTTTCTCTGAACAAAATTAACCATGTGCACAATCACTACAATAATTATTGATCTCTAATAATATAAACTAAATTATTACAAGTTTATCATTAGGGTTCATGCATATTAATCTCACTCTATAATTTTGCAATAGATTTTTTGATGAGTTCAATTATTAAAAGTTATTGACCATACGTCTATGAAAAAAAATAAAAAATCATTCCTATGAATTTGAATATTTTCGTTTATTACAAGTTCATAAATATTTGTGAATCCGAACCTAACTTTAATATTACAAAAAGATTTCATTCACATATATAACCATATTAGCGTTTTAAATTATACAGTAATTTTTGGGCTACACCATAATGGATTTTTTCAGGATCTTAATTAATCTATTGAGTTAAATAAATACATTATAACAAACTATATAGATAATTAAATGCCAACTTGCAAGGATTTATAACCAATAATTTTCAACTTTTTTTTTTTTTTTTTTTTATCGATACTTGGTTATATATATATATATATATATGACTATTAACACAATTTGAATCAAAATTCAATTTAATTTTGTCAAAACATAATATCAAACCACTATTAAAATAAAAATAATAATATATAAAATAAAATAAATTGGAAAAGAACACAACCTTGGTACCTAAAGATTGAATCTAATTAAAAAATGAACACAAGGGAACTAATTGCCTTAAATGAACCACTTGGAAATTAGAATCTTTGGAAATAAAAATATATTGCCTCATGTTAGCCAATTTAGATAGATCAACAAAAAATAAAAATGAAATAAAACACATTGAGATCATAAAAAAATTGTTTACTTTTGTAATTTTTGGGGGGTTTGGTTCTTGACTTCTTGTTTTTGATCGAAATAATAAATTATAAATAATGTTTTATATATATAAAAAAAAGAACAATAAAAAAAATAATATCTTTTTGTGGATAATAATGGGAATCTTATAATAATAATAAAAATAAAAAATTGAGTAACTAAGGTCTTGATTTGTTTAATTTATGCATGTGTTTGTGTTTTTATTATTATTTTTCGTCAAATATTTGTGAAATATATTATTTTACATAAGAACAAATAGATACCTTGCTACGATCTAATGGACAATTTAATAATAATAATAATAAAAAGTATAGGAATATATTAATGACAAGATAACTCAAATACACACTCCTATTAAATTATTTTAAAAAGAAAATAAGTAGTATGTATAGTATTTAAAATAAAATTTAAATTATATAGAATATTTTAAATAAAAGCATATTAATATATTTTAAGCAATAATTTAATAGAATATAAACATGTATTTATTGGAACAAAAACCTAAATACAGGAGATAGATATGAAGCAAATTAAATTAAACCAGAATTAAATGCGAAATTAGGCCCAGCCCTCTTTCCACTTTGACAAAATTTGTAACCATTAAATTCATATGCTTTGTCGGCTGCCATTCATATATTCTCAATTAATAATAATAACCCACAAATATTATCCTTTTTAAAATAATAATTAATTCCTTTATTTTTTAACTACGATTGCTACAAAAAGTATATAAGTAGCACACTTGATCTATATTGATATTGCCATGCAAGAAATTAGGTTGTCTTAACCTCCAATTAATATATAAAATTTATTTATTTTTTTATTTTTATATATATATATATATGTATGCATATGTGTTACATTGCGTATAGATCAAAAAGTAGTTCTTTAGAACAAATTGTGATCTTCCTTGCTACGGTTCAACCACCACCAACTTTCTCTATAATTTTCCCTAAACTGTTTTATCAGTCTTCTTCTTACACTACTGTCTGCAGATGCTCTTATCAGAAAAATTAATTAATTAATTAAACCCTTAAAGCTTAACTAATTAATTAATTTCTCTGCCATGGCCGCCGGAGAGAGCTTCAAGGTCGGAGCAACAATGGCCGCCACATTCCTCAACCAATTCTTCAGCTTCATCGTCTTCACCATTCTCGACTTTCTCGACGTTCTTCTCTGCTACGTTTACAAGCTTTCCGATTTCTTCATCGAGGCAGAATGGAAATCTTGTTACTGCTCTAAATCCGCCGCCGACGGCGGCGGCGGCGGCGGACAGATTCTGGTCGCCGAGCCGAAGGTCGTCGGAATGACATGCACAAAACTGCGGATGGAGGAAATATCCGACACGCTCTACACGCGCCCGTCGGTCGCGTCCGAGATCTCGAAGAAGAGATTGATCGCCGGCCGGAAATCCGCCGGCCGGCCATTATTCACCATCAATTCCACCACCGTCGATTCGCTGATCGGCCGCCACCAGAAACTGCCGGTCCCGCGGTGGTCCGACTGCGATTGCAATACTTGCACATCATGGATCGGCGCAACTAAAGAAACACTATTCGTTATGACCGATGGTGCCCGAGGTTCTCTAACACACTTCATCAAAAAATTTTAGTCCTATTGTTCCAACGTTCATGTATATATCTATATATATATACTCGAGTTCTGTCTAAATATTTTAGCCCTATTATCCTAACGCTCTTATGCTCAGATCTTAGGACAATAGGGCTAAAATTAATTGACAGGGCCTCAAATTATAAACTTAGGTTCTTGATTCTTACATATGATATGCACGTGTGTATGTATGTATACAGAAAATGTGCAAGAAGACGTAGTGTTCATCCACGGATTCATTTCATCGTCGGCATTTTGGACCGAGACGGTGTACCCGAATCTATCGAGGTGGGCCAAGTTAAGGTACCGGCTTCATGCGGTCGATCTTCTTGGATTCGGGAGAAGCCCAAAGCCAACGGACTCGATGTACACGTTGAGGGAGCATGTTGAGATGATTGAGAAATCGGTCCTCGACCCATATAGAGTCAAGAATTTTCACATTGTTGCGCATTCTCTCGGGTGCATTATCGCGATGGCCCTCGCCGTCCGGCATCCCGCCGCCGTTAAGTCCCTCACGTTGCTAGCTCCGGTGAGTCCATCTTTCCATTTTACAAGCTCCGGGACTTGCAACACGATGGGGTAACAATCACTGCTTTAGATCCATCTGGTGTTGCGGTCCGGGGAGCTGTCAAGAGCTTGTTACATATATCCATTTGCTAAATTAAATGACTCGGCCATTTGTCACATTGATTACAAAGTTTAAGATTGGTTGTCTGATTCTTTTCTTTTACTATTTATTAACAATAATTTATTTTATTTTTTTGTTGCGGGGCCCGAATTATCTGCCGCCAGCCGTATTTCCCAACTCCAAAGGGCGAAATCGCTACGCAATACACTATGCGGAGAGTAGCGCCACGGCGCGTGTGGCCAGTGATCGCGTTCGGCGCGTCGATGGCTTGCTGGTATGAACACATCAGCCGTACCATCTGCCTCCTCATATGTAAGAACCACCGCGCGTGGGAATTTCTCGCCAAACTCCTAACCAGAAACAGGTTCTCCGTACTTCTCCTATATTAATTAAGCCTTTCTTACAAATTTCTATTTTTATCTAATTTTCTTAAAATTTATTTAGTCAAAATTAGTATAATTATACTTTTATAGGATCCGGCTATATGTGATGGAAGGCTTCTTTCTACACACACATAACTCGGCATGGCACACGTTACACAATGTGATATGTGGCACGGCCGGGAAGATCGAAGGCTACTTAGACAAAATCAAGAATCGGCTCAAATGTGATATTACAATATTTCATGGAAAAAACGATGAATTGATTCCGGTCGAGTGTAGTCATAGCTTGAAGGCAAGAATCCCACGAGCAAATCTTAAAGTCGTCGAGAAAAAAGACCACATAACCATAGTTGTTGGGAGGCAAAAAGCGTTTGCTCGAGAGCTTGAGGCCATATGGAAGAATGCAACCTCTTGATTCAATTCATATTCAAATCAAAATAAATATATATATATATATGTTTCATTAAGGGAAATTAATGATCACCTTAATGAAAGAGGTTTATATTTTAATTAGATTATTACTATGATTGCATGAGAAAATGGAATTTGTGAAGGTTTTTTTTTTTTTTTTTTTTTTTTTTGTCTATCTTTAAAAAGTATGTATACATTGGGTGATTATTTGATATGGGTTAATGTCAAGTTTTAATTAGCACGTGGCGAAAAGTCCATTTTTTTAATATTTGGGCTGGATTTTGGTAAGGCCCAAAACATATAATGGGCTGGAATCTGTTTCAGGCCCAATTTAAACTGTCGGCCCAGCTGATAGTTTTCATTTTATTTTATTTTTGGCATAATACCAAAATATATATATAAAAAAATCATAATAATAACGTGAGGTGTGCATGTGTTTGTGTCTTATTTTATTTATTTTTTTTTAAAAAAATAAAATTCTAACAACATATCTATAGACTATAAACACTCCTATAATACAAGGAGGAGTTGCTGAAATTGTGGGAGTGAGGCAAAAAACCTGCACAACTCAAGCTGACAGTCTCAGTCCTGCTCTGTTGTCCTCAGTTTAAATTCAGACAAAAATATTAAACACAACAAATAGAAACGTCATTGTCCAAACAACATTTCAAAAAATTAAAATTAAAATTAAAAGAAATAAAAATAAATTTTAAAAATATATGTGAGGGGGTCAGATGGTGATTTTAATAAGGAAGCTGTGGCATTGAATGCTGGGACAGTGACAATACCATGAGCCCAAATGTACATCTCATATATAAATATATAATTAATCAAAATAAAAATAAAAATAATTAATCAAATTAAGCAGGCAGTGTTACTGAGGGGAGCCTTAAATTTACTAGAAATGCTCACCTAAAAAAGCAAAAAAAATATATATATATATGAATAAAATACATGTGGTTGCAATTAATGTTATCATATGATGCATCAGCTTCAGCAATTGATGACTCAATCAGAGAGCCTGCCTGTCTGTCTTACCCTATCTTACCTCTACCTTTTCTCATTACAATGAATGGTTACATTACATATGTATTACATTAATTATTTTAACATTAATATACAGACCACTGAATTATGGGCAGCATCAGAAATGTGTCAGCCATTCTTGTTTCAACACACCATTATGGTCCTCATTCATCTCTCAATCTTCATACATTTTCTTGCAACAAAATCTAATTTCATGACAACAATTATAAGATACATATATATATATATATATTATATTATATGTTGTGTATGGGTTTGAGTGAAAAAAAGGTTTGTTGGAAGTAAAAAGCAAGCAGCAGGGACAATCTAATAAGTAATCTTTTTCATTTCATGGATGTGTATAGATTTCTGTTTTTTTACCTTTGCAACATTCATCAGGGAAAAAAAAAAGTGAAGCAATGTGTGGATGCAGCTTTTTGGGAAGAAATCCCATCAAGGGATCAAATCATGATATGATGATGATCATGACAATTTGCAATTTAATTTAAATAATACTACTAATGTATGTATATATATATATATATATGTTCTGTTTCATTTGGGAAATTGACAGTGATTTGAGGGCAGAGAGAGTGTGGTGATCTTATCATATTTCATTACATCAAATGAACAACAACAAGAAGAAACTCTACATATATATATATATGTATGTATATATGATGTGTTCTTGAGGGGGGGCTGGTCTGGTCTGGTCTGGTCTGGTCTCACTTTGTAAGAAACACAAACTACATTGACAATCTTCATAATGTTTCAGAAAAAGGGCATCTTTTTAACCAGTCTCTCTCCCTCTCTCTCTCTCTCTCTCTCTACACACACAGGTATGTACATACATATATATATATATATGTATTGTAGATACACAGAGACACTCAACATTTTTTGCAAGGGTAGAACTAATTGAAGATCCCCTTTTGGGTATGAATGAACACAAAGTGAAGTAACCACAGAAGCAGAAAATGGAAACAAGTGTTTGCTTCAAGCAAGAAATTTAGTGTCTACTCTGCACACACTGTGTATGTGTGTGAATATATATTGTAATAATACTATTGTATATATAGTGAATCAAATTAAAAGATCTTGATTGAGTGAGGCCACATTTTCTGCACAACAAGTACTTTCAAAGTCAAGAAATTTGCAATTAACCACAATCTCTTGAAAGCCTCTTTTGTAGACCAATCTTCAAAGTCAAGAACTAGCAAGATAATTGTCTGCAAATTACTAATATTATTACATCATTTAAAAGCTGCTGAGAAATTCAAAATATATAAATATGTATGCATACACACACACAGATTGCACTGCCAGCTAATGTTCAGATCTGACTTATCTAACCATGAACTTCATCCCATCTCAAATCTCAATTCATTTCATTCCCATGTTTCAACTGCAATTGATGTTGTATAAACCAGAAACCTTTTAACCAAATTCCAATTCATCAGCCAAATTTGGGGAAAAAGAAAGAAAACCCTAAAATGTAATGCAGTTTAATTTTAAGAACAGAAATGAGATATGGGAAGTAAACAAGACATATCACCTAAGTCATGATGACAGGTAGAAAAGGAGATCTTGTAGTGGAGCAGAAACAGACAGATAGACGAGGTTGCCGGCCAGCCTGGTATGGTCTGAGGTAGAATCATATGCATATCATGACGATGATGATGGTGATGATGATGAAAAGATAAATCGTTTCTGCAGATTGAACAGAAAGTGAGCTGACAAAAGAAAGTGAGAAACAACAAAACCCCAGTTTGGAATAGTATATATATATATATATATTTCATATCCATGGAGTTTGGACAAATAAAAATTAAAATTAATGAGTGAGGGTGGGAGCCTGAGGGAGAGGGAGTAGTCTAACTAATGATGAATAAATCGACTCATTGGGTGGATGGTACTTGTTCAGATTCTGCAGTGAATCTCAAGAAATTTGAAAAAAATAAAGTGGAAACAAGTCAAATAATGTAATGATTACACCAATCTGCTTCTTGCATGGCCAACAACAACCTCCTCACCTGAAAAAAATACAAAAATCCAAAGATCCACAAACTTGCTACAAACAAAACCCTGAATTGGCACAATAATTAAGCTTAACTTACTAACTCATCATATATCTGCAGAAGTCATATGTTGTCCAGAGAGGAAATATTAATTAATTGTAAGACGATGATAAAATTAATTGGAAGTGGATGATGAAAGGGGGAGCAAGAAATTGGGGGGAATGAAGCCTGGTCCGACGTCACTAACACATGATCCATACATACATGTCAAGCCAGGTTGTATGTATTACATCGATCTGATCAAGATCTGGGAGAATCAGATCAGATCAGATCGGAGGAAGGCGGTGGATCTTGCTAAAGGCCTCGAGCCAGACAACATTCCCCTCAAAACTATGGCTCCCCACACAAAATTGGATTAGGGTTTCAATGGAGGAGCAAAAAAGGAAGGAGCTTGAAGAAGAAGGAGAAAGAAAGAAAGAAAGTGCAAGAATGAATAATTGGAGATGGGGTGTGAATGAGTGAGAGAGTGGGGAAAGGAGAGGAGCAGATAAATAAGGGGTGGAGAAGAAGGAGAGATCGATGACAAGGAGAGAGAGAGAGAGAGAGAGAGAGAGATGAGAGAGAGTAAGGCTAAGCTGTGATGTGCTGGGCTGTGCACTGCAGTATATGCACTAGTACTACTAGTATTCTTGCTGTATTTCTACACTAGAGAGAGAAACATACAGACAGAGATAGATAGAGAGAGAGAGATTGAAAAAAGACAAACAAAGTCATAAAAGCGAGGCAACAGAACACCATGACCCTACCTACACACCCACACCCACACCCACACCACCATTACATTACATTTATTTTACATAATAATCAACAACTTATATATATATATATTTAATCATTCACTACTCTCTCTCTCTCTCTCTCTCTCTCTCTCTCTCTAAAATTGTTGGTTTAATTCCCACCTCCCTCTTTGGCCCTTCTTTAGTTTTCATTTATTCTCTTAATCATGCTTTCTATCTGCTGTGTGTGTGTGTTCTTTCTTTTCTTACATTAGTTTTGTTGGTGATTGTGCGTCCAAGAAAATTACTCATTTTGACTTCGGAATCCCAATCCATGTGTTAATGTTTTCTTGTGTTTTGTACTTCACACATATATAAATATATATACATTTGTATCTATGTTTATGTAATTGTATAAAAATGTTCTCTTGAAATTATGGCCCTTTAGTTTCATACATACATACGAAATCTGTATCTATGCATTATTAATCAATTAATTACTGTAATAATCAAACATTCAAACTCCCCATATATATATATATATGTATATATGCACAGCACAGCATACACACATATCAACAATCAGTATAATATCTACTGATATGTCTTATCAATCATCTTGTAGCCATATATATGTATATATATATATATACATGTAGTATGTGTCTGTGTGTACGTATGACTTCATCTACAGGCCAGCTCTGTATCTTACAATTAAATTAATGGGAATTATCAGTATATATTTTATATAGGTGTGTGTGTGTGTTTGTGTAGATGTTATCCCTCTTTAATTGTGCAGCTTGTTTTTTTTAAATAAATATTATATAAATTTGAAGTGAAATAATTAAGTGTGTGATGTTTTTATATATTCATTTGAAATTTTTTAAATAAAAATTAGAATGAAGAACATATATGGCACATATTATTGTTTTTTTAAGTCTACGTCCTTCTTTTTTCTTTATTATTATTATTATTATTATTATTATTATGCAACTTTGTGGTTTATATTTTATAATATAAAACACACCCTTGGAGATAAGATTAAAAACTCAAAATAAACACACCCTAGAAATTAACTATGTCAATCATAAAAACTACATACTATTTGCACAATTTTTTCTTATTATTATTTTGCATTACAATTTGATATAGTAGTAATACATAATTTTTTATTTTTTTTTCTTACAAAATATGGTATCCAATCACTCTTTAAACACAAAGGACAAATGCAAACCAAATATACCTTTGATCTTTTTGGAATATATATATATATATATATATTGTCATGTAATAAACCCACACAATTAATAACCA